GCTAAGCGGGCGCCGATGGTGTCTCTGCGAATAGGAAGAATATTTAATTAATCAATAAAATTTCTTGGCGCAATTAAGATGTCTGACAAGTCGTTTCTTAATCTTGACTGACAGTCTGCAGCCACCGTACAAAGTGTGCGCAGGCCGTCATGACAGAGGCTCTCGAAGGACAGACACATGATTTTAATCCGATTGAGATATCTGCTCCTCATATCATTTATGTGGCACTTGGTTTCTTTATTGTGATTGTAAGTATAGCTTTTGTGCATTAACGTTGAAAGTTCGGCATGTTCTCCATGCTTGTCAAAGAACGCCTATACCTGGGTGAAGCTCCAATTGCACTGGTGTTTGGTATCATTATTGGTGAGTGATCAAACTTTACACTAACAACAGGCCCTAGTGCAGCCAAGATTTTTCATCCGGAAGACTGGGGCGGTAAAGATAGCGAAGCGCCGGGCACCGTTCTGACAAACGAAATAACTTTGGAAGTGATGCGAGTATGTATTGCTCTATCCGTTTTTTCTGTGGGAGTAGAGCTGCCTAAGAAATACCTCTGGCGCCACTGGAAGTCAATAACGATGCTTCTTGGCCCAGTCATGTTATGGGGCTGGCTCGTGTCAGGCTTGCTCATTTGGGCATTGGTACCTGGCCTGGACTACCTGGCAGCACTTGTAATTGCAGCTTGTGTTTCGCCAACAGATCCAATCTTGGCACAAGCTGTTGTGGGTGGTCCGTGGGCCGAGAAACATGTACCCACACACATCCGGCATATGTTGCAATGTGAGTCAGGCTGTAACGATGGAGCAGCCTTTCCTTTTCTTTACCTTGCATACTACCTTACAGTGAACCGTGGAAAAGTGGGTTTTCCCATTGCGGAATGGGTATACCACACTTGGCTCTATGAAATTGTGGTCGGCACGTTGATCGGCGCATTGATCGGATTCCTTGCGAGGAAATTGATTCGATTCAGTGAGAGGAACAAGCTAGTGGATCGAGAGAGTTTCGTTGCTCAATATGTGAGCCTGTCCGTGGCTAGTATGGGCCTCACTGTGCTCTTGGGTAGCGATGACCTGCTTGCGGCGTTTGCATGTGGTACAGCGTTTGCGTGGGATGGATGGTTCCAAAAGCAGACAGCGGACTCGAACTTTTCGAACATTGTCGACTTGCTATTCAATGTGGCGACGTTTGTTTACATTGGGGCCGAAATGCCATGGAGTTCCTTCGTGAATGGTGAATACAATTTGAGTGTGGGACGTCTCATTGGTCTTAGTATTTTGGTGCTATTGCTAAAGCGTCTCCCTGTTGTGATCATGCTATGGAGGTGGATTCCTGATATTAAGACGTTTCAAGAGGCTGTCTTCTCTGGCTATTTCGGTCCTATGGGTGTGGGTGCTATCTTCATGTGCACGTTTGGCCGGCTGATGCTACCGGAGGAAGTCTCGGTGCCACCACAGACGCCGAATGAAGTGTTGGCTTTGACAATCCAGCCCGTGGTCTACTTTTTTGTCCTGGCCTCAGTCATTGTCCATGGCTTTACAATTCCTTTCTTTGCCTTTGGACGCAAGGCGCATATCAACATCAATCGCACGCTGAGTATGCACGCTACAGCACTACAGAATAATGAGCCGACGTGGCTGAACCGCATGCGACACCTTGCGACGAGTGGGGACGAAACAGAGACGAAGGAACAAGAACCGGGCCAAATATCGGTCGTCGAAGCTATGCGGATGGGCTTGGAGAAGCAAAAGCAACAAGGCATCGCGATAGGGGAAGAAGAAAAAGCTGAGTCATCCGAAGGTACAACATCTAGCCATCACCATCGTCATTCTCTTCAGCATTTCCGAACGATCCGGTCGATTAGTGATATTGAAGATGGCAACTATGCAGCGGAGGACGATTGGGATGGAGAAGATACAGTGGAAATGCGCCGATATAAAGAGCGCCGACAGGAGAGGAAAACACCGGCGGCTGTGGCGGCTGCCGTTGAACAAGATATTACTGAGGCGCAGCGCACCGAGGAGCCTGAGAGTATGGAACCAGACGAAGAAGATGTATATCCAAAGATTCGAGAATGGGTGGAAGGCCACAAGATTGTGGTGGAGATTACGGATAAGCCGCTTGATGAAGCACGTACGATTGTGATCCCTATTCACCCGGATGATTATGACTATTTCAAGGATGCCAAGAGTCCATTGTATGAACTGCTTTCGAAATACGAAGCAAAGCTCGAGCATGCTATTGGTTGGGACAAAGATACGAATCTCTCGGAACTTTCCAAACTGCAGCTGTACGAAAACAAGGTCGTATCAAAAGTGTCTCACTTTGCGAAGAAACTGGCCAGCGAACGATCTGCAGTCAAGGAGAACGATACAGAGGAAGACGAGGCCGACGCGCCTGAAGTCGTTATTGTGAGACCGGACGGCACTATTATTGACAACTAACTACACCCTTGCTATACTACGATACCATATAGTACAATCAGAAAACCCCTTCCCCCTATACATGTGGACACATAGGACAACATAGGCACCTAATCATATACTTGGTAGCCGTTCAGCGGTGTGCTGCCCAAGTGGAGAGAAAGGGCCCAAATTTTTTAACGAAGACCGCAGCTTCCCAAGCGACCATGGCTAGCACGCAGGTGCCGCCTGCGTGTACGCCTCATACCAATCCCTATGGGCTGCGCATCTGCCAGACACCGTATGCCGGGCGCAGTTTGTTTGCTACGATACCCATTTCTGCGAATACCATCATTGAAATCAGCCCCGTTCTCCTTTTTACGCCGCAGGAATACACGGAGCATGGGCAATACACCGTATTGGACTCGTACACATTTGTATGGGAGAAAAGCAGCACTGGTAATACTATGGCACTAGCTTTAGGTCTTGGATCGCTCTTTAATCACCATCCTACGTCCGCCAATGTATCCTACGAGCTGGATCGAAGTACGCAGTCGATCAAGTATCGCACTGTCCGTGCGATCGACGCTGGCGAAGAGCTCTTCATCTGCTATGGCGCTGGTCGCATGTGGTGGGAGTCTCCGTCCAACGATGCTATGCCTACGACGCCCATGACTGAGGAGCATGAGCTCGCGCTCTTTGGCCAGCTGGGTGCTGAGTCCGAGGAAGAAGCCCATCGTGCGCCGGTTGACCCTTCGTATCCTGCACCGCTATGGCGTGTCACATCCTCACCAGATCCCAAAACAATGCCGTTAGAAACCTCTGTGGCATGGGCGATGGATGTACCGCCCAAGGCATGTTCCACTGTCGTGCGGCTCTTGCAAGGGGCCGTGAAGAATGGCACGTTGAAGGCAGGGGATGCGCATCCCATCTACTCTTTGCGGCACCTTAGGACGTTTCGCAAAGCGAGGGAAGTGACCAAGATGCTTGATGGCGTCCCTGTTTTGTCGCATGACTCGTCGGACGCCTTGTCAATGCTCCTGGCCTTGACGTCCGCTCATTCCAAAAGCGAGCTGCTTTCTCTCTTGCATACCATCCTAGCGGACATGGACTTGCCTATGAACCTGTACCAGGTGCGTGTTCCCTCAGGCCCTGCGCCTATGCGTGACCGTTTGGCAGAATGGTCTGCAGTGTGGCCTTGTGTCTTTTTGCCGCCAGGCGCCGGCCTTTCAACCAAGCAGGGCATTCCCGGCAGCGATGCAGCGCGAGCGACGGTGCCTGTGGATCGCGCGGAGGATGCGCGTAGGTGGTCCGATGCTCGTGCTGTGGGGCGGATCCGCGATGGATTTGCAAGGTGCTTACGTACCGCTTCACTGGCGGCGCAGGCAGGAGAAGTAGGCGTCGGCGTCTATGTCACGTCGCTAGCCAACGACGAGGAGGCCATTCATGTCGACGCCTTTGATACCCGCGTACGTGATAACCACCCTCTGCGTCATGCCATCCCCAATGCGGTCCGCCAAGTGGCTGCCATTCGCGCTCAGCAACGTGCCAACGACGATGCCAAGGAGGCGGTGAATGGCCAAGATTACTTGCTGACAGGTCTTTCGCTGTTTATTACGCACGAGCCGTGTGTCTACTGTGCCATGGCCCTCGTCCACTCACGTGTTCGCGAGGTGTTTTTCCTGTACCCATCGCCTGGCACAGGAGGGTTCTGTGGGGCTGCCAAGGACGCCTATGCTACATGCGAAGGCGTGCACGATGGCGGTCCCTACGCGATCCACGAGCAAAGTGGCCTCAATCACCAATACCATGTATGGCGATGGGTGGATCCTACTGACCTACCTATATCGACTGTGCCCACTAGTATACCTTACGACTTGTAATTTACTCATCGTCGTCGTCGTCGTCATCTTCCTCCTCGTCATCATAGCCGTCGTCGTCTTCCTCCTCGTCATCATAGTCGTCGTCGTAGTCATCGTCATAGTCATCCTGGTAGACATCATCATCGTCGTCTTCCTCCTGCGCCACAAACTCATCCAAGGTCAGATCCTTTTCTTCATTCACAGGCCGAGGTTGTACCAATCCTTCAAACGTAACATACGACGGTGTAGACCCCTCTTTCGTGCTTGCCGAGAACGTAGGCAAAGCACTGCGTCGGAAAGCTGAGACAGGGGTCGACGGTGTCTGATGGCCGACGGGACCGCCGAGTGTAGACGTCCGCAAAAAGTTCACAGGTTCCGACGGAGCTTCAGCGGGCGAAGGCCGTCCGTCGGATTCTTTAGTGGGCGGTGGCACGGGTGACGAGGTCGCTGTAGAAGCGGCACGAAGGCGGCGTAGGCACACAGGTCCGCCACGAAGATGCCGCAGCGTCGCTACGTCCTCAGCCTCCTCGGCCTTGGTCAGCAAAGGCGTAGCTTGGGCATGGAACAAAGCATCGACCAACGCATCGTGCATCGCAACGTGTACCACAGACTCGTCCGCATCGACATTCGGTAGGACGGACTCCAAGTCGGTCAGCGTTTCAAGAGGACGACGTTGTACAGGCGCAGGCGTGGATCCACGATCCACCTTAGCCTTGGGAAGAAGCTCCGTCACGTCCTTCTCAATTCTGTCGAGCTCCGCAAGCTTGTCGGAGACCAACGTACTGATATTGTCCACAGACCGGTATATTGAGTCCAGGGATGGCACACGCATGGCGGGTCGTCCTTGCTTCGCATGTGCGGTGGACGTCTGCACATCACGTAAGTACTCCTCCAACTCCTGCATTCGCTCCCGAATCAAATGCGTCGTACGGCGCAGGCGCCACTGGTTCTCTGTATGCTCAGGGCCCAAGTGTCGCACACGCACCAGCTTAGCAAATTCAGGATCTTGTCGCGCACGTAGGAATCGTGCAGCCTCGTCGCGCTTCACGTCCACCTTGAGTTGGGTACTGTCCATGTCCGATACACGCTGCTGCGTCGCGCTGACACTCGACTCGGCCGTATGCAGATCGTCATCCAACGTCCCTGTGATCTTGGCTAGCGATGGCATATCGCCAAAGACCCATGCCTCCATCTTGGCCAAGTCTTTGATTTCTTTGGGATGCGTGGATGGCTGCGATAGCGCTTCAAAGAACTTGGAGCTCGCTTGCGCCTGGTCTTTGAGTGTTTTCAGCTCCTCTGTCAGCATCATATAAATCTTCGCAAACTCGGTTTGCAAGGCATGCTCTTCTTGCGGGACAGAGGGCGTAGGAACATGGCTCAAGTCAATCTCGGGCACCGTGGCCGAAAGAGCAACGCCGGCCTTACCTGCTGTAGGCTCGAGCGTTGGCGCTGCGCGGGTATCCGACGTTATGCCCTTGTCGCTCGTCAGCGTCTGTCCAGCTTTGGCCGAGGCAAACGCGGATGAGGATGCTGTGCTCTCCGTCGGCTTGGCAAATGAGAACGCACTCGAGGCGGTAGCGCCACTTGGCGTAGCAAAAGCAAAAGCAGGTGCAGGGGTACTGCTACTAGGCTTGGCCAATGAAAAGGCACTCGCTGGCTTCGTTTCGCTTGCTGTGTCCGAGTGGGCCTTCGTCTCGTTTGCCTTCGCTGCCGAGGCGAAAGAGAACGTTGGCGTAGAGGCCACCTTAGAACTTGACTCTTTTTCGTTTTCTTTCTTTCCTGGCAGAGCTTCTACACTACCGGCAGACTTTGGTAGCGCAAGGGGCGACACAGCACTCGCTTTCTCGTTAGACTCAGTCTTGGCTTTGTCGTTGAGCGGCGTAGCCAGCGCGGAAGAAGGCGCGACATCGGTCTTTGCTTCTGCGGGCTGGGTGAACGAGAAGCTAGGCTTTGATGCAGTGCTGTCACTTGCTGGTTTGGCCTCCTTCTCTTCGGACGACCTGGCAAAGGAGAATTTCGGCTCGTCCTTTTTGCCATCGGACGAGGCCGTCTCCTTCTCTTTCGAAGAAGGGATGTCTTTGTTCGCATCCGAAGGTTGGGAGAATGAAAAGGATGGCGTAGCGTCTGCCCTTCCTTCCGTAGGCTTGGCAAACGAGAACGTAGACTTCGTCTCTTTCTTCTCTTCCGACGGTTTGGCAAAAGAAAAGGACGGCTTTGTTTCGACGTTCTTGTCCGACACGGTAGTCTCTTTCCTCTCTTCGGAAGGTTTGGCGAATGAGAAAGCCAGTTGAGTATCGGCCTTTGCTGCTGACGGCTTGGCAAACGAAAAGCTAGGTTTCTCTTCCTTCTCTGCCTCAGGCTTAGCGAACGAGAACGAAGGTCTCGGATCTTTCTTGTCCTCTGTCCCTGCCAAAGAAGAAGTCGGTTTGGCATCCTTCTCGTCTGAGGGCTTGGCAAAGGAGAACGATGGCTTCGTCCCCTTCTCTTCTGTTGCCTTGGCAAAGGAGAAAGTTGGCTTAGTCTCTGTCTTCTGATCGGAGGGCCTTGCTTCTTTCTTGTCGTCTAGCGGTGCAGCCGCCTTCTCTTCTGAAGGTTTCGCGAACGAGAAGGCAGGATTTGTTTCTGTCTTCTCTGCCGGCTTAGCAAACGAGAAGTAAGGCTGAGTGTCAGGCTTCTCATCAGTCGGTTTAGGCACGGAGAATGAAGGCTTAGCGTCCTTCTTTTCTTCCGACGGCTTGGCAAACGAGAACGTGGGCTTCGTTTCCTTTTCTACCGTAGGCTTGGCAAACGAGAAAGACGGTGTTGTGTCCGTTTTTTCAGAGACCTTCGCGAATGAAAAGGCCGGCTTCGTGTCCTTCTCCTTTTCTGCTGTAGCACTGGAGAGCTGCTTCGTGTCCTTCTCTTCGGACGACTTAGCTTGGTCCGCCCACTTTGCCGACTCCGCTGGCTTGGAGAATGAGAATGTCGGCTTCGATGCGGTATCCTCGCTAGCTGACTTAGCGAATGAGAAAGCCGGCTTCTCCGTTGTCACCTTGTCCTGTTTAGGACTAGATAGTGGTGTCGTACTATCCTGTTTCGACGATGCAAAGGCATTGCTCAATGACTTTGTTTCTGTCTCTTTTGGTTCGTCTTTGGCCATGCTTTCTGCTGGTGTCGCAGACGGCTGGGAGAACGAAAAAGCAGGTATGTCGCCACTAGGCTTCGCAAATGAAAAGCCTGAGCCTGTCAAGGTCGTTAGTGCAGCCTTTCCACTTTTCTCATCGGGGGAGGAGGCAGACACGTTGCTTGCAGCAGCCACATCTATCGCTGGCGTAGAGGCATCAACGTCGTTCGATCCCGTTGAAACCTTGGCCTTCGCGCCGTCCTGGCCCTTTTCATCCGACGGGGCACCCACCTCATCCTGGTGTCCCTGCTTCGATTCAGATTCAGGTTTTGATGGCGGCATATCAGGGGACGCACTGGGGGTATGTTTGGTGTCTTTGCTCGTACTTGTATCGGTGGCCATATGGTCTGTCGACATGGATTCACCTTCCGCTGACGTTATGGACGTATCCTTGGCTGCCACACTTTGACCAAAGGAAAGCGATGTCTGCGGTTTCGAAGGCGTCTGTCCAAACCCAAATGTCGCTGCACTTTCTTTAGGCTTGGAGAGCATAGCGTCCAACGACCCAAACGAGAAGGTCCCTGCGCTAGTGTTATCCTCTTGCGCCATATCGTCGTCCGGAGTTGCCGTCGATTTGGGCGCTGGCGTTGCACCGCCAAACACAGGTTTGGACGTGCTGCCAAAACTTCCGCCTGAGCCAAACACCGAGGAAGAAGCGCCTTGACTCGCTGTCCCAAACGCGCTAGGTTTCGATGACATGGCAGAAAAGGCAGATGTACCTGACTGCCCAAAGGCCGACGTGGTGCTGGCTTGGCCGAAGGCCGATGGGGTGTTAGGCTTCCCAAAAGCGGATGTTTGACCAAATGCGGGCTTCGGCGCAGCAGCTCCGCCAAATGCCGATGTAGCACCGCTAAACGTCCCGAATGCGGAGCTTGTAGAGGGCGTGCTACCGAAGGCGGAGGTCGAGCCAAACGCTGGCTTGGATACAGTGCCAAAGGCGGAGGTCGAGCCAAAGGCTGGCGTCGATGTCGCTCCAAACGAGGGTGTCATGGACGCACCAAAGGCTGGCGTCGATGTCGATCCAAACGAGGGTGTCGTGGACGCACCAAAGGCTGGCGTTGAAGGCGCCTGCGATGGAGTGTCCTTCTTCGCAGGCGCAGTAGAGGCCGTCCCAGGCGTAATCATACCGGGGTAAGCTGCTGTTGCGTCTGTGTAAATGACATGGTAGGCCAAAAGGACTCCGTCGCTAGTATACACGTAAAGAATTGGCATCGCGGGCAACGTCGCTGCGGGATCTTCGCCTTTGGAGGCTGCATTGGGGTCTGGCACAGGATCCGAGGCGGTAAGATCCATGGCCATACCAATAGGCGATGTATCGGACGACTCATCCACCGAGGAAAAAGGCAACACAGGTCGAGACGTTTCTTCCAGCTCCAAAGCCTGCCATGCTTGGGGACCTGAGCCTTCTTGACATGCCATGACACCTACATCCGTGCTCGCCGTATTTGTCATAAACACAAAGTGCTTCATCGGTGCCCACATTCGTAGTGCGGCAACGTAGCGATGTCCCAACCGACTCGTATCGCCAAACGGCGGTGCTACGTCGTACGGGAAGGCGCCGTACGTTAGTGTGTTGGCCTTCGCATCACGAAGCAGAACAAATACATCTGTGTCGTGCACAGGCTCTGCTGATGTCGGCACCGAATTGTACGTAAGGAGGAACACATGATTTTCCAGCCATTGCACATCGTCCACGTATACAGACCGATCATACTCCGGCGCGCAGGGGAGTGTGGCTTTCACGCTCCCGTCCGGAGTCATCTGCACCAGTTCACCTGCGAGAGTACCAAGCACCAACTGCTTGCCACGCGTCGACCAGGCGGCTGACGTCACCGCTTCCGTGGGTAGGGTAGCGACCCACGTTCCCTGAGCCATATCGAGAAGATATGCTGTGCCTTGCGGCGTAGGCGACGCTGTTGTATCATACAGGGCTAAGCAGAGATTCGCATGATCGTCCGGGTTGGGCAGCAAAGCTCGGAGGCACGTCGCACTAGACGGCGGCTCGATTACGCAAGGCGCACCGAAGCCCGTGCTTAGCCCTTTGGTGGGCCAGATGACAATTTTGCCATTGCTCAGCGATGCCATCAAGTGCTCTTCATCACTGGAGAGCTTCACGAACTGGATCGGAGCGCCTAGAGAAGGCTCTGTGGTGGTATGGCACGTATGCATGGGCACCGCCGTAGGCGTCGTATTTCGTTCCGCGTCTATGAACGTCGCACGCAACGCCCGTACATCAAAGAGAGAGAGTCCTGGAATGTTACTCCATGAAGCTACACGTACCTTGATGCGTCGCTGCCACGGCCCAGCCATGTCGCGGCGCCACACCAAACGCATCCACAATCTGCTGCGACTGATCGCCGAAGGGATCGGACAGTCGCACAGTCACATCTTTCGCGAGTTGCCGAAGTGCGAGGAACTGAGGATTAGCTACGCGATCCAACATACCGGTGCAAGCGCCTCGCCTGCTTCTGCACGCGAGACTGCCATCCGTCTGCACGCACGTTGACGGTGTGCTTTGGTTCCACGCCGCGCTTTCGCTCGCGCTTGCTGTCAGGTAGACCAGCGCGCGCGTGACTCGCACGTGGAGGTCGTGCAGACCCAACCAGGCCCCTCCATCCAGCCAACTGCTCACGTAGCCTATACAACAGAGTCTATGAGTCTACTACTCCAATTCTTGCAGCGTGGTCGGTCGCATACGCAGCCATTGCATACGTGGCCCATTTACTGCGAAGGGGCTGACCTTGAATCCATAAATGCGTGGTGTATATATGCCAGAATGCGGCACTTTCCGACCCAGTCGCGAATAGGTCAACGTCTGTGGCTTGGGCGACGAGGGCGCCGTGCTAGTTTCATCCATAGGCGAGACCGTCTTTTTTATTTCGCCCTTAGGGGCTTCAACCCCATGTTCTTCATGTTCTAGCACAGGTAGCGGCGCAAGAATCGACGGCGCAAGGTCACGGTAGCACTGCAGAAGAAGGTGAGGGAATGTTGTGCCGAAAAAGGCGCCGTCAATGCCATGGAAGCGGCTACTAGGTGGTGTATAGGTATCCAAACAGTTGGGGCAAAACAGTTTCACAGTATCTAGGCCCGGCAAGTCCGACCGGCCACATGGAAGCGTGAACTGCGAGTTGCAATACACGCGAGGGCACATGCCAAAGTGTCCACTCTCAAACTTTTCCACCATCTGTTGCATGCCCTGCCGTGTGATAATGTATCGCTGGTGAATTAGGCCATACAGCAACTCTGCAGACGATTCAACAATGGATATATCAGGGATTTTTAGTGAGTCCTCTGCAAGGTAAGCTAGCCAGTGGTATGGCACGTACGTGGCTCAATGTCAAGAATCATTTCTAACGCTTCCTTGTAGAAGGGGACCAGGAAGTTGAGGCCCGTCAGGTTGAAATCATCGTCAATGAAATCCTCGGCTACCTCCGCAAAGTACTGATGCCCAGCCAATGAGCAAAACCATGAGATCCATGTGAGACCTTCTGTACCACTCTCCGACGGCGTTTCAGACTCTAGGATGTAAGTCACACGAGCACCTACGTACCATACAGCTCTTCTTCGCCCACCTCACTAAGAGTTTCTTCCTTATTCATATCATCCAGCTTTTCAGCACTAGCCCCTTTCTCGACAGCGGACGCACCCGCCTCCGAGGCATTCGTCGTCATTACAGAAAAATGGGTGGATGGTGGAGCGAGGTGCTATCACGTCGTCTGCTTTGAGGGACGTGCACTCGGCCGAACTTACCTCCACATGTAGGGGGCCTGTCGTGCTTGGCCAGAGAGCCACAGTCGTGATGACATACGTTAGCATTCTTACTGTACAATCTACATAGGTATGTGTAGATGCCTAGACCGTGTGATTCATCAGAGTCGAAGAAGCTTCTGTCGAAGTAGCTGGCTTTGCCTCCGAACTTGGTTTCGGCGCTGACGTCATGGGGGGGCCAAGCGCCATGGGCGTAGGCACATCCGTCATATCTACCGCACGCGACAATGGCGATTTGACATGCAAACTTCGCAGAGGGAAAGCGCCACGGGGGCTCATATTACGCTGAAACGGACTAAAAGCATGCTGGGGCGATGTCGGTTGCGATCTTTGTGGACTGCTTGACCCGGGTGTGCTTGGCAAGCGAGGGGGAGCCATAGGCGAGCCACCAAAAGTGCCAAGTCCTGTTCTCGGGCTGGGCAAAGAGACAGGGGCAGGCACCATGGGTGAGGCAGAAGCCGCAGCACTTGTCATCCCCAACTGATACATTCTGTTGGTAGTGGGCCCCGACCCATCCGTCTCTTTCATAGGGTGAAAAGGAGGCACGTCGTCCGACTCCTTCAGCGTATTGCCTTGACGCGCCTGAGGCACAGGCAATGGCTGGCCTAGAGGTACCACAGCAGGTTTCTGATCGTCATCGCACGAGCGACACTGGAAATCAACAGAGTTCCATGAACGTGGCGTCCTGCCCTCTTGGCGGTCGAGAGCATCCCAACAGCCTGTATGTTGCCAAATACCACACTTCTCGCACGCCACTACATCCTGAGATTCAGGTGGGTCAATGACATCCGCTCGGCAAACTTCACAGCGAAGATGCCACGACTCTGTAGGCTCCGATGGCTCCTGACTTTGGCGACGCTTCGCTTCTTCTCGTTCTTGAATGAGCCTCTCACGAGCTAGCAAACGTTCACCTCGGCTCATCACCCGGACTTCACGCTCTTTCCGAGCTTGCTCTTCTGCAAGTGCCCGTGCCCCACGTTCCCTTTCTGCCTTGAGTGCAGCCGCAGCGCGCGCACGTTGTTCGCGTATTTCAGCCTCTTCCTTCTCGCGTTGTTCGCGTTCACTATCACGCATAGCAATACGACTGCTTCGCTTGCGGTTGGACATGGCAATTTCCAGCGCAGCTTTTTTCTCCTCGGCCTGGATCACTTCCAGGACCTTCGGCAGGACCTCCTTTGTGATATATTTGTAAAGCTGCCTCTCGTCAGGGTGCTTGGACGCTGCGAACTTGGCACTGAAGGCCTCCCATTCTGGCTTGGTGACACAAATAGTCTCAAATTCAAGCCACGAGGAGGAGGCGTCCGTATCCTCGTCAGGTGGTAGTGACAGATCCGAATCAGAATCAAACAGGTCTTTTTCTGACGTCTCTTTCTTTGGAGGTGGCAGGATATCAGCCGGCACCGCCTCCCATCCCTCATTGTCTACCCCACGATTCAAACGTGAAGACCTTCGGCCAGCAGGTCGAGGAGGCGGCAAGGCTGGCTTTGCAATCTTCCGCTTCTTTGGCGGTGGCGCTGCCTTGGTACGTTTTGGCACACGTTTTGGCGGTACGCGTTGAATCCATAGACGGTTGTCGTCAAAGAGCCAATATGTGTTTCCATTCCGATCCCAGCCAGCAGGATCCACACGCTGCTATTAGATATAATCATGGCACATACCCAGCTCACAGCATCATCTTCGGAAGTAAGCTTGCGACGAAGGCGCTCAGGATCCTCCATTTGCCACTCACAGAGCTCATGCAAACACAAAAGCTACTGAGTGAGACTCCAATAGTGAACATACCTTATCTTGAATGTCGAGATCATCCCATGGTATAGGCTCATCTACCGTGCCTAACGGAGCTTGTTGCCCAGGCTTGGCGCGTAGATTCCACTGATAACGAAGCGAATCATCCCATGTCGTTTCGCTGGGACGTGAGTCGGAAACATGTACGTACGTAATAGACTTATCCTGGGTCAGAAACCGGAGAAGTAGTGCAAAAAGCCAGGATAAATAGCTCGTCTGGTTTAGCTTGAAGGCAGCTTCCAAGCGCTTTAATGTTAGTCTCAAGGATAGTACAACATACTTGGGTTTGAAACCCTCCAAGCTCAAGTGCCTCTTCAAAAGTGAACAGAAACTGACAAATAGCAGCAAATCTCCAATTTTGGCGAAGAGCGGAGACGATATCTCCTTGCAGTGCTGCTACTGCCATTATGCGTCGCGTATAGAAACACTTGCTAAGTTTCCGTAGGAGCATCGCGCGCCTAAAATGTCCCTCTCACGTGATAAGATTGTGGAGATCTGACGCGCCTCCAGAAAATTACCGTGCATGCTCTCTTTAGTTGTCTCGTTAGCGGCTCCAGTGCGCAGACTGTCAAGCAATTTTCTCTTTTCGGCAGCAACTTAATATATTATTATAAGTGAATAGACTAAGTTTATTTGCCATGTTAATATATTCTATTTTCATCTAGGTTATGAATCGCTGTTTCACTACATACTAGACATATTAGCATGGTACTAGTATGGCTTAACTGCCATATTCAAACAGGTAGTATATAGTATATGCTATCATTACATCTCATTAAAATTACAATAGTGTTTGTGAAATGGCCATATGCTACACTGGTAGCTACTTTCTTGCAGTATTCGATTTCCAGCATGCATTTCTTTTTCTCAGAGGAAGAAACGCCACTTATATCTTGCTACGCAACAGCGGTAGGTACGCGGCAACATGACGGCTCGGACAATAAGAATCGCCTCATGGCTCCTTCATTCCGAGCGCTTTTTTTGGAATCATAGTTGGTTCGTGCGTTCGGCCGAAGTAGACCCCCCGCACCTGTGCCTTAAGAAATTGTATGGCTGTGCATTGCGCCTTTACATTCTTTGTTGCCGTTATCCTAGCTCAGCCATGAGCTCTTCATCAGACAGAATGCACCGTGTTCAGGTCAACGTATCCTCCCAGATATTCTGGATAGATCCGGCTTACCGTATTACCAAATCTTTGGGCCAAGGTGCCTACGGGTGCGTTACATCTGCTGTGCATGTGGCTTCAGGAGAAAGCGTGGCTATCAAGAAGGTATCAAATGTCTTTGCCAAGAGCATTCTTACCAAACGAGCACTTCGTGAAATAAAGTACGTATACATTACCTAACTCATTATAGGCTACTTCGTCACTTTCGTGGGCATAAGAACATTACTTGTCTCTACGACCTTGACATTACCAACCCATCCGATTTCAATGAAATCTACCTGTATGAAGAGCTTATGGAAGCCGACCTACATGCCATTGTACGTTACTACTGCACTTATATCAGATCCGATCAGGTCAGCCGCTTAGCGATGCACACTTCCAAAGTTTTATTTACCAGACATTATGTGGCCTGAAGTATATTCACAGCGCTAACGTGCTACATCGTGATCTGAAGCCCGGAAACCTGCTCGTTAATGCAGACTGTGAGCTGAAAATATGTGATTTTGGCCTCTCTCGAGGATTTGATCCTGATCAGAATACCGTTTTCCCTGGAAAACAAGAGTTTATGACGGAGTATGTTGCCACTCGCTGGTATAGGGCTCCAGAGATCATGTTATCCCACCAAAACTATACGTCGGCCATAGATCTATGGTCCGTTGGATGCATCTTGGCTGAGCTGCTTGGCCGCAAGCCACTCTTTAAAGGGCGCGATTATGTGGATCAACTCAACCAAATCATCCATTATCTCGGTACGCCATCGAACGGTATGCTGGCGCGCATTGCGAGTCCACGTGCTCAGCAATACATCAAATCGCTGCCTTTCAAACCTCAAATTCCGTTTGAGCAGATCTTCCCAGAGGCCAACCCACAAGCCTTGGATCTACTACGCAGACTGCTTGCGTTTGATCCCTCGGAGCGCATTACATGTGAAGAAGCGTTAATACATCCATACCTCTCTGTCTGGCATGATCCTGAGGATGAGCCTGTGTGTTCTCATAAATTTGACTTCTCTTTCGAGAGTGTCGATGATATGGAAGGCATGAAGAAACTGATTTTCAACGAAGTTGTTAGCTTCAGACGCGAGGTCCGGATTCAGGCTCAGCAAAGACAGGCAATGATGGAACAGAGCGGCTATCAACAGTACCAACAACATTCAAATTCCGTTGGAGTACCAGCGCAACAACCGTATGTATTGCTCGTGACTGACCCCAGTGCCCCTACATCTGTCCCCTTTTCCCAGGAAAAGCTTGTTAATGGAGCAGCTCCACCCAATATCCAATACCAAGGTCATTCCACTCAACAATATACAGACCGCCAAGTACTCTCTGAGAAAGACGCTATGGAAGCCCCTCATGGTATGTCTATTACATGCTCACAACAGAATCCCTTAATCGACAACTCCGTGAATATGGCGCATAAATGTACATTCGAATAGTTGTCTGCTTTGTCTATCTCGTAAACACTCAACCACTTGGTTTGACAAAGTCTTTGCTTAGGTCCACGCCCTTCAAATGTGTGTTTTGTAATTTGAATTTGCGTGGCGCAGCCCCGCGTTTGCCCTTCTTGCCCTTCGGCGCCGGGCCGGAAGATGGCACAGATTTGGCTGTACTTTCGACCATCTTGGTGGCACTCAAACCCTCTGTAATGTCAGTCAAAGACTTAAAGACATACCATTCTCAAGATCGCTAGCCAGATCCACCACATTAGGCACAGTGAGTCCACGCCATAGTTCTTTAAATTCTTTTGTTAAAATGCAAAGACATACCTTCATCAATAGGCTTGACTATTTCACCCTGGATGGGATTCCAAAATACATGCTTAATAGCCCCATCTCGCTTCCCGCGAAGAACCAAGACCTGTCGGTTTTCGATCGGCTGTTCATTCACAAGCTCTTCAATCGCCTCGCGCGCTTGTGGATATGACTCTCGCAGCTCTGCCACACGCATTCCAGCTGCTGAGGAGAGAGGTGTAAGAGCAGATGGATGATAATACTTCTGGCGTAGCAATGCAACAATATCTGCGGGGGAATGTATATCATAGTCAGGCTGTCATTAGCAAGATATACCTCATACCTTGTAGCTCCATAGGTCGGTTTTTTCATCATAAAGAACTTTGGGATGCTGCTTAAACCTTTGAAAGAGGCTACTGTTTCGATCCAATAGAGCATGAAGATTATGCACGAGGGCAAAATCTTCCATGCGGACAGGGTGTGTTGTGTTCTTCAGCATGAGACTGGAGATGTATACGCACCTTTAGTGCATCCACTGCTGCCACTAACTGTGTACTTTCATGTACACCCACACCTGTATTGGCAGGCTGACTGTATACTTCACCTTCCGCCAAGGCAAGATTCCTATACATCCGTCAGTGCGAAGGACTTCCACATACGTTGACATGGCCGGCGAGAGAACAGAGGGAGGCGATGTTCCACGTACCTCCACATGATAAATATGCAAGGTCCCAATTGGAACTACGAGTCTACGTCCCATGGCGTGTCAGATGGACTATAGGGTGTCACAGGCTGTCGGTATGGGATAGCATCCATAGACTCCCCTTCTATATTGGTAGAGTCCAAAGGAAGTACTATACCAAGCTCCCAGTTACTGATGGACTGTGTGGGTTGGTCTCTGCTACCCGATATTGTACCCCAAGCCGCGCGGGTGAAGTTATGGCTGCCGACATAGACCCATCCAACGGATGGGTCGTCCCATTGAGCCAGAATTGTTTTAGCATGCATCATCATATATCCTCGATGCGAAATAGGTTGGGCATACAAGTGATGCCAGTTCTTTTTTTTGAATTCAGACGCTCTCCCAAAAAAGCATCCGCCCCCCATCCGCCCCTCAATGCTTTGATGCTCGACCCAGGACTGCGTGGGAAATAAAATGTACATGTCTGGCCATCCTTGTAGTCCAGTGGCCTGGCTGAATTCCAGGGAGGCACTATCGCCTTGCCGCGGTGTAATAGGAAGTAGACCGACGGGATCATGACCTTGCGCAATGAGATAGAATTGTTCCAGCCAGCGCCTATCATAGGCCGCGAGTGACGATCCCTGGGCCTCAAGGTGCATGTGGCGAGAATAGGGAAGCGAAAAACGCCGTATCACTGAACCCAGCCTTGCAAGGCCAGCTTGTTCCATCTGAGCCCATCCTCGCGCAACAGGCGCCACAGGCCAGCTTGCCACCAAGTGTGCTGCAGCATAATCGAAATCATAATTGTGGAGAAGGGTGAATGCTGCATGATTGTTGGGCACAGTAAGGGAGTGCAGCACACGCTGTAACTGTACAAGAAAATCAGAACCGCTGCATGTAGGATTAGGTGCTTGCTTTTCAGCAAGTGGGTTCGAATTTGTAGGAAAATCTTGAACATACAACATCTGGTGTGAGTCTCAAGTGTACGTACGTTCTCATACCGCGACCAGTCCAGCTGTGTGAGATTGGCGGTCGACACAATGACTCGAAGATGAGTCGAATAATACAAAAGAAGAAGCTTCATATGCTGGAGAGCCCTGGGATGGGGCTTCTTGGGTATACACATTTCCCAATTCGGCATGGTATCGCTCGCATAAAACCCTGGTGATGGTACAGATGGATCTGTGCGAGAGTCGCCCCGGGGTGGATTTCCGATATACGTGACAGGTACATTGGCCGGGAAAAGCGACTCAATCCAGTCAATTTCGACATCATAGGAGGTGAGAAGCACGCGCTCGAGGCCGCATCGCTCCGTGGATGAAGCAGGCGCTATGGCTTGCGCGAGCGTAGAGCCTGCTTTGGATACGCGAGCATATCGATTGTAGGTGGCCTGAGTTAAGACACGGTAGAATACGAACCTTAAGAGCCCCCTTCCAGAAACGATCTTCTGGAGAGATAGGAATATAGCGCGGATGGATGGCATGCGCAGAAGCCTTGGCGCGAGGTGGCACTTCGTCGGGTGCTGTTGGAGACGTAGATCGCGCACGTTTCTGCGTATTGGTACGCCTTTCGCGTGCGGCTACACGCGCGAGACGCTCTTTTTCCAGCTGGGCGCGATCGGGTATCAAGGCCAACAGCGAGGTGGAAGATCCTGCACGTTCTGTGCTGGGATCTTCCGACGACATGCTGACGAAGAGAGAGATCGATCAGAGGCGATCGGGCCCTTTTAAATCGGCGCAAGGAACGTGTCATGTATATCTTCTATGGCAAGGGCACGAGACTAAGATGGACTTATACTAGGCGTACAGGGGGTAAACGAAGGACCTTGTCATCCCTGGGGGCCCAGGCAGGCTCATCGAAATGCTTGCGTGTCGCAAAAATTTCGTGTTCTGTGTGAGCGGAAAAGTTACATACCAAGCTTCCACATGCGTTCTCGCAGACCCAAGTTTTCCTCATACAAGTCTTCGTAGAGCTTACGATGCGAGTCCCAAGCGCCCTGAACTTCTTCCCGGGTTATTAGAACTTTATCCAGTTCATCCAAGCGCGCCTCCAGCTTGGCGATGCGCTCCAAGTACTGTGTAACCTATTCGTGTAAGAGTGGTCCGAAGGATTCAAACATACATTCAGTGCAGTGTGAGTAAGGTGCTCACTGCTGTGCAGTACTTCATTGGCAGCTTTTGTGTACTCTAGACGTATCCAGTACAAACCAATACCGGACGCAATGGTAAAGCCAGCGAGGAAGCCAAGGAGACCACTAGCCAAAGGACGCTTGGTATAAGAGGATATGCAAGATTCGTACATACCGATGGAACACGTCCATTATGCGCTACTCCAACAAGTCTAGGTGGAACCTGCGTAGAATAGGTGCGCATCAAAATGGGTGCTGACGCACGCATCTTGTGCAACAAAACAGACATCGTAGCGGGACAAAATGCGAATGCCGGCGCAGCACCTAGCTATGTGTGGAGGTGCCAAGCGTTGTCGAGGGTCTACAGGACTCTACTCCCTATCAGGCCACCATGGCTTAGCGCGGCAGCTCTTTGATATGTCCCATGTAGGTAATGCATGCAAAGAGGGGTATGGTGCATTAGCCAGTTCATTTTGTGATAAAGTAGTATGCGTCAAAGCCCAGTCCAGCACTTCCAATGTCCCATGTTGATCACCTAGCGCCATATAGGCTAGCAAAATCTGGTAGACAAGCGGTGGAGGCAATGTTTGGGCTTCTTCAGCATGGTTATCCAGCTCCTTGGTACAGACTGTTATATTGGTGAGAGCTTGATACTTTTTCATGCCAGTCCAGGTCCGCGCAGAGAAGATCTGCTTCACTAGTTTGTCCAGCAAAGTTGACCAAGCTGTGGTCATTTGCACCATTGCATTCGTGTCTTTGTGGAGAGAGCGGCCGTATTTGGCCACATGATATAGCAAAAACCGTGTCGTTGGCATATCGATGCATTGCCACTGCTGGGCCACGTGGACATAAAGCTCCATGGCGGCCTTCAAATGAATCGGAGAGAAGGCGCCTTTGTCCTTCGCATTGGGTTCCGACGCTGCCTTGAGAGATACACCACGAACAGCACTGCGAATGGCCCACCAAACGAAATCAGGCGGTGGGCTGTAGCCGTCTCGCATCATTCGAAGAATGCGAGATACGTAGGCACGTGGCGACATGTCCGAGCTGGACAAAAGGAGCTCAGGGGCAAAGAAGGTGAGAGGCGACACGAGATGCTTTTTCGACGCCATTTCATAGATATCGTCCAGCAGGTCCAAGCGCTGTGCGCGGAGAAAGCGTGACATCAAAACAGCATAAAGCTGCGGATGTGTATGCCACGTATCATCGAGATCTCGGAATAGAGCAAGTGCGTCGTTGGGTGCGACATCGGCTACGCCACGAAGCACAATGGCCATGGCCTTGGGGTCCAATGAATGACCCAATGTGATCAACGATTCCAGCGCAAAGTAAGCCACAGAGCAATCACCAATCATAAAGGACGTCTGCATCAACGCTGTATATGCCTGCCTTGATGGACTCGGCATAGCGTATAGACGAAGTAAAAAATCATCACGCACAGCTCGAGCAAACACGATGTCGCGCGGTGTTTGGGTTCGCGACGTATGCCCAAACAAGCGAACCAGTGCTATCATGGATGAAGGGGTATCAACCAGAGGTCCTTGCAGTGACTGGGGAGAGAGTGAAGACCGAATGGACACAGGTTGCACTTGCAAAGCACGCTGGACTTGGTCAAGAAAGCGCCGTGAAGCCGATACTACGGGTCGGTTGGCTGCAATTTCATGACAATGGGGTGTGCCTGGTGAATGAGACCATTGCATATATAGCAGCTTGGCAGGCTCAACAAGATTCAGATTACATAGGCAGATAAGCCAGGGACTGCGTAAAGCCCACGGAATGTTGTTTGCCAAGGGGTATAAGGGCGCATCGCCTAGGATCCACGCAGCCAGCTGGGTAGCCAAGGCACGATTGGACGTTGTCAGCAACCGAACCACCTCCAGCTGGAGATAGGAGGGAAGGGAGGTCACAAGGCTTATGCGGTCAGGCAATGGTGCATTTGCTTTTTCCATAGCTTGCATCCATGTTTGCACGAGTGTCGAGAGTGCAGAGGACTCTTGTAGATCATGGGCGGTGCGGCATAAGGTATGAAACACCACAGGTTTCATACAAGCTACCTCGTCTGGCGGCACGGCTTTGATAGTAGCCAGAGCAGATCGTAGCGCATTTTTCGTATGAAGTCCCGCGAGGTAAAGAACGTGTGATTGCAATAGTCCACGTAGAATAGCCAGACCTGGTGTGGAAGCAAAATGGGCGCCAGGTGCTACCATATGCGACGCCGTTTTAAGCTCCTGGCGAAGCTGACTGTATGCATCACGGAATCTTCTTGATCGATTTAAGCGGAGCCATGCTCGACAACACAAGGACCATATCGAAATGCGCTGTGCATGCACCTGCAAATCCAGTGCTCCCTCACGCAATTGACCCACAGCCATCCAGCCGCTGACATCGCGAGCCCATCTACGCCATGCAAACCCATCCGAGCGCGCTTGCTGCAATGTCTGTTCGCCCAAGCGATGGCCGTCGACTTGAGCTGTTTGTGAAACAAGATTCATCACAGTGTGAGGGTCCGCGTCGCCATATTGCATAGAGTACTCGATAACCTGCAATCCCTCTTCCAATAGAGGATAGTTGGCCACCTGGAACAAGTACTGAAATAAGGCCGGAATTAAGGTATGCTGGGAGCCCTGCTGCGATGGGAGGAGCAGGGCCATCCGCATGATATGTGCTGCGACGGGTGCAGGCAAGCATGATGGGCTGGCTACTTGCATCAACTCAGACGCAATGCGAACGACCATATCCGGAGAAAGGGGAAGTTGTTTGTCGAACGAGCTTGCCATGGTAAGCAGGGCTAGAAGAAGGCGCTGTTGCCGACTCGACCCTGGCGCAGCGGCACGGTGATGAAGCACATCGTCCACAATATTGGCCATCACACCGGCCAGGCCCGCACGTCCCGACTCGTATATAAGTGCTTCAAAAGAAGTAACAGGAAGTTCGTACAGTTCATAAGGTGAGGTACGCAGAGCCAAGTACGTGTCAGGCGTTGCTGGCAGGGCAACGTCGCTGGTCTTACGTTCAGCTGCGTTTGAAAGAGAACGCAGCAGAATAGTATGGCGTCCACGCACTATACTAGAAGTCAATAGAGGTGCTATGCTCCGGGAGCACCGCCATGGCCCTAAGGCGAGCACATGACGAAGCCACATGCTACGGTGAACAGAGCCTCACCGTCGAAGAAGATGGCGAACGACGACGACGACTGCTTCTTACCTCCACATCCAGGGCTGCGTCGTTATTGTTTTTTTCCACCACAACCACCATGGGACGCTCAGCGGTATGTACACGATAAGCTCACTCTAGAAATTCTATAAGAAATCAGTATGTGCAACTGACTCTAACCGAAAGACCTCAAAAAAGCGAAGCTCGACGTCAGAGCGTGTCAGTGGAAAGCAGGAGGTAGGAAAAAAGAGCAGCAGCGCCTTGCACCCCTCTGAAGCACAAGGACGAAGCGCTGCAGCGAATGCTGCCTCCACGGCTGCACCACGCAAAGGAGGTATGCGGGCCAAAGCGCGCCGGGTCGATGGCCCACTTCCTGCCGAGGCAGGAATCGACTACGTGGGGTTGTGGGAAGGCGCTTCAGACCGGTAAAACACGCATTCTTTCCATCTACGCAATTGATCGAGCCAAGACACAAGGCCCTGCTATGGCGCACATGTCTAGCAAGCCACCATTTATGGCGTCATGAGCTAGCCCAAAAAATGGCCATCGGTAGAAAGACCCATTCCTAGGCCTTGTATTCTACTAAATCGGTGACAGTGTAAATTAACCACACAAATTAGAGTTTCTTCGAGTTCTTGCTCAACGTCGTAATCACCACACCGGACGAGCGCTTGGCTTCCTTCGGAGTCTCTGCTGCCTTGGCCGCCGATTCGCTGGACATTGCGGCCACTGGAGGCGCAGCCGCCGCGGTACTAGATGCCACAGGTGCAGACGACGTAGTGGTAGTGCTCGCAGCCGACGGCTTGCGGTTCGGCTCGTTGGCGTCGACCAGGAGCACAGCCCGACCCTTCTGCATCACAGCAGGAGCTGCGCTGGACGTCGCTGGCTCAGGGGCCTTGGACGACGCCTTGAGGGGGTTGGCCGCGTCCTTGGTCTCCGCCGCAGGCTTCGAAGACGTCGAGGTCGGCATCGGCGATGCAGCCTTGTCCTGGGTCTTGGCGCCCTCACCTTCGACAATCAGGAAGCCATACTTCTTTGACATGTCCTGGTTGTCACTCTGCGGCTTTGACACCGACGAAGCGTCCTTCGAAGGCTGCGATGACGTTGGCGCTGACGTAGGCTTGGGCTGCGACGTAGCCGTCGTAGAAGCCTTGGCCGGCTCATTCTTCTGCGCCACAGAAGGCGTCGACGTCGAGGACGACATCTTCTGCTGGCCACCGCGCTGGTGCAGCATGTTCGAAATGCTGCGGCGGAGGTACGGCGGAAGACCCAGCGAGGCCACATTGGAGCGCGACTCGTTCGATGACGAGGCGCCGGTCGTCGGTATGGTGGAGCTCGGGATCTGGTTCGACAGGCGAAGGTACGAAGGCAGGTTCGACGACGACGACGACGACGACATGGACGTCGCTGTCTTTGTCTCCGTGGTCTTCTTTGTTTCCTCGGCCTTCTTCGCTTCAGCCTTGCGGGCCTCCTCCGCCTTGCGGGCCTCCTCCGCCTTGCGGGCCTCTTCAGCGCGACGAGCTTCCTCAGCCTTACGGGCCTCCTCCGCCTTCTTCGCCTCTTCGGAACGACGGGCTTCCTCAGCCTTGCGAGCCTCCTCTGCCTTCTTCGCCTCTTCAGCACGACGGGCTTCCTCAGCCTTGCGAGCCTCCTCCGCTTTCTTGGCCTCTTCCGCACGACGAGCCTCCTCGGCCTTACGAGCTTCCTCAGCACGCTTGGCTTCCTCAGCGCGACGAGCCTCCTCGACCTGGCGCGCCTTCTCTGCAGCACGACGAACCTCCTCGGCCTCCATACGGATCTTCTGCGCCTCCATGCGCGCTTCCTCAGCTTCCCTGCGTGCCTTCTGGGCCTCAAGGCGAGCAAGAAGAGCCTCCTGACGAGCAAGCTCAGCCTCCTTGTGGGCAAGCTGGGCCATGTTCAGCTCCTTGGCGCGCTGTGCATCGTCCGCCGTAGTACCCGTCACAGGCACAGCCGCCTTCTTCGAGGCCTCCGTCTCTGTCTTGGCCTGCTTGTCTTCCGTCTCAGCCTTCGACTCGGGCTTCTCCGAAAGCGCCGCCGCCGGCTTCTTCACGACATCCGAGTCGGACGCGACAAGCGTGTCGCGCGTAGGGCCCGTAGACAGGTAGTCAGGCAGCGTCGAGCCAGTGCGCATGCTCGAGAACGAAGCCATCGTCATCTCAGCAAACTGCGATGGGGACAGCGATTCCTTCTCGCTAGCGGCCACGCTGGACAAGGAGCGCATCGACTCGCCTGGAGGAATGTGGAAGGTGCGGACAGAGCCAGTGCTCCGCTCCTTGTCATACTGCGCAAGGTTGTAAAGCTGACGATGGCCGTGCTCCTGCGCCTTGGCATAGTTCAGCGAGACCACCGTCGGAGCAGCCACATCCGAGCTCTTGCCCCAAGGCACCGCCACGGACTGGTAGCGGCGCGTAGGCACCTCCGATACGATGTCCTTCGCTGGCGGCGTCGGCGGCACATCCTCCTCAATGAAAGCCGACTTTTCGCGCTGCGAAGCCGCAGCACGCTCCGCCGCCGTGAGGCGGTCAAGGCGCACCTGCTCACGGAGACGCTCCTCTTCCTCCTCCTCTTCGCGCTCACGCTCCAGACGGCGAGCCTCCTTGGCAGCCAGAGCCTCGGCATTCATGCGCTCACGACGCGAGCGAATTTCATGGATGCGAGCTGCCTCGGCACGGGCCGCCTCTGTGCGAGCCGCCTTCTCTGCAGCCGTGTAGTGGTCAAGCGAGTAGACAGAGCGAGCCTCCGCTGCGAACGCATCGGCTGGGTTGCCACCCGCGAACACCGAGTTCGGTGCATGCGGCACAGCGCCCAGCATCGACTCGGGCGAGATCTCTGCAAACTTCTGGTTAGGGCGGTACACATAAACGCCTTCCGACACGATGCGGCGCGAGCCGGTCACCGTGCGAATCTCACGCACGGACGGCTCGAGCTTGCTGCCCTTCTTTTTACGGCTCTTGGGCGGCTTGCCGACATTGGCCACGACCCGACGAGCCACCTGCTTCTCCGCAGATTCAGGCGGGATCTCACCGCCCAGACGACGCACAAAGTTGTTCATGCCGTTTTGGTGCGTCTCGTGATGGTCCTTCGACTCAGGGTCACGACCGAGATGACCGAGGTGGCTAAACAGTGCATGCTGGCCATCATGCGACTCAAGACCACTTGTCACCTTGTCAGTCTTCTTCTCGTGCTTTCCATGGTGCTGGTAGAGAGGGTTATGATGCTTCTCCAGCTTCGAGTGCTCGTGCTCCTGACCAAAGTGGCCGAGGTGCCCAAAGAGCGAAGGGTGCTGAGCCTCCTGAGATTCGTGGCCATGCTTCGAGCTGGCCGACTTCTTCTCCTGACGCTTCGTGCCCTCTTCATCCTTAGATCCCTTCTGGTGCAGCATCTGGGGCTGGATAAGCCCCTCAAGCGAATGAGAGTGCTTCCCCTTCGTCATGGTGTTGAGGTACCCAGCACCTCGCCCTAAACGGCTCTTCCCCGTTCATACCGAATCGGGGCAAACCCACGTGGCGGGTAAACAACACAAGCGCGCCTTCCTCTCCACCCACTCGCCCGTTGCGGAAAGTCGATTCTGCCTCCACACTACCCGGGTAGGCCCACCCATGACCTGTCAAATACGCGCTGCCTCCACACTTCAAATCGACACGATCGACGATCATGCGGTGGGACGACCTGCAGTGGGGAACCACCTTGCTCGTATGGATACTGGCATACTGCCAAGTAGGGCAGGCCATGCGTCCTAGTGTGGCATGGTATACCTCCCTGAGAAACCACGCAGGGCCGCGGCTTCTGCCTGATGAAGCACCCACACCCACACCTTCCAACGCGACGTACCAGCTGAACACGCTCGAGCAGCCTCTCGATCACTTTGGGTCATCGACACAGACGACCTTCCTCCAACATTATGCGTTATGGATGGACGATTTTCATGCAGGCAGTGCCCTACGAACCAAAACACCCGACGGTCGAGAAATCGTGCCTGTGTTCGTACACGATACGGGCGAATCGACACTTGCTCAAGAAGCGCAGCACTACAATTCTACCATCCTCAAGACCCTGGCCAGCAAAACAGGTGGCATTGGGATCTTTCTAGAGCATCGCTATTATGGCCAGTCGCAGCCTCGGTTGTCAGACCTAGGCAATGCCACGACGTGGGGTGTGGACCAGCTACAATGGCTTAACCTCGAACAATCGTTGGAAGACTCTGTGCAATTTTTGCAAAAGGTTCAGCTGCCTGACCTACCACCGAATGCTGACGTCCGTTTTCTGTATCATGGCGGCTCGTACGCGGGTGGTCGCGCGGCGTTTCTACGTACTAGGCACCCAGACCTCGTCTTTGGCGCCATTAGTACGTCGGGCGTGGTTGCACCAACGGTGGAACTGCCAAACTACTATTACTCTATTGTGGAAAATTCTGATCCTATCTGCATGCAAAATCTCCAAGCAGCCATCGGTGAAATCGATCAAGTTATCACACCGGATCCTAGGAAGGGCTCGAATCAAACGGATTTGGACACCGCCAAGGTGGCTGCTTTGCTGCACTTGTTTGGCTTGACTGATGATGTGGATTTGACCGACTTTGCGAACGCTCTTACGGCACCACTTAGTGCTTTCCAGATGCAGACATGGCAAGCTGACCGACCTGAATCACCATGGAATGTATTTTGTGATACGATGAAGAATGCCTCATTGGCCGGCATGATCAAAGCGGACTTTATGCAAGATTGGGTCACACTAGGAAATGTAAGTGATGGCCTCCTGAGCTACAGCGCGTATTTCCGTTCTGTGATGAATGGCGAATGCCAAGGGAAAGATCTGACAGCATGTGTACAAGCACGGCCAGATGAGTTCCGCGATGATCAGGGACAGCTCTCAGCCAACAAAGCGTGGTACTACCAGACATGCACGGAATACGGTCTGTTCCAGACGGCGCCGCCTATGCCAGACGTTACAGCCTCGCCACCCCACTTGTCCGGCCCGAAAATCGTATCGTCACGTTTAGATGTAAACTATTCACAACAACTTTGTCAACGTGGCTTTACACCTGGACAAAAGGCTACCATGCCACCTTATCCCAATGTAACCAAAGTGCTACAATACGGCAATGTCCACCTGGCCTACGACCGCCTAGCCTTTATCAACGCACAACGTGATCCATGGCTCCCAGTGACTGTGCACTCAAATGAGTATGCATTTGGCGGTGCACGCAATAGCACAACCATGCGTCCTTTCCTTTTCATCCCGGACTGCTGGCATACGTGTGATTGGATTATCAATACGGATCTGGCGAACGAGCCAGACAACGTCAAGAGTGTACAACAGACCGAGCTCCAATTTGTACAGGAATGGCTAAAAGCGTAGGAGCTTGGGTGCATCTCGTTCTCCTACTTGACAACATGCGTTTATCCCTAATTAAGCATGTGTGTGTTTTTGTATCATGTAGGCTTTTCTATGTACAGCTATGGGTACGACTCCCTAACCTAGCGACCGTGGGGTACTGCCTGCCTACGCAAGCGGAGGTGGAGAAAGGGCGGCAGGCAGGCAGGCGCGGCCAGCTGCAGAAAACCGATGCAGAAATGCGCAACAAATGGGGTATGTCAGAGGAACCGCCTATGTTCGCAGGCAAGCATGCAGAAGCCATTATGCGCGGCCAAACAACACGGCGGGCATGTGAACGAACGTTTTAGGGTTTCGGAGGATTGTATGTGCCTCAACTCACCCTGCTTCTCAGGACCACCATAATGCAAATTCGGTCGTGGTGTGCCGTAGGTGCTGCTATTTTGGCATCGTATGTGAATGCCCAAGTGAATCCAGCCGCCGCGTCCTTCGCCACTTCGCAGGGGGCTGATAGTACTGCCGGCATTGAGGGCGTTACGTCGCAAACGGGTGCAGCCACGCCTGCGCCTGCGTCGACCAGCGCCCCCGTGCCGTCGTCCTCCTCGGCGGCAGCGAACACGAGTAGCGCTGCCACGGCAACATCGGCGTCCCAGCCCGCTTCGGTTACTCAAGTGGCGGGTATTGGCAGCGTGGGCAGCACAGGCAATGAGAGCACAACAGCTGTGCCGTTGGTTACGACCATTGATTTGACCCAGAACTCGACATCGCAAGTGATGGCCCTTTCTCAGCCTCTGGACCACCTGTACAACAAGACACAGGCCACGTTTGCCCAGCGCTTTGCCGTGTTTACGGAGCCATACAGGAATGGTAACGGCAAACGCCAGAAGGATGCGAACAATGTGACGCACGTACCTGTGGTTCTCTACCAGCATGGCCCTGCGCCGATTGACGATGTGGTGCCATCCATCACCTCGACGGGTCTTTACGAGCTGTGGAACCAACTTGGCGCTGTGGGTATAGTGCTGGAGCACCGCTACTATGGTGCATCGCAGCCGAAGCTGGCCGACCTGAACTCCGCGACGACGTGGGGCCCTGATGAACTACAATACCTGGATGTAAACCAAGCGGTGGAAGATGTGGCGAACTTTATTCGTACGATGAAGCTTACCGGCATGACGAGCCAGACAGAGATCCGCTACATTCTCTATGGCAACTACTCGCTCGGCGGTACGGCGCTGTTTACACGTCTGAAGCACCCTGAACTGGTTTACGGCTCGCTGGGCAGCTCAGCAGCTTTGCTGGCCACAGTGGATATGCCAGAGTACTACTACGCGGTAGGCCGCTACGGCGAAACCAACTGTGTGCAGTCGCTCGAGGAGGCAATTACATACATTGACTCGTTCATCGCACCCAACCCAACGGCGGGCTCGGGTCAGTCGCAGCTGAACGATACTGCAGTGCAGGCGCTGAAGACGCTCTTTGGTGTGCAATCCTTGTCCAGCTTGAATGACTTTGCGCACTTGCTTACACTGCCGTTGCATAACTTTGCGCAGCAGGCGATGGGCGATGGCAACGCGACGGAGTGGACTAACATGTGCAATGCCATGCAGAACCAGTCGCTAGCGCAGACGGTGCGGACGAAGCAGGTCGGCGTGCTTTCAGCGCTGCCGCCGCCGCCGCCGTCAGTGCTGGGTCTGAGTGACTATGTGGTCCGCAGCCGTTTGATGGACAACTGTGATATGACCAAGACGAACAACACGCTGTGCTACGATACCAATGCTGGCCCTTGGCTCCAGGACCAGGGTGTGCTGCGTCAGGACCGCGCATGGCTCTTCCAGCAGTGCACGCAGTACGGTGGTTTCCTCACGGCTGGCCCAGTGCCCAGCTTTGCCACACAAACGCCTCAGCCTGGTGGCCCGCGTGTGGTGTCGCGTCGCTTGGACCACATGTACCTTTCGTCGCCATGCAGCAAGATCTTTAGTCAGGGCCAGGACTTTGCCATGCCGGTGAACCCGAATGTGGACGCCATCAACAGCTTTGGCAACGTGACGATCAATGCATTCCAGTTGGCGTTGGTCGACGCCCAAAAGGACCCCCGCCGCGTGTTTACCGGCCACTCGGACGAGTACGCCGGTGGTGGTGGTGCGCGTGTGAACACGCCGGACCAGCCCGCGATGGTCGTCCCGAACTGCTACGGCGCATGCGAGTTTGCGCCGTACAACAATGGCCGCAACGCCGGCCTGAAAAACCTCATCTCCAATGAGACTGACTTTATTACGTCGTGGATGCAAAAGTAACGGAATAGAATAGGTATGGATGCATTACAATAGTTGGTTGATTATGTACGCTTCAACGTGGTTTATGGTTTCGCTGTCACAGTGGCAGGCACAGCGCTCATGGTATGCGATGGTAGCTTAGCCGGTCCAGGGAGCGTCACAGGCTGCTTGGCAATTGTCCAGCGGTAAATCCAGCGGCCAGCCAAATCAAGCATCTGTGGTGTGACTGCATGCTGGATCCCAGGCTGCTCGTAAATCTCCAATGACTGCTGCGCCAACGTGTCGTTCTTCGAGCCGAGCACAAGGCCCCGTAACACCCGTGCAGAGAGGGACAGCGGCACGAACGGGTCGTCACCGCCCAAGCCCAAAAAGATGTGCTTGCCCCAGAACGGGTTTTCGGCGGGGTCCATGCTGTTGAACGGCTTCATCGAGGGATCCGTCACATTGACCAGCCGCTGGAACGATAGTGGTGCGGTCGGCGGCGCCACACTCATGTGGGCCGTCTGGGCGCGGTCCTGCATAATCATATTGTAGTCAGGCGAGCCGAGGAAAATGGCTGCGGTGTCGATACGTCGGTCCGCTGCTGGGTAAGAAAGAGGGCATGTACATACCAGCCAATGCATGCCATGCCGAGTGGCCACCCATAGACTCGCCACTGATAACCCAGCGCTCAATGCTACGCTCATCGTTCGGGAATAGATACACAGGAAGAAAGTCGATGATAAACGAGACCATATCGCGATTGTTTAGAATGTAGCCGTAATGGTCGATCCTGAAAAAAGTTAGTATTCAGCCATACGTACAGGAAAGTAGGGTTCTGTGGTAAGTCGAATCGACGTGCAGGATCCCGTGTACGTGCGCCATGATTCAGAGCGTCAAACGAAACAAGCAAGAAGTCCCGCAATGAGCCCGCAGGATCAGCGACCATGTGCTGCCGAGTACTAGCGTACAAGGACCGAACCAGGGGATCGGCAATGTCCGCAGACTCAAAACGGCCATGCATATATATGGCTACCGTCACTGGCGGCACGGTGCCATTCACAGGAGGCGCCAGATCTTCAAGACCGTAGACGCGCACTGGAAAACTCGCCAAGCTCACATTCTGGTACGTGACCGGCGGCGGCGGCGGCGCTGGGGATGACAAAGCTGTCTGTCCCTGTTGCACATAAGAGAATAGAGTCGCCAAGGCAAACCAGATCCAAGCGATCATGGCACGGTACAGTCAAAGGGTGGGTAAAAAAAACGATCGCTACGACTTATTAAATGAACTAGGGTTCGGACGGCTGACGTCGCTTTAACACTGAGCCAATCAACCAGGGAGCACGTGGGCCAACCACCTGCCGAGTTCACAGCGTGGAGCCTGGGCAAAAGAAAAAAACAAAACGCACGGGACACCCATCTCCCAGAGAATGAGTTAGTAGGCCAAGGCCCACTGAGCGAGCCAACGACCACCTTGATAGAGCACTAGAGGTAAGATAGAGTGTATACGTACTTTCACTCGTTACCTTGTGGCCCGTCTTGGGCTGCACAAACACTTGCAAGCTGCGACGCGCGTCATCCGTGTGAGGCGGTGCTACCACGACCGACTGCAAGAACTCTTCCGAATACGACCAACGCACAAGGTTATCATCCTGGCCCGAGCAAGCGCAAATCTTCTTGCCAAAGAATGGATTCTGTGGGCTAGGCTCCCGATACGGCTGCATCGCGGGATCAATGCGGCGCATGAGGCTGCGCAAAGAGAAGGGGACCTGTGGCGGCCCATCCGTCAGATGCGACGTTTTCGCACGGTGGGCTATCAATTTCTGGAAGTCCGGGGTGCCGATAAATGAGACGCCAATGCGGATCCGTGGATCATGCGCTAGTACCTGCCACACGGCGTGACCGCCTAGTGACTTGCCTGTCACGGCGACCATCGACACCAAACGCTCATCATTCGGGAACAGATACGGAGGCAGCATCTCTGCGAGGAACGAGGCATCTGTCGCTGTGCCGTGAATCATACCATACATGTCGATCCTGGTGGTCAGTGTCTCTATACATACCCATGCGTTGGGTTGCCCTCTTTCCAGGACTTCTGGCCCCGTGGGTTCGTCTTCCGCTCACCATGGTTGCGCTGATCAAACGTCACCAGCAAAAAGTCACGCACTCGATGCGAAGACGGCAGCGCGGCTCGAGCGCTCATCGTACTGCGCCACAACTCACGCGCTAGGTCATCTTCGCGTTTGGCTGAGCCAGTACGTCCATGCATATGGATCGCAATGCACACCTCAGGGCATCCTTTCTCCGTCGGAGGGGAAAGCTGTGATAGGCCATACACAAACACAGGCAAACCAGCGATGTCAAAAGTATCGCGGCTAGGCTCATGCACATGCTTGGCCTTTCCTTCCGGTACAGGCACAAAGATCGGTTCCGCTGACATGGGGGATTGCGAGGGTGAGGACTGCAAGATCGATGGCGGCGCTGCCCCCGTACCGCCACCTACAGGCTGTGGGCCAGGCTGACCTGTGCCAGGTTGATCCTGATGAAATACATGCTGCACTTGGTCCGGTGCCTTTTTCTCGATATTCAATAGTTTCTTCCACATGAGTCCACACACAATGTTGGCGAAAGGAGGAGAGGAGCGTGGGTGGGATCTACTCAGGGTCTTTCTAAATAATCTCTGGCCGCACGCATGCACGCAGTCCATGTAAGGCACCGAACGCAAAGCACGCGCGCCTCCACTTGGAAGGTGCCTCCACATACAGGAGGGTACCCTCAACTGAAAAATGGCTGTCGTGCTACGAACGTTTGCCTTCCGTCACGATCGATGGCGAAGCGTGTGGCAGAGGCCAATGAAGTACCTCTTTCTGTGCAGGAAGGTAAACGCCTACGGCGTTCATCCCCTGTAGGTATCACACCAGCCAATGCGATCCCACCACAATGGGATGTAGATGAGATTGTTGCTGCGCGCAAAGCAGAGATTCTTGCACTGCATCGCGCCATGAAACAGGCTCGCTCGGCGACGAACACACGTGCATGGCAACTACTACCTCGCCATTTGCGCCGTCGTGCAGCATCACACAATGTCCTACGACTACCTCGCCGTTTGCGGGCCAAAGCACGTGCAGAACTGCGTGCCTCAAACACAGATGCCAAGACACGCAGTGCTATGCGCAAGCGGGATCCTGAGCGTACACTACGTGGCTACATACGACGTCGAGCAGCACTTCAAGCACGAGCAGCACGGCCCGGCCGCCGCTGGCTTGAGACACACTTGTGGCATGCCAAGCGATTTCGCATGACGGGCGATAAAGGCAAAGGTATCTCGGATGGCGGCGAAGGACGTTGGGGGTTCTGCTTGGCTGAGACTCCGCATCAAAAAAGTGAGCGTACTTTGTGGCGCAAAACTTCCTATGCCCTAGTCCATGATCACAGTTACACCTCGATCGTGCGTATAACTGCGACAGCCCATCGTGTAAGTGACGCGACCAGTCGACTTCAGCTCTTCCTTTATTTGGCTGGCATCGAGAAGGGATGGCAACCAGACTGGACGACTGGGGCTCAACGTTGTGACACTGTCCTACTAGATCGCCCACGCCGTGGTGAGAAGAAAACACGGACTCGGGCCACCACGCCATTCCTCGCAGCCATAGCGCCAGTCCAAGTCTGGTGGACACCCCACGACCAACGTCATCCACGGCGGGACGTTCATGTATTTGTACACCCGGCTGCGGTTGTTGATGTGAAGCAGGCGTTGGCCCATGCCCTCGACGCACTCCCACTGGCTTCGGCGCATACATGGCCCATCGCTCAGCGTTGGACAAAGCACGTGAACATTCAGGCCCAGGTATTGGAAAGCGCCCCCCCTCCCTCTTTAGCCGCTGGCATGCTGCATAGCGATCAGCATACACGTGCACCACGGACGCTACTAGAAATGCAAGACGTGCCTCGCCATGCTGGATGGAACGTCTTCGAGGTCCTAGGTGATCGTGCTGCCCACATTCTCGGTGGTGTGCTTCATGTCGCACCGCAGGCACAGGCTCATCAGGCTGAGATGCTACGGCGTGTACTCTATCAGGATGCGGCACATGCACTGCCGTCAGCATGGCTCCCACCAGGCACGGCATTGAGCTGCGATATCATTGATCCACGTCTGACATACCCACCAAAAAACACGACTTGCGGTACGAGTGTACCAATGGAGGCACCATGGGTTCGCGATGCACGACCTGTATATGCCGATGCACGATTCTGCTCGTATACCTCTTTACCCCGCTGCACTCAAGCAGCCATTGACCAGCGTCGTGCGCAGCATCGAACAGAGCCTGCTTCTTATGATACATGTCCAATTCTTCTCTTCCAGCGGACTTGGTCTGCCGCCCCTGGCTCAGCGCCTTTGCATGGTTATACCCTACTAGTGCCACGCGGCTGGGGCGCGGCTGTGTGGCGCTCGCTCGTCCATACTGGCGCACATGTGGTGGGGCAAGCGCAATGGCGCGCTCTTCATCTGCATTTGGGTCATCCTCTTTTTCCCGATGACTGGATCGGGCATGCCGCGAGTCTGGCTGCACAAGATCAGGCAGCGACACGGCTTCATGCACACTGGGCAGCGCGCCCGCCGGCGAAACGCGTACCATTGGTCCTCGATGTATGTGCACATCCCTTTGGCGGTGCAGCTCTTTGGCAGGCATTGGCGCAGGGGGCTGGGTTCGTCGGCCGTCCTGTGTTGGTCCCGTGTGTGGACGAAGCAGCAACGCAACGCATGGACCAAGCGCGATGCACTTCGCCTATTCAACGGCCATCCACAGTGACAACATCGAAAGCATGCACGCTATGGACACGAGAAGCGTATGAACACGGCTTAGCACGTAGATCGGCGGCTATTCATGCCCCTCTTCCCCGCTGCTATGCCCCTTTTGTGCTGGTCCTTCTGACAGCCTGCCGACGTGGTGCATGGGATGCATATGCAACCATGCATATGCTGCCTCTCGATGCCGAGGCAGCTTGGCGTCAAGCTTTAGACCCGCCTCGCGCGCAAAAGCAGGAAGCACGAGTGCAGCTGCAAACACTGGAGTCCTCGACTCATGTCACAGCCTCGTCAGCTGTGGGCGCGGTGACGCGTGGTGACTACGCCCTCTCAACTGGGCATGGCCGTGCCATTGCTGTCATGACATGGACGGCGTGGCTCGAGCTGGAACGGCGTGAAAGACAGAAAGCGCCCCCCTCTTCTACGTGGGGTCGCCACAAGCGCAATCGTGTTCCACTAGAACGACTTGTGCTCGTTCGTAATGCCATGGGTGGGCCAGTCCGGGCAGCTAGTGTCTCACGGTTACCTACGTACTAATTATCATGAGACATGCATGGCTGTGCCTCATCGCCCTATGCTTTTGTGGCCTGGAGTTTTTTCTGGACGCGCTCTTCCGTTGCACGCCACAACGCTGCTGCCCCCGTCCCTTGGTACGAGGAAGGGACGGGTGGTGCGATCAGAAGGCCCTCGCGGTATAAAAAGCCTGGCTGCAGACCAGGCCACTGACGCGCTAGTGCATCGTCGTCGAGGACACTGGGTGTCTTCATTTGCTGCGCGTGTTTCCGGCGTAAGGTGCGTGATTCGGTCTCGAGACGCGCCGTGGCGCCCCATACCATGGCCTCGGCAGCCCTCGATGTAGGCTTTCCGATGATCCAGCACCATGGCGCCAAAAGAAGCCATAGCATCCATAAAATGTATTTGTGCATACGACCCGCCCCATACGTCTGGAAAAAGGAAAGAAGCTGTGATGAGACTTCAAAGCCAGGGCACACCACAATCGACGAAATGTGACTGCGTCGTGCACGCAAGCCATGCTGAGGTACTTGGTCTTCGTCGCCTTCCAGGTCCGGTAACCGAGTACGTGATCGCGTATCCGCCTCAGCCAGTAAATCAAGGCGGCGCTGTAGCTCGGCGGCGAGCACGATCCAATGCAGCGAGGCAGCGCCCAAACGCGTCCATGGCTCGAAGAAGGGCTTCGTCAGTGGAATCGAGACACGTTCAAATTGGCCAAGTCCTGCAGCATACCATGGACTCACAGCGCTGATGATACGCACGTCACGATTCGGAGGAAGGATTAGCAGACTGGGGAGCATGGCATTGACGAAGTGAAAGCGTGCTAACACGTCCACATCATACACGTCGTCGTGTGATGCACCAAAGGCACCCACAGCACCTGTACTGGGCAAGAATAGAATGGTGTCCACACGATGCGCTTGCTGTGATGGGAGACCAGGGAGTGTTGTTGATGGAGGTGCTTTACTTGATGATGGTGTGGACGAAGGGGGCTGCGAAGTTGGCACGCCATCTTTGCCTGTTACGAGAGTCCCCGCATGCCAACGCTTAGCAAAGTCGGTAATCGAGTTTAAGTCACAAATATCACACTTTTCCGCAAAAATATTCTCGCTCATGGTGCTTTCCCGAAGAAGCAGGACCATTTGGATCACGTCATCTGCTTGCAAATCAGGGACGAGCATGATGATATGAGCCCCTTGATGTGCCAACGTAGATACAGTAACAAGGCCCATAGGCGTCATGCCTCCCGACTAAATGGTGAGTACGACAGGATACATACAGCCACAAGAACTACCCGACCGCCCATCTCCTGCAAACCAGCAGTAACACGCACATGGTCGTTCTTTTCCTGAATACGTCGCTGCTGTGCTTCCAAGCGCTCTTCACGTGCGAGAAGCGCTGGACCGCGAGCCCAGCTATGCACGACAGCAATGGTGAGTGGAACTAGGATGTAGAAAGCTAGGTACTCAGACGGCAAGTGCCGTCCGACCAGCTCATATAGCAAGTGCAACATGTGGTCGGTCGTACAACACAAACGCGCCGGAGTTGTTGGTGTGGAGGCTGATTTTTAGCCTTTTTTTTTTTCTTGCTGGCCTCCCTCCTGGCTCTTGCTTTATCAATATGACGCAAGGGTTCAAGCCCCTGAAACGCCCTGGCATTGCCACTGGCAAGCGGAAAGACAAGGGCTCGGCGGCTGCCAAACCCAAGGTAGGCAAGCGTATTGCTCCCAAGAAACAGACTGCTTTGCAAGAAGCCATCCAGAAACGGGTATGTATTAGGTACACTGACCATGGAGAAAAACACCGCATCGTCTACAACCCGTATCGAGAAGGAGATGGCTGGCCGCGCTCAAAAAGGGCCCCTTACCATCATGCGCTCCCTGGCAAATGAAGTGGCTAAGAAATAAACTTCATACTTCTACATACATGTAAATCTAGTTGGAATCTCTCTCTACGCTGGGCGCCTACCAGGTGGTGGCGGTGGCAGTACGAATCCAGTAGCTGGCTTATCTTGCGCCTTGGGAAATGATGCCCCTGCGCCTTTTCCAGGGATCTGGATACGCATAGTCTCCCCATCTTGCAGCGAAAAGTCTCGTCGGGCTCCTGCAAGGATGTACGGGGAGGGCTGCGCTGCCTGATCGTCCTCTCTCGAGGCTACTTGCGATGACTTTTGGCGTCTATGGTTAGCGATGTAACACATACCGTGTCCAGTCCTGTAATGCCACCGTAAAATCAAAGCTCTCACTCCGCTCGATAAACTGACGTTAGTAGCAGGGCGGGATACGTACACCCACACCGATGTACGCGTGCCGTTTGTTTCCGTCCTCATCCTCACTCTCTACACGCAAGACAAAATAGCGCGATGAATCCAAAACGGCTTCCACAGATTTACCACTGATATCGTATGGGCATGCAGCAAAGAGTTCTCCTGTCTTATGAGTCTCATGGGACTGTACCTGTAGATCCATCTTCCAGCCTGATCTCGCAACGGTCTTCTAGTTCCATCACACAGAGCCTACCTGACCAGAGCGGCTTGCTTGTATCTCCCCATTCCGATGCACGATAGCCTGCATTGCTTTTACGTGGTGGAACGCGGTAGACATGACACTCTCGTACACGAAATAGCACCGACATGATCGCTGGAAGTGATGTGGAGCCTGACCGTAGGAGGCAGAGGTCCGTGCTTCTTCGGCGCTTGCTGTCTGCAGCCCACCCACGCTCCAAGGACTGGCTCGAGGGTCTTGCTTTGATACTCTTCGCTATGCAAGCCCGTACATACTACTCTGGCCTATCTACTACTCTTTGTCGTACGTACTAAAATAAAATAGCATGCCTTAATGAGGGGCGACCTGTCATAGCCTGCAAGTTGTAAAGGCTATGTCACTTCTTCATGCGCACTAGCTTTCCTCATCTCTTACTTTTTCCTTGGATTTTGTCTCTTACAACATATCCGTCCCTGATACGCTACCATCCGTAGTCTGGAAAAGGCCGTGCGTCCATCTCTTTCTCTTCCTCCACTTCTACCACGGACTGACCATGCGCCATGTCGAAACGACGCCGCTCCTTCTCGCACCTTGAACCAGAGACGAAGGAGACACCAGTATGCCCTGTTCGCATGCGTTTATCGCATGTAGGCTCTTCGTTAGGCGCTCGTACCCAGGCGATGCATCTTCGTCGTACCATCTTGCATGATGCCATAACCAAAGGGGGGTTTCCTTACCTTCATCAAGCCAAAGGACACCGTTCGTGTATCAATGCACTGGCCTTCTCACGAGGGCCAGGGCAATGGATGGCTAGTGGCGGAGATGATATGCGAATCCATATCCGTGATCTCTTTGACTTTGACCCTGCACGGCCCGGTCCTCCGGAAACCAGCAGCTATCGCACTAGAGCCCGTCTGTTGGGCCATACATCCAATATATTCTCGTTATCATGGAGCGCAGATAACAAGTATCTCTTCTCTGGAGGAAATGATAATATGGTACTCTGCTACGATCTGAACTATGGCGAAGCACCCATACACACTATTGAACCAAAAACGATACGCCACATGCCCACCTATACATTTGGCGAGCATGATGGCAGTGTTCGCGAAGTATCTACTCATCCCACCAATCCCAATCTATGTCTTACATGCAATGATGATGGCCAAGTGTTCTTGATTGACTTGCGCCTGCCAAGCCCCCAACTGGCTGGAGCAGGCTATATGCTTGACCAAGTAGCCTCGTCACCGTGGAATCCCAATCCCAGCGATGGCAACACATTTGCCATTGCTTCCGGTCGGGATCATCGAGCAAGTGTGGCGTATGTGTGACCTAGACTTACCTGGCAGGCTATACGATGTGCGCACCGCGTTTCACAGCTCTCTTGCACCTATCGACAAAGCACAAGCGTTGGTTCGATATGCATCACAAGTCGTATGTCGTTTCGAGGGACATACTATATCTGCGAGTCCTGATACTACTGGCGCTCAATTTGATCCTAGTGGTCGCTTCATTGTGGCTGAAATGTCACTCAGTCAGCCTGTCCTCTATGCAACTGACGACTCGATGCCACTAGCTACGATGTCGTCTCGTCTCTGGCACCCTTCTCCACCCATATCCGACGATGCTGGCGCTGGCTACCGCAATAGCTGTACTATCAAGCGTGGTTCATTTGGGTTCGAGTCGCTAGCGGGCCAGCTATACTTTGTCGCTGGATCAGACGACTTCCGTGCGTATGGATGGGAGGTGCCTGGCATGGAGGCGCTGCGGGAGCAGCGTACCGAACTGTCCGCACTCGACTGGGCTGCTCATACGTCCGAAAATACAGTATGGTTCCGTGGCCTCGAACATGGGGCTATGGTTCTTCCCTGTGATTTATCTTCGCCTGCTTTTACCCTGGAAGGTATGTATGTCCTGCTCTCCTTATATGTCAGGCTCTCAGTCGATTGTAAATTCCGCATTATGCCACCCTGTATGTGCTTTGTCACTGACACTCAGACTCTGCCAATGATAGCCACCGCTGGCATCGAGAGAATGATCCGCCTTCACTATGCCACACCTATGTCCATGGAACATACCCGCAACGATTATGCTCAAGTTCGTCCTCGCACACGCACACGCAGTTCTACCATTGATATGGCGGCAGTGGCACGTGCTATGCGTCGACATGTGCCGTCTCATGCTGTGTCAGATAGCGACGCGGAGGAGGAGAACATACCCTCTCGCTCATCATCCGCGCAAGATACCACTACCTCCTCGGCTGAGCCTACCGCTGCTGAATTGGCTGATCAAGAAACGATCGCACTTTTCGATCAACTGCTCGAGGACGAAGAAGGCCGCACGCTCTTTGTCCCCTACGAGTTTCATCTATCCGATTCTAGTGATACTGACTCCATTGATACGGTGGCGATCGACTCCATGTGGGCGACGCCGTCGCCCTCCTCCTCTTCCTCCTCGGCGAGCGTAACCTCGGGCGTGGAGGCGTAGATATTTATGCATTCCAGAAATTATTTATAATCGTCGGACCGGCCGAGCATACACGGAAGCGGTTTGAAGCGTCGTCGTTTTGGGCTTCGACGCTGACTATCGTAGCGAACATGAGCTTGTCGCGCTCGGTATTGTGCGTGTCGCGCGATGGCATGAGCCGTACTATGGCCTCGCGCGTGTTTACGCGTGAGTACTCACAGGATCTCTTGATCAAGCAGCGGACAGGCATGCCGCAGGTGGCTCGCGGTCCGTTTGGTATGGGTCGGTGCGTATCTCTATTTTTGTTGGCTCTAACCACGATGCAGTAACTCGACAAATGGCAGCATTGCTACTGTGTTCGGTGCGACTGGTTTCATGGGTCGCTACCTTGTGAGCAAACTGGCCAAGGCTGGCACTCAGGTTGTGATTCCGTACCGTGATGAGGAAGAGAAGCGCCATCTCAAGTTGCTCGGTGACCTCGGCCAGATTGTGCCGCTGGAATGGGATATCCGCAACGACCAGCAGATCCAAGAGTGCTTGCGTCACTCAGACACTGTGTTCAACTTGACCGGTCGTAACTACGCTACGAAGTATGTATGTCCTGCTGCTTACCCTTCTTAGGAACTTCTCGCTTCGTGATGTGCATGTGGACGGTGCTCGTCGCATTGCTGAGCATGCTGCAGAGTCTGGTGCGGCTCGCTTCATTCATGTGTCGCACCTGTCGGCGGACGCGAACTCGGAGAGCGAGTTCCTCCGCACTAAGGCGCAGGGTGAAGACGCTGTGCGCCGCGCCTTCCCGGGCGCTACGATTGTGCGTCCAGCCTCGATTTATGGTCATGAGGACCGTTTCTTGAACAAGATGGCCTCGTGGCCCATTACGTGGAAGCTGAACAACGGCCAGACGAAGCTCCGCCCTGTGCACTCGCTTGACGTGGCGCAGGCCCTTGCGACGATTGCGCAGGCTGACAGCATCTCGATCGGCCAGACATTCTCGCTGTATGGTCCGAAGACCTACACGATTCGCGAGCTACTCCAACTCGTGGAGGATGTGACGTACCAGAAGATCGTGTCGCCAGATGTGAACGTGCCGCGCTTCCTGTTCTCGGCGGTGGCGAAGCTCGGTGAGAAGGTGGCCTGGTGGCCCATGTTCAATGCGGACGAGGTGACGCGCCGCTTCATTGATGAGGTGCCGGAGGAGGGTACAAAGACCTTTGCGGACCTCGACATTGTCCCTGACCTGCTGGAGGACGTTGCGATTGTGTACCTGCGTCGCTTCCGCAGCCTCCTGCGTTACGAGCAGCCGATTGAGAACACACGCACGGGTGCTGTGAAGCTCCGCAAGCAGCCGTTCCGTGTGGTGGAGTAGATGCCCTATGTAGCTAGCTGTAACGGCACCTATCTAGGAGAGCGTGTGGCTCTACATGCCACGTGGCCAAGTCGAAGATCTGGCGCCACAGCGGATCACGCAGATAACCGTGGGGCGGGTGTCAAAAACTTTGTTTTGTGACGCAGCGCCACACACATCACGATGAAGATTGTCGCTGTGCCGTTGGCGTGCAATGCCAACCCTGCCAAGCTTCCGTATTTAACGTACTTGGCATACAAGTCAACGAAGACCGCTTCTTCGGCGCCTGGCCAAGCTCCTGCACGTCCTGCCTTCTCGCAGCGTATGATCCTCAAAGCCTCGAATTTTTGGAATAGCTTGGGGCGCACGGACAAGCGCTCGCTCTTCGACTGGCGCCGACGTACATACGTCCTGGGCGAAAAGATCATGGACCGCATTGCGTATGAGGAATGGGCACTAAAGGGCATTGATCAGGTGCTTGGCCCATCGATGCACAACCTTGTGCGTTATACCCAGACACACCGCCGAGGCCAGGATACTGAAAATGCGAAAAAGGACGATCGTACTGTGGAGCGCGTATCACTTTTGTACCCCCCGTCCCTAGTATCGCCACCCACTGTGATTGAGTCCTTGCGGCGTATGACCACACACCGTCAGCCTTATCACTATCGCTACTTGTGGTACAATGTGGCGGGCATTGTTATCACTTCGCCCTTGTTTATTCTCCCTGCTGTCCCTAATATCATTACTTACTATCTTTTGTGGCGTGCATGGAGCCATTGGCGCGCATACATGGCGTCCAAGTCGGTATTGTCTCTCATTCAAAAAAATCTCATTGAGTTGCAGCCGGAAGAACGTCTTGATAACATTCTCGCATCGTCACCTGACGAAAAAGTAGAATCATTACCTGAGGATTGGACCATGACTGTGCATCCTTCCCATGCGTCCAAGATTCAACATGCATTCGAGTTGCCGGAACAGGCCAGCGTCGACCTGCGTCGCGCTTGTTCGCAGGCCATGGCCGATATCCGCAAAAAGTCGTCGTCATAATCGTGTCTTACGCTTCCTTTTCGATCGTATCCTATTTGCATGTGCGCATGCCCGTCTTATAGCATACCCTGTCCATATAATGCAAGCATGAATACCAACATGCTCATTATCGATAGCCATAGGGTGGGTCGAACGGCGTTGGCACCTCCTTTGCTCTTCTTGCCGTCCGGCTCGTACTCGCATCCGTTGGAATAGATGCGAAGATAATCGATTTCCCAACGGGCATCAGCAAACTTCTCGCCATTGTTTACCAGATAATCTTGGCACGAAACGCCGGAACACCCATCGTCGCTGAACGCGCCATTATCCCATGTCCCGCACAGCGTCGTATCAAAGATAATTTCATGGAGTGACATGTACTTCGACCAATCGCAACTGGAGTTCGGGCCGTAGTTCGAGCCGAAGAACACTTCGGGCTTGCCCCAATGCTGAATGTCGTCGCTGTTTAAAAACGTTGGCGCCTTTTGGGGCGCAGCACCAATGGCCTCGGGAAGTTTCGATGGATCCTCATCCGCTCCCCAAAAGTACACGGAGATCTGCTTGTGAGATGTTTTCGTACTTACCCCCAAGCCATTCAAGGTCGTGTCGCGCATCAAGACAAAGTAGCCACCACCCCTGAGGTCAGTATAGATGCTCACCACGTACCGTTTGTTCAGATCATCGCCGAAGGTATCTGGCTCTTTGAAAGTCGAGGCACATCCAGGCTGGTACGAGCAGTTTGTGCGGTCCAAGTGACTGCAAGTTAGTGCATCGGTTGTACCTACCCTGTCTGCACTTGCGATACGTTGGTATTCAACGTACAGCCATTGTCCGTGTGCAAGCTGGCCAGGTTGGGCCCCTTGCCATTGACACCTTCAATGACGTCGATCTCACCGCCTTGTGGCCAAGGCTCCTTTGTCGATGTCCAGAACGCGGGCCATGTAGCACAACCTGTTGGTACTTTGGTCGCCTTGAGAATATAAAAGCCATCGCCGTACAAATGATTGGAATGAATACGATTGCTGCGTCGACCCATGTCGGAGAAATTGCCGTTCAGCGGCACTGGATCGCCTGTATCAACGGCTAACACAAAACGCCCCGTTTTGGGATCGACAAATGACAAATTGCTCTTTTGTGAATCCTTTTGAGTGACATAACTGTACCGTGTAAGGAGATTTACGCGACTACGTACTCCACCTTGCCCTTGGTAGGGTCATTCCACGACCACCAGTAAAAGTGCGAATAAAAGTCGGAGCCTGTCCATTCTTGGCAGATAGAGTAGTTGGTTGCTAGTGCTAAGTCCACAGCGCTACACCACACTAGAACCCAAACTAGCCAATGCATCAAGGGTGGGTGAGATCAGGAAGGTGTGGGCCGTCTCCCATGCTGCGGCCACGCACATGCCAGGTGCCTTCCAACTATCCTCGTTCCTAGGACGTGTGTTACATAATAATGTGGCGGTGATCGTCAAACCAGGGCTCACAATTCCTCGCCCTAGGGCGTACGCCGCGTGGCCCCGTCAATTCCCTCGTGGCAACGCCGCTACCTCGCGAAGCTCTCATTGTCATAGCGCACGGGCCTAACGTCAGTATGAAGCGTGTACGCAGCCACGCTGCGTTCACTCTACGCGCCTACTCGCACCACACACGCGCTCCACGGCCAACGCGCCTTTCGACTTTTTTCCTCCCAACGTATTCTGCCGATGCTGCTAGTGTACAAGACTCGCTGGAGAGCCTTCAATGGCTCCTCCGTGGGGGATACATTCGTCAATCTGCCTCCGGCACGTTTTCGTACTTGCCTGTAGGTCTGCGGATGCTGCAGAAAATCACCGCGGTTATCGACGAGGAAATGGAGGCTGTATGTCGTACTTGTACTAACGTAGATCCGCGCCTCACGTATCGAAATGCCGCAGATTTTGTCGTCGACATTGTGGCACAAGACGGGACGTGTCCGTGCTATGGGCAGCGAGGTAAGCTGGAGGTAGGCACTCATCTCTCCAGCTCTTCCGACTGAAGGACCGACGTGGCGCCGAGATGATTCTAGCCCCTACTCATGAGGAAGAGGTCACCAAACTTATCGGCGCTGAAATCGACAGCGCCAAGGCCTTGCCTGTGCGTGTATACCAGATTGGACGCAAGTTCCGTGATGAACCACGACCACGAGCTGGTTTGCTGCGTACGAAAGAGTTTCTTATGAAAGATATGTATTCGTTTGACGCGAGCGTCGACCAGGCAAAGCAAGCATACGAAGATACCCGCCAAGCGTACGCACATATATTCAACAGGCTTTTCGATTGGCATCATGTGCCTGCCCTAGTGTCGTCTTGTGCGCCAACCTGGCTCGAGGTATGTTGCCATATGGCTCACGATAGGCGACGGCCGATACAGGAGCGATGGGCGGGACCTTCTCGCACGAATTCCACATGGAAGATGAAGGTATGTAAGTCGCCATCTAACAAAAAGCGGGCGAAGATACACTATTGCGATGCCAACACTGTCATTACACCTCCAACGTAGAGTGTGCGACGTCGCATAAACCATCCACGGCGACGTACCGTACCTCTCAAGATCTTAGCGTCTCGCTTTTCCAGGGTGACAACGGGCTTCATGCTTTTGTGTACGGGTCTGATCGGCAGCTCAACCCACTCTCCCTCCCCACAGGGTATCAGTTGACACCTGTGGCAAACGATCTATCCGCACAGCCCATGGAGATCTGGGTGGACACGGATTGCACCTCTGTGGCGTCAGAGGAAATACGTCACGCTGTCCAGCAGCATGTGAATTCATTTCCTACACCGTTTTATGTGCCTACAGATTGTCCCGTGCACACCAAGTCGCTACGCGAAGCCAAAGCGGGCGATGTATGTGCGACATGTGGGCAGGGGACCTTATCGGAGCGCAAAGCAATTGAAATCGGGCATACGTTCTTGCTTGGTACGCGGTACTCACGCATTCTGGGCTACGGTGTCGTCCCTCGGAACGCTACGAACGCATCGCAAACGCGTGAACCTCTGCAGATGGGGTGCTATGGTATTGGTGTCACTCGTATTCTAGGTGCCATGGCGCAGCGCGCGAGTCGCGCATTTACGCAATTGCAAGCGGCTGCCGCGCCCACTTCTAAGAAAGGCAAGCCGCGTGCAGGTTTTGTCTGGCCACAACACTTGGCACCCTTTTCAGCCCTCATTCTTCCTGCTACGTCGCAACATCTTGAGGCCGCAGCACGTCTATGCCATGCATTACACCGCGGTGTCTCATCGTCATCCACTGATGGGACAACGAGCACCTTCCAAGTGCCGCTGACAGACATGGCCTTGGACGATCGCATACATCAATCTTTAGGCTCACGCCTCTTTGATGCTGACCTCTTGGGCTCCCCACTGGTGTTTGTTCTTGGCAAGCATTACGACAAGACCGGTGAAGTGGAGGTGCGGCAAGTCGGGCAGCCTACGCGCTTCGCTACGATGAACATCTAGATGGACCTACCTAGCTATGCACGCCAACTAATCAAAGGCGTATCTGTACGATAGCGCTGTGTCGTTGTTGACTTGGCGAGCGGCGTAGTAGTGCCCATACGGAACGCAAGGAGGCCGGCGTGGGCGATCATAATACCATTGTCGATGCAGAATCGTTCGTCCGTAGCAAACACACTGCCTCCACGCTCTTCCGCCATAATACCCATCATCCGCTGTAGGCGAGCATTGCTGCCAACACCGCCCACAATGAGCACGTCTTTGCTGCCGATATGGGCCATGGCACGTTCCGTAATTTCGACAAGCATGGCGAACATATGCTCCTGTAAACTGAAACACAAATCGGCTGGTGTAATCACATCCGCCTCCTCGCCATCCAAGACGGTGGCAGGCTCAGGCGCCTTTTCGACAGAGTGGCTTGTGTTGCCGGTCCATGTCATGCCATTGGCTAAAGCACCAACAGGAATATTTGTCGGCACAGATGGTTCATTAGGCTGAAAGCGTGGGTCTTTGGTATATGCTTCCGTGGCGCTAAGCATGCCTGCCAGTGACACATCCATCCCTTTGGTTCCATACGGTAGCGAGAACAGACGTCGTCCTTTCTTCGCCTCTTGCTCAATATTGTAACCTGGGGAGGGGTCGTTAGAAAGCCCGATCACACGTGCAAACCGATCCAAGCAGTTGCCCACAGCAATATCCAGCGTTTCGCCAAAAATACGATACCGCTGAGCCGAATAGGCAATCACTTGCGTATTTCCACCAGACACGTACAGTACCACAGGGTTCTGCGCCCCTGTGATGGTACGTCCCATCTCAATATGCCCCACACAATGGTTGACGCCGACCAACGGTTTATTGTACATGATTGACAACGTCCTAGCAACCAGAGAGACAGCTTGCAATGGCGCGCCCATACCAGGGCCTTTGGTAAAGCATATACAGTCGATCTCACTCAGGCTTTGCAGGCCGCTAGTTCGTACAGCTTCCAGCACAACACGTAAAATCCAATGCTTGTGATGCTTGGCCGTATCACTAGGTAAGAATCCTTGCCCTGGCGGTGTCACATAGGTATGGCGCACATTCGATAAAATGTCAACACGCGCTTGGTTCAGCTCGGAGCCTGGGCCTTCACCTGCAGGCGGGCTATGCCGAATGATACCTGCCCCAAGTTTGTTGGCACTTCCCTCTAGACCTAAAGCTAAGTAGGGTCGCTGTAATGTCGGCAACGGATCTTTCCGCGCCATGCCTGTCGTACAGATGGAGGCTTGTCGTCAAGCCGTCTTTTTGTGGTCACTACCTCCACCTACTACAAAGTGCGTACACTGCGCGGCGCCGCCTCGGTCGTTGTATCGCCTTCCAGCGCAAACCAAGGCATAGAGGTATCTTGCAAGTACTGGGAGATGGTTTCCAAGTAAGCTGGAAACTTGGTAGCCAGATAGTAAACGCCTCCCCTTTTGCGTAGTGCTAAGGAGATGGCAATCACAGCTTCGCGACTGATCATGGAAGGGCAATGCACCCATTGCTCCTCCATATCCATCGAATAGCTTTCCGAAGATGTAGGCATACATGTACCTAGAATGGATCCACTTTTCATATCGCGCGCCAAGGGAATGCGCTGCGTAAACGTACAAGTCAACAAGGCACAAGCCGCTGCTGCCTGTGCATAGAGCTTGCATACCACTCGGTCTGTCCCTTGTACGTCGTTTGCCAAGCATGCTAAGCACCGGGCTACTGCCACACATACTCGCCAATTTGGCCCGCGTACCCCCATGACAAGTGCATACGCCTCCAACGCCCATTGAGGGTGGCTTAAGTGTAGGCATACGTCGCCTAACGACATGGCAAGTCCAGGCACTAACGTCCACTGTTGTTAGATGTGTCGATGCACGTACATTGCACTGCTTTACAGCTGATTCCACAACTTCATTATCGACAAATAAGGCCAGATAGTCTTTGGAAGGTAATCGAACTCGTTCAAATGCCGCTGCTAAGCAACGATCAACACCATCGGTCATAGGTGCATGTAAGATGCATCGTAATGCAATATCAAGTACTTCTTTCGTCATGGCTGAATTTGCTAGGCTTTTTTCCTGTTTCGTAGAAGCCGGTGGCGCAGCGAACACAGGTAGATTATGCTCGCCCAGAATGACGTCGCTCCCTAGCACATGCACCTTGCACAAATACGAATAGGCCCATTCATATGCCTGGGAGAATTCTTTTTTCATGTACATATACAAGATACTGGACTGTAATCGCTGCGATGCCTTCGCATCGAATTCTGATACCGGGGTATGCTCATCCATTGACACATGTTCTAGAAACCATGCATTTGTATCCAATTTAGCTTTGTAGGTCTTTCTTGCTTCCTCAAAAGCCGCTCTCATACGTTTCTCGCGCCTTTCCTTCTTCTCTTGCCGGGCCTTAGCCTCTTCATCATCTGACACATCCACTGTGAGGCCCCATAATGCCTCTGTAGGTTCGTCCATCGTTGGCGCGTGTGGAGAAAAATGGGCCTAGGGAGTGGTGTGTTACTTCTCCACATAGGCCATGACATCTCGTGTGTCGCGGTCTAAAGAGGCTGAGGATGATGTTGATGTCGTGGGCGTTTTTCGGAAAACTGATCTGGCCCCACCAGAATTGCAGCGTGTTCAAAAAATTGATGCAGAGCTTGCTCTTATTGAGGAGCAACTCGTGGATCTGAGGAAACGGAAATCACAACTTCAAAAGGAGCGCGCAGCAATTTTTGCCGAGCAGCAGGAAATACAACAGGTCAATACAAAACGTGTAGACTATATCCACGAAAGGTTCCCGTGGTCCAAGGAGCTGTTGCGTAAGGCCCAAGAAGTGTTTGGTATCCAATCATTTCGTATGTGTCAAGAAGGAGTATGCAATGCCGTCCTGGATCAACGTGATGTCATGGTCATCATGCCTACAGGTGCCGGTAAATCATTGTGCTATCAGCTTCCTGCCATGTTATGCGATGCAATGGTATTGGTAATCTCTCCTCTGATTGCTCTTATGACAGACCAAGTTTTCCATCTTCGTGAGCGTGGCATCTCGTGTGCATTGCTCTCCAGCAGTGTGCCTACCGATGAAACACAATCCATTTTACACCAGGTTCGCGACGGGGTAGACGCGCCCAAATTGCTTTATGTGACGCCGGAACGTGTGGCTAAGTCCAAATCGCTATTAGCAGCGCTGCAAAAAGCCTACGAAGCGGGCCGTCTCGGTCGCATCGTTGTCGACGAAGCGCATTGCTGCAGTACCATGGGCCATGACTATCGCCCTGATTATAACAAACTTTCTATCTGTCGCAAACTGTTTCCTAACACACCAATTATGGGTCTCACTGCTACACTAGGACGTCAAGCTTTGCGTGACGTGTTGCATATTCTTGGTCTACGCGGAGTAACAGAACCTACCAGCGGAGTACCGCATCGTACAGTTTATTTCCGTGCACCGCTACATCGACCGAACTTAAGATACCAAGTTAAAGCACGTCCATCTGGTAGCGTGGACATGCATTCCATGCTGGCGGCCTACATTCTTGAACATCACCGTGACAAATCAGGCATTGTGTACTGCCTTAGTCGCAAGGATACACATACGATTGCCGAAGCTTTGCAACATATTAGTCATGGGCAAATCCGTACTGGCGTGTATCACTCCGATTTGGATGAGCAAGAAAAGCATCATGTTCACACGCAATGGCGCACAGGAGGCATCGCTGTAGTGTGCGCTACTATCGCATTTGGCATGGGTATTGACAAAGGCGATGTGAGGTTTGTGTTGCATGCATGTATACCGAAATCGTTGGACGGGTACTACCAAGAAACAGGTCGTGCTGGGTACGTTTACTTCGGTTCTAACCTCAGACGCGATGGTCAGCAGGCAGACTGTGTCTTATTCTATCGCCCTGCAGATCTGAGCCGCGTAAGTGCAATGACAGCTAGCGATGTCGGTGGTCAAGAAAAGTGTACGTCCATATTCTACTCACTCAGTGTATGCCATGTTGGACTACGCCCAATCGCCCGAGTGCCGTCGCGTATTGTTTGGACGCTACTTTGATGAGCCTGCGATCGAACCCTGTGGCACGTGCGACAACTGCGAGCGAGGTCCACCTGCGGCGCAGCAGGTCGATATGACGTGGCCTGCGTGGCAAATCGTCCATGCCGCGCATGAGATGGACGTGAATGGTGGACGGACAACGCTGACAGCGTTGGCCGATGTTGTACGTGGTCTGCAGCAGGCGCAGTACAAAGTGGCAGACCATCGTGGTCGTTCTTCTTCTGCCAAGATGGCACTCGATTTAGACGCCATGGGTGGTCGCGTGTCGCTTTCTCGCGAGGTATGTATTATCAGTCTTACTTGAAGGACTGTGAGCGTGTCATTGTGCAATTGCTATTGCAAAGTTATTTATCGGAGAGTTTTCGTACGTCCAAAGTGACCTATCGCTAACCTACAGAGGCCACAGCGTACACTGTCAATGTGTATATTCGACCAGGAGCTCGCGCGCAGCAACTATTACAATATACCCGACCTCAAGCCGAGACCCTTCAGGGCGTGATTCATGTCGTGCCTTTCCCAAGTGTGACGAAACGCGGCGCAAAGCGTGTCAAAACACAGCGAAGTTCATCCGGCTATACGGAAGATATCGAGCCTATTACGATAGAGTAATCTACATTCACTACAAAGACGAACAAACACCCTCCATGTATTATACAGGGGCCGAAAGCACACTCAAATGGTCCATCAGGGTATCAAGGGCATTGGCCAAGGAAGGCGTAGGACGTAGTGGCACAGGCGTAGATGCCGAGCCAAGCTGCTTGCCCACAGGCTTGGTCTTGTCGGGGGAGACAAAGGTCCAGAGACACTGGGATGCCAGCGATTGCATATGACGAAGGCCCTTGGACAGTCTGGTGGTACGCATGGATGTATCTTCCATGGTCTGCACACGCTGAAGACAGATCCAACCCAAAGTGAGACTTGCAAGGGTATCCACAGGACCGATCGGCGATGTCGTAGAGAGCGGTGCGTCAGTGAGCAAGCCGACAAACTGCGCTGCAGCCAGCGATGTGATCGTTTGCTTGGACAGCACGTTCGCATAATGCTGCGCCACTGTCACTCTACCAGCGACCAGCGCCAATAGACCATGAGCGACCAGCAACTGCTCAGCAGCGGGGCCACTGCGGAGTGGGCGTTCCTGCGCCAAGGTAGCTAGCTGCTGCTTTAAGGACGAGTACGATGCAATGTCTAATACAACGTCCAGCGTACGTGGCTCCAATGGTGACGTGATTGCAAGCGCATCACCACTGGCTCGCATCATGCTAGCGAGCATGCTGGTCCAGAAAGTGAGGAGTGTTTTGTTCCGCAGCGCGTCCAGCAAATTACCGATGCATGACAATGAGACCAATGCGTCATCGCGACTCGGCATATTACGCGCATAGTGCGCAGCCAAAGGGAGAGGAATACTCAGCAACTCAGCTAGCGCACGACCTGGGAGCTTATCGTTCGTCATAGGCGTATCAACCAACGATGCACCCGCTGCACACCAAAGCTTGTCCGCATACAATGCCAGCCATGTCATACCGCTGCTCTGCGCCAGTTGATAAGCAGTAATAATCTGCACCATCGACTCATCCAGTGTACCACGCTGCAATGCAGTATAATACTTCAGAGCTAGCCATGTGGACAAACGATGGGCCAGGTCTGGCTGAACAAGGGCGCCTAGCGACAACTCCATTTCTGCACGAACGACCCATGCCCGACGGAGTAGGCGTAGCACCGTAGGGTCGTATGCCTGACAAAGTAGGTGCGCTACACCTGGGCATTGCAGTGCTAGCCATCCCACACTTTGCATCACAAGACGAAGCCATAAGCGACTACGCGAACGAGGCACATGCAAATGCATACGCAAATCCTCATACATACGCACCGCCGCTTTCTGTGAGACCAGAGGCGTTTCATATGCCAAATCCAGCGGTGTGGAAAGCAGCGCTTTCGCCGAGACGACCTTTTGCAGCTCTGTCACTTGCTGTTGTCGCTGCTGCTTTCGGCGCCATTGCCAACGGTACCATAAAGTAAGAAGCAATGCCACGAGGCCAAGAACTAGCGTTAGACTCCGCGCCATCTCCAGCGCCAAGTTCCACACTGGCACATGATCATATGCATGTGGTTCGGTGGAGGCACCCCAAGACCGCTTCCATAGCTGATGACTTGCACCTACCACACGAGCCTGCGATGGCGGAGCAAATGAACGCGCATCTGCGTCAGGACTCCAATCCGCACTGCCGCCTAAGAATGAGAAGCCAACAAAAGCACCAAACATGTATCGCGAGACTTTGGCGGCACGTTCGGAATCAGCAGAGCCGGACGACGTAGAAGCCGCATCGTCATCTGCATCGTCGGCCTCATTGTCATCCCATTCATCACCGAGGTCAGCATGGCCCTCAGAAGACCCAGAGGGACCACCTTCGCCATACACAGCATCCATCGGAGGATGTTGCTGATGTAACTCATCCATCTCTGTCTTCCACATAGCCAACATCTCTTCACCACCTTCCAGGCTGCGAACCAACATTTCTAGTACAGCTAAATCACGACTGAGCCGTACTTCTCGTGACTTGAGATAACAAATATACTCGGTGGCTTTGGAAAGCACAGTGGCCTTGCTCATCTTCGTAGCAGCCGCCACACCATCGACCAACTCTTCAGCTTCAGCTTTACCGCGACGGCGCTTTCGACGCCCTGTACGTGGCCGCATCTCACGCAAAGCAGGTACAACATCACGTAAACCAGCAATGCGATCGTTGATATTGCTGCGATACCGCCGTTCAATGGCATTGTGCGCGGATTTGCGAGACCACATAGACTGCGCCTCGTCCTCGCCTCCCATTTGCTGTGATGGTGCAGTGCGGCGTGTATATGTTGGCTCTGCAGGAGACTTGACAGACGAGGTCTTGGCAGGTGCACTAGAATGTGAGGGAAGCGGCATCGACTTCCATTGGGTCAGGATCGACTGCACATTGGCATTACTACCTGGCTTCATGAACATCGGTGCTAGAAGTGCCTCATCTGTTGGTGCTGGTGCTTTCACTGTACTTGTAGTGGCCGTGGATGTGTTGGGTGCATTGGCACTTGACGGTGTAGGGGATATCTCCGCTGATACCATAAGGTGCGATGGCGACATGGATAGCGCAGGCTCCACGCATGCGGCAGCTAGCGGCATACCAAATACAGGAGTGGGGATGTTCATCGGCATAGCTGTCATTCCCAGCTGCGTAGCAGGTGGTGGCGTAGGGACCAGCGACGGCGGTGTCATGGCATCGCTGCTGGTAGGAGAGTCGTGGCGCAGCATGAAATCGTGAAAAGCGCTCGGGCTTCCCTCCGACTCGCTGGTAGACTGATTCGCGGATAAGTCCCCTAGCGAGTCATCTTGGAATGATGGATCAATATCTTGCATCAAGTTAGTGAGAAACAAATCTGGCAAGTCCACGGACGACCATGGCTTAGGAGAGGCAGGGACTTGCTCTTCGTTCAACCAAAATTTCATGTCGTCTTGAACAAAAGGCATGGCACCCATATCCTCTTGTGCAAGAAGACGAGAGTGCTCCATGACAAAAAAAGAAAGCCAAAGGCTTTACGTATTCACAGGGTACAGTCAAGGAACACGTTACTTTGGACGTCGTCCAAAATCAGCTGTTTCGCGCCTCCACATTAAAGTGGCACGTGATAGGAAGGACATGCTTTATGCCTGTTCCAGGACCTGACGCGCGGTATGTCGGTCCTGCGTGAGCTGCATCAGCACATCCCGAAGCTTTGCGGAAAGAGCGTCTAAAGCACGTAAGAATAGTAAACAGTACATACTTGCATCGTCTAATGCCTGCTGATAGTCTTGATTAGCTGCGTGTAACTCTTTTTCGAGGGAAACGATTTCTTCCATCTACGTGTAAGCCATTTGTCAGACGTACTTGTGCATCTTCCTTCACAGAGGCAAGACTCAAGTCTGATATACGCTGCTCGACATCTTTCGCTTGTGATATAAGATCTTCAATTAATTCCTCGCGATTTGATGCCAAAACGTCCTCGCTAAGCCCTTCTGTATTACCCAATGTCGTGAGTGGCACCTCCTGGTTCACCTGCTTGTGCCCTGATTTACGTGAGAGGTAGGCAATGGCTGATGCCATCACTTTCAGCAAGGTATCAAGGGAGTCTTCCAGCTCCGTGATCGGCTCCATCGTAACTACGTAAGGAAAACAGTCTATCCATCTCCACAAATAAATGTGTATCTCCACTTCATTTATCCACGTGGATACCAGCAGGCCATCTCATACACTCAAATAAGGGAAAGTGAATTTTAAGGGAATATGTATAGTTACATAGTACGTATGCGGTAGAGACACGGAAGAGATCTTCATGGACACAGGGCTGGCTAGAGGTATGGGTCCGTAAACATGTTATAGCCATATAATCGTTCATCCATGTTCACATCCCCTTTTTATTCTTCCATGTGTGACGAAGAAAGATCTGGCACTTGCTCACGGCTTAGTGAGCTAGTGGTATCCCGGCCTGGGCTGCTAGCTAACACGCCTGTAGCCATAGGGAACGAGGATCGTGAGCCAGTTTCACTAAAGGAGCCAACGAACGATGACCGGCCAGTCTGAGATGGACTTGTGGGCGTAGCACCTGGAATGTTTACACCCAGTGACTGGTTGCCATTGGCATTGGGAATTTGGACGGGACTTACACCGCCGGTGTTGGCGGCTGCATGAGGCACCATTTCAGGGTTGGGGATGGTTGTGCCGACTGACTGTTTCGGGGCACGTCCTGCCTTTGAGAGAGCGTAGTCGCCGGAATCGAAATATTTCCGTTCCTTTGCATGTTAGTGTCATGCGTGGTGGGAACATACCTTCAGCTTGTTAGCCAGAAGATCCTTCTTATTTGGCAGTTTGCCATAGAGACGGAACAGTTTTTGCTCCTGTTCACTAAGCGACTGCTGCTGTTAGCGCACTGTTCTTCTTGTGCATGTCAAAATACATACTGAGATATCCACCTTGTTTTGCTGATGTGGATTCATATTACGCTAGTGGATAAAAGTCAAAATGTGACAATGGTTTGAATGCAATTAAGTAGCAGGTCCAACAACTGTTCAGTGGCTAAACAGGCTTGCGTTGGGTGGCGCAGCGTGGATTGCGGGGACTGGAGCGGCTATGCGCCCGCATGGGTGCGCCTCCCCACCAATGCACTGAGCCTACGGTCCCCCACGTGCCCACTACGGGTGCCTTCCGGTCCCGGCCGAGAGACCCGGTCTGACGTGATGCCAGCGCGGAAGGCCCGTGGCCCGAGCCACCCCTTCGGAGCTGAGCCACCTTTCCCTCTTAGCATTCACTGCATATCATAGCCATGTCGATCCCTGTGCCACCCAGCTGGAAGGACCTTGGTAAGGCCGCTTCGGACATCCTCGGTAAGGACTACCCCATCCACGGCTCGACCTTGGAAGTTAAGACCCGCACTCCGTCGGGCGTCACCTTCAAGGTGCTTGGTTTGCACGACAACAAGTCGTCGACCATCAGCGGTGACCTCGAGGCTAGCTGGGCTGACCGCAAGAAGGGTGTTGCCTTCACCCAGGCCTGGTCGACTGCCAATGTGCTCCGCAACCACATTGAGCTCGAGAACCACCTTGCCAAGGGCCTCAAGTTCGAGGTGATCTCGACTCTTGTGCCGGAGAAGCAGGCTAAGAACGCTCTTGTGGCTGCCACTTACCGTGCCCCTGGTCTGCACACCCGCCAGTTCGTGGATGTGTTCAAGGGCCCGCTTGTGACTGCTGACGCTGTGGTTGGCCGTGACGGCTTCCTGTTCGGTGCCGAGACTGCCTACAACGTGAAGGACAAGAAGCTCGCTCGCTACAACCTGGCTGCTGGCTTCCACGCTCCTGAGTACGCTGTTACTCTGCACGCTCTTGGCAACCTCTCGACCTTCAGCGCCTCGTACTACCACCGCGTGAACACTGATGTTGAGGCCAGTGCCCGCGCCACTTATGACTCGAAGTCGGCCGGCAACGTTAACCTCGAGGTCGGTACCAAGACCTACCTCGACAACGCTGCCTTCATCAAGGCTAAGATCAACAACTCGGGTATCCTGGCTCTTGGCTACGCCCAGGCCCTGCGCCCGGGTATCAAGGCTACCTTCGGTCTGGCTCTTGACACTCTTAAGCTGTCGTCCGGCTCGAACGATGCCAGCGCTCACAAGATGGGTGCTTCGCTCACCTTCGAGGCCTAAACAGAAACAGGTATTTAAATCGGCTCTTGTGTCTTTTGTTAGCACATGGCGTACATCGCTAGTACATCTTCATAGTGTATTGTAGTCGGTGTATTACAATTTCATTCATTGTCTGCGGTGTTTTCGTATTGCTAGTGATGAGCCCTGGCGTCAACAAAAAGGAAAGCATGGTAGATTCTGGGGTAATGACGTAGCCACGTGGCCTTCCATCCACATCGCGCCAGCCATGTGTTGCATTGTTGAAAGGTTCCTCAAGGATCGTGAAGTGAGCTGGACTGCCAAGGTAGACACTGCGATGATATCGCCTACGCTTGCCTTTGACGAGGCACGCGAGGTATGTGCTGATGTATGTGCCCTGTTTTCTGGCGCCAGCGTCGACATTCAGATGCCGTCGACTACGTGGGCGGATCAGGGCAACGAGGCACGTATTCACTATGATGAATATGTACGCGTGTACGTCATGCTTCGTCTTCCTCCTTTGCCCAGTCGACTTCCACCATCGGACGACGACGTTTCCAGAGACGTATGGGACAAGAAGACGCGTAGTAGTGTCCCGTCGATGCTGACATCGCTCTTAGAATCGCTCCACCTTTCGTTAGAAGGTACGCTCAACAAAGAACAGCCTATTGTTCTATTTCGACATCAATGGCAAGGTATGAGCGCCCAATCTTCCTTTGTCCTAGAACCATCCAATCTAGGCTGGACCGATGATGTATCTGATGCAAACAAGCCCACGCCGCTCCAAGATGAGCGTCATACCCCCGGGATCGTGTATGATTCCCAGCAAAAATCGTGGGCTGTGTGCTGGACAAGCGATATTCGTGTCTCTTTCGGGGAGGCCAAGCTGCCCACTGAGACTCTATGTTTGCGCGCCGAGTGGGATGTCCGCCTGGATCTGGCGCGATGGGTCTCGGAAGCACGCGTACCACCGCCCCAAACGCCGTTCCATTACACGTCCAATGAGCTTCACCCGTTTACTCATGCCCAAGATCCGTATATGATCGATGTGGACCTGCTTTCTGAGTGGGCAGATGGGGTGAAGCTCCCTGATGAGACGCCAGAGCAGCGGCATCGACACATTTCCAAGCAGCTCACGATGCTTCCCGCATCCATGCTCGCGCGCCACGCTGTAGGTACGCCATTAATTGCTCCATGGAGTGAAGCTCTGGCCCTGTCGGACCGCCTTCGGCAGGCGAAGGAAATGGAATCCGTCGCTTTGGCGCAAGATGAAGACATTGCGTTGTCTACTCTCTCTGCGTCGTCTCCGGCAGCTATGTCGTCCACGACGAAAGACGCATTGACGATCGCCTCGACACTCGATATCCCTGCCTTGGCCAGTGCTGGCCACATTGTGTTGCGTCGGAATGCAGAGATGCTGACCAGAGTCAGCTCGACCATTCATGTACGAATGCGGACGTTGCATCGCACGATACCGCTGGGTGACGATGGTCGTGAGCGTGGTGTGCTTGTTGCTGTGGAGCTGGACAATACATCGAAGGAGTCTACGTACTGTGTTCATGCACTAACCATTGATATTGGCGAATCGGTGCATGCAGCAGAGTCGATGTCGTTTGTGCCATTGTACTCCTCGGTGGTCCGCCCGATAGTACAGCTGCTCCCTGGCTCGCCCTCCTCCTTCCCTATGGAGCTGGGACCGCACGCTCAGTACAATCTGCTGTACACAGTGCAACTGGCGTGTGTATGCAAAGACCCTGCGGAGATAACCAAAGCGTTATCGACATGGCATCCACGCCGAATGACACGCGTCACGCTCCATGGAACGCCTGAGCGGCAAACCTCGGCGCCGTCCAGCACGTGTATATCGCAGTGGAATGGTGCCATTGATCTGTCCCTGGCGCAACTGGATGGCCAGCGCGAGGCCTTTGCAGCCAATGTGGTGTATCGCGCGATTGGTGCGTCGCCTCAACCGTCTCGAAAAGAGGCGCGAGAAGGGGCGTCAATTGGCCGGTTGTCCAAGACAGCCAGTGCACTAGCTGCCTCTTTGCAAGGGCCAGCGCCTCCACCTAAGCCCAGCATGCCGTTATCGCAGGCTGGCCCCTCGCAAGCGCCGTTGTTCAAGGGACAAGATGTGGTACCAGTACCACGCACACCGTCGCCTACCTATGCCAGTCCGTTGCAAGACGCCCAGCAACGTGCGGCGGCCATGCACTCGTCCTCGTCCTCCACCTCGACGGAGGGCAGTATGGCCTTGGCGCGTCGTGCTGTCGGCTGGGATGCTGCTCCCTCGCAGGGCATGGTGTTTGACCCCATGCACGTCCAAACCTTTGCGTCCGCCGTGCTCGCTACTATACATGTGGATACCAGTGCGTCGGATCGCGGCTGTGCATTAATCCATGTACATATGTCGTTCTTTAATGTATCGTCGAAGGATATGGATGTCGAAGTGACATGGCTCGATACACATACACGACCAGGCACACTGGTCCCGGAGACCCATCGACTTCGTTTGGGGTATGTCTATATGCACTAACACCTTGCAGCCTGATCAACCCTGCGATGAGCCGCAGTGCCGAATTCCGTTTGCATGCCATGGAGCCTGGCTATCATACACTGGGCCATGTGTCTGTGATGGACCAGGTGACAGGGGGACGATGCCTACTCCAGCATGTGGGATCGCGGTACATTGACCAAGGGCTGCTCGCCTAGTACGGTGGACAGCCAAGCCAGTATCTTTTCACGATGGATCAATAGCGGCGGTGTATGTTGCTCTGCTTCACGTTCCATCGCAGCCCATAGAGCCGAGCGTGTGGCCTCGTCCACGTCCAACAACGTGCGCACAATCTCGCCATCCACTAGGCCCGTCGGCGGCGCGGTATGAGTCTCTGTGCGTAGCGTCCGCCATGTCGTCCAGCGAATGTGCCCTGGCAAAGTCCGTGTGCGCAGAATGGCTTGTTGGGTACAGGCAAGGGACGCTATTAGGTCCGCAGGAATAGGCCGTAGACATCCTACTGCGCCGGAAGCGGTAGCCAGAAACACCTTGGTCCCGTCAAAGACAAATTTGTTCACCAGATCCCCGTAATGGAACGATGCACTGCGTCGCATAACGTGACTCCAGGGACTTGGCATCGGGGCCTTGGCCTCGTACGTTACGCGCTCAGCCAAAAATACATTCATAGCAATGTCCGCTCCCACGTACTGCTGCTGCGCTGGATTGTACGCGGCGACGGCTGTCGTCCAGTACGGATCCATATCCCGCGCACATTCGTGGAGCTCACCTTCGTCGTCGACGTCCAGGATGGTCATAGAATGCATCGCATCGCCTAGCACGATATTTGTCCCACTGGCGACCAAGCAGCTGGCCAGGTACGCACAGCCCCACTGGGCTCGGACGGCTAGGCTATCGGGTGTGATCGCGTAGGTATGAACGCGTGTGTGCACGGCCGCGACAAGGAACCCACGCACAAAGGCGAGGCCATGCACAGCGCCAGGCACGTCTAGGGCGTACGTCGGTGTCCACGCTGCGCCATAGGCCTCGCACGGCATGAGAAGAAGGCGCCCAGATGTCGACGTAGGCTGATCAGGAAGGACATACGCTGTGCCGACGACAAGAATACGTTGGCCATGCACTGTCACGCACGTCATAGCTTGGGGGCGCTCATTGACATGCAGATGGTACACGGCTGTACGATCCCATGTCTCCGTAGCGAACAAACGAATGGCGCCACGGACTTCGCCCATGACAAACTCGGCACGGTGCGAGGGCCATGTCGAGGCGGCGATTCGGTGCGGATTCACACGCACTAGCGCCGTAGGTTGGTGCACACCAAGAGGAATGCAAGTGCTATGCGCTTCCGCCACGGACAGCAATGCATGGAACGCAAGGCCACTAGGCGTCACACAGGCCAACGTAAGCGCGGCGACGTCGGCCGCGATACACGCCGCGGCATAGAGAGGGCCGACTGGCCATGCACTGGCATGCCATAAACCGTGATGGACATAGAGAAGTGTGGGCATCGTCCCAGTAACCAACACAGCGATAGTGTCAGCGCGCATCGAGGAAGGCAGCTCAATACAGCGCACATGCACTGCGCTGGGGCTGGTATAGGCATGCAAGTCCCATAGGTGGACGAGCGATGCGGACTCCTTTGATCCTAACGCCACATGCCCTGATGCGAGACCTATCACCACATATGGGGACGGCGTGGCCAAGAGACACAGCGAGGTGGGAAGAGCAGGTACGGAAAGAGTCTGTGCGCTAGCATTGTCCAGCGATAGTGTATGCACGTCCCGACTCCAGAGCCCTACCGCTATACGATCGGCATGGCGAGCCACACATACCACATCGTCGTCCATCGTCCAACGCGCCTGCTCGTGCCATCCATCTCGCATATACACAAGTGCAAGGACCATACGCGTGCTCAGACCGACAACAGCGTGCCCAGTGGGCAGTAAGGCACATGCGACGATGGTCCCCTGGGAGGGCATCCATGCATGGACATGGCGTTCAGCCAACGTCGGAGCGTCCAGGATATGAAGCGCCTCGCTCGTAGCGAAAATACAGGCATGTTCCATGGCAACAGCATCAAGCACACGAGCGGGCCATATGCAGTCGGTATGCACCTGGCCCTCATGCAGAGAGACAATGTGCGATTCATGGGTATACACGAGGACAAGGGCATCCGCAGGCCCATCGAAGGACAAGGCATGCACATGCAGGAGACCAGGCAAAGGCAGTGTCGCTAGCGTCTGGGACGTGGCACTGTGGGACAATACCCGCAGACTGCATGTAGGCCCTGCGCCACTGGCTGTAAGCATACGAAGAGGCATGGCCTGTGCCGGCCCTCCAGAGTTGGCCTCGTCCAACGGCAGCACATCCAACATAGGGGCAGCACTAGGCCACCGATGAAGCTCGCGCCATGGATCATGATGACATAGCAGGGAATCTCCCATCGCACTTGCTAGGATGACAAGCCCATCCGTGTAAGCTCGTACACCGTGTGGGCTGGTAGGCACGCACGTCGTAGAAAGACGCTGCATCCGCATGGTAGCCACCGACCAGTTGTCCGTAGGTTGCATATGGAGTCGGTAGACTGATCCTTGTGCCGTGGCAAACACCACATCAACCCAGCGCAAAGGATCACTGCGCTGCGGAGGAGGCACAACACTGGCGCTTACTACCCGCATCGCATGCTTAACGCGAATCTGTTGCAAAGGCGGCAAGGGCTGGGCCTTCTCTGATCGTCGTGGAGCCGACGGACGTGAGACCAGGAATATGCTATGCTCGCAAAACACAAGGAGGCCGCCACCAGCTTGCGCCGGCATGGCCACCAGGTACTGAGCGCCAAACGCCTCGTCGGTGGGTATAGGCACATGCGTTGGCTCGTCCCCTTTGCGCTCTTTTCGTCGCTTGGAAGATCGTGGATGTGGAGAGGCCGAAGACGACGTCCATGAGACTTGGATCAATGCTTCACGACGTGCATCCAGGGTATGAAATGTAACAAGAGGCATGCCGGACGTAGCTGCCTCTGACGAGATGGAAAGCAAGGCGATCATGGGCGGTTCATTGACATGCATACGCTCCAGGAACACGCTATGAATCAATTCAGGGTGCTCCAGTCTAGAGGTAAGAGGGACGGATACGTACTTGATAGCTAGGGCTGGGCGCGACGTAGATGACAAAGGTACGAGCTGTAGGTGGCCCGTATAGAGATGTGTCATGGCCCAGCGCGAGGTGTTGTTGAGTATATGTGCTGGCTCTGTATAGAGCCCCAGGCCCAATTCCGCAGGAGGGCGGTGGGCAGCTTCCAATGACCAAACATGCTTTGTATGAACGACGCCTACACGCTGGGGGTCAGCAGCGAGGACCATCAGGCATGGTGATGGATGATCTGTCAGGATACATAACGTCTCCGCATCGCCCTGGGCGATTACATTCAGGCCGAGAATCCGAGCAGGGATGGCCATGGTATGCACGTGTACCAGACTGGGATCCATCGTACTCTCATCGCCATGACTAGGGCTCGCGAAGACGGGCTTCCATGCGTACAATGATACACTCGATGGGTGGGCTAGGCATAGGCACGTATCATACCCCCACCATCCATGTACCATAGCACTGGCTAACGCCGCCGAGGCGGGGTGGGTATGCGACAGCCACTGCATCGCGCGTCGCACGATGGAGGGCCGTGCGTGGAGAAGGCCAAGTATCGACGGCTGCGGCGTGGCTGCTCTCTCTCCCTCCACCTGGGAACATGACAGGGCCCACGCAGGGCCACTAAAAGAAGGCTAGGGCGATCTATGAACTAAGAGAGGAAGCCACGTAGACGATGGGCGCTCTGGCGTTCGCGAGTTAGGATGAGGGCTTCAATACGAGCTTGCTCACGGGCGAAATCCACATCACTCAGAAATGGCTGTGCAGTGGACGAGGCTAGCCATGCACGCGCCTTGTACATGTCGCCACGCTGCCGAAGCGCTTGGGCCTTACGAAATCTGTGCATGGTAAGAGAAATGTGGGTACGTACATGGCCTTTTTGTTGGTAGCATCCAGAGCAAGCGCCTTGTCACATGCGTCAAGGGCCTTGTCCCACTGCTGTAATTGCAGATAGCATGCGGCCATCTAGACGTCAGACTAGCATCATTAACGTACATTGGACCGCACCTGACTCAATTGGATCTTGTCGTCGCGTGTACCTTGGGACGTAGGATGAGACTGCCCTGTGAGCCCCGCTAAGATGCCTTCATCAAGGCCAGAGAGATACTGGGATGTTAGCGGTAGGACACGTACCAACACAGCATGGTGGTAGCACCGCAAGGCTTCTTGATACTGTTTCGCTCCGAACGCTTCGTTGCCTTGCGCCTTGTACGAGAGCGCGGTTTGGATCTTGGCCTCGATGTCGTTCTGCGACATTCCACCCAACGGTGGGCACTATGTATGGTCTGTGTGCGCCACAGCGGCGCCTCACGTGGAGAAGCATGCCTCGAAGGTGGAGGCCAGCTGAGGACAGCCACGCCCCTAGATTTTTAGGCGCGCGTGTCACGTCCTCATTGCTTCGAAACGACGCGTGGACGACACCGCGGCGCGGTAGGATGAGATGGCTCGAAGCCCGCCATGTATGTGGCCCAGGGAACGATGCGGACCCTGTGGACACACTGATCGACAGTGTGGAATCGGCTCTCGCGCCTGATACGCTGGAGCATGCACAAGCACACACGCTGCTGCAAGCGCTTCGCACAGCCACCCAAGTGGGTCAGAAAGGGCCGAGTACAGACGTCTCGGAGGTCAGTATCCGCGGTGCATTGCAGCATCTGCGCGAGACGCAGGGGCATGACGAAATGGCATGGACACGCGTCGCAAAAGCCTGGCCGTCGCCACTATTGCTGCAGCCAGACGTCGCGACCTTGGTGATGGACAGTCTGCAGCGACCGACGACACCCATCGCACTTGTTTTACAAGTGTTTCTGCTGTTTCTGTGCCACGAAAAGGCATCGTCGTTATGGAGTCGGACTCAATGCATGCCTGTCCTTGTACTTACCAATCTGCTAGAGCATCCGCACCTCGACAAAATACCTCTCTCTCGCCGTTTCTTGTTCTATACCAAGTACTTGGATGCGGTTCAAGGCTATTCGCAGCCGCTGTATGACGAAACGTTGAAAACACTCATGCACTATGTATTTGAAAAGCGGCAGCAGCCACACGAGTCAGCCGAGCAACGACAGGAGCATGCCTTGCTGGGTGCGCTGCTCCTGGAAGTGCGCCTGAAGCAGGTGTTGCGTACTCTATGGGAAGCGACGCATATTGCTGGCGCCGTGCGAATGGATGAGAGCCTAGCGCTGGTCCTGGATTTGTACGCTTCGCGTTTGCTGCATGCGGGTCTGTCGTCGCCTCGCCTCTTACGTACGATAGGCTTGGCGATGGTGTGTGATGCTGTGCGTGTGGCCAATGCATGCTTGCTGGTGTCGAGTGTAACGCATCATACGTCGCAGCTTCGTAAGCGGTTTCAAGCCCAAGCGTCGGTGGATACGAACGAGCAATTGTTTATGCAAGTGCGCGCCGATTTTGAGGGCCTTGGCCCGCCTACGATCTCGCCGCGTGTTTGGAACGATGTGGCATTGGCGCTCGGGAGTGAAGAGGCCCATGGTGTGCCGCGTGTCGTATGTGCGTATGTGCTACGTGCCCTGTCTGTCATTGCGCCGTTCCATCCGCCCCCGGTCGTCGAGGCGCATCAGCCGCGCAGTTTGGTCGAGACGGAGACGCCGACGTACCGAGACATGTGTGGGACCATGACGTCGACTGTCATGCATATCCGTCAGGCCATGGCCGTGATGACAGATACGTACGTCGCAGCGATGCCACGCGTTCATGATACGCTTGCGAAGTGTGTAGCCTCATGCACAGAGGCAGTGACCTTACTCAGTGCGTCGGCCAGTCCGGAGATGGCCTCGGCGACAGAGACACTGCTGCATACGCTCGGCGATCTTTCCTATACCCGCTTTGAGACGCTGCATATGTTGTGGATGGAGCATCGCGAGGCTGCTTTGCAAGGGGCACAGCGGTACATTGCGCTGTTTTTGCTCGTGACACGCTCGATTTCCTGGGCGTTGCCGCTGACACGCTCGTCGATCCCCCTACTGGACGATCTGCTGCATGTGCTGTGTGACCGCAACATGGGTCTGTTGCTTCCGTACATGCCCTGGGGCTACGGCTCGCCCAAGCCCGTGTTGGCGTTATGGACGGGCATGTCCGAATGCATGGCGGCCATGTTTGAGCAGATCCCACACTGGTCACGAACGGCCGATCGGCAGGAAATGCTGCAGTGGATTGCCCAAGTGCCTCGCCTTGCTTCGTTCATGGTCCAAAGTGCTACGCTTGCCTCGAACTCGAACGAACTGCAAACGTACCGAGCCAATGTGCTAACCTCCCTCTCGCTTCCCCTGGATAGCGCGATCAATTGGCTGCGTCTGAACCATGAAGAACTGCTGCAGCAACTGTCCGACTACATTCGCCGCACAGTCAAACTGTTCAGCACGGAAGACTGTACACTCCCGGACCACGTACGCGATCATGCGCTGCAGTTCCTTGAGCAGCAACTCAGTGTGACGCGCGCCGAGGAGCGGAAGACGCTTCTGTCCACCGCACAAATGGAGCTCCTTCTCGACGAGTTTCTGGTCCTCCCACGACGTGCGCCTCGCGCGACGCCCAAGCCGGTGCTGACGCAGCAGACGTTGCCGTTTGCGCCGTCCAGCGCGACGGCCAGTGCACCTCGTGCCCGCGCGACACCTGCTGGATCGACGTCTGCGTTCCAAGCCGCGACGCATACGCCAGCGCTTCGCACGACTGCGCGCCCAGCTCCGACGAGCAGCAGCGCCCGCGCGCCCAAATCCACTGGCAAACTTGCGCAGCTGCGCAATGAGTTCCAGCTCACGCGCGTCGCCGCACGCAAACCGCATGCCCCTGTACGTACCCTGGAGCCCGACGAGCTACCACGCGCACCACTAGCGACGAGCCGCGTCACAGGCGCCGTGACCAGTGTACCACCTCGCCGCGCGCCTGTTGACTCCGACACGACCGACTCAAGCAGCGACGAAGACGGCGGACTGCACTCGTTGGTCTCCCCCCGCCAAGCCAAGCCGACTACCACGCAGCCTCGACGCCGTGTGCGTATGATGGACGATCCAGCGATCCTCGCGGCGATGCACAAGGCCGAGGACGAAAAGCGGCAGCGACGTCTGCGTACACCGCCCGCGTGGGCGCCGCTGCATCGCTGTCTCTTATCGTGGGACGTACGTGGCCAAGACGCGCTCCCGCCTACGCGTCTCGACGGCACGCCGTTCCCTGTCACACACAAGACCGAAGGGATGCAGCAGGTGAGCGACTATACGGAGCGCTTTGACTCGCTGCTTACGTTGGAGGCGTGGGCGCAGTTTCAGCAGGAACGCGAGATGCTGGCCAGTCAGCTGCGTGTCGCGTTGACGTATGTGCGACACAAGCGCGTGGACGACTTTGTGCATGTGGAATACACCTCGGCAGCGTCCGTGCCGATGGGCTACTATCTTAGCGAGATGGAGCTCATTTGCTTGGTACTGCCCACGCGAGCTGTGACACTCACAGGTATCGTCATGAGCGCTACAACGACGTCGGCACGGAGCCAGCCAGCGACGTTGGAGGTGGAAATCCGGGTCCTTGCGTCGAAAATCGCGCCTGTGATGCCGTACCTGCACGACGACCAGTGGCAAGTCCACAGGTTCATGTCGCTTACGACGCTGCGGCGTGAGTACGCCGCGCTGAAAAGCATGCCAGACCTCGGCGTAGTCCAGGATGTATTGCATGCGCATGTCGCACGACCTGCGCTGGTGTCGGCAGACGAAGTGGCACGAGCGGCCAAGTCGTACGACCTCAACGAGCCGCAAGCGCGCGCCGTCGTCTCGGTGATGCGTACCGATGGCTTCTCGCTGGTACAAGGTCCGCCAGGGACCGGTAAGACCAAGACCATTCGCGCGCTGGTCGCGGCGTTTCTTGGGAAGCATGGCACGTCGGCGCAGCCAGCGCCTCGAGCGCGCATGCTGCTTTGTGCGCCGAGCAATGCAGCGATTGATGAATTGGTCGCGCGTTTGAAAGAGGGCGTGCTCGTGCATGGCAAACGTGTGTTCCCCAATCTCGTACGGTTGGGCCGCGAAGACGCGGTGCATCCGTCGGTGCGCGACGTGACGTTGGAATCGATGCTGAACAATCCGACGCGCGATACAGAGTCGCTGGAGGCGAAGAAGCGATGGCAAGACGCCGATGCGCAATGGAAGGCGACGAAGGCAAAGCTGCGTACGGCGTCGTCGCCGGACGAAGCGCGGCAACTGCAGGCGGCTATCAACGAGCTGGCCGACCGGTGCTTTGAGCTGCAGGAGCAAGTTCAGTCGCTCGCGAGTCGGCAGCGGTTGGGGCAGGCGGGCGCAGGGATGCAGCGCTCCGTCGCACGCATGTCGATCCTCGATAAGACGGAGATTGTGTGCACGACGTTGACAGGCGCCGGTCACGAAATGTTGTACCGCTATACCTACGACACCGTGGTTATTGATGAGGCCGCGCAGGCCGTGGAGCTGAGCACGCTGATTCCCTTACGATACGAGTGCCAGCGCTGCATCTTGGTCGGTGATCCCAAGCAGTTGCCGCCGACGATCCTTAGTCAGGAAGCCGAGCAGCGTGGCTACGCCAAGTCGCTGTTTGTGCGCATGTTTGAGAAAGCACCGGCGCATGTCCACTTGCTCTCGATTCAGTACCGTATGCATCCGGACATTAGCCTCTTTCCCTCTACGGCCTTCTACAACAAGCAGCTGACCGATGGCCCGACGATGGCGGCCAAGACACGTATGCCATGGCATGATACGTATCTGTTTGGCCCCTTCCGCTTCTTCCATACCGACGCGCGCGAAGAGGGCAGTGCGGGGCATTCGTACCTGAATCGCACAGAAGCCCGGACGATCCTCGAGGCGTACGCGGCACTGCGCCACGTTGCCGGACACAGCTTAGCGGGCCAAGTGGCCTTTATCAGCATGTACAAAGCCCAAGTGCAGTGCCTTCGCTCGATGTTTGTGGAGCAATACGGCAGAGACGAGGCGGAGAATGCCGACTTTAGCAGTGTCGATGGTTTCCAGGGCCAGGAGAAAGATATCGTCTTTCTCAGCTGCGTACGTAACAACGCACAGGGCATGATTGGGTTCCTAAGCGATTATCGACGTCTGAATGTCGCATTGACGCGTGCGCGAAGCAACATGCTGGTCTTTGGCAATACCGCGATGCTCTCGCGCGATACAGTATGGCGTACGATGATTAAGGAGGCTGAGCAGCGTGGGTTTGTCATTCGGACCACCGCTTCGACATTTGCGAACCCTCGCCGTGGGGCCTGCGTGCCCACGCCCGCCCTCGCTGTACCGACATCGTCCCATGCACCAGTCAAAGCACCGCCAGCCAAAGCACCGCCAGTCAAACCGCCACCAACCAAACCGCCACCAGCGAAAACACCAGCCGTGGTAGCACCCAAAGAGATACCCCCCGCCAACACAGTCCCTGCCAAACGAAAAGGCGACACGACGGCTCCGCTTCGTGCGCCACCCCGCGTGGTGCCATCGACCTCGCTCCTCGCGCCCCCACGCAAGCCGGCCAAATGGGCCAAGATCGTGGAGAAAAACAAGCAGAAACCAGTCGAGCCACCGACGATCAGTGCCGCGAGCAAACGCACATCGTCCGAGGGGCCCAGCTGGCTGCGATCTGCACGCCCGCCCAGCGTGCCACGTAGGCCATCGTAGACTTGTATTATACACCACGGGAGGACTGCGTGGGCGACGTCGTAGGTGTATGCCAGGAATCTTCGCTGTCCACACCGCGCGATGGTGGGGAAGAAAGCACGCTAGCCGTGTCGGACGGCCATACGATAATATCGTCAGAGTGGGTGGGAGGCAGGAAAGTGGGAAGGCGGGGCACCGTGGGTAAGGAGAACGACGACGGTGGGTAGACTGCGCGGTCGACGCGGTGCAGTAGCTCGGTCATACGCTCGGCCATCTGGTCGAGCGATCGGGTCGGCTGCGGTAAGAAATGGCCCTGAGCATCACGAAGAGGGATCGCAATAGGATGCCCACTTCGCTCGGCCATGTGTTGTAGGGACGTAGCCAGACTGCGGTACGCGGGGCGTACCTGCTCCATATACTGTGTGTACGTACTATGCAGCTGGTGAGCGTAGGTGCTGGCGATATACGTGAACGCGCGGTATAGGACCTGCGTATGTGTATGTTGCCATGGCAGGCCAATGGATACGGCACGCAGGAGGGACCCCAGCTCGGGATCGGGGCCATGCCATATCATGCGCACGTCAATGCAGCGTGGGCAGGTCAGAGCTTGAGTGGCACGCTGCACTACGAGATCCACTGCGGGTCAGAACATGGGTGCACAGCGTACATTGGAGTGCGTCGTGCGTCGGCGCATGCCATACCACATCGAGGATGTTCCATGTAGCGCCATGCTTTGTAAGACAGAGATGCCACGTACCTCACGAAAAAAGTGCGTTACGATGGGAGGCCACCCACTACGCTGTAGATCCGCCCCACGGATGCGCGTGCATGTATCGCGCTCTTGGTACGCACACCCGTACCGTACGCGAATGCGCCGCATAGCATGGGGTCGTGCGCGGGAACCTAGGGTATACAAGCGGACCTGGCATTCCACAGTACGATTCTGTGTCGATACGCGCACACATACACCCGGGGGGCTACGCACCATCGCCGCGAGAAGGCGCCGCCGCCCCAGCTGTCATCCTCTCGTCTCCACACGACAGGGGCCAGAAGGTGGTCCGGGCGCATGCATGCATATCGACATGGCCGCACGCTTATCGGCCGAATGATAGCTCCGTGGGCGTCCGCCGAGGCGCCGTGCGCGTACGGGGCCGGGGCCATTTACGACCACAACCAGAGGGTGTGACGACAGCAGGGAGGTACCACCTATTGACGGACCTGAAGCGACTGTTCCCTGCCTTGCTTGGTTGAGGTTCTGACTGGAGTAGTTTCGTGGAACGAAGCGACCATGACGGTACGTACGACCATGACTGTGACGAGCCCTCCCAGGAAACAACACAGAACAAAATTGCCGATCTCGAATCGCGCATCCAGACGCAACGTCGGATGATTGAAGGATTCCAGACGTTGCGCAATGCCACGCCGAATCAGGATGTCATCCGACAGGCGGAAACGAACATCCGACAAGCCCAAAACACGATTTCCTACTTGGAAGAGAGCCTGGCCGCGTACCATCGGCGTCATTCCGTGGACTTGTCAGGCTTGCAGATGCAGATGGCAGCAGGCCTGGGGCCGAGCCATGATGCAAGCATGCGAACGCCGATCGAGGCGGGACTCGGCGCGCCTAGCCCGATGAACGCCGAGGCCCGTCGGTCGTCCGAGGTGGCAGGCACGCCTCTGGACAGCAGTGCTGCGTACCGCGGAAGCACCGCAGGCCTCCCAGGTGCTGCCACAGGTTTGCAGGCCTCGGCGCTGGAGCGGGATACGACGACGTCACGACGCAACTACAGTGCGCTGGATTTACTCCGCTCGGATACGCCGCTTACTCGCGCCAAGATTCAGCGAAAACTGAATCAGCTCGAGTACAAGCTCGAAGTCGAGCGGCAGACCAAGCAAGGTTTCGATAAGATCGCGCGACTGTACCAAGCGGAAGGCGATCGACGCAGCAAGGCCGACGCCGAAGCGCAGCGCACAGAGTCGACGTCGAAGTTGGTCCTGATTCAGCAGGCCTTGAAGCAGTACCAACAGCTGGACTTCCGTGACGACGATGAGCTGCCGTTTGAGAACCCGTATGCGGCGCGGCGTGCACACAAGCCTTTGACAGGTACACTGAGCATCGCGATCAAGGCGGCGAAAGACTTGAATCATGCACCGATGCCCAGCAATATGCGCACAAGCCGCGAGTCGTTTGTCACGATCAAAATTGAGGACACGGAGCGTGTGCAAACGCATGCCTCGCGCACCGATCAGTGGAGCGAGAGTTTCCGGTTGCCGATTGAGAACACCACAGAAGTGGAACTGACGATCCAGGACCGCGTCGGAACGGCGAACAACTTGGTCCCTGTCGGCCTTGTATGGATCCGCATTAACGACATTGTGGATCATCTGCGAAAGGTGCGTGTCGGCCAAATTGGGGCCGATGGAACGCAGCCCTCGCCGGCGCTGAGCAACAGCGAGTGGGTGACGGCCGATGCGATGCCGGCAAGGACGCCAGGAGCATCGGGAGCAGCGCCGATGCAGCAGCAGCAGCTGCCCGCCGCCAAGCCCGATCAGGCCATTGAAGGCTGGTTCACCGTGGAGCCGACAGGCGCGCTGTACCTGCGCCTGCACTTTGAGAAGCACAATGCGACGCAGCACAAACTCGATGCCGGTCTGGGCCGTCAGGGTGCTGTGCGCAAGCGCCGCGAGGAAGTGTCGGTGGTGAACGGCCACCAATTTGTCCAGCGCCAATTCTACCAGATGATCCGCTGTGCGCTCTGTGGCGAGCTGGTCCTCAATGCGTCAGTCAGTCAATGCCAGAACTGCAATTACACGTGCCATCGCAAGTGTGCCCAAAAAGTGTTTACGCGCTGTGTGACGCAGCTTAGCAGCGATGCGGATCAAGACGAGGTGAAACTGAATCACCGTATCCCACATCGCTGGGAACCGTTCACGAACATCGGCGCGAATTGGTGCTGCCATTGTGGCACGATGCTGTCCCTGGGCCGGCGCACCAACCGCAAGTGCAGCGAGTGTGACTTGACATGCCATGCCGACTGCGCTTCATTGGTCCCCAACTTCTGTGGTATGTCCATGGAAATGGCCAACCAGGTCCTCAGCAACATCGCGACGATCCAAAAGAACCGCTCGTCCGGCCGCTCCCCCGGTGTGCCGCCGTCGCCGCACGGTAGTACACCGATGACAGGTTCGCCAGGCCACTCGACAGGCCGCCTGAGCGTGCCCAACAGCCTGCCAGCCAGTCGTCGCACCAGCTCGGACCTCCCTGTCCAAGGCATGCAAGCCATGACGGTAGGCGCCGTGCCAGGCACACCGCCCCGCGGTGCCTCGCCACGTCCGCTCATGCCGTCCAACGTCATGACAGGTAGGTCGCCGGCGCCCCTCGCACCCACCGCTGTACCGGCTGTGTCTCCTCAGGCTGCACCACTTGCCATCCCTGCTAACATGGCATCCAACCCACCCCAGGCGCCGATGCCAGCGCAGGCACGGCCTGCGCAAGCGACGCCATCGCCGCCATCCCAACCTGGGCCAGGGACACCCACAGCGCCCGCCACGCCCACAGCCAAGGTCGTGCCGATGACACCGACCAGCGCAAATGCCAAGCAGGCTGCTGCATTTGTCCCTGCGAAGCTGCCGCCCGGCGGCATGACGCCCTCGCCCAAGAAGGTGGTGTCGCAACTGACGGCGCCGCCGGCGACAACCATTGCCGGCGAACTGCCTTCGTCGTCGCAGCGTCAAGTGACACTCAATGACTTCAACTTCCTGGCTGTGCTGGGCAAGGGCAACTTTGGTAAGGTCATGCTAGCGGAAGAGAAGCATACGGGCAACTTGTACGCCATCAAGGTGCTGAAGAAGGAGTTCATTATTGAGAACGACGAAATCGACAGTACACGCTCAGAGAAGCGAGTCTTCTTAACAGCGGCGCGCGAGCAGCATCCATTCCTGCTGAACTTGCACTCGTGCTTCCAAACGGAAACGCGGGTCTACTTTGTGATGGAGTATGTGAGCGGCGGTGATTTGATGCTGCATATTCAGCGTGAGCAGTTCAACTTGCACCGCGCCCGCTTCTACGCAGCAGAAGTGTTGCTGGCACTGGAGTACTTCCACAAGCATGGCATCATTTACCGTGACTTGAAGCTTGACAACATCATGCTTACGCTCGATGGCCACGTCAAGATTGCCGACTATGGTCTCTGCAAGGAAGGCATGTGGTACGGCAATACGACGACGACGTTCTGTGGCACGCCTGAATTCATGGCGCCGGAGATTTTGCTGGAGCAGCGGTATGACCGTGCCGTCGACTGGTGGGCCTTTGGTATTCTGCTCTATGAAATGCTGCTCGGTCAAGCGCCGTTCCGTGGCGACGATGAAGATGAGATCTTCGATGCGATTCTGGAAGACGAGCCATTGTACCCGATCCAGATGCCCCGCGATTCTGTGAGCTTGCTGCAACGCCTACTCACGCGCGATCCTTCACGCCGTCTAGGCTCCGGCCCGAACGATGCAGACGACATCAAAGCGCATCCGTTCTTCCGCGACATCAACTGGGACGACTTGCTACACAAGCGTGTGACTCCACCGTTCCTGCCCACAATTAAGAATGCCAGCGATACGACTTGGTTCGACACTGAGGTATGTTCTATGATTTCTTACATGCTAGTTCACGAGCGAGAAACCGACCTTGACGCCGGTGCACAGCATCTTCTCGCCGCAGGACCAAGCCGAGTTCCGCGACTTTAGCTGGTACGTGCGCACCCTGTGATGCAGCTCCACTTACACCTGCAGGACCAACCCACATGTTATGTAAGCCTAGGCGACGTAGTGAGTCACATGCGTATGAATATATAGTTCCTGAAGAAATTCGCACGAGACGACCTGTCTTCGGCCGAGCTGAGCTCGTTTTCGACGGCGCGGTCTTTCTAGCTCGACGTGCGCTACGCTCCTCTTCTCATAGAGCCAACATGCCGAAGTACGTGCTCAAGCGCTTGCGCGCCTCCCTTGTGTAGAACAGAATACTAACCTATACCAGCGTTCGCGACGTCGACGCCGCTCAGTTCATTCACGCTTACGCTCAGCACCTGAAGCGGTCGGGTACGTACCATGAGAAGGTAGCAAGCCGTTCGTGTCGCGAGCAAAGAACTTGGCTTCTACGCTCCTTTGCGCGACTCGGGTGGGATGCGTGCCACGAGAGAGAACAGTACTAACACATCCCAGGTAAGCTTGAGATGCCGACGTGGGTCGACATTGTCAAGACGGGTGCCTACAAGGAGCAGGCCCCGTATGACCCTGACTGGTACTACGTGCGCGCTGCTGCCCTCGCGCGCCACATTTACCTGCGCAAGTCGGTCGGTGTCGGTGCCCTCCGCAAGCTGCACGGTGGCCCGAAGAACCGCGGTTTCCGCCCGTCGCACCACAGCCCTGCCTCGGGTTCCGTCCAGCGCAAGGTTCTTCAGAGCCTGGAGCACATTGGCGTGCTTGAGATCAGCGAGAAGGGCGGTCGCCGCATCTCGCAGGATGGTATGCGTGACCTGGACCGCATTGCCGTCGCTGTCCTCGAGGCTCAGCAGGAGGAGGAAGAGGAAGAGGACGAGGATGAGGACGAGGACGAGGAGGACGACGAGTAAAATGTCTCTTTTCATTCCCACAATGATCCCTCTCCATGCCAGCCTCCTGTGCACTTTGTACTAGTGTCTCTGTTGGGGCCAGATCCCTTCAGGTTTCCTAGTTGAATACCTGACCCGAAAAATGCATAGATTTGCAATGCGTTTGTTTCGCTACGTATGTATGTGTGTGTTTGTGTGTGTGGTAAAGGACGGACGGTTCCTGCCTTGTCGATAGTGGGTATATTGTACTATGTCAGCGTCGCATCGAGTCTATGGACAGTAAGAGGTCCGACCGACCTTACTCTTCGTCCGACGTGCCGATCTCCATAGCTGCAATAGGGTCAGTGACAAAAAAAAGACGTACCGTCATCGTCATCGTCCTCTTCCTCTTCAAGCTGTGCGTCATCTGTCCGTGCCGTCTTGGCAGGACGTTCATGCTCTACGCCTGAGGCGACAGCTGCCGAGCGAATAGAACCAGCGGGCAACGACGTGGCCATATCGTCATGCACACGCTTTTTATCAGACCCACGCGCCTCGCCTTGGGCATTGGAATACGTGACACGGCCACGAACGGCTGTACCATCAGCACGCTTATGAAGAAGATCAGGACGCAGCAATGCCTCTTCACCATGCTCAGCAACAATGGTGGCTTTGGATCGCGTACGGGCATACGCTAAGGACTAGCGAAAGGTTAGTAGGAGAAACACGTACCAAAGGCTTTTCGTAGAATTCGAATCCATCGAGGCCTCGCAGCGCTGACGTCGCGCTTTGCAGGTCACGGAACACGACAAAGGCCTGACCACGCATACCGTCTGCGCGCGTAGCAACGACATCAAGGACTTTGCCGTAGCTGCCAAACAAGCTGTACAGTTGGCGTCGAAGCTCTAGGAGACGTAAGAAATCATGCAAGAAAAACACATACCTGGCTTCTTAACTTTGGTATTGATGTTCTTGACGTACAGGGATGTATTGGCTGTCGTGCTGCTGGCCATGCTGAAGAAGGCAACAAAAGAGCACGCCGTTCGTCGTCGAGGGTCCCTTCACGCAGCGGCGCGCGGCGTACGACCTGGAGATAGGCCACGTGGATGCCACATGTTTACCTGGTAAGCGTGGAGGTGGGAGCCTCCAGGTGGTCGGGGGCCCTGTGCATGGATCGCCACGAACCATGACGACGACATCATCGCAGCTGGGGATTGCCTACCCGCTGCAATTTGCGTCGTCGTTTTGGACCTACCCAGACTACCGAAATGGTGCTACAGTGCTCTATTCGCGTTTGCAAGATGGTCTGGACGAAAATGAGTCAGTGCTGGCGCTGATTCAGCACCGTACCTCGGCAGAATTGGCGTATTCCCAAACCTTGGAGCAGATTCCCGCAGCGCCATGCCAGGGTATGGAGATCTTTGCAGGTGCCTCACAGAAAGACAGGGGCGGTTACCGTACCAGCCAAATGATCACAGCACAGGCGGCTCGTCAAGTGGCACACACGATGGGCACGCAAGATGCACAGGCCCATGCACGCGTGGCACGACAGCTGGATGTCCTTATCCTCGGCCCGTTCAGCGAATGGTCCAAAGCGCATGCGGAACGTATACGCAACAGCTGGATGATGATTGATGGCTCCTTGACGGCCGTCGAGCAGCAAGCCGAGGAAGTCGCGAAGCGCCGCGCGACGTACGAATCGCGGTGCTGGCAGGCCGATGAGGCGGACGATGATCACAAGTTCGCACCCACATACGCACCCTCCTCCAATGAGAGTACGACCACCGATTCGGCATCCTCGTCTGCGCCGGCCGCTGCCCCTACGTCTACCTCTGCACCATCTACCCAGGGCGAAACGCCAGCCACGAAAGAGGAAGGGGAGGAGGCAGACACGAACATTACACATGATACGGGCCCTGAATCGAGAGTCTCGGAGGCGGAACTAGTGAAATTGAAACGGCGCGAGACACTTCGTCAGCAATTTGGGTTTAAGGCACGTACGCCCTCCGGGCCAGTCAGCGATACACCTGCCTCATCCAGTGCCAAAGAACCGTCTTCAACGGCTACCTCACGACTCTCAGCGTACTGGACACTTACGATGGACCGAATGCATGATTCGTCTGCGTTGGCCCAAGTTCGCGCGGCTGTATCGGGTCTTTCGGAGCCGCGGCATGTACGGCTGCGAAGAGAAGCGGAGTCGGCGGAAGAAGCGTACCGCGAGAGTGTTAGGACGCTCGATGCGCTGCGCTGTCGAGCCGAAGAGGTACTGTTCCACGAGTACCGACACGCACAGAAGTGGGAGGCTGATCGCGTGGTTGCGCTGCAGCGAGTACTCAGTGCCTATCAACATGCGATTGCTCCCCTGGCGCCTGCAGGAGAAGAACCTGTGTCGCTCCCGACGATCCATCCCGCCATCTACTTGGAGCAGCTTATCTTGGAGTACCGTACCGGTCCATTCCGGCCCGCGCCTGCTGTATTTAAGCCGTACTACCATGACGATGCACATATGCTTGCCAACACAACCGCTGCAGGCTTTGGCTTGGATTTGAAAGAAGCTGCCAAGCGTGCTGCATTAAAGGCACTGGATGGGCCTACGATGCCCAGCTTGCCGCCTGTCCTTCACGCCTTGCTATCGGCCTTGCAGCGCTCGTACGCTGACCAAGCACGCTGGGCCACGGCGAGCGATGGTGACATGGACGAGGTGCAGAAACACAAAGCGCAGCGTCGTATTTGGCTGTACGATGTGCCCGTGGGCATGGTCCATTCCCTACGTGCACAGCTGATCCAGCATTACAGTCGCTATGCAGGAGCTCAGCATGTGGATATGATCGCGCCAGACAAACTTCTAGATACCGTGGACGCCCCGATCCTAGCGGCGACGACGAAGCAATGGCTATTGGAGCTCGATTCGTCGCTGATTCCTTTGACACTCTGGGATGAGGTGGCAGCGATTTACGAAGCAGCGCAGATCCGTATCACCAATGGCGCAGCGCCTACCTCGCCGGAAGTCACGGAGCCCGTGTGCCAAGGCCTTACCAGTGTGCTTACGCGTCTTCCCAAACTGCACTTGGCGTGTCTCGACGCATTGGTCGCCCATTTGTACAAATTGGTTAAGGACACGCCGACAGATGAAAAGGACGATGTGTACCTCGCCAAGCTGGGCTTGGCTATGGGTCGCATGATTTTGTGGCCCAATAGCACACTTCCCTCGATTGCGTTCTCCGACTACCCTGCATTGTTCCTCAGGGATATAGTGCAACACTATGAAACGCTCTTCCCGCCGCTGATGCTCCTCAAGGCAAAAGAGTCGGACTTGAAAGGACTCAGTCCCTATCGTCCTGGTCCGACGCGGCGCCATTCGTTGGTGGATCAGCGGATCAAGCGCAGTGCCTTGCCAGGTTTGGGCGTCCCGTCGCAGGGCTTGCAACGACGTGCGACACAGCTGGAAACGCGGTACGCATCAGCGCCAGTGTCGCGTGCGACGCCGACTCGATCCCGCCCACAGACGCAAACATTGCGGCCTCTTTCGATGAGCACGTCATCATCTTTCACGTCGCCCCTTCGTGGAGAGGCGACGCGTGCGACACAGACACCTGCGAGCCCATCCAACGAGGTCAAGACACCAGACGAGGCTGTACGTACGCCGGATGCGCCAGCAGGCACAGCCACGACAGAGGAGGAAGAGGCACCTGTGGTTACATCGCCGACGGTTCTCAGTCCCTCCCTGCACAGGAAACGTGATAGTGTGAGTGAGCGGCGGAAGTTGTTTGAGCAGCATGCATCTGGGCAAGCCGGCTCACGACCCTTGCCTAAGCCACGCTCTAGCTGGCCAGTGCCTATCAATATGCCATCCTCGGAGCCAGAAATGACGAAGGGGGAGAGTGCGTCGCCTGATACCTCCTCATCATCCGGCACATCGCTTCGGCGGGGCACGCGTGTCACTTCTGTGAAGGGGCCACGTGGACCTCGTCAAGCCTCGAAATAGGGTCTTTTTTCATAGTCTTCGCCCCAACGATCTCGGGGATATACCAATACACTCACTAGTTTCTCTGCCTGACTGACAAGGTCGTCTTGGCACCTCCACCTCAAAAATCGACGCATTTTTCTTAACCTCCACCTGAGAGGCAGAACGGTTTTGTTCCACGACGACGATGGCGGCGACCGACGATCTGACGTCGCAACGAGCCCGTCCGGATGAGAAAGAAGAGGATACGATCCTCTCGGACGACTCCTTCACCGAATCGGACTGGGAAGGAAGCGGGGTCGACGAAGACGAGGCGGTCGCTGTAGGCGCCGTGGACGATGCGGATTGGGAATTGGCTCGTGGAGGTATGTATGCTCGCTAGCTCATGGCAGACTTTACCAAGCAATACAATCGGGCGCGTCAAATCGCCACAGCGCTCAAGCCTTCCTCTTCAGGTACCAAGGCGCTTCCAGCCATCAATCGTGTCCGTGTACGAGCTGTGCCGTCCACGTCGTCGCCCACAGATGCGCCGACGGTTGTCGATGCAGCGGCGGCACCTGGTGAAGAAAGTCTGACGGCCCACGCGAGCAAGACAGATGCACAAATGGCAGCGCTGTCCAAGTATGCAGCTCGGATCCACATTGATGATGCGTATGATCCTTCACGCGTCGCTGGTGGCAGTGTTGATGCGCGTGTGCCCCGCAAAACGAACAAGTTGGATATGAACAAAAGGAAGGACAAGGCGGACCGTGCGACGTTGCAGCAGGTCTTGGATCCACGCACGCTACTGATCCTATCGAAGATGATTCGCCGTGGTTTGTTAAGTGAAGTAAATGGCTGTATTAGTACCGGTAAAGAGGCGAATGTGTACCATGCGACGATGCCGCCTTCCGAGGATGGCACTCTCGGTGAGCGAAGTGCCGCTGTGAAGATTTACAAGACCAGTATTCTTGTGTTCAAGGATCGTGATCGCTATGTCTCTGGTGAGTTTCGTTTCCGACATGGGTATGCGCGTCACAACCCCCGCAAGATGGTGCGTTTGTGGGCTGAGAAAGAGATGCGCAACTTGAAGCGTCTTGTCCATGCAGGCCTGCGTGCGCCAGCGCCTATTGAGCTGCGCGATCATGTATTGGTAATGGAGTTCTTGGGCGATAACGATGGCTGGGCCAGTCCGCGACTGAAGGACGCTGAGAGTTTGATCCAGCCGGACGATTGGACGCGCTTGTACCGTGAAATGGTGGCGACGATGAGGCTTATGTACCATCGGTGTCGTCTGGTACATGCTGATCTGAGTGAATTCAATATCCTCCTACACAACGACCACTTGTGGCTGATTGATGTGTCGCAGTCGGTAGAGCATGATCATCCTCACGCCTTTGACTTTCTGCGTGAGGACATTGCGCATGTGGATGCGTACTTCAGCAAGTACGGCGTACGTACGCTTGGTCTACGTCAGACGTTCCACTTTATCGTCAAAGATGGCGTTCGTGCTCGTGGTGGTGGCGTTGCAGGGCTGGAAAAGCTTGAGCATGGCGACGAGCAAATCGATGCAGCTGTCCTAACGACCGCCGCCTCGGGAACTGTGGAGGATTTGAGTGAGACAGAAGCGTCGCTCATGGCGGAATTAGCCCAGTTGGCCGAAGCCCAAGAGACGCCTGCGCCGGTGCCTTCGTTGATTGGGGCGCTTGTCGATGAAGTGGACGAGGCGCAGCAGCAGACCGAGGCGGCGCAGCAGCAGCAGCAACAAACGGAGGCTGACGATGCCGTGTTCCGCCAGTCATTCTTGCCACGTACGCTGGAAGACATTTACGATCCGGAGCGCGATGCGGCGCTCGTGCGTGCGGGCCACGTCGAGAGTCTGATTTATTCGGGCGTGACAGGTCTGGACGAAGTCTATGCGAATGAACCGCCTGCGACACAAGGTGAGGACGGCGACGACGACGGCGACGACGATGACGATGAGGACAGTGAGGCGAACGATAGTGGCGACGAGGGTGACGATGATACAGACGCCCCACATACTACGGACGAGCAGCGGGCCAAGGAGCGTGACGAGCGCAAGGCGCATAAGAAGCGCGTCAAGGAAGCGAATCGCGAGCGTCGCAAAACCAAGATGCCTAAGGCGGAGAAGAAGCGGCGTATGAAAAAGTCGTCGGCACGCAAAAAGTAGGTCACATATCTGTCTTCATAGCTACTCCCCCCTATTTACGTGGTATCGTTCAGCTGCCATTGTCCCAGCAAGGTAGCCAGCGTATCCGCATCGTGACTTGGCCGCTGCGTGGGAGCCGCGGGCGTCGCAGGCCCTGCACTTTCGACCGGCAGGGCGCCTGGGACCCACTGCGCTGGATCGTGCGATGTACCTCGCTCCCCGTCGTTTCGAGATCGCGCCGAGGCACGAGCGCGGGCAGGCGTGGGCTCGGTAGATATCGCCGCGTGCGATTGTCGACGTCGCACAGAGCGATCGCGCAACGCATGCCCACCGGCCGTCACGCGCGACGGCGTCGCGAGGTCCAAGTCCAAGCCACGCAGCACAGCGCGGCGCGGCGTCGTGGTCGCGGACGGCGTGAGTGTCAGGGGACGTGCATCGATCCCACAGGCCTGCTGGAACGCCGCAAAGTACTCTGAGGCGCGGATGATCCATGGCTGGTACTGCGTCGTACGTCGTGGTCGTGTAGCACTGGCTGTTTGCGTGGCATGCGCGGCTGCTTCGGCCATGACGCGCTTCGCCATCCGCTCGAGCTGCATCAAATTCTCGACGCGCCAGGGCGCCTGCGCCCGCGGCCATGCTGTATGGGCCCACGGCAGCGCAGCGAGCGCGCCGATATGCGCCAAGGTGCCGCTGGTCAGGGCCCGGTCCGAGTAGCCGCCTTCCAGCAGACTGATCAGCTTGCCTTCAGCGTACTCGTCGGCCAACGCTGCAGCATCCTGTGCGAATCGCGCGTAAAAGTGCGGCGGCACATGCTTGCCATGCCGCTGCATGCCTGGGTATTCGTACGTACACGCATCAAAGCCACAGGAAATGACCACCAGCGTACGTGGTGGGACAGCGTGTGTCTCACGCAAAAAGCGGCGTGCCTGGGCAAACAGCTGTGCGTACTTTGTACGGTACACCTCGTCAAAGTCCGCGTCGTCGCGGTGGGTATCCAAGTGCACTGTCTGTTAGTCCATGCCCCTTTATGATCCATGCCAGCTCAGATATCTGTTGCCAGTCGTCGCAAGATGCCATTTCTAGCTCCTTCGGACCTTTTACTAGGGCTGCGTAGTAGACCTACACAGCATCCTCGTAGGCCATGGATCGTATACGTACCATTCCATATCCATTGGCCGTGTGCGCCAGCCAGGCATACACTCGCATTGCGAACCAGATCCGGATCGCCATTCTCACACGGGTAGCTCTCGATATCGTGTACGCTGCCGTAAAACACGTTCTGCGCACGTCGGCCAGCCACAGATTCGTTGTACAAGAGCTGCTCGTAGGGCGTGCGCGCCGCCTCGGCCGCCTTGACCGCCTGCCGCTGCGCCGCCGTACCGCCACGGTGCGCACTCCGCGCTTCCGCGGCCACACGCGCACGCCACGCTGTATCATGCTGCGCCGCAGCCGCATTACGTCGCCATGCCAGGGCTTGCGTCCCGTTTCCATGGTGCAAATCAATATCCAAGATCACAACGCGATCAATGCCATGGGCCTCGTACGCATGGGCCGTAGCGACCATCGCATTGTTCACCCAGCAGAACCCAGACGGCTCAGCGCCGCTGCAGTGGTGGCCCGGTGGTCGGGAAAGGACAAACGCTCGCTTCGCTGGATAGTGTCGTGTGGCGTGCGCGGACGTCGTAGGTGCGACATCCGCTTCCCATGCACTCACTTGCGGGGCCTCCAAGAGAGCCGGCGAGGCTTTGGCGCCTTCCACTACACGGTCCACCGCCTCGACACTGGCGCCCAGCGCATGGCAAATCGCTTCGCGAGAGCCGCCATCATGGGCCTCGTCCAGTCCCTCGGCATGCGGACCACACAAGTACAGGTCGCCTTGCGGCAGCGAGGCAGGAATCTCGCTTTCGTGCATACGCTCGTCGCCCTCGCCATCGCTCGACGATGCATCCGACAGCGCGCCGTCCAGGGACGAGTACCGAGGGACGTCGCCAGGTGGGTGGGAGGGCGCTTTCGCTGCAAGTTGCGAGATCCGCTCACAATGTTTGGCACTGGCCGTCTCCGTGGCCGCTGAGGTAGGAGCGTACGCCGTCGTGAGATCGTACGTCGCCGGCTCACTTTCGTGCGCATGCACGTCGGCCAAGGCCACACTAGGCTCCGACAAACGCAGGGTGCGTGTCGTAGTAAACACACGCAGCACACTCTCTCGTTCCGCAATGCTCATCCCCGCCAGCATGGCAGCGACGTCATCGTCGCTTTTCGGCTTCGTCGCGGCCAGTTTCTCGCCCATGCCTTGGACGCCTGCAATGCCCAGCAACACAGCGCGAATTCGCTCTGGACGCTCGACAATGTTCGATTTGTCGACACCACGGACGTACCTATGACGCAGGACCGAGGGCGCCAAGAGAATGTCCAGCGCTGCAGCCTTCGAAGGCGCTGGCGTGGGAGGCTCGGCGGCAGGCGGCGTACGCGGCAGGTTTTGCGACGTCTCGTCCCCCGGCGCAGGGCCAGGCGTGGAGGGCATAGACGTGTGCGTGGACAGCGCAGGCGCAGGCACGGCTTCCTGAAACGCTGCGCCATCGGTATCCTCGGCAGCAGGCATCATATGCGCCGGTGTCTCTGTCGTCGTTGTGGACGCTGCTGTGGCCGGGACAATCGTGACAGGCCGCACAGCATGCACACCGGAGGGCACAGATTCTTGTTCATTAGTCGTGGGTGGTCGTCCGTCCGCTGGCTTACGCGCCGGCAGTTTCACCAGGAAGACCATACTCGCCCTCGCTAGAGGCACGCCCGATTGTACCACAACACATCCATCTCACACGCGCGACGCGCCGCCGATCGACAGACGCCTGGCCCTACCTCGGCCGAGTCCACGTGCCCGCGGGCTGCCACCCGCACGGCCGCCGTTCGTCGTCTACGGCTAGCAGCGACCGTGGACGACCATGGAGGCGCTCACCTTTAACATTAATGACGGCTTCCTCGAAGGCATCGTGCGCGGGTACAAGGCGTCGATGCTGACGGCCGCAAATTACCAAGCGCTAACACAGTGCGAGACGCTGGAGGACCTGCGTATGCAGCTCTCTGCGACGGACTATGGCAACTTTTTGGCTAACGAGCCTTCGCCCATTGCTACTTCGGCGATTGCTCAGCGTGCAGCCCGTAAGCTCGTGAATGAGTTCGAGTTCCTGCGTGCGAATGCTACAGCGCCGCTCAACAAGTTCCTCGACTATCTCACGTATTCGTACATGATCGATAATGTCATCTTGCTGATCACAGGTACTCTCCATGGCCGTGACACACATGAACTGTTGGATCGGTGCCATCCGCTAGGCTGGTTTGATACCCTTCCTGCTCTCTGTGTGGCTACCAACGTGGAGGAGCTATACCGCACAGTCCTTGTCGAGACCCCTCTTTCACCGTACTTCCGCGACTGTTTCTCTGCCTCCGATTTGGACGACCTGAACATTGAGATCATTCGCAACAAGCTGTACAAGGCATACTTGGAAGATTTCCACGAGTTCTGCCAATCGCTCGGCGGCCCGACTGCAGAGAGCATGGGCGAGCTCTTGGCTTTCGAGGCGGATCGCCGTACTATCAACATAACGATCAACTCGTTCGGCACATTGCTGAGCAAGTCAGAGCGTGCTCGTCTTTTCCCAAGCCTCGGAAAGCTTTTCCCTGCGGGCAACAATGCCTTGGCCAAAGCCGACGAACTCGATCAGGTCAAAGCCATCGTCGAATCTGTGCCTGAATACCGCCGGCTGTTTGATGATGGCGGCGTTGGGTCTATGGCAGATGGTCAAGCTGGTATCGATATGATTGAGGATAAAATGTTCGAGTATGAAGTGGAACTGAACCGTCTTCTCACGATGACCCAGTTCCAGTATGGCATCTTCTACTCGTGGCTGAAGCTCAAGGAGCAGGAAATCCGCTCGATTTGCTGGATTGCCGAGTGTATCGCACAGAACGCTCGCGACCGCATCAATGACTTTGTGCCGCCTGTCTAGTCTTTTCCATGATCCCCTGTAGCTTACATACGTTTCCACTACGTGTATACACTCACTCTTTCTCCACCTCGCTTTGTCAGCCGTACGCAAGGCGAGCCGCGCTCAGAAAAAACTTTTTGAAACCTCCACTCGTACCGACGACGAGAACGCTTGGTGGGATCTAGGATGGCGAACGGGCCTAGGCGGCATGAACGCTACAATGCCAAGGCACGCCAATCGAGTGTAGGAGGTTCGTCGCATAAAGGAAAGAAGTCCTTGCGGGAGCGCGCGTCTATCGAGGCTGATGCCAATGCGCAGGTCATGGATGATGCTACGCGGACGGCCCTCGCTGAACAAGATCGACAGCGCCGCGCTCTCCTACGTGAAGGAGGTAACGATGATACCATGAAACTATCGACCAAGAAGAAGCGTCGTCTAGATAAGTTTATCGAGGCCAAGTTGCGCAAAGAAGAAAAGGCTCGAATCCTGCAAAAGCTTGCCAAGTCCTCTGCAGAGATCACAGATCGCACAGAACTAGTCAGTGCTGCGACGCTAGGTACTGGTCGCATAGCCAAAGAGTCTGAACGTGTACAAAAGCTATTGGAGAGCCAGGAGCAAGGCCACAAACGCAAACGAGCCGCTGCTTTCCAAATTGACGAGGACGAAGAAGATGCGGATCTCGACGCCATCGACGATGAGTCAGACCACGAAAGCGAGCAGGAACTCGATCGTGAGCATATATCGGCCGACCAGGATGAACGACAGCAGCGCATTTTGGAGGCTGTGAAAAAGTTCGAACAAAAAGAGTCTTCACCGCTCTCCGCCAAGCCAAACGACGTGGGATCGGCCTTGGTGCCACCAAAAGTGGGCTCAGCCTTGGCTACTGGCGCTGATGGCAAGCCTGTGATGCCCGTTATGCGAAAACGGCAGAGGCAAGGAAAAGTACAGGACCGAAGCAACTTATCCATCATGGAACGCGTGCTGCGTGGCAAGCATGAAAAGGCGCCAGCAAACGATACCGATAGCAGCTTCGACTCTGATGAGTCTAGTGATGAGGCACAGAGCGAGGTAGACGCGCCTGATGGTGCTGTGGTCTACGATGTCGATAAGGCCCTTGCTGCTAAGAAGGCCCAGGCGCCCGTATATGATAGCGATTCGGTGGATACGGAGGACCTTGAAAGTGAGGAGCCAGACACCGATGCCGACGAAGAAGCTGTTCTGTTAGAAGCTATGCGACGACGGGGCCTCTTGCCTGAGGATGCCGATGCCATTCCTGAAGATTTCGGTGACGACGATGAAGAGGACGAGGACGAGGATGATGAGGACGAAGACGAAGACGAAGAGGATGACGAAGACGAAGAGGAAGACGAAGACGAAGAGGATGACGACGACGAAGAGGATGACGAAGACGATGACAACGACGATGACGCGGACGACGACTCTGCTATGGTGGAGGAAGACGAACGGCCCAAATCTAAGCGGCAGGGTATTGGTGAATCTAGCAAAAGCCGTGGATTCAAGGAATGGGCCTTAGAAGCACTCCAACTTGCACGGCCTAAGAAAGGTGAAGATAATAATGGACATGTGCTCGAGCCCGTTGGCGGTCGCGTTGATCGCGTTCGTGATCTGGGGCCACAGGATGGCAAGATTCGTGGTCCATTGGGCCGTGAGGCAGCTGTGATCAAGTCACCGTTCACACAAAAGTATCTCGAGGAGGAGACGGTTTTCCAGGCGATGGGCGACAGTGCTCCTCTTCGTCATGTACAGGTGAAACGGCCCTCAGAGATGCAAGAGGCGCGTATGAAACTGCCTGTGGTCGCCGAGGAAGACGAGATTTTGCGCAAGATCCTGGAAAATCCTGTCACTGTGTTATGTGGTGAAACAGGTAGCGGCAAAACTACGCAGGTTCCTCAGTTCCTGTATGAGGCCGGGTTTGGTACCGCAGGAAGTGGTATGTACTCATTGACTAACAGACAGCGAATCCTGGTATGATTGGTATTACGCAACCACGTCGTGTTGCTGCGGTGAGTATGGCCCGCCGTGTGGCCGAGGAGCTGCAAGTGCCTGAAAATCGTGTCTCGTACCAAATTCGATACGACGCAACGACGAGTCCGCATACGCAGCTCAAATTCATGACTGATGGTGTTCTGCTGCGTGAATTAGCTCAGGATCTTACCCTGTCCAAATACAGCGTTATCATTGTGGATGAGGCGCATGAACGCAGCGTCAACACTGACGTACTGATTGGCATGCTTAGCCGCGTTGTCCGGATGCGTGCAAAGCGCTGGATGGAGAGCAAAGCAGATGGGTTGAATGCCCCGCGTCCCTTGCGTCTCGTGATTATGAGTGCAACTATGCGTGTCGGCGACTTTACACAAAATACGGTCTTATTTTCTACGCCGCCACCTGTGGTCCAAATCGACGTTCGTCAGCACCCTGTTACGATCCACTTTAATCGACGTACCGTCCAGGACTATGTGACCGAGGCCATCAAGAAGACCAGTAAAATTCATACGCGTCTCCCACCTGGTGGCATTTTGATTTTTGTCACTGGCCAGCAAGAAGTACAGACGGTGTGCCGCAAGCTACAGCAGCGATACGGTCCTCGAGCCCTGGCGGCCAAAGCTGAAGCTGCGTCGTACGAAGCCGTGTCTGCGCGGATCGCCAACGTCGAGGCTGAGGAAATGGATCTAGGTACGGCTGATGCGCCGCGTGTGGACGACGTGGATGAGGATCGTACAGTGCTAGAGGATGAAGAGGCGTTGGATACAGACGACGAAGAGGAGGAAGAGGCTGAGGCCTTGCACTTACCTCCCTCTGATGAGCCCATGCACATCTTGCCCATGTACTCTTTACTTCCAGCCCATGAACAGCAGCGTGTGTTTGAGCCGCCGCCAGAAGGATCACGGCTAGTCGTTGTAGCGACCAACGTTGCCGAGACGTCTATTACGATTCCCCATATCAAGTATGTGGTCGATGCTGGCCGAGCGAAAGAGCGCCGAATTGATCCACGAAGCCAAGTCCAGTCGTATGATATTGCATGGATCAGCAAAGCCAGTGCATCTCAGCGTGCAGGACGTGCAGGACGTACTGGTCCTGGTCATTGTTACCGACTGTACTCCTCGGCTGTGTACGAAGAGCACTTTGTCGAGTTTGGCGTTCCCGAAATTCTACGCACACCTGTTGATGGCCTTGTGCTCCAGATGAAGGCGATGAATATTGATCAGGTGGCACACTTTCCCTTCCCTACACCGCCAGATCGTGAGGCTCTGGCTCGTGCTGAGAGAATGCTGCTGCATCTGGGTGCGTTGGAGAATGTGGATGTGCGTACGCAAGGCACTCGCGCTCAGCATGCATCGATTACGAGCCTGGGTCGTGTGATGGCCCTGTTCCCTGTCGCCCCACGCTATGCGAAGCTTCTGGCGCAAGGTCATCAGCACAGCTGTTTACCATATGCTGTTGCGCTAGTCGCAGCGATGAGTGTGGGCGATATCTTTGAGCGGGAAGATATGCTGACTGCCCAAGCAGCGATGGAGATCGATGCGGATGCCGATCCTGCGGCGACCAAGGAAGCTCGGCGCACTGCGCGTGCTGCGTATTTCCGTGCGCTTCGTGTGTTTGATGCGATCGGGGAAGGACTCAGTGATGCGTTCCGCTTGCTTAGTGTTGTGGGTGCGTACAGTCATGATGCTGCGCGGGGAGTCTCCGTTTCTTTCTGCCGTGAGCACTTTGTTCGGGTAAAGGCCATGGAAGAAATCCATAAGTTGCGTGCCCAGCTCAGCAACTTGGTCCTCGCCAACCTGACAGGCCTGAGTGATATGGATGCGACACAGCTGCGTGATCCAAGTCTACCACCACCCAACACGACTCAATGCAAAGTGTTACGTCAGCTGCTCACGGCCATTTACATTGATCGAGTCGCTGTCCGGGCTGACCTGGTGGATGCGCCGGAAGCTGCGTTGGCCCCCGCACGCGCCGGCTCAAAAATGGCCAGCACTCGGCGCGTTCCCTACGTAGCTCTGGGCGTGCCGGGGGCTGCGTATATCCACGTCAGCTCGTCATTCTACCATCGTCCTCCGCCCGAATGGATTGTGTTTGGCGAAGTACATCAAAGTGCGCCGAAGCATGCGGTGATCGGCGATGAGGAGCTGGAGGGTGGCGAGTCCGCAGCGCCTCCCACACAATGGCTCAAAATGGTCACCAAAATCAATCCTGCATGGCTGCCTACGTTGGGACGTACACTCTGCACGTTTTCTCAGCCTTCTGATGCACCGGATGCAACCGCTTTGGCATCGTCGATGCAGGCCTTGAAGCGCGGTGGTACGTTGCCCGCTGTGGAACGCACCGTTCTGCTCACACCGCGATACGGAGGCGCTATGCAGGATGGCGCTGCAGGTGGTGGGTTGGGATGGGAGCTCCCGCCTATCCAGGCCAAGCAAGTGCTTGTGAATGGACGATGGACGACCAAAATGTAGCATAGCTACCTATCGTTTTCATATTCTGAGGAACCTATCTATGTCGACGGTGTCGAGGGGCCACGAACGATACGCTCGCCATTTTCGTCAAACTCGACATTCTCCGGCGCATTGAGGCCCATACGAATGTACTTGGTATGGCTACCATACGCTTAGGGTTCGATTTGTGTCATGCACACGTACCTAGCAGCGCCTGCGATTGCACATCACGTAGTTCGATACGCGTATACGCCAGCGTTTTGCCTGATGTAAGCCATTCCCTACGTACCCATGCCGATGATTTCCCCTGTCACACGCACCGTGTCTCCCAGCTTGCCACCAGGTTTCACAAACGTCGCATTGATATCGGTCGAGATGCCCGTGTTGAACCAACCACGCGAGGCTACAGCGAGCGAGCCGACAGAGTCGACCAACGTAGCAATCAGGCCTCCATGGAGCGTACGAGCCCGATTCACTTAGAGGGTCAGTGCCTGTGCCGCTACGCACGATTCTCTTCGCCGATATCAAAGCGTGTATCGACAAAACCAGGACGCGCCGCAACAATGCGAAGACGGTTGGTATTGTGCGAATCGTGTCCCTTGACATCCATCCTGGCATTAGAGCAGTCCCATACGTACATAGATTTATGGACATTGCGTACAAAGCGCACACAGGGTGTCGTCTGCACGACGCGCGTGAGTTGCATGGTAGGTCGAAGGCAGGCAGGTCCAGCTGGGCCCCACTCCACTTTTATTTGGGCAGGGTCTGGTGGTTGGCGCGTGCGTCTCCGCTTGGGGCCTTCGTACTCTCTGTGAACTAGCCAGTGCGCTGTTTCTGGACGATGCCCATCCCCCCCACGTCGTCTGGCAGAAAAGCAGCTCGCACAGCACATCACATAACCAAAGCAGAACCACGTACACGTGTTACTTCGCCGTACTTTCATGACGAAGGCACACAACGCTTGCCCGACTATCTTGTTCCGAACCTGGACGGTATGTACGACGCACCTAACGACGCAGTGGTCTTCTGCGGGATCAATCCAGGCACGGAATCGGGCGCTCAACGTCGGCACTATGCACACAGATCGAATGTATGTGGATGTTGTCTCACTGTATAAGCATTTCTATCGCTGTGTACATGCGGCCGGCCTTACCGCACGTCTGTATACGCCGCAGGAGGATCATTTGTTTCCCCATGCAACACCCTATCGTCTGGGCCTGACCAACCTAGCACATCGGCCTACTGCTCGCAGTGAGCAGCTCACACGTGCGGAGCTAGAGCAGGGAGTGGTACCTCTTCTTCGGAAAGTAGGTGAATACTATCCACGCATCGTGTGCTTTGTCGGGAAACACATTGCTGAAGTGGTGCTTCGTATCGTACGAAAGACTTATACCCTCACATCTCATACCTGGAACGGTCCACCTGATCTCCTTTGTGCGGATTCTGCGATGTGCACTGAGCCTACCACCTCCGCGGTGTCGCAGCGTGATCGTGGGTACGGTCTTCTCCCTTTGTGCATTCGTCATGCGCATGGGTATACGTACTTGTTCGTCACACCGTCGACTAGTGCACGTGTCACGCATCACCAGCTGGACGGCAAAAGTCGGATTATGTCGTACCTTGTCCCTATCCTCTCAAGCTTGGGCGAGAACTCTACAAGTAACACGACGTCGACTCCGTATGTCATTCCATGCTTGGATATCTCTACGTCCTCACTACGAACGTGAAGCCAACAAACACTCAACAAATAAACTAAAAAAGGGCAGGATGTAGGTCACGCCCTTACATGGTAAAACGTTTTCGAGCCGCTGGGTCCATTGCCGCATTCCATTCCATAGCACCGCTATGGTGCATTTCATCAGCGGACATGGCCACCGGCACAGGGTGATCAAAGTCTCGCGATGCGACTAGGGACCCTGGCATATCAAACAAGCCACGCACTTCGTCGTAAGGCACGCTGGGCATGGCCTCAATCGACGCCGTGCTCGCCCATGGATTGCCGTACGGCGGAGGGACAGGCGCTGGGAGCATGGACGAGCGCGAATGCAGCCAGCGTTTGACTTGACGATTTTCTTCCAGCAGTTGCCGAATCAATGCATCCTTCTCGGCAATGATCTCTGCCTGCGGATGACGAGCACCGAGCGGCACGGCATCGTCTTCATCACTCGGGACGGCCGAGCGGCGTTGCAAGGTCGAGAGTGGAACATCGTCTTCATCCTTGGCGAGCCATCGTGGGACGGCTGGGCCAAAGGGCCCCGCGCGATGTCCGCCTACTTTGGGCGCCAGGATCCCTTCCCCTGGCCTCTCTGCAGGCTCTTCGTCGTCCGACGAGTCGAGCCACGCTTCAATCCGGCTCTCCTCCTGGTTCTTTTCCACCGTCTCTTGTATCGCCGCTACATCTTCCGGCGCAGGGTATACAATAGCATGCTCCAAGCCTGGCTCGAGCATCGTGACCAGCTCCTCGCGCTTGGTCGCACGTGTCGATGAGCGTCTCGGCAGCAAGGCCCCATCTTCGACCAGACGCCGCTCCCATTCGTCCTGATACTGCGTCTGCTCGCCAAACAGGCGGCGCATACGCTCGCGCGTATCGTTTGTGAACGCATGTGGCTCACTACCATCATCGCCATGCAATGGTGCTTGGCCATAGAAACGGTACTCGGCGCGCTTGCGATGCTGCTCCTTGGCCGCCATATCCATGAGATTTTGACCGTAAAGACGACCGACAGGCCGTCGATCATCACGCCATGGCCGTTCCGTGCCACTGGACGTCGTACTGCCATCCGAGTCGTAGGACGAAATATCAGCCGCATCATCATCACTGTCGTGCGATGCACGCTCAGACTGGTTGGCACGACGGCGACGGCGGTGCTCACGACGTCGCCGCTTCTCTGCAAGTGCCTCTTCACGCGCAAGAATACGCACATCCATCAATGGCACCTCATCGTCCGAATCATCGTCGTCCGCCGCCAGATCAGCAAAGTACTGCGGCGTATCCGTATACACATCCCACCCCCAACCTTCATGCTCCTCCTCGCGCGTGGCCAGCACGTTGCGGAAGAGCGCCGTGGAGGGGTACAAAGCACGTCGGCCCATATGCGCCGGGATTTCGGTGGGTGCATAGCCATCGTACACTGTATTGTTGGCCGGCAGAATCACGCCATGCTCTACCGCAAACGCACCGCGTGGCACAAAGTACGACTGCGTGTCGTGCGATACGACGGGAAGCGATGACAGAGGCGCCGGAATACAAATGTAGGTAGGCACCCAATCCTTCGGTCGTGTCGAACGAAGCTGATTCGACTCGTACAGTGTGGCGGCTGGCGGCGCACTAGCTCGACGACGCCATGGGAAGAGACGAAGTCCACGATTGGGCTTCGACATGTCGCCGTGCTCGCTCGCCGCCTGGCCTGGCTGCACGTTGGGATTGGGCGATAGCAAGTTTACACCGGTCATCTCGTCCTCCCCTGGCACAGTCACCAACGGCAACGTCTGTAGCATACTCTCGTCCATATCCATGAGCGGTGACAGCTCTTGCAAATTCGGCGGGGCCGTACGTACAACGTCCGAGGCGCCAGAGGTGACACGCACTGCTGGCATCGTCCCGCGCTTGCCAAAACGACGCCAAAAGGACTTTTTGTCGCGTTTCCACGTCGACGAAGATAAATCGTGGCTGTGCACTGACTGATGACGTTCCAAGTACGGCGTCAGTTCGCCCATCGTGCTCCGCTTGGTCGAGTACGAGTCCGCACGGCCCAGCGCCTGCAGCTGCTTGGTGAGCATACGTGGATGTGCCGCCTCTTCGACTGCCTCTTCGTCGTCATCTTCTTGGCCATAGAGCAGGCCCATTTCCTCTGCGACAGGGTGCATTTCACCCGGCCAGCCTGAGACGGACAACGAATGCCGACGTCCACTAGGTTGACGGCCCGACTCCTTGTTCAATACACGCTCACGGAACGCCTTCAAATCCGATGTCGCGCCATCCACATGAATACCCAGGGCCATCTCCATACTCGTCTCGACAGGCGGTTCTTTCCCCTGGAGCTCACGCTCGACGGGGAACATGACACCATCCATTTCAGGCGTCTCGATGGCAGCACTCGAGTGGCTTGTATCACTTACATTGACCGAGCTGCGTGACAGTGAGACATCACCCGACGATGTGCTCTCATCGGGTTTTGGTGTGGCTTGCTGCCGCATTGCCTGAATACGATGCAGTAAGAGATCACCACGCGTCGCATTCTCGTCCAACTCGACGTCCTCTTTCTTTTCTGTGAGCATAGGCATCGACGCAGAGCGATGTAGCGGCCGCGGTGGTATCGGTGTCTCGGCCTCTTGCGCAGCACGGGCTTGAATCGAGTCAGCACGTTGAAGGACGTCCATCACAGGCGATCCGAAATCGTCGTGATCAAACGCAGGGAGTGCCGGCTCCTCGTCCACATCATGCTCAATGACGGAGCCTGTCTCTTCTTCGAGCCCCTCGGACGCCCACTGTGCACTCATTCCAAAGTAGCCCTGCGTCACTTCTCGCATGGTCATGAGCGGATACGTATAGACTGGCCGTGCATTGGATACATCTATCGCTCCTGCATCACGAAACATGACACTCTCACTTGCATGCTTAGATCGCTGCCTAAGATGCTCTAGAATGTCCTGCGATGAGGGGTCGTATTCATTTAGGATATCAATACGACGCTGAATGTCATCGTTGTCCGCCTCAATCAGCGCTGCAGCCAGCTGCATACGCCGACGCCGACGCCGTTGCTCTTTCATGAGCTTCTTGTGCGATGTTGATCCCACTGCCACGGTGGGGTCCGGCAGCATCGCCACCGCCGGAGGGGTATCACTGTAGTTCATGGCACAAAGCAAGCGGCCTGTCTTGGCGGTCACGCACGACTTGCATGTGTTGTTCTTCAGCGCCCGATCTGCAGGTGGAGAGAGTCTAGGCCGTGGTGTAGAAATAACACACTCGTCGCAGATTGGCCCGATCCCTGCCGCATACGCACTGCAGGCCAGGGCCTCTGGCGGTGGGGCCCGCTACGATGCAGCGTGCCTCGCAGGCGCGCCCAACGAAGCCGCGTTTACAGAGAGCAGAGCATGACACATAGCACCTAAATCCACATATATGTATACACAGCTACTACGTCATCCTAACACAAGTTCGTAGAATATCACAAGGATGTTGACGATGATCAAGGGGACTGTATGGCGGCCAAGCAGGCATCGCCGTGGTTAGTACACCATCGCTTCCACACACTATGCCAACATACTTCGTAGGAGAACGCGCACGGCGCCAATCAAATGAATCATGCGCTGCTTGACACTGGCTTCTTGTCCCGGCGTATCAAAGCCGTTCATGCCACGCGAGCTCGTCGACCATCCGACTGTCATATGAGTCGCCTACACCTATGCCCACATACCTTTGCTTAGGAAACGTTCTTCGTTCAAAATGGCAATACCATTGATGAGAAGGAGTGAGGTATAAAAAATTGTGCCTAGACCCAACATGTCGTAGAACGTGCCACGTCAATAATCACGAGAGTTTAGTCTATACAAGCACTTGTCCCAGAACCGATTAGGAGCACACTCTTCTCGTCAGATCCCAGCCGGCGTCTTCTTGTCGTCGCTGCAGCGTCGTCAAGCACCAAGCATGACGCACGCGTGGGCTGCGTCCTTGGATCGTCACCACGTGAATATGGAGGTGTGTACATTTCCTCCATGACAGGCATGACACGCCTACGATCCCTATCACGTACGCGCACAGCATGTTGCGACTGCCACGCACCGCACGCCCTTTCGCGCCAGCCGCCTCCTTCAGGTCTGCGCCTGGACATGGTCGCTTCATTTCTGCTACCACGACTCGTACGCCTATTGCGATTGCCTTTGATATTGATGGCGTATTGAAGCAGGGGCCTGTTGTACTTCCAGAGGCTGTTCGCACGATCCGCATGTTGGAAGGCGACAATCCCTGGAAGCAAAAGGTGCCATACTTGTTCATCACAAACAGCGGTGGAAAAGATGAAAAGGTCCGTGCCAAGGACCTATCCAACGATTTCCAAACTACCGTCTCACCCAAGCAAGTGGTCCAAGCGCACACTGTGATGCAGTCGTTGGTCGATACGTACAAGGACAAGGCTGTATTAATGATTGGCGGGCCCGAGTACCCACCCGGCGCTTCGCGTCAGGTTCTTGAAGGGTACGTAGTGCCTCTCTTCCTCACTCTTCAGCTACGGATTCCGGCAAGTGTACACTGTTCACGATCTACAGGCCTACGCTCCGCCATCCTTCCCATACGGTGATCCCATCCCCGATCAGCAAGTGGCCGTGAAGGTACGCATTATAGCACTAACAGAAGCGAGTGGACTTCTCGAAAGTGCACTTTGAGGCTATCTTTGTGTTCCACGACAGCCGCGAATGGGGCCGCGATATCCAGTACATGGTTGATATTCTGCGCACGCAACAGGGCGTGTTTGGTACCGTGGAGACGAATGAACAAATTCGTAACCGTGCCCCTATCCCTATCTATTTCTCTCACGGCGACTTACGTACGTACAGCACGACTTATATCAGTATGGGGTAACGACTTTCCTGTGGCACGTCTTGGCCAAGGTGCTTTCCGTACGGCGCTGGAAGCGGTGTACAAAGTATGTACTCTTGATTCGACTCACCTACAGCGAGTGACGGACGGTATTGAGCTTCCCGCTACTACGTTCGGCAAACCGGAACTCATGACGTACGAGTATGCGAATGCGCTGCTTCAGGATCTCATTCGTGACACATCGAAGGACGCTTCCTCTCGCGTGGCCCCTGAAAATGTATGGATGATTGGTGACAATCCCTTCTCAGATATTCACGGTACGTGTTGGACATTCTCACACGCCAGGCGCCAATAACTTTGGCTGGTCCTCGGCCCTCGTTCGCACGGGTGTCTTTCGCGACGTAGAAGGGCCTCCTGCACACAAACCTACACTGATTGTCGACAACGTGGAAGAGGCCATTAAAGCCATTATGCAACGTACATGGTCATAGTGGTACTAATACATCTATACAAGCTACATGGTTAAAATAGTACGAAGGGGTGTTCATCATTAGGTGGTCGTAGCCGTGGCCTCACGCAGGTTCTTCGCGCGATCTATCATCGTTCGAATATCATTCACTGTCCATACATCCTTGGCTTGTTTGCCACGCGGGCCTTTGGCGCGGATTTCCAAAGCCACGGATCCCAATGCCAGAGCACCGAGCGGTGCGGCCTCTGTGTCGACCACTTCATTTTCTTGCTCCTGTCGATGTAAGATGGCCTGATTGGCACTAGAAAGATGAGAGCGTTGGGAGGCCGAATGATGCAAATCCTGCCGAGACCCTGGACGACTCAAGCCCATCTGTTCAAGCAAAGCGTCGCGCCGTGCCTCGCCTATTTCCTTTCTGGAAGCCGTCGAACGAATGCTGGGAGCTCGTTGTGGTTTCATGGCGGCAGGTGCTTCGCCACTCGAACTAATTTCGATAGTGGGTTGACCTTGTGCTACAAGTGGATCACTTGTGTTTGTTTTTGCAGTAGAATGGACTTGTGTATGGGTGCGTCGTCGTAAGTGGTCCGGGAAGGGCGTTTGTGGTGTGGGCAAAGTGATCAGGAAGGTCGTTTGTACGGTTGTGGGTGCAGAAGCCGAGGGTTTCAAGGACCTCGTCCATGATTTAGGCGGGTTAATTTGCGACGTGATGTGTTTGAAAGCCTGGGAAGATTCACGATCAAATGCAACAGAAAGTGGTTGCACCTCTTGCCACTGTCGCAGTGGCGTCGGTGCATTAAGATGATCGGTCGGCGCAACTTTGCATTCATAGAGGGGAGGAGGTGGTATATCAGGGACCATAGGAATTCCACGGTAATACATTGCTGGATCTCCAACCGCCAGGCGTCGCCGATTTAGCAGGGCGAGTCGTACAATAATCAGCACGATAATAATCACCACCACGGCGATGGCCACGGCCGAATATGTGATGAATGGTGTCGAATGCACATCAACTGAGTTATCAAAAGCTCTTCGAAATACAGAGTGCACCATTGGCAGATAGCAACACTCTCAGAAACCCTGCCAAGTGGCGCGTCAAGTACGGGCAGACTTAAAGAGGAATACATCGGCGATGTGTGGGGATAGAGAGTGCTTATGTAACGCCATGTAAGAAGAGAACCTACTATACAGCCAGGCGCTTGGGCCCATCAGTCTACTTTGCAATGCTCCACGTCGGTGCCTGGCGAGAAAAGATGTGGCGTGCCAAACCAGCGAAACAGCGTAATGGAGAGGACAAACACAGTTAGCGCATTGATAGAGGCGCCAGCATCGAGTGCTGCTGATAGAACATAGCTGCTTGGTTACCTTCGCATATCGCATACATACTTGTACTTCTGGAACCATCGCGGGTATCGTTCGCGCGCCCATTTTTGCGACAAAAAGGCACAGATAAAACCACCTAACATGATCTAACTGTCAGTGCATATGATACATACATTGGTTGGCGTGGCTGGCGGCGCAATAGCACCGTGTAGGAAAATAGGGACCACCGTACGACTGAACATAGATTCACGTAGTTTGCCCAGGGTCTGCGTCTGCAGTCGCTTGTGCAAAAGCCAGGGGATCAGAGGAAGAAGGGCTCCCAATACAAAACCCCAATACAAGTACTTGTAATCGCCAGCAAAGAACTTCTCTGGGCCGACTGCGCCCCAGATAATGGAAGCTGAACGGAAGATTTGAACTTTTCTGCGGATCGGTGAGTGCCTGCATCACGTACCTTCCATCCCATTGCCCGGTGGGATCGTCCACACTGCCATCTAGGTATGCGCGGTATCCGTTCTCAGGAGCAAGGACGACACGAATCACCATATAGTTCACAACACACCCGATGACTGTTCCCAAAAGTTGCGACAAAAACATATGCTTTGGACTGATTTTCATATAATGAGCCAGCTTCAAATCACCAATCATATCGAGGGCCTGCGCACAACTCATGTAGCCATAGCATTTCCAGCATACATCTAGACGTAAGTAAGTCGTATACGTACTTCCAATGGGCTTCCCTGGGATGAGATAGCCTGCCACAAACTCCGTAATCACGTTCAATCCCACACCCGTATCACTAACAGCCTTTAGAATACCGATTGGGATTAAGAAAAAGAGGGACATTCCGACCGACAACAGCAATCCCCACACTGGAAACTGCAAAGAGGGCGTTGTAATGACGAGAACCATAGCACTGCCTAGTGATAACACGAGTGTCCAAAGGTACCATGCCTGTGGTACAAGAGGGTATGATTTCATCAGCTGATTATGAATGTCCGAATATATCGGGTTGTACAAGGCTTTCTTAATCTCTTTGCCATGCCACAGAAGCACATGAGTTATGGTACTTGTGAGAATAGCAAAGCTAATGCCATAGGACAAAGCAAAAAATGGAGTAAGAAGCATAGGCCGCTTTTCTTCCCACGCTTTCTCGTCCAGCGTATTGTCCTTGTTAAGCACAGCGCTGACATCAAACTTTTCATGATTCATAGTGAAAAGCGCAGAGCTAAGCACTGCTGGGAACGATTGTGCATTCCAAAAGTTTGAAAAGTACAAAATCGGCATGACAATGTACATCATGCCGATAAGCCCACCGTAGAAATTCATGGCAGCCCACCATGGCTGGAAGAGTGGACCACTGCTGCCCAGTACATTCCAATCAAAGCTTAGGTTGGCAATACCAAAACCACGGTAGCCTGAACTCAGAATTTGAGTAATCTTACTGCGGTGAACGTAACACAATACCGCCACGCTGCTCAATGTAGGGAACAGCGTTGTAGGAAGAAACTGGTACACATAGATGCCAGCAAATGCATATATGAAGAAGCGCATCCGTTTCTTGGTGAGCAAAGATTCTGAGTCATGTAGTGTATTGAAAAGGGAAACAGTGACAAGGGCGCTTGGAAACACCATAGAAGGAGGGCGTACCAACATATTGTACACCAATCCAGCAAATCCAAAGCCAATGACTTGCGTGGTAATCAACAAGGTAAGCGACGGTATCGCAGACATATGCTCTCCAAAGAAGAGCTCCTGAATATTGATGATATCGGATGCGTAGGCACTTGTTGCCCCTGATGAGACTGTGACAGCAATTAAGACATGCTCCTTCACGCTAAAAGGCCCAGGATTTAGTTGGAAGCGCCATCCAAATAGATTGATAGTGCGATCTGGAAGCGCATGTGCCATCCATCGTGCCAATGGCAGCGTGACAAGGATCACAAAGTAGCTGCTAAACGACGGCGCATTGGATTTGTAGAAGAACAGCTGTGACATACCAGCACCCAGTACAGTGAATACGCTGCCAAGGACCACAGAGCGAAAAGTTAGTGAAGGAAGAAGCGGGTTGTCTGTATCCGGAACGATCTGATGCACGATGCGCAGTCCGTCATCGTCGTCCTCGATGGCATCATTGACATGCTTGCCATCCTGCGCGCGACTCTCCTCGTCTAGTAGTTCTAACGCCACTTCGTCCTCATACGATTCATATGGCGTAGCCTCAGGGTAGTCTGATTCATGACTGCGCATCCGTACAGACTCAGATACCCTCCGGTTGTGCATACTATCAGGCTCGCACACAGAGTATGTAAGTGGGTCCCTGCACAGGGCGTGTGCGAGACGCGTGCGCTGAGCTCGTTGGCCTTATTTCCTCGCAAGGACCAAACGTCAACACTTTCCCTTCCCCACATCATGACACTAGCGCAAGTCGCTCTCTCCCAGCTAGCTATATGGGGTGCATGGAGCGCATTTAACAGTATTGGCATACGCTTCCTGCTGGATGGCTTGTATGCATGTCCTATCCGAGCGTTACGGCTGAAGCGTCCGCCGCCGCAGACGCCCGCTGCACGTTCTCATTGGGAAGTCGCGCGTATTTTGGTAGCTTGTCTTTACGTGCTGTACTGCCTATACCGTGCGATGCAGGGTATGGAGACAAACATATACGCAATATTTGGTGTATTGCCTACGTCGACAGACAAGGATATTAAGCGGCATTACCGTGAACTTGCCAAAGTCTATCACCCCGACAAAGTTGGTGCTACGGATGAAGGCCAATTTATGCGCCTTCACAACGTGTATTCCATTCTTTCAGACTCTGTATTACGCTACGCCTACGACAGGTACGTGCTTCTCTGCTGACATACAAGATTTGGTGTATCAATTACATCGTGGCGGAACCTCAGCACACTCAACGAATACATGCGCGAAGGAATTCAGAGCCGATTGTTCTTCCATTTCCACATGCTGATCTCGCATGTCCTTGCTTGGGTTTTGTCGCTACGCTCGGAGTCTAAATCTGTGGGCATTGGATCTTTAGTATGTGCACGGCATTATGACTGACCATTAGTGGGGCATCCTTCTTCAGGGCTGCTTGTTCTTCTTCCAAATGTCGCTTTTAGTCTCTGTGCCTCTAGCTGCGTCAATAACCAAGTGGACGTATATGCTTCCCTTTCAACTGATTACTTTGACCTCTGAACTGTTTTTCCCGTGTTTGTTGCTTTTGCAGCAGCTCAATGTGAGCCTTAATCAATTAATGACGACAGGCCGTAAGGCTCATTTCCAGCGAGCCAGCAGTAAGGAGCCTGTTTATGTGGAGTCAATGCCGGAGCGGAGTCGTATGCAACTCGAATATCTTTTACGCAAAGAGCCTGAAACGCTGACGGAAGCCAAGGAGCAAACCAATCTACTACTGGGTACTATTATGCAGTTGCACGAAAGACTAGCTCGGCATGCCACCGTTCCAGAAGCAACCACGACTCCTTCATGATACCTTCATATACCCATACCTATTTGATCTAATATATAGGCGTGATAGAACGCTTTTAACATATACTACATATCATCACATACAAGCTTTAGTATTCTCCCTTTGTCAGGTCAAACAGGGCCATGACGACCAGCAAGAAACCACATGGCAAAAGGGCTGCCACCACGACAAGCTCTTGCATACGACGACGTCTGCGGTAAGTAACTGATGCATGGAAAACAACGTACCCTCGTGACTTCCGCTGGAGTTCACGCTCTTTGCGTGCGAGCAGAATCAATGTTGCATCGTCGCAATCTGCCGCTGTGTGTTCATTCAGATGGTTCGGCATGGATATGTGTACTTCCCGTGCAGGACTTGTGGCATCATCAGAATCAGCGTGTGGCTCTGAGAGTAGAGGTTCGGTCTCTTCCGTAGGCGGATGAGACATGCCAATCAGCGTACTAAGAGGCGAAAGTAAGTATTGATTGATACGCCGGCGCATGGCGTTGGTTTGCAACAACAAAATCGCCCGCGGGCGTCGGATACGGAAAAGAATGAGCCAGATAATGGCCGGAAGAATAAAGCCCACGAAAGCGCCGAATACACCCATAACCTCGATCGAGCGTAAAAATCGAAGCTCTTCACCTTCTTTCTCTTCCCGACGAAAGAGACCGCCTACGCCAGCGACATAGGCTGTTGTTGCTGTGATCGTCCATAACATAACTCCACCCAATGTGCTGCGTAAAAACTTGAATCGGCGCCAAGTCCGCAGTTCCGCCGTATCTTGCTCTGACAAGAAAGGCTGCGACGGACTACGCCAAGAGGAAGGCAGCCATAGCGGGCTTGATTGAGTGAAAGAGCGGCTCAGCTGCCGTTGAAACGTAGGGCGTCGATACAAGTGGGGCGTAGGAGGCGCAATACTGCGCAAAGGATGTAGATTCATCAAGTTCAAGAAGCGGCTCCAGCACGATCGCGCTGAGGCAAGGCACACAGATACATGTGCTGCGAGTAAGATCGCAAAGAGTATGCGTGCCACATTCACATAATTATCATCCAGCGGGAAGGCCGTGAAAAAGTTTGGGTGCAGACCACCTTGCAGTTCTTCTGTCCCAAACATACCGATCTCCACACTCATGAAGTAGACGACAGCCACTACCATGAGCACTTGCACAAACTGTGCAATGTGAAACGAAATAACGTTGGAGTCATACGCATGTTTTCGCCTGAGACTTCGGTTGTGTGCCAGGATTTGAGCTGGTGATGTACTCAATGTAAGCAATGGGATCATAGCTGTGCTTGCCCAGGGCCAGGCATACATATTTTCTTGCGGCATTGGAACAAACGTAGTCAATGATACGTCCTTTGACATGGGTGATCCACGTCGCAAGCTGGGGATAGTAAGATCATTCAGCCGAGCAAACATGATACCGATAACCGCTGGGTAGAACAAAAGCACTATCCATGATTGAATTTGGATAATGTTGCGCTTTGGCGTTGTCGAGAGAAGAAGAGGTAGGGTTAATGCACCTCCTACAGCCAGGGTAACGAAAGCACGGTCATGGAAGAGCTGGCCTGTTGCTGTGTAGTAGAAAGACACTTGCAAAAGCAAATCGGTCATAGCGTGGTAGGCAATAACAGCTGCCCCTGTGCAGTATATAACCAAGAGAACACTGCCAATACCATGTCCCAGATTCTTCTTCCAACGTGTATTCATGCCAAAGGCCCGACTTACTATGGCCTCAATCGTGTTACCGCCGACATAGCGGCCCAGAATCACCCACAGACCGCCACCAAAGCCACTTAGCAAAGCAATAAGGACCAGTATGATCATGCCTGGCACCTCTCCTGCCCTGGCAAAGTATACAGGCATAGCTAGCAGTACACCTGGGTGTAGACTTGACGAGAATAGGTTGACTGCCACATGTCCAATTGATAAGCGACCAGGCTCGGCGGAGCCTATAAGTAGTGTACGCCACCAATGCGTCACAGGTGGGAGTCGCGGTCCACGTCCATCTCGTGCAGGAAGCCGGAATATATTTTTACGCCGTTGTCTAGGGCGCTGTTCCTCTGACTGTTCATCATCGTCACTGTCTTCATCCCATACGTGGATTGTACCATGATGAAAATCATCATCTTCGTCATCATAGTCATCTTCCAATCCTGAACCAATATCAGCACAGTCATCATCTGCTGTGTGTATTTGAATTGTATCTTCTTCAGGGTATTCAGAAGGGCCAGGGTGAGATCCTATCTCAGCCTGCCCAGTGTCTGCCGTGGCGGACATGTCTGCCAAACGTGTTGGAGCACACGGGGCAGGAGGCCCTGTGGAGGCGCAACAAAAGTCCTACTCGAGTCTCGCTTAGCTAATGCGTCGTGAATGCCTTCTCGTTTACGCGCACGTCCAGATAGATACGCGCTGCTGGTCACGACGTGTGATGACGAGGGCGTCAGACTCTGAGGTGGTCCCCTCTTCGTCACCTATACCCTCGCTCCAAGCTAGATCGGGTGTGATTGAACTCTCCTCAGATGGGATTGAAGCACTTGTGAATGATGTACCTGCCCGTCTTCGTGCGTCTCTAAGTGGGTCGACGAATCCTCGCCCAGAAAAGCATGGCTTGTCTGTCTCGGACGATGATACCAACAAAAAATACGCCCGATTCGAGACGACTCTTCCGGACACAAGTGATATATTTGCCCTGGGATGGAGTGATGGGTGGGATCTCGATGATGCCCAACTCTTTTCGGATGAATCTTTACTCCTAACGTCCGACGCCCCGCCGTCTTCACCTATTCCAACCCCCGACTCCCTTCGTGCACCCCAAACGCCTGGAGAGATTTTATTACGATTTCTCGACTCTCTGCTGGCCGAGGAGGATGAATGTGGTCCTGACGCCACAGAGTTTGTCATGGTGGGCAGGTCCGAAGGCGAAATTGTCATCCTTCCTCGTGCTGCACAACAGCTCTATGGCTTGCTCAGTCACTGCGCACGCGAAACAGATAAAGCTATCTTACATGGTGGAAAAACGACAAGCTCCAAACCAGTTCATCTCCTAGATGTGGACACCACCAAACTACAGCGTCTAATCGCTCTTCTTGATACCACCATCCGGCGCACTAGTATACTAAGTTTGTCCGCTCCACTTGACGAGTATACGGTACGATGCTGCAATGCCGCACTGATTTGCGTGCGTAGCTGTCTTCTTATCTTTGCATACGACCAACTCCCCAAGTTCTTGTTCTCCGAAGAAACCTTATTGTTATGTGTGGATACACTCAAAGAGACTCTCAACCAGTTCATTTTACCTCTTGCCGATGCTTGCACCATGTCACCCAAGAAAGGATTGGCACTCAAACTCGAGAAAAACGAGATATCTGACTCGCTGCAAGCCCTCCTGGACATCCATTTTCGCCAGGTATGTGCCGCTACGTCCATGCTTGAGCCTCTTTTCTGCCTAAGCAGTCTGGCCATGTCTGAGACCTTCACGATCCGAAGTGTCTATCTCTGCATTGCGCCTTATATATCTTCTGACCTCGCGATCGGTCCCAAACGTGCTGTGCACTCACATTATCTGCAAGTCCATGCTCTACGTCCCCTTCGATTGGCATCGCTAGCAACTCTTCGCTCTATTATGGCTCGTTGCTCCGACCAACGTGTATGGATTATTACTCAGATACTTTCTTCCTCTCATCTCTTTCCTGATATGCGGCAGCGGAAGCGATGGTTCCGCCTGTCAAATGGACGTTCTGTATATATGATGACAGCTATCCTCTTGCAACTTCTACAGGCAGCCTCTTACTGTGCGCCTGCCCTCCTGGAACAGTCCTATGCTTGGTTCGATGAAGCTGAGATCAGGGCAGATAAAGAAAAACCACCCAGTCAAGAGCAGCAGGAGTTTCTACATGCGCTTGCTAGCTCACTGTCCGGTGCCTTGGTAAAAAATTGCAACAAAAGCAATGAGCTGAGTATTGATGACCAGCCTATGACCACTGTGGCTGCTGTAGTGGAAGACGTTCTCATCCTCCTGTTCCTGCCTGACTGGCCAGCAGCTAGCATCCTTCTTTCTACACTTACCAAGACATTCATCGTAGCCCTCCGTGAAACCAAAGGGCCCAAGGAGATCAAGAATGTTGCTCTTGACCAACTTGGTCTGATTGCCACAAGCATTAGGCAAGCCGAGCTAGCCATGCAAACAAAGCGCGCAAAGCGATGCGGCGAGCTTCAGTATATGTCGGACATTTGCCGTACATGCAATGTGAATGCGTTATACGACTTGGACGAGGCATATCGCTCTATCATTTACAGTATGCAACATGCCCGGAAAAATGATCCAGCTACGGAGGCTGCTGCTCGGTTTGTCCAGGCGCAATACCTTTATGAGCTCGCTTTGGCTCTACGATCCCTGTCATGTGATGACAATGCGACACAGGAATTTCTTGCTACGCTGACCACCCTTTCACGTCGAACGGAAGAGGCCCCATCACGCTTGCGCAAGGACTCTCACATACTTCCCCAACTTGTCTTGCACAGTACATTCTTTATACCCTATTCCAAAGTGCTTCATGTCATCTTGTCGCAAGTGAATTCCCAGGCGCTCTCACTCCGGACACGGTCCATGCGGGCTTTAGGCAGCATTTCGCATGTGGATCCGTCATTCTTGAGCAATGGCGATGTCCGTCGTGTGATCAGTGAGCATATGGTGGATAGCGGCGCAGCGATTCGGGAATCCTGTGTGGCTATATTGGGAGCTTTCTTGCTATCCTGCCCCAAGTATATCCCTACGTACTACGAACTGTTCAAAAGCCGTATGCTGGACACGGCAGTGAGCGTTCGAAAGCGTACAGTGAAGTTTATGCACGATGTATACTATGCCAGTGACGTGAACGAAGTAAAGACGGGTGCGGTGCTAAGTCTTTTGCAGCGTATGCAGGACATTGACCCTACTGTTCAAACGATGGCCTTTGAGTCTTTGATACAGCTCTGGCTAGGTCCTACATCCAAGGAAAATGTCTCTACGATTATGCATCAATTACTGACGGCTTGCCGGGTCTTTCATTGGAGGCCCTCCCCCCTGGATGAATTTTTACGGCGCCTCGGTGACGAGCGCAAAGACAGTGAAGAGATAGCAAAGCTGGCCCAGGTGGTCGACGAGATGCTGCTTTGCTGTGTGACGGACGAGGAGACTCTTACGTCGTTTCGAAGCTGGTCGTATGTGGTGCAAGCGATTGCCTCTGCCCATCCCAATGTGGTAAGCATCACGCGTGCCAAGCAGCTCCTTCCCTATATTGAAAACCCTGAATCTATTTCGGATGTGGAACGGATGGAAGCTTTGTTACGTATATTCATTGTATGCCTACCGCATATGCCCAGGACAGCTTTATCGTTTGCCAAGTCCTTAGAGGATATATTGGCCCATATGATCACGCACTGTCGAATCCATCCAAGCACGTCTCCATTCGAAGCCATTGTCCAATGTTTCTGTCTCACAATTGCCTACCAGACACATCACAAGGACCGCCTTGATCAGATGTTTGACAAGTGTATGAGACGATTTCGACGAATTACGTCGGCTGATACCATTTCGGCATCCCAGAAGATTGTCGTATACATTCTTGCGATGCTAGCCGGCTTTACTCCATCGTCTGTTTTTGACCCGGGCGTCACCACGTTGAAGATCCTATTTTCTCGTCTTTTGCAGCTGTACTCGACGGCTGCATGCGAGGGCCAGCAGCTCATGTTAGCTGCATTGGGCTACCTACTGAGGGCCCATCCTACGTTTTTCCTTGACCATGCCATGATCCCGATTGTTCACAAAGAGTTGCAGGGTGGAAACCGAAAAGAACTGCTTCTCCAACCTCTGCTAGACTATCTTTCGAACGACGAATATGGGCCACAGTTTGGGTCTGAATCTATTCGTGAACAGCTCCAAGGTCAAGCCATCAACGATGCGGGTCTGGCCTCTGTTCTTTTGCAACAGTTTGCTGAGGATATCCTGGGTGTGACTCTCCTGTTTCGTTATCGGACTGTGCAACACATGGCGATGGCGATTCTTCGCATCGCCATTCGCCAGGGCCTCATGCACCCTGTGCAATGTATACCCTACTTGATCGCCCTGGAAACAAGTGATGATGAGATGCTTTGTTTGCAAGCTGCTCACTTGCATCGATACTTATTTGCACGTCACGCGTCGCTGCTAGCTACACGCGTGAAAGAATGTGTACGAATGGCTGGGCGTATTCACGACACTTCTGGCAGATACCCTCGCGGGGCCCGGGTCAAGGATGCATTTCCGGAGGCTCGCTTCCAAACATGGTTTGATATTGTCTCAGAGCGTCGTTCTTCCCGTTTAGGGTTTCTTCGATCTCTGGTGCATACTATGGACGTGGATATGGATCGGCCATGCACGGAGGAAGATGTGGCCTGTTCGTTGTTTGTCGCTGACAACCTGGCCACCATGGAGTACCGTGTCGCCGAAGAGCCCCTGCTTGTTCTATATGAGCTGGCGCACCTCGAAGCGTCAACAGCCCAGTCCTTTACCAGTTTAGCGCAGCGTCGTCTACGTACAGCGGCCCATCAACGAGAGCTAAGTCCGTTGACGGACGAAGAAGACGAAGTGGCTCATTCCGATGCGAGCAGCGAAGAAGACCAGGCGTTAGCGACAGGAACTGACGATGCGGAGTCGATGTGTCCACTAAAGCGGAGTAGCATCGGCTCTTTGGCCTTGGCCGCTGCTCGCATTGACATCATTCGCGTGCTTCGAAAGCATATCAAGCATTTGTACAAACTGTCTGAATCCAAATGCGCCAAGTTTGAGCCGGACCGTCGTGCGCCGATGGGCGATCGTCCCATAGCAAGGATGGCGGTGTCGGACGCAGCCAAGGCCCTGACACCATGGACCAGTGACGATATCCCCCGGGCGCACGAAGAAGAGCAGGCCTTGGAGTACCTCGAAAGCTTTGTCGCTCAAGAGGACGACGTGGTGGCCAGTGAATCGGATAGCGAGTATGACTAACGTAGTGTCTATGTCGTTTTGGCCTTCTTCGCGGCGCGCTGGCCTTGGACACGGTAGATCTCTTTCATACGCTCCTTGTGTTTTTGTACATCGCCCTCTTCCTTCTTGGCCTGCTTCTTGTTGCGTTCTTCCTGGCGTTCCTGCCGCTTGGCTAGACGTTTCTGCTGCTTGGCCTTCTGCACGGCTTGCATCTGCTGGAGGAGGGCTACCGTATCGCGCTCGTCCTTCTCCATAACGACAGCGCGCTTTTGCAGATACGTCGGCTTGCGCTGCGCCTTGGTCATATGCGGCTTGCTGCTGAACGGCAATGCGGCCTGCAGCGCCTTCGGCACACGGAGCGGGTTGAACTTGCGTACTTCAGGTCGCTCCACTGGCTTGTACGTGGAGTTGACACGCAAGGGCGTCTTGATGTTCGCCTCTTTGCGCACCGTACCGGTGAGTCGCATACCTTGCCATTCGCGCTCCTGGTCACCACGCATCAACAGCGACGTCACCGGGTTGTAGAAGGTACGTGGCACAATATTGTACCATGCACGTAGGAAGACAATATCGCTCATAAGGATCTTGTCCTCAAACGTAGCACGGAACTGACCTTCCGGCTTGGCCAGCGCCTTCTTCACTTGGCCACGCAGACCTGACACCGTTTTGAGCTGCGCACCCTCAAACTTGGCCACTTCCAGTGGCGAGGAGAACATGTCTTTGATGAAGGCCGTGTTCTTGTACACCTTCGCAGGCGTACCTGTCAACTTGAGCTTCTTCACAATACGGTGCGATGCGCCATTGCCAGAGTCGACGTTGAGCACTACGCCAGTCGCACTGATCCGGAAGTTGGGAGTATCAGAAGACAACGTGTTAAACGCACAGAAACCTGTGTTGGGCAGACTCGCCGGGCCGTAGAATGAGGCCAAGCAGTGCATATGCTCAGGCGTATACTTCAGCATACGATTCCGTGTCCCGTCGTCCAATGTATAGATCGGCATACTTTGAAAACGACGCCAGCCCAAACTAAAGATCAATGGATCATTCGTCTTGAGAATACGTTTGTACCAGCGGTGCTTCTTGATACGCACTTGCAGGAAGCCAAACGTCGTCTCATTCGGAAGCAGGCCTCCCACCACGACAGGGTATGCCGGGTTAAAGTGCTCCACAAATTCACATGGAATGTTCGCAATCTCCACACGGACATAGGTCCCTGGGCGGTACCCCTCAATCTGGGCACGTGTCGACTCATCTTCATCGGCAAACTCCGCCTGGTTCATCTCTGCTTGGCGAGCGAGCTCCTTCTTTTGCTCAGTGTACCAATCGTCCTCGGCCTCCTCTTCGTCGTCATCGTACTGCTCATCAAACTTGCGCTTGAGAGCCGCTTTCTTCGCAGCCAGAGCCTGCGCCTTGGCCTCTTCTGACTCTTCTGGCGTGGGCTCTGCATCCTCGGCCGCTGCGCCCTCACCCTCCGCTGCCTCATCAGCCTCGCCTGTGATAAACAGATGACGAATGGAATCCAGTCGGTCTTCTTCATTCCATGCATCCAAGGCACCTTCCCGGAGCACAGGCCGAGCCTCATCCGGCACATCGATCATTACAGTAGGCATTTCGTTCTCGACCTTGAGGAAGAAGTCCTGATCCTCCTCCTGTGCCTCCAGCGTCTCGTCTTCTTCCTCTGCATCCTTCCCGCTAGCGATGGATTCAGGCGAAAGATCCGAGTCGTATACCAAGCGCATCAAATCACGCTTGCGACGGCGATTGGCCAGAACCGTTTCTTCGGCCCGCGCAGCCAGATTCGTCTTCCATGGAGCCATGTCGATCCCATCGTCCAGATCCGAGTCACTGTCTGCATAAGCCACTTCCTCGTCCTGCGCATCATCGCCGTCGTTGCCTTGCCGCGCGAACCCCTCTTCGTCGTCGTCATCGTCATCGTCCTCCTCCTCCTCCTCCTCGTCGTCGTCGTCACCTATCATATCCATTTCGCCATTGGCAAAGACAGCACGCCGGCGTGTACGTCCGACTTGCACAGGCGCCTCGGAGTCGCCAAACAAGCGGAGTTCACCCTGCGCAGCACGATCGCCCAACGTCGTCTCAGAGTCCTGTAAACTCATAATCATACGCTCCCCTTCGCCGACATTCTCCTCTTCTGCGCCCTCCTTCTTCGTAAAGTGGCCCGGCACATTAATATACACAGCGTCTTTATCGAACATTACGCCACCCACGTCGCTCATAGGTGCATGAATCAGCTTTTGCTTGTCGCTCAGTTTCCGTCTCTTTTCACTCTCCTGTGTTGGCAGCGGGCAAGGATCAGCGAGTCGCTCAATCGAGGCAATGGTCAGATCACCCACACCAGGAATGTGGATAGGCTGCTTATCACGCAAATGAGTGCCGCGCACGTAGCCATACACAGTGATGGTACGATCCATCTTGGGGTTCGCTTGCACGAGATCACGCGGCGTCAGTTCTTCCATACGGTCTGCCAGGAAATACGGATGCTGGTTTCGGAAGATGAGGGGACGGAATTTCATCACACTGATGAAGCGACACAGGTTCTGGATTTCTGTGTCAGGGTATCGACCGTTAATAATGCCGGAGAGATAGAAGAGCTTGGCGCCCTGGTAGATTTCCGTCCAGAAACGGTGTTTCAGGCGTTTCTTTGCCGCACGGAGCGTCTTTTGCTTCTTGATCAAATCGAGATGGGTCAACACGCCCATGACTTTCGGAAACCCATGCGCCTGCAGCACATTCAAGAACTCCATGGTCTCCATCTCGAAGCCAAAACTGCCATCGATCATTAAGAGCACGAGATCAGCAATCTTGCCGATATCAATCATCGAGTTAATATCATTGTTGCATTCAATAAATGTGATGCGCCGTGCCTTCCCACTGACAACCGTCACAGGGCCAGTGATGGTGGCAATCGTATGCTTGGTATAACGACGAATCAGACTGCGCATAAGTGTCGTTTTTCCGACACCTTCAGGGCCTACCACCGCCACAATTACAGGCGGGGGCTCCTTTTCAGGTGTGCGATCGACCAGGGGCACATGCAACCGTTGCTGATCCAGCTCGGCCTTGCGGCGGATCTGCTTGTCGGCAGCAAAAGGATGAGCCGCAATAAATGCCTATTTGTCAGCCAAGCACAAACAATACATACCTTAGGATTGAATCCGCCTGCATGCCGGTCCTTGGCCTTGGCTTTCGCCTTGGCCGACTTAGGACCGGCTTGCGCGGCGCGATGGGCGCGGTGGACCTGCGTCGCGTCCGCCATCGTCACTAGCAAACGCACTGACGCTGCGCGACAAAAAAAAAGTTTCGATGCCATTCGGCCGACGTCGACGCTGAGCCTCGAAGCCCTGCCTCCCACGTGCGAGACGAGACGAGGGTGGCAAGGCGTCGTCAGCGCGGCGAGAGGGCCGTTGAGGATTGCTCTTGACTGCCATCATGCCTCGCTCCTCGCGCTCTGGTACTCGCCCTGCATCACATGCCCCGCCGCGCTCGGCTCCCTCGGGATCGCGCGGTATGCACACTATGTCGGCGCCTCCGCAGAGCTTCAAGGCGCCTCCGCAGTCTCGTGCTGCACCTGCGCAGCACCATGCAGCCCCACCTCATCAAGGTCCCACTGTCGTATCCCAAGGTCCTGGCATGTTCGGACAGATGGCCTCCACGGCAGCCGGTGTGGCTGTTGGCTCGGTACGTCTTCTTTCTACCATACATTCATACTAACCATGCAGACTGTGGGCCACGGTATCAGCAACATGTTGTTCGGTGGCCGCCACGCTGAGCCTGCGCCAGCTGCCGAGGCCCATCCGCCCGCAGCACAGTACGACCAGTCGTTCTCGCAGCAGCCCACTGGCATCAACTGTGACGTGCAGAGCAAGGAATTCCTACAGTGCCTGGAGAAGACCAACGACATGAACGCTTGCTCGTACTACCTGGAGCAGCTGAAGGCTTGCCAGGCTGCTGCTCGTGGCTACTAATGGACATATATAGGTGCTGAATAGGTATCTATGTGATTGTAATAGGAGTGCTTGGCTGATACAAGTGTGCCAAAATCCAGTCGCCATTGAGAACATCATTGGTATCCGCTGGTAATGTCAAAACTATGTTGCCATACGTACCTTGATGAGTTGCACTCTCCTCATTGGCGCAGATCCCAGCTAGGACATGCCGGAGAATGACTCGACTGCGCGCAACGTTGCGAGGCACTTGAAGTATATAGCGCAGGTCCCAGCATGCAGCAGCCTCGCGCCATGGCGCCACGTCTAAGCAACAATACAGGCCCTCGACCAGGACGATGGAATGGGTAGGCAAGATCGTAATACCGTCAGGCACAGGATCTTTGAGCTCATGGGAGAATGAAGGCGCTTTGATCGTGGTGTTTTGGTCATTACGAAGCCGCTTCGCAAAAGCAACGAAGCCCTACCATGTCAGTACACATGAGTACATACGTCTGCATCAAAGGTAAAGGCAGCACCACGGCGATGATGCGCCTCCGCAGGATCCTCAAAGGTATCCAGCACAGCGCGTGGGTAGTGCCAGCCATCCATGCCGACACATATGCAACAGCCACTTCGCTGTTGTTCTATAGCTTGAACGATGCGCAACGCCAACGTAGACTTGCCAGAGCCGGGGATACCTGCAAGTCCGACTAAGAGCCGTCGCGAGTTGTCTAGGCTTAACCATGAGTCACTATAATCTTACGTACGTATCACGACGAGCCAACAGCTCGCAGACTACGTGTTCGACACATTCATCCATGAATGTAGGGAAGGAAGGTGGGTGTACAGTACACGTGACAAACCAGGCAGGAGGGGGACAGGGGAACGATCGAATAGGCCAGCAGCGGATAAAAGAAACGGTGCTAAGCTGTCGGGATGCCTGATTGCGTATCTTCTGGCAAGGATGCAGGGGCAAGGTTCGTTACAGGAGGTCAATAAATCCATCAAGAACAATCCGTACATCTTCCACCGCACACAAGTCTTCGAGGAAAGGACACAAGTCTGTCAGCTCAGTGTCATGAGGGTCGTTGAACCAGCTGGATACAGGTACCGCATTGGTCGGGTGGAAAATGTAGGAGGCCGGAGAATTGTCGAGGATGATGGTATCATTCAATGGACGGCCCAGTTGAGAGAGATCTTTTACATAGGTACCATGGTGGTTGTAGCATGACTCACGGAAAAGACGGTGACGAACGACCTGGTGGATATCCAAAATGTCGATCACAGGGTCAGCATATTTGTTCAGACTGGCTGTAAAGATCACCACTTCGTATAGTTGGCCCATAAGACGCATAAATTCGTCCACACCCGGTCGTTTGATCACATAGACATTGTGTACCACACCTTCGATTTCCACAGGCACAACGAAATCCGCGTTGGGTACCATCTTGAAACTGCTGTGCACAAGTGTCTCGTCCAAATCAAGGACCAAGCATTTTCGCGAAGCCTCCAGGCCCGTCGCAGGGACGAGCAACGGACATGGCTGGCCATATTCATCCACAGGGATACCTAGGCCACCTTGTTGAATCAACTGCTGCTCTTCGGCAATCATCTCTTGCTCCAATTCAGGGTCAATGTACCCGGCCGCCACAGGCATACCATTTTGGGGGACTTGCGTAATGATGTCCTGGGAAAAGTCGTCCAAATCATCAGTCATATCAGAGCTGCCTGCCGACGTAGCCATGCTACTGCGGTTCCCCGCACTGGGCACGGTAAGCACCGCCGAGTTCCGCGTAGTGTCAGCCATGTTCGCCGAGGAATCACCCATGTGCGTAGACGCACGCATAGACGGTGTTTTCATTGGTACAGTTTCCGCCGCATGAAGCTCGTCTGCCGGCGTGGCAGGGAGTGTCGACCGCCTGTGACTGGCGGACGGCGGAAGTGACGGCGTCTTTTTATCGTGGCCATCCACCGCAGCGGCCACAGTCGAAGATGAAGAACCACATGTCATCATCGCAAACCACTTGCGGAGTCCACGCAAACGCGTATCCGGACCTGCATCGGCCGCTTGTGTGTCATCCATGGCGGGCGCAGGCGGCCGTGGGCCAGGTTGGGAGCGTGGCCCAGAAGGTGGCATGGCTCGTGGGCGCAATTCCATGTTCTGCATAGAGTGCGACTCAGGCATAAGAGGCGCAGGGGATGAGGTATGCTGAGCCACTGCCATGTGCGATGAAGACGAGGAAGGCGTCATCGGTGCTAGCGGAGGAGGTCCCTGGCCATGTGCATAGGACGTCCGACGCAGAGCTACTGCGGTCGACAAGCCTTCGTCGGCATCAGACTGTGTGACTTGTACAGCTGGTACATGCATGCTGGAGCGTGAGTTGGCATCCGCAGAGGCAGGGGCATCAGAGTACATCTCCGACGAGGTGGGGCTCTCTTCTAACATGGGGCGCAGGGTAGCGCCTCCTTGTTCGGAAGCGACCAAAGCCGATTGCCCCCGGATAGGCGCACCGAGTGACAAATTGGACTGTGCAGCGCCCGACACGGGACGCGCTGGGCGTATGGTACGTGTCGACATGGAGCGTGATGCAGACTCCGGTGTGGATGAGGAGGCTGATGCTGCTTCGGCCCCCGGTACAGCAGGTGGATAAGACGAATGTCTTCGTGCTGGTGTGTCGGATGATGGTATGGTCTGACTCATAGTGACCTACACCTGAAAATCGACAGCGTGTTAAACTTGGCACGAAGGCACGTCCTGGGGAAAATCTCGAGACGCGAAATGTGAGACGCTCTCACCTAAAAAGCGGGCGGCAAATTTTGACTTGCCAGGCTGGGCCAGTCCGCTACCGTGCCAGGCAGGTCTTCGTGGGCCACGGCATCACATGATAGGCTTGCGCGAAACCAGCGCCCTTGGCTGCACGTGGCGCTGGGGAGGCTGGCCGGCACCAGCCAAAATCTCAAAAAAATGATCCAACTCGCAGCCCATCCGTGCTCGCACGGTGACACGCGGATTGAGAAGGATGAGCGCGAGTCGTACTACGCAGGCTGCGTCAGGGAGCGACTCGGAAGACGAAGTGGTACGTTCTATATAGGCTCATCGCAGGACTTTATCAATGTCGAGTTCGATTTTCAGGCGCCCAACGAGATTGATTTTCAAGCGCTGAAGCGACTGTTCCAGCAGCTTTTCTATACACACGCGCCCCAACTGGATCTGGGCGTGCTGGCCGACCATGTGATCGAGCAAGCACAGAGTCGAGGTGTAGGCACGGTGGTCAAGGTCGACGATCTCGAGCAGGTCCATGATCCGTATGCTGTGATGAGCGCGTTGCTGCTTGGCCCACCCTCGCCCGCGCAGGCGTTGGTGCATTCGTACTTGGCAACGCAGCTACGTCGTTCTGCCTCTGCTCAGTCACTGCTTGCTCTACTCGAACAAGCCTCGGCTGAGAAGCCACTGCTTTTCGTTGTGCATGAGCGTATGATCAATTTGCCGCCACAAATCACACCGCCGCTCATCCAGATGCTGCTGGAGGAGTGCCAGGAGCTGCAGGAAGAGACATCAGCTCCGACGCCGACGCATGCCCTCTTTTTCTCGCGTGCCTTCTCGGCTGATGCGCTCGACGAAGGAGACGACGAGGACGAGGAGCCTACTGGCTTAGCAGGCGCCCGAAAGCGCAAAGCGCGTGGCGCACATGCCCACCCTGACGATGCAGCAGCAGCAGCACTGGGCAAGAGTGTATCGAACAAGAAGCGCACAGGCACCGGCCTGGACGATGGCTTAGGCTCGTTCCACCCAGAAGACGAGCTAATTCGTCCCTTTGCAACGCATGCTCACACGTTCCGTTTCCCAGCGCCGCGTGATGCGCCGGATACGTACGAAGCGCCCATCTTTGGCCGACTCATGGCAGTGCCGTACACGCACCTCCCGGCGATCCTAGAAAAGATGCAGAGTGTGTGGCCTGCGCCCGCCTAAGTTCATACGTCGTTCATTATACATACATAGTGTGCCTACTTACAGGTATGCGTCTTCGTCCATATCGGTATTCGCACCCGATGCCACAAGGATATCGAGACCGTCGCCAGCCTCGTTGACATGCACTTCGATCTCGTCACCTTCCCGCACCTTACCTTGGATCAGGTCCGAGGCAAGGGGGTTCAGCAAGCTGCGCTGGATCAAGCGGTTGAGTGGACGCGCACCATACGCTGGATCGTAGCCCTTCTTGGCAAGCCAGTCTCGCGCGGCATCGTCGACGTGCATGCAAATGCGCTTGTCGTACAAACGCATATCCACTTCGTTGAGGCGGATCGAGACAATGCCGTTGAGCGTTTCCGGTGCCAAGTTGTTGAAGATGATCTGCTCGTCCAAACGGTTCAGCAGCTCAGGCGGGAAGGCCCGCTGCACTTCTGCCATGACTTGGGTACGCGACTCTGTCGTGGCATGGCCCTTTGCGTCCGTCGAACCCGGGGCGTAGAGCACTTCGGCACCCACATTCGACGTAAGGATAATGATGGCCTGGCGGAAATCTACCAGGCGTCCTTGTGAATCTTGCAGACGGCCCTCGTCCAAGATCTGCAGAAGCAGTGTGTGGATACTGCGATTCGCCTTCTCAATCTCGTCAAAGAGCACCACCGAGTACGGCTGACGACGCACCTGCTCCGTAAGCTGTCCACCATCTTCATGGCCCACGTAGCCAGGCGGCGCACCAACCAGTTTCGATACGGAATGCGACTCACTCAGCTCGGAGCAATTGATCTGGATCAACTTCTCGGAATCAAAGAGGAACTGTGCCAAGCCCTTGGCCGCCTCCGTCTTGCCAACACCCGTGCCGCCCAGGAACATGAACGAAGCGAGAGGGCGCTTGGCAGAGTTAAGACCAGCGCGACTCAGACGCACAGCTTGGCCAATGGCCTGAAGAGCCTCGTCCTGGCCAACAATACGCTTGCGCAGCTCATCTTCAATGCCCATCAAACGCTCGCGCTCGCCCTTGAGCAGATTACGTACAGGCACGCCTGTCATTTTCGCCACAACCGCCGCGATATCATCACTCGTCACTCGCTCATGGAGCAGGGTATTCTTGCGCTCCGCATGCTCTTCTTCCTTCGGCAGCTGCGCCTCCAGCTCGGGAATGCGGCCGTACTGCAGCTCGGCCACACGTTGGAAGTTGCCTGCACGTGTGGCCTGCTCCAATTCAATGCGCGCCTCTTCCAGCTGTTCTTTTGTGGCCTTCACTTGGTCGAGCTTGTTGCGCTCTTCCATCCATGCGGATGTAAGCACTGCGTTCTCACTCTGCTTCTCACGCAGCTCCTTCTCTACCGCTTTCTTGCGGTCCTCCGAGAGCGGATCTGCTTCATGACGAAGCGACTCAAGCTCAATTTGAAGCGTCAAAATATCACGATCCAACGTCTCAATAGACTCAGGCTTGCTTTCCTGTTGCAGACGCAACATGGACATGGCTTCGTCCAGCAAGTCAATCGCGCTATCCGGCAGCTTGCGCTCGGTCAAGTACCGCGACGCATAGTTGGCCGCTGTCACCAGCGCACCATCGCTAATGCCCACACCATGGTGCACTTCGTATCGCGAGCGGATACCTCGCAAAATGGCAATGGTAGACTCAGGCGATGGCTCCAGCACCGAGACCGCTTGGAAACGACGAGCCAACGCAGGGTCCTTTTCAATGTACTGACGGTACTCGTCGTACGTCGTCGCACCAGCACATTGAAGCACACCGCGTGCCAGCATAGGCTTCATCATATTCGCCGCATCCACCGAACCTTCCGCCTTACCGAGGTTCAAAAGCATATGGAGTTCATCAATAAATACAATGACTTTTCCGTGCTCAGCCTCAATATCGCTGAGTAGCGCCTTAAACCTTTCCTCAAAAGCGCCACGAAACGAGGCACCCGCCAGAAGAGCGCCAAGATCCAACGCACAAATACGTTTGTCTTGCAGTGACTCAGGCACCTCTTTGTTCACAATACGCTGCGCCAAGCCTTCCATAATGGCCGTCTTGCCTACACCGGCCGGACCGACAAGCACAGGATTGCACTTCGTACGACGAGAAAGCACCTGAATAGCACGTCGGATTTCACTATCACGGCCAATGACCGGATCCAACTTGCCTTCGCGTGCGAGTTTGGTCAAATCTTGCGAGTACTGCGCGAGCGTCTCGCCAGGCTGCGCCCCCTGACCTTGCATATTCATGCGCATACCAGGAAATCCACCGCCACCACCCGGTGGCTGTTGAGCACGCACAGCGGATATGTGAAGAGAACGTAGGGACGACCTGGTGGCAAGAGGCACCCGCGCCACCATGGGCGTTGAGGCTGTTGCCACACGCGCCCCAGCTACAATCCTAGCTGGTTGTGCACGCAACAAAGACAATGTAGGAAGTTTTTGAAGGGTTGACATTCAGAAACAGAATCACCAGCGCGCGCGGAGCTTGGGGAAGAGTGGTATTTATGTGCCTGGCCATTCTGGATGGTCTGGCCGAGAACCATCTCGAACGCACGGCCCAGCATATGCTTATGTAAGCAGATAAAAAGAAGGTGCGTCGTCGGTACCTTGTGGTTCACGAGCGCGGATCGTGTAAATTCTCGCGTGTGACAGGTGCCATGTTCCCCTCACGTGTACCTCTAGGGAAAAACGCGGAGGCTGCGCCTCGTGTATGCCAGCGGTGTGAAAAGCCCGGACATGCTATCTATGAATGCAAGAATCCGCGGCCGTACAAGTCCAGACCGACACGGTCCCAAGTGCTCAAGAACCCAGCCTTGGCCGAGAAACCGCCATCACGCACGACAGAGATTCGAAGGTGTGTATGACGAGTGTACGAGCTCACAATAGGCCTGGCCTAGCTACAGAAATCCTGGAAGAGCGCGAGAAGGCGCGTAAGGATTCGGGGCGCTATGAAACACGGAGCAGATCATCGTCCGTTTCCTCTACGGACTCATACAGCAGCCATCCGTCATCGTGCAGTACATGTACACCCATGTCACCACGAGAGGAAGACCGACGGTCTCGATCACCTTCTCCTATTCGACGACGTTATGATACCAGTCCATCCAATAACGAAACCCGGAAATAACTTTGCGCCCTACTTTAGCATTGCTTTTAAAATAAAACTCTTTTGATACCCTCTTTATGCCTACAGATCTACCGACACACCCTCACCTTCTCAGAAGGCAAGAACAATTGGGATTGCCGCCATGCAGATAGACGTATGGGATGCATCAAACCAAACTTTTGACGGTCCCTCGCCGAATTGGCTTCAAATCCACTTTTTCCTGAACTAGGCTGTGGCACCAACCAATAGTATGGAAAAGAAAATTAGACGCGCATAACTCGAAAAGAGATTTTGGAAACGCCTCCCGTTGCTAAGTGACCATCTTGCACGCTCCTGTTGCCCTGTGATGCTCGATCCGCCGCTGTATTCCCAAAAGAAGGCAGAGGGGGTCACTACAGTACAACCATCAGGTCATAAGGCAGCGCCCAAGGCTGGGTCGGAGACAAACAATCGTACCAAGTCCCAGGACCCTGCCGCCAATGCGTCAACAGCCTCAGGCTCTGGCGTGAAAAAAGCACGATCTCAACAAGCCCAATCCTACGCTGCAGCACAGCAAGCGAACGCGGCACGCCGAGAAAGAGAAGAATGGGAGCGTACCCGTGGTGCTGGCAGCAATGTACTTTTATGGTATGAAGATCTACGGGTCAAGCGTTCTCGTATCTTGGACCATTTTAAGTGGACAGCGCCGGAAGTAGTACCACCGATTGAGGAGATCCTGGCCAAGGAGTCGGAGCCACAGGAGGTCATCGGCATGGATCGTCTTCTTGACTGGGGTTTGTGCGATTATACGATTCTGCCTCGGACGCTAGGCCGTGGACGTTTCTCTACGGTTTACCTTGCCGTGAAGAACGGAGAGCGGTACGCTGTAAAGCATACACCTCTATTCCCGCACCATGAACTAGTAGCGACGCGACTCCTTCGCGAGCCTACGCTACTGGCGGAGCTGCCACCTCATCCCAACTTGGTACAAGTGGTAGAGACGATTCGTACGCCTGGTCACTTTTACCTGGTGGAAGAGTTCTTGGAAGGATATGTCACCGTGGAAGCACTTATCACGAAACTTAATATCACAAAGCCGCCCGCGGCACCTGTGCTTCCGTATGATGTCGCTGAGAAAGTCTTTGACCAACTTGTCTTGGCCCTGCATGCCATTCACACCCCGTTGCGTGTGTGCCATCGCGACGTGAAGCCTGAAAACATTCTTGTGCACCCAGAAACACTCCAACTGAAGCTTCTCGATTTTGGATTGGCAACGCACTTTAGCCGCAGCCGTGCGAAGCTAACCACATGCTGTGGCAGTCCCGCCTTCCACTGCCCCGAGATTGTGGTGGCGTTGTCGCAGCCGCCTGGTACAAGCCCATATTGGGGGCCAGAAGTGGATGCATGGACTTGTGGCGTCACATTGTTGCGGTGTCTCTCAGGTATCCGTTACCCCTTGGGTACGACACACACATCGCCGGCAGCCATGGCAAGTCGTGCGAAAAAGGTTTTGGCGTCGCTTCCTGATACGCAGCTTCGTCACGATATCTCGCTCCTGTTGGATCTCGACGCTGAACAGCGTATGCAGAATTTCCAAGACATTGCCGATCGGATTCTGAACAATATGAGCAAGCCACCCGTACGCACCCGTCGCGAAATGAAATGCACGTCCTTCATTCCTGCACCGCCTCAGCATGCTATGGTTTTGCCATTGGTACTGACCAAGGAAACAGAGCTTTATCGGATGGGGGATTTGCCATTCCCAGGCGCCTCGTCGTACTCGCAAATGACGCTTTTGAACACGTCGCGTCAGCCCAGCCAACGAGTGCTGTCGTTTATCAAGTACTGCTTCCGATGTGCTGGCATTTTGTATCATACCATTCCCATCCACAAGGCAGCCGAGGAAGCGTCTATAACTTCGCACCCGAACTGGCGTCCTGAGGCATTGACCTCGTGCACATTCCAGTGTGTAGTGGAATTGCTCGAAGACGAACAAGTGGGCCCCTTGTCGCAGCTGTACAATTCCGTCATGTCCCTGTTTGGCCAGCAGAAAAAGACGGAGCACCTGGTGAAGCTGCCTTCACGGGCCTTGGACCCTACGGCGCGAGATGAAGCAGTACGTCCCAGCAGTGGCCCCTCAGGTCGGCAGGGCCGCCTGAAGATGCTGGTGTTCTACATGGTCGTGGCCTTCCCAAGCCACGGCAGTGAGACGCCCTTGCCTTCTAATATGGACTTGCCTACGCCGGAAATGATCTCCAATGCGCTCCAGCACCGTTTTGCGCCAGCGAAGATGCAGACACCTTCAGCTTCGCGCCGAGCAAGCTCCGAAGAGCCGGAGCTGTACATTGATACACAAGTGGATCGACTGCCTAAGCCGCAAGTCGTCAGCTCGCCGCGCCATGGCCACCGAACGAAGTCAAGCGCGCCACGTACACCAAAGCTCCCGCCGCGCCATGGCCACCGAACGAAGTCAAGCGCGCCACGTACACCAAAGCTCCCGCCGCGACCCAAAACGGTGCAAGTATACGTGTCCGATGCGCGTGTGTTGCCATACGTACGGGGCGCGTTGAGCAACGGTGGCCTGCTCAAATCCAATTCGTTTGCTACCTCTGAAAGTAGGCCGGCCTCGCCATCGCCCTCTACGCCGTCCCCTCGCTCGGGCAGTACGACCCCGGAACCAAAACACGATCGTATTGGGCCTCATGAACTGGGTACCTCGTTGGAAGCGATCGAGAGTTCGTGTCGCTCCCTGCTCGCTCGTCGTATCTCGCCCGATCGTGAAGATGTGGATGATACATATGCCCATCAGCTGTACATGCTAGTATACCGATTGTACCGTGGTCTCGAGATCACCTTGGAAGGTGATCATGCCGACGCGTTGCAGCAGGAAATGTCCAAGTTGAATTTCCGGGCGTTGTCCGTGCTAGGACCTGTGCTAGCCCTGGTCAGCGAGCATGATCGAGCGCCGAATTCGCCCACTCGACCGAAAGATGTGCATGCGTTGAGCACTACAGGCAGTTTGGCCCTTGGTATCCTTGAGCTGTTTAGTGGTAGCAGCAGTGCCAAGGAAATGTGTTTGGGCTTCCAGGAGCAAATTGAGCGTCTCAGTTTGGCATGGCGTGCGCAGGATTATGAGACGATACAGCCGGATATGGACACGGTAGCGATGCTGGCGTGTGATGGCCCGGTCCTCGTCCAAGCCGCGTTAGGCCAGCTCCAGCGTCTGGCGAATTTGGTCCCTTCCATTAAAACACGCAAACCGCTGCCGCTGATCGAGTCTGTCCTGGGCCCCTTGTACCCGGGTGTGTACCGTGACGTGATTGTGGATGCCTTGAGCACTATGGACGATTTGGACACACGCGAGGACTTGGCTACGCAGGCTGCGATCGTGCTGGGTGAGTTGATTTTGGGTCTCTCGTCCCTGGCGCAGCAGGTGGACGAAGAGTCGCGACCTCCGTTGGGCAATACATTTATGGAGGCGCTCTGCTTGCTCATCCCCTACTTACCAGTGCCCCTGGAGAGCCAAGGATCAGCGTCCCCGCTCCTCTCGATGCAGTCAACCAAGACAGAAGGCATATCCCCACGTATCACGGTGTGGAACATTGTACGAAAAACGCTGGACCAGTTGGACATTGACTTGGGCGAGCGGTGCTTGGGCCCCTCTGACCTGACACATCTTCCACGTGCGCCGCCGTCGTACGAAAATTCGCGGGGCTACTTCCTTGTACTGGTGCATTTGCTGGCCTATGAAGCATTCATGACACGTGTCAAGGGCAGCACGCGCGAGCGATTGCGTGTCGCAACCCGATCACGCAAGCGTCTGTCGGATCCGCAGCATTGGAGCACCGATGTGGCGCAGGAGCTCTTGAGTCGTTTGGCCTCGGTGATGCCAGGTACATTGGTACCTGGCTTGGGCCCCATGGATGTCACACTCTCAGCTCGTACATTGGCCTGTGTGCACGATGTGGATTTGTGCGATGCGATTCTCGCCATGTCGCAGTGGTGTGTTCATGCGCTGGCCAACGATGCACGAACACGTACGCAGCTGGACGACGACTGTGCAACATTCATGCTACGGGTCCTTGCTTCGATTGCCACGTACAGTTCAGAGGCACGGCTACGCCAGCCGGCCTTTGCTCTCGTAAGCTGTCTACTGTGCTACCACAGCAGTGACGATGTTACGCTACGCTTGATACGTGAGATGATGGCGCCTGAAGCGCCAGCGCCGCTGCGTGGCGGGACCGTTCACCTCGTCCGCGACTTGGTAGCCGATCGACTCGACCGTTTGGAAGCAGGGATCGTGTACTCAGACGCACTCTTGGCCGATGGCCGGTTGTGGCGGGCGTGGAATGACGAGCTGTTTGTGCTGCCGAGTGGCCAGCCTACCCCTCCGCCAGAGCGACCTGAGAAGCCCAAGAAAGAGGAGGCGGCGAGCGAGGAGGATGACCTTGCTCCGCTCACCGCATACCTGACACAGCACCTGACCTACTTGCAGGAGTGCTGCTCTCTCTTCTATTATGTGCATGTGCGTGATGCCTCGCACAACTACACCGGCATGCGAGACGGTGCCACGTATGTGCGCTTGGTTGAACGCTTCGTACAGCCATTGGCAGCGTGGACGACACAATGGCAAACGTATCTTCAAGAACATTCTCTGTCCAATGACACCGCATTGATGGGTCTCGCACTTCTGGAGACAGCCGTAGCCCGACTGCAGCCATCAGGGGACGGAAGTGCAGGCGCCAAGTAGTAGAACCAAACTACGTAGCATGTAAACTATTTTATGTATACCGAAGAACAAGGCGTCGCGTCAAGTGCGTTTTTATGCCGACGCCTCCGCCGTCTTCTTGTTCTTCTTCTTCGTCTGGCGCACACTGGTAGCCAGCAGAGACTTGATCTCCTCACTCTGCACCTCCTTGTCACTCTGCACCTTCTCAGCAGAGTACCACGTCGGGGCAGGGGTAAGACGGATCGCACCCTTCGCGTTCACAGCCACAGTGAAGAACACCTGCGCAGTGATCGCCGAAGCGTTCGCGTCCACCAACACCTGGAAAGGCGTCACCAGGCCGTGGTTCGCGCACTCCTGCACACCCATACGAGCACGCTTCTCGTCCTCCAGCGCACGGAGGTTGAAGGGGAAGGCGCCAGCCTTCTTCTGGATCTCCGAGAACACCTTGCGCGAGGTCGCCATCTTCAGCAGGTAGGTAGCATTGGTCTTGCGGTAGATCGAAGTGAACGTGTCATCCGACTTGCTCTTGCCGTCCGCCGAGGTAGTCACGACAATGTCCACACCGTACACTTCGTTCTCCTCCAGCTTGCAGGCATCAGGGCGCGAGGTGCCATCACCACCGAACGCGATCTTCTTCTTGCCCGAGATCTCGTCCTTGGCGAACTGGTTCGTCTGCATACCGTCCACACCACGCACATCAAACTCCTTCACGGTCTGCTCGACCTGCTTCGCAATGTCGTGGTTCAACATGCCGGGACGCATCAGGCGAATGGCCACATCAGCCGCAGTGTGCGCAGCCTTAAGCACGTCCGCAGCACGGCCCGTCACAGGCTTCTCAGCGCTGGCGCCGACAACCACCGTCTCACCGACAACGGCCGCGTAGCCGTCAATTTGCGCACCAAGCTGGAACTTGACCACATCGCCGGCCTGGAGCGCCGTCTTCGAGGCATCGTCACTCGGCAGCGGAGCATAGTTGCACACCACGTTGTTGATCGAGACTGTCGTGGGGAACGCAAGACCCTTGGCCATCTTCTTGTCCTTGTACACAGCCGAAGTGCCCTGCTCAACAGCCTCGTCACCGAGCTGCATAAGCTCCAGGACCGTCTTGCCCTCCTGCGCAGCATCGATCACAGTGCGGATGGCCTTGGCGGCAATCTCACCGGCCGTCTTGTACTTGGTCAGAGTCACGTCAAAGTTGTCTGCGGCGTCCGTCATGGTAGAATAACGTCTCTGGATGGAGGGCCGTCGACGTCTTACGCAAAACGAGAAAAGTATGCACGTGACGTACAGGGGCGGGGGAACGGTACGCTGAAGTTGGCTCGGACCAGCCTGCTTTCCCCACATGGGCTGTAAAGTCGCCGCCCCTTCATGAATCCATTAAAAAAAAAAAAAAAAAGCTATAGAATTACTTGCCAGCATTTGGTCGTAACTTGGACATCATCTTCTTGATCCCATTCATACCTGGGACACGGCCGTTGGATGAGGAAGTTTGGGATGAAGAAGGCTCCGTCTGGAACCGCGCCAAACTGGAAGAGTCTGGCACATTGACCAAGGGACTTGCAGTATGTCCACGACGTGCACGACGTGCTGCCGCACGTTGCCGCTCTTCATTTTGCAAGCGTAGCGCGAGAGCATAGTCGTCAGACTCGGTACTATTCGCCACATTGCTTTGATCTACCATCCGGGCCCATTCTGCCTCGGAGCGGATGACCTGCTGGAACTGGCCATCAAAGTACCGCGTCTCTTGTCCGGTGGTGTCTTCCAAACTTTCCCACACAATCTTGTCCTCCATCAAAAAGATGGAATCAGAGACCAACGTGAACAGGGATGGCGTCGACATACTGCCTTCGTCCGCTCGACGGTGGTACAGCACCGAGAGATGCGAGTTGCGGAACAGTACAGCCAACTGACCAGGTGCGAGAATTCGCTTCAGGGCGACAACACCGGCCGGTGTGAGCTGTGTCTTGTACTGCTCCAAGAATGTACGCACGAGCTGCGGCAACGAACCTGTGTTCATACCCGCCATATTCTGCGACAGGAGCATCGTCGCATTGTTGTAGCTGCCGACCTGCGTAAGCGCAGCATACGTTGACGAATCTGTCGGATCGGCGATCCAGCCATGTAAGAGCGGTACACGAGCCACACGGAACAAGGTCAACTCGCCCGAAGAGGCAGCGCCCGTATCGGAGCCAAATTTGTCAGGCGCATCGAAAAACACGTCCACTTGGAATCCCTTGAGCATCTTCGGCAGCGTGCTGAGCACCAGACTCAAAGCCGAAGGATCCAAGGCGCCGTTGCTGCACTCCATGATATAGTCCGTAAGCAGATCAGAAAGGTAGGCATATGACACCGCTGGGCGGTCAGGCGGTGTAATGTGCAGCTGCTTCTCCAAGAGGAGCAAATTGCACAATGCAATGAGTGAACATGGCCCATTCTCGTTCTGCATAATGATCTTCGTCTCCGTCCCGCGCCACACAATGTCCTTCAGCGCCCATTGTGTATCATCATGCACGTTCGCCGAGGCCAACGACTGGGCGAGCTGAGCATCTGCGTCGATTTGTGCCTGTTCTTGCGCCTTGGTGGCGCCAGCGTGGGACGGCGGGGCTAGTGCGGCGCCTGTGGTGGCGCCGAGAGCCGCAGGCTTGGCATACGACAATCCCGTGTGTGCAGGCACTGTGCTAGGCACATTCGACTCAACTGGTGTGACAGTACTGTAGGTCGACGTGGTAGGCACGTGTGTCGTTGTCGTTGACGTCGTCGTCGAGGCGGTGGAAGGCGACATGTACGAAAGAGGCTGTGTGGAAGAAGCCATAGAGGGCGAGGCGCCTGTATGCGTTGTCGTCCCCAACTCAGGCATAGGCTCAGACGCGGCATAAGGGTTTGCCGACGTCGGCGCAGGGGATCGGGCCGAGGTGTCCAAGAAGGGATTGTGATGGTGTTGGGGACTGGATGTGCTGACAGGCGATCCCACGGACTGTGACCATGCCTGGTTCACAGGACGAGCATCGCCAAACCCGCCAGGCAAATTGCTGGAGGAGAAGGGGGTGTACGAGTCTGTCATGGTGTGATGGGACGATCCGAACGCGTCAGGGGCGGCAGGTGCTGGCGCTGTGGCTGGCATCGGTGTGGTCAAATCGAGGCCCAGCAAGTCGTCCATCGCACTATGACCGGTCTTTGCGGGCGGCGGGGCCGCCTTGGCCAGAAACGGGTTGTGGGAGTGTGATTCCGCCATGGCAGTCTGGAGGAGAAACGTGAGCCAGGCAGCAGCGCAGTGCAGATCGCACGGCCCGTGGAGGCCACGTGGTTGGGCTGGTACGGAGTGCATCGGTCGGCTGTACTGCATCTCTCCGCTGGCATTACACGTCGCACTGGTCCGTGTGTGGTACCTGGAACGATGAGTGAACTGATGGTACGTGGTGGACTAGCTTATATCAGAATGATGCCTCTTCACTCCCGGAGGATGTAATTGATATTGATGTGTTTGAGCAGCTGCTCGACATGGACGAAGACGATCGTGAATTTAGCCGCAGCTTGGTATGGAACTACTTTGAGCAGGCCGAGACGACATTTGACAAAATGGATGATGCCTTGTATGTGTTGGGTTCTGGCTAACGGTGTAGATCCAAGCAGGAGCTGATTGAGCTGTCGACATTGGGCCATTTCCTCAAAGGCTCCTCGGCTGCCGTGGGCGTGATCAAGGTACGCAATAGTTGTGAGGCGATCCAGCACTATGGCAACTGCCATGAGGCAGATGGATCGACTGTCATAAGCAAGGAACAAGCGCTGGATCGTTTGTCTCAGACTGTGAAGAAAGTCAAAGACGAATACAACGAGGCGGCAGCGACGCTGCGTGCCTTTTTTGGTGAATAAGCACGGTCTGGCCAGCAGGCCCAAGTAGTTCTTGGCTTAGCGGCAGACCATGCCCAGATGTATCTCTAATCATGCTATGTCATTGCGGTTGCTACTGTGGTCCTTGTGCCCTGCAAGAGTGGTTAACATGGCATGGATCTCCTCTGCGGCTGCCGTACATGCAGTCACGGGACCGGTACTCCTGTCGATGTTAGTATCACAGTGGCGGCCCAAGGCCTTATGTCACCATACCAGTTTGTATTCAATAGATACTCTTCCACGTTGGTAATGTCTTCCCCGAGTGCGTTTTCTTGTAGGACAAGGTAGAGGTGCTCGCTCGTTTGGACACGCACCGTCGGGAAACGATGGACCAAGAAAGTGCGTGCGTGTCGCAGTGCTTCGGCTTGGAGGGTGGGGTGAGCGACCAGCGAAACGCAGCTGCAGCGTAAGTAGACCGCATGGACGTACATGTGCATCGAGGCGAGAAGGCGCGGCACGCTCTTCAGCTGCGCGACATGCGCACAGCACAGCGTTAAGGTACGTGCCAAGCTGCGGTAAGTGGTAGCGATACGTACATAGCATCCACCGGGCGATGTATGTGCACATCGTTCTCCAGCAACACTTGGATCGTTTGCAACGTCGGGACGACAATGCGATTGTCCCTAGCATGCATGGCAGCCTGCTTGTGCAAGAGATGGAATACGTCGCCTACGCTAGCATCGGAGGCCTGCAATGTCCATTGGACCAACGCACGACCGGCTTCACTCAGCGCTCTGTCGGAGCGTGTGCTAATGGTGCGTGTGAGCGTACGCAAGAGACTGGCTCGGTAAGCATCCAGCGCTAGCAAGGGCAGAAGTGTAGAGAACGCATACTCAGCCTCTCGACACTGGCTGGGTTCGGTCAGCACGGCGTGCCATACTGCGCGATCCGGCATGGCGCTGTGGGCTGTCATAAGCTGCATAGCATGGCACGCATCCACACGGATGGTATCGATGCGCTCCATGACCATACCGCTCATGGCTACACATACACGCTCGACCATCGTAGGCTCGATCGTCTCGTTGCTATGCACCAACGCAGCCAGGGCCTGAGCGCTAGCCGAGCGCACCCAGGAGCCCACGTCGCCACGCTGGTCGGTCGTCGTGTCGTGCAGGCCGCAGAGCAGCGCCTCAATCACGCGTGAATCCAACGAGCCACAAGCCAGCGACGAGGCGACATGACGTCGAACATCGACCGACGGGGCATACCGCGGCGAGGCCGACGTGAGTAGATCACAGAGCAACGCACGTCGGTCGTCTGCCTCAGCGTCCCACTTTCCCAAGGCACGCACGGCCGTCTGCTGCTCTTCAGTGGTCAGACTCGGCCATGCGTACAAAACGCGGTGCATGTAGTGCGCCGCGTAGGCATCGGACTGCCATGCGTGCCAAGCTGCCGCTGCCGACTGCTGCACATCGTCTTCGGGGCGTGCTGACGCCGTACGTAGCAGTGCATCTCCCGCTTCGCGATCGTCCGGCGATACGTGCTCCGCACAAAGTGCCCACAGACGGCAAGCCGCACCGAGGACAAGTGCACTGCCAGACGTACGAAGCACCGTAGAGGGGAGCGCTGCGACGATATGCGCACCATCGCGAGCCAACGATGGGAACAACGGCACGATGGCTACACATGCCAGAAGAGCCCCATGCACTGAATCGCCATGCGGTGCAGAAGCACGCTGTTGCAGGATCTGCATGCACGATGCCACGTAGGACGGCTCGGCCTGAAGCAGCGGCGGTACAGCGCTGGCGGCCAATGTGCGAATCTGAGCATCCCAGTGCCACAGGGCGCAGTGCAGGAGATGGTGGCGAAGAGCAGAGCGATACACGTCGTATGGCGCCAGCGATGCGACGCACTGGAGGTACGCATGCCGCAGACTGCCCACCGCGCGGAAATCCGTGAGACGCAGGACATGGATGCCATGCGGTACAAGAGAAGTCCGACCGACCCACTCTTGGAACGCAGCACTCGCAGCGCGGCGAATCGATACGTCGCGATCGAGAGTCGCTGTGACGACGAGGCATTGCGCCACAGCTGGCGTCACAGTCGCTAGCCTCTGAATCTCACGAGACCGCGCGAGCGACCAGAGCACGTAGCAGCTAGCGTCACGCACACTGCTGCCTGTGGAGCCTGTCGCTCGTCGTACATCGAATGCAAGGCCCTAGAGTAAGTTCGTCACGTAGTACGTACCGTGCATACCCAGTACAGCATGCGAGAGACCCAGGACGTAGGAATCAGACTCCGTCGCACACACTCTGCCAGTGCTAAGTGCACGCCGTGCCACGTCGGCTCCGACACAGCATGCAAGTCAACAGTGCGCAGCGTATACACATGCGCCATGTTCAGCGTCGGGACATCGCTCTGCGCGAGCACCGCAGCAGGCACAGACGACGTAGGCACAAACGCCGTGAGCTTCGCCAGCAACGCCTCTATCACCTGCGACTGCATGTCCAATGGCACACGCTCACTTACACGAGCTACGCCTTTCGCGGCACTGTAGCGCACGCGCGTATCAGCGTGGGAGAGGCCACGTAGCAGGGTATCCATATGCCCATCGACACGTTCATCGTCCGCATCATGTGCCAGCAGTGGCAACGCTAGCCGACTCGCGAGCTTCATGCGGTACCGATCCAGAAGCGTATTCTGCCCGGCCCACGACGTAGCGTGAGCCAGAAGACGAACAATGGCATCGTGATGCGTCTGGACAAACGAGACATGACTCCATTTCGCCATCTTGCACAGCGTTTGCAAAATCCCAGTCGCGAGAAACACAGAGCGTGTCGTAGGAAGTTGCGTCTCTGCCCATACCAAGAACGGCGAGACAAGCGGCCGCTCTGCATCGTGCCGTTGGTAAAGACGTCCCAACACTTCGCTCGCAGCATCGCGCTCCTTACCTGGCCGCGCAAGAAACGAACGCGATATACGCTCAACACGATCCAGAATAGAGACGCCCTCATGCAGCGGAAAGGCAAAGGGGACCAACACGACCAACGACAGCCATAACAATATCATGTACACAAGCTCCCACGGCATAGCCTCTGATGCCTCCAAGACCCGCACGAGAGGCTGAAGGTCATGCACATCATGTGGCAGGAATCGAGTGATGACTTTGTACCCGCGCACCTTGGTATAGGTATAGAGGAGGCGGGCGACGTGGGACAGAGATTGGCGTGCCGGCAAGGGAAGCTCCTTCCATCGCGTCGGCATGGCCTTGATGTGCGCGTGTAGGTACGCAGCAGGTCCAGCTACGAGCTCGTCCAGGTACGGATCCAGCAAGTAGGCCTGCTCTTGGTATACAGTCATCTGGCCATGAGCCTACAGGCACGTACCTCTTTTTCCAGCCACACCAGCAACGATTCGTCAGGATGCTCGGTCGCCAGCGACGCTAGAAATTGCCGCTGTTGCGCCATGTACGCCTCGGCCGTCGCAAAACTGGCATGCTCGACAGTCTCATGGTCAAGACCGAGCGGCCCCGCGGCTTCGTCCACGTCCTCCGCGTCGCTGCCCATGGACGTACGCGCAGAGCTCACCGAGCCCACGGTGTTGCTCCACATACCCATCGGGCGAACATCGGGGGCCTACGTCGTCCCCCTCTCGCCAACATGAGCACGGAAGAGAGCGGCGCGGCGCCCTCCAAGTTTGTATCGCAAGCCGAGCTTAATGATGCGCAAAAACGAAGGGAGAAGGATATTCAAGATGCGTATGCTCGGTATGTACACATTGGCTAATCATCCAGGATCGGCGAAGCGCCCCCTGAAGCACCCAAAGAGGAGGCTTACGATCCACGCCCTTTGTACGAGGTAGGTACACGACGCACACAGCCTAATCATATCAGCGCCTTCAAGAAGCCAAGGCTATTCAAGATGAAAAACTCGAAGAGATGTTCAAGCTACGCAACCAATTCCGCGGCCTCGATGAGAGTGAGTCCCAATTCCTCGCAGACATCGAAGAGGCACGGCGGAAACGCGAATGGGAGAAACGCCGTGAAGACGCTTCAGCGTTGGAGGCATTCCGAAAGTATGTTGCGCCTTTACTTATACGTTAGAGCTACAGTCACAAAGACGACACCAGCCGCGCCCGCCGTCGACAAAAGTACGGTCCCTGTCATTCCCAAAAGCAAACCACGCGCATCCCTAGCCAAGCGGAAGAGAGATAACGCCTTGGGAATCGTCCGCAAGACGCCAGGAACCCCCACAGAGAAACCTACCAAGATCCCCAAAAGCACGGAAGAGAGCGAAAATCCCACGAAAGACAACAAGGAAGCCCCTGATTCATAATACCATATAGACATCTTTATGTATATTATTGACCAGCGCAGGGGCGCAAAAGGTCACTCACTAGGTCGCGCGATCATCAAAAAATGGGATGCGGTGCATCCAAAAAAGCTATGACCCTGACCAGGCTCGAACTGGCGACTTTGGAGTAACACGGTGGTATTAGCTCCACACTCTAACCAACTGAGTTACAGGGTCTGTAGCTTACTTCACTGTCATGGTTTCTGGTATATGTAGTTCCATTTCATACATACTCTTACCTACGTCGCAAAGCCCGCCTGTTGGAGAGCGGCAAGCAACTTGTGGCCATCAGCCAGTGCGTATCCAATAGTCCGCTGACGGAAATCCACACCCAGCTCCAGCAAACTAATCACGTCGTCCACCAACTGCGCTTGGCCTACCAGTGCACCAGGGTGGGTCGTGAAGTTCGCCGACATGAGATGAACGTGCAGATGGAAATACGTAGGCATGTAGTGCAAGAAACAACGTAGAGACGAGGAGGAGCCATCTGCACTAGGTGCAGGGAGGCCGTACTTTTCATGGGCGATCTGTGCACCCGCTTTTTGGATCTTGCGTAGCAGAGGGATGTGGTCCTTGGTCAGGTCACGCATGTTGGTCAGCGACCCATCTCGCACAATGGCTACCATGTAAAGCGAGGAGAGAGTACGTCGGTCCCACTTCAAGTCTGGCACAAGGACAAAGCCTGTTTTCGGGTCTTCATCGTTGTACAGCACAGACTCGCGCTCCGACTCTCCATTCAAAATGTTGTGCACCCATGTCACTTTGGAGGCAGGTAGCGACTCAATCCATGGCTTTGTTACCGTTTCATACATGTGCGGTGTCTCAATGATCATGCGGCGTTCCGGGGCGGAATACTTTGCAATCAAGTCCGAGTTGGCAGGGCAGATGAGAGACATCTTGGTATGCGCATCCGTGTGTACTTGATCAGAGGTCCATCCAAAGACCCATGTGTAGATATCATTCTGTCCGATCTGCTCCAGATGAGAGAATGTGTGCTCGAGTCCCTGTTGTAGCGAAGCTAGGAAGGCCGGTGTGAAATGCGTTTTTTCCATCAAGAGCAATGCAGGGACCCTCTCGCCCTGATGCTCACATTGTCCAAGTAGATTGACAGATTTTGCACGCGGGTCTTCGTACAAGATTCGCTCCAGCTCAAAGCAAGGAAGGGACGTCTTGGCTTCGGCGCCCATGGTGGTAAAGGGGGATAGGGCATGCCTCCACACGATGAGGTTTCTCCACCACAACGACGATGGATGCAATGTACGTGTATGCCATGAAGCCTGACGCCCCAGCTTGGCGATCCCACCTGTTACACGCATCTTACTAGGTGGTATCGGTATTGTGTCGGTATCATGTGCACTGAACATCATTGGTCCGTATGATGTGGCTCTCCTCTGGCCGCATGTGAAGCGCCACTACCAAGTGTGGCGTGTGGTGTCCTCATTCATGTATGCTGGGAGCCGTATGGACCTGGTGTTCAGAGTGTTGTTCTTCTAGTACGTGCGAACTAGACTCACCGTAGTAATATGTCGAGCACCTTGGAAAAAATGGGGTATGTGAACGATACAGCAGACTACGCATGGTCCACGATGGGCATAGCCGTGCTGATTCTGGTACGTTTGTACGGATCTGTGCTCACATTCAGATGATCAACTACGTGACATCTTTTCCTTTGCTCTTCCAAGCATTGTTGGGCTCGGTACTTGTACGTATCATGTCTGTTCTTACGTACAGAGTCAATGGGCCATCCATTTACCCCACATGCCAGTCTCGATCTTCGGCCTGATCCAGGTGCCGGGCGTCTATGTGCCAGGGGCTATGCTATTTCTGGAAGCAATTGTCGCAGGCCCCGAAGCTGCCAAAATCATGCTGGTAGGCGCAGTGGCTGCCTACGTATGGCACTACATTCGCTCCGCGCCTCGTGCGCCACGGTCGCGCATCGACGCGCGTCTCGTGGCGTTCCTGGCCAAGTACGTGGCGCCAAGGCTAGCTACGCCGACATGGTTCCGCGAGGCATGTGGTGTTGTACGCGAACGATCCACAGGGTACGGCACGGCCTTTGCTCCCTTACGACGAGGCAAAGCAACGACCACCACAGGCACCTCTTCCAGCCGCCGTTCATGGCTGGGCCGTGGCACCTCCAGCCGCCCTGCCCAGCCGGATCGCGAGTCGATTCGACGTGCAACAGAGGCGCGATTGCGAGCCAACATGTCATAGAGGTACATACATATCTATTTGCACAAAACGCCCTGCTGCAGCACCGCCAGCTGCGCACCCAATGCCCATCCCAACTCAAAGTCGCTGATCTTTTTCGCGAGAGTAATGGTACGTGATTCGTCCAACTCGTAGCCGAGACGAAGGAGCGAGTGCATATATGTCAAATCCAGGCAGTAGTCTGCACGTTGCTGAAGCTCTGCAAGCGCTTCGCGGGAGAAGGCGGGCTTGAGCAGACTCCATTGGCTGGGCGGCGCACAGACTCGCTCCGCAAGCTGGCCCAATTCCTTCACTGTGAACTTGGGACCCAGACCCAGCGGGGTAATGCGATCGTAGAAGTACGAAAGGGCGATGATATCCGCATCCTTGAACGCTTCAGATAGCGACGGCTGGTAGACGCCTGCAAAAGAACAGGGCGCCAAGTGGCACTCGGCGTCCTTGTCCATCATGACTTCGACAAAGCGCTGGCAGGCACGGAAGCCGCCATGTGTTCCCATCATCGTAACTTCACGCCAACCGGCCGGCCCATTCGAGACTTTGGCGGTCTTTTGCATGCCAGTTGCATAGCAGGGGCTTGGAATAAAGGTATTGGACGGCGTGAACATGTCCCATGATGGGAGTGAAGAGCCTTGGTGAGACTGGAAATGCATGAAAGCTGCGAGAGAGTTGGTCGATTGGCGTGCTGTCTTGAGGCCATAGCCAAGATAGGAGTTTTGGTATAAAGTGAATGTAGCATTTTCAAAGTCCCGCAGTTCGTATACATGGTCGCCAGGGTGCATGGGCGCCATACCTTGCAGCTGCGGCTCAAAGACAATTTGGGTCGATCCACCGCCCAAGTCCAGGACAGCCGCCGTCTTTTTCTTCTTGTCCGAGCCGATTAAGTTCATCAGGTAATTCACAGTAATCCAAGCAAACACGCCTTCTTCACGTCCATTCATAATTTCTACGCCACGGGTGCTGGGACTGCCATCAACCGAGACGCCATCAGCGATAGGGAAGGGATAGTGGTCTTCAATCAACGCACGTACCGACTTGATAATCACATCACTCTGCTCAGGACCCAGCAAGCGGAGCCCTGCAGTAGCCTTCAAAGAAAGAGGGGCACATCGTTGCAACGATGGAGGGATGATCTGCATGGCCTTGTCAAGAAGAGGACGGAGAGAGTTAGCAGCGCCCAAGGCATCGGCACCGTAAGAGGACAGACCGGGCTCAATATGGTCAAAGTGCTCAAACTCCAGCTCAGGCGAAGATGTGCAGTAATTAAACTTGTACACATGAATACGGCTGCCCGTACTGCCAGCATCCATCATGATGGCATACTGCACCAGAGGACGCTGCTTGCCATGCATATCATACACAGGCGGCGCTTTCTCGCAGCGCGTAGTTTTAGTGGGCTCGGGGTGCAAAGCAGGGGGGACACGCGCACCTGTCTTGCGCATCGTAGGCCCTGACAGACCTGCAAAGGGAGCGACAGCTGACCAATGCACCTCCTGTCGAATTTCACTAGCGGTGTCACGCAGAATCGTAGACACATTTGAATGCAGATGAAGTGGTACAAGGATCAACAAAATAAGTATCGTGACAAACAGAAGCACTAACGGCTTCCTTGTTCGGATAATACGCGGTGACCACGTCATAGCTAGTGAGCACGACGGTCAGCAGCAGCAAGAACAACGTGTTGTTCTGGAACACAGCGGCACGGCACAACCAAAAATAATAAACGGCACGTGGCACGCTGCTAATGTCGGTGGCAAAATGCGTCCAGCCCCGTACGGCATGAAGGGCCCCGCAAAGAGCAGTTCATTACGGCGCTGGCAAAGAAATACGCACATCATGAAGAAAGGAGAAGATGAGAAGAGTTTAGATATTCTGTCTATATTTTGGCATGGAGTAGGCGATAAGACCCACTTTATCAGGTGCCATTGATGATAGGAAAAGGGAGAGGAAGAGTAAGTAGCATGACACATAAAGCTACACAAAAGCATGTCCCACTGTTTCACAAATGGTCTGTAGAAAGACTAAAATACGAAATCAGAGGGTAAATCTTGAAAAAAGCACGTCATCAGCTGATAAACATGCTAATAATAAAGCTTGGCCTAAGATTAGAGTAGGAAACGCTCAGAGAACCAAGCACTTCGACTTGCTCCGGCCACCACGGGGCTTCTGTATAAGAGCAGCGCGGGTCGCATGCTCAAAGACTTCCCGGACACCTTCGCCAGTCTTAGCGCTGCATTCAAGGTAACGAACAGCACCGATCTTCGAAGCAACTGCCATACCCTCCTCAGGGGTAACAGGGCGTTGGCTTGTCTTGCGCAGCTCCTCAATGATCTTAGGGTCGCGACGCAGATCCTTCTTGCAGCCAACTAGGATGATAGGCAAGTTTTGGCAGAAGTGAAGTACCTCCGAGATCCACTTCTCTTGGACATTATCAAGACTGTCGGGAGAGTCGATAGCAAAGCAGATCAAAATGACATGAGAGTCAGGGTACGAAAGGGGGCGGAGACGGTCATAGTCCTCCTGACCAGCCGTATCCCAAAGAGCAAGCTCGACGTGACGACCATCGACCTCAACATCCGCCACGTAGTTCTCAAAGACAGTCGGAACGTACACCTGCCATGAAGTTAGCACAAACTCCAACAAAACACAAGAAGAACATACCTCAGGGAAAGTGCCCTACAATACGAAATTCACAACATCAAAAGCATTATGTTAGCATGCCGTTCCAGCGGTTTTTTACTCTCTACCATGCGCTTGTAGCGCACGCAGAGAAGCGTGAGTAACATACCTTCGAGAACACAATCAGAAGACAGGTTTTTCCGCAAGCACCATCACCGACGATAACCAACTTCCGGCGAAGTTCAGTCATGTTTCACTGGACTCAAAATGTGGTATACAGATCAGGTACAGTGTGACCTCAATAGAATTGAGAGACAGAGAACAAAGTATGCGCTCGGCGGGGCAATGTCATGCAGCCGACAAGCTAGGCCCGCCGCCCGCTTAGTTGATCCTTGCATAACTCAGCCAGTCATGTGGCAATAAATTACATCGGCCGCATGTGCCAGCTCAAAGTGAAAAAACTTAGAAGGCTCTCTTATGTGATAAATTCCTCAATTCCCCCAGCCGATGTGGCTATAGTATAGTGGTCAGTACGTATCGTTGTGGAATTGGTTTCGACCATTCGCAACAATTACCGATGAGACGCCGGTTCGATTCCGGCTAGCCACACTTTTTAGAATCCCTTGTGTATTAGCTACATGCTTGTATGTGGAAATGGCGACAGCTGTGGCATATGCCATGTGGCTATAGTATAGTGGTCAGTACGTATCGTTGTGGAATTGGTTTCGACCATTCGCAACAATTACCGATGAGACGCCGGTTCGATTCCGGCTAGCCACATTTTTTGCAAATTTTTGCTACTTACTCGCTCGATAAGGTGCCACTGGCGTTCTAGAAGCAGAAGAGTATAGCTTATGAGCGCTCTTCCTACGCATTTTTCAGTCCGTGCGTGTCACTACTGTGTATTTTAAGCTCATCATGCCATCTTCACAAAGCGTTCTTGGTGGAGTGTCATCACGTGGAGTGGCCTGGTTGTCGGCTGGCACGGGTTGAGCCCTGCGCGCCAGTCTAACCAACACTCTTAGTTGTAAGTCAAATCAGCCAAAATGGTACGTGTGATTTATACAATTGCAAAGAGTCTCATACATTCCTACAGTCTTCTGGTGTAAAGGTCAGTCAAGAATGCCTGGAGCAGTTTCAGTCGTTGAAGCTGGGCAAGAAGATCAAGTACATCATTTACACTCTCTCGCCTGACAACACTGAGATTGTTGTGGCTAAGACAAGCGAGTCCGGCAACTACGATGACTTCCTTGCTGAGCTGCCACCGGCTGAATGTCGCTATGCAATTTACGATTTCGAGTACCAGAAGGGCGATGAGGGCAAGCGAAACAAGATCTGCTTCTTTACGTGGTACGTATGACGGGCGTTGTAGCCCCATGTCTAACACTGGTAGGTCGCCTGATGACTCGAAGGTGAAGCAGAAGATGCTTTACGCTTCTTCCAAGGATGCTCTGCGTAAGGCCCTTGTTGGCATTGCTACTGAGATCCAGGGTACTGACTTCAGCGAGGTTTCGTACGAGACTGTGCTGGAGAAGGTGTCCCGTTCGACGTTCTAAATGCATGTATCGTATAGGATGAATAACATGCGCTGTTTTACAATATTATGTGTTTTGGCATCCCCAGCCAGCCCAAGCTGTTGCCTCGCGTACAACGTTGGGTTCCCATTTACAAGCCTGACCCAATATAAAGGCAGCACCGAGCCATTTTTGCAAAAGTAGCGCCACGACGTTTTTAGAGGCAAGTAGGCTCGTTTCCATCGTGGATATCCAACGCTCCAAAGCATTGATGTTCCATAGGTTGTCATCAATTTCAAAGCGACCGAACTTGTCCGTCGGTGGAAGTTCCGGATACGCGCTCCAAGTCTTTTGGGTAGTCCACAGCACAGAGGAAGGACCAAATAGACGTGCCAACGTATCGTCTTCAAGTTCCTTCTGAGACAATATTTTGACGACAAACAGCTTATTCCATGTTTTTCCCTTATATGTAGCATGGTTAAGCTGGCGAAGGTAGCTCATAGAGAGGAACTGTATGGTAAATACATAGCGGACGTACCTCTGGCTCCGTCCCATCGGGAGCAGTCGTTGTCAAGATAGTATGTGGCATAGAAGTAAGAGGCATAGCCCCAGCAAAGTACTTTACATTGAGCTTGGATGAACTCGTTACAACAATTGTGACGTGAAGATGCTGGAATTTGTACGAAGGTACGGTATGATGTGTATTGAGCAGAGTAATACCTGCATCATGCCAAGGTGTTGCGAGAATCACGGCATTGTATACTTCGCCATGCCCATCCTTCGTCCCGACCCACCATTCTGTATGGCCAGGTTTGGCAGGATCGATACTTGCGCTCATTTTCATCAGACCTGTGACCTCGCCTTGGACGCCAAAACGTACATAAGCGCCACTCTTTTCCAAAAGACGCTGAAACAGTTGTTCGTTCCCACCGCGGATACTAAAAGCATCTGGGGCACCAGCAGCCACCATAGCAGCTACAGCGTGTATAGTGCTGACAGATTGAGCGTAGATGGCTCGTGTAAGAGCATTGACCATTTCATCAACAAACGTATCTGAGACTTTGTTGTGCAAAAGCAAGTCTCGAGCAGATTGGGACGTCGTGTGTTGCAAACCCAAGCGATGAATGATATCACTGACGTTGCTCCATGGGTATCCAGATTCGCTCTCAGTGGAATGTCTAGTCCGTTTATGAAGGAACGATGGATTGTAGAGCTGCGTGAAAGAGGACGCTGCTTTGGTGGCACTGAAAGTAAGACGTACCAATACGTACAGATTTAAAAATGTCTGGGGACTGTTTCCATATCTCCAATACATCTTGAGTTGGTCCCATTTAGTTCCATCGAATTTGTCAATGACAAAGTCGCGACCATTCCACAAGCCATAGTCGCTACGCGGCATCGATTCTCGTGGGACCGCCTTAAGGTCCATGGCTTGGGTCGCCTGACGCATCTGTGTATTCATTTTCGCAAATATACTGGCACCTGATTCCACAGGCGCGATCGATGGATCATCCAGTGGATGAACACTCCAAGCACGACCACCTACGCGGTCACTTCGCTCGTACACAGTGACATAGAGGCGCTCGGGGAAAGACGTGTTTTTGCATGTGCCTAGTCCATACTTCCTGGCTTCTTCCAGCTTTTCTTGCGCTTTCGCAAGATAGTACGCGGCGCTAGTGCCCGACGGACCTGCGCCGATTATAGCAACGCGGAATTCAGGCCGAGCTCCTGAAGTCGGGCATTCAGAGATGAAGGAAGGCGCTGTGACAGACGCAGCACTATCTTCCACGCCAAAAAAGGACTGGTTTGGAACGTAAGGTGCAGCATACACGCACCAAAGGCACACGAACCACACTAGGAAGGTGGCATACATGGCCCGCCAAGGCCCAGTGGACCGTGCCATCTCGAGTGGAGTGCCTGGGGCGAACAGCGTGGAGGCACTCCACATGGCAAAAGATGTGTATGACCTGATTTCAACATGGCGCGCGCGCAACCACCATGGCTTCGAAAAAGGTGTCGAAGCAAGAGTTGCTTGCACCAGTCTCACATGAATTGGAGTTCGGAGGTGTAGCTGGTGCGCTCTTTGTGACAATTACTGTACCACTCACGATGTACTATCTTGCCTTTGGATGCAATGAAGAACTTGGATGCGCCTTGTCAATGCCGGTTACGAATACGGATGCTTTCTTAACGTTTGTGAAAGACAAGTTTGTGAGCAGCTTTTTTGATACGACGGCATGGAAACTCTACTATGCTTGGTATGCGTACTGTGTTATTGCATGGGCGATTCTTCCAGGCAAGTGGATCAAGGGGCTGCCCCTACGTACAGGCGAGCAGCTTCCGTATAAAATCAATGCGATGCCTACCGGCGCTATGGCCCTGGGCATTGTGTGCACGTACATTTCACTCAAAGGACCTAAGTCATTCACGTTCTTGTACGACCACTGGCCGGGATTTCTGAGCGCAGCGTTGGTCAACTCCATTGTGCAAGCGATTTATGTGTATGTCGCATCGTTTGTGGGCGACAAGTTGTTGGCCTTAGGTGGCAATAGCGGCAATATCCTATTTGATTGGTTTATTGGCCGTGAGCTGAACCCACGTATCGGCCTTTTTGATATCAAGACATTCAATGAATTGCGACCTGGCCTGCTGTTGTGGGTATTGATTGATATCAGCTGTGCTTGTCATCAGTTTGTTAGGCTCGGCGAAGTGACGGACAGTATGCTCCTAGTTACGGTGTTCCACTTATGGTATGTCGTAGACTCGCTGCTGCATGAGCCTACCATTCTATCGCAAATGGACATTACGACAGATGGCTTTGGGTTCATGCTGAGCGTGGGTGACCTGGCCTGGGTACCATTCACGTACAGTCTGCAAGCACGCTATTTGGCCTTTACACCTGTTCATCTGGGCTGGCCAGGCACCGTGGCTGTGCTACTGGTCCAGTTTGTGGGCTTTTACATTTTCCGAACCGCCAACGTGGAGAAGAACGATTTCCGGAACGGACGCAACCCGAAGAGTGTGTATGGCCTCAACTAACAATAGACCTGAAATTCATGACGACATCCACTGGCCGGAAATTACTGACATCCGGCTGGTGGGGACGCAGCCGTCACCCTAACTACTTGGGCGACTGGATCATGGCCTGGGCTTGGTGCCTGCCCTGTGGCTTTGGCACGCCCATCCCCTACTTTTACGTGGTGTACTTTGCCGTGCTACTTGTGCATCGCCAACTGCGCGACGATGATGCTTGCAAGAAAAAGTACGGCGCAGAGTACGTATCCTCTCATGTGAAAGAGGGCGGAAGACTGACACATGCCTTATTTTTCTCGTACGCTAACCCATTGCAGCTGGGATGTTTACGTACGTATCGATAGCATGCCAAGTAAACTAACAAGCAGTGCCGACAAGTGCCCTACCGTATCATCCCTTATGTGTACTGATACGGCCTAGACGCAAGCAATGTAGTGAAGCAAATACACTTCATAGCAGCACACATGGTTCGCACCAGAGTGATGTAATTAGCACAGTACAACAGCTACTTTAGAGACGGTCGCGCCTGTACATCTTGTCGAATTTACCCTGGCATGGTTAGTCATGGTACCTTATCATATGGTACATACGTTGATGTTCATGAGCTTGTACTGAGTACCCTGCTCCACGTTGTTCCACGGGGTCGGGTTGTTCTGAGAGTTAGGCCTACCACACCGTAGTAACATACCTTCTTGTCCCAAATCACATCAGGGGAGCGCGCGAGACGAGAAATGTACCACGTAGCACCACCCACGGCAAGACCGGTGAGGGCGATAATGGGGTACACCTCAACGGGCACACTTGTCATGTGAGCTTCCAACGATATCGATAGATACATACATCTTAGCCCAGTTCGTGGCATTCTTGGCAGCAGACGAGGCAGTCATGGTGATGGGGAACTCTTTGCCGAGGCGGCACGTTTGGCCTTTCACCAGCGGCCTATTTCGGAACACGGGTTGCGTCACGTGATTATGGGAGTTAGGGTGACAATGTCTGTGCGAGCATCGAAAAAGCCTATCGCAGCACCTTGCATAGCGCGAAGCCAGGGAAACGAGGCGAACACTATATATCATTCTATACAGACATACGCAACAAATAGAGAGGGGAGTACATGAGAATGAACACTGAATTAAATGGTACCGTTGCGAACAGGACCCGTAACAGTGAAGTCAGTACCGTTCTGGCCGAAGCACACTAGATCGAACTTGGCATCACGGACGGCTGATTCTTGCTGGTGCGACACAAAGTCTTGCAGCTTGCACAGACCATCGGGACGAGGCGAGCAACCCTGGTCCTGATTCAGCGGAATGACGGCCTCATTGATCTTTCCACGGATGTAGCTCGTGGTTGCGTTGTTCTCTTGGCAGTCCATGACCTCCCAAACGAGACGCGCAGCAAACGGCGTCACGCGGCTCGAGCGGTAACGGCGCTTAGGATCAGGCTTCGTCGTAGGCAAAAAGTCACTAATTTGCGTCACGTTCAGCGACGTGAGCACCGAGTGAATAATGTCGTCATGCGTAAAGTCGGCGTACAGCGGCTGCATCGATGGGAAGTACGTTGTGTTGCCGTCCAACGTCGTGTTCTGACCTGTCACAGGGCCTTTGAATTGGCTCTTCGTCAGGCGGTCCAGGAATTCAACGACCCAGCCGACGCCCTGCGCCTTGCCTGCCGGGTTCATAAAGCCATAATCGCCCTGGAATTGCAGGTCAATGTCGTACTCGTAATTCTCCCATTCTTCCTTGGTAAACAGGCTGCAGAAGTTCGAGTAGCCCAGACCCACAGTCTCGTACGGGCACATGCTCATCATGCCATACATCAGGTTAGGCGTCAGCTTCACACCTGGCATCATTGGTTGCAAACGGTCGATCGGCGCTTTTGTGTATACCTGTTGCCATTCGGTGCTGAGCTGATCACCGATGTAGAACGAGTCCAAGTTCATGTTTGGGCAGCCAAACCACGATGCAAGAGTGTTGTTCTGCTTGTCGGCCTCGGTAAGCACCTCAAGATTCGCACGCGATGGCGCATCCCAGCCAAAGAAGCCCAACATCCAGTAACGTGCCGTATCAAGCATACGGCTTTCGGACGTCGTGCGCAGCACCAGCTTATCAGTGTAGTTCTGGAGGAGGCGTGCGTAGTCATAGTAGTGCTTCGTTCCTGAGTCAAAGAGCTCCTGGGCACCCTGGTGTACCAGCACTTCGACACCGATGGAGAAGTTCCACGAGTTCAAGAAGGCCATATCGCCCGTGGCATCGAGTGTACCGGCCTTTGTCGCATTGCTCACAGCAGCACCGAACACCGATGTGGCTTCGTGCGAGCTGCTCGTCGGGTACCGAGCACCGTGGCGATGAAGAATGTGCACCTGCTTGATCTCACACTGGTCCGGCATCGTTCGGTACGCATTGGTCTCCGGGAAGAGATCGTCAGCAACATGATAGGGCGACGTAGTGCCCAGGTTACGGAAGATATCATCTGACGTTGCGTGATCCTTGTCCGCATCCTTAGGAATCCAGCGCATTTCTACGCCGTAGTTGTTGCCCTGGAACTCGGTAGAGTTCAATTTGTCGACCTGCGAGCGCAGAGGAGGAATGCCGTAGGCAACAGGGCCAGCGAAACCCACATCCGTAGGGAAAGGCGTGTTTGACGTGCCTGTGACATTGTTCCAGCTTGTCTGAGAAGCGTTCTGGGCATGGCTTACAGCCGCCAGCACCAACGACAAGAGCAGCGCGATTTTCGCCATGGAGAAACAAAGGGCAAGGAAGGTGCGATGCGCAGCGGAACCCATACTTATTTTGGCTATTCATTTTAATTGACTCCGCTCCACATGCGGGATGTGCTGTCCAATCTACGTGCAGATGCATTTAGCCAAATTGGGCAAAAAAATGTATGTACCGTGCGCACGAGGCAAGATCAAATACCCCCTTACAGACTAGTTTGTCTACGTACGCGACGATGTGTTATTGGATAGGATCTGCTCGGGCGTAAGCATGCCATGCTCTACGGTGTGCGTCACTGCGATGTCTGTGCCATTCTTGCCGTAGCAGGTCAGCGCAAAGGGAATGGATGACATGGCCTTCTGCAAGTGTGACACAAAGTCCTGAAGCTTGCAGAGACCATCCACTCGCGGTTCACAGCCCTGGCCCTCATTCAGGGGCACAATAGCCTCATTGATCTTCACGCGAATGTACTGCTCTCCCTTATCACACTCCATAATCTCAAATGCAAATCGAGAGCCAAAAGGCACAATATGACTTGCGCGGAAGCGACGTGTAGGATCAGGGCTTGTGCTGTTCATCTGGTCAGCGAGCTGGGTGATGTTGAAGCTCGTGAGGATGTTGACCATAACCGTGTCATGCGAAAAGTCGGCATACAGAGGCTGATCGAGTGGGAAGTACGTCGTGTTCCGCTCGAGCGTCTTGTTCTGCTCTGCTGAGGGCACCTGCAAAGCGTGCTTTGTGACGCGCGCCAGGAAGTCCTGGACGTAGCCCATGCCCATTGCTTTGGATGTAGGGTTCATAAAGCCGCTGTTGCCCTGGAACTTGAGATCCATGTCGTATTCGTATCCCTCCCATTCACTTTTCGTGAAGATCGAGCAGAAGTTTGAGTAGCCCATACCCACAGTTTCGTACGGGCACAGCTGGATCATGTTGGCCATATCGCTGATCGTCCATGTGACGCCGCTCGTATCGTTCTGAATGCGTGCAAGAGCGTCTTTCAAGTACACCTTTTGCCATTCCTGTCGCATTTTGTCGCCGAAGGCAAACGCTTTGCCGTTCGGGCATGCGTACTTGGGCTCCAGTGTGTTGTTGTATTTGTCCGCCTCCGAGATCACTTCCAAGTTCATCTTCTGGTCCGCATCCCAGCCAAAGAAGCCCAGCGTCCAGTACCGCGCTGAGTCCAACACACGGCTTGAGCTCGTGGTGCGGATCACAGGCTTGCTCGACACATTCTGCAGCAGACGTGCATAGTCATAGTAGTGCTTGACACCCGCATCGAAAAGCTCCTGTGCACCTTGGTGAACCAAGACCGCCTGGCCCAAACTGTAGTTCCACGTATTGAGGAACGCCATATTGCCTTTCGCAGAAAAGGTGTTGTTGCGCGTACTGTTGAGCACAAGCGCTCCGATCGTACCTGGGCCTTCATCCATTCCGTCCGTTGGGTAGCGTGCGCCATGACGAACTAGAAGATGTACTTGCTTCATGGTGCACTGATCCGGCAAGGGTTTGTAGGCTTCCGTCTCTGGGAACAGCCCGTCGGCAGGACGCCATGGCGTGTACGCGCCAAGGTTCGCAAAGATATCGTCCGACGTTGCATTATCCTTCTCAGCGTCGCGTGGGAGCCAGCGCATTTCAGGTGCATACACTTTCTGGAATGTAGTCGAATTGAGTTTGTCGACTTGAACTTTGAACGGCAGGGCCCCTGGCGCCACGTCGCCTGTGTTGCCTACAGCCGTAGGGAAGGTCACATTGGCATTGCCTGTCACATTGTTCCAGCTCGTAATAGGGTCCGCCAAGGACGGCAGCACAAGGAGGGCCCACGGCACCAGATAGAGAGCAGCGTGCAACATGGGGTAAGGCCCATGCATTCTCCTGTCGCCATCTTATATGGCATACCTCGCTATGTGCTTTGCTTGTTGGACCAACAACAAAACATGCACGCCTAGGTATCACTCATGCATTCCTGGACGATATAGAGGCCTCTTTGTACCCGTTGTGCCTGTCCGATCGAGGAAGTTTACGGCATGAGCGCACGTGGACGCATGGCTCATCCCTGTTGGTTCCTGAAATGAACTTGACCCCCACTAAGGCGCAACTATGAAACTGATCTGTCAACTCCACAACTCTCAGCCTAGTAATGAATATCTTCGTCAGGGATGGTCCCATCCTGGACAGGCCCTGTGATAGTATAGTCCGTACCGTTCTGCCCGAAGCAAACAAGATCAAACTTGGAGGCATCGTATGCATACTGATCCAGGTGGTTAATGTAGTCATCCAGCCTGCAAATGCCATCGCAGGTCGCCTCACATCCATTGGAGACATCAAGAGGATACACCACATCGTTCAACTTGAGACGAATGTACTTTTCGGTGCCGCCATTCTCTTCGCACTCCATTACTTCCCATGCCATGCGCATCGCTAATGGCGTCACTTCACTTGTTCGGTACACGCGGTTCGGGTCCGGACGCGTGGGATCAAGGTACGCCTTGAACTGCGTCAAGTTCAACGCCGTCATCACACCAGTGATGACACTGTGATGGGAGAAGTCCGCATAGATCGGCTGGTCCAGCGGCGTGTATGTCTCATTAAGTTCGAGTGTCATGTTTTGCGCTGTCACTGGGCCGGTAAACGTGTGCTTCTTAAGACGAGCCACGAGATCTTGGACGTACGGAATGCCTTGCGCGCGGCCTGTAGGGTTCATGAAGCCATGATCACCTACAGTCTGCAGGTCTTGGTCGTACTCAAAGTTGCGCCAATCCTCCGCGGTAAAGAGAGGACAGAAATGAGAAAAGCCATCGCCATAGGTCTCGTATGCACAGGCGAGCATCATGTTGTACACGTCTGTGTGGGACAATGTCATCGAGTGAATGTCCTTCTGCAAGCGTTGACGGGGTGACTCAAGGTAGACAGGCTGCCACTGCGAGCTGAGGTAGTCGCCGAACATGTAGTCGTCGTTGTCCGCGTTGCGGCACGCATTCTTCGGAGCCAAGGTATTGTTCTGGAAATCCTCCTCCGTAAGCACTTCCAAGTTGTACTTCTCCGTCGCATCCCAGCCAAAGAAGCCCAGTGCAAAGTACCGTGCCGAATCAAGGACACGGCTGTGCGACGTCGTACGGAACACGGGCTTGTGTGGAAAGCCATCCAAAAGGCGGCCGTAGTCGTAAAAGTGTTTCACGCCGGACGTGAACATTTGCTCCGAACCCGCATGCGTAAGAATTTTCTGGCCCAAGTCGTAGTCCCACTCTTCCAAGAACATAAGGTCGCCAGACACTTCAAGTCGTTGGTCGTCATCCTCTCTCTGATCACGAATCTTCTGGCCAAAGTTACCTGGTCCGTCTTTGTGGCCCTTGTCCGGGTACTTGGCGCCATGACGGTGCAAGATATGCACCTGTGTAATGGTACACTGCCTGGGCACATCCGAATACTCCACCATCTCTGGGAAGAGGTTGGTCGCTGGATGGTAGGGAGCAAACTCGCCTAGGTTGTACCACAACTCCTTCCACGAGTCATGCGATGTGTCCGCATCCTTGGGCACCCAACGCATTTCCACGACTGTCTCATGCTCAGAGCCGAGTGTATCAGCCATGGCATTGAACGGAAGGCCCCCAGGCACTTCATCGCCGGCGAAGCCCACATCGGTAGGAAACACAATCGTCGAAGTCCCCGTAACATTCTCCCAGTGTACAGGATCCTTGGCCGAGACGGCCGCAGCAGCAACAAAAATGGCTGCCCAGCGCAATTTGGACATGCTTACCTCTTTCTTGCAGGTACGTTTGCTGTAAGGTACATCTTCGTCCCTTTTGTACGCAGTAAATGCAGGGTTGTTGATACTCGGTAGAGAAAACACTCACCTATCTGCGCACGTTTCCTCCACAATCTGTGGGGTGGAGTATGGGGAAGCGGCAAGTATCTACAAAATTTGGGCCTGGTCCAACGTACCAAATCGGGCAGGTCCTTGAACGATAAAATCGGTGCCGTTATCGCCAAAACACGCCAAATCGAAGCGAGAGGATTCATAGGCACGTTTCAGTTCATTGACAAATCCACGCACAGGGCATAGTCCATCACGGCGGGGTTTGGCACACCCTTGGTCTTCATTAAGCGGGACAATCGCATCGTTCATTTTCATGCGGATATAGTCTTGATCTTCGCACGTGAGAACCTCAAAGACAAAGCGAGCTGCAAAGGGCGTGACCCAGCTTGTGCGATACGTGCGGTGAGGATCGGCGTGGGCAGTGGTTAGGGGATCGGCTAGCTGCGTCAAATTCAGCGCCGTGAAAATGCTAGTGAGAACGGTGTCATGGGTAAAGTCCACATATATCGGCTGATCCAGTGGGAAATAGGTCGTATTGGTATCCATGGTACGATTTTGCGAGGTGACTGGCCCCTGGAAAGGCTTGTTGGTAAGGCGTGCAAGAAACTCCGAGACCCACCCAATGCCTTGAGCCTTGCCCATGGGGTTCAGGAACCCATGATCGCCCTGGAAATGCAGGTCCGCGGCATATTCAAAGTCTTCCCACTCTTCTTTTGTGAAGAGTCCACAAAAATGCGAGTACCCCATACCAGCGGTTTCGTAGGCACACATGCTCATCATGTTGATTGTATCCTGATCATCAAGCTCGTACCCTGTGAGCATACGCTGGAGCCGCTCTGTAATGGGTGGCACAAATTTAGCATTCCATTCTGCCATCATTTGGCGCCCGAATTTGAATGTGACATCTCGTGCGTTGGGGCACGCATACTTTGGCGAGAGTGTGCTGTTTTGGTTCTTCGCTTCGTCTAGCACCTCAAAGTGCACTTGCTCAGCAGCATTCCAGCCAAAGAAGCCCATGGCCCAGTATCGAGCGGAATCAAGCATACGTCGTTGAGACGTAGTACGTATGATGGGTTTCCCCTTTTGATGGCGAAGCAAGGCAGCGTAATTGTAGTAGGCACGAGAACCCGCTTGGAACATATCATGCGCACCCTGATTCGTTAACAGCGAGTCGCCCAATTGGTACTCCCATGATTGCAAAAAGGCCAAGTCCCCATGCGCCTGCAATGTCCCAGACGACTTGGCCTTTTGCAGGCGCTCTGCCAATTGACCAGGTCCCTGACTCGTGCCATCGGTAGGGTATCGTGAGCCGTGACGGGAGATGATATGTACTTGCTTGATGGAGCATGTGGGCGGAACAGCCTGGTAGGCCATCGTATCTGGGAAGAGATCTCGCGATGGCCGGTAGGGCGAAGGTGCGCCAAGATTGCGAAAAATGTCGTCCGACGTCGCCCCCGAGGCAGCGGCGTCTTTGGGGACCCAGTGTAATTGCATGGCCTTGTCATCATCTGGCTGCGTTACATTAAATGCATCAACCTGGGCACGGAATGGCCAGCCACCAGGGCTTGTAGGGCCAGCATGGCCAATATCAGTGGGGAAAGCGGGATCGTACGCAAGGGCCGGCGTAGGTGATGGGGCCTTGACACTACCACCTCCAGACGCAGGCACCTCATAGTAGGCCGATGGCGCTGCTATAGCCGCAGCGAACACCAGGGCTGATGCGGAGACCATTGCAAATAGACGCCTTGGAACCTACGCACACGATAGTATGAAAGAAAAAACGACGGCCTGTCGTGGGACACGCTACGCGTTCAGGGCATGTTCGTTTCATGCATGCACGTCGGAGCGAAAATGGCACTGGGCCCACGTGCCAAGGGTGCGTCGCGCCTGAGTACCTTCCCGTCGAATGCAGAAGCCTCTCGTTGGTCAGCCCCATCCTTCTATTTCAACTTGGAACGACACCACTGTTCGTCTGATAACGCGCCAAACCCGCTCAACAGGAAAAAAAGATGAATCATCGTCAATTGCGTCACCATCCCTATGATCTATAGAAAGCTAGGAGAACAGCAATTGTTTTTACGCCTTGTAGAAAAGACGCTGGAAACCAAGGTACGAAGCACTTTACTCCATGTTGAGCTCGGCCTTGACGCGGGCGATCTTCTCCTGGACACGGGCCTTGCGCTCGTCGTAGGTAAGCTTGGTCTGCTTGTACTTCTTCGACTCGGCAGCCCAGTCCTTCGTCTTCTCAGTCGGGCGGAAGTCGGGGTCCTCACGGATCGCCTCGTAGGCGTTCTCGTAGATCTCCTCAATGTCCTCGCTGCCAATGTCGTCGTTCAGGTACGACGAGAAGTGCTTCTTGAAGCGCTCGTCATCCTCCTCCTCAAGTGACTCCATGAACTCAGCAATGTGACCACCGTAGATGTAGTTGCGGAGCACATCAGCGTCGAGTTCCTTCAGCTCAACGTCGTAGCCGGGGAAGCGGCGCTCGTTGTGCGGGATGTAGATACCACCATCCGAGGCACCCTTCATGGCACCAAACACACGCGAACCAGTCGAGGTGCGCTTGAGACCCACGTCAAGGTAGCACTTGAAGGGGCGGGGCTCGTCGTCACCGAGGGGCTCGGTGAAGGTGAGCTCACCATCCGGCTCCTCCTGACCGGCGTACTTCTCGTCGAGACCGAGCTTCTTCAGAGCACGGCGGGCAACGAGCAGACCAGTGGCGTAGGCAGCGGTCCAGTTAGCGAGACCGTGCTTGATACCGTAGCGGGGCAGCTCACGCGACGAAGCGTGGGCGAGCACGCAGTCACCCTGGATCTTAGCGTGAACGATCTGGCAGGTAACAAAGCGGTTCGAGAAACGAACAACGAGGCGGTACTTCGGCGCGTTGTACTTGTTCTTGGCCTGCGCAACGAGGCGCTTGCGCTGGTAGTAGTCGGTCTTACCCTCGCGGCGGCGACGGTACTTGACCTGGTAGCGCGAGAAGTACGCGTCCGACTTCACAGTCTTAACGAAAGGCTGGCTTGTGTTAGCATGCTATTCCCAAGGCAGCAAGGTATACATACCATCTTGAAGCGACCAGTCGGTGGTTGCGTAACAAAACCAGGCGGAGTGTCCACATCTTTTGCCGTAGGGGCAGCGCTGCAGTTCTTCGAAAGGCCTCGGCCGATGAACAAAACTACAAACCTGGGAAACACGTCACGTGGAATATAGGAAGAAGAATGTTGCGAAGCCTAGTAGGCTTACGAAATTTGCAGGCGCGGCACACCTGACCGTCCAGGCAGAGAGCTCCGCTTGCTTCCTTACCATCCCAGTCCTCTGACCCGATCAAGGTATGTTGACGCAAGGCAAGTGTGCCTCCAAGCGACACTTGGTAGCTTGAGAGCATGCGATTGCGAATATGAAGGACAGTATGCTAACTGGAAATAGATGGGTGCCTACAAGTACCTTGAGGAGCTGTACAAGAAGAAGCAGAGCGATGTGCTCCGTTTCCTGCTTCGTGTTCGGTATGTACTAGATGTCTTGAGTGGCGGACTAACACTGCTAGCTGCTGGGAGTACCGTCAGTTGAACGTGGTCCACCGCGCCTCGCGCCCGTCGCGCCCTGACAAGGCTCGCCGCCTTGGCTACAAGGCCAAGCAGGGCTACGTGATCTACCGTGTGCGTGTCCGCCGCGGTAACCGCAAGAAGCCTGTTTCGAAGGGTGCCACCTACGGTAAGCCGGTGCGCCAGGGTGTGAACCACCTCAAGCCCCAGCGCTCGCTCCGCACCCTCGCTGAGGAGCGCGTTGGCCGCAAGGCTTCGAACCTGCGTGTCCTCAACTCGTACTGGGTGAACCAGGACGGTGTGTACAAGTACTTTGAGGTCATCTGTGTCGACCCGCAGCACAAGGCGATCCGCCGCGACCCGCGCATCAACTGGATCGCCAACGCCGTTCACAAGCACCGTGAGTCGCGTGGCCTCACTTCCGCCGGCAAGAAGAGCCGCGGTATTGGCAAGGGCCACCGCTTCAACAACACCCACGGTGGTGGCAAGAACGCGACCTACCGCAAGCACCAGACCCTCCAGCTCAGGCGCTACCGTTAAACGTGCTAGTGCAGAGCACCGGAGTGATAGTGGGCTCTGGACTCGATACCTCCTTGAGGCCCATGGAGCTGTGCTCCGTTGCATGCTGTTCAGTAACGTTTTATGTAGATGCGCTATTTCGCGCCTACTCAAAATATATTAGGCATGTCTTTTGCTCAATGTGTGTGGGGGGATAGATAGAGAACTGAACACGTGTCGTACGCAGTAGGTTGTATGCCCATAAAAAGACTTAGCAACGTTGCCTGGGATGTCTATATATGTCGTCGCAGGAAGAAGTTTTGGCATGTGGCCCACCATTTGGATATTATGCCACCGATGTGCGCTCAGTCCGGTCTGTTGTGGATGGGGCTGGCGGTGGCAACGGAGTGACGCTATCCCGTGGTGTGTTTGTGGTCTCCGGTGCAGAACGGGCAAGCGTAGAGGCCGTGGCAGCGGCAGCCGCATGCGATGCAGCAATGCGAGCACGCTCATCATCTGCCTGCGCTACACTAGGTGAGTTGGTATTCACATTCGTCGACTGACGAAGCTCCGCAATAGTAACAGGCGGAATAGGCACACCAGGTGCTGCATTGGCATACTCCATCGTCCGGCGGCGAACCAGCTTGGCAAAGTGCAGGCCACAAGCATTGCATAGAGTACGTGCACCATCTGGGCCTCGACGCCATTCTGGTGTGTCATCATTTCCACACGAGTGGCATACACCCGGCGCAGGAGCCCGACTACGTTTGCGATACTTGGGCACGTAAGTCTGTGACTGCTGTGATGTGGGTGTGGTCTCATGCTGCGCAGCCTTAGCAGGAGCGCTGTAAGTATGATAGGCATGATCGGAGCCACGGCTGGACGAGGCGGACGCCGATGAGTGTGGCATTCCCACCGACTCGGGGCCCATGCGCGACAAGTACGTCAGGTCCTCTGCACTGCCAGGGGCACGGGCAGAGCGAGGTTGGGTACTGCGCTCCATACCTGTCTTGCCCCGCTGAGAGGGGCTTCGACGCCCTCGCATAGGTACAGCTTTGTCTGCGTGTGTGAGAGAAGGCGGCCACATACCATCCTCAGTCCGCAGCAGTTTAGCATCACGATCATCCCGCACATTCGATGCCCAGTACGAAGAAGTGGCATTTCCACTCCCACTGGGCATCCAGGGATAGTAGGGTGTCATATCTACGGCCTCACGGCCACTGCGAGTGTCGTGTGAGGGAATCAGCGTCCGAACCTCCTGATTGATCTCAGACACGATGGGAAGGATGGCATACAGATCGTCGGCACGGTGCACAGAGCCGGGTACGTTTAGCAATTCTCCCACGCAATTGTAGAGCGAAAGAGAAGCTGCATGAAGCTTCAGGTTAGAAAATAAAGTATACGTACACGCTCTAGTGAATACCGCGCATCTGGTTCCAACGATGCAGGCGCTCCAACTTGCCAGGGCGCAGGGGCGCTATTAGACGCCATAGTAGTTGATCGATTGGGCATATAAGCACCTCCATAAGACGGCGTGGCGCTTTCACCAGGCCGGATTACACGCGCGGAGGACGATTCGGTGCTGCTTTCAAACGATGGTACCTGGCCTTGGAACGAGGATAACGGTGCAGGAGGTGGCGGCGATGGTGGTACAGAAGCAGTAGAAGATATACCCCCAACCCTTGCATTACTGTGCGACACATCCGGTGCATGCTTGTCAGTATGCACAGCAAGCCGCTCATCGTGTGCAGATGAAGAACCGGACATCGGCCGGGAAGAGGATGCGTCTATCGCTGAGTTCGACATGGGCTCGAAACTTCGAATAGGAGGAAGCTTTACGGAGGCACCCTCACCAGAATGAGACGAAGGTGATGGAGTCGGTTGAGCCATGCCCCCAACCTTGTGAATAGCAGTGGATATGTGCCCCTCAGTACAAAGCACGGCAGATCCAGAAACCACAACAGCACTTTCTCGTTCAACAAGATCTTCTGATGCCTGTGCAATGAATCTCTACTTTGCACTGACAGGGAGAGAAGTATACAACTTGTCGATCGAACAAAGAAGTGTCCAACTGTTCAGATGGGCAATCGCGATTCTATGAACCCGATCGGGGTTAATTTGGTACGATGTAAGAAAGGACAGAATCGGACGAGAATCTGCCCGATTATTTGCTGGACACTGCATATCCCCCCCTCTTGATGCGCAGAATCGGAGAATTGATCAGCCCGATTCTCCAGTAAGCCGCCGATGAATAAGAAACGTGGCGAGTCCGCGATGCACCTGTCAAACAGGTGCACGATAACACAACTCCGCCACCGTGTGTATCTGACACGCAATCACAGCCTTATAACTTCAACGTAGAGCACAGGCAACACAAGTACGATAGTTTGAAATGTAAGCGATTACAGCAAAATTCTATATTGGTAATCTATGTATAGACATAAATTTACTTGCAGGCATCGCGCAGGTAGGTGATGAGGTCGTTGCGGTCCTTCTCCTTCTTAAGACCGTTGAAGGCCATCTTGGTACTGCACTAGTGTTAGCAATCATATCCTCAGTCATACCGCTCCAACTTCTTGTCGAAAAAAAGTGGAACAGCTTGGAATACATACCCAGGGATGTACTTCTTCGGGTTCTCGAGGTACTCAAACAGAGTGTCCTCACCCCACGTCACACCCTTGTTGACGTTGGCAGCCGTGTAGCTGAAGCCCTCGGCCTGACCGGTCTTGCGACCGAAGATGCCATTCAGGTTGGGACCAACTATCATGTGTTAGCAATTCGCTCCGTGTTACCATGATACATACCCTTGTTGGGGCCACCAGCCTCAGTGGTGTGGCACTGAGCGCAGCGGGTCTTGAAGATACCCGCACCCTTTTTAGCATCACCCTCAGAGAAACCCATTTTTGAAAAGTTGTTAGTAGATGCGAAGGTCAGTCAGTGGCTTCTAGCCTTTTAATAAGTTTCTACTGGAATGCCAGTTGCCCCGAGTAATTCCGTGCATGCATCAAATAAAAGATGCCATAATCGTCATCACGCCAGGGTGGCTGACACAGATTGACAAATAGTGAAAAGGGATTTTAAAATCCTACGAGAATCCGCACGTGGTGGGTGATCAGCGCCTGTGTATAGGTGAAGTAAGCTCGCGTATATTTCTCTTCCGCGCACCAAACTTCAACAGTATGTATCAATGAAAAGGCCAGAGAGCAGAGATGTATCCAAAGGATTAGTCCTCAAATAAATGCATAGTTCAACTCTAGGATACGTCCAATGCGAACAACCATACCATCATTAAGTCTTTCGCTCCTATATGATGGAACACCTCATTCTCTCTGAACTTGCTACCTGCACGAACACTAACATTAGAAGCTCTTTGTTATACATTGTACTATGGTACATGTCACCATTGTTGATATATAGGTAATTTGTTCAAGTAACATATTTTAGCAGCGTTTGGGGAGCATCTGTACCAGATCGGTTCTATGTATTCAGAATCCGGCAGAGTGCTTACAAAACATTGGGTTCGGGCGCGTCCGAAAAATGGCATTCCCCTCTAGCCACCGTGCGCAGTCCAGCACGCATAGCTAGGGGTCTATTCTACCATGAGTGCTGATCTGAACCAGAAGAACCCCTTGCCTTTAGGTCAGATGGAGTCTATGGCTCCTGAGTGTACACCTCTCAAAGAAAAATATGACACTTGCTTTCATACATGGTTTAAGGATTACCTTGACGTAAGCTCTGTCTTGCATGAGGGTGCTAGCAACCAGGCCGACCGCTGGCACGTTCGAGGATCTCTTTTTTCCGCTTCCAATAACCAGGTTCACAAAATTGCTGCGCTTCGTGCTCGTTACGATAACGATTGCAAAAGCCTCTTCACGGAATATCAGGCATGTGTGAAGGTATGGTATATGGCCAAGCAGAAAACTAACTTCAATTTAAGAATGCCATCAAAGAGCGTGGCTTGGAACAATCAATTGAAAAGGCGCGGAAAGAAAACCCTTTCCCACTCCAACATGAGCGCTAATACACTGAAATATCAAACAGGGTAGCAAAAAGTCTTTCCACAGCATTTCTGAAGGGAAAATAGCGGCAGATATAGATGTATAGTACGCGCAGAAATTACCAATTCGTAACCTATTTGCTATGTGGCTTAAAAAAGATAAATGCAACAGGTAGAAATAAAGAAACACAAAAAAAGAAGTTCCGGGCGAGATTTGAACCCGCGACCTACAGATATATTGCAGTAGTTGCAATCTGTCGCTACTACCCCTGAGCTACCGGAACCAGTTGTTGTCTCCATAAACGGGTAGAGGGTACATATAGCATGATGTTGTTCTTATCCTGGAGTCCGTGCCCAAAAAAGTGTTGTTTCGTTCCCCGCGCGAATAAACTTACCTTGCAACGTCGCGCCTTTTTTTATTTTTTCCAGAGAATAAATAAAATATGGCTGATGATACGAATAAAGCCAAGTCCATATACCCACATTCAATACCATCTAATGCATCGAAGAAAAACGATGCAGCAGTCGTCCTAAAAGCGGAAGCGATATGCCTTCAGTATGATGCACACGAGGACCTATGTGAAAGCTTGATGGTGTCAATTAGCTTGCCAGGCATTGCACATGATAATTTGGATACGAACGCGAAACAGGTGTGTCCAGGTGTCTATTCCTTTGAAGCGACGACCTTTGGATACCCTATGACAGGATCTGTCGTGGACCTGGAAACGGTGAAAGCAGCGACGGGAAAGAAGGGAAAGCGCAGGGTCTTGGGACAGTTTGTTGCAAAGAAGACAAAACAAGGTGTGCTTCTTCCACATCGCGCTACAAAATATGTGCGTGCCTCAGCTGCGGCTGGTGTCCGAGCAGTACGCTCACGTCGATCAAGTAAATCAGTTGTCACAGACGATGAGCAAGACGAAGAGGTAGCAATCATGGAGCAAAAGTTGGATACCAAAGCCCCGGAGTATGTTACTTCCATCGAGTTTGTTCTATGGTCAAAACGCAGCCAAGACCGTGAATATCTAGGCGAAAGTGTATACTATCTGGGCGATTGGTGTAAAACGGAGAACCAGAAGGTAGACTGGGCAGCAACTCTGCCTGTATGGCTCCCTCTTTTATCACGCGATGGGAAATCCATTGGAAAGCTACAGGTTCGTGTAGGCTTGGATTTGAATCCCGAGGGTCATGTGAAAGATACCATGGTGTTGTATCAAGCAATGTGTCAAGCGGTGGAAGAAGCAGGGGATGTAAGCATTTTCGATGTGCCTGCGACGGAGACAATTGGCATGGTAGAAGAAGAAGAAGAATTCTCTGACGATGGTATGACAGAGTCAGATTCCGATGACGAGGCAGGTGGCTCGTTCGATACAGATGACATGGACTCTATGGGGCCATCCTCGGCTCATTCAGATGCGCCATTGGAACCAGAACAACTTCCCATGACGAAACTGCAAATGGAACCTGTACGCCGTGAGTCCATCCGACGTGATGGCGTCCATTCCGACTCGGAAAGTACGCCACGGCGTAGATTACTTCCGCTCCGTGGACGCCGCAAGAATAGGGAAAGAGCCTTGTCCTCTGTCACGCCTACAGACTCTCAGGCGGACAGTGATGCAGAAGGGTCATCAGATGGGGAGGCAGTACGACGACCATGGCGCCCTAGGATCCGCAAACTTCGGGCAACGACCAAAACAGAAGCGGCAGAGGTGTCAGAAACCAGCTCAAAAACGTCTACCACCCGTCGCAGTCGGAAACAGGCCAAAAAGGCAAGAAAAGCAGAGCTGAAGAAGCAAAAAGGCACGTTTTCTTTCAAGGCAGAAATTGGCCATGAAGTGCTAGGCATTGTCATGTTGGAGGTCGTCAGTGCCAAAAACCTACCGCGATGGCGGAACATGACATATACCTCTTTCGATATGGATCCTTTTGTGGTCGTATCCTTTAATCGCAAAGTTTTCCGCACTCGTGTATTACGCCATACGCTTAATCCTGAATGGCGCGAGAAGCTCTTTTTCCATGTTCGCAGCAGCGAACGAAGCTATAACATCCGCTGTGCCGTCTACGATTGGGACAACATATCCGCCAATGATTACGTCGGAGAATTGAGCTTAGATGTAACAGATATTATGGATCATGCGCCACGACCGCATCCAGACACAGGCCTGTACGATATGGATATGCTTGAAACCATGGGGATGATGTCATATGACCTCCCATTGAAGCGAGAAGATCGCAATGAAGATACCAAATTTGGACCAGAACGGCCCACACTGCAACTGAAAGCTTCCTATCAGCCATACGAGGCATTACGCCAAAAATTCTGGCGCGAAATGCTTCGTATGTATGATTCGAACAATACAGGCGGTATTGACGCAGATGAATTGCAGTCCATGGTTCTATCGTTGGGAGGCACACTCTCCCAAGAAACCATTATGAGTTTCTTTGAGCGGTTGGGAAAAGATGCGCAGAATGACGAGCTTACATTTGAAGAAGGCATAGGTGTTCTAGAAGAGGCGATCAAGACGCCATGGGACCAGCGCCGCAAATATCTTGACCTCGACGATGTGGATGACGATGAGGAGGACGGTGCAGAGACGCCTTTGAAGGAGACGACTACGAGTGTAGAGCGTGTGATCCGGTTACAAACGTGTCCGCTGTGCGGTAAGCCACGTCTATCGAATGCCGATGAAATGGACATTGTGACGCACTTGGCACTATGTGCGAAGCGCCAGGGTCGAGCTGTCGACGACATCATGGTCTCCAGTTTTGTCACAGCTACACAGGCTCGTCGCAAATGGTACACGAATGTATTTACAGTACTGAGTCAAGGACACTATCGCCTTGGTGCGAATAGTGCTAACATATTGGTGCAGGATCGGCTCACAGGCCAGCTGGTCGAAGAAAAAATGCAGGTATATGTGCGGCTGGGAATCCGTTTGCTCTACAAAGGTGTGCAAGGAAAGATGGCAGGAGCGCGAGCGCGGCGTATGCTACGCAATATGACCTTCAAGCAGGGCCAAAAGTACGATCAGCCGAGTAGCACTCGAGCCATTCGGCCGTTTATTGCGTTCCACAACATCAACGAGGGCGAAATGGTGGAGCCAGTAGAGGCATTCACAACGTTCAACGACTTTTTCTGCCGGCGTATTCACATGTCGCTTCGACCAGTAGCAGACCCAGATGAGCCCAGTACGATGGTAAGCTGTGCGGATTGTCGGCTGCTTGCCTTCCCTTCCGTGGAGCGTGCTACACAGTTGTGGATCAAAGGCCGGCAGTTTACGGTTGACAAGTTGTTGGGTGCAGCTGCTGCACAGCATTTACCATCACGGTGTGCATTGACCATTTTCCGCTTGGCACCACAGGATTACCATCGCTTCCATTCGCCTGTCGATGGGCGGATAGGGACGCCAACGTATATCGATGGCGAGTACTACACTGTGAACCCCATGGCAATCCGAAGTGCCATTGATGTGTATGGAGAGAACGTGCGGACAGTTCTGCCGATCTATACCCGGGAATTTGGTCTGGTATACTTGGTCGCCATCGGTGCGATGATGGTCGGTTCCATTGTCCTCAGTGTGAAGCCAGACACAGAAATCCGGCGTGGAGAGGAGCTGGGCTACTTCAAGTTTGGAGGCAGTACCCTTGTCCTGCTTGTCGATGGTAGCCGCATCCAGTGGGATGATGATCTCCTGCTCAATGCCGATACCTGCATCGAGACGCTCGTCCAAGTCGGCATGCGCATTGGTGTCGCGCGCGTGTGAGTCTTGTTGTATGCGGGGTTCGGCCGAGTCGTAGTGTAGCATATTAGGGTGTGTAGGTTAGTCATTCGTGGAGATGAAGTGTACCGATAGAATTTCTTTTCTTGCTTCCCTACCGACAGTCATGCGGCCTTGGGCAACGCGACTTTCGCGAAGTGTAATGACTGGCTGCAGCAACCGAGGTATGGCGACGTCGTGTGCGTGTGCACAGGCCAGCACTCGCCCGCCGCCAGGCGATTTGAACCACTACTCGCGCCTGATTACGCAGCCGAAGGACCAGGGTGCGTCGCAGGCCATGCTCTACGCGACGAAGGGCATTGACAACGATGAAGACCTGAAGCGTGCCATGGTGGGTGTCGCCAGTGTGTGGTACGAAGGCAACCCCTGCAATGCGCATCTGCTGGGCATCGGTCAGACCATCCGCAACTCGATTGATCAGGCTGGTTTAACGGGCTACCAGTTCGGCACCGTGGGTGTCTCGGACGGTATTAGCATGGGCACATCGGCCATGTCGTACTCGCTTCCCAGCCGTGATTTGATTGCCGACAGTGTCGAGAGCTGTGTGGGTGGTCACTGGCTCGATGGTTGTGTCGTGGTGCCAGGTTGTGACAAGAACATGCCGGGTGTGCTCATGGCTCTGGGCCGCCTCAACCGCCCGGGTATTATGGTGTATGGTGGTACGATTCGCCCAGGCCACTGTGGCTCCATTGCTGGCTCGCTGGACATTGTGAGTGCGTTCCAGAGCTACGGTCAGTACCTCGCTTCGGGTGCGACGCCAGAGGCGGAGAAGGTGCGGTACGATACAGTGCGTCACGCATGCCCCGGAAACGGTGCGTGCGGTGGTATGTACACGGCCAACACGATGGCCTCGTGTGCCGAGGTGCTGGGTATGACGCTGCCAGGCAGCAGTTCGTTCCCTGCAGAGTACCCGGAGAAGCGGGCCGAATGTGATTCCATCGGTGAGACGATGCGTCTGCTACTCGAGAAGAACCTGCGTCCGCGTGACATTATGACGAAGAGCGCATTTGAGGATGCCATTGCGCTGACCATGGTGCTCGGTGGCTCGACCAATGCGGTGCTGCACTTGATTGCCATTGCGAAGAGTGTGGGTGTGGAGGTGACGATCGATGATTTCCAGCGCATTAGCGATGCGACGCCGTTCCTGGCCAACCTGAAGCCGAGTGGCAAGTATGTCATGGAGGATGTCCACACCATGCTGGGCGGTATCCCGTCGGTGGTGCACTACCTGATTGAGAACAAGCTGATGAAGGGTGAGCACATGACAGTGACGGGCCGTACGCTGCGTGAGAACTGCGAGCGCTGGGTCGCAGAACGTGGCCCGATGCCGATGGACCAGGACCTGCTCTACCCGGTGGACAAGCCGATCAAGGCAAGTGGCCACATTCGCGTGCTGTACGGCAACCTGGCACCCGGTGGTGCGGTGGCCAAGATTACCGGCAAGGAAGGTCTGTTCTTCTCGGGCAAGGCGCGTGTGTTTGACACGGAGGACGATCTGGTGCATGCGGTAGAGAAGAACGAAATCAAGAAGGGCGAGAAGACGGTGGTGATTCTCCGCTACAAGGGTCCTAAGGGTGGCCCTGGTATGCCTGAGATGCTCAAGCCGACCAGTCTCATCATGGGTGCCGGTCTGGGCCACGATGTGGCCTGCCTCACGGATGGTCGCTTCAGCGGTGGTTCGCACGGCTTCGTGATTGGCCACGTTGTGCCGGAAGCGCAGGAGGGTGGTCCGATTGCTCTCGTGCAGGACGGTGACACAATCACGATCGATGCGGAGAAGAACACCATCAATATCGAGGGCGTCACCGAGGACGAGCTTATTGGTCGTCGCGCTGCCTGGACGCCGCGCCCCCTCAAGGTGAGCCAGGGTGGTCTGTACAAGTACACACGGCTGGTTGCTGATGCCAGCCACGGCTGTGTGACGGATGCGTAAGATCATGGATAAATTATACGTAGATGGGCTCTATAGATACAGGTCGTCTACGAAAGGTAACCCTTCTTGAGCGCAATCTCCGCGTTGAGCACGGAGCTAGTGGCAGCGCCCAGCATGACATTGTTGACGAGGGACACAAACTTGATATCGAGGACAGGGTCTTTGCGGATACGGCCGACATTAACACCCGAGCCGTTCTGCCATTCACGGTCCAGACGCGGCTGGGGTCGGTCCACCTCATCATGTACGGTGATGGCCTGCTTCGGTGCACTATGGCAGCCCAGTGTCTGCGCCTCACAGGTGAACGCGCGAAGAGCTTCAGCGACTTGCTCAGGCGAGGGCGCAGGCTGCTTCTTGAAGCTCACACTAACACAAGCCAAGTGGCCATCGATCACGGGCACACGATTGCAGTGCGCGCTCACACGCAGGGGACTGGTCTCATGCAGATCAAAGGCCGTGTCATTGTCCTTCAGACCGCCTAGAATCTTGCTCGTTTCCCATTCAATCTTTTCCTCCTCGCCACTAATATACGGCACGACATTGTCGAGAATATCGAGCGAGCTCACACCAGGGTAGCCGGACCCACTGATGGCCTGCATCGTCTGCACCATGACAATATCCAGCGGGCCAAACGCGTCCTCCAGTGCCTTCAAGGCAACAACAACACCCGTTGTCGAGCAGTTCGCATTCGTCACAATATAGCCACGGTCCAGCGGTGGCGACATGGACTTCTGCTGATGGGGCAAAATAGACAAGTGCGACGGGTTAACCAGAGGCACAATGAGGGGGCACAGTGGGTCGCGGCGGTAGTTCTTTGCGTTGGAGAACACACGAAGGTTTGCAGCACGGAAAGCGGCTTCCACAGGCCCAGCAGGTGTGCTGTCCAAACCGCTAAACACAACCCCACACTCCTTGAACGCAGCGGGCTCACACTCATGCACGGTCATATCACGAACATTGGCAGGGATGGGCTGCACTTGCTTCCAGCGACCTGCCACCGCCTCATGGTACGGCTTGTTCGCCGACGACGCGCTCGCGCCAAGGGCGACCAGCTCAAAGTCAGGGTGGTTGCTTAACTGCAGGATAAAGCGCTGGCCGACAGTGCCAGTCGCGCCGAGCACACCGACTTTCACTTTTCCATTCGACATGATACGGTGGTTCTATGAAACGCACAAGCAGGCACAGTTGAGTCATGCCAGGCGCGTTTAGTCAATGCGTCAGAAAGCAACGGCCAATCCACCGCGTGGCACGGTGGGGGGCGAGCGCGAATTTTTTTAGAGGGTTGGAAAATTATAAATACAAGGCCCAGGTCCGTTTCTTTTTTCCTCACCTTTTCTGGCCTTTTGGCTTAGATCAAGTGTAGTATCTGTTCTTTACAAGTTAACGCTTGTAACTCCTCCCTCTGGGAGGATTTCCGTTAACCGTCTTTTTCGACGCGGGAAGCAGCCTGCAGGCTTGCTTGCAGCGCTTCAGCTTGTCCTTGGCACTACACTCCCGCCTTGAGACGAGCACCGTACTGCCGGCCTCTGGCCGGGCTTTTTTTATTGCTCGATTCTGCTTACGTAATCAAATTGGAGAGGTCAGAATGTCTTGCACGCGCGAGAAGGAAATTGAATAGCTTGATACTGTACGTAGACTATATCCTTGAAAGAACATTATGCAGGGAAGCGACGTACACCGGCTTGCGCTGGGTCTTCAGGGTCAAAGTCCGGCGCAAAGAAGAAACCAAGCACAAACACAACGTAGGCCAGCACAAGAATACTGCCGCGATGGTAGTTACTGCGTGCCTCATTATAGGTGTAGGTGAGGAGGAAAATGGAAAATACAATAGCAATGATGTCCCAGCGTGGGAAGAGAAGCGTGAAGGAGTGAGCCGCCATATCAAAACCTTCTTGCGGCATGTAGGAAGAATTGTACAGAGCACTAAAGCCCACCAGTACAGGAATTTGAATCAAGCACACTTGAAGTGCGTACGCAGATCCAATCTCAAGAGACAGGGCGATGTTGCCGTTCAGCGCAAAACTCATGGCATTCATAAATTCGGTGGTATTGGGCACAAGCGCAAAGATGGTCACGCCCACAAACTTGGCCGAGAGACCAGAGCCATTAATCACCACATCGACCAAGTCGACAATAATTTCGGCAATAACAGCATAGAGAACCGTACATCCCAGCAGGACGCTCAGCGAGAAGCCACGACTCCAGGACGGCCCATCATGGCCACCACCTCCCTCGTTCTCAGTCTCCTCTTCGTCTTGACTGGGTTGTTGCTTTTGCTGGCTGAAGATGTATTGGTACATACGCGCAGCTGCGTCAGCCAACGCATCTTCTGGACTCAGTTTAGGCTTGGCCGTGTCCTCAGGCGCCGAACTCGTAGGTTTGTTGTCTGAGGGCAGGTCAGGGACAGACGACGACATGGTCTTGGCCGCTAACGCAGCCGAGGCAGCTGCATTCGCGGCCTTCAGGCCCTTGGAGGGGCCAGCCGTAGGCATACGCTCCTGAGAGGCTGCATCCTGGTGCAACGGCAAACTTTGCTCCTCATTCGCATGCAGTAGGCGTTTGTACATAGCAGCACGGTGCAGTGGATGGATGGCTTCCGGCCCAATATTCGGAGTGCTATTCCAAATTTGCGATGCGTGTGTACGCAGAGAGAACCACAAACCGATACCATATGCCAGGAGTAGAACCACAGCACAGGCATAGACGAGACCTTTGACATTGGTTTGAAAGAAGGGGTCGTCTAGCGGGGACATGCGCTGGAAAGAGCACTGATCGCACTTCCAGCTATCGGCCGCCGAGTTGACGTCATTGGGGCATCCAGAGCATGCCATCTCAAATTTGCCGTAAATATGGTAAAAGAGGGTCGGTGTGAGGATACCGATGATGGCCATGATCAGCATCGTACTCGTTACACCAGCGGAGCGCGAGTTGAACTTTTGTTCCTTGCGCCGCATCGCACCCGAGCACATGCTCGTGCCAGGCATTAGCAAGACACCGGCCAGAATCGAACCGATAATCGAGCCCTCGACCAAGCTAGCCTTGCCTTCTGTTAGCGCGAGCGAGTAAAGAATCAACTCAATAATAGAACCAAACGTAGCGTTGATCACAGCACCCATTCCAATACTGCTCTGCGTACTGATACTTGCCACTGCCATACCAATGAAGTACGACAGAGGCATCACACTCGCCAAAGACAACCCAAAGATAAGACCATCCGAGATGAGTGTACCCAGCAGACCCTCCTTAAGTCCATGACGCAGACAATATGGCCGCACGAGGAAGAAAAGGATGATGGTGAAAAACACCACAGGCACCGTATTCACAAAGAGAATGTTCACACCGCCTACCGTGTACTTGAAGTACTCCCTGCCCATGGCCTTGTAGGTGCACAATAAGATGGTACTGCGACGCTTGGATGTGCCCTTCTTGCGGTGCTGACGCTTAATGCGAGGAGCAAGATTGCCTGGGTGCAACACCTGCCGCATTTGCTCCGGCTCATCCGAGTCCTTCACCTTGAGCACACGTGTGTCGATGTGCAAGGGGGAGCGGAAATGCAACGCAAGAGGCTGCTTGGCCATGTTCTTCAGCAGCAACCAGCTCACTTTGGCCATCGGGATCGTGAACACAAAGCTCCAGCAGAGCAGGCAGACCAGTCCCAGCGCAGGGAAAAGCACAAAGATGTACAGCAAAGCATAAACGATAATACCACCGATGCGCTTCGGCACACCCACATCATTCCCATTCTCATCAAATACGTAATGGTACAATTTCTTCTCTTGTGAAATACGCTCCTTCTCGGAAAGAGGCGACTCGGCCGTGTCGTCTTCAACGCCACTATACAGCGAATGGTGAGGATGCTCAGAATTCAAAGGTGTATTTTCATCAGGAACTTCACCGGCATCATCATGCTCGTCCATATTCACTTCATGTTCGTGAACAGTAGGCAGCCGGCAAGGTCCATGGCGGTGGCCACCAGCATGCGAGCATTCCACTTCCACGTAGTTGCCGAAAGGCCATAAAATATATGTGCCAAGGCCATAGAGTGTATGAGAGTACATAATACCGCCTTTGGGGACAAAGTACAAAATCCCTGAGCAGATAAAGCAGAGGAGACTCAACCAAACACCAAACACGATACACCAGAGCAAATTGCCAGGCCACGAAGCACGATCCGTGTGTAAGCCCGGCATCGAACGCACAGCTGAGTTGGCAGTACGCTGGATCGAGCGGGACTTTTTGTATAGAGCTGGCTTCCAAATCGGCAGACCAAAAGGATGCTCGATGTTCAGGGCGTCCTGTCGATCTTTGACGGTGTATTCGAGATCGTTTTCGTCCAAATCATCTTCCAGCTCGTTCTCGTCGATAGATTCTTGGATTGCTGAGTCGTCCATCATATCTGTGAAGCTCACATGGCCTGCATGTTCACTTTCCCCAGCAGAGTCGTATTCGCGACCCATACTACATCCGGCCGCGTCGCTGAGCATGCTGTGCCGCATAGGCGTATCACGGTACGATGTAGAGGGTCCAGGACGATGCATCGTCTTGGAATGGATATCTGTTCCCTCGGATGTTGTAGAGAGGGCTGATTCTTGCTCAAGTTCACGCTCACGCTGTTTCAGCCATTTCTCACGTCGACGTTCCCGAATACGATGTCGGATCAGGGCCTCACCACGGTCTTCTGACACGTATTCATCGTCGGGCTTGTCGAAGTTGATGACTCTGCCATTGTTCTCTTCGTTATCCCCATGCTGAAATGTGGCAGAGCCAGGACCATGTCGCATCGCACTCTGGCTGAACGAACGCTCCATCATCGGGGCGGTCGGCATGTGACGTTCATTTGCCATGGACGATGACAAACCTGACGTGGAATTCCGTTTACCAATTGGCCCTCCAGGCCGGTCATTGGGCGTTGTTGAGGCCATCCCAGATATAGTGACGGTCCAGCGCACAGGCTAAGTTGGCACTAGTCCGAGCGAGCCGCACGCGCACTCTTATGTCACACGTGGCCAGGGGTCTTTGTGTGATTCGTTGTTCTATAGAGCCATGATATGCGCCCATCACAAGACACACTATAGATCTTTGGTCATGTCTCTGATTTCTATACATACAGGCTCTGTGACATCTGGGCATAGGTTGCACGCCGTCGTCGGGGACGAGGCCGGGTAGGTAAACGTACCCAAGCATCCTTGCGACAGGTTGGGCATGTGACCCATTTGCCAATCGTATCTTGCTGGTTGCGTGCGAAGCCTTGGTCTGTGTGAATGCTCGATATCATATCTGGTGTTATGCAAGTATCATTTTCGTCATCATTTTCGTTGTCGTCATCATCTTCATCATCTTCATAGTCAGAATACATGTCAGCTTGGGTCCCCATCTCAACCCGTATTCCTGTGCACAGACAGTCAAGGTGGATATGGTGGCGGCAAGGAAGCAACTCAATCTTTTGCGAATATTGCTTCTCATCATCGTAGTAGGCAGGAAGGCAGGCAGGTGCATCACACCGCAGGTCAGCTTTGCGCTCCTTCTCGCGCACGAGCTCACGAATAGACTGCGTCGTGAGCCCTTTCGGTGAGCCGTCCTCTTCAATCGGTAAAGGTTCACGACAAAAAGGACATGTCCATTTGCTTGGTGGTTTGCTGGAGAGCCACTCAAGAAGGCATCCAGCATGGAGAGTGTGCAGCCCGGAGCAAGGCACTGCAACTACGGCCTCGTTTTCGCTTGACTCCTCCCCTGCGAACCACGCAGGCCGATCTTCAGTCGCGTATGGTTCCAAGCAAATACCACAGCCTGTAACAGTTTTAGCCTCCGTATCTTCAGCAGCGATACCATAGATACTGATATCACTCAGACCAAAGTAGCCCATCCGACCGCGCAGTTCGCTGTCCACTCGCTCTAGTGATTTGACGTACTTCTTGGCCTTTTCCTGGTCAGGCTCTTCGTCCCGCTGACTGGGGCGCATCGCGAATGTCAAGTGGAATGGAAGGCCTGCAATGTGGACATTTCGCTGAGTATCAGTGGGGTCGTCTGGCGCAGGTTGCTGGACACGATCGAGGACGGGCCATGCCATGCTTGTGCTAGCATCGTACAGGAATCCGAAAGGAAATGGAGAGGCTTCAGGTGGAATGAAAAGTAGGAAATGAGAGCCTCGGTTCGTTCCACCTTGCTCATCTGCGGTGGAAGTGGCACGGTTGGTATTGTCAGCCGACTCGGAAGGCCGTGGAGGCGTAGGCATTGGCACCGTGTTCGTGGCACCAATGGATGCCGGTGCAGGTGTTGCGCTTTCAGAGTCATCCTGGGTATTTGCCTCGAGAGGTGGGTCTGTGGTATGACTCTGCTCCTCGGCAGAAGTCGGAGTAGGGCTGGTGTCAGAGGGAGAAGCTGAAGAAGCATCGAATTCTGTGGGCTCCATAGACGGCGTAAGAACATCGCGTATACGGGTTGCCCAAGAGTTCAGTATTGACCATAGGTTAGGACTATGCTGTTCTGAGTGGATATCTTCAGGGGCGGTCTCAGGATCAAGTCGCGTCGGCGGTTGCTGAGAGACGTCCGTGACGTCTGTGGGCTGAGCCTCCAGTGTTGGACCATCCGACTGTGGATCCGTTGTGTGTATCATAGAGCTTGCTAGCGATTCAGGTGCATCCACATCTGCTTGCCAAGGGGTAGAAATAGGACGTTGCATCGGAGATAAGGAGGATGGTGGCAAAACATGATGCGGTGGTGAAGAGATAGTGATTATGCGTGGTTCTGTAACAGTTCTGATATTATCATCTTCATTTGGCAAAGCCGAGTCTATAGGACTCGGATCGGGGGGTACCATGGCGGTGGCGATGATAGTGATACCTGGGTTATCCGCACAGATAGGGTTAAGGAGAGTATGGGCAAAGGTTCCCCACAAATGACTAATGCACTTAATAAGGCGTTTCTTTCCAAAAATGGGGCGCATTTCGAGAGTGCCTGAAATCGGTCAAGGGTTTCCAGTGGTCTCTAGGAATCGGGGGCTGTAAAAAAAAAATATAAACCACTATGACGGCAGATGAAGATTCCAAGCCGAAACAGCCCCCCCATGGAGAGAGGAGGGAGTCATCTCATGCCAAAGAGAGTCCTACCAAGGCATCAGAAACTGAGAAAGAGACAAAATGCGACGCCAGTACGAGCCAGACTTCCAATGCACCAGAAAAGTCGTCGATCGCATCACCAGTCATGGCGAGCCATTCTCGTGAGCCTGTGAAGAAGAGGCCCTCACAACTTGGAGCTATGGCTGGAAGGAAGAAAAGAAAAAGCTTGCTAGGGGAAATGAGTGCTGCTATCACATCCCAGCCCAAGAAACTTAACACACTGGAAAAATCGAAAATGGACTGGGAAGCCTACAAAGGCAATACGTCTTTACCAAATGAAAAGAAAGAGACCATGAGTGCGTCTGAGCGCGAAGAACTCGAGGCGCAGACGCAGGGTGGTGGTAGCGGTCTTGGCGATGTGAAAGGCTACTTACACCGTAAAGAGTTTCTCGATCGCGTGCAAGATCGCATCAATGCGCAAGAATACGAAGCCCATGTATCCAAGCGCCGTTCATAGAAACAATAGCATCTATGTACTATATCATGCCTAATTGATTTATAAGTGAATGATCGTCATTGTCAAAATTCAAAAAAAAAGAGCAAACTGGGCCCATTTTAAGAATGGTAAAAAGAAGTTCCCAATCCGGGAGTCGAACCCGGGTCTTGTCGGCGCCACACAGTAGAACATATGAGAGCGACATATACTAGCCGTTGTACTAACTAGGAGAACTGATAGTAGCGAACCCCAAATTATGCGCTATGATCCTGTGCTTAACGGAAACCCGCCACGGTTCGGATCGAGGCCTGTGAGGATTGCCGTTTCAGCCGAGAGCGCAGGGAATTCCGGTCATTCTCATCAAGAGCTGAGGATGCCCTCGTTGAGTGTACCATCTCGCTTGGTGAAAACCCTGTCGTAGTGTCCATTAAGGTAGGCACAACGTCCACTTGTCCTTTCACAGGGAACATTAAAGAAGGTGTCACCGAGACAATACTTGATGTTCGCTTGCGACTGGAAGGAATATCATCATGCATGCGACTCAAATAGGAGGGTTCATCAGGCATAAGGCATGCACCCGGTGTACCCACACTGCTGTCTGTGCTCGCTGCTTGGCGCTGAGGAATGCCGGGTACAGATCGAAGGCGTGAGCTGGTAATACCATCGTATCGCTGCGTTGTCTGACTCAGTGCCTGATCAGACGACGGCGTAAATGATGCACTGGACGTGGATACACGAGACAACAGCTGGGGACGTGACGGTTCAGCAAACATGACCGATTTGCGACTGGAGACGGAGGGTGCTCGTCCCGCGCGTCTCTCTGGCACAACTTTTTGCATATAGTTCGTACTGTCCTTCAACGGCGGGGCCTTGACAGCTGAAGCCTTCTTCTGCGTACCAGAGAATGGGAAGATGCGGGAAATACGGCAAGACAATGCCGATACTTCTGCGTTGGAGAGCGTTGCGCTCATCTTGCGCTCTAGATCGGGTGCTGACCACTGCTGCCCTTCTGAAGCGACACGCCTAAATGGCGTAAGGTTCAACTGCGTAGCCCTATCACGACCTTCTTGCAGGTAGCGAGACCATGCTGTATAGGTATCTTGCACTAACATAGGCTCCTTTTCCTTGATGGCGTTCCGCATGATCAGATAAGCCTCCAAAAACAAAACACCCAGGTGAATGCGAACCAGATCCACGTCTGGCATAGTATGCTCTGTGAGTTCATCCAGCTCTGCGCGTGCTTCGAAGGCCGCAACGCGTGTCAATGCATCTCGCATAGCACTCCAAATAGACTCGCGCGTAGGCTCAGAGGGCATACAGTTCTGCAGGCGAGCTTCTGGGTGCAAGAGCTCGCATGAGCGAGGGAAAAGCAGAAGCAACGACCATGCAATATCTGCATGCTTGTCATCTGTACGAAGCATCTGCAGAGCCTCAGGAGCACAGACCAGCGTAGAGAGCAATGTCAGTGTCTGGCTCAACATATGCACTTTTGTAGCATCACGCTGCTGCTCAATACTTGCGAGCAGGAGCTGAAGTCCACACAATGCCCACGCAATGCCGCGCAGCGTGTCACGTTCGAATAGAACGACATTCGATCGAGACAGACCAAGACCAAACATCTTTGCCAGGAAAATGCAAGCATACTCTGATTCCAAGTCTGAGGCCCTGCGTAAAAGCACAGCAGCCAGGGCGTACCGTTGCGCCATGTATGCCATTTGCGCTTCCCAAAGGATCCGATCTACATCGGTAGCTCCTTGAATCGTCTCGAACACAAATTTTTCATGCTCGATACGCTTGGATGCGTACATTCGCATACTATCCTGTTTGATTTGTGGTGCTGCGCGGTGGAACGTTTCTTCAGCCTCTACGAGGCCCAAGCCACAGTCCGTACTGCGCTGACGGAGTTTGTCAAAGAGATAGGCATTGTAGACCTGGATGCTCGTTGGTGTTTTCTGTACATCTCCTAGCTTTTCTTCACTAGCACCGATCCTACTCATGCCTTGCTGCCATAGGGCCGGAATGGACCGATGCCCTAGCAGCGTCGGGCGCCAGAGATCCATACCGTGCAAAGCCGTGTCGAAGCGCGTGTTGTGGTCCGACACACCTCGGCGCGCGTCGAGACAAGTGGAGAACGGAAGATGTCCAATCAAGGCGAGGCAAAATAAAAGAGACTATTATTATATGGAATGCAAAAGTAGGTCTATGGTCTCAGGCACGCTGGAGTTTCAAGATGGCGTAGAACACCAGGCGGTAGATAATCACGATGCATACAAGGATGGCAGCCTGACCACCAAGGTCCACTTCGTTGAGCTGGAGACCTTTGATAATCGAGTCGCCTGACGACGCACACTTGTCTTCCGCCGAGACAGGCCATTGACATGTGCAGTCGTTGCATGGGAATTGGAGCCCCATTAGATCTGTACGTGCCAAGAGAGCAAATGCGTATGTCTCGTAGTTGATAAAGTGTGCCCAGTAGTACCAAAATCTAGGCAAATTGACGGTGCGGATGAAGTAGCCTTGTGTGCACATCCAGAACCCATTCAAGAAGGCAGCCAACGCCAATGCAGCCACAAAGATCGGGACGAGAGCCGCAATGAGGAGTGATTGCATCTCTGCTGCCAATATGCCCAGGTACAGGAACACGAGCCAGCGCCAAAAGGCTACGCCTCCAGGATGCAGCCCAATCGACCAATAGCACAGAATAGCAAACACCAGCGAACAGATGAACAGGAACGGCAGTGAGACAATTGTATTCGCCAATGTAAAGGGCCCAGGGCCGTACAAGCCATTGGAACGCTCACGCAGCAACACGCCGCGCTCCTCCAAGAAACTTGGGATACCTGCAACGCTCATAAAGCCCAAGAATGCCACCGAGAAGAAATGCACAGACAGGCGGTCTTGTACATGTGTATCATTTTGCGGTAGATTGACCCAGATGGTAGCTAGCAGAACACCCATACCAATGTACATGCCAAAACGCACACCATAGGCGAGCAGATTTCGCCGGTAGTTGAGCAGATTGCGGCGAGACAGTGTCCACGTCGTACCCCAGAAACTGTGCTTGTTGAAGCGCAGATCATGCATGTTATCATTGCTCATATTGTGCTCTGGCTTGTCCACATGCGTGCGGTCGTGCAAAAATTGCTCGCCTGTGGTCTTCCAGCGCTCAGCCCATTGCAGGACGGTCATACCGTAGCCATGGTTCGCATCCGATTCCATGTCGCCTGTTTTCTCGACCAACTTAAAATCGTCACTGACAAGGCGCATCATATGATCCGCTGGGTTTGTAAATGTGCCGCATGGCTGGCCGTTCGCCTCGAAGTACGGTGCCACCAGTTCAATGGGTCCTGTGTATACGGTTTTACCATGGGCCAGCAGCAAGACATTCGAAAAGAGACGGAAGATGTCCCAGTTGGGACTGTGAATCGTGGCCACAATAGCAATATCATACATCTTAGCAAACTGCTGGATGCTGTGCATCACTTCGTAGGCCGTGTGGATATCCAAACCGGATGTAGGCTCATCTAGGAACAGTAGCGAAGGCATCGCTACCAAGCTGCATCCAATGGTGACGCGACGTTTTTGGCCACCACTGATGCCACGCTGAATGGGTGTGCCAATCTTGTTATGAGCCACACCGCGCAGACCCAAGCCATCTAGGACAGCGTCCACACGTTCGTTGATTTCCGCCGCTGTTGACGATTTGTCCATACTCAACTTGGCAGAGTACCAAAGAGTTTCGCGAACGGTAAGGACACCAAGTAAGGCGTCATGCTGCTCGACATAATTCGAGATGCTCTTCACTGGGTGATCTCCTGGCACTTTAATCGAGCCAGAGGTTGCTTGCTTGCGGTCAGCCAGCACATCGAGAAGAGTGCTCTTGCCGGCACCGCTAGGACCCATGATGGCCAACATGTCACCACCCTTGACTTGACCAGAGATGGAATCGAGTAGCATCACTTTACTAGGGGCATCGGGGTTCCTTGATCGCTTGGCGAAAGGCCACATGGAACTCTTTGCATTCACAGTATAGGTCACGTCCGTCCATGAGAGACGACTCATGATGTGGGTTGACGATGGCCTTTATCAGACCCAGGCCCCTACTCCTTAAATAAGTTCAGCGCATTGCTTGTTGCCACAACGTCCAGCGCTTTTTTTGCCAAGCGTTTCCGCCGGACTCCGTCTAGGGCCCATGGGCTACTGAGGGGGCGTATCATCTTGCACATGCCCCGCCAAGCGAGCTAAACCCATGCAGCCTCCACATTTTAATAAAATAAGATCCAATCAATGCAGCCCAGGAACTAATAGGATGTCCGCCGGACTCGCTAGGGTATCCTAGTCTGACTGAAGGCTCAACGGACCTCCTTTCTACAGAGGCATGCACCAATAAGCCCCACAAATATCATTTATTCGACCATAAACACAAAACAGGGGATGCCTACTTAGGATCTATGCTTAAGCAGCGTAACGTTGGAATTTGAATGTTGTCCTTTGGAGAACGGAAGACGTCCAATCAAGGCGAGGCAAAATAAAAGAGAGACTATTATTCCATGGGATGCAAAAGTAGGTCTATGGTCTCAGGCACGCTGGAGTTTCAAGATGGCGTAGAACACCAGGCGGTAGATAATCACAATGCATACAAGGATGGCAGCCTGACCACCAAGGTCCACTTCGTTGAGCTGGAGACCTTTGATAATCGAGTCGCCTGACGACGCACACTTGTCTTCCGCCGAGACAGGCCATTGACATGTGCAGTCGTTGCATGGGAATTGGAGCCCCATTAGATCTGTACGTGCCAAGAGAGCAAATGCGTATGTCTCGTAGTTGATAAAGTGTGCCCAGTAGTACCAAAATCTAGGCAAATTGACGGTGCGGATAAAGTAGCCTTGTGTGCACATCCAAAATCCGTTGACAAATGCCACCAAGGCCAGAGCGGCAATAAATATGGGTACCAAAGCCGCAATCAAAAGTGATTGCATTTCTGCAGCCACGACACCGAGGTATAAGAACGCAAGCCAGCGCCAAAATGGTACACCACCAGGATGTAACCCAATCGACCAATAGCACAGAATAGCGAAGACCAAGGAGCAAATAAACAGAAAGGGAAGTGTCATAATTGTATTTGCTAACGTAAATGCCCCTGGGCCATACAGACCATTGGACCGTTCACGGATAAGCACACCACGCTCTTCTAAGAAACTTGGAATACCACCGACACTCATGAAACCGAGGAATGCCACTGCAAAAAAGTGCACAGAAAGACGATCTTGCACGTGTGCATCATTTTGTGGTAGATTTACCCAAACTGTCGCTAGGAGTACACCAATACCAATGTACATGGCGAAGCGCACACCGTAAGCAAGCATGTTCCTAAGGTAATTGATCAAATTTCGGTGGGACAGCGTCCATGTTGTACTCCAAAAGCTATGCTTGTTGAAGCGCAGGTCATGTACATCATCTTTACCCACATCGTATTCAACCTTGACATCTTGCTTGCGCTCACGCAGGAACTGAATGCCAGTGGCCTTCCAACGCTCAGCCCATTGAAGTACAGACATATCGCCATCCGTACCGGCATCAGCTTCCATATCACCTGTCTTATGGACCAATTTGAAATCATCACTTACAAGACGCATCATATGATCTGCTGGATTGGTAAATGTAGCGCATGGCTGGCCATTCAGCTCAAAGTACGGAGCGACGAGCTCAATGGGTCCATAGTACACGGTTTTCCCATGCGCCAAAAGCATGACTTCTGAGAACAGACGGAAGATATCCCAATTGGGACTGTGAATCGTAGCCACAATAGCAATGTTATATGACTTTGCAAATGTCTGAATGCTGTGCATTACCGCATAGGCCGTGTGAATGTCTAGGCCAGATGTCGGCTCGTCTAAGAATAGGAGCGAAGGCATTGTCACAAGACTGCATCCAATGGTGACGCGACGTTTTTGGCCACCACTGATGCCACGCTGAATGGGTGTGCCAATCTTGTTATGAGCCACACCGCGCAGACCCAAGCCATCTAGGACAGCGTCCACACGTTCGTTGATTTCCGCCGCTGTTGACGATTTGTCCATACTCAACTTGGCAGAGTACCAAAGAGTTTCGCGAACGGTAAGGACACCAAGTAAGGCGTCATGCTGCTCGACATAATTCGAGATGCTTTTCACTGGATGATCTCCCGGCACTTGGATTATGCCGGACGTTGCTTGTTTGCGGTCAGCCAGCACATCGAGAAGAGTGCTCTTGCCGGCGCCACTAGGACCCATGATGGCCAACATTTCGCCACCTTTAACCTGACCCGAGATAGAGTCCAACAAGGTCACCTTGGAAACCGTAGTAGATTCTCTTGTTCCCTTCTTGAAGGGCCGGAAAGATCTCTTCTTTTTGATTGTATACGTCACATCCGTCCACGCTAGACGACTCATGGTGAGGCTAGTATAAGGTCATATTTCAAGGTCAGCTTCGCTATTTAAATAAGAATAGATTTCTGTATAGTGCCACAACTTTTGGGGCTATTGCGTTTCGAAAATACATCATCACTCTGGCTCCGCTTTCGCACTTAGGGCAAAAATGCAAGCGTATTATTATTGTGCGCATTTTATCTCGCTTTTCCCCACTCCAATGCCAATATTTTAAACCAATATCGTCCAATACTTCTAAGCGATTCAGTGACCTACATCCGCGGACTCCTGCTTTCATAGCCTTACGCAGTTTCATCTTCACGTAGTAACAGATTTCATTGGTTCAAAAACTCCAAGGAGCTAGGGGTTTGCCGATCGAGAATTCTGGGGGATGATCTCATAATGGATCGTAATTAATCAATGCAGCGTGACGCTGGAAATCTGAATGTCGTCCTTGGGCTTGTCAAACTTGTTAATAGGCGCATTTTCAATCTTGTGAATCACATCTAGGCCACTTGTAGCCCGGCCAAACACAGTATGTTTATCATCAAGCCATGGCGTAGCGACTGTCGTAATAAAGAACTGACTTGCGTTGGTATTAGGTCCTGCATTGGCCATACTCAGCGTGTAGGGTCGATCATGACGAAGTTCCTTGACGAATTCGTCCGCAAACTCACCGCCCCACAAACTCTCACCCCCTGTACCGTCTCCTAACGGGTCACCTGTCTGGATCATAAACTTCTTAATGACACGGTGGAAGAGCACACCGTTGTAGTACCCTTTCTTGGCCAGACCCACAAAGTTTTCTACGGTCTTTGGGACCAGATCAGGGTACAACTGCAGATGAATGTCTCCCGCTGTCGTGTGCAAGATGGCCGTAGTGATTTGGCGCTTTTTCTTGATATTCGTTTTGTCCTCTGCCATGGCCTGCTCTTCTCGTGTGGGCTTCTCGTTGAACACATCCCGATCCTGCCCTGCGAGTTTCGAGTTGGGATCCGTGTCTGGCTCATTCCTAGTAAACAAGTAAAACCGCGCTCGTTTCAAGGCCGAGCAGAAGAGGGTAGGATCCCGCTCATCGCCTTTGGCCATAGGGTTCTCAGACGCGGCCAACGCAATGTTTGTCACGGGCTTTTGGGTCGGTACACCCTGGTACAGTGACATATTTAAAAACCGCATGGTTTCGTCTCTGCCAAGTAAGCGGCTCACCTTGTTGGTCTTTACATTCACCACCTTGATGCCCAGCATCGTCCCATAGATGATAAAGTGACCACTCTCATCAAACACGGCGTTAGCGGTACCCGCTCCTGTAGCGTTCGCCGTGGCATCGCCCATGCCGGCCAGCATGGAGGCGTCCATGTCTCGCTCGACGGCCAGACGACGTCCGAACTCCATATCATCGAGCTGGGAGATAGCTGTGCCTGCTTGCTGCATTTCCTGGATAGCTGTTAGAGACTCGTCGTACTTTCGCAGCAGCTTGCCATGCTGGAACTGGAATACGCGCACTTGTCGATCGCACATGGAAGTCGTGACAAAGTACGCGCCGTCCGGGGACAGGGTGATACTGGTCGGCACAGATTTGGTCTTTTTAAATTCAAAGAGATCTGTCGACGATTTCAACTGAAACACATTGGGTGGCGGTGCATACGGCTCGCGTGGCTGCCAGTATTCCAGCATACCGCCCGTATCTGCCGAAAGAATGCAGTCATACGCTTCATTGTATGCGAGAATATGGCATGGCTTTTTGTGCAGCTTATCAACCGTATACAATGGCTCGTTGCCGCCATGTCCGTCGTAGAAATGGATGGATGGGCTATGCTCCTCGGCGATGGCCAGCACGGTGTCGGCACTGCCGCGGCGATGCACCCAGGCACAGGCGCGAGGGGTATAGGGAAGCTGTAGCATGTGAATCAAGTCGAAGTTGATCACGTCAAATACTTTTACAGTTCCATCAGCGGCGATGCTGGCAAAGTAGGCGCCATCGGCACTCACAGACACACCGACAATCATGGCCAGATGCGCATTGTAATGCTTGACAAACTCGATCCCTGTAGCCTGCTTTTTCCAGAACTTGACGTGGCCATCCACAGAGGTTGTAATGACAAAGTTGGTATGTGGCGTCACTGTGACGAAATTGATCGTATCACGGTGCATGAGCGACTTTTGGTAGCGTTCTGCACATGGTAACTGTTCCAAGTACAAACTTTCATACTGCAATGTGCGTTGTCGCTTCGCACGCTCCGTGTCGTTGCCGGCAGGCATCGGCATGGGCCCTACGTCATCGTCGTCTGATGACATGGACACAGCTGCCTCGTCTTCCTTGGCACGCTTGCGTGGCTCCTCGTTGTGCGCCATGGCGTGGAGGGCCTCACCTAGTCTACCGAGCGATCCATCCTCTGCTACGGCTCCTATGGATCGATCACGTGCACGTCATTACATCTCCGCGTCGAGCGCATGCTGTTCAATCTAGGGAGGGTGTGAGTCGGCTGCATTCGTACGTACAACATCGTCGATTTTGAGGACAGCGCGAACGAGCTGCGTCGCCAGCAAAAGCTGTTGCCGCTTCGACACCAGCGGATCAAATACGCGGCACTCTTTCATATTGTTGTTCTGATGGTCAGTCAACCTCATACGTACACCCACGCCCATGCAGTCGATGCCGCATCGCGCATCCTTCTCTGTGACCTGCCGACTCTTGACCATAGCAAGGTTCTCGATCGGTGCCAGACCGCTGTTCTCGGCCAGCGCGAGGGGAATCGCATCCAACGCCGAAGCAAAGGCGCGCATGGCGTACTGCTCGATCGAAGCAATCTCATCCGCTTGCTGCGACACTGCAATGGAGGCGCACACTTCAGCAGCACCACCACCGTAGACGACACGGTTGTCCTTTACAAGACTACGCACGACACACATAGCATCGTGCAGCGCACGCTTCGCCTCGTCGATGATCATCTTGTTCGAGCCACGCAAGAAGGCCGTCACAGCACGCGAGTTCGCACACTCCTCGATGACCAGCATGCGGTCGCGTGTCGTGCCAAAGGCCACCTCGCGTACTAGACCGGCACGACCCAGTTTGTCTGCCGACAAATCTTCGAAACGCGGCACAATGCGACCGTTGGTCGCAATCGCAATCAGCTCCAATTCAGGGCCACCGACCCAGCGCACAGCCTGCAGGCCGTGCTGCAACAGCAGGTGATTCGCCTCATCGTCAAAGCCCCACTGACACACTACCATATTCGCACCACAATCCTTGATCTTCTGGATCATACTGAGGAACGTTGTGCGTTCGTACTCTTCCAAACGCTTGTACTCTTCGACCGAGTTGATATCGAGCTTGTGCTTCGTCTTTGGACGTGGTGGCTCCAATGGGCAGGTAAGGATTGCAATACGCGCATCACGCAGCTCACGCTGCATTTGCGGGTGTGAAAAGTCTTTGTCCAGAACTACACCCTGCACCAAGATCGAGTCTTCCAACGAGCCGCCGACTTTCCCGTCGACCTTGATCAGGTCAAAGTCCACATCCTTGCGCTCCAAATCGGCCACAGACAACACGGAGTCAATCGCAATACGAGCGAACTTGTCCGAGGCCTTGGACACAATCTTACTACCAAGACTCGTCTTGGCCACCTTGATCAGCTCTTCGATATGGTCGCGGTCAAACTCGACGCGGTCCGCCACCTTTTCCAGGGCGCTCACCGAGATGTCACACGCCCGCTCGAAACCATCCGCAATACGGATAGGATGAATGCCACGGTCAATGAGCGCTTCCGACTGCTCGAGCAGTGCGCCGGCCAGCACAACGACACCTGTCGTGCCGTCGCCAATTTCATCGTCCTGACTCTTGGACAGCTGGACGAGGAGCTTGGCAATCTGATGCTCCAGCTCCATATTGCTCATGATCGTCGCGCCGTCGTTCGTCACCTGGATATCACCATCAGGACTGATCAAGATCTTGTCCAAGCCACGGGGGCCCAACGACGTGCGAAGAATATTCGAGACTGTCCGTGCCGCCTGGATATGGTCTTTGATAGCCTGAATACCCTGCGCACGGGTCTTTTTCCCTTGTTCACGCACTACAATGAAGGGGTTGCCGTACTCATCTTGGGCATATGCCACCTGTGGTTCGGCCATCGTGCGGTTGAGAAAGAGACACGCGAAGCGTGGGCGGAGGCGACACGCGGCCTCGTTTTTACGTGCCGCTGAGAGTATTAGATAAGCAGCCTGGCGCAGCGCTCATCGTACTCTTTCTTGCTGGCATGGGGAAGAGGGCAGAGACAACAACGACGTTTCTTTGCGATGGAGAGAAAAAGCGGCTACATACGTTTAGTATACAATAGGGCCCATATCTTGAATGTAGGAAAAAAACGCCACGTTTTACTCGTCCTCTTCCGAGTCGCTGTTGTGTGAGTAGACCATGTACGTACTCGTCGCCTTGCACCTCTGTGTTTTCGCGCTCGACACGCGCCATGAGCTGCGCGAGCTCCTCGTCTTCCACTGCCGAGACGGCCTTGGGCTTCATCTTCACGACGACGCGACCCTCGCTCTTTTCAATCGTCTCCGTGATCTTCTCCAGCGCCTGCTCCATCAGGGCAATACCACCCGCCTTGTCTGTCGAGTGGGTAACCAGCACGTAAAGCGGCGGCGCCACCAGCTTGATCTTGATAGGAATGTTCTCTGTCGACACGGCCTCACCAGCACGCAGGGCCTCCTTGACAGCGTCAATGCCCTCGTAGCCGAAGCATGAGACTTCCACATCAGCGCGGATCTTCACAGGCTGCGGAGTCAGACGGCGTGCAATGTTCGCCTGCAGCTCCTTCATGACCTCTTCGTCAATCTCGATGCCTTCAAACACCTTGGCAGGTTCTGTGACAGCCAGCTTGAATGCATCGTAGGAATGGCCATACGTGCGGTCCAGAGGCCACACAATCTTTTCGTAGAGCTCTTCCACGGGTCGGTCGAGCTTGTGCGCAACGTGTGACACGATGCTGTTCACGGCACGCGACTTGCTGTAGCGCTCCTCGCACTTGATCACATCCTCTGGCGACACACGGCGCTTGGACAAGTCGATATAACCTACCGTGTTAGTTTCTCCTCACGTACCCTTCTCTTTGTCGACACGGAGCACGACTACGACCTCGTTGCGGCCGACGCGAATGAGCTTCTGGATACTACGAATACGACGACGACTCAGCTCCGAGAGCAAAATCATACCCTCTGCATTGTCGTACTCCAACAGCTTCACGTACGCGCCCATCTCGGCAATCTGCCGCACCTGGCACATCACCACCTCATCGGTATCAGGTAGCGGTTTCTCGTAGAATCGCATGGTGGCTCTGGAATGACAGACGAGGCGTGGCTGGCCGTAAGAGCTTTTGCGAAAAAGGGCAAGCCACCTTCGCACGTTCGGCCGAACTTCACTCGCTCCACGCCCAGCCTCAGCAGGCAGGCCGGCCGGCCTGCAGCATGGTGTGGGCGTGGGGTGTCGAACGCTATGGGGACTACCTATCATGCATCAGGCCTTGGAGGCGCGGCGCTCTGCTACCCATGCCTGGATTCGTTCGCGTAATTCGTCGTCCGGTACCACATCGTCAAGTTTCAGTGGCATGCGGTTGAAGGGGTCGGTGTTGTCGCTGAGCAAGTGCGCCTTGATCGTCGATCGATCGACCACAGCACGACTGGACGGCAAGCGCACGGGATCACGCATGAGTGTTGCCAGGAGCGGGTCGAGGAACTCATCGGGGACCTCACCTAGGTCTTCTTCCTCGTCGGCCTCGGCCTGCTTGGCTTGCTCCACACGGTCCACCAAGTCGGCGAGGGTGTCGATGTCGGCTGGGCTCAATAGCATATGGCGCTGGGCAATGCTAGCCGCTTTTGAGAAGGTTTCGCGGCGGTAGCTACGTCCGTCGCGTGCGATCGCTTCCACAAACGCCTGGTGCGATGCCAGGTTGAGGAAGACGGAGAGGATTTCTTTGAGCAGACTCTTGGGATCAAAGCCCACGCGTTTTGGGTCCTTCACTTTGAGCTCCTGGCACCGTGGGCCGACCAGCACATCTAGATTGTAATCGAGCATGGCTGCCAGTCGGTCCACGATCTCTGGCGACATGAACGAGGCGCTGGTTTCCTTGGTGAACATGATCAACAGGCGAAGGAATTCATGGCCCAACCCGAGATCGCTGCGGATCTGTGATTGGATGCCACGTACGATCCCTTCAAACTCTTCGCGCTCCTGTGGTGTACGTTCGTGCCAGCGTTCTTCTTCGTCCATCTCTGCCTGCTTGGTATGCAGCTCTGCGAGTTTGTCCAGCGCATCGTCGAGGAGGAACGTGACGTCGTTCATCAATCGGTTGATGAACACGACAAAGTCGGACTGGTGCTCTGTCGCCTGTTTGTGTAGTTGCTGCTTGTGGTCCACGTTATCCCAAATGGCCTTGAACACTTGTGCGAGATGGTATCGAATGTTGAACTTGTCGTAGAACTGTGTGTGGGAGCCTGTTGATTCGGCATCGATCCAGAATGCCATCAAGGCAGGCACGAGGTGCGCTATCACCAATGGATGAGAGTTGATGGTATCGCCCAGCACGCCCATGGTGAGCGAGCCAAAGGGCATCACATTGTACGAGAGCATTTCGGCCAATTTTGCTTTCAAGAAGGGGTTCCGGATGTAGGTGCCACTCGAAAGGAAGGTCGTGCAGAACACGGCCATGCTCTCGCGCGTCGGCGTATCAAAGACGTCAGGGCGGTGGCGCGAGTAGTACAGCACGGTATCGCATGCATCCTCGAAGATGTGCTCCGGCAGCATCTGGAAGGCTCTGGGCACCTCGGGCGGCAATGGCAACGTCAGCGCTGTTTGTGGGTAGTTCGAGTGCGGCCCTGCCGCCATGCGAATCAGCCATACCATGGAGAAGCTGATGAACGACATGACACGCTGCAAGAACTCCCGCTCCATGATGATCGTCTGGGCGGCGAGAATCTCGCTGTGAATCTTGTCCATGTGCGCCTGACCGCGCTGCAAAAGCTGTTCCACCTGCGACGCATGCGGCATCGCCTGCCACCGCGCCCGCTCGTTTTCCATGTCCTCGAACCGCTTTTTCTGGCGCTCCAGTTCTTTTTCACGCTGCTCGACGCGCCGCATCGCTTTGCCGAGGGCAAGGCTCGTCATGCGCTGTGTCAGGAAAAACACGTCCGTGATGAAGTTGAACGGCGTCGTGGGCTGCTCAGCCTCGCTTTGCCATGCCCTTGCGTCTGCCTCCGTAGCGAGGATCCGTGTAAAGCTGCTGGTATCCCAGCGGCGCTGGACACGCAAGTACGTTGGGTCGATGCGGTCCATCTTGGCACACGTAGGCTCGGCAAACGGCTCGGCAAAGCGGAGGAGCACGTCGTACACATTGACCATGTACGCATCGGTCGCCACTTCTTTGGAGCGGACCTGCATGGCGCCGCGTTTCACGTTTCGTTCGCAAATGGTGCCCCAGTGTGCGAGGATCTGCTCGCGCGACGTCGCATCGGCCCGGATCATCGCATTGAAAATCTGGAAGTGGGAGGTCTGCGAGACGCGCCACGACATGCGCAGCGATTGCATGGTGTTGTCCAGATCCATAGGGGAACGTGTGCGTGGATCCGCAAACGAGTCGCGCGCCATCGCAGGGAACGCATCAGGGAAGCACGAGAGACGAAGTAAGGGGCCAAGCAGGCTCTCGCGTTCCCATTCACTTGCGCTGCAGGCGGGTGTAAACGATGGCATGAAAGGAATGTGCTTCGCCAGCGTCTTGAGCTGCATGAGAGCGACCCATGCCTGCTGGATCGGCCGCCAATCAAGCTGCGTCAAGTCCATGCCGGGCGTACGTGTGGCGGAGCGCCGTGGATTCGGGATGCCAAGCATCTGCGCCAGAACGCTTTGCACGTCGTCGTCCACCTCCATGGCATCGGCCCCCTTGGGCCCGTCCGGGTACAGCACACGCTGCGTCATCGCCTGCAATGCGCCGCCCAGGGTCACGTCGAACGAGTCCATAGAGTCGTCTACGCAGAATCGATCCACAAACTCGCGCACAAACGTGGACGCCATCGATGGCGGCACACTCGCCCACGCATGGGCGGACCATGGCGCAACCCGATCATCGTCGTCCACAGCGACACTCAGCTGCAGCAGCGTAGGGACCAATGCCGCAGGTCCCAGCTCTTCATCGTCTTTAGTATCGCAGGGAAACATATCCGGCATCTCCAGGACCATGCCTGCGTAGCTAATGAGCAGCTCCTTGACATGCGCCAACGCGGCCTGGGCCGAGGCGATCCAGGGCGCGGCAGGCTCCCGCGCTACACGCAATTCTTCCTGGCGGCACCGCGTCCATGCATGCACTATATAGTCCCAGCTCTTCTCTGTCGCCTCCTCCATCTGCAAGCGCGAAATCAGCACACGATCGGCCATGGCCAACGTTGCTTGCGGAGGGTGCTGCGCCGGCTGCTCGGCCTGCAGTTCCTCCGCAAGATCCGCGACATAGACAAGCGCAGGCGGGCTGGTCGTGGCCGACGATGACGCCTGCCTATGTGCATCGAGGGTCACGCCGAAGATCGTCGTGATCGCCTGCTGTTCCCAGGCAGTCCACGCTGCGTCGGCCATCGAGGAGAGAACGACTTCCAGCAGCGTCGCACGCACGCACGTGGTGGATGCGTCCGCGGATTCGCCCATGTGCGCACGGCCTGTGTTCCTGTCCCTCCACCACATCCACCGCGTGTCTACTACGTGCATGTGGCTCGCAGCTGTCGCCGCCGCCGCGGCGCTGTGGCTGGGGGCCAGTCTCCTCTACATGGCAAGGGTACGACGTGCGTGCCAGACACGTACAGCGATGGTCATCGTGCTAGGCGACGTCGCGCGAAGTCCGCGGATGTGCTACCATATTCAGAGCCTGGTGCGGCATGGATGGGATGTGCATGTGGCAGGGTACTTTGATACCACGTTGCCTGCGTCGCTGCAAGGACCGCAGGTCCACCCTGTCCGGCTGTGGACGCCCCCGCCTTGCCTTCAGGCGCTACCCCGCGCGCTGTTTGTGCTGGTCGCCCTTGTAAAAGTCCCGATGCAGGCTGGGTCGTTGTTTCACGCGATCGTACGCAGCACCCCACGCCCTGCCTTGGTGGTCGTCCAAACCCCGCCGGCGATCCCGACACTGGGCATGGTGCGCCTGGCGTGTGCATGGACGCGCAGCCGCATCCTCATTGACTGGCACAATACCGCGTACACCATTCTCGCGCTCAAGGTAGGGCCTCGTAGCCTGTTGGTACGCCTCGCCGAACAGCTTGAACGATGGTGTGGCCAGCGTGCTACGACGCACTTGTTTGTCACGTATGCAATGCGGCATCACCTGGTCCAACGCTGGCATTTGCAGGGCGAGACGTTGGTGCTGCACGACCGACCGCCCTCGCATTTCCATCGCTTGACGCAGGAGGACGCCCACACGTTTCTCCAGCGTGTCGGCCCATCGATATGGGGTACTATGGAGCCGATGGACCCCACGGCGGCCCTGGTCGTGTCCAGCACAAGCTGGACACCTGACGAAGATCTCGGGATGCTGATCGACGCCGTGTCGCAGTACGAAGCGCAAGCGCGGCGCCGGCCTTCTACGCGGCCTCTGCGCGTAGTCATTACAGGGCGTGGGCCGCAACGCTCCATGTACGAACGCCTCATGGCGCAGCGCTCTGCACAGGAAGCATGGCGCTACGTCTCGATCCATACGGCCTGGCTCGCTGCCGAGGACTATCCGCGTCTTCTAGGCGCCGCGGACGTGGGTGTATCGCTACATACAAGTTCCTCCGGTCTAGACTTGCCTATGAAGGTGGTCGATATGCTAGGATGTGGTGTGCCTGTGTGTGCCCTGGGCTTTGCCTGCTTGCACGAGCTCATTGAGCCCGGGGTGAATGGCGCCGTATTTCATACCGCGGACGAGCTGGCTACGTGCCTACTTCATACCTTGCATACACCCCGTACGACCCATGGCGGGTTCCTGGGGACAGAGCCTGCGACCTGGGACGCGCTATGGGACCAGGTCGTAGCCTCGTCCGCCGCGTTGCAGTAGAATGAATCGTCACGTGAGTAGCACCGACGCACGACCACGAACGACCGACGCGCCTGCGTCGTGCTGCGTGGCCTGTGCTCACTTCGTGGAGAGGTGGCGGCCGCGGCGAGCGTCTCGATGTCGTCCGGCGCAAGTGTACGTCGACCTAGGTCCTTACATGTAGCTTCATCCACGTACGCTGCTCACGTTTGTGCTCGATGTGTCGGCGCCCATGGGCCAGACGGACGAGGGCGAGACACAGACGCGTCTCGCGCAATGCCAGGCGTTCATCGCGATGCGCCTGCTCGAGGTGGTACGTTGTCCCCGCAGCGGCTCACACCAGATGATGCGGGGTCTCGCTACGATCAAAGTGTGTATATTTATCTACGGTGCAGAGCGTACCGATCACATATTGTGTGAGAAGGGCATCCTCGACGACTACCTAGGCATCGTCGAACTCTGGCGGCCTGCGCCGCCCACCCTCGACACCATTGATCTCGTCCAGGCATTGACGCCTGGCACGACCCATGGCACTCCATGTGATCGTACGTATGGCCTGTACTGATGTCCAGCCATCGACGGCTTGGTCGTCACCCTCGCGACGATTCTCGATAAAGATCGTGGCGTTCCCTCGTCATGGACGCGCTTGGTATACCTAGTGACACGGACCGATGCCGTTTTGAATATCGGCGATACGGATGTAGTGCGGCAGCGTCTGGCGCAATCCGACACGCCGTTGCGTGTACTGTACGTATGGCGCTACTTACCTTAGGCATGTCGGCCCTACCACGCCGCCCACTGAGACGTGGCAGTTTCAAGAGACGTTTTGGCGTGATATGATTAGCGAGGTACCTGGCTCGGCTATGGCGCCTGCCGCGCAGGTCGCCGCCCAATCCATGGAGCCTCATATCCAAATGCCCAAATCGCATCCGATCGCCGCGACACTGACGTTCGGCCAGCCTGGCACGTCGCAGCATGCCTGTTTGTCGCTGCCTGTGCGTCTGTGGAAAGCTACGGCACACCAACGTCCGCCCTCGACGACGCGCCTTGCCAAGGGCGAGGCCCCTGCATCCGAGCGACGTGTCGAAGCGCATCCCCTGCTGTACAAGGTCGAGGACATTTTGCAAGCGGGCGACGATTTGCACCATGTCCAGCCCTTGCCCGACACGACGCCTGTCCAGCGTGCGTACAAGCTGGGGGCATCGCTGGTGCCGCTGCATCATACCCTTCCGCCGCTGGACACGACGCCGGCGATGGAGATTCTGCATTTCGTGCATGCCAAGACGTACCGACGCGAATACCATCTGGGCGAGACGTACTATGTCACGGCGCCCACGACATCGACACGGGCACAAGTGGCACTCTCCAGCCTGGTCCAAGCGGCAGCGGTGAAGGGCGTGTATGCACTCTGCCGCTGGGTCCCCCGCGCGCAGGCAGAGCCGAAATTGTACATTCTCGCGCCGCTGGTCGAGAGCGAGTACGATGGCTTTTACATGGTTCGCGTACGTATGCATCCACTTACCGCCTAGGTGCCCTTTCGCGAGGACGTAAAGCGAGTCGCCTTCCCGCCGCTCGACCGGATTGTCACGCAGTCCGGCGAGGCTGTGTACGAGCATGCGACCATCCCTACAGCGTCGCAGCAAGAGGCCATGGATGCATGGGTCGACCAAATGGATTTGATGGACATGGACGATGAAAACGATGAAGAAGGGTACGTACGTCTTTCTCGCCTACCTTACGTCCAGCTGGTATGCACCGCCACTCAGCTACAACCCGGCGATCCATGGGATTAAGAATGCCATCAAGCACCGCTTTCTGTACCCCATGACGCCGCTGCCACCTCTGCCTGCCAGTCTGACTCGCTTCCTCACGACGCCCAGCCCTGTCGAGGCGCGGGCGCGACCTGCGCGCGATGCGTGTGCCGTCGCGTTCGAGTGTGCGCCAGGGCCGTCCACGCGCCCGCGAAAGCCGCCGTCGGAGGCGCCCAAGACGGAAGCGCCGTCCGTCGTCGCCGCCGAGGCAGCGACGCCGCCGGCGTTCGAACCGCTCGCGCCCGTGCTGCAGGAGGACCGTATCGATATTCCTCACGTGGGCCCTCTTCGCTTTGCCGACCTTATCCACGACTTTGAGGCGCTCGTCAACGATACCCAAGCTGTGACCGAGGTGTGTACGGCGATGTCAATGGCCCTGCTGCATCTCGTTGCTCAGCCTGCCACGACCGTCCCTACCTTGATACGTGCCTTGCATGCTTTTCGTCATGTGGCAGCCGAGGTACGTAGATGAGGACGTACGAACTGACCTTTTCGATGGACGAGGCGTTGCTGTACAATGCGTACGTGCCCTTGCTTATGTACTAACGCCCCAGGTTTCTTCGTACGTTCTGGGCCGAGGCCCACACCCAGTCACATACACAGCCGCTGGTCCAAGTCCTTCGACACCGGCTGGATTTGGGGCTGATCACGCACGACGAAGATGCCGCACACCGGTCGACAGAGACGCCGGCGACCGCGCGTGCCTTGGCCGAGTGGTCTACCCCGCCGTAGCGACCAGGCGCCCTCCATAGTCGATGCCACCCGCGACCCTCCACATGACCGACCGTAGCAGCGCTCGTTCACGACGACCAGAGCGGTGCGGTGGCCGATGCAAGTCCCATTGCCGCGCGAAGCGCACATCCTGACGTCCGCCTGCAATCCATGCATGGACCTCTTGGCCCTTGTCTCGCACGATGAGGCCCCTGCCCCTGCAGCGAGTGGACCGCCTGGCCTGACGCCAGCGCAGATCGCGATGCGGCAGCGTATGCTGGCCATGCAAGCGCGTCGTATGGGCGTCGCGAACCCTATGGCGCCAGGCGCAGGACGTGATGCTTCCTCGCTACGCCGTGGCTCTTCGCTACGGATGGTCGTATGGCGTATGAGCGACACACCCAGCCGCGTATGGGACGTCGTCTTGGAGCCTGTGCCTACGGCGTCGTCCGACGAACGTCGTAGCGGATGGGAATCGATGTCCGTGCTGAGCTTAGTATGGAGTCCTGATGGTACGTAACGATAGACTGACCCCAGGTGAACGACTCGCTGTTCGTTTGGGCGTGTCACAGACGTGGGACACGACCACGACACATACGCATGTCCTTCGTGTGTTTTCTGTGTACGATGGGACCCTGCTGTATACCCATACATCGCCTACAACGACGTCGCCATGGCATGCCACTCTGTACTGGGTCCCTGTCCCTGAACCAACTGTGCCATCACAAGCGGCTTCCATGCTGAGGCATTTGCAACCGCTCGATGCGCCGACCGATCTCAGTGACGACAAGCCTGGGTGGGTCGGCTCTGTCCACGCCCGCTCGCGGCCTACAGCGCCACCGCCCAGTGCCAACGTACCCAAAGGCACCGGTGTCCTAGCACAGCTTCCGTCCTTGGCGTCCGGCACGTCGCATGCGTCCCTCCTGCTCTGTGCTGATGCAGGCGGGCAGCTCTCGTTCTGGCTCGATGGCACTGTCCCGATCGGCCCTGTATCGCTGCCCACCAACGCTGAGATTCTATCGATCGTATCTGACTGTCATACCGCCTCGGTGCTACTTCAAGACGAGCAGACCTGGCAGAGTGCGCACATCCCCCTTCCTCTCTCGACGCCGCTGTGGCACATCGCGAAGCTCAGTACGGACCTGCGTACCTACCTGACGCACATCCTTGATGCTACGTTTTATGCAGCGCGAGCATGGATCTCCATGGTGCGGCCACGCGCTGTCGAATGGCAGGCTCACTGGGACGATCTCGCCAAGCGGCATGGCGTGGATATCGTGCTGGAATGGATGGCGCTCATTATGACAGGGCGGGCGTCGCCAGCGTGCGAACAGCTCCTTGCCCAGCTGACGGAAGGCACGACACTGGCCATGGAGACCGATGCTAAGCGTGGACTTAAGCATATTCGCCGCCTCATGGCGACGCATGTCGTCCCGGCCTGCGAGCGTCTCTTGATATTGCTGACCGAGCTGCAGGGGTGTGCCCAGTGGCGGGCCTCGTACCCCATGGCAGCACTGGACGATGTAGTACCACTGCTGCGTCAGACACAAACATGCCATGCTGTGGCCATGGCCCTGCAAGAAGACGTCGAGCGCGAATGGCTGGCTTTGGATGAGTACTACCAGTGGTGGCGTATGGAGCAGGATCGGCAGGAGCGCAGGAAACTAGGTGAGGACGTACCGCGTGTGCTCACATACCATGATACCCTGACTGTGCTAGAGTATGTCCAGCGCGGCTTCCTTTCGCCGAGCCTGGATGCTATGCTCGGCGCGCCCACCACTCCAGCGCATGCGCCTGACGCAGATACCTCGGACGATAGCCATGCGCTCACAGCGCCTCTCTGGACGACGCCCGCCGTGGTGTACGAGACAGCGGCACCGTCCAAGCCGCCCACCAAGGTGGCCTCCGCCTTGGCCTCGGCCCTGGCCTGGGTCGACCAAGCGCCGAGGGCCCCTGCCACGGCCACCACAGCGCAATGGCAGGGGGTCTTCCATGTACCTACACTGTTTGCCGGGCCCGCGCATACCTATGCGCCTCGGACACTCCCTGGCGATGCCCAGACGCTCGTGACACGGGCCGAAAAGCTGTGTACCGATACTGCGCGTGTGCTTGTGTCGGCCCTTCATCAGGCAGGGTCCCCTGCTCCGACCCTCCACACGGCCTGGGAGCGCCCCACGTCTGTGCTGTGCCGCGACGAAGCGGTACGCTCTGTGCCTGCCGAGGCACCTGCGACGATCCCGACACACGTCCCTCGGCCTGTCGTCCGAGCCGTAGTGCACCATGAGCAGCACGTGCATACCTATGCTACGCACGATACCCTGGTGACGCTGTCCCTTCCTCCGTTGACGACAGCCTCCGCGGACGTCCCGCGCGAGACACATCCTGCGCACGGCGAGGTGCTGGATTTCGCGGTGACGCCCCATGATCTGCACGTCCTGTCCACCACCTCCCACTCCACGCAACTACGCTCTGTCGCGTGGTCACACACCGATACCAAAGGACCGCCCGCCAAGCCGGTGGACCTGCAGGATGGCACGCTCTTGGCCGTATTCCAGCATGGCCTGCGCGTCGTAGCCCACCGCGATCGGCGAGCCCTCACAGTCCTGTAGACACTGGCAAGAAGTAGTGCTACCACATCTACGCTATGAATGACAAACTTAGAGCTTCTCTGTAAGCTCCGGCACAGCCTCGTACAGATCGGCCACCAGACCCAAGTCAGCCACCTGGAAGATCGGGGCCTCGGGGTCCTTGTTGATCGCGACAATCGTCTTGCTGTCCTTCATACCAGCCAGGTGCTGGATCGCACCACTGATACCAATGGCCATGTACAGCTCCGGCGCGACAATCTTACCAGTCTGACCGACCTGCAGCGCATTGTCCGCATAGCCGGCGTCCACAGCAGCACGCGAGGCACCCACCGCCGCCTTGAGCTTGTCAGCCAGCGGCTCAATGTACTTTTCGAAGCCCTCCGCCGACTTGAGCGCACGACCACCCGAGACTACACGCGCAGCGGTGGCCAGGTCAGGGCGCGACGACTCGCTCACCTGCTCCTCAACAAACTTGGTCGGTTGCGGGGCCTCGCCAGCCTCAACTTCCTCCACCGAGGCGCTACCGCCCTCGGCCTTGGCAGCGTCAAACGCAGTGCCACGCACCGTGAATACCACCACCTTGTCGCTCGTCTTGACCGTAGCCAGAGCGTTACCGGCATAGATCGGACGCACAAACGTGTCCTCCCCCTCGACCGAAATAATGTCCGAGATCTGCGACGAGTCCAGCAGCACACTCGCACGCGGCATCACATCACGGCCCACCGCCGTGTGGCCGGCCACGACGTGCGAGTACGAGTTCTTCGACACGAGCGACTGAATCAACGGCGCGATCGGCTCCGACAGCGGGTAGGCGAACGCATCCGAGCTGCTTACCAGCACCTTGGTAAGGCCACCGACCTTGGCAGCTTCCTCAGCCACCTTCTTCGCCTCACTGGCTCGGCCAGTGACCAGGCCATGGATCTCACCACCAAGCTTCTGCGCAGCGGTCAGCGCAGAGAGCGAGGCAGGGTTAATAGCACCGTTCTTGTGCTCCAAGAACAGAAGAGTGTTCGCAGCACGCGAAGACGAGGTCGCGAACGTACGGAAGGGCACAGCGGCGCGAGCGCCAGCCCGAAAAGCAGAACGGACAGCGAACATAATGCAAATGGTACGGGGAAAGAACTCACGTCCGCAGCGATCCCCACCGGGGCTTTAGCCGGGCGCTTGCGGAGAGACCTCCGATCGACGTTCACGTGATTTACCCTGACATCTACCACGTGGCTACATACGGTCGAGCCAGGGCCCTACACATGGTGCGGCAGGCCCTCGTGGGGCTCAGGTTTGGGCGTGCCTTTGCCGAGGACTCGCCGCGTCTTGGCGGTACTCAGTTTGGTTGATACCATAGGCAACTTGTTCGATGCACGCAAGGGCGCCGTGGTCGGTTTCGTCGTTGTCGTAGCCGTAGTCGTAGCTGCAGTGTGACTGCGCCCTCGTGCCCGCGAACGAACACGTTTCTCGGTCCCCTTCGTCTTCTGGGCCTCCTCGTACGCACACGCGTATGGATGCCACGTATGGCGCCCAATCATCGACTCCACCAGCGGATCGTGGGTCGTGGTGGTATGACGTGGCTCACAGAGTCCCAACGCTGCTTGCTGGACATCACCTCGAATCCACATATCGAAAGTGCCAGCCCACTCACTCGCCGCAGAAGGGAAGTCGTAGTTCAGGTACACCACACGCACTGGCGCGGCCTCTTTCGCCGACGCACTGCGTCGCTGATCACGAGCACGGCATGCTTTGGCAAACTCACGCACAATGCGTTTCGTGCCAGGCACCTTGAGACTCGTACCGGCCACAATCAAAAGGTCAGGCGGCATGGGTTTTAAGCGACGTGGCTTGGGCGGCACAGTGGGTTCAGGCTCAGATCCTTTTTCCACAACATCGGCAGGGCCATCATCATCAAACGCGCCCGCCAATACATCATCAGCTCCCATATCGCCGGCGTTCATCGATAAGTCACCAACCTCTTCATCCTTCTCTTCCTTTACTGCTGGCATCGTAGAGAAGGAAGCCTGTGATTCTCGTCGCTCTCTCGCTCGCGCCTCGGCTGGGGTCTCTGGGACAACAGGTTCGTTTGGATCCCGCAGACCCAGCAGATCGCGCTCTACACACGCGCCCACTTGCTCTGCAGAATCGTTTTCACCATGGTACAACACCACATCCACTTTCATGCGTCCAATCCCTCGTGAACGAAGACCGGCCTCGGTGCGGAGATTGTCAGCCGCCTCACATCGCTCACACCATACTGGCTGACCAGCTCGCAATTGCGCCAAAGCCTCTTTGGCCTTTTCGTTCTTCTCTGCGGACAGCGACATCGTATGAGAGCACAACATACATGACAAGGACGACAAGCTGCCATGCAGAGGAATAGCACGAGGAAAGAGAGGCTTTTTCGACATACTCGGTTCTGTGTGCATGGAGCTCAGGACGGCCGAATCCGATTGCGAGCGCTTAAAGTCACGTTGCGATGCAGCACGTTTGCGTTTGGAGGCACTCAGCTCGTCCAACGACGTGCCTGTGCCGAATGTAAGGCCCGCCTTTTCTTCGAGCCCATCAATGTTTTGGGTATATACACGCTGAAGTCGTCCTTCCTTGTCTAGCCTCTTAAGCATATGGTGGAAAAAGGTAGGCTGCGCTGCGTCTGCTAGCTCTTTAAGCTCTGCGATCATGGAATAAAAGAGCGAGGTCGAACTTTCCGACTTGGGATAAGAGAAAGTAGGCGCCATACGTACCTGGAATAGTCGTGCATCGAAAAGATCTTTTCCACTAGAAAGACCAGCCTGCGGAAATCTTTCTTTCAGTTGCGTGAACAGGCCTGTAGCTGAGCGAAAGTCAGGGATGTTGGCAGGCGACGAGACAGAAATACCAGCGCCTGTGGTTAGGTAAGTGACACGTACCGCATACAACGGCAATCCGACGGGCTTGCTGCATGGATTGATATAACCGACCTAGATCGTGCTCGACATGCTCTGACATGGTGGCATACGCAGGAATCTTGGTAGGTGGGGGGACATTGTACTCCAGCTTGGCAGGCGGATGTCGTGCTGCCTCAGCGGCGGTGTGCGTATCGCCGACCGTGCTGCTGCGCGTGAATTTTCGGCGCACTCCACCATTCAAGTCGGTGCCTGTAGGCCTTCGGGGGAGCTCCGTTGGCTCCGTGGGCGTTGGCAGCGGCACCACCAACATGGCCACTAGGCGTGTGTTGTCTCTCGGTGTCGTCCTGATTTCACGCGTTGTGCTTGGGCGCGACATCACGTGATACAACCTCGAAAATGAAATCCCCCGCATGGTGCTGGATGTCAATCCCCCTGTCATTCTACAATGAGTGATAAAGCTCTTCCCCTCGTCCCTCCGCCCGACCTCGTGACGGAGCGACCAAAACTAGCTCCGCGCATTCGCGGTGCTACATGGTACGCAGGGGCTCCCATTGCCGTGATAGACCAACCAGAGCTAATGACTGTCTCTGAGTTTGGACGCACTGTGCCTGATTGCGTAGAATGCGCCGAGGCAGTCGGCTGGTCAGAGCCTCCTCCGCATCCGTCATCGCCTTTAACGGAGTACGCTGCCACAAATTATGCTATCGCTCCTCCTGTCATAATGAGCGATGGCCAGACGGATGCATTGTCCTTGCCCACGCAAGAATGGCAGCAGCCATGGATGCCTTCGGCAGACGTGTTTGGGAAAGCTGAGCCAATGCCTGCGGCTGCTCCTGTGCCCTTGGAAACGCCTATGTCGACTCAACCTGCAAAGGAAGAGAGCAACAAAGTGCCAGTGGTTCAGGAGATGGAGCCGCCCATCACTCCTGCCTGTGCGTCTGGCTTGAAGCTGCCTTGCTTGCTGATCGAGTACTGTGATCGTTGTCGATGGCAGCACCGTGCGACTTGGGTGCAGACCGAGCTACTTCTTACTTTCTCTGAGAAGGAGTACCTGAAAGGCACTAGTTCCAAGGCATCGGGAGGAGGGTACTTAGCCAGCACAATGCTGCTGCCCTGCGCGACGCCAGAGACATCTGGTCGATTCCGTGTGTGGGTAGCCATGAGCAGTCAGAGTGATACGGGGTCGGATATCCATCTGCTATGGGATCGTAAGAAGCAGGGTGGCTTCCCTGAACTGGCCGAACTGGTACGTATATCTACGACTTACCGTCAGAAACGTTTACTTCGTGATTACATTGCGCCATCGCAGAGTCTGGGTCATTCGGAAAAACAGAAATAGACATTAGGTGGTGAATCTATATACATTCAACAATCTCATACATGAATAAAAAGACGATCGTAATCATAAGCCATACCCATGTAGGCGAATACATCAACTGCGAGCGCGCTTGATTTTGCGTTGTATTTTGATTTGATCGTGTTATCGTCTGCACGTACAGCACAGCCACACGGCCATCAACAACTGGTTGACCAGGCGCTGCCATTTCGGCATGGCTGATGTTGGCCGACGTAGCATTCATGAGGCGTCCTGGCTCGATCCATGTTACCGTCGCGTTAAAAGTGTTACCTTCCCACGTGATACCATTGGGATTTGTCGCGATTTGCACAATCTGATCGCGGCCGCGATTGTAGCCATCGACTTGGATGTTGTGCAAGTTTGCCAAGCTCTGCTCTAGCGATGGTGCTAAAAAGATAGCGTTTCCCTTTGGCGATTCCTGCACGAACCAGCGGAAATGGTTCCCACCCTCGAGGGATTCTCGACATGTGCCTACTTCCGGCATACCGTAATTCCAACGCAAAACGCCATTTAAGCCATACCCAGAGCCCTGCTTCACGGCAGGATTTCTTTCACCCAAATTGGCATACATGATCGTCTGTGGATCGCCTTGGCCCAGGCAGGAGACGCCAAATCCCAGCGCACTGTGACGTGAGTAGATAAAGTACGTACGTTGCCCAAATCAGGAAGCCTTCCGCATCCATCATATCCTTTGACGAGTTACTCGCAATGATGATGTTCAGGGGCTCACCCTCGTATGGGCGGTCTTTGTATTTCTGCGATGGTCAGCTTTCCTTGTACGCACTCCCAACATAATCCCGCCCGTCTCGAGTGGATTGATAAAGCCTGGAGGCAGCGGAGGCAGCGGAGGAGCTGTGATATTCGATGCCGTTGTATTGCCCGAAGCCGTAGCCGTAGCATTGGCGGTCGTACTGCTGCTCGCTGTACTAGCGTTTGCCGTAGGCGACGATGCGCTCGAACTTGATCTCGCTTGAGAGGTGGTCCGATTTTGGGTCGTACTCCGGCCTAGGGTATTCTCATTGGACGCAGACGTACTCCATATGATCGAGGGAGCCGTTGTCTGTGCCAAGGCTTGGCATGCCCATCCATACAGGGACAATAGGAGCGCGAGGCGCCACAATCGCATGACGTGCAAAAACCTCGCACAGAGAGTGGTTCTCGGCAAAGTAGGGCCACCAGCGTGGCGATGTCTAAATGTCTTGGCATCGGCAACAGCCAATGAAAATGTACTTCTCCACTACGTCCATCCTTCCCACATCGCTGTTGCATGCGTTGCTTGGACAGGGTCTCAGGGAGGTACAACTTAAAAGGCGCGATGTGGGCAGCAAAAATCCTCTATCAGGAAGCCAAGAGATCTTCAAGCTAGTATATGCAATCTACCAACAGTTCGACCATTGCGTCTAATGGAAAAGATGTTCTAAACAAAACCATTTCTTCCGAAGCCACTCCCTCTCGGGAGGAGGTTCTTACTTATGCTCATCGCTATCATGTGAACCCAATCTTGCGTGCACTGGACTCTGACCAGCTGAAAGGTCTATCGTCTGCTGAAGCCAAAGCACGTCTAGGCCAGTATGGCAACAATGAGCTCAACAGTGGTGAGAGTGTGAGTGTCACGCGCATTCTTATCAACCAAATTGCGAATGCTATGACATTGGTCCTCATCATTGCCATGGTTGTCTCGCTGGCCATTCAGTCATGGATCGAGGGTGGCGTGATAGCCGGTGTCGTTGGCATCAACGTCTTTGTCGGTTTCTTTCAGGAGTACTCTGCTGAGAAGACGATGAACTCTCTTCGTTCGCTTGCGTCGCCTACCGCGCATGTGATTCGTGACGGTCAGCTGATTACTGTCGCAGCGCCAGAGGTAGTACCTGGCGATATTCTGGAGCTAAACACCGGCGATACCGTCCCTGCCGACTGCCGTATTGTCGATGCGAAGAATTTCGAGACGGACGAAGCGCTGCTCACGGGTGAATCGCTCCCTGTGGCGAAGGACTACACGCTGACGTTCCCACCTAGCGGCTCTGAAGGTGACGAAGTGGGCGTCGGTGACCGCCTCAACATGGCGTACGCCTCCTCGGCTGTGAGCAAAGGCCGCGCAACGGTCGTTGTGACGAGCACAGGTATGCACACGGAGATCGGCAAGATTGCCGATGCGCTGCAAGGGGCTTCGAAAGGCCGCAAGATCAGGGAGGTGAAGCGCAATGCCTTTGGCAAGAAGCGACCGCACCACTACCTCGAAGCAGGCACGTTGACGTTGATGGACCAAATCCTGGCGTTCTTGGGCGTGAACAAAGGCACGCCTCTCCAGATTCTGCTGTCCAAGCTGGCGATTCTTTTGTTTATCATTGCTGTGGTCTTTGCGATTATTGTATTTGCCTCAAACAATTGGCACGACAAGGAAGTCATTATTTACGCCGTAGCCACAGGCGTGTCGATGATCCCCGCCTCGCTTACAGCTGTGCTCACCATCACGATGGCTATGGGCGGTCGAGCGATGGTCCAGCGCCATGTGATTGTGCGCAAGTTGGAGTCGCTCGAAGCGCTTGGCTCCATCACTGATATTTGCTCGGACAAGACCGGCACCCTAACGCAGGGCAAGATGGTTGTCAAGAAAGCCTGGATTCCGTCCGTGGGCCAATTGGAGGTATCAGAAAGCAACGAGCCATTCAACCCGACGTTAGCCGAAGTACGACTATACCCAGGCTCGCCCAGCGAGGGCGATCTTCAAGGGGAAGGAACGCTGGTCGCTGCGGAGGGCTCGTCGACGCAGGACCTGACAGACGATGCCTTGGCGCCGGTGTATGACTACGTGACTGTGGCCTCCATTTGCAACTTGGCCAAAGTGTTTTATGACAAGGATACGCAGGCATGGACGGCGCATGGCGATCCCACGGAGTGTGCCTTGCAGACACTCGCGTGCCGCTTTGACATGAGCAATGCCAAGTTGAAGTCGTCCGCGGACGGCGAGAAGTCTGGGCCGTGGCGCTTGATTGGCGAGTACCCCTTTGACTCGAGTCTGAAGCGTATGGCCGTCACATATACTCATCGTGTGATGGAGCAGCACGTTGCCATGATCAAGGGCGCTGTGGAAATGGTGCTGAATGCTTGCACGTCCATCCAGCTGGAGCACAGACAGGTTGACGACCTCACCGAGTCTCACAAGGAGACCATTCTGCGGAACATGGATGCACTGGCAGGGCAGGGATTGCGTGTCCTTGCCTTGGCCCACCGCCCTCTGACGTCGTCGGAGGTGGCGAAAGGCGATCAACTCTCACGCGAGACAGTCGAGTCGAAGATGGTGTTCCTTGGCCTGGCGGGCATTTACGATCCACCTCGTCCTGAGTCGCGTGGCGCTGTGCGCACCTGCCACCAGGCGGGCATTGAAGTGCACATGCTCACGGGTGATCATCCTGGTACGGCGCGTGCGATTGCGGAGCAAGTGGACATTATCCCCAGCCGCGAGGAGTTGGCACACAAGTACAGCGAGGACATGGCGGAGCATGTGGTCATGACGGCGGCGCAATTTGACCGTCTGTCCGACGAGCAAATTGATCGTATGCCGATCTTGCCTTTGGTCATTGCACGTTGTGCGCCGCAGACCAAGGTGCGTATGATCGAAGCATTGCACCGTCGTGGCCGATTCTGTGCGATGACGGGTGACGGCGTGAACGACTCGCCCTCGCTCAAACTGTCCGACGTCGGCATCGCCATGGGCATGGCCGGCTCGGACGTTGCGAAGGATGCGTCTGATATCGTGCTGACGGACGATAACTTTGCGTCGATCGGCAATGCCATTGAAGAGGGACGTCGCATGTTCAACAACATCCGCAAATTCGTGCTGCATCTTCTAGCACAAAACGTCGCACAGGCGTGTGTACTCCTTATTGGTCTGGCATTTAAGGACGAGTCGCAGCTGTCCGTTTTCCCTCTGAGCCCCGTGGAAATTTTGTACGTGATCATGGTCACAAGTGGTTTCCCTGCGATGGGTCTCGGTATGGAAGCCGTCTCGCGTGATATCATGAAGCAGCGTCCCAACACGTCCAAGCTGGGCGTGTTTAGTCTCGAAATGCTCGTGGATTTGCTGGTGTATGGCCTCTGGATGGCAGCGCTCTGCTTGGCAACGTTTGCCTTGGTCGTCTTTGCATGGGGTCCTGCGGATCTCGGTATCAACTGCAACAACAAGTTCAACGAGACGTGTGACGCTGTGTATCGAGCACGTGGTGCAACGTTCGTGGTCATTACTTGGTTCTCGCTCTTCTTGGCCTGGGAAGTGACCAATTTGCGCCGTTCGTTCTTCGCCATGGGCAACGATGCGCACTGGTACAACCAGTGGTTTGTCGATACATGGAAGAACAAGTTCTTGTTCGCATGCGTCGTTTTGGGCTTTGTGAGCGTGTTCCCCATTCTTTACATTCCTGGTTTGAACCACATTGTCTTTCTTCACAAGCCGCCCATCGGCTGGGAATGGGGCATCATCTTTGTGTGCACGTTGCTGTTCTTTGTGGGTGTGGAGTCGTGGAAGTGGATCAAGCGTGCCTACTTCCGCCGCTACGAGCGCCGACGACGTGCGAACGAAGTGAACCTGCATGGGGGCGATGAACTGTCTGAAAAGGGCCAAGACGACATGGTATAATACTACGAAGCATTGACGACAACCCTATAGTCATTGTGTACCATATTTTGCATAGACAATACAATACATCCTTTCTTACTTTACAACATAACGGCGTGGCGGGTCATCGACGTTCCCACGAAGGCGCGCCGTATACAGGTTGGCCATCGGGAGTTTGCTATCGTTCGACGAGAGAGAGGCGTACCAGGACGCCTTGTAGTTGACAGCGCGTGGCAAGACGCCACGTTTGTTCTCGTGCGCCACACCCGGCTCCGTGCTCGGCGCGTTCCACCCATCGAACGGCTGAGCGGGGGCTGATGCCCTCGTCTCATCTTCGTCCATAGCCTCGGACGTCGGTAGTATAGCATCCTTGCTGGTGGTGCCTGGCTCACTGGGTATCCATACTTTCGCAGGGGCTGCTGCATCCGTGTTCTTAATGAGCTGGCGTAACGATGTTTCGACCAATCGTGCATTCTCCAACTTGCGATTCACCAACTGCAAGACGGGCATCTCGGAGAGCACTTCCGTTGCATACACTGGCGTCGACATCCAGCAGTGACGGGGCGGTTCTGCTGGCAGATGATTCGGGACAATGTCATGCATCAACGTTGACCACGTCGACGCTTCTTCCTGCTCCTCCTTCTCACGGCACGGAAGGAAATGACGCGATGGATCTTCCCAAGCCTCTGTACCTTCCCGCGGCGTCGCAACTGCGATCTCTGCGCGAGTCTCCTCTTTTTGGGTCTGTTGCGAAAACTCGGCCAACTCGGCCAAGTTCACGCCTAGCAATTCAAAAGTGTGCAATACGTCATGCAACGTGGGGTCATGACGATTCGCTAGCTCGGAAAACTGTGCACAGCTTTGCAGGAGCGTTTCCATGACTATGTGTGAGCCGTGCATACCACGTACATGTATCGACCAACTCCTCCATACGCTCCATCGCCTGACGACGTGCGCCTGCAAACCCGGCTTTTTGCGTGCGGTACGCAATCATGCGGCCCATGACATCTCGGGCATCTGTCTGCGCCAGATCAGAGATCACTCCGGCTGGCGGTGCGTACGAGGACACTCCCGCCATGACCTCGTCTCGTTCGTCCTGCGCGACGGTGAGGGCGGCTGGTGCGCGCGTACGTTGGCTCTGTGGATGCACGTCGGCCGAACGTTCCTCCATCGTGGAGAGGCCACCGCTCGGCTTTGGGTTGGCATGCGGTCGTGGCTGCGTCCTGTAGCCCAGCGAGCACGGACCCCTGTGTGGTATTGCATCCGCACCATGTCCTTCTCGCCGCCATACAAATACATTGATGCTGATGCACTGGCAGCCATGCTAAAGAAGCGAAAGGCTGCGCCGCACACTGTGGCTGTGGTCGATGTGCGAGGTACGTCGTGCCCTACCTTACTCGTCTAGACGACGATTATGAAGGTGGTCATATTGTTGGCGCCTTTCATTCCCCTTCGTCGACGTTTCTCGACAAGGTGAACACCCTCCTGGAGCCGCTGCAGCCCTGTATGTATACATGGATTCGCTAATAGTAGATGATCGAGTGGTGTTCCATTGTGCACTCTCTCAGCAGCGGTAGGTATCCTGCTATGAACTCTAACAATCTAGTGGTCCCAAGGCAGCGCGCATCTACCGCGAAATCCGCGATGCTGCGATCGAGGCTGGCCGCTTCCATCACGCAGCGCAAGAAGTCCTAGTCTTGCGCGATGGATTCGGCTACTTTGGTCCGAAATATAAACATGATCCTACGCTTGTTGAAGACTGGGATGAGGAGGCATGGCAGTATAGGTAGCGTCACAATGTGTATAGTCTCGCGACGTGGGCCCAACAGGTGGCCTGGGCGTTGCCTGCCCATTTTTCTATTTGGCCCCCCTTGCAGCGCCGGGTGTGGCGTCCATGTGGGGGAAGGGCGTGTGGCCTTCCTAAACGTACCGATCCTAGACAGTGACTTTATTCTGGACGGCATGGCGCCGGATGAAACGGTGCCTGAGAAGGCCGTTTCTTCTTCGGTCCATGCGAAAGATGATATGTGCCTTCACGAACGTCCATCCCTGAGGCGTCGGCGCAGTGTCGGGCACGAAGACGACGCTGGCGACGTGAGTTTCAGTGATTCTGCGAGTACATTCTCGGTGGTCGAATCGCTGGATTTAGAGCCTTCGTTGCCATACTGGCTTGCCTATGTACGTGCACGTATGAGTGAGTACGCCGAGGATATGGAACGGCTCGTTCATACCCACCATGCCAATCGTATGGGTCTCCTTGTGCCGTTAGAACACATCGAAGCGCGTCTCGGTGCTGCGTATGCGGCTGTTATGCGGTATGCACATGAAATACCCAGTCCCTCTACGCTTGAGTGGATGGACCGTATGCCTTCGCGGCAGGACGTCGTCACATCTGTGTACGCTATGATGCACGACTGGGAACGTCGCGCTAGTACATTCCATCCCTCCCTCTTTTCCAATGGGACCATGTCAGCGCCCGAGTGGGCGACCAACATGCCATCCACGGCTGCTCATCTTTCTGAGGAAGTACAGCGCCGCGTCACGTACATCCGCGAGCATGTGAACCAACTTACGCTGCAGTCTCTGATCGACAAATCGTCAGAAATCGCCCACGAGGCCCAGGTCTTGTCGGGGCAAATGTACCCGTCCGATTTGATCCACAGGTTCGAAGAGAAGCTGGAGTATGTGCGTGAACATGGCCGACAAGCTGGGGCCCAGATTGCTCATGCCGTGCACGATGTGGAAGATGCCCTGTACCATGCTGCGTTGCAACTGGCGAACGGCGGCCGTGAGCTGATTTCGTACCATGCTTTACCGGAGTTGTGGCGCAACAATGACTTTATCATCACAGGGTATCGCTTCATTCCGGTAAAAAATTGGAAGTCGCTTCTGTATAGCATGTTCCAAGTGCACAACGAGACGGGCAACATTCACACACACGTCGCAGGTCTCATTCTCGTTGCTGCACTGTTTTGGTTTACAGGTGTGCTGGACCAACACACGACGGCCATGGATCGCTGGATCCAGACCATTTACTTGCTGGCGGCAGCCAAATGTCTTATTTGCTCTGTGACATGGCATGTCATGGCAGGCTGCTCGGACTTGGATTGGTTCTTATGCTTTGCGTGTCTGGACTACACCGGTATATCATGGCTCGTGGCTGCATCCCTAGAGACATTGGTCTACAATGGCTTTTACTGCCAGCCGGATTTGGTTGCGATTTATACGGTCGGCGTGGTTGCGCTTGGCCTAACGATGGCTATTTTGCCGTGGCAGCCATGGTTTAACGATCTCAAGTACCGAACAATCCGCATTTCCCTTTTCATTCTAATGGCTATGATGGGCATTGTGCCTTTCGTACATGGCGGCTTCCTTCATGGATTTGGCCCCATGATGCGGTTTTTCGCTCCGATCATTCCCAGTGAACTCTCCTACATTGTTGGCGTGATCGTGTACGGCTTCCGCTTCCCTGAGCGTTTCGCACCTGGCCGCTTTGATATTGTCGGTCACTCGCATCAGCTCTGGCACATTGCCATTGTGCTGGCGATCTACTTCCATTACCGAGCGATTCTGCTCTTCCACGAAAACCGATTTGAGTACAGCTGCGCGGCTGGGTATACTTCCTCGGCATGGGCGCAGTTCTTCTCGCACGAACTCCATGACATACCCCGCCGTGTAGGTGCAGCATTGCTCTCTGGTACATCGTCTGTAATATAGTTTCATATCTAGACACATTTATGTACGTCTTTGGTATTTTCACTCGCTGGTAATCACGGACCCAGCAAGTCAAGCAATACAATAGTACATCTCATGGGTGGCACAATGTGCCATGCCGCATTTACAAGCACATCTTACGCCTTCTCGGCCGCCTCTTTCGTCTCCTCGTCTGTCACCTTGTCCGCCTCTTGGATATCAGCGTCCTCCTGGAAGCCATGGCCCGTGAGCACGCGTGGAATGGCCGACAAAATGTCGCTGCCGTTCAGGCCATTGAGCGAGAGAGCCACGTTGCGCTGGGCGTTGCTCCCAAACGAGTGCTGGTGGTGGCCCTGCTGCGCATGAGTCCGGAACACAGGCGGGACGGTCTCGGGCGTGTCATAGCCGACCTTGCCTTCAACCCGCTCCTTAATCCACTGGTACCACTCTGCCTTGGTACGCTCGCCAAAGAGGCCGACAATCATCAGCGTCATATTATCACAACCAATGCCACCGACTTCCGCATCAGGCGCCAAGCATCGATCCAGAATATCTTCGGTGATAGTTTCAAGCTCCAAGCCATTCGCAATGCCTCTTCGCACAATATCCACCACCTGCTGGTTGGTCAGGCAGTCCCAAATACCGTCACAGGCCAGTACCAGGAACTCTTCTTCACCCGTCCACTTGTGCTCAATCACCTCAGGATCCGCTGTGACAATTTGCTTCTCTGCCGGCAGCGAGCTGTTCTGCTTAAACTCAAAGTCGCCGATAGCCCGGCTCAGTGCCAAGTTGCCGTTGACACGGTCAAATTCAACAAAACCACCAGCGTTCAGGATACGCGAGTGCTCATCTGGGTTGCCAGGCTTGTGGTCGTAGCTCATAGCCTTAGCTTCGCCGCCTACGCTCAGCACGCTGCGCGAGTCGCCCGCATTGGCCACATAGATCGTAGGGCCTTTTCGCTCGGCCTCGGGGACCAACAATGCAGCCACCGCGGTACAGCCGGATGTATCATTTGCATACACAGGGTCTGTCTGTTAGCCATGGGTCGACATACCTTGACGAAGGTCCTCGTCGGTCTTGAGGAACGCGCGACGCAGCGACGCCTCCCACTTCTTCTCCTTGAATTCGGGCAGTTCCTGGAGCCGGGTATGCACCGTGCGGCCAGAGTAGCGTGCCACATTCGCGCCTGTTGTCAGAATATCATGGATACGTACCGCCATGACCATCAAACACAGCAAAAAAGCTAATGCGCTCGAGCGGGGTCTTGCCCTCCTCCTCGGTCAGATTCAGCACAGCCGTGTGTGCATCCTCCATCGAGATACGCCAGCCCTGCATATCCGAGACGCAGTACGCTGCATTTTCATCCTCTTCAAAGGAGGTTTTCTGAGCCGTGTTAGTATCTGTTTACCGCATGTGTCCCGCCATTCGGCCTAATTTCACCAGCACCAATGGCGGAATCATAGCGACCGCATGCGCACGTACCTTGTCCACAATGGGTTCCGACAAGATTTGTCCCATGGTGCAAGATAGATTTGTATATGAGTTTACAAAGAGATACCAGGGGGAAAGCACAAACTAGCAAGCAAAAAAGCTCCTTCGTATCCTCTCCGTAGTCAAATCGGCAGCGGTGCCAGCCGTAGCTGCGGAAGAGTGCGGCTGACCGGGGATATTCGGCCGAATAACACGTGATGCCATCTTCTTAGTTTTGCCTCGTCGACGTCGTTCGCATCATCGCCTCGCCGAGCACGGACGAACTAGCAGGAAGATGGTAGGTACCATTCAGCTGTACTAACAGGAACGTAGCGTCCTATTGTGCTTTCGGGTCATACCCGTTCGTTGAACCAGATCAAGTTCAACCGTGAGGGTGACCTGCTTTTTTCCGTGTCGAAGGACAACCTTGTGAACGTGTGGTACTCCCACAATGGTGAGCGTCTCGGCACGTACAATGGCCACAACGGTACCGTGTGGTCTGTCGATGTGGATAAAGACACAAAGCTCCTGATTACAGGCTCTGCTGACAACCAAATGCGCCTTTGGGAGGTGCAAACCGGCACATGCTTGTACGTGTGGGAGTTCCCCACGGCTGTGAAGCGCGTCGCTTTCAACAGCGACGGTACACAGGTGCTGATGATTACGGAGGAGCGTATGGGGTACCGTGGTGCTCTTCGTGTCTTTGAGATTAACCGTGACCCTGCCACGTGGACGCAGCAGAGCCAGGAGCCTATGCGAACCATTACATTTTCGGGCAGCAAAGCGACAGTGGCTGCCTTTGATGCGTTTGATACTCATATTATTACAGGCCATGAAAATGGCAAAGTGGCTCTGTACACACATGATGCGAAAGAGCCAGAGTCGGGCATTGATGCAGAATTGGAAGTGCACTACGTCAATGCGCATACGGAGAATGTGACAGACCTGCAGCTTAGCTGGGACAGCACATATTTCATTACGTCGAGCAAGGACAAGACCTCGCATATTATTGATGCCACGACACTCGATGTGATCAAGACATATCCTACCGACACGCCGCTGAACTCTGCCATTACGTTGCCCACGCGGCCCTACGTGGTGGTCGGTGGTGGTCAGGAGGCGATGAGCGTCACGACCACTAGCGCGCGTCAGGGTAAGTTTGAGTCGCGTTTCTGGCACAAGGTGTTTGCGGAAGAGTGTGCACGTCTCCCTGGCCACTTCGGTCCGATCAACACGCTGGCTGTGCACCCTACTGGCAATGCCTATGCGAGCGGCGGTGAGGATGGTTATGGTATGTATGATGATGGAGGGCTATGCTAACGACAGTTCGTATCAACTGGTTCGACGATTCCTTCTTCAAGACCAAGCCGTACGGCGCTGACTTTGAAATTGCCGACGAGGACCAGTAATGATGGGCGATCGCCCATGCACCGATACCTCTTTTGTGATAGATAGAAAGAGATAGGATCTTTTTCCTGAGCGATACATCACGTGAGCCAGTCTTCTGGGACGCGATGTCGGTGTGCGCGTCGTGTTGCTCTGTGTGACACGATGACGCCCATCTTGCACGGTACGTGGTGGCATAGTGGCTTACGGTAGTCGAGGTGCGTCAGCATGTGGACTCTGTGATAGAGCCGTGCGCACTGGAAGAGGCTATGCGTACGTATCTACAGACCGTGGAATCCGTGCCATGTTGCACACCGCTTCGTGGCTGGCAAACGGATCCATTCTTGGCCGAGCATGTGGACCATGTGTACGTGGACGAATGTGATCCACCTTGCTCGAATGCCTCTGTGCCTCAAGTCCAGATTGCTCTTCATGTATATCAGCCGTGCCCTATGGATAACGTCGACGAATTCGGCGTGGGCGATCCCCACGAAGGCACGTCTGACAATTCTGTGGCAGCGACCTTATCAGAGCTGCCTAGTCGTGCTTTGGATGGTGTATGGCCTAGTTTGATTTACGGTGACGATGTAAAATGGCGTCTATTGCATTATATCCATTCTACCATGCTATTCTCGGACGCTGATGTGGACTTTACGATTATTAGCTGGAATCGCGTGGTGCTCTTGCATGGTCCTCCAGGTACAGGCAAGACGTCCTTATGCCGTGCCCTGGCTCAGAAGCTTGCCATCCGCTTGCATGAGCGATATACCCATGGCAAGCTTGTCGAAATCAATTCTCACTCACTTTTTTCGAAGTGGTTTTCCGAGTCGGGCAAATTGGTCCACCGACTCTTTGATATGGTGGCTGAGCTTGTGGAAGACGAGTCGGGCTTTGTCGTGGTCCTGATTGACGAGATCGAGAGTCTTTCCAAGGCCCGAAGCTCGGCGGCCGCAGGCGTGGAACCAAGCGACTCCATTCGGGTCGTCAATGCGCTGCTCACAGAACTCGACAAACTCAAGCACAAACGCAATGTCCTCGTGATGACCACGTCGAATTTGTCGGACTCGATCGATCCTGCGTTCCTGGATCGCGCTGATATTCGGCAATACATTGGCCTGCCTGGCGAAGAGGCCGTCTATGGGATTCTACGCTCGTGTATGCTAGAGCTAATACGTGCTGGCCTAGCGCTGGAAACGCCTCTTCCATCGTACCGTGAACTGGACATGGAGGCTGCAGCGATGACAGAGCAAGGGACAGCGCAGGCACTGCGTGCCCTTGCAGCACACTGCCATGGCGCATCTGGACGATCCCTCCGTCGCTTGCCTGTGCTTGCCCATGCACGCTACCTTCGCCGTGCAGGCGCAGTGCCATGCATAGAATGGATTCAGGCAATGCGGCATGCATGGGATGACAGTGCTACGGAGGCCGTTCTCTCGTAGATGGGTAGAGGGGGTATATTACGGACTGCTATAGTCTTGCGATGGCGCCATGGCCTTGGCGTGCCAATAATCCATGCGAGCTTGTTTGTTTAGTTTGGACGTCTTTCGGCGTTCGTGCGGGGCAAGGACACTTGCCGCGGCCCGCTGTGCTTTTCGCAGTGGCGTGCTCGCTTCCGGCGGCGCATCACTATCACTAACCTCAGCCACAAACGGAGCGTCGCCTGAGAGGAGGGCATCCTCGTCCGAGTCGCTGGGTGGTGCCGCTGCGACATGCGCTCGTTCTGACCATGGGTCACGAGCTGCGCGCTTCTTGGTCTTGGCCGGTCGGTATCGTGACTCCATCGATGTATCCGGCGACTCTTCTACCACTCGTCGTTTTGGCTTGGTTCGGACATGCAGTAGCACGGGTGTATCAGAGTCACTGCTCGATACAACGGTAGGCACGGACGATTGCGTCGTTTCGGCCTTGTCCACACTGTGATCTGCCTCGCTGCAGTTGGTCTCTGCCTGCGTTGGCTCAGTGGGCTGCAACTCTGCAAGGCGCTGCTGCAGCGTGCCTGCGTCGTACAATTGTTTGATCTGCGTTAGTCTTGGTTCGTACGTACTTCTGTGCGACGCTTGATCATCTCACGCGACACGCCCAGCACACTGCCCAGCAGACTCTCTGGCTCTTTGAGTTCCGATGCAATGTGCAACCGATCGTCCTCATCGTTGGGATCAAAGTGTTTGTGTGTGTTTTTCTGCTGGCGATCGTGCATGATACGCTGCCGCCGACGGAAATTGTGCAAGTCATTCGCACGCTCACACAGAGCTGCGTGCAAAATATCATAGGCACCGCCCAGCGCCGATCGCACACTAATAATCGCAAACGAACCTTTGGAAATATCGTTGCCTGTTGTTAGTGCATGTACACGTACTGGGATCATGAGGGTCTTCAATGCATAAGAGGAACGGCTTGCGAGTATCGTACGAGCCACGTTGCCGTTTGTTAAAGTAGCCACCACGCCCGCGAACCGTAATACCAGTCTCATCGTAGCCGAAATTCTTGCCATACAACTCCAAGAATTCCATGAGCAGCGTACCTAGATTCTTCGATGCGTCTATTTCTGCTCGCTGAAGCTTGGGATGCACTTGCAAGAAACTCAGTACCATCAACGTCACACTGTAACTGCCCAGCCCACCTGTAAACACTTCCGACAAGGCTCGCTGCTGAAGAAATTGCTTGACGACCATGACCAGCGGACGAATGGCAGGCTGCTTGATCAGCCAACGGTTCACAAGACGAGCAGCTTGTAGCCCATTGGCCTGGTTGATGGATATATCGACGTGAAAGTGGCCATACGGGCACACAAACTTGATGATCGGGACTTTGGCACGCGCGATCACCTGAATATCCTTCGCCAGTTTATGGGAGCGTAGGCATGCAGCAATGCCACGCAGCGTAGTTTCACGAGGACGCGCATCCATCGTCTGCGATAGCACCACCAAGTCGATATCGCTACCGTGAGTGGCCGACGTACGTACCCTTGCGGCAGATACAGCTGCGTATCTTGACTTCCGAACGAGAGGACCTGCGCATCAGGCCACTCTGAGCATAGTGCATTTTGTAGGAGCTCAATGACCATAACACGTACGGCGTGCTCCTCTCGTGTCGGGCAAATCCAGGATGAATACGTCTTGATTTCCTCATGCAACCTGCTGTCAGTGGTCGTCTCGTCGACGTACATCTCAGCTACGTTTCTGCACTTGTGCCATGGCACGTGCAAAGCCCATGGTGTACTTCGCGCTGCAGCATGCTCGCGAATGGTATCGTCTACAGACACAGGCACATGCGACTGCGTAGGCAGCGCATCGTGCTGTGACGTTTCTGCCTCTTCAGGCTCGTCTTCCATATCAAAGGCAATAAAGTCTTCGTCCTCCATGGTTTTTGCCGCCTTGGACGGCGGCACGGAGGACGCTTCGACCTGCTCCTCGCGTGCAGCCGATCGTTTACGCCCCATCTCACGGACTTTGAGCAGCGCACGCGCGCGTGTGGAAAGAAGAGACTGGCCCCCTTGCTTTTTTTCTGAAGTGCCCGATCAAACCCCGATTGATGAACCTCCGTGCGTCGTCGTTCTCTTTTCATCCCCACGTCGCGTCTTGAAAACGAAAGAGGCCTGCATGAGTAGTAGCGCAGCGCCGACCAACGATGCAGAGGCAAAGCAGCGTGCAAAGCGCGAGCGCTTAGAAGCTTGGCGGCGTGAGCAAGCAGAGAAGAAACGCGCCGCGGCTGAGGGAGCCGCGCCACCAAAAAAGGCAAAAGTCGATCCAGTTCCACCGCGTGTGCACGGGGGCTTTCGTAGTGCGACCTTCTCAGCCAAGCCTGCTGCAGCAGTACCACGCATACGACTAGGCGTGTTTGGCGACGATGCGGATGAGCCACTTCAAAAGCCACAACGCAGGTGGGACCTGAGTCAAGACGACAAACTGTCTTCGCGAAGAGAAGCTACAAAGGACGCAGATGAGGATCCATTAGATGCATTTATGAGCGAGTTACAAGGCCAGGTACAGGAAGAAGAGGCGCAACACTCTGCTGCACCAGAGCTCCTCAGTGGCGACGAGGAGGACACCGCAGAGGGGGCTGTGAGCGAGGAGGAGGAGATTGATTTGGATGCCATGCGGCCAGAAGACATCTTGGCAATGGCATCCAAGCGGCATAAAAAGAAAGTACTCCCGGCTATTGATCATGCAAGTGTAGAGTACGAGCCGTTCCGCAAGGCCTTTTATCATCCACCGGACGAGATTGCCGCCCTCTCCGAGGACGACGCAGAGCGTATGCGCCTGGAGCTTGGCGCTATTTCTGTGCGTGGCAAGGACTGCCCTGCCCCGATTACAAAATGGTCGCATTGTGGACTGCCTGTGACGTGCTTGGACGTGATCAAGAAGCTCGGCTTCAACTCACCAACGCCCATCCAAAGCCAAGCGATGCCGGTCATTATGAGTGGTCGTGATATGATTGGTGTCGCGAAGACCGGGTCTGGTAAGACCATGGCCTTTTTACTACCCATGTTTCGCCACGTAAAGGACCAACGTCCTTTAGAGTCAGGCGAAGGGCCCATTGCCCTTATTCTCACTCCAACGCGAGAGTTGGCTGTGCAGATTTACCGCGATGCTCAGCCGTTCTTGAAGGCGTTCCATTTGCGTGGGGCCTGTGTGTATGGAGGCACACCGATTTCGGAGCAAATTGCAGAGATGAAAAAGACGGCCGATGTCGTGGTGGCTACGCCGGGCCGTATGATTGATTTACTTACAGCCAATGGTGGGCGTGTGACGAATCTGCAGCGTGTGACGTACCTTGTTCTTGACGAAGCGGATCGCATGTTTGATTTGGGTTTCGAGCCACAAGTGATGAAGATTGTCGGTCTCATTCGTCCTGATCGGCAGACTGTGCTCTTCTCTGCGACGTTCCCCAAGCCGATGGAAAGCTTAGCGCGGAAAATGCTACGTCATGAGCCGCTGGAAATCACGGTAGGCGGACGAAGTGTTGTTGCCCCGGAAATTCACCAGGTGATTGAGGTACGACAGGAGCCCACAAAGTTTTTCCGGCTTCTGGAAGTGCTGGGCCAATTATACCACAACGACGAGGATGCACGTACGTTGATCTTTGTGGAGCGTCAGGATGCTGCCGACGACCTTATGCATCAATTGATCAAGCGTGGGTACCCTGTCATGTCATTGCATGGCGGCAAGGACCAAGCGGATCGCGATACGACCATCGCTGACTTCAAAGCGGGCATTGTCCCTATTCTCACGGCTACGTCGGTAGCTGCACGTGGCTTGGATGTGAAGCAGCTCAAGCTGGTCATTAACTACGACGTGCCAAATCACTTGGAAGACTATGTGCACCGTGCAGGGCGCACAGGGCGCGCAGGCAACCAAGGCACATGCATTACGTTCATTACACCCGAGCAGGATCGGTATGCCAAGGACTTGGTATCTGCTTTGCGCGCTAGCAAAGTCGAGGTCCCCCCTGCCCTGGAGGCCCTTGCGAAGCAGTTTAAGGAGAAAGTGGCCAAAGGCACTGCACATGCCTCGCGCTCTGGCTACGGTGGTCGTGGACTGGAGCAGCTGGAAATGGGCCGTGAGCGCTTGCTGCAAGCGCAGGCTTCGATTTACATCGAAGACGAGCAGGGCGATCCAGAGGCTGTAGCCGCTCGCGCTGCTGACGAGACACAGCGGCTCAACGAGGCGGACATCCAAGTGCGAACAGGTCCTGTCCCTGAAGCTGTGCGAGAAAACCGGCAGCCTATGTATACAGAGTCCGATCACTTGGCGAACCAGGCGCGTTTGGATGCGGCACGAGCCGCTGGCGCTGATACCACCAAGCTACAGGAAGTCATTGCGCGCATCAATGCAGTATCGAACAAACGTCGTGAAGAGCTAGAGAATGCACGGAAAGCGCGAGATCCGGATGCGACGAAGTTCCATGCGATTTTCCCTATCAACGACTTCCCGCAAAAAGCCCGGTGGAATGTAACCAACAAGGAGACCATGGCGATGCTGATCGAGTCTACTGGGGCAGCAAGTACGTATGACATGTCACTAACACAAAAGTTACCAACAAGGGTGCTTTCTACGAACGTGGTCGCGAGCCGCATCCTGGCGAGCCGCCCAAGTTGTCGTTGCTCATTGAGAGCAACGAGAGTTTCCGTGTGGAGAATGCCATCCGCGAAATCAAGCGACTGCTGCTGGAAGGTACACAGGCCTACCTGGACACGGAGACACGTACGCCGTCCGCAGGTGGCCGGTACACGGTGGTATAATCAAGCGTGTTCTGGCTCGATGGCGTGCCGCCGTACCTTGGTGCGCAGCAATGCCTGCGGATTTTGTGGGTAGATTAGCAGGGACGATGACGACGATGAAGGCGGCGGTGGCGGCCGGGGTACAGACGACTTGCGACTCCGTCGTTTCTTGTGCTTGGGCGTTGCCGATGATGTGGGTGCTGGTGCTTCTGTGTACCGCGACGTGTGTCCTGCAATACGACGTAGCTCGGCTGAAATTTGTACTTGTTCTTGTTCATCGTCGTACATGGTTAGTGTAGCTGGCGCATCCAGTGTGAGCGCCGTTCGTGCTTGCGCACTGTCTGTCGCCTGCGTACGAAGCTCCGTACGCACACGCTCAATTTGTTCTCGTATCGCATCGTCTTCTCCATGCACTGGCCGGCGTGATGACATTGGCGCCAAAATGCCCGACGACCTTGCTTCGCGGACCGTCTGTAGGACGCCTGGTGCATCTTGGAGGCATAGCCAGTATGTGCGGATGACCTCGGCATACAACGACGATGTGCATCCCAGCACAGAAGAGTGTGGGCCCATAGCATGCGTATGCGATAACACGGCCAGCGCCGTGTGCGGTGCATGGAATCGATCGCGTAGCGTTAGCAACAACATATGCAGCGCCGGCGCGTAGAAGGCCGTCTGCGTTCCATACATGGGCCGCGCCTCGTCACTTCCTGTATCCTTTTGCGTGCCCCATACATGCTGCTCGGCCCAGGCCCATGCCTCTGCGGCGGACGTCTGCGACTGCAAGGCCGCCCAAATCTGATCTACGCCGCGATCCAATTCTTCGGTCGACAACTGAGCTGCCAGCCCTTCACGACTCGCCTCGAATCGCGTGCCTACACCACCACCACGCGCCGTGATTTTCTCCGGCGCAAGCGAGTGGCGCTCGGCAAACTGGCCCAAGTGGGCCTCGAACGGCATCGTTGATGAGGTCTCCGAAGTGCCCATTTCCTGCTCAAGCAGCTCAAAGATGCGGCGGAATTGCGCTGACTCGGACGCTGTGAGCGATGACGAGGCAGGGGCCTCTTTTTTCATACGTGGCATACGCATTGTCGACGTACGTTCTTTCGCATGAAAAATGGAGCGTGGCATCGGCTCACTTTCTGGCAGCGGCCGTCCCAACGTGGGCGTCTCCGTCGTAGGATGCGGCGACGGCCCTGCAAACAAGTCGTCCCATACATCATGAGGGGACTTATTGGACGTCGACGAGGAGGAGGAGCACCGCTGAGCTACCCATGTAGCCCTATATCTTGGCCTCACCGCTGTACGGCCTACCACAACGCTCCGCCGCCACATTGCGAAGAAAGACAACCAACGTTCTAAGTGGAGGCGTCCACGAAGACATTTTTTTTTCTTGACGAGCGCGCACAATGGCCTTGCTGGTCGTGACGGGCCTCCCATGCTCGGGACGTACTACACGCGCCCTAGAAATCCAGGCATATTTTGAGAGCCAGCTAGCTCAGACCCCATCCTTGACGAGTGTCGTGTGCATTACCGACGACAACGTGCATGTAGATCGCAGCGTGTATGAGTGTACGTATTGTATGGCTAACCCTAGCGCAACGTACAGAAGGCCGAGCTCGTGCAGCCTACCTAAGTGCTGTGCGCCGTGCGCTGAGTCCTAGTACCATTGTCATTGCCGATGGAGGGGCTGGCTTGAATATCAAGGGCTCTCGCTATGAGCTCTGGTGTGCTACCCGGGAGCTGGGCTTGCGATGCGCCACGGTACGTCGATCTTGGTTCCTAACGACCTAGCTCTACGTCGCATGTACACCTGATCTTAGTCGGACATGGAATACTCAGCGTCGAACTCGTGGCGAGGCGACATATACAGATGCATGGTACGTCCTAGTGTTGCTGACCTCTAGCTGGGACGAGCTGCTTATGCGCTTTGAAGAGCCATCGTCGAGTGCTCGTTGGCACCGCCCTTTATTTACGACCATTGCTGCCGGGACGCCTGAGGCGCTAGAGTGTACACCCACGCCTCTCGCACCGTTATGGGAGGCCATGACGCAGGGCGATGTCCAGCCACCCAAAGCCGTGACGGCGATTGTACGTACCCTCTCACTCACACGCAGCGCAAAAAAACGACCAACAACAGCTTGGAAATGCTGGATACGGTGACACAGCTCGTACTCACGGCGCTCTCCGAGTACCGTGCACAGGGCGGCGTATGCGAAGGCCGCATTTTGCTTCCCATGCCGTCGTCCATCCCACCCCCGCCGATTGTGCTCACCCTGCCAGCCATGTCCACGTTTCCTTCACCTGCACGACTCCAAACGCTTCGCCGCCAGTTTGTACGCGTGTACGCCAGCAAGGCTGAGTACGCTGAGAATACCGCTCTGACATCCGAGTCATCGCCAGAACGGCATATCGCTGAGTTGTTCACTCAATGGCTACAAGAAGCACTTTCCTCGGCTACGAAAATCCATACATACTAAAACATGTTTATCCTCAGTTGTTCACCTTCTGTGAAGCTGCCGCGGCGGCCGCCGCCGCCACGGCGCTCAACGAAGCTAGGTTGTCAGGGTTGCCCGTCACATCGAGCGACTCGTTGCCCTTGCTTTCATCGCCAGGCACGCGTGCTGCCGAGCGTGTGTTATCTCCCAACGCTGCGTGCTCCAACGATGGGTCAAGCATACCTTCCGCACGCTGTCCGGTCAAGGCCGAACGAGCCCGCATCGCATTGGGGTCGTTCGGATGCATCGGTGTATGTGCGCCGGCTGGAAGGCTACCGTCGCCCAGCTGGGAGGAAAAGTGGCTCGACACAGGGAAGCCGTGCTGCTGGTTGGCATTCGACACAGCTTCCAGTAGCCAGTACGGTGCACCGCCCGAAGCCGCGGCAGCCACTGCTGCGGCCGTCGCAGGGTCCTGGTTCTGGTCGGCAGAGTCGTGCATACCGCCTTGGCCCTGGGCGTGCGAGTGGTCGTGGTGCTCACCAGGGCGCCCCGCCCCCGCGGGAGCGCCGGCATGCTGTTGTGCAAACGCTGTAGGCAGCAGCGCCGAGGTATGCGAAGCGCGATCGATCGGTAGGGCAGGTGCATTCGGCACGGCTTGGTGGCCGCCCAGGGCCCGAAGAGCCACACGCAAGGTATCGTTATCACGCTTCAAGATATCAATTGTCTCCAGCGCCTCATTAAAGCGACGACGATGCTCTTCCGCAGCAAGGAGCGCACTCTCCAACGACGCAGCCTTGCTTTCGAGATCGGCAATGTACTTGTTCTTTCGCTCACGGAATACACGCTGCGCATTTCGGTTTTGCTCAGCACGACGACTTGTGCTAAGAGTTCGTGTCATGCCCGTCTTACCGCGCGCACCCACCAGACCTGTCTGCTCGGACGTGAGGTGCTTTGGCTGTTCACCCTGCTGCTGCGATTGGTGCTGCTGTTGTGGCTGCTGCTGCACAGGCGGCGGCGGCGCCATGCGGTTCTGGTCCGTCTGGTCACCGTAGGTGGCCACACCGTGGGTCGCAGGGTCAAACGCATTGGCCTCGCCGTGGGACAGTGGAAGGCCATTTTGGTCGAGACCATGGCCAGGGTAGGCGGGCGGGGCGGTCTGCGCCCACGATAGTGCCTGCGCATCCATGCCAGCAGGCTGCGCGCCGTTGTCCATACGCACATGCTTCGATGCACGTTGGTTGTCACTCAGGTCCGTACCGCGACCTTTCGCGCCCGAGGCACGCGTATTGTCGTTCCCCGTGTTGTTGTTGGAGGCGTCGCTATCCGGACGCGACGCGGCATGCGCGAGCTGGATCACAGCCCCAAGCGCCTCGTCAGGCAGGGGTGGAGGAGGTCCCGATGAGCCTTGTTCCATCTCTGCCGTGTTAGCATGCTGCTCCTCAGACCATCACGACGCGTCTCGATGGCGTCGCTCCACTGCACATACCTTGTAAGCGTAGGGCTATTTGCTAAGGATGACAAAAGGAGAGGGAGTAACTAAAATCGGTGTTGAGGCCGTCCCCCCTCCCTTCCCTCGGGTTTGTGGCTGCTGGGCCGCGCGGATTATGCATGCCACGCCACGCCACAGCCGAACTGGTCGGCCGACACGTGATGCCGTACCCACGCACCGCAAGCGGCGACCCCATGTGGAGGTCTGCAGATGTCGCTGATGCAGCGAGCGGCTCTGCCCTGACAAACCCCACCCCAGGCGGGTGGCTTATCGTGCATTTTCATCGACTTCCTTGTACGGCGGTAGCTTCTGTTCTTAGCGCGTTGAAAACACCTACTCTGTGCATCGTTTAAGACCATGCCAAAGTTACCGCCTTACGAACAAACGGCAGTTCTCGAGCCACCTGCAGAGGACGGGTCGGTGGCGGAGCTCCTTTTGCTTCTCCTCCCGATCTTGATGATTGCGATCGCAATGATCTTTGTGGTGGTAGCACCATTTGTCATGTATCTAATCATGCGCTTGCGACCTGGCATCGCTTTGCGTGACTCAACAAGCCCCGTCAATGTACACTACGAGGAGCAGCTGGAAAATTCATCGTCGTTTCAGCAAGCATGCGATGCGTGGCTCGAGCAGCTTGATGATGCGTCTCGAGCTGGATACGAGCGTGCGAAGCGTTGGTGCGCACAGCATCCACCCATGTCTCCGCGTGATACAGATATCACAATGCCACAACATGTTGGCATCCAAGAAAAGGGTGTGAGTGCATGGAGTTTTGATCCTGCCTACGAATCGCACCAAGGCGTTATGGTCTCAGCTCGCACGGAGATCCAGTTCCTGGCGGATAGTATCGGGATGGCGCCCCATGAGGGAGGCGCTTGCTCCATCCAGACCAATCTTCCATTACCCAAGACTAATGAAGTGTATTATTGGGAGGCCAAGATCTTTGAGAAGCCCAGCACCACAGAGATTGCGATTGGTTTGGCGACCAAGCCGTACCCAACGTTCCGGTTCCCTGGTTTTTGCAAGCATTCAGTGGCATACATGTCCGAAGATGGATCAAAATGCTTTAATCACCCTCTCCATGCACAGTCCTATGGCCCGCCTTACGTCAAAGGCGACGTGGTCGGCGTGGGCTATCGCCCACGTACAGGCTCTGTGTTTTTTACGCGCAACGGTGTGCGCATGCCGGAAGCCTTTACGGGTCTGTATAGCCACAACCTGTTCCCGACGATTGCCGTTGATGGGGCGGCTGAAGTGCATGTGAACTTTGGGCAGGCCGGCTTTGTGTTTATTGAGGCGAATGTGAAGAAATGGGGTCTCGCGCCGATGGTCGGCACGCTGGCACCGCCGCCGGCGTATGGCCAAGACAAGGATAGCATTCTCATTGAGGCCGGCCATGCATCCAGCTCGTCTGCTGATGGTCATGCTGCTACGGCTGCGTCGACGGCCCTGCTGCCTGTGCCCCCGTCGTACTATGACGCATCGGCGCCCGTGTGCTCACACGACCCTCGACGATGCTCCGATGCGAGTGGCATTCACCTCACTACGCTCCCGGGCTCAGTTGAACGTATACCCTCGCCGCCGCCATACCCAGCTGAAGAGGTAGCTACACGTTCACCTCTTTCGACGCCCTCGCGTGGTCCGACACACACCTTGCAGCGATGGTTCTCAAGTTGGCGTCGTGCTCGACGTGACACGTCGGCAGGCTCACCCGAAACGCCCTCTACAGAGCTCACAGGTATCATGGTCGATCCATGATGCGTATGCGGCCTTTCCCCTTTCCCTATGTAGTATACGCTAGCCATGTTTTTTTACGACGGATTCTGTATAACACGTGGTGGGTGTGGCTGGTGCGAGCGATCTGCATGTGTACGTCCTCCTCCACTCACGCAGGCTTCCTACGTTGCCCCTGCGCTGTCACTGGGAGTGTGTGGGTCCGATGGGGGAACGCCCAACGTCACCGCGCTGGGACGCGAGTACGTCGTCATCGTCGTCATTATCGTCGACGTTGATTCCCTTCCCGCCGTCCGGCACCAAGAAGCCGTGGGAGCAGTATACCATTGTGCGCCGATTAGGGCGTGGCAGTTTCGGCCAAGTGTACGAGGCGTTCTACACCCCTACCTCCCAATTGGTCGCTGTAAAGCAGATCTTACTTGAGTCTGCTTCGCATGGCCATGATGACGAGGCACAAACACAAGACTTACAAGAGATTGAGCGTGAAATCGCGAGTCTAGCGCAGTGTCAGGACTGCTCGCGCGTTACGCGGTACTTTGGGAGTTTTGTGAAGAGGTATACATTGTGGGTCGTTATGGAGCTGATGGACGGTGGGTCGTGTCTCTCGCTTTTGCAGCGTGGTGGGCCACTGCCTGATCCTGTTACAGCTGTGATATGCCATGAACTTGTCCTTGGCCTGGCGTACTTGCACGACCTTGGCATTATTCATCGCGACATCAAGGCGGCCAATGTCCTGCTTACGCGTGATGGGCATGTAAAACTCGGTACGTCTTTTCCTACTAACCGCTAAGCTGATTTTGGCGTGGCCGCCCAGCTCTTGCATCGTGGCTCGCGGCGGAACACCTTGGTCGGCTCTCCCTACTGGATGGCACCGGAGGTCATTCGGCAGTCGCAGTACGATGCTCGCGCAGATATATGGTCGCTGGGCATTACAACGCTGGAAATGGCTACAGGTCGACCGCCGCTGTCTGAATACCACCCTATGCGTGCAATGTTTCTGATTCCCAAGGCGACGCCGCCGACCCTCGATGCGTCGCACTCGCCGTCGATGGTGCGATTTGTCGAGCGATGCTTGGCCAAGCGCAGTAGTGACCGGGCCACGGCGCGGCAACTCACAAAAGACCCATGGATCGAGCAGGCGGGCACGTTGCAGTTGGTGCGCGATATCATTGTGGCGCGGGGCGCGCCACCTGTGCCTGTGGCAGGCGACACGTCGCTGTCTCAGCAGGAGGCCTCTGTGCCAGAGCCAAGTGACCACAGTGAATGGCAATTTGACTTGTCGCCCAATGTGTCAGCCGTGCTAGGCCTTGATGTCGAGTCGTCTCTCGCCCAAGGCCCGCCTTCGCGCAATACGGCACAGAATGTCCTCACCTCGCCCTCGGCAGAGGCGGAAGGTGCGACGAACGAGGTAGTGCCACGAGCCGTGACGCCGCCGACCACGACAGCTACGCCTTCGTCCACGGCACGTACGCCTATGGCATCGCCCAGCAAAGCTAATGTAGCACGCTCGCCGCATCTACATCGCCCCATGACGACGCAGTCCCACGTCCAGCAGGTGCTGGAGCAGCTTGCGTACCAAGCCGGACAAGATACAGAGTCAGACACGGCCAGTACGCTCATCCACCAACTGCACTCGCTGCTGAGTCACATGGGCCGCCAATGCCCCGAGTACTTGGAGCAGTTTATTGCAATGCTTGGGGATCAAACACCGCTACGTGACGTGGACGCACCGCGGATTCCTGCCGCTCGCTCCCGCTTGGCCTCCCTGCTGTATGCGCGATGGCTCGAAGGGCTACGCAGTCGATGGAATGTATTAGACCATTAAGGCTTCGTAGATGTACACTGTATTTCTATTTATTCACATAAGGATCCCAGCAATGCTACGGGATCCACGACTTCAAAGAGTTCATCTTTGTGTCGGTGCAAAGGCTGAGGGTGATGGTGTTGCTGATGGTGGTGATGCAGGTGTTGGTAGTGCTGCTCGATGGCCTGCGTAAGCGGCGTCGATGCGTCCGTCTGCCCCTTCGCGAGCGACTCACGAAGCGGACGACGATCCAGAAGACGCAGGGGCGCGACTTGGTCGATCACCACATGGCTACGCAGGGCATCGCGCTTTTGCTGCTGCCGCAAAAGCAGCGCTTGCTCGCGGTCTGTATCGGCCGGCAGCGATAACGTCGAGGGGACATGGGCGGTCATCTTGGCCGTCGCACACTCGCGCGCTACCTGCCGCACTGCATCGTCGTCAGCCCACGAGACGTGCGCGCCGTCGGTGTGAGAAGGGGTATCGCTGTTCATCGGAAGACTCGGTAGCCACAATCGCTCGAGCGGGCCTTGGCCAAGCGGCTCCACGACCACATGCGGCGCTAGATCCAGGACGGCCGTCATATCGCGCATCGTAATGCGGGTCGAGTGCGTTGACGTCGATCGTTTGCGTGTGTACGCCAAAGCGCGATGCAAGATCGTCCGCAAATGCTCCTGCAAGGCCGAGAGCATCACAGCTGCGGCTTGCGTTTGCACGCCATTCGGCAGCCCCGCTTCGAGCGCCGCCAGCGTCATACGATCTTGCAGCCCATGCACATCAGGCAGCTCATGCGACTCAATGCAATGCGGCGCCATCGCACTGCGTATCAGCGCCTCTTGCATCGAGGTGGACAAGTGCGTACGCTGGGTCTCTGTGTGCGCCGCCGTCTGCATGGCAGCTATGCGCCAGTGCTCCGCGCCAATCGCCAGCTTGGCCTCGCGTGTGCGCCGCCATTCTTCAACGGCGCGCCGCTTTTCGTCTTCCTTGCGTTTCTTTTCCAAGAGTTCAGCGCCAGCGCCGGCCCATACAGACGCCGCGGTGTGCATAGACGCCTGGTTGGTCTTTGGCAGCTGCTGCAATCGCGCCCGTTCTTGGGATGAGAGGCCTGCATACATGTGTCGCAAGCGCTTTGCGCCGCGGCCCGTGTGGCCGTACACAGGCGGCTCATGCGCCTCATCGCTCTCCGACTCGTCGAGGAGGGGGGCCCGTCGTGCACGAATCGGACTCGTAGGTGCTTGCATGCCCTGTGCTGCCCCACGACCTAGCGAGGTGGGCGCAGCGCTCGCCTCAGCTAGCAATTTCAAGATGAGAGCGTTGTGCAGTGGGATGCAATCGCTCGGCATCCATGCATGGATCCGCGCTTGAAACTCTGCGCGATCCATACTTGCTGTGCACAGCGCGCCGAGGGCGTGCCAGTACTCATTTGCATGTGGCCCTAGGGCCTCTAGCAGTTGGGCTTTTACGGCTCGTATGTCGCCCGATGTCGTGTCGTCGTGCACCGAGGCACTACGCACGCTCGGGCGGTGCATGCTCCCTGCGCGCGATGGGCGTAAGACAAGGAAGGTCGTGCTATCGATCATGGGTATCATGTGACTTCATCCCTCCACACACTCACACTATGTCAGCATCACTGTCGTTCCTATCTATGAAGGGGTGGGGCCATACATACTTACGCACGGTCGCCCTGGTCCGCCAGCAAGCGTTCCAGCGCACGTTCCGTGCGGTAGTTGCTACGTTCCAGCGCGCGGATCACCTGCGAGCGTGAGAAGCCCATTTGGCACAGCTGGCGCACTGGGCCGATATCGCCAGGCAGGGGCGGCGACGGCGCGCGGGCCGAGGCCAGCGCCGCGCCGACATTCGAGGCGGCGTTGGGCGACGCAGGCTCAAAGTTGTCTTCAAACTGCTGCTGCGTGGGCGTCTCTTGCTGCTCAATGCCCGATGGCTTCGAGACCGTCGTCGTTGCGCCCGTGTGCACATTGCCGCCAGGCGGCGGCGGCGGCACAATCGTCGACGACTGCAGGTACGGCGGCACAGACGACGTAGGCACTTCGTTCGAGAGCGGCGATCGCACGGCTGGCGGGACATTACCGCGCTGGCTCGCTACTGATGAAGGTGTGCCGTGACGATGAACGACGTTGGCGACGCCCATGCGCGAGAAGGCCGCGTCAAAGTCGTTCGACGTAGCCGTGCCACCAGCCACGGTGCTGGGCGTCGCTGGCGCCGATGATGGCGGCACGACAATTGTCGACGCCGATGACGGCGCAACGGCAGGCATACTTGCGGCTGTGAGCGGCTGGGAAGGCACCTCGGCGCTCGGCGACGTAGGCACAGGCGCGTCGACCACATGCGTCGGCATGCCTGGCTGCGTCGCGGGCGCATCGTACGTCAGCGCTTGTCCATTCACCACACGCGTCTCGCTATTCGGGCCTTCGACGTCCTGCTCGCCCGGGAAACCGCCCGGCAACGACATCGCCGACGCATCGCGTGGAAGATCCGTGCCGCTCACCCCATGACCTGACGGAGGCATCGGCGGGATCGTAGCATGCGACGTCGTAGGCATGTGCGCGATCGAAGGCGCTTCCGGCGTGCGGTACATCGCTGCCTCCGCCTCTTCCGGACCTTCCTCCTCGTCGTCGTCCGACTCCGGCACACCCACCGCCTGCGACACGGACTCACGCGTAGGCAGCGCCACGACCTGCGGCTGTTGGGTCAACGCGTCGTGCACACTCCATCCACCCTGCTGGCCTGTTGTGTTCTCACGTGGCTCCGACATGACGGCCGGCGCCGCCAGCGTGTCCTTGGCCACGGGCGGCGGCGGCGGCGGCGCTTGCGTCGCAAAGGCTGCCGCGCCGTACTGCGTATCAAACGCGGCCGGCGTACCGCGCGACAGCGTCGGCGTGGCTGCCCCGCTCGGAGCGCTGCCCATCATCTCAAAGGGGTTGAGACGACGAGCGGACGAGGGTGTCGACGTGCCCGACTTGGGCACCGACGCAGCACTGGTCACCGAGCTACGCAGCGACGTGTGCTCGTCCTGCGCCGTGCTCAGCTCCTGGTGCGCGGCCGCGTTGAGCGCCGCTTGGCGCTTCGCCTCCCCGGCCAGACGCTCCAGCTCAGCACGTAGCTTCTGCGACTCAGCTTGCAGCTCGCCAAGCTGGCGCTTCAGGCCATGGCCCGTCTCGCGGTCTTGCAGCAGCTTCTGCTCCTGCTCATCGCGCTGCGTACGCAGCGCACTCAGCTCACTTTCTTCGCGGATGACACTCTGGCGCAGCGTCTGAATCTCTTCTTCCTGTGCTTGGACTTTGCGCTCGAGCTCAGCCACTGCCACTTCTTCCGCCTCGTGCTCCTTTTTCGCGCGCGTCAGCTGCGCCTCCAGCTCCGCCAACGTCGTGGCGTTCGACGTATGCGAAGCCTCGGTCTTGGAACGGCGCGCCGACACATCATCACGTGCCATTTGCGTCGCGGCCAACGCCGCCTTGGCCTCATCAACTTGCGCGGTAGACACGTCGTCGTCCTCCGGCACAAACGGATCACGCACCGCCGTCTCCTTCTCCCGCGTCAACGCCGCATCCACGGCTGCCCCCACACCGACACTGGCTGCCACTGCAGCGACGCCTTCAGCTCCGGCCGCCTGGCTTGGAACGGCACGCACGGTGCTAGTGGGCTGCATCGGCTGCATACTGGGCGTCGGCGCGGACGCTGGCATCGCCGGCGACGTAGCAAACGTCGATAGCCCCTCCGACGGCGACAAAGAGCCGGATGGCACATCGGTATCCAGGAGCGAGAACAGTTCGCGCTGCGTCTGTGTCTTGGCCTGCGCAGGCGGCGGTGGCGGCGGCTGCGTTGCTGGGGCTGCCGCTGCCGCGGCCGCGGGCATCGGCATGGAGCGCGCCGAGGGCGGCAGCAACGAGGCAGGCAGCTGCTCCGGCACAGGCTTGCCGGCCATCTTATCGTCAATCAGCTGCATCGCAATCGCAAACTCATCGCGCGTCAGTGTGCCGTCCTGGGTCAGATCGGCCAAGTCCCATACATGCGCCAACGTCGTCTCATCCAAGCCACTCTGAAGGAAGAACGGCACAACCACACCGCCATCGACATACCCAGCCCGCTGCGTATCGAGCTGATCAAAGAAGCCATCGTAGCGGGCCTTGCTAGCGGGCGTAATTGCCCAGGAGGAGCCGGTGCTCGAAGGCGTCGGCGGCAGCGGCGCTGACGTCGTCTGTGACGACGACGCAGGCATGCTGCCTGCAGTCGGGCCAGTCGTCGAGGAGCGCGAGGCAGACGAGATCGGCGCTTGCGCGGGCGCAACGGCCGGCGTCGAAGGCACCGTCGACGTTTGCATAGAGTCCTGCGACATACCGCGCTGCGGCGTCGCAGGCGGCTGCGACGAGGCCATGCCATGGCTCGTGCCAGCCGCTGCCGCCTCGTACATACCTGGCGGTAGCGTAGACGGCAACGAGGTGATGGTACCGTTCATTGTGCCCTGAATGTAGTGCATGCCAATGATAAAGTCAGGCAGGTCTAACATGCCCCGCTGCTTCGTGTCGGCCAGGTTCCAAATAGCGCCGAGCTTTTCGTAGGGCAGTTTGGACTTCAGGAACACATCCTTCGCCTGTTCGTTGCTCAGTATGCCCTGCGTCGGTCCGACCATCGCAAAGATGCGTGTGAAGCGGGCCTTGTCCTCTTCGGAAATAAGCGAGGCGGATGGCGTGGGCGGTGCCGCCGCCGAGGAAGCCGGGGCAGCGCCGTACGACACGCCCTCGTACACCGGCGGCGCCCCTGGCGTATGCACGGCAGCCTCGTTCACACTCTCGCCACGCTGGGCACGCGCAATGAGACGGAGCGCCACTCCGAACGTGGCAGGGGTAAGGAAGCCCTGGTTCTGGCTATCCGCAATCGACCAAATCTGGCCAAGCGTCATGGTAGGCAGCTTAAACCCCTCGAAGAAGGGCACCGCAGCCTCGCCACTAAGCACACCCGAGTGCGTGGGATCGGCCATGGCGAACAGCTGCGAAAACGCCTGCCGCTCAGCAGCCGTTAGGTTGTTCAAAGTACTAGGAGTGCTACTCATCGTATCCACACGTCGAGAATCTCCGCGCCAGCACGAAGCGCGTGGATGGTGCAAGAGCGAGAAGAACCTACAAACAAGGCCCCCACCCCTACGCCAGCGGGCGGGCCGCGCACGGGGGCGGCACAAGGGGGGTGTTCCGTGTGGAGGTAGTGTTGGTAGATGCGCCACTGTGCCCAACCACAAATCGGATCTGCGCCGCTTAGAGTTTCCGTGCAGGTGCGGTGTTTAGTGTCATGATGTCCAGACCGGCCGCCAGTACACTCAGCTTGGGCATTTTGCCAGCCCGCATGAGCGACAGCGCCTGGACCAACATCGGATCTTTCCACATACTTGCGACGCCAATCACGCGATCGTCCTTCGCATAGTACGCAATAAACTCCGCCTCATCCGGCTCGCCATCCACATAGACTTGCGTGTAGCCCACCCCTGTACCTGCATACCGCAGTGGCGACGTAAGACCGGACCAGAACACAGGTATATGTGTGTACGTGCGAATCTTTCCACTGGCAATCGTACGCCCGATCTGGCGTCCATGGTTGCTGGCCACATTCCAGTGCTCAATGCGCACATGGTGCTGGCTTTGCTCATTCGGGTAGGCAGCGATATCACCGCCTGCATACACATCCTTGAGGCCGGCCACACGTAGCGCCGAGTCCACTTCTACCGAGCCATCCGGTCGTAGCGCCGGGAACGACGGCGAGTTCTTCAAAAAGTCAGTCGCAGGGCGCGCGCCCGTCGACATGAGCACCAAATCGGCATGCAGTTGCAGCTGCGGCGAGCCGCGCGCGCGTGGCTGGACCGTGACGCCACGCACATGGCCGTTCAGGTCGGTATCAATGCTCACGACATCCACCGCGTTCAAAAATCGAAGGTTGCGCTCGTTCATAATGGCCGTTTGCAACCCACCACCCACTTGGCGGCCCAGCGGGCCCTCCAACGGAACGTGGGTTTGTCCGATCAGCGTCACCTCCGCCCGCTTCGATAGCGCAATGCCCATCTCCAGGCCAATAAAGCCAGTACCGATGACCACCAGCTTCGGCGAAGGGCGCTTGTGGAGCGCCTCGGAAATGGCCTCAGCATCCTGATAAGTGCGCAAGACGTACACGCCCTTCGCATCGGCGCCTGGCACAGGCAACCGACGCGGCACAGAACCTGTACCAAGCACCAGGTAATCATACAGCACCGTATTGCCGCCATGGACATGCAATCGCTTCATCTTCGTATCGATCATAAACACAGGCGACGACAAACGCAGATCAACATCCAGCGTCTCACGCCAGAATACCTCATCACGTACAAGCACACTGTCAAGCGATGGCGCTGTTGCCTTGCTCAACTTCGTACGGTCAATGGTAGGGTACGACTCGGCGGTAAGCACAATGATCTTGCCTTGGTAGCCACTGCGGCGCATTTCTTGCACGGCATGCAACGTCACAGCGCCACCGCCAACAAACACCGTCGTAGGGCCTGATGTTGCAGCGTTCTTGTCTTTCTTGCACGCCGTCCACGCAGGTTTCTTCAGCTCCTCATAGTCCACAAGCAGGTACACTTCCTCGCCGCTGACCTCAACCTCAATGGTCTTGAGTGGGGCTAGAGCAGGCGCATCCTCAATGTCACCTGTCGTCACCTTGAAGCAAGCACCATGGAAGGGACAGTACACACGCCCATCGTCCGTCAGCACACCCTTTACCAACGGCAGACCATAGTGCGTGCATTTGGACGTGGTGGCATAGTAGGTGCCATGCACATTGGATACCAACGCATTGACAGGTGGATCTATATCTGACTGTAGGGGCACTTCTCGCATGCTGCCGATGGGCATATCCGCGACCAAACCGGCAAACACACGCTCCTTCGCCTTCCCATTACTCGTTGACATGATGATGGCAAAAGACGCCGGTGATCTCTTTCCCCGCACCGGCCAAGCGCCGGCGCGCCGTGCGCACAGAAACAGGCCATTTGTCAACCGGCCACGTGGCTTTCAGTCTAGATAGGTACACTACGAAGCATCTGTCTCCATAGCGTCACTGGCGCTTGTCGTCGTGGCTGTAGGGGCACCAAAGTCCAGAACATCTGTCATGAGCTAGACATGCACATACCTTCCTTAACCACCATGTTAAAAATCTCTTCCTTGGTAAATTTGGTCGTTCCCCGCGGGAACTTGTAGCTCTGCTCCTTTTGTGCACGTTCGTTTGGTTTGCGGTAGTTGCGTAGCATTTCTGTGCTCTTCTCACGAATAATGCATACATCGACGTTGGAGCCCGAGCCAAGATCGTTGAAAATACCCGACTCAATCGCAGCGACTACCAGATCCACCGCCTCTTTTTCCTGCACACGTAAGTGTCTTGGGCCTCGTACATACCTCCATATTGGGGCGCCATCCACTCTCAAATACAGACATAGCAGCTAGCGAGCCAGAGCCCATGGTCACATAGGGCAGCTTGTCCGTCGAGCCATGCGGTGCAATGGTGAACAGCTGCGGACCCGTTGAGTCGTAGCCACCTAGCACCAATGCGGCACCAATATGGCCCTGGTACTGGAATAGTCGCTGCTTCAGCATGGTCATGGCTGCAAGAACACGCGGTTTCTTGCGTGTGTGCAGCTCATGCAGCTGCATGTTGCTCGAGATCAGGTTGGTGACAAACTCCGTATCAGCTGCCGTACCTGCACCACAGCACCGGATATGGTCACTTATATAGTGGATCTTTTCACAGTTCTTGTCCGCCACGATAGGACCTTCCGTAGCACGCGTGTCGGCGCCGAGCACTACGCCATCCTTGTAGATCAGACCGACAATCGTGGTACCCGTGCTCGTCGCACGCGGCACTACATGACCACGTCCACTCAGCTCTGCGTTTCGTACATGACCAGAAAAGTCAAAACCGCTACCGCGGTGCTCTTCCATCTGAACGCGAGCCATGACTACGTCGTCGCTCACGACAAGAAATTGATGCACCATAGACGACGCGCGGCCCTTGTGGACTATCACGTGACGTACGCCTGGGCCTCACGCACAGGCACAACTCCACGTCGAGAGCAACACGAAGCTCCAACACCTATTTGTGGTGCCTTGCTGGACATGAGTGCCGAGGTCGAGCTGTTCACCACCTCGATCCTCGGAAACCCCAAAACAAGGAGCCGACATGACAGATACATTACTGTATTGTCCGCATTTAAGGTTTGTAAAGGTCTGACGTGCCTAACTAGATCAGATTCCTTTCGTATACCATGACTTGGCCTCGGACGAAGATGCAAAGAAACGCTGGCGCAGTAAGGCCCAGAATCCACAGATCCCTGGACTTCTTGTTCATAACGAGTGGCGTGGAACGTATGAAGAGTTCGAAGAGGCGGTCGAGCTTGGCGACCTACTGAACTTTCTACGCATTGATCCGAACCGACGCACAGCCCCTCCTGTGGCACAGTCTATTCCACCCGTATCCAGTCCCGGCCCTGCCTCCAAATCCAATGTGAAACTCCCGCCTGCTCCGACGCTCATGGCGACCCCTGCGGCGCCTGGGCAAGGGGCGCGTATCTTAAAAGACGAGGACCCATTGGCGTTCTTGCCCCAAGGGACGACTGTGACTGACGCGGAAGTGGACGAGCTGTTGAAAGAACTGGAAAAACCACTACCACGGACGACTCGAAGGACATATGTTCCATCGAGTCGCGCTCGTATGGCGGAGCCAACCGCGCCCTCGCTTCTGGAGAGTAGCACACGTCCATCTGAGATTTCTGCTAGGTACAATCCCGAAGAGCGCTCTACAAACAGTCTTGTATCAGAAGCTGCCAAAGCTATTGGCGTAGAGCCCAAGCCGCGATCGTATGCGCCACGTATGAAGCTCAATAAGATGTCACTGGACCAAATTATGGCAGACCGACGCGCACGTATGGCCCAGACTGAACAATCTCGGAAAACGGACGAGCTCTTTGCCAGTCTGGGACTGTCTGATGTGGTCATCTCGGACAAAGAAGCGTACGAATTCCTGGAGCATGGTAAGGTACCTTCTGTGAAGCCAAAAGCGATAGTCCAAGGCTCGGTATCGACGCCCAATGAATCGTCAGAAGACGCTTTCGTACCCACGCTGGACCGTATATGGGCTTCGCTGCCAGATTCAGTGCAAAATGGCGAACGAGAGGGACCATGGTCATCGACAGAGCCTGTGGAGCATATGCCTGCGTTGCAGTTGGCGACGGCATCGACGCTTACCAAAGACGAGGAGCCTCCTCCACTGCCGAAATGGGATGTAGAAGGGCCTTGGTCACATACAGTGGTAAAAGAGGAACGACATGCCATGTCGGAGGAGGTGGACGTACCCAAGCTGGATAAAGAGTCGCCATCTGTCACCTCAGAGGGATGGGATACGGAGGGGCCATGGTCCTGCAAGACGGCACCACCAGAGGAAGCCTCTAACGATGACAATGAGGCGCTTGATCCGTCCCACGCACCCAAGGACACTGATGACGCGTTGCCTCACGACGAGAAGGACGATGTACAGAAGGAACAGGAAAGGCCACCGATCGAGTCGGCAGAGCCCAGCGCGCCTTTGGCAGGAGAAAGGGACACTGGGTCTGCAGTGCTTGCAGAGACGGAGACTGACACAATACCTACCACCACGACCGAGGCAATCTCAGCGGGTACTCTCACGCCGCCTATACCGCAAGAGACAGAGACGACTACTGCTAAGGAAGACGAGTCGCAAGCCGGAGACGATGCGTCGCTTTTGAGTTTTGATCAATCTGTGATGCCCCACTCAGCGTCTACAGACACAGCTGCTTGCCGTGTTCTCCCATCCTTGTCGCACGACGAACCATCGTTACTGGACGATGACGAAGGAAGGGTCGAAGATCCTTTGTGGGAAAACCATATGCAGTCGAAGGACAATGGGCCGCCTCCGACCAACCTCCTGGCGCCAGAGCCATCATCGCCTCACGCTGAGGCAGAGCCGGAAACGAGGGAGAAGGTGGACGAGGCCGCCACACCGTCTTCGCCTCTGTTGGATGCACCACTGCCTGCGTCGCTGCCAGCCGAGCCACTCATCGAGGAGGGCCAAGAGGAAGGAGCCGCCTCCCCTGCGATGCACGAATCGATGACGGAAGCGCCTCACGCCACGACAGCGACGCCCGTACTGGACCGGACGGAGGGTGTATTGGACTCGGCACGCGATGCACATATCGACAATGCCGAGGCCTCAGTCACGGACACCCAATCCTCTGAAGTGGATGAGCTAAACGAACCGGAGAGTGTCCCTCGTGAAAAGTCGATCGTTCCCGACGACGAGGCAGATGGTGCTACAGTGCTGCCTCCTGCTGAGGCGGTGTCGGCTAGGCCCGATACATCTACGACTTTGCTCGACAAGTCAGAAGAGGTGCCGTCTTGGAGGGAGGACAGCGATGATGCTGCACCGGACGACACTGGCCCTCTTCCTGACGATCGTACGTCTGGGCCAGTGAATTTACGCACGAGCGACAATCTCCTATCTGTACAAGCCGACTCACTTGCGGAAGATTGTGCGCCTGTGGAGGCAGATCCGCCTACCAGCCATGACGTGCCCTTGGCGGACCTTGCTTCGGCGGAGGCAAGTCCGCCTACGCATGATCTAGCCTCTACCAACGCCGACAAAGCGGTGAGCGAAGGCTTCTTGCCTGTCGAATCAGACAAGTCTGCTACTGATGTTATGCCTATCAAGGCAGATGGACCTAGGAATGATCGTACATCGGAAAAGGCAAACGGGTCTACCGAAGACGAGCTTACGTCTGGAAAGGCCGATGGACCTACCAAAGACGAGCTCACGTCAGGCTACAGAGATAAAGAGAAGGATGCCTCAACGATGCAGACGGACCTTGTGGGCGGCGTAGTCCCGAAGGATACGCCTGTGCATGCCTCCCAAGTGCCAGAGACAGAAACAAGCACCGAGCCAGCCATGACAGAGGCCCAGCCGGAGACGGCCGAAGAGCCCGTGTCGTTCTGGCCAGTTGACACGCAGACAAAGGCAAGTGACGAACCGAAGCGCCTTCCAACGATGACAGACACCGCCGAGAAGGAGCTGGGATCGTCGTTCGAGGGCGACAAGGTGCTCGCTGCTACGGCAGAGCCAGGCGACACGGACGCCGATCTCTCAGAGGCGCTATCCACGCGAGACAACGTGGCGGTCGACGCAACCAACAGCCTGACCTCGCCGCAGGCTAACGACGTGAGCACGTCGCCGCCTATGTCGCCGGACGTTATGCCCACGGCTATGGCCAAGGCACTGGCCATGACGTCCGAAGAAGACGATGGGATCGTCAATGCCGCACCTACCGCGGCCGGGGCTGGCACCTCTGTACCGTCCTCAAACGAGGTAGATGGGGTGAAGGATACACGTACGCCGACCACGCCGTCCAGCGGGCCCAGGGCTGCGCGGCGGCATACGTCCCTGATGGATCGGCTGCGTAGTGCACAGCGTAGACCGTCGGTGGCCGACGCCATCTTTGATACCCCGTCGAGTTCGCAGACGTCTACGCCGTCCTCCCCTGCCGCTACAACCTGGTCTTCCATGGACGCTGATATGGACGACATGGGAGACACTACGACCATTGTGCATGCTTCACCAGCTCGAGGTCCTACATCGCAGCGGGCGTTGTCAGATACGTCCACGTCGTTCCACAATCCATTGCTCTCTGCCCTAGGCGTGGAGAAGGAGGAAGCAGTGCGGCCTGACGCACACGCCTCTGATGTGCCTGTGCCTTCCGTGCGCATGTCAGACACGGAAGGCAGTGAGGCCGAGAGCAGCTCTGAGCCGGACTCGGAAGATGCTGTGCCTGATCTATGGGTGCCCACAAGCCAGGCTTCCCGGCGCTACGAGCCGTCCGCTGCACGATATGCGACACGGTCTGTGGCACACAGCGATAGAGACGTTGCGTGGGATTCGCCGGAAATGGGGCAAGTACGTCCACTGTCGACGCCAAGTACGCCCAAGGCGGAACGCAGCGATCCATTGCACACGATGACATCGACTCCGCGCCTCTCTACGACATCATCGCCACGCACAAAGGACGCCGCGCCGACAACAGAGCCTTCGTCCACGGCCCCGCCATTGCCGCCGCGATCGTTGAGTACTGTGACATCGAGCGAGAAAGAGAGTCAGACGTCCACACCGACGAAGCCTACCACGTCGCCTGCTCGTGCGCGAAGCAAAAGTGGCCTGCCGAATGGTCAGTGGGGTCTGCCAGCCTCCTTGCTGGAGCGATTCGGGCTGGGATCCACCTCGTCACCGCCGACCACTCCGCCGCGATCCACGTCCGAGACGCCTACCGACCGCATAGCGACACCATCCAGCAGTGGCAGTCCACGCCGCACGTCACGGCCTTTACCGCCGACGCCGACTACATCCAAGGCACGCGATACGCCTTCTCCACGTGGCCAACGACCGCCGCCGCTGCCGAAACGCAAAGAGACGATGCAGCCGCCGCCGCTGCCCACGCGCTCCACCGCCGCCGCTACCGCGTCGCGGCCCACGGACGAGGCACGTGTAGATGCGGCTCGACGCGCCGTATCGAGCAAGCCCACGAAAGCGACTACGCCCAACAGCTCCGCTCCGCAGGACGCACTGTCGCGCTCGGTCTCACAGCCGGCCAAGGCTGGCCAGCACCGTCGTACGCTCAGTGACATTATGCGCGAAGCCGATGAGATGATGCATGATTGGACATAGACTCTATAGACCAAGGTTTTACGATGACGAGCCACGGGCGGCGCGTACGTCGTAGACGTGATCACTGCCCAGTAGACCGCCTTGTTGTGCGCTAGCTGACCGCTCCGGAAGAACATGGTATAGGGAGGGCGGTGGACCGCTAGGGGGGGCGCCCGCGGCAGCGGGCGCATCGTTGGTAGCATCGGCTGGCCGTGACGAGGCGGGCGCAGGTTTCCGCAGCTCAATGTACGCTGGCGTCTCGAGTCCGGCCATGACGGTCTGCATACCAGACGGCGTCGCGAGGCCAGCGAGACGCTGCGCCTCGTCGTCATCGACCATGGTCGGCGCGTCGTCGTCGTCGTCGCCTTCGTCCATCGCTTCACTGTCCTCCTCCGCCTCGTCTTCGTCCATGTCCTCGTCGCTACTTTCGTCGCCCACGTCGTCGTCCTCCGGCGGCAACTCGCCCCAGTATTCACGCTGGGGCGCATCCTGCACAAACACGTCGTCGTGGTGCTTCTTGGACTCGCCAAACACGTCGCCGTAGATGGGGTTGCCACTCTCGTCAATAGGCGGACGGCCCCATCCACCAGGGTGGAAGCCCCACTGTGCGCCCTCGGGAATCGGCGCATTCAGCCCGGGAATGCGCATGTGTGGATAACTCGGCGGAGGCCCATGCCGCTGCATAGCAATCAGCCATGGGAACGGTGCGAGCGGCGGGATCGATAGAGCCTCGCGAAGAGCATCGGACAAGTCACCAGGCCGGCGATGCCGCGCACGCGACCCACCGTCTTTGCCCTCAAAGTAGGTCTCACCAAACATGGTCATGGGCGGCTTCGTTTGGAACCGGAAAAACGCATCATGCAGGCGCTGGTAGTCAATATCCATGCGTCCCAGCTTTGGCTGCACACGCTCGCGTGTCTTGGCTTTGAGCGTCTTGTTTTCGTCCGCCGATTGCATCGCGCTACGCAGCGTCGCAATGCCCGTCTCCGCAATGTACGACGGCAACTCGTACGGCGGCTTTTCCATACCACGTCGATGGGATAGGTACTCCCGCTTCTGGCTCCAGTGCGTAGGCACAGGGACAGTATTGCGGTAACTCTTCAAATGAATCAGAAGCTGCGGATCCGTCGACGCGACGTCGGCCCATTCGACCACCTCTGGATGCCGCACAACTTGCTTGAGCTCAGCGACCGACATGCGCTGCAGCTCACGCAGTTTCCGACGTGACATGGTCGATTTGGGCAGCTTGGACGCCTCGTCGTCCGAGTACATATCATCGTCCGAGTAGAACACTTCGCCTTTGGCTTGGGCGCCCGCCGACTCGTCCTGCGCCGGCTGGAATCGCTCCAGCACAGCCGAGAACGAGGCGGCCATCGCAGGATCCATCTCTGGCAACGGCGCAACGACAGGCTCAGGCGCAGGCGCAATGTACGTAGGCACGTCGTCCATCGTCGCTGCCTGTGTCGTCCCAGACGGCGCGGTGGCTGCGGAGGTGGGGGCAGGTGCCTCTGTAGCGGTATCCTGTTTCTGCATTTTGCGCTTCGCACGGCGCTTCGCATTCTTCGAGAGCACAGCTGGCGCCGGCGCCGGCGCCGGCGCTGTCGATCCACTCGACATGGCAGCGGCAACGTACACCATAGCACGCAGACGTGGCTCGATCCCCGCCGTACGATGTCGACGAAAATTCGGCCGAGCTGCGGGTCGCGAGCGCAGAGGGGAGACAGACGCCCGAATTTCTTCTGCGCCTCTTTTTCATCCGACCGGCTGTGGGTGTGAAGCATGCCGCCCGTCGTTAAACCGGAAGCGGTACTAAAGCGCTCCGAAGAGCTCATCAATGTGGGCCAGCCAGCGGCTGCGCTACAGGCGCTGCAGGAGTTTACCTTCTCGCGGCGCTTCAAGCAGGGCTCGCCGACCGCGCTGGAGCCCTTGATGGAGCGATTCATGGAGCTGTGCGTGGACCAGCGCCGTGGTCGTGTTGCGAAGGAAGCACTGATGCAGTATAAGAATGCTTTCCAGAACACGGAGCCCCAATCGATCCGCAATGTGATCCGCCACTTTTTGAAGCATGCGGATGCCAAGGTCGCCGAGGCACGCAGTCGTGCTGACGCCGCGGCGGAGGAGCTCGACGTGGACGACCTTGAAGAGAGCGAGACGCCGGAGAGCATTCTGCTGGGCAGTGTGTCGCAGGACCAGGAGCGTGACCGTACGGACCGCACGCTCGTTACGCCGTGGCTCAAGTTCGTGTGGGAGGCCTACCGCACTGCGCTCGACATTCTGAAGAACAACACGCGCCTGGAGATGGCGTACCAGCAGGTCGCGGATCAGGCGCTGCACTTCTGCTTGCAGCATCAGCGCAAGACCGAGTTCCGCCGCTTGTGCGAAGTGCTGCGCCAGCACTTGCAGAGCGTTGCTCGCTCGGCGCACCACACCAACGCCATCGACTTTTCCGACGCGGACACGCTGCAGCGCCACCTCGACACGCGCTTTACGCAGCTGAACCATGCGGTCGAGCTTGAGCTGTGGCAAGAAGCGTTCCGCAGTGTGGAAGACGTGCACAACCTTCTTACCATTGCGAAGAAGGCACCGAAGCCGGCGATGATGGCGAACTACTACGAAAAGCTGACGCGTATCTTTATTGTGAGCGATAATCATCTGTTCCATGCGGCGGCATGGAACCGCTACTATGCCCTGGCGCGTCTGCAGGCTCACACGGAGGCGGAGCAGACGCGCATGGCGTCGTTTGTCTTGCTGAGTGCACTGGCCGTGCCGGTGATTGCCTCGAGTGCCCCCGGCACAGGCAACTTGACTAAGGGCCGTACCGACTTTTTGCAGGTCGATTCGGAGACGCGCCAGCGCACCGGCCGCCTGAATGCGCTGCTGGGTCTGAGCAAGACACCGACGCGTTCGGGTCTCCTGCGCGAGGCGCTGAACCGCAATGTGCTGCGCCGTGTGCGTCCCGAGCTGCGTGAGCTGTACCATATCCTGGAGGTGGAATTCCACCCTCTCTCAATTTGTGCCAAGATTGAGCCGATTTTGAGCCAGCTTGCGACGGACGAGGACATGGCAAAGTACGTCAAGCCGCTGCACTCGGTGGTCCTCACGCGTCTGTTCCAGCAGCTGAGCCAGGTGTACGACTCGGTGAAGATGGAGCAAGTGATGCAACTCGTCGCGGCGTTCAAGGCGCCCTACTCGTACTCGTCGGCGGACATTGAAAAGTTCTGCCTGAACGCGTGCAAGCGCGGTCATGTGAACCTGCGAATTGACCACATGGCTCGTGCCATTACGTTCCAGGATGATGTGTTTGCCGCTGATGTCCACCCAGCGCTGGCAGGCACGAGCGAGATGGACTCGGTGCATCTGCAATCGACGCCCAGCGAGCTGGTGCGTACGCAGCTTGCACGCCTGGCGCAGAGCCTCGACGCGACGCTGCGTGTCGTTGATGAGGAGGCGCTGTCCAAAGCACAGGCGGTTCGCACCGAGGCTTTGCAGCGTGCGATTGCCTCGGCGGACAAGGAACATGAGGCTGTGTTGGAGCGCAAGGCGAAGATTGAGCGCCGCAAGGAGCTGCTGCGTGAGATGGCACGTCGCAAGGAAGAAGAAGAGCAGGCACTCCGCGTCGAGCGTCAGCGTCAGCAGGCCGAGGCCGAGCAGCGCCGCTTTGCCGAGGAGGCTCGTCGTCGCGAGCTCGAGCATGTGCGCAAGGAGATGGAGGCGGCCAAGCTGGAGGAGGCGCGCAAGATGGCCCAGTCGCTCAAGGAGAAGGGCGGCTTGAAGCTCAGCGAGGAAGAGTTTGCCTCGCTGGATACCGACAAGCTTGTGCAGCTGCAGGTCGAGCAGATCGAGAAGGAGAAGAAGGACCTCAACGAGCGTATGCGGACGGTGCAGCGCCGTATGGATCACATCGAGCGTGCATACCGTCGTGAGGAGCGTCCCCTGCTGGAAGCCGACTACGAGCGTCAGAAGAAGATCGATCGCGAGAACCACGATCGTGCGCATGCTGCGCGCGTGCAGGCTGCGCGCGAGCGCCACGAAATGGATATGGCATTGAAGGAGACGCTGACGTCGCTCATGCCCGACTACGAGGGCCTCAAGGCCAAGCTGCTCGAAAAGCGTCGCGCGGCTCACGAGGCGCGCGTCGCCGAGGCCAAGGAGCACATCGAGCGCGAAAAGGCCGAGCGTCGTGCGCGCGTGCAAAAAGAGCGCGATGAGGCTGCGCAGCGCGAGAAGGCCGAGGCCGAGGCGCAGGCCCAGCGCGAGAAGGAGGACGCGGCGCGTCTCGAGCGCCAGCGTGCCGACGCAGAGCGCGAAGCGCAACTCGAGGCCCAGAAGCGCGCCGAGATCGAGGAGCGGCAAGCTTCGCTCCGCCGCCAGTCGGATCTGCATGCGGCGCAGGACCTGCGCTCGCAGGAACGCTTCGAGCGCTCGCGTGCCGAGCCGTCGCCCGTGTCGCGGGCGGAGACCGCGGATACGTGGCGCCGTGGCCCGCCGGCGCCGCCCAGCGGCGGCGCTGGCTCGACAGACCCCATGTTTGCCAACCGGCGATACCGCCCTGGCGACTTGGCGCGTAGCCGCGCTGGCGGCGGAGCCGGTGGCCCCACAGCGCCGCCGCCCACGTCGTCGCAGCCACGTACGCCGATGTCGATGCCGCCACCGCCCCCCGCCTCGTCGCGGGGCGAAAGTGGTGGTGGCTCGGGCCGCTACGTGCCAGGCGCCTTCTCGCGTATGCGCCAGAGCGGCGGTGGCGCTGGGAACGCGCCTCCTCCCCCTTCGTCCGGCACGGACAATGATGGTTTCACGACAGTGAAGCCTCGTAGCGGCGTGTACCGCCCGCCCGGTGCCCGTTAACGCTCGCGATAGATGACGGATAGACCGTACGAACATGCGTTGTAGCTGTGGATCGAGCAACGCAGAGGACGTGGAGAGATGCTCTTTGGAGCGCGTCGTCTCCTGCCTCCACATGCTGCGCCATGCCACCACCGCCTGCGCCGCGCCGATATGCACGGCCGTGGAGTCGCTCTATGATGGATGTTCGTATAGTGACCGAGGTGCCATGGGACGAGCAGTATGCTGGCTGGCAGCAAGTCGTCATGGACCTAACCAGCTTGCACCGCGCCGCGCAAGTCGCCGCGTACGAGCATCGCGAGCGCTCGTACGATACAGGAGCGTGGCGTCGCCTCGTACGTGACTTGGATGGCCATATTCAAAGCATCACGTCCACAGCGTCCATCCCGGAGCCTGCGTCAGACTCGCGTGTACCAGCTACACATTGGCAGCGGCACCAGCCTGATATCTCATGGGCACAGCAGTACCCAGGCGACGTCGGCGTATGGCTCCGACGTGCGATGCAAGAGCGACGATCCACCACGTCGTCGCCAAGACTGCCGTGGCATGGTGGATGGACACGGAGTCCTAGTATCATCATGACGAACGTCAGCGACTTGGCCTCATGGCTCACGATGGACATACCCTCTGCTGCCGAGCAAGAGGCACACGCTGCGGAGTCGGCACGGTCCGATCCTCGTTGGTATGCGCGGCGACGCCGGCTCGAGTTGCTACCTTCCGATGTGATGGAAAGCACGGAAGGGACCGCACGCACAGCAGAGCATGTGTCACAACCTCATCGCATGACGCCTCTTTCCCCCGCGGACGCCCAGCGCCAGGTCAGCGAAGCGCCACATTGGCAAAGCAGCGAGGCGGCCCGTGCGTTCGAAACGCACGTACGAATGGCCGAAGCCATGGCACAAATGTCGTCTGACGACATGGAGGAGACTACATGGATGCCGCTCCGTGATACGCCGCCTACATGGCAGCCATGGTTTGCCTGGATCGACGCGCAAGCTGTGCTTCGTGCCCTGGCGCAATGGACGCATGGTAGCGTGGCGGATGTGCGGCGCTTGGATGCGCTAGCCCCACCTATTCCTCTACGTCCTCTAGACCAAGCGCCCCAGCCCATTTTGTTCGGTGTCGGAGACTTTCTTACCTTAGCCGAGCATGGACCTCGGCACTCGGAGGATCGCGCACTGAAGCAGCGAGTTCATGTTTTGCACAGCGACACAACAACTTGGAATGCACGCGCAAATGAGATCCTTGTATTGCCGTTTCGTGCGACGGTGCCGAGTGTGTCGTACACGTACGAGCCACCGGTGGAACACTTGGACGGCTCATTGCTTGCCATGCAGCAAGCATGGTCGCAAAAACCGTATGCAACGCCTTCCCCAGGCACAGACGCCTACCTGCATGTCCTTGTACAACAAGAGATGGAACAGCGGCGAGATCGGTTTGCATCCATCCCACTTGCTTCGTCGACCTATGCTCACGCACAGATAGCGATCCAAGCCGCGACAGCCTGCGATATGAGCGCAGCGACCGACGCCCTAGATCGCGTAATTACCGATCGCGCCCTCGCGTTTCTCCGTATGCTTCGTGACGAACCGAGGCGAGTCCCACGTCCTATTCCCCCCCTATATACCCTAACGAAGCTGCATGTACGCATCCCGTCCTGGGCGGACAAGCAGACGGTCTATGCGTGGGTCCTTGCCGGTCTTCAGCCCATTGACGCGTCAGCGTGTGCCGAGTACGAAGGCATGACAGCACAGGAAGCTATGGCATTGGCTCAGAGGCAGGGTCTCGCAGGAATGGAGTCGGCATCCAAAGAGGCATGGACATGGTCGTCATCCAGTACATTGACGTCGCCAACGCGCCCTGTAGCCTTACTTCATCCAGACGTACCGACCTCGATGTCGAATGCTAACGAACTCCAAGTGATGTGGGACCCACCTCTAGTGACACGGTACTTGGCGATCCTGATTGTGCCTCCGCCCAGCACGGCATCGCAACTCTGGGCGGAATGGGAATACGTCTACGGCACCGGATGGGCCGGCCGCACAACGAGTGCCGCGTATGACATGTTGTAATAGTAGGTAGTGTGAAGGCCTCGAATGGGACCCTTTTTCGAGGTGGAGGCATGGACGTTCAACGCGGCGCGGCTTTACATTCGAAGACCTTGACGAAGATCGATCGATCGTCTTGGCACGATGCACGCCGTCGCGTCTGTGTGGTCCCTCACGCGTGAGGTAGGTCCCAGTAGACTGACACACAGGCTTTTCCCATGCTCACATGTGCGCTGTTGGGCCTCTTGATGTCGGGCTTGGAGTTGGATCAGATGGCGGTACGTTCCTGGTCGTGACTGACGCAACAGACGTGGCCGGCGTTTGTCAAGGTTGACAAGTTTTTGATCCTTGTTCCGATCATGTTCAACCTGAAAGGCAATCTGGAAATGAATCTGTCTTTACGAATGGGCACAGCCGTACGTACGCGGTCGTCTAACAACTAGGCAAATATCGGCGAGATCGACAATTACCGTACGCGCCGAGCGCTGGTCACGGGCAATATGGCCTTGCTTCAAGTACAGGCACTCATTGTGGCGATCGTGGCCGGGCTGCTTTCTTTCTTTCTTGGACACCATGACCGTACAGCCCCTGCTGCTGCTGCTGCCGTCCCCTCGTCAACGTTGCATGTGCGTGGCCCTGTGCATGCCCAGCGGCCGCAAAACGATAAGGCGTTGCGTTTGCGGGATGGCTACTTTGAGTTCGCCCTTGTCCTAGCTGTTGCACAGCTTGCCGCTTCGATGTCGTCGGCGGTCCAGGGCTCCTTTGTATGTGCCTTGGTTGTGGTGTCACGTCGATTTGGGTTGGATCCGGACAATACAGTCGTCCCCTTAGCCGGCTCCCTGGGCGACCTGATTACACTGACTTTGCTAGGCATGTTGAGCTCTGGCCTCCTTCGCTTCGAAGGTACCGGTCTCGCGACGTTTTTGTTCATCGGCCTGGTTCTCATGTGCATCGTCTTTGCCCTGTTTACGTTACGCAATGCCTATGTACATGAATTGCTGGGCTACGGATGGGTCCCACTATTTGCGGCTGCGGGGATCAGTTCCATGGCAGGGGTCTTGTTAGAGCACAATGCTCTGCGCTTTGAAGGGTATGCTCTCTTAGCACCGATCGTCGCTGGGATCCCCGGGATTACAGCTGCGGTACACACCTCGCGTCTCTCATCTGCGCTGCATGCACGTCGGTTCGTGGCACGGACGCGACCCACACATGGCGCAGATTATATCCCGCTGGACGGTCGGGAGGACTTGCCTTCTGCACCTCCGCCTGCAACCACGTTCCGCCAGCAATGCCTTGAATCCATCCGGCCCCAAGTGCACGAATGGTCGACGCCTATCACGCTACTGCTCAACGCGGTGGTATTGCAGTGGCTGTTCTTTGTCTTTTTGCGTGTGACAGGGGTACTGACATTTGGGTGGCTCTTTGGTCTGGGCCTCGCCATCATGTCCATCAGTCTCGCGATGTTTGCTCTGTTCTTCTCGCACATGCTATGCCTCTTTTTATGGTACTGGGACTATGATCCAGACACTTCATGCATGCCGTTCATGACAGCGCTCGTCGATGTGGGTGCCCAGCTTCTTTTGTATACTACATATGTCGTGGCTCAAGGCCTAGGCGACACTATTCGCTGAACATGTGCTCCGTGGCAAACGCCTCCACGGCTGCTTGGGGATCGTCAGGGAACCGAATGAACAAGCCCTGCAGCTCGGCCATGCTCACACCACCGCGAGCGGCACACCGTGAGACGGGGCCTGCGTCTGGTGCATACCCCTGCTCATTCAGGCCCAGCGCCACACGTCGTTGCTGTGTCGCTTGGCTCACCAATGTCGCGAGACGGTCCGCCAACGTGTCCAGCTGAGCCCGCGTCTCGTGCAGGGCAGCTTGGTAGTAGGGAGCGTCGACGTCTGGTGGCGGTTGTGGGGCTTGCGTAAACGCAGCCAGGTCTACGCCATGCGTCCGACGGGCCTCGTCGACGCGCTGCTCAAGCAAGTCAGATTGGTAGAAGCGAACAAGCAGTTCCTTCACCTGCTGCGACTCGGCATCGCCCAGCTCACAGATCATATCCACACGGCCAGGGCGGATCAGAGCCGGGTCCAGACGTTCCAAATGATTGGTCGTCATGAAAATAATGCGTTCCTCGCCGGACGCTACACCGTCCAAGGCATTCAGCAGACCGGAAAATGTAACGTTGGGTTGATAACCATCCGCTTGACGTTCCGGCGCATGCGTCTGTCGGCCCAGGAACGCTGCATCCACATCTTCCAGAAGCAAAATGCTTCGTTCCGGCGCATTCGACATGAGGTGATTCAGCTTGTCATCTGTCATTCCACGCTCCGCCAAGTTGAGTAGGCAGATATTAAAGTCCAGGCTGCCAGCCAAGGCGGTAATGAACGACGTCTTGCCTGAGCCTGGCGCGCCATGCAGAAGGTAGCCGCGTCGATAGGGAATACCACGCTTGGCGTACCATGGACCACGCGATAAGAAGCGCTGCACATCATGTACAATCTCATCGCGCTTGCCAGGGGGAAGCACGACACTTTGCAAATCACGAACGCGGCGTGGGTGCCCAAAAGGACGCCATTCTGCGCCCCAGCTAGTAAAGATGATAGTCTTGCCTTGGGTCGAAGAAAGAGCCAGCTGTCGAGCTTCGGTCAGCAGTTGCGGAAACAAGTGTTCGTACGCCGCGAGAGTCGTCAGTGTCACTGTTTCCCATGGCGCGCCGGTCGATAAGTCGACCAACTTGCCATTGCGCTCACGCTGTAGCCGCATCCACACGCCCCGGTAGCGGAACCAGTGCGTGCCTGGACCAGGGACGAGCGAAAATGTCGCTGCGCCACGTTCTCTGTTGTTCTCCCCTGTTGCGCTGGTCTCATACTGGGTATCCACAGAGAGCTCGCGCGAAATGATACGCACAGGCGGCATCACTTCCCCTGACGCTGCACGCAAAGGATCATCTACACTCGCATCTGTGCTTGCGGCCGCATGCGTACGAGGCCGCGTGAGGCCCATAAACTCCAGGAACGATTCACGCGGGAGTTTGCCATGATTGGCTTTACGACGCAGCGCCTGCGCAGCGGCTTGGGCGCCCATCCAGTGCAGAAACCATGGATGTGCGCGATCCTTCGACGGAATTTCCAGCGAGACAAGCAGTCGTCGTTGCGCTGTGGAAGCTCCCCATCGCAGCGCCGAGCGTGAATACGCCAGTGCGCCACCCATCAGCATGAGGCCGAAGCCCGCTGAAAAGTACGGGTTGCCTTGCATGACCGAGCCCAGAAGTCCTTCTGACGACGCTGACTCTGTCGGCATGGGCCCCCTCTCCGCCTTGGGCGCGACATCCACGCCGCTAGGTACCATGCTACCTGGTCGAAGCCAAGGTGGGGGACTCGCTGCATGACGCAGCTCTCCCACGTGGTCATGTGGAGTCGGTGGCGTCTTCTTGAGGTAGGAGGGACTATGCACAAGAGAGGGCTGGTGGTAGCCAAGCCCGCTAGACTATGAGGAGTACAAATATGAGAATCGTTAAAGTAGATGAGGATCGTCATCAGGTCGTGAATCATGAGATAGGCGGCGCATGATCTGCGTCCACGTATCTGAAAGAGAAGAGGGGTACCTGGGCGACGCTGTGGGTGTATCGACGCCAGGTGGGTCTGAGCTTCCGCTCGAGACGGGTGTACGCGAGCGCGAAAGCTGCGCAGAGAGCGGCGTTAGGCGTACCTCATGAAGACTGGTCACATCGACCCCGTCCACGGTGTCCGTATAATGGTCATAAATGCGTGATGGCGTGACAGGCTCACCACTCGGCATGCTGCCCCTGTGACTGCTGCCACCCTCACCTTCCTCCTCGTCGGACATATGGAACGGATTAATGTCTGTGCTGATATGAATCACAGGGCGAGTGTGACGGGAAGGTGTCGAGGGGTGATGCATGGTGGCTGTACGCTCGACTGTAATCGAAGGGAAGCCACGGTCATCGCTCGGGACTGCGACACGCGTGAATGGCTCTCCTGCCCGAGCAGCCAGGAAGCGGCGGCGCAAGTACACACTATGCAATAGGCCACGTACGCGCTCCAACTTGATCCTGGCATCAATCTTGTTCATGAGAGCACGGCGCTCAATAAACTCTGACACTTCCATGTTGGTCGGTGAGCCACAGAGCTTATGGTACGCAATGATGAACAACATCGATGAAAACGACACGCCCTTGCCTTTGTCACTGAGCACCGCTTCTTGGTACATGCGATTCAGGCGTTGGCGGCGCATGCGCAGCTCACCCCAATTGGCACGCGACAGTTTTGCCTCGAGCTTCTCGAGATCAATGCCACTCTCTACTCGTGAGAGAGGCAAGACGTCCAAGTCTGTTCGACCCTGCAATAAGCCCAAGTCGGCCACAGACGGCTCTACGGCACTTGTGCTCCCGGAACTGCGGCGTGACGACACCGAGTTGGGCGACGGCGGAACCTTGGCACTTCGTGGTGTCTTTGGGGAGCGTGGTGAGCGTGGCCATAGTCGATGGCGACGGGATGAATTGGGCGAAGATGGCTCATCCATGTCAGGCACATGCACGCGGGACACATTCATCAGTGCATGGACACGCATATCGGGTGGAAACAGACTCACTTCAAACATACCCGACAAGTGAGCCAAGAAGGGCACAATTTGGTCCTGCCGAATGTAGCCACGGCCCTGTGGATCAAATTTGCTCCAGGTGTCTTTGTACAGGCGCATCTGATCACGCGATAACGCAGTCGAGCCTTGCAAATGGTACACGTACGAGAAGTTCTCCACGACAGTACCCGTGAACATGTTAAGGAAGATGAACATGGAGATGATATTCCACGAAATGAACAAAAAGTAGGCCCACGACACACTTCCACAGTCCGTCTCCAGATAGTTGCTCGACGGTGTACACATAGGCGGCTGAACCGCAAAGTCGTGCATGTACGAATTCCAGCCTTCGCCGGTGGATGTCATGGACAAGAAGATCAGCGTACGCCATAGCGAGCCCAGGTTCTTGGCATGTGTCTCGTTGGGCCCCCATTTCGTGAGTCCAAACACTTCGACCAACATAATGCCCCATACCAAGAACATGGTCAGCCATAGCAGGAATAGGGCGACAATCGCTGGAATGGAGCTGACTGCCGTCTTGAAGAGCAAATCAAGAGCATCACTACGCTGGAACAGCTTCAATGTGACGCCTGTCAGGAAGATCTTTTGCAGTTGTGCATGGACCTGTGACGAGGATGGATAAATGGCTCGGGAAATACTCGTCGCAAACGTGCCGGCCATCACGAAGATGTCGTACCAATTCCAGTAACTGCGGCGGAAACTGTGCAGGCCCAGGCCATAGCATCGGATCACAATGTCGAAGAGGAATACCACAGCAATTATAGAGTACGCAATGGAGCGGCCTCGATCTTCGCCTTGCGTCTCTGCATTGGTCTGCGACATGAGGAGCACCAATACGATACAGTACAGCAGTGTCATGGACCGTTGCCACCATCCGCGCTTACGAATCGCCGCCTCAAAGCACCACCGCTTAAATGGCTGGGACGGTGGTTTCTGAGGCCGCTTCGACGCGGCTTGGCGCTGCAGTTGGCGCTTCAAATCCAGCCATTGTCGCTGCTCGGTGGTCAAGAAAGCAGCGCCGGAGTACCGCTGGAAGTTTTCAATGATCACCGAGACGAACAGCGTCAAAACGCTTACTGCACCGATCAAGTTGTAGATCAAGAAGAACACGGCATTGTGCTGTGACGCGTCTCTGTCTGGCTGTCGATCACGCCCTGTGATACTCATAGCACGTGTCATGACATCGATCCAGCCTTCGAGAGAGACAATCTCGAAGAGGATGAGCAATGCGCTCTTAAAGTCGTCAAACGAGTACTTGCTTCCTTCTGAGGGATTCTCCCATACACGCGGCGCAAGGAAGGCCCAGTTCAGGGGCGAGGAGGAATACTCGCCATGGCAATCCAGCTTGGTCACAATCGAACTGCTTGTGTCTGTACAGGCATACAACAGTCCTGCGAACAGGTTCTGGCCCCAAACAGCATAGGGAATAATGTACAACAATGCGAGTATCGCCGCATCCAGGATATGGCCAGCGCCAGCAATAATCACCGCATGGAACGTATCACGCATCAACGAGCTCAAATTAATGAGACGCAAGGCACGGAACGCCTTGATAGCTCGAGTAAAATGCGATACACCACCTGGGACGACCAGCTCACTAATCACATTGATCAGCAAAAAGATCAGCACAAACATATCGAGCAAGTTCCACATGTTGAGTAGATACGCATTGGGCGTGAAGATGAACCCATCCGCAATGGTCTTCACAAAGAACTCGGCCACGAAAATCGCCGACAAACTGATCTCAACAATCGCAAACCACGAATAGTAGATCACCTTGTGCTCTGCGTAGAAATTTTTGCGGTACGCTGGTGTCGCAATCCCAGCCATGACCACCGAGGCCACAATCGCACCGAGGACCACGGTTTGGAAAATGTAGTGTCGGAACTTGGACATCGGTCGGCCAAACACTCGCTCGCCATGTGGACAGCGCGTCATACTCTGGCAGAAACGCCGGATCGGATTGCGGTTGGAGAAGAGGAACCATGAACGATCGTACGAAGGGTGTTCCGCCATCATCTGCGCCAAGCGAATACGTGGGTCTTTGCTGGCATGATTCATGTAGTAGTCCAAAAACTCGTTCTCATCGTCTTTGTTGCTCAAACCCAAATCCACTCGCATCGTACGCACATTGCTTTCCAGCAGGTTGGTCCCCTCACGCTCGTTGATAAGCTCCTCAATATCGTTCATCGTACTGGTTTTCTTCGACTGGCTCAAGGCATGCGTTTGCAAGGCCGCCAACTCCGCATGTTCTTGCGGCTTGTCTAGACGTAGCACACGCTGCAGCGTGCCGAACACTAGGCCAGCCTGGTCTGGTGTGACAAGCTGCATAAACATGCTGCGCAACGGCTTCTCTTCACCCATCGGTAGATTACTTGTATCGACATACCGCATCGTATCCGTCGTCGAAGGGCCTTCCAGGCGATGTGGCATGGTCCCTTGCTCATGCGGCACACGGAACGGGCTGAATCGTTGCATAAGTCGCGTTAGGAGCGAAGGCGTTGGCACTTCCGTACGCCGCAGGTAATTTTCCATTTGCCGCTTGTATTTATCACCTTCAGCCACGCGAAAGTTTTCATTGATCACCGCAATAAACATTTGCAAGAGGATAAAGTTGGCAAATATGAACCATCCCACCAAAAAGATAGCCGAAATAACACCTTGGTGCCAGTCCTTCTCGCCGCTCACCACATTGAACAGGGTCGAGCTCCAGTTCTCGGATGAGAAGATTTGGTAGACCCCCAAAAAGCCGTTAAAGAGCTGTTTCCAGGTAAACTCAGCATCGTTGCCATCCGGGTCTTGCGGGGGCACATCGCCTCGGAATAGTTGAATGGTGACCAAGGCCGCTAGGAAAATCGTCATAATGAGGAACGCAATCATGTTGAACAACGCCGACATGGAACCGACCACACGAAGCAGCAAACTCTTCATACGTGGAATCGCTGCAATGACACGGTAAAACCGAAGGAGTTGGAAAAATGTGAGCCATGGGTACCATGCCGAGTTCCTCACCACAGGGATCTGTATGATGGTCGTGATAATGGCAATCACCATGTCGAGCACATTGCGCTTGTGCCGGAAAAAGGTGCCTGGTCCATCATCCAGCCAATCAAAACCCCAACGGATAATGATCTCCAAATCAAAGGGAATGACCAAGAACCGCTCGATTCGTTGACGCCATGCGCGCTGCTCTGGGAACTCATACGACGCCTGGCTACCCTGCACAGCGACACTGACAATGATCAGCGCCAGCCAGATGTACTGGGTATACCGCCGTGTACGGCGGTACCACTCCACCACGCGTCGTCGGCGTCGCCGCTTGCGCAGCGGTTCAGGCTGCTCATTCGTTCGCTCTCGCATCACTTCAGCGGCAAACGCACTACGTGCTGTTTGTGCACTCAGCGACGCAAACGAGTGCGAGATCACAGCGACGAACAAGTTGGCAAGCCAAAGGTTCAGAATTATAATGCCAAAAATGAAGAACATAATCACAGTATAGTAATCGGCGTCAATCATGTCATACATTGTGTTGGACCAGCCATTGAGAGAGATTACCACGGACACCTGCAGCAACGAATGGAACACGTCGTCAAAGCTCTTCACATCGTTAAACGGATTCATCGGTTGCTCCATACACAGCTGCCCGTACGGGCAAATGTAGCCTTTTGCATCGTGGTGTGGCTGCAAAGACCCCTGAAAGCCAATGTATCCGATTGTATTATTTTGATTGTTTGGGTCGACACTGCCACCACACAATTGGGAGAGGGTGAAGTTCTGTTGTGGCTCGTTGTTCAGGTCGCCAATCCACACACACTGACGAAGGTAGGATCCTTTGAAACTTTGGATACCAATGACAGCAAAGAGAAGCATCGCAAAGACAATAAAGAAGAACACACGCAGCAGCAAGGGTGAGACACGCTTCAGCGAGCGTAAAATGGTCTCTGTACCTTCCCATAATCCCAGCAAACGCGAGCAGCGTAGTACACTCAGTCCACGGAAAATGTATATATGGTGCAATGGCGTTCGATCCACACCCGATATTTGGAGGCCCAGTGCAATCCAGTAGCACAGAATCGCCAGTGTATCCACACGATTCCAACTATGGCGCAAATAGGCACGTTTCGCCATTTGCCGCGGGTCACCTGTAATCGTTCGCGACAGATGCAAAGCCACAGCAATACACTCATAGTAAATCCACTGGATCCAATGCGCATTCTCTCTGTTGGTGCCCCACCATGGCTCGATCAGCTCAAAGTCTTCAGGTCGGGCCTGGCCAACGCCTTGCGTCGGCTGGAACTTCGCTAGTTTGATTTGCGCATACTCCTTTGCCTCTTTGCTGTATGGACGAAAGAAACGGTAGATAGCGCCACACAGCGCATCATACATCTCCCAAAGTCGTAAGGCGGTGTTGGACTGTTCATGCGTGAACGGCCGTTCGCCTGCTTTCACAGACGCTATGTCGTATGGCGGCGGGTTGATAAGGAGGCCCGAGACGATCACACGTGCCATCATTTCCATGGTATAGAGCACGAAGATGACCAGCAGCAAAATTTCGTCTGCTTCTGACATCGCCCTATGCGACCGGGGATGGTAGTTTACATCGCGGCTGGCCATGACTGTCACCACAACCAAATGCATGATAATAATGGCGAGAATCGTTGGCTCAATCCACCATGAAGAAAGTAGTCTGGCCAAGTACATGCGGACGGGATGGTCAGGGCCAAAATAACATAACGTTTTCCCCCGCAAAGAAGCATACACTGGCATTCGCTCATTTACACCAACTGCCTCTGCACCATTCTCACGCATGGGGAGCCATATTTGGTCAGGAAAGCGCGCACGACGTGCATTCCTACGCCGCACAGCCCGCTCAAACATTTCTCGAGTGGCTCGTTTGATCTGAGAGAATGCTTCTTTGAGCGATGGCATGGACTCTTTCTCTTCTGCCAAATTTTCTTCGTCTGGAGGCGGTACTTCTTCTCCCTGAGGTCGATCGTCCACCTCATTCATAGGCAGGTACTGTCGCCACAGACTGCCTGGTTCATTAGCATGGCGGCGGTCATCGGCCTCGAGCCTTTGTGGCGTGATGTGAAATGTATCAAAGACATCATCCATGCTAGCCTCTGTTGATTTTGTCTCATCGAGCAAGGAAGAGCGTGTCGAAGCCCAATCAAGGGCCGGCGCAGCGCTCGAATACTCGCCTTCCTCTTCCACATCTTGCCTGGACCATAGCGGTGGCTCCACGGCTGATAGACTGGAAGAGCGGCCAGTTTGTTCGCTTGGCGTCATGTATGTATCCCATATATTCCATGGGTCTGTTGTATCAGGATCCACACTACGACGTAGACGTGGTGTAGATATGGGGGTCTGCAACCGAGGCGGTGGGGTAACAGGTCGGTCTGCCGAGGTGGGGACATGCAAGTGGCTATCCCTTTGGGATGGCGACACATTTGAATCTGTCATAACCCCCAAGTGCTAAGACCGATGCTTCACCAACCCCTAGCAATGTGGCTATTTTTTTCACCCGTCCTGGATCGACACTGCCAGACGCAGAGCCTACGACGAGTGGTGCTTGATGCAGTGCACAACACGCAGCGCTGACAAATGCGTGTGGAGGCGCGCGACGCGGTCGGTGTCTTATACTAGTATACTATTCTACAAGGGGAGTGAGGCTGGCCGTTGTCTACGCTGCGAGCGAGCCTAGCACATAGTCATCTTTCTCTGCTGCTCGGTATTCTGTCGTTAGTACATCATAGTACATACCGGCCATTAGCTCTGCCACAGTTTCGCGAGCCTCATCAAATTCCGAGAGGTCGCTAGAGAACATGGCTTCACGTTTGTACATATCCAAGAAGGCGTTGCGTTTCCGAAGACGGTCATACTGATCGGCCGTTCGCTTGAACATGCTCGCAATACCGGTATGGTTGGCAAGCATCAAGCCACTCACGCGGTGCGAGCTTGCAACGTACGGGCTGCGACGCGATAGCGCCACTTGAATACTTGCAGGGCCCCATGGCACAAAACTCGCTAAGTGACGTTCGCGAATACGCAGCAAACTCTTGTGCACATCACGTGGATCTACCTCGCCTTGGATAATGTTCAGCACAGACATGTAACAGCTCGTCTTGCTAGCCCCCGTCAGGCTTACCATGCGGTTCTTAGGTTGCAACAATCGACGCATCACATCTAGAACAGTAGTTTTCATGGTAGCCTTACCACGATCTACGTTGTCCGATGTAAACGGCGTATAGGACGTCATCAAAAAGTGTGCGCGTGGCGAGGGGATTAAAGAAGCAAGAATACCACACAAGTCGTTGTTCATATAGCCGGGATACCGCAACGTCGTCGTAGAAGCACCCATCACTGTGCTCACCAGCTGATTCGTCTGGTTATAACTTGGATTTTGAAGGTGTAAACGGTCACTCGCAATGCGGCTCAGTGCTGCATTGTCCAGCACCACTACACTATCCGCGTTGCTCACCAGACGCTTAAGAGTGAGTACGGAATTATATGGCTGCACCACCACATCGGATGTCTCCTCTGAGTTGGGAAACACGCTGTATGTTTGAATCAACTTCTTCGGGAAAGCATCATTCAGCCGTTCCAACAGGAAGGAGCCAAGACCAGAGCCCGTACCACCTGCAATCGAATGCAGCAAAAAAAAACCCTGCATAGTGAGCAAAATTCAACATACTTCTAGACTCTCGCTTCCATCAGCTTCACGATCCACCATCTCAATCAGCTCATCGGCTGCCTTCTCGCCGGCTGCATAGCCCTGGGCCCAGTTGTTACCAGCACCCCCACCCGATTCGTTTCTGTATACGTTTTCCGGATTGTACAAGCTTTTGTAGGGCCCTGTCATAATATTGTTGATTACCTACATGTAAGTGTACCGCCAACATACCCTTGGCTCTAAATCCACCAGAATAGCACGCGGAATATAGTGCTCATCATCCGCTTGATAGAAGAACACGTCTTTCCTATCGCCGCCTTGTCCTTCTGTCGCAAAATCCTCTAGGGTACCATCTTGCGCAATTCCATGCTCACGACAAAGATGCTCCCAGAATTGGGATCCAATTTGGTTGCCACACTGGCCAGCTTGCAAAGTGATCAGCTCACGCGGCATGGTCCCAAAGCCCGGTGAGCAATGCCGTCAGTGCTTAGTGATGCGTCGCGTCGAGGCAGGCGCCCTCCCTACGCGCTCTGGATAAGTCACGTGGTTTGCCATGTGCCAGGTCGAACAGAAAAAAGCGACTCCGGGCCCGCCGAAGACGTCTGCTTTTTTTTGTGCGGCTCATTTTTTGGAGCGTGCATACTTGAGCCTACAACCCACTTACAGTACTATGGCATTTGGTGCTCGCGGAGGTCGTGGTGGTCCGCCAGGTCGTGGACGTGGTGGTCCTCCTGGACGTGGCGGCATGCGCGGTGGTGGCCGTGGTGGCATGCGCGGCGGAGGTCGTGGCGGCGGTCGCGGTGGTGCTGGCCGTGGCGGTCGTGGCGGTGCTCGTGGCGGTCGCGGTGGTGGCCGTGGTGGCCGTGCCGGCCCCAAGGGCGGCTCCAACGTCATCGTTAAGCCCCATCGTCATGAGGGTGTGTTTGTCGCTGAGGGAAAGGAACACCTTTTGGTGACCAAGAACCTGGTTCCTGGTGAATCTGTGTACGGTGAGAAGCGCATTACTGTTGAAACCCCTAGCACCTCGGGCGACGAAGAAGCTGCTACCACTGTCAAGACGGAATACCGTGTGTGGAACCCTTTCCGTTCGAAGCTGGCTGCTGGTATTCTCGGTGGTCTTGACAACATTCACATCAAGCCTGGTGCGAAGGTGCTCTACCTGGGTGCTGCTAGCGGTACCAGTGTGAGTCACGTTGCTGATGTTGTCGGCCCTGAGGGTATTGTATACGCCGTGGAATTCTCCCACCGATCCGGTCGTGACTTGATTAACATGGCGAAGAAGCGCACGAATGTAATTCCTATTATCGAGGACGCTCGTCACCCAGCAAAGTACCGTATGCTTGTTGGTGCTGTCGATGTCGTTTTCGCAGATGTCGCGCAGCCTGACCAGGCTCGTATTGTTGCCTACAACTCGGAGTACTTCTTGAAGAATGGCGGGCATGCCGTGATTTCGATCAAGGCTAGCTGCATTGACTCCACCGCTCAGCCGGAGGCTGTGTTTGCCGAGGAGGTTAACAAGCTCAAGAAGGCCTCTTTCCGCCCTCGTGAACAGCTTACATTGGAGCCTTACGAGCGAGACCACGCTATGCTGGTTGCTCAATACCAGAGGGTATGTATATAACATTTTTTTACAAACTAACCTATCAGCACAAGTAAATCAATAGAATGCCACCATGTATCTTGAATATTTGAGTCCTATAACTGGAACTTCTTTTGAACTATCGTAGTTTGCTCACCGAAAAGAAAAAGATAAATGGAGTAAAATATGGCTTAGTAGCCAAAAAAAACGACCCATACTGGAATCGAACCAGTGACCTTAGAGTTTTGTGGTCGTACACCGACCAGTTTAACAGCTCCACGTGCTAACCACTGTACCAATGGGTCAACTCGTTGGTACCCTGCTGCTGAGGGGAGACTTTATCGCATGGAATTGATAATGCTCCCTTTCGCATTCGCGTCTTTTCATAAGAGCTGCGCCAACATTCCTACAGTCGTTTCATATAACTTACATTCTCGTGTTAAAATGATGAATTTCTATTGGAGACCACTTCCATATACAAAAAGGCTGTCCGATCAGGGGAGACTATTTGCCATCCGGAAGGCTGCAACACTTTTAAATTGAAATCGTCTAGTTGGTCATAAAATCGCTTCATACACTGCCTGTTAGGATGTATTTGCAACATACTCGCTTGTAGTGTGTACCAAAAAGGAGAGGCCATATTTGAAATGTCATACTTGTCAAAACATTATCAAAGAGGCCATAATAAAGGTTATACGCGTCATCCAATGTTGCATTCAGTTCATCCATATAAGTAGTAAATGTTTGGGAATCAACCTGATGTCAGTTATACATATACATCACGTACAAAGGGCGAAAGATTGTCAGGTATTGTGCGTTGAAATTGGCATCGCTCCAGCCCGCTATAGATTCTCTCAATACTGCGCGTTAATAGAAAAAAAAATAAAGACAATATTTACCGTATAGATGAAGTAATGGGGGTATCTTCAGAGTAGAATGACATCTCAACACCACTCACCTCCTCACTTTTGGAGCGCACAGGTGTCAATGTAATGTTACTAGTATCGAACTCTTGCACATCTGTATAGAAAGGTTGTACACTCCTCGAAAATGTGCTCGATGGTCGGCCATATGCTTCTGAGTAACAATCTTCTTGGGCAGACATGCCCTGTATACAGCCTTTCGCCGTATTTGCGTTATTGTAATCTGTTTGCTCCGCACGAACCACCGCAACATCGCGCCGTTACGGTTTACTAAACCTACAATACTTCTCCATCCACACTTTCGAGGCGCCCTGTGCACAGTATGTCAGAGGCCGGGGAGTCGCCGCCACATACTAGCCCTAAAGAGCTTGGGGGGGATGTGAAACGCGTTTTGGAAAGCAACAATATGGAAAATACTGCCAAAGAATCCCCCATCGTTCTTGGTGTGGTGGTAGTCGACTTTGTACGTATTGCCGTTTCATGACATGCGCTAACTACAGAACCACTTGGTGGGCCCTCAAATTGAATACTCATACCCTTCAGAGCTGAAAGAGAATGCTGAACTTGGGTCTGTCTTGCCATTTCTTGCCCTACCTGACGGAAGCCATATGGTAGGTTCTCTAATGAAACTCACGCTCTAGTCGGGCGAGGATTACTGTTATTTTCATTTGCTATGCAAGTCCCTTCATCCATCCACTATTTTTGGTATCTCTTGCAATCGACAGATTATGTCTAATGAATTAATTAACAAGGGGTCGGACGTGACACGCAGCATGGTGCAAAAGGCTGTAGTCATCCTTGCAAGTAAGCCGATTTTTGGGCCAACACGAACCAAGCTTGGTATGGTAACGCATGCCTTTTTTGCTCAGCGTGACTTGCAAAATATTACTCTCATTAAGGACTTTTATAACACCCTTGAAGATGGGCTTGAGCACTCGCCAGAGCATGATACGATATCACCCCAAGTGGACGGGCATAACACATTGTATATGGGCACATCCATTCGAGAATTCATTTTTAAGTGGCGCTTCAAGGTCCTTGTTCTTTTAAAGCTGTTATTGCTTCAACGAAAGGTTTGTATAACATGCATTAACGCCAGATCATGTTTTTCGGTTACCCTGTGGAGCAGCTTTGCACATCACAGTACAATTTGGTGTCGCTTATACCAGCTCTTTTATCTAATTTAGAGGACTCTGCGTCGCCTGAGCTCGACAGTCATTCACGAGGTCGTTCGAAGGCAGAGTCCTTGCGTATGTCTGACCGTCAAAGTGTGCTTGCATTTATGGGCTTACCTCTTCCTCTCTTCGGTGAAGGCGCATTCTTCCAGCCGTATTGCCCTTTGCAGCAAATGGATCTTTTGCAGTCGCAAAGCTGGCTGATTGGCACTACCAATCTCATGTTCAAGCAACAGCGAATGTATAAGCCTGATGTGATTGTGGATGTACGTCGTTGATATCGCTCACCACAGTTGGAAACAATGCAACTGCAGTTCCTGGACCCTAATGTTGGCAGCTTAGTGTCACTTACACCTGCGGATCGGAAGTGGATGGACGGATTAGTCAATATCATCCAGGAAACGTGGAATAGTGCGGATCCGGCTCACCCTGCAATGATGCAGTACGCTGGCAGTGATGATTACTTGCGAGCTCGATTTGAAGAGTATGTGTTTGGCGTACTTTCGTCAGCCAAGTTTTTGGGGACTCATGCCACTACGGATGATGCCTCGCCCACTACTGCTTTTGGCTCTGACTTTTTGTCAGCCTTCCGCCAAACAAGTGTCTTTGGCACTTGGAACTCGTATACGGATGATACATTATGTGATCTTATCCCTTATCAGCATCCATTTACAGGCAAGACATCAACTGTGTCTGATGTTGCCCTTCGTCTACAAGCTGGCTTGCATGACCTTCGTCTCGAAGAAAACCTTGGGCCTACTCGTGAAGCCATTGGGGCAGCCCTGCAAGCTGGAAGTGCAAGTTTATCTAAAGTGGCCAGCAATTGGCGTCAGGATATTACGCGCTTTGCCGCTTCCAATGGCTGGCAGACACCACTGTCTGTCTGGTCGGAAAAAGACACTACGAGTCCATCCAATGCAAACCCTGAGGTGACGGACAAGAGAGAAGATGCAGCATCCTCTTCCAGTACGCCAACCAAACGCACAGAACCTATCTTATCGTCCTTACAAGCTACAGGGATGCAAGGGGCTGCAGCACTGAGTACATTTGGCTCCTTCCTGTCTGCCAAGCAAAAGTCGTGGTACAACGCACTAAACAAGCAGACGGATACTGAACCAAAACCTCCATAGGACCGTGACATACATAAATGTATACCCATATTAAATTTCATTTTATGTCGTTATTATGAATGTGCTTAGCGCTTCGCTTGCGATTCAGCTTCTGTCAAGGTTAGAGAAATGGGGCTACACACCTCGACGTGTTGCGTCTTCAAGGAGTTGGGTATCAACCGCAGCGGCAGGAATATGGACGCAACGGACCACGGAACCACGGATAAAGGTTGACTTGACAGCCATCTGGAGCATAAGTGATATTCATTGCAAAAGCGTACCATGTGTGGGTAGCGAGCTTCATCGAGCACCTTGATGTCATCCAATTTGAAGTTCAAGAACTGATCCACACTCTTCAGCGTACCCTGGATAGCCAAGTCATTTTTCAACTCGATTGTCACAGTTTGCCCGGTCAGGGTCTTGAATGCAGAGAACATCAACTATACAGTCAGTAACACGATCATACATACCATGGCGATGGAAGATGCTTAAGTGGAGACGAGACAAGCGAAAGCATAGTTGGGCCGTGAACGCTTGTCGCTGAGTAAAAAAAAGCCACCAGCGTTTCCTCTTTCCCATAACGATGGACGCCGTGACGAAAGGCCTTGAGAAGACCTCACTTGCTCCGGAGAGCACCGCGCAAGAATCCCAGGGCCAGAGGGTGACGCCTTGGGACGTGGAAGGCGGCTACGTTGACGGAAAACAAGTTTCCATCGACTATGAGAAGCTCATTAAGGATTTTGGTACTCGCCGTATTGATGATGCGCTGCTGGAGCGATTCGAGCGCGTGACAGGCCGTCGTCCTCACCCCCTGCTGCGTCGCGGAAGCTTTTTTAGTCACAGGTATGTTTAAGAATGGCTTATAAATAGGGAACTCGATGTCATTTTGACTCGTTATGAACAACAGAAGCCGTTCTATCTGTACACGGGTCGTGGCCCAAGCTCAGCTTCGATGCACTTGGGCCACTTGATTCCGTTCCTTTTCACACAGTGGCTTCAGGATGTGTTTGATGTTCCGCTTGTGGTCCAACTGACTGATGACGAGAAGTTTTTGTTTAAGAACGAGCTGAAGATTGATCAAGTGCAGAAGTTTGCCTTTGAAAACGCCAGAGATATCATTGCATGTGGATTCAAGCTCGACAAGACGTTTATTTTCTCGGACTTGGATTATGTGGGTGGTGCTTTCTATCAGAACATTATCCGTATCTCGCGTCTGATCACTGTCAATCAATCGAAGGGCACGTTTGGCTTTAACGACAGTGATAGCATCGGCAAGTTGCACTTTGTCTCCATCCAGGCCGCGCCTTCGTTTAGCAACTCATTCCCTCAAATCTTTGGCACGCGCTCTGATATTCCCTGCCTAATTCCATGTGCCATTGACCAGGACCCGTATTTCCGCCAGACGCGTGATGTGGCTGTTCGTTTGAAGTACCCCAAGCCCAGCTTGATTCATTCCAAGTTCTTCCCTGCACTTCAGGGTGCCCAAACGAAGATGAGCGCCTCGAAAGAAACGTCGGGTATTTTCATGTCCGACACACCTAACCAAATTAAGAACAAAATTAACAAGTACGCATTCTCGGGTGGTCAGGAGACGCTGGAGGAGCAGCGCCGTCTGGGTGGCAACCCTGATGTCGATGTGAGTTTCCAGTACCTCACATTCTTCGTTGATGATGACGATGAGATCAAGCAGATTGCGGAGGACTACCGTGCTGGCCGCTTGCTGACCGGTGAACTGAAGAAGCGCTGCATTCAGGAGCTGCAGCGTGTTGTCGGCGATTTCCAAGCTGTATGTATATGCTATAAGTATTTTTCTAACGATAACAGCGTAAGGCACAGGTGTCAGACGATCTCGTGCGCCAGTTCATGGACTCTTCGCGCAAGATTGACCCTACCCCACCCGTCCCTCGTGGCCAAGTGAGCCCACCGTCCGCGGAGGCGTCCATGTAGACGATTGCCATCCGTGCACAGATCACGTGATAGAATTTCATCGTCGGTATTTCGGTCGAGGTATCTCTTGCTACCGAGGGTGCTAGGTAGACGACAGCGTAGGGCCTGTGGTATCTTACGGGTGTGTGTCGCTTTACTTGTATCTCTGTTGTCGCTCTCTCTCTCCTCTCTTTAGTGAGAAGGTTTACTGTATATTCTCTGTACTATGGCGGGCATGAGTGTAGCTCGTGTATACGCCAACGCCAACGAGACGCGTGGGCGAGAATGGTGGGACTATGACAACCTGGCGTTGCAGTGGGGCACGCAAGACAACTATGAGATCTTGCAAAAGGTTGGCCGTGGTAAATACTCGGAAGTGTTCGAGGGCGTAAACGTGTCCACGCCGTCGTACGACAAGTGTATTATCAAAGTGCTAAAGCCTGTGAAGAAAAAGAAGATCAAGCGTGAGATTAAGATCCTGCAGAACCTTATGGGTGGCCCGAATGTTGTACAGCTGATTGATGTGGTGCGTGACCCGCAATCGAAAACACCCTCTATTGTCACGGAATATGTGAACAATACCGACTTCAAAGTTCTGTATCCCACACTGACTGACCATGACGTGCGATACTATATCTTTGAGCTGCTCAAGGCCTTGGACTTTTGCCACTCGCGCGGTATTATGCACCGTGATGTCAAGCCACACAACGTAATGATTGATCACGAGAAGCGTCAGCTTCGGCTGATTGACTGGGGTCTGGCTGAATTTTACCACCCATATACCGAGTACAACGTACGTGTGGCTTCAAGGTATTTCAAGGGCCCCGAGCTGCTAGTCGACTTCCAGGAGTACGATTATTCGCTTGATATGTGGAGTCTTGGCTGTATGTTTGCCTCCATGATCTTCCGCAAGGAACCTTTCTTCCATGGCCACGATAACTACGATCAACTTGTGAAGATTTGCAAGGTGCTTGGTACAGACGAGCTCTTTGTGTATCTTGATAAGTATAAAATCGAGCTGGACTCGCACTACGATGTCATCCTTGGTCGTTACCCGCGTAAGCCCTGGTCGCGCTTTGTCAACCCTGACAACCAACGCTATATTTCTGACGAGGCAATCGATTTCCTTGATAAGCTTCTTCGTTACGACCACCAGGATCGATTAACGGCACAGGAGGCTCAGGCACACCCCTACTTTGACCCTGTGCGTCCTGATAGCAGCGTGACAAAATCGTAATCTATATATTCATATTTCTATTTCTATTTATATGTAGTAGTCACCTTGTCGGAACGATTCTTCTACCCAATTTTCTTACGTGGAAGACCGTTGCCTATGTTCTAAGTACGCGAGCGATGGTAGTGCGACATACGTTGACCCATCTACCACGGGCACCACGGCAGGCCAGCCTGCGAGTGGCGGCGCTGCATTCCATAGCACAAGGTCGTGCGCGTCGCGCAAAAAAAGAGCCTTGGTCTCCTCAGGGAGCGCATCAAATACAGCACCTTGCTTGTACGCAGCAAAAATGGCTGCTGCCGTTGTCATAGTAGCATCAGGTCTCGGGATGGTTCCTGGGAGCATTCCAGCCAAGCGCGCAGCGTCACGGAAATGCATAATAAGCGATTCAGGCATGCCTCCCATCTCCATGGCCAAAACACGCAAGTCGGCTGGGCCCACATTGGGATTCGCCTGCAATGCGCGTTGTAGGCGTTGGTATGCAGCGGGGCTCAAGCTCTTAGCGATCTGTGTGGCCAGGGCATGGAACGTAGCATAAGCGCGAATCTTATCGAGCTCGGAAAGAACAGGAGGCTGCCAAGCGGGCGTTGGCGCCTGTGCCTGGGCGGAGTACGTAGCAGGTGCCTCGGAATGTGGGGGAGGCGCCTCTTCCTCAAACAATGTTGGCCAGTCATGCTCCGCTACCAAGTTCACATACTCCTCACGCAACGAGCCACCTGGTACAGTTTGGCCCTGCGCAAGGAGCGATGGCGCACGCTCAGGTGATGCGGATATCGTCGAAAAGGCGTCCATAGGCCTGGGGTAAGTGATAAAAGGGTACATACGTAGTGATCTCGCGTACCGCGGCAGGCACACAACTTGCCCAACTTCGAATTGAATGAAATTCCTTGGTATCAATATCGTATTTTTGTTCCACCATATACACAGGGGTAGTGGGATGCCAATATCCCGACGAAGGACGGCCACGGAGGTACGTCGTATGGAACAAAACAAGCACATCTTCCAGAATATCTTCTAACGCATGCTCCGAATAAACGCCTGTCTGTACAACTTCCCTTTCTGCAAATTGTTTTGAGGAGGGGTGGCTAGTTTGCTCAGGTCGGTAGTACCAACACGCTGTAAAAAAGATGCCTGGCACTTGCATGCGCTTGTACACACGAAATAGTTGGCCGACAATAGGCCGGCTGGGATCTACAGGGTTCATAATGTGGACCCAGTCGCCCACACGGTATTCTTTGCCTTTCCACACGGCGACATCCAACGGGAGGACCTTGGTATGAAGTGCCGAGGCCGGAGGCTCGTTCCCTGGACCATAGGGTGACGATGCAAAATGCTGCTGAGCCACTGCCTTGTTACGTTGCATTGTGACCAAATCCACATCGTTAGCACGTCCTTTCATGTGGCGTGTTCCAGCGCCGTCTACCAGCCGACCACGACTTGGCGTAAGCTCGTTGTACAGACGTAAGAGTGTCGCCATTTCACCATACCCTTCCGTTCCTATGCCGTACCATTCGCGTGCGTTGCTAAACAATTGCAGCATATCTTGCTCAAAGAGCGCTGGCACTGCATATTCGCAATGCACTATGCGGTGAGTAATGGCCTGTAAAGATGTGGGGCACGCAATTTGTTCGTAGTACTCAGCATTGTCTGCAGGGTCTGGACACTCTTCTAAGGGGTCGCTGAGAACACGAAGCCCCTCGTCTGTGTCATGGGTATCAGGGTGCACAGCCCGTACTTCGACATCACGAATGTAATGCAAGATATGCGCATACATCCTATGCATATGCTCGATGTCTTTCGCACGGCAAAAAACCCATCCATCCTCCGGGTTATCGCTCGCCTCTCCTGTGCGAAAGGGAGAGAGCTGCTCGCGTGTGTGCCCACTTCCAATGCACGAGCCTAACCAAGCAGGCACCTCGGACATGACGATGAGAACGAAGCGTCCTCGGCGCGTGGGTCCCACCCGACACGGTGCCACGCGTCTGCGCGTGTGCCCCGATTGCCCGATTTTCATGTAAGATATCATCCACTGGAAAAAAAGGGGGCGACACATCTACCTCTGTGATGCCCGGCAGTGGCCCCGACTATGCCGTGGGCGCAGCCCTGACGCTGCTGGTAGATGTGCTGTGGACAAGCTCAAACTATCTGGCTAATACTGTCCTGTATGTATGCGCATAACCTCACATGTAGCACGCATGGCTACGATAAGCCGTTTGCTGTGACATATTTGAGCACGGCGTCTTTTATTACGTACCTTATCCCTTTTGCCTTCATGCATATCACACGGGGAGGAAGGGTCGATCACTTCAGGCACCCTCAGCACTGGTGGGAGCATCTGGGCTTCCATCTTCCTCCGCTTCGGCCCGTGCCTGTCGACCTCCCCAGGGCATCTCGACATCGCGATAGTGGTCTGCAGCGCCCCTCCATGCCTGCACGGCCTTCTTCTATCGATGGACGGAGACGAAAAACAGACTTGGCTATCTTGGTTGATGCACCAGAGTCCTCACACCGCTCGTTGGACGACGTTATTGCGCGTGGACGCAGCCGCGACTCGTCTTCGCATCGCGGGGAAGAACAGCACTTGTGTGCGAGCTCCGTCCACAGCCGCTCCATGTATGGTTCTGACTCGGAAAGTGAAGGATATGATGTATCTAATGTGGAAATTGTATCTGCGTCGGAACTTCCGCCGCTCTCTATCATCGAAACAGCTATTCTCTCCATGGAATTCGCCATCATTTGGTTTGTGGCCAACTGGACGTTTGTGGCAGCTCTTGCGTATACCAGTGTAGCTAGTGGAACAACACTAGGCAGCACGAGTGGCTTCTTTACGCTCATTCTTGGCAGCATGTTTGGCGTCGAAGCATTCTCGATGGGCAAACTTATCTCTGTCTTTACTAGCTTTACGGGCGTGGCGTTGGTCGCATGGGCCGATCACGATGCACCACACTCTAAAATGGCCCTTTCCAACCCTATCCTGGGCGATTTCCTAGCGCTGGTTTCCGCCATGTGCTATGCTGGGTACGTGACGCTGCTGAAGGTACGCATCGGATCTGAGGATCGCATTTCCATGCCACTGTTTCTCGGGTTCGTGGGCGCGTTCAATCTCCTTGCATTTTGGCCCATCGGTCTCCTCTTGCACTGGCTTGGTATAGAGCTTCTATCGCTTCCACAGGACCGTTTAATGTGGTCCGGCGTGCTTGTGAATATGGCCATCACCGTGGTATCGTACGTATAACTTTCACTCACCGCCTAGCGACTTTGCCTACCTGCTTGCCATGCTCAAGTCATCACCGCTGTTTACTACCATTGGCTTATCTCTTACCATCCCCATGGCCGTCTTTGGCGATGCTGCCATGGATCCCACCTCCCTGACAATCCAAAGCGCGGCTGGCAGTATCTTGGTTTTGGTATGTACACATTGTGACTAACAGACGTAGCTAAGTTTTGCGGGCATTGCATGGGAAGAAAACAGGTCTAGCCCCGAGCAAGAATACGATGCTTTTGTGTAACGACCTTTGATTTGGGTATATACATTGTAGTTGTAACATGATTTAAGCTGTACAGGTAGAGTAGCACGTTCGCGCATACTCTTGTTGATGAATCAGACGGACGTATTCAAGCAGGAAACACGCTTGCTCTGCCGTCTCAATAGCACGGAGGCTACGGCGCATGCGAATGAGCTTGATCAAGGATATGACCACACGCAGGTCATCCGAGGCTTTGGCGGAGGGAAGCGGACCTTCCTTTCCCGCCTCATTGTCCTCAGGCGCGACAAAGTTCATTTTTAGTATCCACGCACAGGCAATCAAGCCTGCGCGACCCACACCACCGCGGCAATGCACTAGGATGGAGGCGCCACGGAGTGTGTAATTTAGGATAAGCACGGACAATATAGCGTCCAAACGCGATAAATCTAGCGGGGCAAAACCTTCCGCAATAGGCAGCCGCACCAAATCAAAGCCCTGTGATTCCACTTGTTTTTTGTACTCTTCAAAGGGGGAGCCAAGCAATTGGAGTTCTTCATCGTCCAAGCAGCACACAATCACATGGATGCCCAAATCTTTGTATCGCTGCAAATCGACCTTCAAGTCGCGGCATATAGCACTGCGTCCTTGCACATGTCCGTCCAGTCGCACCTTTTTGCCAGGGCACGAAGACAAATACATATTTCCAATAGTCGGCTGGTTTATCTCGTCCATGGGCCAAGTCTGTATGCCCTGATCCTGCAGGATCTTTTCGAGTGATAAGCTCATAGGTACACGAATAAGCTGGTCACCACGCACTTGCTGTTGAAGATGGTCTTTTGTGTTTTTAAGTGAGATTGAGATATGCTCTGGCAACGCGGCACGTCCAATTGCCTGATGCCATGATACGATGGCAGCGTCGGTAGTAGACAGTTGCTCTACCATTTGTTTGTAATGCGACGGAATATGGGAGAACACATGGTGTGATATCATAGGAATCAATTCAGGAGGTACAATAGCGCTTACACTAACCGTTAGCAGAGCCCATACGTACTTGATAGGATGAGATATGCTTGTTTTTACAATGAAAGAGGGCTCGGTGGACGGATGGCCGTGCTCTAGAGCAGTGGTCGCCTCTTCCGTAGCCACAGGTACAGGTTTCACAGAGGAGTCGTCACATGACAACTTTACAGGATGCTTTTTTGACACAGGTATGTCTTTGTGGCATGCAGGCAATCGTTCTGTGCGAAGTTCACATAACCATGCAGAGGCTTCATGTCCGTTCTGTTTAAGTAAAATGGACTCCGTAAGCTCTGGCTGCTGCAGCGAGAGAGGAAGATAGGCATATGGTGCGCCATGGTGCCCATACTTAGATATACTGTACTCACTTAAATGGTACTGGCTCGCCAGTGGTGCACAATTGATCAGCTCAATCCAATCTCCGCGTTCAGAACGTAGGACGGATTGGTACACATCGTACGCTAAACGGTCACGTCTGTGAGTAGACATGGAAGAGTCATGGGATTTCTGTAATGCTTCATCGTCAGCAGCACTTGATGAGGATGACCCTGCGTCCGACATAGCGCCGTCGTCCACCGTGTAGAGTTCCTTGTCGTGCGCGTATAGTTGTGGCAAAGCTTCTCCACATGCATGACTGCGCAGCCTCAAGTATTCACGTGGGTTGAGCTCGCTCCATGCGCATCACCTCGCTGCGCTGACTAATGTCATATGGCGTCCGTAGGCTTTCCGCCCATTCCGTCGTGCTTTTATGCAGATGAGCGGGATATCTAGAAATAAAAAGTCGCGCATCTTTTAGCCCTCGCTTCGTGCAAGCGTGCAGTCCTACCTTCAAGCTCAACTTTTTTTTGTGAAAACCTGAAGGCTGAACGTCCCGAATTGGCTGTGATGCTTCCGCAGCTCAATCGTAATAGGGATACAGCCCGATCGTTCATTCGGAAGCCAGGCGTCACATTTGAAGGCGATACAACCATCAATGTGCCTGGCTCCCAGCCTCCGCCGCTGAGGCGGCCTACGATCATGAGGCGGCATCAGTCGTTGTCGCGCCCAGAACGCGCTCACCAAATTACGCCCCTGATCAATCCGGATGGTGAGCCTGACGACCCATTTTCAGAGCATAGAAAACCACCGCTTTGGCGCATGTGGTGGCACTACTTGGCGATCGTGTGCACGTTTTGGGCGCCAGCGCCTATGCTGTCCCTTCTTGGCTTCCACAACCCGGCGGTGCGGCAAGCATGGCGCGAGAAAATCACGCTGGTACTTTTTGCCTGTGTGCTAGGTGCCATTATTGCCTACATCACTGTAGGCTTGCAGCGCACTCTTTGTCCGACGGACGCGCGTGACGTCTTCCAGAACGTGAAAAACGCCAGGGGACTGGTCGGCGTCTTGGGTCAGACTTATGATGCTCAGAGCATTAGTGTTTCAGAAGCACTGACTAGGAAAGTATTTGACACGCCTGGCCTCGACTTGACGCCGTACCTCAATGCTCAAAACCACCATTTTGACCGATGCAACGGCCAAACGGGGCGGTACGCACAATGGCTTGGGTGCATTGATGTGAACAACCGCCCAGCTCCTTGTGAAGGTCTGCTGAGCAATCAGTCACTGCAAAGCAAGCTACATCTACGAGACCACCCGAGGCTACTAGGTTTCGATTGGAAGGATGTAGCTGAGAGCCCTGCTAAGCTCCTCTCCATCGATGGCTATGTACTGAATTTTGAGTCGTACTTGGCCTACAATCCGACCCCTATCCCGAACGACGATGTCGACGAAGCGATTCGTGCCTACTTTAACGAAACTTTTCGTGGTGCCGATGCCACGAAGATTTTTGCGCGTCACCGAGCTTCGAAAAACTCGATTGAATGCCTGAAGCAGCGGTATACGACCGGCCGTGTGAATTACAAGACGTCCGGCTGCTTTGTTGCTGAGCTCATTTTGTACATCTCGCTGATTGTGATTCTAGGTCTGGTGATTGCACGGACTGTCATGGCGATCTGGTACGCTTGGGTAGGCTCCCGACGTTTAGCTAGTCCGCCTCCTGCACCAGGCAAAATGTCGCAGGCCGGTGTGAAGCGTCCCCGGCCGATTTCACATGTACAGATGCCAGTGGATGCATCGGCAGACAATCCGCAAGGCTTGGCACCGTGGGCGGACAAGAAAGTACGGCAATCGCGCCTGATTGTGCCTGGAAAGTCTGGCGAGTTGACGTTAGCGACCCCTGAGCTGCCTGTCGCGATGACCCCAGATGACATTGGGAATGACCCCTATATTGTGTGTCTTGTCACTTGCTACTCGGAAGGCTTGGAAGGTATTTCCGCTACACTGTCGTCGCTCAGTACGACAGAGTATCCAACCAACCGCAAATTGATTTTTGTGGTAGCTGACGGTATGGTGACAGGGTTTGGCGAGACGGTCAGTACGCCAGACATCTGTGTCAGTCTCATGACGCCGGACCAGCGTTTTGGTACGCCGACGCCTATGAGTTACCGTTCTGTGGCGGCTGGCCGCAAGGCGCACAATATGGCGCTGGTGTATGCAGGCCACTACCTCCATCCATCGGGCGGTGCGCCTGTGCCTATGGTGGTGGTTGTCAAGTGTGGCTTGCCGGAAGACGCGAACGAGGCCAAGCCGGGCAACCGAGGCAAGCGTGATTCCCAGATGATCTTGATGAACTTTTTGCAGCGTGTGACGTACAACGATCCAATGACGCCGTTGGACTACGATCTCTTCCGCAAGACGCATGCACTGATGGGCGTCACGCCAGACTATTTCGAGCTGTGTCTTATGGTGGATGCCGATACCAAGCTGCAATCGACCTCGCTACGTTACCTTGCGAACGCAATGCTTAACGACCATCGCATTATGGGCGCATGTGGTGAAACACGTGTACAGAACAAGGCACAGTCGTGGGTCACAGCCATCCAAGTGTTTGAGTATTTCATCTCCCATCACCAGGTGAAAGCCTTTGAGGCTGTCTTTGGTGGTGTGACATGTCTGCCCGGCTGTTTTAGTATGTACCGGATCAAGGCACGCAAGCCAGGTAACGAAGACTGGATTCCTGTGATTGTGAAGCCCGAAGTAACGCGTGAATACAGCCAGGCGGTGGTGACCACATTGCACCAAAAGAACCTGCTGCTGCTGGGTGAAGATCGGTTCTTGAGTACACTAATGCTCCGTACCTTCCCCCATCGCAAAATGGTGTTTGTCCCGCAGGCGATTTGTCATACGGAGGTACCACACACGTTCAAGATGCTGCTTTCTCAACGTCGTCGCTGGATCAACTCTACTGTGCACAATTTGATGGAACTGGTGTTGGTGCGTGACTTGTGTGGCACGTTTTGTTTTTCGATGCAGTTCGTCGTGCTAATGGACTTGATTGGTACCCTGGTTCTCCCTGTGGCGATTGCCCTAACTTACTACCTGATTATCATGTCGATTATCCATCCCCCCCGTGACTTTACGTCTGCCATCCCACTCACGATGTTGGTGGCTGTCCTCTTTGCACCAGGTTTTGTCGTGGCATGCATTCGTTTTAGTTTCCATTACATTGTGTGGCTGATTATCTATTTGATTTTCCTGCCTGTGTGGAACTTCATTCTCCCGGCGTACTCGTTCTGGCACTTTGATGACTTTTCCTGGGGTGAGACTCGTAAGGTGGAAGGCGAAATGAAGCCCACAGCTCATGATATCGGCGAGGAGAGCTACCAAGCTTCGCTCAACATACCAATGCGGCAGTGGGCCGACTGGGAGCGCTCGCGCATTCGCAAATTGGCGCGTGACCAGCGCCGCCGTGAAGAGCTGGAAAGCCGCTTTGGTGCCGGTTTCCACAACGATAGTGATGTGCCTCCGGCAACAGATGCAAACTTGCGTCGCGTTGCTCAGACAGTATACCCCACCTCGCCATCACCGTCGCTCTCGAATGAAGAAGACCGTTGGGGCGACCAGATTGGTGCTTACAACGAAAACGACGCGGTACCTGAACTCTTGCGAGCCAACCGTCCTGTGTCAACAGTGCTGGCTCCCGGCGGTGCTGGTCTTGTTGACGAAGGTGACATGGAAAGCATTCTACGTGAGGGGTGGGACGGTGATGACGACGACGATGACGACGGCGATGGGCACGGCGATGACAAGGATACGCGCCCGGATGTACGTGGGCCTTTCCTGAATGCGCCCAACTATTCAGTCATGTCGCTCCAGGACGAAACCGACCCCCTTTCGGACAGCTTGGAACCACGTACCCCTGTTGACATGGGCACGCTGATCCAGCCGCGAGCGACACTAGCTGGCACAGTCGTCGCAAATCACGGTGCGTCTGCCTCGTCCTCGTCGGCTATTAGTAATGCTCGGGGCACTCATGCCCGCAATCGATCCATGGGCCAGAGGATGGAAAGGCCGTATGAGTAAAGGGCAAAAAAGGAAGGACGGCCTTGGCCTGACTTGAGCCTGCAAATCATATACAATAATGATAGACTACCTATGTACTTTGAAATTTTATGTGTCGTAGGCGATTGAGTGCGCTTCCGATATCCAGGCGCCTAGGCCGCGCGTAAAATCCGTTGGGCCAGCGATCCATCAGAGCGTCGACGCCGTGCGTATCGAGTTCACGTTCCACTTCGTCAAGCAAGGTGCGAAGGGAGACTGTCGTCGATGTCGATGCAGACCACCGACGTGCTAACGCTTCAATCGCTCGAGTTTGGCTGGGATGCACTAACTGAGGAATCGCATGAAGATCCCATACATCCTGGCCCACATGAATCGCATGGCGATGCTTGGTCGAAGATTTGTCCAGAGACAGAGGCATAGAAAATGTGCGTGTAGGGAGCGATGCAAACACAGCTTTCGACGACGAGGGTGCAGGCTCAACGTGCTGTGCTTCGCACAGTGTCTTCGCATGCATGGTCACATCTTTCATCTCATACCGGTCCATCTGCACTACGACATCAGCCACAGGCAAAAACGCGCTAGATGCGCCACTCACAAGAAGGACCGATACGCCTGTTTGTGCAAGAAGTGGACGTATATGCATGACCAGCGGGGTAATAGGCTCTGACGTCACTAAGGCCTGCATGAGTGCATCACGGACAAGGAAATTCGACGCTGTCGTATCCTCATCCAATACGAGCAAATCGGCCCCCAACTCGAGCGCCTCCATTAACGCGGCCGCACAGGACGTACTTCCTGATGCATTGGCAGTGGAAAAAGACTGTGTATCGCTCCCATTTGGCAAATTGGATATGAAGGGATCAATGCAGACATTGTGCACCGCACGTCCATCTTCAGACCGTACAGTCGCAACATGGGGCGACGTACATACAAACTCCCGTCCATCCCCCGGCACAAAATTGTACGACCCCAAAGCCATAGCAGAAAGGAAGGTAGATTTGCCATGGAAGCCACCGCCCACACATACATACAGAGAGCCAGCACGGATACCCATGCCATGGATGGTGCCCGCATGAGGCACAGAGATCGAGACTTGCAGGGATGGTGGGCTGGTAAACGCCACACACTCGTCTGCTGGAAGATCTGAATCACCGCGCTTTCGCGGTAGTCGCGCGCCATTTCGTACAAAACCTACTAGACCCAGAGACGAGAGTTGTTCGCGAAGAGCACTTTGATCCTCAACACCATGGATATGCGCCCATAGGGCAGACGGTTCGTAACTGGTATAGTACAGACCACGCTCCACCAACCTAGGCACCTTTTCACACACTGAACATGAGAGACCTGCAATACATACAAAGAGAAGCTGCAAAGGCGCCCATAATACTTCGTCCACGCGCAGGTAGGCCTACCAGGAACCGTACCTCGATACCATGCTCGTCCACGACAACGGCTGTTCGCTCCAAGACATATTGACCAGGCTCATCGACTTGAATCTGGCCACCTTTACCGCCGGCCCATCCCTGCCCACCAAGTTTCACATCATATCGCCGTTGCATGCATTCCTCATAGATTCGACGAAGCAAAAAATCCGCAAGAGCTGTACGTCGAACAGAGGACACTAGCATGTCAGGAGGAAATTGGGCATCAGCATGCGATACACGAACACGCGCTTTGCTGGGAAGCGCATATGGATCAGCTTGGGCATGGTCCAAAAAGAACGTAAACCCTGAAAAGGCCCATGACCCTTCGATGTCGTGATAGGCAGGATAAGGACGATGGTCATGCGCATGAAGCCAAGCCTCTAACTGAGAAGCAGTGCCTGGAGTCAGTCCGAACACATCCATACGTACCTGTAGCTTGCCGGCTACGCTTGGGCTCTTGTACTTCAGGGCCTCGTCTTCCATCCTCGTCACCCCTCGTGCTCCGTTGGCCACCATACTTAGCCTTGTAGTAGGCCCCGCGTCCAAGACCACGCATGAGAAGAACACTGTCATTGGACCCTGCAGCCCAGCTGATGTCAAGCTCGGAGATACCATCGCTGACGTAATCAGCGAAGTGCCTTTCCCGGACGCTCGGGCCCCTGGTTCTCTCCCTCCAACTTACAATTATGTTCCGTAACTCTGTTGCTTGCACTACTTCTTTCTCGGCTGCCCGCGCTTCGTTGAAGCAGGCTGTCCGCCCGGCCCGCCAGGTCTGCCAGATGTCTACATCCAGCGCCAAGTCGGAGAGCAACGCCGGCCTCTACTTCTCGCTGGCTGGTCTGGCTGGCATTGGCGCCTGGGCCGCGATGGGTGGATTCAACGGTGATATCCGCTCAAAGATTCAGCAGATCAGCGCGGATGAGGGCGATGCGCTGTCCAGCGATGAGTTCCGTCCTTTCAAGCTTAAGGAGGTCCGTCCATACAACCACGACAGCTCTGTGTACGTACGATGCTGGAAGGAAGTACTAACTCGGCAGGTACATTTTCGAGCTCCCTGACAACAAGAAGTCGGGTGTGTTCACCGCCTCAGCTATTGTCGTTCGTGGCGCTGGTGATGAGCCAAAGGACAAGGACGGCAACCCCGTCATTCGTCCATACACTCCTATCAACAAGCCCGAAGAGAAGGGTCAGATGGAGCTCCTCATCAAGCACTATGCGGAGGGTAACATGACCCAGCACTTAAAGGGCCTGAAGGTGGGCGATGAGATCCGCATGAAGGGCCCTATCCCGAAGCACAAGTACAAGGCCAATGAATTTGAGCACATTGGTCTCGTTGCTGGTGGCTCCGGTATCACTCCGATGTGGCAGCTGATGCAGACCATCTCATCGGACTCGCAGGACAAGACGAAGGTGACTCTTCTGTTCGCCAACAAGACGGAAGGAGACATTCTCCTGCGCGACCAGCTCGAGGCCCTGAAGAAGGACTCTCGCTTCAACGTTGTCTACTTCCTTGACAACAAGCCGAGCGGCTTTGACGGTGAGGAGGGCTTCGTGACCAAGGAGGCTGTGGAAAAGTACCTTCCTAAGCCTAGCGAAGGCAAGAAGGCCAAGATCTTCGTTTGCGGTCCCCCGCCGATGTACAAGGCCCTCTGTGGCCCGAAGGGTGAGAAGGGTGCTCAGGGCGAACTCTCTGGTGCTCTTAAGGAACTCGGCTTCACACAGGAGCAGGTGTTCAAGTTCTAAGTATACCTATAGAAACCTTAGGACTCTTAGGACGTAGCGAAAACAATCGACAATCAAGTTGAGAAGACGATCTTAGGACGAACAACGACACCGATCCTAAGACCAGTATCCAACTGAACATGTATTATTTTATGAAATGCTGCCGTAACAAGTGGACCCATTGGTACAGTGGTTAGCACGTGGAGCTGTTAAACTGGTCGGTGTACGACTACAAAACTCTAAGGTCACTGGTTCGATCCCAGTATGGGTCGCATCTTTTTGTCCTTTTTTTATACTTGACACAATGCATTCTCCTACATCCGTAGTTGCTTTGATGCTTGAATTTTTTCGTCGTTAATATATAGTTTCTTTGGATTGCACGGGCTACTGTGGCTGATCATAAACCTACATGTATTCTCCCATGTCTCTATTTATTACATGCAAATTCGGTAAGAGCAATAACGACCACTTGTCTCCGAGGCTGGCTGTTAATATTGTACGGCGCATAAAGCGAATACGTACGACGCGTAATTTTTACGACTTGACCGCGGGTAAGTCCAAAGTAGCGAGCCACTGGGTCACTCTGCTGGATACGTGGGAGTTGCGAATCTTTCAAACGACTGAAGCAGGTAAGCACTTGTACCCAATACATACTAGCGCTGAAGAAGGGCTGTCTTCTCTTCAGCAGTAAGGACCTCGTGCTTGGGCACGAGTTGGTGATGGGTAATGTTCACCAGTAAAAAGGCCTCCTCGAAGTCCTCAAGAACAAGCTGGAGTCTCATGGCATCAATTACCTACAGCATGTTAGCCTACCCTTAAACAGAAAAACGCATACCTTCTTAGCCGCACTGGTCATTTTGTCGCTCCAAATAATGATACCGCGCGTGATATTTTTCTCTTCCAGAATGTTGATGAACTGCCTCATAGTTTTCACACCGACGTTCCTTTCCATGGAGTAGAAAACAAAAAGGCGGTCCTCTGGGCGATCCTTGTGCTGAGTGAAGAAGTTCAGGCGATTGCGATCAACGACACCGTTGGTTGACATTTCCGCCTTGAAAGTGTCAAGATCAACGTTGATCTCCTCATCGGAGACTTCATAGCCCTAAAAGGTTAGACTGCCACAAGAATAGAATACCTACACGATCAGCCACTAGCTCATGGATAGTGCGGTTGATACGCCAGAGCCTAGCTGCCTCGCGGTCGTCGTTCATGCTCACCACACCGAGTCGGCTGCCCTGAGAGAAAGATGGGCGCTAGCGACGACGCTTTTTTATGTCACGTGCCGCCGGGCGCACGCAGCGTTGCCCAAAGGTATCGATGCCAACCAAGATGCTGCGAAGGCTTAGAAACGAAATGGTAAGATTTGAAAAGAGTAAACGGGAATCTATACGCGATGGGCCGCCTGCATACAAGATTTTCTCTAATAGAAGAATGAAGGGAAGAAATAAGAAGAGTCGAAACAAAACGAGATTTAGAGAAGTAGAAATGGAAGAGACAATAGTCAGGCGGAAGCGCATGGCGTCGCGCATGTGTGGTATGATGCTTTCAATTGGATATATAGTACTGCTCTCCGCATAAGGAGAACAGCGAGAGAATGGCCTCCGTGCTTTGGCAGTCATGCCCATTACTGCTTGTCAAACGCAATTTGAGCGAGAACACGAGAGACTTCATCCATGGTATCCGAGGGAGCCGCGGGCGAAATAGAGCTGCGCGACTGCATAGTCAAAGAGGGCCCACGGGGCATCGCAGGGGCGCTACCGGGAGGTCCCATCATGCCGAGGCTAGAACGAGACGTCGCATCACTCATAGCATGAAAACCGTCAATATCCGTACCCAAATCCGAGGGAGAGCGAACACTCAGCGACGTGCGCGAGAGCGGTGCACTAAAGTTGCCCACATCCACACCCTGAGAACGAGAATTCATAGGTTCGGAGCGACGTAGCGGACTCTGAGAATGGAACGACGAGGTAGGGGGTCGCACGGTATCTTGTTTCCCCAGCGAAGAATCGTTCGCCGCGAAGGAGAATGGTATCGGCCCAGAAGAGAATGGGCTGAACATACTAGTGGACTTCGGCGCAGGGGGTCCCATGTCCTGGAACGACGGAAGGGGTGCGCCCCAGACCTGGGAAGAGAGGTTGGTGCTCTCCGCATACCCAGGGGTATAAAAGGGCGACATCAAAGGGGTATTGGTGTTGGTACCTTCAAATGGCACAGTCGAAGCCGCGTCAGGCTGGTCAAAGAGCGCTTTCAGGTCTTTGGTCCCAGTGCCCGGCGGAGGCGGCGGCGCCAGGCCTGGCGCAGCACTAGAAGTAGGTGTGACAGCAGCTGGGGATGAGGCAGGAAGATGCGGCTCATCGTACAACGCCGATGAGCCGGACGTCGATAGCTCTATACCGTCCGCCTTGCTGGGGGAGAAGCGCGATGTAGAAAAGGGTGGCATCACCGCAGCCGAGAAAGGCTCAGGCACAGAAGTCGTTTCCATGGGCAGAGCGTGCAGTCGGACATGTTGCTTTGTGCACAGCTCTTCCATCATGCCTTTCGCTGCAGACAGTTTATCCAAGTTGCCGCGAGGCAGTTCCATGGCAAAGGTACATTCACCTTGTCCACTCTGGGCACGGGAAGCCACCTGCAGTTCTATGCCCATGTCTGCGCGGATGCGCTCGACAAGCTGTTGAAAGCCTGGCGAATCGAGCAGCGTAGCCATTTCGTGGGAATTGGCCACAGACCATTCCACATCCACGGGAATTTGCTGCAGGAGAATCTGTACAGCCGACGCCATCTGCGATTCAGGACCGAACAAGAGAACTGTGTCCAGGGCAGACTCCTTACGAGCAAGACGTACTGTGCAACGCGTACGATGCTCGATATCGCTGAGGATCTGGCTCTTGTCGGCCAACAAAGTGCGGTGATATTTTCGCGGCACAGACACAGTCTCCGTCACAAAGTCCTTGTCTTTGGGACTTACGAGTTCCATGACAGAGTTCTTCAGATTCTCCAGGTTGGGCGCATTCTTCGAGGGAGTCCGAGCAATGACATTGTCATTGATATCAATGTACCCTCCCAACGCGGCAAACTCTTCGGCATTGGAGAACTTGACATACACGCCAAACTTTTTCATGATGCGTTGAATGTTTTTGCCTCCCACGCCAATGATGCGCTTGTGGTACGACTCTGGTACATGGAACGACATCTCCGCAGGCAGCTCTTCTTGCAGCTGACTTAGTCCCTGTAACGCTGCCTCAGCCTCGCGGCCATGGACATCAATCAGGAAGTTGTAGTCGTTAAACGGCTCGAAACGAATGCGCACCGCACACCCTTCCATGATCTTGTTGATCTTACCGTTCTTCTTGCCGCTAATAAACTCGCGGTGGTCCGTGGCCAACTCCAGCTGGAATCGCACTTCCCCTGCATAGTGTTTCAGGTTCGGCTGGCGCAGCAAATGACGCAACGCTGTTCGCACCTCCGAATCTGTGCCGTGAATTTCAAAGGCATTGGTATGGAACGACACGTCAGCGCCAGAAGTACCTGTGGTGGAAGACAACAGAGCTGTCACTGCCCGTGGGTCCTTGTTCGACGCCAAGCCCAGGGCTTCCAGGCCGCCCGGCAACAAAAACAATTGCGCCGTGTAGAACGGTGACACCAACTGCATCAAAATACGGATACTTCGCTCCACATCGACGCGCGATACACCATACACCGTCACTTGGCCCTGCTGCCCGCCAATGACAGGGAGTTCCAGATATGTGCTGTTGTCCAGCATGAGCTCACGCAGAGACTCTAGGCGCTCTTGAAGAAGCCAGTCAAGCTTGCGTGGCATCAGCGCAACCTGGCGTGAGACCAGACTGCGTCCCTTGTTGGTCGCCAGGGGCTGAAGCAGTTCACGAGCCCGAGCAATCGCCGCCGTGGACCCCGTAACATATACGGTGTTGCGGCGGGAGACCACAGCAGGTGGCATATGGCTTTGCAGTACGCCACCAAAGGGCGTCGGAAGATACAAACTTGCGCCAGATTCACGCTCGATTTGCTGGATCACAGCACGCTTACGGCCAGCACCAACATGCAAGTGCTTGCAGTCAATGTCCACAGTATCGGAATGCAAGCCATGCTTTTCGTCGAGCATGACAAGCACTTGAACACGCGCATACTCAATGGCTTCGACATTGCCAGCAATGGTAAGCATTACGTATCGCTGCTTCACCATGCCAGCACACGCTTCCACATTTTGGACATCGAGAGGCGCCACGTTGAGCATCGTGCTGGCTTGTTGCATAATTCGATCGAATCGTTCACGCACATCCTGCTGCAAAGGCAAGGGGGCTGATGCGGAGCTATCCACCATAGGATCCACGAGATCCACCCAAGGCAACGGCAGCTGCAATGTCCATGGCAAAGGAAGCTGCTGCAAGAGCTCACCACAAGCTTCATTGACATAGGTCTGTGTACCACTCAACGTGACACTGAATCGTGGCAGGCCGCGTGAGAGAATAGGGGCAGAGCCCATTACAGGCACGGTAGATTCCGTGGGGACGGAGGTAGAGTCTGACCAGGTAGACAGGGCCCCCGAAGCCATGGCCACAGAGGGCGATTGCGACAAAGGCAATGGTCCGAGCGGCGAGCGGGGTGATGTGCCTAGTGGTGCATCCACTTCGCCGGAGGGAGTAGCTTGAATAATACATTGATGCGCAGCCATGACTTGAGCACACACCTCATTGACGGCATCCGTGTGCATCTTAGCACGCCGACCACCCGGACTTGAGCGGGAAGAGAACGGAGACGTGCTGAGGTGGGTATCCAGCTCTGCATCAGGCTCGAGAGAGGGTCGTGAAGCGCCAGGCGCCAAGGATTTGGACGCAGGCACAGCGATGCCTGCACGGCTACCTACTACACGCGCATCAGGTGAGAGAGCACTTGCTGATGTAGGGGACGTGCCGTTGGGAGACGCGGCACTGCCTGGGCTGCGAGGAAAACTGAACGAGGTTAGGTATAAATCCATCACGTCAACAGCCGCCTTGTGCGCGTAGCGTCAGGCACACGTCACACGCACACGGCTAGCAGAATAGATGGAAAGATAGAGAGAGGGGTAGTGTACCAAACAACCTATCTCCTAGAGACAGGCAGGAATTGTACAGTCCAACTGCAGCGCGATGAGCTCGCAATCTGCCAGAATAGCGGGGTGGAAGAATGTACCGTTGTGGGCCTCGTGCCCACGCCGGTGCGTTTGCCACGCGGGCGGCGCGTGTCCCCCCCTTCTTGCTGAGACCCCGCCGTCGCCCAAAACAGCATCCAGCCACGCGAGCATGCCCGCGCAGTCTCGTGGCATGCTATTCGGCCGAGATACTCGCTGACTAGCGCTGAAGTCAGCGAGCTATTCTTCGCGGACCTGGTAGGTAGATGGCGATGCGGCGCCCGCAAGGGGCAGGCAGGCAGTTGGCGCAAGTCTCAGCTTGGGCGAGAGAGACTAGTAAAGCGAGACGTAAGCCCCGCGCAAGGCGAGCGGCCGCGGTGCCACTGAGACGGCGCGCGTGGCCCAGTGACAGCACCGCACGCACGGCGACGCAGCCAAAATAAGCAAAGCCCTCACTTGCATACATACGTCTGTCGCACTGTCTGGCGGGCATCATGGCTACGCTGGCCATGAGTGAGAAGCCACCACCAAGCGTCGACGTGCACAATGGCGAGGAGGCTGGCCCTGTCCCCGCCATTGTAGCGTCATTTATGTGTGAAGCATGTCAAAACCCTATTGAAGAGGAATCGCATGCTGACGGCGTAGTTCATATGGCAGAAAGCTATTGGCACCGGGACTGCTTCACATGCTTGACATGTGGTCGGCCTGTCCCCATTGAGAACGACAATGTACTCTTGGTTGGATCGCAGCCGATGTGCGATAAGTGCACGTTTCACTGTCGTGCGTGTCAACGCCCGATTGCCGACGAGGTCGTGCTGTGTGACCAGGCGCCTTACCATACGCAGTGCTTTCGCTGCAGTACATGCCAGAACTTGATCAACTCCACAGCGTATGTGTGCGTGGGTGACCTGGTTCAGTGCTTAGCATGTCATGCGTCGGCGAGCACATCGCCGACAGACGCAGCAGCGGGTGCCTCAGTTCCCGCTTCGTCGACCTTGGCGCCGCCAAACGGAGAAGGACGGCAGTCTGCGTCGGTGCCCAGCTCGCCTGTTGCACGACATGCCACAGTGCTGGACCTATTAGACTTGGTGCCTCACCACACAGCCTCAGCCACCCAGCGACTTGGGATGAGGCAGCGACACAAACGGTCGCACACCGTGAGTGGTCCTACGGCCGATATGCCTGACACACTCTCTCTCGCCGGTGCACCTAACGGGGCATTGGAAGGTGTGGCACATGCGTTATTGACAGCCGACTCGCTGCCTGCAATGGAACGACCTGTTGCAGAGCCCCTTCGTGCAAGTATATCGGACGTGAGCCCACGTACAGACACCATGGCAACGGCTGTAGCGATAGCCGACGAGCATGTGGATGCGGATGTCATTGCTGAAGCTATGGTGGGCGTGTCTGCGAACACAACTCAAGATGCCATCGCAGACGCCATCGCGCCGGACGACAGCGGTGTGCTATCCACAACGCCCTCGGCACCTTTGGAAGCAAGTCCTACCACGAGGGTGGACCCATTGGCTGAGTCGACCAGGCCTGAAGAGGAGTTGATGACCGATGTACGTCATCTCTCGCTGAAAGAAAGGACGCGGGAGCGTTTGTCCGACACGCTGCAGTCAGAAATCTTGCAAGCATACTACATGTCGGCAACACCCTCAGGGCGTGGCACACCTATGGCTGATACATCGCAGTCACGTCGGCAGTCTCGCACGGTGGTTAGCGCGCTCAGTGATCTGTGGTCACATCGGGAATCATCGTCTGAATCTGACATTCTACGCCGTCTCTCGTTGTACGACAGTGAGTTTGAGGCGCTGATCGCCACGCCTGATTTTGCGCAACAGCGACACTCGCAGCCATGGGATACATCGGCTTGGAATGCCGTGGCTGAGTCGTCGCCCCTCTTGGAGACCAATCCCGTGTCGTCGGACTTGCCAGGCGCATGGCCAACGTCGGAATCACTGGATAGCGCTCAGGATCCTGCCACGCTCTCTGATACAGCGCAACTGGAGATCCAGCGGCATATGGCCCTGGCTGAGTTCCTTGCTGTGAAGAGCGCAACAGAAGAGCACAAACGCTCGCCCGATCAGTCGACACACGCCAAGGTGCAGTTGGTCCTAGAGTCCCTGTACGCACACTTTGACACGATCAAGACAGAATACAAGCGTGAGTTGGAATCGCTCGCGATGATGCAGCAGACGCTTCGTCATGAATTGCGGCCCATGATGCAGGTCCGTGCCACGCTGATGCAAGAATCGCAGCAGTTGGCACAGCGCGTCGATGAGCTGACCGCCGAAGTCGCGCGTCTTGATGTGGAGGCAAGTGAGCGTGTGCGTCGGTCATCGGCTTCTACCACCGAGACGGTGCACTTGGCCCCCGTGGCTGACCCCTCCGTGCTCACGACACCCACGGGCCCATCACGCTCCCACCTGCCCGACACGCCAGGGACCGTATCGCCTGCCGCGCCGACTAGTCCAGCTACGTCGTCCGCGCGCCTCGATGCCTCGTTGCCGCCACTTCCTGCGCCGCGCAAGTTTCGATGGATCAAGCCACGCCTGATTCTCCCGCCAGACTTGGCTGCAGCGGGTGAAGCGTTGCTTTTGCCGGCGCATGAGCTGGGTAAGGCAGGCCGTGTCCCTTCTATATCACCGCCTGTGCCGCCCAAGCACGACACGGCGCAAGGATCTCAGCAGCATTTGTTTGAACCAACAGGCCCTCTTCCATCGCGAACGCGGTGCATGGTGTGTACACAATCTGTGGCTCGCGGCGCCTCAGAAATGCGGTGCCACCAGTGTCGTGAAGTGTGCCATGCTTCGTGCTTGTACCATGTGACGAAGCCTTGCATGGGAGCCGTACCAACACAGGCCCATCTACAACGGCAGCAGTCGTGGAACTCGTGTGTCGCATCACCGCCTGGCACTTCGATGCTGGGCCGCCCATTGTCGGAACAATTGCGGTTGGAAGGCACGTTGGTCCCCCGGCTTGTAGCCTGGTGTATTGCCGCTGTGGAAGCCAATGGCTTGCACGACGAAGGCCTGTATCGCAAGTCAGGCAGCTCGCAGCAACAACGCCAACTTGTTCAGCTCTTTGACAGTGGTCAGCCGTTTGACTTGTGCGATGCGTCGCAATTTGGCGACTGTGCTGTGATCACCGGCGTGCTGAAATCGTATCTACGCAAACTACCTGAGCCATTGATCCCTATTGAGCACCATGATGCGTTTGTTGCATTTGCTGAGCATGAATCGCACTCCCCTACGGCGGTGCCGACCATGCAAGTCATGCTGAGCAAGCTGCCTAGCAATCACTATGCCACATTGCAGCGCCTGTGTCAGCACCTGCACCTCGTCCAAAAACACCAGGCTGAGACGCGGATGTGTGCCCGCAACTTGGGCCTGGTTTTCGGGCCGACAATTCTGTGTGTGTCGGACCCTCAACAGGAACTCCTAGAAATGGCGACGTATGCGCGCGTCGTCGAGTTCCTCATTCAGCACACACCCGCCCTATTTGCCTTGTAAATATGTGTGTAGATATGGTACAAAGAGAAGGCAGCGCAGTCCCATGTTTATGTCGTTACGACTTCGGGGCCAGGCGGCATGGGCGGCGGGAGCGCCCAGAACGCTTCCTCCTCGATGGTAAGCACAGTCGTGCTCGGCGCAGCTGTTCGTCCTTTGCGTGCTCGCGGCTTGGCTTTGCGGCGCGCCGGTTGGTACGACCATCCGTCGGTGAGTGTCGCAGTGTCCGTAGGTACGTTTAAGGTGTCGAAGAACACTTGCACGCTCATATCCAAAGCGCCTGGCGCGCGCGTCTCAGCAGACAACAAGGCGTACGTATGACAATAGGGCACTGCGGTAAGCATGTACGATACATACAAATACGGTGCACACATGGAAGCGAGGCCATGGCGCTGCTGAATAGGGTATACGCGTCCAAGGCATTGCCGATCAGCACAAGGTGCGAAAGACGCGCGTGCGTCCAGTTCGCACGAAGAAGAGCTTCGTATAGTTCCTTGGGACAGTGAGGCATGAATGCCAGCGTCGGCTCGTCAAGAGGATAGGCGCCACACTAGTATAAGCACAGAGACACGTACCTTGTTGTCCGTCAGCATAGCCATGCCTTGACTCTCAGCAAAGGCGCGATCTTCCTCGGTCATGACAGGATCAAATAGGTGCACAGGCAATGGCGTGGAGGCCGTCGCGAGCTCTGTACGCAAAAGAGTCAAGCAGGCCCACTGATACTGTGCGGCCATAGACGTGAGCGATCCTAGGCCCAGGCACAGGATCTGCGTAGGTCGTGAAGGACGTGCACAGATCGCGTCAGTCAATGCTACGTCTAAGTCATGCTAGGCCACGTACACTGCCAGCGTTGCGTCCATGAGGGCTGCGCGAGGAGCTCCGCTTTCTTTGCCTCTATTTGCGTCTGGAGCGCATGCCAAAGCGGCGCTGAATCCTCGATCGGCACGGACGGCATGGCTCGCAGCAGCATAGACGAAGCGTCGCACAGCAACGACGTTTTGTATGCCTGTCCGATTTTCTCCACATGCAGTGGCGCGACAGGACCCTCGCCGGTGACAATCATGTCGCTGTCTCATACGCCCAGCGCGATGCTGGCGCGTCTGCCCGGCGGGCCTAAGACGATCGGTGCCTTCTGCCTGATCTTAGTATCGTATACGACCCAAACCGAGTCCATGCAGTACATCCAGCATAACCTGGGGTACTCCAAGCCCTTGTTTTTGTTGTATGTCACGCATAGCAGTTTCCTGCTTCTCCTTCCTGCGTACCTGCTTTGCATCCACTTCTTTACATCGGCCAAGGTGGGGCATGTATGGAACTTACTTAAGAAGGACTTGACTCGACAAGTCCACCACTTTTTGGAAGTGAGTCCCACTGAGCCAGTCCCGCGACTCACGTGGGTCGTGACCATGATTGCCATCCTTTTCATCCTGACGGTGGCGCTGACCATTCCTTCCATTAGCTGGTTTTTGGCCGTTCCCTTCACGAGCATGGCCAACATCACTTCTATCTACAATACCTTCAGCTTGTGGGCTTTGGTTTTTTCCGTGTACTTCCTCAAGGAGAACTGGGACTACCTGCAAGCGTGTGCCGTCCTCTTGGGCGTCGTGGGCGTCTCGATCTCCGCCACTGGCAGTGCCGTGCGACCTACCGCCGAAGAGGCCACAGGCGACAAGGATAAGAAGACCGGCCTGCTTTCCCCGGCGTTTATGGGGGATCTGCTGGCGTTGATCGGTGCCATATCGATGGCAGCGTACGAGATTCTGTACAAGCGCCTCACAGAGGTGCCAGAGACCTCAGAGGCCTTTATACCGATTCCTTCCGAGGAGACGCCCATTCACGACACCACCCACGCGGACGACGTAACGGCCGAGGACGAGGATGCCATGCCGTTTGGTGTGCATGCCCTCGCGATGACGACAGGGATCGGTCTCGTGACGCTCTGCTTGTTTTGGATTCCTCTGTTTTTTGCGCATATGTACCAGGCCGAGCCGCTCGAGATGCCGAGGGATGGCACTGTGATCGCATGGATTGCGCTAAGCGCTACATGCGGCGTTCTTTTCAACGGATCGTTCGCGATTCTCCTTTCTTTATGGGGCCCTGTCCTTGCATCCATGTCGTGTCTTTTGACAACAGTGTTGGTCCAGCTCACCGATATGGTACAAGGGATTCCCTTCACTTGGATGAGCATCCTGGGCAATGTTATTATCACAGTCAGTTTCCTGTGCCTACTTCCATGGTAAGCTCTATGAAGACGCATGTTCCAATACACAAACACCTTCCACATGACTGAGGTTACTCCCCACGTCGGATACATACTGTGTCTGAGGGAAAAAGTCAAAGCCCCGAATGCTGCGAATCTGGTACGAGGGGCATGCACGCAGTAGTTGGCCCACATCGCGGGCCTGGGTCTGTATGGTATTAGATAGAGATGTGAGTATACGTACATGAACATTGCATGACACATAAATGATATGCTTCGGTTGTAGTGCCACAAGTTGATCCAGAAAGGCCTGGTCACAGCCACGGCGCGGTGGGTCGATCACCACGGTGGTCTTCTCCGAAGGGTACTCAATACGCCCGAAAATGTTTTCCGCCTGGCCGGCCAGGAACTTGGCATTGGTAATGTGATTGAGCGCTGCATTTTTCTCTGCACACGCAATGGAATCCGCACTGATCTCTACACCCGCCACTTCGTCAAAAAGCGAGGCGAGCGTCAAGGCAAATAGACCAGAGCCACAGTAGGTATCCACCAAATATTGCGGACCCTCCGAGGCAGGGAGTTGGTGCTTGACATAATCGACCACCAATGGAATAATCGAGCGGTTGTTCTGGAAGAAGGCGCCGGCCGGCGTAGAAAAGGTAATGGGGCCAACACGCTCGTACACTGTTGCCTTATGGTCGGTGACCGCCATGGATTCGTCCATAGAGGCATCTGCACTTGGTAGCGAGTCACGCAGAAGCAGCGTCGCACCGTTCTTGTACGAGCGAATCGTCTCACGAACACGCGCACGCTGCGCCTTCATAGCTTCGTTCAGAATCGGCGTGCCGATGGGACACTCTTCAATGTCCATGACACGACCCAATGTAGCACCATCAAAGCCAATAGGCACCGAAAGCGCACTATCAGGAACAGACGAGGACGATCCTTTCTTGCGCAAGATCGACGGTAAGTCAAAGTGCGGGGTAAGTTTCGTACGATACGACATGGTCTGGGGGGACGCCATGGTATCCAATACAGCCGGTACCAGCGATGCATCCAGATGCGCATAGTGTTTAAATGCATTTTCCACGACGGTTTTCTTCTGCTCAAGCTGCTTCGAATAGGGAATCATTTGATACTGACACCCACCGCATTGTCCAAAATAACGACACTGGACCAGCGAGTCGTCGCGCCAGGCAGGGTTGGGCTGTACCATTTCTACCACGCGTGCCTTGAAGTACAAACGCTCGGCCGCATACGGGAACACACGCACCTGCTCACCAGGCAAGGCAAAAGGCACGACCAACAAACGATCGCCACGCGGCGACAATGCAAGACCGTCGCCATGCGCACTCAAGCGTTCAATAGTCACCGTGACTTCTTCGTTGAATGGCGAGACTCGCTCATATTCCTGGCCCTTGGCAACAATATCCTCGACGCGGTCGCGTCCGATCATCTCCAAAATGTCAAAAAGAATAGGAGGATCGCCGTGCTTAGCCACCTGCTTGGCGTACGCCTTGCGCAGATGCTGAATACGTTTGCGGTCCCTCTTTTCATTCGCACGCTCCTCGGTATCTACGCGTTGCTTCTTCGTAGGAGGGCACCGTTCTGGACTTGGCGTGGGGTGCGACATGTAGGACGAAAAAAATTTGACAACCGGTCCCCAACGTACAAGTTGTCGAGGCATGCAAATGAAGACAGGGGACAAAAGGGCGAAATTTACACCAACGCTCCACATTAATTTTTTTTGTGGGAACGGACCCCCAACCTTACCATTGTACCGTGATGCGAGCGACGGACGATTTTGGTCAAGTCTTGGTCATTAGCGGTGGAAGTGGATACAATGACTTGATCAATGCAACAGACTCTGCGATTTTTGTTCTCCCAGGTACGTGGTGACACCAGAAAAACTCACTCGCAGTGTCGGACAATGGAGGTACGTTGAGTGTATCACAGAACTGATACACGTGTGATGCAGGCTCCTCCTCAGGTATGTGCTGCATTCACTCACCATAGAAATCATTCGTGTCATGGGTATGTTGCTTATGTCTCACAGCCAGGTGGACCTTCACTAGGTGATATTCGAGCACGGTTGGTACGCCTCGCCCGCTTGGCGGCTACGCGTGAGAAATCATCCCGCAACTTGGAACAGCCTGGCTCCCGAGAGGCTCTGTACACGCTGTTATCATATCGTCTGCCTGTATCTGGACCTATGCGAGAAATCAAGCAGGAATGGATGGACATTATCGAAGGCAAGCATCGACTATGGCGTGGCATCGATGCCGAGAAACGAGAGTGTGTGCGTGGGTTTCTGGTCCAATTTCACAGCGAGATCCTGCATCGCGCGCATAGAAACTTCAACTTCCGCGGTGGAAGCATAGGCAATTTTTTCCTCGCTGCCATGCAACGCTTTTTCCGCTCGATCCAAAGTGCCATTTTCTTCTTCTCTGCGCTGACAGATATCCAGTCTGCTATCAAAAATTGCGACGTGTTACCTGCCATCAATACCAACAAGACCACCACCATTGCTGCCAGACTTGCCGATGGGACACAGCTTGTGGGCCAATGTGAGATTTCACATCCTTCCATTGATTTGACCCTCAAGAAACGCGATTGTATCAACTCTGTTGCACCGACGCGCCGTCCCTCGTTTGAGCTGCAAGATTCCGTGTTTGAGTTTGGCACACACAACGGATATGCTTCTCGACATGCTGCTGACGTGTCTGCCCCCCCGCCCGCTAGCGCACGAACGGAGTCCAGTGCCCACAGCATGAACGATTCTGACTTTAGTGACGATGTGGAAGATATGGAAGAGGGTATCCCTATGAGTCTGAACGACGTGGGCGAATCCCTTGGCAATATCCTGTATGGATCAAAGGAAGACTCTGTGCCACTATCGGCCCCGATTGATCGTACGTTCGACTTCTACTCACCCGCAGGCTTGTTCTACGTGAATGTACGCCTATCTCTATGCTTACCTTAGTCCTACCGCAATGAAGTATTCCCTGCTCCAAACCCCTCCTACCTCACGGGATTGCGTCGTAGCAATCTGCTGATATACTCCTGTGGGTCTCTCTGGACAAGTATTATTCCTTGCCTTATTCTTCGTGGCGTTCCCAACGCCATTGCACGCTCACCATCGCTTAAGTACAAAGTGCTCCTTCTCAACTCGGAGCACGACAGAGAAACCTACGGTCTCCATGCTTTAGACTTTGTCAAGTACGTGGCGCTTATATTCACCGCAGTATCATTCACCGATCCCTCACGCAACTTCATACCATGGACTTCCCCAATGAGAAGTTCCTCTTTACGCCGTCTGACTTTGTGACGCACGTTATCTACGTACGTGGCAGTGCTGTCCAGCCCAGTGTGTCCGAGCTGAAACAGCTCGGGATCCAATGCATCGGCGTCGAGTCATGTTGTGATGCCCGCATTCGTCTAGGTGAAACACGTACGTACTGTCTATGGTTTGCCTGACATCTAGAATTACGCAACGCATTGTATCAAATTGTACACCAGAAAGGTACTTCGTGAAGATGGCTCTGTATATTTTCTTCAATATAGGGTGAATAGGAGGGAGACAAAACTATATTGCATGATAGAATTCGCTTAGATGAAGAAGAAGGTGTGCTGGCTTCGTGTATATAGCATAGAGTCCCTTACCTACGAGACGTAGAGGGTTTATATCCATAGCGAGCCCAACCAATCTTGATCTCATAGCCTGACAACTGGAGAGGGTTGGATTGAAATGCTTGCAATGCAGCCATCGCACTTGCAGGGTACTGAAAGGAAATAAAAGCATAATGGCGCCCTGGAAAAACCTGGGCGTTGATCACATCGCCGTATTTGCAAAATATAGACATAAGATCATGTAAAGGGGTGTTAGGTGGAAGATTTCCAATGTACAGTGTGGCATTATCAGGGCCAGTGTCGTGCAAGGGTAATTCCCCAGAAGGCCGCCGCTCCTCTAACTTGGTAGGGTATGGTTCAGACGGCCGATCAGCCCAATTTACACGAATAATACGACTTCCAAGCCACTGGCCGGACATTTTGGCAATACAGTCCATGGCATCTGACTCTTTCCGAAAACGGACAAAGCCATAGCCACGAGATGTTTGTGTTTGAAGATCGCGAATAACGCGAGCATCGTACATGGATGAGTAGCGAGAGAATGTCTGCGTCAACAAATTGTCATCAACGCCCGGACAAAGATCACCAACGAAAACACTGTAGAGACAATTCGGGCGATTTTCTCCTCTGGTATCTGAACTGAATGCTACAGCATCGCTGGGTGCCAGAGGTGTTGTTTCCGATTCGTTCCAGAAGTGTTGCAAGTCAAGGCGATAGCCTCCCAGCATAAATCCGTGAAGATATGAAAGCGCCGTAGTCGCACTACTGTGATCGGAAAATTCTGCCACAGCGTATGTTGGGAGAAAATGCCCCTCGATTGCCACAGGCGCCATCATTTGGACATGCCGTACTACACCGACTTGCATTAGCAAGTGATGTAAATCTCTCTCCTTGATATGGGGTGCGACATTGCGTATTAAAATTTGGTACTTTGTGCCGGTCCCCTGAGCGGATCGAACCTCAGGACCGTAGAGCCCTGCAGGCGCCCCATCCATGCCCTTGACTGGTTTGACAGCTTGGAGGAAAGGTTTTGCGATCAGTTTGACATGTAGTCACCTGCCCAGCAGAATTAATCCAATCCAATAATACATGCTGATTAATTGATGCAGAGAGACACATGATCTGGCCCTTTCATCTCGGAAAATGTTATCCAACAATATGGATGCCAATGCGGCCTTGGCGCTGGCGCTTCGGCTGGAAGCGCTGGAACGCCAGGTTTCAGCCTGTGGGTCCGACGAGACACTCCCGCTGGAAAGTCGCGTAGCACAATTATCGCTAGCCATCGACAAAGCCACGGAGCCCCATGCGTCTCTACAGAAGCTACTAAAAGAGGGTATGTACCAGCATGGCTCTTATCGAAGCTTGTTGCATTGATGATACCCTGCAAGCACCCAATGCCGACGAAACTCTTCTAGATCCGCAAAGCAAACTTGCTCTTGTGCTCGACCATGACACAAGGATGCGCTCGTTTGTGGCGCAAATGGAGGCGTGCGAGCGTCTCAACGACCAGGGTGTGGCTGGTGCTGGCCGTCTTGCGAGTATGTCTCATGCTACTTACGCGCAGCCCATGAATCTCTCCAGGAACGATTGCACGTTTGTGCAGAGCAACAAAAACAGCACATGCATGAGTTGGATATCATGCAACGTCACATCACTGAGCTGGCCACACAGTACGAACGCTATGTATGTGTGCTTACACACTAACAGCAGACGGACCAGCTCTCCCACATTTTTATAGCCCTAGACAAGTCCATCCGGAAGATAGAAGCGGCTGCTATGTCTTAGCCAATGTATATATAAATGTATGTATTACACGCGTCGCACAGATACTTCTCCATCATCCTCTATCGTCTGTGACGGCGGCTCTTCTTTCGTGGTATCTGTGCCTTGAATGGCGTGCAGTTGATTCAACGCCGTTTGAAAGAAAGGACGCACTTCGCAGATCTCCATAGACGAGATATTGGTCATCTTCACGTGAGAAAGGGGCCTCGACGTACCTCGAGATGGGCCGGATTGAGCATTTCCAAGCCAGCCAACACTTTGCTTTGCCGCGTTTCACGCAAATCTTTCAGTAGGGCACGTATCCGAGAGGACGCAGGAATATCTTCTGCCGCGCTAGGCGTGAGAGCAAAAAAACGTACTGTTCCAAAAGCATTTTCGAAATGGCGACGTAATGAAGGGGCAACGGGGCAAACGCCAATTGCGTAGTTTCTTGACGAAGAAACTCTGTGAGAGCGTCTTGCCGTTATGTATAGAGGTACGTACCAACACTAAGCCAGGCAGGCGGAATGATCACGCATTTCCGTTTCTTTCGGAGGGAGACTGCGAGCCACAGGGGTACTTGAGCATGCGTCGGCGGTTGGAATGGGCCATACGTCCCACTTAAAAGTCGGACACGATCGAGCGATATCAAGGGCAGTATATCTACCAAAGTCTCTGTACCGGCCACATATTCCATCTCTGTAGGCAAAATGCCGTACCGGGTGGGCGGTGGCAGTGCCATCGCACAACTCCCTCGCTCAGTCTGAAGCGCAAGGCGCGTTCTTTCTCCGCGCGTGTGTAGTCGTGTACATCGGGCGGGAGATCGGGCCGGGGCACACCACGGCGGCGCACAGTCCTTCGATGTCTCCACACGTGAACCACAGGCCATGACAGCTGTCTGGCTCCGTTGGTGGGCGGAGCTAAAGCGACAGGCAGCAAATGCCACGCCCATGCAAATACTGGGTGTGGTAACTGTTGTCCTGATCAATGTTGCTGTCTTTGGGCTGCTTGCATATATCGGGGGTGATCAGGTGCTCCATTGTACGTATCACTCGACTCATGGAAAGACATTGCCCGCCTAGCTACATGGATCCGAGATGCTTGGATCGGTATACCTATCATGTACATATTCATGATCTTAAGTGCTCTTCCACCTATCCACGGGTTTTCTACATCACTGACATTGTGTGGTATGGCGTTTGCCTCCTCGCATGCCGGAGCGTCTTGGCACCAACAGCTCTCCGCCTTGCTGTATGGATGGGGTGTAGCTACGATCGGTCTCATGCTAAGCGCAATGCTCAGCTTTCATATCCTTCGACGCCTTCTTGCGAATTTACACGGGCAATGGGACATTCAGGATCGCATCAAAAGCGATCGCCGCTTTCGCGCTCTCCAGACGGCAGTGCGTGAGCGAGGTATGCCTATGGCCATCCTAGCACGCTTCTGCCCCTTGCCGTACTGCTATACAAACCTTCTTCTTGCCTCCTTGGATTCTGTGTCGCCCTTTATGTATGCTGTGAGCACGTTCGCTACGTCGCCACGTCTCCTGCTCCCCCTCTTCATGGGTGCCAAGATGTATGAGCTGAGTGATAGAGATATTCGTGCGAACCTCGATCCACACACGAAGCGGTTGAATGCGTTCTTCGTATTGGCTAGCATTGGACTGGCTATAGGATCCAGCTGGTATATATGGCGCGAAACTGTCAAGACCCTTCACTTGGAAGATACGCTGCTGGGCGAGGACATGGATGTAAGAGAAGAAGAGCGCGAATCGTTTGTCCTCGACGACACAGCGGCCTCCATTTAACCTGTCCATGCTTTCCACGTGTGGTACATACGCATAGCCACGCCTTCTATGGTGCTGGGGGCGGGGCGTACGTCCAAGAAGAAGCTCACGGGCTTCGACGTTGCTTGGGTCATCACTTCGGCGGACGGGGCAGCCTTGCCTGCATAAAAGTCAATAATGTAACGCACAGTGTGGGGTGTCTCGCCATCGGTGCTGGGACGAACTATCGTCCAGTCATGTCGGTCAAAAGGCATCTGGTAGCCAGCCAAGCCACGCAGCCATGCCCGCCACGTCACGTCGCGCGGCCGTCCGACGAAGTTGACAAGCTGTGGCCCTGGTGCTTCCTTGTCCGTCTGCCACTCATGCTCCCACTCCAAGATGCGACGCCATGCTTCTTCATTCACAGCATTATGTATAGGCACGACAACACCCATATCTTCCGCTCGGGCTGCATGGTTCTTGCGACGCACTGCCGTATAAAACTGTTCCGCCGAAGGGTAGACCCAGTGACTATCACGTTGTGCACTCGCTGATTCAGCTGGCGCATGTTCAGATGGTGTGGCGTCATTGCTCCCATCCAGGTAGTACCTAGGAATAGATGATACTTCACGGTCTTTGGACAAGGCAGACGTGCTCTCTGCTTGGCGTTCGTGGGCCATCTTCAAAAATGTATCTTGAGCTTCATGCTTCACAGGGCACTGCGCTTCTGCTACCCACCTTTCACGTGTAGTGTGATCCACGGGGCAGGCACTTGGCTCAGCTGGCTTTGCTGCGGCGCTCGTGCTGCTTGCCTGCGTAAAGGGCCAGACCATCAACGTATAAGAGGAGGAGAGAGGAGAGGAGCGGCGCACGTTTTTAGTCAGCTTCTGGCTTCAGACGCTAGGCTCGTTCGAGCTGGGCCGCTTTTTTTTGTTGTCTGGATTAGACGTCGTGCGTTGCGATGAGCAGCGGCGTCAGCGTGCGCGAAGCGGCGCACCTGTGTTTGCATATTGTGCGCGAACACTTTGGCAGTGTGGTAGAGGTATGTATCCGTATTCTGACGTCGTCACAGCGCGTCGTCAAAGTCCTGCTGCGGTATGGACGACTTACGGTGCCCGAGCTCGTTCGTCTCTTGAACGATCCGCCGCCGGAGCGGCATCATCCTGGCCGTTCGCGCTCTCGTGGGTCCAGCTCTAAGACAGAGGCTAGTCCCAACTCGATACCCACTCGGCTTGTGCAGCAGGCGCTCATGGTCCTGATTCAGCACCACTGTGTGCTGCACTCTCGACCGTCGTCCGGCGTCGCAGCCGGGGCGAACCAGGAGCATTTTGAGGTGGATATGGACGAAGTGTTCTCTCGTTTGCGCTTTGGCTCCTACCTGGATCTTGCTCAGAAATGGGGCGGTGATGATGTACGTGGCCGGTGTACTAACATGCAGGCCCAAGCTGTGATTCGACTCTTACTATACCATGGCCAGATGCGTGCTGCTGACCTCATTGACGCGCTGGTCAACGAAACACCCAGGGGCGCAGAGGACACGGACGACTATACGAAAAAGAAGCGCGCCCTGCGTACTGCTACTCTCTCCGAATTGCTCGCACGTATGCTGCAATCGTCGCTTGTTCGACCCTCTACGGCGGTGCAGCATGTATCGCCTCAAGATCGGCGTATTGCGCTTGAAGAATCACTCTTGCGCTCTCAAAAAGGCATCCCTACCGCCAAATCCCTTCGTGAGCTCAAAGCCAAAGTCGCTTCGATTCTCGACGAAGAAGACCGCCGCGACTGGGAAGGCGTAGAGCATGGCGAGGACGGATTGCGACTGGGCTTAAAACGAAAAGAGGCCAAGGACGGGAGCCGAGAAAAACGTGCGCGGCGATCGACGCACGCTGACGTGAGTGCTGGCCGTATGGACGTGATCATTGATGTGCGTATCTTATGCTCTGACCAGCAGCCTGATGTGTGGCTCCGTGTCCACAACGACTATTTCCACATTCAAATGCGGAATGATGTATGTGTAATTGCGAGCTTACCTTTAGATGATTGCCACGGCTGTGGGCAACAAGTACAACAGCACCACAGGCGACGTCATGCGCTTGATGTTACAGCAAGATCAGCCTGGCGTATGCCGTTGCGAAAAGGATGAGCGGTCTCGCCCTATTTCTGTCACGACCCTCTCGCATCATATTCCAGAGCATGTGCGCATTCAGCGCGGACTCGATCGTCGTTCGATCATGGGCGACGAGCGTACGTCGCGAGCGCCCACGACCATTGAATTGCTTGCGGAATACGTGTCAATTTTGTCGGCACACGATAACATCTCGTCATCGGCACGTAAAACGCGGCTCCTTGCCCCCTTTGGCTCGTCTAGCACGACCAGTGCGGGCGGCAGTGCCAGGGTCGCGACGAGCTTCACGGTGGAGTATCGGAACATCTTGGAACAAATGCAGTTGCAATTGATCCGTGACGTCGTTGTGGAGCGCTTTGGTGCGATGGCTGGCCGCATCTTCAGCATCCTAGTAGAAAAAGGCAAGCTAGAAGAGAAGCATGTACGTGTACCTGTCTACTCACTCGCAGATTTCCAAAATTGGCCTGCTGTCGATGAGCGAGACGCGCGATATCTGCTCGCGCATGTTTGCCGCTTCAATTTTGAGTCTGCAGGAAGTACCGAAGAGCAACGAACGCAATCCTCAGCGTACCTTCTTTTTGTGGTTCGTGGATTTGTACAAGTGTAAGTCATGGCTGCTGGATCAGCTATACCGCACTCTTATCCAACTGAGCCGCCGGCGCCTGTATGAAGAGGCCAACAAGTCCTCGTTGCTAGAAAAGTCGGAGCGGACTGATGTGCGTGAAGATGCAGAGTCTCTCCTCACGGAATGGGAACGCAATGAGTTGCAGTCCCTACGTTCCGTGCAGGCGGCGATTACCGTCGCCGAGGCGCGCGTCGTGCAGGACATTTTCATTTTGCAGCACTTCTCCACATGAGCGTTTATCGGGGGCGACCATCGAAAGGCGCGTGTCCAGTGTTGAATTTTCATAGAACGTACATCAACAATGGAGTCTAGGGCCCTAAATGCTTTTCATAACACTGCGTTCTCCTTCTTCTTGTCGTGTTGCTACGTATTCCATTGTCTACGATGGACAACGAAGTTGATCTGGCTTTGATCCAAAGCGAAGCTCTATACTGCCTTCGACGAGAACAGCTTGTAAGTTTGTGCAAGCGCCGTGGCATCAAGCCACGCGGCAAGTCATCGCACCTGGCGGATATGCTCCGCAAAAGCATCGAGGCCAAGCACAGTCCATCAGCGGACAGCATGAATAGCTCATACTACAGTATGAGCCCACGTACAGATGGCAGCATGAGTCCTAGGAGTATGCAAGGCCTTGGATGGGGTCGAGAGATGCCGGTACGCAGCCCCTACATGCGTCCAGGCACCCAAATTGGCCAGGGCACGCCTAGTGCACGTAGTCCTGCCGCATCCAGTATGCATTCAGGTCGCTTTGCTAGCGTCTACGCACCCAGCGAGGCCTCAGAGCCAGAAAGTCATGGATCGGTGTACCTGCCTGCGCACAGTCCACGTATGGATCGCTCGCGTGTGGCAAGCCGTGAGAGCCGCGGGTCGGCCTACTCTCGCGCTCCGTCTCATGCCTCGCCTGACCTCCCTTCCACGGATCGCATGCCTAACCACGCATCACCGCGCATGCCCCCCCGTCTTGGCGCGAAGGAAGAAAACGAAACGCCCAAGGCACAGACGAGCTACGACACCGACAAACCTGTCCTACCCACGCTGCCGACATGGGAGGGCATCGACATCCCGCTCGATCTGCTGGATCAGATTGAGACAGGCTCTGTCAAGGACCATGCTGACGAGGCTGTGACACCGGCGCCGACCAATGACACTGCGTCTGTGACACCCGACAACGGAGAGGAGGAGGAAGACATGCTGGACATGTTGATCCAAGGCGTTGCATCTGAGCCTAGCGCCGATATCGAAGTGCCTGTGCTGCGGAAACGCTCTGGACGGGTTCATCCACGCTTGCCCGTGCCGCCGACGCCGGTAACGTCATACCCCCGCCCTGCCATGGTGTCGCCCACGATGCCGCCGCCGGCTAGCACGCTGTCTCCTACGATGCCTGGGCCTATGGAGGAGGGGAAGCACTTGACACATGGCGAGACGCGCCGTCTTCCTGCGGACGAGATGGCTGAGCAAGAGGCAGAGAGGAAGCGTAAAAAAGGATCGATGGGCGGCATGGTTCGTCGTATGCGTCACTTCCTCGATACCTCGTCGGCCCCACCGCAACCTACAGAAAAGATTCTTCCGTACCCTGTGGCGCCTGTGATGGGCGAAGAATCGCTTGTGCATAAGCCTGCGAGGAAAGCAGCCAGCGTCATTGACGATGATATGCTTCGTATGGCGATGATGTCTTCATCGGACCCATCATGCCTGCCCGATGAAAATACGGCGCCTGTGCCAGCCTGGCATACTGCGGCCCAGCGTGCCAACTCTCTCCGCTCTACACGCCGTTTCGATGCGGCTAGACCCCGTCGTGCCTTGCCTACCCCTGCTGTCGCAGCCGTCGGTGGAGGCGACAACGGTGCTCGTTCCCGTGCGCTTCGTTAATGGATGGTGTCATTATTCCCCTGGTTCCTTTTATACAGCAAACTATAGTAAATATTTATGGTTGAACATCCTTTAGGACGATGACGGTTGCGCTGTACTTGTAGCCGCCGTAGCAGCGAGTTTGCTTGTATCCTCGGTCGCCATGTCTTCCACCCCAGGCGAAGAGATGGGGACAAACGAGGAGCCTGTAGGTGCATTCATTGGGTCCACAAACTGATTCAGGAACGAGTCTAGATCGAAATCGCTGCCCTGCCCTGGCGTGCCAGCTTGCTGGGGTCCGGTCCCGGCGGGACTCGGTACTTGCCCAAATCCCGTGCTATGCTGAGAAAGGACGGAAGGCGCTGTCTCCAAGTGCGAAGAGGGCGCTTGGCTCGAGGTCGGGTTCGTCCAGGTTCCAGGGTGGCCAGAGGCGAGCTTCGCTGTTGACGCGGTGCCCGTCTTTGGGCCCGTAGCAGCCACCTGCGCAGGTCCTAGACGCAAGTTTTGGACCAACGTATGGATTTGATTCTGGAGATGATTCGTTTGGTCCATATTTGCTTGTGCCTCCTCGCTAATGCGCTGCACACTCCGCATCAGCTGCTCTGTAGACAAGGGTTCAGCCACCGCACCTGCTTTGCCCTGGGTGGCTGGGCCGCGCCATGTCGGCTCCATGGATGACAGCACATCGTTGGTCACAGGGTGCGTCTGTGCCGCCCCTGCCTCCATGGGTGCCATACTCTGCGTTGTAGGAGCCGCCCCGGCGGGCCTTGTGGATGACGACGGCTCCTGTGCCATCGCCGTTTGCAGAGCGGCCAACACTTGCGGATCCAACGCTTGCTGCTCAGCTGGTCCACCATCTGCGAGCATCGAAGAAAGCCAAGCATTCACATCTTGAGGCGACTTAGCATCCATCGTTGCACTGTTGGCCATGGGCGGCGAGGTTACATTCGACCATGTCACTGTCTCTGGCTGCGAAGCGTTCAGCGGGGTAGCTCGAGATGCCATAGGCCGCAACGTAGGCGAGTCAGGGAGAGGTCCTGAGATGCCGGTCCATGTATTGGGCGAATTGCCTTCCGAATCGCTGGTAGCTTCAGAAAATCGTTGGTCGTTGGTGGTGGAAGAAAGTGGGTTGCTAGTGGTATCCTGAGAAGCAGCTTTGTGCTGTGCCATTTGCTCGTCATAAGAGGTATCGCTAATAAGAAATCGTGCACGCTTTTGTGGTCGCACTGGTCCGCGCTGCTTTGTATTGACCGTGGTCGCATCCTGTTCTTGAAAACGATTCGCAGAGCCATCATCGTACGGTGAGGCACCGGCAAAGCCATTCATCGTAGCTAGCTCCGGACCCGTTACATTGTGCAGGATATCACCCACATTGGACGAGCCAAACACTCCTGCAAGGAACCGAAGAATGCGGTTGATGGTATCTTGTTGTCGTCGCATTTGCTGGCGGTTCTCCAAGCCTTGTTGCCATAGCGCTTGGTTCGAGTGTTGCAGCTTAGAAATCTCTTCAAAGATCGAATGCTGGTTGCTTTTGATATTTTGAATGGCGCCAAGAAGAGCAGTAAGCTGTACAGGCCCCACGACTTTGGTCAGATCCTGGGAATCGCCCCCCATAGTGTCGTACTCGTTACGTGTCAATGCACCACCTGTTAAGCTGTGCAAGGCTCGGTTTGTATCGTCCGACAAATGTTGTTGATTCTGCTCTTTGTCCTTCCCACTACGCTTTCGCTGCACTTTCGAAAGCAAATCAGGATGATCTCGGTGGAAGCATGGGTTGGTAAATTCCCAAAGCTCACTCTGAGATGGCTGGTCGGTCTTCAATGCACCTTGCTGCAAATGCGGCACCTTGTGGAAACCGTACATATTCAGCTGACGCACAAACGAGGAGAAGTTGTTGTGTTTGAAGAAGCGTGGAAGCACTTCATCCCCAAATCGGACATGGTTGGGCACTATGGTTAGGCGCGACAATTAGGCGTACGTACCGAGAAAAGTATCACCTGCTGGTGACCACCGAATCAGCTCATCGGTGTTGGGATCATCCACCATGCTGTTTGTGAGTCAATACATATACACACCTCCGTAGCTTGTTTAAAAAGGCTGGGCTACTCCGGTTCATGACGGCGGGTTGTGTCGTCTCCATATGCAACCTGGGTGGACCTACTTCTTTTCGCAATGATCCTGGCGTCTTCTGATTCAAAGGTGCGTATGCTTCCTTTGGATCTACAGCCTGGCCTTTGGGTAATATCGCACTACGAGGGAATCCTGACCCTTGTGCCTCCCAGCCTGGCATAAGCCTGCGATGTCCCTCACAGCGTTCAGCCAGGCGTAGTGTACATTATGTGGAGATGGCACGTGACTCATCGGGATGTGGCGGGATCTGGGTGGGAAACTATATAAAGGCCAACTTGTCCACATGGCCCCCCGACTTGTAGAGTGGCGTCTCACTGCAAGGTGTGGACAGTCATCGGAATAAATTACCGGGATAAGTCCTATGTCGACGAACGGCTCCCTTCAACTTCCCCAAGCACAGTCGAAGCCTTCGACAGCTGATCTTCCGACACAAAAGCCACTCTCACTCCCTACGAATCCGGGAAAGTCGGAAGCAGGCTCGACACTAACAGGAGATGACGACAAGTCTCTCGTGAAGGATACCCCCTCGGTGCCGGCACCAATTACGGAGCAGACACTTTCGAGTATGCATGGCATTGTGCCCACGTTACAGTGAGTATATGGTCTGCTGTTGTAGTATTAACATGGCCCAGGAACATTGTAGCCACGGTAAACTTGGAAGCCCGGTTGGACTTGAAAACCATTGCATTGCATGCTCGCAATGCCGAGTACAACCCCAAGGTATGCGAAACTGTTCCTTTGCCATATTAACACTGTGCAGCGTTTTGCCGCCGTGATTATGCGTATTCGTGAGCCAAAAACAACAGCCTTGATTTTCGCATCTGGTAAGATGGTTATCACAGGCGCGAAGAGTGAGGACGACAGTCGTTTGGCAAGCCGAAAGTATGCCCGAATTATCCAGAAGCTCGGTTTTGAAGCCCGCTTCAGCGAGTTCAAGATCCAGAACATTGTAGGATCTTGCGATGTCCGCTTCCCTATCCGCTTGGAAGGTCTTGCCTACAGCCACGGCGTCTACTCTTCATATGAACCAGAGTTGTTCCCTGGTCTCATTTACCGTATGGTCAAGCCCAAGGTCGTACTTTTGATCTTTGTGTCAGGGAAGATTGTGCTAACGGGTGCTAAAGTGCGCGAGGAGATCTATACCGCTTTTAACCTCATTCTCCCGGTACTTTCTGAATTCCGAAAGCCTTAAAATAATATGCACAATACCACGATCGTTGGGTATGTCGCTTGTCCAATGAATCAATCCTCTTGGGCCGGGGAGATTGTGGTTACGTATATACGTTATTTAAAAAATGTATTATGATGAATGGGCAGCTAGTTACTGAAAGTGACGGCTATCTGTAAAAAGTCTTAGATTCCTTTCACTAATGGAAATTTATACCAACATTCAGGAGCGTTGCATCCATCCACCTTGCTGCGTCGAACGTCGCGCCGCGCGTTCTGACGCGGTTGTGTTTGGACGACGCGACGCTGCCGCGCGACATTCGAAAACCATATCACGTGATATGCACAGTGCGTGGCCTTGCCAAGCCATCTTCCGAGCCTCGACGCTGCTGCTGCTGCTGGTCATGGCTGCACACGGTCTAGGATTGATGCTATCGAGTGTGCCTGTTCGGCATGGGGTTTCCCTTTTGGCCCGCTCGAGGGCGCCGATGCATTTCATGAATGTGACACGCGTCTCAGCTTTGACAAGTGTGGCAATGCCGCGCTATTTTTCGCTGGGAGGTCAGTCGTCGTACAACAATGAAGCTGCTCGCCAGCAACTTTTTTCGCAAGCACAGGAGCTGAAGAATGTTTCTGCGATAGCTTTTGAAGAAGGAAAGGAAACATCGTCGTCGGCTCTGGAAGAAGTCAAGCATCTCGGACAGTCTGTGCAGGAACGCGTTAGCCATGCGAACGAAGCGGTTACTTCGACACTATCGCAGGACGCTGATATGATTCACAAGGCCTCAGATTTTGCTACGAATGATTTGCAGGCGCATGGTCTTGGTGGTTGGACCCCTTCTGGTATGCTGCAGCATTTGCTGGATGGCGTGCAGTACTTGACAGACTTGCCCTGGTGGGCGACCATTATTTTGGTGACCTGTGGTATTCGTCTGGCGATTGCGCCGCTTCTTGTGTATGTGCAAGGCAATTCAATTCGTCTGTCCAACATTCAGCCCCAGATGCAGAGTCTGCTGAAGGAGCTGCAGTATGCCAAGTCGATGGGCAACCAGCAGGAAATGCAGGTGTCGGCCATGAAGGTTCGCAAGCTGTTGGCGGACAACAATGCGTCGCCCTTCAAGTCTCTGTTACTTCCTGTTGTGCAAATGCCGATTTTCCTTTCGTTCTACTTTGCGCTGAATGGCCTGGCCAAGGCACCGTTGCCTGCACTTACTACGGGCGGTGTAGCTTGGTTCCCTGATTTGACAGCCGCTGATCCGTACTATGTGCTTCCGATTTTAAGTTCGGCTATGACCTTGCTTGTGCTGGAGACAGGTGCGGAGACCGGCACGACGGGCATGAACCAGACGCCGCAGGCACGTATGATCAAGAATGTGTTGCGTGGTGTGACAGTGTTGGCAGCCTGGTTCATTTCCAGTTTCCCCTCTGCTGTACTACTTTACTGGACAACGACGAATACTTTCTCGTTAGTGCAGCTGCTGGCCCTGCGCACACGATTCTTTAAGCGCCTGTTGCGTCTGCCCGAGAAGATTGAGCACCCCGTGCAGCCGCATGTGAAGCAAAAGTCGTTCATGGAAGGCATTCGTGAGGGTATGGGTAGCAACGCCCGTCCTGCTACACCTGTTCGCCGCCCACCGCCGCCGTCGGCGCTTCGCAAGGCACAGGAGACGCCGCAGACCATGAGTCAGACCCGCAGCCGTGCGTTAGACTCGCTCATGACGGAGGGCGGCGCATCCAAAGCGTCCGCCACGACTGATGCAGCCCGTGAAGCGAGCAGCTTGGAAAAGCAGTCGCGTGTCGCTGCAGCGCGTGAACGCCGCCTGCGTCAGCGCTCCTAAATAGACCGCCGACCCTACAGATAGTTGGGAAGACAGGAAGCGCTTACGTGAGCGAGAGGGTCTTCCTGGCATGCGCGCGTGGCCTCTCTCAGTTAGGCGTTCGCAACGTTGGCACAGACCTTGATGGCAGAGCCGGTAATGCAGGAGGGCCCTGCAGCGGCGTATATGGCGTGTATGTATGCTTCATGACTAATGGAGATAGCTGTAGGTATGGCGCCGACCGAAAATCCCACGTCGTCTTTCCTGGCACGATTCACGGCGACGGCCAACGAGGCGTGGGCGTGGCTAGCCGAATCCTGGGGCTTGCGTTTCCAGGATCAGGCGTGTGCAGAGCGCATAACGCAGGATGACGTGCATGCAGCAATGAAAGAAGCTTTCATGGTGGACCAGGAACTGGACTCGTTTGCAGAGAAATTTCGGTACACCATTGCTACTTCGTACTTGCTTGCACCGACGTTGTCCATTTCCATGTATGGACGTCCCAACACGTCGAAAACTGATGCGACTGTGCTTCCTATGGGCCAGTCCAAGACGTATACGCTCCCGCATGTGCCGTTACACCATACTGTGCAATGTAGACTTGCTGACCAAGTACCTATCGTGCCTGTGGTCGTCGGCGCGAGTGTTCTCCTTCTCGCCAGTCTACTGCGTATACCACTGGCACCTGTCCTGCTAGCTTTGATGGCCCTTGATGCATCCCTGGTCAAACTGCAGCTCTCCAACCATTGGCAATGGCCACCGCAGGATATGGTGTTCGCCGTAGCGACGCCTTCAGCGATGCGACCTCACTTTCTCGCCGCATCAGTGCCTTTGCCCATCTGGGTCAAAGATGAGCGAATTCGACTGCATGTATGTCTCCTGCATCAAGCACAGCTTTTCGTCCAAGCGGCGCAACGTATGGATCGATGCATCAACAATGCACTGGCAGCTGTTCAAGAAGTCGAATTGGTCTCGCGAGGCTTTCCCTTGTCGTCCCCCTTGCCGCCTATTTCACGTATGGAGGCAGCTACCGCTGCTTTGGAAAGCACTCCAACGCCTGGTGCACGCCCCACCTACCCACAGCGCTTTCCACGTCTACGAAAAGCTATTGCCGATGCCGTGGAAGAAATGTCATTTCATTGCCGTACAACATCAGAGCGGCTGAACGCGACATGTCTACAAGAAGATCCATGTATTCACCATGGTCTTGTTACTGTACGACACAAGCCAGGGACTGTAAAAGCCGCTGCGCCAGCACCATCGTCGGTCGTCCCGCGGACCCTCTCGCTCTCTCCGTTTGCGACGCCGCCCCGCCCGGCTCCGCGACCGGGCTCACCAGAGAAAGCCATTCGACTTCGGCCACCTATGAGCGAGGGCCGACTGTCTGCGCCGCCTGTGCATGCTGGCACGCCGCTTCGCGCGCGGATGGCGCGTCCAAGCGACTCACCGTCGACACTGCACCAACCGTTGGACCCCGTCGATCGACTCGCGCTGGCCTCGCTCCGCCGTGGATTTGAACACATGCATACAATACGCCAAGCTCTCCTTTACCGTATTCTCTCTTTGGACCTATCGATGAAAACCGTGGGGGACGATCCTCAACAGGCCATGGCGTTGCATACATTTTGGGATGAAGAGGTGCTGCATGGCACCCTGATGCCACTGACCACACAATTCGATGCCATTGCCGATACTATGCAAGAAGCCCTTCAAAGCGAAGTGGCCCAAACCTCGCCTGTGGCGCCTTCACCGTCCTCGCTGCGCGCACATAGCCGTCTCGGGCCTCCCCTGGTAGAGATGGCACGCAGACTACGTGCATTGCAGTGCAAACTGTGTGTATGCGAAGACGAGCTGAATCTGTCTCTACCGCGTCTGCATGGCGAGGACGAAAATGATGGTGCGCCATGGCCTGCGGATGAAGCCTCGGTCCGCGACATGGTAGCCAGCATGCGGGCGGATCTGGACGCATTGATGCAGGCTTGGGAAGCGGGGTATGCCACCTTCCAAGCACCACCTCCACCGTCCTCCACCCGTCCACTATGTACGCCCCCGCCCATGTCGCCTACAGCTCTGCCTGCGCCTGTGCCTTTGACGATGGACAGCGATCTGTTGGACGAACCGGAGGAGTTTCAAAGTGGCGTTCTGTCATCCGATACCCTTGATGGTCTTCTTCGCGCGTCCACCTCGACCGCGCAACTTCCGCGTCCAGGTGGGCCGGAAGACGTGTACGAAAGTGAGCCGGCTCCCTTCATGCCCTCACGACCACGCTCGACCCAGTCACGCGCGGAGCGAATCCGCCTCGCACGCGAGGAGCGAGAGAAAGCATCCGCACAGCATTTTGATGCGCAACATGCCACGAACCCCTTTACGATTGTCAATGAACTTAAAAGCGTCCTTGAACGCCGGACTCATCCTGAACCTACGACGCCGCCGTCGCCGTCCATAGTGTCTTTCTCCTCTGCCTAGGTAGACCATGATACCATGCATGCCCTGCTGTGAGTGCCACGTGGCACAAACGCGTGCAGGAGCAAATCGCGCACGAGCTCCACGCGTGGGCGGCGCAGCGCGTTGAGGCTTCTCCTTGTCGACATGGCGGCGCCTGGGCCTGCGGTACGCACACTACGTGCTGTGCAGCCGCTTACGCAAGGGCCTAGCCCGGTAGAAGGTACGTCGGCATGCACTAGGGCCAACCGTCTAGATCCGTATTTGGAGGGTGGAGCACTCAACCGATACTACCTGTCGCTGCGCTCTGGGATTCCCTCCCAGGTAGACTGGGCCTTGTCACGCTTGACTGTGTACACGTACGACATGGCGGAAAAGTTCCTGCTTTCGCAGTTCCCTGGTATGGCCGATGCCCTGGCCGAGTATGTGCGGCGTTGGTGTGCTGCGAAGCGTGGTCTGCCTCGGTCGGCGTGGGATCAGATGCAGCGTGGTGAGCTTCTCAATGGCTATCGCATAGATCAGGGGATTGGCTATGGTGATGATGGGAGTCAGGGTCTTGCTCTTGCAAGCGTGCGTCTCACAGCCTCGTCATCCAAGGCACGACGGTTACGCGATCACGTTGCGTTCCAGCCACATGTCTACGCCCAGGACGCGGCGTTGGAACGACGCGCAGCCGATGCCATGCTGATCCTACGCAATCTTTCGCTCACACCTGAGAATGTGGCATTCCTTGCGCAAGTGCCAGGCATTCTTGAGCTGATTTGGCATACAGTCTCGCTGGACGATGTGGATGAATGCGTGGATATTCCACTGCATATGCTAGAAATTCTGGAATGCGTGGCACCGCATATGATGGTCAGCGACTGGGTACGTGAGAAGTTCGTACAAGCGGCTGCGGTCGATGGGCCCAAGTACTTGGAAGATCGCATATTTGCGCGCCTGTACGAGTACGTCCAAACGACCGACGATCGTGCGTACCTGCTAGGCGCCTTACGATGCCTTCGTGCGCTGGCCTCGCATCCTTCCAATGCGTCAGCACTCGCGGAAGTGGATCCGACATTGCAGCCTACGTCGCTGCAGCTCATGTCTCGCTGCCTCATGCTCCTGCCACTCACCCAAGATCCTGAGCTTCTCGAAGCAAGTTTGGATCTCTTATACCAGTTGGTGGCGATTGGCGATAATGCGCTAGCTCTGGGCTTGCAGCTCACAGCGCCGAGAACGCACGCGGTAGTCCAATTTCTCACACGGAACCTGTCGCTGGGCAAGTCGGTGTGGGAACGCGATACGCCGCTCACGGCGAACGCTACCGCTTGGTGGGCCCCTGACATTCCCAACATGGCCCGCATCAAGCAGCGACGTGAGATGGAGCTGCGTGAACGCATGACGGCCGAAGAACGCGCACGCTGGAAAGTCCTCCCTGCCGACGTCCAAGCAACCATCACAGCTATGCCGGAGCCGCAACGTGGCATTGAATGGATGAAAACGCTCTTTGAGCCAGACGCCCAAGGCGAAGTGACGCAGATGGACTTTTGGATTGCGTACCGCGATCAATTTACCCCGGCCGCCCAAGCCGGCGCAGCGCCGCTGCAGCCTGCTGCCAACTTGATTCGCAATGTATCGCAGGCGTTCCCAGGCGCGTCCGCCATGGTCATCCAAGGCGTGCAAGGCGCACAGCCGCGATTTGTCATTCGTGGGATTGCGCCGCGACTGCGCTACACACCGACCCCGCAGTGCCCGTGGCCAGGTAGCGCCCCTACTACGACATGGGCCGAAGTTCGAACGCAGCTTGAAGCCATGGTCGCCCAGACGACCGATGGCGTGTGCCGCTGCGTTGGATGTCCCTTTGTGGCGACAGAGGAGGAAGAGGAAGCACGGCGTGCCACTCTACGTCGCCACGTCCTAACGCATCTTCCGCCGCCTAGGGAGCCTGCGGATCGCGCGCCGTCCGCTGCGATGGCGATGTCCACGCAGGAGCATCCCGGTGTGATTAGCTTTGATGTGGAGCGCACACCCTCGGTCCCGACGGCTTTGCCTGGGGAGCCGCCGTCGCCATGTGGTGTGGCGTTTTTGTCGCTGCTCGTGCTTCGCTTCGTCACGCGTGCCGCTGCTGACGTGCTGCGTCGGCATGGCTACGGATGTCCGAACTATACCTATGGCGGTGCCATGGAACCTGTTCGTGCTGCCTCGGAGCGTGGCGAACTGTTTGGCTTTCCGATGGCGCCGTTGGCGGGCGGCGACTCAGCAACGTCCAAGGCGGACGGCGCGTCGGATCAGGACGAGCGGTGGACCAACGCCGCGATTCAGATCATGGAGGCCGTCGCAGGGGTGGAAGAAGAACTAATGGCCATTTCTCTGCGCAACGATATTCTATGCCGCCTCGCCAACGATACGTTGATCGCGATTCGGCCTCATATCGCGCCGGCGTCAGCGGCAGCTACAGAGGATATGTAGGTGCCATGAGCTATATAATACAATCTGGGTGTAAGCCTGTCCTGCTAGAGTGCAGCACGTCCATCATTCCAAAAAGTATCCGTCATGCAGATCGGCAGTCTAACATATGTGCATAGTCGCCGAAGCGAATAATCTTTTGGACGTGCTGGGCATGGCGTCATACGTACCTTAGGAAGCCGTGGATGCGCTGACATGGCGCATCACGATCGATTCACAGTGGGCCCACGCCTCAGCGGACTCTTGCTGGATCGCTTGAAAGGTGTGGACGTACGAGTCAAGCGCCTCGCGAATCTCTTTGACTTTCTCGCGCTCGAACCGCTCCATCTCCGTCTTGCAGAGACGCGATACTTCTTCAAAGCGGGTCCGATGCGCCGCACTGGCCAACTCCGCCTTGGTCACAAGACTCATGTGCGCATCCAAGTGCTCGTCGGGCCGCTTGGCCTGCTTGGACCGCAACTTGCCCAGCTCTTCGTCGGCCCGCTGCCACAGTTGCCATACATCTTCGCGGGCAGCAAACGATTTGCGGATACTGCCCGCTAACCGCTCGTACTCATACACGACCAAACCAAGCACATGCGCTTCGTGCTCCGCCAGGCGAAGAGAGGCATCGGCCGACTGCTTCTTGCGCTCTGCCAAGGCGGCAAAGCACGTCGATACACTCCGCGACAAGTTGCTGCTGGACAATGCAATAAGGGCATGGTACAACTGCGTCTGCGCACTCGCCAGCTCTTGGCGGCGCTGTGAGAGTGTCGTGATGCACGCCACAACCTCTTTCAGGCGCGACTCCAGCATGTCCAAGTAGGCCAGCTGGTGGGCAAACCAGTCGTCATGGTCATGGAAGCGGTACTGCTGCAACGCATGACTCCAGCCAAAGTACGCCTTATGATCCGGCGTAATCACACGACCCTTCTTCGCATCGCGCGTATGGATATCAGCAGAAAGATTCGTACTCTCCAGGAACAACATCAAATCCTCGTCCTTTTGCAAGAGAGGATGATGCAGGATTTTCGTCAATGCGCGCTCCAGCGCGTACCGTCGAAACTCGACGACATCCGGTGCAAAGCGCCCCAGCTTGACTTTTTCTGGTATAGGGGGCACAATCACACCTGGATGATTGCTCACCAAGGCCGCATGCAGCCAGCGGAAATCACTGTATCGACGTAGAATCGACAATGTCGGCTTGCTGAGCCATGGGGCATTAGACAGGATGCGGACCGTGTACACGACATGCGCTGTAACAGGGTCCCCTACACGATGCGGATCACTCACACTCACACGGAACGACAGCGGCGGCTCCGCTACATCAGCTGTTGGTGCTTCACTGGTAGGCGATGGCGTCCCATAGCTGGATGCATCGTTCGGCGCCGAAGGTGACGCAGGCGCGGATGTAGCTGCTTCGGCCTGGACCTCCGCTGGAGCCTCAGGCTGCTCTGCCGCCTCGTCTGCGGTGGACGTCCCCGCTGGCACCTCGGCTATCGGTTCTGCCTGTTCATCGACCTCGTCGGTTTTCGTCGTCGCAGGGGCCTCCGACGTCGTTTCTTCGTGCGGCGCTTCGTCCGTCTCAGCGGTATGGCCCTCCTGGGCGAGACGGGCATACAGTTCTCCCGCGTACGCCGTCCACCATGTTTCGAACGATACACAGGTGAGATCAAGTCCTAGCGCCTCTAATTCACTTGTATCCATCTTGCAATTCACAGGCCGCTTCGTCGCCGCTTGTGCATCTACATCGTAGATCGGCTCAATGTGCTGTGTGCCAGCTTTCGAGGCCTTGCACACTTGATTCCATACACGTGAGAGCACCAAGCACATATCGTACTTGGTCATGGCTTCCTTGGCCGAAAAATGCAAGGTCGGGGGCATCGCTGTATCCGTAGAAGTTGTCTGATGCTGTGCATACAAGCTCGCTAACTGCTCGAGAATGCGTGCCACGTCCTCGACGCAGGTAGGGTATCGAACCGCATGCGCATCCATACGTACAGGCACATCAGTATGCTGAACCACTGCCAGCAGGGTATTCACAGCCGATTCATTCATATTATCGGCCTTGCCGTACAATACAGGCACGCGCAGGTTGGTCGCCCTGCCTGTCGACGCTGCTTCTAGCACAGCCAGCTCGCCATCGCGTTTGCTTTGGCCGTAGGCATTCAGAGGATGGCATGCATCAGTGACACGGTACGGCGGACTGGTCCCGTCAAAGACATAATCCGTCGACACATTGATCAAATACGCTGGTGTCGGCAAGGAGCTGCATACGCGCGCCAATGTACGTGGCGCTTCCACGTTCAAGGCATGGCTAGCAGCAGGGTCTTTTTCTACGACGTCGGGGCGTCGTTCTGCGGCTGTGTGCAAGACCACGGCTGGCTGTACCTCCATAAGGAGCTGCTCGACGGCCGCTGTATCCGTCAAATCCAGGCGCAGGAGCGGGTCTGTGGCACGCTGCCAGGCAACACCGGTCACTAGTTGTGAGTACACCAGGAGGCGACATACCTTCGTGACCAGCGTCTATGCATGTCGTCATGACCGCGCGGCCTAAGAGGCCGGACGCGCCAGTGACCAGCACCTTCATGGTGAAGGTAGAGAAGACCGAAGCCATCGCTGACGCGGCTGGCTACCGCGAAACGCCAGCCAGCCTCCTTACGTAAGAGGTCCACGTCCATGCCGGCCAGTGAGAACGCGCAACGCTCGCAAGACGAAAGGCAAAAGGAAAATCTTCCTACGAGACACGGGGTATATACCTTGCGTAGATGTACGCAAAGAAGAACTAGGCTGTCAATCGTTTTGTGCCGGAGGGCACAGAGAGCATAATAAAAAAAGGGATCAACGCAGAAGCGTACGTGACCGAGAATGCGATGTACTCGAGATCGAGATCATAGAGTTTCGGATATTGGTAGCCAATTACACTGAACGTAAAGAGAGACGCTGTGGCGATACAGAACAATGCATTCATGACCACCAAGCAATGCGCAGTAGAAAACAGGAGCGCTTTGGAAGTATGGAAGCTGGGCTCAAAAAAGATATCCATGTCGTCAGGAGACACGTGGGATTTGCCGAAAATGAGGTCGTCCATGTTGGTAGAGAACGGTAGCTTTAGGTCCTTGGTATAGGCCTGGTAAATCCCATCGAGCCATGGGCCCAGAGTGAGAAATAGGACACAAATGAGCATAGAAATAAAGATACGACCACGGTACACGAGCGCACAACCAAGCGTGATCAGCATCCATATAAAGCTGCTTTTTCGGTAGCGCACAAACATAGGCACCATGAGAATTTTGTGTTTCGTGTAGCGTTGCAGCTGCTCGGTCCACTTCGCGACCAGGTGCTGCATCATGTACCAACAAAGGATCAAGGATATCTGCGTAAGCCGCCTTGTAACAACGATCCAGTCGTAGTCTTTGTTAGGGAACCACATAGCTGTAGCACATAGCCCGGATGCAAGAGCCGCCATCGCACTAAGGAAAGGTCGTCGTAACTTGACGGTATACGTGACAAATAGGATGGTGTACCCCGAAAAAACGTAGGCCCATATCAGGGCGAGTACCGCACGTAGGCTCGTCGAGGTGAGCCATGCCATCCTTGCAGGCGTCCTATGTCTGTGGCAGAAGCCTAAGCCAAGCCACGGCGGCCACAAGAAAAATGGAACGACGATGCGCAGCGAATGTCGCGACCGGCGTACGCTCAGACGCGTCGTTCCTTGCTTAGTCAGCGTCAACGACCTCGTGGAAAGGGCAAGGCACACATCCACGCGTTGTACCGTGCATGGAGGCGGCATGGGAGGCGGCGCTGCAAGCGCATACAGCCTCAGACGCTGCACAGGACGATCTATGGGCGTGGGTGATACGCGCATTTGATCCTCGTGCGCCTGCTGAGGCGACAGAACGACAACAACGTATGTGTAGTGTAACTAATCGCAGTGCAATCCTCCTTAGCGTCGCTGCATGGATGGGAAGACGAGTTGGGGACCTGGTTCTTGCGTATGTACAAGAATGCTAACGCTAGACTCTGTCTCTGTGGCGTATCACGATGTAGTATGCGAGGCGTTGACCTCTGTATCGCAGGCGTCCGCGCAGCAAGACGCCATGATTACCATGCTACAGACATGTGTCGAATGGATCCATACCCGCCAAGCACTGATCCCCGAACTGGGCTTGCCGTGTGCAGAGTATATCCCTGCCTTCTTTCGGCAGTGCAAAATGGTCTTCAGTGCAGCGTTGCCACCGGATATCCTGGATGTGATGCAGGCGCTGGTCGCCAGCAGGCTCACGTACGATGCCCACCACGTCCACCTTCGTGACGATGGCGTGCATATTGGTGCACATCTGCGTCGCCTGGGCCTTGATACCCTTGTTCAAAGTGCACTCACACACACAGCTACTGAATTACTGCAGAAAGCGACGGCGCAAGCCACGGAGGATGCGCTGCATCAAGGCGCGCATCACACCTCTGTGTACCCCATGCTACATACGTTACTGGAAGAGCAGCTCCTTCCGTCGTTAATGACGATGCTGGATGCAACATGTGAGGGGCCTTCGACTCAGGTCGTGCCTGATTGGTGGGATGCGAGCGTATCAGTATGGGATGCGGTGCCGTCCGTCCCCTCGCACGATCGCGACGCGCTGTACAAACGCCTGGACTACTCGCTTGCCCAGGCGGTGGGCCACCGCCGTGTGACACAGTTCTTTGCGCTGATTGGTACCTACCCACAGAGTCGAGGCGCCATGGACGACTTGGTGCTATGGCTGGAAAAGACAGGTGATCGAACGTACTTGGCCCAAACGTTTTCCGAAGCGCTGCACACACAGTTATTGCACCCTGGTGTGGATACGCATGCGATCTTGGTGTACTATGTGAATATGGTGTATGCGCTGCGCCTCGTCGACTCGACAGGCGTCGTGTTATCGCATGTGCTGCCACCTGTGCAGAAATACCTACGCCAGCGAAGCGATACGATCCAGGCGGTGGTGCATGCATTGCTAGGCGACGATCCGGCCTTCGAACTCTTGCGTACGGAGCTTGAGCAGGGCGGAGGCGAAAGCGATATGGCCAATCCGCTAGGCGCCGAAGCCGACGAAGAGCAGTATACACGCACGGAGTTTTGGCACGATCCGACATGGATGCCACGACCCGTGGATGCGGGCCCTGAATTTAGCCAGATGCGATCGCGTGATGTTGTGGGTTTGTTGGTGACGATTTTTGACGATCACGACGGGTTCCTGCAAGCGTTGGAGCGACATACGGCGCAGTTGTTGGTGCGTACATGCCACTACGACACTGCGCGAGTCCAGCGCAACAATGCCATTTTCAAACGACGGCTTGGCGAGAGCAGTTTGCATCACTGCGATATTATGTTGGCCGATGTAGCCTTCTCGCAAGCGTTGGATCGAGCCTACCACCGCGACAATTCTGCGTCTTCGATGGACCAGGCAGTCCACCCAATGATTATTTCGCGGCAGTTTTGGCCGGACATGGAGATGGGGACGTATACGCTGCCAAACCGTCTCGCAGCAGCGCTGGACACCTTCGCTGCGTACTATGCCAAGGCTCATCCCACGAAGCGCGTACGGTGGCTGCCCTACCTTGGCACAGTCGACGTGGACATTGAGCTGGCCCAGGGCCGTTGTGTGCACGCTCGCGTTACGCCGCTGCAGGCGGCCGTGGTAGAACTCGTGGCTGGCCTCAGCGATGGAAGCGAATCGACGTCCATGATGATCACGGCCGACAATGTCGCGACGGCGCTTCGTATTGATCGCGAAGCTGCCTTGGCAGCGCTTCGATTTTGGTGTACACATGGTCTATGGCGAGAACTACCTGCTCCGGCAAGTGGATCGTTTGAGTTGGAGTAATTATGGCTGGGCAGGTGTGGATGTGACGCCCAGCACGTAGGGCAACAGACTGCATTCGCGCGTTGTTCGAACGATTTCAAGGCCTGTGCCCACACGGGGGCGTGGACGACGTCGAGCGTCGTTGGTATCGTCGGTAAGCAGCGCCGCATCTAGGACGAGCATGCCTAGACTGCGTATGTCCAGCTCGGCCTGCGAGAGGGAACGTGCATGCGCTTGAGCCGCATCGATGCTGGTCTGTAACAGAGTGGAAATGTGACGTGCACTGGTCGAATTGGTCATGTAGAATGTCGACGTGTGCCGCTGGCCATGCAAGGGCGACGTATGGACCAACGATACGGTCGGCCGCGAAGCACCTGACTCCGGCAGCACGGACCAATGCCGCGGCAACGCTTGCCAGCCAGGACGTGGGACGTGGCCGGCGTACAAAGGCGCGTGGCGGCCGGTACGTATCAGCACCACATCATGAGGGCCTGGTGTCGTGGGGCAGATCGTGCATTCAGCCTCCGCCGCATGCGCGAACGACAACACAGGCGGATCAATGTAGAGCCCACGACCAACCAAGCGGACGCGCAGCTCCGGATCAGGCGCCTCGATACGCACGCGGATCGGCGCGCTGGGCATCCCCGGCGCGAGACCGGTGGAGAGCGGCGCTGGATCAAAGGAAATAGTACGTAGCGCCTCTTCGTCGGTGCTCGGCGGGAGGAGTGGCGACGTGCGTATGCTCATGTACATAGTACTTAGCTCCTGATCACGCAGCACACGCCCGGGATCAAAGGCGCGGCACCGCGCCATGAACGTATCGAGCGATGTCTGTGTCCCTGTCGGTGCAAAGAGGCCAGAAGTGTTATGCCACGCATCGTTGAGCGCCATCAACGACAAGGTCAGCTGATGGACCAAGTCGAGCGTGAGCGACGTGGGCTCGGTAGCATGATACGCATACCAGTGCACGGCAAACGCATGCAAGAGTCCATCGAATGTACGACGATCGGCCGGCCAGCACACGTCAAGAAGCATAGCACGCAACGCCCAGTCTAGCGGGACGCCGCTCGTCTTATGCTGCGCAACGTACGCCTCCAAGACATCGGCATGGCGGTACAAGAACCGCGACACAGCCCGTCGATCCAGCGTCGGGCACGCAAAGAGCAGCTGCGCTTGCGTGGTGGGCGGCATAGCATGCTGTGCAAGGCGTGTCATGGTGGCATCAAAATCCGTCTCCAGCGCCGGGCCATGCCAACACAGCAACGCCTGGATCTCTTCTTCGCTGTGCGATGAATGCTCTTCCAGCGTGGTCGACGCAAGATCCAGTACGGCAAATGGTGTGCATGCCTCGCCCAAATCCGGTAAGCTTTGCAGTTTACGCAGCATGTACTCGGACAACGACTCATTCTCCGTTGGAGTGATCGCTGGCTTCGCCAACACAATCACATCGGAGAAAACAAGCACGTACCGCAGCTTGACATACTCATCGCCAGCCGCTTGCAGCAGTGGGATGACACGCAAGAGCCGACGGGGCGGCTCCAGCGCAAGAATCAACGGAATGTCGGCTGGGAACTGAGAGAGCACGTGGCGCACAGGCCGCGTCAGCGTTTGGTTCCAGCGCATGAGCGCCGCCGGGGTGAGGGGCAGTGTCACGACCTTTTCATGGATCAGGGCCTCATTGCTCTCGCCCAGAAGCACAAGCGAGGCCAGACTCGCTACCTCGTTCTCTTTCTGCGCACGACGCAACGCCGCCAGGCCCCGCCTAGACGTCTTACGACGTAACGAGCCAAATAACCGCACTACACGCGCTTCTTTCTTCTCCTCCTCCGTCTCGTCATGCATTGCACTACTCACACTGGCCGTGCGTCGATGAAGAGGGGCCTCAAGTGACGTCTCCGCCTGTGGCCACGTCGACGTAGGCTCGGGAAGACGAGGAAGTGGTTTGCTGCGGGGTCGCTCTCCTGACGAGGCCGCCCACGCTGCGTCTGTCGTAAGGCCGGGCGAGACGCGTGGGACTTCAGCGCTGAGTGCCACAGGCAACGCCGGCGCCGGCACGCCAGACGGTATCGATTCTGAGGCGGAGCGCCACATGGGCAGGGGTACAGGTACCATCGGCGTGACAGGCGTCGGTGGAGTCGGCAAGGTCGGCGATAAGTAGGCCAACGCAGACCCTGACTCGGGCTCACGCAGACGCGGCGAGGTAGCCGAATGCAAGGGCGATCGTGTGGTGCCTGACGGCGGACGTCGTGGTGAGCGATGAGGCGACGAGGGCGCAGACGATGAGGGCGAGGCGGTACGTACTGCCGTGCGCCCCGAGATTGATCGTGTAGAGCTGTTCGAGCCACGCTGAACTATACGCGTGGCAGAGGCGTTGGGGGTCCGAGCAGCCAAGCCATCCGATGACACGCGGTGAGGGGCCAACGTGGCGCTCGAGGGCATACTCACGCCCAACCCCACCACGCGAGAATCGCCTGGGTCAGGGAACGACTCAAGCCGTGACGCTTTGCTGATTTGGCTGGGCGGCGAGACTGCGGCTGTGGTGGCCGGCGGCTTGGTAGGGCTCGCACGATCGTAGTCGTACAAGCTCAGGCGCCAGCTGGATGTACTCGCCGAGTCACGCGCTTGGGAGCTGCTGTCATCAGAGAAAACGGAGACCGTGGCATTGCCGGTATCAGATGCACGAGGCGAGGTAGGCGCTGGTGCTGGCGCTGGCGCTGGCATCGCAGGCCGCGTCTCACTAGCATCGCGATCACGTCGCTTATCAATCTTGCGAAACATACGCAAGCGAGCCACATCGCGGGCAGAGACACTGCGCATAAGCGTCGCGCGTTTAGGATCGCGCGAGGGGCTGGGACGCAGGCCGTCCACGGCTACATCGGCGCTGGGCGCCTCAGGCTCAAGCTCAGAGGGGTTCTCTTGACTGCCTTCGGAGCGGAGTGATGTATCAGGATCCATGCCACTGTGTGCCTCATTGACACTGCGTACAAACGCAAACATGTCATGGTACGGCACAGGGGTCGTGGCGCCAAGAAGTTTTTGCATGGTATAGGCACGAGCCATACGTGACGTAGCACTCGCACTAGCCGATCGAGACAGGCCATTTCTCTTTCGTTCCTGGAGAATACGTTGCCGAAGCTGCTCGAGCGAAGGCAGAGGCGTGAAGGTGGTAGTAGGTGCCGTGGTAGTAGGCTCTGTCGCCTCAGCTCGTCCCTCCAGTGGCCCTGACGTGGGTCGCGGCGGAGGCGAAGGGACAGCGGAGCTCGGCAACACGCTCGGCGTCGGCACAGGCGCGCTGGGTGAGGCATGCCCGTCCGCATGGGGCGTCGAACGTGGCGAGGCAGCACGAATTTCACGTTGCGAGGCGGCTCGACGAAGCCTTGCCACGGCATGAAGCCTAGTAGACGACGGCGCTAATGGTGTAGAGGCCGTGGGGGCAGCCTGCGGTGTACTAAGCCCCCCTGCCGTTGGATTTGCCTGGGCATCCACCCGCATAGCCATAGTCTTTTCACACACGTCAAAGACGCTACACGGCACCACGACAGAAAAATACTCGGATTGCGGGGCGGAGGCTGTGCGTGCAGAGCTTGCTCGATCGGCCAGCAGCGCTCCAAATCGGCCAGGGGGCACGGCCGACCGACAGCTTGGGCGTAAAAAAAGTAAGGGGCCCTACTAGGCCCTATGTCACCTCCACCTGCCTCTCCTGGCCGTCGGGCGCAGCGCACGATCAGCGGCACGTTGACACACCTTGCGACGCCCCTACAAGAAGTTGCGAGTGCAGCGGATGGCAGCGCCGGTAGGCGACGTCCGTCAATGGCCGCAAGGTGCCGTATCGAATTGGCTGCATCAATGTGGCTTGGAGCAGTATGCTCAGCTGTTTGTCGACAATGACATTGATGGCGAGGCGCTGGTGCTGATGGATGACGCGGTGCTGCGTGATCTGGGCATCACGTCCATCGGACACCGTGTGACGCTCCTCTCCGAGATTCATCGGCTCAAGGAAGCAAATGGCATCCCTATTGAGCCAGGTGACTGGATTCCGCAAGGTACGTACGCCGCGATGAGCTCATGATCGAACGTAGGCTACGAAGCACCCACGACGCAGCCTGCGCCTTGGAAGCGTGATGAACATGAACAAGGTGCGCACAAGCCTACTAACCATCAGAGGAGCGTATACGGATGCTGGAAAACCGTGTAGCGCAGATGAGCACGTCGCTTTTGCGTCTGCATGAAGACTTGGTGGCCTTGGCGCGCGCGACAGGACGTGGCGATGTCGTGCATACGGCCGTGTGGCAGGATCCCTCGCTGCCTTCACAACGCCATTCCCAGGTACCTTTTCCGGATCCTGTGCCGATGACTGCGGCACCCACAGGCGGTGTTAGCGCGACCCCCGCATCGACGCTGGCCTCGCCCGTCTCGTCCCGGCCATGGACGGCGGAAAGGAGCACGCCATCCCCACGAACGCATGAGCCCTTTGCGCCTCTTCTTGATGCGGTGTCGTCGTACTTACGCGCCCGCGGTGTCGCAGATCCCCCGTCCGTGGTGGTGCGAGAGCACCATGGGCATGTGGACGACTCGTGCTCCATATTGCTGCCATACGCCCTGCAATGCTTCCATGTCCGTGAAGATTGGCACCAGTTTGTCCTCTTTGTCGTGGCAGGCACGACGGAGCGGTGTATATCCTACGACGAGAAGCCGCTCTTACTCCTCCATCGCATGCGAGAAACGATGCCCGAAGCTGTGTTGCAGCTTCGGTCTGTGTGTGAGTTGGAGTCGCCCATGATTATTTCGCAGCGCAAACTGGTCGCCAAGCGCAAAGAACGGAGCCTCTCTGAACCTCTGAAGCATGAAGCGATGCGTCTTCGTGCTATGCCGCCCGATGCACCGTCCCAACCGGGCTTGCGGGTGTGTACGGTCCAGGCATGGCTCAGTACGCCGCATGGCGCCGAGTCGTTGGGCACTGCCCACACAGTGGGTCCCGCTGCCGACTTGCCGCGTGGGCCTGTTTCGTACGCGGTAGCGATTTACCCGTACGAGTCAGAGCGTGAAGATGAGTTTGACGTGCACGTAGGTGATACGTTCATTGTCCTATCCAAGGCCAAGGGATGGTGGGCGTTACGTCGTGACTCTGCGGCGGATGGACGTGGCGATGTATGGATTGCGGATGCGGCGCATGGCACCGTCGAAGTGTGGACGGGGTGGGTGCCTGCTGGGTGCCTGCTGGAGACGACGCGGCCGCTGGTGGACTTTATGCCGCCGTTGCAGTCGCCACGCCCAGCCACGGAATCGATGCTTGAGTATTGGTACCGCATGATGATGGAAGTCCCGATTCCGCTGGCGGTGGTCGTGAGCACAAGTACCATGGCGACAGTGCTTATGGACTACGAGACGCCTGATCATTCTTTGCAGGTAAGGACGGGTGACCGTGTACGTGTATTCAAGCGATACAATTTCTGGTCGTACTGCATTCTAGACGGCCTTCGGCCTGTGCGTGGCTGGCTTCCCAGCTGGATTGTGTCGCGCCGTGGCGGGCCCATGACGCCCCATAATCGTAGCTTTAGTGCCGGGGACGGAATGGCACGTACGACGACGTCCAAGTGGCTTCCGGCGCGTGTACAGATGGCGCCGGGCACATCACATAGCATAGGGCCGTAAATAGGCAAGCAGAGAAGACTTTGGGATTCACTCGTCTCGGCACCTCCACCATGCAACAACGATCGACGTGGCGGGGGGTGAGTTTCGCGCTGGTCACGCTGGCGACGCTGGCCGCGGCGCATGGGGATCATGCGCACAAGCCGACACCGCAGGAAGCCAAAGAGCCGATTGACTTTTGGCTGTGGCTGCATATCGCGATGGAAGCGAGTGCGTGGGCTGTGTTGTTCCCGTTGGCGATGGTGTTTGGCCTGGTTCGTCACCGCTGGCACGTACCGCTCTCGACGGCCTCCGTGGTGCTGTCGTTGTGCGGCTTCTTCTTTGGGCAGCACCACGGCGGCCGTCAATTTAGTCATAGCGTGCATGGCACGTTTGCATCAATGCTCTTTGTCTTTTTGTTGGTGCAGGCGTTCTGCGGGATCTACTTGAAACTGCATTTGACATGGAAGCGCGAGAAGCAGGTCCGACCTGTGATCCTAGGTGTGCATGGCGTACTGGGCCGCGCCTTCCCAGTGATTGGATGGACTCAGATGGTGTTTGGCATCGCGACGATGCAGGGGTGGTGTCGCGGTGGTCATATCAACCAGTGCTTAGCGCACTACATTATGGGCTCGGCGTTCACGGCGTACGCGGTGATTATGCTGATCATGACCAAGTGTGCTGTAGAATGGCTCAAGCGGCGTGGGTTTGCGCAGGAGTACTTGGACTCATGGGTCATTCTGATCTGGGGGATCGTGAATACCTTTACAGAGCACCAAGGTGGGCCATGGACACACAAAGATTTGCAGCATACGTTGATGGGCGTGCTATGGTGGACTGGCGGCGCAGTGGGTGTGTGGATCAGCCGCCGCGGCGCCCGCTCAATCTTCCCTGCGGCGATCATCTTCCTTACAGGATGGGCGATGAGTGGGCATGCGCAGGCGTTGGAGATCTCCACGCGCGTTCATGCGACGTTTGGGTACACCCTGATGGCTGGCGGGATTTGCCGCATTATTGAGATTTGCTTTGTGCTGCACGATCAGCCGACCGGCGTACGTGAAGATCGCGCGCCGGAACGAGGCGCTTGGTTCCCGATGCATGTGTTCCAGTATTTGTACGTATGCCTGCGACTCACGACAGACCGCCTTTCTTGTTGGTATGCGGTGGCATTATGTTTATGAGCGCCACCGACGAGGAAATGCGCTGGGCCGATAGCAAAGGCGTGGACTATGTGACATGGTCGATGATCGACTTGTCGGTGGCCTTTGCGCTGTTCTTCTGGTTCAAGTACGTATGCTAGCGCTTACACACAGTGTCCTCATCGATGCATACATGGCATACGGAGGTCGGTACGGGCTGGTCAACGCGCCTCAAACCAGTGAAGAGACGCCCATGTCAGCGTACTGGCCCGGGAATCCGCTGCAAATGCTGCGGTCCGCTACAGCCTCGCACATACCTGTGCCGAGCGAGCCCGCCTACGTGCCAGAGACGGTGCCTATGAAATCCTATCATGACGACCAGGTTCACGTCCTCGAAGAAGACGATCCATTCGAGGCGGAGAACGATCATGACGATGTAGCGTAAAAAGAAAAAGCCAATGCAAACAAGCAGGAGGGACAAAACACCTTGTGGGTAGAAAAGCTATACATATTAGTTCGACGGGAGATGCACGATGTGGTCTGCCGAGCCATCTGACAAGGCAAACATCGGCGGCGGTGGCACGACATCGTGCGAAGGCCGCGGGGCGGGCGCGGACGTTGTTGTCGCCGCGGCCGCCGTCGGCACGGCCGTATCGGTCTCACTCGCAGCAGGTCGCGGGACAAACACGGGCGTCGGGCCAGGCACTGGCGCTGGCGCTGGCGCAGTGGTCGTGTGGCTGGGCTCTACAGCGCGAGGCGGCTCGATCGGAAGTGGCACCGTCTTCACTGGCTTGCCAGGCGGCGGGAGACTCGCCGCTGAACCGTGGGCATGGACCAATCCATCCGCGCCAAGCACCGGCATAGCATCCAAGGCAGGCGGGCCGTGCCGTGTGGGCGGCGTTCGGACGAGTTCCTGGCTCATATCCGCATCAGACGACATCGTGGCCAGGGAAGGTTGCGGCTGCTGCGGCATGGCCGGCGTCACTTTCGATGGAGTCTGGGGAACATGCGGCATCGCACGAGCGTCGACTGTCGCCGGTCTCGGCCCGCCCTGTTCACGCAGGAACGTGGCTTTCGGGCGGGGCGACGCTGGCGACGCTGGCATCGCAGTCTCACGTGGAGGCATGGACTGCATCGGCATGGCTTCCCGAGGAGGAGCAGACTGTGTGGGCATGGACGGCTGCCTGGTCTCCTGTGAAGGCATAGGCTGTGTCGGCATCGTCCGTGACGGCTGCGTCGGCATAGTTTGCGATGGCTGTGTCGGCATCATCTGTGATGGCTGCGTCGGCATCGTAGGCTGCGATGGCTGTGTCGGCATCGTCTGTGACGGCTGCGTCGGCATCGTAGGCTGCGATGGTTGTGTACGCATGCCACGCGATGGCTGCATCGGCATGGACGACGAGAGAGACGAGGCCATGGACGCCATCGATGGCTGCGAAGGCAGGGCATGGGAGGTCGGCGCAGGATGGGCTGCAGCCATGCCCTGCTCGTCCGGCAGAATAGGCAATGGCGCATCTATCCTGCCAGGCAGCGTCTCCGGAAGCACCTCGTCCGACGCCATCATGGGCGTCGTGGCGGTATCCGTAGCTGCCTGTGGTTTCGTGGCCTTCTTGGTAGCACGACCGCCAAAGAATGAGCGCATGGACGGCGGCAACTTGGCTACGCCTTTTTGTGTCCCAGCCTTGACGCGCGACGACAAAGCGGTCAAGCCGCCCAGCCCCGCAGCCGTAGCGCCAGCACCAGCACCAGCCTGTACGCCAGGAGAGGTCGCGTGCTTGGACTCCATGTCCGATTCAGGCTCTGGTTCGGGCTCCGGCTCAGGCTCAGGCTCAGGCTCAGGCTCAGGCTCCGGTTCAGGTTCAGGTTCAGGTTCAGGCATACGTGTAGGCTGGACAGGGGCCGGCAGGGGGAACAGACCAGAACCATCGCGCGCAGGCTGAGGTACAAAGACGTGCGCCGCCTTGGTCACGCGCTTGGGCTGCGGTTGCGGTACCGCTGTCGGCGGCTCAGGCAGCGGCGGATCAATCAGCTCAATGCGTGCGAGTTCGGCCATCGCAAAGTCCCACACAACCGGCGCGACGTTCTGCTCATGCAGCGCAGTCAGCATTGCGACAGAGTTGGGATCACGGCCCTCGCCATTTGCGTCCAACGAGTACACACCACCGCCGACACGACCTGTTGTCGAGACGGCCAGTCGTAGGGCGGGGGACAAAGGAATGCCACGAGCCGAAGGCACGTCCTCCAGCGTCAAGTGCGTGTACCGTGCCGTGGTACACAAGAAGGTGTACCGCTCACCTACCTCTTCCAACGGCACTTTGCGACCTGCTGAGAACGAAAACAAACGCGAAAAGGCGCCCATCCCTGCAGGCAAGGATTTGTGCAGCGACGTAGACACAAAGCCAGGGAAACTGTGTACAAAGCTCACCTCCGGCGCCAGCTCGGCAAAGTTCTCCAGCGTGAGTGTCATCATCGAGCTCCAGTGAGGACGGTAGTGCCATGGCGAGAGCTTGTTGCCTGGCAAATCGTTGATCTCCAACTTGCCTTCTTTCGAGCCTGCCAGTACCACGACGACACGACGCAAATGCTTCGCAGCCCGCAGCTGCGGAAGCAGGTTCTGAATGAAGCGGATTCGGCTAAAGTAGGAGAGAGCCGTAATGACACGCAGGCCTTCCTTGGTCTTGGTGTACATATCCATCGAGCCCTGACTCTCAAAGAGCACATTGATGGCCTTCTCACGCTCCACCAGCTCACGACATACATCGTCCACTTGGCGCATGATACTCAGGTCACCTTGGAGGAAAATGTACTCGCCATCTGGGTTGATGCGTTGCAGCTCGTCAATCACAGCCTCGGCTTTGGGCTCCGACCGAGCGACCAGATAAATGCGGGGGGTTTGTGCATACTTCACAAACGTGCACAGCGTAGAGTAGCCAATGCCGCTCGTGGCACCAGCAAATACAGCCACAAGGTTCGGAGGAAGCTTTGCTCCGATCTGCCGATTGGAGGCTAGGACCTCTGCCAGTTCGACCATCGTGGTCGGAGGTACAAGAGAAGGTGACGTAGATGTTCGCGCACCTCTCCGCCTCCTCCACTATGCACGTGCATACGCTACCAACACGAGCGGTACGACGCAGAAGAAACGTCGGCCTCGGTCACTGGGCAGGCAACACGTCTTTTCGTCTTGTGAGATATAATAGGATCTAGGCATGCGAAGAACGTGCGGCTGCTGTGGGCCTAGGCCAGCACGTTCGAGACACAAACGAGGAACAAGGAAAAGGTGGTCATATGCTTCGCTACAAAACATGTAGTGGGGTCTATAGGTATGGTTGGTAGGCTGGTGTATCCTACGAGAGAAACACGTCTCCTAGTCTGTGCAAACTGTGCCCTTACAGAATTCATGGTGCAGCGTGTAGACTAGGCATGGTGAACGTAATAGTGCAAGGTCCCTCAAAAAAATTGGCCCGATGTGGAGTTCGGCCACCTTTTCACGAGATCGCTTACGACACCTTCGTCCTTCGATCTTCCTACTTTATCGCCACCATGTTTCGCAACCTATTTGCCTCTTTTGCGCATACGGCGCCATTCCGTGCGGCTGCATCTATGGCCCCGCGCCGTGCTTTGATGATGCAGCGTGTGGCCTTGCCTGTGGGCGCGCTCCTTACTGCGGTGGCGTGGACCGCCACGCAGCCTGTGCATCTTCAGCCTGCGTCCGAACGTGGCTCCTTCGTTGACCGTCTCAAGCCGCGTGAGCCGCCTGCTATTCGACGCGCAGAGAAGAAGATCGTGAAGGAAGAGGACGTTGATGATGTGCCGGAAACTACAGAAGCCTCATCTTTGGATGACGACGCACAGTCGGCGTACGACGAAAAGACAGGCGAGATCAACTGGGACTGCCCCTGTCTGGGCGGTATGGCGCACGGTCCTTGTGGTGAAGAGTTTAAGCAGGCCTTTAGCTGCTTCGTATTTTCGGAAGCTGAGCCCAAAGGTATCGATTGCGTCGACAAGTTTAAGCTCATGCAGGACTGCTTCCGCCAACATCCTGAAGTCTACGCGGACGAAATCGAGGCAGACGAGGCGTACGCTGCTGAGGCCGCGGCGGAGCAGGCCCCATCGGCATCGAGCTCGGAAGCTACAAGCTCATAGATTTCATCTATACCATAGCTGGCCATACATGCGTCTCCATATCCCATGACGTGGTCGCGATCATACCAGGCTCGAACAATGACCATGCAATGCCCACCACAAATTCACGGTGGCCTGTGTACACCTGCCGTGGCTGATTCACCATCGGGACTTGCGCTGCGACGCCAGCTCCCTCTGTACTCCAGATCCGCGCTGTCATATCGTAACTCGCACTCGCTACGATATCAGGTTTGTGGGGTGACCATGCCACGCCACGAATGGCGTATTGATGCCCGACCATGACACATGTCTCTGGCACCATGCTCTCGCCTTGACCGCGCGCTTCCCATACCTTAATCGAGCGGTCTGTACCTCCTGTGGCTAGTGTCATAGGTCGATACTTGTTCCAGTCCAACGCAAGGACTTCACCACCGACCGACATCGTCGATACAGGTCGGCCCACCTGCCGCGTATCAAAGATATGGGCCGAGCCATCTGCCGATGCTGTAGCCAACAAGGTAGGGTTGTGGGGCGACCATGCACATTTGTATACACACGCACCATGCGCTTGAATGGTCTGGATCGATGCGGGTCGCTCTGGATGCCACTGTCTGTTAGACCCGTAGGACGTACAATTTTTACGAGACCGTCCCAGCTACTGCTGGCGAACAGATCCTTTTGTATATTATTCCAGTCCAATGAAAAGACTTCACGTCCATGTTCCGTCCAGTTGCGAATAGGGTGATCCTAGGGATAAGCCAAACTTTATATACATACGTTCAGAGAGGCATCCCACAACTTGATACTGCCATCACCACACGCTGACGCAATTTGGTTTTCATGGATTTCCGACCAGGCTATATCGAAGATGCCATCTTGTGTATCGTAACTGAACAATGTTAGTGGCACTGCCTACCCACATTTTTGTTTGTGCTGGCGTCGCACCAAACAAGTGCAATCGCCCATTGCCCACCAATCCATACTTGATCGTTAGCACACTGCCGGAACATACATTCGCCGAGCTTGCTACCGCTAGCCTATCGGGAAAAAAAGGGGACCATGCTACATTGTATCCCGCAAACCCTTGGGTAGGATACCGCTTGGCCGCCGCCATGGGGCCAGGTCTGTGCATGGCCATCGTCTCCACGTGGATCGCAAAGACTAGGAGCGCCGCCCATCTGAGTACTCCACTTTTGGAATGAGTCAGGGCGGAATTTACGCATTCCCCGCATTAAGAGGTCGCCACGTCAGGTCTCTTTAATGCCGTGGGCTCTATTCGTCATGTAGGCCAAAGCTCAAGTCACACGACTACGTGAACTACCGCCGAGCATATAGCCTATCCACACCAAACTCTTAGCATCGTTTTCATTCTATGGGCTTCAATTGGAATACTATCGCCCAGTCTTTCCCAAATGAACGACTCTCTTGTTCTCTAGCGAATGTACGCACGCATGTTTTGTTTCCCCCAGTGCACGTTTGTTTTGATGCAGACTCTCTTAAGACCCCCTTACTGTTTTCGTATATCGACTCAGCCCTACTTGGATGTCTTCAGGCCAATCGTACCACGCACATCAAACGAAATTTTCCTGTTTTTGTCTGACGTAAACACGACTGACTTTCATAGTCATCAATGCGTCCAAAATAAAGCCCAGCAGCCGATCGGGGAGTACGAGCCTCCACCCATTCGCAGGGAAAAATAAAACCAGTAAATAACCACGTACTTTGCACGTGTGTCCTGTAGCCAATAGATCTTCACGCATTCAGCTACGTCCATATCCATCTTTGGAAATGATGCACGTAATTCTAGCCGTGCGAAAGAGAAGCAATGATGAGAGGTCAACGTGCGCACTCTGTACTGCCCATTAGGTTGATTTGTAGATGTTATGAAGTGTGCTCTGTGCGTGGTCTAATGCGGCGTTCCCCCTGAGAGCAAAATATGCTTAGTATCTGGCGTTAGCACATGGGTGTGTGCTGCACGTTCTGCAAAGCAAGAAAGAAATATAAGACCGCGGGAACTATACGCCCGCCCCTCACCGACTAGTTCTTCCTGGGCTGCGTTGTGTGCCCTCAAGACCTTTGTCACCATGTCGGCTACCAACCAGGAGTTTGCTGACAACTACATTCACCATAACTCGGAGCCGCTTGGCCTTCGCCAGGCGCAGGCCGTAGACGCGGGCCACACTGCTCCCGTGCCGCAGCCTACCGCTGAGACTCCTCTTCCTACCGTGGGCTCGGAGCCTTCAGCTACCAACATGTCGGATGCTACTCGCTACGCTCCGGAGGCCACCGTCCCGACCCTCACTCACGGTCACGGTGTTACAAACATGCCTCACCATAACATGTCGCCTGAGGCTCAGAGCGCTTTCAACGAGATTCTCTTCCCTCGCGACTCGTACACTGAAAACGGCACTTACTGGGCTGACCTTCCGCTCGGCGAGAAGTTGCGCTTCATCAACAATCAGTCGAACGCCGAGGCTCGTCGTGAGCTCGGTGTGATTGGCCGTATGATCAAGAAGGACCCCTTAAGCGTCATCCGTGCTTACTTTGGCACCTACGTCATCAACGGTCTGGGTATGTTCGTCGAAGGTTACACTCTTTTCTCGGTCGGTAACTTGAAGCCCATGTTTGCTGCTACCGACCATGCCGGTCCGAACGGCAAAGGTACCCATACCAGTCAGTTCTACCGCTGCTGGAACAAGCCTGACCCGAAAAAGGGCGACACCTGGAAGCAGATTTGTGACAAGAACTGGCAGAACGCTATCGACTACCTCGAAATTGTTGGTATTATTTGCGGTCAGATTCTCGTCGGTATTGAGGGTGACTGGGTCGGCCGTAAGTTCGGTATGGTCCAGGACGCTCTTATCATGACGCTCGGCTCGGTTATGCTTACGGCTATGTGGGGTACTACCTTCAACGGCTGGGTCATTTGCTACGCTTGGTCGCTTTTCATCTATGGTCTTGGTGTCGGTGGTGAATACCCGATGACTTCGACTCGTGCTATGGAGTCTCACAGCAACCGTTACTCTGTGACGACTGGTGACCGTATGCACCGTGGCCGTAACGTGCTTCTTGCTTTCTTGATGCAGGGTTGGGGTCAGTTCGTTAACCAGACATTGCTGATTCTTTTGCTTTTGATCTTCAACAACTCGCTGAACACACCGATCAAGCCGGCTGCTGCCCAGTACACGTTCCGTGTGTCGTTTGGTATTATTGCTGGTGTGACTCTCTTCCTTGCCTACTACCGTTACTACAAGATCACCTACTCTGAGAGTGCTCTGCGCGACGCGAAGGAGCGTCTCAACACTTCTGGTTACGACTTGAAGTCGCTGAAGTTGGCTATGGGTCACTATTGGCATCGTCTACTTGCTTCGACGTCCGGCTGGTTCTTCAACGACTTTTTCTTCTACGGTAACAAGATTTTCTCGGGTGTGTTCATCAAGCTGATTACCGGCCCAGGGGGCACTTTCAGCACTACGTGGCTGTACAACCTGATCAACGTCGGTGTTCAGCTTCCGGGTTACTACATGGCTGCCCTTCTTGTCGACCACAAGCTGTACGGTCGTAAGTGGATGCAGGGTATCTCGTTCGCTGCTACCTTTGCTCTTTTCTGCGCTGCTGCTTTCTCGTACCACACTCTTACTACCACTGGTCCGGGTAACCTGAAGGTGTTCCAGTTCATCTTCTTCTTCTCGTCGTTTTGGAACCAGTTCGGTTACAACTCTACCACTTTCCTCGTTGCTGCTGAGATTTTCCCGGCTTCGATTCGTGCTACTTGCCACGGTTTCTCGGCTGCCTGGGGTAAGCTTGGTGCCTTGGTCCCAACCATTATTTACAACTATATCGACAACCAGACGAAGTTCTACGTTGTTACTTGGTTCGGTCTGGCTGGTATTATTGTCACTTTCGTGTTCCTGCCCGACACCACTGGTCTTGACCTGCGTGAGCAGGAGCGCTACTGGGAATACGTCATGAGCGGTCGTCCTGAGGACTACCACGGTGTGGCTGTTCACCCGCGTCACCTGTCGCTCTGGGAGCGTCTTGTGCTCAAGCGGCACTTGGCCTACAACCCGCAGCTCGACGCTCAGCAGAAGACTGAGGAGTTCCACCAGGTGTACAACAGCACCATGGCAATTGAGAGCCACGCTGACCACGACCTCACGATGGAGCAGCGTGACTTCCTGGAAAGCGAGTTCGGTAACAAGTACGTCAAGGACGTCAAGATGAACCGCCCGAACCAGATTTACTCTTCGAAGCTCGAGTCGCTTGAGAAGCAGTTGTAAATGACCATCCACACTTACTTTTTCTTGCACATGTCATATGGACTGTTAATGTATGGTGCTTCTGACTCGATAAGTGGTGGTGATTTTACCTTTGTTGACTTTGTCCAGTCTTGAGCACAATGCAACAGTAATAATAATTTATGTCTTTCCTTATGGTTTGGCATTCCCACGTTGTTAATGATCGACATAGACTGTCGATATGGGACATAGTACTCCTTACTATTGCACTTGTAATGGTTTATTTGCTTAATTGGTTTAATTCTTATTTCCTAGCAATGATTGCGCAACGAGCTGCGTTGGTTATAGTGAGCGTGCGGAGGGGCGGCTAAGGATTGCGCACGTGGCACTTTTTTGTTGCGGACGACGGCTACCGTGAACGCCGAGCTTTGGTTGTCGACGTCCGACGCAGTATGCCATCGAGTCAACGGCCTCGGCAGGAGTCCCTGCCGGACTTGGCAGATGAGCAGTATCAGGCGCCGTTTAGTATGGCACCTATCCGGGCGCAGGACGAACATGGTGACACTGGGTCTGTCTTTGCACCGTCCTCGGTCGCTTCCTCGTTTTTTGACGAGCGTGAATTGCGCGAAGCCGAAGCCTGGGTCCGTGAAGGTCATCGGCCAGGTGAAGACGATGAAGAAGAAGCATACGTAAGCACTCAACCTAAAGGGCGCCGACGTCGCGATAGTCAGGTCGGCAGCTATGACGATCACAATACAATTTTCGATGGTCCGTCGGCAGAATTTGTGCCCAGCTCTGTGACGAGTATGCATCATGTTATGTCGCGTCCCAGCTTTCAATCGTATTCGAAGCGACGTCATCATCATCATACTCGTGCCTCACGCAGTGGCCGTGCAGGCAGCTCTGTTCGTTCGCGAGGCCTCTCATCTCGTGATCATTCTCCTTCCAGCCAGCATACGCACGAATCAGGCGTGTCGCATGCAGCTAGCGTAATTAGCTACCGCAAGCGCGATTTCCCTGGTATGCGACACCGTGGCAGTGAGGATGTGCTGGATGATGGTACTGGAGCCTCGTCCAGTCTCATTGGTTCCCTCTTTGCCTCATTTCGAGGTGAGCGTGAGGATGGCGTGCACTTGGACGATGAAAGCCGCGCAGAGTGGTCAGAGCAAGTGTCTGACCTGCTAGACGATGAGGAAGAGTACATGGATGATGACGATGACGTTGATCTTCTCGACGAAGCTAGTGATCATTCGAGCTTTAGCAGCCGGCAACAAGGATCGCCTTCGCGTAGCATGATCCCTAATGTCTTTGGCGAGCCAGATGCCTTCTATGATCCACGGTACGAGGCTAGAGAGGACGGTACAGACATGCCCTTCGACGATCCCGCCATGGGCGCCAAACCGGTGCATCTCAAAGATTATCCAGACGCTGCGCAGCAGCTATTGACTGTTGGCGCTCCTTCCACAGAGCCGCCGCCTGCTGCTACAGACCCTCTTTCGGACGAGGCGCAAAAAAGTAGTGTCTGGCTTGATAAGACCTGCCGCAAGAAACAACAGATCTACCTGGTTGACGAAGATACGTTGATCCGTATCTCGGGCTATCGAACACGCTCGGATCGTTACTGGCTTTATATGTTGGCTTGTATTCTCACTCTAGGCGCGTTTGGCCTTTTCTCCTTGTGGTTCCCACGCTGGCGTCTACAGCATGTTCTGGAAGAAGCCGAGTTTAGCGAGGCTGAATTTGTTGTGGTGGAAAACCAGTGGGGCGATCTGAGTCAGGAACCATTTATCAGTGTGCCTTTCGCTCGACCGCTCAAGTCTGTCTTCCCTGCCACCTCGCGTGATCCACCATGCACGCATGCAGAAGCCCAGGCGATGCTCCAGGACGACTATGAGCCCCCTGCAGCTAGTGGCACGGAGGAGATCGTGGATCTCATTATGTTTGAGTACCGCTACACACGTTTCCTGTTGCATCCGCCTACAGGCCGGTTCCGCACTATCAAAGATTGGCGTGATGCTTCTTGGACGTCGCCTGAAGCATTGCGACCTGGCATCACGGACGATTTGCAACGTGAGCGTCACATCTTTTTCGGCCCCAATATCATTGAGATTGCTGGCAAGTCAACCATGGAGCTGCTTGTCGGTGAGGTATTGCATCCCTTCTACATTTTCCAGATTGTGTCGATCGCGCTGTGGAGTTTGGATGACTACTACTACTATGCGTTTTGTATCGCTGCCATCTCTGTAGGCAGCATTGCCTCGACTCTAATTGAGACCAAGAAGACCATTGCACGTATGCGTGAGATGAATCGCTTTGTGTGTATGGTGCGTGTACTTCGTGATGGCGCCTGGGTGGAGATGGATAGCAGTGCTCTTGTGCCTGGCGATGTATATGATGCCTCTGATCCCTCGCTGGCCGTGCTGCCGGCGGACAGTGTTTTGCTCTCAGGTGATGCCATTGTGAACGAAAGCATGCTGACGGGTGAAAGTGTACCGATCAGTAAGCAGCCGGTCTCAGTGCAGGCCATGGAGACGTTGCAAACCACGCGTTCCGATTTGGCGACGCACTTGGCCAAGCATTTCCTCTTTGCCGGGACCAAGGTTATCCGAATTCGCCCCGTGCTTAGCAGTACAGGTTCCAACGACGACTTGTCTGCTAAGGCCATGGTTATTCGCACTGGCTTCCATACGACGAAAGGCTCCCTGGTACGTGGTATGTTGTTCCCGAAACCTATGGGCTTCAAGTTCTATCGCGACTCGTTCCGTTTCATTGGGTTCCTGGCAGGTATTGCCATGATTGGGCTGTGTTTCAATGCCATCAACTTTGTGCAGCTGGGCATTGCGTGGAGTACTTTAATTATTCGTGTCCTGGATTTGGTCACTGTCGTTGTACCACCTGCCTTGCCAGCCACAATGAGCATTGGTACTGCCTTTGCTATTGTACGCCTGCGAAAAATGGGTGTGTTCTGCATTTCGCCCACGCGCGTGAATATGGGCGGCAAAGTCAATGTCGTTTGCTTCGACAAGACGGGCACATTGACCGAGGATGGACTCGATGTGCTGGGCGCACGTACCATTGATGCACAGACGATGCAGTTCCGTGAACTGCATCCTACATGCGATGAACTTCCAGCTACGTCGGGCGAGGACGAGGAGCTGGCTCTTTTGCATGCGCTTGCCACGTGCCATGGGCTGAAAGTGGTGGATGGCGAAGTGATTGGTGACCCGTTGGACGTGAAAATGTTCGAGTTCACTAACTGGACCATTGATGAGGGTGAGACACCAGACCCAGCCTCGCTAGCGAAGGGACCGGAGCGTCCACCAGCACTAGTGCAGACCGTTGTGCGACCGCGTGGTAGTGCCGCGTTCCACACGGAAGATGCTATGCAATCGCAGCCCGTCTCATCGTCTCTTCTGGAAATTGGTGTGATTCGTACTTTCGAGTTCATTTCGGCTTTACGGCGCATGAGCGTGATTGTCAAGCAGTTGCATGCATCCTCCATGCAGGTCTTTGTCAAAGGTGCTCCTGAGGCGCTGGTCGATATCTGCCGACGCGACACACTGCCGGGTGACTTTGAGGATTTGCTCTCGTACTACACGCAGCACGGATACCGTGTGATTGCTTGCGCAGGCAAGACGATGCCAGGTCTTAGTTGGGTCGAGGCACAGCGGATGTCGCGTGAGCGCGCTGAAAGCGATCTCACGTTCCTAGGTCTGATTGTCTTTGAAAACAAGCTCAAGCCTGGCTCAACACCTGCCATCACGACATTGCGAAATGCTCATATTGGCTGTAAGATGGTCACTGGTGACAACCCACGCACCGCCGTGAGTGTAGCGCGGGAGTGTGGCATTTTAGGTCCTTCTACGACTGTGTTTTTGGCGTCTTTCGTGCAGGGCTCGCCAGAGCAGCCCAATGATGTTGTCCTCTCCTGGACTAGCACGGACGATGAAACGGTCAAGCTAAACCCAGACACGCTCAAGCCGATTGATCCTGATCCTTTCCGCATTGATCTTGGCGAGCACCATGTGCTTGAATACGAACTTGTGATCACCGGCGACGTTTTCCGATGGATGACAGACTACGCCCCGATTGAGCTTGTGCGACGAATGCTGATCAAAGGCACCATCTTTGCTCGCATGTCACCGGATGAAAAGCACGACTTGGTCGACCGATTGCAAGAGTTGGGCTACACTGTCGGTATGTGTGGCGATGGTGCGAACGATTGCGGTGCGCTCAAGGCGGCCGATATTGGCATTTCCCTTTCCGAGGCGGAGGCCTCTGTGGCAGCGCCCTTCACATCGACACGCCCTGATATTTCATGCGTGATTGAAGTGATCAAAGAAGGTCGTGCTGCATTGGTTACTAGTTTCAGCTGTTTCAAGTACATGGCTCTGTACAGCTTGATTCAGTTTACTAGTATCACGATCTTGTACAATCTCGCAAGTTCGCTGGGTGATTTCCAGTTCTTGTACATTGATCTGTTTATCATCTTACCTGTGGCCGTGGCCATGGCACGTACCCAGCCATATCCGACGCTGCATACGAAGCGCCCTACGGCCAATTTGGTATCGAAAAAGGTGCTTCTATCTATGATCGGCCAGGTGGTTATCTGCTCACTTACGCAGGCCTTTACATTCTTTCTGACGCGGCGCCAAGAATGGTACGAAGCGCCTGAACTCAACATTGACGAACTGAACGTTGTCAACGCAGAAAACTCGGCTTTGTTCCTGGTATCGTCCTTCCAATACATCACTGTTGCCGCTGTGTTTAGTGTTGGTCCGCCCTTCCGCCAGCCGATCTACACTAATCCCATGTTGCTTGCATCTCTCACTAGCCTAGGGTGTCTCTCTACTTACTTCCTCTTTGTTCGTCAAGGTTTCTTCTTTGATTTACTGGGGCTAGTGGAATTCCCACCAGCCTTCCACTGGAAACTGTTCGCTGTGGTACTTGTGAATACGACGGCTTGTTTCGTCTTTGAGTCGTACCTCATGTCGCCCACGTTGCACTGTGTCAAGTTTGTTCAACGAGTCCTTTTCCATCGTGGGCGACGTCATGACAAAATTCGCACGCATAACCAGAAGGCCTACAAGGCTATTCTTCGGTCCCTCAATGATCCCACAGAAGCTTGATATACAAATACATTAATTAGTTAGGAATGCCTACGTCATACGGATGTACTGTCGGTTCGTCGTCGTTTCGCGTCCACTTCCCATGACTGGTCATGCTGGACATGCCGCAGAGCTGCCCACTGAGAAAGATCAGCTACATGCACTTGCAAAGCTTGTGATAGCGCTGTCAAGAAGCGACGTGCTGGGTGGGTATCTTCTGTATCTTCGGTCACAAGCGGCCGCAGAGGGGGGAACACTTGATGCAGTTCCAAATCGCCTACCACTCCTCGTGACTGCGATCGACTGAAGGAAGAGCGAGTCACTGGCTCACTTGCTTCCGCTTCTACGTCCAAAATCTTTTTCAGACGGATATCAGCTTCATGTAATGTCGTCAATGCATCCAATGCCAATTGTTTCAGTGCCTGCGTCGTTTCCACCAAAGCAGCATTACGCTTATCAGCTTCCTCGCATTGCTGCTCTTCCACACTTTGTGTTTCTGCAGGACGCTCCTGTGCCACAAAGGAAGGGCTTGCGATACGGATGTCAGGGACGAGTGCCTTCAAGTTCGATTGCGTGAGAGACGCCATCCGCTCCTTCAGCCGTTCAGCTCGGCGATCAGTAGCAGCGCGATGCTGCGTAGCTGCCAGTTTCACTTGCTGCAACTGCTTGCGTGAAAGCTGAATCTGCTCTTTTGCCCGTTTATGTGCCGCCTGTTCTTCTGCAAGCATCGTTTGGGTACGTCTATACAGCGTTAGTACTCATGTATTACGCACTCTAGTTGAGATTGGATCGTATGCAATTTGGTCTCTGTACTAGTCACGGCGGTTTTTCCCTGTTTCATGTTCCGCTTCATTCGCTCTATTTCATGTTCCAGTTCGCGATTGCGCGCTAGTAGCTGTTCCCGAACGTGCACCTCTTCGTCTTGTTCTGCTAGGAGTTCTTGCAATACTTTTACCACCACATTCTTATTTCTTTCACTCAATCCATCCAGTGATATTGGTGACTTGTGGTATCCACGCATATGAAGCTTCTCTCGTATCTCCTCAAATGTCAAAGGCCCATGTTCGTCGACCATTATGTTGTTCCAACTGTGTTGCGCGTGCTCGCCAAGAAGCGCAATACAACAACCACGCGTGTGTTGTGGTGCACGTGGAGATATTTTCAGTCTACCAGAAATAGTAACTATGTGATTTGAACAGTGTGTTTTTGCCCGTATGGCGCAGTGGTTAACGCACTCCACTTGTATTGTGGACTCTGGTACATGGAGAGATCCCTCGTTCGACTCGGGGTGCGGGCACGTCTTTTTTTCAGCTGTAGTTTTGTATCGTTTGTCTATGTACTGTACTTATACATCATACAAGTCTCGAGCCACCCTTTTTGTCACAGTATAATGCTACATATTCTGGTATACTTCGTCAGGTATTTTTAATCTAGTGTCAATGCCTTCTCACACGTACCCATAGTATAAGGCGCTCTCGCGTGGTACTTGCCAACTGCTCAGTCAGACATTTTCTCTTCATGCTGCACGTACGTTCCTGAACCCGCATCCCATTGTGGCCCGCGCTGCTCGCGGGCCCACGTCAGAAGACTATTCCATGATGCTGCATCCTTCTCAATATCCGCCCATGCAGGACTAGACGCAGTACCAAGCATATTAGTATCTTCTTTCTGGATGGACTCCGTGTTTGGAGTACCGCCTATTATTGTATCCCCCCTTGTGGCAGAAGAGGACGTCGGTATGGTAGTCAACGAAAGTTGGGAGGGGGCATCGGCGCTGGGTTGGGAAAATGTAGGCGTTGACGTTTCTTGGCCGATTGTGCGAGAGGATGTAGATGGTGAATGTTGCCCCATGCGCACATCTTCCTTCCACACTATACGTGGCATGGCGGTGAGCACGTCGTCGCCGCGCTACGCTTGGACGAGCCAAGGCGCTCTGCTATGGCGGAGCGCAATCACGTGCACGTCACTCCACTCGCGTCGCGCGCGTTTGTTGCTGCATGGAGGCATCGACGTTGGGGCCTGGACCACACTCTTTCGTTGACTGTTGCATGGCGACGATAGGACGTGAAAATGGACTTTCCTTTTGATCTATCTTCTAGGATAGAAAATAGGATCGACCATGAGCTGTTTGACGATGAGTCTGAAGACCTCTCTTTACCTGGCTTTCATGGTCGAGCGTCACTCAGTCAGTCTCTGTCGCAGGCCACAGCGCTCGATTCACCGGATCGATCGGAAGGCAATGTAACGCGAACAGTTCGCCGGGGAGAGACAGGTGCAAAGATGTCTCCTCATATGAAAACGTCAGAGCCTGCATCCCAGTCGCCCCTACCGCACGAAACATCTGCTGTCGATCTCCATGCCTTAGATGAGCGCCTCTTGGACGATTCGGATTCGCTGCAGATTTCATTTCAGCGATCTCACGCTTCTGATCTCTCTTCTGTCCTTACAGGAGAAGCTAGTGACTTGAGTGATGACGCACAATTTATGGCCGAAGGTGCGTCTCTGACCACTATATCAACAGAGCCACCGACTTCTTTGTCAAGTGTACGTCGCCGTTGTGCTTACGCGCAGAACCATTCAACCTCGCTCGATGCTATACCTGACTCACCATCTACTTCAAGAGCTAGGAGTGTCTCTCCGTCTTCTGTGAAGAACGACATGTCGACACACACGTCGCGCGAGGGATCGAGGATACTCTCTCCTATTCCTTCCAATACGAAGAAGGACGGCACGGTATCGAGCCAAACGTCCATTGCATCTTCTTCGATTGCTTCGTATGGGCTAGCTCGTCCATCGTCCAGCCATGATATGGCCGGTACACCTGCAACGTCACATATGTCGCCCGAGATGGACAAAGACACGTTGGCCCAGGCAGGCGCCACATTACCGCCGCCAACGCCACCAACACAGTCCCATCCAACGTCAGATCCCTATGTATCCGCGACAACGCCGCTTCATCCACCTGTGCCTGGCCGCACAGCGTTCCATGCAGCTATGACGCACGATACTCGCTCGGTGGATTTCACCAACGAAGGGCTGTCTGCGCTTTCGACTCATGCAGAGCTAAGTCATGGTGCTCCTACGACATGGTCTCGCATCTTAGCCAACGCGCCTGAGCCTGATACCAGTCCTGCGTCTAAAACGAACGATGTCTCCATTGCGCCTTTACTAGCCTCTGCGTCGTCGGAACAGAGTGGCGAGAAAGATTTCGTGGCGCCCCATGCCCATGTGGACCCTCACCGTCTTGTGATGTACCAACACAAAATCAATGAGCGGCTTACTCGCGAGAATGAGCTGCTCAAGGCCGAGTGTGACGCACTGATCCAACTCCTCCAGAAGCACCAAGTGCCCCTGGATGGCTCAGACGAGGCTAGTCCAGCCTCCTCAGCACAGACGGCAGAAATGGAGACGCTTCGTCGGCGCAATGCCGAGCTGGAGGCCATGGTTCAATCGCAGCCACAGGCTCTTGAGGCGAGGAAGGCGTCCGTGTCACACGACGCGACGGCGTTGCAGCATACGACAGATACCCTACAGGATCAACATGATCAAATTCTTACGCACGTTGAAGCCACGATGACGCAGCCCACGGAAGAGGAGCTGCGTGGCTGTATAGAACAGCTGACATCGGCGCTGCAAGAAGCACATGGTCTCATCAACACACTTCGAGAGCAGCCGTCGCTTTCGTCGTCGGTCTCGACCGCCAGTGCGTCCGTCAGCACATCACGGCCTATACCGATCGATGCGTCATCCTGGCGTCATTCCACGCCCAGCCGCGTGCCTGCGATGGATGCCTTACGTCGCTCCGTGGCCGCGTTGTCCGTCACCGACGATGCAGGCCTTGTTATGTCGGTATGTATGATCCACTACTCACCCGTCAGGACTTGGGCGCCTTGCAGGAGACGGTGCGTACGCTCACGCACGACTTGCAAGCTACGCAGGCCAAGCTACAGGAAGCTTTGGCCTATACGACGGAAGCAAATGCCAGCAAACTGCGCATCGAAGCACGGCTGGCTACCACGGCGGATGAACTGGCTGACGCAGAAGCGCGCTTGCACGACCGTTCGCAGCAGCTGCAGATGTTGCGGGAGCAGCGCTCTGATACGACGCTGACCAAAGTGACCATGGCCCGCCTTGAATCGGCCCTGCAAGAGGCTCAGCGTGAGGTATCTACTGCGCGTGCGCAGCATGAGCAGGCCGAGCACCAACAAGCGATCCTGGCTGAGCAGCTGCAGCGGGCTGAGACGCGCTTTGTCCAGGCCCAGCAAGCAGCCGACGAAGCACGGGAGGCTCGCGTCGTATGCGAGGCCCATATGGACGACCAACTTACGCAGCTGCAATCGCTACGACGTGTGCTCGCAGATCAGAACGCCGAGTTAGGCCAGCTGCGGGGCGAAAAGGATCACTTGTGGATCGAGCGACGCCAGATTCTGGAGCAACTGCGCGTGTTTGAGCAGCATTTGCGCGACGTACGTGCCGAAACGGATCGGTACGGCTCGGAACTGCACGCGCTCCAGCGCGAGAAGGCGCAATGGTCACGCGAGCGATCGTCGAGCCCAGCACAGGAGCAGATGGTCCGCGAGCACGTTGCCCAGGCCATTCGTGCGCTGGCGCCGCGCTGGCAGGCGGAGCGTGAGCGAGTCCAAGCGCTTCTTTTCCAAAAGGCGTACTTGGTGCATGCCCTGGACGCGCAGGAATGGCTGTATGAGCGGCTGTGTACACGACTGCATGCATGGGCTCCTGCGTTGGACTCGTTCCGTGGCCGTGCGTATCCGCGGCCGACACCTCGTCGGTGGCGCGTAGCGCTGGCCGCCGTGCACTTTGCTGTGCGTCTTCAAAAGGCACGCGAGCGTATGTACAGTACATAGATTCGTTAGCTACGCTGCTCGACCCACTCTACACGCACGATGCCGTGCGCAGATCCACTGGCCAGGAGCAACGCCCGCCCGGCATTGGGGCTCCATGCTACGCTGGTGATGCACACAGAGGGATCCCAACGATCGACGTGCCACAACGTCGACTTTTTCGCGGCGGACGAGGGCAAGAGACCTTCGGGCATGTAGCCATGCCGCATCACATACGTAGCGGGCGCCTCGTGCACCAATCGGAATCGCGGCAGCATAAACTAGACGTGAGTATGGCGACGACGTACCCTACTCCCTTCGTCCACCGCCTTGCGTTTGGCCATGGACAAGGCCTGACTCACTTTGACACTCCCATCCGCCGATCCTGTAGCCAGGTACGGATGAAACGACGAGGCGGCCATGCACATGACACGCCCATAATGGAACCCTAGCGCATGATGGTGCCCAATATCATGCACACGCAACGACGTACTTCCAAACTGCCCGTCGCCCATATCAAGAGCCCATGCGCCGCACCATGGCATCCATGTGGTAGCGTACCTAGGCTCACGACTGTGCGCTAGCCGAAGCGCTGCATAGGGCTCATACAGATCCGTGACGTACTCTGACCCATCCCAGCCCACAGAGAAGAGAATATGTGGCCGGGCCGACGGCTCATCCACCGACGGCAAGGCTTGCCAACTCACCGCACTAATGACAGTGTCGTGCACCAGCGCATCAAAGAGCGGCTGTGTGGATACGTCCAGATCCCATACAGCCAAGTGGCCATTCGTACACCCGGCCGCCAGACGTGCTGGGCCGCCCCAGGCAAGACTGCAGCATGATGTGGTGGGGACGTGCAGTGTCATGCTGGGATGCAATGCCATGGACGCCGCTTCGAATGTGGCCGGCACATCAACGACGTACAAGGGCCCTTGCATCGTCGCTATCGCTAGCGTGCCTAGCGTGCCTGGCTGCGGCGGCCCGGGCCGCCATGCGATTCGTAGCGGTGTCGCGTCGGGCAGGTGCAGCGAGCACGCTAAACTCATGGACTGCGTCGCTGGTGTGCATGACCATAGCTGCAGCATGCCCCGTGGCGCTGATGAGCCTTCGACAGGCGCGTGCGCATTGCGCTCATTCGCACAGGCCACCATCAGCCATTCATCTGCGGTGAGAAACGCCTGGACATACCATGCTCCACATCCGGCTGCGGTGCCCATGCCACATCGTAGACGTGCCCGCCCGTATCGAGAAGATGGATCTTTCGCTGTGCATCCACAGGATCGGCTACCGTGAGCTGACTCATACGTACCTAGTGATACGGCCTCGTACGGCTGCCATGCCACGGCGTGCATTCCCGCGTGCGTCTCCACAGAGAGGGCGAGCGGCGTGGACGAAGTGGTCGGTCGTGCTGTAGGGGTATACGTACATGGCGCCTGCCATACTACGCTTGGTGGCTCCCATCCCACTTGCATGAGGTGGGTACGGCTTGGATACTGCAGCGATGCGCTTATCTCGGCCAACGCACTCCGGCACGCCGCCTCGCCCGCGTCGGCCTTCTCTGCCATGCGAGCTCGGCCAGGCTGAGGCCATGGCGTCGACTCGACGCCATAAACGGGAATCGAATGCTGCTGAAGCAAAGTAGCTACGTCGCCGCCCTGGCGTGCTTTGCCGCGGACGCGTCGCGGCGCTGCTGACGCCGCATCGTCACTGGCCTCGCGCTTCACGCGGCCCATGATGCGTGTAGGACAGCAACATGTGGAGGTCGCCGTTGGAGACTGACGTTCGAGGCACAAAACGAAGCTGCAAAGTTCCACGCCACGATGTACCTGGGCGCAGTGGGGCGTACTAGCTAGAGCCCATGGATCCGTCACATCGTGCACTACATCGATCGGTGCGCGGGGCTCTACCTCGGTAGTGTCAAAGTTTCGGACCAGCGACGAAAGCAGCGTCGTAAGTTGGACCTGCGCTACGTGCGGACAGCAAGACCCAGACGCCACAACATACGCTGAACGCACGCCAAGTCGCTATTTTTGCAATAGCAGGGAGTATTGGAACGAATCAACGTACCATGTCACTTACCGAAGATCTTTATCAATACCAGCCAAGGCCTGATCCAAGGCGGTCCCGCGTCGCTCATTATCGGCTACTTGGCAGCTTTATCTTTTGTGTGAGCTTGTGCTTAAGTGAAATGGTCTCCTTTTTACCGATTCGCGGCTCGGTTCATCGGTTTGTGGGTGCGTTTGATGATCCGGCGCTGGGCGCCGCAAGCTCGTTCAATTACTGGCTGTTGGCGGTCACGTTCCTATGCTTGGAAACCAATGCACTTACATCGGTGCTGCTATTCTGGGTGGATGAGTCCCATGTCGCGATGCTCAACATCCTGATCCCATGCTTGTGCCTGTTCCTCTACTTTGTGCTCAACATATGGGATGCCCGCCGGTTCGGTGAGGCTGAGTATTGGGTCGGATTGCTGACGATCATTACCGCGGTAGGTCTGCTGGTTATGTCTGTATTTCTCATATGCAGTGCCAATCCTCATGGCGACTCATTTGGGTTTCGCTATTGAGTCCACCCAGGGCCGATGCGCGAGTACTGTATGCAAGGCAGTGAAGACCGGTTTTTGGGCGTCGTTGCATAGATCGTCAATGCGGCATGGACGTACCAGGGACCTGATATGGTGTCCATTGTTGCTGGCGAGACCAACAATCCACGCAAACTTATCCCGAAAGCCTTCAAAACAGTGTATGTGCGCTTGGCTGTGCTCTTGTAAGTTCTGCGATTGCTGTGGGCTTCCTTGTACTGCGCAACGATCCTGCACTGGTCGAAGCAATTGAATCGTCTCTCTCCGGCGCCTCACGAACGGCCTGGGTGCGTGCGATGAACCGACTTGACATTCCCGTATTGCCTCACATTGTCAACGCTGTGACTGTGAACAGCATTTTCTCGGCTGGCAATGCCTTTGTATTTGCTAGAGCACGCTTGCTGCAAGCTATGGCGCTGGAAGGTATGCTGTGTAAAGTGTTTGCCATGACCGATCGCCACAAAACCTCGTATATCTCTTTTAAAGTTACCACAGCCATTGATTTGCTATCGTTTTTATAAGTCTCTTCTGGCTCCGGTCAAGGTACATATTTACAAACTGACATCACCCAGTGCTGGACTACTTCATATTGATTTCCACATGCTCATTGTTGGTCACATGGGTCATCGTATGCTTATCACACTTGTGCTGGTGCCGTGCCATCTCCCAGCAGCACTTTGACACAAGCGTACTCCCATTCAAGTCACGCTGGACGCCGTATACGACATACTATGGTCTCGTGAACGCCACACTGGTCTTATTGATATGTATTCAAGCCCTTTTTGATACGGAAGAATGAACACACTATCTACGCCAGGAGCGCTATACTGATAAGTTCCATAGATAGGCGTGACTCCCTGCATAGTAAACAAGTGGTCCGTGCGCAGACTGTGAACGAAAAAGGGCGAGGTCATGAGACACGGGCCACGCAACTCTTCTCAGTAACTATGATGTTTTGGTATACGCTTGCGTGTGTGTTCACTCTCTGTGCCCTGGTACGCGCACGGGACCCTGTGAATCAATGGGATGTGCCTGACTTTTACTTTTCTGGTGTTTCGACGTTTGCGCATTTGCCGCATGAAAAATGGTACGTATACGCTTACTTACTTCAGCTTGGTGCAAGAACATACAGACTTCGATGTAGCCGTGTTGGGTGTGCCATTGGACACAGCGGTTTCGTACAGGTAAGTTGAACTCTACTAATATCAGGCCTGGCGCACGATTTGGCCCTCGCGCTATTCGCGCTGGTAGCGCACGTCAGACAGTGTTCCGCTCGTTCAACCCTGCGTTAGGAGTCAATCCATACGTCTCCAAAACCAAGTTTTTGGATTGCGGTGATATCCCAGTGACACCCTTTGATAATGAATTAGCGTTCCAGCAGATTGAGGATGCCTACGATGATTTATTGCATCGCAACGTGCCGCAGGGCCCTGGTACGATTTCAGCGTTGCCGAGTCGTACCAAGAATGGCAAGCCAGTGCACTTTGCCAAAGACAAGAAGCAGCATCCGCGTATGGCTGTCATGGGAGGCGACCACTCTATCGCTTTGCCAATTCTCCGCTCGCTGAACAAGGTGTATGGCCCCGTGTCGGTCTTGCACTTTGACTCCCATTTAGATACATGGGCCCCGAACCAGTACGGTGCAGCCTCTCGTGGCACCGGTATCTCTGGCTACACGCATGGTACCATGCTGTACCATGCTAGTCAAGAAGGCCTGGTAAGTAATACGTCCATGCATGTCGGTTTGCGTGGCTTGCTGAGCGGAGCGGACTTTGAAGATTATCGCCGTGATGCCAGCTTGGGCTTTACCTACTTGGAGACCTGGGAAGTGGACCAGCTTGGACTTGATGGTACCGTCGCTGCAATTCGCGAGCGTTTGGGCGATTCACCAGTATACCTGAGTATCGATATGTATGTGATCAGCATCGACTTACGCTAGTGATGTGCTTGACCCGTCGATTGCCCCTGGCACGGGCACACCTGTCAGCGGTGGCTTGTACGTATGACGCCTTGGACTCACCGATAGAACATCGCGTGAGCTGCGCAGTATCATCCGGATGCTTTCGGGTATTAACCTGGTGGGCTGTGAAGTCGTAGAAGTAAGCCCACCTTACGACACGAACGGTGCGTACATTTACAGCTTACACGCAGGCGAAGTGACTGCGCTGGCGGCTGCCGAACTGCTCTACGAGCTCATGTCGGTAATGGCAATCCATCCTCTTGATAAAGTTACTGTGGAGCCGCAGGCACGACCGCCACGCCCCGTCTCTGCAGCGGCGCCACCTCTGGCTGAAGCGAGGCAAGCCACTCTGTCCTGGCCTCTACTTACGCTTGTACCGGCGGTGTCGGCGGCTCTTGCTACCGTGCTTACGATGCGCCTACTCTCTCGCACTACCAGTCCTGTAAAAGGTAAAACAGCATAATGTAGAAAATGCATCAATAAGTACTATTATTTATTCATCTTGCCTTTTATGCGAAAGGAGCGCCCTTGGCTAACGAGTGTAGTGTTTGCAGCCAGGCATCCAAAAGAATTATAGAAAAGATATGAAAGAAGTCGGGCTATACCAGCTCGATCAACCATGAAGACATAAGCGAAAATTGATGTACAACAGAATGCAGGCTACTCAGGCCTGCTCTGCAAAGCCCAGACGGTTCTTGTCCTGGTCAAAGATCACCGAGGCAGTCTGGAAGAAAGCATCACCGACAATCCACGAATTACCACGGAAAGGCGTGCTATCCTGACCGACCAGCGGCAGGTTGCAACGACCGTTCGAGCTGCCATACACCAGCTGATCACGACCAAGCTTAAAGTCTTTGCCGGCAAAGGTAAACGTCACATTGGGTGTCTGATCGCAAGGGAACGTGCCCATGAGGCTACCCTGCGACGTGGTCGTCTTCACGTCCGGAATAGCCTCAAGGATAGACTTCACCTGCTTCGTAGGGCCAATGATCAGCGTTGTACCAGAGTCAATAATCGCCTGGATGTTTTGGCCATTGAGCTTGCCAGGCACGACGTAGAAGCCAAGACTCTGGTCGTAGTTTGCCCAGGCAATATCGCCCTTAATCTTGGTCTTGTCAATACCGCCAAGATGCAGCGACGATCCTGAGCCAGACTTGAGCGTGAACTGGAACACACCCTGGTCAACCTGGTGCTGCTCACGGAGGGCAGTGAAGAGAGGGTGGTAGTCCGATGGGAACGCCTGAATACTCGGCAGAGCCAGACCACAAATACCCTGGTTCGGCTTCTCATAGTCCTTTGTAAACTTAGTATTGGAGAGACCAATCGACACACTCTTGGCTTTGATACCACCAATGCTCACGTCGTCTTGATAGATAGTACCCGAGGCTGACGTGCCATCGCCATACGCCGCCGAAAACTTACCCGAGGTACGCATTGACGAGTATGAGGCCGATGGATCGTACGAGCCGGGGTCGACAAGCGTATCTGACGAGCCAGTGTCAAAGTCGAAGTAAATGCTTTGCGCGGGCGAGCCAAATTGAACCTTACCGGACCACTCAAGCTGCTCATTGATATCAATAAGGCCCACATCACCCGAGCTGCGCTTTGCCTTGCTGTCCGAGCCCATAGGATGTGACTTGCCCGTGTTGCGCTGGTAGTTCTTCATAGCTGCAGTGTACTTGCGGTTCACAGCGCTAATATGCTGAGGTACACGCTGAACACGGATCTGCTTCATTTGCTCGTCTGTACGGCGCGACATCTCAATCGACACGCCTTGTCTCTCGGTGGCCGAAGCCACCGTGGCTGCTGCAATCAAGCCGGCCACAAACTTCAGGTGCAACAACATTGTGGTGGTGTGTGGTAGCGGATAGGCGTTCATTTCTTCGCCATGTCATTTCTGCACACGGTGCCATTGGCGCGCGTTTTTCGGGGTCAAACGACTGAGATTATCTAATAATGCAAGTCTCTTTAGATTTCTTTGTCTGCAAAAGAAGTATTATGTACGCCAACCAAGGTATATCAGATCTAAAATTACCGCATTTAAACGATGAAGTAAGCCACAGTAGGAAGAACAAATTGACGCGGAGGGCCTCTTGGGAGTCCGAGCCAGGAACCAGGGCTGGCTGCGCTTACACAAAATGTACCGCGTGTGGCGTAAAGTAAAACACGTTTATAGACAAGGGTCAGCGCGCCAAATATCTGATAATCGACTAGGGTTCGAAAGGCTTTTCTTGGCGCACGGAAATGCGAGAGGGTCAGGGCGTATGCTTGGTCGGCTTGTGAATCCTGTGAATACTAGGGCCAACTATAGTAAGCGTGCCAGTCTCCATCGCTTAGATCGATCGCATAAATCTATAGACTATAGGGTATGCCCTCCTCCCACTGATGGAAGAACGATAAATTAAAATCTCCACGGTCGTATTAACAATGTCAAAACTATATAAAGAGCCTTCTTTCTGAATAGCCTCTCTGCATCATCAAATATGAAGACACTTTTCCCTGGTATTGCTGCGGCCTTGGTTTGCTTGTCGCAAGTCCAAGCAGGTTGGATCACTTTCCAAAACGAGAACAAGCACAAAGAAGGTCTGCCTTGCGTTGGCTCGATTTATGGCAATGATAACTATCTTATCTCACACTTTGACTGTGGGGCTACGGACTGGAATGCTACGATGTGTGGCATTCATTGTTTCCCCTTCTCTTCCACAACTTGCGTTGGTGGTACACCGAACTACAAGGGCCAGGGTGAGAGTAATGGTCTATGGTACCAGCCACATGGTATGACCAACTCGTGCACGTACTTGGGTGATATTTTTGTGCAGCAGAATTATACAATGGCCGGCCCTAACGTCACCTCTTGTGGCTACATTGACTGGCCCGTGGAGCGTAATTGGGGCACGGTGTTTGATCACCCTGGTTATGACGTGAAGACTGACGGCTGTTGGCCTGTAGACAAAGAGCCTGAACCAAAGTTCCCAAAGCACTATGGACATTACTTTGATGGTGCTCGTCCCTTGTCTCAGCACTTTTGTGACGGTGATTTTGCGATGAGTTGTGGTCCCAATGAAGATCCCAAATGCGAGTTTAGCGCAGAAAGCCCCATACGCATGAACTGCACGATCACTGACATGGGTCAACGCAAGAGGGATTAAACGGGAAGGCGGATTAGCTTTAGCGTGGCCTTTTTTCGTGGACTATGGTAGTAGATATTGGTTAAAAAGTATGGTGTTTGTTCATTTAGATATGCATTTGCGAAGTGGAGGCCTTAAGCCTCGATTAAGGGTTGGTCTGGGGAGGAGGGGCCTGGCCCTTGATCCCTAACCAAATGCCCATGACCAAAGTTTTCCTTTCAGGTATAAGCGGGTTCCTAGGAACGCATATATTACATGCTTTAATGCGCTCCGGTAGTGATTACATTATTCATGGCGCAGTTCGTTCGTAAGACACGACAGATAATGCAATGAACGCACTCCCTGTGGCCAGCTGAATCGTATAAAGCTGCTTATTGTGCCTGATATTGCTACTAGCTGCCTTAAAGAGGCTATGGATGGGTGTATATATGTTATTCATTCTGCCTCCCCTTCGTACCTCAACGCACAAGATCCGGAAAAAGACATGTTGATACCAACAATTCAAAGCATGAGAAACGTTTTGGAGTCTGCCCATTCTACCATTGTGAAAAAGATTGTGATCACATCCTCTTTATTGGCAGCCATGGATATTGCTAGCGGGTCTGTAAAATCAGCTGACTACATCTACACAGAGAAGGACTGGAATTCCTGTACATATGAGGAAGCCTGTCGGGCCGCTGGGCCGGCTGCAGGTATAACTGTCTACAATGCCAGCAAAGCTTTAGCAGAAAAGGCCGCTTACGAGTTTCAGAAACGGCCAGTTGTTACGTTTGAGTTGGCCAGCATCAATTCGACTACCTTATTTGGACCATTACTTCAACCGTGGATCCATAAAAGCACTGTGAATGCTTCGACTCAAATGATTTACGATCTTATCGACTCTAAGACAGAAGTACCATATATTATGCCTCTTTTCTGTAATGTTCAGGACGTTGCAAAGGCTCATGTATGGGCGTTGGAGAAGCCTGGCGCTATGGGACATCGCTTTTTTATGAACGGACCAGCCTTCTCTTTGCACAAGACGATCAAATATTTTGCGGACCACTACTCACATCTCCGGCCACGCCTCCCATCCAGCTGGGTCTCTTTTAATTGGGCATATAAAGTAAGCGAGCTTAAGTGACTGGCGTCAATGATTTCCATTGTCGCGTAATAGCTTGCTGTCATGTGGCCAACAGCCACATGCTTGGTCAACGTTTGGGTTCGAGAATTTTGTGCACGCTCGCCTGTGTGACATAGCCCGAATTGACTGAATGGCCAATCAATCGATTTAAATATCTAATCATGTATAAGATCGCTCCAAAATTCTCTGTCGCATTTGTTGAATCTGTTTTACCGATTTTTTTTTGCTGTGTAAGCGGCATTCCGCCAGGCCCATCGCACATGGGTGGCGACAATACTGCTGCGCAAGGTATAAATTGAGCGTAATGAATCAACTGGGCATCGAACAAACCGTTCTTCCCATGCCGTCAACAATACAACGGGGACTGTTTCGTCCCAAGTTCCTTTACCTAACCTCGCTTGTATGTGTGCTCTTTTATGTATGGAGCAGCGCAGAGACGAGCAATTATATGGGTATGGGTGCCCATGCTTTCCCCAGTGAAGAGTATCAGCGACGAGCTGAAGCTGGAGAAGGATGCCCTTTCATGCGCAAGAGGGCAGCTGATAAGGAGGTACAGAACAATCCGCTATACCTGTTCCCGAAGGCTCTGGACCTCTCTATCCTTGCCCAGCATGATTCCAAGACCAATCCCATGGACCCTGACTACGATTACCATGAAGCACTGAAGACCCTTGATTTTGATGCCTTGCACAAAGATCTGACGGATCTTATGACGAAAGAGCAGGGCTGGTGGAAGGCTGACTATGGTCACTACGGTGGTATGCTTGTCCGTGTGAGCTGGCATTCTGCTGGTACCTACCGTGTTCAGGATGGTCGTGGTGGATCTGGCCACGGTAACCAACGTTTTGCACCAATCAACTCTTGGCCAGACAATGCGAACACAGACAAGGCGCGGCGTATCCTCTGGCCCATTAAGAAGAAGTATGGCAACAAGCTGAGCTGGGCCGATCTGATTGCATATGCTGGCACAGTGGCCTATGAATCTATGGGCCTTAAGACGTTCGGGTTTGCCTTTGGTCGTCGTGATATCTGGGCCCCTGAGACGGACACGTATTGGGGTAACGAAACCAAGTTCTTGGAGCCATCGGAGATGCGCTACAAAAATACCAAGAATGCCTCTACACTCGAAAATCCTCTGGCAGCTGTGCAATTGGGTTTTATCTATGTGAATCCCGAAGGTGTAGATGGCCATCCTAACCCGAAGCGTACGGCCGATCAGATCCGTGAGACATTCAAGCGCATGGGTATGAACGACGAGGAGACTGCTGTCCTGATTGCTGGTGGCCACACGGTCGGCAAGTCGCATGGTAACAATGACCGAAGCCTGCTCGGTCCTCCTCCGATCAACGCGTCTATCACGGACCAAGGTCTTGGCTGGATGATCCCTGGTGTGAATGGTGGTCGTTACGTTTTGGTGGCAGGTCCTGAGGGTGCTTGGACTACTAACCCAACCAAATGGGATGACGGCTATATGAGCTTGCTGCTGAAGTACAACTGGACGCTTACTGAGAGTCGTGCTGGTGCGAAGCAGTACTATGCGCCTGACTTGAAGGAGGAGGAAAAGCCTGCAGATGTAGAGGATCCTTCCATTCGTGTTCAGCCCATGATGATGGACTCTGACATTGCGCTGAAGGAAGACCCTGTTTACAACAAGTACATGCACAAGTTCCTGGACGACTTTGAGTACTTCTCAGACACGTTTGCCCGTGCTTGGTTCAAGCTGATGCACCGGGACATGGGTCCGAAGGCGAACTATAAAGGCCCCTACGTCCCGCAAGAAGACTTTCTTTGGCAGGACCCGATCCCATCGGGCAAGCACGACTATGATGTGAATGCTCTAAAGACCGCGCTAACCAACAGTGGTCTGAACATTAGTGACATGGTCAGCATTGCATGGGACAGTGCTCGTACCTACCGTGGCTCGGATATGCGTGGTGGTGCGAATGGCGCCCGAATCCGTCTTCAGCCTCAGAAGAACTGGGAAGCAAACGAGCCAAAGCGTCTTAAGCGTATCCTTTCGGTACTGGAGCCCATTGCCAACAAGACAGGTGCCAGCCTGGCTGACACAATCGTGCTTGCAGGCAACCTTGGTGTTGAGCAGGCTGCCAAGGCTGCCGGCTTTGACATCCAAGTTCCTTTCCACCCAGGCCGTGGCGATGCTACGCAGGAAAACACTGATGTCGAGACTTTCAGCTACCTGGAGCCTACCGTGGATGCCATGACAAACTACATGCAGAACATGGACTATGACAGGCCAGAAGAGTACATGCTGGACCGCGCACAGCTGCTGAACCTTACGGCTCCAGAGTTGACGGTGCTTGTTGGTGGTATGCGTGCTCTTGGTGCCAACTACGAAGGCAGCAACTATGGTGTCTTTACTGACAAGGTGGGCAAGCTAGACAATAACTTCTTTGTCACGCTCACGGATATGGCTTACCGCTGGGAAGAGTCGGGCAAGAAGAACCGTTACAACATTGTGGATCGTCAGAGTGGTGAGAAGCGCTACGAGGCGACTCGTCTTGACCTTATTTTCGGCTCAAACGCCATTCTTCGTGCTTACTCGGAAGTGTATGCCCAAGATGACAGCAAGGAGAAGTTTGTGAAGGACTTTGTTGCAGCCTGGTCCAAAGTAATGGACGCTGACCGTTTTGACCTTCGTAACTAGGAGTCGAAGAAAATTTATAATGGTTGATGACTCCTTTTCCAAATAGTGCATAGCTTGATACATCAATTTTTATAGTTATCCTTCTTATTCACATCGCGCGCACAAAATTATCATCATTAACACAAGACGCGAGGCCATGGGACAAACTCGCATATCTCCTGCAGGTGTACTCAATTCACTGAGGCCAATCAAAGAGGTGATGGTAACTCGCAAAATCAAGCTGGTCGCCTATCAAATTAACAAAAACGAAAGGAAGACTAAGTGTTACCGTACAAACATGAATGCATGGTGATTGCTCTTAGTTTCTCTTTGTAACAGTCATGGTAGTAGGCTGATACTCCGTCTTGGTGACTGTGGCGGTGGCGATGACATAGTTCTTCACCGTGTAGCCACAATTGCTCAGCTAAGACATCGGGAGGGTGCTAGCAGCGCAATAGGTAATAATAGCATCCTCACCCAGCAGATCACCTACCGTCACAGTTTTGTATGAGCTGTATGGCGATTCATCCGACTGCGCAGTCGTGAATGTCCGAGCCTTGCTCGATTCCGACTCCGTCACGACGGTATTTATTAGCGTGTGGAGACATTACCCATTCAGGGATCAATATGCACAGGGTCCAACTCAAATGACATTTCGCCCAGCTTTATTTTGATTGCTCCGACTCATTCCAATCATGCAGAAGGCTTTAACTGAACATTATGGATGACTCGTTTCTACCCCGAAACAGTAAAGTGCAAGAGAGAACACGGAATAACGAAATGATGGCATTGTCTTGGTACCTAAAGAAAAAGTTCGTGTTAGGGAACTCAGATGTGATGGCCAATGTGCAATGAGTGCGTGCGAATTGTAAAGAGTCCTGCGCTTTCTTCGTAGCAATCTGGTCAAAGTACTCCTTTACGTTAGGGTATGTATCGACAAAGCCAGTAATCCCAGTAATCAAGAAACCAGCATACTGTGCTTTGTTTAGCTGCTGAATGAGAGCGCTGAAGTTGGCTAGCGTACCACCGCTGTACCAGCCTACCACAGGAAGATCTGGCGCATAAACCGGCATAAGCGATGCAGCCCATCCCATCTAGATGCCACCGCCAGAGTAGCCCCAACCAGCTACCTTGACATTGTCGGCAAGTTTCAGTTTGTCGAAGGCCAGCGTTGTACGGATACCGTCTAATGTCTGGTGACCTTCCACACGACCAGATGCAAATGCATTAACATTGCCCTGCTCGTCGGGCACAGTCACCACGTAACCCTCTTGAAGGAAAGGCAGAAGTAGAGCAGGGTTCACGAAAAAGCCAGTATCATAAGCGATACCCACTTGAAAGCCGTAGCTAGGGGCGCACTGAGGGGCATTTGTATCTTCAATAACTCCATATGCAAACACTTTGTCCATTTTAGCATTGTATGGCACGAGAATGGTAGTCATAGTAGTAGTCGGCTGGTCCTCCCATCCGCTTGGTGGCTTGAAGAATGGATCTTCATTAGGAGGTGGAATACCTGCACGGATAGCAAGTGCATAAACTGATGTAGCTATCAATAGCTGTATAATCCCCAAGAACCACAACATCATGTTAAGTGGGGACGGCCGTGACTTGGGAGCCACAGCTATATTGCCTTTTCAAGAGTCTAGCTCAAGCCATTTTTGGTTAATGTAATCACCATGAGGCTATAGGTATGTGCCAAAAAGCATGCCCTTCCTTTACACATTGTCAACGCATCGTCCGCGGGTCTCGTTCGAGTTGCGTGTCTTCTGGGACGCATTTTGAATAAGCATATTAGAATATCGTATTAATGAACCAATAAAAGCCTGTTTTCTCTGGTAAATAAGGTAAAAGTGAGACTAGATGTGGTTGGTCTATTTTGAATAGATCTCCGAAAATGCATGCAAGTGGGCGCGAAACATCCGAAGTGAAAGAGCCGAGAAAATTCGCTTCTACTAAAGCCCATTGCTATGATAGCAATGACTAAATGAAATCAGTTGTGTCATCTAGTACGCAGCTACAATTCCATCAGCACGCGGATCTGTAGCACCTTCTAATGTACCATCAGGGCGACGAACAATGCCATGTGCATGTCCTAGATATGTTTCATAAGGACCAGTCCATTCCATACGATGTCCAGCCTTCCTCAGCTCTTCAACAACGGTCGGTGAGAGCCTGTTTTCAACAAGGATCCTGTCGCCATCTACCATCCAACGTGGTGCTGTGACAGCAGACTGTAGTGGTTCATTTAGCCAAGCATAACGTATAATAACATTGGATGAAATCTGAGGTTGTCCGTGCGCACCCATAGTGCCGTAGGTGATAAATCTACCATCCTTCAGCTTGGCCATGGCAGGATTAAGCGTATGGAATGGACGTTTCCCCGGCACCAAAGCGTTGACGGAGGTTTTATCCAGAGAGAAACTAGTTCCACGGTTCTGCCATAAGATACCTGTGGTTGGCAGTACGGTGCCCGAGCCAAAGGGATGGAAAACGCTTTGAATGCAGCTTACTGCTCGCCCTTCACAATCCATGACGCCCAACCATGCAGTGTCGCCAGGGCCCGAAGGGGAAGAAATCTCTTTGGCCTTTTTCATATCAATTTGAGAGGCAAGGCGATTTAACGCCTCCGGGGTGAGGTAGGTATCGATACTTTCCGTCATAGCATCTGGATCCGCAATGATCCTGCGGATTTGATACGCCTGCTTGCTAGCTTCGATGAATCCATGGATATGCGGAAATGTTTCCGCATCAGAAGGCTGAATGCCAAGCCGATCAAATTGGCCAAGAATATGGAGGCCTGTAGCTCCCTGTGTAGGTGGGGGAAAATTATAAAAACGGCCTTTGCTAGTGTCGATATGAATCGGTGTACGTTCTGACGCTTGATGAGCTTGCAAGTCGCCCAGCGTTAGGGGAGACCCGATGGATTTTAGATCAGCGGCAATGTCCTTGGCTAGATTCCCTCTGTAAAAGGAATCCAATCCCTCTTCAGCCAGTCTGATAAGAGTGGCAGCCAGAGCTGGCTGCTTCATAAGAGACCCTGTAGCAGGCCAAGTGCCATCAGGCGCAAAAACGTTGCAGAATGTGGGCTGTTTTAGAAGCGCAGCCTTGGTCTCATCCGAGATAACGCTAGTATTCACACTGATAGGTACTCCTTCTCTTGCATAGTAGATAGCGTCTTGCAAGATACGGGACAGAGTCATGGTAGTGCCCCACGATTTTGACACGGTGAAGGCGGCTGCCCAACCGGATACTGCGCCGGCAACGGAGTTCACAGCCAATGGACCATGCACCGGAATGGATTCATACCCTTTATAGAGGTCCATATTGACGTTAGATCCGCTTCGTCCACAGGCTTCGATGGCCATGGGCTCCTTATCATGGCATCCAATCAACCAAAATGCGTCACCACCGATACTCAGCATATGCGGATAGACTACAGAAAGAACGGAGGCTACAGCGATGGCAGCATCAATTGATGTACCCCCTTCCTTTAAAATGGATAGTCCTGCTTGGCTAGCTAGGTGGTGAGGTGAGGTAACCATACCACGGCGGCTGTACAACGTGTTGAGCATGTGGGCAATGATGTACAATCGAATGTGGGGTAAGTGGAGAAAATAAATGGGGGGATTTGTCAGAAAGGTAAGCACGACCTATTGGTCGAGTGAGGTTTGCGGGATAGAAATGATACAACTATTGACTTACAGGGCATTAAAAGTCATCCAGGTTCACTTGACCATTCCGCCCAATACCAATGGTAACAGCATGACCCCCTCGTATATTGAGCATATCAACCGCTTTCTCATAGATATCCTCTGATGACGACACATGCGACAAAAGAGCTTCCTTCCAAGGTGTCCCATCCACTCGATCTGCGTAAGGAGGCACAATACGCTCTGGCCCTTTTGTTACAGGATAAGACGATGGTGGATGGTGCTGCGAATACATCCAACGACGTCGACGTTGGCGTTGTGATAGGTGCTTAGGTTTTCGCGGGGCCTTTATGGGCTGGGTGGGTATAGGTGAAGGTTCTGCTTGATTCGACACTTGCATGATACGGCAAGCTCCGCATTTTGTGCATGTCTGCCGCACAAGTGTAAAGGAACGCCCCGTATGTAAAGTGGTAGAGCAGGTAAGTCCCTCGAGCTGAGGAACATAACACTTGCTGCATACACTCCGTTTGATGGATGGATCAACACGAATAACAGATCGTCTTGCTAAAGAAAAAAACTGGAGCATACAAGATACGGCAGCTCGTTTCATATCCTCTCTTTGTTGGCGTAGACCCTCTAAGTACCACATCATGGCACGTTGATACATGTAATTAAGCGTGTGATACATATCAGCCTGAGGAATGAATCGACCAGGACCTTGACTTTGTGACTGCTTTCCTTTCTTCTTGGATATCTGGGTACGAGGCTGTACCGTTACTGTACGTTGCTTAGACTTTGCTTTTTCATAGGCCAGCGAATGGATTTGCCTGTGTGTTAGTGCTGGCTCTACGTACTTTTGCAAGGATAAGAGGTCTGTATTTCCGCTGGCGCTAAAATTTAACAGCTGGTCCTGATCCTTCCATTAGCTAGCGTTGTACATACCTCAAGAAGCTCGTCCATTCGAATCGCGACTTTGAGTCTTCGTACGCGCTCAGCCGGCGGATCTTTAGACAACTCCCCATGAGCTTGAAGCGTATGGCCACAACGACCACACAATGACCACTGTTGATACAGCTCATATAATGATGCAGAGGTTTGTGGACCAGCAGACAGGGCCAGACCAGTGGGTGGCATCATGCCTACGCAAGTACAAGGGACCGAGCCCTGTGCGGGCCATGACTCTCCCTGAACATCGTAAGGTGAATTGGGATTAGGCTCCATCGTCCATCCATGAAGACAAGGCGAGTGTCTTGCCACCTTTAATGCCGCTGTAGCATCTGTACAAGCGAGGACGTCAGTGATTTGTGTCGCATACGTCCACGGCATAGATGCGAAGGTTAAGATTAGAAAAAAGGACAGGTGGTGGAGAAATTGGACCCTTACTGGTACGGGGCCGCTCAGACAAATGCCATCTCCCAACGACGCCACCATGTGGCTAATAGCTTGTGTATGCAGTGTCGTGGCGCTAGTATGCGCCACCGCTTTTGTATTTTACAGGAAATCGTGGGACCCTAAAGGCAAGGTATGCTTCCTCTCGCACTGACGTTATAAGTACGTGCTTGTGACAGGTGGTTCGCAAGGATTGGGTTTAGCCCTCGGCAAGCTCCTCGCATCGCGTGGCGCGCATGTTATTCTATGCAGTCGTACAGAATCAAAATTGCAATCGGCCACACAGGAAGTGATGGTATGTACAAGCGCTATTAACGCTAGGCTACTCGTCTATCGTCATCGCAGCATGTATCCTATGTGGTTGCTGATGTGTCATCATTTGGTGGCGCATCAGCGGCTGTGTCGCAGTGCCCTGCTCCGATTGATGCTGTCTTCTGCTGTGCTGGGGGAGCCAAGCCGGGCTATTATCTTGAGCAAACAGAGCAGGACTTCCAGGAAGGACTGCGTCTTGATTACTGGACCGCTCTAGCGACAAGTCACGTACGTGCGACTTTACTCACATGCAGGCTGTGGCGAAATCCATGAAGCAGCATCAAAAGCGCGGTAAGATTGTGTTTGTGAGCAGTGTCTTGGGTATGATGGGTATGGTGGGCTACGCACAATATTCGCCGATGAAGTTCGCTATTCGAGGTATGTGTCTTATTACTTCTCTTACCTCAGGTTTGGCCGAATGCCTTCGTTCGGAGCTTTTGCTGTATAGCATTGATGTGCACATCTATTTCCCTGCCACCATTCTTACTCCAGGCCTCGAAGTGGAAAACCAAACCAAGCCAGAGCTTACGAAGCAGATTGAGGGAACTGATGAGGGCCAGACACCTGCTCAATGTGCTGCGCACTTGCTTCGCGGAGTTGAAAGGAACGAGTACAGTATTACAGATGGCTTGATCGGCTGGCTCTTCCGGATCTCTTCTGGTGGCTCAGCCCCTGGTAGCAATGTGTGGGTGGACTCTCTCGCTATGCTACCTGCTCGCGTACGTATCCAACCATTGACTTACCGTCTAGTGGGCTGCCATTGGTTGGCGCCGGTTCTTTGCTGATAGCGCCGTGCTTCAGCATGCTAGGAAAGCATAAATTAATCTTTCTACTTCCCATTGCTTCCGTATGTACAGCGTAGCATTTTTACAACTATTGTCCGTCTGGCATAAACTTCAACTAGGGGTGTTCTTTTTGGCGTTGGCTGCTTTGGCACCACACGTGCTGGCTTCACTCTTATGGTGCCGGTTTAGGGCATCCAAACGAGCAAACGTCTTTCCACATCCTTCGCACTGGTACGGCTTGATGTTCAAGTGCAGGTTGTGATGCCGCTTGCAGTCATGCGTTCGCGCAAAACTACGCCCACAACCAGGCCAATCACATTTAAACGGCCGTTCATCCATGTGAGAGCGCATGTGCCCACGCAAATTGTACTGCCGTGTAAATGTGGAGCCACAGTCAGGGAAGGGGCATGTAAACAGCGCCTCGGCCTTCCGACGCGATGCAGAGGCGGCTTGTGCAGCGGACGTGGTGACCACAGGCGTATGCGTTTGAGCAGCCGTTTGGTATACATTGTCCTCCGACTTGTCCGATTTCCCTCGCGCATGCGATACAGGCTGGCGTGTCGGGGAAGGTGGCGAGTCCAGCTCGCCACTTGTGTCGGTCGGAGTCTGTTCACCTGCTGATGTCATGGAGAAGGAAAGCGATGGAACAGCGTGGCTTTGTACGTCCGTGGGCCCATTCGACTGATAATTCATGACAGGTGTCACAGGCTGTGGGTTGGGAGATATAGGTACCAAGCGCTGCGGAGTCATGGCTTGAGGCGCAATCGTCATGAAAGGCGTCTCTTGCATCACAGGAAGAGGGGAGAAGCCCGGGAAAGGATGCGTATACGTCAAGTCCACAGACGATGCTGATGGGTATACAGCTTCCGTACGGTGACGGCCCTGGAAGTCCTCAGATACAGCGGCACGATTGTGTCGGCGCCCATGTCGATGCGTTTGCGGTGGACGAAGCGAATTGTGCCAAGCACTATCCATGCCATTAACAGCACGGCCATAGGCATCCATGGGATGAAGTGCTTGAGAAGCAGGTACGCTTGTGTCCGTCATGGGGAAGCGCCACTGTGCCATTCGCGTAGCTGCATCACTCACCGTCACATCTTCTTTCCCCACATCTGAATCAGGTGTAACACTGCGTGTCGACGAGGGGTATGGACTCACAGAACGCGAGGAACGTCTATGATTCGAATGTCGCATTGGGCCCGGTATGCGTCCATCCCCTCCATCACCCATAGAGGGTGAATACATAGCAGGATTCGACATGGCTTTAACCATCGACTGATCCATTAGCACAGCTGTGTTAGCTTGATTCATGTTCGGGTCCAAAGATGATGTGGTCATCATTTCCGTAGCAGGTATGGGGTTGAAAGGCGGGCTGATCGCAAGTACAGGCAAATCATCTTGAGATTGAATGGCCCTATTGGCCATGGGCATAGCCGAGGCATCAATAGTAGCAGTAGGACCAGCCTCTGCTGCTTCATTTAGGTTTAGCGTTTCCAAATGGTGACCCGTGTCGGAGACCGTGGAGGTCATCGGAAGAGACGAAAGCTCTTTTGTAGGAATGGACCGACCACCACTCATAGATTGCACCAAGTAAGCAAGATCGTCCACCGGCGATGGCAGCATATCCACGGAGGGACCCAGTAAAGAAGGCGTTCGTGGCCCCACATCTGATGCGGATCTGCGCTTCTTCCACCCCACTACAGGTTGCAGCATCGATGTTGGCGACTCCAACTTCAAATCGCCACTGAAACCCATATTTACATCCAACTTCAAAAGGCCTTTCAGATGAGCCTGGGAAGTTCGTCGTGCCTCTGAAGTAGCTTGTGACATGCCTGCATGTCCTGTTGCGCCACTTGGTCCATATGGTACATTTGTCATAAGTGGTGTTAAATTGGAAGGGGATCCCGACATCGATTGTGACGGAGACGGCGAATATGTGGAACCCACGGGGTTCACAGCCCAAGGTTCCATCCCACCCATACTTCCTTGATCTCGCGGGCCACCGGCAAGCGATACATTGATCATTGGAGGGTTCATATTCGGGGCCACCCCTGCCTGGTTCCCAGCATTCGGTGGTGGCCACAATACCTGCGATTGTTCTCCTAGGGGTTCATGCACTGAGGGAGGGCCATCACGCGCCACATCGGCGGCTGGATGCACAGGACTTTCCATTTGCAGTGATGATGGGGTGATATTCGGCATCCCTGCCGACATAGGTGCCGGTAAAGAAGACCCTACTCGGCCATGGTAGGCTAACGACTTACCATCCATACCGGTGGCGTCAGGCGTTGTGCCCAACATGCCGTATGGCAACCCTTGGCCTTGAGCGTCCCAAGTCATAGAGTTCATATTGTTGTAAAAGGGGCTAGAAGATTCCATTTACTTTGTATGACTTGAATTAATTCGTTCGGACGAAGACTACGCTTCCGTATCACGTCTGTTGCTTGTCACGCTCCTAGAAAAACGGGAAAGCAATCTCACACTGCAGTTAAGATAGAACAATAATGATTGAGGGGAGAGTGTACTGAGAAAGAGTAAGTCACCCTCTTAGAGGCTCATGCGCAATGCACAGAGTACCGCTCTCTCTGGCAGAATATACGCGATGGAGGTGCGACAACCAGCTCAGGCCCCTACAGGCTATGCGCTGCGCTTTGGCGGATATGGACCTAGAGGCGTTTTGCACTCCTCCGTCGCGTGGTCCAATCTCGTTGTTTCACCCCCCGGTTATACAGCCAATCGTGGGCACATGTTGCTGTCCAATTTAATAATTTTTTGTCAAGGCTCGGCGTGATTGCGGGAGCAGGTCTCACGCAAGGCATGAGAACAGCCCTTTGTGGAGAAAAGGTTGTGAGCTGCAGTGTGGTTCTTGTTACTGGCATTTGTGTCAAGACATCGTGTGTTGTATACAAGGTGCGATCTGTACGTAGAAAAAAAATGTGTTGATTGGATTTACATACGTTAAGAGGCCCATGTTGTACTATGATTCGTTCTCCATAATGTTGTTTAAAGAGCAGAGTGACAATGCATGAATAGTATGCATACAGGTCTAGCGATACTAAAATAACATCTCGCTTAAATTCGTTCTCCAAGAGCCACGCCCCTTTTTCAGAGCACGTTTGTATTCATAGGCATGTGTTAGCTCATCAAAATAGGCTGTCATAGTTTCAAAGTCCATTTTGGCCGTAGGGATCCAGCCCCATTGCCTTTGTCCTTGGATAAATAACCGAGCTTTCCACACGAAGAATAATGCCAGAAAAATGAAGCATGATCCATATGCAAAAATAAAGTCTGGGCCATTAAAAGCACCCTCAGGGAAGAGATAATAGCCGGAGAATACCAAAGCAAATGGACACCAAATCATCGCATACCAGCCAGACCATGGCTGCAGCCACCCTCGGCGGGGAAGGAAGCCTGTGTGTAAAAGCCCATGTGCTTTTAATCCAGCACGGAACCTTAGATAAGTCAATGCAATAATCGACCATTGAATTAGCATTGAGCAGGACACTAAGTTGATCCACCAGTTCAAAATTCGTCCTGATCCTTCGCTCACAGAGAGATAAGAGAGGCAGGCCAATAGCATCACGAGAATAACACTGACATATGGAACACCATTTCTGTTCACAGTCTTAAAAATACGTGGCGCATGGCCAATTTTTGCCAAGCCGTATATGGCACGCGATCCAGAGAAGAGAAAGGCATTGGTTGTCGAGAAAATGGATAAAAGGATCACTGCATTGACAAGATGCGGCAGCCCAGAAATCCCCATTCTATCCATCGCAATAACATAAGGACTTTGTGCCGCACTCGAGCCGCTCCGGTCAAGCAAGCGTGGATCGTTGAAAGGTACAACAATGCCGGTGCACAACCCACCAATAATGTAGAAAAATGCAATTCGTACCATGGTGGTATTAAATGCTCGTGGAAGCGTACGACGTGGGTGCTTAGCCTCTCCTGATATCATAGATAGGTAGTCTGGCCCAGCAATACCAAATGTGGCCCATGACAAGGAGGCCCAAATGTCCTTGGCATGGCCTGTAGACCCGGAATCCTTGAAAAGTCCAGGGTTGTTCCAAAACTGAAATCCATAAGCATTGCCTTGGGGATTTCCACCACACATTGTGACCAATGTGAACATGAAGAGGCCTAGCATCAACAACACTTTGGTTATCGAGATCCAGAATTCTACCTCCCCAAAGAACTTCACCGACCAAAGATTGATGAGCCCGAGTAGTACCAGAGCAACAGAGATACAAATAGCAGGATGCAAATCTGGAGCCCAGAACTGCACCACCAAATTGATGGCGGTGATGTCGTTGCAAACCAACGCACATTGAGTAATGACAAAGTTCCATCCAAGACCCATAGCAACAGCTTCATCGAGAAAGCGACTGGTCATTGAAATAAACCCACCGTCCACAGGAAGCAATGTTGTTATCTCAATCATGCAATTGGCGATTGCGCCGATAACTGTTGCCCATAGACAAATGCCAAGGAGCAAGCCAAGGGGGCCACTTTCACTCAAAGGTCGTCCAATTGATATAAAAAGTGATGAGCCAATGGAGCCAGATATCGCAATTAGCTGGATGTGTCGATGGTTCAGTCCTCTATGCTTGTTTGACGCCACATGTCGTTCGTACAGTGCGGACCCTTGCTCTAAACTGCCAGATGTATAAGCCGCATTCTCTACCACAGGCTTTTCCGCAGGAGCGAGAGTTCCTTCTTTGTTGGGATACACCAGATGCTCTACGATTTGAGCCTTATCGAGCTCCATACTGGTGTCTAGCGGGTACGATACGGCGGCTGCCGCATATATGATTAATTTGGCTGGGGGGCTGCATGACTCGCTGCATGCACGCCGAGGTGCCGAAGAGGTTAAAAGATAAGAGTTGCCCCACACGTGACACTGCACCTGTTGCCACCTGCGACTCTTTGACGCACGTCACTTCCGGGCCATGTATACGCAATTTGATGAGAAAGACCCCAACTATTTGGATCTCCAGTCAGGGGCACCTCACCGTGATCTATTGCCGCTAGATATCATACGTACATCCACACAGCTTTCGCTGGACCAGTCGTTATGGCCCCCTTCATTGAATGGTCTCTCTCTACAGGACTATGCCTTGCAGTATAGTCCCAATGATGGCAGCCCAGAAATCCGGGAATCTATTGCTTCTACGCTTTCAGGCTCGTACTCAAACCAAAAGGACCTGGTAAAAGAACGGATCATGCTGCACACGGGCGCTAGTCAAGGCCTTATGACTCTTCTTACGTGGCTTCAAGTACCGACTAGTTCTCAGCATAAGAATAAGCGGCCCCTGCCACATCTGTACCTACCAACAACAACGTACTTTATTGCCTTGTCCATGTTTCAGGAAGCTGGTATCGATATGGACAAGGATGTGACGATCGTGGATGAGCAGAACGATGGAATCAATCTTGTTGTTTTGGAAGAAGAATTAAAAAAGCGCACGAATCTGGAAAGCGATGCCAAATATGATGGTCTTTTATACCTTATTCCAACGCACGCAAACCCGACTAGTACTATCCTATCAGATGAGAAACGTCGTCAGCTTGTGGCACTTGCTCAGCAGTATCGGCTTCTTGTCGTCACGGATGACGTATACGAACTCCTGACATTTCCACCGCATGCCTCTGCAGTTCCTCCTAGGCTGGCATGGTATGATATGAAATATGGATCTGGCAAGAACGTGATTGGCAACAACTCTTTTTCAAAGGTGCTTGGCCCTGGTCTTCGTGTAGGCTATTATGAAGCCGATCCAAGTATTCTGCAAGAACTCTATTCGCTGGGCTGGATTGAGTCTGGTGGCTGTCCTTCCAACTTTGCATCGCGAATGCTGCTTCCTCTATTTTGCGAAGCGCTTACCCCGCATTTCCCACAGGTTTCATCGTCGCGTACCGCACTTGAGCATGTGGTTTCGCAAATACAATCTTCGCTGGAAGCACGGTGCCAGTATCTTATTGACGCAATCGAGGAGTACTTATTCCCGCTAGGTTTTACGCTCCCTTACGGTAAACCCTGCGGTGGTTATTTTCTTTTCCTTGGCTTGCCGTCCTCTATGGAAGTGGCTACAGTGTTACAGGCTTTGGAGGATGTCAAAATTTATGTATCCACAAGCAAAAATTTCTGCGTACAGCCTTCCAAACTGAAACAAGCGCTTGGAATTGACTGTCTCCGGATCTCATTCACGTTTTACAACCAGGCATTGCTGCGGCCACGCCTGGCTCGCTTGGTGGAGGTCTTGCAACCGTAGAGTCACGGTAGAATGAATGTACACACCTCCACTAGAAAGCTCGTTTTCTGGGCGGTTCGTCCTCCAAACGATCGTTGTGTATGCCCCTTGGCTCTCGATTGGTACGGTGGATTAGGCCCGTATCAACTCGTTCATTTATTTGTCGTACTACGAATCGATTTATCATGACAGATTCGAACACTACGACAGCGCCACCCTTGTGGACAGCATCGAAAGTGCGAAGCACCTTCTTTGATTATTTTAAGGAAAGGCAACACACATATGTGCCATCGAGCTCGACCATCCCGTACGACGATCCGACGTTGCTTTTTGCCAATGCGGGTATGAATCAGTACAAGTCCATCTTCCTTGGTACTGTTGACCCATCCTCGGATTTTGCCAAGCTGCGCCGTGCGTGCAACTCGCAGAAGTGCATTCGTGCTGGTGGTAAGCACAATGATTTGGATGATGTAGGTAAGGACACCTACCACCACACGTTCTTCGAAATGCTTGGCAACTGGAGTTTTGGTGACTACTTCAAAGCGGAAGCCATTGATTTCGCATGGAAACTTCTTACAGAGGTGTATGGCCTTCCGAAGGACCGTCTCTATGTGACCTACTTTGAGGGTGATGAAAAGAATGGCCTCGAGCCTGATAATGAGGCGCGTGATCTATGGCGTAAGGTAGGAGTGCCTGACGACCATATCCTCAAGGGCAATGCTAAGGACAACTTCTGGGAAATGGGCGCTACTGGCCCATGTGGTCCTTGCAGTGAGATCCACTATGATCGTATTGGCGGGCGCAATGCCGCCTCTCTTGTCAACATGGACGATCCCAATGTTATTGAGGTGTGGAACAATGTGTTTATGCAGTACAACCGCGAGGAGGATGGCTCGCTTCGTCCGCTGCCTGCGCGCCACATTGACACGGGTATGGGCTTTGAGCGTCTTGTCTCGATTCTGCAGGGCAAAAGCTCGAACTACGATACGGATGTGTTCCAACCCCTGTTCGACAAGATCCGTGAGCTGACGTCTGCTCGTCCTTACACGGGCAAGCTGGGCGCGGAGGATGTCGACGGTATTGACACAGCGTACCGTGTGGTTGCGGATCATATCCGTACTCTTACATTCGCGATCAGCGATGGCTGCATTCCGGATAAGGATGGCCGTGGCTACGTTCTTCGTCGTATTCTGCGTCGTGGTACGCGTTTTGTGCGCAAGTACTTCCAGGTGCCTATTGGCCACTTTTTCTCGCAGCTTGTGCCTACATTGGTCGACCAACTGGGCGACACGTTCCCTGAACTTACGAAGAAGGTGAAGGAGGTGCAGGCTATCCTGGACGAAGAAGAAGCTTCCTTTGCGCGCACACTGGACCGTGGTGAAAAGCTCTTCGAGCAGTACGCTTCAGCTGCTCGTGCTGAAGGTCGTACCAAGCTGAACGGTGCGGATGTGTGGCGTCTGTACGACACTTACGGTTTCCCTGTGGACCTGACCAGCATTATGGCTGAAGAGCAGGGTCTTACCTTCGACCAGGCCGAGTTCGAGAAGGCGCAGGCGGAAAGCAAGGAGGCCAGCAAGGGCCAGGGCAAGCAGCAGGAGACGGACGCTGTGAAGCTGGATGTGCACGACTTGGGCTACCTGGAGTCGAACGATAGTGTGCCGAAGACCAATGATGTCTTCAAGTACGACACGCCGTCTATGTCGGCCAAGGTCAAGGCTCTGTTCCAGGCTCACAAGTTTGTGGATGCCACTGGCTCGCTGCCCAGTGCGAGCGAGCCGTTTGGTGTTTTGCTGGACCAGACCAACTTCTATGCGGAGAGCGGTGGTCAGCAGGCAGACACGGGTAGCCTGGTGATCGATGGCCAGGCTGAGTTTGAGGTCACCGATGTGCAGGTATCTAACGGCTACGTGCTGCACATTGGGTCGCTTAAGTATGGCTCGCTCAAGGTGGGTGATGATGTAATTGCTGCCTATGATGAGTCGCGCCGTCGTCCTCTGCGTAACAACCACACGGGTACGCATATTCTGAACTTTGGTTTGCGTGAAATTCTTGGCGACCACATTGATCAAAAGGGCTCGTTGGTGGCGCCGACCAAGCTGCGCTTTGACTTCTCGCACAAGGCGCAGGTGGGCGTGCCTGAGCTGTCGAAGATCGAGGCGATCAGCAACGACTTTATCAAGCGCGATGTGGGTGTGTTTGCCAAGGAAATGGGTCTCGAAGACGCACAAAAGATTCCTGGTCTGCGAGCCGTGTTCGGTGAGGCGTACCCGAACCCTGTGCGTGTCGTAGCGCTCGAGTTTGACGTGGATGAGATGGCTGCAGACTTGACGAACCCGCGCTGGCGCTCCACATCGGTGGAGTTCTGCGGTGGTACGCATGTCAAGCGCACTGGTGAGATTGGCCATCTGATTATCACGGAGGAGAGTGGTATTGCCAAGGGTATTCGTCGTATTGTGGCTGTGACAGGTGACGAGGCGATTCAAGTCACTCAAACCGCGGACGATGCATCGAAGCGACTGGACGAAATTGACGCCGTCACAGAAGACAGTGCGAAGGATGCACAACTCAAGGCGTTCAGCGTGGAGCTGGCGCGCATGGATATGAGTGTGGTGCGCAAGGATGAGCTCAAGACACGTTTCGTTAAAATCCGCAAGGCGCTGGACACGCGTCTGAAGGCACGTGCCGCGGCCGATGTGAAGGCGGCGCAGGAAGCGGTGACCAAGTACTTTACTGAGAATCCTGACGCAAAGGTCTACGTCGCAAAGCTTGATGTGGGTGCCAATGCCAAGGCTTTGCAGTCAGGCGTGTCGGCTGCGCGCAAGCTGAACAAGCCCGTGTACCTCTTTGCGCAGGACACACCGGTGGGCGGAGGCAAGGCCAAGACCCTGTACGGCAACTTTGTACCTGCTGATGACCTAGAGCGCGGTCTTGATGCTGTGTCGTGGAACAAGGCTGTCTCCGAAAAGCTCCAAGGCCGTGGTGGTGGCAAGCCTGACGGTGCTCAAGGTCAGGGTGAAGCCTCGGCGGCGGATTTGGACGAGGCGATGAAGCTCGCTGACTCGTTTTTCGCCATGAAGATTGGCGCGTGATGCCATAGGTAGCAAGAAACGACCATGTTCGTCTTTATAGGGTACTAATCTACAAGCGCAATGTGGGCCACAGGGTATACCCACTCGAGTATCGTGACAATGATCATTTGCGCTGCCACGACCAGGCAAATAATAAGGCCACCAATCGGTCCACCCACATGGCGGTAGCGCGCGAAGCGTTCCATGTAGCCGCGCCAAGGCTGTGCCATGGCTCGCTTGTATACTACTTCCAGGCGGCGAGTGGTCTCCTCCCATGAATACATTTGTGTCACAATTCGATGTTGGGCCCATGGATCATGCTCTCCAGCACGAATCCGAGAAATGGCCGCAGAGCATGCATCGACAATGGCTTCCGTACATGGATCAGCAAGCGTCATCATCGACGCAGGCAGGAGTTCTGGAATGCCGCCCACTTTGGTCGTGACCACATAAAGTCCGGCACTGGTAGCTTCAATAATCGACGTGCCAAACGCTTCTGTGAGAGACGTGTTTAGAAAAATATGGCCTTGTGTGAGATGCGCACGCACATCGCGTTGTCGGACTGCACCGACCAAAGCAACTCGGTCTTGTAACATGCACCGCTCACGCATTTGCTCCAGTTCCACATACTTGGGACCATCGCCTCCGATCACAAAGCACACATCCGTGTGGAGTGCGCAAATGCGTGGAATGGCCGTCAAAAGCAAATCAATGCCTTTGCGGTACATGAGGCGGCTCAGCACCACGATACATATACGCGCTGTGGGCGCACGAGCGGGATCGGGGTATAAATTGCGGGCATCCACGGCATTAGGAATCGTGGATACTTGGTCCGGTGCCAGGTGGGCACGAAGAACCGTGTTTTCACGACCGGTATGGCTCACACACACCACATGATCCACATCGGTCAAGGCAAAACGCAGCATTTTGTTGGTAAGAATGGCACTCACATCAGAGAACCCAAAGAGTGAGTGGTCTGTAAATACGGCTTTGAGTCCTAAACACTTGGCCAAGAAGATGCCTTCGTGTCCCATACTGGAAAGCGCTTGATGTGCATGAACAATATCAATTTGTTCACGTAGAAGGATGCTGCGCAGTAACGGCAGCAGCGCGAAAAAGTTGGGTAGCGTATCTTGACGAGCAATCACTCCATAGGGTATATAATACACTTTCATGCCACCTGGCAGGTACCTCACTCCGACACGGTCTGGCTCATATGCATGGGTAATGACAATCACCTGAACATGAGACCAATGAATACGTACCTTGTGCCCGCGGCGAAGGAGTTGCTGTCCGATCATATACATGTGGCCTTCCACACCGCCGACATTCGGAAAAAAAAAATCAGAAAGGAGGCTAAGTGTCAACACACTCTGTGGCTTACGCTATACGAAGAGGTTTCGATGCCTCCTGGGATGCTGGCTCTTTAGGAATCGACCATGCAGGCACGCCTAAGAGCGCTAGCGCTTTATCTATGGACGCATCTGACCACGCCGAAGACGTAGTCGATGCATACCTCTGCGCTAGCTGCTGCAGTAGGACGCGCTGTAAAGCTGCGTGGTACGCCTCCGCCGATGTCGGAACCTCTGTGATGCCCGCCGTCTCTGGAGTCAGCAGGGAGGTCATGTGAGGAGGGCATGGTATACGACCATTCGCACAAGCATCGTAAGCACGAAGCAAATCCAACACTGGATCCTGGAACTGATTCATGGCCTCGCCTGAAAAGAGCTTCGACACGCCTTTTGTCTCCACAGATGCTGCAGCTAGTTAGTATACAATCACACGTACTTGTAGGCATCCACAGATCCCACACAGCCTGGTGGAAGGTGGGGTGGTCAGCCCACGTCGCCCACAGCCTATCGATGCATGATTGTGGACCGCGATGCATGGCATACACGCAAGAAAATCGTGAAGAAGAGATGTGTGGCGGAGGGAAGAGCGCACATGCAGCAGCACGCACGTCTGCATCGTCATCTTGCAGGAGGCGCCACGTAAGAAGAGCCATGGAAACAGTGGGCGTATGTACACGAGAAAGGGCTTGTGCTACACCCAGTCGGGAGGCGGTGGGCACATCTGGTTTGGCACAAGCGTCCCATAAGTATACACACGCTTCCAACGTATCACTGTCCCAAGCTCGGCCTAGCAAGGGTAAGAGGGCCTCACGAAGCGGTACATGCTCTGTGGCGTAGGCCAGGGTGAGTATGGCTTGGATATGGGCCGCATATTCACCGCCCATACGGTCCAGTAAAGTAGCTGCACCAATACGTGCATCCAGAGGATAGGCGCTGTCCAAGAGAATTGAAAGCAACGTGGAACGTACACCTTCGTCTGTCCATCCTACACGAGACCATGCCTGAACAGGCTCCGGCTCCTGGATGCTGAACATTATAAGAGCAGTAGCCATATCCATACTGCATGACCATGCTTCCATCGGCAACGCTACCTTGTGGGCAAAAGCCAGGCGAAGGGCCACTGGTAAGAGCCACACCACCAAAGGATCACGAGGAAGGGTCATGGTCGATGTAGGCACACAGCTTGCTTGGAAAAAGGCATGGAGCCATGTCGATGCCTGCGCCCCTGCTTCACACGCTTCCAAGGCCTCCAAGAAACCAGTCACAGTAACAGGGCATGGGTTATCTGTAAGCCAAACCCAGTTCGCTTGCAGCACATTCGCACATGGCACAGACAGCTGAGCACACGCATGAGCCAAGGCTAGCGTGCCTGCCAACGCATTTTGATCGCGTGTCGTACTCTGCTCAACGCGGTGCGCAAGCACACGTGATCGCTCTTCTGCAGGTACGAGCGCGGCGTAGCAATGGGCCGCGGCGGTGCGCACCGATGTATTGGCACTTGCCATGCAACGCGCAAGCGCCTCCAATACGTCCTCACGTTGGAACGACACATGGCCGCGACATTGCGAGAGAAGAAGCAAAATGGCGTACAGGCCGGAGCCATGCCCCACGGTAGCTAAATCTGATACTGCGACATGACATGACCCCTCACAAAGCGCAGTGATCAACGTCTCCGCCAGCGCAGGGCTGGCATCCAAAAGGCCGTCCAAGGTAGGGCCGTTGAGCGATTGAAAGGCGTGAATACCAAAGTACCGGTTCGACACTGCTGCATACAGCATCATTGCAGCATTCCGTACACCCCAATGTGGCGAAGAGAAGCAGGCCACAGCCCTTGTAAGTGCATCAGCTTGATACATCTTCATGGCACTAGCCATCGAGCTGTCCATAATGAGTACACGAATTATATTCAGAGCATGGATGCAGCGCACAGGCACTGCATCATGCGAAAGAGCAAGAAAACGTTGCATAACCCATTTAGTTTCCTGCGTCAGGGTGGCACCGCTATGCGCACTGAGCAAGGACATCACCGCATAGCCCAAGCCTGCACTGCGCCGCGTTGTGCTAAATGCATCCGCATGCGCCTCAACACGCGACACCAAAGCATGTAGCCAGTCTGTGGGCTGCGAGGACGACATGACCAGACGCGCTCGTGCCATGGTCTGGTAGTGGGGGTATACGGTGCTAAAGGCACCACGGTGCCGAATTTGCAGGAGCCATGCAAGGAACGTCTCATTTATATCGTCCCATGGGAGGAGAGCTGGATCGCAATGCAACGCCAAGGCACACAGCAAGGCCGACGCTTCTTTAATAGCTCGCCAACTGAACGATAAAATTTGCTGCATCTCGGAGACAGAGGTATGTTCCGTCGCAGCGGAGGCTCGTTCTAGCTCACTCACATCTTCAGCCCCTTCGTCCGATGCGGCTCGTAAGACAGGCGCGACAAAGGCCCACACACGTAGAATGACATTGTACAGATGCTGCGGCACTGTGGGCGGTTCACACGCCACGAGGTATGTTAGCGCAGCAAGGAAGCCATGAAGACCGTGCGTGGATGCGTGGGCCAACGAGGTTGTCGTCGTTAAGTACGCTGTTAATCGCTTGGTATGTACCTCAATTAAGTTTTGCGTCCAAGAGAGCGATGCATCGTGCGATACACCAAGCGATGAAAGTACATCTTTGTGGTGCGCTTCTGGACATACTTTGTGATAAAGCTGTAACAATTGAACAGAGGCGTACGCATCTGACTCTTTCATCGCCGGGAGGCGTGTCCAACTGGGAAGAACCACATGATCGGTCAAAAAGGAAACGTCGCGAAGAAGAGAAGAGGGGCGCTGTGCTAATCGCATGAGGATCAGCACAGCCGTTCCTTGAATGTCATCGTATGTACTCTCGGTGGCCAAGTGAACCAGTCGAAGGATCACAGGCTGCGTGGGTATCAATGGCGGCAGCGCTGCGGCTGGGAACGTTTTTTGGGCCTTGTGCAGCGCCCGCATAGCATCATGAAGTCTATGCATATGCATAGGCACAGTGGAAATAGGTGAGGTAGCTTCCAATAGCAGCAGCAGAAGCGATGTTGCCAGGATCATACAAGGATAGGGTGCGCCTGGATGCATCGCAAACACAACCGCATCATAGAGATGCTGTAGAAGGCCGTGCATAGCACGGAGACGAGCATCATCTTTGGATAACTTGTTTGCGCTCGTGCGAATACGCACTAGCAGTTTGACAAAGAACGCAATGCTGTCTTTCCGCGCTACCGAGCTAGGCATCATCAAGCTTTCGGCAAAAAAGCGACGGACGATATGGATCTCATGTGCATGCAACGGCTGGGCCGGTGTCTTGGCATCCACACACAGTGCCAATGCTGCCACATGCATACGTGGTGAACCTGACGATAGGCATGCTTCCAAGAGCGACAATGGAACGATCAAGGAGTTTGACGCGGCGTTTTCGTCTAGCGTGCACAGATCACGAACCTTGGCGGCTTGCAAGACAGCTACAATGGCGTACGAATCACCACGCTCATCAAGAGCATCCAAAAGAGGGGCCAAGGTAGACGGCCATTGATCAAGAAGAGGGTGAACCACATGTGCCATGACATTATCGGCCGCCCGCTCATCGGTGTGTGAGAGACTCGATGCGAGCACAGGTAGCCATGCTGTTAGCCAGGCATCAGTATGTTGTGTCGCCGCAATCAATGTCGATGCTAAGTGGGAGCGTCGACTCACTTGACCCCGGCCTGCCTGGATGTCGGCGAGAATACGTTGAAAGAAACAACGCGGTGTCTCCTCTAAAATGGCGAGGCCATAGTGAGTAAGTAAGGCATCCATGACAAGAAGTGATACGCCTTGGTTCAGCGAGGCATGGGCTTGGTACCATGCCTTGGCCCAGGATGAGGGGGCCGTGACTTCGTCTACCTGATCCCACATGGTCCACAACTGATCGAGCAACGTGCGAACACGCTGGAGTGCAGACGAAGGTGGCAGTGCGAAAACGCCTTCGATGCGAGTAGTGCATATCTCCCACACGGGATGTGTGCAGAACGCACGTTTGTCAGAGAGTCTAGCGATATGAGGCGGCGCATGCTGGCACCAGGCACGAAGCGCATCGACACCCGATGCCAGTGTGCTTCCACGACGAGCGCCATCCCAGGGATGGGGCGATTGGAGCATGTCCAATGCCGAAGCTAGCACATCGAGTATGTCGGAGGCTGGCACAGGTGGCTCTTCAGTCCATGCGGCGATGGCCGCCTGCACCTCCTGAAGCGCCTCTGCCGCGCGTGTCGACATGGTCGATCCGAAAGTGAAGGCGCCGATGTTGCTGACTAAGGCCACTGCGCGCGGTGCTTCGTCCTCCACGCGGGGCCTACGACGCGTCGTGGTACTACGTCGAACGCGCTCATGACCACGCCGGCCCATGTCCCTCCGGACGTGCGTCGAACGATATTACGTGCGTTTACGAAGAAGAGACACTTGCAATTGCAGTCGGATGCAGTGCAGTTTATATTCAGCACACTTGAAGAGCATGACTTGCTTCGTGACCCTGACGCGACGCAGGAAGCCATAGAGGCCCTGGCGGGGGCATTGGTCGATCAGCATGTAGCAGGCGCACAGATTGCCGGCTTCGACGGACATGTGGTAACAGGAGCCGCACTACAGAAAGTCTACGACCAGCTGCTGGTCGAAGCTGCGGACGACGGGCAGCCCAGTACACAGGCACTCACGCAGGGCGATACACCGGAAGTGCAGCGCTTCTTTGCTGTGTGTGATGCCTTTTCACAACCGTGGATCCGATTTCATGGCGGCAGGAAAGTGTTTGAGAACGTGGACAGATCACGTACGCTGCTTCCGACACCGGAGGCGTCCAGCGCTCATATGATTGAGCGGTACGAACTGCTTAAGAGCGTAGTCCTACGGAACGAGCATTTCTTGCCTGCGCTCACTGGTCAAGCATCCCAGCGCAATTCCTTCATGCATTTAACGACGACCAAAAACTTGCTAGGCCGACAAGGCGAGCACTGCCTGCTCTTTGGCCGCCTGTCGACCTCGGCGGATGGCACGTATGTGCTGGAAGATACCGAAGGAACTGTGCGGCTCGATCTGTCCCGAGCGATGGCTGGTGAAGGAATTTTTACAGAGGGCGCGTTTGTGCTCGTGGAAGGTGAATATACCAAGGACGAGTGCTTGCAAGTAGTGGCGCTTGGACATCCGCCCAGCGAAAGTCGCGAGCAGGCGCGCATGTATACGGGCCATCTTGATTGGCATGGGAGTGGCGCTGTGCCGACCAAACACGTTGCTGCTTTGCAGGCGCAGGAGGCACAGCACCTGGATGTGTGCATGGCCGTTTTTTCAGACGTCTACTTGAACGAGGCGAGTACACTACGTCACTTGCGTGCGATTTTGCAAGGCTACCAAGACGCAGATTTTTTGCCGCTGGCGATTGTACTGTGTGGCCCCTTTTCCTCGGTGCCTGTGGAAGCGGCAGGTGCTATGGAGGCGTATATGCAAGGGTTTGCTCACTTGGCTGACGTTCTTCTTGCCTTCCCGCGCGTTTTGCAGTCGTGCCACCTCGTTTTGGTCCCTGGCGCTCGTGATCCTGCGGCGACGCCCGTGCTACCACGCCCGCGAATTCCTGCACCGTTGGTCGAGAGAATGGAGCGCAAGCTTCCACGCTCCTTTGTGGAGGAGCGTCTGCACTGGATGAGCAACCCATGCCGTCTTGTGTACTTCTCACAGGAGATTGTGGTATTCCGCGACGATATTATGAGCAAAATGCTACGCAGTGCGATTCTGCTAAAAGACCAAGTGGCGCCAGGCGACTTGCAAAAGTACCTCGTGTCGACCCTATTGGATCAAGCATACTTGTGTCCGCTCCCTGCCCAAGTACGCCCCGTGCTGTGGGAGTACGCAAATGCGCTCTGTTTATACCCCATGCCTAGTGCGGTACGTCTTCGTCGCTAAAACTACATCCACTAACGCCTACAAGCTTGTCCTTGCGGACCGATATGAACGATTTGAGCTCACGTATGAAGGATGTCATGTCTTCAACCCAGGCTCCTTCCACGGTGCCCAAGGATGGACCACCTATTATCCGGCCACTGGCCAAGCGGAGCGAAGGTACGTCAAGTGGAGGGAAAGTCTTATTCATGCAGTGCATTGTCTTTGTGAAGGCCAAATTGCGATTCCAGGCAGGCGTACAGCACAGCTGTACGCGCATGCCGCGCACGGAGGAGTCGTTGCAGATCAGGGTCATGTACGTAGGCAGCGCGATAAGCACGTGTCGTTAAACTAGCGAAATGACGTGAGATGGCACCCAGATCGCTAAGCATGCTCGTTTCAGAGGGGAAGGCAAACGCAGAACTCTCTTCAGGGGGCACAGAGCGCGTGCAAGGAGGGGTACACGCATTCCAGCTCACGCCTCGGAGACACCAGTCTTCGGGCAGATCCATGCGGGCCCAGTCCAAGAGGGTCTCCGCATCGGCAGAGCCTGTGCCAAATACATCGCCATGTGCATACACAGCAAGTCGGTCCCAGGGAAGGAACTTGCGTATTACACGGCAGACCAAAGCCACAGGCTCCACACTTTGCCGCAGGGATAAGACTTGGAGGAAGCCTAGCATGATGGTGATATACATGCCAGGCGAATTGATATGGGAGGCTGGATCAGAAAGTGCATACTGCAAATGGTAGAGACCAGAGCTCAGCAGCACCAGGATCATCGCCAGAGCATTGGTGATACGCAACGGCAGCCCTTCTTCCCGTGCTGCCGTCAGGAACCTAGCTGGGGACGGCGGTTCCGGGACGTACGAGGCCGACCGCTGCGTAAAAGAGGCTACCACCGCGGAACTGGCCGTCCCAAAGGGCCGAGCATCGGACGGAATATGGTACGCCATCAATTGGTGGCCAGGGATCCATGCCTCCTCGCGCATGAACTCAAGTAGGGCTGCCGTAGAACACATCGCCATTTCGGCCCATTCCGTCTCGAGAAGAGGGCATGGCGCAATTTGCAAGGAGTCACGCAGCTTCTCTAGCCGGACGCCGAATTCAGAGAGGTCGGCGTCAGGCTGAAGCAGGGAGCCGATAAGCTTGACAAACAAATCATGACTGCAAGGACTGGACACATTCTGAGCTAGCTGTGCAGAGCGCGATACGCATTCTAGCATCGATTCACGAGCGGCCAGACAGGGCTGTACCACTTGTAAGCATTTGGCGTAGAGGTATAGGGAGAGGAGTGGTGCAGAAATAGATAAATCGCCTAGCGCTGCGTACAAACGGCCCTTGTCCGGCGTCTCACTCGCAGCCATGCCGTACCATCGTGAGGCGACAGTGAGCCATGAATCGCTTTCATCTGCGAGGAAGTAGCGAGGTAGTTTGAGGTGCTGCAGGGTATGTAGGTAAGTAAGCATACGTCGCGCCACTTCGCCGAGCCACTCGACACATGCACGACGTACACGCCATTCGATCGCACGTTCATAAAGGTAAGAGCAGATAGCATAGGTATCGGTGAGCATGCGCTCCAAGAAATCGCCCTGGATGATATAAGAGGCCCATTCCAACACGCCTTGCTCGGCGGGGTAGTTCGCGGCGGGCGTCCCATGAGGCGCTTCGCTAAGTATATGCAGCAGCTTTTCAACTGGCATATGAATGCCATGAATGTAGCATCGTGTGAGGATGCTATGCATTTCAGGAAGCTTGCGTGATTGGGCTTGAGCCTGCCGAAGCTCGCACTGTAGCAGCTCAACAAGCGATACGCAAACCTGTACGTAGCTGACGTTGTAAGATAAGTGTGGCGACATACCTCCGTTGCACTTGATACAGCTCGACCACGGCGCTGACACTGTCCAGCGGTTCGTCCATGCGCCGTTCGCAGTCATTCATATGCGTCAGACACGTATCTACCATCTGTGCCACCTGGGCACGGTGTCCACTCTCGCTGGTAGACATCGAGGAAAAAGGGCTCGCCGCCTCCCGCAGCATATCTACGCCCGACATGGAGTTCATAGCAAGAGGAGAGGGTGGCCCCGCTATGGCCCTTGGATGGAAAGGCTCCACCATCCTTCTTCACTTAGGCACGATAGCCACTGCGTGGCACGCTAGGTGAAGCAAACAAGAAGGGAAAGGAGGCCTAGCAATCAATTTACCTGCCCTGCCACGGCTAGAAGAAACCCTAGCTCCGAGATCCAGCTTCGCTCGCACGGGACTTGAATGAAAATGGATGTGTGCCTTAAGCCGAGGCCCCTTTTCTCGCCAAGCCGCTTCGCAGGCAAATGCTGAGTCATCCAAGCCTACGGAGGCCCAGGCCCTCCACACCAACGCATGGCAGCGCGGCCTTCGCCAAGGCGCTTTTCTCGCTTCTACGGAGCGGGAACCACAGCAAGGACCGCAACGCGAGCGGTTCATGCGTGGAAGGTATTTAGGGAGACGCATACACGGTATCGTTTTTCGCAGCATGCATACGCAGCCCTGTCCGATGCGCCAGGTCGTGCCACCACCCGCATTGCGTGATACCATCGCGGTGCGCAACTTGAATGTGCGGCTCCTGGTGGGCCCCGATGCCTGGGGCCGCGAACGGCCCCAGCCTGTGTACATCGATGCCAAGATCCGTACGGATGTATCACGCGCAGGCCAAACGGATGAAGTGGGGGACAGTCACAATTACGGCACGCTCTACCGCGCTCTGGAAGCGCTCAGCACACCAAGTGCCTCGTTTGCCAATATGGCGCATCTCGCCGAGGTGTGTGCTCGCACCTGCATAGAGTCGTGCCATGCGCCATGGGCCGATATCGAGGTTCGGCTACCGCGCTCGCAGCTTCGCGCTGCCTATGCGTCTGTGATCCTCACACGGACGCCGCACGCTCTCGCACACCCGTCGAGCGAGGACGCACAAGCTCTTTGTGCGGCAGATCACACACACCTGCATGACATCGATATGTTTGTGATCCTCGGTGTGAACCCATGGGAGCGCGAGACCAAGCAGCGTATCGCTATGCATATCGACATGTGGCCCCTCATCGCATCCACGTCGGCCTTGCAGGCGATGGTACAGGAGGTGTGTACGTACGTGGAATCCACGTCGTTCTTGACCATTGAAACGCTCGTAACGCAAGTGGCGGAGCGGCTCCTTGTCCCACATGCCCTCGACCAAGTCCGTGTGCGTGTCGACAAACCCAGCGCGATTCTCCATGCCGACGCGTCCAGTGTGGAAATTGTGCGCGATCGGTCGTTTTTCGTGGAGGAGGCGCCGTCGACGACCAAAGAGCACACGGCGATCTTGGCGATCGGGACCAATCTGGGTGACCGGATGGCGCACATTCAAGCTGCCCTGACGAAGCTGGAAGCGCACCCTGCTATTCACGTCGTTGACACGTCGTTCCTGTACGAAACCACCCCGATGTATTACACGGACCAGCCGCGCTTTCTCAATGGCGCTTGCAAAATCACGACCAGCCTGCTCCCTATGGACTTGCTGGACGTGTGCCAGCGAATCGAGATCGATGTGGGACGGACCAAGGTCGGTGTGCCTCGGAACGGTCCTCGTGTGATTGATTTAGACATTCTGCTGTACGACCGAGAGGTCATTGACGAAGGCGAGCGACTACAAGTACCTCATCCACGTCTCGCAGAGCGGGCCTTTGTTCTGCATCCCCTGTGCGATCTATGCCCAGACTATGTACATCCGGTGCTCCAAGCCAAGATCTCGGCATTGGCCCCTCGTGCCACGACAGATATGACTCGCGTCACGGCGATGGGCCCAGCGCTGTGGCATTGGGGAACCAAGACGTTTGTCATGGGCATTCTCAATGCCACACCAGATTCGTTCTCGGATGGCGGACGTCACTTGAGCGTCGAAGCAGCGATGACCTCTGCCCGTCGTATGGCCGAGGCCGGTGTCGACATGTTTGACGTCGGTGGGCAAAGCACGGCGCCTGGCGTCGTTGAAGTGACGTCGGACGAGGAGGCAGCGCGTGTCGTGCCCCTCATTCAGGCTCTGGCCAACGACCCAGCGACGCAGCACATCCCCATTTCCATCGATACCTACCGCGCTGACGTCGCACGACAGGCGCTGGACGCGGGCGCGCATGTGGTCAACGATATTAGCGGCGGCACACGCGATCCGGCGATGCTGGCATTGGTCGCAGAGCGGCAGTGCCCGTATATCCTCATGCATATGCGCGGCAATGCCAATACCATGGCATCCCTTACAACGTACGAACAGGGTGTTGTGCAGGGCGTCGTCGAGGAATTGCAGCCCCTCGTGCTAGCTGCCATGCAGGCAGGTATCCGACGATGGAACGTGATAATTGATCCAGGGATCGGCTTTGCGAAGGATACGCATGGCAACGTCGACCTGCTTCGGCACCTTCCGGCGCTCAATGGCCCTGGCGCAGGGCATTTCGGCACCGCCAATGCGCCGCCTTTCGCGCCTGGAGACACCGCGCCCTCACAGCCTCTTGCGTCTATGCGGCATATGCCATTGCTGCTTGGCGTGTCTCGCAAGCGGTTCCTGGGCGCTTTGATACAGGATCCCAGCGCAGCACCAGCGCAGCGCATGCAGGCCACGATGGCCGCATGTGCCGCTACCATCCCTACGGGATGTGTAGACATTGTCCGAATCCACGACGTAGTCCCTGCGATGGATATGGTGCGTACGTGCGATGCCATTGCACGGCCTACCCCCCAAACCGCTCTGGCCACAACGCAGGGGCCACAAGTGACCATCCATAGAGAGCCGCACATACCCAGCTGCTAACAATACGCACACGCATCGATTCAGAACTGGTCCCAATGTACATGGTCGGCGTGTCATGGACTTCTTTCACAGCGCGCACTGCGTGCCAATCCGTAAGCAGCATGGCAGTGTAGCACGCGGCTACAGCGAAAATCACATGGAAGACACTGTAGTGGTAGCGCGTGCCAGCCCGCTCATCATCGTTCGTGTTCACCAACACACGGCCCTCGTCCTGCTGTGTTTGCAGCTCGTCGTCCAGCACAGACGAAGGGAGAGAGCCTGCTGCGACAGCCGATCGGATGGCCTCAATACGCAACGTATTCTTCGGCGCAGGTGGCACAGAGATGGGCGCCTCCATCGCTACGGGCTCAGGGTCCAAGGCAATATCGCCCGTAGTGCGATCCCCACCGAGCATCAGCGTGTGCGTCGCCGCCCGCGTGGTGGAGTAGGCAATCGCCAAGAATGTAAACACAACGCCAAGCACGGCTGTCGTTGTATGCGCACTTTCACCACGGCCCCGAGCAATAGGATTGCACTGCTTGTTATCGCGGTTCATCAGCGCCGATGTGAGCAGATACGTCATATAGGCCAAGACCATACTGCTCTGCGCCAGCCCACTGCGTGGATTGGCCTCCTGGATGCGTGGGTGCACACACAGCACGGTAAGCACCACAGACAGTAGTAAATTGATGGTGATGAGGACGCGGTTGCTAGTGCATGGCCCCGTAGCAAAGAACAGATACAAAAGCAGCGTGGCTAGAAGGACCATCCCATACAACCCGAGCGTCGTGCCTACAAGCACGTACTTCCAGACATCAGAGCCTTGCCGCTCCCACTCATCCAGGCATGCTTCCGACCAGGAGTGCGCGAAATCAACCAGCAAGACGAGTCCCAAAAAGATAAAGCTGACTGCGAACACAGGGGCAATGTAGTTGGCCCAAAACACAAAGAAGGCACTGGGCAGGAAAAAGGTGCACACCACCAGCGAGATCCATGCCAAGATCTTGGGACCCCACCATCCATTCTGGATCGTAGCGCGCGGATTCCGTGTGTCGTGCACATCGACGAGCAATAGGGCCAAGACGACATGGAAGAGAGCCAAGGCAAAGGTTATACGATGAACGGCTAAAACACCGACACACGTCTCTTGCTGAATGCACTGCACTTGCACATACTTGTACGTCCACTCCTCAATGGATCGAGCGAGACTCGGCGTCAAGCTAATCCACGCCGCTATGGCATCCACACAAAAGAGGAGCGCATAGCCTACACGCGTCGCCATCGACGACTGACAATGGCACGATTTGCACATCATCGAAGCCGCTGTCGATGTGAAGAGGGATACACATGTTACTGTACAGCAGGAAGCCAGCGGGGCTACGAGCCATGGCACAGATAAACAGGCGCCCATCCTCGCCGTCGTCGTCCGGAAAAAACGTGTCAGACGGCGATCGTTGCCACTGTCCCTCCACGTCTCTCTCTTTGACTCCACACCTGAGTGACGCGAATGCTCCAGCGGATCTGTGCGCCATGGCAGCCAGCTCATACGCTGCGGTCGTGCATGGGCATACGTCCTTACTCCAAAGTCGAGGCGCTTTCGCAGAAAAAAGCACAGGATATGCGTAACCGCAAAGCGCGTCATTTCGTCGATACCCTACTTGTGCAAGTCCAAGCAGGGCATGGTGGCGATGGCTGCGTGTCGTTTCACCGTGAGAAGTTTGTGCAGATGGGGCCCGCAGCTGGTGGCAATGGTGGTATGGGTGGAAGTGTATACATTCGCAGCGATCCTACCATCCACTCGCTGGCGCGCGTGCACAAACGCGTCGTGGCGAAAAATGGCACACCGGGTGAAGGCGATTGGCTTCATGGCAAACGGGGGAACGATGTGACGATTCATGTGCCGGTGGGCACAACTGTACGTAGCCTTGGATGGACAATGAACGATCGCCTCTCCCTGGCCACACCGTACATGGACTACCTCTTCTCGCCTCGAGCACGCAAAGCAATCACCATCGATCAGGAAGAGACGCCAGAACTCGCTTCCTCGCGATCGGCTGTATGGCGCCATTTTCCACGTTTTGAGGACGACAACTATGAACGGCAACACTTTACTGCGGCTGAAGACAAGCTGCTTCGCGAACTAAAAGCCAAGCGGAAAGAACTAGCAGCGTTACCGCGCTCGTTGCAATCGGCCGCGTCCCTATCGTCGTATACCGAGCAGGAACCGCACATGGTAGAAGACATTACCAAAGAGGCAGGATGGAGTATGGACTTTGTGCAGCCTACGCCCCCTGCTGAAAAAGGGGTACTCCTCGCACGGGGAGGCGAAGGCGGATTGGGCAACCCACATTTCTTGCTGGAACGGTACCATGCACCAAAAATTGCGACCAAAGGCATGCCCGGTGAGTCGCTTCTACTGTCTCTGGAGTACAAGCAGCCGGCAGACATTGGCTTGGTCGGCCTGCCAAATGCAGGCAAGAGCACCTTGCTGCGGTGCCTAAGTCGCGCCGACGCGGAGGTCGGTGCGTACAGCTTCACGACGCTGCATCCCAACCTAGGTGTCATGCAGCTAGGTCAAAATGGCACGATGCTGGAGGACCATCAGGACCCGGAAACAAGTCGAATGACCATTGCTGATTTGCCTGGTCTCATCCATGACGCATCGAAAAACCGTGGCTTGGGCCACGACTTCCTTCGACATATTGAACGGTGCAATACGATCGTGTACGTCGTAGACTTTGGCCCACTCAATCCCCGCCCATCCAGCGACATTGTCATCCTGAACCGAGAACTAGAAGCGTATTCACCCGGACTCAGCGAACGTGTTGCGCTGGTGGTAGCCAACAAAGCCGATTTGCTAGGTCACGGTCCCGACGCACCAACGGCCGAAGAAGCTCATCAAAAATTAGCAAGACTACGTGGTGATGTACAATTGATCTTTGAGCCAAGGCACGTACCAGTGGTGCCGATTTCTGCCTTGCACCGCTTGAATCTAGATACCCTGGCCAAGTACCTGCAGATTGCCAAGACGGCGTCAGGTTCGTCGGCCAATGCGTCCTAATGGACATATTAGTCAGCGGCCGAAGGCCCCCGTAGTGTCCAATTTGCCACACGTTGACGCCGACTATCACGCCACTTGCAAATATGGCGTCGAAGTTCGTACTTGCGCCGCGGCCATGGCTGAGCCTATCGATGAGCCGTAGTCAGTGGATCCCTCCGGTACGTGCTCTCCAGCGCGCGTACGCCCATACAGAAGCAGGTTCTCCGTCAGAGTCGCTGCCAAAAGAGCGCATGACGACGCCGTTGAAAACGCCTCCTCAAGAAGAGACCGTTCGTGAGAAGCGCTCCAAGATTTCAGAAAAGATTCAGCAGCGCTCGCAGCGCAAAGCAGCTCTAACACTTACGCCGACCGCCGTTGAGCATGTTCGCAAACTGATGGAAGCCAGCGATGGGCCCAAGCTGTTACGTGTGAGCGTGAAGAACAAGGGTTGTGCAGGTATGAGCTACCACCTGGAATACGTCACGCCAGGGCAAGAAGGCAAGTTTGACGAGCGTGTGAAGCAGGATGGCGTGGAAGTGTTGATTGATTCTCGTGCCCTGTTCAGCGTCATTGGCTCAGAAATGGACTGGCAAGAGGATCGGATGTCGGCCAAGTTTGTCTTTAACAACCCCAACATCAAAGATGCCTGTGGCTGTGGCGAGTCCTTTATGGTCTGATAGAGGCCATGCTATTTAGATACCCTTCCACTCCCCACTCCGTCTGTCTCGCAGGCCACGATCGTATACGCCTTGGATGATAATTTATGTCACAGAACCTATACATAGAGTATATGGAATACAGAAAAAGATCATACATGCTTACTCTTCCGACGTAGCGTTAAGCAAGCGCAGGATGGAAATGAACAAGTTCACAATGTCCAAGTACAGCGATACATTCGCGAGGACCCAGTCGTCCGGCGAAAGACGACGTTGAATCATCCATGTGTCGTACATCACGTACCCACTAAAGATCACACAACCAGCGGCAGAGTACACAAGCTCGAACATGTGGCTGTAAGGGAAGAACATCTGGACGAAGCCCGTGCCCAGCAGCACAAGTAGACCCCAAAAGAGCCATGTTTGTAACGAGGAAAAGTCGTACTGCGATTGCAGCGTGAAAAGAGTAAGTCCCAGGAACACAAACGTGGTGATAATGACAGCTTTCAGCACGACGACTTGGTCGAGGAAGCTGACAAGCGCACCGAGCGATACAGCCTCAAATGTGGTAAAAAGGCCCAGCATGTACAAATTTGTGGGATGATTGTAGCGCTTCCAGTAGACGAGGCCCAGAGAGCCCATCGAGCCAAACAACGCCACCAGCATGACCCATGGGTTGGTCTGGATCCAAGCAGCTGCCTTCTGGGTACTAAGACCACCTGCAACCATAGCCGTGCCGAGGATCTGGAAAAAGAGAACGGTATAGACCTGGCAAAAGTCAGCACGAGTCACGACATACCTTGCGCACAAACATTGAGCGGATCTCAGGCGCACTCTGCTCAACAGTGACACCGAACTTAAAGTCATCAGGGTCGACTTCGCCAGCCAGATGTTCATCCTGAGGGATCGATTGATACGTATAAGGCGGCGGCGCCACCGCGGGGGTCGTGTTAGAGCTTGACATCTTGACACAAAGAGATGATGGCGCACCCGCCGAGCAGATACCAGGGGCGCACGAGTGAGTGTAAATCCACAAAAGGCCAGGTGCGTGGACTAGGGGGAGCCCTGCATCCACGTTCCAGCGTGGCCACCTTCCAGGACGTGCATCGTCATGCGGGGGACATTCACTATGCTGTGGCGCTCGCTCCTCGTAGCGGTGGTGCTGGCCTATGTGGTCCCTAGTGCCTATGCGGAGGATCTGAGTGTCTCTGACTGGTTGAAAAAGGCGAACACAGCCCTTACGTCGTATGATTACCATGCGGCGTTGGACGCTTACGACCACGCGATCGAGCTGGACCCGAGCGCGTATTTGACATACTTCCGTCGTGCTACGGCACAGCAGGCCCTGGGTAGGTCTGGCCTGGCAACAAAGGATCTGAAAGCGACACTAGAACGCAATCCCACGTTTGCCAAAGCCTATCTTCAACTCGCACGGATCGATCTCAAAGAAGGTGAATATGCAGCCGCCCTTGAGACGTTGCAGAAGATGAAGAAGATGGGCGCGACTCAGGCCCAGACAGATTCAGAGCAATGGTCAGAGCTACAGAAGCAAGTGACCCATGCGCAGACGCTCAGCAAGAAGCTCAGTAAGAGTGGGGGTAAGAAAGCCGAGGAATGTGTCCAAGTCGCTGACGAGCTCTTGAAACTGGCGCCCAACGATATTGTGGCGCGCAAGCTCCGTGCGGAGTGTGAGCTGGAGCGTGGGCATCTTGATGCGGCGGTGACTGACTGGACACGACTTGCTCACCTTGCACCGTCGCCAGAGCTGCAACTGCGGCTCTCGCTGTTGGCGTACTATGTTCTAGGCACACGCGACTCCCAAATGCAAGAAGCTGGCCTGACACACTTGAAAGCATGCCTGCACAATGATCCTGATAATAAGGCATGTATTCGCGCTCACAAACAGCTACGCAAGATGGACAAGCAACTCCAAAAGGCCCGCAAGTTTTCGGACAGCCAGAGTTGGAATGCCGTAATTAGCGCCTTGAAAGGCGCCAAGGTCGGTGGGCCAACACTGTACGAGGAAGTGGAATCGATCTTGCATGACGCGGTCGCCGCAAACGTGCTCCCCTCGCAGCTGGCTCATGTCGTGGAGCGAAGTGAACTGCGCCATGAGATCGAAGAGATGTACTGCCGCTCCTATGTCGAGCAGAACCTAATCAAGAAGGGTATGCCATGGTGTGATAAGCTACTTGCGCGAGATCCGAATCACGTCCAGGCCCTCGTTGCCAAGGGTGAAGAGCAGATGAGCTTGGAGAAGTATGAAGAGGCTGTGCGGATCTTTACACAGGCATTTGAGAAGACGCAGAATTCCGATCGAAAGATTCATGCGCGTCTCTCGAAAGCGCAAAAGCTCCTGAAGCAGTCCAAGTCGAAGGACTACTACAAAATTCTGGGTGTTGCGCGCGATGCGGATGAGCGTACCATTAAGAAAGCCTATCGCCGCCTCGCTCGTGAACATCACCCAGACAAAGGTGGTAGTCAAGAGAAAATGGCAGAGATCAACGAGGCTTTCGGTGTGCTAGGCGACGCGGAACTGCGTGCTCGGTACGATCAAGGCGACGATCCCAACGACCCGATGGCAGGCCAGGAGCAAGCGTATGCACAGGCGTTTACGCAGGGTGGTCATCCGTTCGCCCAGTTCTTCCAGCAGGCACACTTTGGTGGTGGGGGTGGTGGCCAACAATTCCATTTCTCCTTCTAAGTGTTATGACGTAAAGCAAGTTCATAGGTGCGGCATTCCCCTGTACCTACATGCCGACCCATAGGTGTCGATGCGTGGGGCGTCGATCGCCGTAGTAAATCCTCATTGTGCGATGTACTGATGCCTTCCAGGAAGCCAATCGTGCGTCGATGACTGTACCCGGGCCATTCCTGCGGCACAAACTCAAAACTGCGCCAAACTTGGTAGTCCGCATGATTTTTATCGACATCGGCCAACGATGGAATGAACATCCCCTTCGGCAAAGACGGTGCCGTCGCAGAGATAGCAGGAAGCATTGACCTGATATGTTTGCCAAGAGCAGGCACATTCCACAAGGTATAGGGCGATGCATTGCGAATCGTAATAAGCACGGACCCTTGGCGTGCCGGCGGTGTGAGAGGCCGCCATGTGGTCAGCGAATCGGACGGCGTCATAGAAGCAGGAGGTCCCTGCGCCATCGCGTCTTCTTCATCGCTCTCGTCCTCATCACTGTCCATGTGCCGATGTTTCTTCCCAGTCACATACACAGGAGGGCGACCGTCCGTAAGATAGGGCGCGACAGATATCAAAAAACGAAGGAGAAGAAATTGATTGGCCAGTACATTACGCTGCTCATCTTTGTGACCAGCACCGACATGAGGAAAACCGAACCATACCTTACTCCACCGGCGTTGCTCATGCTTGGAAGAGCCAGTTACAGCATCGCACTTGTGCAAGGCACCTGCATCCACACCAAAGGCCAGTATATGCTGAGCATGCGTACCTGCCCTTGCCCGAATTTGTTGCAGAATGTCGGTGGCATCTGGATATTTTTGGCACACTTCTTCTTCGGTGTCAAAACTGGTAGCAAGAATCTGGTGTGGTGGGTGATTATGCGGCTCTGAGAGAAGAGCAAGTGTGAACGAGAAATTGCCTTCGCCTACCAGAAGGATCGTGTCATCTTTTTCAAAGGGCCTAACACTTTTTTGTGGCCGCGGAGGTTGCGCCAATTTACGTTTCATCTGTTTCTGCTCCATCTCCTCTTTTTGTTTTTCGTAGGCCCGCTGCTTGGCGCGGGCATTGTGGTTTGCAAGTGCTGTACGCAGCTTGCCTTTTCCACGCTTCACCATTGTCGTGTGGAGCGGCAGAAAAAGATGAGCGCATGAGATTTCACCTCCACTATGAATGAACAACGTCTAAATGAGAACGTCCCATGTGCCCAAACCCGCCACCAGAAGCAAAGCGCCGACCAACATGGAGGTGTATGTGACATTGGTGAGACCAATCTTTGGTAAGGCGAAAGACCAGGTAAGTGTACCAAGTGTATGTACGGCCACCAAGCTCCAAAATGTCACTGAAAACGTGGACAAGGCTGGGAATGGGATGAATTGATACAATGATATCTCTTCGTCCAGCGAAGAGCAGCCTTGGGCAGCTGTGATGGCATTCCCGATCAGGAGACAGCTTCCAAGTTGCCAGAAAAGCGAATCGATACGCCATAACGTAATGATGGCCGGTGGTACATTCTCCAGGTAGTCGCCCAGCTGTTGCTCAAACTCGGTCTTTTCCCGCATGAGAATAAGCTCATCGAGTGAGAGTTCCTCCAATTCGTTAGACACTTGACTGGAGGACAGGGACGAGAGGGACGACGTACCAGGTCCACCTTCCTCGCCATTCGGGGCCTGCACATAGTCCGTGAGGATCTCCTCCTCGTCCAAACCCAATTCGGGCCGACCCAGAGTGCGATACAGGGGCACAAATTTGAAGATCTGATAGGAGCCAGCAAGAATCTCAGCCGTCGCCCATCCACATCCGAGCCAGAGAGAGAGCGTGAAGCGCGGATCATCTACGCCAGTTACACATTCATGTGACTCTTTGGAAAGAGCTTTCGCGGAAGACAGGTTGTGCCACCAAGCCAAGGCAATTATCATCAGCACGCATACTTCTTGGCAAATGACGCGCAACAATTCCACCAGCACCGTACGGATAACAGATGAGCCAAAGGCGATAGATGTATCGAAGACAACCTCATAATCATCTAACCGTTCCTTGAAGAACGACATGACAAAGGCAATTACACGCACAATGACAAAAGACACCTCCCAAAAAAAGGGGCGCAGTTTGTACATAGCATACCAGCACACAGAGCCGATGATCCCGAACACGAGCATAATGCGGAAAGATAGCACAGACGTACAAATATCATCATCAGCTTCCGGGAAGAGAATCTGCATGTTGCAAATGCCCATATTCCAAAAGGATACATAGATAGTAGTAATGATGACCAGGACGGCAGGCAGCAAGGCTAAAGTGTGGGACAGGATAAGCTGCACCTTGTAAATAGGAGACAAGGTAGGAGGGATGGAAAGCGATGTACCTGATGCATTTTCCAGGTCGTTTTGAGAGCCGGGCTCAACCGTCAGCCTGACGCCACGACCAGCCTCGACAGCCATGTCGACGCGGTAAGACCAGTGCGGTGATAGGGAAATCGTGGAGGTATACAAATATTTCCTAAGCATAGTTCCCATGCGCATTGCGCACGGGTGCGTCTCTCCCTTGTCCCGCCAACCGCTGCCGGCATGTCGCAGTATGTATCCGAGAGTGCTTATAGACAGCTACGAGAAGCTCGTGAAGGGTGCGACGAAGCCAAAGCCATCGCTTCCGAAGGAGAAATATATAAACCCGATCTTGCAAGCAGCTGAAGGGTCAAGCAATGGACTTCAATCTGTGTTTCGGGCGCTGCAGTCTCGACTGCAGGATTCGAACAGCACGGTCGTCTTCAAGGCATTGATTGTGCTGCATACGATGATTCGTTCGAGCTCGGCTACCTCAGTTCAGTCCTATCTTGCAGGAGACCCAAGTGCCATCCGTCTACGTCGTGTAGCTACCAATGGCCTCGCTGAATTTTCGTACTCGCGAACGGTAACCCGCTATGCTACCTACCTGGAGAACCGCATTATTATCTTCCGGGAGCTAGGATACGACGTGGTACTATCTGGGAAACGTGATCGGTTCTCGCGCTTGCGTAAACTGACTGTTTCCAAGGGTCTGCTGCAAGAAATCTCACAGATCCAGCGTGTGATGACATCATTGCTGGATTGCTCGTTCCTGGCGGAGGAACAGCATGACGAATTGACTATGGCAGCGTTCCAAATGATCCTCAAGGACCTTATGACATTTTACATGGGCATGAATGAAGGCATTATCAATATGCTAGAACATTACTTTGAAATGTCCAAGCCAGAAGCAGAGCATTCGCTGGAACTGTATCGTCGCTTTTGCTTCCAGACAGAAAATGTGCTTGCCTTTTTGGACTCGACGAAAAAACATTCGTACCAACTTCGCTCTGCGATTCCAAACTTGAAACATGCACCGTTGTCCCTCGCCAACGCGTTGGAAGAGTACCTGCACGAAACGGACTTTTCGTCGCATGCCAGCAAGGACAAACTCAAAACAGACCGACCTAAACCAGCAGCTATGTCAGAGAAAGAGACCAAAATCTCGACACTAGAACCTGCCAAGACTGCCCCGACGCAGTCAAGCAAGCAAGCGTTGCAAGACTTTTTCGAAGCGCTCGAAAAACCAGACATGCCGTTTAACAACGCCTATGGTGCCTTCTCTACCTTCCAGGCTCAGCCAGATTGGTTTGGTATGAATGCGATGCCTACAGGAGGACCTGCCGCAATGCAGCCTGCTATGACAGGGGGTGTTCTTGGGGCTGCGCCCACAGGCTTCATGCAGCCGAACATGACAGGGTTTAATCCATTTGCGCCGCAACCTGCCATGACACCCATGTATGCTAGCCAACCTGTGCATATGATGCCTACACAGCCGCTAGCGCCTCAGCACACGATGGCGACAACGCCTTTTGATACCATTTTCGGATCGATGTCATCGCAGCCCACAGTGCCAAAGAGTGCGCCTCTGCCACCCCAGGCACCCTCTTCGACGATGCCGTCATCGTCAGCACAGCCTCCAGCAACAATGGCACATACCATATCACCAGTTGATTCTTCCTCCAAGCCATCAGCTCACGTCGAGAAACCACCGACATCCAAGGTGTCCTTTGCGGAAGAGACCAAGACTGCCGCTTCTATGCCTCATACCCAGTCCATCAAGCCGCAGAAGACAGGCAGCATGAACCCATTCTCGATTCCAAGCGACTTTGAAGAGCCCAAAGTGGAGAAGCCGCCTCCTGCTAGGCCTACCTTGAATGAATTGGCCATGCAGGCGTGGACGAGCAAAAATCAACCTGCAGAGACGACAGACCAGCCCGCTGTATCATCGCAGACGTCGACAGCGTCTACGATGCGACCGCAACCTACAGGCCTGCTTGGCAGTGTTGCCTCAGAATTTGTCAAGCCACAGGCTCCTTCAACGGCTCAGGTGGCGCCTTCTCACCCAACGACAATGTCTGGCACCAATCAACTGTCACTCTCCCCACAATCCACAGGGACCAAACCAGCTACCTTGGGCACCCAGGCTTTCTCTGTGTCACCGCAGCATACGGGCTTTGCACTGCCACAGGCCCATATGCCCGCGTCATCATCACTAACACGGTCCCAATCTCTTATGCACGGCATGGCCCTGCAGAATGCCAATAGACCGTCGCTGGACATGTCACGATTTGGCACAGATGGTGTTGGTTTGGGCATTTCTCAGCAAACGACCCTTTCTCCGTCTTCAGGCATGCTGGGATCACCCAGTGCAATCACAGGTTCCATGTCTACTCCTATGACTGGCTCAGTGCGCTCGAACAGTATGGGATTGGACGCATCCAAGTCGAGCTTGGCACCGCACTTCACAGGCCTGGACGCCCTAAGACCTGGTTTGGCGTCCCATACCACCGGGTTGGATACGCAACGATCCAACCTCACCACTCAGCTGGCAGGACTTTCCCTTCAGCCTACGGGCCAACACGCTTTGCCGACTTCGATGGATCTTCCGCGCCCTGGGAATGGCTCGCATCTGCCACAGACCGGTGTAGAGCCACGAGGCATGAACTTCCTGCCGCACCTACCATCCACGGGTCTTGACTCGCGTTCCATGGTACCTTCGTCGTCGCAGTTCCACCAAGACAGTATGCCGTCCTTCTCATCACGCACAGGATCCCTGGCACCTGATCAAATGTCGTCGATGGAACTGCAGGCCCAAATTACAGGTCTTACGGGTATCAAGCCTTTCCAGCCGTCTAGCTCGTTTGGTACGAGTATTATGCATGGAAACGTGCCGAACGCGAGCACAAGTTCGAGCGTGGGTATGGGCTCTCACAATACAGTCCACGAACCGCCCACACAAGATCTTCTCCAGCTGTAGCGCCGTACTTTCATCGAGAGGCACATCCTTTCATATCACGTGATAGAAACATCGTCGCGCGGGGGAGACACCACCTTGCTGCGCAGCTCTATTCACGCGCCGTGCATGCAAAGCGGCTATGCCTACTGAAACGCAAGGTCGTAGCAGTAGGAGGTCGTCGCAGCATGATACCAAAAATACTGTAGATTTAACAGGAAACGATACAACGAAGAAAAAAGCACATGAAACAAGTATGTATTGTGCACATAGGTGACTTACACTTTCAGCACCGCCAGCCCCACGAATCTCCAAACGCCGACGCGTGTCTACAGCGGATACTGCCGAGATGGATAGCAGCGTCGTAGAGAAGGGAGAGGAAGACGAAGGAGGAGAGGAGACTGGCAAGCAAGAAGAACCTGACCAGCCTAACGACAAAGCAGCTTCCGAACAAGAGAGCCAGGCGAAGCCAGGCAAAGAGCCAGAGGCAGCCACGACTGAATTCAGTGTATGTATACGTTTTTATGTGTCTGACATGCCAAGGAGCCTCCCAAGCGCGAAAAGCCTGCCGTGATCGAGGAGCGATCTGGCCTTATCCAATTCCGCGTGGTTACCAATGATGGGAAGCCAGAGTCCCTTGTGATCTTGACGGGACTCAAACACATTTTCATGAAACAGCTACCAAAGATGCCCCGTGAATACATCACACGTTTGGTCCTCGATCGAAATCACTGGAGTATGGCGATTGTGAAACGAGGTCTGCAAGTGGTAGGCGGAATCACCTATCGACCTTTCCCTCATCGAGAGTTTGCAGAAATTGTCTTTTGTGCCATCTCCAGTACAGAGCAAGTGAAAGGTTATGGCTCCCATTTAATGAACCACTTGAAAGACTATGTGAAAATTGTCTCCCCTGTAAAGCACTTCCTAACGTACGCCGACAATTATGCCATCGGCTACTTCAAGAAGCAAGGCTTCACGAAGGAGATTTCGTTGCCGCGCTCAGTGTGGGTTGGCTATATCAAGGATTATGAAGGTGGTACATTAATGCAGTGTACGATGGTGCCTCGTGTACATTACCTTCAAGTCCATGATTTCCTTGCGGCTCAGAAGAAACTCATCCAAGCACGCATTAGCTCCTTTTCTCGTTCACATATTGTATACCCCGGACTCGAAATCTTTAAAAAGAACAAAGATCAGAAACAGTCCAATGCTCTCCATGGGCAACAAGTCAAGCTCATCGTGCAGCCCAGTGAAGTACCAGGCTTAAGTGAAACTGGGTGGACGCCGGAAATGGACGAGCTAAGCCGGCGCTCCAAGCGGGGCCCTCACTTTACAGCGATGCGCCATATCTTGGTGGAACTCAATGGACATGCCAGCGCATGGCCCTTTGTGGCACCTGTGAACGCGAATGATGTGCCTGATTACTACACAGTCATTAAAAACCCCATGGACTTATCGACTATGGAAACCAAATTGGAAAACAACCAGTATGAAACTGTGGATGATATGGTCAAAGACGCACAACTCGGTATGTTCCCTGAAAGATGGACTGACAATGCAGTGTTTGATAACTGTAAGTTGTACAACCCGGCCTCCTCGCCCTATGCCAAGTGTGCCGTGAAATTGGAAAAGTTTCTATATGAAAGACTACCCCAATGGAAACAAGCAGCTGGATTGGCATAATTGGCGCCATGGATGTGCCTCGGATATACCTCGGTAGATTTGGACAGGATCGTACCCCATACTTCCACAACTTTTTGATTTGTCATAGTAGATCGATGGGCCAAAAAAAAAAATCTTTTTGCGGGCAAAAACTAGCCGGGACATGTCGGGTGAGCTGACATTTGACAAAAAACTTTCCCCACACAAACGTTGGCGCAAAGGCGTGTTGGTACAGAGTAATTTAGGTCCGGCGTTTTGGAAACACCTTTCTTCACATCATACTTTTTATTCCCTCTTTCAAAGATGCTTGCAATCAATGAAGCAGATTGGCCTCATAAAGGCGCGGCATTCCCGATGAATCCTTCTTTGAATATTGCACCTACGTGGGTAGCATCTCACCACCATGCGGCATATTTGGGTAAAGACGCCTTCAGCCTAGACACGGGTTTGCTTGATGAGCGACTCGACTCCCTTTTGCTTGACCTTCAAGCTGGTACAGAAAAAGTTCGTAATGTATGGGAGATGTGGGAGGACTTGGATGATGAGAGGTCATGGTCTATTATGGACAAACCAAATACGGCGCCACCGCCTGGCTCCCCTAGTGGCAAAATGATGCCTCCCCAGGCTCAACCTGGCTCGGACCAGCACATAAAAACAGAACACATCCCTACCGTGACTATGGATGAAGTTATGTCTGCTTTTTCAGAGCTGTGAAAAACGCAGCAATATATGATGACATGAAAAATGCAACGTCCCCTGGTTGTTGCCTATTACGACACCCCTTTGTAGCCTATAATTTGTACTATAGTTGATCATTAGACATAGTTCATTTCAACGTTTCACAATGCTTTTTTGGGCGGGAGAGGAGGCGGAGTTGGATCTGACATGGAAATCAGGGTGCACCCACTGTGGACCAAAAGGCAAAAAGGCACAATGACCTGAGATTTGTGAGCAGGGCGGTACGACTTACCCAGACACTGTGACGTGAGTATTCCTATCACTGAACATACCCATTACTGATCACCAGATAAAACCACAAGTGAAGAGGATTCCCTGTATCCAAAGACTAGGTTGTTAGTGTATGACAAAACGCACAGGCGATCCAGCGAGAATTTCAGGGACGAATGTCATCTGCGTAAGAAAAGCATCAACACATACATAGTCTCCATACAGCTCGGCAATGCACAAAAAGCAAATCCAAAAGTGGTATTGTGGCCGGTTATGCAGCACGAGCCATGCCGCATACATAGCTAGCAAACCTGTGAGTACGACAGTGAGTATTTCCACAGCCACAATGTTAGGATCAGCAACCCCCCATCGCGCATCAGCATGGCTGTATTCTTTCCATACGGTAGCAAAAAAACCAGTTGAGGTATTGACCGTGCGCCCCCCCGTCGAATAGTACACAAAGGGCCCTTCTAAGAAGAAATGGATCAGCGCATCAAACACGAGCCAGAAAAAGGTCGCCTTCTGCCCGATACGAAGACCACGCTGCCTGGTAAAGCTCAGTAGATAGAAGGATGTGCAAATGAGCAGACCTACGTATCCAATGGACAGAATGGTTTGCTGCAGCTGTACGCTGAGAAGCGGCATGATAGTGCGAAAGGAACCAAGGTCGGAAATGGGGCGTATTTCATCAAGTGGAGGTATATGTCTATGGCAACAAAACTGGCTTGATTGCATTGAACAACGTCCGCCAGTCCTCTAGCTGGTTCTTTCGCGTCGCCCATTCTTCACGCCTCTGGCGCAACGTGGCAGCCACATCCTGCTGGGAGTGGTGAACCAACTCATGTTCCAGGTTTTCCCAATCCGGTTCCGATAGGTCCTGTAATGTACTACTTGCCATCTCCTGGCATAGTATATGAAGCTGTTCGAGTGCCTTTTTTTGCTCGTCAGACAGATTATCACGCCTGGATATGAAAAAATACAAGGTCTCAGCCTCACCATGGAGCATGCCAAATGCCCGTCCCAAGGGCACACCACTCTCATTGTACCCTTGATCGAAGCCGGCTTGTAGCGTGGCCAACTTTCCCGCTTCCATCCCTTCGCGGTAGCCCATCTGTATGTTACCATGCTGTTCCCAACGTACATCGTGAAACTGTGTCTCTATCTTCAATCGATCCCGCTGCTCCATTCGGGGGCCATGCTCGTCCTCGTCTGAGAGCAGCCAATCTTCGTCCTCCGCCATGATGAAGGTGGAGGGGAAGGTGAATGCGTGTCGCTTGCCATTGCCCTCCACACCTACACAGTCGACGATGCACAACGTGAAGCGTGTGCCTCAACCTACGCTGTCAGCAGAAGCCATCGCAGAGAAGCGGGCGGAAGAGCAGAAAAAGCTTGATGTATACAAAAAGGTAGAAGACACTTACCTTACTTTCGTATGTATATTGCATATGGCTTACCGACTGCAGCGCGCACAACAGGCGTTCACGCCCGAGGCCTTGGAAAGCACGACGTCCCTCCTGGCTTGCAATCCAGAGTACTACTCTGCATGGAACTACCGAAGAGATATTCTATTGCATATGTTTGAGAAGGAGACATCTGCAGCCCCTGGAGAAGCGTCGTTACAGACAAAACTGCTGGAAGAGGATCTATCGCTATTGCAGCAAAGCATGCGGACGCACCCCAAAGTCTATTGGCTATGGAATCATCGGCGGTGGTGCTTGATGATGCTGCCGCCTGCTGGGTCCGATGATCAAGCTAAGCAGGCCAAGTGGCGGAAAGAAATTGGGCTTGTGGACATGATGCTGGAGATGGATCCACGGAATTGTGCGTTGGTGGGCGACTAACTGTAAGTTATGGGCTGGAACTACCGACGTTGGATTATTGAGGAGCTTGCGAAAACCATGGTGCCAGAGGGGTATGAAACGACCCCCCCGTTCCCGAGCTCGCTGTCAAGCTCGCTACCAACGAGTGTGAAGGAGGCTCATTTGGCGTTGGCCCTCAACGAGCTGAAGTATACACTGCGGAAGATTGAGAGCAACTTTAGTAACTTTAGTGCATGGCACAATCGGTCAAAGCTTCTGCCCTGTGTTTGGGATGCCCAACAGCTCGATGAAACGCAGCGCCGAGAACGTCGTGAGCAGGGTATGTACGCATACTGCTAACCCCAGAATTTGAGCTTCTGCAGCAGGCCATGTATACCGACCCGAGTGACCAGAGTGTGTGGATCTACCACCGGTGGCTAGTCGCACAGGGTATGTATATGTGTCCGTCTCACATTAGACCCTTCGGAGGCGACGCTCACGGAGCAAATCCAAGTGATTGAAGAGCTTCTGGCATTGGAGCCTGATAACAAATGTATGTGGCAGCCTGCTCACCAGACAGGGTGCATCGAGTCTCTGGCCCATTACAAGCAGCAACTGGCTTCGCAGTACCAAGGCTGCAGCGAGCAAGCGGAAGCATGCGATCGTCTCACGACAGAGGTACATACCTTGCTTTCGAAACTCGTGCAAATTGATCCCCTGCGTCAACATCGTTACCAAGATCTACTTCGAAAATCTACTCATACTCATTGACAAATATCATTTTGCCCACGTATTTATGAAGATCGTAAATGACTTCATCGTTTGTTTCTTGTTTCTCGTCGCCATAGAAGGAGTAGCTGCCCGGTTAGTGTAGTGCCTACGTACCCACTGGCCCCCACCGCTTGTGAGGTACTGCTCTTCTGGCGCTGATGATGCGTTCCGACCGGAAGTCCTGTTCGCACATCGCATTCGATCCCCGAATGATCGATATACGTGCGTGTTGTCATGATGTTGGCGGCTTTGTACGCGCTTCTGGTCAGTGCTGATATCACGTACCTAATCACTTCGGCCTGCACTTCGTAGAGGTATCGTTCCAGCACATTGAGGAATCGACGCGTTTGCAAGTGTTTCGATGAGGCACACACAGTGACCTTGTTATCCTGGATAATGTACCCGAAGCCAAATCCATCTTGGACGACAGGGCCGAATCCAAAGATTCGCAGGGCTGGGTTGCCACAGTTGGACGTGGACATGACCACATGATTCAGGTGGTCGTATCCGCCTTCTGTGAAGAACTCCGGCAGCGGTTCCTCCGGGTGCAATCGCTCGAACAGGGACTTCAGCGCATACAAGTGCCGATCAAATCCGTACCCTGACGCCGCCTCTTTGGAGAGCTTCACATGTCCGACACAGGCCTTGCGCAGCTCCATAAGCTTGTCCTGTGTCGAGACGCCTGCATCGTACCATGCCTTTACAAATGCCAGCGTGTGTGGCTGGGCGGTACGAATGGTCTCTGTACGTCCACGCAGGAACGCCTTGGTCATCGCAGGCTCATAGGACGGTGCAAGGCGCCCATAGAGCTCGTAGTACGTCGCCTGGAAGGCCATTTGCACAAAGGCATCAGGCGAAAAGCCATGCTTCGTAATAAAATGCTTGCCATACCCTTTGAATTCCAGCACGAGCGCCTCGTTTTGGCAGATCAGGTCAGAGAGCCGCATTTCGGCATGGCGGATGCTGTCTAGGACGTAGGGCGACCAGTCCCACATGAACCGCTTGGGCGCTGTGCGTGTACGCACATTGTTCAGCTCCAAGCCGTTCAGAGACTGTGAGCCCGGCTTGCGTTTCATGCCGAGCGCATGGGGACTCAGCTGTGCCTTGAGAAGGCTCGGCGTCGCTGGGTGAATGGAGCGCGCGAATTCAAGCAGGGACTCGGTATAGATATCGGCCACGTAGCGCAGTACGGTATGGCCATCGGCAGACGAGTGCTCAAAGTTGATGCCTGCTTTGCCGTTGGCACACACAATGATTTGCAGCTTGTCGTACCATCGGTTTAGACATGTGCCCACCTGGATATGGTTTTCCAGCTTATACGAGCCACACAGCATATTCTGGGTGAGCGACGACGTGTCTTCTGGCGCATTGTCGTCCAAGCACAGGACGAACAGCGCAGAATCGATGATCGAGATGTACTTGCGGTTGATAGGGTGCGCCATCAGCTCGTTGCGGCACTGGTACCACGTACGACGCTTCTCTGTACTGAGTGCACCAAGGGCTTCATGCGCCCGTTGGTCCGCGGGGAGCTGATCGGCATCGCTAATGATGCTACGCAGTGTCGCCACCAAAGCCTGCTCCGTCATGAGGGGGCGGTGCTCAAGATCCAGCACTTCGAACCAGTAGAACTGGCCACGGCGCATGACGACCATGTGCCGGCTTTCCTCGTGCTGTTCCAAGTAGCAGCCATGCGAGGCGGGAATGCGCGCTACGCCAAACAGGCGTGTGTACTGAAACATGTCCAGCGGCTTACCGCGGAAATCGTCAGGTTTGAGCACCTCATGGCGCAGATCATGAACGAAGCGCAGAGTCTCGAGCGTCAGGGTCGCCGCGCGCCACAACTGTGAGCCACGCTCACGATCCGGCTCGTCTTCCAGGATGAAGAACGGATTCAGGTTCAGGACTACACTGTCGTTGCCCAGGAGGTAGCTTTCATCCCAGAACTCCTCAATGTAGCTCTTGTGCGTCTTGGCATACTCTTCCAACTCCGCCTGCATGCGCGGGCCTTCGTTCTTCAGAAAGGCCTCGGTTACGCGTTTGGTGTTTTCATGCTCGGTCGGTGTTTGCAGCGCTTCCAGACTACGTAGGTAGCGATCGCACGATTCCTGCAAGGTCGGCACAGGAAGCTTGAGCAGCTCACCCTGCCGACTAAACGTCACTTTCTCCGTCATGGAGAGGTGGGGGTGGGGAAGGGGGAAGTCGCCGATATGAAACCTAGCAGGGTGCAAGTCACGTACTGCGCAGCCATGTGGCGGGGGCGCACAGACGCGTGCGAAGCCTGTGGCTTTACCCCACGTACTGACCGGCCTGCAGAAAGCCAAGACTTTGGAGCGCCACCATATTGGCTGCATTTCCACCGCCAACGTATTCTATTGCATCTACGATGTAGCAGCACGTTCTCGGACCTGCGCCAACAAGGACGACGTGATACGCCCCTTGATTTCAGATTCCATTTGGTCTTCGTCGCCTTCGCCGTCGGCATACCCGGACACCCGATCGGCCAACTCGAGCTTACGCTGCGCAAGTGACAATATATCCTCGTCAATCGTGCCGCGACTGATGAGCTTCACGACCGTCACCGGCTTGGTCTGTCCAATGCGATAACAGCGGTCCGTCGCCTGCTTGTCGTTCTGTGGATTGAAGTCCTGGTCAAAGAGGACGACCCAGTTGGCTGCGACCAAATTGATGCCCAGCCCGCCTGCCCGTGTCGAAAGCAGGAACACAGGAATGCTCGGGTCGTTCGTAAACTGATCAACAAGGTATTGGCGGTCGCCCACATTGGTCTGCCCGGTAAATCCGACATACTTGATACCGAGATATTCCAAACACACGCACAGAATGTCCAACACCGACGTGAACTGCGAGAAAATAATCATACGGTCGCCTTGGGCGACCACCTCGTCAATGATCTTCCGCAGCGCCACAATCTTGCCCGAGCTCATCCATTCCTCTTCCGGCAATACGTGCTTCTGTGTCGACTTCCATGAGCGGGCTAGCAGCGAGAGCTCTGCATCTGTGTTGATCGCAAAGTCTTCACGCAGGTGCTGCAGGTTCTCCTCGGCATGCTCAGGCTCACGAACATAGTCGCGTGCTAGCGCAGCAATCTTCTTGTCATCGTACCATTGTCGGAACAGCAAAGGGTGATTCGCCGCTTTGCGCAGATCCATCAGCACGTTGCTCGAGTCGCGGTCCTTTCTCTTCACACCCGGCGCCTCGTCCTCGGCAAGCGCTGCACGAGTCCGCTGCAGCACGTCATTGTACAACTTGGCCTGCCGCTCTGTCATGTCACATAGTTCGACACGCTCCGTCTTCTTCGTGAGGAGCAACACTTTGTCTTTACGGCGGCGCAGGACAAACGGCTGCATCATGCGCTTCGCACGCTCTACACGCTGCTGGGAAAGCTGCGTCGTGCTAGCGCCTGGTTTCACTTTGAAGATGGCTGCCAACGCTTCCTCGGCATCGGTAAAGTAGTCTGGCAAGATAAAGTTGAGGAGCGATACAAGTTCCTGCAAGTTGTTCTGCAATGGCGTTCCTGTGAGCAACAGACGCCATCGTCCAGAAATGCGCAGCAGCTTGGCATACTTTTGCGACTTTCGGTTCTTGAGCATATGTCCTTCGTCAAACACACACACATCGAAGCCACGTTTCCGCAAGAACGATTGGTCATCGTGGTTGCCAGTCGCCATATCGTACGTAGTAAGCAGCACATCATAGTCGTCGCGGGCCTTGAGGTCGGCCCGCAACTCGCGCCGTTCCGCTTGCGAGCCATAGTACACTTCTACCGCCAACGCCGGGCAGAAACGTTGAAACTCACGCGACCAATTCTCCAGCACAGAGGAAGGCGCCACGACCAAGTGCGGGCCTTTGCGTATACCCGACTCTTTCAAATGCGCAAGGAAGGAAATCACTTGGCACGTCTTCCCCAAGCCCATCTCATCGGCCAAGATACACGACGTTTTCTTGTGATAAAGAAGGTTGAGCCAGCTAATACCGATCAACTGGTAGTCCTTCAGCACTACACCATCGGCCAAGTTACTCGGCTGCTTGTCCAAGTAGCTTTCCCGCTTCGCACCATCACGTTTCACCTCGGAAATGCTTACTGAACCCATCGATTCATCTGCAGCCGACTCCTCGTTCGAACGCCAACTGCTCATAGCTTCACGAAGCTGCGTACCAATGGCTTCACACTTGGCCAGCACCTCATCTACCTCCATATAACCTGCCATGAGTTCCACACAGTTGGTAAACAAACGAGGCGAGACACCCTTCACGGCCTTGTCACCCAGCTTCTCATACACATCGTCGACCGTATCAAAGGGACGCAGCGACACAATCTTGTCAGCCTGCTCTTGCGAGCAGTTGATCGTATCAATCAAATGACTTACATCACACTGATTGAACCAAGCCAACGCCTGCTGTTGCTGCTGCAGCGTGCGCTCATCCACATCCCCAAACTCTTCTTCATCCGAGGATTCACCATCCAGGCTCACGGATTCATCTGTATCGGAATCAGAGCGTGCGCGAGATCGACGCTTCGGTGCCTTCTTCGGCGGTGCTCGCGCCGTAGGCGCAGGTACATAAGACACGGGCATCGGTGCTGCGACGGGCGCAGGAGCAGGGGCAGGCGCAGGTGGCGGCGCTACCTTCTTAGGCCGTAGTTTCTCGATCGCTTCACCCAAGTCGTAGTTCGAGTTGCGCAACACATCCATGCATTCTTCCACTGAATAACTCGAAAAGAGGCGCGCTAGCCGCGTCGCTTTAATCTGCAAGATACTGTCAGAAGGGGCCGACACAGGGCGTGATGCTGGGGCAGCCTGAACACTGGATGGCACCGCTGAGGGGGATGCTGCAGCAGCACCTGGGCCACGGTATTGGAATGCTTCTAAGCCTTGTCGAAACGAAGTGCTAGCATCCGGCACCGCACTATCATCAGGACGCTGGCGCTTGTTAGGGTATGCCTCATACGATGCACCATTGGCAGGAGGGCTTGAGTCAGGGGCTAGCACCACGGGATCATGGGAGGTGCCACTCATGCTGAGGCTCTGCGCAAGGCGACCAAAATGTCGTTGGCAAGGCGCTTCACGCCTTCTTTCGAACGCGTGTCGACGCGTCGAAAAATATTTTCTACATTCTCGTAACTGGCCAATCCAGCCTCTCGTGCGACTCAAGGGGCTCCACGTGAGGAACGTCATACATTGCGCATACAGAAGACAAAAAAAGCTATGGGCGAGACGATGGTATGTACAAGCCAAAAAAGTTCCGTTTGTTTTACTCCTCGTCCTCCTCCTCATCGCTGTCTTGGTTTTGGAGGAATTCGACCAGGGGCTCTGCGAGCTTGAGGAAGTGCTGCTTGCCTTGCGGCTTTGCACCTTTTTGTGCCCAGTAGACAATAGCGCCATCCGACACTACATTCTCATTGTACAACACCTTTAGCAGGTGGGGGAAGGTCTTGAAGACACGCGTGTCCGTGTAACAGTGTACCTGGATCAGGTTGATCAATGTGATCTCGGCACGCGCATTCGAAGCCCACGGCTCCAAGACACCAGCCAAACGTTCAATTTCCTTCGGGAAAATTTGTTCCATCTGGTCTTGCTTTGTGTCTGCGTCGATACCACGCGCCAGACCTTCCCATACCACAGGAATAAACTCTTCAGCACTCTGACCCAGTTTCTTGAATCGTTCTTGCAGCATAGCTAGCATCTCTTCCTGCGTCGTGCCTTCTGTGCGCACCAACTCAGCCAAATCCTCGGCCGTCTTCTCGCGAAGCTCCTTCAGTTGACGACGGCCATAGTACTCAGCTACCTGCGGCAACTGAGCCTCATTGCGGAAGTATGTTGGGATCACGTCTGGTTGCGACCGCTTGGTCTGTGGGAAGAACAAAAGCCAATCCCTAATGCCACCCTTGCGAAGCGCTGAGGCCAAATTCTCCATAGTCTGCTCCTTCAAGTAGGTGCGGAAGAACTCCGTCATAAACTTTAGAGACACCTCATCCTTCGTGAGATGGTCCTTCTGGAGCGGAGCAAGCACACTAGCATTCGTCAATCCAATTTGAATAGCCAGGGCCGTTGCAACAGCAAGCTTCTTCGCTTGCTCCTCGTCAAACCGGTTGGTGTACTGCAAAATCCGTGGCAAAGTCGACTCTTCCAGCGGCTTTTGCAGAAACTTGTAGCGACGGACCATCTTCTCAATCGTGTCCACGTACGGACGCACATCCTCGATGGACGCCGTCTTCGCGGCAAAAATAGAGAAGGGGCTGAGCGGCGCGCCATCTTCAATGTACGAGCCACCAGGCGCCAAAAGGCCACCCACAATCAAAATTTCAAATAGCGGATCAGCATACTTGCGGTAGTCAAGCTAAATAGGCATTAGAATGTGGGACTTGCATACATACCGTATTGCCCGCCTTATCAAGAGCATTCAGGTACCCTTCCCAGTCATTTTGCTCGATAGGCTCAAAATACTTAAACAGAGAGTTGCGGAAGGCTTTGGATTTAGCAGAGATATTCACGTACCTTCCGGCTCAAATTTGGCCTGTGACTTCACAGCACCTTTTCGTTGCTTGATACTTCCGAGTCAGTCTTTTGCGACACTAAAGTACGTACCGAGCACCAGTTAGCGTCGGCTTGTTGTTTCCGGTCGGGGCAGTGGGTCTTCCATGAGTGAGATTCAAGCATTTCTATACATACGGAGTAGAAGTCATGTATTGGTCGCGCAGAAATATCGAAACGCCACCGAAGATGGGTTGCTGTTGCAAGAGAAAGAAGCTCCGCGCTTAGATCTCCGCGACAACGCCCTCACTCACGTGACACAAACTTTCCTGGGTGTGTTGCGTTCTAGCCTCCCGTCACAGACCAACCATGTCATACGCCAGTCGAAAGCCCCAGTCCCGTGCGGAGACAGAGGCCAACGCCCGCACTCTTCGCAACCTTGTGAAGCAACCTGATAACAAGACATGTGCTGATTGCAAGAGGAACGATACACGATGGGCTTCCTGGAACCTGGGCTGTTTCCTATGCATTCGTTGCTCAGGCATCCACCGCAGCATGGGCACACATATCAGTCGCGTAAAGTCCATTGACCTCGATATTTGGACACCAGAGCAAATGGATTCTATCAAGAAGTGGGGCAACAAACGTGCTAATGCGTACTGGGAAGCGCATCTCAAGCCAGGCCACGTTCCGCCCGATCACAAGATCGAAAGCTTTATCAGGAGTAAGGTACGCATTTTTGAATTTTACTAACCTATAGTACGAAAGCAGACGATGGGCACTTGATGGTCCACCGCCGTCGGATCCATCTGTGCTCGATCATAGTCAAGGTGCGTCCGCTCCATCCTCTGCGGCGCATGCTGCTTCTGCTCCTGCCACCTCAAAGTCCCAAGGCATTGCGCCATCAATGGAAGAGAACAAACGAACAAAAATTGCCCCCTCTAATCCCCTACTTGATCTACTTGATGGTGATGTGTCTACCCCTGTGGCCTCATCCAAGCCTCCAGTCCTTCAGACATCTACAACAGCGGCACGCTCGGCCAAGTCATCTACTACCTCTGGGGGTGGCTTGTTTGATCTTGACTGGGATGATTCTGCATCCAAATCGTCGGCATCTATGCCCTTTGCTGCATCGCAGCGTGCCTCGACTCGCGGAAAAGATGAGATTCTTAGCCTATTTTCCACTGCTTCGGCCCCGAAACCTGCGTCAACTCAGGAGTCCATCTTCTCATCTTCCCAAGGTCCTAGCACGTCTTTATCTTCTCAGCTTGGCGCTATGAACCTCAACACGGCCAGCTCCGCAGCAGTTTCATCCAGCTCGGTTCCCCCCGTTTCTGGCGATCTATTTAACACGCAGGATATCTGGGGCACACCTGCTCCAACCAAGCCTGCCGCTAGCAACAAAGATGCGTTTGCTGACATCTGGGGCGATTTTAAGTAGGCATCATCATATACCCAATCTCACGCGACCTAATGAGCGCTGCGCCTACGAACGGATCCGTGTACGCACTGATCACGTGCCACCGCAAAAGGCACGCACTGTTCTATTGCTAGATTGCTGCACTTGAACGATATACACGATGGGTCTATTTCAACCAAGTTCCAAGTCCCATGCCAAAGGCAAGGTGATTTGTGATATAACCAATACCAAAGAGCTTAAATATCAATGCGATGATATGATCGAGGTGGTATGTATCTTTTCGCTACAAGACTCTAACGACGTTAGCTTTTAACGAGCCCCGTTGTAGGCTCTTCCCAACCAAACGTGGAGAAAACGATCAATGTCGAAGCGTATACACCCTTTACTGCCTCTCATGCAGTGGATGATGTTATGATGGCACTTAATTTCGTTAGTTCCGTTGCTATGATTGGCTCTGTGGCCTACTTGTACCTGAAAAAAGTGGATTGGCATGAATCAAAACTGCTGCTATACTTTACGGTACCATTGTTCGTATTCTATCCTACTTACATCACAGTTTCACGATCTCATATTTAATAAATCTGCTTGTGTCACGAATCCGCGGTCCTGTTGTATTCACTGGCTCTCGCCGCATGGTATCGAACCGCGTATGTATATTAGTATCCTTACGAATCAGGTCGAGGAGGACCAACTTGTTATCAAGTCTCCCCACTTTCTTAAACCTACACTTACGGGCGAAAAAGCTGCCGATGGTCGACCGGAATTGGTACCTCCGAATTATGAGATTGAGGCCTACTTCTCCAAGACCACGAATGGAGGCAAGACGGTTTTAAGTCGTAAGCACTGCCGTATGGTTCTTGGTAATTTTGGTACGTGTACTATGTACTAATAGAAAGGCGAATGGTTTACCGAAGATGGCGAGTTCAAGGAGGCTGCATTCCGGCATAGTCTGCTTTCCTGCCTTGATAAACATTTTGCTCAATGAGGGCTTCCTTGTAGTCTTATTACCTCCACATATCTGCGACTGTATTTAGAAAAGTGAACCATTGAAGAACTGTGCCTGTGTCTATGATCTCTTTCGCGTTGCTGTAATTGTGCAGACAAAATATGAGCACAGAACAACATTTTCGTGAACACAACTGGCATGCTCCGCAGGTACCAGTTGGCTTGGTGCATGTGTGCAAGTGCACATGTTTTTCAACAAACACAACACTATTTCCTATTTATGTGCCTGCGAATGGGCATGATCTATGCAGCACCTGCACGAAAGAATTTTGTGTCGAACGTGCGGAGGGATGTCATGGGGCACAAATCGCGGACGGCAGTGGCGATACGGCCACAGGGTTTGAGGGTCAAGTCTGGGCTAAATGTTTTGGTATGTATTCTTTTTTTTGAAAGAAATACTAACCAACTTTAGTACGTGATCCTACCAAGGACCAAAGCATCGTATTTTTCTACCTTGTTTGTGTCTTTGGGCTGCTCCTATGGTCCCTCATCCGTAGTCGGGTTGGCCTTACCTTTGTGAATCGGCTCCGCGAATACATCCAACGAGCCTAATATCTGTACTATCTTTGTAATCCATGTCTATTTCCAAACTATCTCTCTTGCTCCTCGACGCTCTGTTGTGCTAGCAAGGTCCCTAGGCTCTTGCCATACGTTGTCGTCTGTGCGACATGCAGACCACGTTCGACCATCCGCTTACGTAAGTGACATCGCAAACGAAGCGCGGTGCCGCGTCATGGACCGGCTACCCCAGAAGCGTCATGGAAGCGAAGCTGCAATTGCTGAAGGTCACGGAGCTGAAGGAGCTTCTACAGGCGGCAGAACTGCCTGTGTCCGGCAACAAAGCTGATCTGATCAAGCGCCTGTTAGAGAACCCGGAAGCGACCAAGTCTTTGCAATCGTACGTATGTCCTTTTCTTACTTGTCCAGCGAATCGTCTGTTGCAGAGGCGCCCAAGGAGGCCGAGGTGACTCAGAGTGCTGCTGCGGATGGTGCATCGGAGGAGGCCAAAGCTACCTCTACAGATCCGGTAGCATCTAGCGCTCCAGCTGCGAGTGAGTCCGCTACGGAGCCGGCGAAGACGTCAACCCCCTCGGAGGACGACCGTAAGGAGTCCCTGCTGGCCGAGCTTGAAAAGCGCAAGGCGCGTGCCATTCGATTCGGTCAGCCATACGAAGATTTGGAGAAGCAGATCTCTCGCATTCGCAAGTTTGGCTTGGAAGGCCAGGAAGGTGATGGCGTGGACCGCCTCGATAGTGAGCTAAAGAAAGGTAAGCGTCCGAACAAAAAGTCCAAGGAGAACAAGGGAAGCAAGGACAAGGCAGTGGCTACGCAGGAAGCGGCACCGGAGCCAGAAGTCGATGTACGTATGCACTCTCACTAAAACATCTAGACGGAAGAATTGGAGCGAAGAAAGCGTCGTGCTGAGCGATTCGGTCTTGTTCCCTCGGATAACGCGGAGAAGAAGGCACGGGTTGAGTAAGTATAGGAAGGACAGCCATTCTATAGTGCCCTCGCTGATATTTGGTCTGTGCTCGATTTGGGCTGATTCTCGCGTGCCAAGTTAAAATGTGAATACTCCACTGCGCGTTATTTTTTTTTTTTCTTGTGGCTTCATGGCGTCCGCGCAAAGGTCAGCTTGTGCGGTGTGCAATGCGTCGTCTTCAAAGTATACATGTCCGTACTGTCAGGCTGCTACATGCTCCCTTGCCTGCTTTGGTCAGCATAAGGCATCGGAGGCATGTGCATCGGCCCGCAAACAGCATGAGTACACGTCCAAGTATGGCCCTCCTGTGTCGTTGTTAACCAAGCCTGTATCCCGCTTTGTACCGATGAAAGAGTACGACTACAATCAAATGCTAGAAGACTACCAGTTTTTGAACCAGGTAGGGCGCATGGTCACAGAAAGAGGGCGTGAGCTTAGCAATGGCAAAATGTTGGCCCCTGAGAAGCCGGCTGCTGGTCCTAGTTCTCGGCATGGCCCTGCAGCGCAGCAGCGTCGTGAGGCGCTAGGGAAGCAGATTGCCTTTCATAAGCTGCCAATCATGCTTGTGCCTGATGGTATGTCTCGGCGGAAGCAGAATCGGTCTCATTGGGATGCCAAGTACGTACTGATTCCTGGTCTCACATATACAGACAGCGGCGAATGCTGTTTACGATCCAGTTTCACTTCCCTTGCCAACGCACCAGCGAAGATGCCACTATAGCTCGCGCACAAGCGCAAGGGATCCTTGTACATTCCCTTGAAGGACCAACATGTCTTTCGCACGTGTGTCTTACGGAATTGGAACGGTTGTCGGCGCGTGTGCATCACCAAAGCGTGACGGCATGGCATGCACGAATAACTCCTGACGAGAGGCCTGGAAAGCGTGCACGTATGGATGACATGTCCCATCGCATGGATCGAGTGTCACATCATGGCCCATGGCACTTGGCGCCCGACGTTATGGCATCGTTGGGCCTCCCTCATGCCCCTAACCATGCGTTGTCTTTGCCCGCCTCCAGCGCGCTTGTGCTACATGTCTACCCACTTCGACTGCGAAATGAAAGCAGTGTGAAATACCTCGACTGGTGGGCACGTAAAGGCGCTATGCAAGAAGCCGCAGCGACGCCCGCCACTGTGTCGACCTCGGAGGCTATGTCGAAACCCTCCCTGCTGGTTCCGCAGCACATCCTTGACCAAGTCTCACAACTTCGTGCAGACCCCTCGACGGTGGTCGACTCACCTCTAACATCGAGCACGACGCAGTACTACGTGCTCGTTCCCTCTGAGATGGATCTGCTCACGCTCATACGACGTATACCCTCGGAGTTTGGTATGGTGGAGTTTGCCGATCTAGAGCTGTGGCATACGGAGGCTCTGACCATGGCGGAACGTCGAGGGCAAGTTGTCCTTTTGCCCTTGGGCCCAGCGCCAAGCACACCTACAGACACCACTACCCCAGCGCCAACATCCCCAGAGGCCGTAAAGCTTGCTGCAATGCCCACTCTGGTCGCCTATACCAGCTCCGATAGTGAGGGGGAGGCTGAATGATACCCTATACCCACTATGGCATCCACCCTGAGATAGAGCGTAGGAATACATATTTACTGCTCGCGCATCTTGCTGCGCTTGCCAGTCTGGGCCTGGAAACCAGTCTTGATAGCGCTGACGGAGCGCTGAGAGCCGCATGCTTCGCAGGTCATGAAGTAAATACGGTTCTCTTTTGTAAGCAGTGTGTTTGGCGAGCGGCATGTCTTGCAGGTAACGTATTCGACAATATACCGCCGCAACACATTCTCAATCTGCTTGGGCTGGAAACGACCACGGATGACCAGGCGCTGACTACCGTCGATAGAGCCTGTGGTACCCAACTCTGTGAACAGGTATTGGATAACATGGTCTGGCTGGCGATGCATACGCTTGCAGATTTCGATGACATTCGCAAACACAGTCTTCTTTGAGCCGTCGCGCTGCACGACAGGAGGGACCATAGTGTATTTCTTCTTCTCGCCAGAAAGAGCAGGGTTCTGCTGTCGCAAAATGCGGAAGAAGCGGTGCAAGAGCTCCTGGTACGTATAGTCGCGATCCGTGCCCTGCCAGGTCTCCACGTCGCCGCCCTTGGCCGCCTCGTCATCGTCCTTCGACTCGGAGGCAAATGGATTCTCACCGTCCAGGTCATCACCATCCTCATTCTTCTCCCCCAGCTCCTTCTCAAAGTCTTCGAGGTCAAAGGCAGCCTTCTTCTTTTTCTTCTTCTTCTTCAAATCACCAAACTGGCATGTCAGCTTCCGTTGTGCATACGTACGTCAAGCGGGTCGGCCTCGGTACTCGCGGCGGGTGCAACATCCTCAGACGGAGTCTCTGCGGGGGCATCGCTTGTCTTGGGCTCCTCCGCCTTGGTTATCTCCTTGGACTGCACACGTGAGTTAGATTCAGGTCCGTGGCTACGTACCTCGCCCAGGTCGAAGTCAACTGGGATCTTTTTCTTCTTGCTCTTCTTTTTCAGACCACCAAACAAGTCGGCGGCATCCTGCGCAGCCTCTTGCTGCACAGGAGGGGCCTCCTTGACGGGCTCCTCGCTCGGTGCTGCAGACATGAATGACCAAGCGTTGAAAAAAAAGGGCGCTCTCCTCGCCCACGCGCCAGGTCGTCCGCCCTCGGCCATCTGCTTCTTGCCGCAGCCACATGGCTTCGAAGTCAGGTCACGTGATACGGGTGGGTGGATGACACGTTCCCGGCGTTCCCCGGGTTGGGTCGGGCGGCCGAGCTCAGGGGGGCGCACGCTGGCGTCGAGGAGCGAGCGGCTTTTGTGGCCGGTTTGGTCTCGACCACGACAATCAGTATTGGAGATGATTTCTCGTGCTGCTACTAGGCCTGCCGTTGCTACGGCGCTTGCTGCTCGCAGCGCGTTCGTGCCTGTGGCTGGTTTCCACGCCAGCGCTGCGCCTCAGGCATCTCTGCGTGAGCTGGAGGCCCGTCTGAAGAGTGTGAAGAACATTGAAAAGATCACCAAGGTATGTTTCCCTGTCTATGCTTACGCCTTCCTAGTCGATGAAGATGATTGCCTCGACTCGTCTGGGTCGTGCGCAGCGTGCGATGAACGCTGCTGTCGCTTTCGGCGATGCGAGCGACGAGGTGTTCAAGCAGGCTGAGGTCGAGACGCCTGAGGGTGGTCGTCAGCTCTTTGTGGTGGTGTCTTCGGACAAGGGTCTGTGTGGTGGTATCCACTCCTCTGTCTCGAAGCGCACCCGTCTCGCTGTGAATGAGCTGGTGCAGAACGGTGCCGAGGCCCCGAGCGTGGTGGTCCTAGGTGACAAGGCTAAGGCGCAGTTGAGCCGTGCCTTGCCCGACCACCTGGTGCTCTCGTTCAACCAGATCGGAAAGTCGGTGCCTACTTACGAGGATGCTCTGGCGATTACTGACACGATCCTGAAGAGCGGCATTGAGTTTGACAAGGTGAACATCATTTACAACAAGTACGTCTCGTCGCTCTCGTTCGAGTCGACCATTGCCCCGGTGTTCAGCGAGGATGCTCTGCTCTCGGCTCCGAAGTTCAGCGTGTACGAGATGGAGGAGAGCCTTGCGAAGGACTTTGCCGAGTTCTCGTTCACCAACGCCATCTTCTCGAAGCTGGTCGAGGGTCACGCTTCGGAGATCAACTCGAAGCGTAACGCCATGGACAACGCTTCGAAGAACGCTGGTGACATGATTACTAACCTCAACCTGCTGTATAACCGTGGTCGCCAGGCTACGATTACGAACGAGCTTATTGACATTATCACTGGTGCCTCGTCGCTGTAAACCGGCGGTTCTGGTGATGCCCGAACAAACTGAGTGCATATATGCGCTGGCTTGTTGGTAAGGCTGTAAGGTGTCGTAGCAGTCTTGCATCTCATAGCTACTGTGTGTAGGATCCATCTATGCATTTGGCTGACCTTGTAGGTGGCATCGAGTGGGTGGTTCTACTCTGCATCACGTACGCAGGCGCGGGCGTGGACGTGCGGCTTTTTTTCTTGCTAACACTGGCCTAGTAGGTCACATGCATATGAGTCATGACATGATCAAGTCGTCCTTCTTCGTCTTCTCTTTGACCTGGAGTTGTAGGCAAGTCTAGGATGGCGAACCCCAACGCGGAGTTCCCTGATCATGATGGTACGTGCAAGTGAATGACTTATATACAGCCTCGAGCGCATTCAACTTTGCGCAACAAGAGGAGCAGGTACTGGCGTACTGGCAGGCCATTGATGCGTTCAAGACGTCGCTAGAGCAGTCGAAGGGCCGCAAGCCTTTCTCGTTCTATGATGGCCCGCCATTTGCCACAGGTCTGCCGCACTATGGTCATTTGCTGGCCGGTACTGTGAAGGATATTGTGACGCGTTTTGCGCACTCGACTGGCCACTATGTGGACCGTCGCTTTGGCTGGGACTGTCACGGTCTGCCTGTGGAACATGAGATTGACAAGAAGCTGGGCGTGAAGGGTAAGGAAGACATCCTTGCTATGGGTATTCCAAAGTACAATGCTGAATGCCGTGCCATCGTCATGCGTTACCAGGCGGAATGGCGCTCGACGGTGGAGCGTATGGGCCGCTGGATCGACTTTGATCACGGCTACAAGACGATGGATACAAGTTTTATGGAAACGGAATGGTGGGTGTTTAAGCAGCTTTTCGACAAAGGCCAGGTATACCGTGGCCTGCGTGTCATGCCCTACTCGAACGCCTGCACTACGCCGTTGTCGAACTTTGAGGCTGGTTCGGCGTACAAAGAAGTACAGGACCCTGCTGTGACGGTGGCCTTTACGTTGCGTGATGACCCTACGACGGCGTTCCTTGCGTGGACGACGACTCCGTGGACACTACCGTCGAACTTGGCGTTGTGTGTAAACGAGGAGATGGAGTATGTCAAGATCCATGACGAAGACCGCAACCGCAACTTTATTCTCTCTCCCTTGCTGCTTACGACACTGTACAAGGACCCGAAGAAGGCCAAGTACAAGGTCCTGGAGAAGTACACCGGTAAGGACCTTGTCGGCAAGCAGTACGTCCCGCTCTTCCCGTACTTTGAGGAGGCGTACAAGGACGTGGCGTTCCGTGTGCTCTCGGACCCGTATGTGAGTGCCGACGCCGGTACGGGTGTCGTCCACCAGGCGCCTTCGTTCGGTGAGGACGATTACCGTGTGTGCTTGGCCCATGGCCTCTTCACGAAGGAGAGTCAGCCGCCCTGCCCGCTGGATGAGTCGGGTCGCTTTGTGGAGCCCGTGTCAGACTACGCGGGTCAGTACGTGAAGGATGCCGACAAGCAGATCATGAAGGACCTCAAGGCGCAGGACAAGCTGATTGTGCAGAGTGTGCTGATGCATCAGTACCCCTTCTGCTGGCGCTCCGGCACGCCTTTGATCTACCGTACGATCCCTTCGTGGTTCGTGCGTGTGGAGCCGATTGTCGACCAGTTGCTGGCGGCGAACAAGCAGACGCGCTGGGTGCCCCAGACCATTGGTGAGAACCGCTTTGGCAACTGGCTGGCGAACGCTCGTGACTGGAACGTGAGTCGCAACCGCTACTGGGGTACGCCGATCCCGCTATGGGTGAGCGAGGACATGGAGGAGATTGTATGCATTGGCTCCGTGGCTGAGCTGGAGGAGAAGTCGGGTGTGACGGGCATTACGGATCTGCACCGTGACAAGATTGACCATATTACCATTCCGTCGTCGCAGGGCAAGGGTGAGCTGCGCCGCATTGAGGAAGTGTTTGACTGCTGGTTCGAATCGGGCAGTATGCCGTATGCGCAAGCGCACTATCCGTTTGAGAACGAGGAGGTATTCAAGAAGAGCTTCCCTGCCGACTTTATCTCGGAAGGTCTCGATCAGACGCGTGGCTGGTTCTACACGCTGCTGATTCTGGGTGTGCATCTCTTTGGTACGGCGCCGTGGAAGAATTTGATTGTCTCTGGTCTTGTGCTGGCGGCTGATGGCAAGAAGATGAGCAAGTCGCTGCGCAACTTCCCTGACCCGCAGCTGGTTATTGACAAGTACGGTGCTGATGCTGTGCGTCTGTACATGATCAACTCGCCGATTGTGCGTGCAGAGAACCTTCGTTTCCGCGAAGAGGGTGTGAAGGAGATTATTGCCAGTGTCTTCTTGCCGTGGCTCAACAGTTTCCGCTTTTTCCTGGCGCAGACCGTTCTTCTGAAGAAGGAGACGGGCATTGATTTCCAGTACAACCCGAACGCGAAACTGTCGGACAATGTGATGGACCACTGGATTCTTGCGCGATGCCAGAGTCTGATTGAGTGTGTGCGTGAGGAGCTGGAGAACTACCGTTTGTACACGGTGGTCCCGCGTCTGCTTACTATGATCAATGAGCTGACGAACTGGTACATCCGCTTTAACCGTAAGCGCCTCAAGGGCGAAAATGGGCCTGAGGACACCATCGCTGCTCTCAACACGCTCTTTGAGACGCTGTACACCGTGTGTCTGTCCATGTCGCCCTTCACGCCGTTCATTACCGAGAACCTGTACCAGGGTCTGCGTAAGTACATGGCACAAACGGACGCTGATGTGGACTACCGCTCGGTCCACTTTTTGCCCTTCCCTAGCGTGAAGCAGGCGTACATGGACCCTGTGATTCAGCGCCGCTTCAGTGCGCTGCAGAGTGTCATTGAGCTTGGCCGTGCGATGCGTGAGAAGAACAATCTCCCGCTGCGTGTGCCGCTGCGTGAGCTGACCGTGTTCCACAGCGACAAGCAATTCCTAGACGATGTGCGTTCGCTTGCATCGTACATTGAGGAGGAGCTGAACATCCGCGACCTGGTGCTGACCAGCGACGAGGCGCAGTGTGGTGTGTGCTTCAAGCTTTTGGCCGACTGGCCGGTGCTGGGTCGCAAGCTGCGCAAGGACATGGGCAAGGTCAAGAAGGGCCTGGATGCCGTGTCGTCTGCGGATGCAAAGGCGTACATGACCTCTGGCTCGATTACCATTGAGGGCATTCCCTTGGGCGAGGGCGATTTGCGTGTGCAGCGCTACGTCGACGAAAAGATGCTGGGCCCTCACATTCTCAACGACACAGACGGCGCCGTGGTCGTGTTGCTGGATAGTGAAGTGCGTCCGGAGCTGCAGGCGGAGGGTATGGCGCGCGACGTGATCAACCGTATCCAGCGCCTGCGTAAGAAGGCTGGCTTGCAGCCGACCGACGAGATCGACTCGTTCTACCGCTTCACGGAAGGTATGGGCGAGGCGCTCGATGAGGTCATGAAGACACAGACCGACGTGTTTGTGCGCAACATTCGCCGCGTCCCACGCCCTGCGGCTGAGCAGCCGGCCGATGCGAACGTGGTGTTCGAGGAGGAGCAGGAAGTGAACGATATCAAGTTCATGCTGACGCTCGTGCGTGCGACACCCTAATGAGGCTACGTAGGTATATTCTGTAGACTACCGCTTTGGCCCGAAACTGCCAAATCCCATGGCGGCCATCACGTCTGCATCGTCCATAACGGCAGGCTCGTCGTCGTCATGCGACTGTTTCTGTTTCTTGCGTAGGCGTTGCTCCCGTCGTGATGTGCGTCGCGACTCTCGCTCGCGACGCTGCTCGGCCGCAATTTCTTTTAATCGCTTATCAAAGTCGTAGCGTTGTGCGGGCGTGGCGCCTAGCATCCGTTCCGCCCGTACAGCTGCGATGCGCTCACGGACCTGTTCGAGTGTCGCACGCTCTGCCTGCGTCGTCTGCCCGAGCCGACGCAAGTGCGAACGTCCATTAATATGATCCAAGTAGCCTACACTATCCTTGCACATTTTCTTGCATACGTCGCAGTAAAATCCGGCACCACGACCATGCCCGTCTTCCTGCTCGACGAGACGCGAGGTGCCGCTATGTTTATCCAGCTCCAAATCGCCATGCGCTTGCATCGCCTTGGTCGGTTTCGGCAACGTACGACGCCGGTGTGCAGGCGCCGTGTGGGCCTCAGCCGCCGCCTTCGCTGATGCAGAGGCTACGGGGGGCGTATCGCTGTGCGTCACGGCGACATCCCAATCGCCTGCCGCTCTTGTCATGCCATGGTCCTGTGGCCGCGCCATGGCGGTCCGCAAAAACCCACGCGTGCCCCACGTCTTTCCTTCCCTGTCGCTTTCCTCCACTTCGACACTGCCTGCTTGCGATGTCGGTCAACCCGTACGTGTTTATGGCCCTACTGACGCTAGTGTCCTGGCCCTCGTCAGCCGTGCTGACACGTTGGCGACAGGTATGTGCTTCTATGACTGACAGTAGGCTTCCAGCAAGCGTACGAACGGACGCTCCCGGCGATTCACTCGCTGGAGACGCTGCCTTCCGATGATCCTCGCACAGAAGCGTGTATGCAGATGCTTCGACACGGCTTAGACGGTATGGAAGAGCAGACGCAGGCCATGATGAATATGCTGTACGAAGTCGATGTGTACATGGCCCCCTCCACGGTTCAGAACGCAGCTGGATTCAATCCACAAGAAGCGCTCGCCCATGTCTCGGATTTGTTTCACGTACGTGGTTACCTACCTACGTCACTGACATGCCTACAGAGTTACCAATCTGAACTTCTAGCCAAGCGCGAATCATTGGCCGACTTTACCTGCGAAGATATCTCGCTGGAGGAATTCGCACAGCAGTGGCGTACGCTCGACGCCGTGCAGCAAGGGCGGCAACAAGGCATGGATGAGTTGGCAGATTTGTTGGCACAGTTTGGGTAGTATGTAGGTAGGCACACCGTATAGGAGCTGCTACGTTAAGCGCCTTACAGGTGCGCTTGCACCGCAGAGGCTTGTGTGTGGGCCAGGAACGGTGCGTTGCCGGACCGCATCTCCTTGTACCGCACCACCTGCTCAACATAGTCGTCAAACAGGGGGTTCGTATCTTCGGGACCGCCTGCATGCTCCGGATGGAATTGCACGCCCCATACAGGCGCATGCGTATCCAGGCCCCCTGTACGAACAATGCCCTCAATACTCCAGTCGTTCGCATTGACAAACCATGGCTGCCAGTCCTTGGGCCAGGCGTCCGGGCCGGACTCCTCGTAGGCCAACGCGTATCCGTGGTTCTGCGAGGTGATGTACACACGGCCCGCCTCAACACGCATACCACCGCTGCTAAGCGCTAGCACAGGCTGGTTGTGTCCACGGTTACCAAACTTCATGCGGTACGCACGAAGCCCTGCCGCACGGCCGATGATTTGGTGGCCCATGCAAATACCAAAGATCGGGCGGTCCCACTCGTTGATCGTACGACGCACAGACTCAATGGCGGAAGGAATCGAGTCAGGGCTGCCTGGTCCATTGCTGAGGAACAGGCCATCAAACTGATCACGAATGGCGTTGAAGTCCGCCGTCCACGGAAGCACAGTGACACTGACACCAAGGCGCAGCAGAGAGCGCAGAATGTTCGCCTTGCTGCCAAAGTCTGACAGCGCAATATGCGCGCGTGCTGCCTCAGCACCGCCGACAGGGTGCAACGTGTAAATCGTCTTGGTTGATACACGGTCAATCAAGTTCTCGGCCATGGGGTCAATAAACTCGGAGGGGTCAATCGTACGGTGACGATCCTCGCCCACGAGAATAGCACCGAGGGTCGATCCCTGGTTGCGCAGGAGGGTAGTGAGCGCACGCGTGTCCACGCCCTGAATACCAGGCACATTGTAGCGCGCACACCAGCTTGCCAGCGACTCGTACGCTTGGAAGTGCGAGAAGCGCTCGCAAAGCTCACTCACCACGACGCCCGTGGCCTGCACGCCCTTGGACTCGAGGAAGCAACCTACATCTACATCCATAGGATGCTCCCGTGCCGAGCCAGGCACGCGATTGTCTGGCACGCCATAGTTGCCCATTAGCGGCTGTGTAAACGCAAGGATCTGGCCGGTGTATGACGGATCAGTAAGAGACTCTGTGTACGACGTGATAGAGGTCGTGAACACCGTCTCACCAAACACAGAACGCGGCGCTCCAAACGAGCGGCCTTCAAACACTTGACCAGACTTGAGTTTCAGCGCCGCGGGCTGCGATGGAGGCGCTGGCGAACTGGTTGTTACGCTACGTGCAGCCCTGGGAACAGCACGAGCAAGAGAAAAACGAGAGAGATGGTACATTCAGGCAAGGGGGGAATTCACAAAGAGGACGACTTGAATACAGCTACTACAATGTAATCGTCGCGGGTCTCGCAATCGTACATGGATAAGGAAAACCATGGCCGGCGATCGCTCACACCTCTTAACTAGAGAGAGAGAGGAGGTTTGTCAGCATGACTCACTGCCGGTCCTCGGCGCGCCGTGCGTGCATGACAGAGAGCGCTTAGCTCAGCCAGCGGACAGGTCGCCTGCAGTGACCGCGGCTGTGGTGGCCTTCCTTCAACGTTGGGGCGCCCGGACCATCTGTTGTATGCGATGAGCGACTTTGCGTCCGCGCTGCGCGCGTGGCGTAGTGTTCACTTCGATGATGTACAGAAAGAGCTACAGAATTACATACCTACAGTACAGGAGCGCCAAAAGGATGCCTTACTAGCACGCAAGGCGCTGTCCGAACGTACCAAAGAGTTTCGCCGGCTTACGCCAGAGGTACAGCTGAACGAGATACGGACACTGGTCAAGGCGTACCAAATGGAAATTGATGCACTAACCACCCGTGCCAAAAGTGCTGAATCACTGCTGGAGAAAACACAGTCGCAGTTGCAGCCAGCGCCCAATCCGTACCCTATTCTTGAAGCGCTAGTCGATACGACGATACAGGCTCAGGAAGCTTCTGAGCTTCGAGCGGAGATGGCACGTATACAGGCAAGTGCCTCCGAATGGGAAGCAAAATGCAAAGAGGCCGAAGCACGTGCTGAGGAGGCTTCCCAGGATGCCACCGCAGCGGTCGCTCAAGCGGAGAAGCGTGTCAATGAAGCTTGGCATGCTTCGACGCACGAGCAGGAAACTCGAGTGGCTAATTTACAGCGTGAACTGCACAAGACCCAAGCACAGCTGCGTGAATTGCGTTCCAGCCACGACGATGTAATGAATCAACTTATGAGCAAACAGGATGCATCGCAAGATACGGCGCATATCGATAGTCTCTTGGAAGATCTACAGCATGCCAAGGACCGCGCAGCGCAGGCAGAACGACGTGTGAAAGCTATGCGGGAAGAGTACGAGCAGCAACAAGCTCATGAGCGTGCTCACCTCTCTGAGCAGCTTGCGGAGAAAGAGGCGTATTTCACAAAGCAGCTGGAAGCGCAGACTGACCAACTTCGGGAGCTTACCTTTTCACATGAAGCAGAGCTTGCGGCGACGAAGCAACAGCGTGACGCGATAGAGCAACATTGCCAGGATGCTGAGGCAGAGCTCACTCGTTTGAAAGAGTCGATGGCACAGTACGACGACTATGACACCATCAAGCGAGAACTGCACGTCTACCGCGCGATGGACTTGACAGATGAGGAAGCGTCGGCCCAGGCAACCGACAACACACTGGAAATCAGCCTAGCTCGGAAGAACCAAAAGCTCCAAGATGAGCTGGCAGGGATGCGCACAGCCTTGGCCGATGCAAAGCGAGAGCAAGAGGCAACTCAACAGTCGTTGGCAGAAAAGCACGCGCGTATAGCTGACCTGGAAGCTCTAACTAGTCGACTGGAAGCTGATTTATTGGGCGTCGCTTCGTCGCCCAACGGCCCTGCAACAGCGCCGAAGCAGGAGGAAACATCTGCTGCCACAGATTTGTTGCCCATCGTGACCAATCAGCGAGATCGGTTCCGTTCGCGCAACGCTGAGCTGGAAGAGGATCTCAAGAAGCAGGCGCAAGCAACAGTAGAGTTGCGCGCTGAAATTAAGCGCTTACAGAGCGACAATGTCGGCCTGTATGAAAAAGTTCGCTACCTACAAGGCTATGCCAATCAGCGAGGGGGCAGTGCCAACGATATGCCATACCCGCCAACATCGCACGACACGCGAGAAGACATGTATCGTGCACGTTATGAAGCATCTATCAACCCATTCCAAGCCTTCCGTGGCCAGGTATGTATGCGATTTTTTAACCCCAGGAACATTCGCGTGCAGTCGCTGCCCTTAGCCCGATCGATCGACTTATGCACTTACTCGCTAGCGCCGTGCTTTCCAATGCAAAAATGCGTATTGCTTTCCTATGCTATGCTATTTTCTTGCATATGATGGTATTTGGAATGCTCTTTGAAGCTAGTCACAGGTGCGTCTCATCCGTGGTAACACAGGCAGATCATTATAAGTACATCCTTGGAAACTTGAAACAAAAAATGAAGATCATGAGAAAATGAAAAGGAACGAAATCACAACTCCAACCCAGTGTCCATACCATGCGACATGATGCCAAGAATGCGCGCCCGAAATTTGCGCTGGCAGCATCGTGGAAATGTTTTTATCGTTGGATAACGAAGCAAAACCAACGCGGCGAGGCTGGCCGTTGTCAAACGCGGTGTATACGTTTTTTAAGAACGCGCTGCCAATCAGCCAGCGACCATTCGCATTGGTCATACCCCCTATCGCACCAAGGCACAAAAGGTCGTTCGCGGTGACGCGGTCGTCTTGGTCGTCATCTTGATCATGAGGTATATAGATAGATTGAACGACAAAGTCATTCTGTTGTATAAGAAATTGAGATTTGCCAAATGCAATAGATACGTGTAGTGATGAATTGCATGGAATTTTGAAAAACCCAGGCTGTGAAGGAATTTCTTTGGCCCTGGGGATGTGCGAGTAGATGCGTTTCACCACATCCATAGGACCTGCCAGGTACGGTGTGCCAGAATCAATGAGCGCTTTCGATGACGTGGGAAACGCTTCCACATGGCCAGAAATATTGAATCCACTGATAGGGATGACCCAAGCCAAATCATCCACTGTGTCTAAATATTGCATCGGCTCGGCATAAAGCGACCCATCCAATTGGCCAAGTGTGAGTACGCTAGGCGTGGTCAAATTTGACGCTGGCGTATGGGTATCACTCAGACTTAGGCCAAAAATAGGGGCCTCCAGAGGCACGTTTTGCCAGAATGGTAGTGCCTTCATGCGTGATAAGGCTTGTACGCCAAACCCTAATACACCATCAAGATCGGCAATGCCCGTACCGTTTACCAGAGTAGCAATGCCGAACGTCTGTTTGGGCTGTGTAAGTGTGCCTAGAGTAATCACGTCCTGCACTTGCCGACCAGCCACACTGCCTTTGCCATATTGGATAGAGAAAGACTCATGTGTATCACGATAGGTACTGGACGTGCTGCCATTAAAGACGGATTCAGAAAGCCAGAGATCAGCGGAGCCCGTGTCCACTGCCACTTTGTACGATATAGGTGGCGTGCCTACATGAATTTCAGTAGCCCAGAGAAATCCATTCGCTGATTGTGTCAACGACACCTCGGTGTGGTCCCGCTTGGACAAACCAGGCACTAATCGTGAATGGAAATAATTACGCTGAGCGTTTAAGTATTGATCCAGATCCGAATCGGAGCCAAAAGAAAATGTCCTGTGTCCCGTGAGCGCGCTCAAGGCTATGGGTATGGCGGACCATGCCAGGACCACGACCCACGAAGATCGCATCAGGGGATTCAAAATTGAGAAAACGTCAGGTACCTATCCGCTTTCTATTGTTGCATGCATTCCAGCCCCGCAAGAAACTTTGGCAACACTTACGTAAGACGCGTCGTCATCGCTCCAGGGTCATTCGCAGTGCGTCAGACGCGCTGTCGAACGATTGATTATACGGTGATGAAGATCCTTATTAAGTCGTTGGCAGGTGGCAACTTTCATCTGGATATCGAGCCAACCGATACTGTATGTTGTTGGAATACTAATACCAGGTCCTTTCTGTGAAGCAGTCTATCCAGGCGTCGCAGGGCCACCCTGCTGAAAACCAAAAGCTTATCTTCTCTGGTAAAATTCTGGCGGACGAAAAGACCATTGGTGACTATGAGATCAAAGAAAAAGACTTCCTCGTGGTAATGGTATCAAAGCCAAAGGCTAAAAAGCCTGCGGACGAGCCTAAGTCCGAGTCGTCCTCGACAGCCGCTGCCACGACAGCAGAGGCGCCGGCTACTCCGGCACCAAAGCAAGTGGCCACCGAGTTTAAAGCCACTGAAGCACCGGCCACGGCGACTTCCGAGACCACGGCACAGGCTTCCAGTGGCGTACCAGAAACGCCAGCATCCCAAAACGATTCGCTGCAAACAGGCTCCTTCCTTTCAGGTGCGGACCTTGAGACGGCTATCAACAACATCGTTGAAATGGGCTTCCCCAAAAATGATGTACAGCGTGCTATGCGCATGAGCTTCAATAACCCCGATCGTGCGGTGGAGTACCTGATGAATGGGTTGCCGGAAGAGGTGGCGCCATCGCGTCCCACTGCCGTGGCACCGGCCACGCCAGCGACGCCATCGCCGGCAGCGTCCAACGCCGCGGCGAACAACGCGTCAACTACGCCAGCACCTCGTTCGGGAAATTTGTTTGAGCAAGCTGCTGCGCTCCAAGCTGGTGGCGGAGCTGGTGCGAATGCGGATGCGCCTGATGTGAGTATGCTGGCGGAGGACGATGGCCAAGGCCGTCAGGTACTGGACATTGGTAACCCCCAGATTCTTGCGCAGCTGCGTCAGCTGCTGGAGCAAAACCCGGCCGCGCTGCAGCCTCTGATTCAGGCGTTGGTTCAGAGCAACCCGCAATTGGCGGAAGCTCTCAGTGCGGATCCGGATGGCGTGCTGCGTATGCTGGCTGGCGAGGGCCTCGAAGGCGAGGAATCGTTCGAGATTCCTTCGCTGCAGCAGCTGCAAGAAGAAGACCGTACTCAGGTGGAGCAGATTATGGCGATGGGCATCCCTGAAAGCAAGGCGATTGAATGCTACTTCATGTGTGGCCGCAACTTGGAGATGGCAGTGCAGTACTACTTTGAGGTATGTCAAATATACTCACTTACACAAAGAACCCGCAGGACTTTGAGGACTAAGTTGGTATATATACATCTTATAATTTGTTCATGGCAGCTTCATTCACTGCCTCCGAGATGCCTTCCACATCAGGTGGGGGTACTGTTTTCCATTCGCCCGTGTTATTCAGGAATGAAACGAAAAAGTCATAGAAGAAGCGCCGCCATGGAGCCCTGAAGTAAGTCCATGTATGTCCAGACGTACGGTGAGGGAAGATAGTGCTCGCCTGGGTGTCGAAGTACACGAATTTGCTGGCAGCAGTTGATATATTCCTGCGTCCGCGTGGGCGATACAATCTGATCGTTCATGCCAAGCACCACAAGAGTAGGGGTAGGCGACAATTTTTCAAAGATCGGATCAAAGCGCTTATCCGCAGGACGAAAGCCTGACACACAGATGGAAAAGAGGAATGGGCGGTCCTGAATCGGATCCGAAAATCCATGCGCTTTGTCGGGATAATTCAGCGTGGCCGATACGACGCCAGCTACACTAGCGCCTACCCGTTAGATTCGCCAGACATACCTTGCGAAAAGCCTAGCACACCATCGAATGGGCCGTGCTCACGGCAAAACTGCTGCAAATACGCCAATGACTCGTCCCAATGCTCGTACACATCGCCTGTGCTGCGCCACCATGAGCGTGCCTGCTTCTCAATGGGATCATTGGGGTTTGGCGGTCCAGGCTCAGGGTTTTCCGCCGTAGGCAGAGGACTTACCTGAATGGGGCCGTTGGCAAAGACGAATTCAGCGACATCTGCGTGTAAGTTCGTTCGTACATACCCTTGCACTCTTTTTGAAGGGCCTTCAGTCTCTTGCTAAACGAAAAGGCATTCATGGCATAGCCATGCAGCATGAGAATACGCAGTTTCCGCGGCGATGACATCACAGACGATCGAAGCGAAGGTGAAAAGAGTGGAGGCGGAGAACGCACGTACCGATTGCCCACCTTCCCAACGATCCCAGCCTCCTCGATGCCTGCATCACATGGGGAAGCGAGTATGGCTAGCGATTCGTTTCAGTATGCCTCGCCCCTCTCTGAACTAAGTGAGCACATTTTGTGTCCCATTTGTCTGTACGTATTCTCTGGCTGACGTCCAAGCTTGCCATTGTTTCAGCCTGTCATTACCGTGCCATGTGCTCATGCATTTTGTCGCTCATGCATCACACAAGCTTTTCGTGATGGGTCTACACATGAGCATATGTGTCCGTACTGCCGCACAGCTTTGTCCTCTTCGCCCTATCGAGAAGCACCGCCTATGATCCGTGCTATGGTCGATGCGCTACGTGTCGTGTGTGGCTACGATGGGTGCACATATGAATGCGAACGTCACAACCTATCACAACACCAACGCTTGCATATGGCAGACGTAGAAGAGCAAGCTTGCATGTATTGTGCACAGTTGGTCTTAGATATGCCCTCGCATCTTGACGTGTGCTCCTTGCACCCTATGGACTGTGCGATGCGACACTACGGATGTACCTGGCATGGAGTGCGAGAAGATGCCGCCAATCATGCCGCCCAATGTGCCTACCATGCCCTTGAGCCAATTCTGTCCGAGCAACAGGCACGTATAACAGCATTGGAACAGTACAACAGACAATTGCAAGAAAAAATGGAGCATTTGGAGCAGGAACAAACCTCGTGTCGGCAACAGGCTGATGATTGTGCTTACAGCCTGGGGAAGTGGCTATGTTCATGGCCATCTCCTGCGGAGCTACATGAGTACACACCTGCTCTGGAAGTGGCATTGGACGAGCAGCGACGGACACTTCGCTCCCTCAATGAGGCTGTGCGGATGGCGCAACAAGCCAGTGAGAATGCACGAGCTATGGCCATGCGGTCCACGCTCGATCTGTCGGGACTAGCTGACGAGATGGCTAGTTTATGGCACGCAATGACAGCATGGCGAGCAGGAACGGACCATGAAGAGGAGATACCCGTCGCCGTCCGCCCGTGGCCTACGACGCCACGCCCACCCTATCCCCGCGGCATGCCCTTTGCGCCTCGTCATGGCCGAGTTCGCGCACTAGATACGAAGTTGTAACATAGCATAGATCTAGGATCACTAACAAGACCTTCTACGATGTCATAATAGGCGTCGAACGTGGCGGTGCCACCTCAATCACCTGAGGTGTATCTGGTGCCGACACAGACACCATGCGAGGAGGCGAAGAGAGGGTAACTGGGGAGAGCGGCGTCGGGGTAGCCAGAACCGGAGAGGGTGCTGAGGGCGTGGCCATCAACGCTGCTTGGCCTGATGCATGGCGTGCGTGTCCTGTCCGGCTGGGACTCACGCTGAAACGATCAAGGACGTCGCCAACATCGTGACTATCAGACGATGTAATGCTGCGCGCACGTCGGCGTGACGACGACGACATGTTCGACGCGCGACCAGACGCCATCGACATGGGAATCGATGAATGACCTTGCGTCTGTGACGCAAGAACCTGACGAAGCTGACTTACGCTCATCGAGTTGCCACGCAGTAGATGGGACGTGGTACGAACAGCCGGCGTGCCTTGCATATTCGACAGCCGTGTCGCGGTAGGTCGCGCCGCAGTGCGAGCATCTTGCAGCGCACTGGCGACACTCCAAGGACGCAAGAGCCACGTGCACAAAGTCGCGTGATCGACATGCGAAGCGGACTGCACGGTGGGCGTAGCAGAGAGCTGCTCTGCGACCCACGATGCGTCCCTAGGCGGTGGCAACGTGGTGGCCCGAGCGCCGGGCGAGAAGACAGGCAGCTCCTGGATAGGTTCATAGCGCTCCGGCAAAGCAGGCGTTGCAGGCCGAATGCCTTCCAACGTCGGCAAGAGAGTGGCGTGAGCGTACTCCACGAGCGACGGTACCTGCCACACGGAGCCTAGACGCGCTAGCAGCGTGGCCACAAGCCATCGGCACGTCATGCTTTGCTCGGCCTGTGCCATTTGCCCTGTCAAAGGCGTGCCGGACGTTTGATCCAGGACAAAGAGAGCAGGTGTAAATGCCAGCATAGCAGCGGCTGGCACAACGATCAGAAGAGCATCCAGGGCCTGATGAAGTAGGGCAAAGTCCGAGGGAGTGCAACGAAGTAGTGGCATGTTTGGCATAGACACAGTCGCTGACGAGGTGGGCATACCCGACGACACAAGTGCCACCACGTGAGCCGCAAAGGAATGCAAGAACCCAAGTGAGTCACTGTTGCCTTCATGCGCCGCCTGGCCATTGGCAATGCGATCCTGCTCTTGATGCAAGTACACGCACAATGCCTGCAGGTATGTGGCACGCACGACCGAGCTTGTCGACAGAAGAAGCGACTCGGTAGAGGCCCAGGCACTCACTGGCACATGGAACGATCCATTGTTCGAGCGGAAAATGGCCATAAGACTGTGCAATAGCGCACAAATGCTGTTCTGCTTGACATCCAACGGCAGCGATCCGTCTCGAACGCTCACAATGTGCGGCATGATCTGCTGCACAAAGTCGTCAAGCTGGTCACCATACCGTGCGTGTGTCGCCATGTGCCCAATAGCATCAATGGCAGCGCTCACAGTGGGATCGTATGGATCCTGTTCGACGTGCGAGAGCATGAAATGAACATGTCCGTCCAACATTTCCGACATGTTCAAGCCGACAATCTCCGTCTTGCTCACCAGAATCATATGCAGTGCCTGGAGGATTCGCGTCTCCCGTAGTGCCACTTGACGCTGCGTAGACTGGTCCGTCAGTGTATCCACCAGAGAGTGAGGCACTACGTAACGTGAGGCGGGACGTGCCCATTGCGCAAGCACTCCAAGGATCCACACGGACCATTCCTCATCCTTCCAACGTTCATCACGCGTATCAAGCCACGCAAGTGTCTGTTGCATCACAGCACGCATCTGCATCGCGTCACTGGAGGCGAGGATTTGGCGCAGAACCAACAGCGCAGCTTGCACGGTCTGTGTAGGCCCCGGTGATTGCGCATCAGAGGAAGACAGCTCTACACTGTTGTCCATGGTACTGCTCGCAATGTCGGCTGTCTGTGTGAGTGGCACATGGTGAAGGCTGATCGTCTCGAAAAGCACCGGCAAGATGTGGGACAAAAGCCGAGGGAACGCCGACGTATGAATGATTGGCGACTTCACCATACCATCCATACCTGCCAAGCATTGTAGCAAACCACGCTCATTCATCCCACCACGGCCTTGGATCGGATCAGCGAGACGCGCCAATTCGGTGAGTACTTGATACACAGAGCGCGAAACACCTTCGTCCGTCTCCATCGCGCCACCAGGCAGCGCTTTGACGTAGGTAGCAAACGTATTCGCAGCACGAGCGCTCACATCGCCGTCCCGCAGACCCGAGCCTCGAACTGTGGCAGCTTGAAGGGCATGCGAGAGAACAGACTGCACCGTCGGGGCTAAGTACACTAGGCCGTGTGACTGTGACACCAGCTCCTTGAGCACAGCCAGTGTGATCATCAGCTGCGCTTTGTTCCTATCATTCGGCGCACCCTGGAAAGCACGCGCCTCACTCACAGCGCGAGCGTCGATCACCTTGCCAATTTTGAGCAGCTTCGCCGGCTTGCTCTGAGCATAGTAGCTCAGACGGCCCATCTCATTGGAATTCGGCCGGTATTCAGGTGCAGAGCCCGCTATCGCTTTGGGTGGCGGATAGCAATCGTCGACGAGCTTTTTGTGATTCGCCTTGGGGATGCACAACATGGCCGACGAAGGAGCGAGCGCACGAGGCAGACAGCGAGCTAGCCAGCTCCACGGCGATTCCCCCACATGCGGCGGGCTCGTGGGTCCGCGCACTCGCAGGCCAATCGCCACGTGAACGACACCGGCTAGCAGCATAACCACGTGGCATAGGTACGATGGCTGGAGAGCCGGCGGCCGTGCGCAGACCAGCCTCACGAAGGATGTACAACTGGAAGACTCGCTCAATTCTACTATACAACGCTACCATCCTGCACCCATAGATGCATCAGAGTGCCATACAAACCATCGATATGCGCCAGTAGCAATGGCAGACAAAATAAAGGCGGCATCGAACGCACGTCCAAACACGCGCTGAAACTCGGGCAACGTAGCCAACAAGGCACTAGGCGCCGAGCCTGACGTCGCCGTCGTCACGCCTGAATGCATTTGCACAAGTGCTGCAAGGCCATAAATACATAAAATTTGAGACGTGAAGAGGACCAACAGCTGCGTACTGATACCAGTCGCCACACTTTGAATCATAGCAGACAGGGTCCCTAGAATCACATGCAGGCGCATCACAATCAAGCCACCCACAAGAAGAAAGTTGATACGGGGCGACCATACAGCCACATCCATCGAAAATCCAAGCATGTTCATGACCTGAGCGGTGGACATGGCGACCCAGTCACGCGACGAGGTAGCGTTATAGCCCAGGAAGACCAAGTTAAGAACACATTGCACAAGACGCAATGCGCAGTACATGGAAAACGCATAGCCACCCAGCAGCATCGCATAGCCTACCACAGTACGGGTTTGGCGTACTCGACGCTCCTGACGTTCTTGGTACTCCAAGTCTGAGCGCAACGCAGATGCCATGGCCGCCAGGCCAGCAATCTCCGTCTGGAGCATAGCCAATTCACGATCCTTGGCACTACGACCCCAAAATCGCCAACTAGAACGAGGGCCACTTGCTTCGAGTTCCGCCTGAAGCTCTGCCGCGGCTGTACGCCGCGATGTGAGATCAGCACAAGTGCGTTGAAAAGAGTCGCGTGTAGCAGTCACATCGCTTTCACTCCATCGGCGCTTTTTGCGAAGAAACATCTCGTACGAATCACACATAGCCCCGGCGGAAATGCTTCCGGACAAAATAGCGATAAGCCATATACCGATCATGGCAGTACGTGCAATGAGGGAGCCCGTATACCCTGCTGTAGCCGGCGTCACCGTGCTGGGCAAAGGCACACGCACAAAAAGCCAGCACCATAAAATGAACAGTACAGCACTGGCGAGAGCCCGCGATATACTCCATCGACGGTTGACATGCCCAAAACATAACAGTGTACATGCATACAATGGCAAGAGGAGTACGATCAGACTAATTATGATTGTCATTGAAAAACTCCAGTGCACACGAAGCCAGGCATGGTCAGCATGCAGGCGTTCCAGGACAACGAGGCCGAGAAGCGTTAGACTCTCTTCCACAGAGATGCAGAACAGCAAAGAGGACGTCGTCATATTTTTGGGGAGATATTTCCTAACAGTTGGTGAAACGCGAGCAAGCACAGGCTCAGAGCGCTGTCGCGCATGCGCCACAGTGGGCAATGCATACGATTCGGTCGCTGACGCCATAGGCTCAGCCTCTAATGAGACGTAACGTGCTTCACCAATAAGCCAAGGAACCATCATATAAGCTCCAAGAAAAAGGCATATTCTCAGCAGCAGCACGACAAAAAGCGTGCCGCTGCTGGCCATGGTTGAAACACACCAAGGCAAGACAAGGTGCGTTTAGCGCACGGCCTGCCTGTCGTAGCACCCTATCAGTCACGTGACGCAATACAACGCTGCAACGCGCACGACGCGAATAGGGTGTACAAGTTGTCGGACGCAACATGAGTGATACGACACCGCTAGCTCATCGCACGTTGGGCGATGAGTCGACATTCGATCAAAGTATTGGGGATACCACATCGAATGTATCGCTTTTTCACAAAGGTGACGACTCCCTGCTGAGCAATGTGCTGCTGGGCCATAATGATGCAGCATCAACATTGCAGGCACTTCGCACGTCCCAAACGGAGGGCGAGAGCGAGTCCGTCGCTCAAATTCAAGCTCAATTAAACCAACTACAAAAACTTAATGATGTCTTTGAATCGTACGAGCAGGCTCTGACAGGGAGCCTTGGCCAAATGGAGGTACGTGCTTTCATATGCTCATTCCAGACCTTCTCGCAAAAGATCCGTGAGACAGATGCCTTGCTAGATACCTACTTGAACTTATTGACTCAAGCAGAACGTCGCCGCATGCAACTAGCAGATCAGCAATGGCAAGGGACTACCAAGGTGAGTATCTTACAAAGGCTAACATAATTAGGAAGCTGAAATGCTTGCTGTGCAGAAAGAAGAGGAACAGCGAAAAGCTGCTGCTGCTGCTCTTAAAGCATCAAGGACAACAGGAATGACTGCGTCGCGCTCGGATCGCCTTCATGCGTCTACAACGCGACACTCTGCCTTGCCAACACGCACGGGAGGACACACACGCACCACGCGTGCACAAGCACCCACAACATCAGCGCGTACGACGTCTGCAACGGGACGTACAGCGACAGGACCTCGTGTTGGTACGAGTACGCGTACGTCGAAGGCATCGCTAACGCATTATAGCCCAAGCAGAAAACCGAAGAGCCCCTACAAGACCCGGTTCTGGTATCCCTGTTCGTGGACACCCGGCACGTTAATGCTTATAGAGTACTTTGTACGATAGTCATGGAGAATTTGCTATGCGTCAGCTATGTTCCGGGCATTGCAATCGAGAACAAGAGGCCCAGTAGGGTGAGAGGGGTAAGGAGCCAATGAGCAAAGTCGAAATGGAGTTTCTTATTTTGCCCCGCTCGGGTTTTTCAATGTAATAATTGCCTGTCGCAAGGGATTCTGCCATGTGGCTTTCGCCCGCCTACAGTGCGCCCGGGAGGATATCCGTGCGTTTCCCAACCGGACCATGTCACAAGAGAGAATGGAACGACAAGGTATGTAGACTTCAATCTGACAACGAAAGGTTCCCCTATCACGAGTCTTAGACTCTTGAACGCGTTCCGACGTGATGACCGCCCTGCGATTGAGAGCCTAATCTCTCAAATTGATACATCTCAACCCTTGCCTCATTTGGAGTCGCCTCTGCATATAGCCGTGATGTGCGCAGACCCCCAGACGATTGATTTTGTGCTTCGCCACCTTCATATGGACCCGAATACGCAAGCATCTGATACTGGCAACACGCCCCTGCATCTGGCTGTATCTACGGACCGTTTGGAAGCGGCTGCCTTGCTGCTATCGCAGCCCAGCATCAACGACACGATTGAGAACAAGGATATGAAGACGCCCATGCAGCTGGTGACATCGACGGACATGATGCATCTGCTGCAGAATTCACGCGCTGAACTGCGATCGCGTATTGTGTATGAGCTGGAGGATTATGAGGCGAAAGCGTCGCAGAATGTGATGGGAAGTGAGGAAGAAATGGCCTTACTAGCGACGGTCTGTCTTCCTCGTGTCACAGCGGTAGACCTCGCAGTGGTGAGCCATACGTCAAACAACGATGTACTTCACAGCGCTGTTAAGTATAAATCGACGGACCTCATCAAGGCTTGTGTGAACAAAGGCGTCGACCCCTATGTCAAGGATATCAACGGCCGCAGTGCTGATAACATGACAGAAGACAAGATGATTCACGCCCTGTTGCGGCAGCTAGCGCATGCAGGTGCCGAAAACTCCATCAGTCTTCAGCAGTCGCCCAAGTATCGTGGATTCATGGGCAAGTGGACCAACTATGTGCACGGTTTCAAGACACGTTGGTTCGTGTTGGAGGATGGTGTTCTATCGTACTATCGAAGTCCAGAGGAGGAAGGACGTCAAGCCCGCGGTGTAATCCACATGCGTCATGCGGTCATCGTGCCAGACCGCAAAGAACGCAACCGATTCGAAATTGTGAGCAAGTCGAGCAAAGACACAATGCGTTGGTACTTGCGCAGCAGCGATGCAGCGGAATGTGTGCGTTGGATCCAGATCCTCGAAAAGGCTCGCCAGTTTTTGCAGTCCGACTCCTCATCGGCGCCTGACAAGAGTGTCGCTGCAACAATGAACCAGACCTCCCCTATGATCAACTCGCAAAGCCATCGCTTGAGCGGCTCGTTTGCTGAAGCGCCTGAGCCGGTCACTTCGCTGTCGGACAACATGCAAGAACTCACCTTTGATGACGCTGCCAGCGACGTTGGCAGCGTCGATGGCAGCGTCAGCGGGAGCACGGTCCTGCCGCATGTGAAGAACTTTGCTATGGTCAACAATATGATGACGCTACACTTTGAAGTATCCATGCAGCTGCTCGATGAGCTGGAACGCTCCGAAAATGCGACAAGCACGGGGCTGGCGGCGCCTGTGCAAGCAAGCAATGTGGTCGTTCCTACAGCCAGCACGGGCATTCCGCAGCCTGTGGCTACCGTATCTTCTACCTCGGCACGCTCGCAATCTGAAATCCGTGCGGCACTGCGTCGCTCGATGGAAGAGCGTGCCCAGCTTTGGCAGGAGTTTAGTACTATGACACAAGAGCGCGAGACGTATATGCGTAAGGAGATTGAGCGCTTGGAGAGGACTCGTCAGCTGTGGGAAGAGCAGGTGATGCTGATCGACAAGCAGCACAACGAGCTGATGGAGGAGCTGCGTGGCACGGCAAGTGAGAATGCACAGCTTCGCAAAGAGCGTCGCCTGTTCCAACAAAATGGAGCTGCTATTTCGACGCCAAGTAACGAAGATGGTCCTGTGCAAGACCAGTCCAACGGACTGCCGCATGCCGTGAGTGCTACAGCTGGTGCTGTTACGGCTGCCGCGGGCGCTGCCGCAGGCGCAGCTGGAGCAGCAGCTGGAATGATTTCGCACATCCTGCCGTCGCGCCAAAACACGTACAGCAGCGATACATACGATGACGACGATGATGAGTTTTACGACTTTGGTGAGACGGACGATACGTCGAACCTGTACGTCGAACCAGCATTGCAGTCGTACCATGACGACGACCAGGAGGTGGCGCCGAATGTGCCGGACAAGGACAATGCACCGCAAAAGCCGGACGAGGGTGCGGGCGCTGATGCCGATGTGGTGAGCGAGCGCAGTGGAGCGACTGGCGCTACAGCGACTGGCGCTGGCGCAGGGGCCGCCACGGCTGGAGCCGCAGGCGCTGCCGGCGCTGCATCGACGAGCGACGACAAGGCGTCGGCAAGTGACAAGAAAGAGGAAGACTCTGCTACGCCCAGTTCCAGTGAGGACGATGAAATGTTCACTGGTCCTGGGTTCGATCCGTACAACCATTTGCGTCACAAGATGCCGATCGGTAAAGACAACCGTCCTTCGATGTCACTGTGGGGCATTCTCAAGAACAACATCGGCAAAGACTTGACGAAGATCTCGTTCCCTGTGGCCTTCAATGAGCCTACGTCGATGTTGCAGCGCATGTCGGAAGACTTGGAGTTCTCGGAATGCTTGGATGCGGCCTCGAAGCAAAAAGACTCGCTTCGACGTATCATGTTTGTGGCTGCCTTTGCGATGTCAAACTATAGCTCGACAATTGGGCGAATTGCGAAGCCTTTCAACCCCATGTTGGGTGAAACATTTGAATATGTTCGTCCCGATCGTCACTACCGCTACGTAAGTGAGCAGGTGAGCCACCATCCTCCGATTTCAGCATGTTTCTGTGAGTCGCCTACGTGGGAGTATATGGGCTGCGTGGATGCCAAGTCCAAGTTTATGGGTCGCACCTTTGAGATCAAGCCTACCGGTGTGGCGCATGTCAAGTTGAAGGTCGATCCTGAATGGATCCCTGGTGGCCAAGGCACTAGCTTGGCTCACGCGCCTGGTGATGATAAACACGTGCTGGAGCACTACTCGTGGAACAAGGTGACAACTTGTATCAGTGGCTTCATTACAGGGTCGACGACGATTGACCACTATGGCGATATGGTAGTCACCAACCATGCCACCGGTGAGACATGCACACTGACGTTCATGCCGCGTGGCTGGCGCAGTGCGAATGCCTTCGAGATCCGCGGTAAGGCTGTGGATGCCAATGGCAAGACACAGTGGGAAATCGCCGGACGTTGGAACAGCCAGCTGATTGCACGACCAGCTACCAGTGGCTCTAAGGACTTGAATCCAGACTCGCAAGTGAGCCAGGATGACAAGAACTTGTTGTTATGGCGCAACAGCAAGAAATATCCTACACCTTTCAACTTGACTCCATTTGCCATTACGCTCAACTCACGCCCAGATGGCCTGAAAGATTACTTGCCGCCCACCGACTGCCGCCTACGTCCCGACCTTTCCGCATTTGAGGTGGGTCAGTTTGACAAGGCAGACCAGCTGAAAGTGCAGCTTGAGCAACTGCAGCGCGAGACTCGTGTGAAGCGCGAGCAGGGTCAACTTCCTCCCCATAAGCCTCACTGGTTTGCTAAGACGACTGACAAAGACACGAATGCATCGTTCTGGAAGCCTCTTACATCCAAGGATGAGCATGGCCGTGAAACGATGAACTACTGGATTGAGCGAGCTGAAGTTGGCAAGAAGCGTGCCAATCAGGAGCAAGCTGAATGGAAGGGTTGTGACCACATTTTCGGTAACATTGCTCAGTAAAAAAAGTACATACATAGACCCCGTTAGATGCGAAGCTTTTCTCTGCTAACGTCGAGGAGCCCCGATGCCCACCCGATCGATCCAGATCCCAAGCCCAGCGGGACAGATGCCCGAGGTGTTTTTTTTTACTAAGCGACTTCCTCCCCTCGACCGTCGCCGACCCAGCTCACTGGGTTCTGCACCGACTTACACAATTGCCGTGATGTCTGCCTTTCGCGCGACGCGCACGCTGCTAAACAAGGCCCCTCGCATCCCTGAATCTCCTCACAAGTACCACTACACGGAGGGCCGTACTCCGTTCTGGCGCAAGGTTCGCGATATCCTCTCGGTGAACCCGTATGTATTTCAGCTACCAATCCACCGAACTAACGCTGTAGGGACATTTCGTCGGGTCTGCCGCTCCCGCTTCTGGTATGTACTGGGAAAGATGATGTATTTAACAACACAGAACCGTTACCCGCAGCCTGCTTCGCGCCCTGAGAAGCCTGCTCCGGTGCCATCGAAGGGTATGTGTTTGAGATAACGTCAAGTGCATGTACTGACACTGGTGCTTCGTTATGCTTTGGACTTGGCAGCTTCCGGTATGTATAAGAGGAAGTATGGCTCTGACATTCTAGATATTGCGCAGAACTTGTACTATGACCGTGACTTCCGTCGCAAGTACCCTCAGACGGAAGTGATTACGCAGCAGTACCTGACGGAATTGCTGCTCGCCTCGCCCAACGAGGACGGCACAAAGAGGTATGTGTTCCGCGGGCGTACGCTCATATTATAGCCTGCCACAACCTGGCTCCGAGCAGACGACTGCGCTCACTCGCCCCTCGGACCTGGCCTCGCCTACGGCCTTCACTGAGGTCTTGGCCCAAGTGCAGGAGCAGCCTGAGAGCAAGTACTCGGCCTCGAACATGCCGCCTTCGTTCCCGTCGACGAAGCCCCAGCACATTTTGAAGATCCAGAAGGGTGCGATCCCCCACGGCAAGTTCGACTACTTCCCTGTGTACGTATCATGTACCTTCTAACATATATAGCGAGAACTATGCCTAGGTATAGATAGATGGAATCGAACTCTGGGACCTACTAAGATAGTTGTGTGGATGGTGGGCCTGCCAGGTTCGTTCGTCTGGCCCAGTTGGATCGTAGGCGAAGCCGTGTGTGCCTCTGGCGGACCACGTGGCCTAAAGCGGTGTCTTCCCTCGAACGTGGGGACTCGACGCGCTACGACCATGTATAGGTATGCTGCTAGTGACACTAATAGAACGCAGTCTGTATCAAAGGGCGAACCTCATCTCTGCCTTTGCGCTTAGTGTGTTGTCGGTCGTCCTCGCACTAGTAGCGCTCACGGGCTTGCAAGTAGAGCGCCCCGTGTTTTCCATTGATGTCAAGGATGTGGATATGTACGTTGCTTACGACACTGACATGTACAGTGTGTATGGTCGCGCGCGGTACCATGCGGATCGTCGTATCCAGAGCTACCTGGAAACGACATTTGATCTCGATATGGACTTGGAGCCCCTTTTTAACTGGAACACAAAGCAAGTGTTCCTGAGTCTCACGGCGTCCTACAAGTCGCCCAAGCGGGTAGGTTGTTCCTTGTACTCATCAACAGGGCACCAATGATGTGGTGATTTGGGACAAGATTGTGCGCCCCACAGATCAGACAAGTATGATTCTACACGATGTTCATCACAAATACGGTCTCCGTGAATACACCAAGTCCTTTGCGTACGTGACCATCAGCTAACCAGACAGGAATATCACGTCGATGGATTTCCGCTTGGAATACAATGTAATGCCCTATGTCGGTTTCCTGCAACGTGGCGTGACACTTCGATCGGCTCCCATCACCTTCGAGGAGAGCCCAACGCTGAAGAGCAGTAAAGTAAAGCTCATGCCATATTAATGTAGAACAGAACGAAACAGGGTATGACTATGAAGACATTAGCTTAGCGCTGAGAAGAAGGTGCGCTTCCGCTTGGCCCGCGACTCCTTCTCTGCCGAAGCCGCTGCACTAGCACCAGCCATCTTGGAAGGGGGTAAGACAGGTGCACGAGTATCATTCGAGTCCGAATCCGAGTCCGAATCCGAATCCGAGTCTGAATCAGAAGACGACGAAGACGATTCAGATTCAGATTCGGATGAACTGGCCGAGGAGGGCTCGGCCGTATTGGAGCCACCAACATCTGCACTGACTTCAGAAGCACTGGTCGATACGAGCGGGCTTTCTTGGCGCGACAACGTACGGCGTAGAGCTGAAGGCCGAAGTTCAGAGAGCTTCGTAAACAGTCCTGACGAGGCACGCTGCTTTGGCTGAGAGGACACGTCCGACGAGGGGCGGTCCACAGCGTCCATATACACAGTATTGGAGCGCTGAGGTGTGCTAGATTGAGGGGCAGGGGCAGGTCCGTGCATACGGGATTGCGAGCGGCTCGAGTGAGACTCTGGTTGCGAAAAGAACGGTTCCATGCTTTCAAAGCTCGTGGCAGTTTCATCCAACATGGAGGTGTCATCGGTCAAAGACTGTGGTAAGGCTGAGCCTGCAGAGTGGGTAGGTACAGTACGGACTAGGCCCCTTTCCATGGAAAAAGGGCAGTGTCAGTCATGGATCACGAATTTAACGAGAGTACTCACGTGTAGAGGCCTCTTGCGAGGCAGCGCCATCCTTGCCAACCAGAGAAACCAGGAGCTTTTGCTCCTCACGCTCTGTAGCATTTTTACGCTGTTTCTTCGCTTTCAGGTCGTTCAAACGTTGCTGCATGGCGACGGAGCCTTCCGCCATGAGAACCTGCACAGCAGCTGCAGCCGCAGACGCGTGCTCGTCGGTGCGTACATCGTGGACAATAGTCGTTTCATCGCCCGCATTCGTTGTATCCGGGACGTCATCGTCTGCAGCTGCTGGGACAGGCTGGTGTCCTTGCTTCGCCTGCTCCTTCTCCAGCTTTTTGGCAGCCTGTTCAGCCCGAAAAGCCTCCATTTCCGCTTTCGTACGACGATGGCGTTTTGGCTTATCGGTATCCTGCGAAGGCGGAGGCATGGATTGTGAGGAAGGAGGAGCCGATTGCGAGAGGGGAATGTCTTCGTCGTCCTCGTCCTCGTCGTGAGCAGCGTTTAGTTGGGCTGGCTCCTCATGCACAGCCGCTACCGTACTCTGTTCGGCAGGGGTTTCCTTGGCTTTACGCTTACGTGACGATTTGGGCGTCGACGCGACAGAGGGCGCTGCCGCTGGGGGCTCATTTGGGTCTGTGAGACGCGCTACCTCTGCCACAGAGGAGTCGGCCACATGGCTGGTGGGAGCAGCCGCCGTCTCCGAAGACGGCTCAGGCATAGGTTCTGCGGTCACCGGAGGAACAGACGGCGTAGCAGAGGTAGAGGTGCCCTTCGACTTGCCTCGACGGCCACGAGAAGTCTTAGAAGGTGTAGCAGCAGGCTCTTGCGACGGAGTCGAAGCCGATCCAGCACTTGTCCCAATGCTGGACTCTGGGAAGTCCACATGCACTGTAACAGAAGGCTCGCGCGAAGCAAATACTTGGAAAGCACGAATATCCTCACTGTCATCCAAGTCGATGCGCATACCATCACCGGCTTGGTACGAGAGAGAGATGGGTGTACCAGCCGCCAAATGGTATTTGTCCGCGACAGCTTTACGTGCGGATGCAAGGCTAAAGGTGGAGTCCAAGACGCGGTTGAAACCTTTGCCAAACGAAGTACGGAAAGCCACGATCGTCTGCCACATCGGAGTACGTAAATCCAAGGGGTTGTTGAAGCCAGTATCTGAGTGTGTAGGACCGCGCGATTTCCGGCGCTTTGGCATAGGCGAAGCCGTGTGTTCACCTGCAGGAGCAGATGCCGACGGTGTAGGGGGCATAGGTGTAGTAGACTTGGGACCTTTTGCAGAGTTTCTTTTCTTCGAAGGTGATTTGTTCACCTGCGGGGAACTAGTTTGAGCTGTCACTGCGACACTGCGATCCGCTGGAACGATGGAGACCGCCATAGCATGGCATGGCGATAGCAACACGACGACTACGCGGGCCAGTACATCACGTGATCGCGTTGAACATGGTGAAACCTTCAGGTACGCTGATGCAGGGCCAGGGCGTCTAAGGATAGCTCTCTATCGGAATCAAACTAAAGAATACAGTTAAAAGTCAGTAGCACGTCCGCCGAAGGACCACTCAGATTTCCAGCGAAGCGGGTCGGATTTCGGCCCTCCCACTTCACCAGTTTCAGGGTTGGTATCGCCTTTGAAGTCAGCGGCAGGGGCTTGGCGGGCATCCGGATGGAGATTAATCACGTTGCCATCTTCATCCTCGCTCACAAAGGGCGTCTTATCTAGGTTGATTAGTAGAGACCAAAACATACTTTCATTTTCACGAACAAGCCGTTCAAACTCTTCTTGGTCCTCCTTGGGAAGTCGCATGGGGCTAGGGCGGTCGAAGGGGAACTCTGTACATGTTGTAGAGCCGGTGGAAAAAGAACGCCGCAGGAACAGACCAGGACGTAGAACGTTGCGTAACAGCAGCATGGCAAAAGTAAGAAGAAGAGGCGTACATGGCCCCTACCGCCACAGTATACCTCCACTTTCAGACCGACTGATGCAGAGAGAGCAGCAACACCCATGAAAAGATTGTAATATGTACGAAGAACTAACGAAAGAGAGAGAAGGAGGGAAAATCGTAAATGCAAGCAAAGAATGAAAACGGTGCTTGTTCGAGTTACCGTGCGCGCGTCGCAGCAGTAAACGGGCGCACTGTACGAGCAGGACTCGAGGGCAGGGCAGAGAGCCGCGTACGCGATACGTCGGTACGTGGGATACCGGAGCTGAGAGCAGGACGCGCATCTGTTGGTCGCAGAAGGGAAGACCGACGTCGGCGCTGCTCCAGGAAAGAGCGACGACGAGCAGCGGCATTTTCTTGATCCGCCTCGAGGTTGGCCATACGAGCAGGAACACCGCGTGGCTTGACAGGACCAGGCGCCAGTTGGACATCCTCGCCGCCTGTATCTTCTTGTGCGTCGGATTTGAGAGACTCGAGTGGGATACGGACCACTCGCTTGAGGAAGGGCGAGGGTCGTTCCTCTTCGTCGACAAGAAGCCACTGTGGATCCTGCGGCAACGCATTCAAATCCTGTGGTACTGTGCGCGAAGAAGGAAGGCCAGATGTCGTACTCTTCGCCTGTGACGTAGCACCGAAAGATGTGGCTCTTGACTTGCGTGGCGTGGGTATCACAGAGGGACGCCAGGGCAAAGCTTCGCGCCACATACACGAGGCATCTTTCATCGAGCAGTCGGACACGTCTGCCTCAGCACGACGCAAACGCGCCAATGCCGAAGGAACAGCGGTCGTAGTCATCACAGCGGCCGACGTACGTGCTGGTTCTTCATCGTCGACCCATTCCTCTTCTGTCGCCGTGGGCATGGTCCGCGAAGCAGGCGACTGCAATGACAATGCACCTTCTTCTATGCGAGACCGAAGCAGTTCTTCCCCTTCCAATCCCTTGGTAGGCAAAAAAGAAGAGCGACGCGGTTTGCCACGATGCGATACTCGACCCAGCGAAAGACTTTCTTGGCGTGTGGCACGCAACTGCGCAATCAAGGTATCCTTTTCTTGCAGAGCTCGACGTTGGCGTTGCAGTTCCTCTTCCATCTGGGCTTTCTCACTGCAATACTGTTGAAGCAGCTCCTGACGATACGAGGTACATGCTTCTTCGCGTCGGCATAACTCCAATTCGCGCGTATGCAAAGCCACTTCACGTTCGTCCAAAGCTTGCAAACGTGCATCGTTATCGGACGACAACGCAAAGGCTTGAAAGCGCTCATCTAGCTCCTTTTCTCGCTGTGCAAGAGCGGCCTCCCGTGCTGTGAAACTCTCCACCTGTGCCTGCAAACGTTCCTTCTCACGTTGGACCGACTTGTGCAAAAGAGCGACTTCATGGGTCCGGCATGCCATCTTCACCTGCTTGATCTGCAACAGTTGACGAGTTGTGGGACGGCGTCGATGATCAAGTTGCAGCATCGCATTCACGGCTTCTTGCAAGTCGCGTGAGTAGGGTCGTGGCAAAGATGGGATCATGCCCTGCTTGATTTTGCGCGTAAGCTCTGCCTGGTTGGCCGCATCAAATGGAGGCGATAAGGCGCAAAGTTCATAGACAATACACCCTAAAGCCCATACATCCGACTTTATATCGTAAGGCTGTCCTGTAGCCAGTTCAGGACTCATGTAATAGGGTGTGCCGACGTAAGTATTTGCAAAAGCTTGGGAAGCAATCTGCTTGCTCAGACCAAAATCGCCCAGCTTGACATTCTGATCAGCGTCAAGAAAAACATTCTCTGGCTTCAAATCACGGTGCAGAATGGCCTGCGAGATGCCACGGGTACCCGGTGGGCCGTGGACGGATGTGCGATAATGGCACGCTTCCAATGCGGCGGTCATTTGCGCAAAGAACGACCAAACAGTATCTTCCGGAAGGTGCGTCTTGGTGCGTCGGCAGCGTTTAATAATTGCACCAAGATCACCGCCTTCACAGAGCTCCATGACGATGTAGAGGATGCCGTTTTCTGTGTCGACATATCGCTCTTCGTAGCGCACGACATTGTCATGCTGAAGTGTGCGAAGGATATTTACCTCAGAGACGATATGTTTCCGATCTCTCTCACTCATACGCTCAAAGTTGAGCTCCTTTCGAGCGAACAGTATGCCATCCGACTTGCGGCGCACCTTGCGGATCAGTCCAAAGGTGCCACTACCAATGACATCCAAGGCCTCATCTATCGAGAGTTAGTGTCTGTCCCTCCCAACAAAGAAATAACGTACACCCATCGATAACATGGACCCCATTGCCTGCTGAGCGACGAGGGATAGCCCCTGCTCCCGGCCGCATACTGAAGCGCGGACGAAGAGGATCCTAGGAACGACTCGCAAAAATGACCCCGCCTTCTCACGTACGTAGAAACCAACACTCACGTAGGTGTTACTTGCGCACGTGGAGTCACGTGATGACCTGAACCCTGCGAGGCGGCGTTGTAGTGGGCGTTGGCAAGGGCTTAGTAGGCGTGCAGTTGTCCATAGGGGAGGTGCAATCAACGTAACGTGCGGACTACCAACGACTTTTTGGTCTCAATCACTACAGGCACGTCATACCTTGACGAAGGCATGGATGAAAATTCATGGCGAGAATGGTGGCGCTTTGCCGTGGAGGAGCATGGTATAGGGACCTGTACTGCTTCGATGAATCGGGCCCCGTCCGGCCAGCCTGATATGCTGGCTTTTCGCCAGGGAGAACAGGTCACAGTGTTGTACCAAGTCGCGCACCCTGGTCATGCAGACTACCCTGGGGGTCTATATCTGGGATGTTGTGCGTACTCGATTGGATTGTTCCATGGAAGTGACATGCGTGTCATGCCTCCGCTCTATTCTGTGGGACTCGTAGACGCACAGATTCCGTTGAAAGAACGTGCGAAGGCCCCTACTACACCTGTACAAAGCATCCATCTTCCGCCAGGGTATGTACTCACACGAACCAAGCCATTTGAGGAGGCTCCTTCCGAGGCGCCAGCGCCGTCCACCTCTTCACAGACCTTGCCGCAGACTGTGCGCACCCCGCCTGTGATGAGTATGGATCCTGAGGAGGACGAGAAAATGTGGGGGGACAGTCGCGATGGAGAGGACCCTACGTATGCCATCTATGATGCCTACTTTCAGCCCGTGGGATACAATGACATGCCATCGAACAAAGGAGATCGGCCTGCAACCAATCACAGTCATGAAGCCCTGTTGCAAGCGTTGGATGGCCTCGACACGGCTGATGTGTCAGGGGTGGCCGACGACTCAATGGTGCACCCACGTCCGATTGACGAAGCTATGAACCAGATGACTGGCGATGGAACGAATCGGCTTTTGCGCGACTCGATCTCGATTCCCGAAACGCAGATGTCGAGTACGACGCGATCGACGTCCAATGCGAGTGGGTACCATGGTAAGTATGTTCAGACGCCCGAGTTTGATCGGATGTACCACCGGCAGTCAACGCCGCATCGAACGGGAGGCCGGCCCATAAGCTCGGACATGGGTCATGTAAGCTCGCCCTTGCGCAGGCTGCATACGCCAGAGAAGGCAAGTACACCGATACGTTCGCTACCTATGATGGCCTCCTCCTCGTCCCTGCCGACGCCGCGGTCTGGAACGCCTCAGGATGGGACGCTTCCCACGCCGGCGCCAAGCGTGCATGGTTCACCTATTGGGAAGCCGACGTTGGACACGTCGGAGAACGCTTTGTCAGAGCGAGCGCAGCTTTTCCAGCAATGGACAACGCTCCTGACAGATCGATCCAAAGCCAGTCGGACGCACAAGAAAGCGTTGCAGCTGGTCCATGTGGGTGTGCCGCATGCGCTGCGTGGGCGTATATGGATGTTGATGGCCGGCAAGAGGATGCATCCCAAAGAAGGCGTATTTCAAAAAATGTGCCAAGCGTGTGAGGAGTCGCTGCAGGATCCGACCAAGTACCCCTTCTCGATGCTGATTGAGCAGGACCTGGACCAGTGCTTCCCCAAGACGCAACCGTTTGAGGGCTTGAACGGCTCAACACGTGATGATATCCGGCTGATTTTGTACGCCTATGCTTATTACCACCCTGACATCGGGTACACAGAGGGCATGTGCCTGGTGGTAGGTATTTTGCTGACACACTTGGAGCGTGAAAATGCGTTTTGGCTCCTGGATACCTTTGTGCGCGAGTATGGGATGGATCGCGTGTACGCAGGCCACATGCAGCGACTGCATATCGACAACTTTGTGGTCGACGAAATCCTGCGCTTGGTCCGCCCGGCCCTCCACCATCGCCTGAAAGACTTGCACATCGAGCCTATTCTGTTTATGCCAGGCTGGATCTTGCCGCTGTTTGTTCGGACGCTGCCATGGACCACTCTCCTCCGCGTATGGGATATGTTCTTATGCTACGGACATCCCTTCTTGATCCGTGTCGTTGTAGCGATCGTGTGCCTCAGTGAGGAGTCGCTTATGCAGCTCACTGACCCGAACGATCGGTCTGCGGCATTGCGGCAGCTTGTGTTTGTCAACCCTGCGCCGCTAAATGAGCAGCAGCTTCTACGCCAGGCCTTGGAACTGCCGATCACAGACAAGGAGATTCTCAAGATGGAAATCTCAGCTGAAGGCTTAGTGAACCCCGCCGCGCGACCCTCGACGGCGCTGGATCGCAACGAGAACGTGTTGCGGGGACAATTGCAAGGGAAACCTGTAACGAAAAAGACACTTCGTTTGCTTACAGGTCGCAAGAAACGCAAATAAGGACAATATATACATCATTATCTAGCATGCATGTAGGACACGAACAGTCTTATCAAAACCACAGCTGGCAATGCGACCATCTGGCAGGACGGCCACGCCCTTAATCACCGTGTTGCCGCTTTGGCGCCAAGCTGCGGCTGCAAGGGCCGCATTCACAGAGGCCGACGAATGCGACGTCGCTGCCATGCCATGGCATCGCACTCGGGCAAGGATCTCGCCAGAGAGGCCGACCAGACGCAAGAGACCATCTTCGCCTGTCACCCACACCGCATCGCCTGCCTTCGTCCATGCATGCCGCGGATTCGCGAACGCAGACGAGGGCGCCTCTGTCCAGAGCGTAGTGCGCCGCTGCTGCGAAAAGAGAGGGAGGAGAAGCAAGCGCGATAGTGAATGGTTCGCTGTGCTGTCAATGCGATCCGTGCCGCCATGATCGCCTGTTTGCGCAGCAACATACTTGCCAGAAGGATGCAACGTCAGATGCAGCTGTGGATAAGTATACAGTATACATACCAAGGAGTAGCCAGCATGGTAGTCATCTGGATCCGGGTTGGTATTGTAGCGAGCCATGGTCCAATCTGGCGCTGCTTCGGGCGCCGGGGATGACATGGGCAAAGCGACATAGTGCAGCTCAACATTGTCGCGGCACGTATACACCAGCCATGTTCGCTCCGTGGACCATGGTTGTCCGTCTGGCGAGACAGGGCCTAGCACGAACAAGATCGATTCAGGGTTGGTAGTCACAGGCATTTTGTGCACATGGCGATACGTCGGGACGCCGTCATGCGCCACGACTTCGTAGATATGGATGGCTTTATCGTAGCCAGCACTCGCCATAAACCGACCGTCGTCACTATGCGCGATGCGGACGACAAACTTAGTATGATCTTTGAGCGTTTGGACCGCGCGATCGCATGTCAAGTCCCATACGATCACTTTGCCATCCATGCCAGCTGTCACGGCGTACGAAGGGTACGCTGACGCTTGGGAGACGTCCAGGACAGCGGCATCGTGCCCACCATAGGCATCCTTGTACAGCATTCCCACGACTTCGCCTGTCGTTGCATTCGTGAACACAATACGTTTGTCGGCCCCGGTCGTCGCTACGCACGGGCCCTCCATGCCAGGGTACGTAGCAGGAGCGATGGACAGAATGTTGCCAGTATGCAAGTGTTCGTACGTATGCTGAAGGGTATAGGAGGTAGGCGAGGCCGGTGTCGGTAGTATATCATCGTCCTGCGTGTCATGGGTTAACGATACATTCGCGAGCTGCTCCGCCATGGCCTTGGAGGCAGCATGCTCAATCAGTGTGCGCAAATCACGCGAGACGGTAGGAAATGCAGTAGCATCAGATTGAGTGTATACACGCTCTGCCTCAAAAGCGGCCAATGTGTCGTGGTACTCGTGCGAACGCAAGAATTGCGCAACGATCTCTTCGCACGTCTGCCGCATGTCATCGCGGCTCAGCTGCATGGCGGAAGAAGGACAGGAACAAAATGGGGCCCAAATTCGCCTCTCCACTTCGACATCATCGCACGTCCATGTCGCCGTCCAACATGGATCTCGCAGCGAAGGAGGTCTTGGCCAACAAGCTGCGCCATCCGGGCCATACTACGGCAGCGGCGCCACCGGCGCCGCCACCAAGCGCTGGACCTACGGATCCTTTTGAAGGCGCTATCGAGCCTGTCTTGATCACTGAGCCTGTCGGCGACGAGCGGCCACGCAAGCGCATCGTCACAGCTCGACATCTTGAACACTTTCAGCACACCGCACTGTTCGGCGAGATCCTTGGATTTATTCGTGCTTGCAACCAAGCAGTAAAGGGGCATACACTGACGGAGTCAGAAGACGTAAGCCCTGTCATCCAAAGCCTTCTTGACGTGCTGGACCGTGTCCGTACCTTGGTCGACGAGACGCCGCGCGATACAGACTCTGCTTCGGTCTCCCGCTTCGGCAATCCTGCTTTTCGTACCCTATATACGAAGATTTGCGACGCTACGGATACGTTGCTACAGCGCATTCCCGGCCTGGAAGGCGATTCTCACCGTGCCGCACGTCAGCAACTGTCGGTTTATTTTTACGAAGCATGGGGCAACGCGAAACGTATTGACTACGGCAGTGGTATGGAGCTGAATTTCCTGTGCTGGATGCTGGGCCTGGTGAAGTTGGGCGTTCTTGATCTGGCAAAGGATGCCAGGACGTTGGTGCTTCGCGTATTCTGGCGCTACATTGAGATTATGCGTGTGATCCAAGCCACGTACTGGCTCGAACCTGCTGGTAGTCACGGCGTATGGGGCTTGGACGACTACCATTTCCTGCCATTCTTGTGGGGCGCCGGTCAACTGGTCGATCATCCGTTCCTTCGTCCCAAGTCCATTCACGACAGCGAAATGGTGGACGAGTGTTCGACCAAGTACATGTACTTTGCCTGCATTCAGGCCATCAATGCTGTGAAAACCGAGTCGCTTCGCTGGCATTCCCCCATGCTCGATGATATTTCCAGCGTGCGTACATGGGCCAAGGTCAATCAGGGTATGGTCAAAATGTACCTAGCTGAAGTGCTATTGAAATTACCAATTGCACAGCATATCTTTTTCGGCTCACTTCTGTCGTTCGGTGATATGGACGACGACGATGTTGCGGGCGTCGAAGAAGACGAGCATGGCCATCGCTTCGAGGCGGGAGCAACACCGCACAAGCATGGGCACGGCGAGGGCCAAGCCGCCGGCTGGGGCGATTGCTGCGGCATTCCCATACCCAGTGTATTTGCAGCCCTGGAGAAGGAGCGAGAGGCCGGACACCGTCCTGCGACCGAATGGCCCGTTCGACGTATTCCTTTCGACTAGTAACAGCAACAAATAACCATTATGATTCAACTAACTAGGTAACATGCATGATAGTTGCAAGGTGCATCACTGCAACTACGATTCAACAAGGCCCTGCCTTTAAACAAGAGTGAGGTTGTTGGCCGACGTGCCGTTGTTCGACACCGTCACAAACTTGTCAAGCTGGCCAACCGAGTAAAACTCACCAGGAGCCGGGCGGCCAACGAACTGCAGCGTCTTGTTGGCCTCGTCGAACTCAAAGTACTGGGAGAACTGCGAGCTGTCGTCGCTGAACGAGCAAGGCTGAATCTGCAGGTGCGAGTTCTGCGCAGCCAGAACAGCAGCGTGCACACACTGCTGCTGCACGGCGTCAGTAGTCGAAAGCAGACCATAGTGCTTCGTGCCGTTGGCCTTGTATCCCATAATGTCAGAGTCGCATTCCGTGAAGACCATAGGCGCAGCCTTGTCACCGACCACCAGCTCCAGAGGGGAACCCACAGTTGAGACATTCATGTTGTTAGCCTGCAGGGTACCAGACACATTGTAGCTGGTGCAGTTGATGTTGCTCACAATCTTCGAGTTGGCAGGGGCAGGAGCAGCCGCGGGAGCCGGGGCAGGAGCAGGCTCCGAGGCCGGGGCTGGTGGCGCAGGGGCCGGGGCAGAAGCGGGGGCCGGGGCAGAAGCAGGAGCAGGAGCAGGAGCCGGGGCCGGCGCGGGGGAGGAGGTAGGAGCCGCAATCACAGCCTGGCAGGCAGCAAGGGCAAGCAGGACAGGGGCCGCGCGGAAGTACATCTTGAAGGGAGGGGTGTGAGGTGGACAGAAACGGTAGACTGGTTATTTATATACGGATTGCTTGTTGAAGGGTGGGAATCTGTCCACAATGTAGGGCCATGCGGAAGGTGTTGAACAGTTGCATATGAGGCCTGTAATTGGGGCCTTGGCGCGTTTAAAATAGAATTCAACATGTTTGTCGTTCCAACACATAGGGACATTGTGTTTCTATCCACGTGATGACTAAATTCGGCACCCTCTTTAGACGGTTTTGTACGGAATAGGTAATCTTCGGTGTCGACCAGATTTCTAAGTGGCAGTGCTTACCTTTTTTAAGTCATCGACCTGCGAAGATGCCTGTAGGCGAATGGGTGACACCATCGCAAACCGAACAGGCATTCCTGTTGCAGGCGCTCAAGACATCGGCAACTCGTGTCGATGGTCGGAAGTTTGGACAAGGTCGTCCTATTGATATCCAGTTCAATGAAAGGCTAGGTTGGTGCCAAGTATCGATAGGTGATACCATGTATGTAACACGCGTCGCATTTCCCCACTGACATGCTAGTGTGGTGGCCTCCGTCGAGGCATCCCTAGGCCCACCTCGTGCTGAACGGCCGTATGAAGGCCAGCTTCATATTGTGACAGACATCTCTCCGATGGCAGGTGTTGAGTATGATGCCGGCGGTGTAGCGGGCGCGACGGAAGCACGTGAGCGCGAAGCGTTGTTTGATCGCATGATCGATCGCGCTGTACGTCATACGGAAGCTGTGGATCGCGAAGCCCTATGTATTGTGGCCGGCAAGGTCGTGTGGTGCGTCACACTGACCGTCCATTTGATGGCGGATGCAGGTGCACCTGTAGATGCAGCTGTATTGGCCAGCTTTTTGGCCTTACGACACTTCCGCAAGCCTGAGGTCTCGGTAGTGGATGGCGAAGTCATCGTGCATTCCTCTGACGAACGTGTGCCTGTACCATTAGCATGCCATCATCTCCCTTTGGCCGTGTCGTACGCCATCTTTGTCGTGCAGCCGTCCACGGATGAAGAACGAGCTTTGCTCCTGGCGCAGTCACGTACAGCCTCAGCAGGGCTGGATGAGCATGATATGGACGTGGACAATGCACCAACCGACGTGGATGTCCCTGTTGCTCTGTTGGATCCGTCACTATTGGAGCAGACACTGGCGCATTCCAGCATTACTTTTGTGATCAATGCACAGCGCGAAGTCTGTGTACTCGATAAGGCGGGTGGTGCCTCGTTGCCCTACAAGGCCATCCTTGCTCTCCTCCAAGATGCTGCGATACGGGCGGGCGAACTCAATAAACTCGTGGAGGCTGCCCTGACCAAGGACGCGAGTGAGCGTGTGGTCTCTGTAACGTAGATCTACTTGTACAATAGCGTATACCTACCTATATATATATTCTCACTCTCACCTCCCTCCACTTGCTGCCCTTGTCGACCCCTGGCCGCCATGACCGACGCGACATGGACTGTGCATACAGCCCCCCACCCAAAGATCGATAAGTTGTCTGAGCCGACGGAGGTAACCCCACCTGCATATGGTCCCAAACCTTCCTATTTGGAGTCTAGCCAGGCGCGACACTGGATGTTCAGTGCACGGGAGCTACAACGGCAAAAACAGGAAGCACATGACCATGCCGCTTCCCTCTTGCGATCAGCGACAGATGCGGAGGCTTCTGTTGAGCCTCTTTCTGCCGAGGAAGAGGTAGCGATTATACGTTTCTATCTCCTTCGAATTGGGAAGATCGTCAAGGCGTTCGGACTGCCTTCGCTCATCGAAGCGACAGCCATGACACTCATGAAACGCTTCTATTTGCGGAATTCGTGCATGCAATTCCATCCGAAGCTCATCATGTATGTATCAAAAGCGAGAAACTCATATCCAGGTTGACCAGCATCTACCTTGCTGCCAAGGCAGAGAATTACCCTATACCTTTATCGCATTTCTGTGCTCAAATCAACAAGAGTGCAGGTGCAGCCCCGACTGAGAGTAAGCCATCAGCCGCGCGAGGCGATGTGACGGAGAGTATTCTCAGTGAACTTGAGTATGGTATGGTGTTGAGTTTAGACTTTGAAGTGGCTGTCCATGGCGCACATCGTGCTCTTTATGGCTTTATCTTGGACTTGCAAACGGTGGAGCCATCGCTTACACGCGACGATTTGATGGTGTTTGCAGGTACTGCACAAGGCTATATTCATATGAGTCGTTTGACAGACGCCGAGTTTCACTATGCACCCTCCCAAATTGCCATTGCTGCTTGTTATATGGCAACAGCGTCGCGGCCTCAAGGCGAGCCTCTCAGTGGGAAGACGTTGGTTCTCAAATGGATTGATGCGAAGGCATCAATGGGTGCCACACTGCATATGAAGCAGAGGCACGAGCGCAGCACATGGCAACAAAAGCGACAGGACATTTATACCAAAGGCAAGAAAGTCAGCGCTTTTGCGCCAGCTTCAGAGGCAACAGCTGAGACGGGATCTTCATCTGAAGAGCATTCTGTCGACTATATCAAAGAAAATGGCCTTGGAATCGAGAAGGACACTTTACTCTCTATTGTAGGGTCTATTGTCGAGTTGATCCGATCTGTCATGGCGCCGCAACAAAAACCAGAAGAAGCACCACGTCCAGCGCTCGATATGGAACGTGTGAAATCCATTGATCTGAAATTACGTGCTACATTGCTCCAATTTGACAAACTACATACTGAAAGGTTCGTTTTATTTATACTCATTCCAGTTCCCGCAAACGTAGTGCTGGCGAAGAGTCGGGTCCGACCAAGCGCGCACGCCTCGATACCCAAGACTCGGATTCCGAGTGATCTCGTTTATGTAGGTGTGTACAACATCGATGGCCCACAACGCGCTTCTACCACCTCCACACACCGCGTTGGCTCTCGCGATGGAGGAAGCGTGTAGCGACACGGCGTCCGGTAGAGAAGCACGTCCGTCAATCGAGCGACTGCATCCCGATGTGATCAATCGAATAGCGGCTGGAGAGGTATGTTCTTTATTGTATCTTATATCTCTGATCATTCAACGCCCATCCAACGCATTGAAAGAGTTACTGGAGAACAGCTTGGATGCTGGCGCAACACAGATCAAAGTGATATGCAAAGAGGGCGGCATGAAACTACTGCAAATCCAAGACAATGGATGTGGTATACAAAAAGATGATTTACCTCTTCTGTGCGAAAGGTTTGCCACGTCCAAGCTACGCCAGTTTGAGGATCTTTCCCACATGACGACCTTTGGCTTTCGTGGAGAAGCATTAGCCAGCATCAGCTATGTATCTGCCTCAGTCCAGGTAGTGACCAAGATAAGAAAGGATGCATGCGCCTATAAGTACGTTGTGAAGCTCTGACACATAGGGCTGCCTATTTTGCAGGGGCATTGCAATCGGATCCTACACCTTGCGCTGGGACAGATGGAACGTCGATCACTGTCCAAGATCTCTTTTTCAATGCACCACAAAGAAGAAAGGCATTCAAATCCAATTCTGAAGAATACAATCGTATTCTTGATGTCATGTCCAAATATGCACTTCATTTCGGTGCCAGAGGCGTAGGCTTTTCCTGCAAGAAAGCTGACGTTGCTGCCCTCGATTTGAATACACCAAGCCGGTCTTCCTTGTCTACCTTAGATGTGATTAAAGTTGTATATGGGTCGACGTTGGCCAGAGATCTTCTTCATATACCCCCCATCGAAGAAGACGCGCTCGGCCTCCGTGCTGAAGGTTGGATGAGTAATGCCAATTGGATCTCGAAGAAAGCCGTTTTCATATGCTTCATCAATGATCGTCTTGTGGAAAGTCCTAGTTTAAAACGCGCTTTGGAGTCAATGTATGCTTTATTCTTACCGAAAGGACGTCATCCATGGATCTATGTACATATTACTATTGATCCTACTCGCATTGACGTCAATGTACATCCGACTAAGCAGGAAGTTCATTTCCTAGATGAGGAGGACATTTTTGAGCTCATTACTACCAAGGCCCAAGACATTCTCTCCAGTCACAGTTCATGTCGTGTATACTCTACGAACAAGGCGCCCATGGGCAAAGAGGTATCTGACAATACAGTTCAAATCCTCCGTTCACAATCGTCTGAACGGTATGATCCTCGGCATCTTGTGCGTGTAGATCACAAGGATCAGTCCTTGGATGCTATGTTGGTTACACCAAAAAAAGCAACTGTATCACGCGTAGATGGGTCAGATGCAATTCCAGAATCAGCGTGTGAACTGACCAGTATCCTTGAATTACGGCGCGAGTTGGACACAGATGCCGATCCTCATCGTACGACTATGCTTCAAAATCATTCTTTTGTGGGCGTTGTAGACTTGAAAAAAGGCCTAAGTCTTATACAATATGGAACGCAGCTGTATTTGGTGCACCACGGCATTCTAGTTGAAGAGTTTTGCTACCAGCTTGCCCTGCGCCAGTTTGGCGCTTATATCACCGTGCAGTTGGATCCACCGACCCTTCTTTCGGACCTTGTGGGTCTTGGGTATGATATGGAGGATGATGAGGAGCAAAAAAAGGCGATCGGTATTCCCCGTGAGGATGTTATCCAGCGCATCTGTCGGACCATTCTACGTCGTGCAGATATGCTGCAAGACTATTTCGGTATTGAAATTGATCCAACAACTGGGCTCGTCCATGCTATTCCAACGCTCCTTCCCAATCATGGTCGTTTCGGACTCGCTCTAGAACGTCTTCCCACCTTCTTCTTTCGTCTGGGGCCCCAGGTAGACTGGGACAATGAAAAAGGCTGCTTTTATACAATGTGCCGTGAACTGGCGTACGCTCATGTGCCCGCCAGCTGTGGTACCTACCATTTGACGATCCCAGATGAAGCTCAAGAGGAAGAGACATGGACCATCCAGCATGTTTGGTTCGCGCATATGTCCAACATACGTGGCCGAATCGTCGTGCCGAAATCTATGCCCGAGGATGCTATGCTTAAGGTGGCTAACCTGCCGGATTTGTGTACGTATTTGGTATACCTAACCGAAGATCGTGTATTTGAACGCTGTTAATGATTCAAGTCTATTCAAGGGTATAGTCTATCAGCGTAGTTCGTTATTTCGCGCCCGCATCAAATACACTCAACAGCGCAAAGCATGCATAAAACAAACCCACTGGGTAAGCAACTAGAAATCGCTGGTTATGCATGTTTAAGATGGACACAAAAATACCAGACGCTGACGTGCAACACCACAATATAAACAATGGCGAAATGATCAGGCCAAGGGTGCCACTACAGGTTAAAAGAAGAGAGCAACGTACTTGAGTTTAATGAAGACATTGATGATCGTCAGTAAGCACAGAGGAAGAAGGCAGTATCCAAGCACACTAGTCACACGCGAGGCGTCAATACCACCGTCCGACATGAGGTTGAGAATGAGGTAGATGGAAATCACACCCATTAAGCCCACACCATAGACATAGCCAAACTGCGACTTGCCCGACTGAGGATAAGCTTACATCGTCGACGTACCAAAAGAAGTAACATTCCGAATACAAAACAAAACAAAAGGGGCCCGGCTAGATCTGTGTCGTCCATCATATGGGCATCCTTTGGGTGATCGGGAGAAAACTTGTGAAAGGGATTCAGGACAGCCAAGGATTTGTCCCAAACATGAGGCAAATTGATGTCAAGCTCTGTTACATGTTAAACGAAAATATACTACAAACCTTCCATCAAGGAAGGCTCACCAGGAAGCCCTCCTGTGCCAAATGCTGAGATCCAATCTGTTGACATGGTCGTACTCCAACACGGCCATGCAACGCGACGGACGTGATGGGTTTGGATGATGACTAATCAACAGGGCACGGATCCTGCAGAGCAAAAAAAAAAGTTTCGCCACTTTCTCATCTGCGCCCTCCTCTTATCATGCCTCAGAACGAGTACATTGAGGAGCACATCAAGCGCCATGGTCGCCGTCTCGATCATGAGGAGCGCATGCGCAAGCGTGAGGCTCGTAGTGCTCACAGGGCTTCTGCTGTGGCCCAGAAGACCATTGGTTTGAAGGCCAAGATGCTTAACAAGAAGCGTCGTGCTGAAAAGGTGCAGATGAAGAAGACGATCAAGCAGCACGAGGAACGTGACGTCAAGAAGTCCACCGCACCCAGCAATCCTGACACGGCGTTGCCGGCGTATCTGCTTGACCGTGAGGGACAGAAGGACGCTAAGGCTCTATCTAGTGCTGTGAAGGAGCGACGCAAAGATAAGGCTGCGCGCTACTCTGTGCCTCTTCCGCAAGTACGTGGTATTGCTGAGGACGAAGCGTTCAAGGTGGTCAAGACTGGTAAGCGTAAGCAGAACGGCTGGAAACGTATGGTGACCAAGGCTACGTTTGTGGGTGACAACTTCACGCGTAAGCCGCCTAAATTGGAGCGTTTCATTCGCCCCATGGGCTTGCGTTTCAAGAAGGCGCACATTACCCACCCGGATCTGAAAGCAACGTTCCAGCTTCCTATTATTGGTGTTAAGAAGAATCCACAATCGCCGATGTACACGCAGCTTGGTGTGCTTACCAAGGGTACCATCATTGAAGTGAACGTGTCTGACCTTGGTATGGTCACGGCTGGTGGTAAAGTGGTTTGGGGTAAATACGCGCAGATCACGAACAACCCTGAAAATGACGGCTGCGTCAACGGTGTGCTCCTTTTGTCCTCATGAAGGGTTTTTCGATAGGTATTGCTTGTACTATAAAATGCATGTATGAATGGATCTACATTACTCCATGCTAAGTTGCATGGCGATGCGGAGTTGTTCTTCTTCTGGTAGAGACTCAAAGTTGTCCGGTAAGCTATCGAAGGTAATCGGCTCCTCACGGCGATGCTCCTTCGATGCGGGGGGCAACGCGGGCTTGGGCGGCGCCGTGGTCTCTTGTAATAGGAACGGTTCACGAAACGCTCGTGCCAGGTTTTTCGCTTTGGTATCTCCCATTCCAGGTAACATAACTAGCTGGTCGGATGTTTGCTGCACCATCGTTGCAAAGGACTTGTGGGTCAGGTGCACGCTCGTTCGTACCTTGTATTTCGTTGACATGGTAAGCACGTCTGTTTTATTCACACGCCGTACATTGGTAAGCACCGATTGCAAGACGCTCATGTACGAGTTTCCCACTTTGGTCCGGATCAAATCCGGGGGTTTTTGCTCAAACGCTTTGTACATCTCCAAGTAGCGACCAGCCTCTTCAGCGCTGCAGAATTGAGTGCGTGCGTATAGCATACGTACGTCCAGGCGACCATCAATGTCATTTGGTGAATGAGTGCGATTTTGGTAAGCTCACGTATGGCCTGCTGATGATCGGTCTTGCGTCAGATCAGGAAGGACGTACCACATCACAGACGACTAGTAGTATGCGGAGGGTATACATGTGCGCGAGGCGCTGAATGCGGGTATGTATGTACTCGGGATGAAGGCGATGGTACCGCAAGCTTTGGTGAGTGAATCACGCCGTACCTTAAAAATAAGACGCCACTGGTGACGCCGACTTGGTAATCAGGCACAATATCAGCGAATTCCCAGCTGACACCTTTAATATGCTGGAGGACCGGGTTTCCCCGCTAGTCGTTAGAAGCTTGTCTATGCCATACCTGACAACTATTGACCAATACCGATGAAGAAGACTGTGCGCCACGTACAAGCGGATGAGCCCGTGGTGTCCGGCTCCCCCCTGCCTCGGAGGAGGACGCTGCCTTCGACGTCATGGTCAAGTGGATCGCCTCCACCTCCAGGGGTACGCAGGGGCCGCACCGTTTAGTCAACGACACGAAATGACGTGGTTTTTCACCCCCTGTTCGGCAAAGTGCCCTCGGTAGAAGCAAGCAGCGAGTGAAACACCTCGCCAGAAAAAAAAAAAAAGATTTTCGTTCCTTTGCTTTTCCATTTTTGATCGGTGTGCTTGCTAGACACGCCTCCCCACCCATTCCGACGCAAGTATGGCAGGTATTACATTATGGATTGTGGCACTGCTGGTCGGTCTCGCTAGTGTCTTCTTTCTGAAGAGCCGTCTGTCCGGCACCAAGGAAGAGGATGTCTTTGTGCCGGACGAGGGTGAGAGTGCCACGAACTTTGTCGATCGTTTGCAGGCGCAGAAAAAACGTCTTGTGATTTTTTACGGCTCGCAAACGGGTACGGCGGAAGAATATGCGATCCGTATCGCGCGTGAGGCCAAGGCTCGTTATGGCACTTCGCCGCTGGTCATCGATCCTGAATCAGAAGAGATGGACAAGTTGGACTTGGTTCCGGAAGACTGTGCTGTGGTGTTTGTCATGGCTACCTATGGTGAGGGTGAGCCGACAGACAACGCCGTGCCAATGATGGAGTTCCTTAAGTCGTCCGATGTGGCTTTCACGAATGGATCAACACTGGAAAATCTGCACTATGTCGCCTTTGGTCTTGGCAACCGCACATACGAATACTTTAACGAGACGATTCGCCAACTGGATGACCGCTTGCAGCAGCTCGGTGCGCACCGTATCGGTGAGCGTGGCGAGGGCGACGATGAGAAGGGCTTGGAAGAGGACTACTTGGCCTGGAAGGACGGCATGTTTGAGGCGCTTGCCTCGACGCTTGGTCTGGAGGAGGGTGCTACGGGCGATGTATCAGACTATGTGGTGACGGAACTGGACGAGGTCCCGGAACGTGTCTACCATGGTGAGTACCACCCGCGTGGCCTGAGCGGTATGGTCGGCAATCACGATGCACGGAACCCGTACCCATCGCAGGTGATGGAGTCGCATGAGCTTTTCGCTTCTGGTGTTGCGTCGCGTACTTGCACGCATTTGGAGTTTGACATTAAGGATACGGGTATGTCGTACCAGCACGGTGATCATCTTGGTGTATGGCCCTGCAACCCTGAGCCGCAGGTGGATCGTGCGTTGGCGGTACTGGGTCTGTTGGAAAAGCGCGACCAGGTGATTCACATCAAGTCTTTGGACCCGACGCTGGCGAAGGTGCCTTTCCCTATTCCGACGACGTACGAGGCTGTGATGCGCTACTATTTGGACATCAACGCACTGGCGTCGCGTCAAGCGCTGGCTACCTTTGCGCCATTTGCACCGTCCGACGCTGCGCGCGAGGAGCTGGAGCGCATTGGCAAGGACCGCGACTATTTCAAGGAGCGTGTGGCGGACCATGGCTACCGTGTGGCCCAGGTGCTTCAGCTGGTGGCTGGTGATTCGCTGTTGGACGATGACATTGCCAAGACGACCAAGTGGAACTTGTCGTTTGACCGTGTGATTTCAGCGATTCCGCGCTTGACGCCGCGCTACTACTCGATCTCGAGCAGCCCGAAGCTGTCGCCCGACCGTATCCATATCACGGTCGTTGGTCTGCGGTACACACCTCCATCGGCCACGATGGACGTGTTTGGTCTGGCGTCCAACTTTTTGAGTTCGGTGAACATGGTGCGTCATGGTGAGACGCCGCTGCTTGAGGACCCGCGTCATGGTACGCCTCTTTACCAACTGGAGGGTCCTAGCGGCAAGTACAAGAGCACGGGTGAGCAGGATGAGACGGTGCTGCGTGTGCCGATTCACGTACGTCGCTCGACATTCCGCCTGCCGACGTCGACGAAGGTGCCCATTATTATGATTGGCCCTGGTACGGGTGTGGCGCCTTTCCGTTCGTTTGTGCAGGAGCGCGTGGCGACTGCGCGGAAGGCCAAGGCCAAGCTGGGTGAGGATGCGTTGCAGGACTGGTCTGATCTGCGTCTGTACTATGGCTGCCGTCGTCGTAACGAAGACTTCTTGTACCACGATGAGTGGGACAAGTATGCGGCAGAGCTGGACGGCAAGCTGAAGTTGCGTCTCTCGTTCTCGCGTGAAGTGTTCAAGCCGGACGGCTCGAAACTCTACGTCCAGGACCTTATTTGGGAGGACCGAGAGGCGCTGGCCAATGCGATCCTCAACAAGCGTGCCTACATTTACATCTGTGGTGAGGGCAAGGGTATGTGCCACGATGTGGAGAGCACGCTTTCCAAGATTCTTGGCCAGGCCAAGGGCGGTGACGAGGAGCTGGGCCGTGCTGAGCTGAAGCTGCTCAAGGAGCGTAACCGCATGATGCTGGACGTGTGGTCGTAAAAACAGTTTGGGCCAGGCTCTCTTTTGCATACAGCCAAGAAAAAGTCAAGGTGGTGACGACGTATTATAGATGGTAGCTAGCTCATGTGTTTGCATTGTAACGAATTCAATTTATTTTTCTACGTTTGGCAGGTGCGAATGGGGCCATCATCGGGACGTCAGAGTCCACAGGTGGCATATCTGCGCCTTGGTTGGCCAGGGCATCGGCCATACTGTTTCCATGATTCCCCGCATGACCCTTGACATGAACGAGCACGGGACGATGGCGACATTGCTTCATTGCATCGCGGATCTGCACGAACAAATCCTGATTCTCCACCGGCTTGTTGGTGACGGTTTTCCAGCCGTTGGCCTCCCATCCAGGCATCCATTGCGTGATGCCGCGGATAGCGTAACTACTATCCGTGTAGATCCGCAACGTTTGTGCTTGATGGGGATGGAGCCGGATGGCTTCCAAGATGGCGGTGAGCTCGGCCCGATTGTTGGTTTGCGGGCTGCCAGGCAGTCGTTTAGCACGATTTAAGTGGGTATAGCGTGTATCTGCCCAGTAGATCCCATAGCCTGCACAGGCTTTACCACGGCCATTGCCATGCGATGATCCGTCTGTGTATACGTCCAGAAAAGTCCCGGGATCGCTATCGTCATTCCAAGCCTGCATCGCTTCTTCTAGCGCAGGGTCAGGATCATCTTCCTGCTCGTCCGCCTGGCTTTCTGGCGGCGGAATGTATTTGTCCGGCCCCGTCTGTGTAGAAGCAGGCGGTGTTTCGTCCGCCGACTCGACGCCCAGCACAAATTGCTCCGCTTCTTCTCTCGAAGCAAAGCCCTTGAACCGTGCGAGGGAAAACCCTTTGACTTGTTTCTCACATTCGTCCCAGCTGGTATATACGCCTGGTACACGTCCTGCGCGTACGGCATAAAAGGCGGGGCGCTTTCGCTTGGCCATCCCGAGCGCCGCTGACGCGCGTTGACTCCACACGCGTGAGAGGCGAATGGCGTCGAGCCGTACCAGGTCAACGAGTGTCAGTGGTGGCGCTCCACTTGCATGTATGAAATACACACCTCCATATCTAGGCGCGTCGCGTCCCTCACGTCGGCCGTTGTTGCTTTGCGAACAGCGAAGTTGGCGCGCCACTGAGGAGGGTCGCGATCATGTCGCAGGGTCTGCCGCGGACTGTTCCGCGGCTACCGCTGCGTGTGAAGAATGTATATGGTCCAGAGGGCGGTATAGCACCTGGCGCCGATACTGGAAGTACGCCAGCCAAGCAGGCACAGGATGTTATGGGCACGCCGCCACGGAAACGAGCGGTGCCGTTGGATGGTGTGCATGTACGCAATGTCCCCGACTCTGTACCGGGAAAACGCGCAAGGCTTTATCAGAGATCGGGTCTGGATCCCAGTGGGCGGCGTGCCACGGCGGAGGGGACCGGCTCGCGGGTAGGCGCGGCCACACCGCCCATGACACGGTCGACGACGCGCATCGACAAGTCCACGCGTGTAAGCCAAGAAGAGCGTTACCAACGCGAGCAACAAAAAGCCCAGTCACAGCGGCAATGGAAGGTGGCCTTTGGCCGTGCCTTCCCGAAGTTTGTGTTCTACTTGGACGAGATGGATGAGGCGCAAAAACGTACCTTCTCTGCTCAGATCCACCAATTGGGCGCGTGTGTGGAAGAGTTCTTCTCACGCAATGTGACGCATGTTGTAACTACACGTCCCGTTCCGTCCGTGCGGGAGGAGGACACGAAAAAAACAGGGCCTGCCGCCAATCCTGGCCACACACCGCCCAAGCCCCCAGCGCCTTCGTCGATCGCGTCCCCGCGCATTGTGATGCCTGTAGCATCGGCGCATCTGCCTCTCCATTCAGAGAGGAATCCTATGGATGAATGGACGCAGCCTCTCCCAGCGAACGATCTTCTATCGAAGGCGCAGCACTTTGGCATGAAGATCTGGCGCATGGAGAAACTACAAAACATTCTCTCTCTCCTACTAGCAGACGATGCACCTGCTGAGACAAACACAGGACGTCAGGCGCTGTCTGAGATGCTCCTGCAAGAAAAACTGCATGGTACCACGGAGCGTGATCCATTGGCGATGCGTAGCGATGTGCATTATTTCGGCAAGCAATCGTACCATGTCCTCGTCACTGACGCTACGGGCGAGCATCGGCCTATTCTGATTGCCGAGTACGATCGAAGTGCACAAGATGTGCCAGGAAAACCTACGCCATGGCCTGTTTTGCATGGCGAAATGGAAGGCCGTGGTCTTTTTTCCTACATGGATAGCAAGGAACGCCGGCGCTTGGCACGTCAGCCCCTGGCACCGCCATCTCATCAATCGCTGCGTCGCACGGCCTCACTGAATCTCTTGCAGGCGTGTCCCTCCCCCGGGATGCCTGGCACGCCGAATCTCATGGCGTCTGACAACAGCATTGCGCTGGCCTCAACGGTCGCTTCGACCACATCGACGAACATCACATCCCAGCACACTGCATCGATACCAATGCATCCAGATCGACGTCTCATGGATCTACATCGGCGCCTACATACGCCCATCGAGCTACCCGTGTCTGAGCAGCGCCCTGCGGCTGACGGCCGTGGCGCAGTCGTCCAGCGTATGCTCGGCATGCTCGATGGTCCACGTGGCTCACAACTCCGCCGCTCACAGAGCACGGACAGTGTCGCGCGAACAGGCACAGGGCCTAAACGGCCTCGTGAGAAAAAACCTGGCCACTGTGAAAATTGCCGGTGCCGTTACGATGATTTTGAAGAGCACACCAAAAGCCGGCGTCATCGGAAATTCGCCCTGGACGAAAGCAACTTTGTCAATATCGACGAACTGCTGCAGCGTGTCCAGCGTGAGCCCCTGCCGCCATCGACGGCCTGGTCCGACTATGCTCTGCCGTACGAAACATCGCCTGGCCATACCTCGCCCCTCTCCACGGGCGAATCTGTGTCTGTGTCGGGCTCGACGTGGGACGGCACAGTGTGACCTACCATACCCCCCTACACCTTCAAGCATACCCTGTAGCTTTTTATATATTTTTGGACTACTACTACTAAACAGCGTAGGGCACTCAGGCCTTTTGGCTCACAGCCTGCGCAGGCTGCGGGCCGCGTGGGCGGCCACGGCCCTTGCGGCGGTCTGCGTTGCCCTGCCTGTCGCCCGAGGCGCTAGAACGCGATTCATCCGACTTGGAGTCCAGCAGCCATTCGTTCTGCTCGAGCATCGCATTGGCACGGTCGGCAAGTGCCATCGAGAGCTGCTGTACGCGGTTCAGCTCAATGCGACGGAACACAATCATCGACTCGGCAGAGTCGAGCGAGGCCGAGACTTCCTCGTTCCAGATCATACGGCTCACCAGCGAACGCACCGTGCTCTCCGACAGTTCAAACATGGCAGCCAAGTGCTGAATAGAAAGGGAATCGTAGAAGGAAGCAAAGTTGAACAGGTACGTGCGCAGACCCTCCTCCTGGATGTGCTGCGCAAGACGCTTCAACACAGCGTCCTTGTCGGGAATCAGCTTCCAAATCTTAATCGACTCAATCAGCTCCTGGCACGCCTTCCACTCGCCGTTCTGCAGCGCCTTGCTTGCCTGCATCACATGGTCACGCGTGTTCTCAGGTGGGCCGGAGAACACAAGACGGTCCGTGTAGTCCATCATACGGCGGAACGGCCGCGAAATGACCTTCTTACGCAGCTCAGGGTCTGAACCAGCGCACGCCATGTTCGGCACCTCCAGAAGCATGCTCGCCACAAGGTACACACACTCAAGCAGCTCCAAGTTGATATGCATATGGAATGGAAGCTGGCGCTGACGGTCGTGCTTCTCTTGCTCCGGCGTCATATTGTACGAGCTGACCTTTGACACACCTTGCGCCAGAAGCTCCTTCACCCGGCCGGTCGCAAAGATCTCTTGCAACGCTGTGTGGCACTCACGAATCAAGCCCACACGGAAGGCACACAGACCCAACTGAACCAACACACGGTTGTACAAAATCTGTGTCTCGGCATCCGCCAAATGGATCGACTCTTGCAAATGGCTCATGAGGAAACGGTCACGTGCCACATAGTAGTCGGCGTGCAGCGCGTGGTGGTAGACATGGCACAAGATGGCACGCGTGCGCTGACGCTCGCCGGACTCTTCCGCCCGTTGGTAAAGGTACACACAGAGCGAGTGCACAAGCTGCATAGGTCCATCGGGATGATCGCGCACCTGCTCGAATGTCGGTGTGATCTTCGAGGGAGGAAGGTTGGGCTGGGCCTCGCAATTCGCCGTCTCGAGCGCCAGAATAATCACATCCTGCTTCGAGTAAATGTGCTCCAAGCGACTCATCACACAACGGCGAAGAGGGTCTTCTACCATAGCAGAAATGTTAGCCGGCAACTCCTGCGCCAGGACCTTCTCAAAGTAGCTCTGACCACGAACGATCGTCTGGTATAGACGCTTTTCATCGCCGAGGCGCTCGACATACTCGGTCGTGTGGGGGTCAATATGCTGCAGACTCTTTGTGAACTCGTCCTCCAGACGATCAATGAACGACACAACACTGCCACGCACAGGCACAAACGCACCTTCGCCATTCTCGTTCGGCTTGCGCTCCACCTGGTCATCGTAGTCCTCCGTATCTTCGAGCACCACATAACTGAGGTTTTCAAACAGTACTTCCAGGAGCTTGTTCAGATCATCACGGGCCTGGTTCCACATGTCCAAAGGCATATACGCGTTCGCCGACGTGCTGTAGTCGAAGCGCGCGGCTACCAATGTCAACAGTACGCGAATACGCTGGTATGGCGTTTGCGCCGCGGCTTGCAGCTTGGATAGCGTGGCAATCTGCTCGATACGGTCGGTACTCTTGCGACCACGGGCCTCCATCACAGCAGCAAGGGCCTTGAACAGAGCATCCGATGTCATCGTCGCCTTGCCATCCTTGCCCACCGTCTGGAAGTCACCCTCCTCACCCGTCTCCTGCACAGGCGCCACAACAGGTGCCGATTCAGGTTTGGACTGCATAACTGGCATGTCCGGCACAGCTGTGGCCTGCTGCGCAGCTTGCAATTTCGCCTCGTACCCCTCAGGGTCTTCGCGGTATTGTTGCACGGCCGCTTCATTGTCCTTCACGACCTTCTTGAGCTTGGACTTCATACCGTTCATCGCTTTAGCATTCGGCGCCTTCATCTTTTTCACGGCCTCCTTGTTCGCCAAAGACGAGGCCAAGAAGGTCTCCAACGAAGACAGGCACTTGATAAACGACGCTGGGATCGTCTCATTCAAAGTACGCTGACGATCGCGCAAACGAAGAAGCACATCAAATTCTGTGGATGTTAAAAGCAAACTTATACGTACCCTTCGAAATGGTGATCCAGTCATCAATACGCTGCGCGTTTTCCACGTTGTGGATAACCGCCTCAAATTCGTCGAGACGCTTGTCCTTCGCGCTCTTAATAACCTTACGCACTTCCTCTTCGCTCTCACTGTCGCTCGATACGTCACGCATGAAACGCGACATGGGCTTGCGAGTCTGCTGCGGCGCATTATCATCGCTGTCATCGCTGTCGTCGTCACTGTCACTTTCGTCACTCTCGTCGCTGTCATCGTCGCTGTCGTCGAGCTTCCGAGTGCTTCGCTTCGTTTGCGTCTGCTCCTCGTCAGACAAAAGCTCCTCTTCCTCGGAGGAAGAGTCCGACTCTGAGTCAGAGATCGCACGGAAGAATCGGCTCGACATGCTAGCAAGTCGTCTCGTCGACCGATGGAGGCGTTGCGGCTTGGTTTTTCTTCTGCCAGTCTTTCTGCCACGTGAGCTCGCGGCACGTGAGCAAACCGCCCCGGGCACGACCGGGCGCCAGCGAGGGTCACTAGAATGCACCGGCGGAGCTTCCTGCTTATTCACTCCATTAGGACTGTCATCATGGCCTTCCGTTTTGTGCCTCGCGTGCTCAACCAGGTACGTAGAAGTCATGGTGTCATCATGAACAAAAACTAACATGTCGTATAGACCCGTGGCTATGCCTCGCAGGCTGCTGTTCGTCCCCCGGTTCAGCTGGAGGGTATTGCTGGTATGTACAGCATATACATGCCCCTCTAACGATATACAGGCAAGTACGCCTCGGCGGCCTATGTCTCGGCTCTGAAGCGAAGTGACAAGGACCTTGCCAAGGTTGAGTCCGACCTGAAGTACTTTAACGATATTCTCAAGGGCCAGTCGGCGGAGGCGGCCAAGCTTCGTACGTTCTTGAACAACCCGACACTCTCGGGTGAGGCTCGCAGCAAGGCTGTGAGCGACATCCTTGGCATGCAGAAGGGCGGCTCAGATGCGCTTACGCGGTATGTTTTATTGACTATGTGCAATTCTAACAGATCAGCAACCTGTTTGAGGCCCTGGCTGAGAACGGCCGTCTGAACCTCTCGGAGAAGGTGATTGAGGGTTTCCTGCAGCTCACTAGCGCTCACCGCGGTGAGGTGATTATCACTATCACGAGCGCTAAGGTATGTTTGGTTCAGCATTTCTTACATGGTAGCCGCTCGACAAGTCGATTACGTCGCGTCTCGAGTCGACTCTGAAGTCGTCGCAGTTTGCCACCACCAACGGTGCCAAGAGCGTCAAGTTCGACTACAAGGTGAACGCTTCGCTCCAGGGTGGTCTTTCTGTGGACCTCGGCGACCGCTCGGTGGACCTGAGCGTCGCGAACCGCGTGAACAAGCTGAACGCTCTTCTCCGTGGTATGTATACGCTCTCTCGATTGGTACTGACACCCTTTAGAATCGGTTTAAGCTGTTTACATAGTCATATTTGATAGCTTGTTTTGCTCGATAGAGAACAGCTATTTGGCTCGATACGACGGTATCGCAGGTTGGTTGCTTGTCTTTCCACCCTCTCCACTTTTGATCAGTGTGGGATGGCACGGACGGATGAATGGCACTCGTACAAAGGAGCCAAAGAAGCATGGGTCACAGGCCAAACTGGTAGCTCTGTGATGCAGATCAACTTGGTCTGTACCACGGCGCTTGCTTCCTATGCGCTATGGCTTTGGCTACCTCGCAAGGCCCAGTCGTCGTTGATATGGGAATATGTGGTGCTGGTCGTGCCTCTGACGTTGGCTTGTACTATTCTTGCCGAGTCTGTATACCTGCTGCTTGGGAGTATGCTGCTTGTAACATTGGGACTCTGGGCGTCCCGCGATGCAAATGCATCTGGAGCAAGCAGTGCCACAACTACGGGGAGACCACGATGGGCTTTCTTGACTGTGTACCGTGCCTATCTTCTGATCTTGACCATCTATTGTATTCTTGCTGTGGACTTTCCCATCTTCCCTCGTATTTTTGCCAAATGTGAGACCTTTGGTACTAGTTTGGTACGTCGCTACATTCCTATCTAACCTTGACAGATGGACTTGGGTGTAGGGTCGTTCGTATTTTCCCAAGGGACTGTGTCACTACGCAAACATACCACTTCGTTTTGGACGACACTAAAACGATGCGCGCCTATGCTTCTTCTAGGGTTGACTCGCGTAGCCCTTGTCAAAGGAACAGAATACCCTGAGCATGTGACGGAATACGGCGTACACTGGAATTTTTTCATCACCATGGGCTTGCTGTTGCCTGTGACGGACTACGTACAGTTGATGTGCCCCCAGTGGCACTGGGGGGTGGTTGGTATTGTTATATCGCTGCTGCATGAATATGCCTTGCGTGGCACTTCGCTTGGCGCATGGGCCATCTCAGAACATCGTGATCATAGCAACTGGCTTTCGCTCAACAAGGAAGGTATCACAAGCTTGCCAGGTACGTAAACGGTCCACTGACGATAGGCTATTGTGCTCTTGCTTTTCTTGGATTGGATATGGCGTCCATCCTTTTTCATGACACGTCACTATGGGCCAAGCAGAAGCGCATGCTACTTCGTTCTGTGCTTGCTTGGAGCTTATTTTCTTTCTTGTCTCTGTCATCATGGGATGTGAGTCGACGTATGGCCAACCTGATGTATGTGCTATGGTGCACAGCTTTCAATGCTACTTTTCTGTGCGGATTTGCTAGTCTGTCTGCATGGCTAGGTGCTGATCATCCGCCGCCGCGATTGTTGACGCAAGTGAACCGTCATGGGCTTCTATTGTTCTTGCTGGTACGTCTATCCTCACTTACAAATAGGCAAATATCGCTACTGGACTTGTCAACTTATCCATGCAGACCATGTATGCCTCTACATGGTCCTCGCTTCTGATTTTGCATGTATATATGGCGTGCGTCTGTGCGTGGAGTCCTACGCTACTAGGCACACCTCGCCGTTTGTAGTTTAGTCATCTTGAAACGTCCACCTTCCACCATCTTCATGTGGGCTTTGGTACGAGCGCGACCGGCGCCCATTCGGGGCTGTCTCCGCTTGCAGCGCTCTCTGCATCTGTCATCTATTTGCTTTAATCGTGGTGCGCCCGAAAACCTCGTGGATCGCTTGGCTACGGGTGGTGATTCGCGTGCGGATGTGGAAGCCAAGCGACAGGCACAGATGGCCAAGTATGGCGAGAAGTTGAAGGCGAAGGTGAAAGAGTACGTGTTCATCGCTTGCTGATTGCAGACATGGACTGGAGAATATCGATGAGCTGGCATCGAAAATTCGTGAAGCAGAGTCTAAGGAGAAGGAGGCTCGTCGCAAAGCCACCCAGGACAAAGTTTCTGCTATTGAGAAACGCGACGAGGAGCTGCGTCGGCGCTTGAATGAGAAGCGAAAGAAGGAGGAGGCGAAAAAGCTCAAGGCAGAGGAGGAAGGAAAAGCAAGTCCTGTGAAAGTATGTTACCTTACAACTCACCATAGCCATTGTCATCCTTTATGAACATGGACAAGATGTTGCAAGAGTCGCCTGAATCCATTGGCAAGCTCTGGACGGGCTACCATATGATGCGAAACAAGATCTCTGCAGTGATTCCTGCTCGCACCTACCTCCAAATGATTGAGACGGCTAAGAAATTTCCCCAGTTTGTGCTCCCTTTGCCGCGCACAACTACCAATGAGGAGGGCGTTGAAGAGGTCGGTTACGAAATTCAGTATATGCAGTGGATGTTTTTGCCGGCACCCAAGACCACATCGGCCAATGCACCGCCTCCTGCAGCAGTGCTCTTTACACCCCTAGCCGAGTACAAGCTGCGTCAGGAATACGCGCAGCCAAGTCTTGTTCTTTCGCATTACACGGACCTCATTGAGTCCAAAGGACTCGTGCTTCTTCGTGGGGAAATTACAGAGTCGTCACCAGAGGATGGGTCAGACGCCAAGCCAAGCCTGTCCCAATCAGATGCTCAGATTCTGACGATGTGCTTGCAACGGTTCTATCACATTGATTGGGCATTGGAGGGCTTAGACAATGACGAACAGACAGAAAAGCGGCGCGCTCTGCTTCGTACCTTTTACGAGAAGCCCACAGACTTTAAGTTAGAATCTCTCGTTCACTTGGCTTTATCAACGTAGAGGGTATAGATCATGAACTAACTACGTTCTGCCGTCTGACAGTCCACAGCCGCAGACGCATGTGCATGAAGGTTTCCATCCTGCACAAAGATGCAGGAAGGCCGCACAGAAGGTCGTGGAGACGTCGACAGCGACGAAAACGAGGAACGATCAGAGCGTCGTCGGCCATTCTGCGGCGTAGGTGCCTCTGAATATGAGTGACGCGCATGTTGAGATGGCATAGCGTGCGATTGCTTGGTTCGATACGACGATAGAGATAAGCTTGTCGGCGCGGTTACCACCTCTGAATGTTTCCGCTGGAAATGAAGACTGGGTTCTTTCTGTGAGGAGGCCCGAATCTCAACGACGGAGGCGGTGGTGGAATCGGATGCATCACTCAATAGCGCCTTATCTTCTTCACTCTCAGAATCATATTGTTCGTTGCTATGCAGCAAAAGCCGCTCGGCCACGATAGCAAGCTCTTCGGCTTTATCCATGGATGACGTACGAATAGGGCCACGCGAACGTCGGTGTGTATGGCGTCCCTGAAGCGTGCCATAGGCGACTGACGAGCTGGATGGCGTATGATCGCCAGATAATTCGCGACTTGAGTGATCATGGCTTACATCCATATCAAAGTTGGCCCATACAGTGCATGGATCTAGCAGATCTGAGCCGTCCGCAAGGGAGCGAGACGGGCTATGGCCTGCCATTTTATGATGAGATGATCGACGTGATCCCTTCAAAGAAGAGGGCATCTGTCTTGGCGAATATGACGATTCGGGCGATTGTAGAGCTCTTGGAGTATCAAACACAGCCGTGGTGGGTGTCGAGACGGAGGAAACGACACCTGGACTGATTGAATGATTTCGACCAACATGTAAATCTTTACCACGCGATGAGGACCTGTCGCGGCCAAACTTGCTGTCACTAGGACTTTGTAGGAACACCAAGCTTTTTCGTGGCTTTGTATCTGCTTCACGTTCAGGACTAACTTTGTCCTCAGAGGTTGAGCCCATCCGCGTACCCAGAATCCCTGTGACAGAAACAGGTCTGGATTGCAGCAAGACAGGCGCATCTGTCATTGATAGGGTATCGCCCTCCATATCTTCGGATCCATTCTGATCCGTCTCATAATCGGTTTGGTCATCAGTGGTTTCACTGGAGGTAGATATATTGTCTGAGAGGGTATCTGCGTCCGTATCTTCCTCTGTATATGAGGGACTAGCACTGGGCAGCTCTTGTTCATGGGTTAGGAAAGCAGGGGAGCGAGGGAAGGAAGCTTTGGCCCGATTTTGGTTCGACGCAGAGGGTGGAGAGACCGGCGCGCTTTTAGTGCCATTGTTAAACCTTGGCTTTGCGCGGCTGGGTTTTTCAGGTTCCACAAAATGGGTACGAGGCTGATTTTTGACTTGTGGATGTTGGTCAGGCTCGTGCAAGGCATGTGTAGAAGGCGATGGCGCTTCATGCGTTTTCAGCAAAATACCCGCAAATGAGGATGTGGTTGGTGGCGCACTGGGCGGCATGACTTTTTCAATAGGCTGTGAGGGCACTGGCTTCAAAAAAGCCACATGCTTTTTGTTTTGTTTGTCATGTAGCGAAATGTTCGAAGATGGTGGTGCAGCATTCATAACGCTAGGATAGGCTCTGGTATGGTCAAACTGGTCCTGTTCCATAGCGCCTGTTGCCCGAACACCGGGCCTATGGACCATCGAAGAATGTCCAAAAAGACAAGGTCGATAGACACGTTTTCTGCAGGCACAGCGTCACACCCGGATCTCAAATAGTACACGACTCAGCTCCCTAAGGAAATATTTTTTGAATGGTGCGCGCTCAACAAGACATGTCATACATGATTGTGCTCTATATTGCGACACGGCACGTGATGCGGCACGGGCCTTCCGGATAGAAACGAACTTACATTGCCAGTCGATTTGGAAGAACAATGCTTTCTTGGTATATATACGCTAAGAATCTGCTTTGCAGAAGCGCGCGACCATGACGGAAGTATTGTCAGTACTGAAATTGTCCAATGCGTGCTGAAGTAGTGTATCGGCAGCATCTTGTGGATCCTTGACTTTAGAAACCAATTCAACGGCATTTTGATCGTTGACCACGTCCCATAGCTATAGATATGTCAGCCAAATAGCCACTTATACATACACCATCACAGGCCACAACCAGGAATTCATCCTCATCGAGAAGGTCGATGCTTGTAGTAAAGGGGGAGCCAACGACAAACTCCTTCATCGAGAAGTCACCCAGGGATCGAGTTACGGCTAATACACCTGATGTCAGCGATATGAGAACAAACCATTAACTCTGTTGTTCAGCAAGAATCCTCCTTTATCTGTGATGCGCTTCGACTCTAGCATATCCGAACCTTTGTGGTCGTACGTTAAACGCACGGCTTTGCCATTTCGGCTGAAGGTTAGTTAGTGATCGATAGGTTGGTAACATACCAAAGAACAGCGCGTGCATCACCAACATTAGCCGTATACAGAACGCGCTTTCGGTCATTGGTATTTTCTGACGATGCAGGCTCATAGCGAATAAAGCACATGACAGCCGTGCAGCCACTCCGTGTCCCAGCACGCTCAGATTCAAATTCCAGCTCCTTGTCGGCCTTCAAAAACGTATTTTTCATGATTTCACGAACATCCATGTCAGGGTTGTCCTTTAACTCCTTTTCAAAGATCGACCCCATATTGTCCTTGCACCAATCCGCGGCAAAGTGACCTGCATGGCCATCAAAAACAGCAAAATATCCCTGACCGGGAACATTTTCAAAATTGTATTCATAAGCGTGAGTGTCTTCCATAGTTTTCCTCCAGCGGTTGTTTCGATCCGTCGCCACACCTACTTTAAAGTCCCAGTTCTGAGTGGATGAGGTATGAGAGGATTCGGTCTTCTGCGGCTGAATGGACGTAACGCTGGCCTCTTCAAGAGCTGGAGCTGTACTCCTGCGGCAATGTTAGAATACAATCATCCTTGAGCAGATTGACATACCGTAGCTGCATGTCGGTCATTGAAGGTGGTGTGGCCCGTCTTCCTAGGACCAGACACTGCGCAACTATGGGGTTTCGGGCTCCTACTTGGATCAGCTCTTGGGAGGTCGATCACGTGGATGACAAGGCGTAGATGCAGGTCGTGACACTTTGCTACATATTATATAGCCTATCGTTGGGCGGTGGAGCCCAAAGGCGTTTTGACTTTATCTGCAGGCGTTTTTTTATTCAGCTGCCAGTTAGTATGTAATGGCATGGACGCAACGTACGACTTCCAGGTATAAAGTGGAAATGTGGACAGCCCATGACACGGCCGGAATGGGGAAATGCAGCTCTTTTTGATCAGATAATTCAGTACTAGACAATGCGATGGTGTCTCGTTCAACATCCTCATCCTCGGTGGGTTGTGGTGTTACATCTCGACTGGGCGCTGTACTGGGCGGCAACGAAGGGCCTTCTGAGGCCGTCGTGGTCATGGGTGTCCCAAGATAGGCATCCGTATCGGACTCGGATTCGGAGCTCGATGTAAAGTGCGAATCCAAGCCAAAAAAGTCAGTATGTGGTAGTGTAGGTGACGAAGGCATAATTCGCGCAGGCGATGAAGAATCCGAGTCTTGGTCCGTTTCCTGGCTAGGTGCTGGTCGAGTAGCGGAAGGGACCGACTCATCGTTACGGAAAATCCATCCGGCCTCTTTCATGGCATTCCACATACGATTCGTGTGTCTCACAGCTTTCCCACGCAATGAAGAAAGCCGTTTCTCATGCTGACGCAAGCGGTGTCGTACAACCACCGACTGCAAGTGCAAGTAACGTGGGGCTACTTTAATTGCATTTTCAAAATGTAGTCGGGCCGCCTTTTGGACAGAAGAAGGCACAGAGGAAGCGGCTAATGTTGGCGCGAGTATTGATACAGAGGCTTCCTGTGTCCCTGGCGATGATGTAGACGTGCCAAGAAAGAGAGTAAGGAGGCCCAAGTAGGTGTGTAATTGTGGGTGGTGTCGATAGGGGAAGGAGGCAATTACACTGGTTAGCTCTTCATGTGCACGCTGGTATTGTCCATCTTTAATTAGTTCACGGACAAGAAAGACGAGTGCATAAGGTCGTACGTTTGTGCGTGATCGCATGATCCGCTGGGTATAATGAAGAGCCACTTTCTCGTCGTCGGAGAGCCATGCCACCTGCAGCCCCAGCTTCCACAGCTCGATGGGTCTCCATTCCTGGCACATAAGGAGCATATGTAAGCAGCGACTGGCACGTTCCAGATCCTGACGTAGAAGCATGAGCTGCAGCAGGTCATACAATCGCCGCACATGCTGTCGCCGCTGGTCGGTTAATGAAGCTTCGGATGAAATATATGTGCATAGCGGGTCTGTATGAGGTGTGAAATAAGAGATAGACGGTACACCATGGGTATATGTGACATCCAAGTCGTCCTTGTACGGCGGCGGCGGCTGAAAGAGCGCCGTGGACTCCATGCCGGCCGTCGTAGGTGGAGGGAAGGCCCAGGGCGATCCAAATTGGCCTTAGCGCGCGGTAACCCCGCGCCTGCATCGTGCGTATGAAAGGTCCCGCGCCACCATGTTAGCCGTGTCAAGAACAGATGCACAAGAGAGTACACCTTTGATATCAGAGTCCCATGCCAATACGCGTACCTCAGACGAGACGCTGGTGTTCCGTCATGAATTTGGGACACAAGACTATGCGCGTAGATTCGCACCAGCGCGATACCTGCTGAGTGTATTCGAGCCTGAGCACGATGGCCCTAGTCCGTATGGTGAAGCCTATGGAAAGGTGTGTGCGTATGTACTCTCACGCAGATCGATGATACTGAGTTTGCTTCCATGGTAGGCCGTGTTCAAGATGCGATCTCGTCCGGTGTGAATCCACGCATGATCGCTGTAGGCACTAGTGGGTCGTATTTTGTGTACGAGCAAGGAGATCATGACCATATCATTGCAGGTGTATTTAAGCCCATGGATGAGGAGCCTTATGGCAATCTCAAGTACGTATGTTAGGACCTAACCCAGTCCTAAGCGACTGTTTCTTCGCAAGTACTTTGGGTGGGCAATGGGCCGGCCCTGGTATGTGTATGGCCTTGAGAGCTAACACTAGCCTGATTCCCAACTTTTCGTATTTATCTGAAGCAGGTGCTTCGTTCCTAGACGACCGACTTGCGCTGGGTATGGTGCCCAAGACGCGTTTGGTGGGTTTGGCAAGTCCATCGTTTTGTTACAAGTATGCAGACCGCAAACAATGGGAGAAAGGACTTAAACCACTGCCTGTCAAAGTTGGGTCGCTGCAGCAGTTTTTGAGCGGGTACGAAACAGCTTCGAAGTTCTTTCAGACGCATACACTTCCTGGCCGACCGAAAGATCTTATGGAGCGCGTCTTGCATGAAGACGAGGAAGCGCATCGTCTGAGTCGGCGCAAGCCTGGGGCCCGTCTACGTTTGGCGTTTATTGCTGTAAAACGATTTTTACTCTGCCGCTATGGCCCTGGTCCCTATGGAAGTGCAGAAGAGGATCGCTTCGAAGCAATGGAGCCGCCCGTTCGGCATAGCAGGAGTCATGAGGCGTATCCCAGCGCTACGATGCAAATGCCTGACACTTTTGAATGGACAGCAGAGACAACTCGTGATTTACGGCTTGAGCTCGAAAAGCTTGTGATTCTGGACGTACTTATGCGCAATACGGACCGCGGCCTGGACAACTTTATGATTCATTACAACCCGCATCCCAAACCTGGTGAACGCTCGATAACGATCGGTGCGATTGATAACTCGTTGGCTTTCCCACATGAGCACCCGAAAGGGTTACGTGACTACCCATATGGATGGTTGTTCTTGCCGGCCGATTTGATGGGCGGCCCTTTCTCTCAAGAAACGCGTGATCTTTTCTTACCCAAACTCACAGATCCAATATGGTGGACAGGCACTATGGAAGGACTTCGGCGTATTTTCCGCCAGGATATGCACTTCCGTGAGAAAGTATTTCGCGACCAAATGAACCTCATTCGTGGCCAAGGCTGGAACATTGTGCAATGTCTGCAGAGTGGGACAGAAGGCCCTATTGAGCTGTGCTCTCGGCCCAAGTATATGGTACAAAGCAGAGTACAAATGATGATGTACAAAGACTTGCAAATGCAATGCGTCACAGACTTTGCCCAAGGAAGTACCACGCATCCCGCATTCTACTCGCGCGAAACAGAGTCGGAGACCACCGTGGGAAGCGCAGCTCTGCCGCGCAATATTTACTCACGGCGTCGTTTCCACTCCGTGGACGATGTTCGTATGGCCAAATCCATGCCAGTTATGGATACACTTTTGCCCTCGTCGTTCGGCATGTATGACGCCATGCGCAGTATTGATGTGGTGGAAAAGCTGACTATACAACAGCATGGCAGTCAACAAGTACGCTCGCCCCTTCAGAAAGCCGAAGCCCCGCCCAAGATGCCACGTCGTATGCAATCCCTCGATTTGGCGACCTCCGCGGCAGATGCAAACCAACGACCTATCCCTGTGTTGGTCGATGAGCTCATTCCTGTCACACGCCATGCCTTGCTTACGTGGTACTAGGATGCAATAATGCACGAAGTCGATCGCCCGGCTCGTACTTGGCTTCTTGCATTTCTCGAAGCAGGTCCTGCCACCGGGGATCTTGACGGCGATAACACGTCCATGTCATAGCAACATACATGCGCCGAGTAGGTATGCATCCGTGCGATTTTGCTTGTTCTAATAGTGCAAACGCTTCGTCATACTGAGGCTGTTGAAGATACAATCGTGCCATACGTTCATAACAAGTGGCCGTGGGCTGTACCTTGCTTGCCCGCAAAGACGCCCACGCACGCTGCCCTGCAGCGAGATCCTTGGCATGTAAACACGCGAGAAGCCACACCTGGTAAGTTTCAGCGTTGGTCACACGCATAGCGTTCACGATACGCTCAGTTAGTGTAATTGCACTTCGCTCAGCAGCTGCATAGAGCACGGCATTCCATACAGCGAGAGAAAGAGGCGCTGTCGAAGCCAACAACGCCTCAGCTGCTTGTTGTAGTGATAGGTCGTCGGCCGCCGCCGTCGACGTCAAATGCGCTAGGAGAGTTGGTTGCAGTGGCATCGAATGGGAATGCATATAGGCCAGCACCACAACGGCGGCATCAAAGTTACCTGCCTCGCAATGTGCATCTAGCGCAGGTACCAGGAATGTATCGCTGGGCGATGGGACTTTTTCCAGGATCTGCGTGGCCAATGTACTCAGCCCAGCTCGTGAGGCTGATATTAGTGCATGCATAAGGAGTCCGTCGTCCGGCACAAGACCCCCTTGCACAACACTGCGTTCCCATGCGAGAGGAAGGCCCACAGGATAGTCGTGCACAGCGCACGCACGCAAGACATGCATCCATACCGTGGGCGATACAGGGTGGATGGCGTCGGCTCTTTGCACAGCCTCCCATGCAATTTGCGGCTCGCGTGCTTCGAAAGCACAGTCAATGACATGCAGCCACGCATCCTCTTCTAGCTTCACCTGGTATGCGTGTGCCGTGAACAGCGTTAAAAGCATGAATTCCATGTTGGAAGTACGAGCACAATAGTGCAGGAGGTGGGTATATGTGGATACAGTCCATCGAGACACACTGCTCTTTGCAAACAGACTGCTAATTTCTGCCGCCGACGAAGAGCCAGGAAGGGCACCGAAACGGGCCAGAATGGCGTGCATGCGCGGTATATTGTTCGCCAGTACAGCTGCCTTAAGCGCGAGATTGAGCGACGTAGCATCGATAGGGACATGACACAACTCCATATCATCCAACACGGCACAAGCTTCGGCAACCAGGCCATGCTGCGCAAAACTCGATAGCAACAGTTGCCATGCGTCATCTCGTCGGCGTTCCCACGCGCGCCATGCGCGATTGCCAAGCTTGCCTTGTTGGGGTCGACTTGATTTAACGTGTACGCAATGTTCCAACGCCGTGTGAGCGGTCACTTCTTGGTGGATGGACCTGCCATAGTTATTGTACAACAGAAAGTGATGTCTCGCTGGTCTTGCCCGCACCACACATTGTATGGCACGCATATACCTAGAGCGACAGGTCCATGATTCTGAAAAAAGTGGATTTAGCGGAAATAAGAGTCGGTGTTAATTAAGTCAGCAATGCTTTAAAGTAATATTTGAGCTGTCACTGTGTTTCGACACGACAACAATGGCGGACGACGCCAGTGCGGTGATGGATAACGTCCCTCCCGGCCCCACTGAAGATGCGACTCGCCAAACACCTAGGCATCTGGGGCACACTACGGCCAATATCTATGGTGACCATTTTCACCATCCGCCACATCTGCCGTTTCTGTACACTCGACAGTCTCCTGAAGAACACATTCGCCATAACGGGCAACACCCAAAGGACAATGGACACGAACGACACCACTTTTACGATGTATCTCAGATTGTTAGCTTTGTGAATGAACCGCATTATCGGCACCAAGCACCCACTGAACAGGAAATGCTTGCAGATATCGAACGCTTGCACGACCACCCAACGGACTATGATGGCGAAGACATGCATGTTACTGAAAACCAAATCAAGAATGTCTATCATAGTTTGATTTATATTTTCACTGTGGCCATTTCGCAGATGTTCAGCGTGGGATCTTTAGGTATTGCTGCGTTCTCCATGCGTCAAACGGCTGCTGATTTCCATGCGCCCTCGTCTGAAATGGTGTGGTACCTGGCTGCCTACGGTATTACTAGTGGCGTGTTCGTGTTGATTGCCGGTCGTCTCGGCGATGTATTTGGACACAAATACATCTTTATTGCCGGCTGGCTCTGGACAGCAGCCTTTTCGTTGGGTGCTGGTTTCTGCTCCACCTCTGTTGTGTTTGATGTCATGCGAGGCTTAACAGGTGTAGGTACGGCGATGATTACACCTTGCGCCATTGCGCTTTTGGCGCGAGCTTTTCCTCCTGGCTCAACATGGAAGAACATGGCCTTTGCTCTTTTTGGTTTCTTTGCACCTACTGGGTTTGTCGTGGGTGGCGCTATTGGCGCTGGCTTTGCCCAGAATGTTACATGGCGCTGGGCCTACTGGTTCTGGGCCATTATGTGCTTGTTCTTTGCCATACTTTCGTTCCTTGTGATCCCACACCGTCTTGGCAAGTCACTGCCAGGTGTATCTATGATGAATTATGATTATGTGGGAAGTCTTCTTGGTGTGGCTGGCCTTTTGCTATTTGCCGTCGCATGGTCGCAAGGAGGTGGTCTTGGATGGGATACCGTATATGTGTATGTGCTCTTGATTGTGAGCGTGGTCTGCACGGGTCTTTTTGCCGTTTGGGAAACGATAATCAAACACCCTGTACTCCCCCCCAGTCTCTGGACTCGTCCCGGTTTCGTACCAATGATTCTTGCGTTATTCTTTGGCTGGAATTCGTTCGGTGTACTTATTTACTTCGGCCCCGAGTTCTTGCTCGAATTCCGTGATCTCACTCCATTACACGCGGTCGCTGAGTTCACACCTATTATTATTTGCGGCCTGGTTGCAACGCTTTCCGCTGGTTTTTTCGTGGATTGGATGCCTGTGCAGTACATCTTTTTTGCAGCGTGCTGTTCCTTCCTGTTCGGCAATTTGATGTTCAGTTTGACACCTGCACATCAAATGTACTGGAAGATGGTATTTCCTGCCTTTGCGTTGACCGGTTTTGGCCCCGACTTGAGCTTTACGGCGGCCAGTATTGTCATTTCAAACACGCTACTTCCTTCAGAGCAGGGCGTTGGCGGAAGTCTCATCAACACTGTGGTCTTGTACAGCGCCGGGCTCGGTATGAGTATCGCAGGTACTGTGGAACACTACGTGTTATTGGATACCAATAACGACTTACTATTGGCCTTCCGTGCATGTCTGTGGCTAGGTGTTGGTTTCGCAGGCATTTCAATTTTCATTGTCGTCTTCTTCGTGCGTGACGTTCGCTTCCAGAAGAAGGAAAACACGGAATCCGATGAGGATGAAACGAAAGCTGTCGAACCATCCATTCCAGCACAGAACATTGAGCAGCATTAATGAATAGGTGCATTTCACACTCTGTTACGTTCCATACATATATATATGTTATTCGCTGTTATGATATATGTAATGCAGTTCTTGAAGTAATGGAGGTCGCGTTTAACAATAGTCTATTGTTGTAAGAAGCACGCAAAGTTTTGACTTAAATTCAAGATGATCACACGCCCCACGTAGGCAAAGAAAGTCTCTAAGGTGATGGTAGTATGGGCATCACAGCCCATGAGCCATTTAAAGGGACATCAGCACGATACACGTCATCAAGCTCCATACCACTAGCAGTCTTAAAGCAGGAAGCACAGCAAGGTGTGACTAAATGAGCCATGCCCGCAAGCTTAGTATGCCCTTCATGCTGGAAGTTCACAGAAGCGCCGCCTAGCACCATAGCAACGGCATCACGAACACCATCACAAATTTCACATGGCACAATACCTGGCCGGTCGCCCATGACGAGCAACTTGCGAGGTGTGTAGTAATGACGCACCAATGACGTTAATAACCATCTTTGCAAATAGACTGTGCGCGGGAATGATTCAATGCATTCATTTGGTTGGAACAGGCTGGTATTAGCAGACAAATACATACCGAATTTTATTGATCTTCCAAATATGCTCACAGTCCCCCGAATGAAGAATCCAGTAAGGTTGATGGAACATGAGATCAGGAAGCTCGCAGAAACGAGTTTGAGAGAGCAATGAGGCGACATAGTTGAATTGTGAAAAAGGAGACTCATTTGAAAATGTGTGTTGTTGAAAGGCCCTCATGTAACTTTCGGAAGGGCGTGAAGATGGATCGAATTGGCCATACATCGTTCCATTTACAACAACACAAACATCTGTGACCAAACTGTGATTAAGAAACCTCGGGTATGAGGTCTCTTTATCTACACCAGCATCGTTAGCGCCTGTCCAATGACTCTTTTGTTTTGTACTAGGCTGGTCTGCCGACGCAGGTATATGTTTGTTGTGACACACAATTTCGTCCATCAAATGCTGAAGTGTATGTTGCGCTGTGCACTCAATTTTTTGAGCCAGCGTGTAGTCGACATCACAATGGCTACTGTCTCCCATTCCTGTAGAGCGTACCGTTCCGTCCAAGTTTGGTGTTTTCCGTGTGATGGGTGCGTGCCTTTTAGTGTAGACCGAGATTTCGATAACAAGATTGGGATCGTGAGGTGATATAGGTATCGCTGCTTCGCGATGGGACATGCTAAGCGGCTGATTATTAGTAGAAGAAATACATACCTTAACCTCCAAAGCATTTTGATCTTTGTGAAGGACAGTTTCAGAATAAGATGCCACTTCATCGTACCTACGTACTGTCAGACAACGAGAAGTGCTTACCCATTGAATTGGAAGGCTGGGGGTACAGGGGGTATATCTTCTTGCTCACCAAATGTATGTAGTCCTTTGCTCTTGGTATCCACAATGCATAAACTATCCCACATGCGGTCAGCTGCTTTGTCCAAAGGAGCTTGCTCAGCTGCAGACTTTTTCCGTGACAATTGAGTGCATCGTTCACGGACGATCCGTAAAGAATCACTACTTAGTTTTAGGGTATACGTAGGTGCATGAGAGATAGGAGCACATTCTGTAAGAAATTGTGGCAAGTCCACAGGACTAGGGAGCTCGGCCTCATAAATGCCTGTGCCGCCCATATGTACCAAGCATGCGACACGGAGAAAGCAGCGGCACACCTTGGAACCCTCCACATATATTGTAATGACGACAGGGCCAATGACCAATGCAGCCAGCATGATCTCTCACTTGGAAGCCAGAGAGCTTACTCATATCTACCGCTTTCCAATAGAAGCTTCTATTACAATATAAGTCATTAAAGGTCCGTTATACATAGACGCCAACAGCGTTAAACAAGGCAACAACACCAATACCAGCAAAAGTGCTTCCGAGAATAGCGGAAATAGGTTCCTTGATGGTACCTCCTTGCTTGGGCAGGCTGTCTGGTAAGTCATAGACTGGCAATAGGATACATACGTCGTGAAATAAAATGCCAAGAAGAAAGCAAGGCCTAGAGATACCGTCGCAATCACGGGCATAGCATCAGGGGAGATAGTAGGCACCTTCACGGGAAGCCGCATGAAATCTTTCTACCGAGTAAGCAACGGAAGGCGTGTATTTATGGACATACCTGGACCGTTTCGTACAACTGTTGCAACGCCGACATGGCTGTAACAAGTAGGAGAGGAATAGCCGGTTTGGAGATGTGAGTGCTCGGCCGATGTCAGGCAACCTCCACATGATTGTCGAATGAACCTGCATCGCATGATTCGGACATTCATTGCGAAACCTCGCCGGCCCCTCCATCATGAAAGCCATCGCTGCTTTGGTGAACAAAGGGTTCCGCCGCGTAGAGCGCGCAGGTGAAGCTGCGATGGGACGAGTTGGTCCATTGTTCGTGGCTATATATGTCATCCTCGTTGGATCAGGCATGATTGTTTTCTGTATGTGTCACACGTGTGCTTACGATCAGTCGTATGCGTATTGCGGGAAGTGGCACCTATACCCAGTCCGCTTCAGCAAACCATATCCATACCTTCACCTTTTCATATGATATTAGGTATGCCAACAGCTATTGCGGAAAGTCTTTGGCAAGAGACGCTTCCTACCTTACGTTTTGCCTTTGTTTCGCTGGGTTGTATTTATATCGCCACAATGATGATCTGGTCTTACTATATGGCCTGCATAGTTCCACCAGGAACAGTCGATCGTGGGCTTTACGGTGTATGCCAAGAGATGCGCCATGGTCCCGGAAGCACATTATGGTGGCGTCAAGCTCAGGAAAAAGTAGCTTTGGCGGCTCAGATGGGACCGCCAGAAGCCGTGAGTAATGAGGCAACGTCCAAATCCGCAGAGATGAATTTGGAAAGCTCTGAGCCTTCCCCTATGGATAAAGCCGAGCAAAAGAAAGCGGACTTGTCTGTGACGTTCCGATTTTGCAAGAAATGCAAATATATTCGCTTAGCCAACGCTATTGCGCACTTACCCCCCGAACTCCGCCAGCGTGAAAAGGCAAACCGAAGAAATCGAATTCTAGAACTACGACGACAAGCATCCCAGCAAGAGAATAGTGAGACGCTTATACCCGATATCTCGCACCCTCCCAGTTTGTTTGAGGACGAAGACGACGAAGGCGAGTATGAAATAAGCCAATGGCTCGGTGAGAAGGAGTCGGAAATGATGGTCCTCCCTCCCAAACCTGAACGGGCACATCATTGCCGAACATGCAAAGCATGCGTATTGAAATTTGATCATCATTGTCCGTGGATCAACCAATGTGTTGGACTAGGTAATGAACGCTACTTTATTCTGTTCATGTGTTGGTTTGCACTAGGAACCTTGATTTTCACGGCAGCAGGTTGGCGTCTGGCTCTTCTTGCTCTGCGGAAGCCTAAGGCGTGGCCGTCAACGCTCGTACCCCGAGTGGTCTACTTAGCCTTGATTGCCAAGTCTGCCATCATGGGTATGGCTGTGTTTATTCTGGCCTGCTGGCACTTGCACCTAGTGATGCAAGGTGAAACATCCGTGGAGAACCAAGACAATGGTAACTACCGCAAGATGGCCAAAGAGCGAAACGATACCTTTCAAAACGTGTACGACTTGGGATCTATACGTAATTTGCAAATCTTTTTCAATGTTGGCCCTGGTATGGCATACCAGTATTATACCCTATTTTTACCTATTCATATTGAGCCGTATTCTGATGGGTGGCATTGGGCGAAGAGAAAGGGCTTTGGTGGTCATCATATGGGTATATCACGGGATGAAGAGTTTACAGATGATGAAGGTGACCCAATCCTACCTGGATAACAGTGCGAGAATAGGAAATAAACTCCTATGTGGCCTGCCAATGTAGCCGCAACATCTTACCTGGTCGTGTTCTGACAAGGCCCCAGGTATTGTAGTAGATCACGCATTACCGTATTGATATTAATAAATATTCAAAGAACCTAGGACCAAAGTAAACCCCAGTTATTCATTTTCTTAGATTTTCTTTTCCTGATCAAGCAAGTCCTGCACATAATGAACGGGCGCCACAGGTTCTGCGTTGATGTTAGACACCATACCGGGTTCACCATTGTGCCAACGAGATTCTGGATCTGTGCTGGCTTGTGCAATCGCCTCCTCGGCAGAGGTCGCATTGGGATGGTCGTGAGAAATCGCGAATTCTTGGCCTTGCTCTGGATTCAAGCCAAAGACAATAAGCACCAACAAGTAGAAGGCGACACAGCCCAGCAGAATCGCACTGACCGTCGCAGAGTCACCAACAGTCTTGTTAGGGTTTTGCGGGTCCTGCACACGGATGTTCTGAGCACCTGTCTCTTCAATAGTAGCCGACGCAGAGCTAGCCATGTTACCAAGCTGGTAGGCCAGACCGGGGAACGTAGCCCGGAAATTGGGCGGCGACAATTCCGAAAGGAACACAGGCACAACACCCCAAGCACCCTGCACACCAACCTGCACAAAGAAAGCACCCGCAGCAAGACCACTGAAAGTGTTCGGAAGAATCCAAGCTGGAACCATTGCACCAGCCAAGATGATAAACATCACCATAGCAATACGTCGTCCAACGTACTGAGAAAGGTAACCGGCAATCAGACCACCTGCAATAGCACCGCAATTGGCAATAATCGTAAGGACCGAGGACTGGTCAGCCGACATGCCCTTCACATTTTGGACAATCGATGGGTAAAGGTCTTGTGAAGAGTGACTAAAGAAGTTGAAGCCAATCATCAACAGAACACCAAAAATACACTGAGGCCAGTATTTCGCAAGAGTGTGCTTCACCTCGCTGAGGAAGGACTTCACAGAGCCATGAGACGAAGGCTTGAGCTTACGAAGACGGCGCTGCTCCTTAAAGTTGGCACCTTCAGGGACCAGAGCACGGAAGATCGCAGCCAGGAGGGAAAGACCAGCACCAAGGTAGAAAAGGTATTCCCACTTAGGAAGAGGGTACCTGTGAGCTGTTTTGTTGACCCAACTCAGGTTAGCAGCAGCGGCAATCAAATAGCCAATGGCGTATCCCTCTTGGAAAAAGCCAGAGAAGAGACCACGCGCAGCAGGTGGCATGTCTTCCAGGCACGTCGCGTTGGCCATACCCCAAATACCACCCATAGCAATACCGAAAATAGATCGGACACCAAGGAACGTTTTGAACTCCGTGCAATACGCGGTCGAAAGAGAAAGAGCTGCGACAATAACCAAATTGATGGTGAGAACCCAACGACGGCCATATCGATCAGCCAGTATACCGAAAATCAAAGCACCAGCAGAACGAAGCAACAGCGTAAGCATGATAGCATACGTGATTTGTTTGGTAGAATAAAACTTTCCATCATGACTGAAGGCCTTTTGAAGGCTTCCCACACTCATAGACACAGCAAAAAAGTCATACGAATCCATAATCCATGCAAACAAGCCACAGAAAAAGCGAACCCAATCCATCCAACTAAGCATAATTATCACCTTGATAGGGTTGAGAGGAGCCCCACCGCGCATGCGGATACGCTCCTCTTTCGTCGGGATACGGAATAAACCATGAGTTGGGTCCCACATACTTGTTGAGAGGAGTGAAGAGACAAACCACCCCGGATTCCCCCCAAGTTGTTCATTTCATAAAAGGCAAACTCTTCAACGCCCAAAACTGTGGGGAGAGTTATTTATGCAGGAGTAAAAATAGAAGTATATCAGTGGCCTAAAATTGAGGGCGTATCTAGTGGTATGTGGAGAGAGACTTGGGTGAGAAAAAAACGCAAAATCATGCGACATGATTCACCGTTGTCCGATGACTGACTGGAAGGAAAAACGCTAAATTCCTAAGCACATATTTTGAGCTAGGCACTACTATGAAAATGGCGTGCTGGCCCCTATAGTCGAAACACCCCGCAAAAGTGGCCGTTGCATGAATTCGTTCCTAGTTGACCCTTTTCTTCGCAAGAAAGGAACTTTAGGTCTTTCTGAATAATCCTCCACTTGTGAGATGTTGAGAGCGCAGGTTACACCATCTCCTTTGTCACTGGGATCATGGTGTCATCCACTTGGGACTACATTTTGAAATTCATCATTATTGGTGATGCCTCCGTAGGCAAGTCATCCTTGCTTGTCCGCTTAACGGAAGATCGCTTTCTTATAAATTCGGACGCCACAATTGGCATTGAATTTGGCTCTCATATTGTTACACTTGCCACCGGAGAAAAGCTCAAGCTACAAATTTGGGATACAGCAGGAAGTGAGCAGTTTCGAAGCATAACACGCTCCTATTACAAAGGCTCGTTAGGATGCCTTGTGGTTTATGACATAACCAACCATGCTTCTTTTACGCATGTACTATCATGGCTCCGAGATGTGAAGGAACAGGCGGAGGAAAACGCAACGATCGCTTTGGTAGGTAATATGGCGGACCTTTCAGAGCAACGTGCCATATCAGAAGAGGAAGGCAGAGCTTTTGCTAAAGAACATGGCCTACTATTCTACGAAACAAGCGCAAAATCTGGGCAGAATGTTGAAACTGTCTTTTCGGCGATTGCCCAGCATGTTTTTGATCACCATCAGATTGCTGGGAAACAAGCAAATGTTCACACTAGAGATGCGGGTGTCTCATTACAACAGGGAGCGACATCGACAAGCTCATGTTGCGTGTAATTAAAAAGGCAACCTATAAAATGATATGAACACTGTATTATACCTATGAAAGTGTACAATAATTAAACTGAACGAGGGTGTCAAGGCTCTTCGCACTTTCAAGCAACGATGTAAGAAAGTTTGTGAATAGAATATATACGCACGGCACTGAATACTTTTTAGTGTTTCAAGATGTTACATAAAACGATAATTATGCAATACGTATAAAATGGCAAGTTATGGCATAAGAGGGTCTGAAAAAAGAAAGGGGAATCAATTGGTATATCAGGCGGTGGCGTCGTGGGTATGCTCTGGCCCCTCTCGCCAGTTGCCACCACTGGGGCCATGACGCCAATCACGTTCATATGTTTTTGGCATATCAGAGTACGTAGCAGCGGCTTCTGCTTCGACTTGGGCCATGCGTTCTTTCCAGCCTAATTGCATAAAGTCTTGCTTGGCCATCTTTTCGCAACGTTTCTCCCGATTCTCAACGGCAAGCTCATGGTACAGCTCACGGATGAGAGCGGGAGAGGCGTACCGCAAATGCATAAAGTTGCACTGACCTCCACGATTGCATTCATTCGTTTCATTTTGTCGGCAGCATGCTTCACGGAAATCGCTTACAGGCGAGAGCTCAGCGAAAATAGGGCGTTGGTGAAACCAGCGTGTATTCAAACCATCGACTGCACGTTGGGCATCGTCTTCCGATTCATATCGCGCATATACATTGCCAATTAGATGGTCACCAACATTATCGCAGACGTGTACTTCGACCAATTCACCGTAAGAGCTCAATCCTTTGAATAGGTCGGTGAAAAATTGATCGAACTGTTGTTGTAGTTCCTCATTGGATAGGTGGCAATGGGGATCCAAATGCTTGGGGTTCTGGTATAAGTTGGAGAGAAGAATCGTTTTTGAGCGAGTGGGTGGTACATGACGACGTGAGCATCGATCTCCGTGACGACAAGCGCCAATTTTAAAGTAGAAAGAGCAATTTACTTTGTCTTGCTCTGTGCCGAGCTCGCGCGAAGTAGGCAGCATCGTGTGACGGACGCAATGCTGTCGCGTTCCTTGGACGAACGTAAGAGCGTGTCCAAGTCGAAGAATGCCACGTGGGTCCACGTGGAGGAGAATCGCTACGGGCAAAGCACGTCGTCTGCGAAGCATCCCCACAAGAGCAACAGCGGCTGGACCAAGGAACGCGAGAGTTATACTAGATGACGGTAAGTCACCGGAAACCGCGCCCCTCGCAGCCAAATAAGGAACGATCAAGTATGTATGGTACAAATAGGCCCGAGCTAACAACACTGAAGCGGCTGAGCCGGGTGTGCGGTATCACTGTGACGTATGCGGTGCTGATATCACCTTAACTGTGCGCATTCGGTGTGCAGGTGGATGTGAAGACTTTGATTTGTGTGGTACCTGCTTTTGTATGGGATCCGAAGTGGGGAACCACAAAGCATGGCATGACTATCGCGTGATTGAGCAGCATGCTACGCCGGTCTTCTGCCCTGATTGGGGTGTCGATGAAGAGCTGCTTCTCATCGATGGATGTCAACTATACGGTCTAGGGAATTGGATGGACATTGCTGATCATATTGGCAATCGAACGAAAGAAGAGGTGGAGCGACACTTCCTGGATGTGTATATTGAGGGAAAAAATGGTCTTCCTTCCGGGGAAGAACGTGCGAAAGCGGCCGTGGAAGAATGGCGTGCGACACACCCAGTTGACCCATCATACCATGGTGAAGAACAGCTTCCGATTGTGGGACCAGACCCCAACTTCCATACGGATATGAGTGCAGAAGAGTTTCAACGAGCGCGTCGTGAGCGTGTGGAGAAACTTCGGGAGGCACAGGCAGCGTTTGTGCCGCCCAAACCAGGCAAGCCTTTGGTCTCAGCGCCCACGACGCACAGTGAACTGGCCGGATTTATGCCAGGTCGTTTGGAGTTTGAGCATGAGTACGAACAGGAGGCAGAGCATGCTGTCAAGGACATGGAGTTCGGCCTTGTGTATTCCTTTGGCGGCGACGATATGCCTACAGAGACAGAAGCGCTAGGTGGAGAAGGTGCGACGCAAGGCAAGCCACGTATGGAAGCGAGTGGTCGTGGTGGTCCTGTCAATGTGGCTACGCCGCCGCCGGAGGAGGCAGATGAAGAGACGTTCACCGATGCCTCAGAAGGCCAAGCGGAGCCTATGGCAGTGGACGAAGGGCCGAAGGCCGATCCTGATACGGGAGGTAAGTCGACACAGACGGAAGATGCGGCGGCAGCAGCTGTAGCGGCTGCATCTGCATCCGCCGAGCAGGATGCGACGGAGGCCACGACAGAGGAGCGCTCGCCTGATTGGGATGAAGATCCAGCTGACTTGGACTTGAAGCTGGCTGTGTTGGATATTTACAACGATCAACTTGACCGACGTACGCGCAAAAAGCGGTTTTTGTTTGAACGCAACCTGGTCGATTATCGACGTCATACGGCCGCCGAGCGTCGTCGGCCCAAAGAAGAACGCGAGCTCTTGTCGCGTGTAAAACACTTTGCGACGTTGCAAACAGCCGAAGACTTTGAAGAGATGTTCCGCAACCTGTGCTACGAAGAAGCACTCAAAAAGACTGTTCGGCAACTTCAGCAGTACCGCCGTATGGGAATCAGTACCTTTGCTGAGGCTGCGCGGTACGAACGGGAGTTGGCCGAGCGAACAAAACGGCAGATGGAAGCTGCCGAAGGAGCCGTGCCTCTTGCTGCGGCAGGGCGTGTACGTCATCGCGAGCGGAGTCAGTCGGTGATGGACAAGACACAAGCGGACGACTTTTCGTTTGCGAGTGCGCCCTCTATCCAGCTTCTGAGTGCAGAGGAGCAGCAACTCTGCTCGCTGCTGCATGTGCTGCCGCAGCCCTTCCTTATCATCAAAGGGGCCCTTCTTACCTTCAGCTATGCTCACCACAAGGCGCTCACAGTGCAGCATTGCCATCGTCTGTGCCCGATGGACAAACGCAAAGTATCGCATATTTACGATTTCTTCAGAGACAAGGGCTACTTTGATGCGGTGGCAGCAGCGTACGACCGACATGCGACAACGGCATCCAATGAGTCTGTCGACTAAGCTCTGTGTTCTACGGCAAAGAAACTCCTCCGAAGCACGGCTACGTTTCGTATGCCACGCTGCTACATACCCCCAACATGTACGATAGACACGTTAGGCACCTGTGACATAGGCATAGGCGTTCTCAAACATGCGGAACCACGGACTGCGACCCTGCCATTGTGCAGCCTCCTTGGCAGGCGCCCAGCTCATTGCCTGCGTCGCAACTACACGCTCAGGATGAGGCATAAGCGCCAAGACACGGCCTTGCACAGCCGTCACACCAGCAATGTTAGCTGTCGAGCCGTTCGGGTTGAGTGGGTAGCGACTGTCAGCGTACCGTATCGCGACACCACGTGCCGACGTCAGTTCGTCGACATCTGTGGTCTTGTCGAACGCCGCACGGCCTTCCGCATGCGCCACGGCGATCGGCATACGACTCTTGGCCATACCGCTGAAGAAGATGCAGTCTGACTCCTCGATCTCCACATTCACAGTGCGTGCTTCGTACCGACCGCTCTCGTTGGGCGAGAACGACGGCCAGTGCGCTGCACCGGGAATCAGACCCGCACGGCCAATCGTACTAAGCATCTGACAGCCATTGCACACACCCAACGCAAACGTCTTCTCACGCTGGAAGAACGCCTCGAATTCCGACCGCACCGACGAGTGGAGAAGGACCGAGTTTGCCCAGCCACGACCCGAGCCCAGGACGTCTCCGTACGAGAAGCCACCGCACGCCGCAAGACCATCAAAGTCACGCAGCGAGACACGACCAGCAAGCAGGTCGGTCATGTGCACATCCACCGCACAGAAGCCAGCGCGCGCAAAGGCCCACGCCATTTCCACGTGTCCATTCACACCCTGCTCGCGCAAAATCGCGACGCGAGGCTGCGAAGCAAGAGGACGCTCAATGGTCGCAGCATCGGCCAGCTTCAGCGCGGCAGGATCAAATGTCAGCTCGTACGAAAGACCCGCCTTGGACTGGCTCGCTGGCTCGTCAATCAGCGCATACTCCTGCGCCGCAGACTCAGGGTTGTCACGCAGCGACTGCATGCGGTACGACGTCTCTGCCCAGGCCTTCTGGAGAGCGGCACGGGTCGAGGAGAGGCACACCTGGCCTTGCGCGCGAATCTCAATACGCTCCTCATCGTACAGCACATGACCCAGGACATGCATCGCCGACGCTGGCACACCGAAGGCCGTGAGTACAGTAGAGACAGACTGCATATCCGAGTCGCGCACCTGGAGTACAGCACCAAGCTCTTCGTTGAAGAGCGCCGCAGTAGGCGTTGTGCGCACGATCTTGGAAATGTCCAGATCCAAACCCATCCGACCCGCAAAGGCCATCTCCACGACCGTGGCCAGCAGACCACCATCCGATCGGTCGTGGTAGGCGTGCACCAGCGGAGGCACATCGCGCTTGCCCGCATGCAACTGCTTCAGCATACCCATGACGTTGAAGAACACACGAAGCAACTCCGCATCTTCCACATCAGGGGCCTCGTGACCCAGCTCACGGAACACCTGCGCCAACGCCGAACCGCCCAGACGCTGACGACCCTGAGCCAGATCAATAAACAGCAGCGACGAGGGGCCATCCGCACGCTGGAGCTGCGGCGTCCACGTAGCCGACACATCCTTCACAGGCGCAAACGCGGTGATGATCGGGCTCAGGGGCGCTGTGACAGTACGCTTCTCGCCATTGGGGGCATGCCACGACATGCCCATCGACATCGAGTCTTTGCCGACAGGAATGGAGAGGCCGAGCTTGGGGCACAGGTCAAGACCAATAGCCTTCACGGCATCGTACAGCTCTGCACCATCGTGTTCGTAGCCAGCCGAGCACATCCAGTTCGCGCTCAACTTGATCTTCTCAATGTCGTCCACGTACGCGGCCGCCAAGTTGGTCAGAGCCTCACCGACAGCCATACGCGCCGATGCCGCGCCGCTCAGGAGCGAGAGCGGCGTACGCTCGCCACTCGTCATCGCCTCACCAGGCGCCTGGTCGTCGAACGAGTACGACGTGCGCGTCACAGCAACGTCAGCGACAGGCACCTGGTACGGGCCGACCATCTGGTCACGCACCACAAGACCCGTGACACTGCGGTCACCAATCGTAATGAGGTACGACTTGGAGCCTACGCTGGGTAGGTGCAATACACGCTGCACAGCCTCGGCCACACGCTGTGACTCGCTCATGTCCGGCAGGGACGCAGCGAGAGTGGCATCAAAAGGCACCGTCTGACGCTTGGCATGCGTCGCGACACGTTCCATCTTGGGCGGCTTGCCGAAGAGCGTCGACATGGGGAGATCAATGCACACTTCGTTGCGCAGACGATCACGCAGGACCAAACGGGGCTCTTCGGTGGCATACCCCACCACAGCGACAGGGCAACGCTCACGCTCCGCAATGGCCATGAACGCATCGAGGTTGGCCGGGCGGACAGCGAGTACATAACGTTCTTGACTTTCATTGCACCAAATGGCCAACGGACTCAGCGACGTGTTGCCCAACGGCACATCACGCAGCTCAAATTCGGCACCGAGACCCGCATCGTGCACAATCTCCGGGAGCGCGTTGCTTAAACCACCTGCACCCACATCGTGGATGCTCGCAATGGGATTCACCTCGGCTGTGCAGCAGGCATCGATCACCTCTTGACAGCGGCGCTGCATTTCTGGGTTCTCACGTGAAACACTGACAAAGTCCAACGTCGAGCGCTCCGCGCCACCGCCCGCCATCGAGGAGCTCGTGCCGCCTCCGAGACCAATCAAGTAGCCAGGACCACCCATGACAATCAGAGCATCGCCCGGCTGAATCTGGCCCTTGAACGTGTACTCTGGGCGAACGTTGCCCAGACCACCTGCCAGCATGATCGGCTTGTGGTACCCACGCCATTCGTGGCCCTTTTCGGTAGGCACACGCTCACACAGTGTGCGCCAGAAACCCGTCAGGGCAGGACGGCCAAACTCATTGTTGAATGCAGCGGCACCGATGGGTGCATCGCGCATAATTTCAAACGAGCTCGCGACGTGCATCGGTTGGCCGATATCCTCTTCCCATGGCTGACGACCGTCGCCCGGAAGGAGCAGGTTCGACGACATGAAACCAGCCAGACCCGCCTTGGGCTTAGAGCCACGGCCAACGGCACCCTCATCACGGATCTCACCACCGCTACCGGTGGCCGCACCAGGGTACGGCGAAATGGCTGTAGGGTGGTTGTGCGTCTCCACCTTGGCGAGGATCGGCATCGGCTCACGACGTCCAATGTACACGTGAGGCACACGGCGGTCATCACTCAGGGCCAAGGCATCCGGCGCTGGAAGGAAACGCACGCCATCGGAGCCATCGAGAACGGCAGCGTTGTCTGAGTACGCACTGATCGTGTGCGTCGGCGTGATCTTGTGTGTGTTTCGAATCATGCTAAACAGAGACTGTGGCTGCACCTGACCATCGATCGTCCAGGACGCATTGAAAATCTTGTGACGGCAGTGCTCCGAGTTCACCTGCGCAAACATAAACAGCTCGACATCGGTAGGGTTACGACGCAGCGGGGCCTCGTCGCCTTGGCCACGCACAAACGCGTCGACCAAGTAGTTGATCTCATCAGGCGCCAATGCCAAGCCAAACTCGACATTGGACGCTTCCAAGCGCGCATGCGCCGCGTCCCAGTTGGTATCCGTCGACGACGACAAGAGCTCGACGGTACGCAAGAGGCCAGGCTCAGACGTGCCAAAGAGCGCCGCCGCACTCTCCGAAGGGGGCGCGCGGTCAATCGTCTGTGTCATGCGGTCATGCAAGAGCTTTTCAGCACGCAGCAATTCGTCGTCCGTCAGCGGTTCGGACACATGCAGGGCATAAGCCATACCACGCTCCATACGCTTGACGACCGCATCCATGCCGCAAATATGCGAGATATCAGTTGCCTTGGAGGACCATGGAGTCGTGTTGCCTGCACGTGGCAACACAAAGAGCACGTCTGTGCCATCGGCGGACTCCCCAGCAAGTGCCTTCGTGACGAGTGCCTTGGTATCGTCCAGTTCGACATGGTCACCGTAGTTAAGAAGCTGGTCAATCACACGGCGCTCATGACTGGAGGCATCCTGGAGCTTGGCCAGTGCCTCAGCTGAGGTCGCCTGGACCATGTGAAGATGAATACCATCGACACTGGTCACATGCGGCGCAATGACTTGCAACTGCTCCAGCAACTGGTGCCGCTTCGCCTCGAGGGAGGTCGAGGGACCAAGGAGGGTAAGGCAGTGGACCTGCGTAGATTCCATCTTTAGCAGGTGGACTCCAACTCGCACAGCCGATGAAGGTAGGCACAAGGAAAGAGCACTGGCGCGGCGTGCCAAGGATGACGGACTCGCACGCTCCTCGCCTCGCCCGCTCGTCCCCCTTTTTTTTGCTAGGCCAGTCTACGCGGGGCTTATGTTTAGTCAGCGCCCAATAATTCGAAAAGGACGAGGCCAGGACCGCCGCCGCACGACGTGCGCCAGGCCTCCTCGAAGCCACACGAACACGTTGCGCCACCACGTTGACGGACGGATGAGTGACGTGGTGTTTAAGAAGCGATCCAGAGCAGGTGCACGCGATGTACGCAAACGAGGGCCGGATGATACAGAAGCTGTAGCGGAGCAGCCTGAAACGAGCTCGGCTGTTGTCACGAAAAAGTCGCGCACAGACGCTGCGTGTCACGATGAGGATCGTCCTGCGCATGTAGACCGATTTGGTGAGAGCTCCATTCGGGCAGTGGAGCGGGCCAATACGTCTGCGTTGAACGCAAACACCAACAAAGACGATGCTGCACGAAGTGCGAACGACTGGGACGTGCAGGAAGAAATGGCGTCGTTCCAGTCGAACGACGATGGCAAGTACCGTGGCATGGCCGGCTATGCCAAGTATACCCAGGAGCGGGACGATGGCAGCTCGGCCAAGTTCAAAGCCAAAGGGCCCATCAAAGCGCCGGCGAATGTACGAACAGTGACGGTCGTGGACTACCAGCCAGATGTGTGCAAGGACTACAAAGAGACGGGCTATTGTGGGTTTGGCGATACATGCAAGTTCTTGCATGACCGAAGTGACTACCTAGCAGGCTGGCAGCTGAACAGTGTGGGCGAGGCGGCGGATGCGCGTGCCGGCACGTTTGGGGTTGAAGAGAGTGACGAGGAAGAGGAAGAGATTCCGTTTGCGTGCCTGATTTGCCGGCAGCCTTTTACGGACCCTGTAGTGACGCTGTGTGGCCACTATTTCTGTGCGCAGTGTGCGATTCAGCGGTTTGCCAAGACGCCCAAGTGTTTTGCGTGTGGCGCGAAGACCAAAGGGCTTTTCAACGCCGCGACCAAGATCCTTGAGCGGATGAACCAGCGCCAAGCAGCCAAAGCCGAAGCGCGAGCGGAGCGGCGACGTATGCATGGCCTGGAGGAGGAGCGGGACACGGCGCAGGATGCTACGCCGCTGCTCGATGGTGTGGTTGTCGACACAGACTCATGATTTGGAGCGTGCTTGGCGCTGCTTGTACTCAGCCGGTGTCTCGACGCGCCGACCGAGACTCCACATACCCAATTTGCTTCGCTTGGCATGCTCCTCGGCCCGTTCCAGCGCACGACGACCAGTTTGCACACGCAATAACGTGCGGGACAGCCATGTGGGTGGGCCGTAATCGGCGCCAGTGGCGCGGTATACAGTCGCCAGGCCTTGGCGAACGAGCGATAAAGAGACATTGGTCTTCCCAAAGATGTACGGCCACGTCCACACGTAAGGCGTGCCGACCAGGCGCTGGTACTGATCAATGTGTGCGAGGGAGAGCCACACGGTCCGACCTTCTACGAGTCGCTTCAACTCTGCCTTGGCTTCGTCGGCAAACGGCTGGCCTTCGCGTCCAAAGTGAGCTGCTTCCGGTGCATCGCAGCCAGCGAGACGGACGGAGATGGTTTGCTGCCGCAGGTCAGCAGCCTTGGTGGGGGGTTTGTAGACCCAGGACCGAAGGAACGGAAGGCCTGGCGTATGGTACAATCGGAATCCGTCAGCATCACCGACATGGGTCACGCGGCCGACCAACACGCGACGAGAGTGCAGGACGGCCGGTGTGACGTACGCGGCATTCGGGATCCGACGGAAGAAACGCCACCAGGCAAAGTAGCCGCCACAGACAGTGACAGCACTCGCCGCTGCCGCGCCTAGCGGCGTAGAGATGACATACAGCAGCGATCGGAAAGGCCATGCAAAGCCCGAGATCGGAGGCTCATCCACGGCATGGACAGGGTACGACGGCGCTTCGCTCGAGGGCTCTTGGGCCAGCACACGCAGCCAATCGTCGCCTTTTGCTCCTCGCAACTGCTCGATCCGCTGCTTGAGGGGGGCCGATGCGTCGTCCACAGTCAGGCGCGAGGTACTCTTTCGTTTGCGTCGTGGCGCTGGCGTAGGCGGCAGCTGCGGCGAGGCGGCCGTGTCTTGGGGATGCTTGACGACGCGACGTGCTTGTGAGGCTACATGGGCCTCAATCACACTGGAATCGCGACGGGGCGCACTAGCGCGACGCTGCGCGACCAGCGCCTGAATCCGCCGCTGTTCCCAGAACCCAGGCTGTGTATCGTCGAGGAGAATCGACTTTTTCTCGTAGGCAAAGGCCGTGAAGCAGGCGATACGCGCTTCGCGTGTCATGGACAGCATAGGATTCGCAGCAGTCCATACATGCGAGATGTGAGGGAGAGTAGCCAATCGGCCAATCTCGCCGGGATCGTACAGCTGGTTGTGTCGTACATCCACTTGCCGTAGAGATAAGAGTCGTTCCATCCCACACAAGCTGTCCAAACGGTTGCCGCTGAGATTCAGTGCACAGATATGCGGCAGAGCATCGTAGATGCCCAGCACGCTATCGACCATATTGTCGCAGATGTTGAGGCCACGTAGATGGGGTATATGGGCCAATGCAGGCGGCACAGCATTCAGCAAGTTGTGAGAGACATCGAGGTATGTGACATGGCCCCAGTGCTGCACGCTGGCCTCGTCGAGGAACGTCAGCTCGTTGTAAGGCAAGGCGACACACCGCAACGCATGCCAGGCAGCCGCAGGCATCGTGGACGCCGATGCGTCGCGGACGACAAGGTCGGTACAGACGCCTGCGACGTCCGGGATATGGCAGTACGAGCAGGAGAGGGATGTGAGTTGAATGCACAAACGGTCCCATCCCAGGATCGTGCAGGGCTCGACGCCAACCAGGGCCAAGTGCGCGAGACTCGTAAAGAAGTGAAGTGGCGTGCCATGTGTGCCGGGATACGACGCGAGCTCCTCGTTCGACGAGGTGGGCGCAGAGGTGATGGCCAACGAAGTGACGCGGGGCAGCACGGTGCGTAGGTACGCCCATACTGGCTCAGCCGAGGTCTCAGCTGACGGATCGCCATACCACCAGCTCGATACAGTATGGATGGTCTGCTGGAGCGACAGTATACTTTTGGTATCGCTTGTGTCCTGCGGCTGCGACGCCTCCGTCGCAGGGGCGCGGGTGGGATACGGCACGTCGACGACGACATCCATAGGCCCTACATGAGCGCCGAGGCCTTCGAGATGGAGGAGCACGTAGTACAGATGATGAATATCGATCCGCAAAGGTGTAGGCTGCTCGATGCGGCACACGTCTGCCTCATGCCGACGGACCCAGCGAGCCCACTCAAGACACCAAGTGTCCATCACGTCGAGTGTGGAGGTGTCCTGGCCCAACCTGCCTGCCGCCTCAAAAGACAGCGGCGAGGCGCGCGCGGCCGCCGGCCGACGTGAAAAAAAGCCGCGCAGGTGAGGGGGGGGGTCTTCTACCAGGAGGGCCAGCCGTGATTTTTTTTTCTCGCGAATTGCATGCTTCGCTGGGTTGGCGTACTACCACGACGAATCCCGCGTATTGCTGCTAGTGCACCCACCGTTCCAAGAGTTCGATTTCTTACGCAAACAAGGATGACTGAGGCAGAAGCTGGTGCCGTGAACCTGCTCCAGGACCCTGTGACAGGGGAGATGGTGAGCAAGAGTGAGCTGAAGCGACGACAGAAGCAGCGCCAGAAGGAGGCCGAGAAAGCGGAGAAGGCCAAGACGCAGGCGGCGGCGGCGCCTGCGCAGCAGAAGGCAGGCGCGCACCTCGCTGCGGAGGAGTCGCTCACGCCGAACCAGTACTATGAGATGCGCTGCCGCGCGATCCAAAAGCTGCGCGAGACGCGCAACCCTGACCCGTACCCCCACAAGTTCCACGTGTCGATGGGTCTGACGGACTTTATCGAAAAGTACCAGGACAAGGTCGAGGCTGGCGCGCAGCTAGACGAGGTCGTGTCGGTGGCGGGTCGTCTGCACAACATGCGTGCGTCGGGTCAGAAGCTGCGCTTCTACGACTTGCATGCGGAGGGCGTCAAGATCCAGATTATGGCGCAGCTGCAGGACCACAAGGAAGGCGACTTCTTCGAGGCGCATGACCTCCTGCGTCGTGGTGACATTGTCGGTGTGAAGGGTGTCCCTGCGAAGACCAAGAAGGGAGAGCTGTCGATCGTCCCGCACTCTATTCAGCTGCTCTCGCCGAATCTGAAGATGCTGCCGAAAGCCTCGGGCGGTGGCTTTACCGACCAGGAGCAGCGCTACCGCAAGCGCTACCTGGACCTGATCATGAACCCGCATGTGCGTGATATCATGGTGGCGCGTGCTCGTACGATTCAGTACGTGCGTCGCTTCCTCGACTCGCTCGGTTTCCTTGAAGTGGAGACGCCGATGATGAACCAGATTGCGGGTGGTGCGAGTGCCAAGCCGTTCATTACTCACCACAACGACCTGAAGATGGACCTGTTCATGCGCATTGCGCCGGAGCTGTACCTGAAGGAGCTCATTGTGGGTGGTCTCGACCGTGTGTACGAGATCGGCCGTGTGTTCCGCAACGAGTCGATTGACCAGACGCACAACCCCGAGTTCACTACGTGTGAGTTCTATATGGCCTATGCGGATATGTACGATCTGATGGACATCACCGAGAGCATGGTCTCGGGTCTCGTGAAGGCCGTGACGGGCAGCTACAAGGTGACGTACCACCCGGACGGCAAGGAGGACCCGAATGGCCGCGTGTTTGAGATCGACTTTAGCACGCCGTGGAAGCGCTTCGAGATGATCCCGGAGCTGGAGAAGCAGCTCAACGTGACCTTCCCGCCGGCCGACCAGCTGCACACCGAGGAGACGCGGCAGTGGCTGAGCGACCTCTGCGCGAAGCACGAGGTGGAGTGCAGCGAGCCTCGCACCGCCACGCGTCTGATCGACAAGCTGGTCGGCGAGTACATTGAGTCACAGTGTGTCAACCCGTCGTTCATCTGTGGCCACCCACAGATCATGTCGCCGCTGGCGAAGCGCCACCGTGAGATCCCCGGTCTGTGTGAGCGTTTCGAGGCGTTTGTCGCGACCAAGGAGATTGCCAATGCGTACACAGAGTTGAACGACCCGTGGGTCCAGCGCGAGAACTTTGAGGAGCAGGCGCGTCAGAAAGATGCCGGTGACGACGAGGCACAGGGTATCGACCATGTCTTTATCGATGCGCTCGAGCATGGTCTGCCGCCGACCGGTGGTTGGGGTCTCGGTATCGACCGCCTGGTCATGTTCCTCACCGACTCAAGCACCATCAAGGAAGTGCTGGCATTCCCTGCCAACAAGCCCGAACAGAACTAATGAGATAGCTAGTGGTAGGCCCATGCCAAGTAGTCACGAACGCCTTCCAACGATGCAAGCAACGGCTCCAGACGAGGCGATGTCGCGTCCTTCGCGAGGAGCGCACGGTACGTCCGAGAGCGCAAGTACGCCAGCATCGCGTCCACGTCGTCGGTGGACGTCGTGGCGTACCATACATCGGCGCCACGCATATGGACAAGCAGTTTGTGCGACCAGTGCCCCGTCATGCTCGGCGTCGCTACGCCTTGGGCGGCCTCCGCGCACACCTTCGATGGATCGCTCACTGGCAAGAGGTGCCAGTACTCACGCCCCTGTGCATCACAGCCCAACGGACCATCGCGCAGCGCCTCACGACGCGCTTGCAGGTACATCTCAGCACGTACCCAGCGCTTTTGGCGCTCGTGCGTAGCGATCATCTCTTGTTTCTGATGTGAGCAAGCAAAGACACACGTACCTGCTGCTTCCACGCCGCATACTGTGGCGACACCATCGAAGGCGCCGTTTTTTGCAAGGCACGAAGCTCGTCCGCGCATTGCTGCTCGACCTCTTGGACCCGCTGCTTGCGCTCGTGCGTCGAGTGCGCCGCGTCGACAATCGGCTGCACAAGCTTGTGCAACGGATTCTCAAAGGGCGGCATTTTCGCGGTGGAAATCGCCAAGGCATCGCAGAGCGTCACAAGGCACGCCCACTTCTCTTCGAGTGGCATCGGCGGTGCGTCGTCGTGCAGGACGGGAGCCTGCGGCGCACGAAGCTGCGCGGCACGCGCACGAAGATCCGCATGCGCCTTCTTCACAGCGAGTGTCGCTGCACGTTGCGATCGTCGGCGACTGGTATACGGCGCCTCGTCCTCGTCGTCCTCGTCGTCCGACAAGGCCACCGGCTCTCGCAGTCGTTCTTCCAGCTGCGCGACGCGCGCCTCCAGACGTGCGGCGCTGCGTGTGCGCCGTGGAGCCACGTCTTCCACGACAGCACGTGCTTTAGGTTTGGACGCGAGGCTGGGAAGCGTACTTGCGACGTGAGGCAACGCGTGAAAGGGGACAGGGTAGTGCTCGGCAAGATGACGCGCGGCGGCCCAGGGCGTGTGCGACGCGGCATGAAACTGACGTACGGCGTGTACGGCTTCCTGCGTACGACTCGTAGGCTGGCCCTGCTCAATGGACGTGAGATGCGCTAGCGGCACAAGCAGGCGCTGCAAGATGGAGAAGGCGAGGGTATCATCCCAGCAATGCAGGGCGTCCACATGGTGCGTGGGCCATGCCAGCGCATCGGCGTGATCAAGGTGCACGAGATATGAGTACAAATAGATGCGCGCTAGCATGTTCTCGCAGAGCAGTGGACCTTCGTACAGCGTGGGCAGCGTAGGAAACGCCGACGTGCTTTGCTTCAGACGGATGCGCTTGACGCGCTTCGTGTCCTTCTCCGGCGTGGACGAGGAGGCCGTGGCAGTGGTGGGGACACTGTCCCATGATACTGCCCCTGTCAGTGCATACGTGACGTACATTGTGTCTGGCGCATCGTAGGCGCACTGGCACGAAAGCAACGACGTGGCGCGCGGCGCGACGCGCCACGCCACGGCGGTGTGGAGGTAGGCACGCTGTCTTAACCACATCGTCGCTCTCGCTCCACGTTCGTCCACGAGCGATGGGCCGCTCGCGGCGTCGGCGTACAGGCGGGGGACGTGTCGATACCCCTGCTTCTATGCCTGCTACCTTTGCGTATCCCATCCCAGACGATCGCGTAGGCCCGCCTTTTGCGAGCACCACAGAGCGACGTACACATACACGCACTCCCACGCTGGCGCTCGATGCGAGTGAGCGCGATATGCTGGGCATGTACGTGACGCCGCCCTTGTGGATGGCCCGCATTGCGCAAGGACGTGGGGCATGCGTATGCACAGAAGGACTGCTTACCGATGTGCCTGACGCCGTGCATGGCGCCCCGCCTTCGTTTCACTGTGTGTTGCAAGCGGAAGGCGATACCTACATCCCACTCACAATCACAGGACGGCATGCGCTAGCCCTCCACCAAGCCTTGCAACGCCAGCATCCGGCGAATGAGCCGATCCCGGTCTTCCTCTCAGGCTACGGCGCGGAGATCGTGCGGATTCCGTCGTCGGATACGCCACGCGCTGGCGTCGTATGGTCTGATCGTATTGCGTTGAAGGCGCAAGTCGATGTCAATGATGCCGATACCATGCAGCTGTGGTTTGAAGGCGATCGTGCGAGCCCTGCGCAAGTCGTGCTCCAGCGCATCGACGAGCCACGCACACTGACCATGGACAGCGATGCTTGGTACGCTACGCATCCTACGTACACATCCGATACCCCGCTGGATCCCCCGGCCTCGGCCTCGATGCCGCCTATGGCGCCGCCGCCTTCCGATGCGGCGCACCCATGGCTCACGCCCAGCACGTGGGATGGCCACCTGTATACCCCTATCCACGCCTTACGTGCCGGGACAACGGCCAACGTCGTAGGGATCGTCGTGGACGTGCCCTTGCAGCATGCACCCAAACGACGTGCGAATGGCACCATGTCCGATGCTATGCTGCGTCTGAGCCTTCGGCAGCCGTACACCGAGGCAGGTGTCCCATCGCTGCTGCCTGGCAATGTGTTTGCACGTACGTCGGAGCAGCTGCCCTTGCATGTGAGCGCGGGCGATGCGATGCTTTTGCGCGGCATCCAAATCCACATGTACAATGAGCGTGCCAACCTAGTCGGCCCGGCGTTTGTGCCATGGTCCTGGGCGACCATGTCCGCGACGTCACGCGCCTTGGCGCATTCCAGCGAAGGGCCTCGGGTGGGCGAGCAGGAGCGAGCCGTGCTGGACCGGCTTCTGCAGACCCACCAGACCCCACGAAGCTCGAAGCGCCCCTTGTCCACGCTAGATCAGCTGGAGCAGGACACGTTTGTGGACTTGATCGTGCAGATTGTCAACGTCTACGTCAAAGGCACAGTGCCGGACGTCTACGTAGCCGATTTTACGTCCAACTCGGCGTTTTACGGCAACGATGCACGATTAGCACGGCAGTACAGCTTGCCACAGCCCTTGCAGCACTTTGGCTACGTCTTTCAAGTGGGGCTGTGGGGGCAGCAGGCGCCCCTCGCACTCCGACTGCAGCCAGGGCAGCTCGTGCGGATGGACAATGTACGTGTGAAGCGCACGGCCAGCGGATTCCTGCATGGCTCGATTGGGCACCAAAACGATCCTGGCTACGATATTCATATACTTACGGACAAAGACCCCAGTGTGCAGGCGTTGCTGCAGCGGCGTACACAGTGGCTGCAAAAGGTCACGTCCACCCCGGCCGCTACGCCGCCGCCGCCTGTCGTACGAGGAGAAAAACGGACGGCCTCAAGCAGTCCACCGTGGGCCGAGCGTGACGTGAAGCCCAGCCCTGCCGCGTCCCCCGGACGCGACGTACAGGCCCTCCCGCCAGCCTCGCTCTTGCCGCCGTCGCCCCCACCCCCGGTCCACGCGCCACGCTACCGGCTCGATTCTGATGACAGTGAGTCAACTTTCGCCTATGTATGGAACGAGTAACACTTTCCAGCTTTGTCGATTCGAGCCATATGGTATGGCCAAATGCCCGCGTCGTTGGAGATACCCTGCTGTGTCCTACGTGTCACGCCCGATGTGCATTGGCTCCGTCAGCATTGCACGGCCTGCGATCGCATGTACGTTCGACGCCACTCACCATCGTCTAGCTTGCCGGCGTCGGATGCCTTTTGCACGCAATGCAACGACGAAGATGGGCAGCGGTTAACGCCCACGTTGTACTTTGTTCTCACACTCTGTGACGTCGCTGACGCCCCCTCCACACAACGAAGGGCGCCGGCCATGCCTAGCATCGACGTGCCCGTCTACGGCTGCGTGGCGGAGACCTTAGCTGGGTGTTGCTGGGAGCAGTACCGCGCCGATACACACACTCGTGCAGACGCGCATCACCGACTCTTGCGCTGCACCACGCGGCCAGCTTCGCAGGTGCTCCGTGCGTCGTTGGCTTGGCATCGAGAAGCCTACGTGTGCACGCACGTGACATGGACGAAGTCCTAGGCCCGACGGGGTTAGGGTCGGTCTGTGCGAGATTCACACTGCATGACGGCACCCCATTCGTAGTCGGCTTCCAATGTGGCGACCAGCTGCTACATATTTGGTTCCCCGTAGCGTACCACGTCTCTTTCTCCCACGATCGTCCTTCGTACCCTATCAATCCTTTACCATGTCGACAAAAACTAATGAACCACAGTCAAAGCCTGTATGGGCCGGCAAGGACGGCCGCTTCAATCGCCAGGAATCCACCTTCCGTGATGAAATCAAGAAGGGCGGCCAATTTGAGCCTGAGCGTGGCCGCTACAAGCTCATTGTAGCGGAGGCATGCCCATGGGCGCACCGTGCACTGATTGTGCGTAAGCTCAAGCGGATGGACGAGGTGCCGGATCTGCTGCCGGTCACGGTGGTCGACTCGTTCCTCGCTCAAGAGGGCTGGAGCGTCGCCGAGCTTCAGGTGGACCGTCCGCATGTGCCTGGTACGGGCAACAACATCCCTGGTCATGAGGACAAGAAGTTCCTTCGTGAATTCTACCTCGCGGCCGACCCGAACTACGAAAAGCGCCCCACGGTGCCCGTAGTATGGGACAACAAGTTGAACACGATTGTGAACAACGAGTCGTCTGATATTATCCGGTTCCTTGACTCTTGCTTCGACGAATTCCTTCCGAAGGAAGTGCAAGGTGTACGGTACTACCCGGAGGAGCTGCGCAGTGAAATTGACGAATTCCACTCGTGGGTCTACCCCCAAATTAACAACGGTGTGTACCGCTCCGGCTTTGCGACGACGCCTGAAGCGTACGAGGAGGCTGTCATCCCGTTGTTTGAAGCCCTTGAACGTGTGGACAAGCTGATCGGTGACAAGACGTACATCTTCGGCGGCCGCTTGACGGAAGCAGACATTCGTCTGTACACTACGATTGTGCGTTTCGACCCTGTGTACTTCTCGCACTTCAAGTGCAATCTGTACCAGATCCGCAGCGGAAAATTCCCGAACCTGCATCGCTGGCTGCGTGAGATGTACTGGAACCACCCTGGTTTCAAGGAGACGACCAACTTTGACTCTATCAAAGCGCACTACTACAGCAGTCACATCGCCATCAACCCGACCAGCATTGTGCCGCTGGGCCCCAAGCCGCATATCCTGCCTCTGGACAACTAACCAATGTAGTACTTGTATTGGGATATCATAGCCACAATGGAACTCGCTGTTTGTTAGATACGTTGTATACGCACTAGCCACGACAATGGGACTCAGCGAGCCTGGCGCGAGGGCCAGCGTGCCAAAGAAGAGCATCTCCGAGACAAAGTGGACACAAGCAATGACAAAGGTGCCCAGGCACAGTAGGTAGGCGCCACGCTCGTGCATATTGTACGCCGTATACAGGCGCACAATCGCCGAGGTCCAGTTCCAAATAGCAAACAAGCGAGCGGCCAACGCCGTGGCCTCCTTGTGTCCGGTCTTTGATGCATACACTTTGCGGCTAAACACAGGGTTCATAAAGTTCTGCGCTCCATTCAAGGCGGCCACAGCGCCTACCAGAAGGAGCCATTTCGGTAAGAGCGCAGGGGGCACTGGCGTGAGTATGTCCATCTACGTACACCAGTCGTTCATCGTCCAAGCACAAGGGCGGCACCCAGCGAAATGGGGCCGATTTTGTCGCACTCGCTCGCCTCCACACTTACGTCCCCTCAACCATGGCATCGAAGCCGATCGAGGCGGGGGATGCGTATATACCATGCACGTTGCGCGAGCCGCCAGACCTCTCACCGTACCATTTGAATGGTACGCAGGACATGCTCGCCCTCTTTGACTTAATGCCACTGTACGACTGCGCTGTGCGGCCTTATCTACGCCCAACACTGCCACCGGATGCCACCGACGCTGACAAGGCTGCGGCGCAGGCCAAGCGCGTCGTCATGCCCAAAACGTACGCTCATTATGTGGAAGATCTACCTGGTAAAGTTCGGCCAGCGAGAAAATCGCAATCCAAGCAGCAGCAGCCAGCTTTGCAGCGAGAACTGAATCACATACTTATGAAGCCCGAGTTCACTTACACACCCGTGCAGCCTTTGGAGAAGGACGTGCTAACCTCGGCGTTCAGTGTACAACCTACGTCAGACCCCATCCCAGGGATTGATCTCACGCTCCTTGAGGCAGATGAACATGACTCCCCTGGTGCTCGGAAGAACAAGCTTGGGCTGGGGGATCGCCCTGATGCACCCAAGAAACGAGTGGTTCTTATCTCCAAAAAGAAGCGTATGTAGTAGTTATTGTATACTAGCACTCTATTTATGAAAATACCTTGGCACGACTTAATTCGCTTTCTTCGCCCTTGTACTTCTCGCGCTTGGCACGCAGCGACTCGGTCTGGAGCACCTTCTTCTTGTACTCTTCGCCCTTACCGCGACGCATCGCATGTCGCAACGCCGTCGGAGAGATATATTCAGGGTTGTCGAACAGCGTGGGCCCACCGAAACTGCCCTCGAAAATACGGATCGGTGTCATGACCATGCGAGGGCCAATCTCGACCAACGTCGGCTCATTATTGATCTTCTTAGGGTCGTCGCCACGCGCCTCGGCCGCCGCCATAGCGCCTGGGTCCTTTTCAATAATCTGGTAGTTACGGAACCAAATCTTTCCATCCAAAATACTAAACGACAGCACATGATCAATGAACGGTTTGGCACGGCGTGCCGTGCGTGGCACAGCAAAAATCTGCGTGAGCAACTCGCGCATCAAGCGCCAGTGTGGCTCAGCATCAAAGCCCTTGTCAAAGCTGAGAATGTGGCGCGAGCCCTTGAGGCAGTTGCCCGTCATCTTCAGCTCATCCATCGTATGAATATTTTGCACCTGTAGCTTGGCGGACGGGCCATTGGGCGTCTTAGAGAGCCACAAGTACAAATCCTCGTGGCGTCGTGCTTCAAAGTACATACAGTTGTTGCAGTTATTCAGCTCAGCCAGCTCATTCAAGACGGACAGGTCCGACTTGGAGTCTAGCTTCGAGTCTTTCTTCGAGTGAGGCAGCAGCGCTTCAATGTCGTTCACAAGGTGACGCATGCGCGTAGTCACACCACGAGAAGGCAGGATCAAGACACGCTGCTTGTTGCGCCGCACCTTGGCCTCCTCCTCATCTGCAGCACGCTTCTTACCCGCGCCCTCGCGCTTCAGTGCCGCACTGTACACAGTCGACATGGCGCTAAAGCACAAGACGAACGAGCGCCGCTTCACAAAAATTTTTGTGACGGCACGTGACGCTGCCCTTCAGCCTGGGATCCTAGCGCGATAACTCTCCCTCGATGACGTACATGCAAGAGGGTACGGGTCTTTTGTAGGTAGTTGTCGTAGATACACGTAGCGTATATGGTCCCTCTCTATCGAAACACTTTCCCACCTTATGGCGGTCAATTATTGAACTGTTCATGGTCATCGTGGAGGTATCCATCTTAGTACCATGGCTGGTGGCGCAGCAAATTGGGCTCGTGCCTTTATCGGCGGTGGTTTCATTGTAGGCACCGGCTACATGCTATTGAAGTGTATGTGTATTTATCCACTGACATATAGTCGCTACACCTTCGGAGCAGGAATTGTATAACGTGTGTACCGCTTCGATTGAATCCTTACCTTGACACAGAGCTTATCCCCCGACCTGAAGCGCAAGGTCGACGAACAGCGACATGCCCAGGCAAACAAGGAGCAGGTGCAGCATATGAAAACACTGCAGGAGAAGGTGCGTCTTTTTTCGTCTTCTGACAATACGCAGCTTGCGCAACAGCAGGACTCTGCGACAGTGAACTGGGCCAAGTAAATTCTTCTAGCTCACAACCTGTCCCTCCGTATCTTATAGGCTGTTCTTTATACGAAATAAGCATGCACTCTATCTGCTAAGATACCTGTGCAAACTCACACACACGCACGCACAACAAAAGCTTAAGACAAGCAAGCCCAAATAGGCGAGAGATATATTTTTGGATTCACAGAATCTGCGAGACTGTGTCTAATGGGGGCATAATATATGCTGAAGATACAGACAAGGCGGTAGGTGCCATCGTAGCAGCTTTTCTGCATGGCAGAAAAGGCTGTCGTACCCGCATGTGGTGGCGAGCGTAAACACCTTTACGAACGCGGCTTCTCCTTCTTCTCCCTGAAGAGAGCCGAGAGACCGACACCCGAGACCTTCACGACCTTGAAACGCACACCGGGAATATCACCCTTGGCCTTACCCTTACGACCGAAACCCTCAATGAGGACCTCGTCGTTCTCGTCGACGAAGTTGAGACAACCGTCGAAGGGCACGAAGGCCGAAACCTTCTTACCGTTCTTGATCAGCTGGACACGGACACACTTGCGGATAGCCGAGTTGGGCTGCTTGGCCTCGACACCGATCTTCTCAAGGACAATACCCTTAGCCTGCGACGAACCACCGGTCGGCGAGGTCTTGTAGAAGTTGCCAAGAGCACGCTTCTTGAAGTGGCCATCACTCCAACGGTTGTCCCGGCGGGTGGTGACCTGCTTGCGCGCTGTATACAGACCCCTAGGCTTACCCATGTTGGTACCTCTGCTTTGGTTGGTGAGAGCAGACCAGCGCGGTCGTAGCGTTGTCTTTTCGCAGGCCCCTGAATACACGTGACTCATAAAACTATACCAAGGCACGTGACCAACTAGACCAAAGGGAGTGCCTACCGTCCGACAAACTTCCTCTCTACGCTTCGTCAAGAGCATACGTCGTCATGCCTAAGATCTACAAGCCCGGTAAGGTTGCGTACGTATCAACGGTGTTTTTTTAAGTGAGAATGGTGATGCTAACATCATGCTCCGTTTTTTTACGGACATTTGATTGTACAGTGTTGTGCTCCAGGGTCGGCACGCTGGTAAGAAGGTACGTGGTACGAAGATGCGTGTACAGACTATGTGGTATCCATGTTGTCGTGCTTGTCTTTTTGAAAGCATTGCTGTGGGCCACTAGACTGCGCCGCATAGGAACGATGCCTGAACAGAACTAACTGCTTTGTAGGTCGTTGTGATCAAGCAGCACGACGAGGGTAACAAGGAGCACGGCTTCCCGTACGTCATTGCCGCCGGTATTGAGCGCTACCCGCTCAAGGTGACCAGGGCTATGGGTGCCAAGAAGCTCGCTCGCCGCAGCAAGATCAAGCCCTTCATCAAGGTATGTTGACTTGCGTGGTGTACATGTATACTCATACAACAGGTCATCAACTACAACCACCTCTTCCCCACCCGTTACGCTCTTGAGCTCGAGGGTCTGAAGGGTGTTGTCTCGAACGACACCTTCAAGGAGGTCTCGCAGCGTGAGGAGGCCAGGAAGGCTGTGAAGAAGCTCTTCGAGGAGCGCTACCAGAGCGGCAAGAACCGGTGGTTCTTCACTCCCCTGCGCGTATGTATTATGAGTGCAGACACTGACCTGTCAAGTTCTAAGTGCCTTCTTTTCTTGGTTCACGCCAATTCCTTCTGGTGTGCGAGTGATTTTATAGATACTCGTCCCTGTTTTGGGCATGTACATCAGGAGTCAAAAATAGCATACCGATGATGCCATGTTCGTGTATGAGTGTGCCTGCGTGTTGACCTGTCTTGGGACGTTTAGGGGTTTTCTATAGGCAATGCTGGTCCGATGGCGTCCCACCCCTTTTTTTGCCGGCAGAGGCGGAGGAAGGAGCGCGTACGTGGCGGCGAAGCCACGTGCGCGAGACATCATACAGGCCTACATCCTTCCTACCATGTCGGCCGTGCACCAGGTGACGTGCTCTGCACCTGTGAACATTGCTGTCATCAAGTACTGGGGAAAGCGCGATACGCGTCTGATTCTTCCTACCAATGATAGTCTGAGTGTCACGCTTGATCAGGACCATCTTCGCACTGTGACGACGGCGCGTGCTGACCCTTCTTTCAACAAGGACGCGAATGGCGTGATTCATGACCGTTTGTGGCTCAATGGCGTGGAAGAGGAGATCAAGAAAGGCGGTCGCCTTGATGCATGCCTGCGTGAGCTTCGCCGTCTGCGTGCCGAGCGTGAGGCATCTTCGCCGGAGCTCCCGCCGCTGTCGCAGTGGTCGCTGCATCTCGCTTCGGAAAACAACTTCCCTACTGCTGCCGGTCTCGCGTCTTCGGCGTCTGGCTTTGCTGCTTTGGCTGTGACGGTAGCTGAGCTGTACGGTCTGAACCACATGCTGTCGCACTCGCAGCTTTCGATGATTGCTCGTCGCGGCAGTGGTTCGGCGTGCCGTTCGCTGTTTGGTGGCTTTGTCGCCTGGGAGATGGGCCACAAGGCGGATGGTAGCGACTCTCATGCTGTACCTGTTGCTGCGCGTGAGCACTGGCCGGATTTGCATGTGCTCATCTGTGTCGTGAACGACGGCAAGAAGGGCACCTCGTCGACGTCTGGTATGCAGCGCACCGTGGAGACGTCGCCGCTGCTGCAGCACCGTATTCAGCATGTGGTGCCGGAGCGTATGCGCCTGATGAATGAGGCGATTCAGACGCGCAACTTTACGCAGTTTACTGACCTGACCACCGCCGACTCGAACAACTTCCACGCATGCTGCTTGGACACGGCGCCCCCGATTTTCTACATGAACGACACGTCGCGTGCTATCGTCCATGTGGTGGAGGAGCTGAACCGTTCGCGTCGTGAGGTGGGTCAGGAGCCCATCGCTGCGTACACGTTCGATGCGGGTCCTAACGCTGTTCTCTACGTGCGTGAGAAGGATATGGACACCGTGCTGCGTGTTGTGCGTCACTACTTCCCTGGCGCCAGCTTTGACGACCCCTTCAAGCTGCTGTGCAAGGATGCGAGCGATACCCTTCCTTCTCAACTGCCTCCGACGTTTAAGAAGGACATTGTGCCTGTGCAGCCGAAGGATGCTGTGCGTCGTCTGATCCACACTCGTGTGGGTGACGGTCCTCGTGTGCTGGAGACGGGCCTTGGTAGCGAGTCGCTGCTGGGCGACGATGGTATGCCTATTCGTACGAAGTAGATTGTCTATCTTCTATCCTTGAGACGGGAGAAGTTTGTACTGGAATAATACTTTTCATTAGTTCGGCGGACCACGTACCTTGTTCGATGGACTCACGTAGCGCTGCATTTTCAATCCCATGCGAGCGTGGTACAGGCATTGCATCGTCACTCGTGTACGACACGCGCTCTGTCGCATCGGCCAGCGGATGACGCGTGCCATGCTGAATCCATGGGCCACGCCATAGTTCTCGCAAGACGCCACGGAGTGTCATGCCATTGGTACCTGGGATTGGATTGGTACCTGCGAGCATTGACAACGGGCCTTTGTCACCCCGACTGGGCGGCGCATCGGTGATCAGGACAAAGGTATACATCGTTGGCGTCTGCATGTGAGATAGGGTATACGTGGCGGTGGAAAAGTTATGGAACGCCTCTTGTCTAGTCATGAGTGCTGGGTAGGTATACGTACGAGCCACCGAGCTTTCGCACCATATTGCGGAGCGAGTACACAACGCCATAAATGAGCTTCGCTTCCTGATCAAATGGCAGGGCCTGCGTGTCCACTGGCTCGTCGTCCTGCGTCTGCACTTGCTGACTGACGCCCGGTAACGCATCACCACGCGCACGCTTGTGGGTAGTAGTAGAGGCATCACGTTTCTCCTGGTCCGGCACCGTGCCGCCCACACGCTGAAATGTGGACGAGAGCGACGATGTGAAGGACGAGGCCGTGCCACTGGCCGCGCTAGGCGTACGGTACAAATGCGACCAGTCCTGGTAGTAGATCGGCTCACAATGCCTATCAAAAATCCACAGCGAATAGGCCTGTCTGTGTGAGGGTCTCTCCAACGTACTTTGAGCGCCATTTCTCTCTATGTCGTGCCCTCGCGTCACGCTCTCTCGCCAACACGATCGCGAGAGCGGGGGCACGAAGCGCCTCCACGTCTATCACGTGAGACGAACAGGGTGACGGCGCTGAGCGACTCTCTCGACCGATCGACCGTCTAGCGTGCCTGTATACCCATGTGGCGCGCCAGTATTGCCCTGTTGCTACTTGCTTGGCACGCATCGGCATGGTACTTACCTGGGAGTGCGCCGCGCTCTTTCCGTGAGGGCGATGCCGTGCCTATTCACGTGAATACCCTGCAGCCCATGTCGGGTGCGACCCCCGTGCATGGCTTGGTGAGCTACGACTTTTACGATGAGCGTCTGGGCTTTTGCCGGCCGGAAGGCGGTATTCACGCTCAGAAAGGCGGACTAGGAAGTGCCTTGTTTGGTGACCGCATTTACAATAGTGCCGTGACACTTGAGATGCTGCATGATAAACAGTGTGTACCGCTGTGCATGACGACCGCGAATGCTGAGCAAGCCGCGTTTATCAATGAGCGCATTAACGAGAGGTACGCTGTCAACTGGATGGTCGATGGCCTGCCTGTGGCCGATATCGATATGACCAAGAACGACGGCACGCTTCGTGCCAACTCGATTGGTTTCGCGCTGGGTACCGTCCTGGATGCCAATGGCCACCATCTTTCGCCGCCCGCGTTGTACAACCACTATGAGCTGAACGTATCATACCATGAGCGTGCGCCAGGTGAGTACCGCGTTGTCGGTGTGAATGTGCGTCCGATGTCGATCGATTCTTTGGCTGCCGCTGGGTCGCAAGGCACGCCATCGTGCCAGGTGCACGAGCCCATGTTCCTCCAGCCTGATACCACCACGCCTGTGGCATATACATACAGTGTTGTATGGACCCAGAGCAACACACCATGGGCTACGCGCTGGGATGCGTACTTGCATGTGGTCGATCCTCGCATCCATTGGTACTCTCTGTTGAACTCCATTGCAATTGTGGCCTTGCTCTGCGTCATGGTCGCCTTGATTATGGCGCGGGCTGTACGTCGTGATATTTACCGCTACAATGCCATTGACCTTACTGAGGATATCCAGGAAGATTACGGCTGGAAGTTGGTGCATGGTGAAGTGTTCCGTCCGCCTGCGTCGCCTGTGCTTTTGAGTGTTATGGCAGGGGCTGGAGCGCAGCTCGGCGCTATGGCCACAGTGACGCTGTTCTTTGCGCTGCTTGGCTTCCTGAGCCCCTCGAACCGTGGCTCGTTGGGCACGATTATGATCGTCACGTGGACCTTGTTTGGTATTGTGAGCGGGTGGGTCAGTGCGAAGGTGTATGCGAGCTTTGATGGCGCGCAGTGGCGTCGAACGATGTTCCTCAATGCCACCTTGTTCCCTGCGATGGTCTTTGGCCTGATGAACTTACTGAATTTGGTGCTCGTGCTCAACCATTCGTCGGATGCTGTGCCCTTCGGCACGCTGCTAGCTCTGCTAGCCATGTGGTGCTTGATCCACATCCCTCTTTCGCTGGTCGGCTCGTACTTGGGCCTCAAGTCAGGCGGACTGGAGCATCCTGTGCGTGTGAATCAGATTCCGCGACAGATCCCCCCGGTCCCGTGGTACCTGCAACTCTGGCCTTCGGCACTCCTCGCCGGTCTCTTGCCCTTTGGAGCTGCATGGCTGGAGCTCTTTTTCATTATCAACTCGCTGTTTGGCAACCGCGTGTATTATGCCTTTGGCTTCCTGACACTGACCTTTATCGTGACGGTGGTCACGACGGCGACTGTGTCGATCCTTACATGCTACTGCCACCTCTGCGCAGAAGACTACCGGTGGCACTGGCGCTCTTTCATTACGGGTGGTGCGAGTGCCTTTTGGCTCTTCCTCTACGGCTTGTTCTTCTGCGTGACACGTCTCAACTTGCCCGACTTTTCGAGTCAATTCCTCTTCCTGGGCTACTTACTGATTCTCACCGCCCTCGACTTCTTGCTGTTCGGCTTTGTAGGCTTTGCAGCTTGCTATGCATGCGTTCGCCGCATGTATCAGCACATTCGTGTAGACTAAGACCCCTCCTGTGGTAGGCACCGAGCCGCTGGCTGGACCAGCACGCACGTGATTGATGCATGCATGGACGCCGTGTCGTAGTAGCGGCGGCGAGAACAAGGCATCTATCTGGTGCCTTCCTCGAGTTGTCATGGCGCCCAAGCTGGATACGAGCGACCCACAGGTCGCGCGTCTCGTAGACCTCTTTGCTACGATCTCGCTGACAGGTCAACGTGCCGCAGACACAATCAAGAATCCCAAGTACGCGCATGCCCTAGAGCAAACCATCACCTCGCTGCATCTCGACCAAAAGCAGCTGGATGCCAAGACGGGCGGCTCAGTCGTCGTCGCGGCCTCGAGCGGCTGTGATCTCCCAGAAGCGAAGCTGAACTATGTCGTGGAGCGCGTGCTTCGTCAGGACTTGAAGTCGACGGATCAGATCCAGACGGCCTGCAAGTACGTTACAGACGTCGACTCGATCGACGATGCTGCGTTTGATGCTGCATGTGGTGTGGGCGTGGTTGTCACGCCAGAGCTGTGCAAGGACAAGGTGCTGGCGTACTTGGACGCACACAACGACGAAATTTCTTCCACGGGCGGCTGGCCGAAGATGTCTGCGATTATGACGGCGGTGCGTGCGGACCCTGCGCTGCGCTGGGCGAATGCGGTGGACATCAAGACGGCCGTCGAGTCGCTTCTCACCGAGCGCTTTGGCCCTCGCAGTGCAGCGCCGAAGAAGAAGGCTGCACCCGCCGCGGGCCCCGCGGCCAAGGCGCCCAAGGCCGAGAAGAAGAAGGAAGAGAGTGTGCGCCCGGACGCCATGTTTGAAGAAGGACTGCTGGCTTCCCTTCACAAGCCTGGCGACAACCCACAAATCAATCCGCGCCTTCGTGAAGAGCACTTGCGTGCGACCAATGGCGCTGTGATCACGCGTTTCCCACCGGAGCCCAATGGCTTCCTGCATATTGGCCACTCCAAGGCCATTGCCGTCAACTTTGGTTATGCGCGATACCACAAGGGTCTGTGCTATCTGCGTTTCGACGATACCAACCCTGCCGCAGAAGAGGAAAAGTACTTTGTGAGCATTCTTGAGACGGTGCGCTGGCTCGGGTTTGAGCCCTACAAGATCACGTACTCGTCGGACTACTTTGACCGCTTGTACGAGTTGGCTGTGGAACTAATCCGCCGTGGCCTGGCGTACGTCGATCACTCAACGGCGGAGGAGATCCGGGCTGGCCGCGGTGGTCCTGACAAGGGCGAGCGCTTCGAGAGCAAGTGGCGTCACCGGCCTGTGGACGAATCGCTGCAGGCGTTCGAGGAAATGAAGAACGGAAAGTACAAGCCTGGCGAGGCCACGCTGCGTATGAAGCAGGATATTCTTGGCAGTGGCAACCCGCAAATGTGGGACTTGATTGCCTACCGCGTCCTTGACGCCCCGCATCAACGTACAGGTACCAAGTGGTGCATCTATCCGACGTACGACTTTACGCATTGTTTGGTCGACAGTTTCGAGAATATTTCACACTCTCTTTGCACGACTGAGTTCATTCTTTCCCGTGAGTCGTACGAATGGCTGTGTGACGCCTTGGAGGTGTACAAGCCGCGCCAGTACGAGTACGGTCGTCTCTCGATTGAAGGCGCTGTGATGTCGAAGCGCAAGATGATCAAGTTGGTCGCGGGCGGATATGTTGACGGTTGGAACGATCCGCGTATGTACACCATCATTGGCTTGCGTCGTCGTGGTGTGCCGCCCGGTGCCATTCTCTCGTTTGTGAACCAGCTCGGTGTGTCGACCCACAACTCGACCATTCAGCTGAACCGTTTCGATCAGAGCGTGCGTCAGTACCTGGAGCTGAACACACCGCGTCTTATGATGATTGTCAAGCCGCTCAAGATTACGATCGAAAACATCGACGAAGACTTTGTGTTGGACATTGAGAAGCCCCTGCATCCCAAGGTCCCAGAGATGGGTACGGTCAAGGTGCCGTTTGCGAAGACAGTGTACATTGACGCCTCTGATTTCCGGACCGAAGACGCGGCGGACTATTTCCGTCTGGCACCTGGCAAGAGCGTGGGCCTGTACCAGGTGCCGCACCCGATCACATGCACGTCGTTCCGTACCGATGAGGCGGGTCAAGTGGTCGAGCTGCTGTGTCGCTACGAAAATGGCGGAGAGAAAGTCGTGCCAAAGACCTACATCCAGTGGGTGGCCGAGTATGCGCCGCGCAAGAGCCCTGTGCGTGTGCGCGAAGTACGCCAATTCAACCCTCTGTTCACATGTGAGAACCCTGCGGCGCAGGAAAACTTCCTGGATCACATCAACCCGAACAGCAAGGAGGTGCTGAAGGATGCGATGATCGAGGTGGCCTTTTACGATGTTGCGCGCCAATCGCTGGAGAAGGCGCGCGCGGACGCCTCAGAGCGCAAACGTATTGCTACGCACCAAGCCGAAGAGGCCTTGGGCAAGGACCTGGCGGCGCGTCAGTCGGAGACGACGACGACCTCCTCGCTGCAGGCGACAGAGTCGAACACGATTGGCAAGGAGTGTGTGCGCTTCCAGGCGATGCGTGTGGGCTACTTTGCCGTGGATAGTGACAGTTGCATGGCGCTCTTTGGCGACAATGTGAGCAACGGGGTGGACGACCTGGTGTTCAACCGCATTGTCTCGCTCAAAGAGGACGTAGGCAAGTCGAAGTAATATCTGAATAGACAAGGACAGAAACGTGGAAGTGGAGGCTGCACAACGCCGTTTCCCCGGGCGTATCACTGGGCCTCTTCTCCTTTCCTCTGTTTGCGACGGCAGCTTTGAGAGAGTCGCTTACGGCGTGCTGGTCATGCCACCGCCATCGTTTTCGAGTCAGCATATATCGCAACTCAATGTGCCTCGTGGCACTACCAATCTCATCAAGGATGTGGAACAGAACATTGAGTCTCTTGTGATCAAGGGGTGGAAAAGTCTATTAGCCGCTTCTCTTCAGTCCATTGAGTCGTTGCTAGCTGATCCCAACCTCGACCTAGAGGTGCCGGATCGCGATGGACTCTTGCAACCAGACTCGTACAGCGCGCCGCCCTCGTCTACGTGTGTCAGTGTGGCGGAACGTTTGAATCTCGACCTACTGGAATCGTTTTCCAGTGCACCCAATAAACCGGATGCGGTGCTAGGCATGATGATCCAGGTCCTCGATGCCTTGGCACCTCTGTTGTATACCTCCAGCACCGTCTTGCATTGGTGGGACGTACTTCTTGTACCCATCTTATCGTCGACGGACATGCCCGATGCTGCGTTGGCACGTGCTATTCGCCTAGGGGCCTCCTTGCTGCTCAAGGCGCCGGCGTCGGCGTACGTGGATGTCGCACCAGTGCCTTTGCAGGAGACCGAAAGCAACGCCTCGTCCAGCGCGCGGTCACCTGCTGCGGACGCCCATGAGCAGCAAGGGCCAGAGCGCACGTTTGTACAAAAGGTGTTTGACATGTACATGGACTCGCTCAGTCTTCCTTCTACGACGGCCGAAGCCGATACCTCTGTTTCCTCCAAGGGTGACGAGCAGCTGACGACGCACCTGGGGTCTATCTTATCCCTGTTCAGTGAGTACCGACCTACTGCCTTTTTGCACCATGCTGCGCAGTCGTATGTATCGCCGAGCAGCCAAGCGGCGATTCTATACCTGCTGCTCCCTTTTTTGCACCACAAGTCCATTCACATTTATCGTATTACTTCAACACGGCTGTTGGAAAAGATCATTGACTCACTGATTCATACCCTATCGGCGCAAACGATGTCGTTAGGCATTCAGTGCCTGGTCATTATTCTTCCGCATCTGCAGCAGTGGCTTTGCCGCCAAGCTCATGCGATCATTGCGAATTTGCTCTGTGCCTACACGCATGCGGTTTGCTGGCACCATTCGCCTAGTGAGCACGATTTCTCGTCGGATACACGTATGCTCTTTACGTCTGTGTACGGTCTCTTCCCCTGTACGTTATTGTACTTTATTCGTGCGCCGGAGGAGGCCCTTACGTCGTTAGGATACACTGGCACACTTGAAGCCATGGACTTTATCACCATGCAGCACCGCAGTACGGCCCTCTTTCGATGCCATTTGCTCTCTCTTTACTTTGCGAAGCTGGATCATACCACGGAATTGACCTACAAGGACCATAATGAGCATGATGCGTCCGATCGAATGGCACTGAGCATGAGTTTGTACGTGCCGCAGATGGAGGTGTCTACTATGGATGTACCGCTACCCCTGTCGCCGGGGATGCTCAAGGACGTGCCTCGTTCCGATGCAAAGACTGCTGCGAGTGAACTGCACTTGCTACAGAATGAGCTTCGTTTTGAACTGTACATGAAAGAGCAGCTTCTTATGCATATTGGGCGTCTTCATCGTGATCGAATTACCGATGCGGCGTCTGAGGCAGAGCAGCAGAACTTGCAGCATACGATCCGAACGCTTCAGTCGCAACTCTCGACGATGCAGACACGCTTTGAACGTCAGCGTTCCGAAATGCAAACGACGAGCAATCGACATGCGCAATGGGAGCGGGAGCTCAATGTCAAACTCAACTCCTACCGCGAGGAACGTCGGACGTGGGCGAAACAAATCAAAGAGCTGGAGCGTCAGCTGAATGAGAGTCGCGCCTGTTATGCGTCGCAGTCGGAGCAAGTGTCCAAGATGGGTGCGCGTCTCTTTGAATTGGAGTCGGATCTCGCGTTGGCCAAGCCGAAGATGGCACGGCTCGCCGACTACGATGCGTCGCTGAAAAAACTACAAGGCTGCCTCTCTGATTGGGAATACGATTTGCAACGGGTGGACCAACAGCGCGTGGAAATGCATCATTTGCTTATGCGCTGGCAGGACATGCAGCTGTCTGTGGACAACAGCGAACGAAGCGTCAAAGGGTACAGTGACAAGCTGGCCGCCCTTGCCCAGGAGAAGGCGACGTTGCAGCAACGTGTGGATTTACTGCAAATACAGAACGAGCGACTGCGCGACCAAATGTCGGCCCGTGTCTCTTCCTGGGTGGCTACGCCGCCAGTGCAGGCGCCCACACGAGCGCCGGGTGTAGAGCCGCAGTTGCTCGAACGCAACAAGGAGCTGGAGTCGCAAGTGTTTACCTTGCGCGCCGAGGTAGAGGCGCTGAAAGCGGAGAAAGCAGTACGTGAGCGCCCGCCAGAGAAGTCGTTGCCCGTGGTCTCAGAGCAAACCCTCTTCTCTCCCAACACCCTTCGTACCCCACGCGGCCATGCGCCTGACGAGGAATCTGTCCCGCCGCTGTCCCTTGGCCCATCGCACGACGGATCGTCGTAGCGGCATGTACAACATCCATCGCGCCTAAAAGTCGGGGGTGTCTACGATGTCAAGGAAAGATGTGCGTACGACATATAGTTATATATATATATATATATTCATAATAAAACAAACGTCCCACCGCACGTTTGTGGTCCCCTATCACCCGCACAAGAGGTCGTTAGGCCTTTTCGTCACTCGCAACGCCTAGCAGTGTCCCCCATTTTTTCACCAATGCCCCTGCGCGTTCCCGGAAATGGAACTTGTCGTCGTGAGGGACGTCAGGCAACTGATGAATGCGTTTCATCACCTTGCCGATCTTGGTCGTCTTCAGCTGCTCCACGGTCATATCCGTATACGCCTCGACTGTCTTGAATGTCGCGTCCTGCGCGTCCATATCGCTCGCCACAATCACGCCGCCCTTGTTGAGGAAGGCACGCTGCAGCTTGTACCGCCACTCCCGCACTTTTCGCGTGGCAGGATCCAACTCTTCGTCTGGCTCACGCTCTTTCTCTGCTGGCGTTTCTGCATCGCCTTCCGCCTCGGCAGCTACGTCCTCAGCGGCACGCGCGCGCTTGTTGGTGCTAGCCTTGGCCGATGTACCCGCTGCACGTTTGCGTGGCTGCGTCGTGGAGCGACGGCGGGTCGACGATTTGGACGCATCCTCGTCCTCCTCTTCATCCTCGGCCTCCTCGGCCTGCTCGACCCAGGCCTCATGCTCACGCACGATGCGGTTTTGCTCGTCATTCCATGCAGTTGGGTCCTGCGCAATCTTATACGCTTTTTGCAAATCACTCGACTTGCGTGGCGGCTTGGCCAAGAACGCCTGGATGTCTTCCGACGTTAACAATGTCATATCACGCGCAGTAACCCAGTGACTGTCATGTAAGTCATCATAGATGCGTACTAATCTGCCGTAGGGAAGAATCGGATGGTAAATAGCGTGCTTTTTGTCGACGGCCGCTCGTCACGGACCGCCTTGGGTACATTGTCATCGTCCATAATCTGACGTGTGAGAGGCATATGGAATACGTACAATGCCCGGCCAGGACGGGAAACCTTTGATTTTGGCCAGGACGACGTCCCCTACCTTGCTGAATGGTAAGTGTTTCCTCCCATTGCCACCTACAACTCGTGCGCTGCACTACTACTGGACATCGCAAGCACGTACCACGAACGAACGAACGAAGTAGCGCGACCGGCCGCGCGTAACCGCTCGCCTCACGTGATCACATCATGGAGAGGACGACGAGCGTCGTAGCGCCACTGCCTGCGACGACAGCGTGGGCTTCGACGGACGACGTCGCTTTTCTGATTAGAGACGTGTCTGGGCATTTGCACGTATACGCAGTCCAACTTTCTCCTGAGCATATAGGCAGGCATCACTGCTGCTATCTCTATGAGCAACCGTGTCGTGTCGCTCACCTTCCGACACATCATTGACGATGTGATCGCGAATGTGCGCCAAGACTTTGAAGATATGGGTATCGAGAAAGAGGTGCTGGAGGAGCTGCAGCGTTCATGGGAGGCTAAATTGGTCGCTACGCAAGTCACAGAGTTTGATGGCGCGAGCACGTCGTCGCAGCGTGCATCGCACCCGTATACTGTGACGCCTGGCGCACCCCTACTTCGAACCGGTGGCAGCGCGGCGCAAACCGACGTAAAGGAAGAGGAGAAGGCGTCGATCTCCACGTCGAGTACGGATGCTAAGCCCAATGACGACGACGCGGCGGCGGGGCAGAAGCGCAAGCGCGAGGCTGGCGACAGCTCAGAGCGTGCGGAGAAAGAGGCAAAGATGGAAGAGAGCAGTGCCAAAGAGGAAGACGCGTCGAAGGACGAGATTGGCAGTGATCTCGATGATTCAGATGATGACGACGGCGATGGGACGGAGGATATGATCCTGTGCTTGTACGATAAGGTGCAGCGTGTTAAGAACAAGTGGAAGTGTGTGCTACGGGATGGTGTCGCCTCGATCGATGGCCGTGACTACTTGTTCTCCAAATGCAATGGGTATGTAGTACAGACGGTGCTAACACGCAGCGAGTTTGAATGGTAATTAATTGGATGGCACATTTAAAACTCGTGGGTTTACAGTTTGTGTACCACTGTAGCCTACGTTCTCCTTTTAGCACAGCCCCTCCATTCGACCCTGCCAGACTAACTAACACGAGACTTTTACCACGAACCTGGGCCCCGGCGTGGGCCATGTCCCCTGCATCACGTGCTTATGCAGATGTCGACGCAAGATGCGCTGTACCTCCCCAGACTCTCCAGCCACCGACGCATAGCGTAGCGGCTCTATAGTGTGTACAATGACTGTGACCCATTCGAAGGCAGGTGCGCCTTCGACGTCCGGGCCGGTAGTTAGACTGCTTCGCTTGGTCGTGACGTTTGACAATGCACGTACACTCGCGCTCATTGCCGTGGTATGGCACTATTCGTTCCGATGGGGCCGAACGATCAAAGCCGACGGCGTGGTGGGTGTGCTCCGTCGTTTCCGTACGACCTTGCTGCGTGTACGTTCTGCCTCTACTTACATTAGCAACTCTTCCGAATTATGATGCTCATTCCATCGAATCGCCGGCGTGTTGAGCGTGAGATGAGCATGGCTGTGAATGACGTGGCCAAGTCGCTTATGCCGCCTACGACCGTGGCGACTGTTCGTGAGATGCCGGCCCATGGCCACGACCTTCCATGGGTCACGCAGCAGCTGGAGAATCTAATGCTGCTAGGTGGTCATGGCGAGAGCGATGGTCGCCATGTGTACCTGGATGGACATGTCTCAGGTGCGGTCTACCACGGTGGCGAAGCGCTGAACCGTGTGATGGTGGAGACGATCGAGCGGTTCTTGCTGACGAATCCACTGCACCCTGAAGTGTTTCCGGGCCTGCGCAAGATGGAGTCGGAAGTGGTATCGATGGTGCTCCGTATGTACCATGCGCCTGAAGGCGCGGCAGGCACGACGACGTCGGGTGGTACCGAGTCGATTATGATGGCGTGCCTGGCTATGCGGGAGTGGGGTCGTCATGAGCGCGGCATTACGCAGCCAGAGATTGTGGTGCCTGTGAGTGCGCATGTGGCCTTTGACAAGGCGGGCCACTACTTTGGTATGACGGTACGACGCATTCCTGTGGACAAAAAGACACGCAAAGTGCGTTTGGATTTGGTCCAGCGAGCTATCAATGCGAACACGGTGCTGCTCGTGGGCAGTGCGCCGAACTTCCCTGATGGTATCATTGATGATATGGTCTCGATTGGTGCGTTGGCCAAGCGCTATGGGATCGGTTGCCACGTTGATGCGTGTCTTGGTTCGTTCCTTGTGCCGTTCCTCGAGCCGGCTGGGTTCCTGGCCGAGCCCTTTGACTTCCGTGTGGAGGGTGTGACGTCGATTTCGTGCGATACGCACAAGTATGGCTTTGCCCCGAAAGGTTCGTCGATCGTCATGTACCGCACGGAAAAGCTGCGTCGGTTCCAGTACTTTGTGTCGGCAGACTGGGTGGGTGGCGTGTACGCCTCCCCGACCCTGGCTGGCTCGCGTCCAGGCGCATTGATTGCCGGTGCATGGGCCGTCATGATGACCATGGGTTACGATGGCTACCTGCAGAGCTGTCGCGAGATTGTCGGCGCGGCCCAAACGATTGCACGTCGTGTGCGTGAAGAGATTCCCGAGCTCTACGTGCTGGGCCAGCCGCTGGTGAGTGTCGTGGCCATCGGCAGTGCCGGCAAATTGAATATATACGATGTGGGCGACCAAATGTCACGTCGTGGTTGGCACTTGAATGCGATTAGCGGCGACGCACCAGCCTTCCACATTGCATGCACACGTCTCACTGTGCCTGTCGTCGATCGCTTCATTGCCGACCTGAAAGAGAGTGTGCAGCACTCCCACTCGCGCCCCAGCAAGGCTGGCACCATGGCTACGGTATACGGTCTGCACACCACAACGCCGGTAGCGCCGATCCTGCTCAATGAAATGGCTGCGCGCTTCATTGATACCATGTACAAACTCGCGCCGTAATCTAGAGACATCGTAGTCATTATTGCACTGGTGTAAGTGTCGTGAATACGTACAGTAGAGTGCCTGGACATCGCTGCTCGCAAACGCCAGGCCACAGTGAGGACACTTGCGCTGCCGCGTTTGCAGGCGGGCATTGATGCACGCCTCGCAGAAGGTATGGAAGCACCGCGTAATGATCCGATCACGGTACCGTTCCTTGCACGACGAGCATCGCAACAAGGAGTTGAGGTACTCCAAGTGCGTATCCGCATCGGACGATTCGCGGCGTCGCGACGACGTAGAAGACTCTGCCAATCGGCGCCGAAGACGGCCTACATCGCGATCCAGCGCCATCATACGCTCCTCGGCCTTGTGACGAGCACTAGTCTCCTGCTCGGCCGTCGCAAGGTGCTTCGAGACACTGGCCTCCGCCGCGGCGCGTGCCCGCTCAGCATCCGCATGGCGGCGACGCCACACGGCCACATCGCGATCAGCCTCGGCCAGCTTGCTCGTGTGCGTCTGCAAGCTACGACGCAGCGCCGAAATCTCTTTCTCCGCCTGCGCCACCTGCGTCTGAAGGCCCTTTTCCGCTTCCGTATACCGCTCAATGACCTTGGCCTGGCGCTCAGCACTGCGCGCCAAGGCGCGCTTCTCTACTTCCAGCGCATCCTTCGCACGCATCGCGGCAAAGTACTTGTTGTCCGCTTTGGCTTTTTCTGTGGTCACACGCAGCATTTTGTCTTCAAGTCGCTCGACATTGGCGATCCGCGCGGACGTCTGCTTGTCCAGCTGGTCATAGGCGCTGCTCAGGCGATCCACTTCGTCGCACAACGTCATGCTGGCAGCGTTGGCCGCTTTCAGCTGCAGCTGCAGCTGCGCTACATCGGTACTGAGACTCGCTTCCGTCGCCCCGTCGCCCAACGCCGCCTCCACACCGGCCGCATCGTTCTTCGCGGCGGCCAACTCGGCTTGGAGACGCTGGACTTGCGCCTCGAACGCCGCTAGCCGCTCGTCTTTGGGCGCGAGCAGCGCTTTGGCTTCGTCGACGTACGTAAATCTCACACTTTCACGCGCTCGTCGTTCCAGCAGCTCGGCATTCAACTCGTCGCGCTGGCCACGGAGGCGGACAATATCCGCATCGCGCGCCTTGATTTGCTTTTGCAACTCTTCGCTGTGTGTTTGAGCCTGTGTCGTAGTTTGCCGCTGAAACTCGAAACGGAATTCACGCATGTCATTGTTCTCCTGTTCCAACGCAGCGTGCGCCGAGCGCAGTCGTTCAGCTTCCTGTTGCATGAATACCATCTCTGCCTGCAGCGCTTGGTACACACTGTGAGCATGCACACGCTCGTCCGGCACCGCTTGCATTTGCAGCTGCAAGGCAGCGACGGATTGCTTGGCCTCCAACAGCTCGGCGCGCGCCTCGTCGAGCAGCCGCTGTCGTGAGTGTGCGACATCACGTAGGGAGCTTAGCTCTTCTTCCATCGCGGCCGCCTTTTCCGCCGTAGCGGCCATGGTACCCTGTGCGGCCTCTGCGTGGCTTTCACTGCCCTGCGCTGATTCTTTGTGGTCCGCCGGCGTCGGCGTCGGCGTGCCCTGGTTCGAGGCAGGCTGGGCAGACGCCTGCGCCTGCTTCTCGTGCTTGGGATCTTCCATGTTTCGTACGACATCGCTCTGAGCGCGGTCGGCACGACGTTCGGCCTGGCGAAGCTGCTCTTCCAATGTCTCCACGCGTTCCTGCGACAGATGAAGTTGCGCCTTGGTCGCTTCCAACGCCTGACGCAATGCACTTACTTCGCCGGCAAGCGAGGCACATCGATCTTGCACTTCCTGCAAGGCCGGCTGGCTGATCGAGGAGCCCGAGCCAGCGGCACTCTTCGCCAGCACAGCTACGATATGCTGCAAAAGAGATTGCCGCTCCTGCAGAGCAGCAATCTGTTCATTGGAGCCTTGAAGCAGCGTCAAAGGAACAATCCGTTCCATACGCTTCAAGGTATCTTCGCCCAAGGCCCGTTCGTCTACTTGGTAGTGCGCCATATACTCGGCCAGCTGCCCACGCCGTCAGTCGTCCACTCCCATACATACCGCATCCCAGAACTGATTCACGGCCAATACCTGCTGCTGCGTACGCACAAGTGTGCCTTGTAGTGCTACGGCCTCGTCCTTCGTGCGCTTGGCATCGCGCTGCGCTTCCCGCATGCGTCGGTATATCGCTTCTTTCCTATATTGCTGCACGTGTGAGCGGTAGCAATACATACCTCTAGGCGCTGGTAGTCTGGGTTCGTTTCCTCTTCCCCAGCCATGAGATCCAGATGCAAACGCTTTGTCGCTGCGCCGGCGGCCTCGTGCCCTGCGGCCACCTCGACATGATCGCGTTTCCGCTCCATGCTCGTCGCGCGCGACCAGCCCTTCGTTTTCGCAAGATGCGCGCGACGAAGCGTTGTAGTGTCGTCACGTGATGACATGGGCGCGTACGCTCGGACAGGGTCGTAGTCGTAGCACCTGCGTACAGCGGCTGGCTTGTCCGTTCGTGCGCGAGTGGCTCGCATGTTGTCGCGATGGACGCGCTCTGCGCGCTCAGTCGTGTGTACTACAAGCGTCCTTCGCCCGAAGCTCCGATCGTTTTCGCACACAGCGCCACGTCCCACGTCCCCGGCCCTAGGCTCGGCGCTGGAGCAGCTCCAATCGCTCTTCCAGCCAACGTCCCCCTGGGTGACGCGCCTTGAGCATGCCAAGCTGGCCGTCACAGCACCTCATCCACACCGTGTGGCGTTTGTCGGCCCACCTGACCTGACGCACCGGCTTGTCGATGTGATCCTCCAAGAGCCGCTCGACGAGACTGTGATGCGTGCGATTGCAGATCGCCCACGCACGCCTTCGACGCGGATCGTGTTTGGTGCTGATGTGCCCACAGCACAAGATACGTGGCCGAGCTCCTCCTCCCACACGCTATCTCTTCCGCTCGGCTGGCTGCGTGGCATGGAAGTGCTGGAATGGACAGACTTGCAGCGCGATACAGAGACGTACACGGCCCTGCTGGCCTGCGATGCTGTGTACTTTGTGCTGGATACAGGCGCCTTGGAACGTCAGGAAGCCTCCGCGGCGCAGGTCTTGCGGCTCGCTGAGCTGCTCTCCGACAAGCCAGATGCGATGCTGCTTGTCAACGTGGATGTGGCACAAGCGTATGGCCAAACGGCCGCCGCGACTTGGGACTTGGCGGTGCAAACGGCCATCCAACACCTCCCACCTCACTTGCTGCACCGCTTGCAAGAGACACATGGGATGAATGACGTACGTACACCCCTGCCCGGCGTGAAGTTTGTCTCGACGCGGTTGGCCGCGCAAGCGCGATCCATCCTCCCTACGGACGGCTTTCATGAATTCACGCGGCAGTTTCAAGCATCGCGCTTTGCTGCGCTGCACTTGATGCTTACTCGTCATATTCCACCGGCGTTGCGTGCGTGGTACGTCGCGAAGACAGCCTTGGAATCGGTCACAGACGCTGAGCAGATGGAGACCGAGCGTCTCGCTACAGCCGATGGGTTTGCTAGCGTCCTTCAGACGCATGCGAAGAACGACATGCAGCGTGTATCGCAGCGCATTGCACCCCCTGCGGATGGAAGTGTGCATCCCAAACCGACATGGCAGCGAAGTGGGGACCAAAGTACGTCCCTTCGTGGCCTATTGGCTGATTCCCGCGATGCTGTGCAGGAGACGCTGGCACGTAGTTTCCCATGGTGGCGTTTGCCATGGCGTGCCGATGAGCTTCGTCTTTCTCTTTCCTATGTCATTGGCCGCAGTTTCGGTGCGTCGGAAGAGACGCGCTTGGCGTACGAAGCAGGGCGCCTGCGCGATGTGGCGCGCCGTCAAACGGACTATACACAGGAAGCCTTGGACCAGATGCGTCAGCGCGACACACGCGTAGCGCATCGCGAGGCCTTGGCAGACCAGACGCGACTTGATGCCGAGACGCTGCGGAATGCACTGCATGCGTTTGAGGACCGCCAGATGGGCGCGCTCTTGCATGCCTATTGCCTGTCCGAGCCGCTCGTGCACCGTCGGCAGCAGCTCCTTGCGCCTGGCGGGCCCTTGGACCGCATGGCAATGCGTGCGCAAAAGCTCGTCGCACGTACGATGCTCGGTCTGGGCGCTACATACTCGGTGTGTGGCCTCGGGGCCGTGGCGCACAGTTCTCCTGCGGTTGTCACAGTCCCTACGACCACGCTGGGTACGGCCATCGCCACCAGCTCCTGGGTCCCAGCGTGGACGTGGTCTTCGTGGCTCTCTATCGTGGAGATGGCGCCCAGCACTGCCGGGGCGACAGCGCTGTTGGCTACAGCCCTCGGCGCTTGGTACCTCCAGGGGCAATGGTCGCGATTGAAGCGCGCTTTCTGGCGCGATTGGGACCGCACAGCCGAGGCAGCGGAGCGTGAGCAGCAGCAAAACGCGCACGACATTCTCCAAGCGCTCGTGTTTGGGGCACCGCTCCAAGTATCCACGCAGCTGCATGAGCAAGTCCAGACACGACGACTGCAACAGGCTTCGCGCCTTTCGGAGCTGAACCGGCTGCGGGAGAAAATCCAGGCGCTGCCCAAACCCACATAGCACACATTTAGCGAACGATTGAGACTCATGCAAAAGATGGCTTTCATTTGGGCTTGGTCCACAAAGACCTACTCTACAAGGGGTTATGCAAAAGGCTTGCTCTTGCGCTCATGAACTTGTCGTTAGTCGATCATATACGTACTGTTATAGTGAAGCAGACGCTCAATTAAGTCGACATGGGTAAGCACCATACGACGGCAGCAGTATCGGTTGAGCTGCAGCTCCGTCAGCGCCTCGCCTTCCGTGCGTCCATCGAGAAGCAGGGCCAGGTAGGCATCCCACTTATCACCCACAACCTTGCCGCAGCTAAAGCAGCGTACTGGGATAATCTGGTCTGGTCAGCCAACTCGTTCTACACACCATCACGAGGAGCGCAGTGGAAAGACGACACAAGCACGCCGGGCGGCGACCAGGACGAGGCAAAAAATTCGTAGTGTGGATTTAAGTGCTGGGGTACATCCCAGGCTCTCGGTTTGCTGGCACATCTCGTCCTTCCATCGTCGCGACAATGAGTAGTGGGTGTACGTGCAACGCAAACATGCACAGGTATACTAACACAGGTAGTCCGTCTCTTGTCGCTTGTGCGACCTTTTATGTCGGTGCTGCCTGAGGTGTCGGCGCCTGAACGCAAGGGTACGTACCGCCATCATGCTCACACCAGTGCCGTTCCAGCAGCGCGTCATGTGGACTGCCATTGTCCTGGCCATTTACCTGGTATCGTCGCAGATTCCATTGTACGGCATCATGTCGAGTGATAGCTCTGATCCGCTCTTCTGGATGCGTGTCATTCTGGCGTCGAACCGTGGTACGCTCATGGAACTCGGTATTTCGCCCATCGTGACGTCGGGTATGATTATTCAGTTGCTTGCGAGCGCCAACCTCATCCAGGTAGACTTTAGCCTGCGTGAGGACCGCGCGCTGTACGGTGGTGCTCAGAAGTGTACGTAACACACGGACTAACCACAGTGCTTGCATTGATCTTGTCCCTCGGTCAGGCGACCGTGTATGTGCTGACTGGTCTCTATGGCCCGCCCAGCGAACTCGGCGCTGGTGTGTGTCTCCTGCTGATTCTCCAACTGGTCGTGGCCGGTTTGATCGTGATTCTTCTGGACGAGCTCTTGCAGAAGGGCTACGGTCTTGGCTCGGGTATCTCGCTGTTCATCGCTACTAACATCTGTGAGACCATCGTCTGGAAGGCTTTCTCCCCGACGACGGTCAACACGGGTCGTGGCCCCGAGTTTGAAGGTGCGATTGTGGCTCTGTTCCACCTCCTGTTCACGTGGAACAACAAGTCGCGTGCGCTCAAGGAGGCCTTCTATCGCGAGCGCCTGCCGAATGTGTCCAACTTGGTCGCGACTCTGGCCATCTTCCTGATTGTGATCTACCTGCAGGGCTTCCGCATTGAGATCCCCATCAAGTCGACCCGCGTCCGTGGCCAGCAGGCCACATTCCCCGTGAAGCTGTTCTACACGTCGAACATGCCAATTATGCTCGTGAGTGCGCTCACGTCGAACTTCTTCATCATCAGCCAGATGCTTGCTACGCGCTTCCCGTCGAACTTGTTTGTGAAGATGCTCGGTAGCTGGGACCGCATGGACGACAGCCCGCAGCTCCACGCTGTGAGCGGTATCGCTTACTACCTGTCTCCGCCGACGAGCATGAGCGCCTTGGTGCGTGATCCGATCCACGGTGTGATTTACATTGCCTTTATCCTGTCGTTCTGCGCCGTCTTCTCGAAGATCTGGATCGAGGTGTCGGGTAGCGGCCCTCGTGAGATTGCGAAGCAGCTGAAGGACAACAACATGGTGATTGCTGGTCACCGTGAGGGTGGTATGTACAAAGAGCTGAAGCGTGTCATCCCTACTGCGGCGGCCTTCGGTGGTGCGCTCGTGGGTGCGCTCACGGTGGTCGCTGACCTTTCCGGTGCGCTGGGCTCGGGTACCGGTATTCTGCTGGCTGTGACCATCATCTACTCGTACTTTGAGATGGGTATTAAGGAGTCTATGGGTACGGATGCGGGTCCGTTGGCCGATATGGTGGGCTAATGTCTATACCATGCATCCTCAACGTATAGAAAAGAACCCTATGTAGCTACTAGGCCTTGCGTTTCCTCTTCGGTGCGGTGGGAAGAAACGAGCTTATGTCATGAGCCACGTGGTCATATTGTCACAGAGCGATGGCGCCATCGCATAGCGACAAAAATTTGGAGACGTAGCCACATCGTATCGGGTGAATCTTCATCACCACTGTACTACCTCTTCTCTACTTGCTTTGCATTCAATATCATGGACATTGCATACTCTGAGTTAAAGTACGTTTGTGTGTTTGTTGTGTGGATCCATTAACCTGTCCAGTTCTACGAGTCCAGCGGCCTCGTCCTCGCGCGCCTCTGTGTCACACGCCGGCTCGGTGCAGCCGGTGCCATCCACTACCCTGGATTCCGTGGTAAAGTGGTGGTCCTGGTACGTTGTTTTGGCACTAACCTGGATAGACGTCACTACTCGACAAATTCCTGGATCGCATGAACCAGGTCGGCGTACGTCTGTGAGAGAGACAGCGTCGCTACCCCCTAGGGCTCTTGGTTCGGCTCCCATGACCCTGCAAACTCATACCCGAGCCATCCCCGTGACCTCACCACCACTGAACCGTTCTTCTTCGTTTACATTGCCTCTTTCGCCACCGCCGTCACCACCACCGCGGTACTCGAGGGCTAGAGAGTCAGAGGCTTTTCATGGATCCACGACTTCCCCTGCGCATGCAAATGTGCATACTTCATCATCCACCCTACCTTTGCAAAATGTCGACGCTTTACGTACTTCGCTACATCAAGTGAATCGATTCGACGTACCAGGCACACCAGATATGAGTCCTGCCAACGGTGACGTGCACCATTACCCTGCCGCTACGGCAGAGGCATTTGTGCGCCGCTTGTTTGTTGATTTGCCTGCGATTGGGGCCTGGAAAGCCGAGGATGCCGGTATTGAATTGATGTGCCCTGGTTGGTCTGGCGCTGTCATTGAGAAATTCAGTACTGCAAGCTCTTCAACGAGCTCTGCCTCTTTGGCATGTGCATCAGAAAAACTGAACAGAGCTTTGTATGTACACATGCCAAGTGGCTGTGATCGATCTCAACTTCGCGATCATATGCTTGCCATCCTGGATACAGCTTCCGATGCGATTCATGCATCGAAAGTGGTATTTTGCCTGGAGCGCAGCTTGCCTGATCTCTCCTCTTTGCTACATGGTATGTGCTATGTGGGCGGTCAAGTTATTTCTATAGGGGGCCAGCTGGATGAATGGGTGGCTGCCCATCCTATTCCGTCCATGGTGTTGGTCGCCGTTTCTTTGTAACCGTAGTTCCCACATGTCTGATAACATAATCAACCCCGGCAATTGGCATTTTTTTGGTACGTGCCCGGCCTATAACCGTCGTTTGCTTGGGTACACGCCTATATTCCGTAAGCGGGGGAGCGGCGAGGGTAGGCCGATCAATCTGCCGTAAGCGGAGTCGCGGAGGGTCGTGGACGGTTACCCACCCGACTGCAACACCGATCTTTCGTGATCGCCTTGCTCTCATAATGGCGGTTCAGTCGCGTTTGCGTCCCGCCTTGGAGTCGGCCAAGATGGCGGCTTTGAGTCGCCTCTTGAACTTTATCTCGTTCTATTCGAGCAATTATAATTCGATTCAGAGGGTCCTTCGGGTTGTGTATATGGTGGGTGTGACATTTGGCCTGCTGCATATGTTCTGGCCACGTAAACGCTCGGCCAAGGCCAAGGAAGCTGATAAGGCCAAGCCTTCGTCAAACATGCAGCGCAAGAAAGTGACGCTCGACCATGTTTTCTACGCCCGGCTGTTCCGCCTGCTCCGTATCATCTTCCCAACCTGGCGCTCGAAGCAGACAGGCTACCTGTTTGGTCTTTCGGCGACGCTACTTATCCGTACACTTATTTCACTGTACGTGGCTGAGCTGGATGGCCGTATCGTCTCTTCGCTTGTGCGTGGTGATAAGCGCATGTTCTTCTTGCGTGTGATCGCCTGGATGGGCATTGCCGTGCCGGCGGTGTTGGTGAACAGTCTGATCTCGTTCTTCGTGAACTCGCTAGCTCTCTCGATCCGTACGCGCTTGACGAGCATTATCCAGCACAAGTACTTGCAGAACCTGACGTTCTACAAGCTTACGAATTTGGATGACCGCATCCGAAACGCGGATCAACTAATCACAGTGGATGTGCAGAAATTCAGTCGCGCTATTGCGTTGCTATACGGTAACATCTTCATGCCATTGATTGATTCCATTGTGTACAACTTCCGTCTTAGCCAGACGGTCGGTATTGAGATGCTGATGGTTACTACAGCGATTATTCGCTTGACCACGATGCTCGTGAAGATGCTCACCCCACCGTTTGGTCAGTACACTGCGATGGAACAGCAACTAGAGGGTGAATACCGCTTCGGTCACGCCCGTCTTCTGGAGAATGCTGAGGAGGTGGCCTTCTACCGCGGTCAGAGCCTCGAGAAACGCCACATTGACCGCTCCTACTTCTCTCTGTTGAAGCACATCAACCGTGTGTTGCATATCCGAATTGGCCACGGTATGATGGAAGAAGGTGTGATCAAGTGGCTGTGGGGTGCCATTGGTCTGGTCATTTGCTCAGGCCCTGTGTTCTTCAAGATCCCTGGCTTCGCTGTGGGCGGTGGCCGCAAAGCCGACATGGGCTCGCGTACGGAGGTGTTCGTGACCAACCGCCGCTTGCTGCTCTCGTCGTCGGATGCCGTGGGTCGTGTGATGCTCAGCTACAAGGAAATGTCGGAGCTGGCCGGCTACACGTCTCGTCTTACAGAGTTACTTGAGGTCATGGATGACCTGGAGAAGGGTCATGCGAAGAAGCGCCTGGTCTCCTCGTCGGGTGATGAGGCGATTGCCAAGAAGAAGGAGATCTTCTCGCGCCGTGGAGAAATTAACGAGGACAGCGATGAAGTCGTGTTTGACCAGGTACCCATTGTCAGCCCGAACGGTGATGTTCTGCTGCAGAAGCTCAGCTTCCACATCAAGCCAGGTCAGCACTTGTTGATTATTGGTCCGAACGGTTGTGGTAAGAGCAGTATGTTCCGTATCCTTGGTGGTCTGTGGCCTGTGTATGGTGGCAAGGTCTCGAAGCCCTCGAACAAGGAGTTCACCTATATTCCTCAGCGCCCCTACCTGTCGCTCGGTACGCTTCGTGACCAGGTGACCTACCCCGACACGGTCGAGGAGATGCATGCGAAAGGCGTCACGGACGAGGACCTGCTGCAGATTCTCAAGCTGCTGCAGATCGACGGTATTGTAGAACGTGAAGGCGGCTGGGACGTAAAGCGCGAGTGGCGTGATGCCCTTAGCGGTGGTGACAAGCAGCGTATTGCTATGGCGCGCTTGTTCTACCAAAAGCCCAAGTATGCTATCCTTGACGAGTGCACGAGTGCGGTGACGCTGGAGGTGGAGAAGATCATGTATGACCATGCGACGGAGCTCGGCATTACGATGCTCACAGTGTCGCACCGCTCCTCGCTGTGGAAGTACCACTCGCATGTACTGCAGTACGATGGTCAGGGTGGTTACGTGTTCACGGAGTTGGATGCTGACAAGCGCCTGAAGCTCCAAGAAGAGAAGCAGGCCATCGAGCAGAAGCTTCTTCTGCTGCCCAAATGGCAGGAGCGTCTCAAGGAGCTGGAGAACATTGTGGAGCTGCGTCACCAGCATCACAAGACGGAATCGGTCCCCGCGATGCCCAAGACGCAAGAGCCCGTGACCCCGGCGGAGGCACCTGCCCCCACCCCGGCCGCGCAGGCGTCCACCACGCCCGCTTCTGAAAAGCCAAAGGAGACATCGACGCCCAAGACGCAAGAGCCCGTGACCCCGGCGGAGGCACCTGCCCCTACCCCGGCCGCGCAGGCGTCTACTACGCCCGCTTCTGAAAAGCCAAAGGAGGCATCGACGCCCAAGTCGAAGAAGAACAAGAAGAAGTCGGCTCCTTCGGAGACGGCGCAGCCCAAGGCCCAAACGCTGGCTGAGCTTAAGGCAGAAGACGAAGCCCGCGTCAACGCGGCTGGTACTGAGCAGACCCAAGCTGCGCCTGCACTGGACATGGCATCGCTGAAGTCCACCAAGAAGGCGTAGAGGACCTCTAGTGTCTATATATGATAGTATTGCTAGTGCCAACATGGTTTTGGTATGCAATTGGTGCATTAAAGCGTTGAGTCAACTATAGACATGACCCATGACACACCGCGCTTTACACTTAGTTGTGCGACAGAGCGGTCTGGAGAGCAGTGTACACCTCGACTTCAATCTCAGCCTCAGCCTTCTCCTCCGCCGAAGCATTGCTCGAGAGAACGCGCTGGGCCTCCGACAGACCCTGGCGGATAGCCTTCGTGGGTTAGAATACGTTCTTACCAGAATTTCATGTGCTTAGATACATACCTCGGGCGAGAACTGGTCAAGAGGGTACGCCTCAACAGCATTCACAGTGAGAGTGTTGTTAGGGTGGATCGAAGCAAAGCCGCTCGACACTATAATAGGTTAGGAGATTGCAAGGTGAGTAGGATACGTACCGAAGAACTTCTTGCTAGTGCCACTCGACTCAATCACCTCAAGCACACCAGGACGAATCTGCTCCACAGTCGGGACGTGGGCCGAAAGAATACCAAGGTCACCCGAGACGGCCGGGACGTTCACCTGCGTCACCTCAACACCATCGTAGATGGCCTACATCCAGTTAGCAAAACTATCACAAGGCCGATAAACCTACCGAGTGGGGGACAACGAAGCTCAGCTTCAGTTTGTCACTCACAGCCTCAGCGTAACCACGGCGGGCACCGGCAAGCTGCGAGAGAACGGGGCGGTAGCTCGAAGAGCGAAGCGTGCGCGAAGCCAGAGCAAACACCATCGTGGCTGGTAACGAATCGAAAGTGCACGGCGTCTGAGCCCTCCTCCCTGCCCGGTCCGAGGGCCAGCACAACTGCCATCGGCCGAGTCCGGGACATGACATCTCTGTCTCCTCCACGTGGTACTTACGCCTTACCATCACCTCCACACGTGTGATAGGTCCATGCGGCATCCATGAAGGTCCCCTGCACACAGTGTGACCAGTGGACGGACTTGGATCCCAGTGTAGTTTCGAAGAAGCAAAGCGACGAAGATGTAAAAGAATGGATGTCTGATACCTTTACAAGAGCAGGTGGAGAAACTAAGGTGGCTTCTATCGAGGAGCGGATGGAGCACCTACACCTCCCCTCGGCTTTAAAGGAGGCCCTGCTCGTACATACACAAGAGATGAGCTCAGAAGCAGAAACGCCTTCTGAAAATAAAGAAAATGATTTGCTTTCCACCATAACAAAGGAAGCTCGACAGAATTGGCCAGAGGTTGAAACTAGCCACCCTCTCTGTGAAATCTGTGCCGAAGACTTGGTACAGCAGCTCACCAACGAGCTTGTCGACACGAGACGCGAGCGTGATACCCTAGTACTACTTGAACGTGAGCTTGAGAGACTTGCTCTGGTGGATGGCGATCTTGAAATGTCTCAAGAAGATATCGCTAGATGGAAACGACAGCAGGATCTTATTCTACGTGATATGAAAGAGGTATGCATCTAATGACACTCACAAAACCTAGATGAAGGAAGAAAAAGAAAAGCTTCAAGAAAAATTAGTTGAACATGATAAAGAACAAGAGAGCCTTCGACAAGAATTAAAGGCGCTGGAAAAGAAGGAGATGCAACTGAACGATCAAGAGGATGAATTTTGGAAAGTTTACCATGAGTTGTCCTCAGCTACAGAGAGAGCACGCTTAGAAAAGGCTCAACTCAACCTTCAGCTTGAGAATGATAAGAAGATCCTTTCGCAACTGGAGAATGCCAATGCATACACAGATGCTTTCCACATTGAAGACGATGTCCTCGGAATGGGTACGATTAATGGCTTGAGACTGGGTCGTCTTAGCCAGAGCGCAAGATCCACACATGAGCAGGTAGAGTGGTCTGAAATTAACGCTGCCTGGGGCCAAGCTGCCTTGCTCTTGAATGTGCTGGAGCGAAAACTGGAATTCCAATGCAGTGAGTACAAGGTGGTCCCGTGTGGCTCCTTCAGCCGCGTGGAGAAAATCGACAACGAAAAGACTGTATATGAATTGTATGGATCAACGGATTGGCAAATTGGAAGACTCCTACACTCCAGACGCTTTGATTATGCTATGATAGGATTCCTCACTTGCCTCAACCAGCTATATGAACACAGTAAGTCACTCGACTCCGCCCTGGACTTGCCCTACGTGTATGTCGCTTGTTCACTAACAATGTAGCATCAACAAAGACCGGATCAATGATAACAGCATAAAACTCCAATTCAATCAAACCGATGCATGGACTAGAGCTGCCCGGGACGTGCTTCATTTGTACGTTGGTCATCGTACTTACCCCACACAGGCTGCAAAGCTTGCTCCTCTGGTTGCTTAAGTCGCGCTGACACATGTAGTCACGTGATATGTAGCCTTCCTTCGCGATCGAATTGCCACCACGCCCACTTTACAAGCCAACGCTTCGAAGGGTTGGTGTGATATACCTGCAGCGTAGAAGCAACTATGCCTATTACACAGACCGGCCATCCTGGACAGGATCACTCGCGTGACCCATGCCCCTGGGTCATTCTTAATGACTTTGGTGGTGCTTTCGCTATGGGTTGCATTGGTGGTACAATCTGGCACGGTATTAAGGGTGCACGTAACTCGCCGCGTGGTGAGCGCTTTTTGGGCTCTGTATCTGCTATCAAAGCCCGTGCCCCCGTCCTTGGCGGTAACTTTGGTGTCTGGGGTGGCTTGTTCACTTCGTTTGACTGCACAGTGAAGTCCGTTCGTCAAAAGGAGGACCCTTGGAATGCGATCATTGCAGGCTTCTTCACTGGTTCGACCTTAGCTATCCGTGGTGGCCCCAAGACAGCCTTCGGTGCTGGTGTTATGTGTGGTATCCTTCTTGGTGTCTTTGAGGGTGTGGGTGTTTTGATGCAGCGCTTGCTGGCTGAGAACAACAAGCCAGTCGCACCAATTATTCCTGATGCCCCTCCTGCTCAAGGTTCGGGTAACATCGCCCTCACCCAGTGACCGTGATGGTACAATCTTTTTTTCATGTGTTGGCATTTTGATGGCACATTTATATCTGTGGATCTAATTCCCTAGTGACGAATAAGCGAATAATATGACCATCGCGCACTCATAATTTTGACTGCTTTTCCAGGAAGGTGAACTTGCCGGACAGAGGTAAGCGGATCTTCCAACATCACTTTATTCCGACCTTGCATCCATACCGTGCCGTCTTGTAAAAGAAACATGGTTGTATCACCTGCACATGTAGTTTGTGTGACAATGGCATCAGTGGGCGTGTCCCCAATATCGACAGGCACCGGACCAGTCAGATGGCCTGGTATATATTCGACCCATCCCCAGATATAGGCATCGCCATCCGTGGTTAGAGCGACACTGTGACGATCACCACAGGTTACATGTTTCACAATCCCAGGAAACCCTTCTTCTTGGGAAAAGAATGTAAGTGGATGGAGGCATTGACTGTCTGTCAATGACAAGGTACCCAGCTGGCCAAATCGATTATCCCCATAAACATAGAGTGGGTATTGCGCATGGGATGTTTGTACAACAAAGTGAGTACCTCCAGCATGAACTTGTTCGAAAAAAGGAGTGGGCCATGCCGACTTTGCCACGCTAACTTGATACTGAAGGAGGGTATCGGTGGAACAAGATAGACAGTCATCAAAGGTGGGAAATAGGTATGCATGCCCCTCTTCTGCTGTCAGATACATACAACATACCTGAAATTGTCATGACACGGTTTGTCAGATCTACGGCAGCGCTTGTCCAAGACAAAACACTACGCCGTTGACCTGTCATACCCTGGCAGAGATATCCATCGGGATCTAGGTACCCTAAAACTTCATCTTGACCCAAGAAGATACGATTGGGTTTCCACTCAACTTTTTGGCCTGCATACGATGCAGTAGGATGGCTGCTCTCACGACAAAACCCATATAAGTAAAAGGTATCCCCTTGGTGTACAATTGCATTGGATCCACTTGCACCAATGATATCTGTAGCATCAGAGCAGATTAAAGTAGGCTCTGAGAGGTACAGCTTCTTATGTGGCTGCCCGAGCTGACCATGCAAGTTGGAGCCCCACCCATACAATGCAAGTGACATGCGGTCTGAGCGTAGGCCCCGATGGCCCCCGATTTTCATCTTCATCTTCGTACACGAAAATGCTAGGCTGCAGTAGCCTGCCTAGAGCTCTGTCTGTACGAAAAGCTCATCTGCATACATCGCGTACAGTACGGAGCCAGATTTCTTCTGTAGTGGATGTTCTTGAAGCACGCAAGCTTGTGCAAGCAACTACATCTCGTGCACTCAAAGACCATTTACAAACAAAACACGCGACGAGCACATTTCTACCTCGAACAATATACTCGGGAGTGGATCCCAGTGCTATAAGTCTGCACGTAGGAAACCTGCTGCCTCTCATTGCGTTGTTACACTGCTCACTCCATGGCCATAATTCGCTGGTGCTAGTAAGTACGAAAATAGATGGGCTGACATCTAGATCGGTGGAGCAACAGGGGCCATTGGTGATCCGTCAGGCCGCTCGACAGAGCGCTCCGCCTTGGATATGGAACAATTAAATAAGAATGTGATGGCCATTCGCACACAATTATACCAATTTTTCCACAACGCAGCTGCCTACCTGAGTCGTCGCGGCCTGATTCATGCTACGCCCGTTATGTTCTCCCCAGAGGTCAGCGAGGTGGGTGAGCCATTGTTTCAAGATTCGTTAAATATCCAAATTTTGAACAACTACAACTGGTTCAAAAATGTCTCCATGCTTGAGTTTCTCTCTGGGGTAGGACGATACGCTCGTGTGAATGACATGTTGGCCCGCGACAGCGTCAAATCGCGGCTTTTCCCCACCAATGGAAGCATAGCCGGCATTTCATTCACAGAGTTCTCTTATCAACTGATGCAGGCACATGATTTTAGTGTGCTTCACAAAGACAAACAGTGCTCTGTGCAGCTTGGCGGCTCTGATCAAATGGGCAATATCATGGCTGGTATCGACTTGATTCGACGGCAACGTGCAGCGCAAGCTGATAGCACAGCCAATCCCAACATGAGGGAGGAGCCTGCTTATGGGTTGACGCTCCCTCTTCTCACAACAGCATCCGGTGCCAAGTTCGGTAAATCGGCAGGGAATGCTGTATGGATTTCCTCGTCCCTGCTCTCAGACTTTGACTTTTATCAGTACTTCATGCGTAGTGCGGATGTTGATGTGGAACGATACTTGCTCTCTCTCACTTTGCTCCCTATTGAAAAAATCGAGCAGATTATGGCAGAGCATGCGCAAGACCGCTCTAAACGCATTGCTCAGCGTTGGCTTGCTAGTGAGATGACTGAATTAGTTCGTGGAGAGAAAGCCTTGCAAAAAGCTACGCTGGCCACAAATGTGCTCTTTAATACAGACCTCCAGTCTTTAACGCTCGATCAAGTTGAATTTGCTTTTGAAAACGATCCACGCTTAGTATACCTCAAGGAACCCGTGGAAGATGTAATTCAGCTAGCGACAGAAACGAAACTAGTTGCATCCCGAAGTATGTATTTACACTACTTTTACACTAACAAATTTACAGGTGAAACACGTCGCTTCATCCAGCAGAAGAGTGGTTTGTATCTTAATAACAAATCGGTGACAGATGTACACGCAAAAGTTAGCCAAGATGAGCTCCTGCAAGGAAGGTTTATTGTGATGAGAGCCGGTCGTTCCAACCACAAAATTATTGTTTTCCCACATTAATGAGAGAAACGAGGCCCATTCATCAACCCGAGCCCCTGCCCCATGTGTGGATCGAGCATCAATGTCTCCGACGTAGACTCTTGAGACTGATCTGACCGTGTTCCTAACGGTTCCGTACTAGGAAAATAAGGAAGAAAATTCATAGGCAATGTTTGACTGCGTTCTGTCGCAACCATAAGGTTCGGTGGCGCATTGACATGGCCTCGTAGGCACATATCAAGCGCATCAAATATTGCAGCCTTGTTCTCCATAGAGATATGATGCCAGTTATGATTCACAAGTTCACACATTCTTTGAAACTTTTCTTGCTGACTTTGTAGCATAGGCGGCGTAGCCATACCCCAGGTTTGACCTGTCATAGTAGGATTTGACGTAGACAATATAGGTTGTGGATGAGAAGAACTGGGGTTCGGTTTTGTTGATGTCTCTTTGAAGGAAGTAGCGCGCTGACGCAACACTTTTCGAGCATCGTAGATAGTTTTGATGGTAGAGAGATTTTTTGGGAAACGCTCGCGAATATGAGTAAGGATATCTTGTGGCTTCAATCCCGCTTCAGTCAAAGAGCGAACAACCTCCATTTCTTCGGCATTGAGTCGTCGAAGGATGGAGTGATTTCCTAGCTCGTTTTTGGATACTTGGTGATTGTGACTTAAATTACGGACCTCCAAACTCCATTCGTCACAATGCGCAGGCTTCCTACCACGAACCTCATAAGGGCATCCGATGAGATTGGATACCTTCCTGTGAGCGACAGGAGCATCTTTGGCCAGATAATGTGGTCTTCGGTAATTCCCACCTCGGTCGCAACCTAGCCGGACCCAGCCATCTTTGACAGACGACTTTCGAATGGTGACAGCAAACCCTTGATTTCGACCTAGACCTTTGACATAGTCAATCAATGCCTCGCGAGAAGGAAAGGTTTTATTGTACAAAGAAGGGTCCTCATGGTCTGGTATCCCTTCCTCGGGATCCATTGAGGTATAATGGCAATAGCGGCAAAAGAACAAATCCGGGGGAGGGTCCAATATGATAAACTACATTCATTAAACACAGGCGAGATACCTCACGATGCGCATGCAAAAAGAACTGCGCATTTCTGTGGCGTCGAGTCAATTGAAAGGTCCAATTGAAGAAAGCGAATAAAGCTGTTTTGCGGCAATCGTCTAGTGGTTTAGGATCTCACCTTCCCATTTGCCGGACTGGCACGCGGTAGCGCGTGGAATTAGGTGAGGACGGGAGTTCGAACCTCCCTTGTCGCATTTTTTTTACAATTTGCATAGATCACGACTATCACTACAGCTTGGAAAGAGGTTGAAGATATGGCTGAAGGAGGGTTATCAGTTCCTTTGCCTCCTCTTCATCGAGTTCATCCCGTCGACCAAACAGGACTGATGTCGAAGAAGTCTTGTTCCATTTTGAGAGAGGGGACACGGCGTTGGAAGGAAGAGGTGCTGGGACAATATGTATATGGACCTGCACTGTTAATTCGCAGATAGCTTCACGTACATGATCCACTGTTTGTGCATATTCTTGGTTAGCAGCAACCTGAACACCAGTGATTTGAAAGCCTCAACGTAAGTCGTATGAAGACCTACCTTTCTCCATAGCACGAGTAACCGCTACCACACCATTCATAATGGCTGCAGCTTGATCGTTCGATAAGTTTGAAATACGCGGGACGTGGGCTTTTGGTACTACAAGAACATGTCCTGATGGTCAATGGTAGGCCAAAATACGTACCTGTACGAATAGGCAAAATATCCAGAAACGCGATATAATCTTCCGTGTCTGCTACGATGTGCGCTTCTTGCCTCCCTTCTATAATGTCGCAAAAGGCGCATCCATCGGCAGAGACATGATGATGATGCTGGCTTTGCACGCGACCAAGTAGGTGTGAAGTCATAGCGCTAAGGTGTTACTTCTCCGCCTCCCTCCTCCACCTTCTGCATGTCCAGCGGGGTTGACAAAACTTACCTTTACCGGCATAGCAACCCCACACGAGAAGCATATGGCTTTGCATTGTCGATTTTTGCGGTAGTTGTATGGGTATTATGGATTGTATGGGCTCTTTGCCCCGAATCGTTTCTCATCCGAGTTGGCATTCAGTGGTATCCTCATCGGTACGTTGCAAGGAGTCTGACCAAAGTGACTGGGCGTATTTGATACCTGCGTGGTCGATCGCCCTTATCCTGTTTATATATCTCGGTTTTTTTGCCATGAACATATATCATACGCCACCCATCGATTCTATGCAATTTGTTACAGGTATGATATGTAGGGATTAACACAACCAGATCAGCGAGCCGTCTTATTCACACAGCCAATGAGTCAGCCTGACCAGCATCCGTTAGAAGGGCTTTCGTTGTATGACATGGCGCATGAAGATGGACCTCTGAACGATGATATATATGACATATCACCAGGACTTTATTGCCGTGCCAAATATTTACATGGCTAAAGAACTAATCATCAAATGTATTTTGTCATTATACGCGCTAAATGGTGATATTATCGTTGAGGGAGAGCTCAGCGTCTCGTTGACAAAGATTCGCAGCAAGTGTCTCTGATCGTTTCGAAAGCTCATTTACGCGACTTTGAAGTTTTTCTTCTTCTTGGCGAAGCAATGCAATACGAGTATCCAAAGCTTGCGTATTTAGGAGTGCGCTTGTATTCGCCAGTATTTCTTGTGCCTGTTGGACACTATTGTTATGGTCCATGTGCGTTTGTACGAGTTCTTTAAGCATAGATACTTGGCGTGTCCGTGCCTCATATGCTTCTTGATACCATGCCATATCTTGCATCGCATCTGCCCACTGACTGTGCTCTGCTTCAAGCATTTGAACCTTGGCCTGTGACTGTTTGTACTGTTTCTGCAACGTTTCTGTCGCAGCGCAAATCTGATCCTTGCTTTTCTGCCAAGTGCGCAGGGCATTAGCATGCACAGTTTGAATATGAGCCAAGTATGATTCAAGCCATTCAATGTGAGTCTGGCTTATGCTCCATTTGCTTCGGAACCAAGAAGCATCATCCTTGGCCCATGCAACGTCTCGTTGAAGCAACTCATGTTGTTCATGATATAACTCTTGGTCCAAGTCTAGTATCTCTGCCTCCTTCGAATCAGAACAGAACTGCGAGTTCATTTTTTGGAGATCAAAGAGCTCATTCATTAGAGAAGTGCGGTCCAATTGAAGCTGAGATACCTGTTCGGACAACATGGTAATGACTTCTTGCTGGCTGATGATTTGGTCGTCTTTCTCTTGTAACGAGTTTTGCAATTGCCGTTGATGTTTCTGCAAAGCGTCTACTTTGCATGCTTCCGCTTTGGTGGATTTCCCTGCCTCTGCCATTAAACGCGTCATGGATTGGAATGATGCTTTGATTGAATCGTCGCGTTTCATGAGGCGACTCTGTAAGTGATCATAGTCGTCATGTAAACTTGTATATTTCTCTGCGTAGTTGAGAGCATCGTTTCGCGCATCCTGGAGCTGTGCTTCTAAAGTGTCTTTATCGCGGAGAATCGCGCCGCGTTCAGAGTCCTTTTTGTGGAATTGGACAGCACGCTCTTTGTATCGGGCGATCATGGTTTCTAATTTATCCACTTGGGCTTTCAGCTTATATTCACGTTGCTTTCCTAGCTCTGAGGCATGTCAGTGTATACAAACGTACGAATTTCCGTCTTGAGTGATTCACGTTCGTTGACTAGAGCATGCTTTTCGTACTGCAAATCCTCCAAGCGTGCTGTGGCCACCTTCCACAATTCTTCTACAGTCTTGAATCGTGAGGCGCCTGGCATTTCCTCCCTTGGTAGTGGTATATTTTCACGCTGAGTGTCTTGGAGGACGCGTAGGAGACTGGTGCGAGGTGTGCGCGTAGCTGCTGTGAGTCCAACACCAACATACGCGTCATGATCGGCTTGGGAACAGGTAATCGTGAGCCTGGGGTCTCGGGAAGTCGAGACATGGGATCCCGTCGGCCCAGGACCGTGCGGTGGGGCGTCTCAGGCATGACAAGAGACCCGCAGTGGGCTGCGACACCAACAGACAGCGTGGCTCGCGCTCCACGCGTGTAGGTGTTTGTCACGTGCTGCAAGGGGGTATCATGTAGGGGCTATGGATGGCCCTAGGCAGGCTATGGGAACTGCGCTTGGCGTTTCAGTACACGGTGGACCAGCACAGAGGGTGCTGACTGAGTAGGCTCAAAAGAGCGTGAGAGAGGCATCGACGAAGAGCGCTTCGCAGATCCACTTCGACGTCGGTCGATACCACCACGACCGCCTCGGCCGTCTTGCCAGGCAGGCTCGTGGCTGTACTCTTCCAACAAACGTGCCCGCTTTTCCTGAGCATCCCGTGATAATGATGACACGTCCACTTTCCCTGACGTGAAGAGAACCTTGGAGTACTTACATTGTTAGTTGGTTTCATACGTACATGAGCATCTTCATCGTCCGACATGGTGGTCGCCGCGCGTTTCGGCGCTGCACGAGACGAGAGCTTGACACCGATCTCATCGTGGTCCGAGTGTGTAGGGTCTAAAAGGTCTGGCGATGCAGCACGTTGCCGGCTTGCACGTAGAATTTCGGTGCGAATGGTGTGTGCAGAGACGCGCTCTTCGTCCTCAGAGCTGCTATCGTCCGCGTGCAAAAAGTCGTACTTGGCGTGATCATCCGCTGTCGTGTGCGTTTCCGTATAGGTCCTGACAAAGGCCTGAGCATCTTCGCGCGCGGCCAGTGCATCCAGTCCATCGCCTTCCACTTGACGACGCTTGCTCTTTGCAAAGCGAGGCGCTTGTAGACGCCTTCGAAGTTCATCTTCGTCAGCATCTTCGTCAAGCATATCAGCCAACATATCGTCCTCACGACCACGTCGGCGATGTCGCAAAAGACCCTTGGTCGCACGTTCATGAAGCGCTTGCGCGGCGGCATCGTCTTCTTGCTGGTGCTGCATAAACATCTTCCGCGCTGCCTCGTCCTTTTCATCGTTGTCGGAATCGCTTTCATCGTCCAGCAGACTCGACAAATCCGCATCGTCCTCGGACCCCTCTTCTTTTTCAGAGTCGCTCCCTTTGTCGCTGAATACACCTGCAAGACCACCGTGGTCGCCACGCTGCTCGTCTTCGTCCGACTCTTCCGCCTCACCAAACACAAAGGCGGAGGTAGGGCGCTTGTACGTATGTCGAACTGCAGGAGCTGGAGCTGGCTCGTCTGCATCGCTGTCTTCGTGCACAGACCCAGGCGAGGGCGGTTCTTGGGGCTTGGTCTGCGTAAAGAACCCATCCTCGTTGAGGTACAGCATACCGTCATGACTTTGCTGCTGAGCCGCCTGTGCTTCGCGCCATAAATCCTCTCCACGCTCTGCTAGCGATGGATCCAGCGAAGGCAAGACGTCTGGCGACAGGGGAGCGGCTGCATCCGCTTGTTCAGCGCGGCGCAGCGCAGCAAAAGCGTCGCCACTTGGCGCATGCGTCGGAGGAGGCATGGCTTCCTGGCTGCGAGACACAGGGTCGACAGGTGTTGCATCAAAGAACTGTGTCATGCCACCCACAGGCCCAGATCGACGCTCGTTGGCAAAGATATCCAGAGAAGCATTTCGCGACGGTTCTTGTGTGCCAGCCTCGAAAAACTGGGCAAGGACAGAGCTGTTAGAACCAGTGCGCGACAGGGAGGCCGCAGGGGACGGCGACGGCTGCACGGATCGGTCGGTGGGCGTAGGTGCGAAAAAGTCGCCCAGATCGGGGATCGGTAGCTCGGAAAGAGGCGCGCTGGGTGAGGGCGAGGCAGCACGAGGATGGCTGTCGCTGAGAGATGCAGAGCGCGACCGCAAAGGTTCGTTCTCTTTCTCGGACGAGCCTGAGCCTAGGGAGCTCGCAGGGCTATAGGCTTGACTCGACGCGGGTGCCTGTTGGGGGTCGGGTGGGGGCGACGGCGAGGGCGACGCACGTGGATGTGGCACTTGGGTCGGCGGGGCACGTTTCGCTGTCGAGGCTGCATTTTGGGCGTACACCTTTTGTAAGACTGTGGCATTGAGCTCGCCCAAGCCCAACACAGGCGGCATGCTAGGCCGCTGGGTAGGCTTGTCCGGCTGGCCGGGCGACGTGGGCGCCATATGCCCAGCGTCCCTGTGAGCAGCCAAGGCAAAGGTGTGTGCTGCGACATCCATTTGCGCGTCCGACACAGGGTCAGCGGTCGGTCCATGAGCATTGGGCGAGCGGTACTCGTTTGTAGCAATCCGATGCCGACGAGGCGTGCGTGGCCGCACTGCCAAGTGCGCCAATGTCGAAGCCACTTCGTCACGTTGCACATCACGGGGTGGTGAGCCGCGGAAGCGGACATGGGGGGCATGATGCGAGCGCACATCCACCACCTCCAATTCGTCGTCATCATCGCCGTCTTTGGAACTCGGCGGCGCAGGCTGCCGCCGGATCCAGGCCCATTTCTTTTGAGCCAGCTGACGTGCCTCATCATCGTCTGGTATAGGCCGACGTCGCTCGGATGGCGACGTAGGTACAGCCGAGGAGACTTGATCAGAAGGAGGGCGTGGGTCAGGTGTGGATGAGGATTCCACAGGGTCCGAGCTATGCATCGCCTGCGGCGCTGGCGACGTCGTATGCTGGATCGTGCTCAAGAGCTCAGAGAGTTGGTATCGTTTGGGCTCAGGTCGTGGCAGACTTGTGCGATGCTCACGCCGTAGACGCGCAGACATGCTATGCATTTCGCGCTTTTCCTTGTTCGATAGCCCCTTCACAGGCTTGGAAGATGGCGCGGGAATTGCTATATTGTCGTCGTCGTCGTCGCTCACAATATCGACCAACGCAGGAGCGGCAAGCGGACTCGATGGACGTGAAGTCTCTGAGGGGGGAGACGGCGAGCGTGGTGGCTCACGCGTCTCTTCATCCAGGGATGTGCGTTGCTGCGCAAGCATACGTAGTCGCTGCATACGTGCTTTGCGTGCATCGACCTGCGACGCTTGTTTGGCAGATAGTGCTTTCCTCCCGGGCCCCTCCTCGTCCTCATCTTCCGAGAACAAAAAGAGGCTGGAGGTAGCGAGAGATTTGGGCTGCATACGGCTGGCCAGGGTGGTGGGTGCTGCAACATCGTCAGGCTCAGAGTCAATATCCGTTTCCAGACCGCCGTCACGCTGAGTTTCCTTCCAAGGTAGGATCGAGGCGACACTTGTATCGTAGCTGGAATCACCCACAGTCGCGCGCATACCTACGTCTTTCCCGGAGAGCGTATGTGACGTAGGCGGCGACATGAGCTGAAACGAAGGCGAGCTTGGCTCCGTAGACCGGTCATCTACGTCATTACAATCCACGTCTTCATCCGCCATTCGACGCCGCTCATACACGATGGGAGCCATCGCGGGGAGCACGCGCAAAAAAAGTGGGGCGCGTCAGGTGGTGGTCGGTAGGCGCCTCGGCACCGCGAAATGCCGTGACGCGGTGGAGTGAAAGGCACGCGTTTTGCGCGTCGTTCTTATGTAAGCCAGCTATGGAGGTCCAGAGGGGGCAAGATGACCCTCCACGGTGCCGTCCGCATCACGGTAGGCTTGGGCAAACCCTGCCTTGCCTTGCTCGAGGATCGCAGCATGTCCTGTGCCTTCGTTAGGATCAAGGCCGTGCCATGTACGCTGCGCACGATGCGCTAGGGACGCACTATCGAGCACTTTTTGGAGTTGACCCGAAATAGGATCACGTACTGTCAGTTGATGAGGCTCCAAAGAAAGCTGCTGCAATGCCTGGCTTGTGGTAGTCGCTGCATCACTGTGGCCCTCCGTCTCAGACACGCTATCTTTGGTGGTATGGGTATCTCCATAGCGTGTGCGCGAAACATATGCGCCGGTGGCAAACGAGTAATGAGGACGCTCGTCATCGCTTGCGTCGTCAGACGCGTGCACATCCATTTCAGCCGTATGCGACATGACATCGCTGAAATCCAGTACATACGCACCGGTCCATGCCACTTCCCTACCACCATGCGCCTGTACAGCCAACATCATTTCCCATGGCGTAACGATGGGCTGCATAAAGTCGCGGGTATCCAGCAAAGAGTTTTCCGGGCAGGCAATCAGCACAAACGCATCGATTTCTTGAAAGTTGGCCAGCTTGGCCGGGTTGAGTTTCCCAACACTGATAGTGTACACTTTGCGCTTAGAAATGGGCGAGGTAAGAATACGACGCAGCTCTTTTAACAGAGGCAAGTACGAATGAATCCCTAGCGTGCCGATGACCAGCCCGATGACGGACGCGTCGCGAGCCTTTTGGATGGTAGCATAACGACGCATCAGCAGACGATTCGTTTTGCCTGTCTCGATACGAGCCGCATTCATTTTTGGATCGTACGAGGCTACAGGGAACGTAGGCCCTAGCGTGAGAAGAAGATGCGTCAGAGCGGCAGATTCGCCGCCCAAGTACAATACGGCCGTGGAAGAGAGGGGCGTATCGCTAGGCAATGGAATCTGCCGAGCATGTAGTAGGGAGGATATAGGTTCACATGTGGAATCTGACGACGTGGCAGGTGCTGGCCGCCGTGTACACGAGGTAGTGCATGCACAAGCTTGCGAAGAGTCGCTCTTGGCACACGAGGCACCGCTGTCTCGTGCCGCCATATGCGCATCGAAATTAAAAGCGGTATCGATTGTAGACAAAATAAGGGGAATAGGCGAGGTCCATTGTGATTTCAACCGTTCGTAAATGTGGTGTGCAGCATGTGTATAGGCGACATCGTATGTCAGCACAACAGCACGTCGATCAGAGATCGGGAGCTGTGTAGCTGCCTCTAAGAGGCCTTGCACGGCTGCTTCGATATCGATATCACGTTTTGGGAAGACGTACAATGCAGGCAATGTCGCTGTAGTGCTTAGGCAGGTATGGCCATAATGCACAATGGCATCCGCTCGGACGTGCGCCGCAGCCACCTCGTCTACGCAGCAACTGCCATAACTTGTGTCAGCCAGGATGTACAATGAAGGTGGTGTATCTGTAAGATTTTTCAGTGCCTGGTTCAACGCATGAAAAAGTGGCACAGAATCGATCAAAGCCTCATCAGGGAATTGCAAAGCAACGCGCTGCAGCGGCGGTGTAATCAAATTGGAGGAGCCACGCTGCATTACGAGCCGCTGAGCTGTAGCTTCAACATCGTATAAGTCCATAATGTTGCGTCCAGATTCATGGGCCGTAGCTTGAACAGCATCTTCATTGAGCTCGACTTGGTGCTCAATGATAGCTGCGTCGGCTGTGCTGAAGGCCGTCGCCATGATGGACGCTCACGACTACGAAGAAATGTGGAGGAAGAACGAAAGATTTCGGCCTAATTTTACAGCGTGGCTATATACTGCGCGAGAGACATAAAGTACTGCTCGGCGATGCTGGAAAAGTAGAATTCATGCTCAGAATTGTGCGCTGCCACAAGATTGTGGGCTAGCTCGTGCGCCAAGCTGAAGTACACAGAAATGAGGGGCGACGTTAAGCGCCCTTGTAGTACATCATTATCGTGCCATGCAAGATAGTATCGTAGATTGAGGAAAATGGTCCCGCCTCGATTGAACGCGATTGAAGGGCCCTTGGTATCACAAAACACATTCAGGCAGCGTGGATCAACACCGAAGATTGTGCCAATCGGACGGTATACCATCTCGATCATACGATGTAAGGCTGCCTGGTTGTGTGCTAAGGTGGCCTCAGCATCCAAATCAGCGCTGACAAACACATTCATCCCGGCAACTTGGCCAGCCAGGCGCAGGTCCACATCGATGCCTGCGATGCTGCAGTAAGAGTTGGCCGCTTTTTGTACTTCCTCGGTCTGCGACTGCGACTGGATGATACGTGATGCGTCAGGTCGCGATGCCTGAATGGCGTTCTGGACGTGGCGCTGGATATCGGAAGTGGGCGCCACAGCCGTATCGTCCGAAGCAGGGCGTCGAATGGACGATGTGCCATTGGCTAATGATGAGAGTCGCGATCCTGTGCCACTCCATCGCGCTTTCCATTGCTGAATAAGGGACGTAGGCATGTCAGGTTTCGGTGCCATAATAGCCTGTTCTTTCTCTCCTTTTGTAGGAAGAGCAGGGGCTGCCGGCGTTGGCGTTGGCGTTGGTTGTGGTGGCTTTATCGGCGGCGATGGCGGCGATGGTGGCCTTGGTTGTGGTTGCTGCACTGGCAACTTCGTATCCGTGTCCTCACGCGACGCCGACGATACGCGGGGATAGGCCCCCTGCAGTAAAACCTCACTCGCCTGCGCGAGATGCTGCGCCTCGAACGAACGAAGAAGCTGCGCAGCGTAGGCAGGATCGACATCGGGAAACATTTGGCATAATTGGTGCTCGAGAGAGCTCCATTCTGGCGTGTTCGTTGTGGTAGGACGTACTTTTGCAGGGGCAGATGTCTGGGCTTGTGCCTGCGCAAGAATCTTGTCGACATGGAAGCCCTTCCGCTTAAGGCTGCGAAGGGGAGAGGACAGGACGGTCATAAGCAAAAGGACATCCGGCAAGGATTGCCGCGTGAGCATGACTTTGGCTAGGGCGGAAGCGACTTCAAACCAATCTAACTCCATATCGCTGGCCAAGTGTAAGATAACGCGCTGACGGTGCGTCTTCATCATCGCCGAGCACCGCTGCACGTCTTTCCATGTGGCGTTCATGTACGACAAAACACGTGTCTGCTGCAGACCTGGCGTGCCGACTTGGACGACATCCAAGTGCTGTGTAAGCCATGCCATATCATGTTGAATATCTTTGGCAGAGGAAGTGCGCTTTTCAAAAAGGAAAATAGGCGTGCGCTCCATGATCGTGGCACGTACAGTGTTCGTTGTGGGTGTATCTGTACGTACTTCGCTCGCCACGCTAAACGATTCTGTGACAAGTGAGCTGAGGAACGGTGCACCAAGCGTCGCATATAGAGGCTCCATGGCATCATCAGGTGGAGCTGTCCATAGGTGCGCACCAAAGAGCATGTGCACATGAGCATCGTCGACCAGCACAATGTCAGAGGCACGTCGTAGTTCGTACTGGATCGGCGACGTCGCTGTCATTGACTCAGTGGATTCAGTCTCTGACTGCTCACGCGAAGACTGCATACACAGCAAAAAGGGCGCCTGCCGCATGGCCTTGATCATATCGCGTGGAAGGGTATCGAGATGGAACGCGACTTTGCGCAGGATATCGAGGTACGACTCCGGCTTTCCGCAGAGCTCGTACCACCGCATCGGCTGTGCGAGCAGTTGATGGACCAATTCACCCACACTCGGCTCATCAGTCACGCCGCATGCGCGCAAAAATACATTGGCGTCAGGGCCCATGTCAATGTACGCAAACACGGCTCGGTACTCTGGCGGTGCTGGCGTGGACGAGAGAAAGTAGCATTCACACGGAGCGACCATGCCACGTTGGTTTACAGGGACGATGGGTGCGCGTGAGAACTTGCGGTACTCATTGGCGGAGAGCGTAGGCACACTAGCGAGGAACGCAAAGGCGGTACGTGCCTCTGCTTCGGTGGTCGGTGGCGTAGTGCACACACGCTCCACCAGAGCAGAAGGTGGTGGATGGCGAGGCACGTGCAATTGCAGTGCCTCAACAGGTGATAAGGCCACGACAGGCCATCCCAGGCACGCGACGGCCGGGTCAGAGTACACCTGATCGGGGGGGTAGGTATGTCCATCTCGCGCGGGCACAAACGCATACTGCGACGCAAGTCGAAGGGTGTACGAAGACGCGTAGATTTCCCATTTCTCGAAGAGGTAGCGTAGAGCCTGTGCCCGTATCTCTGATGGTGACGGTGGGGCTGCGCGTGTAAGTACTTGATCAAGCGGCAAGTGCCGCTGCAGACCTAGTTCAAATAACAGCTTCGCTTCGTCAGACGACGGACGCCAACGTGCACCTTGCCAAGCGAGAAGGGGCACGCCCATCGAGGCCAGCACATCGCTCGGTTCAAACAGCTCAGCAGCGCGGAATCGCTCTGTTCCATTGCCTTGCGCTGGGAATAGCGCAGTATGACGCAATCGATCCCACTCGGCGGGTGTCAAGTGCGTACTTTGCTTGGCCAAGTATACCACCAAATCGACATGCGACCAATCTCCTGCAGCGAGCAGTCGATCAAAGATGAGTTGGATGGCGACATGCCGACGCACGCCCAGTGCCTCTAGTAGTTTTTCTAGAGGGCCTTTGACTGGCATTGTCGGCATGACGACGACAGGTAAATCGGAGAACAGGGAGACACTCGCAAAGTACGCATCACCCGGCCGCTGCATCCCAGCGCGTGTGGGAATGCACGCGAGGGGCTGCAACTCCTCAATCACGGAGTGCATTTGTGCTTTCGGCAAATGACCCCAGGCCCAGGCAAGTGTGCTCAATACCGCCTCGGCATTGGCCGGGGAATGGGTAAGTCCATGCTGCGTACGGACGTCCTGGGAGGGCGACTGGTCCAACGAGATCATGTAGGTAAGCCACGCAGAGACGCTCAGCTCGTGCCATGGGAACACCGCTTGAAGCTCTGCAGGCCGGAACGACCGAGAGACGCTGTACACAAGACACGTCGGCGGAAGAGGAACAGTCGGCGGTAATTTCCCGGTATGCAAAAACGTCGTGACTTCGTTCAGTGGCTGCACGCCGCTCTCCGTCGTCACGACCGCCGCGCGGAGTAAGCGCGACCGTAACGAGGGCTCGTACGAGGGATGCTGCGCTACTTGGCACCACCACTGCAAGCACGCCGTCATTTCGTCGGGCGAGAGTGGCCGACGTCCCAGCTCGCCAAACACGTCGTCCATGGTGATATCACGTACCATCTGCCGCGCCCGCAACTGCATGACAAACGTCTCTGCCGCCTCAATATGTGCCGGCGGCAATACAGGTATCTCACGACAGAAATCGGCCAGCATCGCACTGGGAAACCGGACCTGGTCGGAGGAGCGTAGACCCTGCGTAGAAAGCAGCGATATGCAGGGACGTGTACAGCACGCAAAGAAGGCATCTTCGAGCGCCTGTGCGACGCGTGTGGAAGGCGAGGAGCGGTGGAAGGCAAAATATCGCATGGCATGTAGGGCCCGCTCTAGCACCGCATCCTGCTCCTTGTCTTTCAATTGCAACCATTGCGCGCCAAGCCGCTGCATTTCATTTTCGTACACAGCGCGTGCGACAAAGCCACCGATCGACAAGAGTTCTATGTTCCATGTCGCGCAGTACCGATCGATAAAGTCCATCGATTCTCGCTCGACTGTGGGGATGAAGCGCGCAGCCATAGCACCGCTAAATGATGTAGTCTGGTGCGTTCGGAACCCGATAAAGATCCGGCCTTGCTGATCGAGACGTGGGAGTATACCTTCAAAGAGCGCTTGGACATGCGCATCGACATTCGTAGCGTCTTCAGGCGGCACATCCATCGCATCCAGCGCCTCTTTGCTCATGTATACCATATGCAGCGGCATTGTACGGGGCGGCGGTTTCTTGGTACTCCGCTCAATTTCGCGCGAGAACGCAGTGGGGACACTTACATTGATGTGAGCTGAGATCATGCGGATTTGCATCGAGGCATGTACCGTTTCGATCTGGGCCGCTGCATCGAGGGCATGCTCACTCGCGATCGAGTCGGCGGTGGGTGTACGTGCAGAAAACGCATTGGCGAACAACGAGGCGATGCCCCCCGCCGCCGTCTTGGAAAAGGCCGAGGCAATGGTCTGCCGTAAACTCGGTTTTTCGCGTGCCGCTGCCGCCGCTGCTTCCAACAACACAAGACGCGCGACGTCCACATGCACATCCACGTTTGACATGTACATCGAGGCAACACGCAGCATTCGCTGTGGCGACGTCGGCGTCAAGTGACGGGAGGGCGTGAGCGGTACAGGGGCTCCTACATCTTTGGTAATACGGCAAAGCATCGTATCGTCCAAGTACAGCGCCACAGATCGCACATGGCTCGTGAAGGTAAGTGACGTGGCCAGGAACTGACTCAAGGCCAACGGCGATTCAGGGAACGGTGTCGGTTCTCGCAAGGCCATAAGGAACGTCGTCCATGGCGCGCCATTGGATGAGACATCGGACATGGGCGATGCAGCCCGCCGCGTAAAGAGAGCATCGCCTTTCCAGAAAAAGCCCATAAGCTCGTCGCCACTCATGACAATGGGTTCTTCGCAAATGCTAAACAGCGAGTAAAAACCGACGCCAAATGCACCGATACGCTCCGGATCAGGGTTTCCTTCGGCAATTCGCTTCTATTAGTGAGTTACGACGTACCCGCAATCGATGCCAGTCATCGCCGCTGAACGGTTTGCCATTGTTGCGGAACGTCCACTGCGTCAGCATCGCATTCACATCTGGCGTAGGTGGTTTGGGTATCAATGGGCACTGCTCATGTGCCACAGTCGCATTGGTAGCAAAGCGAAGTTCGCACTCGGTGGCACATGCATCGTCTGCATTTTGTAGCAGTTCACGAAAGACAGTGACTGTGGATGAGCCACACACAACGTACATTCGGCAGAATAGCGTGCCAGAATCTAAACGTTAGAATCCTAACCACGTACCTTGTCGATGAGCGCACGTTGATTCACGGTAATCGCCTCGTCTGGGCGACCAGACGCTTCGAGCGCCTGGTGCGCCAACGCACGCATGTCCAACGACATGGTCGGCGGTGGCGAGAGACAAGGAAGTGGAGGTGAGGTAGGCGGCGCGATGCGACTATGACACAGCGTGAGGGAGACTTGGGCCGCTATGAAAGGGTCAGATCACTACGTTTCGGCCTGCACACCATCCAAATGGATGAGACTGATATCGCGCTCGGCACACAAACTCGCCAAATCCGGTCGTCGCATGCTGTTGAGGTCAGAGTAGGGCATACGTACAGTTCCAACGAGACGCGCAGAATCTCCCAGAGGCTATTGCTTTGCTGGCCGGGCGACTCGCTATCGTCAGACGCCATTTGCAGTGTCAAGGCTGTGTAGGCATGCTCAGCCGCTTCGCGGTACATCTGTTTTGGTTAGTTGTATTTCATACATACTTTGAGGTTCAAGCATGAAATGCTCACGTTGAAATGGCAGCGGGCAAAGTCAGGGCGCAGATTGAGAGCCTGCTGGTAGTACTCCAAGCTCTCCTGCGAGCGCCCGGAATTGCTCAGTGTCGCGCCAATACGGTTGTACAGAATCCAGTCGTCGGGACGCACACTCAGCGCAGCGCGGAAACAGTCCACTGCTTTATCGTACTCGCCTGATGCGTTGAATAACACACCCAGCGCCATTTGGATATCTGCATCGATCGGCTCGCCCGTATCAGGCACGCCCGAACGTGCCATGGCCATGAGGACATTCGCCAGACGACGGTGTCGATTGGATGACTGGTCACGCGAGCGTAAATACGCATGCACCACGCCGCGGTAGGTATCGTTGATATTGACCCAGCGCTCTAGCGCTTCCAGGGCTTCGTCACGGTCATTTTCATTGGTATAGCTCACGGCCAACGCAAGCCATGCATCTTTCAGCTTAGGATCAATGTCAAGCGCCTTGCGCAGCGCCGCAATCGCTTGCTTCTCACGCTCATTCTCCTGCTGCCGCAGGCCCAGAGAGTACCAACGCGAAGCATCTGTAGGATCAGCTTGGACAGCGGCTTCCTGCTCGAGTACATTGTCGAGCATGGACGGCGAGGTATGCGAGAGGTGCTGTCGTGTCATGTTGGCCATGTATGGGTTGGCATCATGGAACACGTACTGCGGCGCTTCGTACGGGAACGGCTGCTGAATACGGTCGGCCACTGTAGGATAAATGCCATCGGTCGTCGCTTCAAACTCGTCCCAATCCGCCTGCAGCTTATCCCACTCTGCATGCTGTGCACCTCGCTGTCCGCGACCTTGCTGTCCTTGCCAGGCACGCCCGACAAAGTCCTCGTTTTCAATCGTTTCCTCCCACGCTTGAGTAGCACCAGAGACATTAGCGCCCATTGAGGTCCACTTGTTGTATTCCTTTGCAATAAAGTCGTCGTCTTGCGGTACTTCGACAGATGGCTTCGACGACAGCAAAGCCTCATCTTCTCGCATACGCGCAGCCACATCACCACTGTCACCCATGAAGGTGGGGTGCGTCGCGGAGGCACGGGTCTGCTTCGCCGCATCTTCTTCCTGCCAAAACTCTTGAAGATCGGCCAAGGCATCGTGCTGCATCGTCTGCGCATGCCCCGTGGTCGTAGGACCAGCATTCGACGTAGCATCACGTAGCATTTGGTCCAGGTAGGCCTGGGTAGGTGGGCCCTCCGCCTTCGCCTTGCCTTTGGCGTTGGCATCGACAATGTCGGCCCCCCGCACTTCTGCCTCCCGATCACGCAGCTTACGCATGAGCCCCAGGAATTCACTCTGCTGGAACTTTTCGCTGGTATCGTTTCTGACAGCGTGAAGGAGACGCTCGGCCGTAGCGGCCAATTCATCGGCATTCATCGTATCGAGCTGCGCTTCGGTGGGCATCGCCTCTGTGGCATGTTGCGCATCGACGGCAGTGAAGGCAGAGTCCCACGACGATTCTAGTAGGCGTAAGTGAAGTGAATACGTACGACTTACGGACGCGATCGCGTCCGGTTCTGTGTGCGCAGGACGCATGGGGCGCGTCGCTGTCATCATCGGCATAGCATGCGCATGGAAAGGGCGATGCGGGAACTGTGCCATGGGCCGCTGCGGCTGCACATTGAAATGCGATGCACCCGTGCGCGCTTTTCCGGAAGAGCGAGTCGCTTGCATGAAATCCTGAGCCCAGGCCGGTGCCGTGGTGCTAGCCGTGGCGGAGGTCATCGGTGCTGATGCAGCAGAAGGCCCAGCCATGTGGCTATGGCTCGCATTCGGCGCCCAAGCCGCATGAGGATGGACATTTGGTAAGGCCTGCCGAAGCTGATCCACCTGGAACGGCGCCACTGGCTCCGCGCTAAAGAACGCCGGATCTTCGCTCAGTGGCGCACGTTGCGTACGGAACGTCGACGGACGTCCAGCCACCGCCTCAGGGCCGGGCTGAAGCGAATCGAACTGCGTACCTCGATCCTGTCCAAATCGCTTTCCAAGTTGTTGGAGTGGGTTCACAGGCCCACACTGCGCGCTACCGCCCACCAAGTCCGGCAACGACATGGTCAGCTTTACGTGCGTAGATCCGGGGATAGAGAACGCCCCTGCGGACCTTCGAAGTGGAGGCGTGTATTTCGGCCGATGTCAGTGCAGTGAGAAGCTACGGCTACACATACTACGCTAAGAGAGCGGGGTCCACGTAAACTTCGGTGAGAAGAGACGTAGGTACTTACCTCACGGACTACGCCATCCGCACCACTCGTTGCAATGGTCGTATGGTTGATCCATACGGCTGCATGCGCACCGCCAGCGTGCGCGTTTTTGTAGGCTACATGCTTCATAGGCTTGGCGACCGACCATACATACACATGTGTATCGCTGCTGTCAGTCATTATCATACGTACAGAGAAGCACTCACAGCGTACGCGCCATCAGGAGACCATCGAATCGAGTAGACTCGGCCAGTATGGAATACCCAATGCGATAGCTTCACTTGCTGGGCTTCAATATCATACACCAAAATTTTGCCATTGCTCTCGCCTACCGCCAGCAACGAGGCATCGGGCGAGAAGGCCATGGCTGTGATGGCACTGCGTCCATTCGTCAGCTCACATACACTCTCCAACGACGTAGCGTCCTTCCAACGGTACAGCTTCACACGAGATTCGTCGGTACCCACAGCAAGGTAGGTACCGGACGGCGCTACAGCGATGCACGACGCACTCGGTACACCCAGCTGCGCGAGCGACACATGCGTCGTCGTAGTACGCGTCACCAAATCAATACCTGCACTAGTAGCCACCGCTGTGGCCTTGGTGCTGACATCGACACTGCGTGGCTGTCCAGAGACGGCCCATCGTGTTTCGTCCAATTGGGAGGACGAGAGAAAACGCACAGCATCATCCAGCGCCGTGACAGCGATAGTGTCTTTATACGACGCCATACTCACGAGACTAGGCAGCGGTGCGTGTGCCGGCATACGTGTGACTTCCTCTCCGGCGTAGGTATACAAACGGCCTTCACGTGAGGCTGCCACGACGCCTTGTGGTGTCACACCCAAGCCAACGACGCCCATCTCAGGCGCGACCAGGGCATGCACGAGCTGCAATGACTCGCTCACCTCAAAACAGCGTAAAGTCCCACCGAAACTCAACGCCACCAACGCCTCTTGTGTCCATGTCAGGCCGACTTGCTGAGCATGCACGCGATCCGATTCGTCCGACTGCCAGGCGGTAAGGAGACGACGACCTGCCACATCCCATACGCGAATGTAGCCGTCCGCTCCTGCAGAGGCCAACAAAGAAGAATCTGGTGCATACGAGATGGCGAAGATGGTGCCTTGGTGCGCGGAAGGAGTCGCTTCGTCACGCAGTTCGCCGATATTGTCCCCACTGGTACCGTCGTAAACAAACAAACGACCATCCGCCCCGGCCGACGCAAACGTCGCACCATTCGGGGCATAGGCCACATCCTGGACAAAGCGGGTATGGTTCGTGAGCGTGCGCGCGTACTTGAACGGCACACCTGTGTAAAACAAGACATGGTTGTCATCAGCCGCACTCACCGCACGGAACGGACGTTGGGCACGCACAGCTACGGCATTGACAGGCTTGCTGTGCCCACTAAGCTCGCCCACACTCGAGCCTGTGTCAAAGAGAAAGGCATGGGCATATTTCTCACGACCTTCACCGACGACTAACAACCGCTTGCTTTCGCCGTCCCACGTCAAGTCATTGATGCGCCCTTGCAAGGCTTGGACTTCGAGCTTGAGCATCTGCTCGCTACCTGCGACATCCCAAATCCGTACTTTGCCAGATACATCGCCACTAGCGACGTAGAACCCGCTAGGGCTCATACGTGCGACTGTGACAGGATGTGCATGCTGAGCATACAAGACCGTGTTACGTGGCTGCTTCATATCGCGAAGAACAACGGTACGGCCTTGGGCATAGAGGATACGGTCGCCAGTAGGACTTGCCCCCAGCTTTGTGCTGCGCGCACGCACGTTGGAAGGGTTGGGTCCGTACGTACTTACCAGTGACAACGACATGATGGTGGCGGTGTGTTGCACGATGGACTGTGCGCGCAGTCTCACCACGTGGAGGACCCAGCGAGCACCCCCTCCAAGCAACACCACATCGAGAGGTGGAGGCGATCTCGTGCTACGATGGTGTTGAACAGCTTACTGGATGTGGCCTACACGTGCCAAAACGACGATCCATGGACGGATGCATCGCTGTACTCGTTCCTATGTGATGGCGTACAGATTGGGTTTGTCCCGCAGAGCGTTTGGGACGCCGTGCAAGATTGTATCAAGACAGTACAGGCACCGCTGCAATGCGAGGGACGGACCATGACGTTTGCACCCACATGCTCGACCAAGGATGCGCGGACAGAGGCCATTAACCAAGTAGCACAATGGTTGCGTGAACAACGCCGTTTCCCGGATCCATTGGATGGTACGTTTTTATCTTGCTCATGGTAGGCTGGCGAAATGAACAGTACGGTATCTATAGCCTAGGGCCTGCCCAACGCCCCATCATCGCGTTTACGTTGGAGCGCTCGGCGTGTGCGCTCTTTGGCTTTGCTACGTATGGCGTACATTTGACGGTAGGTCCAGGGAAGGCGGCTGACACTAGGCGTATACGCCTGACCATCGTATCTGGGTCCCTAAACGTGCGGCCAACAAAGCCACGTATGTATATTAGATGGTGGCTCACATGTTAGGTGGCCGGGGTACTATGACAACTCCGTGGCCGGCGGCATCACGGCTGGTGAGATGCCATTCGAGACGATGGTCCGCGAATGCGAAGAAGAAGCCGGTCTCGACGCAGCCTTGGTGCGCGCACATACACACACCGCAAGCGTCATTACCTACTTCTACAAGACACCGCTAGGCTGGCGCCAGCCCGAGATGCAGTACGTGCGACGAAGACTGACAATAGATACATCTACGACTTGGCCCTCCCATCCAACGATATTCAGCTAGCGCCATCGGATGGCGAGGCTGAGTCGTTTGAACTCATGGACAAAGATACGATTCTGCAACGCATGTTCGCCGGTGAATTCAAGCCCAACTGTACATTGGGTAGGTCGACACACTCACTGACACATAGTCCTCCTAGACTTTTTCATTCGGCACGGATGGCTTACACCCGAGAACGAAAAGGACTACTCTGCCATAGCAGCCCTGCTTCACACACCACTGCGTGTTCCCACGCCATAATCATGCAGCAATAAATGCATATATTTTGGATTCAAGTAGATAAGAACAACGATATGGTAGCTCCTGCTCTACTCATCAAGAGAAAAAGCACCCTGTGTCATCATCATCCGACTGGAGGGCATAGGTGCCGAGGCACAGTACGCGGAATGATACATCAGTAGCAACAAAGGCACACAACGCTCTCGTCCCTTAGATCGAGAGCTTAGTGCGGCGCCAGTGGCGACGGTTCTTGTTGTACTGGATCTTGTTGTCCGTCTTCATGCGGAACCAGTTAGGGATCGAGCTGCATCATGTTAGAATACGGACATGGTACGTTGTAAGGACATACCGGTTCTGGCGCGCAGCCTTGGCGAGCTTCACCTTGGTACGGAAGGTCTTCTGCGACGGCTAGAATACTGTTAGTACACTGTTCTCACGCAGGGGCATGCGCTCACGTACCATTACGATAGAGACCAAGAGTAGGTGGCAGAAACGTCGAACACCAGCGAGCACAAGGAAGGCCCTTCTGTGTCACGTGTAAAACTAGTACACAGGGGTCACGTGGGTCACGGCCACCCAGCCGGTCGGTCGGCCCTGGGCCTGTGCGCAACCTCCACGCGTGGAGACGCCGGTGGAGAAGCCCAGCCATTGAGATCAAGCCCCGGAAAAGCACAGCGCCACGTCGTTTCCCCGCATCTCACGTCCACCATGTCGACATCATTCAAGCACCAGCCGGTACCCTCTACAGAGGTATTCAAGCCGAACCTGTTCCAGGGTAAGGTGATTCTTGTCACGGGCGGTGGCTCAGGTATTTGCTATGGCATTACCGAGGCGATGATGCGCCTGGGCTGCAAAGCGGCCATTGTGGGGCGCAAGGCCGATCGTCTCAACCAGGCGGCCGCCCAGCTCTCGAAGGACACAGGCTCAGAGTGTTTGGCTGTACCCGGTGATGTCCGCAAATTCGAGATGATGGAGGATGTCGTGAAGAAGACGGTAGAGAAGTATGGCAAGATCGACTTTGTCATTTGTGGTGCGGCTGGCAACTTTATGGCTCCGTTGCAGGGCCTCTCTTCCAATGCATTCCGTACCGTGGTAGAGATTGATCTCCTCGGTACATACAACACGGTTCGTGCGACCATGGAGGAAGTGAAGAAGGCCCATGGTACCTACTTGCACATCTCGGCGACGCTGCATTACTCGGGCTTGCCCTGGCAAGCAGCCCCGTCTGCCGCCAAGGCTGGTATCGATGTTTTGTCCAACGTCATCGCTGTGGAATTGGGACCCTTCGGCGTGCGTAGCAACTGCATTGCGCCTGGCTTGATTCTTGGTACCGAAGGCGCGGATCGTCTTGTGCCCAAGGGCGGTGAAGATATGGTGGAAGCGTTTATTCCGCTGCAGCGCGCTGGACACCGCACGGACATTGCGAATGCCGGTGTGTTCTTGTTTAGCGACGCAGCGAACTGGCTCACTGGCCAGGTGATTGTACGTATAGACATGTGTGGACTAACTCTGTATAGGCTGTCGACGGCGGTCATATGCATTTCCGTGGGCCATGGCTGCCATACCCGGATAGCTCACTTAACCCAGGCTCCTTTAAGTCGTTGTTCCCGGACCTGCGTCTTTAGTGTGTAGAAAAGTAAGTTTGGAGCTCAGCAATCAAATCCGCTTTGCGACCAAACTTGGGCAATGCTAGTTGCGCACACGCATTCTGCAATTCAGGGCGTCGAAGCTGCGTGTGAATTGTGAAGTGTACATACCTGGTGCAATGTACCGTCTTTGTGCATCTGCCGGAGTACGGCTTCGGGGATCGATGCCGTCTTGGCCGAGTTCATATCGCTGCTGCTTCCCTGTGTGCGTGGATCCGCTTCAATAGCATCGTTCCAGGCCTGGATGGCATCGTGGGCACGCTGTGATGTTAGCAAACGATGTATACATACATGCTCAATTAAGTCGTACTGAGGCAGCGTGGTATCTTCGAAAAAGGGAGCAGGTGTGCCAAACGCTTCAGCCATTAATAGACCATAGTGGTAGGTCAAGGCAGGGTTCGAGAATACATCTGGATTGAATGGATCTTTCCGGTGGAAGGTATCAATAAGGCGGCTCGCCATGGTGATTTCGTCCTTGCTCGCTGTGAGTGTCCGAGCTTCAGGCGGCTCACGAATATCGTCCATGTACGGCATGACGATTAAATTCAGGCCGGGTGGTACAAGCTGATGCCCCTCTTCGTCAAGTTCTTCTGCCTGGGGAAGTAGGATGGCAAACGTAGGGATGACATTGTCACGCGACATGAATAAAGTCAGCGCCACCTTATTTTTGGACAACATGGATTGAAGCAACGCAGCAAACACACGCTTACTCCCAGGTTGCTCCAAGTCGGAAGGGTATAAAAAGTACGAGTGCTTCAAATTCTCGTAAAAGTGAAGAGTCGATCGATCTTTAAAGCCAAGCAGGCGCAAGCTGGGGATGCACCCAAACTGTCGGAGTGACTTGATTTCATCGTTGGTAAACGCGACATGAGAACGTGGCGAATTGTCCTTGCTCACATCATACACTTGCTCCATATCAGATGGCTGGACAACGTCGCCTGTATCCGCACGACGCCATTGCGTGATGTTTGTCACTTCGTATAAATCATTGGGATCTTCTCGACCGAACGAGGAGACTTTAACAGGCAAATCAGGCGTAGCTTCCGAAATAAGACTGTAGCCCTTGACATGTATGCGCCACTGCGATGAGCCCGGGGTTTTGAAATGTGAGTGTTCTTCCTCTGAAGAGGGAGCTGGTTTGGACAATGGCCCTAAATCCATCGTCAAATCAAACACTACGCGCTTAGGCATTTCTCGGCCGCTCAGCTGCTCATCCAGCTCCGCCAGTTTCATGGTCGAGTCCCACACAGCGCGCTTGGACACATTTTGGTCTTGCATTTGCCGTAACCGCCATGGTCGGAGTGTGTCATCCAACAAACCATCATCATACACGCCTAGAATTTCCGCATAAAAAGTATTGATGTGGAAGGCTTCCGTGGCTGAGCTCATAAAGAAAGGCTCCAAATCAATACCACGGCGATAATAGTCCTGCATGTGAGTCGAGACGAACGAACGCACCTTAACGCGATCTACACACGCTTTTTGAATGATTCGCTTGTTTTTTCCAGGATGCGGATCATCTTGGTTTGTGATAAAGAAAACGCGGCGTGTACTGGCTTTGGCCGATGTACTAAGTAAGTGCATGGCGTTGGATAAAACGTGCTCCACGGATATTTGAGTGCTGCATGGCTTCATTCGCTCTTCCAACACAGATGGATCGCTTTCGATACGGCGAAGTAATTCTCGTAGCTGAAAGGTCGTAGGGACGTCCACCTGCTTGATGGCAGTGTATTCCACTGTGTTCGGCCAAAACCCACTCTTGCTTTTGGTCAACATACGTGAGTCCGCCTAATGTGAGCTGTGCTCAAGTACGTACTGTATTCCATAATAAGATTCCAATATGATCTTTCGGCGAATTGACCAGCTTGATCTCCATGAGACGCAATGCCGCCTGCAAGGCAACGACCAGCGGAGGCAGCCCATGCTCGCTATCTTTAACATGCATATGTGTTCCACAATCGATTGCAAACAGGACAACATCCCTGTGAAGATATGTCTGCGGTTAGCATTAAAAGTACCCACCTCCCATGGCGACGCATGGGATTCCCCCTCGCCCTTGTCGTGGTCCATCACAAGGCCCCTGCACGACAGGCAGTGTCAAAGTGGAGATATGGACTCTGGGCCTAGTAGGCCAGAAAATAGGAGTCCTGGGCGCAAGTCGCGTCGCGTCGCGTGAGAGCCAGGCGGGCGTCTCATCCTCACCATGTCGGCAACAGAAGAGACAATCCGACCAGTGACAGAGAGGATGGAGGAGAATCCAGTCCCTGTCCCCCAGGATACACCCACAGACCAAAGCACGCCTATGTCCACAGAGCCGACGACGGAACCTTCGACAACGTTGACGCGACGCGTGTCGCGGCCTGTCGCTCCTCCTCAAAAGGGCACGTCAGTCTTCCCCATGGCCAGGGTTTCAAAGATTATTAAGGTATGTATGCCCTTCTATGCTTACCGTATGCAGGCGGATAGTTCTGTGGATATTTGCAGTAAGGAAGCTACGTTCCTGATCAGCGTCGCAACGGTACGTGACCCAATACCCACTTACCTGTTAGGAATTGTTTGTGAAGAAGTTTGCTGAAGAAGGGTGCAATAACGCACGTTTGGATAAGCGGAAAATGATCCGTTACGATGATATGGGTATGTATGCACAGACGATCGACTAACAAGCGTAGCTAAGGCCGTGTCGCAGAATGAATACCTGGACTTTTTGCGGGAAGTCGTACCTACCGCCATCCCTCTTTCTGTGGCTATGAAACAACGTGAGGAGCGTGCCAATATGGAAGCGAACGGTGGCGAAGAAGAGAAGGAAGAGGAGGCTGACGAAGCGGAGGAGCCGGAAGAGCCGGAGGACACAGAAGAAGCCGATGAGTCCATGGCTGATTCTACGCTACTTGACAAGGATGCAAGCCCTTCACTCAATGAGCATATGGATATGGTAAACGATGGCCTTGGAGATGATCCTATGCAAGAAGAAGAGTCTAGTTAGTATGTAGCATACATGATCTTGGCAACAGGAAAAATAAAAAAGCGACAACTACAGGGTTCGAACCTGTGCGGGCGGAGCCCATGAGATTGCCCAACGAAGGTGGTTCAAGTCTCACCCATTAGACCACTCTGGCAAGTTGCCGATCACTTTCCCCTTCTCGGGAATCTGTGCCTATGAACAGTTCGAAATCTACATAGTGTTGTTCTTAAATCAAGCTGAAGAGGTTAGTGTGGTAGATGGTCAAACGTACCTGTTCGCCTCGAGCAGCAGCACAATCGAGTGTGTAATTTCGGCAATGCTCTGCTTCGACACATCGACAACGAGATCGGCATCCTTCGGCTCCTCATACACATCGTCGACACCAGTGAAGCCCTTGATCTCGCCACGGCGAGCCTTGGCATAGTTGCCACGGCGGTCCGTCTTTTCACAGTACTCCAGCGGAGTAGCAACGTGCACCAAGAAGAAGTTGCCCGAGCCACCGTTCTTGGTGATCGTCTCACGCGCAGCCTGACGGGAACGTTCGTACGGCGCAATAGGCGAAGCAATCACAGCAGCACCAGCGCGCGTCAGCTCACTGGCCACAAAGGCAATGCGCTGGATGTTCGTGTGGCGGTCTTCCGGCGAGAAGCCGAGCTCCGAAGAGAGCTCGTTGCGGACAGTGTCACCAAGGAGTAGCGACACACTGCGGCCGCCCTGCTCATGGAACTTGACCTGCAGCGCACGCGCAATCTGGTCCTTACCCGAATTGAACAGACCAGTAAGGAAGATGGTGAAACCCTGCTGGGCCTTCGGTGGGTAGCTCTCACGGAGCGTCTTCACGACGCTCTCGTAGCTGAACCAGTCAGGAATCGGCGCACCAGTGCGTAGACGACGACGAAGCTCGGTACCGCTAATGTCGAGCGTCTTGGTACCCGGCTGCACCTCATCCACAGGCTGGTACTCGTCAGTGTCCGGCAGGTAGGTCATCTGCTGGAACGGCACCATCTCAATGCCGAGCTCGTCGGCAAACTTGCGCACAAGGTCCTGCGCATCGTACGGACCGTAAAAGTCTTGGCCCTTGCTGTTCTTACCAGGGCCAGCGTGGTCACGACCGACAATAAAGTGCGACACACCGAAGTTCTTACGGATAATGGCGTGCCACACGGCCTCACGCGGACCAGCCATACGCATGGCCAGCGGGAGGAGGGCGAGCGTAGCCATACCCTTCGGGTAACGCGGCATGAGGCTCTGGTACACACGCACACGCGTGTAGTGGTCAACGTCACCAGGCTTGGTCATACCAACGACAGGGTGAATCAGAATGTTGGCCTGCAGCTGACGCGCCGCACGCACAGTAAGCTCACGGTGAGCACGGTGCATCGGGTTACGAGTCTGGAACGCGACAACCTTGCGCCACGCGACCTTCTCAAAGTGGTGACGCAGCTCAGCAGGCGTGAAGCGCAGCTCAACGTAGTCGTAGTACTGCGGCTTGGTGATAGCCTGGACGGCACCACCGACGTACACGTCCTTCACGTTGTTGTGCAGGTACGCCACAGCCGGGTGAGCCTTGTCGTCGGCACCGAGCACAAGCTCAGCCTCACGCGAATGGTCCACATCGTAGAGGTCCGACACAGTGAGAATCGCAATAGCAGCGTCGTCACGCGGGTCGCGCAGCGTCACACGCGCACCCTGCTTGAGTTGGAGCGAGTCGACCTGCTCCTTGGACACGTCAAGAGTAATGGGCATCGGGAAGAGCGAACCATCAGCCAAGCGCATGTTGGTCAAGCAGCCCTCGTAGTCAGCCTTCGACATGAAGCCTTCCAGAGGCGAGAAACCACCGGTAATAATGAGCTCCAAGTCACACAGTTGACGCTGGAGAGTTAGGATGCATGGGACAAGAGAGACATACCTCGCTGAGAACAATCTCAGGCAGAGTGTCAGCCTCCTCACGGAGCTGAGCCGAGATGTGGGCATCACGGGCAAGGAGATCCTTCAAAACACCACCGTGCGGAGGGTTGACCATTATGAAATAGTAGCTAGGCAAGCCTGACAAACGTCCCAGGGAATGCCTTGCTCCTTCCGTTCGAACGCCGCTATGCAGGCGCCCGGACCAGAACGATTGCGCCATCGAAGCCGCAGCAGCCTCCACATCACGTGCAGGACCTTGAATTAGCCAAGCATCCCTGGGCCCCGTCATGGCAAGCCGCGATCCAACGCGATGACGCGTAAAACGAAGCAGGCAAAAAGCTAGCTATATAGAGAGAAAAAGAGCATTCAGTCCAACAAGTACGGGATGCAATACTATGTTTAGGCCTTGACGACCTTGGCGATCTCGACCGAGTTGGTGGCACCCAGGGCCTGCTTGATCTGGCCGTAGATACCGAACTGGAAGGCAGTCATAGTACCGACCATGACCAGACGAGTGGTCAGACCGGTGAAGAGACCGGCCGGGCCGAGCTCCTTGGCGAACTTGAGGAGACGGCCACCAGTGGTCTCACCCGGCAGAGCCTTGGTCTTGTTGACCTTCGAGAGCAGGGTGTCGGCCGGTTGCGAGATGGTGGCAGCAGCGAAACCAGCAATCAGACCCGAGCCGAGGTTGAAGGTGGTAGCCTCAGTCGACGAGAGTTCCGACTTCTGCTTGCCGTAGGTCGAGAGAAGAGCCTCCAACACAATCTCCATGGTAGCGAACTTGGCCATGTTGTACGGCACCTGCTTGAACAGAATCGGACCGAAACCAGCGTAGAAACCGCCAAGACCCTCCTCACGGGCAATGCGGGCAAAGCCACCGATGAGACCGTTAGCGAAAGTGGGCTGCGAGACGAGACGGATACGAGTGGCCTCCAGAGGGCAGAGGGCAATGTCGGCGAAGAACTCAGCAAGAGCCGAGGCAGCAAGGTAAACACCCATGCGGTTCTCCTGGGCGGTGGACATGCCAACCTGGTCGACAATGAGCTTCTTAAACAGCTCGTAACCACCGAACTTGAAACCACCCTGCAGGAAGTAACCCATGGCAGTCGGGCCAAGACCAGTGAGCAGAGCACCGGCACCCTCGTTGGCAATGATCTGGCGGAAGCTACCAATCATACCCTTGTTGTACACGGTAGGCTCCAGCTGGATACGGGTCTTGACCACATCGATCGGAGTCATGGCACCGTGGGTGATAGAGCAGCAGAGAGCACCGGCCAGGGCGAAGCGCGAGTACAGGTCAACACCCGTCGGGGGCTTGGCGCTCTCGAGAACCGAGTGCGCAGGGTACGAAGCACCGATAAAGTTCTGGGTGAACGACATGGTCAAAGACAACACGAGAAGTGGTGGTTGGAAAAGTTTCAGGCGATCGTGCCCGGCGCAGGGAAGAATTCCACAACGACCAGGCCCCTGTCGGATGGCGGCACGTGCATTGCGCATCATTGCCCGTGATAGGGCCGTATATTGCCAATTAGTGTAAAGCATTGCAGATTGGACCACACGCTACGTTCCAACCGGTTTGTGCCGATGACAGGTGGAGGGCAACGAGTCCGTGGACTTGGGATGGCCCAAGCGCGTGTACGGTGGAAAAATAGTCTGGGTGATAATACAAGCGTCTATATAGCAAGTAGCATTAAGTGTCGAGGTCCATATCGTCGAACAAGAGTTTCATAGCTTCATCGGCATGAGGTCCGCCGATAGACTGCCGAGCAAAGTCCAGGGCTAAGCTGCGAACGCTATTGCGAATACGCGTAATGAGCTGGATGAGCACGGGGACCAATTCGGCGTCTGTCGCATCTTCTCGGTCAGCCATGATGCACAAATCGGGCGCCTCGTGTACAACACGCTCAACAAGCGCAGTACGCTCTTCAGCTGGGACAGGAACGCGAGTGCGAGGAAGTTTCAAGTCCTTGGCCACAAGCTCAGACCAGGGATCGTTCGGGTCGATACCAGGGAAGCATTTGTTGTTTGTGAGCGACTCGAGGCGCATGCACAAGTAGCCTAGCTGCTTGATTTGGTTGAGCTCCACAAGTTCTCTAGTGGGCTCGTATACTTGAAGTGTTTCGCCGCCTCGTCGTACGCCGGCCAGATGGGCATACCGACCAGCCAACAATTTCGGGTGCAGAAGGAACAGCTTTTCAGGCGTTTCAATCCCTTTCAAACGTCGCTCGCCCATGGAAATAATACCGAGACCCATACGACGAAGCAAGACGACTTCACGGGGCGTCGATGCATTGGTCGGCGCCTCACTGCCTACTTCGCTCGGCAAGTCATCGGTCGGTCCATACTTGGTAAACAATCGTTCCAGTTCCTGGACCACGTCCTGGCTCGCGAGAATTTGCCCACCATCTGCCGCGCCACTAATTCGCGCCGCCCGATTGACCATAGGGCCAAAGTAGTCCATACGATTGTTCACCGGATCCACTTCACATACAGGCCAGCCCCAGTGAATGCCCATACGTACGCTTAGACCACGATAGAGTAGGGACCCATCATCTCCAAACACAGGGTGTGCCTGCTCCGTATCGAGGATCTCTTGCGGCCAATCGACGTTGAGCAGACGAAGCTGCACGCTAAAGCACCATAGCAACGCGGCACTCACGGACTCAAACGAGACCATGAAAGCGTCGCCTTCGGTCTTGACTTCATACCCACCAATACTGCGTAATTGCCGACGAAGGAGCAGGTTGTGCAGCCGAATCGCTGCCTGCATGCTAGGATTGGATTCCCAAAGCAGTGTGGAGCTCTTGATATCGGTAAATACGAGAGCCACTTGCCCAATCGGTGGAAGTACCTCCCGGTCCAGACGAGCCAACGTACTATCGGTGTCCGTTCGACCACGTCGGTGGATCTTTTTCACCGACTCAATACCGCCACGTTGCCATGCATGCTGGACTTGTGCATGGGCATTGAGGTGCTCATGGAAGAGGCCGCCTACTGTAAGAACCATGACAGAGATGTATTCCGATGCGCCATAGGCCAAGGCAGTATCGCGTAGTTTCTGGGCGGCAAGACGTGGATCCTGGCGATCCATACGGGCGATATCCACGGCCATTTGGTACGACATGTGCTTCCACAGCTCCTCGTTAGCAATAATCACAAACTCATCGGCATCGGTGAGCGGCAAAGAGAGCACCGAGGGGCATGCCGTGATGACGGGGGAGAGGTGGAAGTGGCCAAACGCACGGGCCACATTCATGCGATCGTTGACCATATTGCGGTGCGACACCCATCCCTCGGCGGCCCGGATACGATGCGTTTCATCGCGATCCAATGGCTCATGCTTGGTGCCGAGTACTTTGACCATACCGCCCGCGCGCGAGAGAACACCAATCACGTCGCCGACATTCGCAATGTACAGCATGTGTCCCTTTAGGTACGCAAAGAGAGCACTGGCATTGGCCTGCCATAGCAGCGTATCGGGCGATGCGCCTTGACCCCAACCCCAAAAGATCTCCTGCGTGTGGTGACTATCCGGCGTCGATGACGACGAAGAAGCGTGAGACGACTTGAGCGAGGCTGTATGCGCAGAATGGCGGTGAAGCACATGCTCAGCGTACATGCGATTCAGCCTGAGGAACATACGCCGCATGGCCGTCGGCACGACATCTGTGCCCTCGTAATTGGATTGCAAGGGCACGAGCTCCTCTTGCAAGACCTCGGGCGCGTAATGTGTGAGGAACCGCGCGATGTGTGTAGCGGCAAAGGGCGAGGAGGAGTGGCCCTGCACGAGACCCAAGAGCGCTTCGTTTTCATTGCCACCGTACTGCGGAAGGACCAAGTCGAAGATGTGGATCGCATCATGCCGTCCGATCGAGTCGGCCATGCCGTAGGGCATAGCATTTACATGCGCCAGCGTCGTGCGTACACGACGATGATCGCTCTCGTCAGGTAGTGGCTGGTGCGTCATGGTCACCTCCATCAGGCCGAGCAGACGCAAGTGACGTAGCCGATTAAAGTCGGCCAGGTTTCTCTCGCGGCCATCGATTTCCGCAAGCTTGGGCCGGATTTCAAAGCGCTGATTGCCAGAGAGGTTCAAGTAGCGTAGCTCCAAGTTGGCGTTCCAGTTCCATTCATAGTGCCAGTTGGCAATGTTGTACTTGAGCATATTGCTCCCGACATCAATCGCACGAAGCTGCTGGAGCCGACCGAGTTCAGCCGGTAGCGATTGCATCTTGTTGTCGTTCAAGTACAGAATGCACAGCTTCGTAAGGCGCTCCAGATCGTCCGACGGGAGGGCACTGAGGTAGTTCGACGAGAGGTACAGTTCATGGAGTTCCGCCAGTGGCGAGAGGGTCCCTGGCGGGATATCGTAAATCTCGTTCATCGACAAGTTGAGCACTTCCAGCTCATGCAGTAGCGCAATGTGGTGGAACACATCGTCGCCCAGGCGATTGTCTGCCAGACGCAAATACATAAGCGAGTACTGCAGCGGCGCCTCGGAGGGATCCTCGGCTCGTGGCCATTTTTCCAGCAAATTGGAGCTCACATTGAGCGAGATGAGGCTCTTGCAGCACCACAGCGATGAGGGCAGTGTGCGAATGTTGTTGTTGTGCAGATCCAGATGCTGCAGCTTGGACAAGGTGCCGATGGTCTCTGGAAGGAACCCAATGGCATTGCCGGCACAGCTGAGGTACTGCAGCTGCGATACAATGTCCAGACGAGGCAGCGACGCCAGTTGGTTGTGGTCCAGTACAAGACGTGTTAGGCTCGGGACGGCGCCCAGCAGTGTCTCGTTGATCGATACAAGGTTCGCAAACGAGAGATCCAGCTGCGTAAGCCGACTGGCAGCCATGACCGAGAGGGCCGCGCGACTCAGGGGGTTGTGCGCCATGTGGAGCACACTCAGCGAGCTGCTCACGGGCGAGTCGATGCTGGTGATATAGTTGTGGTCGGCCAGGACACGCTCCAAGCGCGGCAGATGCAAGACATCTTGCAGCGAGTGCAATGTGGTGTAGCGAACGTCAAGCACACGCAGTTCCTGCAACGACTGCATTTCCGCCGGTAAGCGGCGGATTGAGTTGCCTGCAAGGAGAAGACGTTCCAGCTCTTTCAGCTGACCGATTTCCGGCGGGATCTGGTTAATAGTATTGAACGACAAGTCCAAGTCACGCAGGTGCGGAATGGCACACAGACGCGCAGGGAAGGTATCCAAGCGGTTGTTCGACAGGTTGATCGACTGCAAGGATGACATCATCGCAATGTACGTCGGGACGGAGGACAAGCGGTTGTTCGTCGCGCGGATCATCCGCAGTTCCGGCAGCTCATGCAGGGCCACATGATCCAAGTCGACGATGCGATTTGAGCTGACATCCAGGTGCGTCAGTGTCTTGATACTCGTCACGCCTTCCGGCACACGTTTCAGCGCAAGAACCGAGAGGCGCAGCATACGCAGCGACGTACATAGCTCGACAAAGTCACGAGGCAGTTCCGTGAGTGGGTTCATCGACAAGTCCAAGCTAACGATCCATTTGGCGTACTTGTAGACAGGCACAGGGATCATGGTCAAATGCATCGCCTGCAAATTCAAATGCTTGTCCGTTTCATCGCCTTGCAGCGATGGGAGTGGGAGTGTCGAGACGCGATCCGCTCGGAATACAAAGCGCAGCAGATGGCTCATATCGAGCTTGCCGAGGGTGTCAAGCCCATCGCCCTCCGTGTATCCTTCCTGGACCAGACGGCGACGGAAAAGACGTGCAGGATGTTCCGTGGGTAGGAGCGGCCGATCCGTGCCGCGCTCATAGACAAACAGCCTGTGGCCCTGTGACTCGGGCAGCGACGTATGCTGGGAGAGCGCATACGAAATTTCCGCGGTCGTCGTTTCAACGGCACACGAAATGATCAAGTACATCTCATCTTGCACATACACACGCAAAAACGTCTTGCCCTGCGCCTCGTCGGCAATCATCGACGCATCCGACAGCCGCGGCCCCAACGAAGCAGGCGGCGCACGCGACTGCGCTTGCACTTGCGCCTGCGCAGGGTCCATCGCCGAGTCCAGGGCATCAATGGTATCACGTGCATCGCGAGCCTCACGCGGCTTGGCCTTGATGAAGGGCAAATGCGTATGCAAGCCACGCCGCCCAAACGCCACTGGGCCGACACATATGAGCCCCCCCTTGGCCGCGGGCTGCGGAGTCGACCCGTCAGGAGAAGGAGCATGGTCATGAGATGTGTGGTGGTGTTGGTGGCCATGACGATGGAAAGTCGTTTCATACAGGGAACCCGCAGGCGATTCCGCACGCCAATGAGCGCGGCGGAAGAACCGCGGCTTCTTCGGCCCATGGGTATCATGCGAGGACGCCACACCGGTGGGGGCCGTCGTCATCGTAGGCACCGGTGTAGAGTCCCTACTTGCATCCATCTCGACCACAGGCTCGTAGATCGTGATAGACCCACGTTCGCTGTCAGTCGGATGGTACGGCACTTCGCTAGCCATCGCTAGCGCTCGCCAGGCCATCGCATCGTCCTCTTCGACGTTCTCAGGCCCAATATTGCGTATCAATGAATCATGTTCGGCCCCTTCATGCAGCACGGCCCAACTCGCCGGCGCCGTCCATGTGGAGGATGTCGCGGCGGTCGTCGCTACGCCGGTAAACGGATCGACGGGGTGCAAGGGCGTCGCTGGGCGACTCGTCTGTCCACTGCCCGAGGAAAAGACGCGCGGACTGCTGGTCCTGCGTATAGAAAAGGGAGTGCCAGGCCGACTGCCAGGCGCAAAACGGCGCGGCGAGTCTGTACCCGCTTCTGTCAACATGGGCATGGGCGGCGGCGCACTGTGCTGACCCAGAGATGAGTCTTCACTCCCATGGTATGACGAGCGTGGGTGCCAAAAGGTAGAGGAATCGGACGCACCACTGCTGAGGCGTTGTTGCGCTGTCGCTGCTCGAGACTCAGGTCGTTCGCTATCGTGCGAGCGACGCGGATGAAAAAGAGCTTCCAGCGAACCTGTTCGTCGATGCATACCGCGTGACGGTACAAAGGCGCTGCGCACAGGGACGGGCTGGGTAATGGTAGGAGAGGGCTGCGGCGAGGGCTGCGTTTTTACCGACGTAGAACGAGGTTGGACAGGGACAATCACAGGCGACGCAGACGCCGTCGAGGAAGCGGGTGTCGGTTCTACCGGCGCAGGGACAAGGACGGTGGCCGGCTTAGCACCTGCACCGGGTGGTGCGCGTGATATAGACGGTGCAGCATGCTCACCGCCCGGCCCAGCATTGTTGGTAGGCGACAAAGCTCGAGGCGATATGGGGACGAGTGAAGGTGTATGCGACGTGGGTGAGTACAGGGAAGGGGGGCGAGAAGAGGATTCGGTCGGTGGTATACGTGACCAATCCACAATGTCGCTTACATCGTCCAAATTGGTATCCAGGATGACGCCATGGGGTTGCGCTGGCGGTTGGGACGCCGTGGAGTCACGCGAGGCACGCTTGGTCAGAGGCTCCGTAAGGATCCGCAAAGGATCCATATCAGGCGCCTTCTGTAGATCTGACGTAGCTCCATCAGCTACCTTGCCGCGCCGCTGACGGCGTAAGGGGTTTACGACGCTCGGCTTGGGCGACGGAGACGAGTGCAACCCATCGGAAAGCCGAAAACGTGACTTACGATCGTCGTTGTCTTTGGCTGGCCGCGCTAGATTTTTCACCGAGTTGGAGCGAAACATCTGGAAAGGATTTAGACGCCGTAACGTGTTGCCCTCGCGCGTGTGGGGTCCACTCACTGTGGGCGACACAGGCTCGTCTTGGAGCCATGGAGTGATGGTATCTTGCAATTTGGCATCTTTTTCTTTCGTATCACGTACATGGGCCTCTATAATGCCTTGTGGCGAAGAGGCACTTGGCGAAGACATCGTCGCAGACGAGTCCCCCCTCATCGTGCACACGAGCGGTGGGGCGTCGTCGTTGTCCGCACCAAAGACGATCGCGCGCATCAGCCACGCCTAGCGTCCACCTCCACTACTACGCCCAGCCAGCCAGCCAGCCAAGCGGATTCAGCACGCGGCCGAGGGTCTTTATGTGGAGGTGGAACGAAAGTCAACAGCCCATGCGCCTTTTGGCCGGCCGCCGCGACGTGCCGAAACAACACTTGGCTCTAGCGAGTGCATCTCGCTGCTTGGTCGGCGATGGGTGTCGGAACAGATGATCCGGCCGCCAACCCACCAGCGTACAAGTACATTGGCCTGGTATGTACCACACACCACTAATCACGTAGGCCCTGGCCGTAGGCAGTGGCGTGTTCATTGGATCCTCGTTTGTGTTTAAGAAAAAGGGTCTCCTTGCCGCCCAGAGAAAGTATGAGACAACCGCCGGTGAGTCGCATGCGTACCTCAAGAGTCCTTTATGGTGGACGGGTATGACTATCATGATCCTTGGCGAAGTTCTCAACTTTGTGGCTTACATGTTCGCTGATGCTGTACTGGTAACGCCCATGGGCGCCCTGTCGGTGGTAATAAGCGCCATCCTCTCAGCCATCTTTTTGAAAGAATATCTGACGCTCTTCGGTAAAATTGGGTGTTTCCTATGTATTGTTGGCTCGGTCATCATTGCTATCAATGCGCCTGAGCAAAAAGTCAGCGGCAACATTCGTGAATACGAGAAACTGTTCATTGCTCCTGGGTTTCTCACATGGCTCGGCATCTGCGTCGTAGCCGCCTTGATCCTTGTGTTCCTTGTCGCTCCGCGCTACGGTAAGAAAAACATGCTTGTGTATATTACCGTGTGCAGCGTGATTGGCGGCCTCAGCGTCAGTGTTACATCCGGCCTCGGCGCGGCCATCATCTTATCCATTCGTGGCTCCAATCAGTTTACCTATTGGTTCACCTATTTCCTCCTTGCATTCATTATCGTGACTTTGCTAATTGAAATCAACTATCTCAACAAGGCTCTGGAACTGTTCAACACCGCTGCTGTTACGCCGACGTACTACGTTCTGTTCACAGCAGCGACGATCATTACGTCCGTCATTTTATCGCAAGGTATGCGTGCTAGTGCGGTGGACATCGTGACCATCGTGTTTGGCTTTTTCACCATTTGCTCCGGCATCGTCCTCCTTCAGCTCAGTAAGATGGACCCTGTAGAGCTCGAACAGCAAAAAGGCGTCGACCGCAAGTCGTCTATGCTGCTCAGCGTCATGGAAATGGGACACGAACTCGAACATGAAGACGATATCACGCACATCGAAGATCCAGGTATGGACTCGATTCGGGGTGGTATGGGTATCGTCGGTAGCATTATGCGTGCCAAGAGCTCACGTAAGGCATCGCGACGTCACCGTCGGCCTACGGGTCAATTTGATCCTGTACCTACGCTGAACCGCTGCGATAGCAGTGTGCCGCGCTACCAACTGTATGACCGGCCAGTAGCGTATACGCCTGATTCGGAACAGCACATCAAGTTTGTGTCTGGTAGTGAGTTGCCGCATGGTCATCATGGATGGACAGATGCACCGTCTCCCGACTCGCGGCCCACGACCAAGATGGATGTGCATGACAGTCATGCACCAAAGCCCATCCTCGAAAATGGGAAGGAACCCTCTCATGTACGCTCTCCGCGATACGATCCGACTACGGATGGCGACGTGGGCGACCAGAGCGCATCGCAGGCCCAGATATCATCGTACCACATCAATTTGCCGCCCATCTGGGCCGACGATGCAGACCTAGATGGTGATAAGATTGCGTCTCCTACAGGGATTGTGGACGATTACTGTGAATGGCTCGACGAGGACGACATTGGAAGGGAGCCGCCAATTCCGTTAGACCGTCGCGTAACGACCTCAACAGCGATGCGGGAACGTTCGCGTACCGCTTCACGTACTGTATCGCGCGCAGCAAAGGATGCAGTAGGTCTGGGTTTAATGAAACTACGGATACCATCGTCACGGCCCAACCTAGAGACGTCGCCAGAGCAACGACGGCCAACGATGAGCCCTCGCCCCTACATTCGCACACCTATGCGCTCCATGACCGAACCGCTGCAGAAAGAAGAACAGCAGGACCTGCTCTCTTCTTCTTCATAATGCTTGTACATAAATACGTAAGTCATTCTACATGTTGGTATGCATGCAAAAATACGCAGTCACTCCTTATGCAGCCTGTTGCTTTTCCTTCTGCGCAGCAGTCACATCCGGGCTGCTCGTCACCGCTGCCGTATCTTTGTGACCGTACTTGTAGCGCTGTTGTGTGAGAAGAACAATCCCTTTCGTACGTACCACCAGACGAACAATCTGAACACCCTGCGCCGTGGCATTGGTCAAATGACACGCAAACAGGAGCATGTTGCGCGGTTGCACACGCAAAGCGAAGCGCATAAACACGCACCTGGATCGTTAGGCCCAGCTATACATACGAATACATAAAGAGGGTAGGCGTCATTGTCGACGAGATCATAGTCTCATCCTTCTTCAAGTCCGCAATAGCAGCGAGCGGCAGACCCCAGTTGGCCACAGGGCCCCAGAAGTGCGTGGACTACAAATGAGCATTTCAAAGACGTACCATGAAGTAGTCGCGCGCGGCGGGCGAGCGCAGCCATGAGAAAAAGGACGCAGACATGATGCAATGGTGTCCGACAAACGGTCCCTACAAAAGGACGGGCGCTCTACGAGCTCGCGGGCGGCGCCCAAAAACGCATAATTCCTCGTGCCCCAACGTCCCACGAGTCGGTCTGTGCATAGCTGGATACACGCCTCCCTTGCCACTCCACCATGGCCCCGCATGCAGGAACAAACCCTGCTCAGTCTATCTTCTAAGTTGGGCGCGCAACGATCCATCACACAATCATCAAGTAGGCAGTAGTATACATTACGACTCGTTGACACTACTTAGATCCTAGCGAGTCAATTAGTGGACCGAGCTGGGACCAGCGCGGAGCACCTCCGGCTTCACCTCCTTCTCGAACTTGGCAAAGCCATCCTTGAACATGTCCTGCAGCTTCTTCAGCTCCGACTCAAAGGCGCCCTTGTCCGACCAGGCCTTCGACGGGTCAAGCAGCTCCGAAGGAACGTTGTTGACAGCCTTCGGCACCTGGAAGTCGAACACACCCGGAGCGAAGGTCTCGTACTCAGCCTGGGCCAGCGAGCCATCGTGGATGGCGTCGAGGATAGCACGAGTGTACTTGAGCGGGCAACGCTTGCCGACACCGAACTTACCGCCGGTCCAGCCAGTGTTCACAAGCCAGGCATTGCACTTGGTGGCGCTCATGCGCTCAGCAAGCATACTGGCGTAGCGCTGCGGCGGCAGCACAATGAAGGGCTGACCGTAGCAGGTCGAGAAGGTCGGCGAGGGCTCCATGACACCGTCCTCGGTACCCGGAGTCTTCGAGGTGTAACCAGCAATGAAGTGGTACTGAGCCTGCTCCGAGGTCAGCTTCGACACCGGCGGAAGAACACCGAAGGCATCGCACGTAAGCATAATGACGTTCGACGGCTGCTTGTCAGCAATGCACGGGATCTTGGCGTTCGGGATGTACTCGATCGGGTAAGCGCAACGAGTGTTCTCCGTGATGCTAGAGTCGTCGTAGTCAGGCTCACGAGTGCTCTGGTCGTAGGTGACGTTCTCCAGAATCGAACCGAAGCGGATAGCGTTGAAGATCTCGGGCTCCTTCTCAGCGCTCAGGCCAATGCACTTGGCGTAGCAACCACCCTCGATGTTGAACACACCGTGGTCCGACCAGACGTGCTCGTCGTCACCGATGAGCATGCGCGACGGGTCAGCCGAGAGAGTGGTCTTACCAGTACCCGAGAGACCGAAGAACAGCGACACGTCGCCATTCGGGCCCTGGTTGGCCGACGAGTGGAGCGACAGCTGGCCGAACTTGACCGGCTGCAGGTAGTGCATGACCGAGAAGATACCCTTCTTCATCTCACCGGCGTACTCAGTACCCAGAATGACCATCTCACGGCGCTTGAAGTTGATCTCCACCGAGGTCGACGAGGTCATACCAGCAGTGAAACGGTTGGCAGGGAACTGACCAGCGTTGTAGATAGTGAAGTCCGGCTCACCGAAGTTCTCGAGCTCCTCACGAGTCGGGCGGATAAGCATGTTGTGCATGAAGAGGGCATGGTAGGCACGAGCGCAGATCACACGGACCTTGATGCGGTACTTCGGCTCCCAGCCAGCGAAACCGTCGAAGACGTAGATATCGTCGCGGGTGTTCAGGTAGTCGATAGCACGCTCACGGTTGATCTCGAAAGTGTGCTCGTCAAGCTTGATGTTGACAGGGCCCCACCAGATGTCGTCCTTCGAGGTCTCCTCGTACACAATACGCTTGTCCTTCGGGCTACGACCGGTCTTCTTACCCGAGAAGTTGATCAGAGCACCGCTCGAAGAGATAACGGCACCTTCCTTGCGAATAGCCTCCTCGTAGAGCTCGGCCACGGGGGTGTTGCGCTTGATCGAAACACGCTCCATGTCGAAACCGGCCTTCGAGAACATGGTGATGTCCACACCGAGGAGAGGGTTGAATTCCTCCTGGCTGTTGGGAAGTTCGTCGTGGTGGTTGCCTGGCGAAGTCATATTGGAATGATGTAAAGACATAATGGTCCTCCCGTCCGGTTATATATAATTCTGCCCCGTGCGCTTCGCTCCCAAGATACGATGGGCCGGTTCGGGGTCGGCTAAGTCTAGCGAGTGAACAGGTGTTAATGCACTATAGTGCATGTGGCCGGCAGCGGCGGTGCAACACGATTTGTCACACATCGATGTGCGCCCGGGTAAATCCGGGTCCTGCCCCCACATTACATTTACTTGCATGATTATGGGTCCCTGCACAAAAAGCTTTCGACGCCTGGGCGGAGAAAGATTGACACCTTCGGCTAACATGGGTGCTGGCGCCCATGCCACGTGGATTGGAAATTCCAAGAACCCATGTCGCACTTGAATGGAAAAATCAACCTACGCGCACGCGCACGCACAAAAAATCTCGCAACATCATGCGGCTCCTGACGCACAATTTGTTAGCGTGTCATGCGAAAGGCTGTGGCTCATCCTCTAATAACTTTCCACTTCAATTGAGGAACGTGCAGTTGGAGCTTATTGAGGCCGACTACAACGAAACATTTTTGAAGGGCTTTCTTCCAAAGCTCGCTTGGCCAGCCTTTGTCTCCACAGCACGACAGGTATGTGATAAGGGGTATATGCTTATACAATAGCTGGGTGACACATCCCTCCCTGAAGATATGCCAGATTTCCTATCGAAAGAGCCTAGTGAGGAGTTTTTACGCACACTTCACCATGTACTTTTAGAAGTAGGTACCTCGTTCCACTGACACACGACCTCTAGATCCATGTTTCGGAGGGAGAAATGGTCTGCCCAAATTGTGAGCACGTCTACCCTATCCGCAGCGGTATCCCCAACATGCTCCTGGCTGAGCATGAGATTCCTAAGTGAGTCTACATACCATTCTGGACCGCTAGCAATGCTTGCGTGCCACCCTGTAGCGATCTCCTATGCGCGCGTGAATCCACGTGACTGTTCGTTAGATCAAAAGTGGCCTAATTTAACGTACATTGTCGTCTCCCATCTATCTAATGGCTAAAGTATCGTTACGACAAAATTGGGAGGAAGTTGCCCACCACAAAGCCAGGCAAGTCGAATGGGTCACGCTTGATGGTGAAGCACCATGTGCACGGTATAGATTTACCAGATGGCGTCATCAAGACGCATTTGGTCATCACCGATTGTGTCGTGTTTTCGAATGCGTGTCGGGCAAACATCTCCCAATAGTTCAATACAGACTCTTTATCCATAAACTGGTATATATATTTGCCCAGAAGATCTTCTTTTGACCATTGCGTCAACATGCAAAATTCTGTGCCAACCAATGAAATTTCACATGTTCTCCGCCAAACGACCGTAGGCGTACCCGAAAACGAGATAAGCTTTTCAAATTCAAGGATGGTGCGCTGGAAGGCTCGCTCCACAAACACCTCATCTTCTTCACTTAGAGCCATCTGCAAGGCGATCAGCGAAGGACGGTAAATGGCCAACGCACGCACAATGCGCAGCACATCGGCTGTCTCGTACTTCTGCGTTGCATATTTCAACAGAATATGATAGCCTTCTGTGTACCTGAATGGCTCAGTCTTGTCACGATAAACTTTGGCCACTCGCTGCTTCCAAGCCAGTTCTGCATTAGGGTCCGTATCAGGCCGCACAGGCAAACCCAAGCGCATAGGGCTCGGCTTGGCACTATCACTAGGGACAGAAGCCGTCGTTAACACAGGATCTTTGTCCAGCGAGGATGGGTTTACACCTGTTTGCTCCAGCACAGATGATGAAGGCATAGAAGTACCCACATGCCCATTGGCATAGGGCACCGAGCTATAGTTCCCTGGCATAGGCTCAAAGAGAGTCTGGCCCATACCGGGCTTGCTTGCATCCCAGCCATCCACATGGATATCGCTGCTTGAAGGAACGTTCTTGAAATGGGTATAGCTTTCCATCAAATCCACAGCAGGTACCGTGGGGACGTCAGGGGATTCCGTGATGTTACTGTTTTCCACGTCGTGCAGCATCGACGACAAAATCGAGCTTTCTAACGATGTTGGGTCGAACCCAAACGCTGTATTTGAGTCAAACGTAGCTGGCGGAGCTGCGCCAACACGAGCCAGACGTGTGAGTGTTCCAACATCTGTGCGTGGGAACGTCCGTGACGACGTATGTTCAAACACAGCTGGATTAGCATAACCCGTGGTCGGGTTACTCAAGCGATGCTTTTCTTGCATGTTGGGAGCATAGGTATCCACCGGTCGTGGTGGCATATCCCGCCGGAGAGGGTGAGGCATGGTCGATGCTACTCAGGTCAGAAGTGCTGCGAATACATACGGATCTCATCTTCTTCCAACAAGTATTTTGCCTTCTTTCGATAGCCATCCACACACTGGTCGGCCAGTCCTTTGCGAATGCAGCGCTGGCATGGACGTGCTGTGAGTGTTAGTTGTGATACCCAGGCCATACATACAATCATCGCATGTCAAATGTGCCTTTTGGCAATGGTAGCATGCCCTACTAGCTTTTTTTCGGCGAGGGGGACGTGGATGTGCCTCATCTTTGGAGCCTTTGGCTGTGCCAGTAACGTTGTTTTCTGCAGGGCCTTTTTTGTCTGAGGTCGTCGGTGGTGCTGGAGCGATGGCTGCCTGGGGCACAGCTTGCAGTGCTGCTTCGCCCGTGCTTTCCCCGCTCTCCACTGTCATAAAACCGAGAGGTGATTTCTCGCTACAGGCACAGTAGTCGTGTCAACAGGCACACGTCTATGAGTGGCGGTTACTGCACGGTGCAAGAATGAAAGCAATTTCCAACGATAAGAACATGGAGAACTGCCCTAACGGCTTTGTCAACATATTTCCCATACCCGGATTTATGTGCCAAGCATGCACGGCTTGGCGAAGGGCTCGTCTGGCTGGCTAGAGGAGTATGGCGTTCGGTGAGGGCGTCGCCGAACCATCCTGCGAGCGTGGTGATTGATGGAGAGTCATATATATATCCAGCTATCAAAGCAGTACAAGAATAAGCAAAGCGGCTTAATCCGCATATCGTCGCCATAGTGAAGCTTGGGTCGAGAACATGCTGGAGGTACCAGCATCGACCTGATTCAGCGCGTACATATGCATCTTGCTCCTGTTCCATACACACAGTCAATACAATAGACTGGACCTCAGCGCAAAAATGTCATTAATGCGCACCGTGCGAGGCTGGCTTCTTAGCGTACTTCTCCCACACGCAGTAGGCTACAAACGCCGTCACACCAAGGCCGAGGCCAGGGAACATGTTGCGGTAGTAGTAGCTGTACGAGAAGATAGGGTGCTTGCGCCAAGCCTCACGCTTAGCCCAGGGGTCACGGGAAAGTTGAGACATTTTTTGAGTCTGTACGTTGTCCTGTGGTAGAAAGAGCCGTGGATCTATGCATGCCAAGCGCTTTTTAAACCGCCAGATGGCGGGCCGCATCACATGTATACATCACATAGCATCCACCACAAGTACAGTGTCAGTCATGGTCCCTTCGTCCTTTCTATTATACGTACCGTGGCAACAGTACGTGGCTGTCGTACAGTCTCTGGCGGAAGCAAGCGTATCGGTCTGGTACCGACCGCTTACGCGCCCACGTGACCAGCGCGTGGAGGCAGAGAGAGCTTCGAAGAGCCCCCACCACCGGAGCAGGCGCTTTACGCCTCGTTTCTACGCGACACGCGACCTGTGGTGGGACTGGCTCTCTCGTCGCGACCCAGCAACGTTAGGATGGAAAAGAGGGCACAAAGATTCAAAGAGGAAGAAGAGTCGGATGACGACATGCCGCTGAGCGTGCAAGTCAAAGCCTCCGACTCGGATTCTGACTCGGACGTGCCCATGTCCCAGCAAGCGGCAAGTTCACGGCGGACACGTCCTGTAAACTATAATGAAAGTGAGGACGAAGAAGACGAGGAAGAGGATGAAGACGACGAGGACGAGGACGATGATAAGCCCTTGGCCGGCACGAAGCGCAAGCGTACGTCCAAAGCCAAGTCGTCAGAGCAGCAGACCAAAGCGGATATTGAGGGCGGGGGTGAGCCACGGTGGGTGACATTGATCCACAAGGGCCCCAAATTCCCTGAGCCATATTCCCCCCTACCCAAAGAAATTAAATTGAAGTACGACGGTACGTTTCAACCCTCTCTCATATTCAGGTCATCCTGTCCCTTTGCCGCCGGAATCGGAAGAGGTGGCCATGTTCTACGCTGTTAAGCTTGAAACCCAACATGCTACGAATCCGATCTTTAACAAGAACTTCTTCGAAGATTTCCAAATGTACCTGAAAAAATATCCACCTCTGGACGGTACGCGAATCAATAAATTTGAGAAGCTGGACTTTCGGGATATGTACAACTACTGGAAATCGCTCAAAGATGCAGAGGCAGAGAGAAAGAAAAGTATGGCTCCATCTGCACGCAAAGCCGAGATTGCAGCACGGAAAGCCATCGAAAACGAATACAAATCGTGCCTCGTGGATGGTGTAGAGCAAAAAGCCGGCAATGTTACCGTGGAGCCACCAGGTCTGTTCTTGGGGCGTGGTGCGCATCCCAAAGCCGGTCGTGTCAAAACACGTATTTTGCCAGAGCAGATCACCATCAACCACAGTGCGGACCACCCTCCGCCAGCTCCGCCGGCGGGGCACAAGTGGGGAGAGGTTGTGGAAAGAAAGGATGTCACTTGGCTCGCGCTCTGGCGTGAAAATATCAACGGCAGTTTTAAGTATGTGTTCTTGGATGCCTCGAGTACCTTTAAGACCGAATCCGATCGCGAAAAGTTCGAAAAGGCGCGTCGTCTGGATGCGTGCGTAAAGCAGGTCCGTGCGGATGTATTGAAAAATCTCAAGTCCAAAGACCGTGTTGAGCAGATGGTTGCTACTATCGTCTGGCTTATTGATAACTTCTCGTTACGTGCCGGTAACGAAAAAGGCGAGGACGAGGCGGAGACATTTGGCGTGTGCTCTCTGCGATGTGGGCATGCGACGCTCGTCCCGCCCAATAAGCTGAACCTGTCTTTCCTTGGTAAGGACTCGATGAAGTTCGATGAGACATTGACGATTTCCAACCATGATGTCTACAAAAATATCGGCACATTCCTTACCACGGACGGCACCAAAGTGAATGGCCGTCTCATGAAAAAAGGGCCTGATGATCCTATATTTGCTGCGCCGAAAGTGCGCGGTGACAAACTCACTCCGCTCGCGCCCGATGTGGTGAATCAGTTTCTGGGCACATACATGAAAGGCCTCAGTGCCAAGGTTTTCCGTACATACAATGCCTCTGCCACCTTCCAGGGACTGCTCGACCAAACTGAGGAGTGGCTGGTTTCTCGGCCTACGCCGCAAGAACGTGAGATCAATCCAGCCAATTTGCGCATCGCCTACAATGAAGCGAATCGGCAAGTGGCCATTCTATGCAACCATCAAAAGACGGTGAATCACATCACGCTGAACAAGTCATTGGAACGCACGCGCGAGAAAATTTTTGCGCTCAAGTATGACATTATGAAGGAGCAACAAAAGCTACTTACCTTCCACAAGGCATCTGATTTGAAGAAAGAATACCTTCCCAAGGATCACGACTTTGCAAAGCACTGGGCCTTGATCCTGACTGAGCCAGATCTCGACAAATCCCGGATCCAAGAGCATGAAGAGGCTTTGATCACTGCCAAGAAAGCCCGTCTTCAAGCAGCATTTGACCGCCAAGAGTCAGAACGTTTGTATCAAGAAGAACAACGCAAGGCTGCTCAAGGTAAAGTGAAGAAAGAGGAGGTCGCCGATATCAAGCCCAGCAAAATTGCGACCAAAGCCGACTTGCACGCGGAGCTGAAAAAGCTCGATGCACAGCTGCAAGTGCTAGAGCGCGAACGTAAGAAGAACAAAAGTGAGGCAGCTTCCTGCAATGTGGCTTCCTGTGCACGACGTATTCTGGGCAAGTACGAAGCCATTAAAAAGCAAGAAGCCGAGTTGTTAAACAAAAACAATACGAGCGATGTCTCGCTAGGTACCTCGAAGATGAACTACATTGATCCACGCATTACTGTTGCCTGGCTGAAAAAATGGGATATGCGCCTTCAATCACAACAGCCTGCCAAGCCTCCCAAAGGGAAGGGTGCGGAGAAAAATGGCAAGGTCAAGAAGGAAGGGCCTGTGGACCCTGCCACGAGTGAAAAGATGGAGTTGAACTTGCAAGTAATGAACATTGGCCAGTTCTTCCCGATGACACTGCAAAAGAAGTTTAAATGGGCATCGTTTGATGACGATGGAAAGCCTCTTCCTGCCAAGTGGTCATTTGTGAAGGATGCACAGAAGAAAATGCGCAAACTAGGTAGTGCAGAGAGGAACTAAATGCTTTGTGGTCCCATGAACTAGGCAGGGAGGGGGTATGGGCACGCCAAAGGTAGCAGGTACTTGGAGTACCGATCCATCAAATGAACCTACTACACAAAGGAAATGTATCGAACGGCAAGATGGCCGAGTGGTCTAAGGCGCAACGTTAAGGTTTCCTTAATTCACAAGCTTCTAGCTTCCGTTGTCTTCGGGCGTGGGTTCGAATCCCACTCTTGTCACACTTTTTGGCTACCATTTTTTATACCTCCATATGCTACGACCCTTCTTGCTCGCCTCTACGATCGCCTCGTCATCTACTGTACATTTGTTTTTGCCTACTTATTCCTGTGTATCCTCACTTACTTCCACTTTCATAGTCTCTGCTTTATCTTTGTACGACGTGAAAGGATCGGCGTAGACCACATTGTCTTCGACTACCAAGGAGTCATACAGCCCACACGAGTCAGGGATCGTAGCATCTGGTGGCACAAATGTCGTAGCAATCATGCTACTGTGCGGCATAATCATGCGCTTAATAGCACGGTAGACATAGGGAACATGCGTAAGCGAGGTATCGTCCTCCTCTTCCTCTTGATTCAGGCGCTGTGGGCGACGATGAGGCAGTTCATCTTCTTCGCTCGATAAGTCATCGCGTCTGTGCGTATGCGCGACTGTGCTTCGATGCCGTTTCTTCCTCGAGAGGGCGGTAGGTTCATGCTCGCTCGAGTCCGAGGAATCCGAGTCGTTGTGCTTGATGGTGTTGGAATTAGCTCGCGACTCCGCCTGGCTATCCTCCGAGTCACTTATAGACATAGCGCGCTGATTGCGCTTTGATGAGCGGCGTGGAATTGGCTCCCCGTCTTCTGATTCTTGCATTCGCGCTGCGTTGGTATACACAGGCAGAACGGGTATTTTTTCAATCTCTTGGTCGTAAATGAGCAGGTCGAGAAGTGCGACGACATGCTCTGGCTCTAGTTCTGTGTCTGTCAGGCGCGCTGCTTTGAGGTATCGATGCACACTTTGTGCGGTAGGCAAATGTTGTGTGTGCGATGCTGGGTACAAAGATGAAGATCGGCCATCCTTTGGCCACGTCTTTGATTGAATGAAGCGCAAACATGCCATGGAGAGTTCGTGAATGAATCCTGTATCGAGCTCATTGTCTGTGTACCATGGACCACCCGATAGCTCGATGGACGGCGTAAGGTCGTAGAGCATGTAAATTTTGCGGGTGGGGAACTTGACCGACTTGACGACTTTGACAAGCTGCTTCTGTTCAAGGAGGCGGAGGCACCGTGTCATTACCGTCTGGTGCAGGTTTGTGCGTGCCTTGATGAGCTTGGTCCAAATGCCCTCGTTCTTCGCATCCTTAATATGGTTGTAGATGATGAGCTCATTGGCGTCCATGCTACCCATCATGCTCGCTTCTCCTGTAGAGATAGCAACATACTGGATTCCGCCTGGCCCCTTTTGTGCATGGAACAAGCTCTTTTTGAGCAAACTATTGATGGCCAAGAGCTGCTCTTCAATCGGAATGTCATGGAACTGTGTCGCAAGCTCATCACCCGTGAGGGTATGCTCTGGCGCAGCGAGTGCTGTCGCATGGATCCTCTTTTCTAGGGCAGAGAGTCCCTGTGCCTCTGGCACAGCTTTGGGCGGCATGAGCTCCCTTGTTGGTCCGCGCACTCCCGGGCCGTATGGTAAGAGAAAAAATTGGCGCACGCCCTTTCGGCTGGGCTTTTTTCTTTGCTGGTCAAGGCCTCCTGCCCCCCTGGGCCTCCACACGAAGCGCCCCCGCTTCGCGGTTGCTTCTTCTCTACTGCTGGTTGGCCATGGCAGGTGGGCCGACACACGATCTCGAGCCACTCGAGCCACGCGCACCGGTCGCTGAGCCTGCCCTCCCGCCCATTTACGATGCCAAAGATCGACTGCATCATACCATTGCCTGCGCCTCGGCTGCCTTCTCAGTGGCAGTGGATCAAGCGCGGGGTCGTTTGTTTGTAGGCACACAAAGTGGTCTGATTGCGGTATGGGACCTCGAGACGTATCAACTGTATGCTCACATGCTTGGTCATGCGGACAGTGTGCTTTCTCTTCTCCTGGAAGGAGAGTACTTGTTCAGCGCGTCGTGTACGTACAGCTCTTAGCACTGACATGACAGCCGATAGCACAGTGCGCATATGGGATGCCGAGACACTGCAGCCCCTTGCGCTGGTGTACCCTGCGAACGACAATGCGGGTGATATCTTTTCGTGTACGTGAAAGGAAGTGTGACGCTAACGGCTGCAGTGGCATGGGATGCTCCTCGTACGACTCTCTACTTTGGCTGTCAAGACACCTCGATTCAGTGGCTTGCTGTGACGCGCGAGACTTTAGCTCGGTCACCGACGCATGTACGCAATGTGCGCTTCCATAAGTTCTTTGATTCGCGTCCTCGTGCGTTGTCCGGCATGACGATGGGGCTCCCCAACGCGGTGCTGGCCGGCGAGGCCTTGGTCCAGCGTTCGGCTGTCCGCTTTATGGATCCTGATGGCACGCCTACGCCTGGGATGAATATGGCTGTGCTTGGTGTGGACAGTGACAATGTTATTATGAATGCGCATCATGGATATGTGTACGATCTTCTACTTCTTCCGCATGGGGATACGACGCTCATGGCGAGTGGTTCTGGCGATGAGACGGTTCGGTTATGGCGATGGGAGCAGGATCGCCTTGTCTTCCACCAGTCGTTAGCGCTGGCCGAGCCTACAGGCGATGCGATCATGTCGTTGGCTGCGTGGAAAGGCACGTTGCTGGCCGGGAAGCAGAACGGCATGATCGATGTATGGGACTTGGAAAGCTATACACTGATTCGCTCCATTCACGCACACAACGACGATGTGCTGTGCCTCTTGACGATGGACCAGGAGGAGGGCCAAAGCTTTGTGTCTGGCAGTGCCAATGGCGACGTGTGTCATTTCGACAGCTACTTCCGATGCCGCGGCCGATTGGCGGGCCACAGAGATATGGTGCAAGGTCTTGCGATGTATCAAGGCCACACGAAGCATGCGTATTCATGGCTGACAAGTGCGCCTGTGCTGGTCACCGTATCCTCCGACGAGCATGTGCGCATGTGGCATTATAATCTGCCGCGCATCGGACAGGCGGACGAGGCTGGCCAGAAACGAGAGGAAGTGGCGCCTGCCTCCTCGTCTGCGCTGCTGCAGCGCCTGGGAGAGTTGGTCCGCTTCAAGTCTGTATCGCAAGGCCCTGCGATGCCGGAGATTGACGAGAATTTGGAAGACTGCCGTCAGGCCGCTCACTACATCAAAGCTACGCTCATGGAGCTGGGGGCGAGTCATGTGCAGCTCTTGTCGACGGGCGAGGGGACGAATCCCCTTGTGCTGGGTACGTTCCGTGGCCGTGAGGCCAAGCGACGATGTGTCTTTTACGGGCACTACGACTGTGTCCCTGCGGGCGATGGCTGGGACTCTTCGCCATGGGAGCTGCGTGGGCAAGATGGCTACGTCTACGGCCGTGGCGTGAGTGACAACAAAGGCCCCGTCCTTGCCGTGGCGTACGCAGCGAGTGAGCTGTTGCACAAGCACGAACTGGAGGTGGACGTGGTCATGCTGATCGAGGGCGAGCAGGAGACGGGTTCCAAGTCGTTCCATGCGTGCCTAGAGCAGAACAAGGATCTCATTGGGCCTGTGGATACCATCCTTGTATGCAATTCGTACTGGCTTGGTGAGCAGCAGCCATGCCTGACGGTGGGCCTACGTGGTGTCGTGCAGGTGATGATCCAGATCAGTAGTCGGCGGTCCGATCAGCATTCAGGCGTGCACGGTGGCGCTGCGCGTGAACCGATGATGGATATGATCAAACTCCTAGCATCGTTGACAGACGATGACAATGGGCGCGTCGCGATTCCCGGCTTCTACGACGATGTTCGGCCGGTGAGCGAGCAGGAAATGCAGTGGCTCACGTCCGCCGCGGAAGAAGCGCCTGGGCCGACGACCGCCGATCAGCTGCGTGCCTTGTGGTGTACGCCTTCGTTCACGGTGCACCAACTTACGAACAGCGGTGGGGCCACGCACTCCTCCATCATATCCAAGGCGGTCAAGGCGACACTGAGCATTCGCTTCGTCCCGGACCAGGACCTCGATACGCTCGCGCCACTTCTCCAGCAAACGATCGAGACGCGCTTCGCAGCGCTGCACTCGTCGAACGAGCTGGATGTCCAGCTCTTGCACCGCGCAGATTGGTGGCTGGGCACGACAGAGGGGCCGGCATGGCACGCCTTGGCCGAGGCGGTCGAGGCGGAATGGCACCAAAAGCCCACGCTTATTCGCGAAGGCGGCTCGATCCCAGGCATTGCTATCCTTGAGAAGGTGCTTCAGGCACCGGCCTTGCACTTGCCGATGGGCCAAGCGTCTGATCATGCCCATCTTCCAAACGAGCGCATTCGACTGCTCAACCTGGAAAAGGGCCAAGCGGTCGTACGTCGCTTCCTTCGCTCGCTGGGCCACGTGTAAATGCCTACATTTGCTTCGTCACTATACGGGCTCGTAGCCTGCGCGCGAAAAGCTGTCGGTACGACGGCCTGCCGTGGCGGTACGCATACCCTGCTGCCAACCTGTGCGAAGGCGATACGGCACGTCGCGCCAAAAGTCGCGGTGCGGTAAGAGGTCCCAGCCTGTCGCACCATACTGTGTATAGTTGTACCAAACACCAACCGCAAGGTAGATCAGCATGCCTATGATGATACTGGATGGTAAGTACATGTCATACGTACAGCCAACACAGCCGTGCGAACCAACCACGACGGTGCTTTGTGCGTGGTGGGGGGCGGGGGGGTGTGGTCGGAAGATCGGCACACGCCAGCGGTGTATCCCACTGCAGCGTAAGCTGACCCTCGTCCACATTGTAGCCACGAATCGAAAGGGTGCCCGTCTGCTGGTAAGCGAGCTGTGTCATACGTACTACATCCCCCTCGACGGCACAAGTCACTGTGAGCTTCGTGTGCTGGGCCTTGTCAGCCCACACAGCGCCAGGGAACGCCAGTTGCCATTCTACGGTAAGTGTCCATGGACATACCTTCCTTTTGGCCAGTATCAAACTTGGCATGCTCCACCGTCAAGCCCTGCGGCGTGCCAGCCACGGGAATGACTTGAGCCATGGCCTGCGCGCCATCCTTGCGTCGATTCGCCACTGTCATGCATACATGGGTATTTGCCGGGCACTGATCTTCATCGGAAAGCGTCTTGTCCCGCGCCAGAGGACTACACAGGTCCATGCGCACGCTCGTCACAGTCGTCGTGGGCGGCGTCGCTTGCTCAATGACCGCGGTCAGTGCGCCGGAGGCGAACGCTGGTCGTAAATCGATAGGCGCAGCGCCGTCCCGCGTAATGACGCGCGCACAGTCAAATACGTCCTCGCTCTTCGCATAGGCACTAGATCCTAGCCAGCTGAGCACTACGATCCACATCCAGATCATCGCCGTCGTGATGCTCTGCATGGTGGAGAGACACGAAGTTCGTTGTGCGTGCTCGACATCGCATCGGGGCGTCAATCGGGTGTGGAGAGGCCGCGCCAGCCGCGCGGCCGATCTGTCCCCGCACGCAGGCCACCACCGCAATGAAGCGCATGCCCACCAGGGGCCCACTGTACAGACTATAGAGTATCGTGCATCTACTAATTCTCCGGTATGCGGAAGAACGTAATTTCCTGTTGCTTGAAATAGCGCCTGTTCTCTTCGTCAATCAGGACCAAATTCAGATAGTACCGCGTGCTGAACTTCTTGTTCACGTCACGGAAAGTGGGCGTCAATTCAAAGCCGCCTAGGAAGAGCCTGATGGGAATTGTCTCTCCACGCACCGGTGCACCATCCATAATCTCAAACTTGGTAATTGTTTCCGACTCGTTGTATTGGTTGGGCGCCGCGCCTGTGGTCTCGCGACGAATAATCGAAAGCTCCATATGCTTGATCTTGATACGCACCAGCAAGAAATAAATCTTGCCGACAATGACATCCTTCAAGTGGTACTTGGACTTATTGTATTCAAACTCAATGTGCAGGCAGTCTTCGATACCGACTTCCATCTTGATCGCATTGTTCGAGTCTGTTGGCAGGCGGAACGAATGCACCCAAATATCCCGCTCACGCACAATGTCCGACATGCGCCTGTGCACGGTGACGCGGAAAAAGTAGCGAAGCTTCACATTGATGCCATTGTAGCTTTCGTACAACTTTTCCACGTCCTTGAACGAGAACGGCAAACTTTCTGAATCACGTATTTCGCCTGCGGGGGCAATCTCTTGACCGAGCGAGAGAAACTCGTAGTGATTCCCGCGGTCGTAAAAGAGTTCTGACGTGTGAGCTCCTTCGGGGAACATACCCATGCATCCGATAAATTCAATACGGATACCATCATGTTGCAGCTTCTTCGCATTGCGAGGTTGCACTACGACCTAGGCTTGTTAGTCGTCCTCCTCTCGCGTTCATACGCACGGTCCCCTGCAAACTCTCGCCGTCAAAGTAGACAGGGATCGTCTCCTTGTTCGGGTTCTCCGTCTTGACCTCTACCGTCTTTCGGTCATGCTCATCGTCCAACCGGATATCAATGTCCGCGGGGGACGAAAAGCTGAACAGCGAGGTCATCGCTGCACGTCGTCACTAGTCGCCGTCGTATCGGCGCCGCACTGTGGTATCGTTGCGTCGTCCGCCATAACGCCCCAACATAAATCCTCGACATTGGACCTCTGGTTTTCGTGGAGGGCCTGTGGGCAGGCAGTCGCAGGGGAGGGACCATTAGCACTATTTCCATCTATAGTACACGTGTGCTCGTGGCGGCCACGGCACAGCTATGAAATGAGCGGCGTGTTTTGATCAAGTCATCTTGGCAGCGCGACGGCGGCGGAAGATATTCGCAAGCACCGTCGTCAATTCCGTGCGGTCCTCCCACAGGGGGAGAACGCCCACGGCCAGGATACTCCAGAAGAGCCAGATGAAGCCGAGGTAGATCCAAGCGCCCAGGCCCTTGTAGTTCCATGTGCGTGCACAAGTGGCAATGGCGGGCACAATAATCACGAGGAGCAGCGAGCATACGATGGCAATCAGCATCACGCGGTTCACGGTCGAGTTGATCACAGCAGGATCCAAGCCGGCGGCCCGCACGTAGTTGATGTTGTCTTCACCGGCATCCATCATGTGTGTGTGCAAATGACCCGTGGTGACTTCCGCCTTGCCTGGCTCCATGTCCGCAAAGTCGCTCGTGCCAACGACCGGCTTGTCGCTGCCATTATCCTCCGTCTCGTTCACAGGGAAGTCGGCCAACTTCTCATCTGCGATACCCTGCACATGATCGCCAACGTACAGCGCATCATCTGGTGCGTTGAATGCACGCGTATCGGCAAACGTGTAGTTCTGAGGACGCAGCCAGCTCCACGTCACCGTGATGATCGTCGACGAGAGCAACGAGACGAGGTTGCCGGCAATGGTAGGGTACTGCATGCCTGTCGTCTCCACGGTCACAGCGCCGTACAAAGTACCGGCTGTAACAAGCCATGTCATGATACCGAGGATGCAGCCGACGACCATACCCACCACACAGGCCATCGAGTTGGTCTTGTGCCACGTAAGTGAGCCGAAGATCGGGAAGACGGCTGGCGCGACGGCAATGCCCATCATGGTATACAGCCAGCCGAGACCAATACTGGCGTAATTCCAAATCAAGCCGAAGATTGCCATGACAATGGCCCAGAGAATCACGGCGCCATGGGTAATCCACTGGATATGCTGGCCCTTGGGGTTCGGGTGAATGTACACTTTCCACACGTCGAAAGTTAGCACCGAGGACACGGCGATCTGCTGTGCCGATGTCGCGGATGTCACAGCCAAGAACAGCAGGATCAAAATGGCCACCGCCCCGCCCTTGCCGGTGAGCGCTGCTGCGGCTGTAGGCGCAGGCAGACCGGCGGAAATTTGCTCCGGTGCGAGAGTCTGCATCAGGCCATTCTCCTGCAGCGCACGCGCAGCCAGGCCCATAGTCGTGCCGAACAAGAACGGAATCGGGAACCATGCACTGCCACCCAGCAAGAAACCACGAGATGCTGTGGTCGGCAGCGATGCAATCGAGCGCTGGTGGTACGACTGATCGCAAAACACGGTCGCCAAATTGCCGCAAATGTTGATGATACCGAAGATCAGGCCGCCCTGCGAACGCATCGTCAGGTAGGAGCCATGCGCATTGCCTTCTACAGGTTTGGTGAGGGCTGCTCGTTCGAGCATCTCGACCATGTGCGAGAGACTGCCAATCTTTCCGTGACCTGTCCAGATATTGAAGAAGAAGTACAGGATAATAATGAACAGTCCGACCGTGTGTGAGTAGTCGGCAATGAACGTCGCACGCAGACCACCTGTCACCGTATACGCAGCGACACTGGTGGGAATGAGGAAGATACCTGCGAGGATATGCAGACCTGTCAGCTCATTTACGACCGCCGCACCACCCAGTACAAGCTGGGACGAGACCAGGAGGTTGGTCACAAGCGCAAAGACCATGAAAACGGCGTGCACGGCCTTGCCGTGACGAATGCGAATGACTTCCAGGAATGTCGAGCAGAAAGGTGCACAGCTCTTGATCTTGCAGGCCATAATGGAGCAGAGAAGGATCTGCAGCGTAGCACCGGCTGCGTACCAGTACGCGCCCGAGACGCCGTATTCGTACGTCACCGCGGAGCTCTGCAAGAGTGTCGCGGCCCATGTCCAGGCAGATACAATGCCTGCAGCAATCAGGCCAGGCTTAACGGAACGCGAGGCAGAGTTGAATTCTTCCACACTCTTGGTCGAATGCTCCGTAAACCGGTTCTGTAGGAATGTGATCGCCATCATAAACGCGGCAAAGGCAAAGCCAAGGCCACACACGACGGCCCAGCCTACACCTTCGCCAAGCACCTGTGCTGGGTTGCTGCTCATGGCTTCCGACAACAAGAAGATAGGGCTCGTAGCATTTTGTCGAAATTGCTCTTTTATGCCTCCCCTTATCTGCGTCACCGTGAGGGACTTCACCACAGCTGGAACGTAGGCTTATCTCTTCGTTCATGTTATCAAACGTGCAGGTGGCCCAAGCCCCCTGGGAATCGCTTCGTATTATTTGTCACCCCTATTGTGCTGAGTTAATCAAACCGGAGATCCTATGCATCCATCTATTTTGACCCAATGATCACGGTCTCCATGGGGCCATTGTCAGATAGCAACGTGAACTTGGTAGATCGTGGTCCTTCTTTCACATAGTCTAGGTTTGCCTCGCATATACCCTACATCTATACATCTTGGCTGTGCGTGTCCAGCTGATAAGGACGAAGCGCCAAGCCATGTTGATGATCTAGGGCCAGTGATCAGCCTGCTCCGTAAGCGAGATGCTATCCCTGGCCCCGCGCCTTTATCTCTAATAGCAGTACAGCGTCGTATCTACACGTCCTTATACTAGGCGGAGTAGCAGGAGCAGCGGCCAGCATGGTGTCTGTAGGGGGGTAGCTGGCAGCCCTATGAAAAAAAAGTCACTCCAATAGCAAGGATTTTTCCGCTCTACAACAGAGCGGCAAGGCTCTCTCTATGGTACAATTTGCAAGTCGTACGACCACGGTCCTATTCGTGCGGTTAGCGGCCACCACGGAAGCCACCACGGCCACCCCGCGGCGCGCCACGGCTGCCGCCAAAACCACCGCGACCGCCGCCGCCAAAGCCACCACCACGGCCGCCGCCGAAGCCACCGCGACCACCACCACGGCCCGCACCAAAGCCGCCACGACCACCGCCACGACCGCCGCCACGGCCACCACGTGCACCGCCAGCACCACCTCGTGCCGCACCTCGCTTTTTCCCACCCTTTACGACCGTCTTGGGCTTAGGAAGGAAGCGCTCAATCGGAAGCACACGGTCTTCCGCAATGTACACTGTGTCTTCTACCTTGAACGACGACGCAACGACACCAGGCTCCGTCTTCACCGTGAAGTACACTTCGTTTATTGGGCCAAGAATTTCGTCGACCTTTCCGATTTGTGACTTGTTTTCCAGGCTGGTTCTGTTAGTCGCTAAGGTATACGTACAAAATCGGTGCGTTAAAGTAGGGCACATGCTTGGGATCCGTGCTAGCACAGAACATTTCACCTTCCACAGCATGCACAAACTTGCCGAAGGGGACAACGCTCGCAGGCGGACCTACATTGGCCATACCACCACGACCGCCGCGGCCACTAAAACCGCCGCCGCGACCGCCGCCACGACCACCACGAAACATGCCGATGTAGTAGTTGCTTGGTGACGAGTTCCGACGCCGTCTACGCAACGACCGTTCCCCCGAGAAAAAAAGGCAAAAGTCACGTGATATCTACTTGGCCGTGCGCGCCTGGGCGAGTTCCTCGCGCAGCGCCGCGCCGAGCTCTACATACTCTGGAAGCACTTCCGGGTTGAGAAGTGTCGACTGGTTGATGGTGCTGATCGGTGCGCCATTGATTACTTATGTTAGCTCGTATGCATACGTACATTTCTTTACAGGCACCTCGACACGCTTCCCGTTCAGCGTCTTCGGGCAGCCATGCACGCGCCGCACAAACGCAGGAACGTGACGAGCGCTGCGCTGCTTGCGGATCAAGCGCTTGACCTCGTTCACGATCCACTCCCAGTGGCCATCCTCACCCACGACAAGGAAGAGGACTACCACCTCGTCGTCTTTGGCCGGCGTCTTTAGCGCGACGACCAGCGAGTCTGAGATTTTGCTGCATGGGTTGCCTTCCGCTGTCGCCTCCGACGACTCCAGCACCTCATAAATGTCAGCGCTGCCGAAGCGGATACCACTTGGGTTCAGAATACCGTCAGAACGGCCTAGCATAATCAAGCCCTGGTGTGGCGAGCGCATAACCAAGTCGCCATGGTACCACACGCCAGGGTACTGGACATAGTAGCTGTCACGGTAACGTTCGTTCGGCTGGTGCCAGAAGCCAATAGGCTGCGCTGGGAAGGGTTTCTTGCACACCAGGTCACCCTCGACCATGTCAGGGACGGAGGCGCCTTGGTCGTCATACACGTCCATATCCATACCCAGACCGAAGCACTGCAGCTCGCCCGCCCGCACAGGCAATGCGACATTGTGCGTTGCAAACAGGGAGCAGAGATCCGTGCCACCGGTAATACTGCCTACCAGCACAGGTCGGCCCATAAGCTTTTCTGCGTACACATACAGCTCCGAACGAAGAGGCGAGCCAGTGGAAAGAATCATGCGTACCTTGAGCTTCTCCTGGAGCTCGGTGGGGATATAGTTGCGGCGTTCAATCACCGATAGGTAGGCAGCCGACGTGCCAAACACAGTAATGCCCAGCTGTGCAGCACGCTCCCAAAGCACACCGACCGGAAGGACAGGCGAGCCATCGTAGAGGACCAATGTGCAGCCACTTAACAGACCACCCACGAGCCAGTTCCACATCATCCAACCCGTGCTCGTGTGCTGGAAAAAGACATCGTCTGACTTCATGCCACCATGCAGCAGGTGCTCCTTACCGAACTGCAAGAGCATACCACCGGCACGGTGCGTAATTGCTTTCGGCTGTCCTGTTGTGCCTGAGGAGAACAGGATCCACAGCGGGTGGTTAAAGTCGAGCTGCTCGTACTCCATCTCATCACTCTCATCATCTCCACTTGCCAAAAAGTCGTCCCACAACTGGCGGTGCAGACCAGGCACGTCGTCTGCGCCATCGACGCCGTTGCCGCGCTCCTTGGTTTCGGGATGCGAGCCGCTGTACGGCACCACAATCACATGCTGCAGAAGTGTCTCATTGCCATGTAGACGTGCACGCTTGGCTTTCGGCTCCGACTCGTCACGCTCGTCGCTGCTCGCTTCCACCGTCGTGAGGCCTTCGATTGTGGTGTTCAGCTTGGCAATGTGGTCATGCAGCTTGCCGTTGTACAGCACGGCATTCACACTGAATAGTACACGTGGACGCACCGTCTTCAGGCGCTCCAGCACACCAGCCGTACCGAAATCCGGCGCCACACTGGTCCACACAGCCCCCAACGAACTCGCGGCGAGGAATGCAATAATATTCTCAGGCGTGTTGCTCGAGTAGCTCGCCACTGTGTCGCCGACCTTGACGCCAAGCTTCCGAAGCGCACGCGACGCACGGGCTACATTGTGACGCAGCTCCGCATAGGTCATACGACGCGTGTCTTCCTCGCGCTCCGTGCACGCGATGAACGCTACGTCTTCGTCACGACCATGCAGCAGCAGGTTCTCCGCGAAATTCAGACGCGCGCCAGTAAACCATTCAGCTGGAGGGAACATCGGGGCTTCCTCGGGAAGTACTTCCACGGCAGGCTTGCTCGCCTTGACCTTCATTTCATCCCATACACCCTGCCAGAACGCTGACAAGTCGGTGCAGCTCCACTTGTGCAAGTCTGCATAGGTCTTCATCTCCAGGTTGTGTTCTTTGTTCATACGCTCACGGAAAGCATCAATACGCTTCTCGCCCTCCGGCGGTGTCCACATGACACGGCCTTGTAGAGCCTCTGTGGAAGACATTCTGGTGGTAAATGCACTTGCGTTGGGGTGCGCGAAGGTTGCGTCTTTTTTGGCGCTCCTAACCGTTATCACGTGATGCTTCACCGAGGGCGCAGATCCCGCTGCTCGCAGGGGCCGTCGACGCGTGTTGGCGCATCACATACACAATCCACTCACCCTAGCTTCTATTGGCCGCTGCTTCCCCAGCGTGACGGGTGCCTAAGCGCCTCTTCATGCCATCGAAGAACGATCTGTTTTTCCAGTCGATATCGACACCCTCTCCACCTTTGCCGAAACCGCCTGTACGCTCTGATAAATACCCTGCTCCACCGCGCTTGCCCCAGTCGTCGCCGTTAGTCGACAGAGGGAAACGACGTCATGAGAAAAAACCATCGTTTGGGCACATGTCCATGCAGGAGCGAGAGCAGGAGCAAGAGCGTATTCGCGCAGAGCATGGATTCCGTCTCCGACTTATTCTCGATAAGGCGTACAAACTAGGCGAGGGTCGTACCGCTGAAGTATATTTAGGGGCTTTTCATCGTGAAGGCAACGAACGTCACGGATGCCACGTTGACTGGCATCTATGTGCCGTGAAACGCGTGCAAGCTGATCGTGAGTCGCAGCTAGCAGGGCTCGAGGAGGCATTTGCTTTACGTCGCCTGGGCTCGCATCCGCACATTGTCAACCTGATTTCTGTTCTGGATGAGCTAAGTCTCAATAAAAGCCATCTTCATCCAGACACCAGTGTCGACAACCCACCTCGTCTGCTTGTCGTACTCGAGTACCTCCCCTTTTCGCTCGCATCGTTTGTCAAGCGCAATCCACAGGCTGTCACGCTATCGCAATGGCTCACATGGGCTCAACAACTCGCCTCAGTGGTAGAGTGGCTCCATGGACGTGGCTGTGTGCATGGTGATATCAAGAAAGAAAATATACTTTTGACCTCGGACCTAACAGTCAAACTATGCGATTTCTCATCGGTGCTCTTTTCCAACGCTGCTGTGCCTGCTACTGAAGTCTACTCTGTGGGCACGCCTGCTTTTCGTGCACCGGAGCTGTTTACAGCTGTAAACTGGTCCCCCTCAGAAGAGCAAGGGCTAGCGCATCCCGCTTTGTCTTTCACTATTGATGTCTTCAGCCTGGGCGTGGTTCTGTATACACTCGCCAGTGGCGTGGATCCGAGTCAGCGTGCCTCCTCTGTGATGGCCATGCGCCAGCGTCAATTCCTTTTCTTCCGCCAAGAAGAAGATGACCGCATGGAGCGTTTAAACGAACAAGGCGTGACATATCCCACCATTCTTGAAGGCGAGAGTGTATCTCCCGACTTTATGGGCTCACCCAAAATCGGCGAATCTTATGTACATATTCCTGGAAACCTATTGGCGCGCCTTTTGGATCCATCGCCTTTCCCGTGTGGCATAATCACTTCTGCTCCACCCCAACGCCCAACTATGAACGCATCGACATCGTCTTCCACCAGTTCTACTCGGGCGGTGTCATTGAATGTGCTGTCGCGGTCAGAGTTCCCCAGTCTCACTCGGTGTTCGTCGATGAACACGTCAAGTACGATTGAGCGAGCTATACGTCGCTCCAATTCCGCTCACCATCCGAAGGAGGAGAAAACCTACCGACGAGACGCAAACTTGTCGTCGCTTCGACGAGCGGAAAAGACAGAAGATTCGAAACAAAAGTTTCTTTCTCTACCTAATCATCCTTCCCATTTCGTACGGGAAGTGATGGATTCTACTCCGCCCTCCCCTACGAGGTCGAGCTTCGCAATGGATGTGCGGCCGTATGAAGACGGTGCACCACCCATGATTCTCCCTGGCGGTGGTCGCCTGCCAGATGAGCTACGGGACTTGATTAAAAGTATGGTAGCTCCGCGACCTGAAGACAGACCCACAGCATCGCAAGTCCGCGCTGTGTTGGATCGCATTGTATTGACTGAGTTGTAGTATTGCCTCTTGTATAATTCCTAGACAATTTAATTCCACGTGATTGACGTCGCGGTCGCGGTCGCGGTCCTTCGCTTCGTTCGACCTTCGCACTTGCGCACGCACGTCGGCGACCTGCATCGGCAGCACACTGTTATCACAGCTTCTTTCTTTGTGGCGCTGCGATGTACTTACTTGGGGCTTATTTGCCTGATCATAAACTCGTGCGCGTATGTATTGTTTGGTTGGGTTCCTGACTTACCTCAGATTGCACTGACCAACTTCTATGGCATTTCTTATGACACGGCCCGTCGGCTCTGTGCACGGATCCAAGTCCATGAGAGTGCCACTGTTTCCTCTCTTACTGAGTCTCAAATCACTGAATTGTCGGCCTACCTGTCATCACCAGGCTTGATTCCTGCTCGTACGCCTTCGCCGACACGATCGACCTTAACGGGTGAAATGCCGAAGCCAGAGACGCCATCTGACCCCAGTCAGCTCCCTGCTTCCCAACGGCCCAATGCATCGATGGATCCTCTTCGTTCCATTGTGATTGAGGGCGATCTTCGTCGTGAGAACCTAGCGAATATTGCTCACCACCGCTCGATCGGCTCATACAAAGGCCGTCGACATGCCGGTGGTTTTCCTGTGCGTGGCCAACGCACGCAACGAAATGGCTTGACTGCTCGGCGGCTGAACCGTCTTGAGCGTCGCCAATACTCGACTACTTCTCTGGTGGAGACGCTGCAGCCCCTTGCGCGAGCCCGCTTTGCGTAAGTTGAATGCCTGGCCAAGTACCATGTAGCTTGAAACTGATATATATCCAACGCAAAAAGGTGATGAATGCTATACAGGTGTCTAAGGGGCGTAGGGATGGCGCATGATCGCTTAGAATAGATCCTTCCTAGGTTAGCCTCTGTTGAGTTTAGCTCGCACATACCTCCAATGTGAGTTGCTTTGCTACATCAGTATTGTTGACCATATCCAAAAACTCATAGAAGTCGATCTTTCCATCGCCGTTTTTATCGGCTTCCATGATTGTTTTGTCGACAATTTGCTGTAGCTGCTGGTCTTTTAGGTTTCCGCCTACCATCATTTTGAGGACGATGAACAATTCACCGTTAGAAATGTACCCATCACGGTCCATATCATATACTTTAAAAACAACTGGGGGTGAGTAGCGATAACACATACACTGCAGCTTTTCTTCACGGCTGCCTCGGGTGGTGAAGACACTCAACGCATGCACAAACTCCTGGAAGTCGACAGAGCCGCCACCACTGGTTGTATAAGATTTTCTTGTTCATACGTACTCAGCATCAAATACTGAAATCAAGCGCTGTGCCAGTGGATTGTTGGCAATCGCAGGGATTTGTAGAAATTCGTCGCGGTCAATGGAACCAGACCCATCACGGTCCAATTTCAAGAAGCGCTTCTTTAGACGCTGAATCTCTTGTGCCGAGACTACTGTTAGAGCACAACCAACATACAATGCGTCTCACGCTCCATCTCATTGAGCAGCTGCGACCCTTCCTGTCCCATGGTGCTAGCGTCTCGTTGTGGTAGGGCTGCCAGCGACCCCATAGCCAGCACGACCTTGCCCCCGTCGATCACGTGGATGATCGGGCGTTGCGTGAGCAGCGCTTACGCCAGCCATCACGGTGGCTTCTTACTGTCAGTGCTACTCGTTGCCATGGATCCGGTAGACGTAGCTCACTTGAAGAAAGGCGAAGTCGACCTTGGCGTACGTATTGAAGTGGTGCTTACCGTACAGACCTCCATTATGGCGGTTGCCTTTGATGGCGGTGTCGTCATCGGCGCTGATTCGCGCACGACGATGGGCTCGTACATTGTATGTGATCTTGTATACGCGTCTACTCACACCACAGGCGAATCGCGTCACCGATAAACTGACACATCTCTCGGATCGAATCTACTGCTGCCGCTCAGGCTCAGCTGCCGACACACAAGCCCTTGCTGATGTCGTTACGTACCACTTGCAGTTGTACAGTGTGACACAAGAGCAGCAACCCCCTACCGCCGTGGCGGCGAACCTTTTCCAGGAACTCATATATCAGAACAAGGACCGCCTCAGTGCTGGTATCATTGTGGCTGGCTGGGACAAGCAGCATGGCGGTCGCGTGTTCAACGTCCCTCTCGGCGGCGGCGTGTTCGAGCAGCCGTGGGCGATTGGTGGTTCTGGCTCGACATATATTTATGGCTACTGCGACTCAACTTGGCGCGAAGGCTGGAATAAGGAACAAACCCTTGAGTTTGTACGAAATGGTACGTTTAACATGCGTCACTCATAGACAGCTTTGAGCCTGGCGATGCGTCGTGACGGCTCGTCCGGTGGCACTATCCGTCTGGCGGTTATCACAGAAGACGGTGTGGAGCGCCACTTCATTCCGGGTAACGAATTGCCTATTCTCGCAGCTAAAGATGTATAGGTGTCATACAATACGTACTACTAGAAGTATGCATTAATATCGTAGGCTTCGCCTGGCGCTGGCTCTGCCCGCTTCGAGGTCTTGGCAGGTTTCGACGACGCTTTGGATGGCTTGGCCTGTTTGGCAGCGCGTTTCTGCATCACCGTCGAGGCTCCCCGCTTCTTGGACAAAGAGCGAGGAGGCGGCACTTCCTCTTCCTCGTCCTCCTCCTCCTCGTCGTCGTCCTCCTCTTCCTCGTCTTCTTCCTCGTCTTCTTCCTCGTCTTCTTCCTCGTCCTCCTCATCATCATAGACAGGGATGTCGTCTTCTTCGTCATCGTCTGCGTAGACAGGCACATCCTCCTCCTCGTCTTCGTCGTCCTTGTCAGGCAGCGGCGCAAAGACCAACGATGAGGTACCCAGAGGCGCAGATTCCAATGGCTTCAGACGCAGCTCGCGCTTCTCCCATGTTTGACGCCAGGCCTTGCGAGGAAGAACAACAGGCATGGCCTCTACCAGCTCGGCCGCCTTTGCCCACCGTGCCTTGTCCTCCTTGGTGCCCGCTGTCTCGATAGCCTTGGCCTTGGCTTGAGACACGGCATAGTACCCCAAACCCTCATGCGACCAATCGCGCAGGATCAAGCGCGCAGCGCCCAGCACATCAGGCACGCCATGACGTTTCAAACGTCCGACAGATCGAGCAACGCCAATCAGGAACTGTTCCGTATCCGCCTGCGCCTTTTCTTCCGTCTGACGATGCTGCTCACGCACCACCTCATCCATCGGCGCATCGTCAGCAAGCGTAGCGCGTTCAGGGACAAACGAGCCAAAGGCTGGAATGCTATAGGTCAGCATCAAGTCGATGGGCTGCGCAATACGTGGCAGCAGCAAGCGCACCAAGGCCACTGGGTCCTTGAAACGCTGGACATGCCCTTGGTTCCGCATCAATGTCCACATGTACTTGGCATCGAGCTTTTGACGACGTTCCAGCTCGGCCATAATGTCTTCGTCTTCGTCTTCGTCTTCGTCCTCCTCGTCGTCCTCCTCTTCATCGTCGTCTTCCCCGGCCATAGGTAGGCTCATCGTGGACGGGACGAGCATCGTTGTATCATACACCTGGGTTGTACTGTTCTTCTCTTGGAACGCGCCCTGCAACGCCATCGCGACGGAGGTTTTACCAGCATTCTGCAAACCAATCACAGCCACGTTGCCCTTCTTCATGTTGGCCTGCAAGTACGCTACCAGCGCCTCAACACCTGCATGGTCCTTCACAGCAGAAGGCAGGACAGAGACAGGAAAGGTAGGGTGGGCCTGCATCAGCTCGTAGGTCCAGCCTGTCACGGCTTCCGCTGGCACCAAGTCGGCCTTAGCGAGGGCGTAGATCAGCTTAGGCGCCTTCTTGTGGCCCTGCAGCTCCGATTCCAGCCAAGTGCTACGGAAGCTGGATGGATCACGAGCGTCCAAGACATATACAAGCGCCTTGATATCGTCCGGCTTGGTGAGGATGTCTTGCAGGGGACGATGGAGCATAGGCGCATGAGGCAGTTCAATGGGCTCTTCAAAGCCAGGGGCTGGAAGCTCTTCTTCTTCGTCCGACTCTTCATCGAAATCGCCCCGGAGTTTGGCCTCCCTAGCAGCGATCTTCTGCTCTTCTTCCTGACGGCGGCGCTCTTCAATCTCATTCAGCAAGTCCTCCTTAAAGGGGAAGTTGTTCGGGATACCAGGATCTTCCTTACGGCGGGACTTCCATTGTGTGCTTCGCTTAGCATCACGGCGTTCCTTACGCTTGTGTTCAAGAACCTTCTTATGGATCTTGACACGCTGCTTAATCGCCTGGCGCTTCGACGCACGCTTTTTTACACGCACCATGATGCAGCAGCGTAGGAAGAGCGACGTTGAGGCTTTCCATTTTTTTTTGTGCTCGCCACGTGGCTCTTTTCTTGTCCGTGCGCTACATGCTGTTGGAGGGCTTGGTCGGTGTCGTGGCAGCCCCGCATGGCAGGTACATTGCGCTGAGCACGTATGAGCGTGATGAATGGCGCATCTATGTATCGTTTGACGACATATCTAGGCGTAGGCCGCGGTGGTGGGGTCGCGCCCTTACGAAGAAAGATCTAGAGGTAGGTGGTACCGTGGCTTACCCAAGTCTCTCGAAGCCGCCGACCCTGCGTGGCAGGCCCATATTCGTGATGCATGGCATGGCCGAAGTCTTCAAGTAGAGATGCTGGACTACGATACACCTGATGATGACGGCACAGAGGTAGTAGTCGCTGACGCATGCCGGCTCCTTGTACGTACTCGCGCACTTACCCCAAGGTCACGCTCGAGTCTGGCCGCGTCGGTTGGGAGTTGCCTGCTTGCACGGAGGCCGAGGCAGCGTCCATCAGCACGCGTATGATTGCCCATGTACGTGTACATACCCTATCTGCCTAACACCTATGGCAGCTTTCCCTGCAGCTTACCTCGTTGGAAGATCGGGCCGCCGCCCAGCAACACACCTTTGATCACGCTCTGCAGGAGATGCAGCATCGTCTCGATACCGAGCGTGCCAAGTACCGCGACGTACGTTGCCATGTTGTCTGTCTCACAATAGCTGCTCAAAGCAGATCGGCATGTGCGTGTGAAATATTCCGCTACATCGTTGGTCCATCCGGGCCGGATCCGGTATGTTTGCGCATGACTTACACAGACGTCAAACGGACGTGGGTGGCTTTGAAGGCGACAACGATGACGAGGCGCCTACGTAGCCTCTTGCTTGGCGCGCAACTGTTCCAGCTCCGTCTCGAGCTCGTCTTCACGGAATATACGAGACTCAACCAGGGACTCCAACTCGGCAATCTCCTTCGTAAAGTGGGCATGCTCTTCCGCCTTTTCGCGCTCCACTTGGGCCAGGCGTGCCTCTAGTGCGCGAATCGTCTCTGCCTCAGTCTGCGACGTGCCTTGGGTGAGCTGGGGCGTATGTGAGGCCATGTGTGGCGTCGCTGGCGCTTCTCGCAGTGCCTCGATCTCTGCACGCTCACGCTCCAACGCTGCCTGGCATTCGTCCAAGGCTTGTTGCAACGACTGCACTTGTTTCTCCGCGGCTTGTGCTGTCTCCTGCCACTGTGTGACTTGCTCCTGCACAGCCGCCTGCTGCTCCTGCCATTTCTTGAGGGCCTCTGCATGCGCCGATGCAGAGGCTTGGTGCGCCGCTCGCTCACGATCCAGTGATGCGCGCAATTCTGTCAGCTCATCTTCCAGCGGGCCTACTTTGTCGTGGGCATGCTGGAGCTGCTCACGCAAGCTTGCCATTTCAATCTCTGCCGCAGATTGTGTGGCACTGGTGTCTCCTTGCTGGGCGTGTGCGACCTGCGCTTCCAGCTCGTCCACCTTGGCTTGCCATGTGGCATGAGCTTCCTTCGCCGTTTCCAGTTGCTGTTCTGTCGCCTTGTGCTTAGCCTGCCATGTATCCACTTGGTCCTGCAGGGCCAAACGCTCCTTTTGCCATTCCTGGACCAAGTCGTCCATCTTGGCTTGCAAAGCGGCCACGTCGCCAGCGTCGTCCTTGTTGGCGACTTGCTCTGCACGGATCGTCATGGCGGCCAAATCCGTCTCCAGGGATTGGATTCGCTTTGCATGCTCGCTTGCCGCATGCTCGAGCTCGTCATGTGCGTCGGCTGCTGCTGTCGCAGTATCAATAGCCTCATGTAGTTTATGCTGTAGTTCTTGCACCTGCGCTTCGAGAGCCTGTCGTCGCTTCACTTCTTCTTCCACAGCGATGCGTTTCGTTTCTTCCCATTCCTGCTCGCGCTTTTGGGTTGTCTGCTTGACTTCTGTGCGCTCGCGGTCGAGGGACGTGCATTGTCTTCGCACGTCGGCTAGTTCGTCACAGAGGCGTTCGTACACAGCCATAGGGATCACAGCCTCGTCTAGGGACGTATTTCCATCGTTCAAAGGCAGGGCAAGCTGTTCCAGCAATCCTTGCCGCTGTTTGGGCGAGGCCGGTGCTGGCGCAGGCGGAAGTCGCGGCGCATCGTCAAAGACAAAGCCATCGTCGTCGGCATGTACAGAGCGATGCAAGACACTTGCTGGCCGCCGGTAGCCAACTGATGATGTCGGTCTGCGTGGTGAGCTGACGGTACGATGCACTTGTGGCGTGGCAAAGCCGTGGGCGGGCCGTGTAGGTGCAGGCCGCATAGCCGCGCTACCGCCCAAACTCTTGCGCGGCGTCGTTCGTGGGGCCGGCGACGGCACAGGCACAGGCACGCCGCTCATACGCCGGCGGGCCCGTTCGGTCGTAGCTGATGAGCTTCGTGTCGCTGACGGAGGAGGAGGAGGGGGAGGAGGAGGTAGGTTGGATTCGTAGTTGCTATCCGTTCGGCTCGCACGGCCATCGGCCCGCGAATGCCGGCCTGAGAGCGACGAAAGGGGCCGCGCTGTAGCGCTGGTCGGTCGCGCGGAGTGCAAATGCACTAGTTTCGACGCTGGGCCAAATACACCGTTGTTGGGTGTCGTGGCAAAGTACTGTACGCTGCATGGTGTCAAAGTCCGTTTCTTACGTACGCGTCAATCGTGCCGTCGTTTTTCCCCTGTCCATACGATGACCCTGTGAGTTCCAGTCCTGCGAAGGTGCCCTCACGGCCCTGGACGGGTCCCAAGTACCGTAGCACACCTGTGAGACTGCTACCTTCGAACTTCACAGCATCGCCAATTTCGAACGGACGTTCATGATGCCGCGAAGGTGTGCTAGCGCCTGCACGCGACGGGGTGCGTGCACTACCACGCACACTCGGAGCCCGCGAAGGCGTTGACGTGTACGCACCAGCACGTCGGCGGGGAGTCTCGCTATCCATACAGCACTGGGCGCTCCACTGAGGGTCCGTGGGGGAAAGAGCTGGAACGACGCGTGTGGCAGCGCTAGGGGGAGTGTTGGTTTTGGATGCACGTGATTGAAATGTTTATCCAACACCGATACTACCATGACAGGCGACGCGCCGACGTTTGCCAATGCGGCGGACGAGGCGCGGCACTGGAAGGCGCGCGTCGATGAGATGCGTACCGCCTTGCTTGAAGCGGAAAATGGGCTGCAGGAGTTTATGGAAAGCAGCAAAGAGCTGGAAGCGGAAATGGAGGCTGATATGGCGGCCAGTCGGCAGCGCGCCGATACGCTGCAGGCGGAAAACGAGCAGCTGCGTGCCGATGTCGACGAATGGCGCGTACGTATGCACAGCACTGACCTTAAGAGCAAGTACCAAAAGTCTATTGCCGAGCACAATGCGGCACTAGGCGATCTACACACCGAGCTGTCGAAGCTTCGCGAGACGCACGATGCGTACAAAACGCGGCTTCGCGATATGGAGCTAGATAATGATGCCCTTGAGAATGCTGAGCGGTATGTTCGTATGCTGTACTAACATGTAGCATGATCAACTCGTCGCTGGCCGACATGGAGGCACGATACCACAAAGCCATGGAGCGTACGGCGCTCCTGGAAACCGAGTTGGAGGGCAAGTCACGTTTGGAAATGGAGAACCAGCGCCTCAAAGATGAACTGCGCGACGTGCGAGAGGAGCTGCATGTGCAACAGGCCAAGGCCTCTGTACCTGTACCACTACCACGCTCCGATCCTGATGAGCTCACACTGAGCGACTTGGTCGTCCAGCGTCCTGTACCACCTTCGTCGTTGCGTCTGCCTACTGTGCCCGTTTCTGGCGGTAGCAGTAGCGGCGGCTCGACACTAGAGCGACTGCGTGAGCACATGCATCAGCTGCAGCAGCGGTTGCAGCATGTCCATACGGCGCAGGCGCCGACAACGACTTCTCAGTTTGGCCGTGCTGCGCGTAGTTCGCTGCCACGTCCACGTTCGAGCATGTCGGCCAGCACCGGTGGCCCTCCGAGCTGTGCACAGCACAGCACAGGCCCCTCGACCAGTATATCGTCCCCTGTGCCATGGCGCAGTGCGACGCCCTCGTCGTATGGCACACCCAGCCGTTCCGAAAGCCGGAATGGCGCCGCCGTGCGTGGGACGCCTGCGGGCAGTGGCATCCCTGTGCCTGTGGGTGGCCTCTCACGTTCGCAGTCACGTACGCGCCCTCCCTCGCGTCTGGCGACTGATGCGCATCCTTCGCCAGCAGGCAGCCGAGTGCCGTACGAATTCATGGAGCACGATCCTGCTGCTTCGCCCCTCTCGCGTTCCTCGTCCATGGCGCGGCGGCGCAGTTTCGGGCCGACATCTCTCCCTACGCCCTCGCGGCCTCGTGTGCCATCGTCTCGTACGGCATCGCCGACCAAGATGCGCCCCGTCTCGCCAGGGGTCGTCTCGCCGAGCAAGACACGTCCTGTCTCTCCCGGTCTGGTCTCGCCTAGCAAACGAGCGCCTGTTCCCTGGCGGTAATAGGTTCGTTCTGTTTCATAGATGTATCGTTACACGCACGACGTCGACTATATTACGGATGGGGATTCACATACATAGGGAGGATAGAAGGATCGACGCGGTGCTCGTCGTGTACATGACGGGCGCCATTGTACATCGCGTTACCCGGCGGGGGCGGCGCGTAGGGATCGTTGAGACTCACGTGCGCCTCGCGACCGTACGGCACATTGTAGGTCATAGGCGGCGAGCGTGGGCCATTCTCGGGATGGGCATACGGCTCAGCGGCCGAGCCATGCACCACCACAGAAAATCCGCTGGGCGGATTCACAGGGTACATCGACGGGGCATACCCGGCCCCTGGCTGTGTCGCATAGCCTGGCGGTACAGGGCCCATCGTTGAGGGACTCCATGCCCACGTGGTCTCAGGCTCTGGCGGCGTGGTGACGTAGTCCACGTGGCCAGCAGGGTACATGGTACGGGGGTACGACGACCGATCGTACGCATGTCGTGTATCGGTGCCTGGCGAGGGCACGACCATATGCTGTGTCGGTGACGAGAAGTGGGCACGGGAGCCAGGCGGCGAGACGTAGGCACGTGGCGAGGGCCCCAGTGAGTATGGCTGCGCCACCGTATACGGCTCTTCAGGCATCGCGGCGGCAGTCGCTGGCGGCGGGGCTGGCCCACTGGCTGGGGCCACACCTGAGCTTGCTTCTGCGTACCGTGTGCTAGATGTAGGTGGCGAGGTCGTGGCCTCTTGCGCCGACGTATGACGTGAGTGATGGTGATGATGATGGTGGTGGTGATGATGGTGATGATGTAGAGCGTCCGGTGGTTGCCATGGCTGCGTGAATGGCTCACCAGTTATAAACGGATGCTGCTTCGCTTGCTGAGGCGTCCAGCGCTCCAGCGGATTCAGGTTGAGCAGGCCTGCGACAAAGTCTGTAAACGACGCACGATTGGCCATTTCCTTCTCCATATCGGCAGAGCGACTCGTACGTCGCGAGATGGGCGTGAGTCGGATGATCTCCGGGAGTGTCGTGCCTGGAAAGTACTGCTTACTCGCTTGCTCTTGGACACGGTGCTCACGTGAGTACTGTTCCATCGACTTGAGCTGGTATGTCGTACGCCCATACGAATCCGTGTGCATATTGAAAAATTCATGGGTTTGCCGACCGCGATCCAGCATAAAGGAAGGCGGAAGACCCAGCATCGAGACGATCCGGCTTACCTGGTTGTATTCTGACGTGCCAGGGAAGATCGGCAGACCCAAAAACAGTTCCACTGCAATGCATCCCAATGACCACATGTCGATCGCGGCTGTGTAGGGCAGGCCCAGTAGCACTTCAGGCGAGCGATAAAAGCGGCTTTGGATATACGTATACACCGTCTGTTCCTCGTGGCATGCAGAGCCAAAGTCCACCAACTTGATGGACGGGGCTTGGAGCGTACGCAGCAAGATGTTCTCGGGCTTCAAGTCACAGTGAATCAACCGTGCCTTCTTCAAGACAATCAGGGCATCAAGCAGTTGCGCAATAAACACACGCACTAAGCTCGTGCTCAGCCCACGGAACGAGTTCTGCTTGATCAGCTCATACAGATTGGAGCTGAGCAACTCAAACACCAGACACAAATGCTTGTGATGGATAAACGTGTCACGAAGCCGCAAAATGTTATGGGCATCGTCTGGATCCCAATGCTGATTGAGCGTCTCAAGGATCGTGACTTCCATCATACTCTGATTAAAGTACGCAGGCTTGTTCTTGATGACCTTGACCGCTACAATTTCATGGGTCGACATGTTCTGGCACTTGACCACTTGGCCAAACGTACCTTGGCCCAACACATCAAGAATCAGGTACCGATGGCCCTCGTCACTGCCCAGATAGTCGTTCACATACAGAATGTAGTCACTGTCTTCATTGTCATGGCCATCGTTGTACATGGGCTTGCTGGGCTTCGTCAACACACGTCGTGGATTGAACGTCAGCTCATACTGGAAGGCTGGGTTCACAAGATGGTACGTATGATGCAGGTACGATGTCAACGCTTTCAGCGGGCTCACATAGCCACCCACAGGATCTGCACGTCGGTGCTGCTCAGACAATCGCTTTGTATCGACCATAGGCCGCAGATCGTCCAGAGTCTGCACCCGCCAGAACCCTTCAAACTGCGGCTGTCCAGGCCGTTTGGGCCGCGTCGTTGTCGCTGTAGGTGGCGCTGGCGTATTGGTCGATGTTGCTGCTGTAACCACATCGGACTCGGCATCGCCCTGCCCTACCTCTTGTGACACTGATACTGTATCCAGCGACAACCCACTGGACGAGCTCAGAGACGACGACGAGCGCACCGATGACAATGGTGTCACGACACCCGCCTCTCGCATGGTCCGCTCGTAATGACTTGTCTCACGCGCATCTAAGGAGGTAGGGTGGTGCCGTGTTGCAAATGCCTCTTCTGATCCACGGAACTGGGTATCCTCACTGGGGGCTTCCTCTTCACTACGCTCGGAAGCGACCGTATCATCATCCTCTTCATCACTAGTACGATCCATGTACGCATAGGTTTTGGTTCTTGTATCAGGGTCATCCCAGAGAGGGCCTCTGGATGAAACACCCCCTGTATCTCTGTCACTTCGCTCCATCAAGGCAAGGATGGGCGTCGTGGAGCGACTTCACCGTACAAATCTGTAACTGCCAAGATACCACGGTAGGGCCGTCGAGACCGCGGCCGTTGTGGCCGCTGCGTGGCCTTGGCGCGTGCTCTTGCTTATCTAAGCGCATGTAGGCCTGGCCGCCCCAACGCCCTACGTACGAATCGCTGGCTGGCCAGGCAGGCAAGCCGGCGTGTGGAGTTGTGATGACACAACAGCATCGTCATAGCCACGCGTCCTACTTTCGGCTGTCTATTTACGGCAAGACAATGTACTTATGCAGACGCTCTGGGATCGCTGTCAAGAGCGACTTGCTTTCCAGCCACGAGCGGCTGAACAGACGGGTCTGGTAGCGTGCAGCACCATCACAGAGGATGGTGACGACCTTGCTGCCCTTCCCGAGCTTCTCAGCCATGCGCTTCGCCGCCACTACATTCAGCGCCGAAGAAGCACCAATGTACAAACCTTCTTCGTCGAGCATGCGGTACACCATCTCGATGCTAGCCTCGTCCTCGATATGCAGACTGTTGTCGATCAAATGGATATCAGGGCGCAGGTTCGACGTCAGACGGCCTTGGCCAATGCCCTCGGTAATCGAGCCTGTACCAGTACGCTCCAGTCGCTCGCACTTCGACTGCACGTAGGCATGCAGCACCGAGCCAGGCGGGTCAGCTAGCCAGCACTGCACCTCACCATTCGACTGAGCCTTGAGGTAGTTGGTAATACCGGCCAACGTACCACCCGTACCAGTGGCACAAATAAAGCCATCCAGACCCGTATCCCGTGTCTGCTCCCAGATCTCCGGACCCGTCGTGAGAATGTGTGCCTCACGGTTGGCTACATTGTCGAACTGGTTCGTCCACACGGCATTGTCGAGACTCTCCGCATGGCGCTTCGCTTGGTGGTTGTAGTTTTCTGGGTTGTCAAATGGCACGGCAGGCACAGGGTACACCTCAGCGCCCAACATACGAAGCAAGTTGATCTTCTCTTCCGACTGTGTGTTGGGCATGTAGATGACACACTTGTAGCCACGAGCACGGCATACGTGGGCAAGGCCAATACCCGTGTTGCCAGCCGTGCCTTCCACGACTGTGCCACCAGGCTTGATCAGACCCTTTTTCTCTGCGTCCAGCACAATGTAAAGCGCAGCACGGTCCTTTACACTACCACCCGGCGCCATGAATTCGGCCTTGCCGTAAATGTCACAACCCGTCTCTTTGCTCAGCGAGTTAATACGGATCAACGGCGTGTTGCCGACAGCACCACAGAAGCCCGACACAGGGCCATCCAGTGCGGCACTGGCAAACGAGCGTGCAGCTACGCGCGAGGATGGCACAGCTGCAGCGCGGGTCAAGACTCGAGGCAGCGTTGTACGAAGCATGGTCGCGATGATCAAGGCCGGCTTGCTCGAGCGTGCGCCTAGGTAGATGGCATGCACGTGATTCCTCCACGGCGCAGGGGCCGCGGGCTGCATGCCATGCGAGGGCAGAATGACGTGCGCAGGAATAAGAAGCAAACGATTGAAGCTATTCTATAGCAAGCATAATCCATAGTCAGGATCTATGTACATGCTTACGCCTTCTGGGTCCACAGGTCAACGAACTCGTTCACCGACATCTTGACCAGCGAGTCGTGGTCCGTCAGCAGCGAAAGGATCTTCGACTGGCGGTTCTCATCCAGGAAGCCAGTCAGGTGCTTCTTGAGCTTGCTGGCAATCAGCGGCACGGCCTCGTCACGGCGACGGGCGTGGCCCACCGGGTAGTCAAGCGCAACCTCCTCCAGGACAGTACCGTCCTTGAGCTCCACCGAGACAGCGTTACCGATCGAGCGCTTCTCCGGCTCCATGTACTCCTTGGTGTAGCGAGGCTCCTCCTCCACCAGGGTCTTCTCACGGAGCTCATCAATGCGCGGGTCAGCAGCAAACTCATCGGTGTAGTCACTCGGCTCCAGGCTACCCTTGATCAGCGGCACAGCCACCATGTACTGAATGCAGTGGTCACGGTCAGCGTAGTTGTTCAGCTTGCCCTGCTTGCTGATGATACGGATAGCCGCCTCCTGCGTGCGGATCTTCACGCTCTTGATGTCATCGCTGGTCTTGCCCATCTCCTTGAGCTTCTGGTGCAGCTGCACAGCAGCCTCCACAGCCGTCTGCGAGTGGAACTCAGCAGGGACAAGCTTGAAGAGAACGTTCTCCATGACGTACGAGGTGTACGGGCGCTGGAACTTGAACTCCTGACCCTTGAAGAGAACATCGTAGAAGCCCCACGTCTTGGCAGTAAGCACCGAGTTGTAGCCACCCTCACCCTTCTGCACAAGCAGAGCGAGGTTCACGGCACGCGCACACGCGTCACCGGCGGCCCACGACTTACGCGAGCCAGCGTTCGGGGCGTGGCGGTAGGTACGCAGCGACTGGCCGTCCACAAACGCCTGCGAGATGGCGTCAATGGTCTGGTCGCGCGAAAGGCCGAGCATCTTCGACACAACGGCAGCGCTGGCAACCTTCACGAGAACAACGTGGTCGAGACCCACGCGGTTGAAACTGTTCTCGATGGCCATGTTGCCTTGGATTTCGTGCGCCTTGATGGCAGCCGTGAGAACCTCCTTGACGGTCAGCGGCTGCTTGCCGTTGGCGATGTTGGTGCGCGAGATCCAGTCAGCCACGGCAAGAATAGCACCGAGGTTGTCCGACGGGTGGCCCCACTCAGCCGCGAGCCAGGTGTCATTGAAGTCCAGCCAGCGGATCAAAGCACCGTTGTTGAACGCGGCACGGATCGGGTCAAGCACGTAATCGGTACCAACGACGTGCGCACCGTTCGGCACTACGGTGCCCTCAACCACAGGACCACACACCGCGCGAGCGGCCGGGAAGCGCAGTGCCTCCATAGCACAGCCCAACGAGTCCAGGAGACACAGGCGAGCCGTGTTGTAGGCAGTGTCCGAAGTGATCTCGTAGTTGTGGACGTAGTCAGCCATGTCCTGGATAACTTGATCAGGCGGGGGGCGCACGTTGTCCTCACCCTTACCAACACCAGCAGCCACAGCCATAGTACGCAGTTGAACAGAGGTCGAACGGACGGGAAGTGAGCGCGGAACCGAGGTCAAAGGCGCGCGCAGTGCACGAACAGCAGGGAGACGCAACATGGCAAGAGGCAGAACCGGGCTCGGCCGGCTTTCCTTTATGCAACACGTGATCATTGTCCGGAGACTTGCGTGAAGCACCTCATGAGTGGAGGGGCCAAGACAAGAGGTTTGGCTGTCAAGATAGGCCAAGGCCGCTGGCGCCTATAACCCCGAAACGTACCTGCTTCAGGCGTATGAGCCAATAATGTATCGATGACTCTGTTAAGGTCAATCTAATCACCGTCGTTTCTTGGGGCAGGATGATCCCTCGTTGTTTCGTTAGGCTCCGATACCTTCCGCTTTTTCGATATAGTATCACCTGTCAGTACGCTGGGCGTCAACTCAAGATCCTGCGCCTTGCTTTCACGTGCTCGTTGCTGTGCCATTTTTTTCTTGGCTCGGCGGGCGCGGTTTTTAGACGTCTTTGCTTCGTCAAGCTCTGCTTGAGCATTGCGCTTCGCATCAAAGTCAGCTTGCGCAGCTTTCTAGATAGGTAAGCAAACAAATAGGTACATACTCGATCAGCTTCATCTTGCATAGCCTGAATCCGATCAGATTCGAGACGTCTTGTCATCTTGTATACGTGAAACTCGCCACTACCCACACCAGCGCTACTGCCCTGAACATGGTCGACCATCTCTGGCGGCTCACGTACTTTGTAAGCACTGCGAGGGGGGGATGGCAGGCGCATTGCTCGTTTGGGATTTTTGAACATCTCCTCAAGCGCTTGCGCCTGCTTTTCTGCGGGTGTCAAAGTCCGTCGTTTGTGTGTGGCCCGCTGCACCTCGTCTTCCATCGTGTAATAGCGTTGCTCTGCAACTTTCTTCACTGACAAAAAATAGCATGGTGCGTCGACTCGCCTTTTCCTCCACACTCACGTGCCCTGAACGCGCGCGAGTCGTGAACAGATGGTTTGTTGCTTGTCGACCATGGTAAGTAGGAGTGAGCTGTGATCTAACCCACAGCCTTCTGCCAAGGACATCCGCGCACGAAACGAGCTTTTTGCCAAGAAAGCGCGCGAAACTCAAAATTTGCGGGGCAGCAAGGGCCCTAATAAACGTGGCCTGCTTCATACACATGAAGAGCGTCAGAAGACGTCCAAGGTGGTGCAGTACACTGCTTTGTTCTTCCTTGTTCTCCTGGGGGGTGGATGTACGTATACATGGAAACTAACAAAAAGTTGTTATGGAAATGCTGTTCCTCTTTATGCGCTCGTTGAATTATGCCTAAAGCACAGACCTCTTTTCATTCATCTACATGGGCAGTACCTGAGCGTTGTCTCGTCGCTTGGAGTTCCACGTCGATGTGGCATGTCGAATTTCATGCATAGCTGCGTTCACAGCATCCTCCATACGAACACGTCCGCTGATCAAATCTGAGAAAATATGATTCGATGAAACCGTAGTGCGTGGATGTGGGGCATTTTCTGGTAGACTGTCGTGAATGGGACGAACCCAGTTGGCTGCTGCTCCTGGATTGGGCAGTGGCCCTCGAAGAAAATCGCTAAACTTGGAAGAACTGGTTGATGAGTGTGGCTGCGTCAGTGGGGGACGCGTAGCGGATGGATGACTTTCCATAGGTGATTCATCTTGGTCAGCATCAAAGAGCATCAAGGACGAAGATCGGTCTGATTTGCGAGCACCAAGCGTACGTATATTGGGCCGCCACATCTCTTCTACCTTTTCCGTAGCGATTTTGCGTTGTGATTGGCGTGTTGATGGCTGCGGACGTTGCCGTCGTGGTAGGTCCACATCCTGCCCTCGTTGCTTGCGCTGCCATTCTAGGAGATCGTCCAACCCTGATTCGCCCATATGGCCCATAGGAATACCTTGCGACGGATGTGCTCGTTCGCCTGGGAAAAACTGCAGTGTTTCTGGTTCCACTTGCTCGACAGTCAGGTCGATCAATGGCGTATCGTCGTTGGATTTCTCCATTGGTTTCTTACTCGAGGACAATGACGGATCTGTATTATAGACATGCAAAGAGCCATCGCCTTCTCTCATAACAGAGCGAAGCGCCGCATCTGGTGGCTGCCATCGACAGCTGTCCACAGGAATATAAATCTGATCACGCATCTGTACCACATCACCGGGCCACAGTCGATTACTTCGACGGACGACATGGGCATCTGCCCCATACTTTAAAGAAATGCCTTCTAGCGTATCAGTTGGCAAAACTGTGTGCACAAGGACCTGTACAGTGATGTGGGAAGACGCATCTAAGCTTGGGGTTTCATGTATAGCATAAGCAACACTGCCCACATCAGCACTTCGCTTAGGTGCATGTGCCTGTGGTTTTGGGTGTTGTGACGACCCAGGTATATCACGAAGACCGAGCCAATTTTCCAAGCGGTCTAGTGTGGTATTGGTATAAGAGTGTTTGTGCCCTTTGGTGGTACCACCCTCAGGGCCGGTGTCGTTTGTTATGGGTATCCACGATGAGGCCGACGGCGGTGCATCATCTACAGCAAACAACTCTGATCCAGGACGAATGCTACGCTGCTTCTTCCGCTGCGTGAGCGTATTATTCGAGGCTCGTGGGAGCCATGCATCCCACGGCGCCGGTGAGCTTGTCATGGTGAGACGCGCAGAGACCGCGGTGGAGTTCACCACCCGATATGAGATCGGGCCAAAAAACACTGACACATCACACGCACGGTGCTATAATGGTTGAAAACGTTATAAAGGCCAACGCAGGCCACTATGTACGGGTCGAGTCTATGCCAAAGAAGGACTGGTAAGTGCAGTGCGACTGGATCCCGTGAGCAATTGTTCAAATAGGCCATTGGCTGACTCTTCACTTCGCATATGCAGCATGTACACAATGCCAGTGAGGCGTCCCATATCAGATAACTCCACGGCCAAACCAGTCTTGCCAACACGCTCTACTGCGTTGGGAAGCACAATCGAAGAAATCATGACCTTTTTGTCATTCTCCACGACGAGCTGGTTTGTTTTGGATGGCATGAGATGATACAGACGTAGTCGTGCCGAACCCAGGGAGCGCCATTGCGCGTAGCTTTGCTTCAAAAACACTTTGCAGCGCATCTGGGCACAGAGGTTGAAGGACTGCTTCTCATATTTGGCCGGCGCAATTTCTTGCTCTGCCTGGTCTTCTTGCATCCATTCTGTAGAGTTGCGTCGCTGCGTCTCATGTCGCATCTTTGAAGGCGGCTCAAAGGTAGGGCTGCTCGCATCACGCAGCCGTGACGTAGAGACAGAGCGAGGGATCGTTTTACCTGGTGCAGGACCCGGGCCTTGCGCTGTGTTAGGAGAAAATGTCACAGCCGTAGGTCCTGCCTGTGTTCGTGTCTGTGCCTGTGGGAGCGTAGGCGAGGATGCCTGCGATTGCGCTAGCTGTGAAAGTTGTGGCTCCGATGGACGGCGCATACCCAATGCACGCAGGCCTCCCAATGGTGCACGGATATTGAAGCCGAGCGGCCCATTCGGTGAGGATGGCGGTTGGAAACCTGCCAAGGTCTGCTCAGAGGCACTGCCAAAGGACATTGCTGACGTGGCACCGGGGCGCGGCGCCCCGACCACCCCCTTTTCATCCGGTCCCCGATTTGGCGGCATGGGCATAGAAGAATCAGGTGAATCCACACGACGTGTCATAAGGCGCGGGAAGGATTCTTGCGAGGCTAAAGAGCTGGCCCGCGTCAAATGCGCTGGTGTGATGGGTGACGATACACGACCCGAGTCTTGTTCCGCTACTGGGACCGAAGGAAGACTGTCGCTGGTCGAGGCATTCGGCACAAGCAACGGAGGCAGGCCAGCACGGATCCGTGAGTCAGACGTGGTGTTAGCAGGAGAGGCAGAGCGCCCTGGCAGCAATCGGTCTGGTGGCATCATGGGTGAAGGCGGGACACTAGGGCCCTTGTTCAGTGTACTGGGCAAAACCGCCTGACCCGAAGGCGGGCTTTGTGGACCTGGTGTGGTGCCAGGCATCGGTACCGGCACTGACGCTGCACCAAAACGGGGGGAGGTATGGGCCGGCGGCGAGGTCTGTGTCGGTCGAGGGGGACTAGCAGATAAGCTCAGCGCCGATTGGAGGGCAGCATTGACCGCCGCTGGTGGAGATTTGGGCTGTGAGCCAGTGTTTGGTGCTTGGGATGGCGGCCCTGCTTTCGGTGTCGACAAGATACCTGACATGGTTGGGGTAGGTACAGGGGCCGGCTGGGTCATACCGCCTGGCAACGGCCTGCTTTCTTTCACTGGGGAGCGCTGTTGATGTTGTCCAAAGTTTTTGCAGGCATGAAGTTCACGTAGCCATAGGGCTTTGCGCTCTGCCGTGGGCAATGTGACTAGCAAATCCACACGTTGCATAATTGAGAGGCGTAAACTTGTGGGTTGTGTCACACCCTGATCATATACATCAATAAATCGGCCCGACAAGGGTGGGAACATCAATTGAATGTCTTGAGCTGGTAGTTCCATGGCATGAGGGGCCTTGTCCTCCGCCACCAAAAGCAGATCAGTGAGCAGAATCAATCGTGCTTTCTCTATCGTACGCCCAGCACCATGTCTGGGCACCACTTGGAGACGCACGCTATCGGTGGAACGCAATTGCCGTTGAAATGGAAGCGACGGTGGCGTCATGTGCAAGCGGCAACTCTTGGGCTCCAGTGAAAATACGTCAATGGTCTTCGTTGAGTCAATTCGGTTTTGAATTTGAACCAGGTTCTGCGATTCAATGGATTGCGTGATGCTGGGACGTGTATGGCTTGGTTCCGCCTTGGGCTTTGGTGTCATGGTCGGCGAGGATGTCGACGAAGGAACAGGTACAGGCATCATCGCAGGTGGCACCAACATAGGCGACAATTTAGACGTGGAGGGGGACACGGTGATCACTTCGGGCTCCTTCGTGTCAGGCACAGGGGACTGGTTGGGTGTATTTGCTGCATCACTCTTCTGCCCCGACACGTTACGTGGCGCATCTGCGCTTGGCGCAGGCGTAGGGATAGGCCTACGTGGCTGCGAGCTCGTAGCGCTCACGCCAAAGTTCGCTGGGGTTTCGAGTAGCGGAGTGGCATTGGCCCCTGCCACAGGCCTTACGTGCATAGGGGGCTTCATCGTTACGGGAAGGGGGGAACCAAGAGCTGGCATAGCGCCAGGGGTCATCATAGGTGCTGGCGGGCGACCCGGCATGGTGGGCGAGGCCATAGGTGGAGACACAGAAGGAGCAGATACCTGTGTAGGCCCTGAGATGGCTCCCGGCGTAGGCATAGAAGGAGCTACTGGTCTTGGTCCAGATGTAAGTCCTTGCGGAGGCATAGGGACAGAAGCCGGCGGTGCAGGCCGAGGTGTCGATCCTGGCGGGGGCATAACGACAGGCCTCATCGCAGGGAACGTGGGTGTCATAACTGGGCTTGTAGCGTTGGGACGAGGCACTTCTGGGCTCTTCGTTGCACTCTCCAAAGGAACGGAAGGCGGGCGAGGCGTCTGAGCCATCATCAGAGGAGAGGTAGTAGCTGTGGGGCTCTGAGGGGTCGTGATGTGAGGAGAGGATGCAACACCCTCTTTCGCCATCGGAGAGGTCAGTGTAGGGGCGGGTATGGGCCTCGGCGACGGCACAGTGGGCGAGGCATGAGACGCCATAGCTGCCACCGAACTTGCACTTGCTGTCGTATTGGATCGCGAAATAGGCTTCTCCGTTGATATGTCTTTGGGTGCGTGATTAGGGTTTTGCTGAATGAAGGAGACAGCTTGACGCTTCGCAGCTTTGTCCACAAGAACGTCCAATTTGCGATTTGCACCGACCAGGAGTTCATGGTCTGATCGGCCAGCCTGTGTACTACGCAGCAATCGGTTGTATAACTTTTTGTAAAATCGCAAACGAATTAAGGGGAGCTCGAAAAAATCATCGAGCGTCCACTCTGGCTGTTCCACCGATTTGGGCAGCTCTGTCGAGATCTGAGCCAAAATCAAGCCCAGTTCTTTGTTATGAATAATGGGAGCCCATGAATTCAGACCGCACATATACACAGAGACATAACTTGTATATGGGGCCTGAAGTTTGTCCACCCAGTGCATCAACAAGTTGCCAAGACCCTTCGGGGAGGTAGGGTTGGGGCCGATTTCCTGCAGCGAGCGAAGAAAATCACTGTTGATGCGGTATACAACCTCAATAGCACGGAACATAGCATCTACTTCTTTGGGAGGGAAGTTGGTAATGCTCCAGGCGGCAGCCACACGCCGAACTGCAAGGCTCATTTCCTGGACGTACCTTGCTTCTGTTGCAATAAGCTCGCCAAGAGGATTCGTTCTTCGCCGTTGCAAGCCAGGCTCCCCATTCTGGGGTGACAACACCGGTGCAGCAGAGCCTTTGTTAGGCACTGCCGCATTCGGCTTATTCTCTCCAGGCCCTGCCTCTGTCATGCTCACGACCAACGAAGTGACGTGTGCACTAGGCGCGCCGTTGGTGAGAAGGGATCTCACGGTCTGTACGCGTATTGAGGGCCACGTCCAGAATTTCGCGGCTGATGGCCGCCTCCAGATTGGCTGCATTCGCATGCAAGTTGCGCGCAAACTTCCACTAAAGACCCTTTGCTGCGGCTCTATACATATCGTCTACGTAAACCTACGTGCCAAAGAAGCAGGTGCGCCATGGAGCCTATCTAGTTTACGCCCACGCATGAAATATCCCAAACGACGGCACGCGTGTCGTGAAACGCGCCTGGACCACCTACGATTGCGCACGGAGAAGAAGAAGTAGTTGCTCGGCTTCCCATGCACCCGACCAGTAGCGGACTTGGCATTGAATACCTCCTTCTTCCAGGATGCGTTTGGCCAGCCCACGGTTGCGACGCACAAATGCAATGTCGTTCGGACCCAAGCGTTTCACGGGACAGTAGTCATTTCCACCGTCACCCACATAGATAATCCTCTCGTACTTGCTTGAGGCATGGCGCTCCTTGTAAGCATCAAGCTCATCTCCTGAGAGACTGTCAGATCTGTAGATATATCTGACATACCTTTGCACATGTTGGCACTGCATCCTACGGTACAGGTATGCTGCGGGCCATCCGGGGAAATGCGGCGGCGCAAACGAAGCAAGCCATTCGGCTCCCACTGCGCTGGGTTGGTCACGATTTCCTTGAACAAGGGAGGCTCAGTTAGGCCTTTGCTCTGTCGAGTCAGTACTGTAGGCACGCGGCAGACGTACCGGCAAAATAGTGCCGATATACACCTCGTTAGAATTAGAGAGAAGAAGAAAATCAGTTCCCTTGTGCTCCTTCTGCAGCGTACGAACACCACGAAGCATACCTGGATGCTACTGTGTTAGCAGTGTACATACACACCATAGGCATCGAGCGAAGCGCGTCTTCCAAAGCCTCACGCGAGTGTCCCTCCTTATGCAGCTCCTCGAGGAGATACGCACTTGAGATAAGAAAGCAAAAACACATACCACATATCCGTAAATTGCATGGTAGGCTTCTTCTCCACGAACTCGATGCGGAGACGAGGCGAGAGCACTTCGTGAACCCAGCGATCCGTATCCTGATCGGCGAGGGACCAGTCAAAGTCAAAGACCACCAGCTGCGACGATGCCGGGGGGATCGGCGCGAAATCCAATGGCGGATCCTCCAGGACAATCGAATTTACAGCAAGATCCCGCTGGTCCACCATCGTGTATGTATCGCGAAGCGCCGTGCGTCAGGCAAGCCGTACGACACCTCGTATACCATGAATGATGACTAATCACATCTGCCGGTCTGGAGGTCGGAGCGTTGACGCATCTCGGCATTTGGGGTCGGCCGCCATGGCGCTCGACTTGGATGCCTGCATTGAGAAGTTGCTTAACAAGCAGCTCCTAATCGATACACTATTGAAGGAAATATGCGAGAAGACTAAGGAGCTGTTGATGAACGAGAGCAATGTCGTGCACATTAGCTCACCAGTGACAGTTGTTGGTGACATCCATGGGTATGTGCGCTCGCCTTTTTTTGTGCGGTTAACGCCAGTCAATTTTACGATCTTCTAGAGATCTTTAAGATCGGTGGCGATGTACCTATGACAAACTACCTGTTCTTAGGTACGTGAACGGCTCTACTCATCCTAGGCGACTATGTGGACCGTGGCTTATTTTCCGTCGAAACCATTTCTTTATTGACGTGCCTGAAACTGCGGTATCCTAACCGCGTACAACTTGTGCGTGGGAACCACGAGAGCCGTGCTGTGACACAGGTATGTATTGTACATGGCTCACGCATCAGACCTATGGGTTTTATGCGGAATGCGCTCGAAAGTATCCCGACTCAAATGTCTGGCAATACTTTACTGACATGTTTGACTTTCTTACTCTTTCGGTTGTCATTGATGATGAGATTTTCTGTGTACATGGTGGCCTTTCTCCTTCTGTTCACTATATTGACCAAATCAAGATCCTTGATAGGTTCCGTGAGATCCCTCATGAAGGCCCCATGGCCGACTTAGTATGGTCCGATCCTGACCCTGACAAAGAAGAATTTGCGATTTCACCACGCGGTGCCGGCTATACATTTGGTTCTTCAGTGGTCCGTCATTTCCTTGAATCGAACAAGATGTCCCATATCTTGCGTGCACACCAGCTGTGCATGGAAGGCTATAATGTGCTCTACGACAACCAGCTGAGTACAGTTTGGTCCGCACCGAACTACTGCTATCGCTGTGGTAACCTCGCATCCATCTTGGAGGTTAGCCCCGATGGTACACGTCACTTTAATACGTTCGAAGCGGCACCAGAGAACGAACACGATGGCCCCTTGCAGGCGGCCCACGCACGAAATGAAACCATTGAATACTTCCTATGATACCCTTTCTTCTATGTATTGCATGGCACATACCATATCATCCTTAGCAGCTTGAATCCATGCCTCTGTCGTTGACGGAACAGGCTGTGTCTTCATCCATGATGGCCGCTCTCTTTCCGGCCATGTCTGCTTTGCTTGCTCAGCAATGCAGGCTTCCATGCGTTCGCTGGCAAAGACCAAATCGTCTTTGGCTGGCTCATCACCTAGGGACAACGTGGTATTTCGCAGCGCTGCAAGGCGTTTCCACAAATAAGAATGTGTCCATGCATCTGGTTTCTTTCCCCACGTAGCATAAAGTTGCAATATATACCATGCGCCTGCAAAATCGTTGGTCGTGAGCATGGCTTCCAGGCCCTGATTTAGCATATGAGTCCCCTTGGAGGCAAGCCATTTGTCTTTGAAACGTTGCTGGCGTGGCGAACCTGTTTTATTTACAAGTTGCAGTGCTTTGCATAAAATCTGGCGTGGTGTTGCTAATCCCGCTAATACCGGCTCGTCACTGTCCCACAACCTGCAAGGATTAGGACGAAGATCGCTGCGATCCAGATGTTTCTGCGCCGTTGCTGCACATAGTGCGAAAAGAACAGGTATGGTGGAAATGTGCACACGCATGCCGTGCTGCATGGTTGTTGCTACCTCGCTAGGCGTATGCACACGTCGCACCACAAACGCAGGGCCACTTTCGAGGGTGAGTGCTTCTTGTACAAAAGCTGTCGCTCGTTCTACTCGTCCACACCCAATTTCAAAGCTGGCAAGGAAATTCAGCATAGAAACACCTGGTATAATTTGATCTTGCCTGACCAACTCGAGAATTTGATAAATCGCAGCCGTTTTGTACGGCGAGGCAACTTCGGAAGCCTGCGCACGAAGAATTTCTGCTTCCACAGGGCTTACACCGGCAAACAGTTTACGAATCCCTGATGTAGAAGACAGGGCATGCATGAGTGTAAGATAGGGTGATGCGCTGGCCACAGGTCGGGGTATTTTGTGTAGGTCTAAAGTCGTTGCGGGTATAGAAGTGATCATGCGATATTGTTCGAGCCATATTCGGGCTGTAGTGATATCGCCAGCGATGCACCGCGATCGAATAAGGGCGTTCCACACATCAGTATAACTCGCCCATGAGAAATGCCATGGAACATCCACAGGATAAAGTGGCCGCTTCGTATAACGCCGTAGCCATTCCATATACTGCGGTCGATTTGTCATAGAGAGACTTCGTGCCGTCACAGAGCTGCCATGATGCAAGGAATAGTGCCGTAAGAACTGCTCCCCCATTTCCGGCCTACCAGCGCGACCATATGCGATGATTAAGGCGGATAGGACGCTAGCAGCATCGTCCGGCGGCTCACGTACCTGAAAGTCGCGAGCAATCACTTCAAGCAATTGCAACAGAGGCCGCCCTTGCAGATGTTGTGATAGGGTTGAGATAATGCTGCTTAGAATGGTACACGCAAGATCCATGTTATTCGTCGAACAGTGATCATACAAAGTGGCTAAACCCAAGGCTGGGTGATTTGCCTTCGACGTCTGCGATAAGGACATACGGCTAAGGCCATAAACGCCATGCCGAAGTGCTTGCAAAAATACAGGATCGTTTGAGTCACATACTCCTTCTCTGGGAGCTTCTGTTAAATGGCATAGCAATCGCGTAGTGCTTCGGACCTGCTGTGCGCGAAGACATTCCCTAACTGCGCGATCGAGAAGTTGAACAGTATGAGGGGTTCGCTCATTCTGCTGGACAAACCAAGCCAGGTGTGCAGTACAATGAAGAACATTGGATATGTCCCATGATCGATATCCACACGTAGCTATACTTTGCATACGTCTTGCCCATCCATGGCGTGGGAACGCCACCATGCATACACGCTCGCGTTGGTCCTAGCGTTGTGTCATGCCTTTGCAGTAGCGGTGGAGGTCCCTCTCCATCTCAGCACGTGATCCGAAAAAAGTCTCTTGCGGTGCTGCAGGCTTACCACCTCTCGCTGCGCGCACGATGGCGAAGGAGATCGACTTTTTGGCGTCAGATGACGAATTCGACGCTGTGCCTGCGCGTACAGTGCCTGTGAAAACAGGATTCACTGCTGATTTGGAGGATGATGCTGACAATGATGCAGCTTTCATCGCTGCAGCAGCGCAAAAGCACAATGTCAAGGCTGGCACACAAGTAGCTAAGCAAGCCAGCAAGGCCAAAAGCAAGGCCAAAGTGGCGAGTGGTATTGTGAGCGGTGGTGGTAGTTTCCAAAGTATGGGTCTGCACCCATCACTTCTTCGTTCCCTTTTGCTACGTGGCTTTACGACCCCCACACCTATCCAGCGACGAGCCATTCCTGCGATTCTTGCACAGCCGCCACAAGATGTGGTAGCGATGGCTCGTACTGGTTCCGGTAAAACGCTTTCCTACATTGTCCCGCTCATCCAGCGATTGAATGGCCGCCACTCTACCTCGTTCGGTATTAAGTCTATCATTCTGTGTCCCTCGCGTGAGTTGGCCTTGCAGATTCTGAAAGTCGGTAAAGATTTAGCGCGTGGATGGCGGTCGGACGATGATGCACGTGGCGAAGCTATTCGTTGGGCGCTTATTGTTGGTGGTGAAGGACTTGACGAGCAGTTCGCCATAATGACATCCAACCCGGACGTGGTGATTGCGACGCCTGGTCGTTTGCTGCACTTGGTGGTCGAGATGAATCTTGATCTGAAATCTGTGGACTATGTGGTGTTTGACGAGGCAGACCGTCTCTTTGAGATGGGCTTTGCTGACCAGTTGGAAGAGTTACTTCGCCGCTTGCCATCGACGCGCCAGACTCTGCTTTTTAGTGCTACCCTGCCCAAATCGCTGGTGGAATTTGCCCGAGCAGGTTTAGAAACGAATCCTAAGCTGATTCGTTTGGATGCTGATCAAAAAATCAGTCCTGATTTACGCATGGCTTTCTTCAGCGTGAAGCCCGCGGAAAAGGAAGCTGCGTTGCTGTACCTCTTGCGCGAGGTCATTCGTGTGCCTACAGGTGAGCACGCTGAAGAGGATGAAGATTCTGGCTCATCTAAGAAACGCAAGCGTCTTAATCCCGTGGATCAGCTACGACCATACCAGACGATCATTTTCTGTGCGACAAAGCATCATGTTGAATACTTGCTCCTCCTTTTAACCACCATGGGCTATGCTTGCTCACACATTTACTCGTCCCTTGATCAAGCCGCCCGTTCTATCCAGATGAATCGGTTCCGTGCTGGTCGGACTTCTTTGTTGATTGTAACGGACTTGGCTGCCCGCGGTATTGACTTGCCTGTGCTGGAGCATGTGGTCAACTATGACTTCCCGCCACAAGCCCGTATATTTGTGCATCGAGTCGGTCGTACCGCCCGTGCAGGACGTCGTGGTTGGGCTTGGAGTCTATGTACGCATACGGAGCTGCCATACTTGTGTGACTTGCAATTGTTCCTTGCGCGCCCTCTTGTCTCCTCCCATACGATTCAGCAGACGGAGCCGTATGATCTTCATTCATCGATGGTGCTTGGCACGTTTCCGCGTGAGGCGCTGGATGAAGGTAGTGAGACCATTCGACATGCTATGCAAGAATCGTCTGCTACTGCGACAGCCTATGAAGGCCTCGTGGGCGTTGTAAAGCGTGCGCATACAATGTACATGCGTTCGCAGCCAAAAGCCAGCTCGGAAAGCTATCGTCGTACGAAAGACATGCTCAAGGCAGCTGAACGAAGTGCGATGACAGGCACCACAGGCACAGGTTGGGCACTGGCAGGGCACCCACTTGAGACGGCGGGTGTGCATGATGTGCTGCAGCGCCCTGATGTATACCAACTAGCGTCAGCCGATGATGTGAAGCGGGCCCGTACACATGCCGATCCCCTGGCGGGTGCACGCGCTGCCTTGCTGGCCAAGGTGAATGCGTTCCGGCCTGGAGAGACAGTGTTTGAGATGGGCGCTCGTGGCCAACAAATGCCCCTGGCTCGTTTGATGCAAGATCGTCGACGTACATTGGATTCGAAGCAGCAGCGCGCTCGTGCTATTGAGCTGGCCAAGGCTGGGGCTCCTACGGAGGCAGGAGATATATCGATCACGGATGATATGCCGTCTCAGCCTGGTGTGGTGAGTGAGGCGGCGGACGAAGACGATATTGCCTCTGTATTTGATACAGGTAAGAGCTTCCGTGATCCTAGTGTGTATATGGACTATGAACAGCGCGGTGCGGCTGAGGAGCGTGGCTACTCCCTCGGTACATCGTTTGCTGAGCAAGCTAAGCATGTCGCCGTGGATATGGGTGGCGATGACATCGGTCCTGGTCATGCGAACCAACGACCAAATCAGCGTCGCTGGGATACCAAGAAGAAGAAATTCGTCATGGGCGATGGCACTGGATCTGACAACCAAAAGCTTATTCGCACTGAGACAGGACTCAAGTTGCCTGCCAGTTTCCGTTCTGGCCGCTTTGATGAATGGCGCAAGACACAGAAAGTGGAGCTTCCTCATGTGGGTGAAGATGAGAGTGCGATGCCTGCCTCGGCACGTCGTATGGTGGCGAATGTGCAGCAAGGCGGTGGTCCCCGCCGTCGTGGCTTTTTCCACACGCAAACCAAGGCGCCCAAGCCATTGGATAAGCTACAATATGACTACAAGAAGAAGAAACAGGCGCGCGAGCGTAAGGGAGGTAAGGGTATGGCCCAAGCCAAGAATGAGCTCAAGAGCGCTCGTCAAATCCAGCGCGAGCGTGAGACAAAAGAAAAGCGTCGCGCAAAGAATGCTCGTCCTACCAAGCGACGTCGCTAAACTGTGGCGTGCTGTACTGCCGCTTGTATATAGGCTTCCATGTTCGATAGCCATGCCATGGCATCTTCCTCCGTGGCTACGCTCGCAGGGCAGCGGAGTGACAACGAGAGGCTTTCGTCTTGATCAATATACGCATCCACGGCAATCATAGATGTCGCGTAGCAGGCTGCCTCTGGCCATGCCGATAGGTTGCTATGCTCCAAGATACGCTTCGGTGCGCGTAGACGAGAGTCTGACAGCAAAGGCACAGGAGACCATGTGGCTTGAGCGGCGTCTTGTGTCGCACTCGCATCATTCCACAGCACATTCACGCACGTGTTGAACCGGGGGGCTGTGTCCCAGTCCAAGGCGGCATGAAGCGCAGGGAGCGACACATGTTCGTACGGAGCACTTTGTTGCAAATGGTGAGCAACGGCCTGCGCCATAGTGTGCCACGGCGCTTCTTCGACACATATTGGCAGCATATTGAGGGTAGGCATCACACGCTCGCCCACATGGTCAATGGGTAGAGTTCGAGCTGCACGGTAAACGCCAAAGAGCACGTTGGATTGATGTAATGTGGATTGCAATACGTGCGCCCAGGCCGCCAGCAGAAGCGACGGCCATGTGGCATGATGCTGCGCCACATAGCGGCGCGCCGAAGTGACTTTTGTCAATACACGTTTCCGCTGTACAAACGTATACGTTGCACAGGTCGTTGCAGTTGCGCCCAGCAAACAAGATGGCACATTAGTCATGACGCCCCACACAGACTGAAGATCAGCAGGAGAAGGCGCAGGCAATGCCAACAACGGCGTGATACCAGGCACACTGCGTGGCGAAACGCCACGGTACAGCGCATCTAGATCCTGGAGGAGCAATGGAAGCATCCATCCATCGTAAACGGCGTGGAACAACGTAAGAATCAGCACACTGGTATGGTCTTCGAGCTGCACCAAATCTGCCGATGTCCATGGCGTATGAGCATCCTGCACGGTTCCACGTTGCGCGACAATGGCTTCGATATCGGCCATTGAAGACGCCTGTGTCACCCGCAATGGTGTAGTATGAGACTCCACCACTTGCACTAACGTCTCATGGAATCCAAACCACGTCCGAAGAATCTCGTGACGCTGCTGCAGCTGCGTCCATGCCTCAGCCAGGCGATCTGCTTCCCTATGCTTTGTTTGGTATACCAGCGAGAAGAGACCGGAATGGAAGTGGGATTGCACTAGCATGGCCACGTGCATGGCTTGGCCAGCCGCCACAGGCCGAACTGCCTCCCATGTCGCACTGGATACCTGCCATGCATCAGTCAGAGGCGCCATGGCGAGACTCGTCTCGTTCTGAGGTATCGCTGTGGATAGTGTCCCTTGACTGCGCGCATACCATGCGGCCGCCGCCGCAGCGGGCGTTCCGCCGGCCAGGTCGCTTACTTGCAACGACATGTGTCGTGCGCGCGCTTGCGCCAGTACATGGATCGCGGCAATAGAGTCCAGACCCAAGGCCAGCAAAGGCGTGTCAGACTCCACCGTGTCCAAAGGCACCTGGGCTACATCGGCAATAAGTTGGCGAAGTTGGTCCACCATGCTCGTCGGCACTGGATGATGCGTGATGGACATTGGCGCAGATATGTTCTCGTAGAAACTCTCCGGCAAGGCGCGCATCGACGCTGGCGCATCGACCATCTCTTGAAGAATAGTAGCAAAACGTTGCAGATGCGCCTGCAACTGCGCCTCATCAGCCCAGGCCCGCCGCGCTGTAGCGACTAGGCAAAGCGTGTCTTTTTGAATGACCTCGACATTCAGTGCATACTGCACACCATCCTCCTCGTCCAGTGGCACAGGATGGATATGTTGCCATGGCGTTGTGTCTTCGTGACGCTGCACGTCAAGTAGCGCATCAATGAGAGGGGCCGGCGACGTGTGTGTACTTTGATGCTGCGTTGCAATCGTTCGTAGAGGTGCATGTCGATGTGGCCGACTAGCATCAATAGCACGTTGTAAAGCGATCCATTGTTGGGCAATGGACGTACGCGTTAGGCAGATCCGGGTGGGAACTGTATTTAGCATGGGCCCAAGGACATCGGCTGTATCTGGGCCCTCGCTACGCAAGCTCAACACTTGTCCAAAACATACGTCAGCAGATCCCATGCATTCAGCTAGCAGGTATGCAAAAGCGAGCGTCACCATGGTATGCATAGAAATACTGTGCGCACGAGCCACCTGCTGCAAACTAGCCAGCGGCATGTTTGTATGGAAGTCAGCCGTGCACGCGAGAGGCGGGCATCCCATCGGTGCCAGCGGTCGTGGTATGTATCCATGTAGCGTATCGAGCCAGTAAGGAACATGTGAAGCGCCAGTACACAGGCGTGGAAGGGCCTGAGACCACGGCGGGCGTGCACGCACCGTGCGGCCTTGTAGCGCCTGATCCCAATCATCCCATAGCTCACCGATAGTATGTGCATCGTACAACGCATGGTGCATTGATAGCACGGCGTAGGTGCCTGTAGATGTCGCTGTCATATGCAAAGCATGTGGCTGCGTATCATACTGACATGCCGCTCGCGCGGTCGCACACAGTACTGCCGACGGCGTAGTAGGAGGGTGAATCCGTGTCAGAGAAGAAGGCCACGTATCTGCAACATGCTGGACCCATGGCATCGAGTCGTCAGACGTCGAAATAAAGGTCGTACGCAGCATAGAGTGCTGCGCTACCAAGGCTAGCCATGCGCGCTCCACCACATCCGGTGCTGCATCGATGTGCATAGCATGTAAGTGCACATACAGGGCATTGTGCGAAGCGACGGTATGCGCCAGCATACCTGCTTGCAATGGCGTACAAGGCCAAGTTCCAGGCGGCAAAAGCGAGGCGTGCTGACGACACAGCGCCTGGTATGCCTCTTCGTCAGCTTGTTCGTCGGGAGAGCCTCGCTCCAAAGCCAACGCCAGGCGTTCTGGCGTCGCATGAGTTAGCAGTGTACTGGCCGTCGTCTGGATTCCATGCTCTCGTAGTACGCGAATCAGACGCAACGCAGAGAGCGAGTCAATGCCGAGAGCGTACATTGACGCAGTGGGATCCAGCTCAGTAGCGGGCATACCGCAAAAGTCGGCCAAGATCTTGATCAAGCGCTGCATCATGGGCGACATCTTGGCAGGCCGAAGGGAGCGAGTACGCAATGCGTGTAAGTCCATGGTCATGTAGGCCTCCGTTAATCGTTTGGTATCCACCTTGTTGTTAGGCGTCAAGGGCATAGCGCCCTGTAGTACAAAGACGTAGGTAGGTACCATGTATGGCGCAAGGTGATGTCGTGCATAAGCCAAGCAATGGTGCGTCAACAACGTCGCATCCTCATCATCGCGGCAAGAGACGTCCCCTTGCCTACCCATTGGCGCGGTGGAAAGGGCAAGGAAGGCCACGAGTTGCTTAGACGCATGCGAGGGATGCTGCAGGTACAACACACTCGCATCTACGACCCTCATGTCTTTCCAGGATGGACTCTGCGTCAAAGCATGTGCAATTTCGTCCAGCTCAACACGTTGACCATTCACTTTGACTTGGCCTCGTGCAATGCGGCCTAAGCACTCGACACGGCCATCTAGCAGCAAACGTCCCCGATCGCCTGTGCGGTATACACGCTGTCCGTTGGGTAGCATAGGGAACGCTGAGGCCGTCAATTCGGGAGCATGGACGTAGCCATCGCCGACTTGGGGTCCTCCCACCACGATTTCACCGACAGTGCCCGTATATGCCAAACGATCGCCTTGGTAAATGTACAAGGTAGTCGCTGGATAGACACTGCCTACCACCGAGCGCCGAGTGGTCGCATCCATCTTACCCAACGTATTTCCAATGGTGCCCTCCGTCGGACCGTAGGCGTTGATAAGCATATGAGGCGGAGACCCCCATGTTTTCACTACACGTTCATCCAACATATCGCCGCCACTCATGAGCCATTCCATGGGGCCCACATTCGCAGGGTGAACGAGCGCCGCGAGAGCGGCAGGTAAATCTGCGATGGTGATACGCAGTTGACGGAATGCCAGTTCCAAGTCGGTGAGCAACATTTCTTTGGGCGCGGTCGCTACCGCAAAGCCCAAACTCCACGGAAGGCATACTTCAAAGAGCGACACGTCAAAGCCTGGCGAGGCCAACTGCAAAATGCGCGATGTAGGTTGGTAAGGCAACATACGTTTCCATGATTGAATAGCCGCCGCCAGAGCTCTATGCGAGATTTGCACACCTTTTGGACGACCAGTGGACCCGGATGTGAACAGAATGTAGGCTGGCACATCCAAGCGAGGCGTTGGCCAAGGTGACATTGTTGTCGTAGCACGCAACGCATCCATATCCACACACGCACAAGGCGCAGCAAGACCTGTATCAGATACCAGCAATCCATCGCCAACGGTCTCCATCATGTATTGCAGACGTTCCGCAGGCAATGTAGGATCGAGAGGTACATACGTTTTGTGCAATTTCCACGTAGCCAGCAACACCACATACAGCTCGATGCCTCGTGGCAAATGGACATATACAGCTTGGCCATCGTACATTTGGAGATGTGATGCGTACAACGAGGAGCGTCGATCAAGCTCCGCATATGATAGCGTCTCTTCCTTCAGAGGATCAAGGCATGTAGCAAACGTCAGCGCATCCGCCTCGGGATGGGAATGTACATGCGAGAGGAAGAGATGCAAGAACGACTCAGACTCAGCCGGTTCTAGCGGTGTGGGATGAACACAAGCGCCAAGATGAGGCGCCTGCGCCTCGCCCAGAGCTTGGCGTAGCACATCCTCGTACTGCTGAAGGAAAAGAAGTGCATGTGCCTCACTCATTCGATCTGGTCCGTACGTCAATGCGCAAGCGACATGCTCTTTTTCACATGACACTTGCAATGCGAGAGGGAAGTCGGACGCCATAGTACTTTCCATCGACGCAATCCCTCGAGGGCAGCGTACGTCGCCTGCGGGTAAGTACGAGAATAACACATCCAGCACACTTGATTCCAGATGTAGTCGATGAGCGACCTCACTCAGACGGACAAAGGGGTACGACAGCATCGATGTGAGTTGGTCATGGACCTGAGCATATGAATGGTTATGCCATCGGAAGGGCAAGGTCGTAATGCAGGGCCCATGAGCCGTCTCATGAGCCGTCTTTGTCATACGTCCACTTTGTACGACACCCAAAGTCACATCGTCTTCACCAACGTACTGCGAGAACAGGAAAGCAAAAGCATGCAACATCAAAGCTTGCATTGTAATACGTTGGTCCTGGGCCAACATTTGCAACGCATGGACGGGTAGCGTCATCGTGTAAGAAACCTCGCAACTCGGCTTTTTCGCAGCATGTTGGCCTGTTACGACAGGCATGGGCGTTCGTACCATCCCCTCCAAAATCGAGGTATAGTGCGCCGTGCTTTCCTCAAGCGTAGATGAGGCAGTGTATACGACATCGGCCCATGTATCTGGCTGCAGATCACCATCTACAGCTGCACATAAAAGGCTGAACGAAGTAGCATCATATACAGCATGATGCATACTAATGCAAAGTACGTCATCAAAGAGAGTCAAACGTACTAAAGGCATCGTCTCGTGGCATTGCAGGATATCGTCAGACACCTTGGCCGCTTCTTCTTCACTCCATGGCGCTAGTACTCGTTTCTCAATCGCAGGTAGGGTCGGTAAGATTTGTTGTACCAGTGAACCGTCCTTGTCCAACGTGAACACTGTGCGGTATATACTAAAGTGAGCCATAGCCTCTCGCCACGACAAAAGAGTCTTCCATCGCGTCTCTTCATCGTGAGGCATTGTAGTATCGCAATCGAGAGTCATTCGTACATGGTTCATGTACCAGCGCTGTGATGGCTCTGCAAGAGTGAGAGACAATGTAGCCACTTGAAGCGGAAGGCAGGGCCATGTGGAAGACGTAGAGGTGGCCGTACCCTGGCGCTCTTTCGATGTCGTAGCCGCTTGAACCAGCCCCGCGATGGTAGGGTAGGTCATAATGGCTGCCAAGGGCACAGAGAGCCCTTTGTCCTGCAGGGCACGCGCGAGACGGACCGCTTTAAGACTGTCCAGACCCACACCAAACAGGTCTGTGTGCACACCAACGTGCACATTCGGCAACACCGTCGCAAGGGCCATAGCTGCTGCCTTCTCCGCTTCCGTGGATGGCTCGTCATCGCCGGCGTCGTCCAGCGTTATCGATGCGTAGATCTGCTCCAGAGCTCGGCGATCCAGCTTGCCACTTACACGCGCCAAGGGAAGATAGGTCAAAGGCACTAGCATGCTTGGCACCATGTACGAGCTTAGCTTGGCACGTAGTGTCGTCTTCATACCGTCCAGATCCATCTCGATCCGCTCCGGCGGGACCGTGTCCACTCGGGCTGAGTCTGCCAGAAAGGCCACAAGATGTGGCTCTGGCCATTGTGCATGTGACAGAAGCAATGTGGCTGCGTGAGCAGCGCCTGCATCGCGAAGTGCAGCATCCACATCGCCTAATTCCACACGTGCTCCTCGTACTTTGACTTGCGTGTGTCCCATACGTCCCAAGTACTCGATTGATCCGTCAGGGCGCATACGTACACGGTCGCCTGTAGCGTATGCTGGCTGTCCATCCATATCGAAAAAGGCCTCCGATTCCTTTTGCCAGTATCCAGCTCCAACATGCGTGCCGAGAATGATCAACTCACCTTCTTCGCCTCGCAATGTCAAGCGGCCTTGGGAGCGCACAGCAAATTGGTTACCCGCAAAAGCATAGCCAAGGTCAGAGGCCAACGTTGTAGGGTGAACACGTGTACAAGAGATGCCGATGGTAGCTTCTGTAGGGCCATATGCATTGAGCAGTGGTACCTTGTCACTCCAAAGCTGGATAATATCATCGGTCATTTTTTCGCCACCTACAATTAGGGCACGAATTGTAGGCAGATCCTGTGGTGTGACGCGACGCCCTTGCGTGTAGAACAGGGATGGAACAACGCAGGCATGAGTAATCTTAGCATCCGCCATGGCTAAACCTAAATCCTGCATTAAGTCCACGCGAGGCATCGTAACAATGGTCGCGCCAGTTTGAAGTGCCAGGAAACATTCGAGAATGTGTACGTCAAATGCTTCAGCAGATCGTGCGAGCATGCGAGCGCCGTGCCATGATCCTGGAGCAGCCTTCTCAAAGACCTCGCGGAAATTGTCGATCGCGTAAGCTAAGTTGGCATGCGTGATGACGCAGCCTTTTGGTTCGCCTGTCGACCCTGACGTGTAAAGCAGATAGGCAGGGGTCGTCAGCGAGACGGGGCGAGAGCCCGGCGCATGCAGGTAAAACAATGTAGGCGCATGCGTCACAACCTCATCAGGCCACGAGGTGGGGGTGTCCGTAAGAACACATGCCGCTTTGCTGGCTTGGACCAATTGGAGCTTGCGCGCAGGTGGCAAAGACTCGTCCAGGGGCAAGTATAGCAGGCCGGCACGTAACACAGCGGCCAGACAGATGTACGTATCGACACTGCGAGAGAGCGATACGCCCACGACACTGCCCTCTTTGTAGAGCTCCACAAGTGCGCCAGCCAAAGCAGAGCTCTTGGTATACAGGTCGGCGTATGTAAGGGTTTGAATGGTGGTAGCCGGGACACCATACCGCATTTCCACAGCCACCGAGGAGCTTGCTTGATACGCTTCGACCCAGTGTGCTACGTTCCAGTACGTAGGCACGGTGGGTGGTTGCCAAGGCGCCATACTAGTCAGGTTGGACGGCATTGGCAAGGCTAGACATGGCTGCTTCACATCCTTTGCAACAGCTTGCCAAAGAGCATCAACTTGATCAAGGAGCAAAGCTGCATAGGAAGGGGAGATGGTAGCCTTGTCGGCATTAAGAATCCACGTAACGCTACCATCAAGCTCAATCCGCACTTCCAGCGCCGTGGCGTGCTCGACACACAACCCCACATCTGTGGCATGTTGCCATGCTACCACTCGTTCTTCCGCAGGGTCGTCCGCCATTTCAAGCACCACTACACTGTCGAAAAGTGGCTCATTGTATGCACACGAAAGACATGTGCGTATATATGACAGCGGGATGGAAGCATGCGACTGCATTTGGACCTGTGTTTGATGCAGACTTTGGACCATGTCGGCCATGGACATGGTGCTCTGGAACACCACGGGCGTGGGAATGGTAGCCAGGCTGGGTCCACCAACGTCAATAGCCAGTCCACGAAGCGCACTTACGTCGCCCAGTAACACGGCGTCTGTATGCAGGTACGCACACAAAATGCGTGCCCATACAGCATGTACCAGAGGGCGCACGGCGGTTCCGAGGGATTGCGCTAGAGCTTCCCATGCATCCCATGGCATCGAAGCGCGACGCGCTGTGCTAGTCAGCCCATGCTCTGTGGCCTTGGCTTCAAGGAGTCGAGGGAAGGGGACACGCTCCTGCGGAAAGGCTTGCAAAAGCTCTGACCAAGCTTGCATGGACGCAGCCTCCTCTTTAGTGGTGGGTATGAAGTCTTGAAGTGCCTCTTGCCATGACCCGCGCACATGAATCGTACATGATAATGTCAATACCGTATCGAGACGCTGCAACAACATGTACAATGTAGGTGCATCGTACAAGGCATGATGCAAGGCCCAAACGAAGGATCCGTCTTCCAGCCATGCTACCCACCATGGAGGTCGACCATTGGCAGCAGGTGGCGTATGAGCCCGAAGTGCAGGCACAAGATCGCCATGAAGGGGGACGACTTGCACACGCGGCTCGGCGTGCACCACAGTGACATAGGTCGGTGCGTACGGTGATGTGGAGGTGGAGGTGACAGGCACGAAGCCTAGACGCAGGCAATCAAATTCGCACGCGACATGCTGCAACGCCGCTTGAAGTTGATCGAGGGTGATGGGTGCATGGGTGCGCAAGTGGCGATAGAGCCAATACTGAGTGGCGTCCATGTCTGTTTCTAGTAGCATGCCTTGTTGCAGCGACGTGGTGGGCCATATCGAAACAGTGTCCTGGATCGTCGTACGGACCTGATCTGCGTACGTGGAGGCCAACGAGGCACATACATCGTGCCAGTGGGCAGACCGATCGACCTTGTCGGTTGTCGTGTACTGCTCGACGAGCTTAGCCAGTGTATCGTACTGCATCAGATCGGCCGCACTAATAGGCCAGCCGTCCTCGACAAGAGCCGCCGACATGGCCATAGCCCGTACGGAATTGAGGCCGAGCATCGGCAATGAGACCCTGGGCGCGATTTCTTCCGGAGCGACGTGGCATAGTGATACAAGATGCGCCTGCACGGCTTTGGCTAGAGGATGAGATAGGATATCTGCGGTGTTGGCTGATGTGCTGTCCTGTGGATCCTGTGCGAGTTTGGCCTCCCACGCCCTCAGATCCAAGGCATCGTACGCTGCTTTGACAGCGCGTCGATCAATTTTCGCGCTGGACGTACGTGGAAACGAGGACAAGATAACAAAATGGAAGGGGACCATGTACGAAGGCAACAAGGCCTGTGTGCCTGTACGCAGCGTACGTGCTAGTGCTACGGCGTCTTCGTCTTCACGCACAAGCGGGACATTGTCGAGCGGCGCGACGGCGAAGGCCACGATGCGGGGAGGTTCATCAGGCTGTGGTGCCGGCATCGCCACGGTATCGGCATCCCATACTTGATCCGAGACAGACTTGACAGCCGCATTGATTTCCAGCAGCTCAATGCGCACACCGTTGATCTTTACTTGATCGTCGTTGCGGCCCAAGTACTCAAACTGACCATCCCACAATTGCCGTGCCAAGTCGCCCGTATGGTACAAGCGGCCGAGGGTGGGGTGCATCACGAACTTCTCGGCGGTCTTCGCTGGATCGCCAATGTATCCGCGCGCCAGCTGAGGACCGCCTAGCAGCAATTCGCCAATCGCCCCGCGAGGCACAATGTTGTAATGCTCATCCATGATGACGCACAACGCATCATCAAAAGCGACGCCGATATTGTGAGATTTAACCTGATCGTTGGGAGGTAGCTCTCGCATCGTAAGAGACAGAGTCGCCTCGGCAGGGCCGTAAATATTCACAAGACGGCAGTCTCGTGTCCAATTGTCGGCCACAACCTGCGAGAGCTTCTCACCGCCATTGATTACCAGGCGCATGGACGGAATAGCGTCACGCGGGACCATAGCTGAGACGGCCGGCGTAAACAAAGTATGCGTGACTTGCAATGCATTCGACACGTCAATGAGGCGTGTAAGCAGCAAGTCTAATGGCGCAAAACACACGGTACCGCCATGGCCCCATGCGTAAAAGATATCGAAGATCGACAAGTCAAAGACGTACGCGGCAAACTGCAGATACCGAAGGGAGCCTGGCAAGAGCGGCTCGATCACGGTCGGCACGGCGTGTTGCAGGGCCCGCATGCCTTGTACAGCGGCCGTATGTTCGATGCCCACGGCTTTCGGCAGGCCTGTGGTGCCACTTGTCCAGATTTTGTAGGCCAAATGCTGCGGCGAGGCTCGTTGCGGTGAACGACGTGGCGGAGCGCAGGTAGGCATAGGCGCATCCAGACGTGCGATACGAATTGAGGCGGGACAGATAGCTTCGACGGCTGCCGCCTCTGCACCGCATGTGAGCACAACACGAGCCTCAGACTTGGTCAGCAAGGCTGCTTGCCGTGAGGAGGGCCATCCTGGATCGATCGGGCACCATGTAGCGCCGGCCTTGAGGATGCCGAGGATGGCTGCATACATCTCATGCGATTTTGCCAGGCACAATGCGACGATTTCGTCGTTGGTATCATCATGATGAGCATATCCTATCCCGAGGGACCACAACAAGCGCGCAATAGCATCAGAGCGTTGATCCAGCTCCCGGTACGTCCATGACGTAAAGCGCAAAGGCTGCAGACTCTCGCAACAGACCAAAGCCTCGGTATCAGGCAAGTCCTGTGCACGTCGTCGAAACTGATCTTCCAGACGTTCATGGGCAGGTCCATGAGGCATATCGTTCGTAAGCACGGTGGGATGAGGATTCGCGAGACTTTGCAGCGACACGGGCAACGTCATAGGATCGCGGTCATGCACGATCGCGTCCAGCACGGCGAGGACTTGTTGCAGCTGTGTCATGGCTGAGCCATGCACATGAATGGAAGGAGAGGCTAGAAGTGTCAATGTATCGCCAGTGTCGGACGTATGAGCCACCAGGGCCAATGTGATGGTAGGATGTTCGTTCACATGCGCAGTGAGCCACGCATTGACGTCGTGCGCTGGCATGCTCAGTGCGTCGAAGAAGCATACAGGTCCCCAGACACCGCGAGTAGGCGTATGTACGCAGGCCTGTACATGGCGAAGAAGATGGGCGAGGGAGTGTGCGTCGCACAACGACGCACCGAAACGCACGGTATGAGACGAAGACGGAGAAACGACGTCGATGTCAGCGTAGTCGCATTCGTGTCGAAGGTACATATACACGATCACAGCCCACGCCGCTTGAAGGGGGATCGAGCGGTCTGTTCCGTACTTCTGCGCTAGGGCATCAAGAGAGAGGGACGGTGAGAGGGTGATCGATGCACGTCCCAACGCACCAAGAGCGTCCTGCATGAACGCATCACGCAGCGGCGCGCGGAGCCGAAGCCCTGTCACGTCAGGGAAGGGAGTACGGTCCATGGCAAACGGCCCGTTGGTATAGAGAAGAAGACACACCCCCCTTTTTCTTCGTCCAGGGTGGGACGCTCTGCCAGGGACCACGGTGCGAAGCGCTCAGACCCCTTTTATCGATGGGATCGGCCGAGTTGGAAACGAGACGCGATGGCACGATGTAAACTTGATCTAATCTGATTAACCCGAGGCCAATCATACGGACAGATGGACAAGTCCTCGGTTGTGGAGCATGAAAAATGCGGCAAATTGCACAGCGGTCGACGACGTCCACCGACGAGGTTCGCACAGAAGCAGCGTGCCAGAGGAAGAAGGGCTTGCATACCGTTACGACTCGATGCCGGATTCACCGGATGAGGTTGAGGTCACGGCTGCTGCCTCCTGTATGCGGTGGAGAGAGCGCCTGAAAGCAATATGCCCTTCCATGAGCTACATCCGGCTCTTCCAAGGCCTCGCGTACACGGAGCTTCTTGTGCTGCTCATCGGGATCGTTGCCTCGCTGGCAGCGGGTGTGCCGTTACCGCTTATTGGCGTCTTGTTTGGACAGATGGTCAACGGCTTCAATACCCAGGCGTGCGCGAATCACGGTCTGACGACGCCCGATGCCCCGTCGAAAGCGGCGTTCTTGGACGACGTGAGTGATCACGTCGTGAAAATCGTCATTGTAGCCGCTGTCAATTTTGCGCTGATCTGGATCTACGCAAGCTGCTGGTCATTCCTGGGCGAGCGCATTGCGCGACGCTTGCGTCAGTGCTACGTACGTGCACTGCTGTCGAAAGACATGGCGTACTTTGACACACTGCCGCCTGGCGAAATTAGTACGCGGCTAAGTGAGAACCTAATTCTCGTCCAAAATGGTACAAGTGAGAAGATGGGCATCTTCTTGTCGTCTCTATCGTACTTTATTACGAGCTACGTGATCTCCTTCTACCTTCTCCCAGCGCTGGCCGGCCAACTGGTCTCGCTCATCCCGGCGTTTCTGATTGTGTCCATGGCTGGCGCGCACTTTGTCGGGAAGTACTCGTCGCGCATGTCGTCGCATCTAGGTGATGCATCCAGCATCGCCTCGGAATCGCTGACCAACCTGCGTGCTGTGCAGGCATTTGAGATGCAGCGGCCCTTGGCCAAGCTGTTCAATATGCACTTGCACTTGGTCCGCCGCACCGGCCTGTTTCGGGCACTCTCTGCTGCGACCATGCTGGGCTGCCTATTTTTCGTGGCGTACTCGGCGAATGCCCTTGCCTTTTACTCGGGCAGTCGCATGGTCACAGAGCGCATGGATGGCGAGGGCGGGGCATCGGATACGGTCGGATCGGTGTACACTGTGATTTTCCTGCTGCTCGATGCCTCGTTTGTCGTGGGCCAAATTGCACCGTACATGCAGTCGTTTTCCGCTGCAGGCGGAGCTGGCTCGCAATTGCTCGAGACTGTCCAGCAAACATCGCCGATCGATCCCTTTTCGGGAGACGGCCTGCGTCCGTGCGATTCTGATGCGCCGCTAGGCTTTCGACTTCGTGGCGTCAGCCTGGCGTACCCTGCACGCCCCAACGCACGTGTGCTGGACCACTTGGACTTGGACCTGGAGCCGGGGCAGCGCATTGGCCTGTGTGGGTTCAGTGGAAGTGGCAAGAGTACGGTGGTATCGCTGCTGCTTCGCCTGTATGAGCCGAGCGAAGGCAGTGTCACGTTGTTCGATGGAACGTCGCTGCGTGACGTGTCCGTAAGCTGGCTTCGTGCGCAGGTCGGGCTGGTCGGCCAAGAGCCTGTGTTGTTCGACTGCACGGTCCTTGAGAGCATTGCCCATGGCTTGCTTGGCAGTCCCGCGCATGCCCATTTGCATGAAGCCCTTCGTTGGCTGTCGCGGTACTCGTTTGATCATACGACAATGCCAGCTACGTGGCACGCCGAGGCCCCGAGCGAGATCCACGAAGCGCTGACCGACGTGCAAAAAGCGTGTGAAGAAGCAGCGCACATGGCCTACGCCCACGACTTTATTGCGGCGCTACCGCAGGGCTACTTGACCCGCGTAGGCGACGCTGGCCGGTCGTTGTCAGGGGGCCAGAAGCAGCGTATTGCCCTGGCCCGTGCCATTGTGAAAAAGCCCCGCGTCCTGATCCTTGACGAGGCGACCGCCGCGCTGGACTCGCAGAGCGAAAAGGTGGTGCAGGCAGCCTTTGATCGCGTCTCGGAAGGCCGTACGACGATTGCTATTGCACATCGTTTGTCGACGATCAAGAACTACGATAAGATCGTGGTCATGGCGCATGGCCAAGTCATGGAGCAGGGCACACATGACGAGCTCATGGAGGCGAAGAGCCACTATGCGCGCTTGGTCTATGCACAGACCGACTCCACGCCAGACGACTCGCCGTCGTTGCCAGCCGTGGAGCCGTCCAAGGCGCCGACGTCGATGAATGAGGAAGAGCCTATGCATGGCATGTCTATGCCGATGCCCGCACAGCCGGTGGTCGCACCGACGACTATAACCGACGTGGAGCACGCTCATGCAGTTACGCCGAGAAAGCATGCGAACGTATCGTACACACGCTCGCTTCTGCGTCTTATGCGCTGGGCATTGGTCAAGTGGCCGTATGCGTTGCTGGGCCTGGCGGCGTCGGCCATCATTGGCGGTGCGTACTCGGGCGAGGCGGTGCTGTTCGGCCATGTGATTGAGGCGCTGAATCCGTGCAAGACACCGAGCCGCATTGAGCAGCAGTCCGACATGTTTGCGCTGTTCTTCTTTGTGCTTGCGCTGATTGAGTTGGCATCGTACTTTGTGAGTGGCGCGTCGTTTGGGTTCGTTTCGGAATGGCTGCTCTTGCGTATTCGTAAATTGGTGTTCCAGGTCTTGGTCTCGCAGCCACTGGCATGGTACGAGTCGGAAAAGACTACGCCTTCGGTGATGATTGCCAACCTCAGTGCAGATACGAGCAACCTTGGCGGGCTCACAGGCACGGTGATTGGCACGATTTTCAGTATCTTGGTCAACTTTGTGGCGGGCATCACCTTGGCACACATTGTAGCGTGGCGTATTGCTGTGGTGATTCTGTCCATGGTACCCATTTTGATTTTGGCCGGGTACATGCGCCTTAAAGTGATTGCTGATTTTCAAAAGCGGCATGAGACCGCGTACGCACGATCGACGTCGGTCGCTGTCGAAGCTGCGTCGTCGATGCGGACCATCGCAGCGCTCAGTCGTGAGCGCGATGTGCTGCAGCTTTTTGAGTACAGCTTGGAGAAACCGTATCGCGAAAGCTTGGGGCATTTGGTGCTGGGCAATTTGTTCTTAGCCATTTCCCTGAGCATTTCGTACTTTATTTACGGCTTTGCGTACTGGTGGGGCTCGAAGAACGTGGCGGAGGAACGATACTCGCAAGTCGCCTTCTTCACAGTGCTCCCTGCTCTGCTGTTCTCTGCACAGTCCTCCGGGCAGCTGCTAGCCTTTGCGCCGGACTTTACCAAGGCCCAAGTATCGGCCTCCAACATTTTCTCGCTCCTGGACCGAGCGCACACCAAGGTGGATGCCCGCATACGCCGCGCTCGTCCAGCGCGTACGTACGACGAAGAGGCCAAAGCGACGACCATGCCTCTGGGCGACGGCGGGCCCCTTTCCGTGTCGTTTGAGCATGTCAGCTTTACCTACCCTGGCCGCGATATACCCGCACTTCAAGACATTCATCTGGACATCCCGGCTGGATGCTTTGCCGCATTCATTGGCGCGAGTGGGTCTGGCAAATCCACGGCCATGAGCCTTATTGAAAACTTTTACGCCCCGACGCAGGGCGTCGTGCGTGTGAATGGATGCAGCACAACCTCGACACCTACGCATGTACTGCGCGAACACATGGCCATCGTGCCGCAGGAAGCTATGCTCTTTCGTGGCAGCATTCAATTCAACGTCGCCTTGGGTCTGCTCGATCCACTGAGTGTGCCTGCTGTGGCCGAGGAGACACAACCTGGCGCATTCACCGAGAAACCAAGCGAAACCGCAGATGGGCGTATCACCGAGGCATGTGAGGCTGCGCACTTGCACACCGCCATCCAAGCGATGCCCGATGGCTATCGTACCGACATTGGCGCGAGTGGCAGTCAGCTCAGTGGAGGGCAGAAACAGCGGTTGGCCATCGCGCGTGCGCTGATTCGCAGGCCGCATTTGCTTCTGCTGGACGAGTCCACGTCGGCGATGGATGCATCAAGTGAGCAGGCTTTCCAGGATACGCTGAATGCATTGTACCAGTCGCGTCAATGTACGATCATTGCCATTGCCCATCGCATGCGCACGATTCGGTCGGCCGACATGATTTTCCTCTTTGATCAGGGACGTGTCATCGCTCGAGGGACGCACAATGAGCTCCTAGCTGCGTCGCCACAGTACCAGGCCATGATTGCACATCAGTCTCTTGACTCGTAGTAGTATTATCTATGTAACGATCTTCGTACTATTACGCGCTGTCGTCCCTGAGGTACAGCTGGTAGATGGGGTTGTCGGTTTCTTCGTGGTATGCATACCCCAAGTCGTGGAGGAACTGATCAAAGCGGGCCTCTGTGTCAGGCGGTACCTGAATACCAGCCAAGACACGGGCGATATCAGCGCCTTCCTGGCGGTAGTGGAAAAGCGAAATGTTCCACCCGGCATCAATACCGACAAGGAAATGCTGCAGCGCACCAGGACGCTCAGGGAAGCGGAAGCGGAACAAGCGCTCATGCGGCACCGCTTCCCGACCGCCGATCATGTAACGGCCATGTGCCTTGACAAACTCATTGTCGCTAATATCCACAGCCTTCATGCCGGCCATGTTCAGGTTTCTAATAATGCCTTGGAGCTCCAAGTCACGCAGCGACATGCCATTCTTCGGCAAAGACTCGACGCTAGCCATCAGCGGGTTCTCATCGGAGGTCGGAACGGTACCATTCAGGACGAACGAGGTGAAAATATGCGCATACTTCGAGCCACTGAAACGGTACGAAAACTCAGTCACATCACGAGGCACAATGTGCTCACTCAGCTTCAAGAAACTGCCCGGCTCATCAGGGATGGTCACAGAGAGGATCGCCTCCCGCTTCTCACCCAGCTCCGCACGCTCAGATACAAAGCGCAAGCGGTTAAAGTTCATGTTGGCACCGCTCACCACCGCGACGAAACGACGGCCAGCGACATCGCCTCCATTCTCAGCAATGTACCGCTTCGTACCAGCCACAGCCAACGCACCTGCCGGCTCCGTAATCGCTCGCGTATCTTCAAATACGTCCTTAATCGCTGCACAGATCTCATCGTTCGATACACGCACAATGCCATCCACATTGCTGTTGCAAATACGGAAGCATTCGTCGCCTACCAAGCGCACGGCTGTGCCGTCACTGAACAGACCCACTTCGTTCAGTTCAACACGCTCACCATGCTCCAAACTCTGCGCAAGAGCATCGGCGTCAAACGTTTCCACACCGAATACCTTGACATGCGGCGGCGCAATGCGCTTGATGTAGGCGGCCACACCACTCAGCAGCCCACCGCCGCCGACGGCGCAGAACACAGCGTCGACCTTCTCCATATCGGTCTGGTTGCAAATCTCCACGGCCGTCGTACCTTGCCCAGCAATAACTTGGGGATGGTCAAACGGAGGAATCATCGTAAGACCATACAGTTTAGCGAGACGCTGCGACTCCTTTTTCGCCTCGTCAAAGTTGGCACCGTGGAAAACAACCTTCGCACCCAGACGCTGCACATTCTCCCACTTGATGCTTGGCGTCCCACGCGGCATGACAATGGTGCATGGAATCGACAAGTGCGCACCGGCTAGCGCCACGCCCTGGGCATGGTTCCCTGCACTACACGCAATGACACCCTTCCACTTGAGTGACTCATCCATCTGGCGCATCATATTGTACGCACCACGAAGCTTAAAACTAAATACAGGCTGCAGATCTTCACGCTTAAGAAGAATCTCGCATCCCAATCGCGAAGAGAGGCGCGTCGCAGTTTGCAAAGAGGTCTCACGCACTAAATCGTACAAATGCGCACCCAAGATCATACGCAAATAATCGGGCGTACCATCGCTTTGACGATGGTACGCCGGCAAGATCTCATACAGAGCCTCTGACTCTTCGCTCACAGGCGAGGAGGTAGGTGTATGCAAATAGAGCGACGGCGCAGAGGCAGTCTCGCTACTCATGGTGGCCGTCGTGCAAGAGGACGTCTCCGCTGTAACAGTGGAGCTCGCATTGTGCATGTTCATGGGCCACGTGACAGCAACGAAGAGAGAAAAAAAGGCGCTGGCCCTGCGCCTCCACCCGAATCGCCATCACGCTACGCATCCTGTGACAGATGGGAAAGCGCGGTGGTCATCGGACGCAGAGGCCTGGGCGCACATCCGTTACGCCCGTTGATGTGCACCGTGTACGTGACGTCCCGTTCAGACGCAATGGGCGTGGGCGTGTGGCGTGTGAAAAACAATCCAATGCGGATATGTTGCAGCTGGATCTCGTACAGGATGAGAGTGCGACAGAGATGCTGGATGAAGAGCAACAGGCCAGTCGCGATGCACGTGCTCGACTCTCAAAGCTGACAGAAAAGGACAACAGTGTGAAAACGTTTATGAAAGAGTTGCGGAAGGTGCTCGAGCACGCCGACGTGCTCCTGGAAGTATTGGATGTGCGTGATCCGCTGGGCTGTCGTGCCTATGCCATCGAACAGGAGGCACTGCGACTGGGGAAGCGTGTCGTTTTGATTTTGAACAAGATTGACTTGGTACCTGCTGCCAATACGAAGGCATGGCTAGACTACCTTCGTCATGAATTCCCCACGCTGCCCTTCAAGGCGTCGACGCAGCAACAGCGCCACAACTTGGGTCAGAATCAGACCATGGCATGGAAGAAAAATGCTGGAGGCACAGACCAAGAGCTGGCCAGTGGTGCAGAGGCAGTGGGCACACGTGCTATCTTGCAACTTATCAAGAACTACTCGCGCAATCTCAACTTGAAGTCCAGTATCACCGTGGGCACGATCGGCGCACCGAATGTCGGGAAGAGTAGCTTGATCAACTCGCTCAAGCGTTCACGTGTATGTGGTGTAGCCTCCACGCCTGGTCATACCAAGGTGGTGCAAGGCATTATGCTTGACCGGCATGTCCGACTTTTGGACAGTCCCGGTATTGTGTTTACCGATACCAATGCGCCGCCCGGTGCGACGCCCGCTGAGATTGAAGCGGCTGCGCAAGCCGCCATGCTACGGAATGTGTTGAAAGTGGAACTGGTCGAGGATCCTGTAGAGCCTGTGCAAGCGATCCTCAACCGCATTGACCCCAAGTACCTGGCAGACGTGTACAACATACCCGAACTTCCGAGCCGCGATGCCCAGGACTTTTTGCTGCGTGTAGCCTATCAGAAAGGGCGACTGACGCGTGGTGCCGTGCCTGATTTGGATGGGACAGCGCGTTCAGTGTTGCATGATTGGAACACTGGTAAAATCAAGTACCATACCGAACCCCCTGCGAAGCACCCTGCGTTGGTACGGCCTACCAAGTCGGCATCAACTACATCGCAGACTCCAGCTGCTCGTGTGGATGATGGCAGTGCCGCTGTGCTCACCTCCTTCAGTGATACGTTTGACTTGGCGGGTCTGTTGGGCGAAGCGGATGCAGAGGCATTAGGCGGTGATGGCCGGTTCTCCCCGCCGCCTGTGGAACCGCCCACGACGCAGGTCGACGAAGGGGCTATGGACGACGTGACCGACTCGACCCTCGGCAAACGGGAGCGTGAAATGAGTGACTCGGACGAGGAAGATGAAGAGGATGAGTGGACACGTGGGCGTACCGCGGCACGTACGTGGAATGTCCTCCCCGTCGAAGGCGAGAGTGAGCCAGACGATGAAGAGCCGGTCCAAGCGCCGCCGACGAAAAAGGCACACAAGGAGAAACCCATGTTCACTCCGACAGAGTTGGAGAGCATGGCGCCCTCCCGTGGCAAAGAACGACGCAAGGCGCGTAAGGACAAGAAGCGGAAGCAAGGTGCTATGCTTACAGAGGCCATGGACACGTTTATGGATTTGGACGCGGCGCATGAAGACCCACCTTCCCGTCCTACAGGCGGTGCTTTTGCAGCGCTGTCGCAGCCGGAGGGAGAAGACGAGGAAGAAGAATGGTAACATAGAGTAGCATGAGAATACAACTATGGCGATGTACATAACTTTTTCGCTGTGGCAGACTGCTCGGCAGCCGACGAAGAGGATTTGCGCTTCGCCGAGGCTTGGCTTTCCCTTTCCTCTTTGGTCGCAGCGCCTGTCAGCTTGGCATAGATGGCACGCAGTTTTTCAGGCTTGACCTTCTTCGGCCAGAAGAACGAGGAAAAGGCCCAGAGATGCTCGTACCATTTTTGTTGGCGCGCTTTCGGGAGGTCCGCAAAGCGCGTTGCAATCACATGATCGATATGTGTGCCGATGGCCGAGAGACACTCTTTGAGCGTCGCAATCTTGCGATCGCGGTCCAGACGCTCTGTGTCGTCCTTGAGTGTCTTGAGTTGGCGCTTGCAAGGCCGCATGATTTCTTTGCACTCCAGCTCGTCCATGCTCGCGTAGCCATCGTCATCCGACTCGTCCGACGAGTACTGCGCTGCGTGGCGCTTGCTTTTGTCGGAGCGCGTATGCGTGGAAGAAGAGGCGGAAGACGTCCGGGCCTTCTTTTTCGGTTTTTCTTTCTCATCGTCTTTGCCGTTCATCGCATCATGCAGCACTTTGAGAAGGTAGTCACCACGACGGACCAAATGGATGGCATTGGGGATCGGACGAGACTTGCCAGCCCCCGCCTTGGCCTTGGTGGCCTCGTCTTTCGCTGCATCGTCGTCGTCTTTCCCATCGGTGGCACGCTTGCCTTCTTCCAGGAAGAAATGGTGATCCAGCCCAAGATCTTTATCCGCCTCAATCTGCTCCCAGGACCCAAAGCCGTGCCGCCAAATGCCAATGAGCAACATCGAGTCTTCCTTGTGGCCCCATTCGCAGTGCCAATTGAGAGTGCTCTTCAAGTGGTCCACAGGGATCCGCCATTGCAGCGGATCGGGCGCGGCTTCCAGAACCTCGGCCAGGAGATGCAAGTCGTAATGGCGCATGAGCAATGTCTCCGCGTTAATATTCGCAATCCCACGGTAGTTGATCAGCACAGCACGCTGACGCAGCGCGGACGAAATTTCTTCGCCACGCTCTTGCTTGCCACGCAAGAACGCTTGGTGCTCTGCAACCTTTTCTTCGGCCAGCTCGACCAGGTCCTTGGACGCTTGCATAAGCACCGACCGATTCTTGTCTTGCAGCTTGCCTTCAGCCACAATCACATCGTATCGGTATCGCAAGTCACCCCAGCGCTGAATGCCTCGCAAAAGCACACGCACATCACGTTCCTTCAACTCCAACGATCGCTGCCCGGACGTCTTGCGCGTAGCCTTGCTTTTAGGCTTCACATCGGCCTCCTGTTCTTCCGCGGCGGCATGAGCCACAGCTTCGCTGGAGGCCACAGCAGCACGGCGGCGTGAGCTGGCAGCCATCGCATTTTCGACGGCACGTTGTCGCTCCTCTTCTTCGGCCTTGATCCGATCTTCCACAGGAATGATATCGTCCCAACTCACGTCGTCCGCCTTAAAGTCTTGGACCTGTGCAAATTGCTGCAAGAACGCTTGGCCACCGGACGACGCTGTATTGCCATCCGCCTCGGTATCACGTGCTTCGGCGTGCTGCAGGATTTCGTCAAGGTCCATTTCGTCAAGCTTCTTTTGCTGGCCGTCTTCGTCGCCTTTGAAGATGCTTTGCGCGCCAAACTTGAGGATCGCACCAAGTTCTTCACGGCTGAAGTTTTGCGTGGACTTGTTCAGGGATTTCGGGGCAAAGTTCGTACCTGACGTGTCCATTTGATTGATGATGGCATACTCCAGCACCATCTTTTGCTTGGCACGTTCCAGCACATCCTCTTCCACCGTGCCCTTGGTCAAGAAACGGAACACGCTCACGTGGAACTTGGAGTTCAGTCGATGCGCACGCGACATGGCCTGTAAGTCGTTTTGTGGGTTCCAGTCGCTGTCAAAGATAATGACCGTATCGGCTGTTTCCAGATTGATACCCAAGCCACCAGCACGGGTCGAGAGAAGGAAACAAAAGTCCGGCGAATTAGGGGCATTGAAATGCTCAATCGCACGCTTGCGTGTCTCAGAGGATACGGTGCCATCCAGACGTTGGTGGACGTAGCCACGCAGCGAGAGATAGTCGGAGAGGATATCAAGCATGCGTACCATCTGACTAAAGATCAAGACACGATGCCCGTCCTTCTTGAGACGTGCCAAGAGCTTGTCAAGCAGCACCATCTTACCGCTGTGCATAATGAGGCCACGCAGCGTATCTTCGCGCGAGTCGGTGGGCGTCTCGATACCGTCAAAGAGATAGGGATGATTCGACGCCTTTTTCAGCTCAATCGCAATGTTCAGCAGCGAGAACTGCGTCGCACTGCTGCCGCTGAGAAGCGAGTAGTTGCGTGTAAGAATCGCTTTGTACATGCGCTGCTGCATAGCCGACATTTCCACACGCAGAATCTGCTCCGACTTCGTAGGCAGTTCCTTAACGACATCGCGCTTGAGACGACGAAGCATGACATTTTCCAAGCGTTCATGCAATTCTTGGATCTTGGCCTGGTCAACATTGGCAATATCAAAGTCCGTCTCCAAGTCAAATTGGTCCGGACGCAGAAAATGAAGGAGCGCACTGAGCTCCTTAACATTGTTTTGCAGCGGAGTGCCGGTAATCAGCAGCTTGCCGGCACACGAGAACGAGTTCAGCGCCTCATACAGCTGCGACTCAGCATTTTTCAAACGGTGCGCCTCGTCCACAGCCAGGTACTGCCACTTGATCGACTGCAACTCGGCGCGATCCTTCAGAATGAATTCGTACGTCGTGAGCAGCACATTTAGCCGCATTTTGCGTGGCGGGCCAAATTCGTACGCACGAATCATGTCGCGCGACTGCGAGTTGCCCGTGTACGCCACCACATTCATATCAGGCGCCCAGTGCTCAAACTGCACCAGCCATGCAGGCAGCGTCGACAGCGGTACGACGACCAAAAAGGGACCGTACTGGTAGCACGAGTGGAAGAGGTACGACAAGAACGCCACCGTTTGCACTGTCTTACCGAGACCCATCTCGTCGGCGAGAATGCCGTTTTCATTCTTGCTCCATAGGTACGCCAGCCAGTTGAGACCCGTCATTTGGAAGTCTTTAAGCGTGCCATGCGCGCCGATATACTTGGGCTGCTCAGTCATCCGCACATACTCTGGCCTACCACGCGAGAACGTCTCACTGCGAGCCGGCACTGTGACAGAGGTTGCGCGGGCAAGGTATGCATCAATTTGGTTGCGAGCCATTGGAGCAATTTCATCCTCGGACTCCCACCAGCATTTGTCATAGCCAAGTCCCTTAAATTTGCACAGGTATTCAGTATGGGTATACGGCACCTCCTTGGTCGCCGGGCTATCGCGCTGCGCAATGACACGCTCCACGGTTCGATAGGTCTCGAGAAGCTCACGTTGGCGCTCGCGCTGAATTTGCAGCGTTTCGAGGTCTTCTCGCGTAGCCTCTGGATCAGTGGCAATCGCATGCATCGGCTGCCACACAGACTTGATATAGTTTGTGACGCGTTTAAACCCTGGGAAGCGCTGAAGGAAGTCGTACAGTTCGTGCGTATCGTGCAAATGAGAGTAGCCCCGCCATTTGATCACGAAACGCATGTTTTCGGTAGGGATATCTTCGGGATCATCCAAGTGTGCTTCATCACGTTCATGGCCAAAGACGCCCTCAATCTGATCGACTTCTTCGGCAGGCTCTGCATAACTCACAGGCACTTCGTCCGCGTGATCCTCAAAAGGATCATCGTCATCGAGATCTGCGTAGTCGTCGGTATAGTTGGTCACCTTGGTCGCGCGACTGGACATGCGCACAGCAGGGCCCCATTCTGATTCTTTCGCCGGTGCACGCGTGCGAGAACGACGACGACCACCAAAGTCCTCGTCGTCATCATCGTCATCATCGTCGTCGTCCTCCTCTTCATCCTCGTCCTCCTCTTGGGGGACATTGTCGTCTTCATCGTCGTCGCTTATATCGTCCGTGACATACTGTGGTAAGTAGCGCATATGCGTACCGATCGTCGCGCAGGCGCACGCCCCTGTTAATTAGATGACGGAACGAAATGTATACATACCGAACGCCGAAGACCATACAAGTCTGGATTCGCTTCCGCTTCGAGAATTTCCTGGCGGAACGCGCGTCCCACACGCGATGTACCCTCAGGGGTAGCGCGAGCGGAATGTGAAGTCACCGCGGTCGCCATAGGCTCAGACGCCGTGCCTACGTCTGTCGGGATGACATCGACGTGCATGGCGTCCGCCGTGGGCGGCGCTACGGATGGTGTGCCCCCCTCGAGTGGTTCTTTGATATTAGCTAGAAGGCCAGTGACGACATACCTGACATGCACACACACACACACACACGACTAGGGCGTTGTCGTAGCAAGGAAGCCGAAAAAAACCACTCGCCGCGGCGAGGTACGAAGGCGCGCTGCGAACCACGTGCTGCCTCGATGGCTGACTGGCTCGTCTACCACAGCACCAAGCGTGGGCTGATAGTGATAGGAGCAAGGGAACACTGTACGATCTATGGGACAGCAGCCTAGGCTATAGGTAACAAGAGACGGTCGAGATACTCCAGATGCATGCTATGTAAACAGAAGCGCTACAGCGACGGAGCCAAGGCCGAGGACCCTTGAGGACCAGCAAGCTGGCTGGCTGGGTAGGCTCCCATAGGAGTGGGTGGAGAAGACCTAATAGGTACAAATGTAGGTGTGTCCCCAACAACCATGCATCGCCCCGTGGGATAGGAGGGGCGTGCGCTCCGACATTCTTGCCATAATCCTCGCCTGCAATGGTATGTATGCTGCATCGATCCGCTAATAACAGTCCAATACGCTACGACCGTATCTGGAGTGCGTGCGCTCGACACTCACTGCGGCATTAACGCTAGAGAACTTCGGCTCCCAGGTCGTGGAGCGACACAATATCCCCGAAGTGGAAGCACAAACGACGCCGGAGGTTATTATGACGCCGCTAACAGTGAGCCGCAACGAGCATGAACATGTACTTATCGAGTCTTCGGTGAACAGTGTACGACTGAGTATCAAGATCAAGCAAGCTGATGAGATCGAGCATGTGCTCTCTCACAAGTTTACGCGGTTCTTGATGCAGCGCGCTGATAACTTTGTCATTTTACGGCGTAAGCCTCTTCCAGGCTACGATATTTCGTTCCTGATCTCGAACGTGCATACAGAATCAATGTTGAAACACAAATTGGTCGACTTCATCATCCAGTTTATGGAGGAAGTCGATAAGGAAATCAGCGAGATGAAATTGAACCTCAACGCGCGTGCGCGTATCGTCGCAGAGTCGTACCTCGGCGCGGTATGTATCGGAATGTACTCATACAGGCTCAGTTTTGAAATGTACTATGGATCATGTCATAGGGTATATATTAGTATGTACGCATTCGCTTCATGGAACGCGTTGGCGATGTATGTGCCCGCTTAAACGTCGCCCCGGTCATGCGTGGGTATATAGAAGCTGCGTCATCGCCATCACCGTACGAACGCTCAGAGGGTAAGTGGGTCCATGGTGCATCCGGGGCATCCACAAGCATCCATTCGCGTGTGGTTTGTGGAGTAAAAGGGGCACAGGGGATGGTGGACGGAAGACTCAATGGCACATCCCACGGATCACGAGACGTGGTCTGTGCTGAGGTTGCTAGAGCGTCTTTGGAAGGTAGACATGCATCGCGCCTGTGCCATGGCGAAGGCAAGTGCGAAGGCGTAGGAGGTACACCCTGGTAATGCAAAAGCGGCTTCGCCCAGGATGATACAACGGCCGACGTCTGTGCTTGCGCCCGGAGCCACGCTACCAATTTCGTCGAGTCCATGTGAGCCATCACATATGTTGTCACAGGTAGAACCCATGCATGAGAAGGCTCTTGTACAAGATGCGTTAGAATTGTGGGCCAAGCAGAATGCGTCAAAGACGTACTGTGCAGCAAGCACAGTGTGCCAGCATAGCGTACAAGCGCAGGCGTAGCGCTAGACCACGCCTGAGCAAATCGTTCCAAGACACGCAGAGCGTAAGCAGAATGGCGGGGCCATGTAGAGGAGGGCACGGCAGATTCATTCGTAAACGCTGCATGAACCAAGCGCGCTAGCGCATGAATCGCTTGGGTCTGTGCATGACCATGCTGTGCATCCAAGGCATGCACCCAAGCCTCTAATGCCCATCGCTGTGCTGCCTCCCAAAGGGAGGGAGGCGCATCCCACTGAAGCAACACATCCATCGGGGACCCACCTAGTTCTGCTGGCATTTCCAAGCACGTCGCAAAGAACGACGAGGGCCATGCTTCTGTATCCCATTGTAAACGCCATGGCAAAAGGGATAAGGCCCCATGCGATGCTGACTGCAAGTCCCATACGACCTCCGGCTCGAGCCATGCCACCAAGCGCGTCCACTTTTGCATACGTGTGTCAGCAGGCCACGTGCGGACTTGCGACCATACCACATCGGGGTGCGCAAGCCACTGGGCAAACCAGGTGCGTGTATGTGGCTGTACAGCCATCACAAGCTCATCATGAGCTGGCACATCACATGCATCCATAGCTGAAAGCAGCGGAAGTAGGCCATCTCGCAACGGTAAGCGTTGCTGCTGCATATGCAAAGCAAACCATGTGGCTTCACCCAGTGTCGGCATGGAGCATACATGACCTGCCTGCGATGTCGTAGCGGCAATCGCATACACGAGCTCTCTGCAAGCAGGCCATCCATGATGGGTACGTGGTGCGGTAGCAATAAAGGGTGCCAATACATCCTGGAGCAGAGTCGAGGCATCGACTAGGCCAAATGTGACAAGGTGCACAACCAGGGCGGTCCATGTAAGCGCCCCCGTACTAGGCCCATCCCAAACGGTGCGAATACATGTATGGATCACAGTATCTAGCTTGATACCCGCTGTGCCGGCCAGCGTGGCAAGACATGTGACCAGCGTCATGGGCACCACCATGTCCGTGCTGGTCAGCGCTGTGAATGCAGCGCGCACCAGCAACGTCGTCGCTTGTTCTAGGGAGTACGCGGATATCAATGGCAAGCACAAGTCGTCTGCAGGCCATGGATCATGCAAGAGGGTATAGACAATGCGTGTCGCCTCATCTGTCGCGCATGATGGGACGGACACATCGGCCATGGGCATAGGCGCATAAGTCGCTACAGGTACGTCGAGCGCGCCCAAGGCAGTGAGTGCCGTGCGTGCCATCGGAACGACCATGCCCCGACCGACCAGCGGAAGGACGCGAGGAGCGCCCGGGAGGACAGAGGCTTCACCAAAGGCGTACGGTGCAAGACGCTCGGCCATGAGAATGGCCATATCCAGGGCGTCCCATACGCGGGCATACGTAGCCACAATATGACACACAGGCACGAGGCAGGCTAAGTCGTGGCCATCAAGCAGCGCACAGACCATCCGACCAAGTGTGTCCATGGCGTGCATGGACGTGAGCAGGGTAGCAACCAAGACAAAGCGATCAGCAGGCATGGTAGGTACTTCATGCAGCAGCATGGGCGTGATACGCTCGACCAAGCGCGCCTGAATGTAAGGTGAAGCCGCCCATACATGGGGTGCGCGTGTAGGCCATTGCAGCGTATCAGCCATGTGAAATGTTGCCGTCGAGGTAGGCGCTGTGACGGCCGGTGTGCTTCGCGGGCTCGCTAGAGCAATCGGAGACGAGGGCAGTGGTGACGACGGCGCGGCGCTGGGCGTGGCGGGGGCAGAGAGGGTGGATGGATCATCGGTGGCCCATTCTAGCACGCGTTTCAGTTCACGCAACGCCCGACGCTCTGTGGCTTCTTCGTACGATTCCGAGGTCCGTGCGCCATAAATGGCAAAGCGACGCTGCTGTTGCATGTTGACAGAGACGGGTGGCACAGGCATGCTGCGCAGTAAACGCATGTGGATGTGGGTCGTATGCCGCTGTGTCCGTGTGTCACCACTCGCACGGATCCAGCCACGAGCCATGAGCCGCTGCAAAAAGTAGGGATAGCTCAGCACACCATCCCGGGCGAACAAACCGAAAAGACGAGCGACATAGGCAGGACGAAGCGGCACGGATTCAGACAGGGTATCAAGCCATTGCATTACCGCTTCGCTCAGAGAGAATGGCGGCCATGGGCAAGAAAGTCGACGTCCGTCGGGAAGAAGCAGCCGCTGAGCCTGACACTCGTCAAGCAAGTGGGCTAAGGCTGCAGCGACGTACAGGCGATGTACCCCGACACGATGCAAGGTGCAGGCCCACGTACACAGGCTATGCAAACGACGACGTGCCATGGGCGCAGAAGCATGTCGCGGTAAGAAGTACTCGACAAACAATGCGGTCGATCCTGTCTGGTTGTCGTCCAGCTGGCGCCAGCAGGCGGCGTCCCATGCATCGACGCCGTCCAAGTAGGCAGCCAGGGCAGTGCGCAAAGCTTGCGACGTAGCCTTGGCGCGTTCAAAGTCAGGGATGGCAGGAAGCATGCCCAAGGCAATACACGCAGGGTGAACCCATACAGTGGTCGGAGCCAGCATCACGCATCGACGCAGCAAGTCTTGCGCTTGCTCACGAAGCCATGATACGGTACCTGAGACGGACTCCGTGGAGGTTTTTGAGTCAGCCATCGTTCTCAAGGCACCAACCAAGCCAGAGGCCAGCGCAGTGTGAGCACAGATCGATTTATAATGCCGCGCGACTTGCTGAAGAAGGCAAGCACGTGTATTTCCCGGTGCACGAGGGAGGGACTCGACCAGCCAGGCATAGTATAGATAAGGCACCAACAGGGACTGGGACAGCAACGTGTCGATGAGACGCATGGCGTACCGCCATCGCGCTGTCCATGTGGCCCGCTCCTCGGGAGTGAAGGGTGCATGCGTGAGCATCGAGGCGAGCCATGCAAGTACATTGTCTGTCCACTCATATGTATAGGCCAACGGTGTGAGTCCACGAGCTCTACCAGCTTGCAAATCAGAGGCCCCTACGACCTGGATGAGCCACAAAGCGCGCGACAGGGGGACGCTGCGTGCCCGTGGGAGGCCAGGAACGCAGCCCTGCCATAGCATATCGAGGAGTCGTTCGCCACGGAAGCCGTGAGGCACAGCTTGTGCCAGGACCGAAAGGGGCTGAGCAGGATCGGCCAAGGCACGTACAAAGGTGTCGAGGTGCGCGTCCGGCAACGTGACGCGCGTCGGCATGTCGCATGCCGCCAGGTCACGGATGGGTGTGGGAGCACCATGCCGTCGTCGCGTGCGTATGGCATCGACCATATCGCCTAGGAGGGTGCGTACAGAGTCACGAGAGAGACGTGTATACCAAAGATCTGCTGAGGATCCGACGTCGACAGGCACAGGCGACACAAAAGGCGCGCCAGCTCGTGCTGCATAAGGCCCCACAATGGTATGGGTCGGCGCCGTACGTAAGCCAGGCGTCCCAAGCTGATCACGATGATGCCATGCCGGACGCCAATCCGGCGCAGAGAGGGAGTAGGCCTGGGGCGCTGCGCTCCCAGGCTCCGGCATTTGGATCGTAGTTGGCGCCCTGAGCGTACACCACGGCTTGACCAGAGCCAAGACACGCAGCGACGCGTACGAAGTGGAGGAGGCCCAGGCCCACCGACCGACCGACCCACCTTCGCGGCGTAGGGCGTCTTCGCGCCACGTGATCAGGCAACGAAAAACCGACCGTCGAAGCCTCGGGGGCTGCACGTTCACCACAACGACGCGACCAAGAACAGTGCGTTGTTGGACAGAGGCCCTGAGTTTGCTTCGTAGGACCTTTGCGACCGGACTTCGAAGGATGTCGACAAAGACAGCGCCCGCAACGGCGGGCCCCATTAAGCTGGAGAATACGGCGAAGCGTGATGCCCTGCAAGCGCTGGAAGCCAAGTACCAAGCGCAATGGAAAGAGGCTCATACGTTCGATGTGGATTCGCCTGTGAACAATGCCGAGCTGCGTGATATGACCCCAGAGGAGGTGCGTGCGAAGTACCCCAAATTCTTTGCTACGATTCCGTACGCCTACATGAACGGCAGTCTACACTTGGGTCACGCGTTTACGCTGTCCAAGGTCGAGTTCGCGACTGGCTACGAGCGCATGTGCGGCAAGCGCGCATTGTTCCCGTGGGCGTTCCATTGCACGGGCATGCCGATCCGTGCAGCGGCCGACAAGCTCATTCGTGAGATTGAGATGTTTGGCGAGGACTTTAGCGGATTTGAGGCGGCGCAGGCGAAAGCGGCCGAGGAAGAGGCGGCCAAGGCCAAAGATGAGAGCTCGCAGCGTGTGGACAAGGCGACGAAGGGCAAGTTGGCCGGCAAGTCGACCGGACTCAAGTACCAGTTCCAGATCATGGAGAACAGTGGCGTGCCACGTGAGGAGATCAAAAAGTTTGCTGACCCTACCTACTGGCTGCGCTACTTCCCGCCGATCGCGAAGCGCGACTGCAATGACTTTGGTCTGCGCATCGACTGGCGTCGTGCGTTCTTGACGACCGATGTGAACCCGTACTACGACTCGTTTGTGCGCTGGCAGATCAACAAGCTGCGCAAGATGGACAAGATCAAGTTCGGTGAGCGTCTGACGATCTTCTCGATTAAGGACGACCAGCCATGCATGGACCATGACCGTTCCGATGGTGAAGGTCTTGGGCCGCAGGAGTACACGGGTCTGAAAATGAAGGTCGTGCAATGGGGCAAGGACGCTGCGCCGTTGCTGGACGAGAAGCTGCAGGGCAAGAATGTGTACTTTATCGCGGCGACGCTGCGTCCTGAGACGATGTACGGCCAGACCAACTGCTTTGTGGGCCCGAAGATTGAGTACGGTGCGTTCCGTATCAACGACAAGGATGTGTTTGTGTGCACGGAGCGTGCGGCGCGCAACATTGCGTACCAGGGCGTGACGGACGAGCGTGGCCGTGTGGAGTGCTTGGCACAGATGCCTGGCTCGGCACTCGTTGGCACGTTGCTCCATGCGCCGTCGAGCGTGCATGGCAACGTGTACGTGACGCCTATGGAGACGGTCATTGCGACCAAGGGTACAGGTGTCGTGACGTGTGTGCCCAGTGACTCGCCCGACGACTATGCCACGCTGATGGACCTGCGCAAGAAGGCCGAGTTTTACAACATCGACCCGCAGTGGGTCGCTTTGGACCCGATTCCTGTCGTCCAGGCCCCGGGCTACAGCGATATGATTGCGGCGGACCTCGTGAAGCAGCTGAAGATCCAGAGCCCGAAGGACAAGAACCTGCTGGCCGAGGCGAAGGAGATTGCATACAAGCAGGGCTTCTACAATGGTGTGATGCTCCAGGGTCCCTACAAGGGCGAGCCTGTGATGGAGGCCAAGGCGAAGGTCGCAGAGGACCTGATCCGCTCGGGCGATGCATTTGCCTACGCTGAGCCGGAGGGCAAGATTACAAGTCGCAGTGGCGACGACTGTATCGTGGCCCTGTGCGACCAGTGGTACTTGGACTACGGTGAGCCCTTGTGGAAGGCGCAGGCGGAGAAGCTTCTTGCGCAGATGAACACGTTCCAGCCGGAGACGCGTCACTCGTTCGAGGGTGTGCTCGGCTGGCTGCATCAGTGGGCGTGCGCGCGTTCGTACGGTCTGGGCTCGAAGCTGCCATGGGACCCGCAGTTCCTGGTCGAGAGTCTGAGTGACTCGACGATCTACATGTCGTACTACACGGTGGCGCACCTGCTGCAGGGCGGCGTGGAAGACGGCAGTCAGGTGGGCCCGCTGGGCATTGAGGCGAAGGACATGACCGACGAGGTGTGGGAGTACGTCTTGGGCGAGAGTGAGCTGCCGGCCGATGCGCCTGTGCCGAAGGACAAGGCAGAGATCCTCCGTCGTGAGTTCCGCTACTTCTACCCGATGGATCTGCGCTCCTCGGGCAAGGATTTGATCAACAATCACTTGACGTTCTGCATTTACAACCATGCGGCGCTCTTCCCAGAGTCGCTGTGGCCCAAGGCGATGCGTGCGAATGGCCACTTGATGCTCAACGGTGCGAAGATGGCGAAGAGCACCGGCAACTCGCTCTCGCTGCGTCAGGCGGTCGACAAGTTCGGCGCGGACGCGACGCGTGTGAGTCTGGCCGATGCCGGTGACGGTATTGAGGACGCTAACTTTGAGGAAAAGACAGCGAATGCCAACATTCTGCGTCTGCACACGCTCATCGACTGGTGCACAGAGGTCATGGAGCAGATCAAGGCCGGTCAGCTGCGTTCGGGTCCGCTCGACTCGTTCTGGGACAAGGCGTTCGAGAACGAAATCAACATTGCGATTGAGGCTACGCGCGATGCGTACGAGCGCGCGGCGTACAAGGAGGCATCGAAGTTGGGCTTCTACGAGTTCCAGTCTGCGCGTGACCTGTATCGCGAGGCGACGGCCGACGTGGGCATGCACGCCGACTTGATCCGCCGCTGGATCGAGACGCAGGCGCTGCTTATCGCGCCGATTGCGCCGCACTTTGCCGAGCATGTCTGGCGCACGATCTTGGGCCACGACTCGACTGTGCACGATGCACTCTTCCCGCAGCCGAGCAAGCCGGAGGACGCGGCGATGACGGCCGCTGCGGCGTACGTCCGCGGCACGATCAAGACGATTCGTGATGCGGAGATTGCTGTGACGCGCCGCAAGGCCAAGGGCCCTTCGGCGCCGGCGAAGTACGAGGAGCGCAAGCCGAAAGAGGTTTCGATCTTTGTCGCGGACGCGTTCCCTGCTTGGCAGGACATTTGTGTGAGTGCCGTGCAGAAGCATTACGATGCCGCGACGGGCAAAGTGGACGATGCGAAGGTGCGTGAGGAGATCGCTGCGGCTGGTCTGCTCAAGGACAAGAAGGCCATGCCGTTTGTGATGGCGTTCAAGAAGCGCATCGCCGAGTTTGGTCCGGAGATGGCCTTCAACCGTCAGCTGCCGTTTGACGAGACGGCGACGCTGAAAGCGGCGTCAGGCTACCTGAAGAAGACGCTCAACTTCCGTCAAGTGCACATTGAGAGTGCCAAGGATGCGCTCACACGCGCGGACGAACTCCAAGGCAAGCACGGCTTTGACAAGACGGTTGTCGAGGGCGCCGAGCCTGGCGCGCCCTCGTTCGCGTTCTACAATGTGGAGGCGTAATGATGTAGGACCGTAGGTCGATCTTCGCGGCGGCTGCATGTCAGCTGCGAGAGAATGAAGCCTTGTGGAGATGCAGGCGAGTAACTCCTGACAGCATAGACGCCTCCACCTTCGTCCATGCAGAGAAGAGCAGCGTGTGATTGGACCTCCACACCCCCTGGATGCGCTCGACCCCCTCGCATGTAGGGCACACTAGGCAAGTCCTTCGCGGCGACAGCCCACCGAAGGAACGTCCGTCAGCAAGGCGTCAGGTTGTGATTCTTCTCTACCACGCACATTGTCTCTGGATATCTGCTAGATCAGCTATCTACGTACGACAATGGGAACTGTATCCGGTGCAGGGCGTATGATCGCCTTCCTGGCGTTCCTCTTGCTAGGCTCCGCCTTTGTGCTCGAGCTTATCAATTCGGTCTCTGTGCCTTATATTGAATCGCTGTACTTTTTGAATCTCAAAGTCAAGACTGGAGATCTCAATGCCAACATCGGTATCTGGGGTTGGTGTGCGTCTAGCGGCGGCCAGGCATGGCAGTGCAAGTACAAGGGCCTTGACAGCTATAACAATTTTATTGATCCAAGGGTCATCCAACAAACCAACAAGAGTGACTTCTTTTATGGCAATAGCATCACGCGTGCCCTCGTTCTCCAGCCCATTGCGGCTGGATTCACGGGTCTGGCCGCAGGTGCTGCCTTGCTGGGCTTCTGCGTGAGCACATTCGCATGGGTCCTCTTGGCCATCCTGGCCTGCTTGCTAACGATCGCCGCCACGGTGTTGGAGCTAGTGTTTTTCATCCACGCACGCGATGCTCTCACCAAATACTATAGCAAGGTGGCCAATACTGGCGAGTTCAGTGCAAATCTTGGCAACGCCATGTGGGTCCAGGTCGCGGCCCTCGCCGCGGCGGTGGTGGGGACATTGCTCATGATATTGGCGTACACGCTCAACCGCACATCAGTGTCAGAGCGGCCCCATGAGCCGACCCCACTGCCTATGTCGAACAAGCGCGACGACAGCGTGTATGCTGCGCCAGTGACAGACTCGTACGGCGCGTATTCGCACCCACAATATGGCTACACGCCGCCCTCTGCTGCCGTGGAGACGTCGGGAGCTGGACGGGCATACGATCCGAACCAGCCGTACGAAACAGGTGTTACGCCATACCCCAACAGGTACTCACAGGTGTACAATGCCAAAGAGGCAGGAAGCCGTCCGATCGAGCGCACCAAGAAAGACGAGCGTCGTCACAGTCGTCATCACAACAAGCGGCACGGCAAGCACCGCAGTCACAGTCACAGCCAGCCACGCGATCAGTACTTTGCCAACCGTGGATCGCACAGTCGCCGCCACAGCCGGCATACCAGCCGTGGTCATGGCCATATGTACGATGACGAATTTTATGACAACAAGGACGATGTTGTGCCGCGGCATAGCTACGAGTATGAATACGACTTTGATGCCTTCCCGGCGCGACGTATGAGCTTTGAATATGGCAACAACTCGCATGTGCGTCAACGCAGTATGGGCGGCTACAGCCGCCCCCATTCACAAGCGGCGCTAGCTCGCTCAAGTTCGCGTGCGTCGCGATTGTACCCGGCCGACTCGGGTGAAGTGAACTACGATACATTGCCGCGACGAACGGCCAATGATCAAGCACGCTGGCAACGTCACAGTCACCGATTCAGCTACTAACATTTGTACGGATGTGGCTCGCAAGTCTCTCTTTTCTGCGATGTTAATGTATGTGTATTTTTAGGCAGTCTTCGTCCGTAGACATTTCCAAGTGGAGGTTCTGGAATCGGTGTCACGTAGGTGTCGTCCGTGGAGGGTCGAGACGCCTTGACGACGGACTTTCCTTACGATGTGGACCCGGGTGTGCACGCAAGGCGCGATCATGCGAAGAGGATCGCGGCTCTTTTCCACAAAAGCGTCTATCCCGCATTTGACGTTGTTTACTGGCACGCATTGCTCGCTGTGTGACGATATGAAAGAGGTGCTGGAGGCAGAGACGACGCCCTTTACGTTGGCCATGTACAATATTCGGGACGATACATCGCCCAATGTCGAGTACTGGCGTCGCAAGTACCAGTATGATATCCCTGTGTTGCACCTTCGGTGGGGCGAGCCGACACAGGAGGACGATTACGGGCCAGGTACGTTGAACGATGGGTGCTTACCTCCCCGCCCCTAGAAATCGCACGTCATCGCCTTGATCCTGCGCAGCTCGCAGCAGCGCTGCAACGAAAGTGAGCCGATATACATGCTGCAGCTTTGAATATAGACAGGAGTTCGCACGAGATACCACTCAACAAGCATACCATATCATATCTACCTACGTCATCAACTAGTTGCTCTGCACAGAGCCGTAGCCCTTCGGGCAGCTGCGGCCGAGGTTCGACGAGGCGCTGCGCATGTAGCACACCTTGGCCTTCTGGCACGCTTCGGTGCTGCACTGCGGCGAGCGAGGGCTGTTGCGGCCCTGGTAGAGCTGGTGCAGTTCCACAAGCTCAGGGCGCTTCTCCATTTCGTCGGTCAGGGCGGCCCAGAACGAGGCGTTGAGAGGCGCATCGGCCGGCCATGCGCCGTTCTGCAGAGCGACGGGCGCAGCGTACGAGCCATCCGCGGCGGTCGCCGAGAAGTTGCTGTAGGTCTCACGCGCCTTGTACAGCAAGTGCCACACAGGACCGGTCTTCGTCAGGCTCTCATTGTCCTGCAGCTGCGTGTAGTACTGCGAGTAGTCCATCACCTCATACGTCTCCGGGTCCACGTCATACACACGCAGCGACGGGTTCACGTTGGTCAGTGGCGTGAGCGAGGGGCCAATGAAGCCAATCGCACGTGCATCCTGCGTCTTGCGGCTCACCGAGCTCGAGTTGCCGTTGCTTGACTCGTACCAGATCTGGAACTCGTCCTCGTGGGTGTGGCCGAAGAAGATGGCCGCAATCGTGTGGCTGTAACGCGACACGATCTCGTACAGCAGGTTCGTCGGATTGTCCACACCGTCGCCACCGCTCCAGCCCGTAAGCACATGAGCCACCATCCACACACGCTCGTTCGCATCCTCGGCGGCCTGGAGTTCGTCGGTGAACCAGCGCAGGGTGCCGCTTTGATCAGGGTCGTCAAGGTTCAGGAACGTCATCGGGTTGCCGTGGTACCAGAAGTCACTGTTCAGCGCAATCACACGCAGACCTTGGCGAGGCGAGACAGAGTAGCCGCCGTAGTGTGTGCGGATCGTCTCCGCAGTCGAGTCGTTGCCCCAGCCCTCGGACTTGACGAGCGCGGCCACATTGTCCCAGTCCCAGCTAAGCTGGTTAGCGCGGCCATCCGGCAGGCTGCTGGGTGCTGCCAGGTCAGCGGGCGACGAGTCGTGGTTGCCGAGAGCCACGACCATCGTCGTGTTGCCAAGGTGACGGTGGAACATGTCGTAGAGCGACTGCTCCGAGTACTTCACGAGGTCCTGCGAGATGTGCGCATCCGAGTCGTGCGTCGTCAAGTCACCTGTGTACAGCGCCAAGTCGAGCGGCGCCTCCTTCTGCAGACCCGAGATGCCTTCCATACCAGCGGCAACGAGCGACCAGGGCGAGTCACACTGGTAGTAGCCCCAGTAGTCGGCCGGATGCGAGATGTTGGCCTTCGGGAGCGAGCCAGGGGCGAACTGCGTCTGCGACCAGAGCGTCGTGTTGTAGCTGTCAGCACGGCAGCACTGACCACTGTTGCAGCTGCCCTCGGAGCCCAGCAAGTAGCGTGGGTCCACGTGGAAATCCGAGCCGTGGAAGACACGCAGCGGCGTGTCGCGCTTCGGGCCGACCTTCTTGCTGCGGCTCACGACCTCCGCAGGCGGCGTCGGCTTGCCCTTGAACCAGTCGTTGAGGAAATCAGACGAAAGCACCTTCATTTGAGGAAAGTCACACGAACCGCCCTTGATGGCCGAGGCGCACATGTAGTCGATCGTCGTCGAGCCTTCCGAGAAGTTGGCGTAGCTCAGCACCTGCGCATACACGCTACCCCACTGCGCCGGACCAAACGTCAACTCGCAGCCAAGGTCGACGGTGGGACGCGACTCGTACTTGTACTTCTTGCACAGATCCGTCATGAGGCCCGGCATCGCCGACGGCTTCGCCCACGCCAGGCGCTGGCCGAGACGCAGGGCGGAACGGCAACGGTCACACGAGCTCATGCTCTGGTCCTCAATGATGGCTGTCAAGTTCTTCATCGCCTCGTCCTGGAACGAGTTGCTTGACGCCAGCGCCGTGTAGCTAGGAGACGGCTCCGGGTAGACGGCCTCCGTCGATGGGGCCGCAGAAGGGAGGCTCATGGGGTTCACGAGGCTATCGCTAAAGTCGCCGCCGCCTACACGCGTAATGTGGGGGCGTGGCTCAGCCTCCTGGCCCGTAGGCATAAAGTCCATGGAAGGGAACTCGGACGTAGGGAACGCCGCCGGCGCTGTGTACACAGCACTTCCAGCGTCGGTCGTCTGCACGAGCGGGCGCTTACTAGTCGAGCTCGAGGCGCTGGACGACGACGATGTCATAGACGTAGTGTTGTCCGCGGCGCTAGCCGGCCAACAGATGGCCAGAGCGTACACAGCAGCCACGGCGAAAATGCTGGTCTTGACCATAGTACGAAGAACGTGCCGTTTCGATCGAGGTGTTGGCTCCCACGAAGAGGCGGACCCGGTAAGAGGCTCCCGTTCGATGTCGTACGATGCTGGCGCACCGGGTTTCATATATACATACTCCGACCTCGTCCCCGCGGCCTACGTCGAGTTCAGCCCAAGTGCACGGTCCCGTGTGGAGACGTGATGTATATCACACACCCAGAGGCCCCCACGTGCACGCCAATCCAATGAGTCCGCAGCGTCTTTTCACGTGCGGCCCAGTGGAGATAGACTCGAGCGCCCCACGAAGGACACAGAATCTGCGATTAGAACTCTTATATGACAGATGGTATGGCACACGACATCACGAACAAAAGAACATGCCTTCGCGTGGAAGCCGCCGTACAGCTCACGCGCCGTGTACTGCTGGCGGGGCCGTGATTTGCACCAGAGCGCACCAACTCGTCAAACGTAGCGATCGGTGTGTAGTACTGCTCGAACTCTAAGATCTCGTAGATTCAGTACAAGGTCCGAATTAATATGTGCGACTTCTGCAACGTCTTTAGCGAGCTTCTGTAAAGAAAATGGCTCGGGTCATCGGGATCAAATCCATATCGTATGACCCTGCCGATAGCATAACGTCTTCACCATCCAATCGAAGTTTGGTATTTCGAGTCATCACCCTCCACAAGTAATAACGCCTCTAACGTACCTTAGCTGGAGAACGCGCGACTGGGTGAATAAGGCGTGAATCTCTCACTATAGATTACCATGACAATGAAGCCTCAATTTTCTGTGCCAGTAGTGGATATTTCTCCTTACCTGAGGCAGTCAACGGTCGAGGAAAGAAAAAGCACAGCCAAAGCCATTGATGAGGCCTGTCGCTCCATCGGGTTCTTTCAAATTATCAACCACGGCATCCCGGCTGATGTGGAAAAAGGCCTGATAGATGCCGTGGACTCATTTTTCCTACAAGACATGGATATCAAGATGAAAGTGTACTCTGATACGAATCGCGGATATTCACCGCCAAATTCAGAGAATACTAGTTTGTCTTTAGGCTTGGAATCCACATACGGTGGCAATGACTACTTTGAGGCCTTCAACATCGGATCAGACCAAGAGATGTACCAGGTATCAGGACTTTCAGAACTTTTGTATGAGCCCAATACCTGGCCACCAACAGAAGGTGACCGTGTCCCTGAGGGCATGAAACGATTCCGAGTCAATCTCGAACGATGGTACGAAAAAGCAGCGTATCTTTCGCGCATATTGATACGAGTGTTTGAAGATGCTCTCGAAGTTCCCGAGGGTACACTATCACAACATACAAAACACTCCATGGATGTATTGCGCATTATCAATTACGCTTTGCCGCCTGGCACACCAGCCATCCGGGAGGATGAAATGGGCATGGGTGAGCACACAGATTATGGCTTTTTGACTGTGCTATGGGCAGACCGTGTTCCTGGCTTACAAATACTAGGGCGTGACGGTATTTGGCATGATCTCGTACCAGAAGAAGGCGCGCTGCTGGTCAACCTAGCAGATATGATGGCTCGCATAACCAATGAACAATGGTTGTCGACTTTGCATCGTGTCAAGCCGCCAGTCGTAGATGGGTTGATTCAACGTCGCCGCTCGGTTGCATTCTTCCACGATGGTGATGAAGATGCTATCATCAGCACCTTACCCAAGATGATTGATGAGGAACACCCACCCCTTTACAAACCGGTCCGTCTTGGTGACCATCAATTGGCGAAGCTGCGTGGTTCAAAGAGCCATGTGATCAACAAACAAAATACTGAAAGAGAAGCAGCACGCGTGCTTGCGTCAAAAAGAACATAATGTGCCGATGTTATTGGCAGCCCCAAATGAATGGTACTTGTAAGTAGATAGATATATTTTAGTCATGTCCAGAAGTCAAGCAAATATACGATGCAATGCTGAACTATCATAGAGTATACGCAAGGTATTGATAAAGTAGAAATGATCCTCAATTAGACGAGCCCACCTATCAACGTCGACTAGGAACTGTAACGATGAAGTCTAACATGCCGCCATAGCTAGTCAGGGCTATCACAGACCCCATGCCTTTGCCAAGCATTATGCCATGTATTTTAGGCCAATAGGCATTTGCTTGAACGTATTTGCGATCTACCTTTGCCTGTGGTGGAAGAGGCTCATGCCAGAACTAATGTGAAGGAACCTACTTCTACCGTAGCGGATACTATAACAGCGCCCAAGTTCGTGCTACACATTTTTCTAACCCTTAGTAGTTGCTTGCGCTCGAAGCGCTGTTGAGCGAGGCCCATTAACTGTCGATGCCACGCCAGATTTGACATGAGCGTGGCCAAATGACGGACCGGACTCAGTGAGAGGCTCACGTTCAATGTCGTACGACGCTAGTGCACCGGGTTTCATATATACATTTACCTACTGTCCCGACAACCAAAGTGTACGGCCATGTATGGAAATGTGAATGTATATCACACACCGAACAGCCCCACGTGCAAAAAAAATCAAAGATCATACTCCCGATCTCTACGTGCAGCGAAGTGGAGATAGACATGGAGGGACAAGGTCCCCTCCACAGTTATTAGTATGACACGACATCTTAAAACAAAAATGCCTCAATCTGCGAGGTTTCTAGGGCAGTAGCACCTAGGGAACAATGCCATATACACTTAACGACCCATCGAAGAGTACTGGCCATCACACTTGCGACCTTGCGAGGCGGAGCCGGCACGCATGTAGCAGATGGTGTTCTTGATGCAGTCACTGGTCGTGCACCGACGGGCCGTAGGACTGTTGCGTGTCTGCACCTCCGAGAACGTCGTCGCCAGCGAAGGGCGCGCCTCCATCTCGTCCGTGAGCGCTGCCCAGAACGTGCCGTTAAGCGGTGCATTCTGCGGCCAATGGTTCTTGTGCAACTCGACGCCGGCTTTGTACGTACCATCACGCACACTCGCGTGGAAGTCGCCATACAGCTCACGCGCCGTGTACAGCTGGCGCCACACAGGGCCGTGGTTCGCACCAGAGCGCACCAACTCGTCAAACGTAGCGATCGGTGTGTAGTACTGCTCGAATTCCATGATCTCGTACGTGTCGGGGTGCACGCTGTACACGCGGATCGTCGGGTTAAGCTTCGTGTACGGGGTGATCGAAGGAGCCACGTACGCCATCGACACGGCATGCTCAGTCGTCTGCTGCGCAGACTTGGCCTCACCATTGTCGTTGAAGTAGAACACCTGGAATTGGTCCTCGTGTGTGTGGCCAAAGAAGATGGCAGCCAGCGTGTGCGGCGCAAAGCGGCTGACAATCTGGTAGAACAGGTTCGAGGGGCGATCCAGCGCCTCGCCACCGTCCCATCCAGACAAGACGTGGCCTACAATCCATACACGCTCATCGTTCTTTTCCGCCTCGAAGAGCTCATCGGTCAGGAAACGCAGCATACCGCTCACATCCGGGTTGGACATGTGGATGTAGTTGAACATGTTCACATAGTACCAGAAGTCTGTGTTCAACGAAATCACACGCAAGCCCTTGCGCGGCGTCACAGAGAACGCGCCATGGTGCTTGCGGATGTCTTCCACCTGCTGGTCACCAATCCACTCACGGTTGCGCCACAACTTCGAGACGTAGCTCAAGTCCCAATCCCAGTGGCTCGCTGTGTTGTCCGGCAGCTGCGCAGGGGGTGCCATCATGTTCTCTGGCGAGGTATCGTGGTTGCCCAGCGCGGGAATGAGTGGCGTCGAGCCCAGGTATGTCTTGAGTAAGTCGAAAATCGCCTGCTCGGAGTAGCGGGCAAAGTCGCGCGAGTAGCGGTACAAGTCGTCGTGCGCCACAAGATCGCCTGTGAATAGAGCCAGATCAAAACCGTTGTCACCACCGAGCGATTGAAGCGCTTCCATCGAGTTGACCATGAGCGACCATGGCGTGTCACATTCCAGACTTCCCCAGTAGTTCGCCTTGTGCACAATCTGGCTATCGTCCAACTGGCCATGCACAAATTGGCCATGGAATTTGGTGTTGTTGTAGCTGTTCACACGGCAGCACTGCACAGTAGCACCCCACGTGCAGTCGCTCTCACCACCCACAAAGTAGCGACCATCCAAGTGCAGGTCAGAGATATGCGCTACACGGAGATTCTTCGAGGCATCGTAGTCGGAACCGTATGCACGCGCCCGCTTCTTCTCCCAGCGCTCGACCACATCCTGAGGCGCATGGCGCGATCCATGGAACCAGTCATTCAAAAAGTCGTCCGACAGCTTCTCCGACGGATGCTCACACAAGTTCAACGACGGAATCTGGGCACAGATGCCTGTAGCATCCGGTGCAGCACCAGTCAGGTTGGCGTAGCTCAGAACCATAGTAATTGGGCCACCATACACAGCGGCAGAGAGTGTACGCTTGCACTGCTGCCCAAAACCAAGAAGACCAAACACGTTGAACGTCTCACAAATGGTACCCAGTAGATCCGGGACAAGATCTGGGTCAATGTGCGTAATTTTCTGCAGCGTCTCCAAGCCGGAGCGGCACAGGTTGCAAGTAAGTGACGATCCCTTATCACCACGGAAGAGCTGCCCAGCAATATCCCACACGTCGCCAATCAGCGCATCCAGATCCGATGAGCCAGCCACGGCATTCGGCATAAGCGCCTCGTTGGCCGGGGGCTGTGTTGGAAGTTGGCGCGGGTTGTTCAGAGAATCAGGGAACTGACCACCACCCTCGCGCGTAATCACAGGCCGAGGCTCTTGCTCCATGTTCTTCGGCATATAATACATCGAAGGGAACAGCGATGTTGGGAAGGCCTTAGCACCCGTAAAGACAGGTGTACCTGATGTAGTGTCCACGGCCATAGCGCCAGAGGCCAGTACGAGGGCGGAGACACCCAGCCAACGAAGCCACTGCATAGTGAAGGGCTACAACAACGACGAAAGACACAGGAAAAACAACAGGGTTGTGCCGCCGTTTATGTAGGCTCCACAGTTTGGCACACGACCGGTTGGAGCTGCATGCCGATGCCAAGTGGAGAGATATATGCACATAAAAAATTAAAACCAAACTATGCCAATCGCCGGCACGTATAGAATCGCAACGTAGATCGCACGTGCGCATCTCGCCTACCCAGGAGCCAGAGGAGGCGGCCCCTTTTCGGCAGCCGAAGTGGATGACAGGCCAAGATGGTGCATAGATATGATGCGGTTACTGGTGGATTGTATACACGCAAGGAACACACCCTGAGTCGATCGCTATGTCAGTGATGGTTGTGCGATGTGCCCCCTATATAATGTACCACTACTGTGAGCACATGCGAGGATGGCATATGTCTGAGCGGCCAACTCCTTCCTATAGAAAGAGGTAAGAGCCCCTAAGAACCACCACAAATTTCGTACATCGAAATATTGTCCAGACTAGCTTGGGCCATGTGGAGGACACACACAACGACCAGCCACGATGGCGATGCGCGTACGTGCCAAGCCATGGATCTCGATCCAGCCGAGCGTACGTGATGTGCTGCACGATGTGGCGCAAGGAGTGGTACAGAAGGAAGATGTATGGGTGAGTGCTTATATAGCTTCGCCTGCGCGTGCAAGTGTTCATACCACTTTGCATGTTGAGCATACCTCGACGCCACCACAAACATCCATCTCCAACCAACCCAGTGATATTACTGTGGATACGAGTATAGAGCCATGGTGTGTATCATCGCAAGGAGACGTCTCTGTACCGCGAACGGAGGTCCACCTACCGGTGCAGGGAGAAGAAGCAATGATACATGATGTCACGACGCCTCTCAGCGTAGATATGAGTATCGACGCAGAAGGTGTAGAGCGCTACGTCATGGGCGGCGCTCAAGGCCAATTGGTTTGTGGCTCGTGGAATATGGGTACACCGTTCGCCGAGACGAATTCTTGTGCTTCTCATCAAAGTGATATTACAAGCGTTCGATTCTTTCCTAGTGGCCAAGTGATTCTCGCGACCTCGTTGGACATGCGTGCGTCGGTGGTATCAGCCTTGGATGGCACATGCCCACGTGTCTTGATAGGTCACACGCGTGCTGTCTTAGGCAGTGCTATCCTGGGTCGCGGTCGTGAAGTGGCGACCTGTAGTGCAGATGGGGCCATTCGACTTTGGGATGTCAGTCGCGGTGAAACTGTACAAACTTGGGATGCAGGCGTCTCGATCCCATCCTTGGAGGTATCGAAGGCTTTGGACTCTACGCCGGAAGATCGTCAAGGCGTGCTAGTGGCTGGACGGCACGATGGTGTTCTACAAGGGTACGATATGCGAACAGGCTCCGCGGTTTGGTCGCATACAGCGCCAATGTCGCCACTAGGTGGGAGCGAGTGTGCAATTCAAGCATTGGCAATGCATGAGAACACTATGGCACTAGGCACGCGAGGGGGTGTGTGTGCCTTATACGATTTACGTGCAATGCAAGAGCCACTGGATGCATGGTATCGCAATACAGCGGAAATTACTTGTATGCATCTTACAAATCAGCGCGTATACATCGGCACGAGCGACGGTCTGCCGTACTCGGTCGATCGTGACACGGACCAAGTGCATGAGTACGCTGGATGGGATGCGGATGCTATCAGTGCCATTCGCACAGATCAGGCAGGGCATGTGATCATAACTGGAAGTGGCAGGTATGCTACATATAGGTAGGACTGTGAAAGTCTATGTACATCCAACAAGTGGAATGGGGTATATTATACGTGTGACGCTGGATCAGTATGCAGCGAGGAGGACGATCCAGAGGATCGTGAAGATGATGTGGTCCGCCATGGTGGCGATGAGCGCTGAGAGCCTTTCGAGACAGTGGTATCGATAACCGTCACTGTATTGGCAGGATTGCGCAAGTCCATATCAGGTACGAACCATGATAAGACCATAGCAGGCAGCTGCACGAGCACAGAAGCCAAACACAAGTGCTTCATGACTTGCACCCATGCCTTTGATACGCCAATACGTATATCAGAGTCCAGTGGATACGCCAAAACAGCATCCAGATTACCCTGCAAGTGCTGGAGTTCTTCCAATGGCAGCATCGGCAAGGCCTGGGAAAGCTCGCTAGGTAGCATTCCAGTAACAATCGCACTGGCCAAAGCAGATCCAAACGCAGCGCCGACTTCCACAACAAGCAATTCAAACGCTGTGACTACCACCACCTTGGTAGGGTCCACAGCTACTTGTACAGCCACTTGCATTGTTAATGCCAACGCGCCACCGCCAACGCCCTGTAGAACTTGACATGTGAGCATTGCTACAGCTGTGTGAACAGGTGATCGATAGTAGATCATTAGAAGAACACCAGCCATGCGCACGAAATAGCCAGCGACCATGTACCGTTTCAAGCGACGAGTATAGGCCATGCAACTTCCCACAACAACGCCGGTGATAGTAGACATGACATTCTGTGTGGTAACAAAGTATGCTGTGCGTACTTGATCCCAGTCCTTGATGATTTGGATGAAGGGCGAAAGGTAGGTCCATGACAAGTAAAACCCGGCAAAGTCCAAGGCAGCAATCAGACATACAGAGGCCACCGTGAAGTTGGAAAGCAAAGGCAAGGGAATGATCGGTGCATCGGCGTAGCGCTCCCAGAACAAAAACGCACCTAGAAACACAAAGCCAGCTAGCATCATGGCTCGATCAGGATGGTCTGGTTCGGTGAGCCTGGAGAAGCCATGGAACGAGACGGGGATGAGAATAAGAGTGAGGCATCCACTCAGCAGGCTCATACCGACGAGATCAAGATCACGTACAATGGACTGGGCACGCAGTGGCGTAGTGGAGCGAGTGGCATACCCACGCCGCCGAGCACGCCGGTAGCCTATGACGAGCAGTAAGATCAACGGGATCGAAGCAAGGGGAATGATTACGATCCATAACGCAAAGCCTAAGCGCCAGCCGCCCGTGCGCATGACAAAATCCACCAAGGGTCCGGCCAACGCAAAGTTGAGCAGGAAGGGTAAATTCACCAAACCAATCAAAAACCCTCGCCACTGGACTGACGAGGTATCAGCAATAATGACAGATTGGAGCCTGACACGTTAGTCAATGGGTACGTACACGCCGACGCCGGTGGCGCCCAAGGATTGTACAATGGCGCCTGCTAGAAGAAGAGAGAATTGGGTTGCAGAGGCCATGAGAGCATATCCCATAGCGTAGAGAGCAATGACAAGCGAGAAAGAGGTGGTGCGTCCCATGCAATCAGAGATTTTGGCAACCACAGGCTTGCTCACAGCCCGTACAAGTTGCTGTACAATCATCACAGTACCTACACTGGATAGCGCTTGGAACTCGCTGCATGCATAATTAAGAAATAGGTTGAAGGACATGCCATCGAGGGACACCGCCAGAGCGAGCGTGAAAAGGGCTGCGTATAGTAAGAGCATGGTTTGTGTGTGTTCTCGATCTTTCGTATGACCAGTACGCAAGGAGATCAGCGGTGTCTCTTCCACCACATGGTCAATGTGATCGTCCCAAGACTGCATCACCTCGGAGGACCTACGTGGTGGGAATATGGCTGTATCACTCTGAGTCCGTTCAAAAGAGCGTGAACGTCGCGGGGGATGCAATGTGTTGTACTGCACAGATACGGGACGCTCCAAGCGCGCCCGGGAGTTCTGAGGGCGCATCGTGTGTGTGCTTGTGCGATCCGTATCGACCTAGATACGTACGTACAAGGGCCAACACACGGTATTCACAGCAGCGCCGCACGTCACCAAAAGGAATGCAACCTTCACGAGTGGCGCCGTCAGAGAGGTTGGTATTGCCGGCCGAGGCAAAAACACATGCATGGGTAGGCACCAACTCGTTTTATCAGATAACAAGCACATCACGTGCAAGGTACATTGTCCTTCCTATTGACTCGTTCTCTACCCAACGCGACACCGACGATGCAGGCGTAGATGCCGTCGTACAAGGCCCTTATGCGTCTTCATCAGGGACCTCGTCGACACGCGCATGCATAGCCGCACGTGAGCGCGGCTTGTTACTACGACGCTGGGCGTCTGACTCGACAACCTTCTTAATCTCGTCCAGTACTTTGGGCACAGCGTCTTTCGGACCGTGTACTTTGACGACATGTGAAGGGTCGGCGTCTTTCAGCTCTTCCTCATTGGCAGGAGTACCAAGCTCAGCAAACTCACGCCAGTTCGGCACAATGACTTGAACGCCATGCTCGGTCAGCCATGGACTGTGTCGGCGACCTCCACGAGCAATCAGCTGGCTGTGTGTCGTGGGAGGCGCCACAGCGCCATACACGACACGATCAGCCAGGCCCTGTGCATGCGCCTGCAGCAACTCGGCAACCTTGGCCGCGAGTTCCTTGGACGCACGCACTGAGACTTCGTCACTGCCGCCGCCACGCGGGAAACGAACCATCTGCGCCTGGGCCTTGGCATCTGAGGGGCCACCAGCGCGCTGAATCAAGTCGCGAAGGTTCTGGCCACCTTGGCCAATGATCTGGCCATGGAACTTCGATGGGATCGTGAGGAAAATCTCGGCCTCGCTTTCCACCTGGTCGACGATCGACTGGATCGCGTTCTTAGCTTCGGCAATCTGGGCCGGTGCGCCACGCAGACGCAGCGATGCGGTACCTTCGCGACTGCCGCGCGAAGGCTCACTCTCGACATCGATCTGAGCACCGGTCGTGAGACGGAGCTGGTTGATCATCGCGCCACCGCGGCCGAGGATACGTGGAATCGCACGGGCTGACACCGACATGGACTCGCTGTTGCTGCGCTCCTGTTCGTATGCCAGAAGCTCAAGCAACTCGGCCTTAGCCTCGGCAACGCCCTTCTTACCACCGCGGATCGAGACCTCGTCGGGCTTCAGCGAGTCGTCGCCGCCGGCATGAGGGAAGTTGATACGCACGTCGTACTTGTCTTGGAGACGCGATACGTACTTGCCGCCCTGGCCAATGAGCGCGCCATGCATATCGTTCGGCACATTGATACGGACGGTCACTTCGTCCGCCAGACGCTGCGCCTGCGCCTGCAAACGCGCCTTGGCCTCATCAACGCAAGCCTTGCGGCCAGTAATGACAATCGGCACGTTCTTCCGACGCGCCTCCTCGTCCAAGTCGCCAAAGTCCACCTTGACGCCCAGCTCGTCACGCAGCTTCGCCACGCCCGCGCCACCGCGGCCGATCAAGTGCGGCACATACTGGCCAGGCACCTCGATTTGGTCCACGTGACCGTTCACGATCTGGTCTTGCTCGGCCTCGGCAGCGAGCTGCTGGAGACGCGCAATCGCACGTGCCACCGCCTCACTGGCGCCGCGCACAACAACCGAGTCGTCAGTGAGCGGCTCGGTAACGTGCTTCGATGGGTGGCGTGCGCCCAGCGACACATGCAGACGGTCTTCACCCAAGATGGCATTCAGTAAATTGCGGTCAGGGTGGAACTTGGCCGGAATCTGGATGTGCTCCGTGCGCAGATCCGCCGCCTGAGCCGCCGTCATGGCCAACTCGGCCACGGCTGCATCAAGAGCTGCAGCCATAGCGACTTCATCTGGACGTGGCTCCTTGTCTACGCCTCGGAAGACGAGTAACACATCCGAGCGGCCGGAGCTTTCTGGCGGCACCAGTACATCGATGCCCTTGTTTTCGTAGTTGCGCAAACCTTGGCCCTTCTTGCCGACCACAAAGCCATGAGCCAATGGGTCCACCTCCGCCACACGCACAGCATGGGGACCGATGGGGCGCGCAAGTGCTTCGAGTTGCTGGTGCATACGCATGACCGACGCAGCATCTTCTCCCACAACATCGACCGAGGCTAAGCCCTGGTCAAGCGCCGAGGCGCGTGGAAGGAACACCTGCACTCCATCCTCCCGCGGCAAGCGACCAGCGAGCCATTGGACGACGCGGCGTGCATGGCCCTCGTCTGCATCAGGGTACAGTGCACGAAGGTCAAGGGGCTGCACAGACACAGCATTTGCACGTTCAATCGCAGCGGTCAACGCCTGTGGAAGCTGCGCCTGGGGACCGCGGATCGTGACGTTCTCCGACGGGTCGTGCACAGGCGGCAACTCAATGCTGCACTGCGTCGCAGCGAGGATGTCAGCAGCACTGTCGCCCACCAAGAAAGCATGTTGGCGCTTCGGAATGTTGATCGACAATGTACGGAACAGGCGGCGCATCTGGTCCACCTCGTCCTGTATCGCCTGCACTACATCCGTCACAGAGTTACGTTCACCCGATACCACAATAGGACCGTCGCGCATAGGCGGAGGAATATGCACTTGAACTTCACCACGTCCCTGCTGCTCGGCCAGCTCGGCCGCACGCTTGCCACGCGGGCCGAAAATGAAGGGGTAGTAAATCGGCTCAATGGACGCCACACGCTGCGTAATCTTCGAGGTACGCTCGGCAACAATGGCATGAATCATCTCTTGTGCCTCAAGTGCGTTGACTTCATCGCCTTCAATGGTAACTTCGGTCTGTTCGCCCAGCAGTGGGTCCTCATTTTCCTCCATAGGCAGGTCCTTCGAGCGTGGCGGGATGTGGATTCGCACACCTGTCTGCTCCGTGATCGCCTTGATGTTCTTGCCACCGGCGCCCACTACAAACGGACGAAGAGCCGCAGGAATTAGCATCGACAGCTGCACTTTCCGAGCGAGCTGGACAGACAGTTCCTTCTTCGCCTGCTGCACGGCAGACTCGCTAGGGCCCTTTATGATGAACATTGTAACACCTGTCTTGCGGGTCGTGCTTGCCTCGATTTTCACGCCACGGCACTTGTCTTGGACACGCTGCAAAAGGGTGCTGAGCTTCATCATCTGCTCCTCCGACAAACGCAGCGAGACACTTGCCGTGTGCGTAACACGCTGAATCACAGGCACAGAGCTCACCCATGCCGACGCCCCGGGGCGGGATGCTGCACTGGACGCAGCACCGAGCGATGGGAAGGCATCTTCTGACGTGCTGGAGAGTCAGTTAGCACCGCATACATACACATCTGGACGCGCCGGTGCCTTTGCCGATTTGGCCGCGGCAGATACGCTGGGTACGGTACTCTCACCCAAACTGGGGAATGGATCAGCCATAGGGGCCGGCATACTAGATGCCTCAGCCACCTCGGCTACGTCTGGACGGGAAGCGCTCATTTCGATCCCGACGTGCTCTCTCTCGTGCAAGGCCGAAAGTAGAGACCGCCATCGATCGGTGCCAGCGCGTGTTCATTCATTCGTTCGCTCACGTGGGCCAGCGCCGCTGCTGCCGACCCTGCCTGCAGCCCCCGCGTCAGCGACCCCCAGGTGCCTTTCTGCCTGGCCCTCACCGATCCGTCCTGCCGGTGAAAATTTGTCATGCTGAAGTAAGTTTGCGTAGAAAGGCTTGTGCGTTGCGCAGGGTCCGCACAGGCAACGTAGATTGGGAGGGACGTCGGACAGACGTGCTTTATTTTGTCATATCGCATCGTTCAATCCGATCGCCAGAGTCATTGGGGCGTCGAAGTTTTTTTTTTGCCGTACGCTCTAGGATCTCTATTGCAATCGTGCCCCTGCTATGCGTCTTGGACGAAATGCGTTCGGGCTGCCGAGTCTATGGATCGCATGCCTTTGGGTGGCGATGCTTGGCGGGTGGGCGTCCGCCTCTGATACAGGGAAGGCCCTCTACACGTCCACCACCGCCTACTGCAAACCGCCTGGTCCCATCTATGTAAGTACACTCGCTTTGCGCTTCAATAGGTCGTCCGATACCATCGACTTTGATCTCAGCATCGCCTCAACCAAGAACGACGCTAGGTTGCATGTCGATATGGGTATATTCGTATATGGCCGGAAATTCGTCGATATGAGCGTTGATCTATGTTCGATTGCCAGTGGAGCGCTGTGTCCCATTCCAGCCTACAACTTTACGGGATCGGGGAAAGTAGCCATTCCCGACAATATTGCATCAAAAATTCCAGGGATCGCTTTTACTGTGCCGGATATTGAAGCCTTGGCCTTGCTGCGCCTTACCGATACCAAAACCAACGAAGACGCCGGCTGCCTACAGGTTTCGTTGGCCAATACAATGACAGTCGACTTGCCGGCCGTGGCATGGGGCACTGGCGCGTTTGCTCTCGCAGCCACAGTGGCTTCCATGCTGACTACCATATGGACAGATTCTATCTCGGCCTTGCAATGGCGTGTCGTGGATATTATTACCACTATGCAAATGATCCCGTTCACGTCCATGCTCACATTGATTGTGCCGCATGTCTTTCATCGGTTTTCTCTCCGGCTCGCATGGGTCGTCGGCCTGTTGCGTGTCGGCCCCGTGCAACAGTCCATCAAGTCCACACGTCTCGCGACGGACAGCAATGACCTGGATTTGATGTTTGGTGCGTTGAGTCAAGCTGAATATAGTCGCTTGTCCAACTTTTACCCAGCGGCGATCCTTAATACCAACCAGACGGCCAAATTGGGTAACTTGGGTTTGGACTTCAGTGCGTTGCTCGGTGGAAACTCCTCCAGCCTCGCACGGCGCACCCTGTATGCGCCCAACACAGGCCCAGGTGGTGAGATGGCGCCTGGCAGTCAAAGGAGCAATGTCATTTGGGCTGTGCAGATGGACCGCTTTTCACAAACAGGCGCGTTTTATTATACAGAGTCGCTGGACATCTCGCCCTACAGTGCCTTACTTACGATCCTTGTGACCTGGCTGTGGGTGGTGTGCGTTGTGTTAGCCGTGGCTTTGCTCCTGGTGCCTGTCATTTGGCTCACGCACCGTATTCATTTCAGCGGGGCGCTGTATCGCTGGTACATGCAGTGGCTACGCCCCATGCTCTTGCGTGTGATGCTCATTGCTGCCCCGCCGCTGGTGACATTGGCCCTCTTCCAGTTTGTGCACAGCACAGGATGGGTCTCCCATTTCATCGCAGCAGTGACATGTGCGTTCTTGCTGGGCGTATGGCTATGGAAATATGCTGAGATGGCACTCTCTGTGCGGAATCAGGGGCCTAGCGCACTGTACATGAAGAAATCCTCGCCTTGGGATTCTCACTCCTATGCTATGCGATTCGGATCCTTGGCGCACCCGTATCGACGACGCTTTTGGTGGTTCGGACTCGTAATGGGGCTCTGTGTGTTTCTCCGTGCCTGTTTTGTGGCGATCCCACAGAAACACGACTACGCATTGCGCCAGTCCATTGGTTTGTTGGTCGTGGATGTGCTGCTCTTCCTAGTGTGGGTCATTTGTCATCCAGGCCGAGACAAGAAGGAAAATATGGTGCAGATTGTGCTGTGCATCTTCCGAATCATTGCATGGGCCCTGTGCATCGTTCTGACCACCGAGTCCAACATTTGGGGCATTCCACGCGCGGTCCTGGGCTTTGTACTTATGGCTGTGTGGGCTATTGCCATTGTATGCCTATTCCTATTGTTTTTGTGGGAAATTGGCACAACATTGATATCACGGCGCCAACGATGGTCGCACCGCTACGGCGAGAGGGAAAAACAGCACTATCACGATGACACTAGCTCGACACACTCTGATGCGTCTGATTCATCATCGGACTCGTCGTCCTACGACGAATCCTCCACTTCGTTGCTGGCCTCCAATGCTACGCATACAACGCCAGGCGTACGCACGGCAGCACCAATTCGTTTGGTGGACCCTGTTGTGTAGTGAAGTGCCGACCATGATCACTGCTTTTGTATAATGGATGTAAGTTTGGCAGTGTCAGGCACGGTAATCACCCCATAGGCTTTCATGGTAGAAAGGGCTTTTTCTGTCGTAGCAGGATCTACGCCTTTGGCACACGATTCGACCAGAAACGTCCGAAATCCGAACTTGACAGCATCGATGGCGGTGGCCTGGACACAGTAATCTGTGGCCAAGCCACAGAGTACAAGGGTCTTGATGTGAGGGGTATGGCGATACAACACCGATGCCAACTCGGTGAATGCAAGGTACAGGTTGGAAGCAAACCCGGAGTAACTATCGATGTTAGCATCTTGGCCTTTGTGAACATAGTGTACAGGGATCCCACGCGCTTGGCAGGCTGCTAAGGCCGGCTGGATGCGCGCATCGATCTCGGCGCCGGGGGTGCCACCAACGCAGTGCACAGGCCACATCATTTGGGAAAGCGTGACATCTTTTTCATAGGGGTGGGGTACGGAGAGTGGCTGAAATGGTGTAGCGTCGTGAACAGAGGCAAACGAGATATGATCCTTTGGATGGTAATCCTAGTGAGTGAGCCTTGCATGCGCCCCACGTACCTGTGTTGCGACGATCATATCCCAAGCATACGCTTCGATCAAGTGATTAAGCAGGGGCAAAATGGAGACGGCTCCTGGGACAGCCACTACCCTGTCAGCAAGGCTATATACTTACATGACCCATCCACAAAGTCGCGCTGAACATCCACAAGGATCAGGGCCGTGCCCTCCTCCGGGGTCGACGACATGGGGTGGAGACAAAAAAAAGAAAAGATACGACGAGAACAGGATTCGAACCTGTGCGGTCAGAGACCAAACGCTTGCCACCTAGACAGGTGTAGAATGGAATTCTAGGCGTTCCCGATAACCACTCCGGCACCTCGCCCAACGTTTCCGAAGAGAACGGATAATCAGGTACATGACAGAGTAGACCCACGCATGTCCGCGGTGGGTGGGCACGGATGACCAACAAAAAAAAGGAACGATCGCCCATACAACCAACCTGGTAGCGCACCGGTCGGAAAGCCACTGAGCATACGTGTTCCGTGGATTGTGCGAGGTATTTTACCTCTTGGGTGCTCTACGAAAGCGTTCTTTTTCCAACGGACAGACAACGCCGCCTTTGCACTGCATGACTCGGCGCCTTGGCTGTGCATCGCTGGCACAGGCAGGAGGCGTGTTGGCAGACAGGTTCTGGCGATGTAATGGCGCGGCAACGCCCATCTTACTTTCTACGAAGGCCTTCCATACGTCCGTCGGCGCTGCGACGGAGGACTTGTACCACCAGATACCCGCCCATGAATCGATGCATGCGACCTTGGCCAGTGCATCGGATCGACGATCGTTTCGTCAGCAGGGCAATTCAGAGACACAGCGCATTTCGTACATGTTTAATGCTGCTGCGTTCGGGATTCCGAAAGAGCGTCCCTCCCGCAAACCAAGTAAGGAATCCAAATCCTCGAAACAGCATGGTTTTTTCAAGCCGCTGGCGCATTTCTTGCTAGGTGATAAAGACCCAGCACCGCCCAAGAAGGAGGGAGAAGAAAATGAAGAAGGTGATACCTCGGTGCTGCCCTCGTCGCTCTCATATTTGCATGGGAAGGGCTTGACATCGACCATTCGAGATCATGGTCGTATTGTTCGAACGCGTCTGCTAAGCAAGCAAGTAGGCGAGGATGCGTACTTTCTCAAAGCCGATGCCCTGGGTGTGGCAGATGGCGTGGGTGGATGGGCCTCCAGTCCACGAGCGGACCCAGCGCTGTTTTCGCAGTTGCTGATGCACTTTTGCAAGGCGGAACTGCGTCAGATGGATACCGAGTGCCTGCAAGCGAGTCTGGGTGATGACCGAGATGCTTTGTATCGGTGGATGAACTAAGACTTGGTAGAAGTGATGCAAGCGGCGTGGGAGCGGTGCGTTCGTGCCTCCAAGCGGGAGGGCATTATGGGCAGTTCAACGGCGCTGCTATCGATGTTGCGCGGCGATGAATTGCACATTGCGAATATGGGAGACTGTGTGCTGCTGCTGATCCGCAATGGCGAGATGATTTTCCGCAGTGCGGAGCAGCAGCACAGTTTCAATTTCCCTGTGCAGCTCGGCATGATGGATGCGACGGTGGAGAGTGTCACGCTGGCAAGGGCGCTGTGTATGCATCGAGATGGTATGATCCCCGATGGTGCCCAGGACCAGGACTTGCCGGATGTCAATGAAAATATGAGTGGGTACATCCGCTCGTATGCTCCGCAGGTGTCGGAGGATGTGCCGTATGACAGCCCGCGGCATGATGCTGGCTACTGGGTTCTCCAGGTGCAGCCTGGCGACTTGGTGATTATGGCGACAGATGGGCTGTTTGACAACCTATTTGATGATGAGATTTCGGAGGTGGTGCAGGATGTGATGCATGACCTGGGCCTAGCGTGGGGCAGTGAAGATGTGGATACGAATGAAGATTTGCCCTACCTAGTGTCGGAGCAGCTGTGCATCAAAGCGTACCAGAACATGCACGACTTTCGCGTGCTGGCCAGCCCGTTCCAGCAGCATGCCAACGAAGAAGGTATCTACTATGTGGGTGCGAAGAACGACGATGTCACGGTGCTCTCTGGCGTGATTCGGAAGCGAGGAGAACCTTCGTACGATCCGTTGGACGCGCCGAGCCAGGGCACGAGTATGGTGTAGAGGTGGGGAGGGGCCCGGTAGGGCATGTTAGACAAATGTATTGATAGCCTAGTAGGTACGAATTTTTCGTCACGCACGCCGACGCTCGTCGTCTCTGTCCACATCCACGTCCCCCGGTTGTCGTCCATGGCGGAGATACCCACGTGCGTGCCAGCGAACACCATGGCCGCTTCCTCCAGCAAGTGGACGCTGGACAAGCTACGTGATGCGAAGCAGCAGGCGTGGGACGCCGAGCAGAGGTAGGTAGAGATGATGACTCACAGCAGTACACGCGCACAAGAGTACCGACTCAAAGCACGGCAGTTGCTTTTTCTTCTGCGCTCGATCGAGTCGGATGTCCAGGCGGCCGGTACGCCACCGAGTGGGGTCCCACAGTTGGAAGATACGGATGCTGCGCTCGAGGCCTGGGCGGGCCCCGCCGACACGTCGGCCCACGATGCGATCGCCGAGCGGATGCAGAGTGCTACACAGACACTACGAGACCGTGCTCAGCAAGGGCTCGAGGCGCACAAGGAGAGTGCACAGCGCGCTGCAGCCTCGCGACCTTCGTCCAGCGAACATGCCGATCGTACGTCAATGCCTGCGCCGACCAAAGCCGCGTCGTCACGACCGCCGACTGCGTCGGCGGCCAGTCATGCGACGACAGCGGCCCCTTCGTCGCGCGCGAGCATCCAACTCCCGCCGTCGCCCATGCCCCACCCTGTGGAATACGAGCAGACGCTGCCGAATCCGCTACCGCCGCTGACATTGCAGGCGTTGGCACCGAATCCCTTGTCGGTAACGTATGCTTCGTCGCTTCGGCCGCTGCCGCCTGACCCTACGCGGCGTATGACAGGGATCGGCACAGGCGGTGGCTCCATGCACAATCGCACACGTCGTACCGCGCAGCGGCCGGCAGCAGGCAGCAAGGGCCACCTGAAAAACATGCCTACTGCGCCCGATCTGGGGCGGTGGGCGATCCGGGCCCGAGCGAGTTCCAGTGCGGGATTGGTGCGCAAAGCGAACAAGTGTCTACTTACGCGCGACTGGAAGGTGGCATTTACAGAGCAAAAGTTCGTCAAGGCAATGATGCGCATTGACGAACTGAAGCAGCAGGGCCAATGGAGTTTCCGGCAGCCGAAACGGATCAAAGGCCCCGTCGAGCGGAAAACGCATTGGGACTATATGCTGGAAGAAATGCGATGGCTGCAAACGGACTACCGAGAAGAGCGCAAATGGAAACTCGCCTTGGCTTACGAGTTTGCGCACCAAATTGCGCAGTGGCATCGCTCGTCGCCTGCCGAACGACGTGCGCTGTGTGTACCACGCAAGCGCCCGGCAGAGGCCAAAGCCATGGAAGTGGACGAGGTGGAGCCAACTCCACGCCCGCCTATGCCTACTGAGGACGTCGAGATGACCGCCTCCCACGAGGCTGTGGATGTGGCCGGCGCAGCGGCCAAGCCGGCGCAGGTGCCAGAACCTGAGGCGGAGGCGAAGCCTGCGCCGAAACCTGCAGCAGCGGCAGCAGCGGACGCCGAGGCAGAAGCAGAGGCCGAGGCCGAGGCAGAAGCGGACGCCGAGGGTGAAGAGGAGGTCGCCCCTCCGCCGGAGCCGACGCTCAGTGTGCCGGACACGGAGGCGGAGCCTCTGGATACGCCAATGCGGGCCGAGGCGGACAAGGACGTGACGCTGAGTAGCAAGATGCCACTGGCGCTCATTACAGCGGTTCGGGCGCCGATCTTTAGCCTGGATGCGACGACGACCATGGTATCGTCGCAGGCCTTGGTCGAGCAGCTGGATCCACAGACGAACGAGGCGGTGGCGCAGCTGGTGAGCACGGCGGCCAAGGCAGAAGGGACGACCATCGATGCTACCTCGTCACCGTCAGCCAGTGTCGATGCGGCAGAGCTGGACTTTGGCAAGCTGTTCCCGGAGCTGCCGCAGTATGCGCCGCCACATGCAGCGGAGGATCCCGTGCACCAGAAACGGCGCGACGATACCAGTGCGGCGCCGTCGCGGCTCGTGCAAGTATCGCGCCTGCTGGATGCGAAGCCTGTGTTGGTCAGTACGTTGGACCCTGCCAACCACCGATCGCAGCACCAATGGCACAGCATGAACGAATGGACGTTGGCTGCCGACTGGGTCGACAAGTACTTGGGCGTGACAGAGTCGTCATCATCATCGTCGTCGTCGTCGCCATGGTCGGTCCCTGCAGGCTCTGTGCTGTTTGCACGCAAGGCCGGCAAGGCGCCACGGGAGCATGCGCCGCAGACAGGCCCACCTGTGCCCCCAGCGCGGCCGGAAGAACGTGTCCAGCAGCTGCTGTGGAGTGCGGATGACGATGCGTTTGTCCAGGCGCTGGCCAAGCAGTATGCGGAACATTGGTCGCTCATTGCCGATGTGTTTAATTCAGCTCGCTGGGTCTTGCCGACAGAGCGACGCACAGCCTGGGACTGCTATGAGCGATGCAAGTGGCTCGCGGACGAGCAGCGAGAACAGCGCCCCGTCGCAAAAGACGGGAAGAAGCCGCATCGGCAGCACTTGCTGGATGTCATGCGCAAATGTGCGAAGCGGCGCGAGCAAGCGCAGCGGCAAGCGGCCACGGCCGCGGCCGCGGCAAGTGCGACGACGAAGCGAGCTGTCTCGGCCAATGATACGCATACGCAGGTGAATGCCATGGCCACGCCGACGCCGCAAGCCCTGAGCATGCTCAAAGCGGAGCGAGATCAAGTGGCGATTCGGCAGTTTTTCGAGCAGCAACGAGCCGCGCAATTCGCCTTTGTGCAGCAACAGCAGCAGCAGCAGCAACAGCAGCAGCAGCCACAGCAGCCCTCCGGCGCGCCCTCAGCGCCCACGTCGGCACAGCCAGCGCCGCCCCCGTCGTCGACAGGCCAGCCCGCGGCATCGTCCACGCCACCACAGCAGCCACAGCCACAGCAGCCACAACCACAGCAGCAGCCACAACAGCAGCAGCAGCAGCAGCAACAACAGCAACAACAACAACAACAACAACAGCTACTGCAACGTTTGTCGCTGTCTCAAGGCGGCGCAGCTCCTGGCACAGCATCGATGCCTTCACCGTTTCTTCCGACCGACGAGCAGCGCAAAGCGGCTGCCGCCGCCGCCGCCGCCGCCGCGGCCACCAACGGTGCGTCCTCATCGTCAACGCCGACCAACGGCACGCCACGCACAGCAGCTGCATCGCTGCCACGGCCACCGACACCCGTCCAAGCCTCGCCCTCGCCAGCGCAGACACAGCAATACTTGGCGGCCCTTACCGCAAGTCAGAACGCTGCGAAGCACAACCCGGCGTTGCTAGCGGCGGCCGGCGCAGGGTCCATGCCGTACATGCGTGCAGGCCAGCCAGGGCAGCCGTACTATGGCCTAGACAACCAGGCGTTTGCCGCTGCCGTGGCAGGTATGAAGAATGGGGTCCCTGGCGCGCCATCGTCGGTCTCAGCCGCGGCGGCAGCAGCGGCCGCAGCGACGGGCAATGCAGGCGCTCGACCTCCGCAGCCGATTGTGATTGCGGCGTCGTCCCCTCAAGCGCAAGCGCTACGTTTGAATCGCACCGCGACGACGCCCATGGATGGCCGGCCCTCGCCTGTGAACTTTGGCACGCCCACGGAAGCAGGTCGTGCGTCCTCGTCGCCAGTGATGAATGCGCCGGCAGGCTCCACGACGACGACGGCGGCCCCAGGGATGCCGTTCCCCCCTGCGGCCGTGAGCTCCGCCGGATTGTCGCCCAACGTTCGACCGACCGGCTCACCGGCCATGGCAGCGGCCTCTGCGCCGCCCAATTTGCATGCACTGCAGCAGCAATTGGCCATTACGTTGGCAGCGTCGCACCTGAGTCAGGAACAAATCAACGGCCTTGCTATCCAGCTGTACAAGCAAGCGCAAGCACAGCAGCAGCAGCGCCAGGCGCAGGCACAGGCACAGGCACAGGCACAAGCGCAGGCACAGATGCCCAGTACGTCGCTGCATACGCCGTCGCCCCTCGCGCCTGTGGGTCAAGGCGCCACCGGCCCAGCGCCGGAGCCTGGCGCGGCTGCCATGTCACGCTTTGTCGGCCTATCTACACCCACGTCCAACGCTCCCTCGCCCTCGTCGCAGCGAGCCTCGCAGCCGCCGCCCCAAGGAGGAGGCGGGGTGCCGATGCCAGGCACCGACGCCACGGCACTGCCCGACGGCGCAGCTGCCGCAACGGCACGGTCGTCCGCGACGTCGCCAACCGGCCGCTCGTAAGACACAGTCATGTGACGGGATGAGGGTCTGATAGCGCTGGCGCTCCTCGTGGGAGGCAGGTCAGCAAGCAAAAAAAAAAAAAGGATCATCTATGTAGGAACTATACAGGGCACTAGGCACTTAGCCACGCCGAGAGAACAACGGCGACGGTCATGATAGGGATATACGGCGCATGAAGGTGCAGCGCTGACGAAGCCGGCTCTGAGAACGCTTGCACGCCTGCCTCCTGGTTGAGCTGCTGCACAAAGCTGTCGCCACAGGTTTTGCGTGCATGATCGTATATCGACTGCTGTGACTGCAGTACAGGAGAGCTTTCGATGCCAAGAGCATAGGGCGAGGCCATTTCAAAGGCAATGTACGACGCCAGGATACTCTGACTGCAGCGTGTACACAGCTGGGCCTTGTTTGTGGTATTCGAGAGGAAGAAGAAGAGCTGCTGGGGGGACAGATCAGGCAGTTGATTTACGTCTGGCATGCTCGCAGCCAGGACCGTCGTATTGGCCGTAGCGTGCTTGGTACTGCTGCGTGGAATGGTCGGAAGAATATAGTCCCAGTAGGCATCGCTGTATGGGTCATTGGGCACATCCTCCGGTAGGAACGAGCGGCGATACAGCTGTGTCAGCTCCATGTCCGCCTGGGTCGACATGCCTGTGCCCATCGATGCCAAGCAGTACTGGTTATGCTCGTCCTTGGTGCAGATAGCATCACGGAAGGGATTGAAAATGTACAGGTAGTCGTACAGCTGCGTCACATCTGGGTCACGCGACTCTAGCTCATCGCTGCACGAGTCCCAGAACTGCGAGATAAATTGCTGCACAAGAGGACGATCGCAGCCATGGTTTGTCGCACAGAGATCGTCCAGTGTATGGGACAGTACACCTGTAGCATTGCCACTGACAGTCTGGTTCGCAAACGCGGAAGTAGCCTCAATCAGAGGTTGTGTGCATGACTGGAAGACATGGTCATCATTCAACTGCGTGAGCAGTGTCGTGCAGGTATCAGAAATGTTCGTGGGAATCAACGCAAGAACGGGCATCTGGGCAGGCTCCCACGCCGCGTACACCGCCAGCGGCGCAACGCATGCTAGGATGCACCAACGCCACCGCACTGGGAGGAGCATCACGGCGAGAGAAAGAGCAAAAAGCCGCACCACACCACACCAAGGAGATCGTGACAGAGCTGCCATGCTTCTGAGGCTAGTGCAAGCGCCTTGCATAAACTCAGGCTGGCATGCATAATATTTTATGCGGCTCCCTCCGCTACATAGCCAATGGCGCGATCAAGCACCTCCACTATATGCAGCATGGACGCCTTGTCCTCCACCGCTAAGGTCTCGAAGGAGACGAGGCCAAAGTCCTCGACGACCTCGCCGAGCACTTCACACATGCGGGCGAGGCGCGGCTGTGTCTCACCGAGATAGTCTGTCAAGTAGTGCAAGTCTTGTACTTCGGTATAATAGTCCAGAGAGAACGCTGGTGGTAAGGCGCAGAGAATGACATACGTAGACTTTCTTGCTGTTCCTCGTCTAGCAAATCCATCTTGCTGAGCACATTGATGTGGGGCAGCTCGAGCATGAGCATCGCGCGTAGTGCCAAGAGAAGAAGCGCAATGTACCGCGATGGATCAACGAGGTGCGTCGCATCTGACAAATGCACGGCCACCAGCTGTCGTCAGTCATTCATGCTACGTACGCGCCACTCCTGCTTCTGCAGTCGCTCAAGAATGCGCTTCAAGCTCGGGTGATTCGTCGTTAGCTCTACTTGACCTGGAATATCAAATAGCACATAGTCATGCTCTAAGCGCGCTAGGCGCTCTTCCAGCCAGTCAAAGTTGTGTTCCAAGTACTCCATACAATACAGCATGGCGCCATTCGGGCCCAAGTCCAGCTCGGCCATCACATCGCGGACAGATATTAACTCAGACAGAGAAATGTCGCATGGATATGGTACAGTGTCATTGGCCGGGTCCAGATTTACGATGTGTACACCGCGTTCCAGCGCTGTGAGAAACTTCAATGGTGAGCCGCTACCTTGATCACGTACCTGGTACATGCCATGGCTGCGGACGCATAAGCTAGCGCGCATACGTACCAGTACGTCGTTTTGCCTGCGCCAGGCGGTCCAATCTGGGTGTCAATTCACCACGCGTACGTACCACCAGCTGTCCGTACTTGACCATCGCACGCGACGGTCGTCCGAAGCGAGTGGAGGAAAGTGCGTCAGGCGAATGGCGTCGGTAGGAAACATACAGGACACACCACCCCAAGGCCTTATCGCACAGAGTCCTGGCATGCAATCGCTACGTGTCTATGATACGCGGATACGCCAAGGGGGTAAGGGGGGCGTGAGCAGGAGCGTGGGGCATCACAAAGTAGTCTTGGGGACAAGACAACTATGACTTTACTTCGTTTGGTAGAGACGCAGCTTCTCTGGGCTGTACTTGAAGTTGGTCGCGTAGCTCTTCGGAGGGATACGAGCCTTGTTGGGCTCCTGGACAAAGAAGTCCCAACCCTGCTTCTCACAGAAGTGAATGGCATCCTCTGCCGAGTCAAACTTCATAGAAAGCGCCTGCTGGTGGTCAGCCGTCGAGGCCCAGCCCATGAGCGGGCTCTCCCAGCGGCCAGAGCCTTGGAGAATGTCAAAGTCCACGCGCCAGTCCTTGGTACCAGCCTTGCCCGACGACGTGGCGGGCTTCGCGGGCTGGTAAATGCGCACAGTACGCTGGTGGAGAGAATCTGTAGACGTGGTTAGTAGGAGACATACGTACTAGGGGCGTCGCTTACGATCGACACGGGCGCAGGGTTGCCAATACGGTCCACCTGCTCGGCCACAAGATCACGCTTCTGCGAGGCCGACGCGTTAGCAACAGCAGGCGCTTCGCTCTTCAGAGTGCGCATGCTAGTCGACATGGCGCGCGCCATGGTAGGCCGTGTGGCCAGGAGGTTGCGGCGGAGAATAGCACTCATTCTACGTCGAGCGGTGAAAGGAGCCGTTCAGCAGGTCGGTCGGTGAGACGCCGTGGAGCCACGTGGGTCCATCACGTGATGTGGACGGGCGGTCCAGCGCAGCGAGTCTCCTCGCGTTGGTTGGAAATCGAAGGGCGATGGTAGTGAGGACGAAATGCAGTTATGGACATCTACTTATCGAGCGTACAAGCTGAGTGTGTTAGTAGGCACCCATAAAAATGTAGTAGAAGGGGCGAAGCGGATCAGCGACATATAGTCATCAATGCCCTAGCTCGGATAATGTGGATAAGTTGTATTGGTTGTGTACATCCTTTCCGCTGGCCCCTGACGATACGTACGCTGACAATGGGCTCATGTGTGCATTGCGTGTGTGCATTGGGCCCAACGTGGGACCCTAAAGTGTATGTCCCTCAAGTGGCTCTCCTACACGTGTTGCTTGGTGAAGAGGCAAAAAGGTAAGAAAGAGCTCTCTTCGCGGCCCACACCTCCACATCCAGCCCGACTGCCAAAAAAACGGTCTATTTTCCGCGCAACGTGGCTCGATTGCATCGACGATGGTCGTGGTACTTCCTGGCGACGTGGTAGCCGACGCGGCGCCGTCACAGAATGAGATCAAGCTGGGGCCAAGTTTGCTGCCTACGCCCAATGCATCACAGGCACCAGCATCGCTGACGAGTATCCGCAGTGGCGCGCTGGGTCACTTACAGATGCGCCAACGTTCACGCGCCGAAGGCTCGCAGTCCACCACCCAAATCCACGGCTGGTATGTGGAAGGCGGTGCACGTCGATACGTACCGCAAACTGGCGATCGTGTAATCGGCCAGGTGACAAACCGCGGGATGGAATCATATACGGTGACACTTTTTTCTGCTCAAGCCGCAACGTTGCCTGTGCTGGCGTTCGAGGGCGCCACACGGCGCAACCGGCCCAATCTAGAGATCGGCGCACTGGTATACGCACGTGTCGTTAGCGCTGAGCCATGGACAGAGCCAGAGCTTAGCTGCATCGATGCAGTGACTGGCAAAGCGGACGGCATGGGCGAATTGCAGGCCAAGACGCCAGACGTAGCGATGGTGTGGCAGGTCCCTACCTCACTTACCCACAGCTTACTTCGCCCACAGCATCCACTGCTCGGCCAGGTGGCCAAGCACTTTTCGTTTGAGGCGGCGATCGGTGCCAATGGTCTGGTATGGGTGCGCACAGCGTCCCCCGAGCACGCCATTGCCATCGGACGCATCTTGGAAGCTGCCACAAAAGCCAGCGAAGCCCATGCGTTTTCGTCACCAAAAGAAGAAGAGGAAGATGCGGATACCAACCCCACCACGTTGCATCGGCGCGTAGCGCTCTGTGGTACCCTGCCTCCTGCGACGATTGCGCGTCTTGCACGCTCTGTATAATACCCTTCTTTTTCATAGCTATGGACGGCGCTGGCCTAATGCGACACCAAACATTGACCCGAATCGCTTCCAGTCTGGCAAAGAAAGAGAGGCTGCAGAGGCCATCGCGCCCGTCACCGCAGACGACGGTGTGCCAGGTCGCGAGGGCGTTGCACTTGATTCGGGCGTATCGTCCTTGCGCTCGCTTCCCCATTCTGGCATCGCATATACCTCGGCATTGGGGTCAAGTTGTAAGGACGACAGGGGCGACGAGGTAGGAAGGGCATCGGGTGCGCGATCAATGGCTGCTAAGAACTCCTCGACCATTGGATTCTGGTCCACGCGGCGCATACCCTGCGAGTCAGTTCGTTGTCTAGGTACATACGTGTAAGTCGAGAAGCTTTTGGAAATTGGTCAGTGATTGATCCCCGACATGTTGGCGGTACGCGTCGACCCACGCACGTGGCTCTGGAGGCGTCGCCAGGACTGGCAGCCACGGGGCAATGCGTGTCAGAGCCTTATCAACATGGCGGCGGTAGGCCGACTGAGCGGACGACGCAGTGGACGTGGGCGTCGGCGCCGCTGCGCCACTCCCACTGCCCCATGTGCCTGTGACGCTTGGCGCATCGAAATGCGGCAAGTCTAGAAGAAGGTCACGTACATGTTGTACATCCGCCTGCAGTTGCTGCGCCACGATCCGGCGAATGGGGCGCAGACGGACCAGCGTCTGTGCTAAGCGTGTCGTCACCAAGACCACGGCCTTATCGCACCACGAACGAACATACCGCTTGTTTTCCACATGGTGACGAACCAGGACGCCGATCCGTTCTAGGCCGCTGGCAAGCAAGTCGATCCATGGACTCTTTTCGTCGACGTGATCGCGCTGCGTCCATGGTGTGTCTGGCTTAGCAAGGGCCAAGAATGCCGGGTCCAAGGCTAGGTGCAGGGCACGCACAAGGCTCTGCAAGGCGGTGGCCAAGGCGCCGAGGAACGCATCACGCTCGGTATCGAGCAAGAACGGCGCTGCCTGGGCATCTGCTGCGCGGATCTTCTCTGTGACTCGCTCGGCCAACTGCGTGCATGTCGTAGCACAGTAATCGGCGGTATTCAGGACGGTACATAGGTACAAGGCATCTCGGCTTTGCAAGGCTGGCATTAGAACATCGGACGCGTAGCGCCGTAGCCATTTCGCGTAGACATGGGCCAGGGCCGTCAAAGGCGCCTGAGGGCCAAGTTGGGCACAGCGCTCGAGTGTTTGGCGGTAATACGCAATCAAGTCGGTGGACGAAAGCAAGACATGCATCGGTTCCTCCTGCTCGGCCTGCGCTGATCTGCTCGTGTCCGCTGTTTGTGCTTGCGTGGCAGAGGCGGCCCACTGCGACATTTTTTCGGCCAGGACCTTGTCCTGCGCATCGACAAACACGCCGAGGTACGGTGTGAAGGCCGACGACAGGGCGCGGCCATGGCAAAGGGCTGCAAGCGAGGTATGGTATTGCTTCTCGACGTACGCCTCAAATTCGTTGGTGACATGCAACGCCTGCAGCAATGTATCGACATCGAGGCGCGGTTGCTCACGTACGAGCACGCTCTTCAGGTCGTCGAACGTAATATCTGCAAACAACGCTAGCAGTCGGTGTTCCACGTGCCACTGCGGTAAGAAAGCAGGCGCATGCTCGGAGGTATAGGTGCGTAACAATCGACGGACCCAAGCGTATCGCCGCGCGACATTATCGAGCTGACCAGCTTCATCCGCCGCACGGAACACTCGTCGGTATTCACGCAGCTGGCGTGTGCAATACCAGTCCAGCAAGGCGTGTGTCACATCGCCGCCCAGCGCATCGACCACCAGTGCGACGTCCGGCAAGGACGACTCGTTGGCGTCGATACGTACACGAGCCTGCTGTTGGAAGGCCTTTTCGTACTCTTCCATGGCCATACGCTGCAGCTTGGCACGCAGGGCCTCGATCTGTGTACGTTGCTGGGCCATGGCGGGGACGTGACCGAACGGCTCAAAGTACGCGAGGAGCGCTTGCAGCGCTTGCAAGGTCGATGCAGCCTCGCGGTACTGTTGGTCTTCGCATACCTGCTCGAGCTGGAAGGTGCTGCTTACTGTCATTGTTAGTGTAGGATGACGCACCTAGCATCTGAAGACGACGTAGCGTCACGATGGATTGACTCACATTGCGTTTCGCCATATCCAGCCACCGGATTTCAGCGGTAATCTCGCCGACGCTATGCTCGGCACGCGCTGCATGCTCTTCGAGTTCGGAGAGCGAAGAAAGGAGTGCCTTGGCTTCGTGTGCGTGCAAATCAGGCTTATGTTGCGCCGCCTGTGCCGCTAGGGCCTGGGTATCTTGGCGATGCTGCGTAAGACGCGTATAGATGTGTGCTTGTGCCTGCTCGACGTGGTGCATGCCGAGACTTGTGCCGTCATGCTGAAGCAGTGCATCTACTTCGCGGCACACGGCTGCCATCTCTTCTTCGTCAGGGGCCTGCATGCCTACCCCTCGTGCAAAGTCTGGCTCGTTCGCCTAGTCACACACACTCTTGCGAGCGAGCGAGCGAATGGACGTGACAGACGGCGTGTTGCAGTGTGGCTTAAGCGTGGGGCCTACAAGGACCATGTGGATCCGCTTCGCAACCACATCCACGTGCGCACGGGGACCAGGCAACGTGACGCGCTGAGGGGCGTGGCCAGCCACTCAAGCCACGCAAGCACACGCGCTGGGTCGTGCGGCGGGTGCGCTCAGTGGCTGCCCGCAACGCTGGATTTTTTAGCGCCGTTTTCCCCACCTGTGCCTTTTCATACTGCTACGATGGATATCGGCAAGTACGTGTGTGGTGTAGGCTGTATGGGCCTCGTGCCCATGCATTCTACATGGTAGAGCAGGCTAACAAGCAGGAAAAAAGACTCAGATCTTACGGCACCGACGCCGCAAAACACGCCACTGAACACAGCACCCCTTCAACGTGAGGCGCTGGCTCTCCCCACAGTAGGCACAATCGGAGAAGAGGATGAGACGGCGGCCAACGTGGCTGCTGCACTCCCCAATGCTGCACTGACTGGTCTGATCCAGAACCGCCTCTCGAGCTTGGTGGGGCTGTCATCTGGCTACATTGAGTCGCTCCCTGAGGAGGTGCGTCGTCGTGTGGAAGGTCTGAAGGGCCTCAATGTCGAGCACCAGAAGCTGGAGGCAGAGTACCAGCGTGAGATTCTGGCGCTGGAGAAGAAGTTCTCGGAGCGTTACAAGCCTCTGTACGAGCGCCGTCAAAAGATCGTTCTCGGTGAACTGGAGCCTACTGCAGCCGAAGTTGAGGCGGGTGAGAATGCTGACTCGCTGGACGAAGACGAAGACGACGAAGATGAGGAGGATGAGGAGGACGAGGAGGACGAGGAGCCACGCGCGAAAAAGTCGCTGGCGAACATCTCGATCAAGACGGATGCGCCGAAGGGTATTCCTGAATTCTGGCTTACTACGCTGAAGAACCATGTAGCGCTCTCGGAGCTGATCACAGAGCGTGACGAGGAGGCGTTGCGCCACTTGATTGATGTGCGTCTGCGCTACCTGGATGCGCACCAGAATGCGGCGCCGGGCCAGGCGCAGCAGGGCTTCCAGCTGGACTTTGTGTTTGACGCGAAGAACAACGAGTTCTTCAGCAACGAGGTGCTGACCAAGACGTACTTTTACCAGGACGAGGTGGGCTTCTCTGGTGATCTTGTGTATGACCACGCGGAGGGTGTAGAGATCGCTTGGAAGTCGCCCGAGTGCAACTTGACGCACCGCGTCGAGACCAAGAAGCAGCGCAACAAGAACACGAACGAGACGCGTACAGTGAAGCGCCTGGTGCCGACTGACTCGTTCTTCAACTTCTTCTCGCCGCCTGTGCCGCCGCGTGACGATGATGACGCGGACGACGAGGAGCTCGACTCGCTGGAGGAGCGTCTTGAGCTGGACTACCAGATTGGAGAGGATCTCAAGGACCGCATCATTCCTCATGCGATTGACTTTTTCACTGGCAAGGCGTTGCGGTATGAGCAGCCTGACTGGGAGGATGAGGATGCGTTTGACGACGACGACGATGACGAGTACGACGACGACGACGACGACGACGACGAGGACGGTGCGGCGGCGCCGGCCCGTCAGGACCCGCAGGAATGCAAGCAGCAATAAGTGTTGTATGACGTATATCTACCCATTTACGTCTCATTACGATGCGTACATATTTCTATGAGGCGACGGTCCATCCATCGCTGGTACTGCTCTTGTCATCATCGTTGTCATTTTGGCTGTTCTTGGATTTCTCGTTTTTGTTGTGAGCTTCCGGCAATGGCTCCTTCGACTCATACATAGGTTTGTGCATAGCCACATCAAACAAAGGCGCTTCCAACTGGGTCGCGCGGATCTGCAGGTCGGCCAGGTCCTCGGCATTCATGCAGACAAAGCCCAACAACACGCTGGGATCCATCGCACTCAGAGGCATGGACTGTAGCTGCGGCGTGTGGAAGGTTGCCAGCTCTTCGCTGGAGTACGCCCGTGTGTACCATGCATCGAGCAGCGCTTGGTGCTCACGCAGCGGCGAGTGCAGCAGCGTCGGGGGTGGGTGCCGGAATGGGACACTCGGACGCACCTGGTGTGGATCGAGGTACAGCAGCTGATCCTGCTGCACGCCGACAAAGTAGAGGGAAGCGCTAGGCCGTCCGCCTGCGATCCCGATCATCTGTGGGAGCGTGAACAGCTGCTTCAGCGCATGCTGGTACGACGCAGGGACCGAGCCCAGGCCGAGGCGCTGCGCTGCAAGGACGAGGACGGGGCGTGTCCAAGGCTGCTCCGTGCCTGGCGCCATGGAGGCTTGCGTCACCTGATCCACGTAAATCAGGCCGTCATTGGTCGTCGCCACACCGAGGCCACAGGGTTCGTACGCGTGGAGGCACCGCGTCACGGCGGCAGCCGCGATGCTAGGGCCGTACCAAGTGCCCACAGGCTGGTCCATTTGCACGCCGTGAGCGACGAGGCGGTGCAGACTACAAGCGCACTCACTGCTGGGATCGTCAAGGAACCAGGAGGTTATGCGCACCAGCTGTGCGTCGCTACACCCTTGTCGTCCGCCATGCGCTCGCACGAGGGCGTTGGCCACGAGCGACTGCGTAGACCGAAGCATGCAGCCCCATCCTGCATCGGTGGTGAGGCCCGCAGCAGGCTGCGTCAGTGACAGTGCGCCGGCGTACAGGGCATGCACACAGTTCCATACGCCAGGCAGGCCTGCTAAGGTGGTATGATGACGTACTGTATCCAGTGTCGACTGCACGAGGCTTGCATTGAGTAGCAGGGGCGTGTGGTCTACACCTGGCCGCCAAGCCGCTGGCAGCTGCCAGCCGCACTTGTCGAGCTGCTCCACAATCCACTGGTGCACGGCTGTGGTGTTGTCTAGGAGGTGCGAGGGGGGGAGTGTCCAAGGCGATGTCGTCGTGGGGGTATCTTGAGGGGGGGTGGTGGACGTAGCGGCCGGCGATGTCGTAGGGGTATCATGCGCCGCGGCGCCGGGGGGCGGATCGCGGGCATACAAGGCCTCGGTGGCTACCGCAATGGTCTTGGCATTTGCTTCTTCGTCGCCAATGGATCCTGTACGAGCAATTGGCGTAAAGTGGCTGCGGTAGGTACACCAAATCAGCTTGGAAATCGCCATGTCCATCTCGTCATGCCAGGCATGCGACGACGCATCGTCTTTCGGCGTGGGTGTGTCGCAGGCAGGGCCAAAGTATTCGCCCAGGATCCAGGCGCCGGCGTCGTCGGTCGTCGTCGTCCATGGCCGGACCAGTCGATCGTAGGCCAATTGCCATAGAACGGTGGGTACATGGGTTCGTAAGCGATCCGACAAGCGGTCCACCACGCGGGGAATCAGGGGTGGAGAGACGAGCGAGATGCGGCCGCGCGTGGCCGGTCGTGCAGGTGCCTTGAGCAAGCGGCGTGTGCTGGTAGCGCGACGCACGAGGGGGGAGGGGCGGGTTGCTGTGGCGGCCGCGTTGCCTAGGCCATCGCTACTGCTGGATGTGGACGACGACTCGGTCTCGAAGGACGTGGACGTCGTCGCTGTCGCCTCGCTCACACGCGCGATCCATTGCCGAATTCGACGTGTTTGCATACGTTCTGAGCGCTGTTCTGCGCTCTGCGTCGCATCGCCCTCGCTATTCGATTCCGAGATGGCGATGGCCGGCATGGCCACGGCGCTGTCGCTGTATGAGAAACTAACGCGAGCTGGGCGTGGCGTGAGCGGAGCCCACTCGAGTTTGGGTCGGCGGCCACTGGAGATAGAGGCATGGCGTGCATGCCCCAGGGGCGGCGGCTGCATGGAAGAGGCGCCGGACGAGTCGTCAGACATGCAGCCGTTCGATGCTGTGCGTTGTCAAAGAGCGGTGGTGGTGGGGTAATGTCGTGCCTCCTTTCCCCACGTAGTCGTCACCGAGGCCCAGGGTATCTGCAAGTGGAGGTGTGTCAGCAGGCAGGCAGGCCGCCTTCGCCCCCGACGCTGTGGGCGGCGCAGCCGACCCGGACGACGAGGACGCCGTAGCATGGATGCACGATACGGCGATGCAGGACGAGGCGTCAGAGCGCTCAGGGGGCCCGGACTGGGACGATGAAGCGAGTTTTTTTCGGCGTATGGCAGGGCGTATGTACAGTGGCGCACGAACTGACATCGCGCAGCGTCGAGCCACAAGGCCTGTGTTGAGGCGGGGGCGCGGATCGAGCAAATGTAGGTGGATGGGACCTGACATTCCAGCATTCACGACGTATCTGTGGGCTCCTCGTTCTACGAAAACCAGAAACGCAAGCATGAAGCTGTATCGCGACGCATCGCACACCTGCTACGCAAACGCGACGAGCGTTGGACAGCCGCGTCGGCGGCCCAGAAAGAGGCCATTGTGCGCCATGTGGATCGCATGGCCGCCGATCTGGAATGCGATCGGACGCTCTCACGCACCTTTCTGCACTGCGATATGGATATGTTTTACGCTGCGGTGGAATTGCAGCGGCAGCCTTCGTTGCGGGGCCAGTGCTTTGCCGTCGGTCATGGGGTCCTGCTCACCGCGAGCTACGAGGCACGGCGGCACGGTGTGCGGTCGGGCATGGCCGAGTTCGTGGCGCGTGCGTTGTGTCCTACGTTGATTGTCGTCCCATCGCATTTCGATGCGTACCGCCAAGCGAGCGAGGCGGTGATGCGTGTCTTGCGTACCTACGATGCCCGTTTGTACTCGCGCAGCTGGGACGAGGCGTACTTGGACATCACGCCGTACCTACGTACGCACCACAGCACGCCTCGCGCAGTCGCCGAGCAGCTTCGTGCCGATGTCGAGCAGGCCACCGGGCTTACGGTAAGTGTCGGCATCGCGCCGAACCTGCTTCTCGCCAAGATCGCGAGTGATCGGGCGAAGCCCAATGGCGTGTGCGAGGTGGCGCCTGACCGCGATGCCGTCCTTGCGTTTGTGCGGCCGCTGGCCGTACGCCAAGTGCCTGGCATTGGCGTCGTGACGGAACGCGTCCTGGCCGCGATGCAGGTCACGACGTGTGCGGATTTGTGGACGCGACGTGCTGAGCTGAGTGTGTGCCTGGACGCCTTCCGAACGCTCTTGGCCGCGACGCTGGGCTTGGGCCCGACGCGCGTGACGCAGCCGACGCGCGACGAACGCAAATCGGTCGGCCGCGAATCGACGTTTGCGCCGACGTCCGACCCCGCCCAGCTCCATGCCCGTCTGCGCCAGGCGTGTGAGCAGGTCGCGCGTGATCTACGTCGGCTCGAGTTCCGTGGACGTACGGTGACGCTCGTCGGCAAGCACGATACGTTTGAGCGGTTTACACGCGCGAAAGCGGTGCCGCGGGGCGCCGCCACGTTTGACGAGTTGTACGATACCGTGTATACCCTATTGGAACAGGAACGCCAGTCGTTTCCCGGCTCCCTTACGTTGCGCCTGCTAGGCGTTCGTGTGTCGTCGCTCATGGACACACGCGCTGCGCGCACGGGCGTCTTGGCGACGTGGCTACGTACGCCGACGTCGCGGACGAACGACGACGACTGGCATGCCCTTTCCTCGTTTGAGTGCCCGATCTGCGGCGAGGCCCAGCGTGTGTCTCACGCTGCGAAGCTCGCACAGATCAATGCGCATATCGATGCCTGCCTGCAGTCGTCGGTGGCGCCGCCGTCTCGTCGCGAACGCCGCCGTGCTGCGCAGCCGACCATCGACACGTTTTTCCGCTAGTAGTAGGCATCGGCGCCGGCATAGGTCCGTGGCGTGTCGGTCGTCGTTGACGTTGTTGACGTTGTCGACATCGTCGTCACAGTCGACGGCTGCCTACCAAAGGCGGGCGTCAGCGTGAACGTTTTCGGCGCCAGCGCCGCGCGTCCTTCCGACATGTACAGCTGCACTTCGTCGGCGGTGGGGATGCGCTGAAAGGCCACCGCCTCGTTGGTGCGTTGGTACGCCGTGAGCCACCGCTTGATGCTGGCGTGCTCATGCACGTACCAATCGTACGAGTCCTTCGTCCGTCGTAGTTTCGCACTGGTATCGCTCGGCATGATCTGCGCGAGGGTATGAAGGGCCAACGTGAGGTACGCAATGCCCCAGCCGATATTGTGTGCATGCTCGCCGGCATCAATGCCGAGCCACTTGAATGCAAGGCACTTGTGCCACACCGCCTCGGTATGCGCATAGCGCAGCCAGGCGCCTACACCGTCGCCACGGCTGCTGGAGTCCAGGCGCAGGGTATGCAGGTACGCTTTGATTTTCGCGATGGGCGTCTTGGCTTCCATGCCGAGGCTCTGTGTGACGAGGGCATGTGCCTGGTCGTAGAGATGAGAGGTATGTAGATGCAATTTCGCCAGCAGCGACGCGGAAGGATGGTCGGCGGGCAGCGGAGGGCCGGCCGTGCCGAGATCGGTCGCGCGCCCTTTGGCAGGCGCTTTGAGTTTGCGGATGGCCAGCGCATGCGCATCGCCCAGCGCGAGTCTGTGTCAGGCAGCATGGATACGTACTTTGCCATACCTTGAGCGCCTTCTGCATTGAGTTCAGGCGCACTGGCCGTCGATGCATGGGCTTGGTATGCAGGCAAGTGCGACGTCGCGATCGCGTCCCATACTCCACTGGCGCGGCAGAGCATATCCGTCGCTACTTTCAGCCGCTCGTCCCGGCCACGCCGTTCCTGCGTCGTATAGCTCGCATCACACTCGTACATGCCCAGCGCATCGACCATGGTCTTGGCCTCGTTGCACAGGGCTATGGCATAGAGGGTATACAGACAACCTTGCTCGCCGTCGATGCCACGTACCACGACCTTGTTTTGCGGCGCGAGAATCGAGCGCCATGTACTCTCCGGCTCTTGCCGAAGTAGCACAGTATCATGCTCAATGCAGTACGCCAAGCCGACCAGATACGGAAGGTACTCACTCACGGCCTGTGGGAGTCGACGTCAGTGCACACCATCGTACGTACCTGGACGACAGGCAATGGCGCCTGAACGCCCCGCGCTAGCATCGATTCTACAGCTGCCCGCAGCTGGGTCGTATGCCCGACCTCGGCTTGGTACGTATCGGTCAGCGTAAGCTGCGTCCACGATACCGCACTGCTCGCCGGCCATGCATAGTCGAACATGGTGGACGTTCGCCTCCACACTCGGCGGCCGCGGGGGTCGGACTAGGCGCGGTCGCCTCACGCTCGCAGCGGACCTTGGCCACGAAAGTGACTGGCGCCCTGCGCGCGCTCTACCTGCTATGCCGTTGAGGGCCATCATGGGACCTCTGATACTCACACACACACACCCTATGTAGCACGTCAGCCAGCTGCGTGAGTGAGCCGATCCTAGGCTGGAACGTCGCTGTGCCTGCGTAGGACAGCCCCGTGGCCATGCCCTCTCATCGCCAGAGGCCTACCGTGCGTAGCTGAGGTTGGCTGCGTACGCAGGCCTACACCACGGACGTCCATGGCCTTGCACACATCGAGGCCCACTAGCCATAATTCCTTTGATATGCTTATGGTCACATTGTCAAGCTATGCGTCACCATCTCATCATCACCACACTACTAGCACTTAGTGGTGCGCGTTCTTGTGGTGCTCTGCACATGTTAGCCGTATCGCAATACATACTCAGGTGACCGTTGTACTCGAGCGTGTAACCGAACAGCATGAGACCAGCAATGGTCCACACAAGCGGCTTACCGCTCGCGTTCTTGCCGTCAAAGTACTTGGCCTTGATACCAGTAGCGCGCTTCTCCGGCTCCGAGCCCTTCGGGAGGGCCTTGTAGAAGCTCACCACAGCGTCGGTGTTGCTGCCGCTGGGGCTCGAGACGCTCTTCGGGGTAGCGATCTTCGGCGGGATCGGCAGGTTCGAGCTGTGGCGCACCTGCTGGCCAGCCACGCGCATAGCGCGGGCCGCCTTGGTCTGCTGCGAGAAGGCACGGGCAAACATTGTCGTCGTCCAAAAGAGGGGCGCAGCGAGGAGGCTGGCGCGCTGGCGGACCGCCACGGGTCAAGCCGGCAACCGCTGGACACATCACGTGATAGAGCAGGCCAAGACGCTTCTCGCTTCGCTCTCCTGCTACAGACGGCGCGTACATAGATCGTATATAGGCATCAAAGCAATATGCAATTTTGGGGCTAGAGGCTACCTAGCTACTCACACCCATCCACAACGAGGGCGTGGCATTTAGTGAAGCTTCTTGCCGGCACGGGCAAGGTGCGTGGCGTGCTCCACGTATGGGGTGGCCGGAACAGGCACCTCCTGCCAGAGGTCGGGGGTAAGCACAACGTAGGTCTTCGAGACGGCCTCAAAGGTGGCCTTCAGGAAGTTACCCATAGTGGCAGTCTGACCCTTCGACTGGGTGTACACATCCTCGATACCAGCAAGCTGGAGAAGGCGCTTCGGCGCCGGCGCGGCAACGATACCGGTACCGCGGGGAGCAGGCACGAGACGGCACATAACCGAGGCCGTCTTACCCGAGACCTTGGTGGGCACAGTGTGCGGCTTACCAAGAGCGCTACCCCAGTAACCACGGCGGACAGGGATGATCGAGAGCTTGGCCATGACAATGGCACCGCGGATGGCGGTAGCCACTTCCTTGGCGCACTTGACACCAAGACCCAGGTGGCCGTCCGAGTCACCGATGGCCACAAAGGCCTTGAAACGGGTGCGCTGACCGGCACGAGTCTGCTTCTGCACAGGCGTGATTTTCATCACCTCGTCAGTGAGCTTGGGCAGGAGCATGTCAACAATCTGGTACTCCTTGATGGGGAGCGAGAACAGGTAAATCTCCTCCATCGACTTGATCTTGCCGTCCTTGACGAGACGACCCAGCGAAGTCACAGGGACTGTATGCGTTAGTCGTGGTATCATGGCGAATACATACCCCACTCCTCCTTCTCGTCCTTGCGGGCACCGCGACGACCGCGGCCACGACCGCGGTCACGTCCAAAACCACCACGTCCACGCTCAGCCATCTTGCTATGAGTGTTAGTGAATGAACTTTCCAAGAGGGGCCTCGGTACGCGAGGCTCTGCGATGCGTACCTTGTATTCGTTGAGGAAGTAGTGGAAACTACGAGTCCAGCGCACTGGTGGGAAAATCGCCCAAGGGCTTCTTCGCCGCAGCGCCTCTCTCCCACGCACGCGGTCCGCTAGGGGGGTGCAGATCTATATTCCACGTGACCAAGTATATTTTTTCGGCCGACCAGGCCATGCCCAGGGAGCAGCGCTGCGAACGAAGGACGCCGCGCGCGCACGCCGCAGGGCTCTTTCTTCACACGCACATTTTTCTGGAGGTACGTCGCCTCGCTGTGGCTCATCTTGAATAGTATCACCATGGCTTCGAAGCACCCTGCCGTTCTGAACCCGACGCCCGAGGACATTAGCCTCCTTCTGGCCGCCCAGACTCACATCGGTACCAAGAACTGTGAGAAGGCCATGCTGCCGTACGTGCACAAGCGCCGTGCCGACGGTATCCACCTGATCAACCTCGGCAAGACCTGGGAGAAGCTCGTACTCGCTGCCCGTGTCCTTGCTGCGATTGAGAACCCGGCCGACATCTGTGTGATCTCGAGCCGCACCTACGGCCACCGTGCCGTGCTCAAGTTCGCCGCCAACACGGGCGCTACCGCCATTGCTGGTCGCTTCACCCCTGGTTCGTTCACCAACTACATCACCCGCTCGTTCAAGGAGCCGCGTGTGATCGTGGTGACGGACCCGCGTGTGGACCACCAGGCCATCCGTGAGTCGGCCTACGTGAACATCCCCGTGATTGCGCTCTGCGACACTGACGCTCCTCTGCGCCACGTCGACATTGCCATCCCGGGTAACAACAAGAGCCGTCACTCGATCGGTCTCCTCTGGTGGCTCCTCTGCCGTGAGTTCCTGCGTCTCCGTGGCATCGTCCCGCGCACTCCGAACGGCTGGAACGTCATGGTCGACATGTTCTTCTACCGCGACCCTGAGGAGATTGAGCGTGAGCAGGCCGAGGCTGCTGCTGCCAAGCACGCTGCCAACGTCCACCACGCCAACGCTCTGCACATCGAGGAGCCTGACTTTGCTATCGAGGGCGCCGGTGCCGGTGGCGTGAACCCGTCGGTCGCTGCCAACCTCGCTGCTGGTAGCGAGCAGGTCGACTGGAGCGCTGACGCTGCGCAGGACTGGGCTGCCGACACTGGCGCTGCCCAGGCCACCTCGAGCTGGGACTAAACGTCTCACTGTCGGAGGGCGTTCTCTTTTTCACCCCTTAGGATGACAGGATCTGTCTCCACAAAAAACTTGCGTTGTCTGGCCTCTTACGTTCGGCTCCCGATGGAGAATCGCCCACTGGCGGGCGATGCGTAAGAGCCCATATTCCGAGAGCTTTTCTAGTGCCGTAGGCCACCTTGAATCGACTGCCAGTGCAACTAATAGATCTTCTGTGGGACGAACCTCCACTTGCGAACGTACAACGTCGACGTCCATGCGTCATCGCGATGGAGGGGTGCGAGCAGGCTCCCACGAAGCGCCCTGCGCCGCATGTCTCTAGTGCCCTAGACGATGAGGAAAGCGAGGTAGCTTGGCCACCACGTACGTCCAAGCCACGTATGACCCATACTATGCCGTCGTGGCTGACAACGGACGCGCAGCCCACGAAACCACGCAATCCCATGGCCCCTGTACATCGACCTAGGACCACCGACGAAGCGTCCACCCAGCCGCAGCGCCATGCACGTTCATCATGGCGTGTCCAGCACCGCGGCACGCATCCACGTCCTCCGAGCCCTAGCCAGTCCACCGATTTTGACGACGAGGGCTACGCGTCTCTGTACTCCACGGATTCGGAGGAGCTTTCTGAGACAGAGCAGGGGCGCATGACGGCTACATCTACACTGGGTCCTCTAGCTGCACGGCGTTTCCGTGCCATGCTGCGTAGCCTTACTATGCGTCGCGAACGCATTGCACGATGTATGATGTTTGCCTTGGACCATGCGACGTGGGCTGACGCGGTCAGTGAGATGTTGGCGCATTCGCTGATGCAGCCATCTACGCCAGTGGCTCGCAAACTCGCACGACTGTATGTGCTCTCCGACATTCTATGCAATAGTGATGCGCCTGTGCCACATGCATGGCGGTACCGCGAAACCTTCACGGCATGGCTGCCTAGGATCCTGCACCACTTTGGCGAGGTCATTCATGCATTTCCTGGCCGCATCAAAGCTGACAGGATCCAACGCGAAGTACGTGCTGTGCTGGATGTATGGGAAGCGCGTCTGCTGTTCCCTCCGCCGGTCCTGGCGCAGTGGGCTGAGGCCCTGACATTACATGCTACTAAAATACAACCTACCAACCAAACCGAAGTTGATCACGCGTAAATACAGGCGGCTTCCAATTCAAATGCTCGGCGTGGATACGCCGCCGTTTCTTTTTCATCTGTCGCTCATGCTTCTCGATGATGGCGTCCGAGAGGACCAAGTAATGCTTGCCTTGGTACTGCTTGAGCATATTCAGCGCCTGGCACGTCTGGAGCACATCCGCATGCAGAATGGAGGTCTTGGTCGCGATATCGTCAATGCTAATTTCATCCTCGGTCTTGAGCAGCAAATCGACGATGGTTTCGGACCAGTAGGCGCGGTAGCCTAGCAAACCCAAATCCGATAGAGGCTTCTCGGGGCTTCCCAACTTGTTCTCACGTTTGGAGAGTTCGTAGGAAAACTCAATGAGCAAACGACCAAAGCCACTGCGTTGGTGCTGCGGCAGGGTGAGAATACACGCCACATTGTAGCCTTCGGCACTTTCCTTCTCCTTGGAGAAGTAGCCGATCAAATGGCAGCCTGTGTTGTCGCGTTGACACATGACATAGTATAAGAAGGGGTCCACATCATAGTACAGTGTCTTGTGGTCCAGGAAACATTTGCTCAGTAGACACAAGTTACGGCACCACGTCTTTTGGCGGCGCCCATCAATTTCAAAGAAGCTAATGTCCTCGCATCGGTAGATTTCGTTGCCTGGCGGATGGAGGAGCGTACACTTGCGGCGGTGTCGGTTCAGCTGGAATTCCGAAGGAAAGTACGAAAGACACATTTCGCACAGGTATAGACAATCAATGTACGCATACTCCATTGGATAGGGACTAAAGTACCACGCTTCGATTTGGTGGCGCCCCATTTGAAGCATATTCAGATTCTTTACACGCGAAATCTCACTGGAGCACTGGGTCATAGAGCCCGAGGTACGGAGTTTCTCGACTTCCTTCTCCTTGCTGAACGTGTCGTCGCTCGGCTCCTTTTTCACGTCGTCGGTCGAGGAGGCGAGCACAGGTGAGTCAGCAGGGGCAGGCGTGCCTTGAGCAGATGGTGTACCCTGCACGACTTTGCGCTTGGTATTCTTGTTGGTCGCAGCGGGCTCTGGCGGCTTGGGCCATTCCATCTCCCGCGACAAGACCAGCTTGGCGGAGGGGACCCATTCGTCAAGACGTTTGTTGAATTCACAGTAGTGAACATAGAAATCCAGCTCGGGTTCCCTCTCCTCAATGGTATCTTTGCCCTGCTCCTGCATCTCCTGGAGCATATGCAAACGGTTCTGCCGCTTTTCCCGGATGGAGAGCACTTCTGCTAGGCGTTGCTCCACGTCGCCATTGTCGGGGTTGGTCTTCTCGACAAAGAGCTTGGCGCCTACTAGAATATCGCGCAGCGTGTACTCGCCGCCGGCGCTCTTCTTCGCCGGCTCGGTATCGGCTTTCTTATCACCGCCATGAGCTCGCGGCGCCATCGCTCAACGCAGCTCGCCTCGCCACAGCGGTAGCAAAGAGAGCCAGCGGAATTGTCACGTGATTACTCGTCGCTCGTCCGCGCGCGGCGTAGGGACGAACGGCGTGGTGAGGCGAATTGACACACCTACGACGGCGATCGATCATGTCGAGCCAAGAGCTGGAAGAAATCCAGCGCTTGCAGGCATCGCGCCAAGCTTCGAAACGGGGTCTAGGGTTTGCAAGTCAGCAGGGTGACAAAGACGTGTACGGATCAGGGGCGTCAAAGTCGTCGTACGTGGACGCTTTGCCGATGTCGGTCGGGCAGAACGACGGCGATGACGACGGCGACGATGCGCCACGGCGTGTGAACCCGCTCGATGCATTCTCAGCACCGCAGCATCTTCTTCATGAGTTTGCCGACGACTCCTTTGACCCGTTGGCAGAACGTGTAGCGCAGCGCCAAGTGGCTGCGCGTCAGTCGGAGTACCATAACCGTCGCTTCCAGCGCGATGCAGGGCCAGAGAGCCGCCGTGATCCGTTTGCACAGGGCTCTGAGACGGATGGCCACGAGGAAGAGGGCTACCGCGAAGCGATGCGGCGTGCCAACATTGAGCGAGAAGAGCAGCGTGTGCGTCGTGCGATCGAGGAGAAAGAACGCGCAACGCAGGGTGAAGAGCCTCGTGACGATGGGGCGCCCTCGAAGGAACGTGATGTGACGCCACCAGCGCCAGCACGATCGGAACGCAAGCGGCGCTGGGATGTGGCGCCGGACGATGTGGCGACCACGGCGGCAACGACCACGACGGACGACGACGCGGGGAGTGTGGCAAAACGTCGGCGTTCGCGTTGGGACGAGGTGCCTGCGGATGCGGAAGCCGGTGATGCTCCCAAGCGTTCACGATGGGACGAGGCGCCTGCGACTGACACGGCCAAGACGGTGGCTCCTCGTAATCCTCGTGTACGATACATGTCCGATGCAGAGTTGGATGCGTTGCTACCCAGTGAAGGCTACGTGATTGTAGAGCCGCCACCAGACTATGCGCCTGTGCGCGCTGGCGCTCACAAGCTCATGGATGACGCGCAGGCTGAGAGTGGGTTTACTATGCCTGAATCCTCAATGCTCGGTGCGATGGCGGACGATATTGTGGCGGATCTGCCGACAGATGTGCCGGGCGTGGGTCAGTTGGCGTTTATGAAGCCGGAGGACCAGAAATACTTTGAAAAAGTCCTGCAGGAGGACGATGAAGAGGAGCGCTTGTCTCGTGCCGAGGCCAAAGAGCGTGAGATTATGCGGCTCTTGCTCAAGATCAAGAATGGTACGCCGCAGCTGCGGAAGCAAGCGCTGCGTCAGATTGCCGATCAAGCGCGCTCGTTTGGGCCTGGGCCTCTGTTTGACAAGATTTTGCCGTTGCTCATGGAACGTACGTTGGAAGACCAGGAACGGCATTTGCTCGTCAAGGTGATTGATCGTGTGCTGTACAAGCTGGACGAGTTGGTGCGGCCGTATGTGCACCGCATTCTAGTGGTCATTGAGCCACTGTTGATCGATGAAGACTACTATGTGCGTATTGAGGGCCGCGAGATCATCAGCAACCTGGCCAAGGCGGCTGGACTGGCGCATATGATCAGTACGATGCGCCCTGATATTGACCATGCGGATGAGTATGTGCGCAACACGACAGCACGTGCGCTGGCCGTCGTCGCTTCGGCGCTGGGCATTCCAGCGATTCTGCCGTTCTTGCGGGCCGTCTGCCGCTCGAAGAAGAGCTGGCAGGCGCGGCATACGGCTGTGCGTGTCGTGCAGCAGATTGCGATTTTGATGGGCTGTGCTGTGCTCCCGCATTTGCGCAGCTTGGTCGACTGCATTGAGAAAGGCCTCGAAGACGAGCAGCAGAAGGTCAAGACCATGACGGCGCTGGCCTTGTCGGCCCTCGCCGAAGCTTCGGCGCCGTACGGTATTGAGAGCTTCGAGAATGTGCTCAAGCCGCTGTGGCTCGGGATTCGGCACCACCGTGGGCGTGGGCTGGCTGCATTCTTGAAAGCGATAGGGTTCATTATCCCCCTTATGGACTCGGACTCTACGCTGTACTTTGTCAAGGAAGTCACGCCGACGCTGATTCGTGAGTTTGCCAGTGCTGACGATGATATGCGGCGCATTGTGCTCAAAGTCGTGAAGCAGTGTGCGGCGACCGATGGCGTGACAGGCTCGTTCCTCAAGGCCGAGATGCTACCGGAATACTTTAAGCATTTCTGGGTGCGCCGCATGGCCCTGGATCGACGCAACTTCCGCGAGGTCGTGGAGACGACGCGGGCGTTGGCGGACAAGGTCGGCGTGAGCGAGATTGTGGGCCGCCTTGTGCATATGCTCAAGGACGAGAGTGAGCCGTTCCGTAAGATGGCGATGGATACGATTCAGCGCGTCGTTGCTGCGCTAGGCACTGCCGACATTGATGATCGGCTGGAATTGCAGCTGGTCGATGGTATGATCTATGCATTCCAGGAACAGTCCGTGGAAGACCACATCATGCTGGACGGCGTGGGTACCATTGCCAATGCGCTGGGCATGCGGATCAAGCCGTACTTGATGCAGATTGTATCGACGATTTTGTGGCGTCTAAACAACAAGAATGCAAGCACTCGTCAACAAGCTGCCGACCTCACGACGAAGCTCGCTGTGGTGATCAAGCAGTGTGGCGAGGACGCGCTCCTGTCGAATTTGGGTGTGGTGCTTTTTGAGCAGCTCGGTGAAGAGTTTCCTGAGGCGCTGGCGAGCATTATTGCCGCTGAAGGCGCGATTGCGAATGTCGTGGGTATGACGCAGATGAACCCGCCTGTGAAGGACTTGCTGCCACGCATGACACCGATTCTGCGCAACCGACATGAGCGCGTGCAAGAAGCGACGATCAATCTGATTGGCCGTATTGCCGATCGCGGCGCCGAGTTTGTGAGTGCGCGTGAGTGGATGCGTATCTGCTTTGAGCTGCTCGACCTGCTGAAGGCGCATAAGAAGGCGGTGCGGCGTGCGGCGGTGAACAGTTTTGGGTACATTGCCAAGGCGATTGGCCCGCAGGATGTGCTGCAAGTACTGCTTACGAATCTGCGTGTGCAGGAGCGTCAGAGTCGTATCTGCTCGACGGTAGCGATTGCGATTGTGGCCGAGACGTGTGGCCCCTTTACGTGCTTGCCGGCGATCCTCAATGAGTACCGTACGCCAGACTTGAACGTGAAGCATGGCTGTCTGAAGGCCTTGAGCTGGGTGTTTGAGTACATTGGCGAAATGAGCAAGGATTACGTGTACAGTGTGATCACGCTGCTGGATGACGCGTTTACCGATCGCGACGTCGTGCATCGGCAGACGGCGGCCAGCATTGTGAAGCACTTAGCGCTGGGCACGGCAGGTCTGGGCAAGGAGGACAGTATGCAGCACTTGCTCAACCTGGTGTGGCCCAACATCTTTGAGACGTCGCCACATGTGATTAACGCAGTGATGGAGGCGATCGAGGCGTTGCGTGTCTCGTTGGGCCCTGGCGTGATTCTGTACCATACCCTGCAGGGCCTGTTCCACCCCGCCCGCAAAGTTCGCGAGGCGTATGTGCGTACGTACAACACCAACTATGTGGGCGCCCAGGACGCCCTGGTTGCATTTTATCCATCGCTCACAGAGACGCAAGACGAACGGAACGACTACACACGTCATGATCTAGGCATGTTTTTGTAGACATCTAGCTATACCAATTCCTATGCGTCCGATGCGTCACTGTCCGTCTCCATCGCGGCCATGGAGCCCTCGTCGTTGTCGTGGTGCTCCGCAGCCACCATGTCCTCCGCCTCGACATCCTCCTCGTCCCATGGGCCCAGCACAGCATCCATAGCTTGGAGCGAGTACTCCAACATCGCACTTTCTACCAGCATGCGATCCACGCGCGCATAGTGGCGCTCCGTGTACGGCAACAGCCCCTCGATCATGGCGGTGGCGGATACGGGCGCAGGTGCCTTGGTTGTCGCTACGCTGTCGTCGTTCGACGTCGTCTTCTTGGCTTGCTGCTTCGCATGCTCAAACGCATCGAGGATCGTGTCGGCATCAATTTGACGCACGATCGCATGCAGAATCAGCTGCGCCATCGGCGATGTACGTGCCGATGTGTTCCAGTCGCGAATGTACGCCAAGAGCTGGACGAGCTGAGCATGCGGGAGCTGAGCGACAATCTGATCGACGGCCTCTAGACCGGTAATGCTGCCATGCCCTGCCTCCAAAGAAGGCAGGGAGGTACCCAACGCATCGGCCAGCAGGCGGTCCATCGAAGCCATGGCATCGTAGTCAGGACGCGAGGAGGCGACTTGCGTGAACAGCTGTAGCAAACGCCGTGGCTGATTCAGTTGGAAGGCCAGCGCAATAGCATTGCGGTAGTCTTTCAGGAGAACGAGATTGGAGAATTCCTGCTCACGCTCGACTGCCAGCTTGGCCTGCTGTGCCTTTTCCGCCTCGACCGTGGCCGTGGTATCGTTCCAGATCGCCATGGTACTATCCGCCGCGCCACTAATCAGCTGCAGGGGCGACGTGGCCTCGGTACGCTTTCGTACGGCCAAGGTCCATACCTTGTCCTCGTGCGCATCAATTGTGACCGCACATGCCTCGTCACGCACATTCCACACTTTCAACAGACCATCGTTGGCCGACGAGGCAATTTGGGCACCGCCCGGCAAATACCGCAGACGCAGCACACTACCTGTGTGCCCCTCAAACACACGCACGCAGCTAAAGTCTTTGAGACTCCACATGCGAACCGTCTGATCACTCGAGGCCGTGGCAAACGCTTGCTCGGCGGGTGAGAACTGGACGGACCATACACCGCGTTTGTGGCCACGGCAGGTCGCCAGCGCTTCCAACGAGGCGCTCGCACAGTGGCCATTTGATTTCGAGGGCGGCGTGTAGTGTATGCGGAAGACTTTGGCCGTGCGGTCTTGCGAGCCACTGACCAGCATGGCATTGTTGGGCGCAATATCGATCGCATTGATGTCCTTGTCGTGGATCTTGAGGGTCAGTAGCGACGAGAGTTTCGTCGCGCGGTCCTTGAGAGTCAACGAGGTCAAGTCCCACAGCTTGACGGTGCGGTCCTGGCTGGCCGTTACGACAAACGGTGTGCGGCCCGAGTCAGGCAACGTCTGTCGTGCCATCGCCACGCTACCGACACTCTCTGCATGGCCTTCACACACACCCAGACAGGCCCAGCCATCGCGCTGCTCGCTTACGCGCGCCCATACGCGCGCTGTACGGTCTTTGGAGCCACTTACGAGCCACTGTTGATCGGGACTCGTATCAAGGCAAAGCACCATATCGCTGTGTCCATCCACAAGCACCACGTCGTGGTCCTGGGTATCGAGTTTGTAGATACGCAGCTGCGTGTTGTTCGACGCCACGGCAAGGAATCGGTCGTCGACCACAGCTAGGTCCACAATTTCATCATTGTAACCGACGAGTTGGCGCGTCTGCGTCAGGCTCGGCGTCGTAGCATCGATCGCATACAATGCCATATCCTGGGTCGCAGAGACGCTCATGATGACATTGGCCGTGGGCGCCAGGAGTGCATCGGTAAGGCCATGCAGCTCGTCATCCTCTTCGTCAGGCTCCATAACGATGGCACGATGCACTTCTGCACCCGTCTGGACGTGCCACAGTCGCAGTGCGCCTTGCGAGCCTGCCGTGTAGAAGTAGGGCGACGAGGGAACGAAATGCAGCGCCTCAATACGCTCCTGCGCCAGCTGGATATCACGGCGGTGCCAACGTGCCTCTTTCCAGTCCCAAAACACGATCGTTTGGTCACGCGCCGCACTGACCAGCGTTTGGCCATCGGCGGCCATACCGATGCCACGCACAACACCTGCATGGGCACTCAGCACAGCAGTGGGCTTGGCGGACGCTTGAGCCGAGCCGTGCAAGTCCCATACACGCACTTTGCCATCGACACATCCGGTGATCAGCTGCACAGTACGTTGCTTCGTCCCAGGTTGACGCGCTTGAACATGCCAGTACAGCGCACTCACCACGCCGCCATGCCCACGGAAAACGTGCGTACAGAACCCGCCTTTCATATCCCATACCTTGACACTGCCATCGGCACTGCCTGTCGCAAGCAAACTTGAGGTAGGGTCGACTGCCATGAGGGCAATCGGTGCTTCATGCGCCTTGGCAATCGTTCGCACTAACGTCATGTCAGGAAGCTGGTAAAAGTGCAGGGCCAGGGAGCGCGAGGCTGTCACCAGGAACACATCGTTCTTCGAAAGCACGAGGCTATTGATATCTTCGCCATCCTGTGGTCAGAACGTCGTATACATACACCAGGCAGCTTGTGCAGAATGCGCGATGTCGACACATCAACGACGTGCACATCAGAGCCAAAAGTCGCGGCAATCCACGACGCATCAGTGGTCAAAGCAACAGCTCCACCCGAGTAAAATGGATCGAGCGAGTCGCCCTTGGCAAACGAAGTGCACAGGCGCGGCATGGACGCCGATCCGCCCTGCGACGACATCGTGCTCGGTCTGTGCTCGTTAAAAAAAAAATCGGCGTGACCTCGTGGCTGCGACGTCGAAACCGTCGCGTGGAGGGCCAGGCCAACCTCCACAAGGGAACCACCGACGGAGCTGACGAAAAAGGCGCCTAGCACAAAACCCCCTAGAGATCTGAAAGCAGGCCGCCGTGTAGGAAATTCGGCCATTTGTAAGCATGTCACCTGCCTGACATGGAAGGGAGCCTCGACCCCTCTGACAATGTCCCTCGTGTTTTATACATGAACGGACCTGTGTCTATAGATACACAGCAGCAGCCGTAGGCCTTTGCCTCTAGCGTACGTCCATCTTCCTTCGTAGGCTATCGTAGCGATCCTATGTGGATTTACACGCGCTCCTTGTTCACCTCCAAGTTCGATGTGTCGACCATAGAGCCCACAGGAACACCACGCTGCGGGTACTGGTCAAATGCACTACAATGTTAGACTCTAGGTGGCTCGCTGGACAATACGTACGCTGGGAACTTGAAGCGGTGCGCCGAAGGCTTCTGAGCATCCTGCATCAGCATCTGTGATTCGGCGCGCTGGATCGAGAAGTCCAAGTGCTTCTTGTTCTCCTCGCGGACCTGGTCCGCCGAGGTTTGGAGCGACTCAATCAGCTCCGTCAAGTACGGCTTCGCATCCGACGAGCCCTGCTTGGCCTTGTTGGCCGAAGATACACGCATACCAACGAAGCCAGCCACGCCAGCAAAAAGGATGAAGCCCCACATACGCGAGCTGAAGCCTTAGAAAGTGTTAGTATACGCAAACGAGAAGGAGAGATAAAGGACATACCTTGCTGAGGGTACTCTGCTGTCTGCTCTGCGGACATCGGCGCATGGCTAGCACGAACCATGCGCGACGTGTGCAAGCCATGCGAGCGCATGCTTGCGATCGTCGGGTTGACTAGCGCGCGCGAGAAGCGTGCCGAGGCCACCATGATTCGTCGTCTTCAGAACCGTTCGGCGACGGGGACGGCGGCCGAGCCAAGAGCCAGGCGATATCACGTGACAACGACGCGACCTCCACGGCGGCCGCGCCTGTTCTCCACCTGTGTGCGTTGTGGTATTGATGTGGGGGAGCCTCATGCGGCATGGAGGTGGTGGCTGGTCCACGCCTCTAGTAGCACGCTTGCTAGTATTCCTCCTTGCCATCTACACACCACTAGCTTGTGTCTATGCATCAGATGTTGGCATGGCTGTACGGCGCCGGCATGGGCATTCTACGACAACAACTACAACGTGGCGAGGCACATGCCTTGTTGCGCATCAAGATCGTATTCTTACATGCGATGGTGAGTTATGGCATGCTATACCTCAGGCAGGTACTATCTATACTATGCATGCAGATGATTCTTATGTATACGTGGGAGCAGCACGTGGCCTGTACACCCTGCGGCCACCTGCACAGGGCGTATGGGTTACGCAGATCCCTCGTGTCAGGACAATGGCCACCATCCCGAGTTCTGCATCCACACTAGTTTTGGCTAGTACCAATACATCTGGCCTTGTCAGATACGATGCGGATCTACATACCCTTTTCCCATGGTCGCCTGAACTTGCAGGGCGCATCGACATGCTGCACAACAACAAGACGCATCTTACTGTGCGCGGAGACCTCCAGCTATATACCCACAACATGAAGGAGGCTTACTATACCAATGGCACATGGTACCCAAGACTCGGAGAGATGCCACATGTACTACAAACGCTTGCAACGGAGCCAGGGCGCAGGCCACGTCCTTCGCATCAAGTGATTGGTTTATCCATTGCTATGGGCCTCGCGACAATGGCGGCACTCTCTCTCATTGCCGCAGGGGTTGGGTATCTATGTCATGTGCTCAGTATGCACGCAAGTGTTACGACATGAGGCCACGTAGACGCTCATGATGAGCTGGCCATGCATGCAATGCCAATGCACCTACCTGTCTTCGCGCATGGGCATACAAGGGTGACGTCACTTGCGCCTGCAGATACGTGATGAGATCGCGATGTCGTGGAAAGGGCTGGAGAACATGGACAAAAGCGAACCAACCTAGCCATTCGACGGCATCTCGACGCAGTCGACACTCCGCTTGGGGCTGCCATGACGTGCGTACATGCCGCACACGTGCCTGAATCCAGGGCCATACCATGCGAATCGCGCGTGCGATCACATGGAAGAGCGTTGGAACACGCGGCGCCCGTGGCTGTGCGCGTATGAACACGTGCCATTTGGCCGCGGCCAGAATAAATCCTTCCGTGAGGTTGGCATATGCCTGGGACGGCGGTGTTAGACGCGTATCTGTGAAGAGCAGACCAGCGCGCATTCGCATGGCACGGAAAAGCATGGCTTCCCAGCCAGCTGTGCGAACCGTGAGTGTATCGCCAATGTGCACTGGGTACCGTGAAGTATCAGGCTCGCAGGCGAGGGTCGTGGGGTGAATGCACATACCGCACCAGGGAAATGGCCTCTCTGCATCGATACGGGCGACCCAGTGGCCGGTAGGAAGGCGCATATCAAAGTTCACGAGGCTTTTTTCTGGCGCAATGACGCATCCCTGCGCTGGAAAACCACGGTACAGGGCCAGATAGAGAGCGCGAGCACGTTCGAGATCCGGTGTGATGTACAAGAAATCGTCGGTGAATCGCAAGAGACAGTCTTCGTCCTTGTCGATATGCAAATACATCCGTTCTGCCTCCGCTAATAGGATATTGCACAGCAATGTCGATAAGCTCGAGCCTTGTGGGATACCCACACGCTGACGGAACAAAGCTGGTCCGAATCGCACGAGGTTGTCCGTCAAGTGACGCTCGATTCGTCGTACAATATCAGAGGCACGTTCTTCGCGGTACTGCAGACCATCCACTACTACAGCATGTTGGCGGAGAGACGGCGCAAAGTCCGCTACACTAGGCGCATGCGTATCTGTGTTTCGCCAGGCACGTCGGACTACCATGCGCCTTGGCCGTCCATGCTGCGCACACAACTGGGTGCATTGCTGCACGATATACGTTGCGTCTTGGGGTATCAAGCTCCTCAGAACGGCGATAAGCCGCGTATGATCGAGGGAATCAAAGGCGCCACGCAAATCAGCACGTACCATGAAGAGCGGCGTATGCGTACGAGTAGCCCACCGCTGTTTGTACGCGACAAGGCGTGCATACACCGCATCCATACTTCCGACTGCGGCACCGATCATGTGCGGCTGCTGTGCTACTTCGTACGACAGCACGGCCAGTGTGCGCTGCCAGGCCGCATGGCGTGAACGTGCACTGCTCGTTGTCCGTGGCGTCGATAAGATCGGACGAATGGACGTCTCCTTCGGCAGGAAACGGACATGCGCATACGTCATTGAGGCGGTGACAGGGATGCTGGTCTTTTCAAAGAGACGTGTACGCAAGCCATCGATCAGTGGCTCGCTGGTAGATGCCCACACATCCTGTCGAAAATAGAGCACTCGTTGCCGAAAGGCAGTAGCTTCTGTGACATAGAACGATGTCTGAAGAAGAGGTATCATCCACTGGTCAAACAGCCACCACATCCACTCGTACAGCCGCGCGCGTGTCCATGCTGGGTCGCGGTGTGCAAGCCATGCACAATCGCGCGTACGAAAGGACTGAACTAGTTCATGCACATGGCATCGCTCGTACTTGCGCAGATGCACAAAGCGGTAAATCGCACGACGTAGCACGCCGCGGTTGTGGCGGCTGCCGATGAACGCGGGCGGTAGGACGTGCTGAAGCACCGTGTACAGGAACCATGCAACACGTCCCTGTGGCGTTGTATACTCGAAAAAGTAAGCCTTGCGTGGGGCGCAGACTGAGTGTACTGAGTCGTTCGTGCGCCCACCACTGCCATGGCGACGGGACCTACGTCGAAGCACGCTGGGGCAGCACGCGTCCAGGGCCAAGTCGTACCGGAACCGATCATGCCTACGCAGCATAGAGTCGACCAGCTGTGTGATACGTGCCATATGCCGAGGCCAGCGCGGTGTAGACGTCAGCCTCGCATACGTGGAGGATGAGGTGCGTGTGTGCCATGCAAAAGGACGGCCAAACGCCTGGGGAAAGATAGCCTGGACGACCTGGGCTACACGCTGTCGCCGCTGTTGATGCGTCGCCTTCGACATCCGTGGCCCTTGATGAGCATAGAGAATATGTGTAGGAGGTAATCCCAAGACGATACCGTGACGATATCGCACACATTTGCGCGCATGAAATATACGCGAGCGGCGCAGCACGATGCGGGTAGCGGATAGCGTAGTGTGTGAGGAGACGGCGTGCTCTGGTCTGTTACCTTCCTTCTCCGGCATGGACGACGTACGAGTGACGTCCCATTCGGAGAACGGCGCGCCCCACAACTGGGCATACGCATCTGATTGTGGATCGACACGTGCAAAGTATGTAGTGCTCAGTAGCATATGGCACATGGCCTGTGTACCCATCCGCGATAAAAGGCGGTCCCATGCATGCTGGAAGGCGCTATGCTCAAAGAGCGTCACTGTGGATGCACGTTGGTACGCAGCACGAAGCAAGTCAGGGCGACGTTGCGACGTCAGCACGTCTTGGACATGCTTCAGCATTGCCTGCATATCCTGAGGCGTCTCAGTAGGCATCGGCACCGTGCTCAGCATACAAGATGTCAAGCATGATGGATCAGGCACAGCAATGAGGCCGTCGAGGATCGTCCTTTCTGCTTCGCTCTCCTCCGGGGTATCTAACAGGGGGGTGGATAGGATCCGCTCAAGATACGTACGCAGCGGGACAACAACGGGAAAGTACGCTGACAGCACAGCATGCTGCACGGCCGTCCCTTCTGTCATACCACGTTGCGTCACGTCGCATGCCAGCCGAAGTTCTTCGTGCCTGGCGTGACGACACGTGGTGCACGGTCCACGCACGTGGTAGGTACGTACGAACGAAACAAGGAGCAAGGGACTCGGCTATAGAGACACTAAGCGCTGGCTACTTACACCGTCTGGGATGTGAGCCGTAAACCAAGTACATACCTCGACACCAGCGTACTCGCTCGACACGGGCGGCTCGATGAACGCTGCGTGGCCCAAAATAAGCAACGCACTGCTGCCCACCAGCCAGAAAATCAGCGCGAACGGCTTAGCGAACCACAACAAGATCAACACGACGACAAAGAGCATGGTGTACAAGCTCTTCTGCGTGACCATGTGGTTTCCCACCTGCATGGGTTCCGGGGCTTGGTGTTAGATCGTATATACGTACCAAAGCGGTTGATCGCTGCAAAGCCACCGACCAAAATAAAGATCGCAACCAACAACAGAAGGTCCGTCAAGCTGCTGTGAGCCGAGTACGCATACATACAGGCCATACACCGAAAGCAAACCAATCAGCACCACATAGTTACCCGAAAAGTGGCGCGTATTATACGTGATACGCTACTGTAAGACACGTCAGCGACGTACCTGGATTGCTTCGTTCGTGTCGCGCGGCGCACTGATGCGGTGGTAGTCGAAGAACTCGCCCACCGGGCGCACCGTAGAGAGGCGCGTATCACGGAACGACTTGACACGCTCCACGGCTATCTTGTTAGTGCCTCATCGTACAAACCCTGCAGCGCGTACTCCATTACCTGGCTCGCCATGGTGTAGCAACTGCTTGTGTGGAAGCGCACACGCGATGCCACATACACATCACGTGATGATGATGTGGGGGCGGTGGCCCCACCGCTATCGCTTGTCCATCTCCAACAGCGAGCGTTTGCCATGGCAGGGGCCGAGGACAGCACCCTATTTTGGGTTATTGTGCTTATCATATCCCTTGCATTTGAGCTCTCTATTGCCATTGCTATCACGGTACCTGTAGTCAATGTGCTCACACGGTACCGCGTGAACTATTTGCCACGAGCGGTCTCGTTGGATCGTGTCTTGGAGGACGGCCGCACGCCGATTTCAACATACCAATTGTTCTGGCAAAGCCTGTCGCCTTGGAATAAAAGTGATTCAACAAAAATTGGGCCGGATGTACGTGGATTTTGGGGTATGGCACGCCGTATCATTCGTATGGAAGGTACGCGCGGTCTGTACAAGGGTGCTTCCATCATGTTCGTACAGTGTTGCTTCTCTTTGCTCTTTGGGTTTCTCACACTCGATCCAAAAGCCTTGTCCCGAGGCAGGCCAAGCTCTCGATTCCGCGATGAGCCTATGTTGGCATATACCGTCTCGTTTGCCACCATGCTTCTTCTCCTGCCCTTCGAGATCCTGACGCGTCGTACTATGGTGGCGCCGGGCACAGTGAATTGGATGAACCCGCGAACCGCTTTTCGCCAGGTCCTTTCCTCTGCCGAGCTCCAGCAGCCATGGCGCCTATACCTGATCCCTGGCTTGGTCCCTCTGCAGCTTCTTCGTCAATTCCTTGCCACAATTGTCACGCGCAACGTCCGCAACTGGACTGTACCAGGCCTCAGTGGACTTCCCGACCTGGTGCCTTCTGACCCCGATAAGGATGTGTACAATGGCCCTACTTCGGCCTTGCTTAAGTTCAGCCTTACAGGGTTTGTATTCTTTGTCGTTTGGGTCGTGCTTATGCTGGCGCTCTTTGTCCCTTTCGACTGCGTCTTGATGCGCCTTATGACACAGTACGAACGAAGTTCGCCAATTCCAGTATCTCAAGATCCTGCTCCGTACAACCACCACGAAACTATGGCAAACGAAGATGTGGAAGAAGACGCTCCATTGTATGCAGCCGATATGGGTGTGGAACCGGTCATTGCTTTACGTCCCTGTTATCCATCCGATGAGGCATCAGCCACATACTTTGGTACAGTACCTGTGGAGCCGTATCGTGGCATCATGGACTGCATCCATAAGATGACGGCTGAAGAGGGGGCAGAGAGTTTGCTGCGCGGCTCGTTCTGTACTATCGCCGGCTACCTTATGCTCATCATATTTGTGTAATGTAGATTTATCACGGGTCCTATCTAATGCCCATAGGTTTTGTGTAGTCGTCTTCCTACTTCATGCGCTCTGCAAGAAAATGGCTGAAATGCAATCCTTTATTTTTTTTGCATTGGCGCTGCCTCCACGGCGTCTCAAAAATCACTGCGCACAGACAACCTCCATTCTTCTGATGCGCTTTAACATCCCGTCGCTACCGCAGACGGATCGTCTGTATCAGACATGCACAAATCTCACGGAGGCCGTGGAGAAGGTAGTGGGCCTACTTCACCGCCATCCACGTACGCTTATAGTCACAGGTACGTCTTTCCTGTTCTGACCCCAAGGCGCTGGCGTATCTGTCGACAGCGGTGTCGTGTCGTACCGAGGCGAAAACGGTCTCTACTGTATGTATACATTTTCTCACTCTAGTAAATGAAAAGTTCCGACCTATTTTTTACCATGAGTTTGTCAAGAATGGTGTCTCAGGTGATATGTTCCGGTACGTGCACCCATCTCTGACGCCTGCAGACGCCGATATTGGGCTCGCTCTTTCATGGGATATCCATTAATGCGGTCGGCCCAGCCCAACGAAACGCATGATATCCTTGCGCAATGGCTTCATCAGGGCCGAATTCACCAACTCATCACGCAGGTGCGTCGCCTCGGCACTCATTCCACAGAACGTAGATCGGTTGCACCATGTGGCGTACCAGCATGTGACCAAGGACTACCCGCCAATCCTCGAATTGCATGGTATGTTTGGCATGACTGACTGGAAAGGCGCCTTAGGTGAAGTGCGGTGTGTGAGTCACGGCACTCATGGCGTGCCAAACAGCAATCGGCTCTGGTGGGACCAAGAAACCACGGACTCCTTCGGGCCTGTGGACCGCTATTATCCTACCCCCATGGCACCTCTGGATGATCCACATGGATGTGGGTTTATCATGTCGCGTGACGTCTTCCAGGACCGTCTAGCCGAGATCAACCCTGACTGGGCCGCGTGGGCGGAGAAGTTCAAAACGGATATCAACATGACGCTGCAACGCAATCCTGATGGTGACGTCCAATTGGAGGGCGTCTCGTACGAGACATTCCAATACCCTGCCTGTCCCAACTGCGGCGGCACGCTCAAACCTGATGTGGTGCTATTTGGCGAGAATGTCCGCAAGTCTATACGGCAACGTTCCGAAGAACTGCTCAAGGAATGTGATGCTCTTTTATTAATAGGCACTACGCTCGCTACGCATTCTGCCTACCGCCTAGCTCGAGAAGCTAGTGATACAGGTAAGCCTATTGTCCTAATCAATCGCGGCCCCACACGTGCCGATTCTATTGTAGATACACGGATCGGTCTTGGCTGCAGCGAGGTTCTCACAGAGGTAGCAAAGCATGTATAAAATATAGCTCACGACTTGGCATTTTTCATTTGTGCAATTCGCTGCCTGTCAGGATCGAATGATACGTACCGCTTTCCTTTCCTCACGAAGTTTCTGTAGCTGAGCCATCTTTTCTTCCTTCGATAGAGTCGATGTATCCGACGTAGTTGGTGCCTTGGCTGGTACTGCCGGTGCAGGCATGGTTGCAGTGGCTACAAGGGGCTTGTTATTCACAGTTGGTGTTGAAGTGTTCGACGCGGGTGCTGGCGATTGTTTTGGTATCGGTTGTGTTTGCACAGGTTTGGGTTGCTGTGGCTTCGAGAGGGGCAGGGGTTTAGTTGTGTGAAGTTTGGGGACAATTTTTTGCTTGACGACTTCTTGTTGTCGCGTGAATAGGTGACTCGGTTGATCGGTAGATTCCTTCGAGCCAAGTGTCATCGCAGACCGATTTCCATGCATTGGGACAGCCGGCGATGGCGACATCAACGGGGTATCGGGGTGTTCTGGATGTGGGCGGGGCTCTGATTGTATGCCCTGATCTACTCGCTCCGCTAGCTCGTCATCTTCGATCTGAGCCATAGCCCAGTCACTGAGGGCTGAAGCGGCACTGCCCGCCGTAGCTGTTAAGAAGGCAGACAGACCGGATTTGCTTGCGGGCTTTGGCACAGGCGCTTGGATCGAAAGATCGGTATCACGCTCCTGTTCGATGTCGGGAATCTCATTGGATACGGAATCCAAGCCAGCCGTATACGTGGCAATCTTGTCCAAGTACATATGCAAAGTCTCTGAAGCCTTGGCTCGAACATCTGCATTCTCGTCCACAAGACAAGGCGAAATTGATGGCAACACCTTCTTGGCCGATGTCTGGGCATCAAAACTCTCAGCATTCTTAAAGAAGGCAGACAGACCAGCTAGTCTTGTCTGATCAAAGTTGTCACGTAGACTGAACCCAAACGCTGGGATAAGCATGTCAGCCTTGGTAGCATCTCGGAGGTAAGGTGTGAGCTGAGAGAGAAGTTGGATGGTCTGCAACCTTAATGCAGGCTGGACATCCTTTTGAAGCTTGGCCAGCTCACGCAGTAAGTCGTTGTTCAAAATCCGATCATTCAGTTTGTTTAGCAGCAGCACTGTACAATTCAATGCAGCTGCACGCTGAGGATCATAGGCTGTATGCATTGACTTGACAACTAGTGGCCACATCTGCGAAGATATCAGTTTAGAGTCCAGGTGTTTCTCATACAAGCTGGCATTGGTTAGCAATTCCATACAGATCCCACGGTCATTGGATCCAAAGGCCCCCACAACGGCCTCACACAGCACATTGTTCCATGCCACTGTATCCATATTGTTTCCAATGCGTAGCATAGCGGGTAAGATCACTTTGCCTGAGAGCACGAGCTCTGCAGGTTGTGATGTAGGCTTGTACCTAAATGTTTCAATGAGAGCGGGCAGCACTTTGTACTCCGAAAAACATGGGGCTAATTGGTCTTGAATCTCAAGGAGACGAGCGAGAATACCCGCTTTGTCTTCCTCTGAGGAGACGCGAAAGCTGTCCAGCAACATACTTGCTTCGACAAAGACATTGGATGCCAGGAATCCCTTGGGATGCAGACTGGCTTGCACGAATTCAGCCATAGTCATTCGCATATCTGGCTTGGGTTGAGTTAACTTTTTCAGAAGAACGTAAAGGGAGGGCGGGATTTTTCCCGCTGCAAAGTGCTCCATACTCCTAGGGATAGATCCATTGAAGCATTCAATGGTGACCAGAGCGAAGCTGTAGCTATCCGTCGATGAAATAGGAAGGCTGGACATAGCACTCCAGCCTGACGACAATAGCTCAGTCGGAGCATAGGTGCTTGAAGTCGGAAGCGTGCTACCCAGTCGGCTCACCAATGCATCGTTTTCCTTCGGGTTGCTGAGCAAATCCATACCACCCAACAACCATTCGCCTGAGAGAGAGAGGAAAATACTGCCAGGGTGCACGTTCCCGTGAACACACTGTGTTTGTTCATGAAGAAAAGCAATAGCATTCGCAATGTGACTGATACCCCATGCAATCCAGGCCGAAATATATGTATTTCGTTTCTGCTTCCATGTCGCCAATGCTTCACTTAGTGGTATCACATGGTCCACCACTAGGTATAAAGATCCATGGTACTCGACTGTCTCGATAAACTTTAAAATATATGGGTACCGAAGTGTCCTCAACTTCTTGACTGCATTTTGGGCCATACAAATTTGATCACGGGAGGCACGGGTCTGATCAAAAACAAAGACACTCACAGGTGTAGAGTCATGCTACTGTCAGAAATGCAAAACGTACTCGGCTCTTTCCTTCAAACAGTTTCCAGATACTTCTCCCCTGGTCATATTCGACCTCCTCTCCGATAGAGTAGTTAGGAAGTGGCCCGGAGCCCTTTGATAAGGCATTTGACCATGATCGCAGGTACTCCATAGTCGCAAGTGGAGTAGGTGTGTCAAATCACAGACACGGTCATATATTGCCAAGTGGAGGCCACTTTGTCGTCCTCAACGCCATGAGCACGGTTAGCGCCGAAGGTGCGATGCCAGCCATGGAAGTACTGCTCCAGGAACTTCCTCTAGAGGATAATGGGCTGGTATCCTTAGGTGTATTAGCTGAGCGTCTGTCGAATAGCGCGTACCAGACCATCCAAAGCTTGGGTGATACGCTTCCATCGCTTTCAAGCAATGCCAAGCGTGCGAAGATTTACGCTACAGCTATTGAGTTGCGCAAGATCTTCATTAAACTACTTGTGTTGGTGCGGTGGTCCAAAGATGCAGACCTTTTGAACCGTGCACGCAACGTTGTTGGACTACTGGTCGAGCAGCAGTGGGCTCATGAAGATGTCTTCTCTGGTCTAACGCAAGTGCGTAAGATCCTTCCCAATGCTCGCATGTGCGACGCTGACCTAGTCACAGCCATCGATGTATTGCGCTCAGGAACCTATGAAAGACTACCCCTTTCTATCAAGGACAGCACGATCCCTGCTAAGCCCCTTTCAGACGCGGAGGCCTTGGCGGTGCTCCATGATCTTGACGAAATTTTAAGTGTGCGTCTAGCCTGCTCAGAAACCATACCTCTCGGTATGAAACTGAAGAATATTGAAGATGGAAAAGCATACTTTGAAGCCAAGGGCTTATACAATGTATGTTTAACTACCAGTGGGCCAAATTCTGAGGATCGATGGTGGATTCTCGACTTTCATTTCAGTGATCCTATCCCTGAAGGCCACCATCTTGACGCTATTTTAACACAGCCTTATTTGAATCAAGTGTATGAAGTCGCTGAGTCCATTCTTTCCCCAAATGCAACTGACGTTGATACTGAGCCTGTGTTCAGCAAGCTTCACCAACTTTTGACGCAACATGCATTGCAACGAAGGCTTCATATACTGCACTATCAAATTCAAAAAATGAGTCAAAACAATTGGGGTTCAAGTATCATGTCGAGTTTGGATCCGGATAGTCGCACTCTTGAACTAAGTTACTGGGTGCCCAACTTGACAAGCACTATGCTGAAGTCAAGCAAAAGTCTTGTTCAGGGAAAAATAAAACTAAGCCTCGTTAATGAGGACAATAAGGGTCATTCTAGAGTATTTTCCAGCCTTTTGTTTGGGGATCATGTCCAGACAAGCTCAAGCCTAATTAAAGTTGAATGGGTTGTGGATGAAAAAATTCGAGATGCATTATCGTCTACCGAGCCAAGTTTCTTGCTATCAGAGCTTGATATGGAAAAGCTATTGCTCAGTACCATTGACAATCACTCACAAGCCCTTTTGCAGCTCTTCCAGAGCGACATTCATGCTCATGTTGGATTGAGTGCTGGGAATCCAGGCGTTTGTAAACTGCGTCGCCACGAGAAGAATAATTACTGCCCGAAATATTCCCTCGAAATTAAGATATCGGATACTGTCTCTGTTATGCTGTACGTGTCAGTCATAACCGGCCGTGTTGGGATGAGTCTTTTAGACGGCAACGAAGAAAATGATGAGCTCAACCTTTCGCTTAGCCGGAGTGAAAATGTCACTCTCCAACGTATGACGGATCAAATAAATGCCGATCCACGCACCCTAGCTGAAGCATTGTTTTCATACCGCTTACAATGTATTACCAAGAACCTACAATTGCAAGTCTCCTGGCTAGGACTACCATACCTAACCACTGTTCCTCTTAAGCATGGTGAGCTTAATAAGCTTGGTTTGCAAAATGGACAGCCGCTTCTTTTTGTACCCTTGGGCGTGGTTCCTGGGTATTATTTAATGTTGTACTTTGTTCCGGGTCAGCAATTAAGTATGGCATTAATATCAATTATCTCGGAAGCAGAGAATGGAAAGTCTTGGCAAGTAATCAGCTCAGTCAAATGGCTCGATAAGTCAATGATCACGCATTACTCCTTGTCAGGTGCGGACCTAATAAATGCACCCAGACAAGGCAATGGGAGCAGTTTTGTCCAAAAGAGGGATGGTATTCAATCTGAGGACCTAGAGCTGGCTTTAAACTATTGCATTGCTACAGTGGTTTACTCCCATATTGAAGAGCAACTTCGTTTAATGCTGATACCTTTTGCTTTAGTCGGTGTTACAACCAACACTCCTGCGCCACCTACAAGCAGCCATGATCCCCTACTTCCGAGCTTGCGCATCCGTTCAAAGGAATTGTTATCACCATTTGATAATCTTGTTGAGCCGAATGTCTCTTTGCAGTTATGTGATTGGTGGTACCCTTCAAAGCGTAGGGCCGAAATCACTTTCAAAGTGAAATTGTACCACACTTCAAGGCAGGACACTATTGAAATCTTCGAAGGCACGCTATTAGATTTGAGCAATGGGTTGATTCACTATGCCACGCGAGATATGGTGTCAAGTTTGAATCGCTTGAACCGAGATTGGCCACAGATTGCCATGATGTGTGAGCTCATTAATGAAACAACCAACAGGGAGAGCGTATTACTCCACACTACCCTTGGATCTATTTCGACCCAGCGAATCACGATACATTATGACAATGTTACCAAGATGAAACCCAGATTCACTTGTCAGGTACACTTTAATTCTGCAGCTGAGCAGAATTCTAACGGTCGTTATTCGGTACTCTTTGGAACAGAGAGTGAGCAAATTACGGGAGCCCAGGACCTCATCAATGCTCACTGCTATATCACCAATGTGCTACAGACAAAAATGAATCAAGTAACAGATTTGTCTTTGAATTTCTGGAAATCTTTTTTCACTGTAAGTAAAACGAAAGCCAGTTATATCTAACACGATCAGGTGCTCGAAACAACTTTTCCTATTGTTACACTTTTATCGAAAGAGATACAGCAGGGAGATAAAGACTCTGGACGCCCTGACGTTTTAACAATGAGCCTAAACTGGTACCAAATTCGATATCGATCGGGTAAAATATTAAACCTGCATATTCTCTCGGAGAGTCGAATGCTTATATCTGAAGAGCAAGACAAGAATATCTCCCCTTCAACTACTAGTCTACCAAGTCTGTACAAGCTATGGGAGAAGGAAAGTGGAGCCTCCACAAAAGCACGTGACCAAAGTGCTACAAATATATGTGGAGGTTTGTTAATTGCGACGTCAAAGGATAATATGGAGAAAATATCAAAAATAATAAATAAATACTCATAGATGTACACAATAAAATAATTTAGAATTTTAATAGAAAACATTTAATTTTTATATAAATATATTTTTTAAAATAAAGCAAAATAAAACAAAACAATAATTTTAAAATATATAATTGAATTAATTCAAAAATTTAACAACTTTAGCTGGGCTGCCTATAGCAACACAGTTGTCAGGAATATTTTTTGAAACAACACTTCCTGCTCCCTTAAATATTATTAGTATTAATAATATTTTTTACTTACAATTGTACAGTTTTTTCCAATTTTTACTCCAGGTCTGAAATATTAATTTGTATTTTAAACTTACAAAATTGTAACATTTCCGCTGCTAAAAATTGTTAGTTATTGTTTTTTTAATTTTTATAATAAACGTACATCCATGTAAATTCTCCAATTTCGATTGGCAATGCTCTTTCGAGATCTGCCTTTCGCTCCTCCACATTCACTGAATGAGTTCCCGTGTATACGTGTACGCTAGTCGTGTTAGATCTTATTTTTCGCCCTATAAGGCCTTTAGCTAGAGACCTCTGGGCTTATTCTTTAGTTACTCACTTAGGTCCAAAAAGCACCCCATTACCAATCGTTACTTTAGCGCAATCTAGGATTGTGGCATTGAAGTTCGAGTAAAATGAGCCCTCGAAGTGGATATTGTAACCATAGTCACTGTATCGCATAGTAAGCATTTCAAATCATCATTACAACTTACCAGTAAAATGGTGGCTCAATGTTGATTCTCTCGGTTTGCCCTTCAGCCAAATTAAACATTTTAGCTTGAAGTTGGCGTCGTTGGAATCCAGTAGCATCCAGTGTCTCTCGTTCTTCTTCCACTGAGGATGTTTCATCCACTGTAGCCGGAGGTGTCCTGTTAAACTTATAAAACAGCTTTCTGATCCTAATGCGATCCTTCACAAGTTGTTCATCATTTGGATTATAAGCAAGTCCTAGAATCATCTTTAGCATGTCAGTAAACGGTCCAGAGCTATTTTACTGCTTGAGCTCTGACAGCCCAATGACGAGCCCACACGTACCTTTTCCTTCTCACTGAATGAGTCCAACTGACTTTGGTACTTCTTGTCAATTTCAATAAAGCAAGCTTCCGTCATGATAATTGATTAATGCAGTTGCGCAAGTATCTTGTATGTTTCACTTCAAGATAAGCAATTGTACATGCATGTGCAACGACGCGTGGGGGTTTACGTGTAAATTGCTGCTCCACAATCCAACCGATCCTGTGTGAATTGCTACAATCACTATAAAAGCTTTATAGAAGCCGAAGGAGAGGCTGATACGAACGAATCACATCTTTGAGAGAGTCGGTGCGTGATTTAGCGATGTCATTCGACAACTCATTAAAGTGACCTGCGAAGTCTTCGTTTCCTTCCAGTTCAGGGATACTTGTAATCGAACACTTAGTGTTTTGAAGAGAACTCTCTAAGTACGTGAGAATGCTTTGCAACGTTTCTTTGCAGTTTTGCAAATTTTCCTTATAATTCTGAAATAAATTAGCATGACAGTACACACCTCTCCCTTCACTTCCAGCACGTACTCCAGAATTTGAGCACCCTGTAACGGTCAATAAAGATCATTGCACTTACCTCAACACCGATCCAAGCAGCATGAAGCACATCAAAGTGGGTTTTAGCTTGTTTCACATCGCTGTCGATTTCTGAAATTAGTTCACCACGAATACATACTCGAGAAGAAGTCAATTGCAGCTTTCGAAATTTGATTGCCACTCTTAATAGAGCGTGCCAGTTCAACCAATGTAGTTTCAGCGATGGTCAGCTCTTCCAGATCGGCTGCGTTTTCCGGCGATTGAATCTCCAAATAGACAGACATAACCTCAAGCATAGCAAGTATCCAGTTTTTCTTCCTGAGTGGTCCACACGAGATTACGCTTGAAACTAAGTCTCTTTGATCTTCACTCACGGACCGGAGGAGTAAGTGATCACGCTGATCAGACACATCCGCTGTCTGGACAACCTGCATCACCTTTTGGATCGTATCCATTGCCATAGTGCGTTCAGAACCGATCAGGTCTTGATTAATCAGCTTGGCCCGAATCATGTCAATTTCCAGCAAGAGTTTAAAGCACGATTTATCCAAACAGTCTTGGAATTCACAAAGATCAGAAATTTGGGAGAACTTTCCATTTACAAAAGCACGACCCAAAGCTTCAGGAATCTCTTGTATGCTTATTTCATAGAAGTGTTGGGTGTTGGAGTCCCATTCGTTGGCAATTTCGGCTGAATGAGACCCTCCGAATGATGCATTCCGATCTAGAAGGTAATGAGAGACTGTATCCAACTGCACGGACTTGAGACCCAAAGAGTTGTAATGGTTCACTGCCATCTTCAAGCAACCAAGGCGAAGCAGCAAACGAATAAGAAGGAAGCGCAGCTTGTAGCCATGCTCACTCTGCTGAGTGCCAAAAGATGCTATGAGTGCCGCTCTCTCGACTGCTTCCCCCTCTTTCGACGATGCTGTAATAATCGTAGCCATTAGAGCTAAATCATCACCCACCTGCATTTCTGTTGCAGGAAGAGGCACATTTTTCAGGGCAAGAGTGTATTCTTCCAATAGACGACACACTTTAGTTTCGCTTTTCCCTTGAGAGGTTTGGAGGGCAAGACACATTTTCTCGAGGTTGATGCACTTTACCACACTTCCCTCATTGTCAAGAGAACTGCAGGATCTTTGAGCTTGATCAATTGCTTCTTTGGTAGCAGCATCCAAAAGCTTAAGATAAGGTTGTAAGTCCTCAAAGCAAGAAGCTTTTTCACCGAACTGCTCAATGTAGCTCAGGACTAGTTCATTGACACTCTTCTTACAAATGCAGTGGTGTTCACTTGAGGGAGCAAGACGGAAAAGTTCCAAAACACCAAGGAAAGATCCACGATCCATCCACTTGTCCTTTTCTGCTACTTGTACCATAAATTCAACGTCGTTTGTGTTCATAGAGCCGTTCGTCATATCCGCTACTGTTTTCACAAACAAGGAAATTACTGCCCAGTTTCGATCTCCATTCATGAGGCGAGTGCGGCAGTCCTTCAGAATGCTCTCTTTATCATCCAAAGAGCCCCAATATTCCCTAAGCAACAGCTGGAGTCCTAGGCTTTTCTCAATTAGCTCGCGCGGATGGGGCTCTGTTACGACTTTAAGAGCTTCTTTCTTACGATCTTGACCTTGAAGTAGGAAGAAACTCAGATATAAATGCAAAGTCTCTTCAGTGAATTCAGATGGCTTCAAGTCCTGTTCTTTCAACAGTCGGTGAGCCACTTCCAGTGCCAGCTTCGAGCCCGGGGGTTTAAGTCGTTGAGACTATTGGTAAGTCGGATATGAGGTACATACGTGGAGAATGGAGACTTGGATGTATCTCCAAAAGTCTCTTTGGTCTTTGTTCTCTTTAAACCTTTTGAGAATGAGCTGCAATGCACGCTGGAACATATGCGCTTTGATAAGAACCAAGACGGCGCCGTCGGCCAGTTCTTCATCGTCTGGGTGTGCACTGCTAGCTGCAATATACAGATCAGCAAGCTGCTGAGCACGACCAATCCGAGGGAAAACGAGTTGAAGCGGTAAAAGGACGTTCATATCAACCTTTCCAGACATAAGCCTGTTCGCCTCTTCTTCGCACTCCTTTCGGAGTCCCAAACGGAACAATGCAACGGTCTTCAGTGCCGAGGCCAACGGGAAAGGCCCATCCCGCAAAAGTGCCTCTGCCTTTTTCACTGCAAGCTGATTGTTTCCATCATCAAGTGCATCGTACACTTCGACACAGCGATACTGGTCAAACACATTTCCCTTGGTAGACCCCATCGTCGTTGGGAACGGACGTTCGCGTAGCTCCACATGATATTAGCCCTGGCCACCGTTACTCCACACCTGCCCACTTACGTGTTCAATGGCATGCCTCCCTTACTCTCTAGCGACTCCTCTGTGTCTTTACCAAGCCCTGATCAGCTATTGACCGTCAACTACAATGCAGGAGGCATTCATAGCTCACCACTACCAGGCGGAAATGATCACACTCTGCCTGCATCGCCCTCCCTCGATGCGCATGCACGGCGAACGCGTACCGTGCATAACCAAGCACCACAAAGTCAATCTCGCTCTTCACGAAAAGGTAGTTCAACGCCTCTATTCTTTCTTAGCTCTTCACCCAATGAAGAAATGATCTCCAAGCGATCATACCCTGACGTTGCTCGTCCGCCAGCAAAGCGCGTGCGAGCTTCCACCAACACCTCCCAAAGCACCGCTCGACTTCAAGAGGTCGAGACACGAAAGCGATGGCGTGAGGCCAATCGTATACGGCAAAGGAGAGCCGATACAATGTGTGATTTGATTGTGCAAATGGACCTGAATCTCTTTGCCTCTGAAAGCGACCCTCTATATCCACTCCTCCCCTGTTTACGCTCGCGTCTTGAAGGTGAAGGCGTGACTTTTTGTCCAACACCATGCCGATATCCTGATAAACTCCCACTTATCACATTTAAAAGACGTGTGCGGTCGATTTATGACCCTGCACAGAAATTATGGGAACCCTTGGACGAAGAGAGGATCGTTCTTGAACCTATGTATCTATGGGTCGCCTCTGCGCAGCAAGTCATCACGGCCATAGACAACGACTCGTTGCAAGCTCTTTTTGTCACAGAAATGGACAATACAGCAGAGGCGCGGCAAAATATCCTTCTGATTCTCGGTCTTGACGCCTGGCTGAAAAGTCAGCGTACTCGTGAGAATCGGGCCTATGCCGAAGAGGTTCGGCAACGAATTCAAGGGCAGTCAAATGGATCACTCTCCGTTCCCAAAGACCAACATCGTGATGTGGAGCGAATGCTCCTAGATCTTGAATTGAGGTACTGCTGCCATATTATTCGGGTGAACACCCATGAGGAGCTGAGTGAATGGATATACTCGATTGCGAGTGATGTCTCATTCCGGCCATACAGGTATGTTCAAGCTCTTACTTACGCCAGACTGTTGCAGTATGAAAATTCTGCACGACGGACAAATACCCACACTCGAAATGGCATACCTATTTTACAAGCTATGCTGGAGGAAATTGTATGTCATGTGTATTCTTACATTAGCCACGGTGCACATCCCATGCATCCCAAGCTATTATCGCTAAATACCCGTCGTTTCAAGCACTTATGAAGGGCTACGAGAGCTGCAAAACACCTGATGAGGCTTCTTTGTTACTGTCCGACTTGATCACGGATGGCCGAACACAGCGTCGCATCGGCCCACAGCTCTCCAAACGTACGTACACTATCATCTTACTCAGGCATCTACGTTTATCTATGTGCTCACGACCCCGTGATACCCATTGAGTAGTGAACCAATACTACGACATCTCCCCGCCTTTTTTCATCAGGATGGAAAATAGCGTTCCAAAAGCGCGCTCCTTCCCTATACCCCTTCGAGCGCAAGAGATCCAAAATCGTACCGCTGCTAGTATAGACATCCAGTAAGGATGAGAATAAGACAATATGAGAGGGCCATGAATGCCTCCATCCTTTATCGTAGGGGCTTTGGCTGCCCGTGGGTGTGATCGAGGTATAATCCATAGGAGGGAACGATACGTCTACCTCGTCTGGGAATCGTGTGAGCAGGTATAATTCTGGGTCATGGTAAAAGAAATCCATTTGATCCCAGTAGTCTGAGGCGCCAGCTGGAGGAGGGGGGCAGCCCAAGAACCACGCGAGGCCGGCATCCCCACTCGGTCCTCCGGCCTCCATGGAAGGCGAATGCAAATGACTCTGCCAGGGCGTTGAATGACATGGCATGAGGAAACCAATGCTTTTCGGTGGCGTGTCCGATTGTGTCAATGCGTGCAAGTACGTTGTTACGGCCACCTGCGCCCGTCCGTGGAAGGCACACACATAGACAAGAACTGGCAGCTGGGCGACCAAGCATATACGAATCCATCGAGGGATGACTGCCCAGGCATTACGAAGAGAGGTAATGGTTGCAGGGGGCTGTAGACCCACGGATGCAAAGACATGGAGCCATGGAACGAGTTGTTGCAAGAAGCGGATTTCCTTGTGCTGCAACAGGGAATACACTAAAATGGTCCATGCACATAGTATCAGCAAAGGTCGTGCCTTTTCGTACCGAGGCTCGAAGATCACATATCGGATCCCGTGCCCAAAGGCCCACAAAAAGCATGTTAGAAATGTAGGAAGGCACACCGTTAAGTACCAATGCCAAGCATTTGCGCCATAGAAAGCAGACACATTGGTAACGACGTTTTGGACAAAGAATGAAAAAGCAGGGCATGTCCAGTATCCATAATACAAGGAGTCTAGCCACACACCAAAGCCTAGTACTAGGGCCCTTATGTCAGTGTACAGTAACATACCCAATCCACAGTGGTTCCCATACAACATGCCATAGTACCTGTTTGCGATGGCCAACATAGGTCAGGGTGAGGAGTCCCATTCCCATCCAGAATACCAAGCTGGTGGGACGTAAGAGCACGGTCAGAAACGCAAAAAAGAGGGCCTTCCTGAAGTCACGCAGATGGGGAGCATACGTTAATTGGCCTACAGCCGACGGAGAGAGGGGCCAGTAAAACATCGCGATGCTCGTCAGTGCGGTTTCCGCCGTGTTGGCAAATGTCCGCGTCGCTGTAAATAGCCAGAACATCGATGATAGATGCACAATGATCTCTTGTAAGACAAGGGGTACGTACCCAAACCAATGCCGTGGGTCTCCCGAACATCTTGACAACGAGTCGGTAGGCAAACCAATCGCCCACTGCAGTGAGCAATGCTTGTTGAAGCTGTGGAGCTGTCGTCTAAACAGGATGTGAGTAAATGTACGTTCATACCTACCATAAGGAATGACACATGATCGAGACCAAGCATACGCAATGTGTAGTACAGGGGTACGAACATAGCAGGATGGGCAATGCTTCGGATGGGCTGGGCCGACGCCCACTCCCATGTTAGGTAGCCGTACCCAAACACGATCTTATGTGCGACTTCCAAAGACTGCCAAAACTCATCTGGCTGGAAGAGTGTGCGACTCGTACCAAGGGCTACTAAACCATGTACGCCAGTCAGCAGCGCGAGCATGAGAGCATGAGCACGGCGCGTGCACGGTCATGGTGGAGGTCTTTTCGGCCTGGGCATGATGACTAAATGTTACTTTTTAAGATGTCACAGGCGGACCCGCGACATCTCATCACTAACCCCGTCACTCATCATGGAGCCCGCTGCGGATGGAACGTCCGCAGCACCCGTACCTGATGCGAGCGCAGGCACACATGCTGAGAAGAATGAGACGGAAGCAAAAGTGGCCAACAAGGAGAGCAAAACTGGGGAGAAGCGGGTGCCTGGTGGCTTCGCTGCGTCCAATGCTCGTACCAAGGAGATGGCGATGGCCAAGCTTCCTCCCAGTTTGCGCGCAAAGCTGGAAGAGAATGTTAGGCGCTCTGCAAATGCATCTCCAGTTAGTCTACCGGAAATGGGTGCTAGCGATAAGCTTAATCCATCGCTGCTGAGGGCCAAGGTGCCGCCCGTCTCGAGGACTCCACCACCACCTCGCCCACGTCAGCGTCCTGGGCCTGGCCTGCGTCTAAGTGACCTTGGATCTGCGTTGCCAAGTGCAAGTGCCCCATCGAAAGCACCTAGTCTGTCGAATGGCCGGCCGAAGTTGTCGCTCGGTATGCTTCCCGGCCAAGAGAAGCCGCCTGAGAGTCCGTTTGGCAGCTTCAGCAAAATCGTCGATCCCTCCGGCCGTTTGATCTTTGATGGCAAGGCGATTTTGCATGAATCTGGCGTGGAGTTTAAGAATGGCACCAGCTTCAACATCAACATGGACGAACTGGAAGTGCTTGATAAGCTCGGGCATGGCAATTACGGCACGGTGACACATGTGCGTCACACGCGCACCAAGGTGGAGATGGCGATGAAGGAGATCCGACTTGAGCTGGACGAGGCCAAGCTGAATGCGATCATAATGGAGCTGGATATTCTGCATCGTGCTATTGCGCCACAGATTGTGGAGTTTTATGGTGCTTTCTTTGTTGAGTCGTGTGTGTATTACTGCATGGAATACATGGATGTGGGCAGTTTGGACAAACTGAGCACAGGCCGTCACTGTATGGTACCAGACAAGGTGCTTGCACGCATTGCGTCGAGTACTGTGAAAGGCCTTCATTTCCTCAAGGACCGACTGCAGATTATTCACCGTGACGTGAAACCGACGAATATGTTGATCAATTCGCGTGGAGAGGTAAAGTTGTGTGATTTCGGTGTGTCGGGTCAGCTGGAGAAGAGTTTGGCGAAGACCAACATTGGATGTCAGAGCTACATGGCGCCGGAACGCATCAAGGGCGATGTGCGGAATGCCCTGAATACCTATACGGTGGCCTCTGATGTATGGTCGCTCGGGATTTCGCTCGTGGAGATTGCTATGGGATGCTATCCCTACCCACCTGAAACGTTTACCAACATGTTTGCGCAGCTCCAGGCCATTGTAGAAGGCAATCCACCGGAGCTGCCGCACCCCTCGAAGGAGCCTATCACCGTGACGATGCCCAGTGGCAGCATCGTCGAGTTGGAACTAGGCACCTGTGAGTACTCTGACGCAGCGCGTGACTTTGTGGCACAGTGCTTGTGCAAGATACCCGAAAAACGACCGACGTATGCGACTCTGCTGGAGCATGAATTCGTTACGCGGGACAACGATGTGAACATGGTAGCTTGGGCTGCCGAAGCCAATGCACACAACCGAGCTCCTAAGCCAGATGACAAGGCCTAACGTCCACGAATGACCATCACCACCAACACACCTCCTCACTCTCCTTTCACATCATTTGACTCTTTCGTTCAGCATCATTCCGGCAGCGAGAACACTGCCGTCTTATGTAGGCATAAAATAGTAGTACAATATCTACATGATGGGGCCTAAAGAGAGTTCTAGCCGGCCAGCCGCTTCGTCTTCTGCATGCTCGTCGTCGTCCGGGGTGTGGTGTGTGCTTGTCCCCATCACCTCGTCCAACGGCTGAAGCCGCAGTGAGCTGGCCATTTTGGATAATATGTCGTCGTAGTAGTGGCGCTTGGACACATTTGGGTTTGTCGTCGTCGTAGCAGTAGGAGACATGTCATGATTCGTAGCGGGTCGTGAAGGGGTCGTAGCAGGGCTCCCTTGGGAGGAGCCTCGTGTTTCAATCATCGCCATGAGATCGAGTAGGTCTTCATGAGTATTGGGCGAATCGGACGTAGTGGCTGGTGGCAAAGACGTCCGTGACGCCGAGAGTCGAGGCAGGGCAAACGCTGGCGATGGCGATGGCCCTGCAAATACACGTGAGTGGCCAGGACTCGACGCGCTTAGGATCTGGGTATCGCGTGAATTCGTCCGATCCAGCTGGCGGCGCTGCTCCATACGTCTCGACCAGCTTCGTGCGGCTCCGTTGTCGTCCTGCGATGCTCCTACAGACCGTGACGCCTCGCGCTGGCGGTACGATGGGAGGCGTGAGTACCGCGGAATACGCTGTGGACGTGCTGGCCGCGGCCCATCTTCGGAGATGGGAGAGTCGCCTTGGCGCGTTAACGACGAGCTGGGCCGATACATGTATGCATCAAAGCTGCCAGGCGGTGTGCGCAGCGAGGACAAGGAGCTTGGGGAAAAGGTCGGTCGGGATGTCGTGCTAAAGAGCGAACGCAGCGCACCTGGCTCGTACGACGAGACTGCAGCTGCCGTGCGTGACGCCGCCGCGGCGGTCGTAGCGCCGCGAGGGATCGTCGCGGTGCCTGTCGTGCATACCCCGTCGCTGGTGGCCGATCGAGGGCGGCGCCACGTGTGCATCGACAGCGAAGGGCTCACTGAGATACTCGTGGTAGGCCGTGCACGCGGGGTATCCCATAAGCGTGCGTCGCTTTGATGGTGCGAGAGCATTTTTTGGAAAAGCGGCGACGTGCCAAGTTGGGACGGGGGAGGAGCGGCTGAAGGCGTCCAGCGTGGCGATGCCTGACGTAGCGAGGCCGATGCAGGAACTGGAGGCAGCCTAGCGTTGCGCGGAAGACGTGCAAGCCGCGGCTCAATGTACAATTCGGTCATGTCGCAGTAGTCCACCGAGCATGCCAAGGCGCCCATCGGCGTAGCGATCGGTGCAAACTGCCACGTCTTGGACGGCACACGCAGCGGCGCAGCCTCCGTATGGATCTTCACATCGACGCCAAGCTGGGCATACATGCCATTCGCCGCAAAAATCCGACGGCACATGGCTGCTGATGGGAGAACGCGCGTAAGAGTGTACAATGTGCGAAAGTGGACAATGGCTTGCTTGTACACGGCAGGCAGTCGCTCGGTAGGCGGCTCATCGGCGACGCGCAGATCAACGCGCCACCGTTCAAGCACAATGGACGCGGCACTGGCATCGCCCAGCCACTGCCGTCCCCTGGGCGTCCGTGCGTGCACCTCGTAGCTATCGTCCAAATGGGACGTGCGTAGGCATACGTCGATGACCAACGTCGGCACCGTTGTCGCTGCAGAGAGGGAGCGCCATGGATGCAGATCGTGTCGGAACTGCTCATGTTCCGGCATCTCCAGGGAAAACTGGACATCATTAGTCGATCCTTGGTACCTACCCATTTGTTCGTACGCCGATTGCCTTGTGCATGGCTGTCTGTGCGATTTTCATAGACAATCGCCAGGGTCTTGGAAAAGAAATGGTACAACACCGTATCAATTTTCGATACGCTGCGCTCTGCCGCCTCGCGGGCGGCGGGAAGAGGCGCCGACATACCGTCACTGATACGGAGGTCGTGTCGGTCGCTCCGTGCGCGCACGCTCGGCGCCACGTCCGTCCGTGGAGTCGGTCGGCGTCACGTGGCACAGCGTGGGGTCGGTCGGCCGTGCGGCAGCCGGACGGCCGCCAGAGGCGATCGCTCGCAGGCGAACTTACGAACGCGCTAGCGGCCACGAGGGTGCACGCAGTATCATGTCGCGAGTATGGAATGCGTACGAGTCGTTCCTGCTCTCCAATGCGTCGCAAATCACGGCGGTAGAGTCGTCGTTGCGCAGTTTTACATATATTCTGCCTGGTCGGTTCAAGGATGCCGAATTGGCAGGTGAGGCCATTTATGCGGCCGTTCATCTGCTGGGCATGTACCATGACTCGGTCCTCTTCCGCATCGTATATGCACGCAGCGCACGAGACGCACAGGCTTCCAATGTGCGTGCCGGCGCGGACGTGCCAAAAATGTCGCTGCATGCGCGCTACACGGCGTACTGGCGCTCGTTGAGCGGCAAGTACCATCGCGCAGCGACGGCGCTTATGATCGTCGAGGCAACGCAGCTTCTGGCTGAGATGCTAGCGCGCCGTCGTCTCGGTAAGGCACGTGCTTGGGACGTGGTCGTGGCCATTGAGGCGATCAAAGCCGCGCTGCGTTTCTCCTTGGTACGTGCGTCGCAGCGTCGTCCAGTCATTTCACCGCCGCTGCCGCAACGTGAATTTGATCCAGCCCTCCTGGAGCGTCAGCGTGTGCCTGGATCCGCGGCAACGTGGCAGGGCAGCCGGACAGGGATCATCCGTCGCTCCCTCAGCACGATGCAAGGCCGCGATGCCTACGAGCATCTCTTGTCACACACACTGACAGAGCAAGACGTCTCACCACCGCCCCTCCTGGTTCGAGCGCTCTCGACGAACATCGGCAGTGCCGCAGAGTGCCTATGGATCCTCCGTCCATTGGTGTATGTGCTGCTACTTCGCCACTACGGCCCTCGCGATACGCGCCCCTTCGTCACGTCGCTGCTGCTTGAATGGCTCGCACGCGCTGTGCGTAAGCAGGCGCTCTTGCCGCGCGGTCTAGCGGCCAAGGATATGCCGCCGCCACCGCCTTCGTCGATTTCGCTTATGCTTACGATGCTCGGCATTGAGAACTCGATGCTGGACTGGCTCGCTAGCTCATTGTCGGCGCAGCCACGGCATCCTGCTCTGAAGCCTGTGAGCGCCGTAGAAGGCGACGAATGGGCTTCGCGTGATCGGGCGTTCTGGTGGTACCTGCTGCGCGGCCCTGTCTGGTACCAGTGGACGCGGCCCAAGATCGCCGGGTTCGTCGCGCGAACAGAAAAGCGCCGTATCATTGGTCTGCTGGGCAGCATTGTCGGCGAATACCTTCCGCTCATTGACGACTACTATTACTACTCCTCTGTGTAGAAGATCCATACACTGTCACGACACGATCCCACCCAGCATCATCGCGCCAGACGTCTGTACGCCCGAGCGGCTCACATAACGTATCCACAGCCTCCGCTTGGCCTGCGCCGACTTCCAGGACCAAGCGCGGCACGTCGGGCAAGCCAGGATGCAGCCATATGGGCGCCAGCGAGACTACGCGTCGGTAGTACGCAAGTCCATCTGCATTGGACTGCGTGCCGACCAACGCCGCACGCGATTCGTACGCTTTAACAGAGCGGTCTAACGTACGATACGACGCTTCGGGAATGTACGGTGGATTGCATACGACCAAATCAAATGGGCCGAGTGACGCCATCGCTGTATCATCCCATACATCCAACTGATGTACGTCCATATGCAGTCCACAGTGCGCTGCATTGGTGCGTGCTAACGCCACAGCCTCCGCGTCATGGTCTACTGCACAAACTCGTACATCGGGATACGCACGCAGTTCATGCGCTAAGAGCAGACCAATGCACCCACTGCCTGTGCACAGATCGAGAATCGATACCGCTCGTGGCTTTCTGGCTAGCGATGTATGCCAGATGGATGCTACGCGCAACGCCCACGCTTCTGTCTCCATGCGTGGCAAAAGAATCGGCGCACGGACCTGAAGCGATAAGGCGCCGAAAGGCTGATGGCCTATCACGTAGCCAAGCGGCTCATCATGTTGCCGCCGCGCGACCATATCTTGCAGCGTCTGCTGCGCGGCAGGGGGCAATGCATCACCCCGGGCTACGCCGTAACGAGTACGGACCTCGTCCAGGAGCCATCGCGCTTCTTGCTGCGCTTCAGATGGATCGGTATGGAGTGCCTGCAGCGCCTGAACGGTCTCTGTCCAGGACTGGATCGTACGTATACCACAAGGATAAGGCCTGCACGCATACGCAGACCACCTTGGCCTACGCAGCCCCCACCACCGAGCCATACGCCTCGCCTCGCTGTGTCGTGTCGTGCCGTGTCGGCGTGAGGTGTGCCGCGTAGTGGAGGTAGTAAGTATATAACATCAACGTCGTCCTGTCTACATATCCGGCCACGCACGAGCCGCCTTGCCTAGCGCCCAAATCGTAAAACTAAACTTGTAGTTCGGGTAGGAAATTGCACAGTTGCTGGGGGTCAGTCTCTTGCCATACGATACATACTGGTTGAAAATGCCTTCGATCTGCTCCTGAGCCCATGAGCCATCCGGTTGCTGTCGCGCCATAATCAGGCGCACAGCCCGCTCAATCGGTGCTCGATCAGGGTAGCCTGCATGCAGCAGAGCAATGATTGACCAGGCTGTCTGAACAACTTGCGATGGCGACTGGACATATTCATGCGTCTCACACGACTTGTAACTCTCGCCCCAACCTCCATCCTCACGCTGCTTGCTTAGGAGGAAGGCACAAGCACGGCGCACAGGTTCACTGTTGGCGTACGAGTAGCCTGCATGGTGCAAGCTTTCCAGGGCAAACATGGCCGCATAAGTAAAGCAAATCGCCCAGGAGCCGTACCAAGAGCCATCCGCTCGTTGCGCTCGCAAAATGTAGCCCACCGCTTTCTCGACCACCGCATCAATATCATCGCTGCGGTAGTCATCGTACCGCTGGAACATGCGCAAACCTGATACTACCGACGTCGTGCATTCCGGATACGCATACTCCACCATGATGTTGCCAAACACCTCGGCAGGGTTCAGCCACTCGGTGATCGCAGGGCCATTGATCGTCTCATAGGACGCGTAGCCACCGCCAGGGTTCTGCATCGTCAGGAGCAAGTCGACCGTATCACGAAGACGACGCTGCGTAACAGGGTGCCCTAGCGATGCGCCACTTGCTTCTTGCAGCATGAGAACCCCTTTCAAACCTTCAGCCGTGCAGTCGCTTACCGTGTAGCCTTGCTCACGCGTACTGAACGGCCAGGCACCTTTAGTCGCGAAGCGGTAGGCTGTACGGTAGAAACGTGGGTTCTCGCGGATCTGACACGCGTCCAGCCAGGTAAGCAGCCCTTGACAGACGTCCTGGTTTACAGGCTGGGCTGAGAGGCCCGATTCACACATGGCCTGCGCAATAAACGACGTATCCCACAGCTGACTGCCATTCGTTCCTGTCATCATCAATCCCTCGGCACTCATCCACGCAAAGTCTTTGAGCTTTTCACGGTGGCGCTCCATCGCCGGGCTATCAGGTCCATCGACGACCCAACGCACAATGTAATTGAGCATCTTGTTCACAGGGCCAAGGCACTGGTACGACGTGTTCTCGTCTTCTTTTACCACAAGCGCGTAGGCACGATCCATACCCGCCTTGCGGATCCATGGCATTGCCCACTTTTCATACACGCCCAAGGCAGCAAACAGGGCATCCACGACGCGCGTATGAGGCGAGTACAAATCCGCCTCAGCCACATGGTTGCGTTGGGCCGGCCAGTCAATGCTAGCGTACGGCGTCGGATAGAGCTCTGCACGTAACGACTCAATCAGCGGTGTTACCGGCGCACGGAACCGCTTGCCATACAAGTAGCCCATTGGCAAGTATACCATACGAGTGTGCACCCACCAACGCCATGGGTGGATCGGCACCCAGTCCGGCAAAAGCCATAGTTCTGGCGGGATTGGATTAAGCCCTTCCCAGTCGTAGACATTCAGGATCGCGAGCCATAGCTTGCCCCAGCTGGGAATCGCCGTAGCACCGCCCAATTTCCAGAGCGTCTCACGTGCTTTGACCATCATAGGATGATCTTTCGAGACGCCCACCAGGCGGAGGACCGTGTAGTTGAGTGCGGTACCAAACACAGTTGAGTGGCCCTCGATATGAATGCCCCAGCCACCGTCGTGCGGATTGCGCCTATGCCACAAGTATCGCGCAATCTCAATGCGCCATGGCTCAGGAATCGGCGTCTGCGTGACGTACATACCGATAATCAGACCAGGCAAGAGAAACATCGGACCACCATACTCGCCCGCAAAATGACCATCGCATGACTGTAAGTGACGGTAGAACTGGATACCATTCTCAGCAGCCTTTTGCGGCGTCGTAGCGCGAGGCAACGTTGGCAGTCCCTAGCATGTAAGAATATGTGTGCACGTACCATATCCAAGCCGAGCCAGTACTTGTCTTCTGGTGTCTGTGGCCAAGCTCGCACTTCCTCGTCCGTCTCAAGGTAGTGCCACACATGGCGACCACCGTCCGACACACGCAAGCGCCAGCGTGTGCGGTCTGTCTCACCCAGCGGAGGCCCGTCGTGCTGCATTGTCGTGCAGAATGGCGTGAGTTCGTGGCCTGCCCCCAGCGTCGTTCTCCACATCGTATCACGTGGGACACCGACATCGCCCCTCCCTCACGCCTTACCACGACGTGCACCGTGGGCGCAGATGGTATGTTGGTTCATATGCCTGCACAGATGTGTGCATCGTATCAGATGTACTAACATGCATAGTCGGCGCTCTTTAATTTCCAGTCACTCTTGCTTGTCGTCCTTCTGACGATATGCACATGCACCTATATTCGCGCTACAGCGCCTGTGCTTATTGATCGGAATAAAAAAGGGTACGTCGTAGCTGATGTGATGGCTAATAGCCAGCTTCCTCGGCATGTTTTTCAAGGCAGCTCGGATCGGTAGGTGGTGATGAGACTGACGTGGCAGGTGAACGGCTGTCCCCTTATTGTTCTATAGCATGCTTTGTGATGGCCGTGTATGTGATCACATAGTCAGTACCTACCGCCATGTACATGGTACAAGCGATGGTATGTGTATAATGAAAAGGCGAAGGCAGAGACGGTTTGCATGGACCCGTGCTCTGTCGACCATCGGAGACCGAGCGGTGTGTGTTGTGTGGAGGCGGTGCAGCGACGACGCGCGGCTTGTCGTTGCGCGCTGCGTGGACCATGTCACAGTCGAATCCGTTGCATCGTGCATGCCTCGACGGTAAGTCGTCAGCATTCCTCACATCTAGGCAATCTAGGGATTGTCCGTGATCTTCTAGAGACCGATCAGGGACTTGCCGCATTGCTTCAAGCCGACGAAGACGGGCGAATGCCCTTGCACTGGGCGGCGACGAGCGACGACAAACTCGAACTTGTGGAAGCCTTGCTAGGTGCAGGCGAGATTCCTTTGGACGACAAGGATCACAGTGGATGGACACCACTCATGATTGCAGCGTCGGCGGGAGCACGTCGTATCGTGTCGCTGCTTATAGCACGGTACGTATGTTGTATTCTCATGAGGCAGGGGAGCCGATGTACATGCCGGCAATCACAAACGGATCACCGCGCTGCATTACGCAAGCAGTAAGAACCATGCAGATGTCGTACGTGCTCTTCTCGAGGCTGGTGCCGACGTTAACGCGCTGGACGGTGCGAATCAGAGGCCATTGTATGTTGATGCTCACCACTGACCACTAGACACCGCGCCGCCTCCGCAGGCCACGATGCCATTGTGCGTATCCTGCTCAAGCCACCGCCACGCACAGACGGTACGCCGCATCCTAAGACACGCGTCAAGTACGTACTGTTGCACACTGACCAGCAGTCCCGCAGATCGTCTGGGCAATACGCCCCTGCATTTGGCGGTGGATTCAGCGCATGCGCAGACTGCGGCGCTGCTCATAGATGTGGGCGGCGCCGATCGGAATCGCGTGAACACCGATGGGCTGGTGGCCGAGCAGATGGAAGGTGTGGGTGGCGTCGAGCAGAAACGTGTACGTGAGTTCCTAGCGCAGTCGTTTGGTGCGTTGGGTTAAAAAAAGGTAGGGATATACACGTAGATATACATATCCATGACTATGGTACAAAACTAGAACAAACGACGACGACGACCTAGTCCAGGTGCGCCGCTTGTCATGCCTGGTGGGAAGTGGCCTGGCCGTTCCTGGGCGAGTTTGTAGCGCCGGTACGCTTCGTACAAATGCACAGGCTGGATCGGGCCAGACTCATTGCGTTCGCGCTGCACGGCGCGGGCCTGTTCGACCATTTCGCCGACAAACACTTTTCCCACACCGCTCGCTGTCATCACGATGTGCTGATTCACAGATTGGGCCAGGACATGATTCACAAGTTTGCGTACGCTGCCCTTGTTCAGTGTACCACGTCGCGAGGCCATATGGCGCTCTAACTGCTCGTCGTCCATGAGATGCGAAAGCAGGCTACATGTAAGTCATATACAAAGGCCACATACCCCATATTGCGCTGCTGCGCGGCGTAAATGGCTTGCTGCCGCGAAAACTCGTCTTCGGCCAACGCCTCGCCATCCGCGCCGTCAGACTCGGCATCGTCGTCGTCCTGATCGCTCACGTCGTCTTTCTGTTCGGGACCGGGCCCCTCGGCAGCGCGCGACTCGCCACGCTGCACAGTCTCAGCACTTGCTGCGCGTGTACTGGTAGATCGTTCGCGTGTCAGACTCCGGCCAGCGTCACTCTTGCGTTTTTTGGACTTTTTCGACGTGGAAGTCGAGGTTGAGGATGTGGGCCACCCCACAAGCTCTTCGTCTACGTCGTCATCCATGTCGTCTCTTGGCGCCTCCATGCGCTTGGCACGCTTCTTTTGCGACGACGTCGGCGTCTGATCCATGGCGAGGAAGCGATGACACCGTGCGGCGGCGGCGTCGCAAAAGAAGCGCGATTCACGTGCCACGTGGGAGTGGAGGCCGCAGCAAGGACCGCCCGTGGGCGGCCCTGACGGGGGGGCCACAAAAAAAAGACGTGGCTGGCGCAGGAGTCACTTGCGTCCAAGACACGATGTCGTCTGAAGTTCTTACGCATCCGAGCATTATCGACGGCTGGTTCCATGAGCGCAGCCGTCAGTGGCCAGGCCAGGCCATGAGCCTGAAGGTGCGCCGCGTGCTGCACGTGGAGCAGAGCCAGTACCAGGATGTGCTGGTGTTTGAGTCGGAGACCTACGGCAATGTGCTGGTGCTGGACGGTGCGATCCAGTGCACGGAGCGTGACGAGTTTTCGTACCAGGAGATGATTGCGCACCTCCCGATCAACTCGCACCCGAACCCCCGCCGCGTGTTGGTCATTGGCGGTGGCGACGGTGGTGTGCTGCGTGAGATTGTGAAGCACGAGTGTGTTGAGGAGGCCGTGCTGTGTGACATTGACGAGGCTGTGCCGCGTGTCTCGCGCACGTACCTGCCGAAGATGGCCGAGGGTCTTGACCACCCGAAGGCCAAGGTGATCATTGGCGACGGCTTTGCGTTCCTCAAGGACCCGAAGAACCAGGGCGCGTTCGATGTGATCATCACCGATTCGTCGGACCCAGATGGCCCTGCCGAGGTGCTTTTCCAGAAGTCGTACTTTGAGCTGCTCAAGGGCGCGCTGCGTCCGGGCGGCCACATCTCGACGCAGGCCGAGAGCATGTGGGTGCACTTGAAGCTCATTCGCGAGCTCACGCAGTCCACGCGTGCGCTCTTCCCAGTCGCGGACTATGCGTACACACTCATCCCGACGTACCCATGCGGTCAGATCGGCTTTGTGATCTGCTCGCTCGACCCGCAGCGCGACGTGCGTGTGCCGCAGCGCGTCGTCCCGAACTGCCGCTACTACAACAACGACATCCACCGCGCGTCGTTCGTCATGCCGGAGTTTGCGCACCGCGTCGTAATCGGCGGCGAGCCTGCGCCTGGTCCCGTAATTGCTACGGGCACAGGCGAGGCCCAGTCGACACCGCGCGCTCCGAAGAAGGTGCTTGTCCTGGGCTCGGGCTACGTCGCTGGCCCGGCCATTGAGTACCTGCTGCGCTACCCTGAGTACGAAGTGACTATTGGCTCGTCGCGCAACGCTGCCAAGCTCGGCGAGCAGTTCCCGCGCGCGCGTACGATGCAGGTCGACGTGAAGAACGCACAGTCGCTGGGCGACGCCATTGCGCAGCACGACCTGGTCATCTCGCTCATTCCGTACATCTACCATGCGGATGTGATCAAGGCGGCGTGCCAGCACAAGGTCGACGTCGTCACGACGTCGTACGTCTCGGACGCCATTCGCGCGCTCGAGCCGGAGATCAAGGCGGCAGGCATCACAGTCATGAACGAGATCGGTCTCGACCCAGGTATTGATCACCTGTACGCTGTGAAGGCCATCAAGGAGATCCACGAGGCAGGCGGCCAGGTCAAGTCGTTCCTGTCGTACTGCGGTGGTCTTCCTGCGCCGGAGGCAGCGACGAACCCGCTGGGCTACAAGTTCTCGTGGTCGTCGCGTGGTGTGCTGCTCGCGCTGCGCAACACGGCCAAGTTCATCCGTGGCAACCAGGAGCACACCGTGAGCGGCCTGGAGCTGATGGCGAACGCCAAGCCGTACTACATCATGCCGTCGTTCGCATTTGTCGCGTACCCGAACCGTGACTCGACGCCGTTCCGGGAGTGGTATGGCATCCCAGAGGCGGAGGAGTGCATTCGCGGTACGCTGCGCTACCAGGGCTTCCCGGAGTTTGTCTTGGCGCTCGTGCGTCTGGGCTTCCTGGACGAGACGGCGCAGGCATGGCTTACGGCCTCGCCGCTTACGTGGGCGCAGCTCACGGCGCGTCTCGTGGGCGCGAGCGCCACCGACGAGGCCACACTCACGGCCGGCGTGTGTGCGCGCTGTGCGTTCAAGGACGAAGACGAGTCGGAGCGTGTGCTGCAGGGCATGCGCTGGCTCGGTCTCTTCTCGGACGCCCCTGTGGAAGTGGGCGGCCTGCCGGAGCAGCGTGCGCAGGGCCAGGGCAACCTGCTGGACACGTTGTGTGTGAACCTGGAAGGCAAGTGTGCGTACGAGCCGGGTGAGCGCGACATGGTGATGCTGCAGCACCGCTTCGGTATCGTGACCAAGGACGGCGAGAAGAAGACGCTGACGTCGACGCTGCTTGACTATGGCGCGCCGAACGGCGTCACGTCGATGGCCAAGCTGGTCGGTGTGCCGTGCGCGATTGCTACGCGTCTCGTGCTCGAGGGCCACAAGGCGCTGAAGCAGCCGGGTATCATTGTCCCGTACACGTTCGACGTGGCGGAGCCGATCCGCGTGGAGCTCGTGAAGGAGGGCATTGCGCTGAAGGAGGCCTACGTCTAATAGCGTTCCTAGATTCACCCCCTGCGGTCTCCAATCGATCGTGCAGGCCCAGCGCTGGACGGAGTGTACTCACGTGACTCGACGCGCTGGCACGCGTGGCGGGCCCTCCTCGCTCCGTCGCACCCAAACCCAGCGCGTGCGCGTCTCGTGGCCGTTTTTTCCACTCCGTCCGTGGTGCTTGTGAACGTAGACTACCATGCGTGAGATTGTGCACTTGCAGACCGGCCAGTGTGGTAACCAGGTCGGTACCAAGTTCTGGGAGGTACTCTCGGACGAACATGGCATTGATGGCGATGGCAACTACGTCGGCACATCGCCGCTGCAGCTCGAGCGTATCAATGTGTACTACAACGAAGCGGCCGAAAACAAGTACGTTCCGCGTGCTGTCCTTGTCGACTTGGAGCCTGGTACGATGGATGCGATCCGCTCCAGCAAACTGGGCGGTCTTTTCCGTCCCGACAACTTTGTGTTTGGCCAGAGTGGCGCCGGTAACAACTGGGCGAAGGGTCACTACACGGAGGGTGCAGAGCTCGTGGACTCGGTCATGGATGTCGTGCGTAAGGAGGCGGAGAACTGTGACATGCTCCAGGGCTTCCAGATCACGCACTCGCTCGGTGGTGGTACCGGTGCCGGTATGGGTACGCTCCTCATCTCCAAAATCCGTGAAGAGTACCCAGACCGTATGATGGCCACCTTCTCCGTGATGCCATCGCCCAAGGTCTCAGACACAGTCGTGGAGCCGTACAACGCGACGCTCTCCGTGCACCAGCTCGTGGAGAACTCGGACGAGACGTTCTGCATTGATAACGAGGCGCTGTACGACATCTGCTTCCGCACACTCAAGCTCAAGACGCCGACGTACGACGACCTGAACCAGCTTGTGTCGCTGGTCATGTCGGGTATTACGACGTGTCTGCGTTTCCCTGGCCAGCTGAACTCGGACCTGCGCAAGCTCGCTGTCAACATGGTGCCATTCCCGCGCTTGCACTTCTTCATGGTCGGCTTTGCGCCGCTGACGGCGCAGGGCAGCAAGCAGTACCGCGCCGTGACCGTCCCGGAGCTGACTTCGCAGATGTTCGACTCGAAGAACATGATGGCCGCGAGCGACCCACGTATGGGCCGCTACCTGACCGTGGCTGCGTACTTCCGTGGCAAGCTGTCGATGAAGGAGGTCGAGGATCAGATGCAGGCAATCCAGACGAAGAACTCGTCGTACTTTGTGGAATGGATTCCGAACAACGTGCAAACCGCTCACTGTGATATCGCGCCGCGCGACCTGAAGATGTCCGTTACGTTCATCGGTAACAACACGGCCATCCAGGATCTCTTCAAGCGTGTGTCGAGTCAGTTCCAGGCCATGTTCCGTCGTAAGGCGTTCTTGCACTGGTACACTGGCGAAGGTATGGACGAGATGGAGTTCACCGAGGCCGAGTCGAACCTCGCGGACCTTATCAGCGAATACCAGCAGTACCAGGAGGCCACCGCCGACGATGACCTCGAAGAGTACGATGGCTACGAAGGCGAGGAAGTGTACGAGGACGAGATGTAATGGTGGCTCATAGCGGTCCTATAGGAAGTTGATCGCCGACTGCGTCGGCGCCCGTATCTACCAGGCAGCGAGGCCGGAGCCGTCAGCTCTCTGTTTCACGTGGGGCTGGCAGCAGTGCGGCGTGGTGGAGGGCCCCGAGTCATTTCCCACGTGGCCTGGCCCCACCCCGCGGCGCACGCCCCTGCTCCACGGGGCACAAACGCAATAAAGTCCGGCGGCCGACACGCTCGGATCGTCGCCGTGGTGGTTGTCCCTACCGCACGAGGCCGCCGTGATGTTCAAGGGGAACAAAGCCCATCACTATGCGCGCGAGCTTCAGAATGCTCGCTTGCGTGGCATTCCATTCGTGCATACGGGCACCGAGGCGGCCACGGGGTATAGCACTGCGATGAAGGAACTTATTCGCAAGTTCAGCAAGCACAACCCAGCACAGTCCACCACCAGCCGCATCGCTACGATCGAGCATGAGATGCAGGCGATCGTGCTTTCGTTCTTCCAGGAGGCGGGCTACCGCGATGCATCGCATGCCAACGACTCCCCAGCCTCGGCCGTGTTCCCACCGGTCATCGAGCCTTCCTCGTCGTACGCCCCTGGCATCGAGACGCTGCTGCAGGAATTGGAGCGCATCGCGCCGACCACTGCACAGGCGACCAACAACGCCACAGCGTGTGTCTCGCTCTCAGCGCTGGGCTTGTTCATGCTGGGCCGCGATACGCAGGTCATGGACTTGATTCAGCATACGCACTTGCTGGACATGGACCCAGTCTCGACGCCCATCGATGAACACCATGTCGCCGTGACGATTATGGGGGCATGCTTGTTCGCTATGGCGTGCGAGCGTGCTACGATGAATGGGACCGAGGACGCTTTGGGCGATGCCCTGGATGGCTACGAACGTGCGATTGCGCTGCATGAGCGCGTACGTGGAAGTGCCTCTGCGAAGGGCGCGCGCATGAGCCCGTTTGTCGACGAAATGGAGCGCTGGATTGAGACGGCCTTGTACCGCGACGCCTTGCTGACCCTGCGTCTTCGTACGCCGAACGAAGGCGCCGCAGCGCTGCGTGCGTACCAAGCGCATGAGGCGCGATGGCCTGGCAAGTTTAGACTGACGCAGCGTAATGTCCTCCGCAACTTGTACGCTAGCATGCTGAACAGCGAGCGTGCTACAGCCACCTCGACATCGACCCCGGCAGCGGCCGGCGCTGGTGCAGGCGCGGCCGTCGTCAGCGCCGCTACGGTCACGACCACGCCCACGTCGGCGTCCTTCGCACGAACCAAGTCGAAGCGAAGGCCGAATGGCGATGCGCCCGTGGACGCCGCCCCATCGACCTGGTCTGCTCAGTTCGCTTCGATGAAGGAGACAGTCACGCGTCTCTTGCAATCGGCACCGGCGTTCCCCCATGCCGATGAGTCGAATGCAAATGCCGAGCGTCTCGCCGAGCAGCTGGTCGAGAGTTGGCGACTCGATGGGACCCACAATGCCACAGGCGCTGATCAGGTCGTGGAGCTGCTGTACGGCCTAACACGCATCACATTCCGCTCCCAAACGATTCTGCGCCTGCTTGTGTACATGCTCGTGGCTGCCGAGGCGTATGCCGAGGCTTGTACCCTCCTTCCTAAATACATGGCCCTGGTCGAGAGTACCTGGCAAGCCACCGGCGTGCCTGTGGCACGTGATACCACAGCGCTGCGTGCGGTCGATGGGCCGACCGAGTGGGTAACGACCGTGCTGTTGGGGGCGCATACGATGCTGCACTACCAGCAGCAGCCAGCAGAAGCGCTCCAGTTGCTCGATCAGCTGCGTGCGGCTACGGGTGACGTCGGCGACGAGACTCGGATGCGTGTAGATGCTCCAATGCTCGCACGGATCCTCCGCAATGCGGGCGAGGCGCGCTTGGCCATGGTACGCACAGCGTCGCCGACACAGCGTCCTGTGTTCCTTCGTGACGCACACGACCTGCTGCAGCGGGCTGTGACGCTGGATCAGGATTCGTCAGAGGCTCACTATGCGCTGGCGTACGCGCTAGCGCTTGAGCAGAAGAAAGACGAAGCGATGGGCTACGCACGCCGCGCGCTTGAACTAGAGCCGTCTTTCATTGATGGCTGGCATCTCATTGTCCTCCTCCTGTCCGCCGACCGTGCGTACACCAAGGCGCGTGATTTGGCCGCCGAAGCGCTGTCCCAGATCGAGGCGGATTACGAGGAGGGACACAACATACCCGCGCAAGCTCGCGCACAGTTGCTTTCGTTCGATTACCCACCGACGCGTCTCGAGCGCGCGTGTGCGTATGTGCGTCTGCTGCTCACGCACAATGCCCTGGTAGAGCTCACAGACGGCGCGCAGGCCGCGTTGGATGACCAGCGCGACGTATTTGCTGCGTTCCAGGCGCAGGTCGCGCCTCTCACTCTGGCGCCCACCGCACCCAACGACGTGGCATTCCAGACGGCGCCGCGGTTCACGCAGCCGCCCCTCGCCGAGCTGGCCGAGTCGCCCACAGTCGCTCGGACCGCCTACCGCGCTCGCTTGGGCACACGTCTTCTCCAGACACTCTGGCTGCACAGCGCGGCCACATTCCGTCGCACAGACGATCTCGAGCAGGCCCGCAATGCCATTGCCGAGGCCGAGCAGCTCGACGGTCGTCGCGCCGACGTATGGGTCCAACTGGCGCAATGGTGTCTTGCCTCGGGCGGTCAAGCTGGCGCGGCTGTCACGTGTTTGTACAAGGCGCTGGCGTGTGAGACGGACCACGTCGCGGCGAGTGTGCTCTTGGCGCGTGTACTGCTGCATCCTACAGAGGAGCTGCACTTGCGGGCCTCGCATGCCGAGTCTATTGCGGCGGTGGGCTCCGCGCCTGATGGCGCAGATTTGCTGACCAACCGCGTTTTGCTGGACGGGGAAGGACTCGCCTCGCCGATCGAGGCAGAAGAGCATGCGCGTGCTATGAGCAGTCGCTCGCTGGGCTCCGCGAGTGGGACGGGCGAATTAACGCCTGTGGCCCCCGTGTTCCAGTGGAAGACGGATGCTACGCTTTCGTCGATGGGCATTGCGGAGGGCCTGCTACGTACAGCAACCATGTTCCGTGGATGGGACGTGCCAGAAGCCTGGCATATGCTGGCCCAGCTTGCGCAGCAGACAGGACGCACACACGATGTGGAACGCCGCTCTCTTCTGGAGGCGCTGCGGTTGGAGTCGGCCCGTCCGATCCGGCCATGGCGCGATGCGTTAGCGTGGCCGTAATAGAAGGGATATAGTGTACCTAGCTAGTCGTTCCGTCACGTGGTCATCGGGCCTGCCCACCCCCTCCGCAAGACTAGCTAGCCAGCCAGAGGGCATCGGGCGTGGAGGCGTGCGTGCGTGCGTGCGTGCGTGCGTGCGTGCATGCATGCATGCAACCGGCCCACGCGCGTCGCCCCAACCAGTTCAGCTCAAACTTCGTCGATTGGATCGAGCGACGGAGAGAGCGAGTAGAGCGCACCCTACGTGATGACCGACCGTCCGAGCAGTAGCAATGGCAGTAGTCCGGCCAATGTTACGTCGATGCGGCCCACGTACGAAAGGCGCGTCGTTCGTAAGGATCACCCGCACCATCATCATCATACCCACTCGCACCACCATCGGCATGGCAAGGAGCCTAAGATGATCGGGCAGTATGTCCTTCAGCAAAGTCTTGGAGCAGGCTCGTTCGGTAAAGTGAAGCGTACGTACACACCCCACACTCACGCTTTGCAGTGGCGACACATGCCTTAACAGGCCACCGCGTTGCAGTGAAAATTATCAACAAACGCAAAATTTCTTCGATGGATATTGGCGGCCGCATCAAGCGTGAGATTCAGTTCCTTAAAATGCTGCGCCATCCTCACATTATCAAGCTGTACGAGGTGATTACCACACCATCCGACATCATCTTGGTGATTGAGTATGCCGGCGGCGAACTGTTTCAGCACATTGTCGACCATGGCCGCCTCTCCGAAGACGAAGCACGCCGCTTCTTCCAGCAGATTATCACGGCTACAGACTATTGCCACAAACACAAGATCGCACACCGTGATCTCAAGCCGGAAAACCTGCTCCTCGACGAGTTTCTCAATATAAAAATCGGTGACTTTGGCCTATCGAATTTCATGGACGACGGCGGGTTCCTCAAAACCAGTTGCGGGAGTCCCAACTATGCAGCACCCGAAGTCATCTCCGGCCGACTGTACTCGGGCCCCGAAGTCGATGTATGGAGCTGCGGTGTGATTCTCTACGTCATGCTGTGTGGCCGATTGCCCTTTGACGACGACTATGTGCCCTCGCTCTTTGTGAAGATCAATAGTACGTATGCACAGTACTAACCCATCGCAGAGGGTATCTTTACCCTACCTTCCTACCTTTCGCCAGAGGCGAAGGATCTCATATCCAGCATGCTAGTCGTCGATCCTGTAAAGCGCATTACAATTGCAGAGATTCGGCAGCGGCCATGGTTTAACGTGAACTTGCCATCGTACTTGCGGCCAAACCCTGTCCAGTCGTCTGTCGACGAGGACCAGGGCCCCGCTGTCAGCGAGCCGGTCATGGACGACACGCTGAGTGTCGAGCCTACGGAGATCAGCCTGAGCGCGCCAGAATCGCAAGATCCGCCGCCTGATCCCGCCATGGTATCGCCTGATCTCGGTGTGATTGATCCTCTGCTGTTAGAAGAGCTGCTAGGGAAGGTCGAAGGCCTCTCCCGGCACCAAGTCCTTGAGCAGCTACGAGCTCCGAACACCAACCAGATCAAGGTGGCCTATCAACTGTGCCGCGACTACCACAATACGCTGGAAATGGCAGCGAATATGCTACGCGACTTGGACTTGGACGAGCAGCCAGCGTCCTCACCAGGCACGTCACATCCATCGCTCTCGCAATCGCCGTCAACACCGGTGACAACCGAGTCTCTCTCACGCTCCTCATCCGTACGCACACGCGCTCGTCGCGCCTCGTCGCGTCGCAGTAGCAATGCACCGCTAGCCGGCTCTGCGTCGCCTATGCACTATCACGTGCTCATCAAGCGATCTGGCGCCAAGACCGATTTGCGGCATGCGGACGACGACGGCGACGGCAAGCCACGTTCACGCCGCACATCGACAGCGTCACGTCGGTATGTGGACGAAGAGCTTAAGACGCGTGTAAATGAGCTGATGGCGTCGGTGGAAGACGAGGTCCTAGAAGGTTCAGATATTGATGAGGAGGTCTTGGAAGAAAGTGACGACAGCGACGAGGAAAGCGACGCGTCGTCGACCATGTCGGACTCGGACGAAGAGTATGCGTCGTTTGATATGGTCGACGATCTCTCACCAGACGATCCGCCGGATCGCGAGCCCCTGCAGGAATGCTATATGCATCGATCGGCGCATTTGGCCGTGTTGGAATCGAGTTTGCCAGCGGCGCAGCGCGCCTTATACCAGGGCCCTGACTCGTCAGAGGCCCGTGCATCTCAGGACATGCTATTGGCGCCGTCACTACCACTGCAAGCCCCTGCGCCTACACGCCGTGGACGCTCTCAGTGGCACTTTGGCATACGCAGCCGCAGCTCGCCGATGGAGATCATGTTGGTCCTTTATCGCACAATGGAGCAGCTCGGCATGGAATGGTGCTCGAAGACGCCGCTACCGCCTGTTTCCCGTGGACTCGATGCGTTGTCACCAAAGGAGAAGCAGCAGGTACTTGACGCGCTCACGGAAGATGTATTTTATGCGCAGACCCAGTGTGTCATGTACGACCGCACAGTCCGTATGGACTTGCAACTGTATCGAGCCGATGCGAATTCGTACCTGGTCGACTTCCGGAATGTCGGGTATGCCATGACGCCAGCTGCGCTGGACGCCTACGGCATCGAATCGTCTCCCACGGCGCTGGCGCTGTGTCGCGATGTCCAAAGCCCTTTCCTGTTCTTTGATGTAGTATTCCGCCTCATTGTGGAGTTGGCCGGCGGCTAAGCGAGTGAAGGCCGCCCGATCAGATTAGACAGGTAGACGCGGAGAAATTGCCACGTGGAGAGGTGCTGGGTTCGCCATTGCGGGGATTCGTTGGACGAAAATGGCGACCAAGTGGGAACACACGGCCCACCCGCGCACGTCGATAGATTTTTCCTAGATCCCTCGACTATGGGTACGTGAGAGGCATGGGCCAAAGGACTAACACTTGTAGCATCTGAATCTCAACCTTTGCTGTCGCCGCAGAGTACGTATACGTCTGCTCCTCACACTCTAGGCCGTCATGGCTCGGGCGATAAGACGCTCGTGCAGTCGTTCTCTTGGCTGCTGTTTTCCAGCAAGATCAACCTGCTGCTGGTCTTTGTGCCGCTCGGTATGCTCGCTGAGTGGCTCCACTGGGGCTCGCTGGCCGTTTTCGTCCTGAACTTTTTGGCCATTGTGCCCCTGGCGAAGCTGCTGGGTGATGCTACCGAGCAGGTGTCGCTGCGTCTCGGCTCGACCATGGGTGGTCTGCTGAACGCCACCTTTGGTAACGCTGTGGAGCTTATTGTCGGTGTGGTGGCCCTGCTGCAGGGTCAGTTGCGCATCGTGCAAATGTCGTTGGCCGGCTCGATCCTGTCGAACCTGCTCCTGGTGCTTGGTTTCAGCTTCCTCGCGGGTGGTCTGTACCGCCCTGAAAACACCTTCCGTCAGACCGCAGCACAGGCCTCGGGCTCGATCATGACGCTTGGCTGCTTTACGATGGTCCTGCCGGCCGCGTACTGGGCCTCGATCCGCTCGAGCACCGTGGAGAAGGTGCTCCCGTCCATGTTCAAGAAGCATGCGACGCTGCCCAACAACGACGTGTCGAATGCGATGGATGCGATCCTGTTCATTTCGCGCTGGACAGCTGTTATTTTGCTGGTGATCTACATTGGCTACCTGTTCTTCCAGCTGCAGACGCACTCGTTCCTCTACGAGGATGAGGGCGAGCACGAAGAGGAGGAAGAAATGATGGCCCCCAAGGCGTCGATTGCCGCGCTGCTAATCGTCACGGTCATCACGTCGTTCAACGCAGACTACCTTGTCTCGGCCATCGACGACGTGGCGAACACGTACAACATTTCCAAGGTGTTCATCGGTACCATCCTCCTTCCCATCGTCGGCAACGCCGCTGAGCACGTCACGTCTGTGTGGATGGCCGCGAAGAACAAAATGGAGATTGCCCTGGGTGTCGCGGTGGGCAGCTCGGTGCAGATTTGCTTGGGTCTTGTGCCGGTGCTGGTGCTCGCTGGCTGGTGCGTCGGTCAGCCGCTCTCGCTGTACTTCCAAGACTTTGAGACCATCACGCTCGTGATCACGGTGATCTTGGTCAACAGTCTGATTCAGGACGGCAAGAGCAACTACCTGGAAGGCGCGCTGCTTGTGGCGCTGTACTTTGTGATTGCACTCTCGTTCTGGGTCCAGCCCTCGTCAATGTAAACACATCTGCATACTCATAGATCATGCTTTAGGTGGATTGGTAGTACATACATGCTAGCTAGCAAGCCAACTATTTTTTACTTTGCAAACGGATTCCCTCCCGTCTTGGTCGAGTCCATAGCGCCACGGCCTGTGGAAGACGGCTGCATCATGTTCGACCAGTGCACGGCATTGTGGCCCAAACGCATATCGCCCGTGTTGCCGAACGTATCGATGCCATCGCCTTGCGCCAGCAACCGATCCAACTCGGCATGCTCTGTGCTGATCTTCACACGAGGTGGACCGCGTGGAGCCGCAGCAGGACGAGGGGCCGGCGTCGGGTCCTCGGGCTCGTCCAGATTGATAAGGGTATCGGTGTCGGTGGGTTGTGGCGTTGGCGCCGCCGGCTCGGGCATCGCCGCCGGTGGTGGTGCAGCACCGGTCGCAGACTGCGAAAGCCATGGGTTGTTGGAGCCAAAGCCTGTCGGTTGCGAAGTCATCTGAGCTTGCTGCTGCTGTTGCGTCATAAGGTACTGGTATTGCTGCGCAGCCTGTTGGAGCGCTAGCTGCCGCTGGTACTCCTGCTGTTGCAGGTACTGCTGCTGAAGCATTTCCTGCTGCTGCATCTGCGCTTGGAAAAAGGGATTGAAGCCAGTTGGCTGGAACTGCATAAACGGCATGGACGTGTATTGCGGCTGCAGCGATGGCTCCGACTCTTGGTCCAAATTGATAAGACTTTCTTTGTCTTTGCGCTTCTGCTCCTCTTCTTTCGAGAGCTCAATTGCACGCTGCAGATCGGACTCGCTCTGTGCGTTGCGTCGACGACGCTCTTCTTCTTCCTCAGCCATACGCCGCGACTCTGCCAGCGCCTGCTCTAGCTCGCGGTCCTCCGCACTGCGCATCTCATTGTCCCGCTGCCTGCGACGACGTCCCGCCTCGTCCGAGTAGTCGCCAGGCTCACGGTTACGGTGGGCACTTTCTTGGTAGGCACGACGTCGGCTTCGCATCTTTGACTCGTCCAGCAGCAACGACGTAATATCTTTGGCCTTCTGACGCACATTGATACCCTGGTCCACATTGTTGTCGTCAATGTACTGGAACTCCTTGAGCGTCTTTACAATGTAGATGTTGTCATTAAAGTAGTTCCATACGTTCTCGTTGCCAGAATGCAGTAGATAGTCCAGCACAGAGAGCGCCTTGAACACATGTCGCCAGTTCTTGCCCTTGTCGTTGAGACGCTTGTCAAGAATCTCCATAATCTCAATAAAGTCCGTCCTGATATTGGTTAGCTAGGCCATACGTACGGATTGTGACTGAGCTGGGCAAGCTCACTCATCTGCAAGCCACTTGGGCCCCATGGATCGTTCGATGTAGCCTCGCGTACTTTAATTTGGGTGTCCGTGTATCCCTTGAGATAGTTCTTGCCAACCCGTACGGCTGACTTGCCCAGCTGTTGCAGAGACATGCCTGGTATCTAGTTGGTGTGTGTGGATCGCAAAAATCGGCCTCCTCCGCCCGAATATCGAATCGTACGTGGTCAATCTAGGTCTTGGACCGACGTGGAGATACGTGTCGACGCTCGCCACGCCCGCCCGTCCGTCCGTGGCCTGAGCCCTTCCCCTGCGGTCTGGCTGGGCTGTCCCATGCACGCGGCCCTCCACCTCACGTGATGTGACGTCACGCCCAGGGCCGATCCCTCCCTCATCAGAAAAGGGCAACAAACCGCGAGCTAGAGGGGCTTGTATCACGGGCCAACGGCCGCGCATCGCTCGTAGCTGTGTTGGACCTTTTTTTCACTACATGTACATATTCAAGGCTAGGATGACATAATTCCATATCTCCAAGTGTCCAGCACCACCATATCATGACACAAATTACAAATAGAAACCAAGAAGAAAAAAGAGAGAGTGGGAGGGTCGTGCGACCCTAATAACATAACAAAGGCATAGGAAGGCAGGTCAACGACTTACGCTGTCGAGTTGGGCACCTGCACAGGCATGACAATAGGGGGACTTGGCAGGCCGATATCCGGCGTAGCTTCGCTAAACGACGCTTGTTGCGACGTTGCATTCGATACAGAGATGTTCTGCTTCTCTTCCATCTCATGGTGTTGTAATGTCTCAAGCTCCACGGGTTGGTGCGCTTCCAAGTGGTTGTAGTGTGGCATAGCATACGCCTCCTCGCCCACTTGCGAGATATCCATACCAATCACTTCATCCCTCTCGTCCGAACGGAACTTGCAGCCTGGGATGTGATCAATGATGAACAGCAGGATAAAGGTAAGCACAAACGACCAGCCAAAGCCCGAGCACGAGTCAGCAAGCTGGTAGCCCAACTGGATGTAGTGGTGGTTGATCCAGCCGGAACCATCACCATCCGAAACGTCCGTTCCATCAAAGCTCGTCACGCGGTTGTCCGCAAACAGGGCTGTAAGAATGTTGCCGGTAATGCCACCAATGGCGTGAGCGGCAAAGATATCGAGAGCATCATCGTAACCCAGCAGACCCTTCAAGCCTGTAGCAAAGTTACACACGGTAGCACCGACCACACCAAACACCAGCGATGAGGGTGTGCCGACGAAACCAGACGCAGGCGTAATGGCCACAAGACCCGAGATCGCACCGGAACAGAAACCAACAATCGACCACTTACGCTCAAGACGGTAGTCCCACAACATCCATGTCAGTCCACCGACACAGGCAGCAATGTGTGTCACCATGATTGCCTGGGCAGCCCGCAGGTTGGCACCGATACCCGAGCCACCATTAAAGCCAAACCATCCAATCCACAGGAAAACAGTGCCGAGAACGACATACGTCGCGTTATGCGGACGATAAGCCAGTTCGGCAGTACCGTACCCACGGCGGCGGCCCAGGTAGAGCGAGATGACCAGCGCCGCCGTTCCCGAGCTAATGTGCACAGGCGTACCGCCAGCATAGTCGAGGCCACCCATCACGTAACTCCATCCGTTGCTGTTCCACGTCCAGCACGCAAGAGGATTGTACACAATGGTGCACCAGCAAAACACAAAGATAAGCATCGGACCGATGCGTGCGCGGTCGGCAAACGCACCACAGGCGATGACAGGTGTAAGCGCCGCAAACATCATCTGGTAAATACAGTAGACAAGCTGGGGAAGCTTGTCGCCACCCATAGACACCTGCATATCCACATGCATAAGACCAAAGTGTTTCAGGTCGCCAATAAACCTGGAAGCACCTTCACTGAAAGAAAGAGAGAAGCCCCAGAAGAACCATTCAAACGACGCCACAGCCATGACCATCATCGACATGGCGATCATCGAGAGTGCATTCTTGCGGCGAAGCAGGCCTGAGTAGAAGAAGCCGACACCGGGGATCATGAGACAGACCAACATGGTCGACGTTAGAATCCATGCAATGTTGCCGAGGTTATACACCAGCGGCTCGCCATCGCTCATAATTTGGATATCATTGCTATCCGTATAGTTGAACTCGACCATATTGAATGCACAAAAGCCTAGCGGTATAGTGCGAGTTCAAGAATAGGAACCAAGGCCTTCTATCTATGCTCCCGCTTTTATTGCGTGGCCAGGGTGCCGGCAGCCCCTGCCTAGCAAGCCAAGCCATAGATAGCCTTGCGTTGTGCATAGAAGTGCAGGCCGCGCAAGATAAGGACAGCACTAAAGATAAGTCTGCATGTTCCACGTGGTGGCTGCTTTCATCTTCGGCCCTCCACAGAGAAATAGCTTGGCACATCTCTCCATGGCCGCGTCTGACACGGTGGAGATCGACGAACGCGCAGCGAAACGCGTAAAGCGTTCAGAAGCGCCGCCCCGGTTAACAGAAAGCGAGGCAGGTCTCCTGGAGTATGTGCATGCGGGATGGCGACCTGTGCATGCCATTATCAAGGAACGATACGCCGATTTCCTAGTGCATGAGATCGACACAGACGGCCACGTTGTGCACATTACCTCGCTGGACCCCCCACCCAAGCCTAGCGTGGTGGAGAGTGTCCCTGAACAGCCGGCTACATGGGATGACTTGGTGCCCTACTTTGGTGAGCGTGTCGCCCAACTGCAAGCCATGGCACAGGGCGCATCCGAGGAAACGGCGACCTTTATCGTGTCTTGTGCCTTGCCCGACAAGGCCGACCGAACCCGCGTCCACCAGCTTATTCGCACCCTTGCATCGTCACTTCTATCGGAAGCAACTACATTGGAGGATGGCACGGCGGCGATTCGTGTCGAGCGAGCAGCGGCCGTCGCCGGCGCTGCGGCCAGCAGAGGTGGGCGCGGCGGTGCCCATGGCGGCGGTCGTGGCGGCCGTGATCGACGTCGTGATGACCCCACGTCAGAAGCAGTGAGTGCCCCGCCCTACATTCACTTTGTTTTGCAAAAAACCAACCGCGACAGCCAAGAAGCGATGCATTGGCTCGCTCGCTTCCTGAAACTCGATAGTCGGGGACGCGCGTCCTCGACACACATGCTCAGTGTCGCAGGTACTAAGGACAAACGGGCTGTCACAGTACAGCGTGTCGCATTGCAGCGTGGCCGTCGGACTCTGTACGATGTATGGTCGATGGTGAATCATATTGGCCATCCTATTTCGTCCTCAAGCGCGCAACGCCGCACCTTGGATCATGCGCTCACCACGCGTGCAGAGCGTGGATTGCGCATTGCGCATTTGCAGTATGCCTCGCAGCCACTGCAGCTGGGCGATCTACAAGGCAATCAGTTTACGATTGTCCTTCGCAATGTGCATTGGGCCGACCAGGAAGCGCTGGGCACCGAGGCTGCGTCGTTGCGCACGACTCTCGCAGAGCATGTGGCTGAGATTGAGCGCGATGGCTTCCTTAACTACTTTGGCATGCAGCGGTTTGGGACAGGCACAATTGCGACGCACCAGATCGGCATTGCAGTCCTGCGTGGTGACTTCCCCCAGGCCCTCCACTTGATTCTCGCGTCGGGACAAACAGAGGCAGCGTCGTCCGCCGAGACAGAGTCGCAGGAGGCGGAGGCGGAGGCGGAAGCTCCACCATCTGTACGAGCGACACGTGCAGCGCTCGCTGCGGTGGAAGCGCAGCAGTACGAGGAGGCGTACCGTCTATTCCCCAAGACCTGCGTTGCCGAACGAGCCGTGTTGGAAAAAATGAAGGCGCCCCATTGGTCGCCGACAGATCCCCTTGGCGCGTTCCAAAACATCCCACGTACACTGCGTTTGATGTACGTTCATGCTTACCAATCCTATCTGTGGAACAGAATGGTCTCGGAACGTGTACGCCGCTTTGGCGCTATGCAACCTGTCGTCGGCGACTTGGTCGATGTAGGCGGCGGTCAAGTGCGTATGCTGACTGATGACGATGATCTCCACACCTATACGATGACCGATGTCATGATGCCGATGCCTGGCATGGATGTAACGCTCCCAGAGAGCGGTTGGCTTACAGACCTGTACCATGAACTACTTGAGCAAGATGGGCTCACACCGCTCTCCCTTGTATCGTCACGTCAGCCAGAGTACCGCTTGAAGGGGACGTACCGACGCATGGTCCACAAGCCCAAGGATCTACGTTGCGAAGTACTATCGTACACGGATGTCACAGCGCCGCTCTGTGCGACAGATGAAGAGCGGCTCTTGCCAGGTTTTGAACCGATACATACAGAGGAGGACGAGGCGCCGTTCCTCGCGTTAAAACTTGTATTTCAACTGCCGTCCTCAGCGTATGCGACGATGCTATTGCGGGAATTACTACGGACAGATACCAGTGCGCATGTACACAAGGCGCTTACGAAGCAAGCGTCGCAGTAGTCTGTAGAAACCTAGCAAGCACAGCGGTCTTGCACGTAGGTCGATACGCCGCTCAGAGAAATGGTCCCTGATGCATCAGGGGCGCCGCCAGGAATGCGATCGCCAGGACGACGTACACCTGGGGCTATATCGTGCCACAAGGCAGGCGTAGAGACAATCTGGAAGGTGAGCTGACTTCATGATACGTACGCCACGCACAAGTTCGTCAAACGCGTGATTTACGCCCACATCTTCTTTGGCACTGCACTCGACAAACAAGCAGTGGTGAGCCTTAGCGAACGCCTCGCCTTCCTCTTTGGAGATCACACGGTCGGAGGCCAAGTCCACTTTGTTGCCGACCAGCAGTCGAATCGGGGGAACACTCTGCTCAAAGACACGCAGCTCGTCGAGCCACTGCGGCAAGTCGTCAAACGACCGTTGATCTGTCACATCGTACACGAGGACAACACCTTGGGCGCCACGGTAGTAGCTGCTTGTTAACGTTCGGTATCGTTCCTGCCCAGCCGTGTCCCAGATGCTCAACTTGAACCATTTGGTGTCAACACACAGACTCTTCATCTTGTAATCCACACCGATGGTCGCTGCTGCATCCTCGTCAACAAATACGTCGTCCGTATAGCGACGTACAAGCGCCGACTTGCCCACACCAGAGGACCCAATGAGAAGCAGTTTGAGCGTAGGCAGCTCTGCACTGGTCGTCGGCTCTGCCATGACAGCCACACCCCGCGAGATCAGTGCGCGTCAATGGTCGTGCAATGTGGAGGCGCGACGGCAGAGCCGTAGCAGCCTCAACAGCCCTCCACGCCGCCGTCCTCGTCGCGGCGACCGCTTCCTCCACCTCCGGGCCTACTCACTCCTCTCTCCCTTCTTCTCGTGGTGATGGGACGTGAAGCACCAACAGCCACTCTCTCGCGCCTAGCGTACCAAAAGATTGTGTACCATGCCGCAAAGTATCCATCAGCTACTATCGTTGGCGTATTGGTCGGTGCAGACGAGTCGAGCGTCGACGATGTGATCCCGCTCACGCATCATTGGCACACGCTCAGCCCCATGACCGAAGCGGGCCTTGCGATGGTACGTATACATACATGCTAACGCATCCCAAGATCGAGGCACACTTAACAGCTTCAAGAAAACAGATGGTAGGCGTGTACGAAGTGCCTGAACGTCTGGATGCAACCGAAGTGTCTAGCACGACGTCGGCCCTCGCAAAGAAGATCGGCGAAAGAACGTCTCGTACACCGATTGCTCTTATGGTACGTACCAAAGATCCTAACAGCAGGTGCGTGGTGATGCATTGCTGGAATCCAAACTGGACTCTCTGCGTGCCCAGCGCGACGGAAAGACGGTGACGGTGCAAGTGCCGTCCTACGACACGCTTGTGTCGACGCTGACAGAGCATGTGCACCAAGGCGCATGGAAATCGTTGGCGGATTGGGACGATCACCTAGAAAATACACAGCTCGACTGGCTCGAGAATGCGGCGATTTCGGCCTTGTAGCATGCCAATATAGTCAAAGAGGATGCAGACGCAAGCTGCGTGCGTTCCTACGCTGCAGCCTACGCTTCGTGGCGTACCGCGTAAGTGGGCACAGCGCCAAGACGCCCGACCTCCCACTACCTCCACTACGATGCAGCCGACAGTGTGGCGGTCCTTCGCGACGACCTGTACGCGGCGTGCCCCACCGATGCGCCTGGCTGTCGTGGGCACAGGGCCTAGTGGCTTTTATGCTGCGTCACGGATCCTGCACCAGTTTGATAAGGCGCATGGGACGGGCGATAACGGCGTAGAAGTGCACATGTATGAACGATTGCCTACGCCTTTTGGGCTGGTACGCTATGGCGTCGCACCTGATCATCCGGAAGTGCGCGTAGGTACCATCACATGGCACTGACGTACAGAATGTAGAAAACAAGTTTGATGAAGTGCTGCGTGATCCGCGTGTCACGTTCCTTGGCAATGTATGTGTCACTGCCGAGGCCACGTCGTCGATCCCAGCGCCAACAGAGCACATTGCGCTACCATCCCTCGCCCCATATTATACACATATCCTATATGCCTATGGTGCTAGCGATGCCCGTCATCTGCATGTGCCTGGCAGTGCGCCAGGAGAACTAGCGAACGTGGCATCGGCTCTGGACTTTGTGCAATGGTACAACGGGCACCCAGATGCCCATGGCGCAAACGCAGCACGGTGGGAACAGATCGACGGATCGACACTAAGAAATGTCGCGGTCGTCGGTGCTGGGAATGTGGCCATTGACGTGGCCCGAATCCTTTTGCGCCAAAGCGCGTTTGCGCCGGCCGATCAATCTCTTCGCCATACCGATGTCCCGCAGTCGGTGCTGGACTGCCTTCGTTCATGGCAGGTCGAGAATGTGGGACTGTTTGTCCGCCGCGGCGCTGCGCAGCTGGCATTCACCAACAAGGAACTGCGTGAGATGCTAGCTTTACCGCATGCACCATTCCAGCCGATGGACGCTGCGCATCTCTCCCAGGCCTTGGCCATTGTGGCCCAGAGCGAGGAGGTCGGTCACAAACGCGCAATGACACGGCTACTTAAGCAGCTGCAGAAGGGCAGTGCATGCACCTATAAAGCCGACCATAAGCCACGCTGGGGCGTGCATCTTCTGCGCGCGCCCAAGGCCTTCCATGGCCGCGACGGGCGTGTGGTGGAGGCTGAATGGGCTGTGACACAGGTCTCAGAACAGGGGCAGGCGATCGATACGGGCGACTCCGTGACCACAGACGTGGACTTGGTCCTCAGCAGTGTCGGTTATCGCTCACGTCCTCTCCCTGGCACGGCTACCAATGTCCCCTTTGACGATCTCCGTGCCATCATCCCCAATGAGCGACGCCGCGTCGTAAACCAAGATGGCCACATCGTGCCAGGCATGTACGTGGCCGGTTGGCTTGCTACGGGCCCTGTCGGTGTGATCGTTTCGACCATGATCGATGCCTACAGCGCCGCTGATGAGATGCTGCACGACTGGCGCGAGAACCCCACAACGTCGACACTCTGTGCATCCTATGGTGTGCCCACAGCTGAGCGTGGTCTGCCCGAGGCATTGGAAGGCAAGCGCATCGTGCACTACGACGACTGGCTGCGGATTGATGCCGCAGAGAAGGAGCGTGGACGTGCGCTCGATAAGCCACGCGAAAAGTTTGTGCGTGTACAGGATATGCTGGACATACTCTAACGAGCGACTATGATACATTTGGCAACGGCCGGAACAAGACTTGAATGGTATACACCTTGTGGAACGGGTCCCAGTGACTCCATGTCGCTGGCTCTTCATGCTGCTCAGGCATCGGCATACCTGGCAGTGTCAGGACTTGGGAGCGATCAATCTCGCGACTCTGTAGCTTGAATGCAATCGTTTCGTACGGCTCCGCTGCGACAAGCAAGTACTGCCACGCTCGATTAGGCGCTTCCTTGCGCTGCTCAAAACTGCTCATAAACCGATGCAATGGCATGACATCCGCCTTAATCTCTGGTAGATTCACTTCGAATAGCAGACCCACTCGTCCGCTAGTCGTCTCGCGATAGTGCCGTGTCGCCTCGTCTTCGTCAGACGTCAGTGCAGGAAGGACGGGTTCGCGGATCTTGGTAATTTTGTAGCCAGGCCGACCAATTTTGACAAACTGCTTCTTGGGCATCTCAGGTGCAGGTGCAAGCAGAGCAGACGTTGCTTTGTTCGCCGAATCGTTCGACCGAGCATCCAACGCAGCGCGACGCTGCAGGTTCGCTTGGTGCTTCTTGCCCTGCGTATGGGCGAGGTACGAGCCTTCATTCGCATGCATAGTCAAGCACAAACGGCACTCGATCCCACCCAGATGATTCCGTAGAATGTATGGATCCTGGTAGATGTAAGTTGATCGCGGGGGCTACACACTTTGGAAATATCAATCGTCTCCATAGCGAGACGACGAAGCCGTTCACGACGGTCAATCGCCGCCTCGCTGGCGCTGGCAATGCCTGCACCTTTGTTGCCTGCGCGGTTTTGGTAGTCTATGTCGTTAGGACGGAAAATGACATACCCATGACAGGGAACCACTTCCACACGCCACCCCTGGCGTCGTGCGAACAAAAAAGCGTAAAGGCGCGTCGTCGACCCCGATCGCTGCGGCACGTGAGAGCGTGGCCAGGCCCAGCGAGGCCTGGCCAAGGCTGGGCAGGGCCCTCCACACGTAGATGTGTTCGACAAGACTCGGCCGAATGAGGCAAGTTTGGTGGAGTGAGCGTCTACTACGCGTGCCGTGGCCACGACTGGAGAGAGGGTTGTTTGTCCTCACCACGACATCATGGCTGCCGTCGATGGCATGACGACGATGACAACGACGACTACGGAGCCGATCGGTATGTACAGGTCATGGTAGGCGCTAACAAGGCCAGGTATTTCGAACCTGCCGAATCAGGTATGTATATATGATCGCCTTCGCTGCAGTGTTCCTGTGCGAAGGGTCTCAGGACACTTGCTAACCGAGTAGCGTCACCGTATTTCGTCCCGCAATGTTGCCAACTTTACGTTGATGGTAGTTGGCGAAAGTGGTACTGGTAAGACGACATGTACGTATCCCGCTGTGGCTCACGACAGTGATCAACACACTCTTCCGCACCGAGCTGGCCAGCCCGAAGAACTACGCACAGCGTCACACGGCGCAGCTCGACAAGTCCGTCGATGTGGATGTGATCCATGCCGAGCTGGAAGAGAAGCAGTTCCGTGTGAACCTAACGATTATCGACACGCCTGGCTTTGGTGACTTTGTGAACAACCGCGACTGCTGGGCGCCGCTGGTTGACTTTATTGACGACCAGTACGAGGCGTACATGCGCCAGGAACAGCAACCGGTGCGCAAGCAGATGGTTGACCGCCGTGTGCACGCATGCCTGTACTTCATTGCTCCGACGGGTCATACGCTCAAGCCGCTGGATATCGAGACGATGAAGCGTCTCTCGACCCGTGTCAACCTGATTCCTGTCATTGCTAAGGCCGATACACTGACCCCGCGCGATCTGGCCATCTTCAAGGAGCGCATTCGCGAGGTCATTCGCCTGCATGGTATTCGCGTGTTTGCGCCGCCGGTCGATGCGATTGACGAGGCCAGTGCAGAACACGCTCGCTCCCTCATGGCGTCGATGCCTTTCAGCATCATCGGTAGCAACAAGGATGTGCGCACCCGCGATGGCCGTGTTGTGCGTGGTCGTGAATACCTCTGGGGTGTGGCCGAGGTCGAAAACGAGCACCACTGCGACTTTAAGAAGCTTCGCTCGCTCCTTATCCGAACACACATGCTCGACTTGATCACGAATATGGAGGAGCTGCACTACGAAAACTACCGCCAGACGCAGATGGAGACGCGCAAGTTCGGCGAGCCGAAAGTGAAGAAGGTGGAGAACCCGCGCTTCAAGGAGGAGGAAGAAGCGCTGCGCCGCAAGTTTACCGACCAGGTGAAGCTCGAGGAAGGCCGCTTCCGCCAGTGGGAACAACACCTGATCGCCGAGCGCGATCGTCTAAACAAGGACTTGGAGACAGCGCATGGTGCGATCAAGCAGCTCGAGGCGGAGATCGAGGCCATGCAGATGTCGGCGCGTGCGCCAAGGAGGTAACGGTGGTACCCATAGTGTGTGATAGATGGATTCCTTGTATCGAATGACCCCTTTCCCCTACTGCGCTCTATTTATACCTCCTCTTCCAGTTCTTGAACCAGTTGTGATTGCCGTAGCAGCATATCTTCTTCGAGTTCCAGCTCCAGGGCCATCGTAGCCGCCTCGGCATCGTCCTGGCACCAAAGGGCCTCTTCATCCAAGTCAGAGCCTGGTTTCGCCGTCGTCACCAAGGGCTCCGCCTTGATTGGCGCGGCTTTTGATGCGGTAGGCGCTGTGGTCGCCTCTCGCCTGGCCGAGGCACGCTCAGCCGCAGCTTGCTTCGCAGCAGCGGCTTGCCGGAGCCTCGCTTGTTTCTTTGCTTCGTCGTCCGCTGCAGATGGAGCAGGGCGTTTCATGCCTTGGACATCCGCATGTCGATGCAGATCACTCGCCTGCAGTGGCATCGATGGCACAGGCATTTTTAGCACATCGCGTGCGTATTGTCGGTCATACAGACAATTTCTGCATGTGAATAAAACCGCAACGTACCCCAGCAACCGTCCAAACGTTTTCAAGCCACGCTTGATCGAGTCAGTGATCGCCTCCTTCTTGCATTTCTCCAGCGCGGCATGCTTGCCGCGGATGCCTTCCGTGTGGCCGTACCCCACATCCTCATGGTATGTCCCATCACGTAATGTAATCCTCACAATGGCACTCACGCCACAATTGCATTTGCCTGTCTCAGGGTGTATATCCAGCTGCGAGTCAGCGCTCGTCACACGTACATAGTCCACGTCCAAACTCGTGACACTGGTGGACCATCCATTGAACCCAAAGATCTCGTTCGCCAAGTCCACCGCTTTCCATCCCTCAATGTACGTCAGTTTGGAGCCTGATCTAAGTCACCCTACCCTACGTACCACCACCAGGGCCAGGTCGTTGACTCAGGTATTCTGGGCCAAGTCGCTGGTTCAGCTTGGCCTGGAGCGTAGCGAGACGCGTGGCGCTCCATAGCGACAGACCCGTTTCAGGATCGATCGCTGCGCTCCTAGCCGCATCAGGCTCCGAGGCGATACCGCCCACGCCAGCTGGGAACGCATCACGGGCATATGCATGCTTAGCATCAAACCCAAACGGGGTGCCTGCCCCCTCGCTCATGACAGCGTACCACGACGCGTGCCTAGCCACCGCGTAGGCGTGTTGGTCTTTTGTATGTCACGTGATACGGTCCTCGCCCCAGGACGCTACCATCTACCTAAACTTGATGTACAAAATAAAGACGAAGAGGAGTACCAAGGCACCGACACTGGAGTGAGAGAGACGTATACGTACGGTGCATACTTGCGAATCATTGCATCCACGTTGATCTTGCGAGCAGCGCGGCGGTATTTCAGCGACTCATCGCGAAGCGAGGACGACATCGAAGACATGTCTGTTGTGAGTGCATGAATACGTACGGTCCAAACTATCACCACGCCATAGCAAATCTTCCATATTCTTCGTCATAATCTTCTGGACATCTTGCAAGTCCTCATTCAATCGATCCAAGTGCGAGCCAGCCGCTGTCTGTGCGGTACGAGTGTCCGCGTACAAGCGCTTCGTACGTTGCATAAACGTATCAAATCCCACAAATGCATAAGGACGCAGATTTCGTTGATGGACCTGACGGCTGTAGCTCATCTCAAATTCCTTCGAAAGCTCATCAAGGTAGGCAAACGCCAGCTTCCGAGGGTACGAGCGATCAGTAATGGTCAAAAATACCACTGCATTGGGATCACTGGGCGGCGGATGGATAAGGTAGCTGCATGTTAGCACATTACATCAACATACTGAAACGTCATGGAGCCGCCATCAATGCTGCATCGCGTCTCGGACGAAGGAGAGATTTTACGGAAGACAATTTTGGCTTGCTGTTTGTGCTGTACCAGCTCCGGATCCTGGTCATCATCCACACTCTGAGCAAGTGGGAGCGAGTCAGACACACGCACAACTTGCGTCGATCGGACCATGGCACCTGACAACACACACACTTCAAGGCTCGTCGCCAGGGACTGGCACCGCGCGCGACAGAGGCCCTCATGGGGCCACGTGGCTAGGCAGCGGAGGGACGAGGAAAACCTCTACGCTGCATTGCCTGCCAACGACCGCTGCGAAAGACACTTCTCTCTGAAGTCCCATTGCAAGGAAAAAAGTAGTTTCCTCTACGATGGGTGATCATATGACACAGTCGGGTGATGAATACGCGCCGTTTTCCCGGCTGATACTCGATCTCCGTGGCGTATGCTTCGTCATTGATCGCGAAACGCTCATGAGTCTCCCTGAATCCATTTTGCTGTGTCTGTTTCCGAACGGTCTCTTACTCCCTGATGTGGGAGACACAACAGGTGATATGAGCGAGGAAAAGCAGGTGATTTATGTGGACGTATGTATAATCCGCTCTAACGTACCCAGGCCGATGCACAATGCTTGCAGTTTGTTCTTTCTTTTTTCCGCCAGGCCCAGGAATACTTTTATGGGACAGAGACTGTGCCGGGCGTATACCAAGGTACAGGCCTCAGTGCTAACTACATGGACTTTGGCGATCCGTTGGGGGGTGGGATGGCCAATGGTTTCGGTCAGCCATTCTACCTGCCGCTCTTCCATAAGCAAGCCGTCATTGTGCTACGGGAAGAGCTTGAGTACTTTGCACTTCCTCCCAAAAGCATGGCACGCACAGCAGCCATACCTAATGCGTCGCCCAATGTACCGCCGAATGCATCAGCGGAATTCACGCAACTTAAAGAGGGTTGTGGTGAGGCACTCTTGCATCGCCAGCAGATTTTCACGGCGTTGCAGCGCAATGTCAACAAAGAAAACAACGTGGCTGAGCAGCATTTGATTGATATGCTGTGTATGAGTGGCTTTGAGGCGGAAGATATGTGGGGCTATCGCGCTCGGGAGCCTGCGCGATGTGGTATTACAAGTACGGCGATGGTACTCCTAAAGACCGGCGTTACACACCCAGGCGAACTGCCAGAGGGTCGTCAAGCCAATATACCATGGCCACGCAAGCCGATTGGTGTGCATCGTGCCGGCATTATGATGGAGCGAGGTCTCCCTGCGACGCCCGCGGAAGCAGAGGAGCTTGGCGAATGGATGGACGATGGCCAGGGTGGCTCCCTACGGGTGAACCAGGCACAGCTGGCTACGACGCAAAAGCTCCTTTTGTTCTGGCGGAAACCGGCGGTATGTACCTATCGATGACTGACAGTGTAGCGCAAATGCTGGTGGGATGGCATTCACGTTGTGGTCCCTACGCCGCAGCCTCAATCAGAGCGTGAGGCAGCCCCGCCAAGTCTGCTCGCCACGATGTCGCCCCAAGAACGCGCATGGTTGGAACAGGGCAAGGGCCGTATTGTGCGTGTCTGGGTCCGGCGTGTATGGACGCTGGAAGTCAGCTTGGTACGTGTGCGACACGTTAGACTAACGCTATAGATCTGATGGATATACCCCTCTCCCTATCACGTAAAGATTTAAATATTCGTTTATATGCATGTATAGGGCGGCCAGGAGCCTGCCACGGCAGGATCCTTACGCCATGACGGACAATTGTCGTGACCATACACTTTTCACCCTAGCAAGCTGCAAGGTCTCGTTGGCTGGCCTAGTTCACCCAAGCGAAAAGAACGAATCAAGGGGCAAATATGGTGGCTGGCAAGCAGGCGGGTAGTACGTTTGCCTCGTTTTTGCATAAATCAGCTACATGAATAGGTTTCATTGATAAATGATCCTTGTTCCGCCAATCACAGTGGATTATGCAATGCAAGGCCATGAATAAAGTAGCCTCCACAGACAGGGCCAAAGTTCGGCTGCATTCACAAGGGCCAGAACGTGGGGGACTGCTAAAAAAGGGCCTTGTAGCTGCACGAGCAGAAGAATTGATTGATCCAGCGTGATCATTCAGCTGCGACGAGAAGGGGCAACGATTCCGCTCGCGCATAAACACGTTGGTCTCGCTTTCGCAATGCCACATACAAACGCGCCTTCCAAGCGATGGTCTCAACGGCTGGATACCGACATCTGCAAGCCACTTCCAAAGACGCCCAAAGAACACAGCCCTGAGGCGGTGTCGACTGGTATGTCAAGACAGCCCTCGAGCATGGGTCATACACACCCACACCCGCTGACAGCCATGCGTGATATGCCATCGCCGTGTGCAGTAAACCGGATGCGAGCGCTGCCGGAGCCACCCAGCATGGAACGCAGCTACTCGATCCCGGTATCGACTCAGAAGGAGTTGGAGCGACAGCACCGGCTTACGCAGATGCTTCCAGCCAAGTCAAGGTCGCTGGATACCGGGATCCAAGCCCATGAGCTGGCAACGGCGCTACACAAGCTGCCATTGGCCAGCCCTATCATGAAAACGGCAGAAGAGCGAGACAAGGAGTATGGCTGGCAAGTGTGTCCGAGAGACTGCTGGTGGCTCTATGGCTGGCCGACCAGTGGAAACGGCATGACGTTGAGTGAGGCCAAGTACAGAGATACTGAGTGCTCCACGCCTTCCATGATGGATGACACAGATTCTGTGAGCACGCATTCATGCGCGACATGGTCGCGCAAACATTCATCGTGGACGGCACCGCCCCGTCATGTCGACATTTTGATCGAGCGTCCACACTCGACTAAGCCAGCAGGCGCCGAAGTCGTACCGATCCACCGCCTTGCGCCAGAACCGCCCGTGTCTGTGGATGTGCCTGGACTCGGTGCCATTCAGGCGCCTACCGAGGTGCTCTCGACGCAATACGCGGAAGACGTATTGTCGCCCTGTACGCCTTTGCATGCCGACACCCTTGCTCACATGTCACAACAGACGGTGCTACCTGCCGTAGTAGCGTCAGATATGGAACCACTCCCCACCATGGCCGAGCCTATACCTCGCACATGCCGGCCATTTTATGTACACCCTGACCATGTGTTTTAAACAGTCTGGACTCACCCATCTATGATTAAGAAAATGTGAAAATTACGAGATAGGGAAGATGAAGATAGTTGTCTACGATGCCTTTTGCATGCTAAGAATCTCATCGGCCATGGCACGCACAGCCTCCTCGCTCGTCTGCCTATCCTCCACGGCAGATTGCATCTGTTGGCCTACACCAAGCGGGTACCGGCGGAACAGTTGAACTTTTGAGGCCACACCGGGCATTTCATGGTGTCGGAGGAACTGGAGCCATCGGTCGACAGTTGCGTCGCTCGCATCATAAATTTTAATGCTACGTCGGTGTGTCCGACGCCAAAAGTTTTCCATCGATTTTTTATGCACAAATGGACCGCGCGGCACAGTCCACAGCGACGTCTGCACTGGCAAGCAGGCAATGCCGCCGGTCGGTATCTGGAAAGCATGCGCTGCGCGCATCGCGAAATCAGCGAAGAAATCTAGATCAAAGGTCTTGCGGCGGTATGATGTAAGCTGGATCGTCGCAACATGAATGCCATGTGTCTGGGGAGGCGATTGCACGTCCGGGACGAGGTGTTCGAGGTGCTCGGAGGTCGTCGCTACGTCAGACGTGGACGTAGAGGAGGAGGCTGTACGCCGCGTCTCTGCCGGGACATTGGCAGGCGAAGATGAGGCAGTAGCAGCCTTACCTGCCTCTGCCGAGAGTACTCGCGAGTGCGTACTAAAGGCCCGTGTTGCTCGTGGGACGAGCGTACGCAGCAACGACATGCTGGACGCGATGCAAAACCGCACGTCGAACACCTGAGCGACCAAGCGACCGTCGAAGAAATTATGTAAGCGACCGGCCGAGGAGCCTAGATGAAAAGGGGGTATCATAGGGACTATGAGAATTACGAGGGCGCCGAAATCGCCGGGGCTAGCATCGACAGCGGATCTGCGCGGACCGGCGGTTCAGCATGAACGTCTGGGAGTGTTGTAGATGTGGCTGAGGCGGCCGGCATGGCAACAGACACAGCCGGCCCAGCTTCCGATGCAGCGGCGGATGGCTCGTTGGGCGACGCCGTGGGCGAGGCTGGCGGAGGCGTGGCTGGCGCCGTCACCTTGACAGAGGGATGCTTGGCCTCACGGGCCAACCGAGCCTTCTTCTTGCGTTCGTACGCCTCACGCACCGCCTCGCGAATGATACCAATAGCATGACTGCCCTCTTCCACGTTCGCCATCGCCGTACGGAGCAACGCACGGACTTGATCAGGGGTCCAGATCAGGTTGTAGGACGTACTGTAGTGTGCTGTCGTAGGATCAAAGCCTGGCTGCACGGCATTCGGTAGCAGGGGACAATACACAAAGTTGATGTCGGGCTCACGATCCGTAGATGGCCCATTCTTGGTCCGCCATCCATCAAGACGCTGAGCGTACTTGGGCTCGAACTTGGCGCGGATCTGGGCGGCTTCATTCTGCACGGCCTGCTCGACACTCTCAGGCGACTGGTCAGACGACGATGTCATGGGCTTCGGCGCAGTTCGTGGCGCCTCGTCCCTATCAATGGGCTCGCGGGCATTAGGGTGCGCCTTGATCTCGATGCCGACTTCACGTCCAAATTCATGGATACGCGCGATAGCAGCGCCAGTCATCACATCCGACGAGGCATCGAAAGAAATGATGACATCCGCTTGACGCTCTTCACGAGCCAATACATGGTTGGGCAGATTGTTCGAGAGACCACTGTCCATCAAACGCAGGCGACGCGTGTGCTCCCACTTCCACTGCCGCTGACGCGGTGGTTCCTCCGGCTCGTCCATCTCATGATGTCGAGCAGACAGGTCTTCGAGGGGCGCCATGAACGTCTCAGGGTCGTTCTCAAACACGGACGTCGACACAGAGGCATCACTACCACGCCGTGGACGCAGTGTATGCTCCATGGCAAGCTCGGGCAGACGCGGCAGCTGTGAGAAGAACGCATTCATCTGCGCTGTCGTGGGCTGCAAGAACGTGGAAGGCGACATAGCTGCGGGAGACGGCGGGGTAGGCATGGGTGCTTTTGTAAAGTCGATGGGCGGGGTAGATGTACCCTGGTACGGCAGATCGACGGGCGACGTTGGCTGCGTGGGCGCAGTCGACGCGTCTTGAGTGGGTGCGGCCGACATGTCTTGCGTAGACCCGGCCGATGGCGACGAGGTCGACGGAGGAGCAAGCACATCATCGTTCTCGGCCATGTCGACCACAATGTCGTCCATACCACGGCCATAAAAGGGATTCGGCTCGTCGGCGGCCCGAATGGGATTGCCCCATCGCTTCTCCCACTGCTTCATCATCACGAAATCGTTGATCCAGCCAAGAAGAGTAGACATGACCGTGCCCTGGGGAATGGACGCAAGCATGGTAGAGATATACGCCGTCAGGGGGCCGGCTGGCGCTCCTGTGCACTGCCCCGCAATCGTTGCGAGCATCTGTTCCGGCGCGCGTATGAGAGATTTTCCGTTCTCGAACGGACGACCATACGCCCATGTCGGAATCCATGCACCAATATTGCGGCAGCCCAATTCCAAGGGACTGATTTCGTACCAGTCGTAGCCACTGCCGACCAACGGCGGGTGAGACGCACCGGACGCCGAGTCTGGGCTGGGATGCGGACGCCAAACACGACGAACGCCTGTGAGAATCGGGATCGGCTGCAAACCCTGATCAAGTTGGCGTCGTTCCCATACTTTCGACCACTGGAACGACTTACGACTCAAACCCTCGGTCGGTTTGTACTTTGACCAAAGCCAGTGCTCATGCGAGACGGATTCGGTATCGCCACTAGGACCATTGTACGAGTAGTCTGTGCCAAGCAGCGATAGCGGACGAGGGAGGAATTGGTACGTCAGGACAAGCATCGCGTAAAAGTCCATAATACGGCAATGCATCTTCTTGTTCCGAGCCTTGCGCATAAGCGGGCCTAGCAGGTAGTAAATACCTCGTGATGAGCGTGCGACACGGTCCATCGCCTGAAGACTCATGGGATGCGCTTCCTCGTTGGCCATGGCCATCATATGCGCTATCATAATGTCCGTCGAGCCCTGCGCAATGGTATACAGAGCCGCCAACGTCCAGCAGGAGCCACTCACCGACGAGCTCCACATCGTGCATTGCCACAAACCGGTGTTTTCAGCTTCCTTGATGAAGCCTGCGTAGCCGTACATGGCACGGTAGCCACCGCCTGAACCGCCGATCGCGATCAGCGGCACGTCTTCAGGGTGAACATACTCATCGTCAGGCAGCTGGAGGAAGTGTGCCAATGCATTCGTGCCTTCTGATGACATGAGGACCTGGCGCTTCGCAATGGCCATCCTCTCGTCGGGATGCAGTTCCGACGAACATCGCACTTTCGCATCCCAGTCCAGCTCCGGAAACGTTTCGCGGTCCGCCTCGTCCAGCTTGAGAAGGCCACGTAGATGCGCCATATCCTCCCACCGCAGTTTCCAGCGCTCCAGGAAAGGAATCGAAGGCATGCGTGTGGGCGGCGCGAGACTCAGCGGGATCTGCGGCGGGGGGAACAGGAAGGGGAAACGACGCTCCTGCCACCAGTGTTGTAGCGACGCAGGCATAAACGATGAATCTGCAGCACGGCCTTCACGGCGCGTTGTCGCACTGGCAATCAAGGCCTGCATTCGGCCCCAGGACGACATGCCATGTCCACCCTCGGTCGATTCATACCACGTCCACGGCCCATTCGCATTGAGCCGCGACGAGAGGGGACGCGCCGCGAAGATGGTCACGAGTGTGCAAATAATATAGCATTTCAAGAACAGGTAGCTTGGCGATGCACGAATCACCTGTAAGAGTGTCATGCTCCCCGCACACTACCGCGCTCAGTGAACAAGCTGTATCGTGGTTTCGTCCGAAGACCCTACGACGCTGCTCTACCAAAAAAATTGAGCGCCATGCACCCAACGCGGCCACCGCGTGCGGCTATGCGCACCTGTCCCACGTGATGCACCCACGTGCTAGAAGCCCAAGGCTAGCATCGTCCAGGGCAAATCTTCGTCGTCTTGGTCCGTGCGCGACGACGCATCCAAGTCGGCGAGCAGCGTATGCAGCCGATGCAGCGCCTGTGTGAACAGGTCAGGGTCCACGCCCGGCATGGAGACAGCGGTAACTGTCGTGGCAAGGGAGAGCCGGGTTGATGTAGATGCTACTGTGGACGGCGCCACTTTACCCATCTCCGACTTGGCATCGTCCTCGTCCTCCTCGGGCGCCTCTGCCTCCATCTCCTTGTCCAGACGCATCCGGGCCCGTTGCACTTCATCCGCACTGATGGGCTGCGCCACTGGCTTAACCTCCGTATTGTCTTTGGGCAGCTTGTCTGCAAACGGTGCTAATGCCTTGTCGAGCTGCGTAGCGTCGACGTCCAAGGCCACAGCACGCGCCGCACGAACTTCACGCTGTGCTGCCGAAATGGAGGCGCCTAGCTCGTCAAAGTGCTTGTAGAGTGCGCGCTCGCGAGTTTTTCCCAGATTGATTTCCGTCTGTGTGAATGTTTGCAAGGCGCGGCATTGTGCATACGACGACTCTATCGATTTCACCAGCCCATCTTGGTCCAGCCGATTACGTTTCTTGTCTGGCATGCGCGATAGGTCGACCAACTCCATGACAGGCGCGCGGACCACGAATTTTTGGCGCATACGTGCCTTGGCAATCCACGTGTAAAAGTCACCCAGCAGGACTTTGGCACGTAGTAACATGGGTGTAATGCGCTTCGAAAACTTGGTGAGACTTGCTGGAATCAACCGATCGCGGTTGTCATTAGCGATGCCAAACTGAATAGAGAGCTCCAAAATCTCGCGCAAGATCTTCATGATGGTGACGGTATTTTTTTCGGCAAAGTTCAAGGCCGATCGCGCGCGTTGCTCGCGCTTCACTTCTGTTGGAATGAGCTTGAGAAAGAGCTGTCTAATCCGTACTTCACGGACCCATGCACGTAGCACAGTATGCTCACTGCCATATGGGAACATTTCGTCACCGATCTCGTCGATGCGGCGCTGCAGCGCTGCAGACTCGATCGCAAGACGTACGAGGTCGGTACGTCGCGTCTCGAGACGCTGAAGTTCCGTTTTTGCGTCGTTCAGCGATTGAAACGAGGCCTCCATCTGCTGGTGCGAGGAGGTGGCAGCCTCATGCGCTTGTGTTGCCTTGGATGACCATTTTGAGTGCTTCGGCGCGAGCTTGGTCACGACCGATTTGCGCAGCCGATTCGATTCTTTTTGCTTGGTTTCGCTATGGTGAGACACTGTGATACGTACGCCTCCGCTTTGTGACGTGCATACGCAGCCGTACGAGACTGTATCGTGCCGTTGATCTTCCATATGGCGACCTTGGTCGCCTCCTGCTGGGCCGGTACATCGCCCATGCGCTCCAATGCGTCTGTCCGTGTTAGATAGTTCCGTACGTACGGAAACATTGTAGAAACTAGCGTCGAGTCAGATAGACGGGCACGTACCTCTTTCCTTTGGCTTGACCTCGTGGAAGGTCGTATGGTACCGACAGACGACGCACTCCGTAATGTCGCCGTGTCCGACGCAAGCGCGTCGGGCGGATCGGCCAGGCTCATTAGGTGGAGAAGAGAAGGAGTGGGTTTCGATGGGCAAGTGGAGTAGGCTTCGTTCCTTACTACGATGGACGACGAGGCGGGGCGGTCTGACGGTCTGGAGGCAGGGGCGGTCTATCGCTACCAGCAAGAGATTGCGCAGATGGTGCGTGCGGCGTACACTGACTGTAGATGTTTGTATCGACTGAGATCGACAATCCCGATCCTCGAGTGACACGGCTGATTGAGGATATTGTGCGCAACCAAGTGATTGAAATGGTACGTCCTGCCTCACACACTCACCGCAGATCATTCAGTCGCGACGTCTAGCGCAGCGGCGTCAGTCCAAGTACCTCGCTCCGGAGGACTTGATCTTCCTAATCCGGTACGATCGTGCTAAAGTGAATCGACTGCGTACCTACCTCAGCTGGAAAGACGTGCGTAAGAATGCCAAAGACAGTGGCGGCGATACAGCCGGCGGCGGCGGCGGCGGTGCAGATGGCAACGATGCTATTGACGAAGCGGGCGATGATAGTCCGCTGCGTGTAAACAAGCGCAAGATGCGGTTGCCATGGGACCTCAGTTCTGTGTTTAGCGACTTTCCTCGTGTGGCCGGCGCACCTGCTGACGAGGGAGACGACGACGATGAAGATGCGATTGAGACGAACGAAGACTCGCTTCGTCGCCTCAAAGCGGCTGATGAGACGACGCGGCGCATGACGCGTGAAGAGTATGTGTTTTACTCGGAATGCCGTCAAGCGTCCTTTACATTCCGCAAAGCCAAACGCTTCCGTGAATTCATCCATGCAAATCTCTACTTGGACGTCAAGCCCAGCGACGATACCATTGATATCCTGGGCTTCCTAGCGTTCGAAGTCGTCCATGAACTATGTACACGTGCCATGCGTATCAAGCAAGAATGGACAGAACGTGCTCAGGCTGTGCGTGGATCGCATGGCGTATCGAACGACGACGAGGATATCGATGTAGGGTGCTCGCTCTTTAGCCTGCCGCCCAACACAGAGCCGCCGCTAGAAGCATGGCATATCCGCGAAGCCTTTGCAGAGCTCCAGCGTGAGCACAGCATGACAGATATCGGCCGCGGGACGGCCGGGCCTGCCGGCGGTCTGCGGCGGACCCAAGTGTTTGTTATTTAGGCGGCGGCGGCATGGCTGCTTGCTCGTACCGCTTTTGTGCCGCAGCGCGGCCCTGCGCTTGATACCGCGCGTGAGATGGACCTTGGCCATACGTCTCCGCATCCAATAGCCCTGTACTTCCTAACCCTGCACGACCAGTCGCGACGCGCGGCACAACAGGTGCTTGCGTCGGCATAGTCGTATCGGACTCTTTCGCCATGCGCGCCAGCATTTGGTAGCCAACATGCTGGGCATCGAGCGGTTTCGAGGACGTCGTGGGTATAGTGTCAGATACGTGCTGAGATCTAGGCACACTCGATGGAGGCTGCATCGTACGACGTACGGCCGCGCGGTCGCGATAGCTCGAGGGCGGCGCTGTCGTCGCGGCCTGCTTGTCCGGCATAGGCAGTATGGCATGCTTCAAGGCACGCAGTCGTTTGCGCCGGTCCTGCTCAACCTGCCATCGCGAGTGCCGCGAGGGGTGCGAAGAGGGTATCGCGTCTGCCTGCGTAGACGATGCCGCAGGCCGGCTGGGCTGCGCCAGCGGGGCCACGGAAATCTCATTTGTGCCATCTTCTTTGACAGCACACTTGTCGCATATCTCCCAGGGACTCGAGTGCAGATGTACTTCGAACGTCGTGCTTTGCACTCCGATCCGTATCAGGTCCCAGTGCTGCAAGTCGTACGGCGTGCTGGCATGCTTGGCCTCCGAAAGTCGTACGAACTGTGACGTAGGCACAGCAGCTAGCGCACTAGCCGCTGTCGGCTTGCCTCGGCGACAAACGTACGTTCCATGCATGGACCCTGTATCGGATATCGAGTAGTATATAGGCCCACGTGTATTGGAAAAGATGTTGGCATGGTGCTTGCTTACCTCCATCGACGGCAAGCGAAGTCGTGCCGTAAACGTCTTGTCGCGCCCGATACTCACACCTCCGTGCCGACCATCGATGATAGCGACGGTCTTGTTGCGTGGGAGCACATCCGACGCAAGTTTGACGAGCCGGAGAAACGGATAGGGCTCACTAGCTTCCTCCGTCGCCATGCAAGCGTTGTGGTCGTGTGGAGAAAAAGAGGCCGAATTTCGCGTCGACGTACGCACGCATGCATGGGCTGCCCATGCCCGCTTGGGACACTGAGTCCGCTAGAAGCCAGCCAGGACAGGCTTCCAGGGCATGGAGTGCCAGATAACAGACTCCTTCACGCAAGCATCCTGGGGAAACCAGATCGACCCAAGCATGATGGACTACCCTAAGTGATTATATAGAGATGGCTCGGCACAATCTGCCATGTAGGCAAGATGC